GATGCTTGTTGAAATAGAGGTGAAGTTGAATGCAAGGCTCGAAGACCTGCCTCGTGGAAACGTCTTACAGAGACAAAACCAAGCGGTCCACGAGAGATGGGTTCGTTGTGAGGTTAACTTGTGGATTCATGATGATTCAGTTAACTAGAAGATTCGTGCTCGTTGAGATAGAGGTGGAGTTGAATGCAAGGCTCGAAGACCTGCCTCATGGAAACGTCTTACAGAGACAAAACCAAGCGGTCCACGAGAGATGGGTTCGTTGTAAGTTTATGAAGGACTGGTGTGCTGTTTAAATAGCTTCAGACCGCAAAACCGTCGAGGTTGCCGCCGGTGAGATATTGCAATGACTGTCGTAGGCGCAGCTCATTTCCTCCCAACACCGCCTAGAGGTACCAAGTGCGTGCCTTGTAGAGAACCAGAAATGCTGGTTCTGATTCGAGCTTGTCAATCGGCTACTGTCGTCCATCTCCCGCTTTGTCCCTGTCTTCCAACGTCTGGAACTTTGCAGTTTATTCAGGCCTTGGTTCGCCTCCCCAGTAAACCTTGTTCATCTTGAGACCTTTCTGCCATAGCGCATGGAAGCTGGAATCCTGTTCAGGGTATTTCTCGCGTTCCTCGCGTCGGATGCGAAGAGCAGCTGCAGAAAGCCCAACACACATCGCGAAGATAGGGTCGATGAATCTAGAGACCAGAGATACATTAGCTGCGATTCATGTACGCCTGATGTTAAGCAGAAAGGAGACACAAGACGGCGCATACTTTGAGAACAGCCAAGGCTGAGCTACCGACGCCATGATGTACGGAATGAAGACGACAAATCCCAAAGCTAGAGAGGCAATGTGTGCAAGATTCGCAGGTATTGAGTCGTTGAGAATACGTACCTAGGTAGATTGCTGCCCGCCCAAGAGCTGAGATTAGAGCTTCAATTCTCCGATTGGCCAGCCTCGTAGCCTCGTTCAATGCGTGCTCCCTAGCTACCCATCTCGCCATTACTTCAGTTCCTCTCAATATCCGTCCCCCTTTCCCCTCTCTTGTAAATTTAATAGACGCCTCGAAATCACCGTGAGACTAACTGGGTCTTGCCAAAGCAGGGTCTTACAGCGAACATCGTCCGGGCCTAGCACGAACACACTAATTCCGTTGACACATTGATCAGATACTCAACGCGCTGGGACCTATACATGCAGACCGGAATGACTCAGTCCTGCGCATAAAATGACCATCTTGTTCTATGACGGAGTGGCCCTTGCTAGGTATTTCTCGAACCACTCATACCGCCTCCGCTCGATGTCACTCAGGGTGCTTCCTTTATTGAATATATGCCCTTCGCCGTCGTAGACCTTGATATCCACCGCCGTGCCTGCCTCCTTGACTATCTTCGCCAGGTTGTACGCTTGGTTTGGTGGCACAATGGCATCATCCGCTCCACTAATAATCAGCAGCGGACTCCTAATGTTTGAAGCGTGGGTCAATGGACTTCGATCTTTCAGAATAGCTTCTTGCTCCGCGACCGAGGCACCAGGAGCATAGCATAGCGGCGAGAGATATTGGGATTCGAATTTGTGCGTCTCCTCGACAAGCAGCTTCATATCCGATATCCCACTTTCAGCGACTCCGCAAGCCCATACCGAAGGGTATTTGGCCAGAGCTTGCATCGTTGCATAGCCGCCCGCAGAGTGGCCCGTAATACCAACCCGGGATTTGTCAATGAGCCCTTGTTGGGCAAGAAAGTCAACGGCAGAGACAGCATCAGCAATGTCGCTAACTCCCCATTGGCCATTAAGGAGGTTGCGATACGGACGCCCATAGCCAGTGCTTCCGACACTGTCGATCAAGCGTCAGTTCCCAGTAAGATTGAATCAGAGTGATTGACGACTCCAATCCCAAACATCCCGAACAAGAGCAATTGAACTTACTAATTAACTTGTACCAGCGCATAGCCCCTGGTCGTAAGTGCCTGGTCGCGAAGTGCGAAGCCCGGCCCTTCTTGGAATGTCGGACCTCCTGATGGATAGCTATTAGCTTGGACCAATAATGACCCATCAACGAAATGACAACTACGACGCAGAGCAGGCGGTTTGGGCAGAGAGACACACCGTGGATAGCAACAATGAGGGGTGGAAGGGTGCCGGCTGGGGCCTCGAATTGTGGATTCTTCGGCAGATAAAAGAGACCATATGCATCACCTCCGCCAGGACCGTGGACTCGTGGAAACGTAATAGGCTGTGGAAGGGAGACATAGTCTTCTGGAAGGGATGTTGTGGTGGACTTTTGCAGGACTGTTCCAAGTCCTTGTTCATTGATATCAATGACCGTAGCCAGCATTGGGAGAGTGGTAGTGGCGCCTATTATGGCGAACGATGTGTCCGACACTGGCTTAATGGCATCGATCGTTATCTCGACAATTGGGCAGCTGAGATCCCGCCACTCGAGTGTTCGGGTATCTGCGAGAATGGTGGTGCAGCGGCCTTGATAGTTGAAGACGGCCACCATAGTGGAAGGGTCCAAGAGACAGTAGGAAGCTGCAAATCTGTGATCAGCTCATGGCCAAGTGGGCGCGAATCCTAGTGGCAAGCGTCCTGCAAGATGCCGAATGAAGACAAGAGAACTTACAGCCTCCGAGAAACCAATCTGCAAATCCGAATTCGGCGTCCTCTAAACCCGCCAATACGAGTTGTTGTACTTCACCACCGGAGAATGAATATATCTGCCAGTAGTCGGTCTGGTCCGAGACAAAGTACAACACCCCATCATCGCCCCAGCGTGGCTGGGTTATGCTGGCCTTGGTCTGCTGGCCAGCAATGCATTTAGGGTTCTTGGCCGCGCCATGGTCCCAGTCAGCAAGCCAGAGCTCCGTATAACCCCATGGCATGTTGGGGTGATTCCACTGGACCCAACACATCTTGGTCCCGTCAGGGCTGAATCTTGGATAAGTGTAGAAGTCGGCGCCGGTGGCTAGAGGCCGAACCTCGTTTGTGGACGAGTCAATCACCACAAGAGAGTTTTGTATGTCTGCAATCTTAGGCGCATGATGGTCTTCCTTGATGGCCACGGTGAATTGAGAATGGTGAGGGTGGATGGCAAAGTCGGCGTAGTAGACCTTGGGATCCGCTGTCACGATAGGGATAGTTTCGCCCGTTTCAGGGTCGAGGCCAAAAACACCCTTGGTCTCCCAATCCGTGAAAATAATGTGTCCTGTCGACTCATTGAAGGCAAAAGAGGCACCACCATACTCATGGACCTGGGACAAACAGTTGTATTGCTTGGGTAGAATATCCCGGCTCTGTCCATTGTAGTGCTCGACGATGACGCCTCGTCCTCCCTCATCTGGTCGTATCTCAAGGAGATAAATCTTGCCACTGTCACGCTGTCCACTAGTCAGCGTGATTTTCAAAAAGGAGAAGCCCCGAGCCTACATTGACACATAGCTGGGTCAATACTACGGAACCTGGTGCTGCAAAGTTCTCCGGCTCAATGGGACTTTTGAACGTCCCATACTGGGCAACTTGGCGAGAAGTCATGATTATGATTGCGCCAGTAGAGAAAGACCATGGCGGTCGAAAATCGAAATACAGGGAGGTCGTTCTACGGGCCTATTAAAGCTGCATGAATTTTTGCTACCTAGCACTGTCTCATCAATGGTCACATCCCGGAAAACAACCTGCAATGCGCAGTCGTGGCCTTCCCGAAAGGGCATCGCGCCCGTTGGATATTAACACTACCTAGGCACCCACTAGGTGCTCGAAGCGCTCGGTACTCAACCTTCTTCAGCTTTGACCATGCCTGTAAGGTAGTAAGAAACGTACCTACACAACTCCAACGCACTGGCAGAATGTGAAACGACAAATCCAGCGCAGGTCCCGGTTCCCAGCACATTTCCACTCCTGCCCGTATCTGGATGGTACACGTCGTCCCTGCTCAGGCTCTATGCAAACAACACCGTATGTGCATACCTAGGTACGCGACTTGGCCAAAGATGATGGCTGCCATCCTGGTGCAACACGCTTCTATGATCCTAATCAGCGCCAATGTCCGACCTTCTCGAAGTCCTCCCTGAATTTCACCTCAAACCACACTCGCATCTTCTGCATTCTCTGGAGAAAAATGACATTACTGTCGCCGACTTGATCACTCTCGATCCGAAAGAGATTGCCAGAAAATGCCCTCTTCCTGCGGCCGACGTCCAGAGATTGGTAGAAGACGTCATACAAGCTCTGCAACGTGACACACTGCAAGGAGTAAAGAAGCGCAAGATAAAAGCCGCGAAAGCAGACAAGACAGCAGATGATGGACCAGAATCGCACGAGTTCGAAACGGACTTGCCACAGAAATTCAGGACTTTGGATCCGCGTATAGATCAAGCATTGAATGGAGGATTCTACCCAGGCCACATTGTAGAGGTGGTTGGAGAGAGCGCTGTGGGAAAGACTCAGTTCGTCCTCGGCCTGCTGCTCTCTGTTCAACTTCCTCCGCCTAAGGGGCTCGGGAAAGGGTCAATCTACGTCTCAACTGAAGGACCCCTCCATACCAAGCGACTGAGCCAAATGCTGCTTCATCATCCTGAGTACGACGCCTTGGAGCCTGAGGAAAGGCCTTCACTTGATCGTGTGCATACTATTGCGACAAACGATTTGGAAGCACAGGAACATATCCTTCGGTACCAACTTCCCGTTGCGGTCCAGCGATTCAATATCGGACTGATCGTCCTAGACTCAGTGGCCGCAAACTTCCGAGCCGAACATGACACCCGCACAGCGGCTCAACTTGCTGACCGCGCTTTTGAGCTGGCCAAATTGGGAAACATTCTGAGGCGGATCGCTATCGAGAACAATTTAGCGATCGTGGTCACCAATCAAGTGTCGGATCGCTTCGATGATTCGAAAAATCTCCTTCAGTCTTCGTCTCCGGCAACACCATCCTCTCCAGCCGTTCCAGGAGGGCACGCATCGATGTCGGCGGTGCTGGAGAGGCGGAGGGAGGTCCAGGGCCTTGACCATCAACAGCGCTTCTTCACGGGTTGGGGAGACGAGAAAGGAAAGATGATGCATGAACAATTGAAGACTCCGGCGTTGGGGCTGGCATGGGCCAATCAAATATCTGCTCGCATTGTCCTTAAGATGGAGAGTGAACGACAGGAATACGCAGGAGGTAACATCTGGAAAGACAAGAAGAAAAGCCGGACCTTCTCTGTGGTCTTTGCTCCATGGGCAGGCCCGACCTATTGCCCGCTTCGATATGAAATTGCAATGCAGGGTATTGTCTCGATCCCAGACATCGAAAGTCCCAAAGAGGCACTTGCAGCCGTAGATAAAGAGCACGAGGACCTGTTGAACGAGGCTTTCTGGGCTACAGATGACGACGAAGAGTTTCCAACATGATGGCCTCGAGTGGGCATCGCGGTATTTGATCTGGTTGGATAAATCCAGGATGGCAAATATGGATCTGTGGGTGGAGGATCTTGTCGAGAGGCCCGCACATCAACAATTACCTAGGCACTGCATATGCTTCTTCTGGCCCCAAAAAAGGCGAGGCAGATTTAGAATCTGATAAGATGTCGATGAGGCGAGTCTTAAAGCGAGAGGCACAGTGATATTGGTATCGATGAGGGTCATTTGGTGCCTGGTGACCGCGCCGCGACAGAGAAACCTTGGAAGGCAACTGTTGGAATGCTCACTAAACACGCTCAATCCGGTATGTATAGCCGACAAGCCACATGATTGGCTCAGGGCTTTCCCAAGTTTGAGCATCCCGCTTCTCGTGCTTCCCACAAACAGGCTCGACTTGGCTCGACATGGCACGACATGGCACGACAAACTGCTCCTTTTGTGACTTGTGTATCGTAATATAAACGCTCGCTCTTGGCTGCCTTCGTTGGGATCTTATCACCTCGGGAACGAGCCCAGCCGCCCACTGTGGCGGAGAAACTCATGAATGGCAAGTAGCTAGGGTGATCCTCACTCTAGATCAACCCATTTGTTCCTTGAAGGACAACTCCGAATATCAGCATCATCCTGCTTGCTTTTATTGAAACCCCTTCCCCTCTTTCGTCACTCGGGTGGTCCTAACTTTCTTCTCTTTTTGTCGGTTTCCTGTTGTGTTTTCTCGATTATAGAAGGAGTCTTTTGAAGTCTTGACGGTGAAAACGATGGCCGCCACGAATGGCCATACTGTTCCCAAGATGACCTACAAACATCCCTTGGACCAATTGAGCGCCGATGAGGTCAACGTTGCTCGACAAGCCGTCCTTGATGCCCGCAAGGCCGCCATCATCTTTCGCAACATCTTCACTGTTGAGCCACCGAAAGCCCAGCTAATCAAGTTCCTCGCCGCTGAGCATGCTGGAACCCTCTGCTCCGACACTCCCCGACCTCCCCGCCAGGCTCGTGTCCAGTATGACGTCGTCTTTGAGGACCGAAGGCATGAGTACATGGAATCAGTCGTCGATATTGCCTCAGGCAAGGAAGTCGAGCACAGGCGGGTGCCTTCGACTTCCCAACAGTCTCTGACAATGGATGAATTTAAGGAGTTCAGTGATGTGTGTGTGGAATCAGAGATGTTCAAGAAAGCCATCAAAGAGCTCAATCTTGACGAGAAGTTCGAGGTCGCTATTGACCCATGGCCTTACGGCGGTCCAGATGCCGGAGAGGTCACCCCGAGGTAAGCGTCTACCTATTTTTGCATTATCCAGACATTGACCTATGATCTAGGTACACTCAAGGTCTATGCTTCGCCAAGCTACGAAATGGCAATCCCGATAGCAATCATTACGGGTTCCCTCTACCCATCATTCCAGTGATGGATACCTACAAGAAGGAAATTGTTCGTATCGACCGTCTTGCCACTGGTGGCACCGAAGATGGCCTCAACTATGGCACAGCCGGCAAAAACATACTCGAACATTGTAGACCGGCTGAATATGTCCCGGAGTTGCTGGATACCCCTCTTCGCAATGATCTGAAACCGTTGAATGTGATACAGCCAGATGGGCCATCATTCACTGTCAGTGATGACTCCCTAATCGAATGGCAAAAATGGAGGTTCCGTGTTGGGTAAGCACCTCTATTCGTCCACCTCGAACTTTGACACTGACTGAAATGACGCAGATTCACTCCTCGCGAGTGCGCCGTTCTTCACGATATCCACTACGACGGCCGAAGCGTGCTCTACCGCTTGAGTTTGTCCGAGATGACTGTTCCGTATGGTGACCCTCGACCACCATTCCAACGGAAGCAGGCTTTCGACTTTGGCGACGCTGGTGCAGGCAGAGCTGCGAATAATCTTGCGCTTGGCTGCGACTGTCTGGGCGTCATCAAGTATGTCGATGCAATGCTGGTTGACACGCAAGGCAAACCCTCAGTGTCAAAGAACGTGGTGTGTATCCATGAGCAAGATAATGGAATCGGTTGGAAACACACCAATTTCAGAACCAGCCGAGCGGTGGTGACGAGATTGAGAGAATTGGTCGTTCAATTCATCATCACACTGGCAAACTACGAGTACATCTTTGCCTACAAGTTTGATCAAGCTGGAGGGTGAGTGCGATAATGCCCGGTGCACGTCATTGAATGCTTATACCATGATGCAGCATCACGATCGAGACTCGAGCCACCGGAATCGTCTCGGTGGTCAACATCGACCCCGGAAAGGTTAGCCCTTATGGGAACGTCGTGTCCCCTGGTGCCCTTGCCCAAAACCATCAACATATCTTTGCCGTTCGAATCGACCCGGCCATCGATGGCCATTCCAATACTATTCTCACGGAAGAATCCCTGCCTATTCCTATGAACCCCAAGACGAACCCCCACGGCAACGGGTACGAGATTGTGCGCAAACCGGTCACCAAATCGACATCCATACACGCCTCTCCTTTCACCAATCTGACCATCAAAATGACCAACCCGAGTAAGGTCAATCCGGTCTCCCAACGACCAGTCGCATACAAGTTCATCCCTACCCCATCCCAATTGATCCTCGCCGACCCAGAATCCATTGTGGCCAAGCGCGCAGCCTACGCCCATCACCACGTGTGGGTCACCAAATATCGAGACAATGAGCTTTTTGCTGCCGGAGAGTTCACGAATCAGTCGCAGCTGGAAGTGGGTGGCGTGGCGGACATGGCAGCGCGCAACGACGACGTGGAGAATGACGACGTGGTGGTCTGGAACGTCTTTGGCCTTACCCACAACCCCCGCGTGGAGGATTGGCCCGTGATGCCTGTGGAAATCCACCAGGTCCATCTGCGCCCAGCAGACTTCTTCGAGAGGAACCCTGCCATCGACGTACCCGGCAACAAGAACATCGCCAGCGTCGAGGTTGGAAGAGAAGCGAACGGTGATTGCTGTCACGCGAACGGGAATGGATCAGTGCAGGCTGCTCCGACTTCACATCTGCAAGGTACTGGAAGCATTCCTGTCTCGGCCGTTAATGGACATTAGATCATGATAACTTATAGAACGTTGCACAAATTTATTGCTTATGTCACAACCCGGTGGGGAGATCTAATAGGGGAAAAGGTACAGCATATTGGGTAGCACAATTTATTCAGAGAAGCACCAAACAGAGCACAAATGTGTGCGGCCTTCGAGAAGTGTTCGTCCCAATAAGAGTCGGTAGGACTGGGTGAATCTACCTACCTAGGTAGGTAGGGAAGAGGTGTGATGGTGACAGTTAATCAACGGGAGACCTTAGGTACTGAATCTAGCCTTTCGGTAGATCACTGTCGGGAGTTTTTTGCCCCACGTACTCAAATGTCCGCTTTCTGTCACAGTGGCCATAGGTTTGAGTGTCCAGACCACTCGCTTGTCTCGAATCTCGATGGTGCAGCACTGTACTCGACACCGGGTACCTAGCGAGTAGGTACCTAGGTAGCTTGACGATCTTTGGGCCGCGCCTCGCCCGCCTCAAGCTCTGAGAGCCTTTACCGAGACCGCATGAACATCGGCTCGGTCCGAATCAGCATGGGCCAGCTCACCTGGCAGCTAACCTGGCTCACCTGGTTGCACGGTGGCGTCATTCAGTGAGGTGCCTGCGGTGCGTGGTTTCCCCGCTGATTAATACCAAAGGTATTCGTTCGAAGAGCGAAGAACCTTTGCAATTATTTGACCGCCTACGTCTTTTTCTGGTGAAAGCCTGTTCTCTCGTTGTGTTGTCTTTCCCATTCTGTATTGCTATCTAACGACCTTCCGTTGGGCTATCGAATATACTCACTAGTCAAACTCAAGCCGCCGCCTCTGCCCTCGATGAAGGTCCAATATCGAGATGAGAACCTCGAACTTGAGGATATTCCAGATGAAACCATTAGTGAGCTGGCAACACGATGCGCCGAGCAGATTGGCGCAGATGTCGAGCGAGTGTCTCTTTTTTTCCTCCCCAAACCGGGCTTTGTCAAGCACCCGTTCTCCGACCGCAAGCTTAGCGAATTCCTCACGCCCACGACGCGAATAAAGCTGGTTGGCACCCCGAATGCTGAGGTTAAGAAGATGGAAGACATGGGCGCGGCTTCGCGAAGAATGTCGCGGCCGAGCGGATTCAAACCGGTCAAGGCCAACAAGGTCCGCGATTGGAAGAAGATCCAGGAAGAGACCACCTACACCTTCCACGCCATCGAACCTCTATCGTACCTCCCGAATCCAGAAAAGAGCAGGCGGTATCTGGAGCGATTGGCCAACGATCCTGGGATCAAAGCGTCGATGCGCAAGCACAAGTTCAGCGTCGGTCTCCTCACAGAAATGAACCCGGCAGAACACACGACCCACGAGTCCAAAACACTGGGCTTAAACCGCAACCGGGGCGAGGTGATTGAGCTGAGGCTGCGGACGGATGCCTACGATGGATACAGAGATTACAAAGTGATCCGCAAAACCCTTTGCCACGAACTGTCGCACAACGTCTGGGGCGAGCACGACCGGAACTTCTGGGACCTCACAAAAGAAATCGAGCGGGAGGTGGAGCGCAACGACACATTGCATGGCGGCCATCGGCTGTCGAGCGAGGAGTTTTACAATCCCAACGACACGTACGATGACGCTGAGCATGCGGACCACGGGGGCTGGACAGGTGGAAGTTATGTGCTAGGAGGATCGAAGGATAGTGGTGGTGAGAGTGAGAGTGGCCTGAGTCGGCGGGATATTCTGCTGCGAGCGACCATGGGTCGCTTGCAGAAAGAAAAGGAGGCGAGAGAGCGTCAAGACTCGACTCCGCCGCCATCTTAGCCATATGTTATTAGTGTTGTCTTTCGTCTCTTTTTGCGATAGCAAGGCGTTGGTGGTTTGTACTCGGTATTCTTGGAGCTTGGATATCAAGGAGAATGTCGTCTTGCGAGGCTCATCCCATAGTGTGTCACTGGTTGGATTCGTGCTGCGAGGTTGAACATACTGAGTGCTTTCCATCTTGGTGATCAATCCTCGATCCCCTCCGGTTTTCGGGGCCCGAACCATGAGGGCTAGGGATTGGGGTTGCAGGGCTGCCCCCAAATACTCGCATGACCAACCCGCTGCCGGCCCAGGAGTTCAGGATAAGTCTTAGGGTGTTAGGGCTCCTCAGATTAGGCTAGTTAGCGAGGCGCAGTCAGCCAAGTTCTTCACGAGTAACAAGGCTCATTTGTCTGATTCAGCCTTCTTTGCGACTATTCAGCCTCAATAGCCATCCGGTGTAATGATGGAGCGATAGAGTAGCTAGCCGGCTCCAGAATCCGCCATCAAGCGTAGGACTAGTCCATGGGGGTTGGGCCATTGGGGGAGCTTGCGAAACCAATAATTACGAGTAGTGAGCACTCCGGATTAGCAGTAACTTTACCTGAAGAGAGGGAAGATTGGCGTCGTTAGCAACTGATAGTCGCACCTCGTAGGGTGCCTGAGGACCTGGGGACCGCCGTGTCGTTCGCATTCCGTGTTCCGGAGACTACTTGTAGGTACGAGGTACAACTCACGAGCACAACTTGCTGCGCACAGAATGTCCTCTTGGAGAATGTATGTATATACTGGTGTAAGCCTCCACAGCTGAGCATCGTGCTGCTTCCGAAACTGTTCTCTCTCTCGTTGTTGTCGTTGTTGTTGCCGCCGTCGTGCTCATCGCCGCCTTCAGAACGCGTCCCGTCGGAGGACGCCCTTTGAGCCCTGGAAACTTCGACCGCTGCAAGGTTATCTCTCCCCCTCACCCAACCCATCCAGGAACGAAAGACGTCACTCTTCCGCTCGCCGTTTGAGCCGAGCAGATAGTGAATCGATCATAGGCTCCGTCAAATGATGAAGAGGAGCTCCTTCTAAGCTTGCAGCCAAAGAAAGGTATGGGTTGTACCTAGCATGCGCATGCAGGTCCGCTTCCCGCTCCCGTTTGCTTGTTGAGTCAAAAAACTGTCCGACTCGAGGGCCTGTCACAACATGTCAGATTCTTCACCAATTCCTTCTTGATACTCTTTTCCTCGCCTCTTCTACTGCCTTGTTCCCTTTGCATTGAAAATCATCTAGTTTTGTTACTGCGTGGGCATCGATACTGAATGCCTCTGTTAGAAGGGTCGAGGCAGACCTCGCCTCCCCCAAGTGCGAATTCCCCAGACCCTGCCCCAGCGACCATCTTCAATCGTCGCCTCAGCGAACAATTTTCCGATCTGGCTCGAGTCGCAATCATGACGAACGCCTCTGCCTCTTCTCACGAGGGCGAATCCCTGAATCACGTCGCATACCACTCCAGTCTTATGCCTCCTCCAAAAACTGCTTTTGGCAGATCCGCCTCCAACTTATCCGCGCACAAACAACCGACAAGCGGCGCCCTGGGCAGAGCTTTGACTGACACTCCTGCTCCCAGTGCCCCCACGAGTCCGCAGATGTAAGCACGTTCAGAAATCCCAGATGCGATGGCCAGCGGCGCTGACTTGTCCAGACATGCCCGAAACAGCTCAAACGCCTCCGGGTCCGCGACTCCCAAAATCCGTGCCACCACCCTCGATATTCCCGGACTCACTCGATCCAAGGTATCCCCGAATGGTCAAATATCAGAAAGAGATGTCGCAGCCAAACTCATTATCATCATGGTTGGTCTGCCCGCCAGAGGGAAGAGCTACATCGTCAAGAAGATTGCTCGATATTTGAATTGGTTACAGCACCCAACTAGAATATTCAACGTTGGAGACCGTCGACGAGTGGCTGCTGGCGTTGGCCAACCCATACCCGATCGGACGACCGCTGCGCTGCGGGAGTCGGTACGTCGAATGAGCTCTACCACCCAGGGTCCCCAGGGTGTGATTGACCATGGTGAACTGCTTCCACCACCTGCTGTTGAGACGAAGATTCTCATTAATGGCGAAATCACCTCGTCTCCAACAGGTCCGTCGCAGAAGAACGGCTTGGGCAAGTTGGATGAAGATAGGAAAGATCCCATTCAGCTGTCCGCTCCCGAACCCATGGATCAGTCTGCACAATTCTTTGACCCAAACAATACCAAGGCCAAACAATTGCGGGAGCAGGTGGCACATGCAGCCTTGGACGAGCTCTTGAAATACGTTTTGGAAGACGGTGGATCGGTGGGAATCCTGGATGCCACAAATCATACCCGGGAGCGACGTCTGTCGTTAGTCAGACACATTCGGGAGCGCGACGAGAACATCAATATCCTCTTTGTGGAGTCCCGGTGTCAGGATCAGAACCTGCTGGAAGCAAATATGAGACTGAAACTCTCCGGTCCCGACTACAAAGGCAAGGATCCGGTGGCGGCATACCAGGATTTCCAGCAACGCGTCCGACAATATGAGAAGTCATACCAGAAACTAGACGAATTCGAAGAGGAGCACAACATGGCGTATTGCTCCATGATCGACGTGGGGCGCAAAATGGTAACGCACCAAGTCAAGGGCTTCCTCTCTATTCAAACCGTCACCTACCTGATGAACTTTAACTTGGCACCGCGACAAATCTGGATCACCCGGCATGGTGAATCGATGGACAACGTAAATGGCAAAATCGGTGGTGATAGCTCGTTAAGTCCCGACGGAGTGAGATACGCTCAGGCACTAGCCAAATTTATTGGGGTGGAATGGAAGGCGTGGGAAGATCACCAGGCCGAAAAACAAGCAAACATCCATTTCCCACCGCTCCCGGGCGATACGACGCCACCGAATCCGGAATATACCGCGCAAACGCTCCAAGAACGGAACTTCTGTGTGTGGACGAGCATGTTGAAACGGAGCATCGAGACCAGCCAGTATTTCAATGATGAGGAATACGATATTAAGCAGATGCGAATGCTGGACGAACTCAATGCCGGGTCAATGGAAGGCATGACCTACACCGAAATTCGAGAAAAATTCGCGCATGAGTATGAGCTCCGAAAACGAGACAAGCTCCATTACCGGTATCCAGGTCCTGGCGGTGAGGGTTATCTGGACATCATCAACCGGCTGGGAAAGGTCATCCTCGAGATAGAACGAATGACCGACCATGTCCTAATCATCGGCCATCGAAGTATCTGTCGGGTTCTCCTGGCCTATTTCATGGGTCTCAAGCAGGAGGACATCAGCGACCTGGATGTTCCATTGGGTGTGGCATACATGCTCGAACCGGTAAGACCAGTGTCCCACTAGAAGTGTTTCCTTTGACTGACATGGAACGTGCAGAGACCATACGGCGTGGAGTTCAAGGCATATCGATGGGATCCTGCCAGGGATGAATTTCTCTATGAGCCAGACTACCGGATGAGGCGAGCCACTGACCCACAAGCCTGATGTTTTGTCGTTCCCTTTGCATGCCCAATTATGATACCCCTATACGCATCCGCCTTGTCCACTCTGCTCTCCTGGATACCATTGCATATATTTATATAGAACATATAGATTAGGAGGATGGAGGCGGACTTTAGACGGGCTTTTTGTGTCTCCCTTCCTGGATCGTCACACCACATGCGATTGCTACGACTGGACTAATACTTTTTTTTTGATATTGGCAGGCAAGATTATTATTGGCAATACCGTCCGGAGGTTATGACTCGCATGAATTCCTGGGTGGACTGGTAATCAGCCTCTTTGGGAAAGCGAGGCTGTAACGGACGACGGACATATGACGGTTTTAGCGGTGGCGTTGGAGGCAATGACTTGAGGCTGTTGACTTCGCTGTGACTGAGCTTTTCGTGTACAGTTTGTCATTGCAGCCGCATTCAGCATGCGTCGGGCAAAAAGCGCCCAGGGTATTTCTGGAAGCAGGGATAAGCCAGTGGAGCAGCCATAGCAGCCTAGCGGGTGCAACGGGTACCTACTGGGTGCCTACTAGGTACTCGGACCAAGCGACAAGTTCCTTTTTGATGAACTTACTCGATCAAGGCAAGGTAGTCTGCCGCAGACGGCTCTCGCTCGCCTTTTCATGGCGCTCGTCTGTCCGGCAAGACGGGACCAAGGACCTTTGAACCCTCATGCAGCCCCAAAGCCTTCACCAAAACCTTCGCCAATAGGAGAGGAATCTGGGGCCCCTGGTCAACTACCTATGTACGATGACCCCTTGTGGTGTCTTTGGTGTGCTAGCGTCGCCACCAACTTGTCCTCAGACGACTCAGACGAGCATCTGGCCAACCCATAGATGGTCAGTTTTCCGGTACGAAGTCCCCATTGCGACAAATCCACTGTGCATGTTGGAATCGTCTCCTCCTCTCGTATCATTGAGCAGTCTTGCAAGGCTCGGAGATACCAGTAGACTTGCAGTCAATCATTGCTGATAAGAGCTTATGAAGGCGCCTAGAAGGTTAAGAAAAGTTTGTCTGCGCGCGTTGCCGTTGATCCGACCCACCATCCATTTCCCAACCATCACCATGGCCAGAGACTGGGCATGACATATATTAGTAGGATCCCTGTGCTAAGCTTGTCTCAGACGTGAAGACTATCCAAGCTTTTTCTTCACTTGCTTTTCTCATTGCTTTTGCTTTGACCTCCGCCATCGTTGTTGATACAGGACTGGTTCACATGGTGACACCGGTCGCTCGTATGAGACGCCGCCCATTCTACAGCACGTGTATCCTCCATCGGACCATGAGCCTAATGGTCCAATAACACTTGGTGAGGACGTGTGCCGTCTGTCGATAGTCCACTTAGACACTACTACGATTTCACGACAATTGTCCAAGAGAAGAAGAAGCGACAAGTGTCCGGGAACCAGGCACTGTGTCTGGGGGAAATATTGCCCGGCTCGTCTCGGGTGTGAGGCTCACTCATCGCCCACCAAAACATCTGAATCCTACAACATTAGCTGATAAAATAAATACGGTACTCGCTGTGGGGGGTTTTTGCAGAAGACGACGAGCAAATTTTGAGAACCTGAGGCAGAAACCACAGAAGAAATTCCGTATCGCGAGTCATATCGCGTTCTTATATAAGTCGCGGCTTGCTCAGTCATGCCGACCTTGTCCCTCACCAACTTCAACATTGTGTGTGCCGTCCTTGGAGGATTTATCACCGTCTTCGGCCTTGTGAGTTACTTGTTCAAGGAGCGGTTCTATCTCTCCGAAGCACGTACGTCGAGGCCCCCTCAACATTGATCAAAGGTTGACTTCAACAGTGATTTCGCTTGTGGCTGGCATCATCTTTTCTCCCAACGCGACCGACCTCATCAAGCCCCTCGAGTACGCCGCCGGCTCCGAAGAAAGCCTCGACTACATCACCCTCTACTTCACGCGCCTTGTGTTAGGCGTTCAGTTGGTGCTTGCCGGCGTCCAGCTGCCGAGCAGGTACCTCTACACAGAATGGAAGCCTCTGGCGTTGCTCCTCGGTCCTGGAATGTGTGGCATGTGGGTGTGTGCAAGTCTGCTTGTATGGGCCATGGTCCCGCATCTGAGTTTCCTCCATGCCCTTGCCATCGGAGCATGTGTCACCCCGACCGATCCCGTGCTGTCCAACTCTATCGTTAAGGGCAAGTTTGCGGACAAGAACATTCCCAAACCACTACAGAAGATCATCATTGCCGAATCGGGCGCCAACGACGGTCTCGGGTACCCGTTCTTGTTCCTCGCGCTCTATCTGATCAAGTACACCCAAGAAGGGGGCGTAGGCCAACCGGGAGGCGCATCAAAAGCTATGGGATATTGGTTCGGAGAAACGTGGGGATACACCATTTTATTGAGCGTGGTTTATGGCGCTGTCGTGGGCTGGCTTGCAAAGGAACTCTTGCACTTCGCCGAGGAGAGGAAGTTTGTGGATCGCGAGAGTTTTCTCGTCTTTGCCATTACCCTGGCTCTCTTCATAACCGGCACTTGTGGGATGGTTGGTTCGGACGACGTCCTGGCTTGCTTTATTGCTGGAAACACGTTTACTTGGGACGACTGGTGGGTTTTCCAGAATCTCGCAAGTACCCTTTGTTAACTCTCGGCAGGTTCCGGCTCGAAACTCAAGATGACTCTCTTCAACCGACGATTGATATGTTGCTCAACATCTCTGTCTTCCTCTGGTTCGGCGCCATATGTCCCTGGGCATCGTTCCGACATAACAATGTCATTCCGATCTATCGCCTAATCCCACTCGGAATTCTGATCTTGCTCTTCCGCCGAGTCCCCGTTGTGTTTGCCATGCACAAAAGAATCCACCAGATCGAGGAATTCCAGCAGGCTGCATTCGTGGGTTTCTTTGGCCCCATTGGGGTATCAGCTATATTCTATCTCTACGTCAGCATTGACTTTCTGCGGCAGGTCACAGTTGACGGTAGGGTGCGCGAAGATGCAGTTCGGCTCGAAGAGGTCATGAGGGTGGTGATTTGGTTTTTGGCCATCTGCAGCATCGTCGTTCACGGTCTGTCGATACCACTGGGCAAGTTGGGCTATCATCTTCCACGGACCATGTCTCAGGCTCTCAGCAGTGAGAGGGAGGATGACGAACCAGATATCCACATGGGACCGTCGCCTCATCGCAGATCAACAAGTCAACTGCGGCACAGGAAAGCCAATGGCCGTAGGGACAAGTCTCGTCCCCCAAGTCCCGCAGCGTTTATGATCGGGCAAGGAAATACAACAGCATCAATCACCATGGATTTAGAGAGTGCTCAGGAACCTGCTCGGCCCGTCCGCATTATCGAAGATACACCCAGGGGAGGGTCTCCGGTGGTTGCGACGACGACTCTCGGAGAGCAGCTTGAGGGCCTCGGAGAGCAGCTTGAGCAACGCGGAAGAGAGCTTGCGGAGTCGAAGACTTCTGAAGAATTCAAGCCAACCCAAGAGGTAAAGAAGGTTTGAATCAAAGAGCTGGCGCTCGCCAGGACTATGTTCTCCTGCGGCGCTTTAGAGGGGCGCTCATTTTTGTAAATTATAGAAAGCAAGTGTACTAGACTTGAGAAAATAGAACTGTTGGAATAGTTATCTCTATGCTCCGTGTCATGGAGCATGCTCCTAGAATTCGTTACTTGCTGCTCGCTTGCTTTGTTCTGTCAAAACGGAGACACTGGGCGGAAAGAATAGAGAATGCATCGCACATCTCCCGACCGCACCCCCCCTTTGGCCCCCTCCCACGTTGAAACTGCACCTCCACCTTCCCCCTGTAGCCCTTGCCTACAACTGTCAAGCCAAACACCACACGCGCTCCCATTTGATCGCACAAACCAGGTATGTGCTTGTCGCAACCCATTTTCTCCCCCGCCCTGCAAGGAGGAAGACCACACCAGGACTATTACATAGCCCCCTTGCGGCTGCGCTCCCCCTCCCCCTTGTTCTGGCTACATGCTGCCTGGCTAACTTATCCAAGGTGTAGTCTATGGCCGCGTCCTCTTCGACTTATCCTCTCTGCAACCTCAGTCACTGAATTCTCATCACGTCGAACCTTTCACTCAGGAAAGAACTTGAATCACTGTCCGCTATTGACTCCGCGTCGAGCGCGTCCTGGAAAAGACCCAGATGCGTAGTGCTCCTTGACCATTGACTACAGCCCTTCATACCACATTGACCCGACTTTGCCTCTTTTTTCTAAATCGATAGACCAACCTGCCTCGGTTTCGGCTGCGGCCCCGCGTCCTGCTCCCTTTTCGCTACCGCATACTCATGGCGCAGCCTTCTCTTCCTTCCCAAGCGAATGACGCTTCACGTTCCAGTCCAAGCTTGGTCAGCCAGAATGCTGCGGCTGGAGTAAAGAGAAAAAGAACAGCCGAGCGGAAATATTATGCCGTGAGGCAAGGGAAGACGCCTGGGATCTATGACACATGGACGGATTGTCTGGGTCAAGTCAAGGGGCACAAGGGTGCTGTGTGTATGTGGAATCAGCTGCAGTGCGATGATTTCATTCTGTATTGACACGGACGCAGTCAAGGCCTTTCAATCCCTTCAAGAGGCCCAAGCTTTCATGGACGGCAAAACCCTCGCAAACACCAACAGTTCCAAAGAGCAAAAATTCTACGCCGTCCAGAATGGAAGAGTCCCAGGGGTGTACACCGATTGGATCCAAGCTCAAGCTCAGATTCGAGGGATCAGCAAACCTAAACACAAGAAATTCAATACGCGAGCAGAGGCAGAAGCATTTGTGGCCGCAGGTGCAAAAGCCAATGGCTCTGAATCCGCCCACAGTGCCACCCCAGAAGAGGAGATACGTCGCTTGATAGTCCGCCGTTCCGCGCCTGGGTTGCAAATCAATGGAACATATTCCCCGACAGACAAAGACGGAAACCCTTACGAAGTCGGCCGGGGTCCTCTGCCACCTGATGCTGAGGATGGTTATGATCCAAATGTCAGGTTGGGGCCCGATGGTACCATTGTCAATCGAACTGAGGAAGAGAAGAACAGAACCAAAATGATGGCGAGACAGAAAGAGTCTCCGGGCATGCTCCGCATCTACACGGACGGCTCGAGTCTGAGAAACGGCCAAGCAGGTGCGAGGGCGGGAGTAGGAGTGTTTTTTGGACCTCAGGACCCAAAGTATGCCAACTCTCCATCCTCCAAACCCAAATCCAAGCCAAAGTCCAAGTCCAAACTCAAACCCGTCCGTTACACTGCGTCCAACAAGCCACAACTTGTTTATACCATGGATTGGACGGCTCGTCAGCTCGGCTCTGACGATGGGCGAGCCAAGAAACGGCAGGCAGGCGAAGAGGATGACGATGAAACGGAAAAGGGAACAGAAAAGCTAACGAATTGGCGTTATAGAAATGTCTCCGAGGCACTGAAAGGCAGCAAACAGACCAACCAACGGGCTGAATTGACTGCCATCTTACGAGCATTGGACATCGCTCCCCGGCACAGAGAAGTCACCATCTACACAGACAGCAAATATGCCATTGATTGTGTGACGAATTGGTACCGAAACTGGAAGAAAAATGGCTGGGTCAACTCCAAGGGGAAGCCTGTGGAAAACAAGGACCTGGTGATGGATATCCGAGAGAAAATCGAAGAGAGGGAGCACCTTGGGAAGGTCACATATTTTGTGTGGGTCAAGGGCCACATGAACAATCCAGGTAATATTGCGGCGGACCGTTTGGCTGTACAAGGGGCGATGACCGGGAGAGGGCTTGAGGATGGGACAGATGAAGGGTCTAAGGGTGCCGAAGGAGGTGGGGAGAACGCAGCGTTGGGCGAGGGTGAGCTGGAAGTGGATGAAGAGGCCGCGATATTCCGGGCGATGGAGCTCGCGATGGAGGAAGACCTTGATGCCCAGTTTCAGTGACCAAGCACCGAGTCTGGGGAGAGTCCAACAGCTGGTCACGAGGCTGCCCAGCGATGTTCGCAGACTGTTCAGGTGGCCCTTGGCGGCCTCACGCTGCTGTTGGGTAGGTATCTATGAATAGGCGGCAAGTACGAGGCACCAGAAAGCAAGTCAGCCATGTCTGAGCATTGTTCTCCGGGCTGATACCGCTTGGAGAGGATCGGGCCACACAAGCGGAGTTCTTGTCTTGTATTCAACCTCAGGAGTACTCGCGACGTCGCATATCGCCATGGTGCCAAGTACTCGGTACCTACCTAGGTAAGTATTCAGTGTACCAGTATATATACGGAGTACCTACCGACCTACCTCGCTGCCTATTCAAGACCAGCGATTGGTATTGACATCGACGTCATTGTGCATTTTCTTAATCTCTGATTTCTTCCTCGTCTCTATTGTTGTCAGATGCGCGGCTCCCGTTGCCCAGACTCGGTCCTTGGCTCTCTCTTATGGCTTCAACAAGGATAAAGACACAACACTGACCTGCTCTCTTTCCGCTGACAGACTCCCTCTCTCTCTCACTACACACTAAAATTGGTTCCCTCCAGCCTCGTCGTGACCCTGGCTCGTCGCTTGCCGTAGCCGATATCGCTGACGACATCGGCCAATCTCCGTGGCAATGGATTCGTCTTTTGCTCTCCACAGTCGGCACACACAATCGGCACACGGCACGCGACTGTTGGAGCATCCTACAAGTCCAACTCCTTTTCCTTTTTTCCTTTTCCGTTGGTTTCTCCCAGTCTTCACCATGTTCTCTCCCGCTCCACCTCGCGGCAACATACATGCCCCCTATCCTGCTCCTCCCCCGACATGCCCTCAACAGCGGCCCTCCGCCAACGCGCCGCTGAATCTGCTCTCCATGACCAAACCAATCTCCTTGGGACGAGACAACTCTTCATCGTCTTCTCTTCGCTAGCTTCGGCGCTGTTCATCTGCTATGCTGACCAAAATGGCATCGGTACCATCCTTCCGACGGTCGGGCGCGATTTCAAGGCCACAGACACCATCTCATGGGCAGGTACATCCTCGCTCATCTCCAACACTTCTAGCCAAATCATATACGCTCGCTTCTCGGACATCTATGGGAGAAAGCCAATCTTCCTTTTCTCGGTAGGCATGCTTGTGTTAGCGGATATCCTGTGCGGAGTCGCCCCGGATGCATCGAGCTTCTACTTCTTCCGTGCCCTTGGGGGCATTGCGGGTGCTGGTATCAATTCCCTGACCATGATGATCATCTCGGACATCGTGACACTCGAACAGCGAGGAAGGTGGCAGGGGTTTCTGGGTGCTGGTATAGGTGGTGGCAATGCAGTAGGTCCACTGATTTCTGCTGCATTCGCGCTGCATCAGACATGGCGAGCGTTCTTCTGGTTCCTTGCTCCTTGTGGTGCCATTGCGGGTGCTATTGGATGGTTCTATCTCCCCTCAACAATGCCCAAGGGAAACGCGAGACAACAATTCAAGCTCATTGACTGGGGAGGAATCATCACTGCGACCATTGCCATCGTGCTGACCCTGATCCCGCTTTCCGGTGGTGGCTCATACTTTGAGTGGTCATCGCCGATGGTCATTTCCATGTTCGTCATCGGCGGCCTGTCTTTCGTCGCCTTCCTGATCGTCGAGTGGAAGGTTGCCAGTCTTCCAATGATGCCCCTGAGCATGTATACCAATGCACCTGTCGCGGCCCTCCTGGTTCAGAACTTCTTTTTCGGAATGGTCTACTACTCGAATCTATACTACATACCATTGTATATCCAGAATGTCCGAGGGTGGAATACAACGATCTCGGCGGCTTTCCTGGTCGCCATCAACGTCCCACAGTCTTGTGTCAGCACGCTGTCCGGCATCTTCATCTCCCGATACAAGCGCTACGGAGTCGTGATCTGGACGGGGTTCATCATTTGGACGCTGGGGGCCGGACTGATCTGCATCTTCACGCGAACGACGCACCCTGCAGTCATTGCTGTTATACTCTCCATCTCCGGTATTGGTGCCGGCTGCATCTTCCAACCATGCCTGATCGCCTTGCAAGCACACTGTTCCAAAGCTCAAAGAGCGGCTGTTGTCTCGAATCGAAATTTCCTTCGGAGTTCGGGGGGTGCCGTGGGACTCTCGATCTCGGCACAAGTCTTGCAAAGCTCTCTTCGGAGAAAGCTTCCACCTCGACTCGCAAGCTACGCGCATGACACCTTCGCCCTCCCGGCCTTGACCGGTGCTGATGAGGATGCAGTGAGGAATGCGTACATGAGTGCGATCCGAACGGTGTTCATTGTCTCGGCCCCAATGATCGGCCTCTGCCTCGCGCTTTGTGTATTGATCAAAGACCGGGGCCTACAGCGACCGGAAGAGAAAGAGCAGGCGACTATTGCGAAAGCGGCAGCAACTGGTGACCAGAAGCAGGAGTTTCAAGAGAAGCAAATTCCAGAGCAGAAACAGCCGTCGCTCATTGAAGACGAAGCTGGGCAAGCCACTACAATAGACGGAGAGGACCAGCCAGAAACCAGAATAGACGTGTCATCACAGTCACCGGCAGTTAATGACAGACAGGGGAAGGAGATAAAAGTGCAATGATGATACCTAGGTATGATAGACCAGCAACATAGATCTATTTGGCGCCGTTCCATTTCCACTATAGTCCTGACTTTGACGTTTACTCGCTACGTACCGACGATCTGCGGCACTGCCTTGTCCGTCTACTCGATATGATGCTGGCAAGGCTCCAACAGCCATGATCTAAATCCCGTTTTGTCAACACCTCCGGGTTCCCACCAGATATAGAGAGAGAGAGGAACCAAGGCCCGCCGATCGATGCACTGAATCTGGTTAGTCTGACCGTATAAAATACCCATTCGGACCTTGCGACACGTTTCTTTCTCCTCCCTCCGTACATACGTTAAGTTGTAATTTATCGCGCAGCCATTTGTTTGAGTAACACCTTTCTAGCCTCTAATGCAGAGTCAGATACTCGTGCGCATACGAGGACAAGGCCCCCCGCCCTTCCTTTCTGTGTCTCTCGCGTCGTCAAACAACGGGCAATTTGTAACCACAGATATCCTAATGGCACGCCTGACGAGCTCGGTGATTGGTGACTGTGTTCACTATGGTGGTATTTGCCCTGTTACTAATTACGAGTACCTCTTTCGCCTTGCGCACGCCCTCTGCATACCCGATCGACTAGAGTCCTCGTGCATATGGTCCAAACCTGTCACAGTTTGCAGCAACCCTATTCAGGCAATGGGATCGTCGCCCAAGCGTGGCTAGCACTTTGCCATAGCGTAACATGGCATGCGTCGGTGACGCTCTTAGACGAGCTATTTGCCCGGGGGAGGAGGTCGGTCGGTCGGTCGTCAAAAGAAGAGTCCATACCACTCATACGGACTTATAAAGGCGTGAAACGTCTGGGACCCTTTTGCTACAGATGTCCACGACCTCTTTTTTTCCTTTTTCAATCCTCACGCAGCACTTGTGATTTTGGTGGCTTCAACTGTTCAGCCATAGCGACAGGATGGCGGTCGTTCCAATGTACCTTGGCTGGGCCGTTGGCCTGCTGTTTTCATTCATCGTCGTCCGCGCCGTCTATCGAGTCACATTGCACCCGCTTGCAAAGTTCCCCGGTCCAAAGCTGGCGGGAATGACATCGCTGTACCAGGCGTGGTATGACCTGAGATCGTCCACGTCGTACATCAAGCAGTTTCACGCGTTGCATGAGCGATATGGGCCAATTGTCCGCATCACCCCGAGTCAGCTGCATATCTTCGACATGGCCGCATACAATGAGTGAGACTGCTTTTCCCATTTTGTTAAACTTATAATATAACCCTAGCTATGTTGTAGGGGGAAGAGAAAGGGAGGATTGGACTGATATGGGGCGACAGGATCTTCAAGATCGGAACCCGCTATGCCCGCCACAGAGACAACTACTGCCAGGACGCCGCCGACGGATTCTTCAACGTGCTCGACCCCAAAGCCGCCAAACCATGGCGAGACGCGTATCAGCCCTACTTCGCCAAGGGGGCGATCATCCGCCTGGAGCCCCTGATCCACGACCGAATCGGCAAATTCCTCTCGGTGCTCGAGGAGGCGGCGTCCTCGACCGGGGGCACGCCCGTGGACCTGAGCATGGGCTACCGCAGTCTGACCAGCGACGTGGTGACCAGCTACATGTTCGCCGACAAAGGGTTCGACCTGCTCGACGCCGAGGGCTTCCGGTCCCCGATCCTGGTGGCCCTGGAGGAGTTTTTCGAGTTCACGCAGTGGTACATGTACTTTCCCAATTTCATGGGATGGCTGGGACGGCAGCTCCAAAGACTCACCAAGGAACAGACCGAGAAGCTGATGCCGGCGTTGGCGGCGACCAATTGGATCACCGAGGTAAGGAGGCTCACAAATGGCACTCTCTCTGTGTCCGTACTTTTGTGCTGACCCGGATGTACCCCCTTAGCAATGCGGCATCAAGGTCAAGAGAATCATGCAGGAAGGGGGATCTGGAAGTTCGTTCCCGACCGTCTTCGACGCGTGGGCGAAGCCGAGTGAGAAACGAAGCTGGACGCCAACCCTCAAGCAGCTCACCGCCGACGCATTCACCTTTCACGGCGCTGGCACCGACACGACCGCACATACTCTCACAACGGCTACGTGGGGTCTGATCAACAACAAGGAGTGCCTTGAGAAGCTGCGCGTTGAGTTGAAGGCAGCGATCCCGACGCCCAACAGTGAGCAGCTGGTCAGCTCGAGTGTGTTGGAGAATCTGCCTTATCTTGTGAGTCAATAGGGAGAGAAGCTCAGAGAGAGAGAGTGCTTGACACTGATCCTCCGGTATAGCGTGCGGTCGTCAAGGAGAGTTTGAGGATGAGCATGGGAGTTCCTGGAAGGTGAGGCAGCACAAGCAGTCTGCGACCGAGATGCACTTTTGGACTGACATGAATCCGGCGCACAGGCTGGGGCGAGTCGTGCCCGAAGGAGGCGCTGTCCTTTGCCAGCAACAGATTCCCGCAGGAGTAAGCAGGCCCCCTTGCCTTCGCGTGGCTCCAACATCCATACCTTCTTTTCGATACCTATCAGTCCTGGGCGTTGCTTGATGTGCAACATGGCTAATCCCACCCCCTGCAGGTCGGAATCACCAGCGTCTGTTACTGCTACCACTACGACCCGGCGTACTTCCCGTCGCCGGACGAATTCCGCCCTGAACGCTGGCTGATGGGCCCGGAGAGCCAGCAGCTGGAATCCCGGCTCATCGCCTTCTCGCGAGGGCCCAGGTCGTGCATCGGCATCAACCTCGCGTACGCCGAGTTGTATCTGACCCTGGGGTACGTGTTTCGCAAGTTTGACGTAGAAGCGTACGCGACCACGCACGAGGACATGGAGTGGAAGGATAACTTTGTGGTCACGACGAAGGGACATTTGAGGGTCAAGGTGACGAGGGCGGTTGATGGTGAGGCCGACTAGTGAGGAGTTCAAGTTGTTGGAGGAATGTCAATGAGGGTTGGAAACGGGGCAGATTGTCAAGGGTGGAAGGGTGTAGTTAGTGCTGGGAGATTGTAAAGATGTCATCTCGAGTGAGAAAGGGTGCACCCTAAGTGGTTGTGTAGTCCGGCCTGTATGTACCTAGGTAGATACATACTCCGTGCTCAGGTAGGAACTACCAGTTCAACCGCATCAAATGACAGCTAACACCTCGTATCTCGTATTATATTCTCCCCCAGCCTTCACCTTCGCCCACCGCATTTCTATCCGACTGCGCCCACCACCAACCCACCCCCACGACGCCCTTTGTGCTGTCTCTTCTCCAACCACCAAACGCCGATTCGCATCTCGGCCCATCAAACGCCGATAATTGCCTTCTTCTGGGCCGCTGGAGAAGTCCGTCAATCCCATGTTGTTAGGCGGTCGGCTTCTGACGATTGTGGTGAAAGTTCCGTCGGGTCCCTCAACTGTCTTACCTGTCTATCGAGGCTATCTATCTAGCTCTCCCCGCGTGGAACATTTTCCTAGCTCGAAATATTAATTGTTGTTTTTCTTTGCGTATTTGTTTCATAGATGAAGAGAGAAGCTTTGTCCTGCGTCGTCTACTGGTGCCACTGGTGACATGTCTTTAGACTCGTGAAGGCGCATTCCTCTCTGCTTGCAATAATCAATCGTCCCTTCTGTTTCCTCCGAACTTGCTTGCTCTGCTCCCCCTTGGGATTCCGGTGAACGGTTGGTTGGTGTGTTACAGGAGATCGCGAGACTGGCGACAAGTCGGCGGGGAAGATGTCGAAGCTCATAGACTATGCGGAGGGTGAGTGATCTGATCATGTGTTTCTCTACCTACCTATACACAATGGGTGCTCCTTCTGCTGTTGCGAGGCTAACCATCCTGCGTGCAACAGTGCAAAAGCACACCTCCAAGGACTCCTGCTGGGTCATCCTCTACGGCAATGTGTGGGACGTGACAGACTTCCTCCCCTCCCACCCGGGCGGCGCCCAGATCATCCTCAAACTCGCCGGCAAGGACGCCACCGAAGAGTACGACCCCATCCACCCTCCCGGCACCCTGGAGGAGAACCTCCCCGAATCCGCCCGCCTGGGTCCCATCGACCCAAAAAGCCTGCCGGAACCCGTCAAGCCGGCGAAAGATGTTGGACCCGCTCCGGACACGAAGGCTGAAGTCGAGCTGCCGTTGCAGGCAATGTTGAACCTCGACGAGATCGAGGCGGCCGCCACCAAGAAGATGTCCAAAAAGGGCTGGGCCTATTACTACTCCGCCGCGGACGACCTGGTCAGCAAGCACCTGAACAACACTGTCTTCCGCCAAATACTGCTCCGGCCGCGCGTGTTCGTGAACTGTCAGGATTGCGACCTCCGCACCACCTTCCTCGGGTACAAGCTCGACCTGCCCATCTTCGTTTCACCAGCCGCCATGGCTCGCCTGGCTCACCCGGACGGCGAATGGGGCATCGCGCAGGCGTGCAAGAAGTTCGGAGCCATGCAGATGATCTCCAATAATGCCAGTATGACTCCCGAACAGATCGTGAAGGATGCAGCGCCCGACCAGGTATTTGGCTGGCAGTTGTATGTGCAGACCGAGCGCAAGAAGAGCGAGGATATGCTGGCCAGGATCAACAAGTTGGATGCGATCAAGTTTGTGTGTCTCACACTCGATGCACCGGTTCCTGGGAAAAGAGAGGATGATGAGCGCGGAAAGTTCATCGTCGAGGACACGAGCCAGGCCATCAAGGACGCTGGTGGGGCCGAGTTGAAGGGCGGCGGTGGCATTGGACAAAGTCTGTTCTTTGGCACGGATCCGACTTTGACTTGGACAGAAACGCTGCCTTGGCTGAAGAAGCACACCAACAAGCCCATCATTCTCAAGGGCCTGCAGTGCCACGAAGACGCATACATTGCCGCGCAACATGCACCACAGGTCAGGGGCATCATTTTGTCGAACCATGGTGGTAGGGCTGCAGATACAGCACCGCCCGCCGTGCACACTCTGTTGGAGATCAGAAAATACTGCCCCGAGGTGTTCAGCAAGATCGACGTCGTCGTGGATGGTGGGATCAAGAGAGGAACGGATGTGGTGAAGGCAATGGCCCTGGGTGCAAAAGCTGTCGGCATTGGTCGTGGCGCGCTCTTCGGTCTAGGTGCCGGTGGCATTGAAGGAGTGGAGAGAGTGCTTGAAATCCTCCGGGATGAGACCGCCACAGCGGCACGCTTGTTGGGTGCTGCAAAGGTGACTGATCTGGGTCCGCTGCATATCAACACCAGGGCTGTAGAGAGGGATATTTATGATGGACCTGCCAATCTACCCGGCCTCGAGGGCGCCATGAAGGGACTGTGGGTGAAGGCGAAGCTGTGATTGGGATTCCGAAATCGGTACTTTTGTGCATTTCGCGTGGCGTTCCTCGTTGACTTTCTTTGGGGTTTGCTTTGGAATAGCGAAGCACAAAGATTTGGAAATAGACGGGGGCAAAGAGCCGTGCGTTTGTGAGCGATGTCCAAGAGATGTGGTCTCTGGTTCAAAATGCTTCCTGGCCCACGCCGGTACCAAACCATGTCCGCAATTCCTCTTTCTCGGTCTTTGGCCCCGACGCCCCATTGGCTCCGAAATAATCCGAGAGTCTCATGTTCTCGTCTTCATCTTGATCTGGCCACTCAGTCTTCGTTGCCGGACCGCCCTTTTGTTCTAGCATATCTTTGATCGTTCCCCAGCTGAAGCGGCACTCGTTCCCAAATCCCCACACAGGGTCAATGGCCGACTTGAGCCAGCCCACACATCTTGCGTCGGACGGGTATCCAGAACCCCACGATTCCGGTGCATCATCGACTGAGGCTGAGCCCTGTTGGGTATATGCCTCGAGCAGAGCCTCACAACTGACGTCTCGGGTGACCTTTGCGACGACACTGGCCGCACTCACGCATGGAAAGAGACTATCAGCCTTCTTTTCGACCGTGATTTTGATGGTCGGGAAGATCAGCTCGAGCTTCTTCTGATAGACGGCGGGTTTGCCAATGGTGTCGACGTAGATCTCTGTCACATTGACGCCCTGCTGCAGAACCCCACGGATCAACTCGACCGTAGCGTCCATGGCCTGAGCGTTGAGATTGTACGAGCCGCCATTCTTCATCATCCCCGCGCCGATGTCGCGGGCACTGAGTGACTTGATGGCCCAGCCTGAGGATTGGAAGAGATCCGTGCCGACAGTGCAAACGGCTTTCATGAGATTTGCTCGCACCGCTGGCGTGAGAACCTTGGAGTCATCGAAATGGTACGATTCAGTGAGCAGGGACTGTTGGATCTCAATTGGGAGATAGTAGACGCCGTACACCATAGGGCCAATGACAGGGCCGCGTCCAGCTTCGTCTACACCTAGCACGCACGGCGTGCCTGACGCAGACGAGGAGGCGATCCTGGTGGTGATGGCTTCAGGCACTTTGCTGTAGTGCGCGTAGGATTTTCCAGAGAGGAGAGATTCATGGTTATCCTGTACCGACGGCGGCACGAAGACCACAGAGGCGGCGATCTCGCCTTCTTCCATAACTGTTCTGTTCTCTTATCAAATGCTGTTAAACTGGGAGAAAGTAGAGACCACAGGGGATCGAGAGTAGTAGGTATTTGGTAGAGCGGCCGAGACGCGTCCCAAGACGCCCCTCGACGCGTTTCCCGATTCTCACTAATAGTCAGGCAGCGGCCAATCACGATCCCCTCTTGTGCTATATCACGCTAGTCCTAATTCGGGCCGTCGACAACATTCAAGAATCCATGCCTCCCACTCAACACTCGCGACACTGCACCGATTGATCCTCTCATTCCCAGCAGCTGTCGGCTTTTGGAATCCGGCGCATATATCGCATCTCTGGGGAAGACTACGCGATCCTTGAAGCTCCGACCCCGTCAAAAATGGCTTCTCGACCTGCCGTCCGCCGCGAGCGCGGCAACGTTGATTATTCCGCCATTGGGAAACTGGGAAGGTGGGAACAAGCTGCGCCCTGACGGGAGAGGCCAAATGCTGACGGATGTTTAGACGCACAGGAGTCACACTCGACCACCGACCGCTGGATGCGAACGGCATGGAGGAGATCTCGGGCATCTTCTCATCCCCGCGCAAGCCCTCGCCTTTGAAGAATGTGATTATCGTGGACAGAGTGGAGGAATCCGGTACCATGGCTGAGTCGCCGCAGCCGTCAAGCCCCAGCAGTACGTGCATTCACCAGTGCAAAGCAATCTACACATTGCCATGACACGTCTTCCTTTCGTGTGGTTTGTCCTGTCAGGTTGAACTAACGCCAGCGATATAGATCCAGGGCCTACTCCTAGCCAGGCTCTGTCGTCTCGCAGCAAGAGCCGTGCAACCCCCGTTCCCCTTCCCAGATCGTCGTCGCCGAGGAAAAGCGGTGTTAGTGGTGCCGCAAGGAAGAGCAATGGCGTTGATATTTTTTCCACGCGCAAAAGTTTGCAGCCCGAGGGCGAGGGTGCTGAGGATCGCGAAAACATGGACGAGCCCACACCGACGCGGCTCCAGCCAATGCTGCCTCCGACCAGGTTCAACCAAAGTCCACAGAGGCTACCGCTACGAGACATCACCACACCTCCTTCCCACAAACCCTCGAAACCAAGACCCAGTCTCGAAATGCAACGCATCGAAAATGAAGTATACGCTTCTGTGGAGGACGAGGCTGAAGAAGTTGAGCCGCCAGCATTGAGCGATGCTGACCTTTCACCACCTGTTGAGCCAACCGTAGCCCCTCCAGCCCCTCCAGAAAGGCATCTTTCAGCAGAGGCCAGTGATGCTTATGTCGGGTTTGATGGCGCAGAAGGAGAGCAAGAGCAGGAGCCTAAATCACCGCCATCTGAAGTGATACAGAACAAAGCTAATTCGAGAAAGAAACGGAAATCGGATCTACTTGAAGAGGACGACAAGGCGACATCACCGGTACCGAAGAAAGCGCGCAAAAAACAGGGACGGATTCCTGCTCGCCAAGAGACCACCCAGCATCCTTCGGGCTCCTTCCGAATATCGCCAGAAGCAGAAGCTGTCGCAGAAGTGGAACCGCCTCCGCGAGATAAGGGTGCAAATCTCAAATTGTCAGCACGACAACAGAAAGAACTCGATGAGATCGTTGAAAAGGTAAAGGCAAGACCCGGTCCACCGAGATCACTCTACATTTTGCGCAGAGAGACTCCCACGGACGACGGTGTCACGCATACAAGAAGCGGCCGAGCCAGCGTAAGACCCTTGGCATACTGGCGGAACGAGCGATGCGTTTATGGCGCGAGTCCTCGTGGCGGTGGCTTGGCGGACGGCGCCAGGTTTCCGCTGAACAGCATTAAGGAGATCGTGCGGATCGAAGAAATCGAGCCGAATATTGGAAAGAAAAAATCGAAGAGTAAAAGGAAGAATGAGAAGGGCAAGGGCAAGGGCAAGGGCAAGGCTCGACAAAAAGCAGTGGAAGAATCCGAAGAGTCGGATTCGGAGTTTGACATGGACGAGATTCCCGAGGATCCAGACGCCGAACCCTGGGAGACTGGAACGGGCACACTTCGCGGCAATGTCGCCATTTGGGATAATGAAGAACAAGCGCCCACGGAACAGCAGGAGGAAGTCGAAATTGCCCATGCGCCAGCGGCCATCAAGACGCGCGAAGTTAAGGGCTCGAGCTCACAAGATGGTGCCTCATTCCGTTATGCCAAACTACTGTCCACAAGATTCTTCGGCACGGGACTCGTGGATCTGCCTCCTGGAGGACTGAAACGGCCCAAGAACAGTCGCAAAATGCACATGAGTTTCTTCGTCGTAAAGGGCAGGGTCACTGTGACTGTGGGCCCGCCTGGGGGTGAAGAAACGGGGAGCATGAACCGGTTCAGTATTGGGAAGGGAGGGTTTTGGCAAGTTCCAAGAGGTGAGAGACTCTCCTTCGGTGACAGACTGCAAGATTGACAAGGCTGACTTTTGTGACCGAATTCCCCAGGCAATCAATACTCGATCGAGAACGAAATGGAGAAGCCGGCTAGGATATTCTTCAGTCAAGGCTGCGAACCTGCTCCGGTTGAGGAACAGGCATAATCTTAGTCTGCATAAGACTTTTGGATGGGAAACGATCTCGACGCTCTTGCGGCAAGGCTTTGGGATAAACAATAACACCGTTCCAGCGATCAGAGTTGACGGTTAATAATATATACATTTGCATATGACTCTCTCACGAAACACGGGTCTCGAGAATTCAATTCTGAAGACCTCAAGGTGCCCGAGAAGCATAAATTATCATCTGGACGATCCGTCATGTGTTGTTGCCAGAAACGTGTGACCTGTCTGGCACCATAATAGCTGCTCACAATGCCACAGCCATAGCCAACACTGGAAAACCTGGTGCGACCGTTGTGTGCAATCCACGTCCACGGCGCTCGCAACCCCTGCAGGTGGTCATACCTCTGATCTCTTTCCAATTACCTAGATACCCACCCGTTGACGTCCCAAGCACACACACACACAGCCCCGTCACAATTCTGTTGGGCCTTATTCGCGCACGGCGATCGCATAGCCTCGATAGTCTTCCGCGGACAGATAGATAGATTGGTTGGATGAACTGGAATTTGGCTCTCATAATCGTCTGCTTCTTGTGTCTGTTGTGAATTGCGGCGTCCCGTGTCTTTCGGATTCCCAGAGACAGAGAGTCCTGCTCTGTGCTGTTGTGACGCTGCCTGTTCAGACGGCCCTGGAGCCACTTTTGCTAGGGAGATGAGTCCAACCCAGGAAGGACGTTTTCCATGGGTCAATCTGATCATCTAGGCCTACTCGTCAAAGCCAATTCTAGGCTGTCAGGGGGCTGCTCTTCTTTCTCGTTGGCCGGGTCGAACGCTTGCTTGCCTTGCGGCTCGGGCGTCAAATTTCTTCCATGTCCTCATCTAGCAGATCAGTCAGGGGTGGAAAGTCGCCGACTTCGATCTTCTCGGGCCTGGCGAAGACACCATACTTGTCGGCGCATTCGAACACCCTCCTCGTCTCATACGCTCGCTTGCCACTAGCACCCTCCTCCCCGACCTCCAACTCGACCTGGACGCTCCCGTCGTTTCTCCCCACGGGCTCATCCAGCTCCACACCGACCCAGAGACATCCTTCCTCCCTCTGCCCACCCAGCCCGGGAATCTCGCCCGTAAACCTCACAGTGCCTCTCCTCCCATCATCCTTCCCTACACGACATCTCAGTCCCACCTTGATGCCCCGGGCGTCCATCTCCTTCTCATCCTTGGACCTCCGCTCCTCAATCATCTGAGACTGAGTCTTGGCGTGGGGATCGAACCTGCCCAGCTTTTGGCGCCGTTTCCACGCGAGCACCGAGTCCTCCAATTTCTCGTACTGCGTCTCGGGCATTTGGTACTTCTCCACGGAACTCAAATCTGCCGCGAGGAAGTTGAGGTTCTGTCGGAGTTGAGGCGGCCGCGTGTCCTGCACCTCAATCTCGGAGCCCCTCCTGAGGCCGAACCGGGGGTCAGAGAGCAGAGAGGGATCACTTGCCAGCGCGATCCAGGTCCCGTCTAGAGATCTTGTGCGGAGAGATTGTGACGACGAAGGGATCCCCGTGATGGGCTCCAATTTCGTTTTCAGCTGGGATACCGTCCATGTGGGTGTGATGCGGCGCTCTGCTGAGAGGAGCGGCGGGCCTGTGGGATTGGAGTCGTTGGGGACGACTATTTGCACCGTGATGTCGGTCGGGACCTGGGTTGAGAGAGACATCCTTGTTGATCGGATATATCAACGTGGTTCTCGACGTGGCTCTTGATGTTAAAGGTTTACAGCGATCTACTCCCAAGGATCTACTGCTTTGGCCTTCAATAATGGTGCAAGGCGTCGTGCCAGAAATCTTGGTCAATAGCAGTGGGCGTTGACAGAGAACAATTTCAAGTCGCGGAGGCTTTTCAAATGACGGAAGGTATGCAAATGACCGTCTTTCCTGTCAAAGGTGGAACCACGTCGAAGCCTCCCACGCCTCCCAACCACAACTGCTCGCCAGAACCTCATGTGAATCAATGCTACGTATCCTTCAGTTGTCGCCAACCCTCCTCCTCTTGACCCCCATTTGACTCAGAGGATCATGTTGTGGTGGTCACAAGGTCGGAATGCTTCCGCACTGTTTATTGATCTACGTGAATAGACTTGCTCGACTTGACAGACTAACTTCTGTTGAATGTCTTTCGCTTGGCACGCCAAATAAGTTTCATTCAAGTTTGACATTGTTTGCTACTTGACTCTGCTTGCTTGTCTCCAGCTTCTCTGCTTTGAAACCCTGAGCACTGGACGGTCATCTTTCTTCAACAGCGGACGGTTCAAAATTGTCCCTAGGGAGCGTCTGAAGGACTGAATGACTGTGTTGTTCTCCAGGATCCAGGTCCCGCTCCTTTTTCCTGCGCAAGCCCTCCTGACTCTTCAATTCATTTGTCCAACATGACTGAGACGCTAGTTGGACGAGCACATGCCTGTTGCTGCCACTTATTTGGGCGAATCTCACCAAGTGTTGTTGGCTCAGCCGTCCGTTTAAGTAAATAGCGGTAGCCAAACCTGCTCTGCGCTCCCTTTCGTTTGTTTCTGTTTTGACGTTATCAACCTGCTTGTCACGCCGTCTTCATAACACAGATACCGTCTTCATCAATGGCGTTCGACTGCGATCTCCTCTTCAACTCTTGCCACCACACTTTTGCTCGACAGATCGCGCTCTGCCTCGGGTAGATTTCGACGAAGGATCTTTCCGGAGGGAGATCGAGGGATTTGCTCGACGAAGATGACATCCCCCGTGATGTGTTTGAACGAGATGAGCCTGGCAGCCACGAACTCCCTGACCTCCTGCTCTGCCAACAGAGGCCCATGATCGCCGCCCGATCGGACGACATATGCCGTGGGAAACGTGTCCAACAGGCCATCCTCGCTTCTCCGCATTTCGCCGGTAATAGCGACATCTGCAATCTGGGGATGCTGGACCAGAACACTTTCGAGTTCGCTCGGTGAGACTTGCCACCCCTTGACTTTCATTGTCTCTTTGATTCTGTCGGAATAATACAGAAGGCCTTTCCGGATAGCCACCCGATCGCCGGTGCGGTAAAACCCATCAGAGTCGAAGGAGTCACGGTTGGCATCGGGATTTCCCAAATACCCTGAGAACATTGCCGAAGTTTTGATCAACGCTTCTCCAGCCTTTTCCTCCTCGACAATCAGGTTGCCGTTCTCATCCAGCAACTTCATTTGAGCATTTGGCAGCAATTGCCCTACACTTCCCGAAAAATCCTTCATCTCCGAACTGCCTAGAGAGTGCCACCCTGCTTCGGTCGTCCCCCAGCATTGGGCAATCACTGCCTCGGGAGACAAGACATCGTACAGCTTGTTCTCCACACTGGCAGGAAGAGCGGCACCGGCAGAGATGACATAGCGGAGGCTTTGGACAAGGGGCATATCTGCAGCGGGAAGCCTAGCCAGAGCACCAACGATGGGGGGAGAGACTGGGGAATCGGTGATGCCGTACGTGTTGACGGCTTGCAAATATTCTGAAAGCGACCACTTCGGCAGAAAAAAAGTGGGAAGACCAACTCTAAGTGGCAAGACCAAGGCCAAGGGTGATGCAAATGCATGAAAGACAGGTAGACAGATGAGCTGTGATGGCTGTGAAGCTTGTCAGTCTCGTTTCTGCAGCCTCTTGGGAACGACAGGGTACAGTACTCGGTATTTTCTGTGTCGGAAGGCATCTTCCAAGGTTGAAGTCAAGGACACGATATACCGATGTGAGATCATGGCGGCCTTGGGTAGACCGGTTGTTCCACTGGTCATGGCATACACAGCGATGCGTTCTTGGTCAGGCTTGCCATCTGCGGCGCAACCGGACCAATTACTTTCAGGCTCCAGCAACAGTGTACGCCAGCTAGCATAATCTCGACCGTGGACTTGACGTGAGGCGTCATGGGACCCGATGACGAAGATTTGGGAGTCGGTCTCGCAGTGGGCGACTGCTTCGACAATTGGTTCAATGCAGTCCACCTGAGCAAAGACGACCTTGGGCTTTGTGAGACTGAGCAGATGAATCAATTCATCTTTGGTGTATTTGGGATTGGACCCCACAACACGAGCCCCGGATCCGATTATTGCCAACCAGATCAGGGGATACCAGATCTATCGTCGACCCCGAGTCGAACCTCTGGTCAGTCAAGTCATACAGCATCAAGGTGAAGCAGTGGGCACGGCGGCAGTAGCCGGTTTTGAGCAACCGGCGGAGAGACTCACGTTGTTAAAGGCATGCAGGCACACGCACTCGCCGTCTTTCAGGCCCAGCGCCCGAAGACTGTGGATCAATTGGCGAACAGTCTGAAGGGCTTGCTGGGCCGAAATCCTATTGGAGGGTTCGTTGGCATCGATGAAAATCTGTGAACAGGGATCACAGGGATCAGCATTAAAGCCCAATACTGCAACAGTTCAAGCAGCTTACCGGGCAACTATTGTCATATTGGCAGAGATTTGCAAAAGCAAAGGTCAAGATATCAGTGGAAGGAATCTGGACGGATTTTGGAGCAGTCCAGACAGGATCGACAGCATTTGTGGGGGGATGTAGCGACAGAGACATTGTGTAACGATGGCTTGCAGACAGCAAAGACAGGTGTCACAATCCTATGGACGGTCAGGTAGGACAAGAGAAGCAAAAAGCACACTTCTGGTGAGCACGAGTGGAAAGGAAAGGCGCATAAGCTGTAGCAACCTGTGAGATGAGACCGATCCTACGGTCCGAGGAGGACAAGGCCAGGAGAAAGAATCGACGATACGGCTACCAGTGGGATGGGTTAAGGCCTTTCAGAGATAAGTGACTAGGGAAGGTGAGTGAAGGGAATGAAAATTTATGGATGTCACTACTGACTCCCAAGATACTGGGAAGGAGAACATGAGGTCGACGCCAGTATCATTTCACCATCGTCATCATGGCATCATTGGGACTGGCGTGCTACGACAATGCATACATGGTGGGCAGGAGCAATAAAAGGGACCTGGCCCGAGGAAGAAGCAACGGAGGTGGGAGGTGGAAGCTGGGAGGTGAGAGGTGGGAGATGTGGCGAGAGAAACGTGCAAGTTCGCCGCCATCCAACATGCACCTTCACTGCATCCCAAGATGCTACATGGGGCGAGCACTGACCAGGGACGCGGGGAGATTCTGACAGCGGCTTCATTAGTCACCTTCAGGAGACAGAAGCTATCTGGGTATCTGGGTACTCGTCTGAGTGTCTTCTTGCGCTCTGCCGTCTCGTGCTTGCAGTGGTCTCGACTGCCCCAGACTGAAGCTGGAAGACGAATGAGTCGCTGGCAGTGGCAGTGGCCGTGGCAGTGGCAGTGGCAGTGAGAAGGAAGCATCAACAAGAGAGAAAGAGGCTGCAGATGCACCGATGCACTGATGCACCAGACTGACTCACTGACTCACTGACTCCTCCGACACTTTCAGCTCTCTCAGCTCTTGCCATTCTCTCCTCCCATTCCCAATGCAGTGCGGATTGATATATTGGCATGGCGATCAATTGGCTACCGACACAACAGACCTGCAGTAGCTGGGCCATTGCCATTCCCATTCCACATCCTTGAACAATCGATCCAAATCCGTGGGTCAAATCCTCCTTTGGGATTCTCAATGCATCGGCTCATGCATTATCCTTATCCTTATCCATACGCTTATCCTCATCCATATCCTCGTCCTCATCGCCCCAGTCCGAATCCAGTCCTATGGAAAGCAACCTGGAAAACACGACCACGAGCTGCCCACACCCTCGTATTCCTACTCGCATATTCACCTCCTGGTCCAACATAGAGCAGAAAAGCAGCACTTCCTCTCCAGCATCTCGCCGCCTCCCGTCTCTCGCCGCTCGCCTCGCCTTTCTCGCCTCCCTCGTGTACCTCAGCTGCCCTCGATTGGGTCCTTTGTGAGCTCGCCTCGAGTTTCTGTCATCCTTCGGCTTCGGCTGCGTGATTTCTCATTACCCACGTTTTCGAGTCACCCACTGCTCCCCAATCTTCAACAACCTGGCTCGACTGGCTCAGCTGCTCAGCTTCCTTCACATCTCGCCAAGTCACTTGCCACCTGATCTCTCCTTACCCGCTCACCTACCTAGGTACTCGCCTAATGGCCTTCCGAGACGTATATCCTACGTACTGCAGCACTGTCTGAATTCACTTGTCTGGGATTGAAAGAAACAACAACACACTTGGCGTTGCCATTGACCGCTTCCGCTCGAGCCTTCTTTCCAATTGCTATAAGGCTTCCAGATACCTCGCTTCAGATGATCTTATCCTATCCTATCTCACTGCGCACCGTCCACTGAAGCTCACGTATCTTGGAAAAAACAACACTGGTAAGTGCTTAGCACGTTTACTCAGCCCACGGGGTTCAGACTGACTCACCCCCCTTCACCGGCAATGTTATCACTATATCGGACGCGAAGTTTCCCATGCTTCCCATGCTTCACGTGCGGCTCTGCCCCCTTCAAAGTCGTGACCATTGCCTAATGGCTGCTACCATCAGCTTCACCCAGTCCACGAGGTTGATCTACTTGCGAGGTCAGCGGTTACTCGTGATCACCTTTCTGCTGATTGTGACTCTGTTTGTCTCTTCAGCCCTGCTGTTGCAAACGCCGTCGTTTGGCCTGTTCCAGCATCTTGGCTAACAAATCGCGTCTAGTCCTTGCACCATGGCACCTGCAGCCACTCCGTCCCTCTACACCCTTGAGTCTCAACCACAGGACCAAGTCCACTTCCATGTCAATGAAAAGGGGGCTATAGAAGACCGTGTCATCCCTCAGAATCTCTCTGACGATCCCGACAACCCCAACTATCTATCACAAATCGATGGCGCAGACCCCACGATTTTGTCTCGAGAAGCGTCAGAAGAAGCGCCACCGGGCACCAAAGTCGCACAAGATCACACATCCTCCAGATCAGGTTCAGTCATCCTCGAGAAGCAGCCTGTACCCGAGATAAGGATGCCTGACAAAAAATACACCCGCTTCTTGCGTAACCTACGGTGGACTATTTTCTCCGTGTATCGCCGCCTCAACGCGCTCGCTCTGACTGCCAATATCATAGCCATCATTGTGCTGGCTACACAGCATAACCTCCTCTCCATGTCACCAGAGTGGGCTGCCACAGCCGTATCGATCAATCTGACTGCGAGTGTCCTCATCCGACAAGAATTGGTCATCAATGCCCTCTTCTGGACTTTTGGACAATGTCCCCAATGGTTCCCCCTACGATTTCGGCGGTTAGCCGCAAAGATCTATCACCTGGGCGGTCTACACAGCGGCGCAGGCATGTCGGCAGCGTTGTGGTTTGTCTTCTTCAATGTGTCGACTGTCAGGGCACTGCAAACTGGAGCGTTACGGCGGCATCAGAACAGCATACCCATTATCACCGTCATCCTTGATGTCCTCTTAATCTCCATAATCACCATGGCTCATCCCGGCATACGCGCGAGAATGCACAATCAGTTTGAGCTAGTCCATCGTTTTGCTGGCTGGACTGCTGTAGCGTTGTTTTGGGCTGAATTCGGACTCTTGACGGACGCAAGAGTACGCGATGCGTCCTCTAACGTCTCGGCGCAACAACTAATCCTCGAGAGCCCCATCTTTTGGACCCTCATGATTGCCACCATTTCGATCGCACTGCCATGGGTATGGCTCCGAAAGGTCCCGGTGAATGCAGAGCCATTGTCAGATCATGCCATGCGCCTCCACTTTACGTATACAAACTTGCCTCTCTGTGCTGCTCCCCGGCTATCAGACAGTCCGCTCCTTGAGTGGCATGCATTTGCCGGCATACCAGGAGAAGATGGCCGCGGTTTCTCTGTCCTTGTATCCAAGGCTGGAGATTGGACATCTCGGCTGATCAGATCGCCGCCCACGAAATTATGGGTTCGTGGCATTCCCACGATGGGGGTGCTCCATGTGGCTCCGATATTCAGGAAGATGGTTCTAGTCGCCACTGGCTCGGGCATCGGTCCCATCATGTCTTTGTTACATAAGAGGGACATCTCATGCCGAATCCTTTGGTCGACCCCTGATCCTGAAGTCACGTATTCGAAGGGCGTCATCGAGACCGTTCGGCGCGCTGACCCTGATGCTATCATTATCAACACCACCGTCTCTGGAAGACCCAACCTTGTCAAGCAGACCTACGAACTGTTTGTTTCGTCAGGTGCGGAAGCAGTCTTTGTCATTTCCAACCCCAAGGTTACCAGAAGGGTGGTTTATGACTTGGAGAGCCGGGGGATTCCTATTTTCGCTCCCATCTTCGACTCATAAACATCCAAATCCCCTGTTTGGGTCCAGAGAAGAGTTGGGTGTCTTGCATATATGGGAGAAGTTGTGTTTCGGGATCATGTCGAGTTCTTGTTTGGCGTCTCAGAGGATTGCGGTGTCATTTGTGGGAGCGTTTGGCTGTCACAGATAGCCACCTCCAAATCGATTGCAGCGGTCAACAAGCGAGCTTGTCGCAGCCCAGGGGTTCCGGGCTTATTTCTTTTGTCTTTTGTCGTCATCATGTCTCGGGCTTGGACTTCGCACAGTCATTCGACATCATATCCTGGGTATACATAGTCGAGGTGAGCCTGGTACGGGTAGCATTTTATCGAAGCATTGCACCACAGAGGTCTCATGGGCATCGTTGGAAGCCATCTGGCAAACACGACATCCTGTACAATAAATGATAGAGTATGTATCAGAAGATACAAGTCTCCTTTCAGGGGCTTGGAATGATGAGTTATTGTACCATGCTCTCAATGCTTTGCTGTGGGTAGATGACTCTGTACCTAGTCGTCGCCTATTCTAGAAAAGTGCAGGACCGCCCTATGCTCTGTAAGTATCTCAATCCCAAGAGACAGGACCCTCGGATCGGGCTACGTTTTGAGGCTGTAGCCACGGCAAGGTCGATCAATGCATTTACATTTCCACTCCATTGCAGCGAGCGGACCAAGCAAGGATTGGTTTCTCGCAGGCTGGGTGAGCTAGCTCATCTGGCTCCGACCTCGACATCTTCGCATCCTTGAATATCTTTTCAGATCCTGGACTACAATATGGATAGTAGGAAGTCTCTGTCCCCTGACTGCCTCGTCTATCGCGCAGTCGCCAACTCCCATTTTCGCTTTCCAGCCCAGTGCTTCCTTGTCTCTGCACTCGAACATCCAACACCTCTAAAACACTTTCTTCTTTTCCCTTTGCAGAGACAATTCCGGTTGATTTCTTGTCCCTCGCTAGCCACTGCATGTTTCACTTGACGCCCGGGTGAAATTCCAGACCGTGCTCGAGTTCGCGCTCTTCAATTCGAAAATGACGACCTGCAAACATTGTCCCAGACCATGGGAGCCAGCCGATGCTGTGCTTCTAATTGAGCAGCGCGAGCAGGGCCATTCACAACATCAAGAACCATTTTGGCGTGTTCAATGCGTCGAGCCTGGACGTACAGGTTGCAATAAAATCTTTCGACGGCGAAACCCTCAGTTCTGTCCGGGCGCTGTGAGAGCCTTCACCTATTTCTTTTCCGAAGGCTTGTAAACTTGTTCGAACGCCCTCTTGTGGGATTGTCCCATTGCTACACGGATCTTGCTGGCATCGATGTCGGCCTTGGAAACGCCCGCCCCAGCCAAAAGAAATTTCTCGAGGAAGCGGATCTCCTCTTGAGCATTGTGGTACATGTATTCGTATACGTTGCGCTTTTTGAGTGGACGAGGGGCATTGTCGGGTGCTTCGTCGGGTTCCTCATCGGGTTCCTCATCGAATTCCTCATCAGGTTCCTCATCAGGTCCTTCATCGAATTTTTCGTCAGCTGAGTCCTCCAATTTGATTACCACTCGGGGCTCGTGCGGCGTTGAAGGAGGTAACGGCGCAGTTGGCTCAATGGATGTTCTCGCAGCTCTCTTTTGCTTCTTCTTCTTCTTGGACGGTGTAGGGTCCTCCGTGCTTGCTTTCTTCTCCCTGCGATCTTTAATTGGAGTCTCCTCATCCAAGCTCTTTCGCTTCTTGGAGGAAGATGTCTGAATGGCTTTGAATGGTGATTTTTCCATATTCCTCTCTCTTTTACCCTTTGGGGCTGCCTCAGGATCGTACTGGCTGGTCATGATCTCTTGCTTGGTATCATCGGATACAGATTTGTTGGGCGAGGCTTTCGGCATTGCGTGAGGTTTTCTTCGTTTTGAGTGACTGTTGGATTGATATCTTCCCACCCGCCTACGACTCGCATTACTCGTCCGAGTCGAAGAAGTTGACAAATCCTCCTGCTGGTATTTCATGTCCATCGCATGTCGCCCTATGAAACGATGTTGATTTTCCAAGAAGCTGATCAGACCAGCGAAGAAACGATCCATCACGGTTCCCGACTCTGGAAAGTATCTGGCGGGGATGAGAGAGGCTAACAAGTGGCACTTTGGCCAAGTACCTTGGGGTGTCCATAGCGGGCGTCGCCGGAGCACAGGTGGACATATCATGTTGACTACTTTCAAGGCTTCGTGCAGGATGGAGTTGTGCCAGTCAGGATCCCCTGTATGCTCGCTGCTGTTGACGGCTGGCAGAAGGCTTCCGATTTGTCCCAGATAGTCTGCGATTAGCCCATGAGGAATCTCGGGGACCGACATAAGGTCGAGAACATCGGTGCCAACTTGAATTCGAGATACTGGGGATGCCATCGTTGCGCGAGGTGGGATGGGGATTGGTCGTCCTGGCAGTTGGTGTGCGATGCGTTTGTCCATGCTTGTTGATGAGTTCTTCGAATTTGTTTGCGGGGACAAGGTTATTTGAGGGTGCAGCAGATATGGATGCCACCGGTATGCTGCTCTTGAACTTGAAGGATTCCCTCCATGAATCAGCGTAGGTGAGGCAAGGTTGAGGAACTGTCCGTCAAGATGATTTTTCACTCAGAGAGGACCGAGGGAATGATAGCAAGAGAGGATTGGTACGTGATAGAATAGAGCAGCCGATAGGCATGAACGGAGTAGAAGGTGCAAGGTGAGACTTGATCTCGATTCTCAGGAAGGATTGTCCTCGTGTGAGACGCCCTGCCATACGAGGTATCGAGCGGCCTGCAGTAGGGAGCAATTAGAAGTGAAGAGATGTTTCTACTAATTCTGAGACGACGCCAGCCCCATGAAAGCCGCCAGGGCGAGGACTGAGATGGACCACGGTCTTGACTGATATACCAGTTGGCTCGGTCGCCCTTGTCACAAAAGTGTTGTGCCATAATCTCAAGGTTACGGCGTATTTATGTTTAAGCGGGCTTCGATATCGTTGTCCGCGTTCTCTGTCATTGGAATCACTCATCTGCGAAGATCCAGCGTCCGCCATTCATCGCCTCTTGATACCGCCTCTCGATCTCCTCCCTCTGTCTCTGGCGTGCTTGCTCCTGATTCTCGTTTTGCTGCTGTGTGGATGGAATATCAACATCCCAGAACCCTGGGGGAGTAGATGGTAGCGCATAATTTGCCCTGTGCATCCTTCCATACTCCTTGGCCAGTGCGCTTGCTCGAGCCTCATGCACTAGATTCGCTCTCGCGAGAGGCGTCAATGAGCGTATCTTGTCCGTTGATCCGGGCCCAAGAAATTCGCGCAAAAGCTCGTCATCAGAGACGTTAGGATCCCGGGGTAGTGTCTCTGCCAGAACTCTGAACTTTGCACCACAACATTCCGGCCGCATACAACTTGGCAGACATTTCCTCGCTTCCTTGTTACGAACAACATCCTGGAATGCATAATCAAGACCTCCGGTGTATTTTGGATTGACTTTGAAGTGCGAAAGATCAAGTTGAAGGAGGGGCCGCGAACGGAGTGGCTCACTCTTCTCTGATGCTTTATCTGTAATGGGGCCTTTCCTGGCCGAATTGGGACGCGGAGGCACAACAGCAGCTGGTGTGGGTGCTGTCAGGAGTGTCTGCAAGCGCTGGCGGGGAGAATTATTTGGTTGACGACGTTTCTCACTCGGATTTTGGGTATCATCTCGATTGTGATCAATGCCATCTTCCGTAAGAGATGAGATAGCTTCCGCTCCTCGTTCGTTCAATCCTCTAGATTTGGACGTTCGAACAGTGCGACTTGCTGAGGGCACATTGGCTTCGATTTCTTGCAGCGGCTCCACTTTCTCTATACTGTTGACTCTCTGTCGCTTCCGACTGGCATTCCTGGTGGTTTGCTCATCCGAGGACACGATGGGAGAGGAGAGACATGGATTCTGTGAGCGCCTTCTTTCCTTGCGGAGCTGATTCTTCAAGCTGTCAATTTCTGCTTGCTTCTCTGCATCTTTCCGGAACAGCTGGTCCAATTGGGCTGCAAGCTCTGGCCCTTCCTGTTGCTTCTGATGATGTGCCTGACGCAACTCCTCGATCTCGTGCTTGAGCCTCTCATTTTCGCGTTTGAGACGATCAACAGTCCTGTTACTGCCCTCGAGTTGTCGTTGGAGTGCTTCGCTCTGCGTCAGGGCGAGAATAAGAGTTGACGTAAGCGAAAGCGTAGGAGTAGACATGTTGGATTTCGTGAACGACGCGGGTACTTAGGAGTTGTACCTCGTAGTCTTGGAACGGACGCGTCGTCGAGTCGTATATTCCTTAGTCAGCTGGCGGAGACGCTATGTGCAGTGGGGCAAGCTCCCGCCCAGATCTCCATCGTCCTTGGTGTTATCTTGATTGCGAAACTCTATCGAACATTCATGCGACCAGTCCATCCTGTGCCCTCGAGATGCCGAAACGGAGACGAAGCGAGGATGATATTGGCAAGCAGCCAGCCCCCGCGAAACGAAGTCGCACTGGGTCCAAGCGGAATCTGCTGGACATTAGCGACGAAATCCTTCTGCGGATCCTGTCATTTCTCCCTATTAAAGACCTGCTGAAGACCGAGTGGTAAGTCCTTTACCGGACCTGCTTGCTGGACTCTTGCTAATCCACCACAGTGTCTCGCGGCGCCTTAATTCTCTCGCTACCGATCGTGGAATCTGGAAGGTGAAATATATGCAAACATGGGTGCGACCGCGCTCGCGACGGATTCCTTCTGCAGGACCAGGGCGACAAGATCACTCGGTTGATTGGAAAAGCCAGTTCAGAATCAAATCAAATTGGGCAAAGGGCCAGGCTAAAGTAAAAGAGGTCGAGGTCGCTCGTCCACCGGCGCCACCTGTGATTGCGAAAGTCCATCGAGGCATGATATACACAGTCGATCCAGCAACTGGCTTGCGGGTTTGGTCGCAGAGAGACGTGATGAAGACACCAAGGGCGCAGATTTGGCTTCATGCGACGTCGGCAGCCACCTGCATGGCAGTAGAAACTATCGACGATACAGCCTATATCTCGCTTGGGTTCGATGATGGATCTCTCGCAATTTACCTCTACAACTATAGGGGTCAATTCGAGCATCGGTTTAGCCACCAGTCTGCCGATGGGCCTTTAGTGGCTATTTCTTTAGCCTTTCCCTACGTGATGACGGTCTCCAGAACAAAATACCTGAGCCTGTATCAGTGGGACTTAAGGGGGATTCGAGCCGGAGACGCCACCCATATATCGACCATTGCTCGACTTCAGTCCGATGCGTCCTTTGCGCCTGTTTCAGTATCTTTGAGACACGCACCATCCCAGGTCATTGCGACCATCGCCTATGCATTTAGCCGATTTCAGTCTGGATGGTGCATTGGGTTACAGGAGATCCGCTTGAGCACTGCCGGCAGACTTGTGGACAGCAGACTCGCGTCAACAATCGGACCGCCCTACACAGGTTGGAGCAAAGGGGATATGACCACTCGATCGACAAGCTCCCTGCCGTTGCCGCTGCACCCTCAGCTGATGAAACCGCCTACATCGCTTTCTTATCAACATCCGTTCCTGATCGGGACCTTGGCGGACAACACCATCATATCTTTTCTGGTGACTTCAAACGATGAGAAGCTAGAGATTAGCGCCGCAAGACGTCTTTGGGGCCACACATCGGCAGTCTCGGGCGCAGAAGTCAACAATCGGGGCAAGGCAGTGTCAATCAGCTCTCGAGGAGATGAAATGCGAGTTTGGGACCTGGAACCTGTGATGACCGCCGAAAGCCAGCCTCGGGCCAGCACTCGGATAACAGCCGTCGACGCACTTCCTGGTTCCGCTGGACTGTTGGCTCGGAGAGGTCCTGGGTTGCAATCTGCTCTGGGAGAGGTAAGACGCGAATTAGAGCTCATTAGACAGTGGGTTGGCTTCGATGATGAGCAGGTGGTGGTGCTGGGCGAACGAGATCAACGACAGATTATGGCATTATACGATTTTACGTAGCAGGTAAAGAGGGGTTTGAAAAATAAACAAATACGTATATGAAAGACCCTCAAGCTGCCAGGCTATCAAATTGTGACCGTGCTCGGTCCAACGAGATAGGCCCAAGTGTAGGTGGTATTACTGTCAAGCTGTACCTGGGTGTCCCTGTCTGGTGATGAACGGTCTTATCTGCGGCGACAACGAATAGCAGGCAAGGAAGCCCTGCGCGTGGCTTCGGGAATGACAGAAAAGGGTCTTGAACGATCCAGACCAACGGCTGAGGCACCAGAGGAGGGCAGTGCAATTATGCAGCGGGCAAATAGGTACCTAGGTACCTAGGCTGGTGCTAGGAAGGTAACCAGCGAGCCAGGTCTGTACCAGCTCGACCAGTACCGAGTAGAGCGCAGAGGGACACCATTGGAGAGCCATGGGCAGAGTTTTTGAGTCCCTATGGTCCCTTATTCCTAGTATGACGTTTTAGCACCAAGGACTTTCGTAGTAATTCTGCCAATCCACGCCGCCGGCCACTTTTTCTCCATCGCATTTTCTCCTCAGCTTTAGTTGACCGAGCGTTCACTTTGCACACAAACACCAACCTCCGACGCTCACGTTCTTTTTCCATCTTGTTCCTCTTGAGCTCGACAGCTGGTACGCTTCCACACTCTCTACCAATCCTGCAAGGGCTGTGTGTACTTGAAATTGAGAACTGATTGAATTTTCAGATTCGAAACAAGCACGCACCATCACCATGGAACGTGGCTGCTACAACTGCGGCGACTCTTCGCACCAGGTACTCGCGACTGTTATTCATTGACCCTACATCCCCTTACTTTACTTCAGGCACGCGATTGCCCCAAGAAAGGCACTCCAACCTGGTGAGTGAACCCGACCCGTTCAATCTGCGCTTTCACTTCAGGTTGACTGACATGGCAATAGTTATAACTGCGGAGGTACGTCGCACAAGTCACTCCCAGTCCCTGCTCTTACTTACCTCTTCCAAAGCCGAAGGACACGTCAGTCGAGAATGCACCGCTGCGCCTAAGCCAAAGTCTTGCTACAAATGTCAGTCCAAGTCTCGAACCGCGCTCTTGGGTCTCAGTCACAGATATTGATTCTCTCACAGGTGGGAATGAAGGACACTTTGCCCGCGACTGCCCCCAGGCTGGTCCTCCTGGAGGTGCAGGAGGTGGCTGGGGTAGCAGCGGCGCACAGTCGTACGGCGGCGGCGGCGGGTCGTCTCGAGAATGCTACCGTTGCGGAGGGCAGGGTCACATAGCGCGGTAGGCCATTGCTCTCTTGATATTGAATCGCACACCTGCTGATATACTCAGTGACTGTACTTCCGGCGGCAGTGGCGGCGGGTTCGGTGGCGGATTCAATCGCGGCGGCGGGGGTCAGACCTGCTATGTGAGAGATCCTTGCTTCGACAATGTTGAGATCAGTACTAACGGTCGGCAACCAGTCTTGTGGTGGCATCGGGCATATGTCTCGGTAAACAACGGTGGTCCTTCTGCACTATCTGTCTTGCTAACTGTGGACCAGTGACTGCACCCAGGGTCGGTCTCAGAAATGCTACGTATGTCTTCCCTGAGCCGCAACGCCGATCCATACACTGACATGGAGTGTAGAACTGTGGCGAACAAGGTCATCTCTCTCGCGACTGCCCATCTGAGCCCAGCTCTGAGCGCATCTGCTACAAATGTGAGATCACCCTTATATCATTGACAAACACTTCTAACAATGCACTCCAGGCAAGCAACCAGGACACTTGCAGTCCGCTTGCCCCAACTAGTTGACTTGCGCTAGCATCTTGACGAACCGAACACTACTTTTCCTTTCCTATCCAACTCACGCAAAAAAAATATGGTCCCTATGGATGGTTGATGATGTAATATCACGTCTCGAGCATCACGATGACATGACGGCACGCATTCGAGCAAATGACAAGCGGTTACGACAGACATTTCAATTTCCAGATTCGGCGATGGCTCAACATCCTAGGCGAACCATCAGTGGTTGGTGGAAGGGCCTTTCTGAACCCGGTGACGATGGGAAGAGATTTCGAAAAGGTCTTTGCAATGCAGGAGCAAGTGGACGATGGAGAAAGGAGAATCTTGAATGGATTTCGTCGGGAACGACCAGATTGCACGAGGACCGAGGACATTCAACAGATGAACCAGGCTGAGGGAGAGTCGGTATCGCTCGAAGGGGTAAAAGTTTCATTCGTTCAAGGGGTGAGCATTCCGCTCGGCGCACAGACATTTGAGGATCAAGCACTGTGGGCTTGGCGCCAGCAATGTGTAGAGGATCCCTAGCAGGTAGAGGTGAGGTCGAGACTGAGTCGGCTTCTCGGTGGATTGAGACGATTCATCTTGACAGAATCGATAGCAAAATGAGAGAGCTTGCCTTGCCTTTCGGCTTCTTTTTTGCCATGTCCTGTTATATCGGGGTAACTTTGGTAAAAAGATTCACCATCTGGACCTCGGACGGCCGTTCTTTTCCCCAGAGTAATTCCCTCAGTGGAGGCCGGCTTCGTGCGGTACCAGGAGACTCGTGAAGATACAAATACCTCGTAGGGAGCGTGGGAGCGTCGGAGCTTGGGAGTAGATATCATGCTGATTAGGGTAGTTGTCATTGAACATTGAGGTCGGCGAGTCGGATTGGCACAGTCCGGCCCCCGTCGCCCCCCGCCTCGTCAAGTTTCAGTTCTACGGGCGTCAACAGGCACAGCCACGGGCACCCACCTGCACCCCCGGGCACCCAAGGACCAACCCTCCAATCAAGCGCCGCCCATTCCAACGTCCCCTGGAGGCCTTGTCCGACAGCTACCCTCTGATTGCCCTCGAGTACGCGTCCTCCGCAGCAGCCAAGCGCACCAGCTTCAACCAAGGCTTCATCGCCCGCCGCTCGCTCGATTGTGATTCGCAGCCTTGTGCGGCCCGCTGCTATTTCTAGTTGCAGGATAAACATGCGCCCCAGTATTTTTCATTCCGTCCGACCTGCCTGCGGAAACCCAATGCCACGTACGTGCACGTCGCACGGAGGACACTACTGACGAGTCGACCCTGTCAGTCTATCCAGCCCCCTCTGTTTGAAACCTGGTAATTCTGAATTAATGGCTTCTCAATCCCTCCACGATGCCCTCCGGCTGTTTTTCCTCCCTTCCCCTCCATCTTCCTTCTCCCGGAAACTCACAACACATCCACGATTACTTCCACTCGATAAGCTAGGGACACATCCACTATGGCCAGGAGCTCAATCATCGCTCTAGCCACGGCAGCAGCCCTACTGGCAACGACGGCCAACGCGCAGTTTGGATACGGAGGTGGATTTGGATTTGGCAATGGCGACGGGGATGGCTGTCCCCCTTGGGCCAGCAACTGTGACAACAACAACTCAAACAATAGCGGCGACGACGGCAGCGGCTCCTCGTCGGCTGGGAGTGACCTCTCCCAGAGCTCCCTCTTCACCTCCGCAGCTGAATTCAGCCGGGCAACCCACATCTTGATCGCCCACGCCGTGCTGGCCTCTGCAGTCTGGGTCCTCTTCATCCCGTCACTTGCCATCTTGCTGCGTCTGAACCTCAAGAATCCCATTGTGCTCAGAATCCACGCCGTCGGCCAAATCCTGAGCTACATCATTTTCGTCGTCGCCGCGGGCATGGGTATCTGGCTTGCACAGCAGTCTCGCGACTTTGGCGTTTGGAACGACCCTCATCCGAAGCTGGGTCTTGCGATCCTGGCCCTCGCTTTCTTTCAACCAATTGTGAGTTTCTCAACCCCCCCTGGAGCTGCGTGGTTTGAGGACCTTGCTTGGACCGAGGCTCTCTCTTTCATCACCCTCTCCTCGCAATTCTGTCCATGTATGCTAACGCACAAACCCAGTTCGGTTCGATCCAACATTCAATCTACAAGAGACGCGCTCAGAACCTCCAAGCGGGGAAACCGACCAAATTGCCAGGCCGAACGACGCCCGGACGTGTTCACGTCTGGCTCGGCCGGCTCCTCATCATGCTCGGCATGATCAACGGCGGGCTAGGCATCAGGTTGGCGTCCTCCAGCCCGTTCCAGACCGATGCCACGTCCACCAAGGCAAAGATTGCTTACGGCGTCGTGGCGGCAACCATGTTTTTGCTCTACTTGGTCTTTGTGGTCAGCTTTGAGCTCAGGAAATCACGGACGAGCGCTGAGCAGGTCACGCGGAGCAGGGAACAGGTGGCGGCTAACAAGGATGGATTGCCCTCGTATGACGAGAGCGAGGAATCCGTGGGGAGGGGTTCCAGCAGACAAAGCTGAGCCTGCCTATGACGATTGGGCATCCGGACCTTTTTGAATGAGATTGACATACACGCGTGCTACAAAAAGTCTCCCAGTTTCCTCCGTACATTTTGATACACAGAAGACATGATAATGATATAATGGTACAATACAAGAACCTTTTTCTCACCAGATCCCCGGGATCAGCGCATAGGGCACCTCCCTCTTGACTTGCACCCATTGCTCGCCGTATTTCTTCGTCATGTACTCGTCCAGCACGGGGACAGCTCGCGCACCAAAGTCCCAGAGGAACCAACCTCCGATGGCGACACCCCAGAGAGGACCTCCGGCCGCCAGCGCATATCCCGCGCGCCACATCGAGTAGCCCGTGTACGAGACGTGACGGGCGATGGAGAACAGACCGCCGGTGTAGATCTTGCCTTGATTCTTGGGGTCGCTTTTGAAGTAGTGGCGTTGGACCTCGGAGACGGTCTCGCTCAGCAGGCCAGACACGTACAGCGCCGTGCCGACGTAGACGCTCCAGGGTGGGAAAAAAGTCGGGTTCTCCGCTGAAGCGAGATACAAGAGGGTGTTCAAGCTGTTGAACACGGTATTGAACACGCTGATGGCCACCGCCGCGCCAGGGTACACGGCTTCCCTGGCCGTGGAGAGTTTCCAAAAAATGTGCTTCGCGGCAGACCCGACGGACATGGCCCAGATGACCGTCTGGTATGGCGTTAGGCCTGTCACCGATGAGACAGGGCCGCCAGAGACGGGTGGTCGAGGGCTAGCAGGGAGGCCCAGCTTCGACGCCAGCTTGGGCAGAGGCGAGTGTAGCAGGAGGTGTCGTTGCAAGAGAGGGTCGAGAGCTCGGAGTCCAATCAACAGCGTGTTTCCGAGGAGGTCGCTGCCGTAGGACCCGCGACGGACCAGGTCGAGCGGCTTCTTCTTTTCCGCCATGCTAGCTAAGCCTCGATGTTGAAAAGGTAAGACGGGCTCTTGCTCGTAGAACGGATGTCAATTGAGGCACGCTGGCACGGAGTAGATGCCAAATGTCCAAACAGCCACCCGCTTGAGAAGCCCGGATCGGTTTTATCTCGGCCCAACCACGACAACGGATGGAGATTGTGAACCCTCCCTGCCCTTGCATGCGGTTCAGCAGAGTCAATGAAAAGAGCAAAATCTCTTTGCAGTCATCCAAAGAAGGGACATCATCTTCAGCCTGCATACCCTTCCAGCACGTGTGTCTAAAGGATCACTGACGGCTGGCAGCCCAGCTTCTGCTCTACCCAGATATGGCTGACACAGAAGGTTTTGTTATACGAGCAACTCCATACGGACTACTCCGTGCCCATTTTATATCAATTCACAACCAGTGATATCCTTTCCTCCTTCACTCGAGCTTCTCTACTGCTATTTTGCACTTAGATATGGCGGAGTCAGTCTTCGACGTAGGCCTTGGCCTCGAGGGTTCTCACGTACTGGTGACCGGGTCTTCAGGGGCCATTGGATCTGTTGTGGTCAAAGCATTCCTGGCAGCGGGTGCTTATGTGTCGGCATTTGATATCGTCGAGCCGCGGGAACTGATCCAGAATGAGCGACTGTACTTCCAACAGGTGGACATCACAGATGAGGCCAAGGTGGAGCAGGCCATGGAATCAGCCAGGACAAAATACGGGGTGTTAACAACATGTGTTTTGGCCGCCGGACTGGACTTGTCCTACTGTCCTCAGCACTCCCTTGTCGACATGCCGCTGAAAGCGTGGCAACGTGTGCTGAATGTCAATGTCGACGGGACGTTTCTGACCTGTCGAGCGTGGCTTCGTGGCATCAGAAGTCACGCAACGCCCCAGACCAGAAATATCTCTGCTGTTCTTTTCGGCAGCGAGGCAGGCACCTTTGGGGTTCCATTGTGCGCACCATACGCCGCTTCAAAATCGGCCATTCAATATGGCCTTGTCAAGTCCCTCGCTCGCGATGCCGTTACCATTCATTCACATTGCCGCATAAATGCGGTCGCCCCTGGACCTGTTGCCACAGCACAATTCCAAAAGGAATGCGACGACGATCCCTCTGCTTTGTGGCGTGAAGCCCAAGCAACCGTGGCATTACATCAACCGGTCCCGATTGAGGCGGTCGCGAGAGCCTGTCTATTCCTCGCGAGCGACAACTTTGCAGGCAATATCACTGGACAGGTGTTGCCGGTGGATTCTGGGAAGAGCGGCGCCCTCATGTGGCCAGAAGCACCATAGAGATAGCCCGACTTACCTCTAAAGCCATGCATTTGCAGCACAGACTGGGAAAGGAAAGTTTTCTTGTTCGGCCATGCAGCAACAAGGGAGGATTGGAGAGACCAACCATAATGCAAACCTTCTAGTGGGCCTCATCAACAACAGCAGTATCTCTTCACTTATTTTATCCATTTAGGCTGGAAGAACACCTATGGAGCCAGCCTGCCGGTTCAATGAAGAATATTGCTGTAGTCTGACAGGAGAGTAGGCTCGCAATGCGGTTCGAGATGCTGTCATCTATGCCGAAGCCAAGTGACGCTCTCATTGGACACTTCAATTTTCCAGGATTGGGCTTTGCCTGTCCTCCAAGGTTGAGGCATATTCTCATCCGCGGCGGGTAGCGGAATCTTGGCCGTCCCATTGACTTCTTCCCCCCTTTGGACAGCGTGGCCGTTTTGAGTCGGACCGTATTTTATGTCTGCAAGATGGCCTGACAGGCAGCATGAGAATCCATGTGTCCAGCTTCCGCTCCAGTGATTGGCAGGGAGCTAGGGCGAGACTTGCCCGGGACTTGAGCCACCTGTTGGGGGGAGACGGACAGAGTGTGATTGCGCAACCTAAGGCGGATAGAGCTCAACCTCTGACAGGACGAATCTTTGATAAGGAAAACAGGAAGGTAGATATCGGGATGGTCAGGAAGGAGGCTGGAGACTTGGAGCAGAGGTATCCTTCGAATTGAAAATATCCCACGTACACGTTGGGGGAGGCAAATGGAGACGAAAGAAGCTCGAACTTGTCAGCCTGTTCCAGCTTATTTGCAACGAGCAAAATCAGTTTCAATGTAGAGTTGAACGACTAAGAGACAAGCGATCTCAATGCAGAGTGTGACCACCTCTTCTTGTATTCTTCTAATGCTGGGGTTCCCCTCCGCTACATTGCGCAATTGTGAAAACTGCAGGGGTCTAGACGACTTTTCGCCATCTCATTATCGAACGAATATACCCGAGTGTGGCGGGAGCGGCGCAGGAGGATGCAAGGTGACAGCGTATTAGACCAGACATCGTGGGAATCGGAGCGAATTGGCGAGGCACATCATGCTGAAAGCAGGATCTTCACCCGCAGCCACTGGAAGAACGCAAAAACATGCAGCACCAATGCAGGTGTTGAAGAGAATTTGCGCCGCGACAATCAACGGCCAGTGGGAGGCTCCCAGGTGGGTGAGTGGGATGATGGACAAAACATGGAGAATGATGGAGGGGAGGGAAATACGGCGAGGCGGCTGCCCACTCAACAGCTTTGTGGCCAAGCCTGGACTAACGGAAGATGAACTAGGGTCGTCACACATTGCCCTCTCAAGGGCCAGTCCAGGGATCCTCTGGGCGTGCTCTAGGTGCCGTTCAGGCTGCCAGTTAAACTGAGCCCTGAGGAGCTCGGCGCAAGGAATGGCGAGCAGGCCCGGAAGGGCGCGTTGGAAGGCCGACTTGGGAGGACCGCCTTCCCACTTGTCAGGGCTCCGCCTCCACAATTTCGAGTTCCGTAATGGCAGACTAATCTACTACACAACTCTGTTCTTTCATCACCCGCAGGCCCTTACGTCCTTCTTTGCTCAACCGTTCTGTCATTTCGTACGCATCTGCCCTTGAGCCACCTATTTACGATCCTCACCATCTTGCACCACAGTTTGCCGCATTTCCTGTCTGTTTGAATCCACAGCTTGACCGTAAGTAACGATCCCACCAGCCACAGTCCGGACTTCGCACAAAACACCCGCCACAAGCAACCCAACGCAGCCGGACACCGTGGAAGCTCTTCCTACTCGAGCTCGATTCAAAAGAACCTAAAGGGCAGCCTTTTGCTCTCATTCCCTCCTTGATCCGCTTCGTCCTACATCCCTTAGGTCTATTTTGCGGTTGGGCTGGAGTAAGAGAATGGCATAGCGGTATTGCGGTGACGGGTTACAATTTGTGGCCTCTGGCTCTCAAAAGTTGCGACAGCATGGCGTCGGCCCAAGAAGATGATATGTATCTGTTCCAGACTGGCCTCGACCAAACCCCAGCATTTGCTGGTCAGGATTTCGACGCATTTCTGGAAACCCCGGCTCCCGACCTTGACCCCTCGGCATCGCCTCCCGGCTTCCTCAACCCGAATGACTTGACGATAAAACGCGAGGCTGACTCGTTCAGCCCGCTTCATCACAGCGATGCGTTTGCGCGTGCATCTAGGGGGTCTGCTTCAGGATCCAGCAGCTCGTCTTCCGAAGATCCTGCGGACCGCACACGCCACATGTCCGCTGCCTCGACAGCCTCCCCTCCAGCACACGATACATTACAGAGCAACTGGGGAAGCGGGATAAATGGAATTTCAATATCATCAGATGAGCCGCTGTTCGAGGACACCACCATGGCCGGCCTGGACCAAGATTTCGAGGCCAGTAATCAACAGATGGCTTCCGACTTCGACTTTGATACGGCAGCCAGTACACCTAGCGGGTTTGACGCAACAAATAAAAGCAATCAGGTCAAACCCTCGTTAGCTAAACAGCCATTTGACCGAAAAGTCGATTTCTCCCATTTTGGACAGCGGCCTCCTGCTGCCCAACTACCAAGCGGCCAAGCTCAGTTTTTCTTTGCTGGCTCCAGAGAGGCATCTCCTTTGAATGCGATGCTTCCATCTGCGCAAGGCCATTCCCCATGGAGCAAGCACTCTCCATCATCTGGCCTGGAGGAGACCTTCAACCATATCACCATGAATGGAGACTCACCTGGTAATGCGACATTCTCACCTAATCTACAATTTTCGACGGCTGGATTCACCTTTGACGCGGACTCCAGTGCGACACCTTCCACTTTCGCCAAAGATATCTCTTCTCCACCATCCACGGTCAATTCTGCCGAGGGGTCGCCGACTCTGACAGTACATCCCACCTCACTCAAATCCCGTGTCGAGACTCAGATACCGATCAAGATGACCCTTTCGTCACTCCCGGCCGGCGTTAAAAAACTGAGGCTCCCAAGGCACACAGTCTCCAAGCCCAAGTTCCTCGCCAAGCCAGAGGTTCCGCGGTCGCCAGAGATTTTGGAGCTTCACACGTCTCTGGTTTGTACGAGCGCCATGCAAGATAGGGTTAAATTACAACGGGCATTGGCACGTGCTAGGGGCGAAGAACAAGGCCAATTTACTCGGTCGAGCCCTGCTTCCACCGAGTCGAGCAGCTCGAAGGATGACGAGGACAAGCCTTTGAATGGCGGTGAGGTTCGCATTTGTACGGGATGCATACAACGGGAAAGGAAAAGGGCTTCGAGGAAGAAGCAGAAGAAGCCCGAGGAAGAGGAGCTTTTTCAGAGAGACGAAGAAAGGAGAGTGGTTGTTTTCAACACCAATGAAGTCAAAGATTGGGCAGAAGTTACCCATGAGCCCAACGACGCGCAAAATACCCCCCCTTCAGGAGCGGTGCAGGTGGAGCTACCCATGCGGATAGCCTGCTATTGTCGGCATCAAAACGAGAAAATGGGGTTCCAAGTGATATTCACAATCAAGGACTGTCGAGATAAGGTCATTGCTCAGGCCATGACCAACCCCATCATGATCACAGATGACCACAAAACCCACAATCCACCAGCGGTGACCCCGAATCAGCCGCCACCTTTGCCGACTCCAGGACCACAGTTGCCAGGAGCAGGCGTCTTCTCTAGTACTGATCAAGAGATACAGCCTCAGATCCAGGACGTCAATCCGAAAATGTCCAGGCAGGCATACTCCATGACCGATCTGCATGCATTGCAGCAGACTTTCACTCCCAAATTTCCAATGGCTGCCACGAATACTCCATACGCCATTCCATCTGCTGCCTCAAGCCAGGCAGTGGCCAATTTTATACCACGAAATCTCTCCAGACCTGCTTCTCCAAGCGGCCCGTCAGGTCCAACTTCGAAGAGAAGGAAGCAAAGCGGTTCCGGCAAATTGCCATCTGGCTTGACAATGACTCGGCTCGACACGTCGCAAGCGCTCCCTGGACCTTCCACCATGCCTAACACTGCCGCGTCGTCTCCATACGCTCCAAATATGGCATCGTACATTGGGCCAAACGACCGTTCATTTGCGATGCCTCCTGCTGCCCGCCCTACACCATATGGTAACAGTCCTCCAACGCCCAATGGAGTTGATCCCTCTTTTGCTGCCAATATCAATCGCTCAATAAGTCACGAAAACCTTACACGACAAGTAATGATATCGGCACCGCCATCACGTCAGCCAAGCAGGCCTGGTAGCCCCGGGTCTGCAAGGAACAGCTTCGGAGCAGCTGACGCCGCCTTCGGCCAAGCGGTCAACAATCAATTGATGGGACAACCTGCCCGACGGCCACCGCCGCTGATACACAAACTAGTCCCCTTTGAAGGCTCTGTGACTGGCGGCACCGAGGTCACACTGCTAGGGAATGGCTTTTACCAGGGTCTCGAAGTCATGTTCGGTGACACTGAGGCGACCACCACGACATTCTGGGGAGAAAAATGTTTGAACTGCATTGCACCTCCAGCTCTGCAGCCAGGTGTCGTGACTGTTATATTCAAGCACGATCATCCACAATATTCGTCAATGCCACAGCAATCCCAGCCTCGCCAGAACTTCTTTACTTACGTGGACGATAGAGAATTGGAGATGTTCCGGTTGGCGCTACGTACCCTTGGCAAGCAATTACAGCATCCAACTGATGACCCGTACTCGGCTGCCCAGCAGCTTTTGCAAGGGCAGTCTCATTCCATGTGGCTCGGACATAGCACTTACGGGGTAGGTGGAGGACATCAACGCGTACATAGGCAAATTGCTGGAGCTCCAATGGATACGCTCGAGTTGGAAGCTATGATGTTGCAGGTGCTGGAAGGGATGGACTCCCAAAGGCTTTTCAGAGCCCCAAGGTTTGATTTGCGCCGCCCATCTGGCCTCACCCTGCTGCACTTGGCAGCTTCATTAGGCCTCACGCGATTCGTCGCGGGACTGCTTGCGAGAGGAGCGGATCCCAATATGGTCGACAATAACGGCCACACACCTATGCATCATGCTGCAATGAACGGTCACACGCATGTGATCCACCGGCTGCGCTTGACAGGAGCAAATCACAAAGCCCGCAGCATTCGCCAGTTTACGCCTGCTGACCTTGCGACGTCTTTGCTTGCCTACCAGGCCACCATATCGCCCATGGAGCACTATCGGTCACGGAGCGCTGGAGGAACACCGATGCGACTACATAGTCGCAGCTCCTCTTCTCTTCGCTCATTCTGGGAGAATGCATCGAATCATTACGCAACCACTGACACGGATGACTCGGACGATTCGGACGATTTTGACGACGAGACGCCTACCAGAGTCACATCCGAAGAACCGGATCTCGCGCAGGTTCTCGGGCAGACTAACCGAATGCAAACGGTCAGTGTTCCTCCGTCCCGAAGGGGCAGCATGCCGCCCACGACGTCTCAAGCATCCAGTTTCCCTTCGGAGGATCTTCCAAATGCAGCACCAGCAGTAGCTCCAGCGTTCATGCTAGCCTGGCGGGATCATCTGATAACCCAACTACAACAGTTCAACGAGAACGCACAATCAGTGATGCCTAGTCTCGCCAACCTCAATGGACCTCTTGCCGCTATCCAGGAGTATCAGGCATACCCCATGATGCGCCGTGTAAGCGCGCTTTTCCCTCAACGCACAGGTTCTAGACAGCCACAACCCGGTCAGCGCGAGGGTTGGTGGGAGACCTTAACAGGCAGATCATCACCTCCTGCTCCATCTTCGCCTCCGGCATATAGCGATCTGTATCCAGAAGAGAAGGAAGGGACGGACCAGGACTGGACTATCAAGAAGACTTCCACTCTGCGAGCAGTAGCCGATGCAGCAGCGGACCTTCACTTTGAGCAGCAGACGGCCAGCAAGAACGCTGAAGGAAGCTCCACCTCCCAGACTGCTGCTGTCGTGATGAGAAAGCCAATTGAGAAAGTCGAGCTGAGCCGCGATCGGAAATTGTTCTTCTTCTGGGTAAGTGGCAGAAGGGCTAAGTCTTTCGTTCGCATGCTAACCTCTGACAGATCCCCTTACTTGCGATTGTTTTAGCATTGATGGTCCGGAACTCTGGTCTCACAGACATTTTCGCGTTGTCCAATAGCCGGTCACGGCCTCTTGCCAATCAAGAGGCGGTTGGGTTGTTTTAAAATGCTTTGGTCACAGAGAGGTCTTGTACGAGTCAACGGTGTACTGCAGTGAATGGGCAAGTTTTGCAAAAGGGAGTAGGACCAACAGGTGGAGGTTACGTAGTATCCCAGTCATCTATATGTGAACTAGCGCATTGAATTACATGGTCATTTTTGAGAATAACAGAAACACACCTGAAAGGTACCTAGTAGCCTGATGTCCTTGAGACCAGGACGCCCAAGGACGCCCCAAGCACTTCTTGTACAGTACTTGACCTTGAAGGATTGCCCTCGCCAATCGGATACACAGCTGCCAGTGGCGACAGATCCGAGCCGCTCTCGGCTACTGAAATCAAAGATCATGATGGAAAAAAAGTGCGCCATTTGGAGCTTGTACTCGGTACCTTTCCGACCCATTTTCAAGCCCTTTCCCACCACGTGGACGTGGACGTGCTGATTCGACCACCGCAGTTAGTGGTAGTGACCGGCACACGACTTCGATCCTCCTTCATCGCATCGCGTGTGCGAGTCAATGGTGGTTTTGCATCTCTCCAAGTGCAGGTGGTCGGCCCCTTGACCTCTCCGGTACCTGCAGGTGGCAGCTTCGAACATCTCCCAAAACATCCATTTGCGCGCACGGCGTTTCGAGGTCGCCATGGACGACGAAGCCGTAGAATACGAAAAGAGGCATGTGCATGAGGTGTACCAAGACATTGCAGGTCATTTCTCCTCCACTCGATACAAGGTTCGCAGGCCGCCTCCCCGGGGGATCTCACCAGCGCATCCAAGTTGATCAATTGCATGGCAGCCATGGCCCGTGGTCGACAAGTTCCTACGCAATCTGCCCGCCGGGTCAATAGGTCTGGACGTCGGGTGTGGAAACGGAAAGTACTTGGCCGTCAACAAGGATGTCTTTATTATTGCTTCGGATAGGTAAAGTTCAACAACACAGACTGAAAGATGCAACACCAGGCCTGCTAACTTTCCTGGAAGGTCCAACGCCCTTACGGAGATTGCCCGCCAACACCAGCCGCATAGCGCCATTGTCGCAGACATACTTAGCCTTCCTCATCCCGGTGATTTGTTTGATTTTGCTCTCTCCATTGCCGTTATACACCACCTGTCGTCCGGCGCGCGAAGAGTTCAGGCCATCAGAGAAATCTTGCAGACCCTTAAGCCACCCTCCAAATCAAACCGGGTGAATGGAGAAAGATGGGGGGGAGGAGGGGGCCAGGCATTGATATTCGTATGGGCACTGGAGCAGAAAGACAGTCGACGAGGTTGGGATCGCGGTCACGAGCAGGATGTGCTTGTGCCGTGGGTTCTCAAGTCCGATGTCAGATCCAAATCCAACTCCGAGGCTCCAGTCTCCAGTCCGCCGATCTCGACAACCTACCACCGATACTATCATTTGTATCGGGAAGGCGAGCTCCAAGAAGACGCCATGGCTGCTGGTGCCAGGATAGTCGAGTCGGGCTATGATCGAGATAATTGGTGGGTCATACTCGCTCGACAAGCCTGAGCCCTTAGTGTCTCTTTGCTGTGGTTCAGCACCGAAAGCCACCACCCATATGTACGATCAGACTCTGGAAGACGCAAATTGCGGTCAGTACCTAGACTCTCGGGTCTGGTCCCAGTCTCAGTGGTTGTCCCCTCATCCCAATGCAGCGTGGATGAAGCGTCACAGATCACATTATCCCTCTTTCGCAGCCGCCGCTTGCGACAGTCGGAGGTGTTGGGGTATCAAATCACTATATTACAGCTTTTTGCTGCCCATCACAGCAGGGGTGCTCAAAGCAAAACAAACAATCCATCATCAAAACCCGGAATCATGGTGCCTCTTCGTTCGTCCAATTTATTCAAACATGCTTCGCTCAAACACTAAGACAACATCAAGACAATTCGTTCTCCTTTTTTAGCGAAAAGGAGCATTGCGGCCTCTTGGGTGGTTGTACAGATGGCGATGGAAAGGGTCTGAGGTGTGGTAGGGTGGTGCTGAAAACGCAGGCAGTCCCGCCGTGAGTTCTGCTAACGAAGGCAGTTGCTGGGGGCCCTGTAAGCCCGTCTCGGAAGGCATTGAGTCGCGTCGTAGCGGGCGCGGGGGTGGCCCGCCATGTCGGAGAGGTGGTCTTGGAGGTAGAGACGAAGGCTCGATCCCGCTGTTGGCGTTGGTTAGGGAGAATGGAGTCACGCCGGCACGCTTCGCCATCTCATGTTCGCCCATCTGCCAGTGCATTGCTTCAACCGCTCTCCATGGCATTGCCATCTCCTCTGCAACTCTCGCCCACATGTCTGCTCGAAACCTGGATTCGGAGAAATTAGTCAAGGGAAACTTCCAGAATGACAGGGCAGGCAGAACTGTGTCACAGAATCTTTTGGACGTTGACAATGTCACAAAGGGCGATCCGGTGCGACGTTTCTCAACATACCTCTCGTACAACCTTGCAAGCTTATTTTTGCGGTCCTCATCCCACTCACTCCTCCGCTCGAGATAATTCTGATAGTGGAGTCTACAACTGATGGCGCTGCGTCCAGGCAAGTGCTTGCTGATGTCCTCCCACTTCATGCCATCCTGGCGAAGCTGGATGATCTTGGCGTCTTCCTCCGGAGACCACTTGGACTGTTTCTTTGCTGGAGATTGGATAGGATGATCCTGAGTGGAGGATAGTCTCTTTGCAGGCACCGCCGGCCGCGGCTGAGGCGGCGGCAGAGGAGCCACGCTGGTGGCGACACTGGACGGCACCGACTCTGAACGAGATACTGAGGCAGGAGAGCTGGTTGAGTGGCCGTCTTCCTCGTCGGTCGATTTGAGCAGCGACGAGATATCCACGATGGGTGATGAGATGGGATGTCGGTTTGTGAAGGATGGAGAGGGGGTTGTTGCCGGAGGTCAGTGGGTGCTGCCATACACGAAGAGACGAGATTGACAGAAGGAAGTCGAGGAGGGATTTTTTTTAGGAGACCAGGCTGAGAAAGCGAGCACAGGCGACCACAGGCGACCACAGAGGACTACTAATACCAGGAGAAAGCTCGCTTCCGAAGACAGGGTGGGTTGGATCTTTGGCGAGACCGAGCGAAGGCGCCGGCGTTTCCAGGTTGTAGACTTCTTGCAGACAGGGTCGGGAAAACACACCCGAAAGAGACTATGTAGGACAATAATGGCTTCATTCGAAGATTCCAGAGAACAATGCACACTACGATGCGGGATTAGAGTGAACTGTCCGGGCGACACACAAAGGGCATTGTCCCTAGAAGAAATATATATCAGGGAGGGAGGAGGGAGGGAGGGGGGCGCGCGACGGATTGTGTGGATTGTTTTTCGGCAAAAGATGCGGTCAAGGGAGAGCGGGTCGGTGCGGCAGCAGCCTTCCTTCGATCGCTGTTCCTTTTCGCACAGACGCATTCGTGGCAGACTGGAGACTGGAGACAGGAGAATGGAGCCTGGGCGGAGTGGAAGAAAGTCCCTGGTGGTGGTGGTGGTAGTGGTAGTAGTAGTGTTGGCCAGATCCATTTCCAGACTCTTGCGCCGCCACGGCCAGAAGCAAGAAACAAGACGCAAGACGCAAGACGCAGGACGGCAAGACGCAAACCATACTCCGTCTAGGGAATCCGGTCCATGCATTTCGCCTCCATCATTCATCTCCATATCTCTGCAGCTTGCAGCGGTTACTGGCGTATCTGCACGATTCACTTTCGCCCGTCGCAAGGACCCTGGAGCAGCTGATATCATTGTTCAATCCCTCCTTTCCCTCATTTTCTCTTGTTTGCTTTCCGGGCCGGGCTGGAGGGGGGAAAAGGTCGGAAAAGGATCCAGTTCTCTAAGAGGCCCCATTTCGGCTTCTGGCACTAGAAACGACATGGATAGCTGCATGAGATCGAGAAGGGCGAGGACGAGGGCCGAAAATCGTGACCATGACATGACCTTGTCACCTTGACCTTGACCTTGTCCGGCATCCCAGTACTGGACAGGTATCGTGGATTCGTGGTGGTTCTGGTGAGTGCCGGGGCCCGCCGCTCAAACTTCGATGGATCATGGGAGAGGCTTGCATCACCATCACGATGGAGCAAGCAAGACCGGCTACACTACGGCTAGTCGGCGGAGCAATCCATCACGGCGTCAGACCTGGTCAACCCAGGAGGTGGGTTTGTGACTTCTACAATGCGAACTAGAGCCTGGCTGCCCGGATATGGGATGGTGGCATACAAGTTCGTGAGATGTTCTGGGAGCGTTCGTCTGCGCTCACCGGTGGTGGCAGAAGACTAAGATTAGGCACAGTTGGAAGATATACATCACAAGCATGCAAGACGACCCTGCCCTTTCGAGGGTGAGATGAGGACGAGGACGACGGGAATGACGACGTCGCCGTCACCGTCACCAGTCTTGCATCGGCGACTGGGTGGGTGGCTTTTTGTCTCTGGCGTTATCTGGCTCAAAGGTCGAGAATCTTACTGACGTTCCGAGCCTCCTTGTTTCATCTCCATTCTTTCCCAGGATTGACCAACCTGGTGGTTCCAATGCAGACCGACAGTTGTACTCGGTATTTTAGTCAGGGAGAGGGCGCCGCGATCGGGAGGGGAAAGTAGTGGGTTCCTGGAACTGGCTGGTTGTTTGTGACAGAGCAACAAGGGCAAAGAGCCGAGCGACGGATCAAGAGTGGAAAGTTGTTGGGGAGCAGCGGAAGTAAGACTTTGAGGCAAGTGACAAGAACTCCCCTACGGAGTATCGAGTCGAACTCCCCTTCTCCTGCGTTCTCGCTCTCTCACCTTCACCCACTTCACCCACTTCACCGCAATGTCACTCTTCTTTTCCCTCTCCCAGCAAACTCCGAAACGTCCCAACCCCGTCTTCAATGCAGCCATGGGCAAGCAAACAGCCGTCCAAGCCATCCCGCTGTCCACCCTGCCCTTAGGCCGCCCGGGGAAGGCGGGAGAAAGAGGGTTCGGATCCCACTAGGGCACAGACGAGTATAGCACAGCACCAACAAGGCGGAAAAAGCTCTGCGCGGGCTGGAGAAGATATAGGACGCTGGAACAGCGATTTCTCCAAATCCGCATCCGCGAACGCATGGCTCACTGCCCTTCCATTCAACCGTCTGCACCTCCGCTGTCGTGGCGGGTTGTGAGAGATTATCTGTCTCTCGCAGGGTGCAGAGTGAAGCGGATAGCAGCCTCCTTCTCCCAACCAACCCCCTTGTTTCCCCAATGGCCAGAAAACGCTAGCTAACTAGTCGGTGGTAAGCAACAACCAGGTCCACGGCTTGACAAACGGTCCACTACGCGCGATCATCCCATCCATCCTGCCAACCCTGGTCCATCCTATCCCATCCCATCGCATCTGCCCTCAACCCGGGCTCTCAGTCTCTGTGCGTCCACTTCATTGGTGCCATGGGCGGGTGTGACAGGTCAACTACCCGCACGAACAGAAAAAAAAAAAGATACCGTACTGGTGCGCCACGGCCGGCCCCATACCTTGTTCATGACCCAGGGCCCAGGGGGCTGAAAGTGGAGACAACTACCGTGTTACGAACGAGTCAGTGTGGCCCCGGAACGATCTGGACTGGACAGGTCACACAAACACGCGCGGTGTGGGATATGCATGACTTGTAACATGACGATGCGGGCCACAATGCGTCATCATGATATGCTTTGTATAGCTCCAGCAACAAGAATAGCCCATCATTGCCCTGGTTCTGCCATCAACTACGCTGCGTATAGGCCTCCCAAGCGAGGCGGTGAAAAGCGGTGAGTTCACCGACTATTGTGCTTTGATTTTTGCCAGGTATTTCCAAGCACAATAAACGTTCGGGTATCCGAGGGGGGAAAGATCCTCCCCGCCGCATGGACTGAATAACAGAGGCAAAACGTGTCGATTGTTGGCTGCCTTGCATCGCAACCTTCTGCGGCAGGGTCGACGGCTCCAAACCTTACAAGCTGGCGATGACAGCGCACAAGCTGAAACCCCTATGCAAATGCAAGCCCGTATACAGCCGGAAGACTGGAAGCAAACCTGCTGAGGGCAAACACGTATTTCAATCCTGCTCTGGCGAGCCGCCTGTGTCGGCAAGTCAGCAGATCAGCAGGTCATGTGTTGAAAGGATCCAAGCATGCAAAGCAGTTGGCCGTTGAAACCGAAGCCAGGACTTCCTGGTCAGCATTGCAGCAAGTCGGGCCTGAGAATGCCGAAAGACTGACAATCGCTTTGTTTCATCACTGGCGGAGAAATGGTGTTGCAACTCTTGCAGTTCGCCAATGCACCCGACACGAACTTCCTCCAGGTCCTGGCGAACTCAAAGTACGAGGCACTGCTCGGCGCATCTTCAGGGGCTACAGACACCTGGCTCCTTCGACAGAGCAAACAAGGACCGTGGGCATGAGTTGAAGCTTTGTTGTAAAGGAAGTTCAACCTGCACTGCGTCAGTTCATCAAATGCGGCATGAGTCGCACAAACTGGCAGCTGGGTTTGAGGAACTTTCTGCCACACATATCCCTGCCTTCCACTATCACAACTGGAGCCATCTAGAGGTTGTTTCGAAGCTGGGCCACTTACCACTTGCAGGCCCCATGGTGACGAAGTGGCCCAAGTGTTCAACGTTCACCGTTCGTCCATTCAATTTTGGAACCTAGACCGTCACTTGTTGAATCGCTTGGGAAGTTGGTGTCTTTGTCAGGTATGTCTGCCCAACCCTCGACCAAACGCCCCGTTACATTCACTTTTGGACCGTCCTGTCGGGAATTCTAGAAACGCACCACTCGGCGCCACCCCGCCCAGTGTCCCACCGCCTCCTAGCCTGGACTGGGATCCATACCTCAGTAGTTGCTCTCGTCGGTCAATTATGGTGTCCAAGAACGAGTCGAGTGCATCCCGAAACGAGACGACATGGCAGGAGACAGGACCCCAAGAGCGGACAATAGGTCGGAACCCTCATATTGTTAGCGCTACCGTCCTTCCATTTCGTTGTTCTCGCTTCTCTGTTTAGTTTCTTCGCCAGGGCAGCCCGAGGTTCGAGAGTGGAACATGGCAGCAGCCTTACTGTCTCCATCGTCAACTCATCACTGGCAACTGCCGACGCAAGCCCGTTTGTCCAAGGCTGGTACAAGTGCCAATCTGGCCCCTATCCAAGCCACGCAGTCACCCCGGGATCTGATCCTTGTGACCATCTCGCCCATCATTACGGCAGAGGGCATGTGCTATCTCCCTGAGAGGATTCATAGGACCTGCCAATTTCGACCGGTATTATTTGCTCGTCCTTTGCCTAGCTTCTCCTGGCAGAGCATTACTGTTTTGGTCGGCAAAGGCACCTTGAGGCTTTCGGGTGGATTCCGATTTGCTGCCTGTCTCGAATCGTTTTCCTCCATACGGCCCACGAAGTACATGGCTTGTTGGCTTTCCCTTTCGGTCCTGTTGCACATCCGCAATAGCCTCACCTTCCAGCCGCCGAACCAAAGGCAACTCAGAGCGTTCCTTGGAGCGGCCCAATCTCCATTGCATCTCTCTTTTTGTCACTTCCTCCACAGAATTTTGCAGGACTTTCCAGAATGAGTTGCGGGATCCCGTTCTCAACTTCGCCAGCCACGTCAATAGTGTTCTGGTAGCGATCATCTGAGATCACAGAGGGCCTGGGCTGGGCACACTGTGTCCGAGGGAAGACGCAGGGACAAGTCACCTGTCTCCTTTGTGCGCATGATGCTGGCGTCGTTGCTCGCTGCTCGATCCTCGTGGTACCAGCTACCGACCCGATGCAAATACGAAGTACACGGTACAGGACTGGCTAAATAGTTCGCTTCCTCAGGTTTGTACCTAAGTCTAACGTCTTCAGAGGACACCGTACGGAGCCACCCTAGTCACCCTCGCTTCGGGAAGCCGTGGTTGTCTGTTTCTGATTGAACCAATGGCCTAGGTCCACAACAACAGACACCACATAACTCTCAAGCACCTTTCTCCTTACATTAAATGACAGCGTGGTTTGAAGGCCGGACTACCTCTTGTTTCCCTTTGATCAGACTCGCCGCCATGCCTGAGCAGCTGCGAAATGCACGTTGCGATTGGGGGCTACAACCGATGAATGTTACGCAAATCGAAGCGGTTAGCTGCTGACGGCGGAGAGCCGCAGGAAAAATGACAGCTCCATTGTGCGACACACGCACATGTACCTCGTATCTTAGGATCATCCGTTTCTTTTCAGAGAGGTTTGTAAAGGAAGCGTGGGCGGATGTTCCCCTTCCGTCCAGTCAGGCCATCATTGCACCTCTGTCGAGTCTCCACCCAGAAGTAGGTGCGGATTGTTTCTCTTTGCTGGGAATGTCATGGACTGAGACAAGTCTGGAACTATCATCGTGGCGCTACCTCGACCGCACCGGCCTGTAGTCTTGGATCGACTTAGCAGCATGCCTCTCGAGTGCCTCTCGATTTAACTGGGGCCACATGATTTCTGTCAACGGACAATTTGGGATTTGAAGGGAAGCATGAGATGAACATTCACACGGTTTCTTCGTCCTGCGACAAACCTGAGAGAGACTGACTGATTGACTCTTGCACTTCTGCATGGCCTCGTCCAGAAAGAAAGACCCGGTTTTCAAGACGAAGCACTTTGAGTCCGTGTGTTTTGACCAATGGCCCATTTTACTGACATACCCACAGAAGCGACACAATACCAAGGTATGGCAGAGCATTTCTTTAGGCTCGAAATTTTCAGAATGGCTTTGCTCGAGTGAGTAACAACAATCGAGTAAGAAGGTTGACCACTTGTGAAATTCAACCTGGAGACCACTCACAGTTTTCTGAGTCAAGAGGCTCCTCTCTCCCCGTGTCAAGCTGGCAGTCCGTTCTGTCTCTCTGATAAATGATGGAAACGTTCTTCTTCGCAGCTACACAGTGCAGGAAGACACACCTTTCTCATCAATGCCGAATCTTGCTCCTAGAAACCAAGTCGATATTTTTGGGCTGATTTTGTTTCTCTACCTCCCTATATCTCAATCCTCCTTGACTCTGGTCGAAAAGGTGCAGTAGGTGGTTTGTGTGCTCGTATGTACATGTACTTTCAACTTGTCTATACCTTGCAGGTCAGAAATAGGCGGAGCACGCGCTTCATGAACGCAGGCACCTTGCTTCCTGTGATATGGCCTGGAAGTGAACCTAGAGGAGTGATACGATACAAGTTACAAATGTCGCTTCAAGTTTTCAAGTTTTCATTACCCGGGTCATCTACTTGAACTTCTGGATCCCGCCTTTTCGATACCTGTTGTAATACAGGCGTGAACAAAGTGCATCTCAGGACTTTTTCAACACATTACCTCGCCTCGCCTCCAGTCAAATCCTTTTGCCTCTGTGGTAGCCTTTACGTCTGTGGCACACCCTTGTTCTTTTTGGAGCCTCTTGCGCTTCCGCTGTTCCGCTCAGCCCAGTCCCCGTCACTCGAATCCACTTCAGGCTCGATGTTCTTGTCAGCAGCGGTTTCATCTTGGCCATCCGAGGAGCTCGGATCTCCAAATGTCTGCTCCGTCTGCTCCTGCAGATAAGGGTCAAATTTGCCGTCTCGCCTCTCTTGCATGGCTTTCCTGGCTTGATTCTGCCAAGTCTTTTCGTAGCATCCCTCACTCACATCCCTCTTGAACTTGTGCACTGCTGCCTTGATGTAAGGGTCGTCGAGCACAAATTCTACTGAGAGCGGGCATTTCAAGCGTCCTTCGGCGTCGAGTTCGTACGTTCGATACCGTGGCGGGAGACTGTCAATGATGGAGCGCTTTTCCGTCTCGGTGTAGCTGTCGGCTTCGGCAGTCCAGCTCGAGACAGCTGTCACAAGAAAACTGTGAATGTCTGCGGTGATAATGGGTGACGAAGCGTTCAAGACTCGATGCGAGGACCAAGGGCCCGTGTTGCGCGTCGGCCTTTTCCCGTGACGCATCTCGTAGTTTCTCTTACGGCCGCTTTCAGTAAGCGGTCCACAGTGGTAAATTTCTCGATGCCGCAACGGGAAGACTGAGTAGTGACAAGGCTAGCGAGGAAGGAGGACAGATTGGTGACAAGGACAAGACAAGCAGACTTGTGTCATGAGCAGTGACGATCTCTCTCCTTGAACGGTATGGCACGCTAAACCGATGGGCGGCCGAGGAACTTTGACGTTTGTGTGTTTGTGTGGTGTTTAGTCTTCTCACTTCAGTCTGTTTCTCCTCTGTTGTGAGACGAACAAGGCCTTTACTAAACGGGGAAGGATGGCCGGTACAAACACAAAACCAATTCCGTGGCGAGAGCGTCCAGGTCAGCAAGGAGCGGGCTAGGTTGGCATGGAGAACCAGCCTCCTCAGGGTTTGTGCACCGAAGGATTCAGGATGCAGGATTCACGAAGACTTGGTCAGAAATTAAGCAGGGCCAGTACAACCAGACAACAGAGCGCCACTTTAGGATGTGGGAAATGGAACTCCGTATCTCATATAGGTACCTATGCTATATATGCTTCATCGGGCGGCTTGATATTTCTCTCCACTCCAGTCACACCCTCTATCACTCCCTCTACCAGAGTCTGGCTTCTATGCTCTGCGACAAATCACATTGTTAGATACCTACCTTAGATGGTCATAAAGTTCGTCTCCGTAGTGTCTAGAGTGTGATGGAAGAGGATGTAGATAGAACCGAGGCTGTCCAGAAGATGATAAAGCGGCGACAAGGCCTTAGCGCGCTTGACTGCGGCTGCTGTCATTTGGTCATTTGGTCATTTCGGTGACCAACCTCGCAACGTGCCAACATGCCAACTCAACCCTCCCCGTCATCCATCATTCCATCATCGTCCTGCTTCACTTCCAATCCATCTTCGTCCGCGATAAGGCGCCGCTGAATGAAGGCTGCGGCTGTCCTTCGCTACTATCTATGATCGCCTGGGCGACCACATCATGGCCTCCTCAGCGACGGCGGCGGTACGCCGAACCGTCCACGCGACCATGCACTCCCTGTCCAGCGCATCCGCCGACTTGACCAAAGCAGCCATAAACCTTCCCTCTACCTATTCCAACTATGTCACATCAAACTCCTCCTCAGTCTCTACCATTGAGAGCAGCCTGCGGTCCTTGACCTATCTCCTTCCGGGCGCCCGGTTCCACGACACTGAACTCGCCTCGGAATCAGTGCATACTTTTGTTCAACTCTTGTCCATTTATCATGATCATCTCCTTAAGAAGAGCGCCGCGTCGCTGGCGCTCACTCCTTCTGTTCTCAAAGTAAAAAATGCCAAACTTCAGAGGCCGAAGCAATCTCTCCATGCTCGATACACCACATTCTGGACGTCGTCCTCGTCCCTCTATAATAAAATCGCTACGGTCTTGAAGATCGCGCAATACACCGAACTGTTATGGGAAATGATCGCTAGACGCCAAGGTGGTGAGAAGGCCAAGTGGCGCGTGGTGGTGCTGCTGGAGTCTTTCAAGGCCATCTGTCGCTTGCTGTTGATGCGCATCACCCATCTACGCCCAACGGTCACACCGCCTATGCCGCTGAGAGAAGACTTTGCCCCGGTTGAACCGGAAGAACAAGATGAAGAGCTTGACATGGACGAACTGAAGTCGGACAATTTCGACGTTAAAAATGCTTTGGGCGATGCCGGCGTCCCTACGCCACCACTCTCCGACTCTGGGAAGCATCGCCCATCCTCCTTGTCCATCACCGAACCATATAGCATGCCTCGCACGGGGTTTACCCTTCCTACTCTACCCTCCGCTGACACTGTCTCCGCCTATCTTCTTAATCATGTACTCACAGCCGACGACGTCAAGCCCGCCAAACAATTGCTCCATCAACTGACCACTTTGCGAGGCCAGGCTGCCGAGATCATGTACATCCTACGGCCTTTGGTCTACGCGCTGCTTATGCAACGAGTCGCTCGTACCTACGGCTACGAAGGTAACAAGTGGAAACGCAACTGGACACCATGGCTTGTGGGAATCTCAATTGAATACTTTTCCCGCCAACTGGCAAAGAAAGACCTGGCGGCAAGAGTTCCAGGCGGGGCGCGATCCGGTCTCTCCGCATTGGAGCGTGACGAGTTGAAGAAGCGTGGCTGGCAACTCGCATGGTGGGGCATGCGAGGCGCCTTTTACGAGAACATCACGAAAGTCTGGGTACATGGTGCTGCGGCTTCGTTGAAGGGCAAACCCGTTCTCGACCTGGTTGGAGGAATAATCGAGGAATATGAGTTCCTATGGAGCAATTACTATTTCAGCACGTCGACAATGTGAGTCCACCTTTGAATGTCCCACGACTGTTTGGGTTGCACCGGATTGGAGCATCAGAACCTCTTTGCAGCATGGACTGGGTGAACTTGTTGCAAAGGACTGTATATCTGGAGTTTCGACGTTTATGGGCAGCCATCGGCGGAATGAGTTCAAACTTGATCATGGCAAACGAGCAGATTTTTGAAGCCGAGTACTCACTCCAACTTGAGTTTCATTCGACATCTACTTTGTCAGATACGGATATGATGCTTTACATAGGGGGACATGAAGGAAGCTCTTCTTTTCCCAGCTGGTGGCGCAAGGGGGCTCTGATCACAAGATATTGGACCGGTTTCAGTGAATTCCATTTCTCCAGAGCTGAAATTCGTCCTTATACCGCACTTCTTACAGAGAGCTGCCCTGTTTCCTCTGCCGGACCCTTTCCTCATGCCAAGGGCTTTCCTTCGGGTGCAAGGGAAGACCAGATGAACTCCCGTCTCTTAGATTTCGCCTCGCCACCTCTCACGCTTGGCAAGGTTCTCATCACCTCTCTCGCCTAGCAAGTCATTCCCACGATTCGATATTCAATCACTGTTACTTGTCCCCGAGTCCTTGAAGCATCAAGTATTACCAGATACCAATCCAAAAGATGTCGTCTGTTCCTCCTTCCAAGCGGCAAAAGCTCGAGCACACCGGTTCAATCGCAAATCCAATCTGCCTCTCCGACGACGAAACCGATTCCGAAGCAGGCGATTCCAGCTCGACCGCCTCTGAGCCAGACTCTCTTCAGGAATTGCTATCCTTTCTCGATCACCTCAACCGCGATGAGCACCTAGCAAAGGTCATGGAAGATGTGAGAATGGCCAAGAGCTATCACGATGTCGTCAAAGATGAGCTGGAAATTTACCACGGCAATTTCTCGATGATTCGCCAGGAGATCGCGCACGCGAATGAATTGTCCGAGATGGTCGAAAGTGACGAAGAAGATGACGATGATACTGCTTCCCGGGGAAAAGCAGCTACCTTGCAATATGAGATAGACCGTGCCCTTGGAGATCGCCTGATTGCACGCGCATTCCACTCTCCGGAACAGATCCAGCGGTTGTTGCGCATCCCTGGTCGCATCTGTGTGTATGCCAGTCAGCTATCCGAAGCACTAGGTCGATGGACCCGGGCCTTGGAGGATCTCTGCGGTCTGTGGGAGACATTCATAGAGATCCACGACGCAATGACAAAGCCAGGGCCAAGCTCAATGCCTCTGAAGATTCGAAAGTTTTGGGGGGATGGACACTTGTGGCACGACTTGGAGTTGATTGAAGAACGTGTGCAGACTGCTGAGATACAAGTGAATGAGCTTGGAGAGGCAATTCTCGAGGAAGCCGACGCCTATGAAAGACAGCACTGAGGTACCGACAGAAGACGGAGAGAGTGCAGGCACATACGTATCGGTGGTGGTCCTCGTCACAACATTGTCTCGACCTTGGAATTGGCAATTCAACCGAGCTTGGACGCACCGAAATTGGCTGAAATTGGCAAGAAATCACAAAGCTTGGAAATGAACTGTGGATGCACGGAAAAGGATGCAATCTTCGTCCTGGGGAGGTCTCTTTTGTCAGTGGAGCTGGAGGAAAGAAAGGTGGTCTTCTTCTTGTATCGTACGAGTCGTGGAAGTCTTTGCTTGTGCTGCTGTGGAGAAACATTCAAACGGCTGATGAGATGATCACGGTGAGATGGTGGTAGAGAAGAGCTTTGTTCATCGACATCCAGAATTAAATAGTCCAAACATCTCCTGATGAGTCGCCGCTTTATGCTGTACCCACTACGAGTACTGCATTCGTGAATTGTCATTGCGCAGATGCCCGCCGCTTTAGCCACTCTCGCCTCACTTTCTCTATACGCAAAGCACGGTCCATCCTGCTCCTCTATTCTGCTTAGGATTTCAATATCTAGTAGACATCAACTCGTCAAAGACCTGTCTCAGACGCTGAGTGGCCCCGGTGGGTAGCAAACAACAAGCGACCGAGTTCGTCATTAACAACGAGGGAAGCCGCGGTGACAATGGCATGAGCGGTTGAGGCACATGAGACCCATCAAATTGAGCTCTAGATTGCCGATCAGGACAGCAACCAGATGCGAATGAACAGCGACTTGTTGGTCAATTTCTAGCGTCGCGAACAAGACTATCGGCCAGAATTATGCGGTCAGTCTGCGCGGTTCAGCTACCCGCGCCTTTATTCGCCACCATAAATTCTCGGTAAGATGCCAGAGCCTCGTCGATCGGGCCGTCAACGCAAGGTCAACCCACGATATGCCAATGACGGCTGGGACAAGGACACGTTGCGGACTCTCCGGGCCGATTCCACATCATCTGGCTCATCCCCCGTCGAGGAGGGATCGACATCCTCAGACTCGAACGACGACAGCCATGTGGTAAACCACGTGTCTGCGCAAGAAGAAGACGACGACGATGCGTCTGTTGCCTCTGCTGCCTCGATACAATCCTCGGACGTCGAGACACCAGACCCGGAGGACAATGATGGGGGTATGAGCTTGGCGTCTGACGAGGATGCACCAACCCCTAAACGACGAAGTCGGCCGTCGCGACTACCGTACGCAACACCCGCTGGTGGCGAGGCAACCCGGTCGCGGGGCATACAGCCTCCTTCGCGGCTCGGAAAGAGATCAGCCTATGCGAACATCTTTGGACCCGAGATCGACGACCTGCGTGATGTTCTTGTAGCTAGGGACACTTGGCTAAAGGGTCAAGATGTCACAATTCCGAGCAGGCAGACGCTGGCCTTCGCCATTCAACAATCACGCGATCTCGACCAATGCGACACTGGGAGCAATAAGGACTCGGCACCAGAAGGGGAGGACGACGCCTTTATGATGGGTTCGTTGTTTGACACGGTGCGTAATCACCAAGTTTTGGAGCCAATTGGCCGGAAGACTGTCTATGAGAAGTACCTGTTACATGACATGCCAGCGCACACGGTTGTTCTTGGTGCTCGGGGAAAGCAAACCAAATTTGGGCTTGATTATCTCTCCCCCTTGGATATGGGGAAAGCCTGGCTCGATCACGAGAAGCCCGGTGGTGGTCAAACATTGCAGGACGGAGAACCGGCTACCCAAAAGCGATATCATCAAGCCTGGCTCCTCAATGTCGGAGAAAAGGTCCAGTGCTTCGCATGGGCTGTTTCGGCTCGTTCGGTGCAGTATCTTGCCATTGCCGTCAAATGCACCTCATCCCAGAGACGAATGGCAATCTCTGGGAGAGAATGTGAGCGCCCGGCTTTCCATCCCTCACCAGCTTATTCGAGCAGCATTCAGATCTGGGCCTTTCACACAACACCCACCAGTGTCGAGAGCGTACGGACACTGGCAATGGACGAGGAGCCCAGCTTAGCGGTCGTGATTGGGACTGAATGGGGTAACATCCGTCAGCTCAGGTGGTGCCAACTCGACCCTGACACAGAGACCCTCCACAAGAACACCGTCAATCCGACTATCGGTCTCCTTGCGGCTATCTCAAGCGACGGCCACGCTCGTGTTATCGCCGTGCGGCGTCCCGAAAGTCGCAAGGCCAGGACAACACCAATCACCATCCGGGTGGAGAGGGCTGGCTTCGACATTCCGCCTCCACGGGACACTGTCTTCACGACGCTGGCGTTCGCCGGACCCACGAACCTCATGCTCGGTACCGCAGACGGGTTTCTTCATTCCTTCGATTTGACTGAACCGATGATGAGTCAAGGAGCGAACAATATCCCAAAATGCTATATGAAACAACAACTTCACCACACGCACGTCATTTCCGTCTGCGCGGCCTCGCCTGGAAGCCCGCAATCGACGTTCCTGGCCAGCACTTCTGCGTCTGGCGATCTCGCCCTCACCGACCTGCGCAGTCCCGAACATGACTGCATCCACGTGCCTCGCCCCAGTTTTCCGACGCGAGACCTCATCTACGCTCCCTTTACACACTCGTTCATCACATTGTTGGATTCCAGTGGAAACACCCAGATGGAGAGGAACGCGGCCACATTTTTGGTGTGTCACCACATCCGACAGTTCCCGAACTTGTTGAAGGTTGCCAGACTGCCGCACGACACGGGCGCGGCGACCGCGCTGACGGGCTCACAATGGCACCCGTGTATTCTGGTCGGCAACGCGAAAGGTCAAGTCCTCGCGACAAACTACCTGCGCAAGGTTCTCCCCTACCGCAAATCCGACCCCAAGAAAGCCGTGTGGGCGTACTTGCAAAAGATTTGCGAATATGATTGGCGACCGCTGACGCCGCAGGAGCGCCGGAGCCAGAGCCAGCGCCAGAGCCAGAGACACGGAAGAGACAGGGAAGACGGTCCACCACCACCACCATCACCGTCACGGGCTGCCATCGAACCAACCACCCAGGAAGACATCGACATCTACCACGGCCACGACACCCGCGCCGGCATGTCCCGCTTCCACGAAGGTTTCAAGCCCGAGAAAATCGAAGTCGCACCCTTCCAGCCCAGCGCCAAAAGATCGAAAAAGACCGCCGCGAGTGGCGAGTTGGGCCAGGCCGTCTTTGAAGAGGAGCAGGCCGTCACCGCGCTCGAGTGGAATCCCAACTCCACATGCGCGGGCATCGTGGCTATCGGGTGGGCGAGCGGTGTGGTGCGCGTGCAGGATTTGGCGTATGACTTTCCCTCCTCCGCCTAGTGAGCCCGCCGTGAGGAGATGAGATGAGATGGAGTCAAGATGAGTCTGAAGTTCAGCGCTGTGTATATAGGAGCTTAAAGAGCCAGACCACTTGGCCGTGATAGAGCCGGTTTGGAGGAAAAAAGGGGAATCTATCCGAGCCTTTGCACCTTGTTCAACGTTTAGAGAGGTCACTGATTGACATTTCTGTGTGACTACAGACAGCTCGGCTAGCTAGCTACTGTAGCTCGTAGCTCAATGTGCTCTCTTGTCTTCTCTTTTCCTCTCATCCGCTTCACGATTTCTGCCTTTTGCTGAATTGTTTCCTTTCTTTACTTTCCAAGCTCCTGTTCTCTGTGTCTGCAAAAAGCAAAAGCACATTTCTCCGTGAGAAGCTCCGATCATCTTTTCGACACATTGTGTGATGGACGACTTTTTCCAGGAAAACAGCGCTCATCAGATCCTAGGTAGTGTACATGCACAACACAATGGAGTCCAGTCCAGCCCATGCTTCCTCAAGATGTTTTCCCATTTTTTCTTCCATTACTCTCATATGTTCGACACATTTTCTGCTTTTGGTTCCATACCTCTGGGACATCATTTGCTTTTCCATGTTTCAAACGCTTCATGCAATGCTGGAATCGATATCGCTGGATGGTCAAGAGACGGTGGACGCCAATTTCACCCATACCCTCCCCCACCCCCTGAATCGAAAAGGGAAAACAATGCTGGCCATGAGATTTGAGAAATGCAAAGGTCCGGCAACCCCGTGTAGGATCTGCCGACGCAAGCCCTTGTGTCTCACACAATTTGAAGCAAGGAGTAGAATCGACAAGATATCTAGCTCTTGTTCTCGCCTCGGGATGCACCTCCGCCGCCGCCGCGACCGCCTCTCGGTCCTCCTCGACCACCGCCGCCACGATGACCATCTCCTCGCCCTCCGCGACCGCGTCCTCTAAACTCGCCGCGTCCACCGCGTCCGCCCCGGCCCCGGCCCCGTTCACGGCGCACTTGCTCAAATCCATCGTTCTCCTGAGCAGGCTTTTCCTCGGCAGTGATGGCAGCAGCGCCCACTTCTTCGGCCCAGCTGTTGGATTGGATTGCGGCAGGAGTAGCTGCAAGACCCGTCTCAGTCTCTGCAGGAACACGAGGCACTTGGACCCATTCTTCGTTGGCAGCGCTGGTATCGGTCACCATGGATGCCTGCGGGTCCCATGCCTCAGCGACCGCATTTGCGGCTTCTTCTCCAGTTGTGATCTGTTCTGGGATAGAGGGAGTAACCTCAGGCTCAGCAATTTCATTGACGGTCTCGTCAGTCTGGATAGCAGTAGCATCGGCAAGTTCAGTCAGACCAGCATTGGCCACCGTGTTGTCAATTCCTAATTCTGCTGCAGCGGTTGTAGCTTCTTTTTCCTCGACCACCTCTGCAACTTCTGGTTCCGTGCTTTGCACCGCATCTGGGGCACTCTGCAAGGCAGACTCTTTGATCTGTGCGAAAGTGAAGTCGAGTGGTTCACCATGGACGTCTGGGACTTTCTCGTCTGTACCATAGATGAGACTCTGCAGTGTCGAAAGTGAAGACTCGTTCCCTTGATAGACCAGGAGGAGAGCGCCTTCAAAAGCACGACCCTCTTCGGTATCTGCCTCTTCGGACTGACGCTTTGACGCGGCCGTGTGCAAAAAGTGTGTGATGACTCGTAGGCCATCTTCAACAGCCTTTGTTTTGATATCTTCGATCTCTTGCAGCGCCTTCTCCTTTACAGTTGCAATCTCGGCCTCGTGTGCTTCGATCAACTTTGACTTCTCTTTGGCGGCCTTTTCTTCAAGTTCCTGAGCGAAAGCGCGGAAGTGGGAGAGCTGTTCTTCGAGTTGGGCGACCTGATTCTGGAGGCCAGGCTTTTTCAGAATCTGGTTCTTTTGATCGGCGTTGAGCTTCTTCTGTGCAACAAGATCGTCGAGGGAGACATTGGGATTTTCACTTATGACGGCGTCAGCTTTGGCGGAAGCAGCAATCTTCTTGTGCAGGTTGCGGATATTCCTGATTAAGCATGGTCAGTCTTTGCATCATCTTGTGAATTGGAGATGAGCTACTTTGTCAGTTCTTTGATGAACGGGCTCTCCGCATGGGAATCGACACCATTCGTAGTAGGATGGGTTTCGGGAGCAGGAGCAGTTTCGACGGTCGGAGTCACGGCATCACCGTTAGCAGCCGCAGCTTCAGCTTTGGCTTTGCGCTTCTTTGCAGTCTTGGACTCGACCGGAACAGTGCCAGCAGTCGACATGTTGATCAGACAAGGGCAGGATTATTGGTTTCGAGAGTAAGTGCGGGACTGGAGGAAGCAATGCCTGGGTTTACACAAGTGGCTGCTGTTTGTGGGGGGAGTGTAAGTGGGATGGAGGAAGCGTAAGTGTTAGATAGTGTTTTGAAAGGAAGTGAGGTTACGGTACAAGCTTGAATGGAGCGATGAAGCTGCAGTCAAGAGGAAAAGAAGATTTGGATGGTTGTTGCAACGTGCTCGCGTGAGGCTCTTGACAAAAACGAAATCAAATCAAATAGTCCCAGAGTCGCCAAGCAACAGTCCAAACCATTGACCAGGCCGCCCTTTCACGAGGCTCCAGAATCTTCTTCTACAAGACAAGGCTACAGTTTAGAAGTGCTCTGTACATGGTATTAAGGTGTCCATGTCTTTCAATCGTGACTATCTGGGTATCCAATCCCACAGAGTGACTCATCAGCCTCCAAGCTAAGCGTCGTCCGCCGCCCCAGACTCATCGCAACTCGGATGGAAGTAGCATCAAAAGCGCAGGCAAACGTGCCACTATCCTGCCCAGATCACAGGGCGTCCAACAGTGTGACGGTATCCTCTAACGGTGTTTGCGGCAGGCAAGGATCTTGAAGAGTTTCGTTGCACCGCATTGCTTCTGTGCCTCCTTCAGACAAGATCAATTCCATCAGTGTGGCTCGGCTTGTCTTTTGTTTTGCTTCTGAACCCTTTGTGGCTTCATTCAAGCCCTTGCAGCTTGTTCTTGCACGGAAGTTCTTGGGTAGGACGTGTCCTCTAGATCAAATGGTGATGTGAGGGTAGGAGCTCGTGGCTGTATGTTGGATCACGGCATGGTTTTGCTGTTATCCCAAATCTTAGATGGTTCAGCCCTTGAATCGCCGTAAAGTTGTCTACCATAACAATCAGTATGTGCCTCGTACTCTTCGCCCTTCACAACACCTGAACGTACTATGGTAGCTTTCCTGATGTCCTTTGCCGTAATAGTTTTATTCCTCTCCGAACGCGCTTTGTGAGTCGCAGTCTGCATGAGCCTACATAAGCCCTGATGTCAGTGAATTGACTGTCAAAAGAGGTACAGTGTTGGACGGACTCCTCTATGAATAGGATGTAGTTGAGGTAAACCAAAGGATCGACATCAGTAGCGACTCTCTTTCTGGAATGAGCCTTGACTATCTTTCGCAGGGTTGACCGGGAATAGTTTCTGTTTGACGGTGTCATGATGATGTGGGAGAATACCTTGATAGGTACCGTCGTTGATTGTCAGAGGGAAGTGGCGTGTCTTGTGATTGTTGTGAGCAGACAGCGGGGAGCGACTTGTCAACACAGCGGCGCCTGCAATGAAGTGACCTCGGTTGGCATGGCCGTCGGCGAATGTTATTATGATTGATTGGCCGACCTTGATTCCCTGCGCAGCCTGTAGAGGAACTGCCACGTGATCGTAGAGTCGAGTCTTGGCATTACAGCTTCGACCAATTAGAAGAGAGCCATGGAAGCACCCTATTAAGAGGTCTTCTACTGCCTCTGCTATACCGGAATTCTTCAATACCCATCTCTTCCTCCTATAAGCTATAAATTGGCTATTCTGCCGAAAAGGGATCTAGATACTATATCTATCCGTTTGATTCGCCTTTCAAGGCCTAAGATTGTTCGTACTTCATACAACCCCCGACTACCGAGTACCGGGTATCTACCTAGGTACCTCGTAGATGTGCTTGAGCTCTGCTTGGGCTCTGCTTGGGGTCGGTTACCAGAGCGCCGGGATTCCGAAAGCCATCGAACTTGACCTCAATAGGCATTTGCTGTTCACACACTGGCTACCACGGTCCTGTCCTCATTCTCCCCTTCGCGTCATTCTTTAGATGTGACCTTCAACACGCTCAAAGATTGTAGCTCGCACGTGGTATAGGAGTCCGTTCTGCTCGACGTCCAATGGCCTCTCCTATCGTGATCCAGTATAAAGGGACTGTGGAAGTGACCATAGAACCCGGCCAGGCATTTGCGCACTTTTCTTTAGCTGCTGCTTCCATCATCATCCTCAGCCAGTGAAGATCAGCCCAGGGCGCACTTGCTTTAGGAGGCCCAGGCCAGTCGAAGGCACCAACATGAACAGTCCAAGACCATCGCCATCACCATCACCATCTCTCGTCCCCTCCCCCCCGTCCCTCATCCCTGTTCTGCCGGCTCGCCCGAGTCAATCAATACCTACGAGGTATTCGCTCCGGCTACATAATTGGCGCAATTCCTCCCCGGAATCTGGCCCTCATACAGCGGCGCTCTTTAGCCTCGTTAGCCTGCACGGTCTGATTTGGAAAGTGCCCAGTGGATTACATTATCGCGTTGGTCAGGCCTCCCTCGTGCCTCGCCGACCGAGCCCCTCCTGACCGATGGTAGACACCTACCTACCTAGGTAAGAATGGAAAACCTGGGATTGAAAGTTATGTATGCATCCATAAACTTTGAACACTGATTTTCCGTCCAAGAGATATTTGAGCCCGCCATGGCATCGGCTACTCTCAAGATTGTCTTCCACGAGGGGCCAGACAAGGACGGACAGGGTGCTGGCTTGAGTGCCAAAGAACGACGCGCACATGCTGCTCGAATTGGGCACCTTAAGTCGGCGCAGGGAGCCAGCAAGACAGTACACAAGAAACAGCCTCCAAAATACGCTCCCCAGTATTCACCCCCAAAGACACAAGCTCTTTACAGACTGAACGTCCCAAAGCCAGACCGTGCAAGTAGTTCGAGCGTGAGCTCCAAATCATCCAGCTCTGAGAGTTCTCGTTCATCCGACGAAGAAGAACCATTGACGCCCCCTTCGCCGCTGGTCCTCAATGGCAACTCCGATCCCTTTACCATGCTACCGATCGTCATCACGCCACTTGTGAACCAATGTTTGACTTTCATGCGAGAGGCGCTATACCCAAGCATATACTACAGTACCTTCTTCCGTCGCCTCTATGGCACTTCGCATGGCCCGATCAACGTGCTCCAAGATAGCACCTGGCTACCCGCTCAGACTGCACAACAAGACTGGGGGACCGCAGCAAGCAGCTTGCATTCTGAAGGGCATGCGATGGCCTGTATTGCGAGCTTCCTCAGCAACATGGCCCCTCTGATGCCTGAGTCAAACCGACTCAAAATCAGCCGCGAAGCTCTAATCTATACCACTAAGAGCTCGCACTTACTGCGACAATCTTTAGACAAGTTACCCAGTACCGACAGCAAAAATGCCCTGCTCCGAGACCCAAGCCTCATTTACCACGTCTTCTGGCTGTTCCGCGCTGCCGTCTTCTCCGAGAACAGAAATTCGGTGGCAGTGCACGGCAAGGTCCTGGCTCAAAGCATTATGCAAGGTTTTAATGATGGTGTCGTTGACCACTTGACCATCATACAAGCTATCAATGCTGACTGTGATGATGCTACAAAGTTCATGCGTCGTACCCATTTCGATCCAGACTGGTATCGGACGATTGTTCAGCCTATATGGACCATGGCCGAATATATACTGCCTCCTGTTCCCGAGGCCCTCTACGTCAATATCAACCCTACAATCGAATTACCTGAACTACGAGAGATATTCATCAACTCGCTCCACCAGGCCGCGTACTGTGAGGACGGATCGCAAGTGCCCGACGCAGCATGGGGTCCACACGAGCAGAGACAGCTTGCATTCGCTTGGTTCGCCACTCAGAGCGAGTACACCATGTCGAAACTTCTCAAAATCTATTTTGATCTTCGAGGTGGTAGACATTCATCGCAACATCATACAGAAGCGCAGCAAGTTCTTGCACCTGGTCAGCGTCTGACACAGATTGGACTGGCCTTGGGGTTACTATTCTATCATCGCGTCCTGGGCCACGAGACCAAAATCAATGGCCAAGACATTCGAGACTCGTCACCGGAGATCATACGGCATCTGAGAGCGGTAATGCAGCAGATCTCAATTGTTGCCACCGAAGAAGAACAGCAGAAGTACAGCGAGGCGCACGCGTGGCTTTACTTCTTAGGCGCATTTGAAGAAGAACGGAAGGGCACGTCGCCAAAAGACACTTGGTTTCGGCGCCGCCTCGCCGAACATGTCAATCTCTCCAAGGAGAAAGGCTGGAACACGTCATCCAGCTGGAAGGATTACCGACGCATTTTCCATTCGTTCCTCTATTCCAACTGGGCCTACCCGAGCGGGTCTACGTGGTTCGAGCGAGTCGTCTCCATGTATAAAAGCCCAGAAACTTGAGAAGTCTGCGCGCTGTTGGTAATACCAAAAGCTTTTGCAGAGTCACATCCGGACCAAGGCACATGTCGCCTCGCAGACTGACCTTCATCATGGCTATTCCAGCCACGAAGGATACGAAGCTGTCTTAGTATCATGTCCAAGCGTCGACGCAGCTATCATGCCCAATACGACGGCTAGGCCATGGTCAACAGCAACAGAAGGAGCAAGTCAGTCGCCGTTCAGAGAGCGGGTCACACACACGATACGTCGTTCCTACTGCCACCGGACTATTTTCTCTTGGCTTTGAGAACGTGTGAATGACTACTCGATGACAGATCAATGTCGAGCTGTGTCGGGAGGACCGACGGGCCTCACGCTCCTTTCATCAGAGTTTGTCTGTCTGCGCGTGCTGAACCGCTGCCAATCAAATCCAGCACGACGCCCCCAACTACAAAGACGGCTTCCATATGGAATTGAGGACAGTTTTACACTCAGCGAGAAGTCTGAGGGGTATTGATTGCGGGAATCCCTACCTAGGTTGGCCTTGAGATCACATTCCGGATCAGCTCCTTGAATGCTCGAGTGACCCAATGCCAAGCTGGTGTGTAGACGAGTTATACTTCCCGTGCGGAACAAGGACAATATGCTGATAGAATTCACCCCAGACCGCTGGCCAGACATCTTCATGGTGCTACACATACCCATGTTTCTTACTGTCAGGATGCACGCGGCTTCTAGGCTATCAACTTCAGGTTCGTCATCAGGTGCAGCGCCGTCTTTGCTCGCTCTCGCACATCCAGATCGAGATCTGTTTCCATCTTCCTCAGATGCGAGACGAAGCCGACCTTTTGCAACTCGATGGCTCGGTGCCTGCATCCCGCCCGATCGTTCGCGTCGTCCTCGTACGTCAAGTTGATGGCGATCCAACAGCACGTTGACCGAATCTCTCGGTCTGCGTGGTTGCAGAAGGTCAGGATTTGCTTGAGCAGTGCGTGTTGGGAGGCGATCACGTTCCGCCACTTGGGATCGCAAGCCGCAATATGTACCAAGACATACAGAACTTTCGCAACGATTGTATTCGGCGGTGGTGTTGTGTAGTTCTCCTTCCGCGTAGGCCCAGCCAGCGTGCGTGGCCGTAGTCGATCGAGCATGATCCGAAAAAAGTCGTCCTGCCCCATTTCGTCAATGACATACCTAACCAGATCGGAAGCATTGTCGCCGCAGAAAAGGTTTCGAAGCAGATCCAGCAGCTGTGCTTGGATCTGAATGTCATCGTCCACGCTGTGCTTGGTGTCGAATCCACCGGTGTGCTGGGATGTCGTCTCGGAAGCTCCACTCGCGTGTTCCTCATTCTCGTCATCCTGCTCTGAGCCTTCCCCCATGAGGACGTCTGAGGGGTTGTCCACCGAGGCGGCAGAACGCCTGTATGTTGTGATCGGAGGGTAGTCTCTCTCCACAAGTCCAATCACTTCGCCCTCCGGGATGTCGATGGGATCCGTCTTGATTAGCAGCTTGATCCAGCTGCAACCCAATTCGTCCACGACCTCCTGCTTGAGCTTCTTTTTGGCGTGGAGCACAAGTTGTTTAAGAGCCCACAACGACTCATGCCGAAGGCGAGCGCTTGCCGAATGGGCCTGCTCGCACAACTTCTTGACTACCGTCGATTCGCCCACGCTCTCTTTGACTGCGCTGAAGTCCATGGCCAAGTTGGTGAGAACCTTCGTGGCCGCGATTCTCAGCTCTGGATTCGTCGAATTCATCAGCTTGAGGATCGGTTTGGCAACCTCCGCCTCGATGAGCTTCGTGCGCAGCGCCCGAACAGACCTTCCTACTGCTCTTACAGCTGCGCATGCGGCCAATATTACGGAAGCTGAATTTCCCGCCATCTCAATTTCCTGTTTCGAGTCATCTTGAGTCCCACAAGGCTCCAAAGCCTGAATGATGTATGGCAAGACACTCTCGTTGCAAATTTGCTCGCGGTAGTCCTCCTCAAATGGAGCAATAGCTGCTAGTGCTTGCAAACAACCTTCTCGATATTGCATTTCCCTCCTGGCTGTCCAGGTTGGCCCCCCGGGACCGATGCTTGTACCGAGCGTTATTGAGTCGGTCTCCATCTTGTCCGATTTGTGTGGACGCCAGGGCGATGACTTGCGACCCGAAGGCGCTTCAAAGGTCATTTTCAAACCGATTGACAGATTGACAATGGCCTTGCCCTCGACAGCCACTTTCTGCATCTCGCGATCGTCCATTATAAGCGCAGCTAGTACTGCGGGGACGGCCCGCGCGTAATGCATGCCAGAACAAAGATACGTCCCGTTGGGCTGATATGATGCGTCGATTTGCGCTAGATCTGGATCCAGCATCCGCGTCAAGAGCGGTACCAACAAGGACGAAAAGGACGATCCGCGATCCTTTTTGACGAAATGCAGGCTGTGAAGGTTGACCAGTAATCTTGCCGCCAGAAGACGGCGTCTTCCACGCGAGTCCCGGACGATGTATAATAGCCACGAAATGATGGCGCTCTCTTCAACATCCTCTGCAGCGTCTTGATTATTCAAGCTCAGGTTTGGAACTCCGGTCGCTGTTGGGAGAAAGGATGGTCGGCGCTTGGGCATAGCCGTGACTGAGCTAAGTGGAGGAAAGCCTGGCTGGGCAGCATTGGCCTTTTCGGATATTGGTGCGATTGGGAGAAGAGAGTCGAAAGGCCCATGCAGCCGTGAGCGCGGGACTGCAGCGCCTGAAAGATAGTTGGCTCCCCACGGCGCCCTTCGGATATCCGACGGTGAGAAGTCGTCTTTAAGGTCAGGGAGTACAGCCTTGATAGTAGGATCTGTTAAGAATGCCCTCGTCCGTGATTTGGAGCCCTCTACCAACACGCATAGCGCCTCTAGAACTGGGGAAAGGTGGGCACACGGCGGGGCTGGCTCCGGAAGAGCAGTTGGGATACTACCATCGCCGTCGAAAAAAGCCTCTAGGCCGGGAGGCACGAGCCCTTCAGCGACCACAAATGATGCCAACCGGGTCGAAAGTAACGTCAAGACCCCCGTCTCGCTCAATGCACGTTTCTGAGCCTCGTGCGTCACGGTTTTGCATAAAAGAGCCAAGACAGAATCACAAGCCTGTTGTGACGCCAGGGTTGCATTCGCACTTCCGATTATGTTTCCAAAGCATTGTATGTATTTCTTTGAGTACAGGAGATCGGCGAGTTTTGAACTTTGCGGCCAACTGCCCGGAGTCGCGGAAGGGAGATTATCGGCGACGGCGTTGAGACACTTGAGGATGGCTAGGCGGGTTCTGGGAGAGAGCTGTCGGAGAAGAAAAGACACCAGTCTTTGCAAGACATCAGTTTCAAGTAGCGGTTGTACAAAGGAGGGTCCCTCTGTTGTTCAGCAGGATTAGCATCACATCAGGCAGGCGAGAGACAGGGTGCGCTGACCGTGGGCAATGACACAAAGGATCTGGGCAGCCTGGGTGGTCAACAACTCCTCGTGTTCGAGATGAGCGTCGCCTGCAGCCAGGCCAGTTTGCTGAGTGGCAACATCGGCCAGAATCTTTGCGAGCTGGGGGAGGAGGCCGTTCTGGATGTATTCGACCTTGCGCGAGACATGCCCAGTGAGGTCATATTTGATTCTTTTCAAGGCTTGCAACTGGGCTGAAGACCCCTCCGCGGCAGTGAGATCCTGCAAAGCAGATCTTGCAAGCCTGAGCGATGCCATGCGAGGAAGAAGAAGGACATGAACAAGGAGGACTCGGGGTGCTCGGTATAGTTGCAGTCAACCACGCGAGTCACCAGTGTCGTTGTAAGGTTGGCCTCGCTGGGTGGGTGTGGGGGACGTTGTGGCAGTCTGGGAGAAAATGTCTGGATCGGATGAGGTTTCCTGACAGCGGAGGAAGACTGGGGACGTGATTGGCAGGAGTTGTAAGGAGGTACCGAGTACTTCTGGCCAGAGTGAGAAAGGGTAGCGACAGCCCTTGTCCACCATGAGACCAATGGTATTGGTGATATATCGCCGGCTGTATATTCCGGATGGATTGTGAGAAACCATTCGAGGCTCAAATATGAAAGAGAAATAAAAAACTCAGTCTGACGGCGACGCCTAGCCCCGATGGCTATGGCGGCACCATTGCGGCACGAAAAGCGAGTCTTGGTCAGACCGGTCCACTCTTTTCTAGGGCAGCTGCACCCATCATTGGGGGGCACGGGGGGTTGGACTAGCAGCCTGGCGCCCCCAGTCATCGCCTAACCACTTGCCCCGAGATGGTTTGTCGGGCTGTGGAAAATCTGGACAAATGCGCTTCTTTGGCGTCGCCTCGTGCCAGCGCCGATCTCTTGCTGGGTTCTCATCATCCATGAGCTGATCCCCCCATGGCCCATATGGCGCAGAATGCACTTTTGCTATATTAATTCGCACACATGCACCTTGTTTGCCTGTTTCTTTGTTCTGTCCCCCCCGGACTAGACTTGCTATCTTATTATCAAGTTGTATAATCACCTCAAGATCCTGTCTTTCGCCTCATGCGCCCCTCGACACTCGCTCCCGCCAGCTATCCTCTCTTGCAGCCACCTCCTCCGTTCTCGGCATCCTCGCCGTCGCCTCACTCATCACTGACTTCTGCTACCCAGCCGATGCGACACATCCTACGTCCATGAGCAGCTCTCAGCGCCGGGTTCACCTTCCGATGTCGAGGTTCTTTGAATATGCTAGCAACATCCCCATCCCCTAATATCCCACCGACGACCACCCTCGAGTCGGGTGTTGCCGTATACTCCTCCTCGAGTCGATCGCAGTATGATCACTCGACGATCACAATTGTTAATCCTCGAACTGCCACCTTAGAACAGGCCAACAAAACCCGCAAACGCCCTCCCTCCCACGATCTGGACTTCCAGAAGCCCCGCAGGATACCCAGTACACGATCTCTCGATCGCTACAAATATTCCCCCCGGCCACAACCCCGCGTGAAAATGGTTGATGCTGCGACCCAATATTCTCCTCCAAACCAACAGAAAGCTGAACAGACTCCGACCAGTACAATTGCTGGCCTGCAACTATCCGAAGGCGAGGACCAACCAGCCAAGACGGCACCCCTCCCATCGGCCGCGAAGCGACGTGATGGCACAGCTACTAGTCCTTCCAAACCGGAGAGCACTTCGAGTTCAGGCCCGACCAAGAGAGTGGCTCCTGAACCCCCGGCTGAGCCAGAAGTGTGCGAAAATGGAGTCGAATCTGAAGAGACGCAGAACACACAGCACTCCCCTGTGAAAAAGGCACGCCCGGATGCCCCACCACCACGGATAATGCCACTGCGATATGAGACCTGCAACACCCGGGATCTGGTCTTGTTAATATCCTCCATGCTGATGGAACTCATCCGCTACAACGATGCCATCCCCCTCCGAGAAGGCCAGCTCACCCGCTTCCACTCACGGGCTCCTCCAGGTATTTCGGTTCCGGACTACCTCCAAAGATTGACCACTCACGCCACCTTGTCTCCACCCATATTGCTCAGCGTCGTCTATTACATCGACCGCCTCTGCGCGCTCTATCCCGCATTCACCATCAGCTCCCTCACCGTACATCGATTCCTCATAACGAGCGCCACGGTCGCGAGCAAAGGACTGAGCGATTCGTTTTGGACTAACAAGACCTATGCCAGAGTGGGCGGCGTGAGCATGAAAGAGCTCGCGCTATTGGAGCTTGAATTTCTCACCCGAATGGAGTGGCGCATCGTGCCGAAACCGGAGGTTTTGGTGGATTATTATAAATCGCTGATCGCGAGAAACTCGCAGTATCAGCTCGAAGGTACATAGCCTCATCCACGCACTTTGATGTGGAAACATTTTTTTAACCACATTGACTTCCCATGTCTGTTGTGTAGCCAACTAGCAGATAGCTGGGAAATTGGGTATCTCAAAGCTGGAGGACCACTATTTATGTGCACAAGGGAGAAAAGATCAGTGACGGAAATCCAGGATACCCTGAAAGTGTCTTCCCGAAACGAAAAGGGAGCAGATTTGGACGGCCGATCATAATACCATTTTGTACTAGAAGATGGCAACATCATGCCATCCCCACGAGAATATTATTGATACACATTACAACGTTTTGAAACTCTTCACGAGTGCCCATCCATCCACGTTTCGCAGAAGTTCTTTGTAGTCATTGCTCGCTGTCCCAAGCCACCACATAAAGTAAGCTGTCGCCTGTATTATTGCAGGGGTTGATGTGAGAAACATGGACATGACACCCAGGGCGCCATCTATGAAAAATGCCGTACGTTTCCTCGAGGTCCCCCCCCCCAACTCCCGGAAAGCTGCAAGTCTTTGAGCTAAACAGGTGCACACGGCATAAGAATCCAAATACCTCGTACATTCAAGGCCACTACCATGTTTCTGTTGGACCGGAGATGATGTCCCCATTCCCCACCGGACAGAATCGAAATACCTCGTACATTTCAGAGCTGCTCCCCTTGTTGGATCAAAGGACGAGATGCCCGCCTATGTATCACGAAGCCCGGAACTCGGCGGCGCGAACTTCAAGCCCGGTTCTCACCCTTTTCTCCCCGCTTCACCTCTTCCTCGTTCTTCTTCTTCTCGTCTTCCACGAACGACGTGGCTTCTCGGAAGCAAACGTGCCACGAATGGGGTTCTGTTTCATTGCTGTGGGTGGAATCTAGAACAAAGAATCTCCGATAGAGATGCGCATTCGCCGCCGTCCACCCGACGAACCATTCAACTAATGTCTTGTCCCGTGCTTTGACAGCCTTGTCATCAAAGTCCGCACTGTTCCAATCGCCAAAGACTGGCAATGCTGAGGGCGACTGGATCAAATCGGAGCTCTGGTCCCAGGGCCGGGCGTGGGCGAATTCATCAGGGTTCAAAATAGCACGACTTTTGTTCATGTTCCATGACGCTTCCAAGGACAGCAGGTTTAGTTGATTGATGGCTTTAACGATCTTGACGTACCTAACGGAGGCTAAGCAATTGGACATGATTGATAGGAGGCGAAAACTTACTCGTCTGGTGTTCCATCACGGCTTTCCTTCAGCCTCCGCAAGAGCCAGGAAGTGATGTCAGGGAAAAGTGCCAGCCTCCAAGATGGCATTCTCGGGTCCAATCGTATTCGCAGCAGGAACCACTCCAATACCCACGACGTCTCTTGCGGATGACGAATAACAGTGTCTTCTGTGATGCACAAGACCATCCCCCGCGGAAAGAGTCTCGGCCAAGGACTTCGCTGGTCAAGTCTGGGATCTTTTAGCTGGCGGGATGGGGGCGGGGATGAGAAGGGGAGCTCGTAGCAGAAGATATATCCAGACCGGAGCACTTTGTAGAAATGGGGGAGATCGCAGTATGCTTTGTGCTCCTCGTGAAATAGTATAGCGGCAGCCTTGGTGGTGAGAGCTTCTCGAAACTCGTCCCAGTCGTCCGTCTCCGAATCAATGAACACCTGACGCGGGTTCAAATGCGTATGCAGCCATTCTTTCACTGCTCGAGCTTCGGCTGGGTGAGTCTTCCCAAAGCATATAAATACCCGTGGCCTGCGTTGTAATCTATCCCCCTTACCAAACAACTCGTCGAAACTGACGGGGAACGCCAATCGCTCTATCGCAGGTGGTTTGGCAGTCGGGTCATCCGTCGGTCGTCCAGATGGGGATGTTTTACCGATTGACGCACCATCCTGCGCTGAACTTGCACCTTCATCTGCCGTTGTTGTTGCTGCCCTTGGTGCTGATATGGGAGATTCGACTGAGCTCTGCACATGAGAGCCCACCAAGCCCGTGCCCGTCTTTGCCAACGTTGTTGTCGGTGTCGTCGTTTTTGATGCTGATAGTTCGACTGGGCTCTGGACATGGGAGCGCACCGAATCCGTACCCAAGTTTGCCAACATTGGTGATGTTGTTGTTAATGCTGGTAGTTCGACTGGGTTCTGCCGCCACGCGCCTGCATGCCATGTTATGGAGGTTCGAAGTGGAGGCCGTGTGGATTGAGTCGCAGTTATTGGCAATCCTGTATCTTGTTCGCTGGCCGAGGGTAGGTCGTCTCGATCATTTTCCAGATAGATCCCAGGTAGCTTATTGCGGACAACAAACTTCAAAGCGTTTTCAGATTCGTTAACCGCCTCTTCCCCCGAATCTCCCCATCCAGGAGCTCGACTTGAGTGCAGAATCAGGACGAGACTATTCCGGGTTTGAGGATATTCCCAGACTGCAGCCAAGTCATTCTCTTCCAGATATTTGCATAGATCTTCTATTGCTCGCCGCTTGTCACCTTGAGCCTGGACTGAGAACGTTCCGTGCTGCTGCCAGTGTAGCTTCGCTCATCAGTAAGGCAAATTTCATAAGACAAGATTTCAACTTACGTCTAAAGAAAATCTAGAGTATTGCTGTGCGTTCATAACCCACTTGTGTTTGAACTCAATTGTCGGAATATGTCTGCCGATGTCTTTTGCGGTGCCTCGAAGTTTGCCAGCCAACCACCCCGGTAAGTCAACCAATGTCACAATACCTACATCGTGGTCTTGAAATCGTAGAAAAACATCAAGATTAATTTTCTGTCCGAGACTTGTGGTCCTCGCAGTCATTCGGTCAAATCTTGAAGTCATCGAGTCTTTGGACGAACTAAGTTTGAGGGAACCATCTACAGGCCGTGACTGAACAGCTGATATGTCCACGGCCGTTGAACAGAGGACAGCATAATCATCCCTCGGCGCTGGGAGAACATTTGCACTGTTCGAGCGTGGGCGGGAGACGGGTGGCCGTCTCTCAGCGTATGGGGTTATTGGTGCCGCGGACGGCATCGAATCGCGGGACTTGGCTCTAATAGTTGAAGGTCGCCTCTCGGTCAAGGAGTTTCTGCGAGGACTCTTTGTTGGGCCCTCATTTGCAGCTGGAACACCTGCTGCCGCGGACGGTATCGAATCGCGAGACTTGGCCCTGACGCTTGAAGGTCGCCTCTCGGTCAAGGAGTTTCTGCGAGGACTCTTCGATGAGTCCTGGTTTGCAGCTGGATCCTCTGGCGCAGAGGGCGCTGTCGGGATGCTTGGCAATGACCCCATGGCCAGCAGTGGTGAATCGCCATGTATGCTCTGATTGGGACGCTTAGAGTATTCTTCCAGCGTCTGCTGATTGTCGACATGAAGCAGCTCCGTCTCATTGTCTTCCGGAACAAAAAGGGGAGAGCCCTCGGGTCCATGTTTTGGAGTAGCATCTTGAATTTTGGATGCGGGCTCTATGCTTCCGGACACAGACCAAGCGTCTGGTTCTCTTAGATCCAGTTTTGATATGTCTGGTGCGGGTTCTCGACCTGCTAGTTTTACAGCCTGATTCTTCTGTCTCAAACTTCTGAACCTCTTCCCTGCTTTGGCATCTTCTGCATTTGTTGCTATCGATGCAGAAGGAACATTCCCTGTCTGTTTTGTAACGGCCGAGGTGTTCGGGCCAGAGTGCGTTTTCTGTTTGGGTCTGAGCATCGGCATCGCACTAGTTTTACTTTGCTGGGGTCCTGTATTGGTCTGACTATTTGCTCCTCCATGCTCCGCCGCAGGGAGTGGGTGGGGAACAATGTCGTTTTGCGCCAACGGTAGTGGAGCGGAAGGTGTGTAGTGCTTTTCTGGATTCGTTGTCGTAATGGGAGGCGGCTTTGCACGGACTTGCATCGATTTCACCTGGGCGGAGCCTGTTTTGGCCAGCATGGGATTTGGTGGACGTGGCCGCTCTGCAGGAACCGCGTCTAGCACTCCGGGGGCTTCCGAAGGTTCCTCCTTCACAGTCGGTGAGCCAGATAACCGTGGCCGCTTGGCTTTCGGTTGGATTACGGGTGGTGAAGATCGCCGTGGTCGCTTCGTCGTGGACAGAGAATCTGGTGACTCGGATTTTGGCGTACGACTAGACGACCGATTCGAAGCCTGCCGAGACATTCGTTTCAACGCCTCGCGACGCTTTGCCCGCGCTTCTTTCCGCGCTTCTGATGCTTGGAAATCGTTCATTCGCGCTTGTACCATTGCAAGCTCTTCCTCGTCCAGATAATCATGAGCATCGCGCTGTCGCTCCCAGTCTGTCAGAGTTGCCTCTGTTAAAAAGCTTTCGGCAGGCTCCCAAGTACATTGCTCATCACCATAACCCACCCACTTGACGAGATAGATAGGTTTGCCATTGCGTTCAGACTGATAGAGAACCCTCTCAACTTCGTACTCTGGCTCCTCTGCTGTGGAGTTGTCGCTGTCGGAGTCGGACATATTGCCCTTCAGTCCACGAGGTTGAAGGACGAACAGCAAGGAAACCTGAACAATTTCTGGGGTTGAAGCCTGTCATCGGCCAAAGGGTGACAATCCCCAGCATTCAGTGTAGACAAGATTCTGGCCTCAACGATGCGAATGAGAAACTGAGTAGTCGGGAGTTGCTACTCACAGCTTGCGCCACAGCAAACATTTTTTAGGGATGCAACTTGACGGTTTGTCTCCTTCATCATGGCTCTTCAAAGGCAACACACATATCAGTGGCCCTTTCAGATTCCATTAAGAGTGTGCGACGCGACGTCAAATCGTGGACTGATCGCACTGCGACATCGAGGTGAGGTTCAATGCCTGATCACGTGAGTGCCAAGATAGTTCCCAGGCTGCGCCCTAGCGATTGTCCTCCCGAGCAACTTGAATCATCCCAACTTCCGAGTGGGCCTTCATAACACCATTTCCAAGAGAATTGGAAACTCGCACCTTTCCGACGCTGATACCAGACTCTCCATCGCCTGCCAGTTCGTCAGTTTCGTGCTGATCAGGCCCGAGTTGTGTATTTTATCGCACTTCATCTTCCGGTGTGTGATCGAGGTTCGCCTTAAACCTCCTTGATCATGGCGAACGACGAGTACGACTTTCTCTTCAAGGTCGTTTTGATCGGAGACTCAGGCGTCGGCAAGTCGAACTTGTTGAGTCGCTTTACTCGCAACGAATTCAATCTAGATTCCAAATCTACCATCGGTGTTGAATTCGCAACCCGATCCATCCAAGTTGATACCAAGACGATCAAGGCACAGATTTGGGACACCGCGGGGCAGGAGAGATATCGTGCCATCACGTCTGCCTACTACCGAGGAGCAGTCGGTGCCCTCCTCGTCTACGATATCAGCAAGCATCAAACCTACGACAACGTTACAAGGTGGTTGAAAGAGCTGCGGGATCATGCGGATGCCAATATTGTTATCATGCTGGTCGGAAACAAGAGTGATCTGCGGCATCTACGCGCTGTTCCTACAGAAGAAGCCAAACAATTTGCCAGTCGGTGCCCCAATGGTTCCTCCGCTAGGTTCATCGAGCTGACCCAGGCGCAGGTGAAAACAATCTCTCATTTATTGAGACCTCAGCTCTGGATGCAAGCAACGTCGAACTGGCATTTCAGAACATCCTGACAGGTGAGTCCTGGTAGCGAGGCTTTTGATGACGAGTGCTAATACTTGGGAAGAAATCTACCGGATCGTCTCGAGTAAGGCCCTCGACAGTGGCGATGCAGCCCAGGCACCAACAGGCGGTGTGAAGATTGACATGACTCCCTCTGGGGCACCCGATGCCAAGGGCAACAAGTGCTGTTAGGTTGCGCAGCACGAAACATCAGTGATTGTGTCAGGAGCATGGCGTTCTCATACTTGTGCATGACCTGATTGACGATGTATTGAATGTGATCATGAATCATACGGTTCGTCGGCGGGTTACGGTGGTTTTGGTCACACGAGACAGATGCATTTTTGCTCTGTTCTGAAATCGACGACTGCCTCTCAAGGTTTCCGTTCGGACTCTTCGTGTTTCACAGGGAGTGGCATGTCGCAGGATGATACAAGGTACTGCAGAGGAAGGACTCTTCCGCTTGACGTGTAAACATCAATGGTCATTTTACATTAGAGCAAACTACACGTAGCCACAAGGGGGACCGGAATGCTGAGTTATGACCCAGCAGCCTTTCAAGGTTGCCAGTATCCGTAACCCCATACAAGCTTCTTCTGTGAGGATTAGCAACGCAGACACATTATTCTAGTCCTTTCCTTCTCGTGGTCGCGAATTGGGAAAGAAGTGACCGCGTGCCGCACATCTCATATCATGCTCGGGAGCCGTCGACCCGGCTCACTCGCTTGGGTCCTCAGATCCGTCACACACTCGCCTCGCCGTATTGGACACACGGGACGAACCCTGTGGACCTCTCGCATGAGCGCACTCTGGGCGTGGTCTTCCGTCCTCCAGAGGTTGACAGCGAAATGCCATCGAGACTCCTTTTTCAAACAAACTCGACACAGCGCCTGCTGCCGGCACAGGCTCTTTCATGCATGATGATGTTTGATCCGGACAAGTCCAATCCCCGCGTGACAAACCTGTGTTGCGTCAGCATGTCAGCTCAGCCCATACCGGCGTTGACGGCTTCACGGGGCATTGGGCCCGATACGTTGGGCTTCTGCCTTGGGTCATCCATCCCTGTAGCACAGACACGCGCTGTAACCTTGAGATCTACGGAGCCTAGCACCGTTTCAGAGCATTGAGAGAGATCACTTGAGCCTATCATTCTCCCAATCTGTTTACTGACTGCCTTCCGCTACTAGTAGGAGGAGCGGAATCGCGCAGGCTTTGCCAAGAAAAAGCAAGGCTGAGCGCGCCAAGCTCGGAGCGGATGATATCAGACGCATAGCTATCATTCCCCACTGACTTGCCCTTCAGGCACATCATACGTGCGTAGCTTACAGCTATCTCGTACCTCCTCCGGTAGACTTCTCCAGCCCCGAACCAGATGGAGTTCGAAAGACGCGTTGCGGAGATCATTGGCCGAAGCCCCCCTTGACCGAGGCTTTGCAACATCGGTCTGTCCTCCTCTGATAGCCCTTCATTGTCAGGATGAGACCTAATTGTATCGTGCAACTCATTCCGGCAGGCTCGCTGACAAGCATCGTCTGTCTTTCTCCTACGACCTTGCATCTTACTCTTGTTCTTGCACGTTACTGTTGAGAAACCCACAGTGTCCAATGGGTGCCACCAATCTCCAGGGGCGATCAGTGCGGGGAAGTGGAGCAGGATGAACCCGCTGGGGGCAAGGCTGTACGAAGCAACAGAAACCTTCCATCCCGGACGATGGGGATTACTCCGCAAAAGCGGATTGAGCCTCGGTTATGAGGCCAGCTGGATAGACCAGATAAATTCGAATGCTCTCAAGGGCGAGGATAAAGGGGGTTTAGTCTCCACATTCTGCGATTATATGCAGTAACTGAACACCAGTCTTCGAGGCCTATCTGGTACATACTTTTGCTGCAGAACAGGGGATCATGGCAGCAACAAATCCGACTACCTCTGAGACGATGGGTGGCGGCGCGGGAGTCGATTACGATGCCTTAGTCGTCGGTGCTGGCTTTGGTGGCATCCGGATGCTGCACGAGTTAGGCAAACAGGGTCTATCCGCCAAAGCATTCGAAGCAGGAACCGGAGTCGGCGGCACGTGGTACTGGAACAGATATCCCGGGGCCAGAACAGACAGCGAAAGCTGGGTGTACATCATCACCTTTCTAGAAGAGCTGGGACTGGACTGGGACTGGAAGGAGCGCTTTCCCACTCAGCCAGAAGTGGAAGTCTATCTCAACCGGGTCACTGACCACCTCGGTCTCCGCAAGAAGATTGAATTCAACACCAGAGTGACAGCGGCACACTGGGATGACTCGAAGAATGTGTGGAAGGTCACAACGTCAAAAGGCGACACGTACACTTGCACCTTCTTGGTTACCGCGACAGGACCTCTTGCTACTCCGCTGAAGCCGCCTTTCCCCGGCCTCGAATCCTTCCAAGGCGAATGGTACCAAACGGGGCTCTGGCCCAAGCACAAAGTTGACTTCGCGGGCAAGCGTGTGGCGGTCGTGGGAACCGGCGCCACCGCTGTCCAGGTTATTCCCATTGTCGCGCACAACGCCAAAACCCTCACCGTCTTCCAACGCACGCCGAACTATGTCCTCCCGGCACGGAATTATCCACTCACCGAGGACCAGCAGGTCGCGCTGAGACGTGAATATGAAAAGGTGGTGTCACGAGCCAGGGCTCAAGCTTTTGGGATGGACTTTGTCGACGCGACCCTCAAGTCCACCGACCTAGAGACCGAGGCAGACATCCAAAAGGTGCTGGAGTTCGGCTGGGAAATTGGTGGATTTCGCTTCATATTCGAGACCTTTGCCGACATGCTGACCAACGCCAAATGCAATGAAATGGCCGCCGAGTTCGTGCGCAACAAGATCCGATCGATTGTCAAAGACAAGGAAACTGCAGAGTTGCTTTGCCCGCATTACACCATTCTGTCGAAGCGGCCTCCTCTTGGCCATTTCTACTACGAAGCCTTTAACCGAGACAATGTGCAGCTGGTCGATGTCAGTCACGATCCGATCCAAGAGATCACTCCAAACGGTCTGCGCACCGGTAAGAAGGAGTTTGAATTTGACATGATCATCTTCGCTGTTGGCTTCGATGCCATCACCGGGACACTCGCGCAGATCGATCTTCGCGGCAGCCAGCACCAGCAGCTCGCGGAGCAGTTGAACAAGGACATGGCGACCGCGTACGGCATCACCGCCCCTGGCTTCCCCAACCTGTTCATGGTGTCGGGCCCACAGGCGCCGTTTGCCAACATCCCCATCATCATCGACAACACCGTGGACTGGATCGGCAAGACCGTCTCCTTCATGCGGTCGAACGGCTATGGGCGGATCGACACCAAGGAGGACTATGCCAAGAACTGGAGCGACCAGGTCGACGCCGCCTTCAACGCCACCGTCCTCGCTCAGGGCGCGAAGGACACACGCTCGTGGTACATCGGGGCGAATAAAGAGGGCAAGACGGTGAGGCCGTTGTTCTGGTTCGGCGGCGTGGGTCCGTACTTTGATCGCTGCCAGAAGGAAATCGACGAGGGATATCCTGGGTTTGAGTTCTCGTCTCCGGAACAGGCCGGTCGGGCCAGGCTCTGATGGCAATCACGGAGGGGTGGCATTGGCAGCAATCCGAAAATATCGCTGTATATATGACGGTTGTTCGCCAGCAGAAGGCGGTGTGCACAGCTTCGATATGGCCCGGCCGGTCTAAACATGGCACAAGATGGACTTTAAAAGGGCACATGCAAGGGAGTTGCTTCAGTCTCGTTGTGCAGGAGAAGTCTTGGAAAGAACTCTATTGACTTCTTACACCAAAGGGAGTGGTGCTTTACATGCACTTTGCAAAACTGGAGAACCTTTTCCAGTCAAATCGAAAGATTGATTCTTCTTACTGGTACTGTGAACAGTCGCTTGCCTATGCCAGACATCATCAACCTTAGTGAATTGCGGACATTTATTTCCACTTCTACTTTCCTCTCCCAAGCACTCCTACTGCAGCTTATATTGCGGTAATCACTACTCCCGCCTTCTCCTGCCAGATGGCTTCGCGCGCCTGTTGCACATCCACGCCTCGCGTATGCAACACCGTAACCCAGTCTTGGAAAAACACGGATCCACTCTCGAAGAAGCACGGATCGTGGGTCTGTTGCTCGATGAACCGTTCCACGTCCGCGCGGCACACCGCGTTGTCGAACAGCCACAGGATCTGCGCGGGTGAAAATTTCAAGAACGACTGGATCAAGTAGAAGTTCTGCAGGTCGCTGCCCCATCCTTGCATGTGCCTGATCCGAAGTTCCTGGACTGTCGGTTTGTGTAAATCATGGTTGTCAGCGTTGCGAGAACTGTGGAAAAGATCATGGTATGCTTGCGGAGTGGATGACACGGGGCGAAGGTAAGGATACTGCAGCGACAGATGGAACTTTTGTGCATCGTCGGGAATCCGCGAGTATACGTCTCCATCGGTGGGACAGATTTCGGTGGCGAGCAATTGTTCGAGCAAACCGCGGAAATCTTCCAGCTCAAACAGTTCGTCGTTCGACCACGTGCGCAGCAGCTGCAGTCGTTCCGCGGTGGCTGTTGCGTCGGTGCGGGCATTGCGATAAGGAAATTGATGAAATGCTTTTGCGTAGCTCCATAGCCTGTAGACCGCGCGGCGCAGTCGGCGAGCTTCGTGGCGATCCAACATGCGTCGGTTAACGCTCTCCGTCTCTAGCCACTTGAATCCGGGGAATAGGTCGACGTAGCGCTGTGCCACGCGAGCAACGGCAGTGACTTGCGAGAGCAAGGCAAAGGACAGAGGCGGAGTCCGCCGGATGTGCAGCATTTGATTGTTGTTCTGGGTCAAGAGTTGTATAATATCTTCGACTGGGCCGTCTGTTTCATCTATTGTGCTGAAGAAGAGTGCCAGCTTTTGTGATTTGGGGAGGATTTCGTAGAAATAGCGACAGGTGAGAGACAGGCTGATGATGTCTGAGACGGAGGAGAGGGACTCAAAAATGCGGATGAGAAGTTCTGGGGCGAGGTGTTGTATTGCCATGATTCTATGCTGTCAGCCAATGCTCGGAGGAGAGTGGTAGGGGACAACGTACAAGGTGCTGTGGAAGTTGAATTGTATATATGCGAACTAGGGCATACAAAGAGCAGCGATGGTGCTGCTATCACTTCAATGGTCTCAAGAGGTTGAGACCCCGACATTGGGGTTATCCAGGACAAGTATCAAGCAGGAGGAGGGTGAGGTATCAAGTGGCCCAAAGCCGCTCTGCCACAGAGGGCGGCGAGCGTGCGTCGCTTCCATCATGGCTAGGACAGATGGAAGTGCAACGCTTTCTCATTCCGCAGTCGATGGGTAAGAGGGAGGAGGACAAGGAATAGAGAGTCAGAGTCAGAACTGGAGAGGTTGATATACTACGAGTACGCAGTCCGGGAGTCCAGCTCGCCCGGTCGAGAAAGCGGTCTGGGGCTTGGCAAAACAACAACCGGCCGCTTTTATCACCTTCACCCTCCCGCTCACCGTTGCCCTCACCTCGCTCGCCTTTGAAGCGCATTCCTCGTATCGACAAGGAGTTTGATCTTCTTAGAAAAAGTATTATTGCTCTTATGGTGGACACTGAGATCACTCTTATGAACTTTGCCAGGCGGCATGTGATTTGATTGTCTGATCGGACAACCATGTCGAAGCATCACGAATTGGGTATTTGTTTCTTCGGAGTATATCAAGCCTCAATCACGAGTTGAAGACATTTGGCTCAGTCAAATGTCATAGCAGCCGAAGCAGTAATCGTATGAAGTCTTTGAGAACTTGTACCACCGGTAGAGCTGACAGGCTACCATTGTGTAGATCATCTAGCTACTCCATCTATCGCCGTCCTTTCAAGAATCCCTTAATCACGTTCCCAGTCAATGTTGCAATGTTATTCTTATAGTCGTCCCATCCGAGTGAGCAGCACCAATTGATGCTACCCATCGAGAAAACACCTCCTCCACCGCAGTTGATGTAGTACGTGAGGTCCGATCGGATGAGAGGGTTCTGCGTGCCCAGTGTATTGGTGATAGGAAAGGGTGCGTCTTCAGGCACAATGCCAAACTCATCAGGATGACCAGTGCTAGATGCAAGCACCTTTGCAGTCTCTGGACTTCCATTCCTGACATCGAAGCGGTCCATCTCGTCACCACTGGCTCCCCCACCAAGACCATACTCTCCAAGGATCTCGTCTTTGCCGATATTTTCAAAGATCCAGGCCACGCTGTCATCCGTCTTGCTCAATTGGGACCTTGCGTAAGGGACACCTGGCGCGGCACCTTCGCCCGCGAATCCAATGGCAAAGAGCACATTGCATGCTCGACCTCGCGATCTCCATAAGCTTCCCTGTTGACCATCCAGGCTATGGATTCGTTCGCCGCCATCAACTTCGTACGATCGGGCACCCTGGTCCCCACGGCGAATTTCCATTCGATGCGGCCGGGTGGCGATATCTGTAGAAGTGACCCAGTAGAAACCATTTCCCCCCAGGTAGACAAGGTTGCCGCCTTGCTTAGCATATACTGTATAGGCATTGTAAGAGTGGACGCTCGGGTACTCAGGGTGGCTTCCTGTAATGACAGTGTTGAAGCCTTGAATAGCTGCAACGCCTTGCTCATGGAGATCATGGTCCGTTACAATCTCATAAGGTATGCCCTCTCGCTCCAGAAACCCTATCATCATGGTATCTGCGCTGAATTCGCGAGGCCTCTTCCAGGCCCACATGACATAGTTTGGCCTCATGTTGAGAATAGGTCGCTTAGCCGAAGAATAGACCACTCCAGATCCGTCATTGTGCACATCATAGTTCGATAAGCCCAAGTCGGTTCGCCGTCTCATCTTCTCAAAGTCTTCCGTGATGGTGATATCGTTGATATCGAAGCCGGGCCCTACATCGATTGAGGAGATGCGCTTCCTGTTCCATAATTGCTCGTTGGCATACGCCAGATAAGTGAATGTCGAGATGACGAACGCCACCTTACCCTCCCGCTCCGCCCATGCCTTTTTGTTTGGCCGGACGAAGAAAGGGATGCTGTCTGATGCCTTGTCGGACTCGACTTCGACTGCATAAGCCCCAGAGCGAGCATCTGCTGGGATCGTGATCCGTATATCAGTCTGCCACGCCGCGTCATCGAGATCGTCTTCATGAAAATGGATCGCGCCGTAGCCGTACTGAGCTTTGGTCCAATCATTCTCGGTCCCATCCCAGTCATGGCCCTTGACAGCCCTGGTAGGAGCATTTACCAAATTACCGTTGCGCCCATTGCCGGAAACGTCCACTATAGTATCAGTTGACATGGCACGCGAGAAGTCGAACTTCACCAAGGTTATAGGGGTCTGGCCCATAGTGCGAATGCAGGGGCTATCGAGACGGCCGTTGAAGAAGTTGGTGGCTCGACGCCACCCTTTTGTCGCATCGTCTGCATTACTTGCGGCGAAAAGCAACTCACTGGTGTGTGAGATGGCGATTGGATCCGTCAACTTATGCGAGAAGGTGAGAGGATCTCCTGATGAAGCAGCGAACAGCGACAGAGGCTCAATAGAGATGGTGAGATCGGTCCCGCACCAGGAAATGTTCACTTTCGACCACCTTTTCCTCTGGGGCTTAAAATTGGTATTGATGGTCTCAATTTCGCGACCGTTTCCAGACCAGAATTCTGCGCTCCCTTTTTCGTTTATCACCAGTGCGAAGCCCTTCTTGTCGCTGATCTCAAGTGACGACAAGAGCGTCTGGTAGTGGCCGGCTTCAGGCAACCAAGGCTGGAAGTAGAAGGAAATATCGAGACCCTGGATATTTCTGGTAGAAGAAGGAAACCAGTTCTTTACCAATGCATAAGAGCCTGGTCGAGCAAGCTGAAACCTCCCAGTGCCAGTCCCAGCGGGACACTGTGACAGGATCTCCTTCTGCTCCTTGGGTGAATGTTCAAGATTGACTCCTTGAATGATTCGCACCGTCCGATATTTGTAATTCGGCTCCGTGCACGATATCTACATCTCAGTCAACGATATGATTGATACTCTCTCAAGTATGGTTATCGCAGTGGGCATACCTTGATTTCGACCGCATCACCTGGGCTTACAATCCAGGGTTCCGCGTAGCCAATGATTTCAGCAGGGTAGCCTGCAGGGGCCACATCGATTGTTGACATCTAGGCGCCGGTATCTTTCTCTGATGTAGTGGAACTGCCAAACTATGGTGATGAGCCTGTGGCACTACTGCTTGCGTCGAAAGACTGAAGATGCAGAGTCGCCGTTTCTCAAGGTCACCCAATTATATAGGTCTTTTTCCACTCTCGAAATGCTGTCAGCCTCATACAGATGCTTTCTTCGGCACCAACAGACAGTTATCATGAGTCAACCGCCGAGAGTCTGGGCAATGGGTAATACCACATACCTAGGTATTGTATGCGTGTGGATTTCCCTTTTCGTCGAACTCGGCTTCCTCTTCGGGAACGACGAGTCCTGGCCCGCACCTCTGCGAGCCTTATCAGCAAAGTACAATATGCTCTAGCAAACAAGCTTTCATCGAAATCTTATTGGAGCTTGCCCTTTCTTCTCGGCTCACCTTCGATCGTCAGGTTCTCGGTTCTAGAGTTCGTCGCCAGCCACTGGCACATCTTCAACTCGAGAGTAGCGGGGCAAAGCTGGGACACTATCGTCGTAACTGAAATGGAAGGTTAGATAAACAGACTGGGAAAGGTGCCCTCCGACCCTGATATGCTTCCAAGCCAGGACAACCTGTCTTCGTCCACGACTTACACCCACTACTGTGAACATGTATGTCTTGAGCAAGTATAAAGGTGAGCTCAGTCTTCCAGAGAGCAAATCCGATGACCTTGCATTTTCCACCCTCTTTGAAATTTCATACAGTACATCTTCACTATGGCAACAGCAGTCCCGGACGTGGTGCCAGGGACGATCCATCTGATCGATACTCTGCATCATACAACTCACAACCATGATATTGTTCTCAATCCTCGTCCTAGCGCCGATCCGGAAGATCCGCTTAACTGGAAACCTTGGAGGAAGCAATTGAACATCTGGATGGTGTACACGTACATCTTCGGAGTTGCCATTGCCACTGCTGTGCAGTACTCTGTGCTCACAAACATCTCTGAAGAGACCGGTATATCCGTCGCCGACCTCAACACGGGAACCGGCTTGATGTTCCTCTTCTTAGGCTGGGTATGGTATCCCTGAAATTCAACTCCTCTGGCACGGCGCTTTCAACTCTGCCTCTGTTTACAACGGTACAAGATCCTTAGGCTGACAATCTTCAGGGATGCCTCGTCTGGCAACCTATTGCTTTGGTCTTCGGTCGTCGAGGTGTTTATATTCTCAGCAGCCTTCTTGCAATCGGGCCCATGGTGTGGACAGCGTACTCCCACTCGGCAGGAGAATGGTGGGCGCACAGAATCCTAATTGGCATCATTGTCGCTCCGGCCGAATCTCTGCCTGAGGTCTCGGTACCAGATCTCTTCTTTGCTCACGATCGTGGTCTTTACATCGGGTAAGCTTTCGGCTTAATACCTTTCTGTGCATCTTCTCACAGTGTCTGGATAGCCTCTATGCTTTGTTCGTATTCGGAGGCAACGCTCTAGCGCCCTTCTTCGCCGGATTCATCACAGACGCACTGGGGTGGAAATCTGCCATATGGTTTGGTACCATCGTGCTTGCCGTCACCACCGTTATCATCTTCTTTGGCCTCGAAGAAACAATGTATTTCCGGGAGACCATAGAGGGCCTGGACGAAGGAGAGGCAATTAAGGACAATGAACCTGTCCGGGAGCCATCAGTACAACCCACAGAGATTGATGAGAAAGCCCCCAGACTTGTACAGGGCCAGGTCGTCTCTTCAACCAGTCGGGAAGCACACACATATGTGCCTCCTCGGACTTATCTACAGAAACTGGCGCTCTTTCGGAATGTTCCGGGTCGTCCATCCGTCAGGCAGATGTTCATCATGATGTATCGACCTCTGCTCATCTTTTTCCATTTTCCGTCCGTCGATTGGGCGGGGTTTCTGTACGGCGTCTCGCTGTCTTGGTACAACGTGTGCAACGCGACAATGAGTCTGATCTTAAGTGGGGCACCGTACTACTTTTCACCAACATCGGTCGGCTTGGCCTTTCTCTCTCTGTTTGTGGGCGCCGTTCTCGGTGCTCTGTGGGCCGGTTATGCCGGGGACAAAGCGGCCCTCTATCTCGCCCGTCGCAACGGTGGCGTACGTGAGCCTGAGCATCGCCTCTGGGTACTTCTGGTCTCCGGCATCATTGGAGCTGTTGGCTTTATTCTCTGGGGTGTTGGTGCTGCAAATGGGATTCACTTCATGGGCTTGATCATCGGCGTCGGCATGGTCGAGTTTGGAGTTGTCGCGGGTGGATCGACATCCTTAGCCTACGACATCGACTGCTTCAAGGAAATCGCGGGGGAAACGCTCATCTTGGTCATCGTCATCCGCAACACGATGGGGTTCGGAATGTCGTATGGAATCACCCCATGGCTCGCGGCGCAAGGGCTGACCAAGACTTTTGTCGCTGTGGCCATGCTCTCGTTGGGCACCACATTGACATTCTTGGTGTTTGTTGTCTACGGAAAGGCTCTGCGCAAGTGGTCGGCGAGAAAGTATTGGGAGTATGTCAGCACATTGGTCATAAAGGTCGAGCATTGAACTGGGCCGAATTGCGCGCTTCCGTGCAGATTTAGCCCTCAAATCTACCTCTACCAGGGTAATCCTATCAGGGAAGTTACTTGGAAATGGGGAGCATGGAACAAGACCGAGCCTCGTGCGTATGTTGGAGTTCTATTGTCAATAGTATCCTATATGGGGAGAACGAACACGTATTGTCGGGTACTTTGGCTGGTGAGGTGTCTGGGTCTTGACTTATGGCGACATCTTTCGAGTTTAATTTCAGAAATTCTTTTCCCTGAACGAGTGCCTGTTGTATCCTGCTACAAAATGCTGTCTATCATTCTCAACGTCCCGCCCGAGCCCCGCTTCTGTTGCCTCAGCTAACTACCTAGGTGTCCAATTCCCCAAATCTTTGTCTTGGGCACAACCCGGGAACGGTGCGTATCAAGCTCATCATAATATCCGCTTTTCGGTAGATATTGGTCATAGAGGCCTTTGTCCGGGTCATATCCTTTCAAGGACAACCTCGAGTAGACTTCAGACAATGTAGTAATGAGATCCTGCAATAGCAAGGCTAGGTCACTCATGGCCCAAAGATCCATGCAGAACATGGCACGCTAGAGTTCGGCAAGACGTTTGTACTACCCAGAAATGGTAAACTCTCCTTCCACATTGATGCATTCTCTGCAGTCTTTCTCTGGCCATGTGTAATTACTCAGCGGACGAATACGAATCGAGAGTAGCGATAGTGGTCCCAGTCGCTGTCGTGATGCTCGATAGATGCTCAATAGCACATCCTTGATCTCTACTATTTGAGCTCGCCCACCTGCCTCTTCGAGCCGGGCCTAGCCTTAAGGAAAAGAGTCTTGAAGTACTCGCCCCGCGTCGGGAATTTGAGCCACGGTCTTCGCCGTCGCTGATACTCTAATCCCCCTGATGAGTTTGGCTCACAACATATAAAAACATAGACACGAGATGTTAGTTTGTATAAGCAGTCACTCGTGAATGGTTGACACCTGATATGGCGAACCATATCCGTATTCACAACCCGAAGGGTCTCTCTGATCCGACACCTTTCATTTATTCGCACACGGCTTCGGTTGAGCCCGGCTCTCGATACATCCATATTGCAGGTCAGGTCGGCTTCAACAAAGATGGCACGATGCCCGCGGACTTTGCAGCACAGGCTCGTCTAGCCTTTGCAAACCTCAAAGTCTGCCTCGCAGAGTCCGGCGCTACCATCCGGGACATAGTCTCCCTGACCACGTATATTGTCGACGACGGCGCTGTGAGGCTGATTTGGGACCTTTTCCAAGAGTTTCTCACCGATGAAAAGGGCCTATTCGCCCCTCCCGCTGCAGTGATACCTGTACCGGCGCTCGCAGCCCCTGGGTTGAAGATCGAGATTCAATGCGTGGCAGCGACGAGGCCCCGATCTGCCCCGGTCGCCGATGCTATTGTTAGGCCTTTCCAAACCATCACCGAGGTCGACGTTATAGTGGTTGGCGCTGGTCTGAGTGGCATGCAAGCTGCTACTGACGTGCAAAATGCCGGACTGTCGTGCATTGTTCTTGAAGCCAAAGATAGAGTAGGAGGCAAAACATTCACGACAAAGGTGCAGAGCGGCCCTGGTGTATTGGATCTGGGAGGTGCCTGGATCAACGATCAAACACAACCCAAAATGTATGCGCTGTTCAAGAAGTTTGGCTTCGAGCCGATCGTTCAGCGGGTCAAGGGGGATGAAGTGTTTAGAAGCAATAAATCGAGTCAGATACACAGGACAGCATGGCCGGGCCTGCCGCCTGTCGAAGCAAGACAACGTGAACTCTGGACGAAGATTGCCAACGAGCTTGACGAAGATTGTAAGTCGATCGACCTGCATGACTCCACGGTCAACACCCATGTTGAGGATATATCGCTGGGAGAGTATTTCCGCAGCAAAGGTGCAGACGAGGGCGGATATGCTTTCAACTTCTGGAAAGCCTGGATCAGAGCTCTGACTGGCACCGAACCTGACCAGATCGGGTTGGTCTATATGCTCGACTATATCAAGAGTGCTGGTGGTGTCCAAAGCTTGCTGAGCGACGGACCTGACGGAGCCCAGTACATGACCAATCGACGAGGTGAGAGAGAGAGAGAGTCGTCGTTTCTCATGCAAAGATGGTAGCTGATGACCGTGTACGACAGGAAACCAGACCATTTCAAAGCGGCTTGCGGCGGATCTCAAGCCCAACAGTGTGCGACTGAGCACTCCTGTCAACCGAATCACGCAGACAAGCGATGGTGCATTGGTCGAGACCATGACGAGGGAGATCTTCCGGTGCCGTAAAGTCCTGGTCGCCATCCCGACGCCACTGTATAGACACATTAAGTTCTCTCCACAGCTGCCTGCGGACAAGCTGGAATATATCAACTCGGTCCATCTCGGTCCATACTGTAAGTGCATATTGATCTACGCAGCGCCGTGGTGGCGCGAGGCGGGCTTGAACGGCTCCTTCATCGACCTGGACGGACCGGTAACATTCTCCCGCGACGTCTCCTCGGATCAAGACGGCATGTATGTGATTTCCTGTCTCATCTTCGGCGACTATGCGCTGAATTGGATGCGACTGCCGATATCTCGACGGGTGCAGGCGGTGAAGGATCAACTGGCCGATATGGTGGGAGAGGAATATCGTGGCAAGGTCTACAACACGATAGAGACAATCGAGAAGAACTGGTTCACCGAGCTTTGGAGCGAAGGCGTGCCCTGTCCAATGCCCGCCCCAGGCGGTATATGGCCGCGATTGGGGAACGCATTGCGCAGGCCTTTTGGCAATCTGCATTTCATAGGGACCGAGACTGCCATTGAGTGGAAAGGGTATATGGAGGGAGCTGTGCGTGCTGGCGAGCGGGGTGCAGCCGAAGTCCTCGCTGCAATAGGGAGCGAAGACAGTCCAAAGACCGGACCCAAGCTTTGAACTATAGATGAAACTGCTCAAATGCTGCTGAGCAAAGGCAGGAGATGTTGGTACATGTTGGTAGATATATGGCTTGACTCAACCAAACATCCACTCCCGCCCACGATCCAGTTCATCCACGGCGTTGTGGGCTTCCTGCATCTGTAGATTCGAATGCGCAGGCCGGGATGCGCTGAACACGTTTCCCCACCATACATGCGGATCCCCCGTGTCCTCCATCAGCGTCCAGGTAGCCTGCATGAGACTAAGGGCGTGGTCGAATAGGGGCAGTCCACTCAATTTGCGCCATCGCCGACAGTAGTTCTCGGCCATGATGCGGAAAGGCAATTGTTCCGGATCGGCGTCCAGCTCGCACGCCGCAAACATGAGCGGAATCAGACACTGCTTCTGCAGATTTGACTCTGGAGGGATATCCCTCACCAGCCAGAGGATCTCTTCAGCAAGAAATCTGCATCGCATGATGGACGTCGAAGGCAGCTGAGACGGCTCGACAGCCGGCCTTCCTCCCACGGGCAAACTTAGCCTGAAGGAGGACCCAGCACTTTGACGTTCCTGAGTGTCTTCGGCCGGACTCCAAACATTGACGCCGAAAACCCGCGTACAATACAGGAGCAGACCTAGTCGCCAGCAATCAAACAGTGCAGCAATGCCCCCATCCCGTGGATCCAAGACGACGGACCACAGATTCCGTTCCAGTGCTGCGGCTTCGCTGCCCTTGACATTTCGTGAAGCCGCTTCGGCAATGTCGTAGATTTGGAGGAATAAATCGTCCGGACAACCGTTTAGGGCGAGCAAGTTCCAGCTCGAGATTGACCGCCAAGCCATCAGCTCTTCAATCCATTTACGAGGAAAGATTGGATTTCGTCTTGAGATCAGTGCGCTAGTCGTGTCGTACCATGCAAGCTGAGCGATCTGAGTCTGGAGAGGTGGATTGTACTGCGCAATCTCGATGCCGCCTCCAGCCTGAATGACGCTGTACGCGCCCCGGAAGTGGACTGGCCAATTCGAGTACGCGGTGTCGACGTACTGTTGGACTTTAGTAAGCCTCTGAAAGCAGAAAGAGAAAAGTGGATTTCACTTACGTCGAGACCGATCAATGTCAGGATCGTGCCGACCAGGGCCGCTGGATGGGCGGAGTGCAGAACAGAACTGAACGCGCTCAAGGCCCGGTTCTTCAGATGCATTACTTCCAAGCTCTCGGGTTGGTCCAACAGATGAGCCCGATACCGCCCACTCAAAGCGACGATTGCGTCCATCAAGCAAGGGTTGTCAAAGGCCATTGGAAGACACATGTGCCAGGGATTGATCTGGACCTTGAAAGTCAGAGTCACAAAAGAGAATCTCCACCGATAGAAATCCAGAACTTCGGACATTTGGGGTGACAGCCGGTGGAGATTCAGGAACTCAAGGCGAGGATTGGCGCAGACAAGGAGCGGGCTCGTGGCGACGAGCTGAGGATTGCACAGTACCAATTCGGGTTCGGAATGCGCAAGTTCAGCACTGGTTTCAGACAAACTGAGGATACTGCCGGTTGCGGAAAATGCCCTCGGTCGTTTGCGCGGACTTGGTTGCTTGGAGTCTTCGCGTTTCCGTAGTCTCTTCGGACGATGGGCCGGCAAGCTGAGCCTTCTTCGCTTGACGCCAGTTTCTTGGACAAAGGCAAAGTCTGCAGGGCCTGCGAGGGAGATATGTTCGTCTTTCTCCCTAGATGCATCTCCCATCCGAGGTGCAGGAGATGTCATTCGACTGAGTTTCCCACGACTGGCGACGCCGCCCAGCCAGTTCAAGGCCTGAACGTACCCACCGCAGTTATTCCCAGACGTTGCACAGATACTGCAGCGTGGCCTCTGCCGGTCGCAATGTCGCTTGAAGGACTGGCATGTGTGGCAGTCCGACTCTGCACGGCCCAAGGAATTTGTTCGGTTTGAATGTAGAGCAAATGGCTCCCTACTAGTAGAGGGGCCGAACACAAAGGAAAGAGCATGTTTGGTTGAGGCGGCAAAGCAGGAGGAATACGTCGGGCTCTGGGCCATCTTGCAGATGACACATGCTCGATCATCCCATATTTCGACGGCGAAGGCGAGATATTATTTCAGGAAGATAGGAAAGGCATTACATTGAAGAGGCGTGAGAGGGTACATGATAACGATAAGGACGAAAGCGGAAGGAAAGTTGCGGGGTCTCGACTGAGCTCGACACTCGAGCATCGACCTCGGCATGGCTTGATTTAAACTTAGGTCTTCACAGGCCCACAGGGTTTAACAACGTGATACCAGCAGAGATGGAGCTCGAGCTCGTCAAATTCAAGCTGTACATATGTCTGTCGAGCAAGGTCATCAGTCAGGGACCCTGACCAGCACATAGCTTGAGATTCTTGATAGTGATTTCTGTCTAGTCCAGAGATTGGCTCTCTAACATGTGCCCAGGCAAGTGGTGGCCTTTCAAGCCCGAGTGGCGTCTCAATCTAATACCACAACTTCTCATTGGGTTGGATCCCACTCTTCTCACAGTGCTCAACGTACATGCGCCAGAAGCTGAAGCCATCCATGATCTCTCTCAGGCTGTTATCGTCATGGAAAAACTCGATCGATCCCATGACGTGGAAGAGAACCTCAGCGCCTTTTCCCATCCACAACGTATGGATCGTGCCGGGGTTTTCGGTGATGTAGTCCCCAGCCTTGGCCTTCCAGGGATATCTGGGTATATCTCATGTCAGGGAGAGTTTGTGATAGGGGAAATGGAGCTTGCGTGTACTCATAATAACCCCAGCTTCCACTGACGGTATAGGCCTTGACTTCTCCTCGATGCCGGTGCTTGCCGAGCTCTGCTCGTGGATCTGTCTTGAGAACAATAACATATGTACCACTTCTGTTGTCGAAGCGGAGTGGTTTCACCCAGATCGTGCCTGTCCAATGGTACCAACAAGTGTCATTCTCATTGTCGACATACACATCTGGTGCTCCCATGTCGGTGGCAATTTTGAGTTCTTTGAGCTCATTGTCCTTGACACGGTCAACAGGTTGATCGGATGCACCTGGGATGGCGATTTTAGAGGCTACCGCTGGCAACGCCGTGTCAATAGATGGAGCCATAGTCAGTGAGGTTACTCTGACGAGGACGAGGTAAGTTGTGGGATGGAAAGTGCTTGTAGGCTTGTGCTAGGTCAGGATTTGCGGAAGATATAGGATGGCCATCCAGCGAGACTTGTCAGAGACAATGATTCCCCCCAACAAGCTGGGGTGAGGGACCGCATCCAATGATAAAACAAGCAATTACGTTTCCTAACGCTATCTGTGCGAACAGGAATAGCGATGTGTCTTCACCGCCCGCGGTGGCTTCCTTCATCGACTTGCTACAGTTGACGATGACGCATCTCAACCTTCGCCATGGTGAGAATCCTGTTGGCAAAGTGGGCAGGCGACATGGCCGGAAAAGTATAGCTCCTGTCACTCCCTCCGCTTTTTCCAGTAAGTATAGTCTGTGGCGCGTCTCCGCAAAATCTAGCATGGAGTCAATATGGGGTTAAGGCGATCATTGACTAACGTAATGCTTGAAAATGCGGATACAGTCTGGCCATATCGATTACTGTGTAGAGATTTGGGTTTGAGGCTGCCGCGTTCAGCCATGGATCGTAACATGGTGAAACTCGAATGCCCTGTCAACCATCCCAAATAGGAAGGAGAGCTGGACTATTCAAGTTAGACTGGGATACAGCGTGAGACGCTTTTCTCAAAGGAGGGAACTCGTATACCGAAATGAAATAGAGCACGAAGCGATGGTGATGGTGGGTGGTGTGATGGAGTTGCCAGAGAATGTTGAGCAGTTGGATGCTGAGGTTCGGGCGGTCATTGTCGACAGAATCGATGCGCATTGGTAGTAGGAGATCAAGATAGCACGAGCTGCGGGAGCACTGCAGCCACAGGACGGTCAGATGTTTTCTGGTCTCAGGAGTGGTATATCGACCAACTTTCATAATTTATTTCTTACGAACCCTGGAGAACTAGGAGCCCTGCACCAAACCAGGTGATGTATGCTGGGCTTCGTTTTAGTCTACGGGCTTACAGTCTCGGCAAAGCAAGCACAGAGATTCCGGTCCCGATGAAACAAGCGATACGTTGAGAGATGAATGCGGATTTCCCGCAAGCTACTTTCCTTTAAGGGCCCATCACCCACCACGTATGTCTTGCAAACCTAGGGCATATCCGATCATACCTTATCCTCCCGGTCGAAACTGTTGCCGCGCTATCCAGAGATGGTGGTATGCGCACATCGAGCCTTCGGCATGTACGCATTGCCTCTGTGCTGGTTGTTGGACTCCCTTGACGATGGAGTGACAGCAATCCTTTAAGCATCTCGAAGTCAGCTACTAATTGGTCCTCCACTTCTTCCCTGGACGGTTTTCAGGGGCCTAATAACCACCAACAATCTTCCACAGCTCTCCATGGCGAGCTTGTGGTAGAGGCAAAGACCTCCATCCGACAAGCAACTCTGAAAATAAGGTGATTTCACTACCATGAAGTTCCCGGCGCCTCTGGGCCTGCTAGCCTCTGGGAGCGTCTTTCTATCTCACGGATCACGAGTTTCTGCATTCCTTGTGCAAGACGATCTTTATGCCCACGCTATAGGACTCATGCAGGCATCGCCTTTGCTGGATACCCACGTCGACTTACCTCAGGTACTACGGAGTCTCAGTGAGTGCTGCCATTGCCGACGAATTGCTATCCTTTCCGCAGCGACTGTCTGGTCGACTTTGTTCCCATCGGATGAGCTGGCATGAAAACTAAGGTTGAAACAGGTCGCAATCCCCTCGACGTCATTCCAGAACTTGAAACCCGGATCCCGGGGCATGTCGACATCCCTAGGATGAGGGAAGGCAGACTGGGTGGTGCCTTTTTTACCGTTTGGGCCCCATGTCCCGACACCTTGGGTCTGGATCCGGGGAAGGATTTCCTCGGGAGGACAGATGTGGGTTTCATGTTACTTGAGACAAGGTGAGACGCTGACACGCACAGAGCCTGCGAGATGCATTAGAAGTCCTCGATCTGATTAAAAACATGATCAAGCAGCACCCAGATGTAAGCGGCCAATCTTGAAGTTCATTTTCGTATACGGATGCTAACTTCAGGCTAAGCACTTAAAATATGCCTACTCATCAGCCGATATCAAGACTGCGTTTGAGAACGGCAAAATTGCTTCATTGATAGGTCTGGAAGGGCATGTCGATAGAATCCCTGCCTTCTGTCGAACTTAGCTCATACCGCAATAGCACTCATATGTTGGGCAACTCGCTCTCCACAATGCGGCTTTTCGCTGAGCTGGGCGTTCGCTATGTGACGCTGTCGCATGTCTGTCACACTGGTCTGCGCCACTGGCCCGATTTGTTGACTGTCACATCTGACGACTACTTTAGCATTTGCTTCTTCAAATGGGGGAGGTGGACCCATGCGACCAGCGTACCCTGGCAACGGGCTTTCAGACTTGGGACGGCAACTTGTCTTGGAATTGAACAGACTTGGCGGTGAGTTGGACGTTTGTGGCTTTTGTGGATGGCTGACGGTCCGTACAGTCATGGTTGACCTGGCACATACATCCGACGCAACAATGAAAGAGGTACTGCTCGACAACAAACACGATTGGGCGAAGAAGAAACTAACGTACTAGGTCATTGCCATATCCAAAGCACCTGTCGTATGGACACATGCCGGAGCACGAGCGATCCTAGATCATCCTCGCAATGTACCAGATGATATCTTGCAACTCATCGGTGATGGGGCCGGCAAAAATCGCGGAATCATGTAACGTTGGCGCTTTGATCTTTTTTGACCGGACATTCTAACACGATAGCCAGCCTTTCAGTGTTCTACCCACACTTTATCGGACCTATAGACACAGCGAACGTGTCACATGTGGCAGACCATATTGAACACATTGCAGGTATCGTTGGCAGGAATCACGTCGGAATAGCCTCTGACTTCGACGGCATGTACACGACAGTGAAAGGGCTTGAAGATGCCAGCAAATACCCAAACCTGGTAAGCCTCTCCAGCTCCTGCAGCATACGATACATGTCGTGGCTTTATACAGGTCTTGCAGTCGAGCTAATAAGAGCAGATTGTCGAACTCCTTGATCGTGGATGGACAGATGGTGAAATCAAGGCCGTAATGGGAGAGAACCTTATGAGAGTGATGGATGAGGTAGATGCCACGAAACGACAGCTGGAGCGTGAACTCCCCTCCTCAGCGATATACGAGAAGAGAACTGATCTACCTGCGCCGTGGGCTGGTGCCGACTCTGTGTATTGGCCCTATGAGGTCCAAGCGACGGTGGCAAAGTTGTTCCCGAAGCATGATGAATTGTGAGATGGAGCCAGGAACCTGTTGTCAATTCCAGAGAAGGCGGCTGTTTTGATCCCACAGCATAGCACCCTAGCGACTGGAAATTGGCATGTATTTGACATGACGGACTCCTTGATATCTTCTGTCTCATGAGGTGTTCATATAGCCTGTGCTATATTCATTTGCGTTCTCACAATGTAAAGGTGTGTTAGTGCCACCCGCACACGAGTTACGAATGTAGGAACGAGATGTAACCTACAAGCGAATGTTCATCCACATCCGCATCAGTAGAGCCATCCATGCACCCGACGAAACCCCCCAAGTCTTCGAGCTCTGTAGTGTCAAAGTGTGACAGAAACTCGTAGCCGTCCTCAGCGCCATCATCTTCCTGCGTGGAAACAGGCCCCAGCATAGACCTCAACCGCAAGTGTCGGCACAAGGCTCGGAGCTGAGCTCGTGCCTGCTCTTTTTTGACCGGCTGTGGCTCAGACTGTACCGCCAGGAGCACCTGGGTCCAGCGTGAGAGCATAAAAGGCCCCGCCGGAGGGTCATAGATCCCGCTGCCCACGGCAGCCGTCCGGTCGAGGTCGATGGCAGCCTCGGTGACCATGTTTCCGTCCTCGAGCGGGGCGGCCGTGACGTGGTAGGCCACGTTGTAGAGCTGCTCGAGGAAGCTGATGGTCTCGAGACAGCCGTGCGCAAGCGGCCAGGACTTTTCCCAACTCTGAAAGACCTCGACGAATAGCCGTAGATGATGGTTCGGAGGGGTTGAAGGTGTGGACTGGGCAGAACCTGTCGGGTTCGGAGTCGCAGCCTTGACGCACGCTTCGGAATGTGCGCTCCAAATATGAATGGTGGCTGCACACATCATGGCCAGGCTGGTGAACGGCGATCGAAGGATTTCCCTGGCCACATCGTCGCCTCGGAAAAGCAGGCTAACTATGGCCGTGATTCGATCAGCGTGGTGAAGACATTTGCGGATAGCGGTGATTTGACGGTCAGACAACGGCACAGGAGAGGGAGCTGTTTGCATTCCTGTATACGGAAGATACAACTGCGGTACCAGGCAAAAGGCGTGAGACACCACCATGTGGAATGTCACAAACAGATTGCCTTGGCCCAGGAGCCGGAATGCGCGGAGGTTGTGTTTGGACCAGGACATGCGATCAGGCAGTTGAGATATCCAATCCGCAAAGGTGGTGTCGAAGGGGTTAGTATATTCGCTACCAAGGTCCAATGATTGATCTTGGACGACCCAGGCCCGGACATGCTCCATCATAGTGTTCAAGATGTCGACTGCCTTGATAAAGTATGGCAGAAGATCTGGATGGTCGGGTTGATTGTGGACGAACTCGGCCAGCGTCGGACTTGGATAGTCCTCTCCAAACATGAAGGATGCTTCCGGACAGGGTAGCTGAATGTAGGTCCACTGGGTTTGGATCGACGTAGGCCGACAAAGGGTGAGGGAAATCAGGATATCTACCACGACACAACTCCACATACATCTCCGGCGGATCTCCCGCTCTAGTGGTGGATGCCTATGATGATACTCCTTCATGAAGCGGAGGCTGTGAGCCATCCGAATGGCGAAACCTGCATAGATATACGAATTGTATCCTGCTCTTGCCACCAACTCTCTCAGAGCAAGAATCAAGTTTGCCTGGATGTTTTTGACTGAAAGAGAAAAAAAAACATCAGTGGATCTAACACCCTGAAGCAGAACCATACAATCAACCTTACCCGTCGGTTGATCAGATGTATCTCTTGCCAGCTGTCTGACTCGCGGAGCCAATCTCTCAGAGATCTGCCAGGGCGAGTCGCCTTCGAAGTATTTGACGCTCGTGTCATGGTCCAGGTAGAGGGCAGCAAGCGTGCAAATCGCCAGACGGAAGAATTCTGGATGGTGTTGGAAGCCGGTGCCGTCGAAGGTAGGCTTGTGTATACTCAAACGCACAGGTTCCAAATGAGATGTTGAGAAGAATGCATCCAAGAGTATACGATGCTGAATCTCTGAGAGTTCTTCAAGCACCGAGTCTACGCCGGTTGCTTCAGGGTCGGGCCATTCGCAGCTCCGGTTGAGTCGACGGCAATTTCTGCATGACGGCCGGACACCATCGCACTTTGACTTCCTCCTGCGGCTGACTCAAGTAAGTCTTGCGGCCTGACTGAAGCAAGTAACGATGCTTTACCAGATCAAGCACGCCTGAGGGGTTCGCCTGCGTGGAGCCGGCTCGACCATTGTAGCTTTTCGCTTCTGACTTGAGCCGCTTCCCACTGCTGTTTGAGCTTGTATGGAGGAAAATGTAGCCATCTTTGGGATCTAGGATAAGGTACAAGGGGATTCAGGGAGAGGGAGTCAGTGGGCTATGCTCCGGGAGTGCCGTGCCTCTGTATATCAAATTATGGATGAGAACCATTGACTGCCGGTACTCATCCTGGACATTGGACGGCAATCCCTGCCTCCCTGCTCCACTGCCAGCACCGGACCCAGGCCGGCAAGGAGGGTATCGGGCCTCGGAGAAGGCAGTCTTGCACCGGGGCTCCACACTCCTCTCAGGATTTCCCCGCGCCGGCCAACTTTCAACTTCCTTATTAGGAAGGAGAGTTGTCCATATTGGGAAACAGAACTAAGTTAGCACAATGGCAAAGGCGAGTGAGTGCTTTTTATGCTTTACAAGCTGCTGGCACTAATCTGCCTGTAGGTCCTCTGTAATTAATATACCCTGAATGGGTCAATTAGATGGACTCCCAATCCATCGCCTAGTCATTTGGCAGCAAGTGAGAAGATCAGGAATATGGGTACGGCGCAGGTTGTAGATAATGTTCCACAATTGCAGAGGTTTAGAAATTTTTGTTCCTAAGTTCTGCATGTCCTTTTAGGACAGAAAAGGCTTTCCACGGACGTTGAAGACGCAGGGCTGGTGTTGTTCTCCCCAGCTTCAATTTTGGACGCCAGCTTTCCTCGAAACTCTGTTCGCTTGGCGGTCTCCCAACTCAATGCTTGTCGGTGACAACCTCCTCCGAAATTGGGGTATGACTGCTTCTGGGAGAGTCTGCTGGCAAAGCAAGATGCAGAATCTCGGCTTCATGGGTTGGGATGAACACCACATCTTTCTCGACTTCATAATTTGTCTCCGTCACGTATTTCCCAATATAGTATAGTACTGGCAGTGCTGACCCGACTTGGGCTACGAACTGAGCGATGCTTTGATGTCTGATGAGTGCTGTTAGTAGTTTCTGGAGGTGGCGCAGAAGGAATTTGCATACTGAAGAGAGACCGTGCCTGACGCGGCGACACCAAAAAATGCAGCTATACCGGAAGCTGTTCCTCCTTTTAAAAGCCCGGCATACCGACCAACCCTCATTGGCTCGTTCGTGATGGTCATGACCAGCCTGGGGAAGTTTTAGCAGGCCAACGAGCTGTAGATTGAAAATTATCACTTACCACGAGATAAACATGGGTACAGAGGTGACACTCAGTTGGAAGAGCTGGAAGATGACAAAGAAGCCGGCAAACCCAGGATCAGTCCAATCCACTCCATTAGTCTGGGTAAATGTCCCACTCGGGCGTGTATACATCCATCCAAGCTCTCCCGCATAGGCAGCCAGGAGAGTGGTGAACATGTATGCGAAGCCCAGATACGCTCGTGCTTTCCGGGATAGCTTCTCGGTGTCAAGGATCATCCGCATGGACATGAATCCGAGGATCTCGAAAATGGCACCGATGAAGACACACAAAGACCGAGTCCGAAGGTTGAACCAATAAGCTAGGCACTTGTTAGCGCATATCTTCACTCCTCGAAAGAGGAATTGGTGAGCTTTGAACGTACCACTGATGGTTGGCTGGAGAGTGACAGGAATTTCACAGTTCAAAAGGAGTGGAACAACCAACAAAGTGCGAACGTCTTTGAATAGCATGGCAATCCCCTTGGTTTCGTTCCACCATGATTCGTGTCGAAAGACAGCAATCGGCTTCCCTTCGTGCCGGACATCTTCAGGTTTGCAGATGAACCAGGCCAGGCCCACTCCAAGCATCATCAGTGATAGGAAAGTGGCATAGACTGATTGCGGTGTAACATGGACCGTGGGATCGTTGAGGCTTACACCCAGGACCACGGCGGCACCAACCAGAGCGCCTGCTCCTCCCAAGCTGTTCTGAATCATGAAGAACGTCCCTTTCTCATGCTCGGGCGCATATCCAAAGGCGATGAAATTGGACACTGTCCAGAGAAGTCCGGCAGAGAATCCCACGACCGCACCGCCGATAATAGGGTATACTTCTGAACTGGTTTTCGCCGGGCCATAATCAAAATACCATAAGCCTGAGACGTAGAACGGATATCCAAAGGCACCGATCTGCGGATCATAAGTCAACCTTGTTTTTGATGCAAGTGGCGAAGGACAAACCATAAGGGTATATCTGGGTCCCAGGGTATTCAGAGTACTCCCACCGAAAGTTCCCGTCACGCCAAAGACACCATAGAACACTGCGGCGACGATGTTGTTGACATGAGCCGCATCGACCCCTCCTCCACCGGCTCCAAGGTTGAGCACCGCTGCGTAAATGCCAACGGCGAAGAAGAGGACACCACCAGAGATTGCATTCTGCGTCCGTGAGCTGTGGACTCTCTCGTCAGCTCAGCAAGCAAGAGACGGTGAGGATATTCTGACCTGTACCTGTTCAACTTCATGTTCATGATCGCTTTATGATGGGGTCCTGAGGCAAAGGTTGTAGGGTTGCGTAGTCTGGCTGAGGTCTTTGACGAGGCAGCACAGGTGTTTGTTTATATCTTCAACCTTATATGCCCAACCAGCTCGCTTTCGGCGGCCAGATGGGACTGCTTCCACAGTGGCTTTGACCAGTATCCTTCCAATTCCCGGTTGGCACACTCTGACGGACGAACAAGATTGGGCTCGATCAGGCTAGATAATCTCCTGGGCCACTCAATCATTGGTCCACATCCGCATTACTTCGCCCAGGCACGGAAAAGCCGGACCCTATCTCTTATCACACGCGGGAAAGCCTGCAGAAGCAAGACGGGAACGAGACAACCCAGGATAGGGAACCCGCCATCGAATTGCCAATGTCTCTGAGGAAGTTCCATGATTGATTCATTTCTACTCAGAAGAGGGCTAAGCCTATTGCCGGCAAAATGTCGTCTTCCGGAAAGAGTACTTGTCGCCCATAAAAGCTACTTTTGTAAAGCGATTGCGCCGGCTTCAGCTAGTTGTAGACTCCCGTGTCTCAAGATCTGGCCTGGACAAGCAGTATAGGGACCAGCCAACAAGTATATCGAAGTCGGAGCCAGCGAAAACACATCCTCCTGTTGGGCAATCGATAAACCCTTGTACTGTTATGGCAAGCTCTTCTCTACATGGACCGGCCTTCCGCCCAACACAGAAGCTCTCCAAGAGCCCTGTCGTAAAGTTGGCCTGCTCAGATTTTACCCAGATGATACAACAGGCAACTAGGACTAGAAACTCGGCATACGGACCCTTTGACGGAGACACAACGTCGTTCTCGATCGAGTTCTTTTCAGTTCATGATGGTCAACCATTAGTTGAGCACCATCATACAGCGCCTGCACTGGTGCAGAAAGCAGGCTCCGATGTAGTTGGGCCGGACAGCATCTATCGAATCGCGAGCATCACCAAAGTAGTCACTGTATTCACATTCCTTGCTGTGGCTGGTGATGCTCGATTCAACGACCCTATCACGCAATATGTTCCAGAGTTACGAGACGCTGCCCGGAAATCCGATGCCGCCCTACATCCCATAGATGATACCGCGTGGGAAGATGTCACTATAGGCGGACTAGCAAGCCATATGGCGGGTATTCCTAGAGATTGTGCGCTCTTTGGAAACTTCTTCCCTTTTACTGATTCCAAAAGGCTAACCTCGAACGCAGTATCGTTGGTCGGAGAATTGGCGTACAGAGACCTTCAGCATGAGGACTACGGCCTGCCACCTTTGGAGCATGCAAATGTGCCTCCCAATGGAAACGATCCCGGCTGTGGACGAGCGCAGTTTTTCGAATGGTTCACCAGACGACATCCTATATTCGCACCTAGCACTACCCCTATCTACGGCAACGCTGCTTTCCAACTTTTGGCCTATGCTCTCGAAAACATCTCGGGCAAGCCCTATTCAGCTCTGCTAGAAGAGAAAGTGCTACGACCACTTGACCTGTCACGAACGTCGACCACACCTCCGCTGGGTGAGTCAAGATGTGTCATCCCCGGAACGCCGACAAGCACGCTTTGGGATTACGATTTCAGTGAAGTAGGCCCGTAAGTATTCGCTCAATTCACGGCTATCTGCAAGCCCCAGGAAGCTAACCTTTGAGTGATACAGAGGTGGAAACCTCTACTCCAGCCCAGCGGATGTCTCGAAGGTTGGCCGGGCGATCCTCTCCTCATCCCTCTTATCGAAGGCTCTGACGAGACGGTGGCTCAAGCCGGTTGCCCATACTGCTGACCCCTACTACTCTGTAGGAGCACCTTGGGAAATCCACCGCGTCACTCTACCCGTCACCAATCGCGTTGTAGACCTATACGCCAAAGCCGGCGGATTCGGCTCCTTCAGTTCCGAACTGATTCTGATTCCCGATTTCGAGGTGGGCCTCACCGTGCTGGCCGCCGGCCCACCTTCGAACAGCGTCGTACCCATTATCAGCAACCTATTCTCGGCGATTCTGGTTCCTGCTTTGGAGACGGCGGCTCGAGAAGAGGCCAAAAATAGCCTTGTGGGCACTTACTCTTGCAAGAAGCCTGGCGGTGTGGAATCGTCCATCACTCTCATGATAGATGACACAAATCCTGGTCAAGGTGGTCTTAGTATTAGTCGCTGGGTGAGCAACGGCCAGGATATGATGCACGTCCTAGCGAATCTGCTTCCACCATTGTTTGCCAGACCCGTCCAAGCTAGGCTTCATCCGACCAACAACGTCGAGGACGTTCCGACAAAGAAGGGGCACACCAAGACTGCATACCGTGCGTTGTGCGAATTTTTTAGTCCAGCGGGTGATAGAGGGCCCTTTGACCGCTCAGTCATGTGGTATTATTTGGATCAAATATACTGGCAAAGTAACGCATTGGACGAATTCATCCTCGAGACTGACGAAGAAGGACGTGGTGTCAGTATCACACCCAGGGCACTGGGAGTGGTACTGGCAAGGGATCCTCTGCCTGGATCCGAGACTGCTTTGGGGCTGAGCGGTATGTAAAGGCCCACCTAGGGGCACGGGCTAGGTGACGGGTTGATGTCAACTCACGTCGATTTGCCTCGTACAGCATCCTGACTCTCGTACATTCAAGTACTGGTAGGCGATTCGAGAATTCTCATGAGAAGACCTTGGCTTGCTCGAAGAGTAGGTCTTCATGGCAAAGGCAATGATCGAGCAGAAACCGATGACAGTCTTGTCCTCTGAGGTTTCTTGATTCGTCTAACAACTACCAAGCATAAAACGAAAAAGCAACAAGAACTCAGCGTCCCAGCTTTGAGGCCATTTCACCCCTCTACCTGTGGCAGAGCGATTACCTCACCCTTCGAGTTCATGTTGTTGTTCATCATGGCGTCCATCGCACTCTTGTCGTTGGGCAGAACCAGGTTCAGGAAAACTCCGATCACCGCAGCAATGATGAACGGCGTTTCGACAATCAGGTTCAGCCCTTGCTCGAATCCCTGGAGATGGATGTTTGAGCCGCTGTAATCCAAAATCTGGTCAAACCAGGTGGGAGTGACAATGTCGACGAACCCGATTCCGAGAGCGACGGTCAAGATGAAGCGGTTGCGTCGAGTAAACGGCACCATTCCCAGAACTCGAATACCGGCAACAGCGATGGTGCCGTATAGGAAGACCTGCATGCCCCCGAGCACTGATGGCGGCATGGCGCTGAAGACCGCACCGAATTTTCCGAAGAATCCCATGAGGATAAGAAAGATGGAAGCTGCCCAGCCCGCTCGTCGAGACTTTTCGCAAAGATTTGTTAGTCAAAATTAGGGAAGGGAAAACACCGCCCTCATCTAGGTCAGGAAGGGGGGGGAAAGGGGTGGTGGGTGCCAATAAAACTCACAGCACAACCGGTTAGCACGATGGTGCCATTGTTTCCGGCTTGGGAAACCATGGGAAGACCCGTTCCCAGGGTACTCATTAGGCTGCCTAGGCCATCGCATAGAATGCCGCCTTGGATCCGGCTGTTGAATTCGCTGCCCTCGACATCGACGCCCGAGATTTCGGCGGTGGCCAGGATGTCCGGCATGCAGCTGACACCTTCACAGATGAACATAATGAGTAAAGGCAGTATCAGGGCGCCGTCCACGGACAGCTTGAAGGTGTGAACCCAGAGAAAAGTGACGACAGGAGCATTGTCGATATTCTCGCTCGACCAGTAGCCTGTGGCGCCAGAGATGATGCAGCCCACAATCAAGCCGATCAGCACCGCAGCGGACTTCATGATGGGCGAGCCGAATTGTTCCACGACCACGATGCTGACAAAGACGCTGAAGCCGAGGCCGATGAGCTTCGGGTCAGCCCACGGCAGAGGCCTGGGGCTGTAGATGTTCGGACACAGCGCGTAAAACCCGGTGCCGTTGTTGCAGTTGGAGGAACCGGCCCAATTCTGCATGCCGCTGTTGATCAAGTATACGCCGACTAGCAGCAGCAGCGAGCCCGTGACGACCTTGGGGAAGATCTTGTTCAATAAGCGCGGAGGGATCATGGATATGAGGATCTGAATCCACACGGTCACGAGCATCGACCCTAGAAGGGCGCCGTACGCATCGGGACAGGGAAGCTGAGTGCCGTCCGCGGCAACGGGGCAGGTGCCGTTCTTGTATCGCATACCCGTGTAGCTGAAGGCGACGGCGATGATGTCGAACGTGTTGGACACGACAGATAAAAGACCTGTACCGATGAAGAAGGGAGTGCCCCGGACATGGACCCGGGTCACCTGGAGCGCTGTCGCGATTCCCGTGGTGATGAAGGCCACAGAAACGAGGTACGAGACTTGGTTGGTCGGTAGGTTGAAGGCGCCCGACGCGACTGCCAGCGGAGGGGTCACGATGGACCCGATCAGGGTCAGGGCGTGCTGCAGGCCGAGCAGGATGGTCAGGAAGATGGGCACCTCGTCGTTCAAGCCGTAGAAGGGAATGGTCTTGTCTTTGTATTTGCGGTTGAACGGCGGGATATTGGGCGTGACGAGGTACAAGTAGTCGTAGTTGCCGAACCACGCTTCTTTGGTGCACACGTACGACCAGATTCGACCTGCTCTCTGGCGCAAATCGAGCTTCGAAGTCGTTTCTCCGTGAGCGACATCGGCATCTGCCGTAGATGGGGTCTCACATGTAGATGAGACCGAAGAATCTGCGAAACCATCGGCGGTGGTCGTCTCTGCCTTCATTGTCTTGGCCGAGAAGTCCATGTCAGTCTTGTCGACTTCAGAAGCTTGTAGGGTGTGTGTTTTGGAGAACGCAACACCCGGTAGACACCCCAGAAAGTTGAGAAACTCCAGAAGTTGGGATTCGTGCCCTGGCGTCCATAAGTGGGTGGAATTCCACTGTCCTTTATATGCTCCGACAGAGGCAGATCTGTTGATCGATAATGATGTCCCTCAGCATCTTGCACAGAGCCTTCGTACCCAGTGTCTGGATGATATGGTATACTGGTCTAGAGTAAGAATACCTAGGTATGTCGTTCCAGATTGATAGATACGGAGCCGTTCGCGGAGGACCCGCCCCCGATAGCGACTGCGGAGCCTCGCTCAGACCTGATCTTCGATAAGGAGCGTCTTCTCGTACGAGATTTGGCCAGCGATAGACCACCGGTCGACCGACATCTCGAGCCTTCCTTGTATCTCTGATGCGACGAGAGTCAATCCATCTCTTTGCGGTACAGGCGGATGGTACGCAGTGGGTTCTCGCTGAAGTTATAGGTCGTAATCGCTTCAAAGGGCCTTTCTGCTGCCCCAGTCTGCTCTGTACGACTTTTTGCTGAACTTGACTGGTGAGAGCTGAGACATCTCCCGGCACCACCTTCCGTAATCGTACTTGTAAGTAATATAAGATGTGTGCACAGCGTCTGATGTCTGGCTGCAAGCGAGTCCTCGAACAGCACAAAGCTTTGGTTCCTCCTTTTACAATCCGAAAATGAAGACCAGATCGACGCTGTTCATCCACGCCACCATCATCACGGTTGACCCTCAAGGCACCATATGGCTGGACGGGGCGATCTTGGTCAATGCCGACCGGATCGTGGCCATCGACAAAAGTGCAGAGTTGTTGAGTCGAATCCCTCCCGACGTCAAAATCGTCGACGTCTCTGGGCGCATTATCCTGCCCGGTCTGATTAACGCCCACGCTCACCTGACTCAGTCCCTGCTGAGAGGGCTGGCCGAGAACGTGTCGTTGCATTCCTGGCTGTGCGATTCGATCTGGCCTCTCGAGGCCAATTATGAAGGAGAGGATGGCTACGTGGCCGCCAGATTGACCATCGCCGAAATGTTGAAGAGTGGCACGACCTGTTTTTTGGAAGCCATGTTGACCCACCGCAGTGGGTTCGACAATGTGGTTCGTGCTGTGGAGGAGATGGGTGTACGGGGCTGCTTGGTACGCCCCTTCTGTGAATCTTGACACCGCGGTCCTGAATTAACAGTGTTAGGCCAAACTTGTCAAGGTGGGAACGACGGGCGTCCTGGTAGACGCGCGCGACAAGGACTTCTCCAGCATGTCCATCGAAAGCGCCTTGGCCGCCCACGACAGATATAACGGGTCTTATGGTGGACGGATCCGCGTCTGGATGGCCGCCGGCACCCCCAGAGGCTCAGATGAAGGCTCCCACAAGGCCATAGGGGATGCGTGTGCCCGACACGGCATTTCTCTCACCATGCACTGTGCGGAAGCACCGGCAGATCTAGGGATCTATCGCGACAGCTACAACTGTTCCCCAGTCGAGTTCTGCGAGCGCACCAACATGATCGGCGGCGAGGGCGAGAGTCGGAAGACGGTACTGGCTCACATGGTGAATTTGGATCTGGAAAGGGATCTGCCGATTTTGCAACGACATCAACAACAAGCTCCGACCTCGCGAGATGCCGACCAAGTTCCCCGTCCCTTGGTGTCCGTCGCTCACAACCCCAGCTGCAACTGCAAGATTGCGTCGGGTATTGCTCCTGTGCCGGAGTTGCTTGCTGCCGGTATCAACGTCAGTCTGGGCACCGACGGGGCACCCTGTGCCAACACGTACGACATGATTCTGGAGATGAGAATGGCAGCTCTGATTCAAAGGGGCACCCGAAACGACGCCTCGCTCATGGAAGCGCAGAAAGTGATCCAGATGGCCACCATCGACGGAGCCAGAGCGTTGGGCCTCGAAAAGGAAGTGGGAAGTCTGGAGGTGGGCAAAAAAGCAGACCTTATTGTGCTAGACCCCTCGGGCCTGCAGTGTTGTCCCTTCGATCCCGACCAGATCATGGGCGGCGGAGTCGATCCTTTGACAACTGTCGTCTACTCTTGCACGGGAGCCGATGTCAAGACCGTGCTGGTCGACGGGCAGGTCGTGGTGGACGATGGCCGACTTGTCGTGGCTGATGAACGTCAAATCAAGGAGGCCGCCCGGAAAGTCATCAGACGGATCCGCGAAAAGTCGAGCATAGCCAGGTTGAAGCCAGAGAGAAAGTATCGATGAACTAGATCGAATGCGGTCGCATTGAGTGGAATGCAGAAAAAAACAAAAAGCAAAAGAACACAATAATAAACAGCATTAAGAGTGGGATAAATGTTGGCGCACCCGGTCGGCACCTGTTGGATTCGTAAGTGTGCGCGCCGACAGTAAGGTCTATAGGTGAATCTCAATCAAAGGGGCTCTGTTCTCTGTCGACCAATGATTCCAAGTGCGCACATTCTTCACAGAACGTCGCTCTACCTTGAATACTTCGACGCGCATGGGCTAATATCGCCTACGAAGTGGCCCCTTGTTGTACATCACCCAGTTCTCGCTTCAAATGGACTTCGCTGCCGACGTGAATCCAGCAAGCTACCCCTGGTCAGGCATAACTCTGTGCATATCTGGAGAGCATATGCTCCTCCACCGTGTACCCTTTGGCCAGTGAGCCGTCGAGAGGTTTGATGACACAATCTGCATTTCCGTCCCAGAAAAAAGGGATAGAGTATCTGTCGGTGCCGCTGGTGTTGATGACGCGGTGGACGTTGCTCTTGTAGGCGCCGCCGGTCCAGGACTCGAGAAAGTCGCCGACGTTGACCACATAGGCGTTTGGCTGGGGCGGTACATCTATCCACTGATCTTGCTCTGGGGTCTTCTTCAACACCTGAAGTCCCGAGTGACCGTCCTGCAGGAGGAGCGTGAGGGCGCCGAAATCAGTATGAGCACCGGCCCCAACAAGATTGGCATCCGCCAACGGCGGGTGGGGTGGGTAATGGAGCAATCTGATACTGGCGAGGGGATCCTTGCAGAAGTCGGTGAAGATGCTGGTGTCGAAACCGGACAAACCTCGAAACAGGATATGCGTAACGTGGAATGAAAGTTTGGACAGAGTGTCGTGATATTCCAGCAAAGGCTCTTTGAACTCACTGTCCGAAATCAAGCTCATATCTGGCCAAATGTTCGCCTCTTGAAACGGACGGAAAGGAGGCTTGTTGTCGGGGACTTCACGGCCGATAAAGTAGCCCTGAACAACACAATCAGGTCAGTAAGTCAAATTCGACCAATATTCCAATCCATCATCAACATTAAGCCGTCGTCTGATGACCCACACCGTTGCTCTCTCTCTCTATCTCCCTCCTTTCATCCCTCTCTCGCTGTCGATACAATTCTCCAGAGTCGTAAATACGTACCTCTTTCAAATCGGGCTTTTTCCCCTCCTCCAAAATTTGCGACCCAAGCACTTCGTATCCACGGCCTGGCGGCCCGACCAACGTACGTTTGACATCCTCGGGGAGAGCGAACAGTTTTTTTGCCGCCGTGAAGACTCGTTCTTGGAGTGATTGCGAGACACCATGGCCTGTGATTTGAAAGAAGCCGCTGGTGGCACATGCCGTGCGGATCTGTTCCACGATTTGTTCTGCCTCAGGCGATTCGGGGTTTTTGAAGTACGCGGTCAGATCCACGGTCGGGATGATGAAGGTAGGCTTGACCTCGTAGCTGATGGCCATCTTACTCTGTCAGGCTGGGGTCCTCGTTCTTGAAAGGGGTTCGAGCGGAATAACAGAAGGAACTTCGATGTCCAATATGACCTATCAACGATGATTTGGCTTGTGCTGAGCGTATGGGCGCCTTGGTGCAATTAATATAGAACGTGCGAGATCCATAGTCAGCCAGCCGAACAGGAAATTCGTCACTTGCATATAATTGGAATCTCGTCGGAGGTCTCCATGCCATTCTCGTATCTGGGCAACGTCGTGGAGATCTGGCCGCCTGGCACTCGTTCTGTGAGTCAATGAATGGCGTGCATATAAGGCTTTATCGGGTTATCAAATCGTACCAGTACGACAGGGACTGTTAGAGAGCCTAGCGCCCAACAGCGAGTGCCCGACGAGCCGATGGGCAACGACTTCAGCTCGGGTGAATCTCGTACGGTACGAAAATCGGTCGAATCTTCCTCGACACTTGGAAATCCACCTCGCCCCTCTTTCCGGCGGCGCTTTACTCTCCTCTGCCTGCCGGGCACCCACCGGGGGCATGGCTCTGAGTCTCTTCTAGGCTCGAATCCACCCGAGGCTCGTACGCCATCCCCCAAACCCACCTACTAGGTACCTAGGTATCTTAAATACAGGTATCGACTGTTTGCTCCGCTTTCCATTTTGTACGTCGGGTTTCGCACAGCAAAGCAATCACTTCACTTGTCCCCTCTAATTGTTGACATTGCCCCTTATTACGCGATGCCCCCACGCTTAAGAGAGACATGTACGGCATGTTCGCTGCGCCGGCAGAAATGCGACCGCCAGGTTCCCTGCGGACGCTGTGTCAAACGGGGCGTGGCTGACCGGTGCACTCGACAGTGGCCCGGCGACAGGTACGATCCGTCCATCCATCGGGTTTACCCAAAATCACGATCGAACAAGAAGAAGCGGACCAGCACACCACATGCTCTCGGTCTTACTCCATCTTCCGTGACTGATGTGTCCGATCCGGGTCCCCTCGAAGGGATAGAAGCAGCTGCGGCGGAGCCCCAACCAGAACCAGAACCAGACGGTTTGGACGTCAGTTGGACAGGCGGCGACTGGGCGAACGATGATCCTCGTCTGCAGTATTCTTTCCGGCCGTTTGAACGGAAACAACTACGACGGCCTTTAGCTTCTCAGAACAGGCAACATGCTGCTTCCCCTAGTCAATGGGTCTCGGCGACAGGAATCGGGTTCAGCTCCTCGGCCGATGCCCAAGAGACATTCCTCCAAATGCTGATTCCCGGCATTGACCACATCTGGAGGCTGGTCGACTACCATGAATTGTTCTTGCTCTGGTACCACGGATGTTATCACGGGCCAACATTACGGTGGGAGCTACACAGCCTTTTGAGCTCACAAGAACCATCCGCCTCGCTTGTGATCAGGGGCTTAGACCTTCAATGGCTAGCTTTGCTGTTCGCCATCATGGCCGGCAGCTTGACTTGTGCGACGTCGCGCCAACTCGAGCAATGGGGCTTCTCCAAAAGTGAGGCTGTCAAGCTGTCGATGCAGTGGTACAAAGCGACCATTACGTGTTTGAATCAGGCAGAATACACCACCAACCACAGCATCTATGCGTTGCACGCCATCGCCACCCTAACCATGTCCGCCCATTCCCTCGGTCGATCTTCCGAACTGTCGGTCCTTTTGGGCAGTGCCCTCAAGATCGCCCAAAGCTTAGGGTTGGACCAGCTCTGCCACAATCCGACATTGGAGCAGATTTTGCCTGCAACCTCGGAAGAGAAACGACATACTTTGCTGCGCACCGAAGTAGGTCGGAGGTTATGGTCGCAGCTATGCATCCAGGATTGGATGTCGTTGCCGTTCGCCGAAAGCCACTGCATCAACCCGTTGCATTTCACGACCACCAAACCGTCCAGTCGCAACCATTTGACCATGGATCCAATCCCGGCGACGTTTCCGACGTACATCAGTTATGGCAATTATCTGTTTGAGATTGCAAAGCTCATGGTCGCTCACCACGAGGCCATGCTGCGTGCGACGACGCCCTTCACCAAATACGAGCAAGTTCTGGACTTTGACGTTAGAATGCGCACGCTGGCCACTCAAGGCATGCCCCGGTATTTTCATGTCGTTGAACCCATCGACCCGGCCTGGCCCGAGTGGGTGTCCTGGGCCCGGCGCAGCCTGACCATCTGCTTCGCCCACAAGATCATTATGATCCACCGACACTTCATTCGGCCGAGCTTCACCAATCCGGCCTACTCCATCACCCGCGTAACGTGCGTTGCTGCCGCCAAAACGACATTGAATGAAGCAAAACAAACAGACGAAAAGAATGGTCCCATCATCTGGGTCGACAAGGCGTTCTGCGTGGTGGCCGGGATCGTCTTGTGTTTAGACATGTTTCACCGTCAATCGAGGTCAGACCCCGAATACCAAACCCACCGCGATTTGGTGGTGGAATGCATCGCCCTCTTGCAGAAATTTGATACCAGCGTCGTCGCCATCCGCGGCGCCGGCCTGTTGTCCGCCTTGGTTTCCGAACTCGAACGACAGCCATCAGCCCCAAGCTGGCCTCCGCAAAACATCAAAATGTCCGACATTTTCAAGTCCCTGGCGGTCGACACCACAGCAGATAATGGTCTGCAGAGCATCAACCCGCAGTCTGCGGCAGCAGCTGGGGGGATGGACGCTAGAGACAATAACATGCCAATCGTACCGGAACTGTTCCCACCTCAGGCAGGCTTCTGCAATCGCTTCTTGTTGAAGGAGCTGCTAGATTTCGATACGCAGTCAAGAGCTTGATCGGTGAGACAAGGGTGATCGCTGTCAGGCCTTGTAGCGCTTTGGCGCTACTGTCACAAGAAAAGCGGCATGAATGTTTGTTGCAATGCCATCTTGAGAGAGTTCCGCATCGAAACCATAAGGTAAAAAGACGAGTATATTTGAGCCAACCAAGTCGATAGGACCAAGGTCAGCGGGAATAGGTCTCTTGACATAACTATCTGTAGTCAGCGCTTTGAGGACGCATCCATGCTATACAGACCCTCCTGTCGGGCCATCCATCGCTCACCCGGCTGGCGCAAAAACAGGGACTAGCTGGGGGGAGCACAAGGGCGGCATTACCTTGCGCCCGATCCGGGGTGAGGCGCGGGCAGTAGGCATATCAACAACTGGCCGCTTTTTATCACATCACCTTCAATCGCACCTCTGCGCAGTTTACGTGCTTGATTATTCAGGGAAGCTTTATGTTTTCGATGCGGGACTCTCTCGAGATGGCATTGCTGCGGGCATACATCCGGCTTTCCTTGTGAACAGGGTCTACGGTCTCGACCCACTACATTGCGGATGTTCGATGCACAAGGCTGCGTGTGTACCGAACAATGTCATGACCGGCTTTGGTTTCATAACGGCCTTGAAGGACAAGTTTCTGGTAGTTTTCAGTCACCCTTTTTCTTTTATCTATTACCCTCTTTGCGAGTGTGCGGAACCGAGCTCTCCAAGCATATCGAAGACAACGTGGAGGAGGTGTGCGGACAAGCCCCCAATCTTTACATTAAACCACGACTTCAAAAGACATCCATCACAGATGGTAAGGGAACTCGGTGCCCTCAACCTCCTTGTACAGCGCCTCCATGGCGCCGACAACCTCGGCCGGTAAGGGACCTTGTTCAATCATGTCAAAGTTGGAGTTCAGCTGCGCGACGCTTGAGGCGGCAATAATGATCGCATCGCCGGATTCCTCTTTGAGCGTGCTGTGGTATACAGTCCACCTCAACGCCGCGGCGTGGCCGTTGATGCCGTGCTTGGCCACAAGCTCGACTGCACGGTCGGTCGCGGCTTCGATATTGGGTTTCAGGTAGACGGACGCGTACACTTGACCTAACCAAGTCTACATTGGCCGAGGTCAGCGTGAATAGGTCTCTTGCCACGACTATCTGTAGTCAGCACCGTAGGGCAAAGGAGACTTACCGATGTGTCGAACCGGGCGCCGTGTTGGACATTCTTGTGGTTCCCTGCGAAGAAACCACCAGCGGCGGGACTGTTCCGGAATATTAGCACATGGAAGCTCAGGTGCTGGGACCACAAGAGCGGCAGGCAGACCTCCAGGCATAGAAAGCAATCCCATGCTTTCGCAGGATCGGAAAGAGTTCCTTCTCCCCACTTCTGATAATGGGATTATACTGGCCCTGATACACGGTCGGCTTCACGAAGCCCCTTTCTTCGCATATTTGAACAATCTTGTCCACTTCCTCGGCTGTATAGTTGGACAACCCAAAGCGTTCGAACTTGCCTTGCTCATAGGCTTCATTGATGGCTGCTAGCGTCTCCTCGAAAGGCGTTGTTCTGTCCGGCACATGAAGGTACTCGACATCGATCTTCGGAATTTTCAAGAGGGACAAGGACGTGTCGATGTTTTCCTTGACGTTTTCCTTCGAGTGGCTGCCGGGCGTCAGAGAAAACACCTTGGTGTCGATTGAAAACCGCTTCCCGGCCTCAACGACACCCAGCCTCTCTTCTGAAGATCCAGGAGCATGTGGTGAGTAGGCACGGGCCGTGTCAATGTGCCGTCCACCACGCTCATAGAACGCATTGAGGTAAGCATTCACCTCCTCAGGGGTGTCGTAACGGACAGTTGAATCCAGAGACTTGTCTCCAACCTAGGTTGTCATGCATAAGCAACGATGACTGCCCTCCGCATGGCCTTCTTACGTTGGCTACTCCCAACACAATCCTCAACGGTGATTTGATCGACATCGTGTCCGCTCTTGTGGTTTTACTTCGTGGCCAGTTCAGAGAGAAAGATGAAAATGACAACACCAAAAGGCTTCCTATGGGGGAAGATATAGAGGTTCAAGCTGCACTGCACTGCTCAACAGGGTAATGGAAGAAGAATCCACCATTGAGATTCCTAAGTATTGCAACTTCTTATAGTGCCTGTCCTCCATGGTGTATCTTACCGTCGGGGACACTTGATCCCGCTTGTTCTCCAACGATCGAGCAGTTGGCCCAAAGCTGCTTATGAATCACTTTGCCAATGAATATCTCGGTACACTCGGTAGTTTTGAACCAGACAATCACCAGCTCTGCATAGAATTAGTCAAAGTTGCTGAAAAATGGCACCTTTCCGGTTGCCCTGAGGCGCCCCACCCAGACATACAGTAGATGGAAAAGGTTAGCCGGTTACCCGATCTGTTAAGGGGGATGCCTCTGGGCGGTGACTTCGACACCGATTTCGTACAATGTCAACACTAGTATTACTACCTAGCTAGGCAAGACTGGCTATAAGATAGACGGTGGCGATGTCTCCCTAGGTAGGATAGCAATGAAGACGAATTCATAACGCGGAGAATAGACACCAGTGCTAATTGAGTAGGAACTTTTTTGAACTGAGCATTAAGCGAACTCGCCATTGTACGATATCGCCATCGAAAAGTCAGTGCCTCAAATGGATTCCACATTACCCGTATAATGCATCCTCCGACATTTGGTCCGTCATGGTCCGAACGCAGTCACTCGACATGGCTCGTGAGGTGTAATGGGTCCGACTACTCGGTACACATATTGTACCTGCGCCGACCTGATGCCAACATAGCATTTTCCATGGGGTCTCATGCCAAAACTGCTGAGGATGGGTCAAAGGGGCACGTCTGCTTGAGCCGTCCAGAAGTGCAGCGGTTGGCGGCAGGCAAATCTGCGCCTTTGAAGATCATTCGTATTGAAATCGCTTCCCTAGGGAGGAATGGAGACAATATATGTCTGATAGAAATCATGGCGCGTGCCTTTCAGAACTGAGGTCTCAAATCATAAATGGCCGCTACAGAGCGCAAGCGCTGCCGGTCTTTTGCCTCAGCTGAAGCTCTGATGAGGCCGCATGTTGGATTTCTCCTTCCCCCGGGATGTTTATGTCGTGCGGGACATGAACAAATATCCGGTGGTCTTTGGGTCCTTTTTCCCTTCAGTGACCTGGAGCTTTTTCAGAGGGTAATCTCTCTTTCTGGAGCCCGCGGCCAGCACTTCCATCCCCTTGTATCCGACAGTCTTAAGCCTGAAGACGGCAGGGGTACCAGATAATGCGGTGGAAGCGTCTGGTCAATGAGCTATGATGGAGATTCCGAATCGCCACATGACAGAAGAAATCTCATAACCGTGTTAGCTCACTGTCACCGGAATATCGGTGTTGGTGCGTCATGAGACTCCACGAATGGCTCGGATGTTCAATCTGGCGGAGCAAGACCTGGGCATGAATGCATATGGAATGCATTGCGACAAGTCCATCAAGCCCTTCAGAGCGTATTCCCCTCCCTTGGGTCTTGCTCTTCTGTGACCACAGCAAGGCTGGTGCCAAAGACGAGTTTTCGTTGAAAGCAGTAACCGAGCCCATCCTCTTGCGCGTACAATGCTAGACGTGCAAAGCGCTCTTGTTCATCCAAACAGCTTCGAGTTGTCGAGTGCCGATTTTTTTCTCCTCGCCCCTGTATTCAAATCCAAACTTTTCCGCTTGACCGCTAGCTCTTCAGCACCACCTCTTCGACTCGCATATTTATTGGCTCTGCGCATTCTCGTCTCGGCACGGAGAGCATTAGGGCTGACGAACTGTTTGTTTTCGAAGATGATGGGTCCCCCAAAGCTGCCTTCCTGGATGACGACTGGTGTGAGGACAAGACGAGGCCCGACTTCGACGAGTGACACATCGTCTCCTTTGACACGCTCCTTGTCCGTCTTATCCGGTGCCGACTCACGAATTTCGTACACGCGAATCCAGATCTTCCCGTCGAGCCCGTAAATGCCAATGACACGGTCAATGAAGGGTTTCATGCCGCGAATACCTTTGGGCGGGACACAAAATACCCCACGAAACATCTCCCGTAGTAGTGAGCGATATTCCTGACCCGGAATCTCTTCATCGAAACTGTTGTCAAAGACAACGATACCTCTCCCACCTTTTAAGCAATTTCCCCCAAACCCTAGCTCGGCCATTGTGTGCACATTGGTCACGCTGAATTTGACCGTGGGTCCGTTGGGAGCACGTGCGAGCCACAGGTACAGGTCTTGACCATGTTTCCGTGCTTCCAGGAAGAAGACGTAGTTGCAGGAATGAAGGTCAGCGAGGCCGTTGAGGGCAGAGTTGTAGTTGTTGGAAGACTTTGTATCAAGCTTTGTATCTTTGTAGGTATGAGGAAGCAGGACATGGAGGTCATTGAGAAGATGCCGGTGTCTGCTGATATTAGCGACGAGCCGGACGAAGCGCATGGGTCAAGAGTATACCTATATGAGACTCCACGAGAAGTGAGCATCAGCACTCGATTCCGAATCTCAGCAGGCAATTGAGACAGATCATTCGTCTTTTTCTGGCTTTTGAGACGTTCCTCTCCGCTGGAGGATCCAGCACGCAGGGTTGAGCTACTCCCATCGGATGCGACTGAGCCGCTGTCATCAGAGTCGGAAGCGTCTCCTGACCGCATCGCTGATTTGTATGCAGACGCCATGACAAGAGAGAGCCAACGTTGGTGTTGCGGAAATGGCTGAGGACTGCGGACGTGGAAATCTCTTGGTGCCAAAATTTGTTTGCGGGGAAGAGAGAAAAAAATTATTCATGTAGTAGTTGGAGACGAAGAATCATGGATGCGTTCAGCGCGGACTGCGGCCTCCTCCATCTTCCCACCACGTTATAATTTCACAACGACTAGGGTTTGACTGTTATTGAGAGGCATTCAATTATAATAGCACGGAATATACTGCTTGAATGAATTCAACATCAGCTAGAGATCTTGGGTACAGGCCATGCAACATGCCACCGGTCTCGATCCCCAACTGGCGGAATTACCACCTTCAGACTCGGAATGCCGGTCCCCTTCGCCGTATTCCCTGAAACCTTGAGAGCTTTACTCAGGGCAGCAATTGCAATCGCTGTACCTATACATGCTTTCATCGCGCTTCGCACGTCCTGCGTCCACTCACTGTCTACTATTGGAGCGACTGTCTTGCTTCTTCCCGTTCCCTCCGTACCAGCTTTGGGATCCGTGGGCCGGAGAGGCTTAGACTCCCAGCCGCTCCTCAAAACCTCTTCCCACGCTTTTCTTGCGGTCTGTACTAGACTAGATGCCTGCTCGAGCACCGACTCGTCAGGAAGATCCTGCAATGAGAGGGACTGTTGCGCCACATCAAAGTCGATGGGTTCAGGGATAGACAGGTTGAGAAACGGCCGCATTCTCAGCTCGTACCGCAAGTGGTCTGAGGCGTACGCGGGCGAAGGCTTGCGCAGATTGCCGTGACGTTGGATTACGGCGAAGACTCGATGTAGAGCTTTTGCCATGGCCTCCGTGGCTTTGAGCCAAGTGAAATAGCGATACAAGCGCTTCAGAGTAATCTGTACCTCGTCTCGCCGGCGTGCATCCACCTGTCGACTCGAGGACACAAAGAAGCTGATTCTTTCGAGATGAGAGAGATGCGAGTTGGAGAGGAATGAGAGATACCAGTACATCTCGGTAAATTCGTGCGGAGCATAGATGGAAAGTTCAAATCCCATCTGAAGAATAGTTCGAAGTTGTATCAGCTTGTAGTGGTACACCCAACTGCTGAAGGAATATGAAAAGGTGGGTTCCTCGCTGTTGGGGTAAGGAATGGGCTGCTCGTCCAGAACAGACTGTACAAAGGCATCCAGGTCCTCGGCCTCAGCTTGAATCTGATCCCATTCAAGGGCTGCATGGTACATTGACCGCCTTACCCGGCAGCGGTTCAGACAGTAGGTCCTGAAAAGATTGATGAAGGACTGACCGCAACGATTCAGAAATAAATCCACTTGAGAGTCGAGATCAATCTGCTGATCTTCTGGAAGGTCCTCAATTTCACGGCTGTTGCTTCCCAAAGGCAAAGCACTTGGGAGCGTAAGAGAATGCATATCCTGAGTGATGAAATGGTTGATGTTGTATTGGCCCAGCACCATGTTGTCGATGTTCAAGAAGGACTGCAGGAGTGCTCGAACATACACCGCGGGTTGTGATATCTGCGCCATGAAAGTCTGATAAGCGACTAACAGGTCGCTGCTGCATGTAATATCAAGCATTTGGAATGCTGTTGTGGTATCCGTGAGAAGCTGGTTGAAGAAGGAAAAGGATTTTTCCTTCTCTATCACTATCATCGGCCTCGGAGGCACACTGCTAGCCAGGCCGCGCTGCATCTTCAGAGTGAAGGCTACATTTGGGGTTGGGCGCCCGAGGATGGAAGTCTCTTCAATTGCCTTGATCAATGCAAGATCTGCCTCAAGAGTCGAGCTGGCCGGTCGTTCGCGGAGCTCACAACTGTGAAATAGTCGAAGGAAAGCAGATCGTGCATCTATCCTGTCTTTCAGTGCCCGCTTCAAGGGCTGTGAGAGGTTGCTCTTTTGTACGAAGCCATGTGCCTCTTCCAACGAGTCCATAACCTCCCCAACCGAGAAGTCGTGCAGGAGAGGCCGATTGTATATCTGTGGTGCGAAGTCTTCCTCCTGCATGTCGTCAGCTGCTCGTTAATACAAGCGCTTTCCCACGATCCCTACCTCGTAAAAATGCTGGCTCGCAACCATGGAGAGAACTAGGTCACAACATTTGATCAATCCCACACAGTAGGACTGAAAAACGGTGTGGAGCAGAGAAGGGGCATCTCTGGTACTGGGCCGGTCTCTCCAAAAGCAAGCATCAGAGAACTGCTTTGGTTGTGGCCAGAGCAGTCGTTCCAAGTGTATGGAAGTAAATAGAGTCTGGGACAGAGGATATCCCATATGCCATGCTACCTGTCGCAGGTCAAACCACCATTTCATACCTCAAGACAGAGTTGCTCACCTCACGATACATCAGCTGGTCCATCAACCATATAATCTCCTCTGCGGATACGGCCCTTGCAGGATCGAACTCTTCGTCGCTTTCAGCGTCGAAAGCGGTACACCCGCTATCCATCTTCGGATCACCAATCTGCTCGCTTCGATCAGCTTCATGGTTTATCGGGCCTAAAGAGAGAGTTATCAAACCTCCAAGGCGCTGACGGCCTCATATAATGTGAAGTGCTCATCTTTGACCAGTTTGCCCCCGGCTAGTTCTATGGACCGGTCAGTGTTGTTGGAGCAAAAGTGACATCCAGGACTGACTCGAGGCAGCACTACAGAACTCTCTCGTTATTTCGGTTACCTGGACATTGGGGTGGACAATTTGGGATTGAACCATGACAGCCGCTCCCTTCTAGGGGAATAGGAGAATGGGAACGACGATGGGCACAATCCCCTCATGAGTCGACAGAGCTCCCCACAGCGGCAAGAGTCCACAGCCCAAAATTTACTGTATCCTAGGCGGAATGAGTCCAGACACAGATCGGAGTACTAGTGAGACATTCAACGTGTAGAGATCAATTGTGCAGAGGTATATTTGGGATACGAAGGTCGTGTGGGTGCAAGGTTGAAAAGATTATGGCACGGAATTTTTACAGTCTCTGGCAAATGTCATGTGCACATCCGCAGGCACGCATTGCATGGGGCTTCGCCGTGAGGTTCTGGGTGTAATATGTACAAGTCTGATTTTTGCTCCGTCAAGAGCTTTCCATCCGCCATTGATGCGTCCTGCACGATGCAGTGTTCCTCTATTTTGCCTCTCCAGTCGCATGTTCCGCCATGGCATCGGCGTTCGCAGCGCCCAGGTTCCTGTTTTCTCCTTGTTTCCCGTTCTGCTCGGCGTCAGTGGGAAGATCGCAGGTGGCAGAGGCCGCGGAGTGAACTCACCTGCCACTTTGCGAATCTCAGATCCATATCGCCTCTTCTCTCAGCTTGAAGTCTGGGTCCTTCTTTTAACGATCTGCGGACGACTCTGGCGGCAATGGCGAGGTATCGATTGTAGCTGCCAACGTTAGCCAAAACAACGCAAAGAAGGAGGAGGAACTGGGTGTACGTGAGACCGGCCGCTTTCCATTCGAAGGCCATGGTGACGATTGGGAGATGTGCAAGCGTTTGAGAGGAGAGGAAGCTCTGTGCTGCTGTCTGCTGCTGTCAATCGGGAGAGTAAACTGCGCGGCCAGAGTCGCAGAGGGAAGCTCCTAGCATGCCAAGGATACGGCCGGAACAACGTTGATGCGAAATCTAGCCTCGCCAGTCCCCCCAGCCTTGTCCCGCCAGGTTAGGGATCATTCTTTCATTCTCCGAGATACGACCATTGTGCTATCGGCCGGCCGTCTGCCCCATACAGTGTAGAGCCCTTGTCCATCAAGATGACTCTGATAGAGAAACAGGATGAAGAGGCTTTTCTTTGACTAGACTCGGTAGCCAGCACAGCTCCTACAACAGTCACGACGAGACGTTGACAACCAACAATTCACACTTTAAAGAAGAAGACCAATCCGGAGAAAGTCAGAGCTTGTTGAATCCCTTAACATTCTGCCCGAAGTATGGTCGAGGACGAGTGAAGATCTATATGTCTCGGAGAATGGCGACTGAAGCATCTATACGATGGATCTCCGTCATAAACCAACACTCCTTCTGTCGCCAGCGAAGCAACAATTGCAGTTCGCCTGGGGATAGGATCTCCTCTTCGCTTCCTTGGACGTCACTCCTTTCAACCTTGATCAGAGTCGATGAAATCTTTTCCCTTTCTAGGTGCAGGCGTTCGTACAATCTCGACATGGCTTTGTATAGTCTGTCGAGGAGGAGTTTTTGTACTCTTTCAGGATCGTAGAAGTAGAGGAAGGTTGTGCTTTTGGGCTGTCTTTGGGGATCCCTCGGAACTTCTTGGAGCTCGAGGAAACCTTTCGTCTGCAGCTGTGCCAGCGACTTCCGAAGCTCTTTCGCGTTCAGAAGACCAACATCCTGCATTGTTCTCTCATCAAGCTTGCCTTTATCAGCCAGCATGCGAACAATCCTGAGCGCCGGTTCGCTGACGCTCTCATCGATGAGACGCAACATCTCCTTATTCCACAAGAAATCGTTGAGCTTGCTCTTGTCAATCTGCCAAGATCTTGTGTCGGAGTCCCCTAAGAGAAAGCTGAAGGGCCCTTCTGCCAAAACACCTAGCTGGTATTCAATGAAATGATGGTCCCCGCTTGTCCCATTGGCTTTGTTGTCGTGATGGCCGTTCAGGAGTTTGTCTCCGGCGAGCCAACCGTTTTCATTGCTTTGCCCGTTGCTCATTGCTGGTCGACGTTCCGAAGAAATGATGTGGCTGATATCGGAAACGTCCAGTCTCTGCAACGAATGTGCAGGGGGATCCGACAGCCGTAGTTTCAACGGTCGTGGGTCGATGTCTTCAACCAGTAAACAAGCTGCTCGTGCGACTTCTGCTGTGCGTCGGCCAAAAATCTTCTCAGCAACCTCCGCCACCCTCTCATTGCGAATGTAGAGGATCAAATTTGAGTAGTCGACGCAGAGCAGAATATTAGCCTATTGTCAATCAGCAGGGAATGCAGGACGAGGGGGAAATAAAGGAGTACCTGGCTGGGGCTCGCTTCAAGTTCATGCAACACCTGAGGCCAAGAAATTCCTCCATCTAGACGCTGCTCGAGCTCGGCATCAACCTTTGCATCACCATCTATTTTGATTTTCTTCGCCGTTCCTTGCAGAAGCATCCCGTGACCGCGCAAATGGCGCTCCGCATCCTGACGAGAGTCAAATGGCGAGTGAAAATGTGCCTCGCGAACACTAAGAATATACTTGGACGTGATGAGGTGCTTCAGCAGAGCTCGAAAGCGAGTCTTGTCCATCAACTTGGACGAGCCCTCGTCACCTAAAAGGTGGGCTTCCAGCTCACACGCGGTCGCAAACCCCAGTACAGCCAGATGTTCCATAATATCCGCAGCCGCTGATCCGAACTTCCATTCAACAAGTTCAATGAGTCTACCGGTACGCATGATGTTGTATGCATTGCTGGTATTTGCTTGATAGGTGGACAAGCCCTCTGGAGACGTGTGGTGATAGACGAGTCGCAACTGCACCAAGCTTGCTACACCGGTCTTGACTTGTCGGAGCGGAAGACGACATTTTTGAGCGATTTGATTGATAGAAAGTCGCCCTACCTGGGCCAAGTGTCGATAGATTTGCTGCCTCTCAGATCAGTATTTCGTTCATGCACACCTAACAGGAATTGCTGACCGCGAGAAATGTACCGTAGGCATCCTCAACGATACTACAGCAAAGTTGTGAGAATTCCTGCCGCGTCTCAGCTGACCAAATTCCTCTCAGTCCGCCAAAACTTCTGAAATACCTCCATCTCTAGCACGAATCAACCGTTGACAGCGGAATCATGGAAATTTAGACTTTTTTGGGCCTAGCAAAGGACAATTCGTTCACTATATCATCTCGGGACACTTTGTGGACGAACGTTGATCGAAGAAGAGCGTTATTCGGCGTTTTCTTTGCATTAGACTCGAGAAGAAACTTTTGCCAGAGACAAGGCTGGCAGCAACTTGAGTCCGAAGAAATTCTGGTGAAAGAGCAGCACACGTGACAGCAGATCCTTGCGGGGGCTTGGGACTGGGCTTGGCAAAATTGTGAGACGTGAGTGGCTGTCTCCTTCGGACCAATCAAAGCGAGCTTGAATTCTGTAGAATCAATTGAAGCTCGACTCCATCCGAAGCTCCTGTTCGACTGCATCTGCTGCGTTTTTCACCTCTCCCAATCCACCACGAGGCTTCTTGTACAATGGCTTCTCCAGCTTCGCTTGGCTCGAGAGCCCTGCGAGCTAGCAGTCGTCATATTCCCGTCACCTCCCTGCAGCGGAGAGGTCTGGCCGCAGCTGCTTCCGGCAGCTTTCAATATGAGACGGGGGATGCGTCGGGTGTCAAGTTCGCCAGCAGAGATTTGCCAGGCCCAACGACTACTTTGACTGTCGTCGCAAAAGCCGGTACGCGGTATCAGCCGCTGCCTGGCTACTCCGATGCCCTCGAAAAGTTTGCTTTCAAGGTTCATCTAGTTCCTACTGTCCAGCCATGACCGCTCAGCTAATCCCAGAAATTAGTCCACCACGAAACGATCAACCCTGCGCATTACCCGAGAGGCTGAACTCCTCGGCGGTGAGCTGTTTGCATATCATTCCCGAGAGAACCTCGTCCTCCGAGCCAAATTCCTGCGCGAAGACCTGCCCTACTTCACCGAGTTGCTGGGGGAAGTCATATCAAAAACACGATACACGAGTTGGTTCCCTTCCGAGTATAGCTGGAATCTCACGTCTGACAATTTACAGCCCATGAGCTCAATGAAGAGGTGATTCACGTCATGAAACTTGCGCAAAAAGGTCTCCTCGGAAGCCCTCTGTCACTAGCCCTGAATTCCGTCCACGGTGTTGCATTCCACCGCGGTTTGGGCGAACCATTATATCCCACTTCCTCGGTTCCGATCCTCCAGTACCTTGACGCTGAGGATATTGCGAAGTTCAGTGACAGTGCCTACGTTAAAGAAAATATTGCTGTTGTCGCCAATGGTGCAAGTCACTCTGAATTCTCTAAATGGGTGGGAGAATTCTTCCAAGACACTCCAAGTGGATCCAAACTGTCCGGCCCTGCTTCCAAATATTACGGTGGCGAGGAGAGAATTGCTCACGCATCTGGGAACGTGTTGATTATCGGTTTCGAAGGATCCAGCTCGTTCACTGCCGGGTCCTCTTATAAACCAGAAATTGCGGTCCTAGCTGCGTTACTCGGAGGAGAAACCAGCATCAAATGGTCTCCAGGCTTCTCCCTTCTGTCCAAAGCTGCGCACGACTTCCCTCAGGTGCAAGTCTCTACCCAACATGCCGCGTATTCCGACGCTGGCCTCCTGTACATCACATTCAGCGGAAATGCGGCTCAGATTGCCAAAGCAAGCAAGAACGCTGTCGACACGCTCAAAAAGGTTGCAGCAGGCGAAGTGGCAGAAGAAGATCTGAAGAAGGCTACTGCATTGGCAAAATTCAGAGCGCTCGAGGCTGGACAGCAGACACAAGCTGGTCTGGAAGCCACCGGAAATGGACTCATCGAGGGTGGGAAGCCATTCCAGATCGATGAGATTGGCTCGTCCATCGACAAGGTCTCTTCAGACAAGGTCAAGGCGGTAAGTTGCTCAACCGGACTGTTGGTGAACCCCAAGATCTCTAACTTTTTGCATAGGCGGCGAAGGGTCTGCTGGAGTCAAAAGCATCGGTATCAGCAGTGGGAGACCTGTTCAGACTTCCTTTTGCGTCTGAGATAGGTTTGACGGTTTGAAAAGGGACTGGCGCATCCGATTCCGTCGTGCATTCTGGTGTGTAAAACTTGTAAATAAGACAGAAACCCCTAACAAAGACACTTGAAAGACCCGTTGCCATCCGTTGAATTAAAATTATATGTGTTGGGGTGTCTAGCATGTGTCTAGCATTCACACTGGTCTATCCTTGCCAAAGGGGAACAGGGGATGCATGTGTTGGCCTGTTGTAGAGGAGGATGGCAGATTGTATCAGTCCCGTCGTCGTCAACACGAATGATCCCGGCAATTGTCGGCCGCGGAACCATTTCCTTCGCAACAGTCCATCCACTACACGACATGTTCCCCCAACCACGCTACTCCTCTGTCATTATTGAAGACACTTGCGACGAGGAGATGCAACGAAGGAGGGAATCACAGCAGATTTCCATGGCATGAAAAGACTCGAGAGTCACAAGTGAGGTGATGTTGATCAGGGTGGAAAAGTCCCCAGGATGGCATTCGAAGTGAGCTACATCCCACACCCAACACCAAAGGGACATGCGGGGACGGCTCAACTTGAATCCCATGGACTTTTGATTTGTGCTCTCGTGTCACGAACTTGTTGCCATTTTGTGGTAACTAATGCAGAACCAGTTCCCACGGCTTTCGTTTTCCGTGGCGATCCCCGGGGACCCAGAGGGTGTGGAGGAACGCCACGCTGGGGGGCATAAAATGAACTGCCCAATACGCCGGTGCTACAGCCTTGCAAGATCCAAACGACTACGTATTCGACCTCGAAAAATTGAGACAATAACGTCGTCGACATCATGAGCCAGCTGTACTTTGACGCCCTGATCGTGGGCGCCGGGTTTGGGGGTATCTACCAACTCCACAAGCTCCTTTCTCTCGGCCTTTCCGTCAAGGTCATCGACTTTGCCGGCGATGTGGGCGGCACCTGGTACTGGAACCGCTACCCAGGAGCCATGAGCGACACGGAAAGTTTTGTGTACCGATACTCGTGGGACAAGGATGATCTTCAGACCTACCCATGGAGCCACCACTACGTTAAGCAACCCGAAGTTCTCGCTTACTTGGAACACGTCGTGGACAAGTACGACCTAAGGAAGCATATGCAGTTCAATACGGAGATGGTAGCTGCGGACTGGGACGACGAGGCCGGTGTATGGCGGGTCGAGGTCAGTACGGGCGAGGTCTTCGCCGTGAGATACCTTGTCACTGCCCTGGGCCTTCTTTCGAAAGCGAACTATCCCGATATTCCCGGCATTCAGGATTTCCAAGGCGAGATGTGCCACACTGCGAAATGGAGGCCAGAGCTGGACCTCACGAACAAGCGCGTTGCCGTGATCGGGTGCGGGTCGACGGGCGTGCAAGTCATCACGGATATTGCGAAGAAGGTCAAGACACTGACCTGTTTCCAACGGCACCCGCAGTATTCCGTGCCCAGTGGCGACGCACCCGTGAGTGAAGAGTACCGAGAACACATCAACGCACGCTACCCGGAGATTATGAAGCAGGTCCGCAACTCGATATGCGGCTTTGGCTTCGTCGAGTCAGACACCCCGTACCACGCCGTGCCCGTAGAAGAGCGCGAACAGGTCTTCGAGGCCCTGTGGCAAAAGGGCAACGGCTTTCGTTTCATGTTTGGCGGATTCAGCGACGTCTCGACCGATCGCGAGGCCAACGAAGCTGCCTGCGCGTTCATCCGCAACAAGATTGCCCAGATCGTGCGAGATCCGCAAAAGGCCAACAAGTTGATGCCCCATGATTACTATGCCAGGAGACCGTTGTGCGACGGTGGGTACTACGAGCAGTTCAACCGGGATAATGTCGAGATCGTCGACGTCAACGAGACACCCATTACAAACATCACCGCGGACGGCATCCAAGTCAGTGATGGGACGGTCCATAAGCTGGACGTCATCATCTTCGCCACGGGCTTTGACGCCATCGACGGAAACTACAATCGAGTGCGCATACGAGGCCGCGACGGCAAGACGTTGAAGCAGCATTGGGACCCTCGCGGCCCGACCAGCTACCTGGGTGCCTTTGTACCGGGGTTCCCCAACCTGTGCATGATCACGGGACCCCAGGGCCCGTTCAGCAATATTCCTCCGGCCATTGAGATCCACGTCGAGCTCATCTCGCAAATGATCGAGCGCGCCGAACAAAGTCGACGACGACAACAACAACAGAGCAGTGGTGGTGGCCGCGGCGGCCAGGAGGGCAGCAAGAGCGTCATCGAAGCTCTCCCCGAGGCCGAGGAAGAGTGGCTCCAGCAATGCGAACGGGCGGCTGAAGGGAGCCTGTTCAAGGAGACCGCCTCGTGGATCTTTGGAAACGTAAGTCTCTCCTTCCTCTCTCTCCCATTTTCCTTTCTCCCTTCCCCTTTCTCAACCATGATCTTGACACATCATGTGCTGCTCTCATATCTTACCTGTCCTCATCGTCTCCTTGTCGATTGGCTGCTGTCGGATTGTCATGACACTTCACTAACGCATTAGATTTCCCAGAACGTCAAGGGCAAAAAGGTCGCGCTGCGGTTCTTCTTCGGGGGACTGGCCAAATACCGCCAGGCCGTGCAAGCCATGGTCGAGGATGGGTATCGTGGGTTCAAGCCTCTTGGGGAGGAAAAGAAGGAGGAGAACAGCAGAGGCCATGTCGCTCCCACGGACCCGGTCGGGCGCAAGCCTGTGCCGATGACTACAATCACCAGTGTCTCTGCGGACTTGGTTGAGGCTCAAAATTAGGCGACAGTGATCTTCGATCGAGAAACACCTCGCATGAGCGTTGAAACAAAGACGAATTACTAGAGATACCTGGGTATGGTCGCTTTCGATGCCACAAGTTCTGCCATTGTTTTCTCTTGGGATCAAAACCCACCTATCGATCCCTGGCAATTGTTTCATTGCCTGTTCCATGTCGTACACAAGTCCAAGTCCAATCCCGACCCTTTTCTAGACCCGCAATCTATTCCTGACCATGAAACCTGGAACCCTTTACAAGTCAGCACTCTTTACCAATCACTGATCCAATCAGCCATCAGCCTATGCTCTCAGCACTCAGACATCGTGTCTGTTGACCATGCGTATCCTACAAAACCTGCTGACTATCCCCGCGCCACTCTCCGTCATCGCTCGGTTCACTATCAAGGAAGTCGTTTTCGTGATACTGTGTTTCGGCAGGTCGTTGGTCTGAGATCACAAGGTTTACCACGTCACATCTGCCGTGGATTGCATTCGCAGCGGGCGCGTCGCTCTCGTCGGTGGTATCGCTGAGACTGAGCTTTTTGAGGTGGCCATTTGCTATCCGAGAACTCTGTCGCTGCGATGTAGACGGTGCCTTCTTCGAAAACTTGTTCCCGACATTGGAAGGTTCTTCAGTATTGAGAAAGACATTCTCTAGCTTCGGCAGCCACCTCTGTCTGAAGCTTGCACGGTCGCGCCAGCTGGCGCCTTTCAAAATCGCCTTGATGTTGAGTCTCCTCAGGTGCGGCAGACGCTCAGAAGACTCAACCAGCGAAGCGAGAAATTCTTCTGCGTCGTCTTGCGTCAGTTGACGCATATTTTCAATGGAGATGCTAGCAAGGTCGGTGGGCCAAGTAGGAGGTCCATTAGGTAGTAACTCGTCGTAGAGCGGCTCGCGGTCGCGGAAGGAAGTCGGATCGATATAAAGCATATCGATCTCTAGGTGTTGCAAATGAGGGCACAGAGATTGGAGGTTTGCGATGAAACCCAAATCCATAGACTGGTTGCCGTCAAGCTTGAGGACTCGGAGACTGGAGGCGCGCGTCAAATAGCCCTCCAGAGCGTCAGAAGTTAGACCGGGACAATTTGCCAGCTCCAGATGCAGGAGTCCGGGCGGAAGCGTTGGCATAGTGACTTCGTCAACAATGCCGCAATTCCGCAATGATAGAAACTGCAACTCAGGCACACTACTGAGCACTCCGGCAAGTAAGCTTTGCGCAGAGATAACGTCTGTCTCTTTGGCCTTTTCGGGTAGAGTCAGGTTGAGAAATGTGAGGTCGCGCAAGCGGCTGAACGAAGGTCTGCAATGAGCCTTCACAGCCACCTTGAGGACGTCCATGGCATTCGGAAATCTTCCGTTCCACTCAAAACTTCTCATGAAGAGATTGTCAGTCTCCAAACGTTCGAATAGCTCTGTCGGATAGCTCCACTTGAATTTCTTCGCTGCCGGTTGTGCCCATATCACAGTTGTGAGGTCATCATAGTTGGAGTAGAGTCTTAGCCCTTGCAGCTGAGGGGTCATAGAAATCAACCTATCCATCGAGATGCCACTCGTCCTGACAAGGAGTTGCTTGACCTCAATGTCGAGGAAATGGATCTTTCTGCGATAATCCGTCGAAAGTTCCTCGGGAGGTTGTGCGAGCAACCCCATGAGACAGTGGGCTCGCCATGAAGGGTACAGAGGAGGGCTGTAGAGTAAAGCTGCCGTGCAGGCTTCGTGAAAGGTGCGACACAGGGTTCCCACTTCACACAGCCAGTTGATCGAGGGCTGTGCTCGCGACGTCGGACCGTAGAGTGGATAGGCAGCATATTGCATGATGCTCACGAGTACATGGTACGGAAGTTGTTGCCACGGAGGAATTCGGGCGGTGTTGAATGCAAACGGAAGGTCAACAGAGCGCTTCGCATTCATCTGGCTCCGGTGGTTGGCGGAAGATGAAGACTTTTGTTGCCTGTACGTTTTTGTTACGCCTTTCGCATTCATCTGGCTTCGGCTGTTGGTGGAAGATGAAGGCTTTTGTTGTCTGTACGTTTTTGTTACGCCTTTCGCATTCATTTGGCTCTGCTTCTTGTTTGCAGATGAAGTTTTTTGTCGCTTGTTCGTTTTGAGCAAGCGCTGCGCCTCTGCTTTTCTTTTTGGTGGCCATGACTGCCTCTGTGTAGGTAGTTGGGATCTCGCGCCTCTTTGAGGTTGAACGCTCGATTGGTCGGAGGACGACTGAGAGTCTGATTCATCCGAAGAAAGGTCTAAGCGGTCATCGTTATCGTCCTCACTCGATTCTCTGTATGTCTGTATCCGACGGGCAGCTCGGCTCGGACGAGGATTGAGAGTGAACTCAGGGAGGTCATCGGTGTCGCTATCGTCGTTCGGATACCGGACTCGAGGAGCACGGCGAGGCCGAGCTAGGGTTGATGACTGGGCCATGGTGGGGAAGCGCAATTTGGCTTGTGGCGGGGGAGTGGGCGGAAGAGGATGAAAGGATCAGAGAGCTCGTGTCGCGCAGACGTCTAGATCAGTTCGCGGATGGAAAGATCAAAAGTCGACATCCCGGGGGCATGAGTATTGCGATGAGGATCTGTCGATGCAGGACGCCGTCGGTATCGGTCAGTCGCAGGATGCGAAGTGCAAAGATCGCATGCGGCGAGCGGGTAACAAGATCGAGAAGATCTTGCAGCAGTTCGAGTCACGTACATAAGCTGCGGATCTTGCCGCCGCTATGCCCCCACAGGTGGCGCTAGCTGTGGCCTAGTGGCCTGTCGCCCTGCTAAGCAGCCAAAATGACCACTCAAGGAAAGTATCCCGAGACACGGTGGATATATTTTCCGGGGCATCGGGCCGGGTTGACAAAGGAAGGTTAAATGGGCTTCACTGATCGGGGAAGTGGTACCTAGGTACATGGTTGACCGAAAGAAGGTATGTTGCACCCTCTCTGGGACAAGCAGGAAAGAGATGTATTTCTTGATCTTTCTACCTGCGGAGGCGAGGCTGTCTCGTTCTGATTGAGAGAGTTGCGGGAGCCTCTTGCTAAATTTATATCTGTCTACATCATGTCGGCCCATGTAGAGTTGAAAACTTCAAGGTCTCTTCGTCGCTGTCCCCAGCCAGGACTCTCACCTGGGTAGTGGGCTCTTCGGCGCCGTCCCCAGCCAAGGTTCCCACCTGTGTAGTGAGCACTTTTGCATAGTGAGACCCTCTAGATCCACAGAAACTGCCCTTGGACATTTCATACGAATTGCGCAATCTATCCACGCCACCACCCTCTGTACCCACCAAAGGAGGGCCTAATTTTGCAGCGCAACCCGAGCAGAACTTGGCTTCAGGATCTTTCTTCTCCAGCCAGAACGTGGTGATCCAGGAAAAGAGCTTCCAAGCAGCCTGTAGCAAAACAAGATCCGCAACGATGACGGCAACGAGGATGGAACCAGTGTCTTTTCGATGTGGTATTTGACACAAGTACTGTGCGTTGAGAGTCGCCTTTGAAATGCCAATTGGACCTGTCGTGTTCTTCAATGTGTCGAAGCTTCTCATAGGCATGATATCGAGTGCTGCAAAACCATAGCCTGCATCCTGAAAAATTTCGTTGGAGCATGCGGTCCAGAATTCGTCCAGAATTCCTGAATCGGCGAGCACGTTTGGGCCGAATCTCTGACCGAGATCGGCCAGGACGAAAGAGTAAAGTGACTTTGCGAAGTAGTCGACTGCACGTCCGACATTTATTTCTCCAATTGTCGTATCTACTATGGGTGGGTTGCCGATCTCGACCCGGCTGCCGCCGACAATGCCGTAGTTGGCAGCATAGCCCGTTGTTTGGTCTGAGCTGGTCATGAAGTCGTCTTGTAAAACGCTCGATTCATCTGTATTCGACGTGCCTGGATTTTGAGCGACATCTTCATGCATCCTAGGTCAGCGCATCGCAGAAGTATCACGGATCGACTACTTACATATTCCTACGCCGGTGATTATCCCCGTCTGTGTCTCGTTCACTTGTGCCATCTGGTTAAGGATTTGGTTGAAGTTCTTCCACCTGAAAGCGGTAAGCTCTTGCACGGGAACGATTCCCCCGTTGGAGCGGACATACATGAGAAGCTGTCCAAACCAGAGACTGGCTTGGGTCTGCCGCTTTGCGGTCAGAAACTCATACCCAAATTTTCCTGGGTCCATCTGCAAGGCGCCTTTGACAGTGATGCTCAAATTGAGATGGACTGGGAGCCGCCCATTGTCGACCGAGCAAGTCAGATATCCCTACCTATATCAGCTGGGGGAGTGTACCATGGCGGTCAATGCTTACCGTTGCGCTAGAGTCTCTTTTCCAGGTCCAGTGAGGCCCATTGCTTTCAGGATCGTAGTTGACGAGGCAGATCTGGATGCCCTGGAACTTACAATTTGTGAAAGAGTTGTTGAGGTACGTCAAAGACGGCAAGGCCACAACACCGGTTCCATCATCTGTCCAGACGTTGCCCAAAGTATATTGAAGCCCAGAATTCGCCGTCAATTGAGTACCGGGAGCGATATTGGCTGGCTGACAACTCGCGGACAATCTACTTTGGTAAGAGAGTGGCGGCTTTTCGAACCAAGCCTTCTCGGCGAGTGTGGAGTTTGGGTCAGCAACAAATGTGCTTCCAAGCACATATCCATTGGCTGCGTAGTTGAGGACGGAGAACAATGCAGTGAGCAGGATGCCGCCCACGACGACCACTGGAGTGAACCAGCGGAAAGGATACGGTCTGCTCAATTTGTAGCTGAAAAAAGAGGCATGGCCTCTTGCCATAGTCAACGGCAATACTGTCTCGACTTACTTCGTAACACACTTCGCACGCGGCTGGAGGGAATAGAAGAGCAAAGAAATGACAGCAAAGACAGATTTGCGCGCACTGCCATTGATATGCTAGCGACGCTGTCCGACCCTGCAGGCACGACAGGTTATCTTGGGGGGCGGAGCACGAAGTTCTCCACAGACGAACCGAGCCACGGCCCGAGAAAGCTTGAAGTTTTCACGTTGTGTGAAGCGAGGAGGACAGTGGTGGCCTGAAGGGGCGATGCTAGCTAGTGAGCCTTACCTCGTACAGCCGAACGGCTCACAAGTAGTATAGACCTTCCATGCATACTTATCATCTCGGATTAGACGTCCGGCTCATACGAGCTCATGGAGCCTGGCAGATTCCCCCCACCCCCTTGCGCTGCTGCCTGAGTATCCTTGCATCTGGGTGAGCGGCTGAAACAGCAAAATGGTGTTCCAGGCGGCGGAGCATAGACCACGGTTAGACTGCAATGCTCCAGACTATGCTCGTCAGGCCCTTTGTTCCCGCGGGTTTTCAGCGATTGTTGTTCAACTCTGTGAAACGGCAGCCTTGTGCATCTGAACACCCGTGGACCTCTTCAAACAGAGTATCGCAGTGCTTCTCCCAAAGTAGCCGCACTCACCTTTCCGACAGCTGTTCATCAACGAGAATTGGTCGCTTGGTTCAGGCATGGATCCAGCTATTCTGCGCTTGCTCAACGTCCTGAGCCGGCAGGTCCGAGGCAAAACAGGAGCGACGCCGAAAGAATATTTCGAGCTGTGTCGATGCCATCCGGAAGACCTCTCTCGGCCCACGGAAGGCATTTCAGCCAAGGACCTCTTGGTAACTGCAAGCCAGCGTTGTTTGATGTGTCAAGTAGTCCAACGAGGCTTGGAAACAGCTCTTGGCACCGCAATCGACGAGGAGTACAATATCAAGTACAAGCTGAAGGAAAAATTTGGTCTAAAAATCCATTATATGCTCAAGGGTGACTGGAATACGCGGAAAACATACCAGGTGTACGCCGCTCAAGGTTTGTCATATGAAGTTTCGCAATGCTGGACGACGTGATTGCTGACATGACTTGATCCTAGATACGGTCAGACTGTCAGATATTTCAGAAGAAATTCCATCGGGGCATGATATCCATATACACCCGCTCGAGAGCGCATGTATTGCGCGTATCAAAGCGACCTTGGAGCAATGCCGGGAAAACCATCCTCATTGCCGGTCTGACCTCATCTCTGCGCTCCCAACTCGCGTTCTGTACGTGGGCGACCAAAAGAAGCCGCCGTATCTTCTTTGCACCAAGGACGAGGCCGCAGGCTATGTAGCACTGAGCCACTGTTGGGGCTCTGCGCAGACATTGACGACGACAACCGCAACACTAGAGGAACGGCAAAACGGGATCGACTGGCAGGCTCTGCCGAAAACATTTCAAGATGCCATTCGAGTTACTCGAGAACTAGGCTTCGACTATATTTGGATCGATTCACTTTGTATCCTGCAAGATAGCCTGTAAGTACCAATGCCCTTGGAACGGCGCGATTACTGATGGATTTGTCTAGTCAGGACTGGGAGAAGGAGGCTGCTAAGATGGGTAGCATTTACGAACAGGCGGTGCTGACTATTGCTGCTTCTGTGGCCGACACCGACGAAGCAGGATTCCTGCAGAACCGAAGTGAACATCTAAGCACGTCATACACGATCCATCATCCGAAGCTAGAGAACGGTACAGGTGAGTTTCGCGTTCGCGAACACCTACCATGGCACAGAAGGCATGACATAGCATCGAATATCCGAGATGCATGGCGTTCAACCATCCTCGGACCGGCGGCCCCAATGGAGCCTTTAGACCACCGAGCTTGGACTTTCCAGGAGCGACTTGTGTCACGGAGATTGTTGTCTTTCTGCGGAAAAGAGTATGAATGGGACTGCTTGAGGGGGACTAATTGTGAATGTGGCGGGCGGCGAAGAGACTTCAATTTGGAAGGATGGGACGCCAGAAACGGAAGTACACGACAAGTCTATCAATCGTTGCTGCAGGAACACCTTGGGGGCCCGGACGCCTTCCTCAAAGGACGTGACTCGAAAGAGTTGAGTATGGAGCTGGTCATGAGGTTCAATGCTCTGAAAAGCGGGAATGCAATGCCCTGTGGCCGTTGTCCAGACTGCACAAAGCCTCGGAAGCTTACGGCGGATGAGAAGCGTGAACGAGCATACACTCTATGGCGAACACATTTAATCCCTGCTTACTCTCAGCTGAAACTAACAAAGGAGATGGACCGCTTACCAGCGCTGCAAGCAGTCGCTCGAGGCCTCCATTCTCTGTGTGGAGAGTACATCGCGGGGATGTGGAAAGCTGATCTACCGGTAGCCATGGCATGGACATCCGGGGCTTACGGCTCAAATGGGCCCCAGCCAGGACGCCCAGTGGATGATCGGGCACCTTCGTGGAGTTGGGCATCAATCGAGGGCGCGGTCGACCATTGCATCAACTTTGAAGATGAGTTCAAGGCCGTGTGCGACCTTGGTGTGGTCTCATGGCCTGAGAACTGCGACGGCTTCTCGAATGTTGACTTTGCTATTGCTGGTCTGCGCGGCTATCTTCTTCCCGCGACTCTCGACGTGCGCAAGCTCGCGGCGACGGGGGAGGAGGACCTGGCGCAGAATAGCTCGTTCGAGTATACGTGCACTATTGCAGAACAGCGTTTCACCATGTACCCAGACTCAGTGCTTGAGAGGGTAGAAGGTGCAGTCGAAAGGTCAACCACGGGCAAGCAGGAGGAGTTTTCGTGCCCTGTCACGGTTCTTGCCTCTGTTGTCATTCGAGTGAAGAGCTCGAACATCCTAGAGGATGACGATGGCGACGACGATTTGCTCAACATGGCAAGCGAACGACGGCTGGTGTTCTTGGTCCTGAACCGATACAACGACAGCGAAAGCCGGATGCTGCCTTATAAACGCATTGGCATCCTTCCGTATGTCAGTTCCAGGCTATTGCCGGAAGAGTGGTTCGAACACTGGCAGCCAAGCATATTCGTGCTTGCTTGAGGTCACCACACGGATAATGGGCAGCATAGACGGGCACGCTCAGTCATGCATCCCTAGGTACCTAGGTACTTGGCTGCAACCGAATTCACCAACAAACATGTTGCACACGGAGCTCGCAGATGCCTATAGCGAGAGAATGGGAGAGGAAGTGAAAGAAGCCCGACGCGTGATCATCTACGGTACGGCGAGCCATGCCGCGTCCGAGTATCTACTAGGTACCTAAGTACAAGTTCAACACGACCATGTACCTGCCTGTGGGCACTAGCAAGGCCTGGTGGGGGCGTTGGTGCCTTGGACCTTAGGGGGGCGGGGGCAGCTACGAGTAACAGGCTAGCAGCACACAAAGCTGCAGGAACTCGCATGCAGCCTGCACTGCCACCGAAAATCATGCACGTTTATCTTGGTCGTGGGCCGTGGCGGCGTTGATCATCACGCTTGGGTTTCTTACCTAGGTACCTATGTATGTCCAGCGGTAACAATAGCAGAAATGTATGTCAACGAGCAAGTATGTTGGCACTGGAAACAATCACTCGGCAATCTCTGTTCAGGCTACTACCTGTAGGTAGCATCTGCTGTGTGTTTCATGTTACAGTGCTCAAATCTCCCGCCCATCGACAGCTGGGGCTCCGTGGTTCCGTGGCTGGGCTGGGCTGGGCTCTGGGCAGTGGGCACTGCAGCTTGTTCTCCGACGCCACGACCTGGTTCCCGTCGATCCACTCGTGGCCCCGTAGGTGACTGGCACCCTCCCCTTGCCCTTCCCAGCGCGTCAGCCAATCTCACTATTCGTACCTATTCGTACCTGGTCGGGGCTAGATACGACCTCGACGAGTACCTACCCAGGGTAGTTCCTGCTATCGTGTTGCTTGGTGCTGCACACTTGACAGCTCCGACGGACACCCCAGACAGACCAACACCCTTCCCTCTTCACACCAGAGCATGCTCACTGCGTACAGAAAACCAAGATAGAGCTGTCATCAAGCAGTCCATCTATCCGACTCTCCATCACATCATTCTATTCACTTCCTGCAACCACTGAATCTTAAGTGCCAGATCTGCAAGGGACTATTCTCCCTACTCCGTCCTTTCTCTTCCTGCCCCCCTCGTCCATCCTCCCCTTCCAGCCCCATCACCATTTGCCGACTCGGATCAAGTACGAGGTAGTCACCCTGCCAACTTTTCTGGTTTCCTGCGCACCTGCGCACCCTGCAGCAAAAACCCAACCAATCCTGCTCCTTGCGTGTCAACGGCGCTTTCTTCCACTCTCCTTCCGTCTTTCACAGGACATTCTTCTCCAAAAATAATCCCATTGACTTCCAAGTCCTCCAACTACCGATTGACGAAACCTCTGCCACCCTACGACCACCCTGCCAGCGCAGCTTGCTCGAATCGTCTGAAACAAGCGCAGTTCCGTCATCTGAGATTTCCTCCCAAGTCTACAGCGCATGGTGTTTCAAGTCTCTATCCTGTCCCTCCCTCTCGTTACCTCCTCCACCGTCATCGATACCACAGCTGCTTGACCTTGGTGTGGAAATGGGTGGAACACAGTATGGAAAATTCCAAGTAAGGCCTCTCAAAATCTGGAGTGTGCTTTCCCAGTCACTGACCTACTGACTGCAGGACTTCTGTCGCGATGCGACACTCCCTATATGCAATGTCAGATCTTCCCTCTCCGCCCGTGAGCTCCCCCTCTAACTGCTTTCCAGATTCTCGTCACGAACAACCAACCCCCTGGCCTTTTGTATGGCGGCTGTGTGCTGCGTGGAATCACACTGAGTAACAACCGCAATCTCGCCAACCTGGGCTCGATACTGCTCTGTGGCATTGCCATTGTCGTCACGTTGTTTCTGATATGGCGTGCAGAAAGGAAAGCTGCCGCAGTCGGTCGCCGGGAGATGCAGATGTTCCTAGTCGGATACCTGATCATTGAGATCTGCGAAATTTTCACAACTGGCGGATTTCCATTGAACAATGATGTGCGGAAAGGGTTCACGGCCGTCCATCTGGCCGCCATCGTGGCGACCATGTGGATCCTGCTCATGAACGCAGTCGTGGGTTACCAATTACTGGACGACGGCACGCGCTTGTCACTGGGACTGATCGGCTTCAGCGCGCTGGCACTATTCATTGGAACTGGCTATATTGCACTCGACACGGCCTTCTCTTGGACAGGGTTTTGGGACAGCTCGTTGCAACCCCCGCACCAGAACTACGCCCTCTACACGCTGTACCAGCTTGCGCCCTTGGTCTTCCTGTTTTTGTTCTTCGTCCTCGAGTCGATACTGGTTCTCAGAATCCTGGGCGAAACGAAACCAATGGTCTATCTGTTCGCCGCAGCCCTCCTCTTCGCTATCGGCCAGGTCTTCATGTATGTGATCTCGAAGCACATATGCGAAGGCACCAGTGGCGACATCAACGGCACTCTTTTTGAGACCCTGTTCACGCTCCTCAGTGTCGTGGCGGTGTTCGTCTTCTGGTCATCAATCACTGAAGACGACTGGCCGATCCAGTGATTGTGGCAGGACTATAGCCGGGGGTTTTAAAAAGGCCGTCACAGGGTAAAAGTCTTTGGTCGACCATAACTTGCCGTCGAATTTCTCTTTTTGGCCTGGGCAACTGCAGGTAAAGAAATTCTAATATTGGGAGACGGCGGAACCGATGCGACAGCCTCCTGTGACGCTGACAAGGAGTGGCCTTGTTCTTTGTCGCGATATGCTAATGTTCCCAATTGGAAGGCTTGGGCATGATAGCTTGACGAGTTACGCAGCGTTTGGCATCTGTGAAATGTGTATTGATCGCAATTTCCTGGGAGGTTTCAGGTTTCGGTCGATTTCAGCGTGATTCATGGGCAAAAACAATTTCTTCCCATCGACTTGAGGGCTGTGAGCTGGCATCCTACAGCAACCATTTGACCTAGATTAGAATATAGTAGTAGTCCGGCAAGGAGATACTCTTGTGCGGGACGGACAACATATGAGATCTCTCTGCACCTTTGTTCTTGAAACAATATTCTGTACCTAGATATGTTGATCGACAGCATAACACTCCGTACTCAAAGACAGAAGAACACCCGCAATATCGAGCATGGCTTTTCCAGCAGAGAGTCACAAACCAAGAGCCGCCGTACAATACATCAGAGAACCAACTTAACTCCAACGCAAGGTAAAGTCCATTCCGAGCGCCCTAGTAAATTCCTCAGCCAGTGGGTTCCGATCCCCGTGTCAAGAAGTGACGGCAACGATGTAGCCGAAGCTGTTGGTTCCGCCCCTGTTGTGGCTGTGGACCCGATTATTGTCTGTCGAGCTTCATCGAAGAGTTCCTCCGCCGAAGTTTTGACCGCGTTCGCAAGGCCGGCGATTGTTGTCCGTGCAACATCTGTGAGGAAGTCTCCCATCTCTGACACCCCAGTCCCATTGTTTGCTTGTCCCGACATGTTCCCTGCACTGCTCGCGAAGTTGGTGGTATATAGTCTCGGAGTGAACCAAGTCGCAATCGTCTCATATGAGGATAGACCCCCGGCGTCGGAGTGTTGAGGTAGGTCGATGAAGCACCGATTTGACCAGTGACATGACGATGCGAAGAGTATTATGAGCAGGAAGGAGCAGTATATGCACGGGCGGTTGAGGAGGTAAGTCAGGAAGAGCAAAAGGATGAGATGTATGGGCGAGAGGCTGAGGGGAAGAGGGAGCAAAAGGAGTGGGAGGTATCTGCTCGCACGACCGCTGTTAGAACATGTCCTGATTCGCGTCATGAGACGTGCAGTGCACTTACGAGCGAAGACAATACATTGGCATTGATATGATGTGCTCTCAGATCTGTGGAAACAAGGAGGAAGTATTATACAACTTTGTGACTTTCGGGTTGGCGCTGAGAGGGGGAAGGGCTGCGAACTTGTGATGTATGCAGGTGGGAACTTTTTGAGAGGGTGTGGGAACTGGAACAGACTGGCACGGCCAAGCCAGAACGAGTGAACGTCACCAGCGCGTTAGTACTCAGCAAGGTGAATTTAGTAATGTCACTATGGCGGCTGCTGCATCAGGGGATAAAGAGGGTGAATTGACACTTATGGTCTGCGGAAGCAGTGATACCAGCCTTAGCTATTCTGTACCTGGACTTCCACTTCATGCTGTACCTCGTATTCAGGTACTCGGTACAGCAGCCTGCCACTGGTACCTGGTAGGCTCTGAGGTATTCGGTACTCGAGTTCAGGCTACTGCGTACCGAGTACGGTTGTTAGGCGCGCGAGACGCCCACTAGCCACACGGGAGGGTTCTGCCGGGGCGACGAAGAGGCCAGTTCGCAACTGGCACCCACTGGGAGGATCGCCCTGCTTGGCTAATCGGGGCTTTCAGGTGCTTGCATGGAGTGACCGAGCAGTCGCACAGTAGCCGGCACGTGCTAATTGGTGGCCGCAGTCTTGATCGAATTGGAGCTACAAGAGTCAAGACTGCGGAGAAATTTTGACGAGACACTCCTCGCCGTATGGGAGTCTGATTCTCTTCTGGCGCCTCATTCATCTTCACCTTCCTTTAGATGGCTCAGGGCGTCGTGTTTTCATCAGCAAACACCAGCCACCCACCTTCCCGCTTGATTGTGCGTTGACAATAATATCGTCTTCTTTCTCCTGCACGTTTCGGTGCTGTCATTCATTCTCCCCTCGTCTCTGGTTCCCGGTGTAGCATCCGGGCAACGCAGAACCCTTTTATCTTTTGCTTTCTAGGACTCGAATCGTGAGCTTTTCGGCCTGGAAGTTCTTGGATTGACTGGAATAATGTCATCCCACGACCTACAAGCTTTGTTTGCCAACTTGATGGTGAAGCCTCGCGACTCCCCGGCCCCATCCCATACGCCACTCCAACCCACCTCTGCAGGTCAAACTTCTCCCTTCACTGGCGCCTCTCCGTTGCCCTCGAGCCCTCCTCCTCCTGCCACTTCTGTTGCGAACCGCAACTCCTACAACCAAATGGCTCAGCCAGTCGCAGCTGCCCCCTCTGCCACTGCGCAGTCGTTGCTGAACCTGCTTAACTTCGGACCTTCGACCTCTACACCCCAGAACCCAAACTCAAGACCTCTTTCTTCTGCCGGCAATGGTGCTACTGTCCCGGAAGAGAAGAGTGACAAGCCGGCACTAAACGTTACTGGACAAGGACCTTCGACTTCAGCTTCGGATCTCCTAGCGAAGTTGATGTCACCTTCCCCTGCACAAGACGGATCAACAGCCCAATCTCCCCCGAACCTGGAAGATCAAGGCGGCGGTGGTGGCGGCGATCAAGCACATTCTACAACTGGTCGCGATGCGTCACAAGATGCGCTCCTCAAGCTCCTCAGCAGAACCACGCTGGGCAATTCCATCAGCACGCGCCAAAATCTCGTTGAGAAACCGCAGACCCCATTATCAGATGTCAACTCCGACGCGAAATCAGGTGAGGCAAAGCCGACCAAGACAGAGTCACCAGCCCCTTTGTTCGGTCCCAATTCCACAGCCGAGGTGCCCTCATTCGGAGCTGCTGGTACGGATACCAAGCCGACAGCTCAGAATCAACCTATCTTCATCTACACGAACCCTTTCGAAGCTTTGCAAGCGTCCTTGAGTGCCTCTCGGGCACAGACTCCTAAAGAAGGAACAGCGGCTTCCAAGTCTGCCAATGTTGACGTTCTTCAATCAAATGTCGAGTCTGGTAATGATCTCCCGGAAGACACGAATTCACGCGTGGCGACAGGGGACCCTGCTGCCAAGAGGAAAATACTCACTCCCAGATTACCGTCGGCATCCAAGAATGTTATATTGTCGCCCGAAGATTCAGTCACTGCAGCAAATCAAGAGGCCGAAAAAGAAGACGCAGCGCCGGTGGAAGAGATTGTAGCCTCCGCTCCAGCGGAGACGAAGTCAACAGTCGAAACAAAACAGGTGATACATCAGGAGCCTGGCAAGGGTGCAAAACAAGACGAAGGCTCTGGTGTGGAGAAGATCGACCAGCTGGCCGACGGCGGTGATGAATGGGAAGATACGGAAGAGTCGCCGAATAAGGAGTCCTCTAGGACTGTACCTGTTTACAACTTTCCCATCAAGCCGTTTGTTACGATAACCTTGCAGTTGGGCAAACCTTCGAGCGTCGGCATTAGAGATGACGGGGTGATGGAGATATCAAGACTGAAGAAGGAATTTGATCAACTGGACCGTTCTTTGGCAGCTGCGACATCAAAATACATCGCCTATGCCTTGGTCAAGAACGGTGGCATGCGCATCATTAGACAAGACGACGGTAGTGATCGACAAGTCTTCAAGAATTCTCATGACCGGATATTCAATGTTTCACTATGCACCACCTCTGCTGCTGGCGAGCCATCGGACGATCAGGCGCTTCTTGGGACCGGGGTTAGCGGTACCGTGTATTATGCAACGATCAACAAGGACGGAAATGATTTGTTCGAGAAAAATGCGCTTGAGACTGAAAGCCTTATTTTCCCACCATATCCCCCGGCTGACGAGAATGCGGCTGGTGGTGTCCTCAAAACCCGGGCAAAGAGAAGCTCTCGCCACCCTGAATTCTTCGCAATTGGACGCGGCAAGGCAATCCATCTCGTCTGGCCGGAAACTGCGCTCTCTCCGCGATACGGCATCAGTGAGCACAATCGACGTGTCGACGTCGAAAAATTCTTTCAAGAACGATCGCTTCAGATCTCGACGGGGAAAGCAGGGAAAGACTTCATCTTCAGCGAAGATGACACTTTGATCGTCTCTTTGGACAAGACCGGAAGATTACGATTCTGGGACATCCGTAAGCTGATTGACGAGTCAAATGCCACTTCAACCCGGCTTGCCAGTATGACTGTCGATCTCCCAATCTTGTCTCTTTCCACCGCATCCCCCGCAGAGAAGTCATGGCCGACGTCGGTCCTCTTTGTGGACAAGGCTCGTCCATATGTCAGAGGAGGAGCGCTCCGATACGTTCTTGTCGGGTTGAGGCAGAATCACACTCTTCAACTCTGGGATATTGCCCTTGGCAAAGCCGTTCAGGAGATCAATTTCCCTCACGAAAATGAGACTGACGGCATCTGCAGCGTGTGCTATCATCCAAATAGTGGAATTATTGTTGTCGGCCATCCGACCAGAAATTCGCTCTTTTTCATCCACCTCTCTGCGCCACGTTATACGATTAGCACTTCTCTGTCCCAGGCTGCATTCGTGCAACACATTGCTGCGAAGGATCCGGAATTGCCGAAGCCTGATTCTACAGCCTGCATGAGTGGCATCCGTGAAATGTCGTTTGCAGAGAAGGGTCAGCTTCGGAGCGTTGAGCTCCTTCCAATCTATCGAACTGCGGAAGAGCAGAGGACTCTGGACGAGAAGACGCCGCTGTTCGAGCTCTACGTTGTGCATTCCAAAGGTGTTACGTGCCTCAACATTACAAAGGAGGACATTGGCTGGGATGCAAACAACAAGGTGGTTCATGGGATCGATGCTGCCAAGGAAGGTTACGTGAGCTTGAAAGAGCTGCGCCTTGGGAGTGTGATCGAAGAGGGAACCCAAGACAAGAGTCCGGCCGAAGAAGCACCAGCAACTAAGAGCTCGAAGAAGAAGCAAGGGAAGAAAACTTCTACCGAACGTGTGGAGACTGTGCAACCTGAAGACTTGGATCCGGGGAAACAAGGGCTTGCGCAGCCTCTCAGCAACGGCGCCGAACCGCTCGCAGAGGCCACCAATGTTGAAACTCCTTTAGTAAAGGAAAGCAAGAAGAGCAAGAAGAAATCTGCTCCATCAAACGAATCACGGCTGTCTGAAAAGGCCGCGCTCGCCGACTCAACTGCCAAAACAACCTCGGCGGCCATGGCCGCTCCGGCACTTACAGATGTGGCACCCGTTCAGGAGCAAGCTGCTGCACAAGCTGCTGCTATCCCATCTGATTCAACCGCTGAAGTATCGGCGAAGCCTGAAGCGGTGACCGTTGGGATCTCGGGTGGTTGGCTGGACAAGGAACTGAAGAAAGTGGAGAAAGCGGTATCCACTGAGTTCCGCAAAGAGCTGGACTCCCTCTATCAGAATATCCAGAATGATAGAAACGTCCAAGACTCTGCTGCCATTGCCCGTCAAGAAGCTCTGCTTCGTTTGGTGTCAACCACCCTGAGCACCAACGTCGAAAAATCACTTTCTCGTATTCTTTCGGCTCAAATGCAACAATCGATAGTTCCAGCACTTACAGGGGCCACAGTGCAAGCTGTAGGCAGCCAAGTGGGAGAAGCTGTGGCGAAATCCCTCCATTCTCTCGTGCCCCATGAATTAGGCGCGCAACTGCCTGTTGTTCTCAATGCAGCTCTGCAAAGTCCGCAAATGAATCGAATGATTTCAGACACGGTCTCGCAAAAGATTTCAAAACAGATCGAAACTCAGCTGAACGATCTCATGCAGAAACATGTGGTGCCGACATTCAAGACCCTAGCAGTTTCAGCAGCTGAAAAGGCCGCATCTGAGGTTGAAGTCCGCCTGCGGAATGAGATCCGTCAACTGGAGAATGACCGACGAAACGACCTGACGAGGCTGGAAAAGTTGGGCCAAGTCCTGCAAGCCACAGCCGAGGCGTTGCAGCAAATGTCCGACACTCAAGTGGCCTTCCAAGGTCAAATCCTGAAGGATCGTCGACAGCTCGCACTTCTCGGAGAAACCGGCTCATCCCCAGTGTCTCGTCAGGTATCAACAGCTCGTATGACGCCATCGCCACGCGCCCTTCCCCGACCAGTAGCTCAGCGACAGAAGACCAAGGAGGAGCTGGAGTTGGAAGAGATCAGCCACTTGATGAGTGAGGGGCGGTACGAGGAAGCTTCAATCAAATGGCTTCAGTCGGCTCAACCGGCGGAACTGTTCGACAAACTGTTTATTCACTTCACTCCCGAGTATCTCGCAACCGATGTCTCGCCGCTTATCGCTTTCTCGATCGCCGTCACCATCGGAAATAGCCTCGAGACAAATACGGCTCAACGACTCGAATGGATTTCTGCCGCCTTCAATGCGGTCGATCTTGCTGTAAGTACTGATTGATACTTTGTTATTCATGCCCTGACACTTGGCTTTAGGATCCCGAAATCTCCGATTTAGCGCAACATGCGCCAGCACTGCTGAGCTCTCTGATTCAGAAACTCGAGCGACTATACATGACGATCGCGGAGCGTGACCCGACCGATCCGGCGCTGCAAATCATGCCGGTGGTCTCCAGGAAGGCGAAGGAGATGAGGGCGACATTGGAGGGCCCAGCTCGGCGTGGTGTTGAATTTTAGGCTTGCGATTGTGTCTAGATGGTATGACAATACTTCACAGGCCCCAGCAACAGCAGCGAGCCCGTTGGCGGAGTAGAGGGCAAGATGGACATAAAGGCTTGATACTGTGTGATTACTGGATACATCGAAAGCGCTTTATGAGGTGATCCCGAGAGGTGAACGTGCGGGCGTTGAAGGATGTGTTGAATCTCCGTTTCCTCTTTCCCTCCTAGCTCGACTTCGACGCGAGCCTCGCTGTTCACATGTGATGTAGACTCAAGGTCGCCATGGTGCGCTTCAGGATGACACGGGCTTTGTCAAACTCAGAAGCAGCTGCCACCCACCTGCCGCACTGACTACATCGCAAGTCTGCTGAATCCTAAACTCGCTCTCTTCCTGCCTCGCACGACTCTGATCCCGCTATTTCCGGCTCATCAAGACCTGTCGAATCGTTGTCCGAAAGCACCTCAGTCGTTTCCGAACCTGACCCTATTAAATTGAACCTGCCAGCATGCCTCTCCTCGGCATGAGAAGTTGGACCGCGGATGAAGATGGACGAGAATATTCTCCAAAGTTTATCGTCGCAAAGGTCGCAGGAGTGCCAACTGATCGATCTGACTCTGGGCAAACTGAAGAAACTACACGCGTCTGAGTTGGCCATCTTGGGTGACCTGTACCGGGAAGATCGGTGGCGCTGGACCCCAGAACATGGTCTCCAGGTGGGACTCCCTCAAGACTTGCAAGTCCGATGGTTCTCGCGCGAATCGGTCTGGGATTTGCAGAACCGAATTCGCCCATTGACTCTTCCTGGCGGTGACCCGGACCCGAATGCGGATCGACGTTTGGAAAAGCAAGAATATGTCTGGCTTTTATCACAGATGCTACACTACAAGTTGGGGTTTGCACTGACTCCTGTAAGTTGTTTCCCTATTTGACCACCTGATGGTTTGTTTTCGGCCAAAGTTGTTGCCAAAGTCCTGACAGTGGTAATCAGATCGATGCCGCCGCCAGAATCGCGGCCGCTCTACTTACCGGCAATGTACAGCAACCGGACAAACTCAAGCGTCGTGCGCAAAAACTAAGGCGAGGATACCAAGGTCATCACAGTCTTCGAAGCACAGGATTACAACTAGGGTCAGCCGTCAATGAAGAAACGAGCCGCTTTGATGGTGAATCAGAAGGAGAACAGGAGCTCGAAGACGGTGTGTCTAATGAAGCAAGAGGTCGAGCACACTCTTCGGTCGATTCTGGCTTGGAGAGACTGGTAGCGTCAGAGAAAGTCAGAGCGGACAAAGAGGCAGTTGCCCTTGATCTAGTCGAAAGAGACGACAATAGCAACGTCGGTGAAGCGTGCCCAGACAAGAGAAAGACGCCCGTGATGGTCTCGACCAACGACACCAGCCAGATCCAAGGGGCCACGAGATCAAACTTGTCCAATCTAGTACAAAAGCCATGGGTTTCTCACATCCAAACCCTGAAGCCTCAGGACCCGCTTCCGCCGGTACCGCAGCCAGGTCAGTTTGGTTCACAAACCGGAACAGCCAAGCACGCAAAGGGAACCCAGACTCTTCCAACACCAGAAACGGACGCCTCAGTGCCGCCTAGAAGCCATAATGCTTCAAGTTTTGGTAGTGTAAGTGAGAGGGTGAACACAGACAATACCAGATCCTTTACTGCTGCTCGATCTCGCAGGCCGGGATCTTCGATTGACAAATTGATTCCACTGAGGGATGACGATTCACGACGAAATCGAGGGCCGACATTTGCGCCAGAGGGAAGAACCCGGCGTCCTGGTGATGAGGTAAGAGCTGGAAGCTTGCAGTGCGACGTCTTACAAGGGCCGCACAAAGCCGGGACACCACTCCCACGGCCTGGGATGAAATATTTGACAAGCAGAGACAAAGCTTCATGGCCGTCCAAACCGGACAGTACTTGTCTACTTCAGCCCAAGCATACTGCCCCAACCACAAAGGGGCTGGAACAAATAGACCAACCACGGGTACACTCTCCCGTTTGCATTGTCATTGAGGATTCGGATAACGAGCACCATCCAGAGCATTCTCATAGGCCTGAAAGATCTTCAATAGGAGGACTAAAAAGAAGAAAGCCTCTTGTTAAAGTTGCAAATGCCTCGAGTTCGCTCTATTCGACGAGGTCGATCTTTTCAATCCCACCCAGCGATTGTGATGGCGATGATGGTACCCAATTGTTCAGTCGACAGAGAAGCTTGTCGAGTGCACCGTCTAAGATCAGTGCCATGTTTCCTCAAATCAAAAGATCAGCCGCAAATCTCAACAACAACATCAAGAACAGAATTCCCGCTAAAGTGAGCCTAGACGGCCAAAATTGTCAGTCAACCAAAGTGACTCCTGATGGAAGTCGACACAGAACCGACAGGAGAATCCAGAAACGAGGCTGTGAATCAAGAAATGTGCTTTCTTCGGGGCCGGCCTTCGGGAGCTCAACCGATCTGGAAGTCTGTCGTCCAAACATAACACAACCTACCCAGCGGTCCAAGGACAATTCTGATCCCCCAAAACAGCACCCGCTCCACCATGTGAACATAGCAACTCCAAAGTGCAGATCTCGACGCGGAGATGCCTCGAAATCGACCACAGTGTCGAATGTTATTTCTTCCAAAACCGAAAGAGCTTCATTGCCATCGAAGCGGAATCTTTCTGCGTTTGTACAGTCCTCAACCCTTCAGCAAGGGAAACTTGACGCCATCGGAGATGCACCAGGTAAACTCCATAGCACAGAACCGAATAAGAAACCCAGCTCGAAGAAGGAAAACCTTCCGAAGAAAGCAAAGTGCCCAGGGCAACGGCCACGAATGACTGAGACAACATTGACAAGTTCCGATATCTGTGCGCTAAATGCAAAAGTTGAAACGAGCCAGAAGAACATTGACAAGGTCGTCGAAGAGCTGCGGCACAGTTCTCAGACATTTGCCAGCAGCGTCAAAACACCACACAAGAACAAAAGATCCCATGCTACAGCGTTCACCGAGTGTAATGGCTCTATCACACACGGCAGAAGTAAAAAGACCAGGAACAACACGCCACACGAGCTGGCTAAAAGAACTACCTCAGGCGCTTTGAAGAGTCCTATACCACGAGCTCCGGACGTAACCATATTCCCTAGATTGGCATATATCATGAGATGCGATGAGAACGGTGTCCCTGCAGGACGTGCACCTTTCCGTCGACCCACTCCCGTCACTCACACCATCCGCGATCAAGTAGGTAACCCCTTGCCTCGCACAGAGAAGCCCCTAGCAGAAATCCTGAAATATGACCAAGAGCGGCGACGTCGGGATCCGATGGTGAGGACAAATTACTGGAGTCGCTTCCCCAAGCCGTCTCCTCCGAGGAATGGGAGATGGATCTGCCACAAGCAACTCAGCTCTGCAAAGATGCCCTTGAGGGGATCTTGGCCAAGGAGACCGCAGATGTGATGAACGATGGGGTTCTGCCCCCAACAAGAAGTCATTGTTTTGGTATGCTTTGAAAGTTCGTGAGGGGTGTTGAACAGGACGCTCTCCGCTTGTAGACGGGAAGGGAAAAGCTCAGAGGAAGGAGAGACAAGACTTTCTCTACCGGAGCCGGTCTGGAAGGACGTCAAATATGTACCAGACTACGATACCTGCATGTCACTAGGTAGGTAGGTAGATGGAGTGCTAGCCAAAGTCTCCAGTAGGGATCCACGACCCGCAACGTAGATCACAAATCATGGGTCACTCACAGGTATTGAACAACTGCACTTCCTCGACACCACCACCATACCACCAACACGGTTTTTCTCGTAGAGTTTCTGTCTTCTACGACGCGCGTGCGTTATACGGGACAGCCCCTCTGCCATCTTCGCCGTCTTTTCATCTCCACTCACTACCCTTTCTTCCTCACCTCCTCCCTTCCCTCCCTCCCATTTCCCATCCATTTCAGAGCACAACCGTCTCCGCATCGACGACCCCGAACAGCTCCTGCATGGGGTCCTTGTAGTCCCCCGCGAAGCCGCAAAAGGGGGGACTCACGCCGTACCCGAGCAGGCGTTGGGCCTTTTTGGGCAGCGACGAGGCCACCGAGGGCGGGACCGTCAGGTATTGGTTCTCGACTTGGCGGTACATCCCTATACAGTACAGACAAATGGTTAACCAAGTCAAGGAGAAACGGGGGGAAAGGGAGAACGAGGGAGGGGCCAAGAGACATAGATTTAAAAGCCCCGGAGAGGTAGCGGGTTCCACAACCAACCTTTTGTAAGAAAGATACCCACTGTCTCCCGAACCTGGTCCCTGTTTTCGCACGGTTGGTTTCAGCTCCGATTCACGGTGAGGCGCGCGGAGTGTCGTAAGGAAAGTCTCAAAACCCGGCGCGGCCTTGTTCGAGCTGGGCAAACTGGACTTTTGGGGAAAACTTACGTCGTTTGATTGGCACCGCCCGCGTGCTAGAGCCAAAAGAGACCATGTCAGTGTTGCGGTATAGAGGGAGACGAAAGACCTGCCGGCTTAGTGACTTACGTATGTACTCCCGAGAAAGAAGGTGGCATCGCCGGGCTCCAGCTCAGCCGGCACGGCCTCATGGTCATACGGGCAGCGGTCGTCCTTCCAAAGATGAGAGCCCGGGATGATGATGGTCGCGCCGTTCTCGCGCGTGGTCTTGACCGTCGCGGCCACACACCCAATCAGCACGGATTCATGTCCCTCCCGTACGTGGTAGTCGATGTCGTCCCGATGGAGCCCCTGCTGCCGACTGCCCGGGTTGACCTGAAACCCGACGGTGCTGGAGATCTGGGGCTTGGAGACGGCCACCTGTCTCTCCTGGCCGATCCAGTACTCGAACTTTGAGGTCAGAAGCCGCGCCGCAACCTCGTTGAAGAGCGGGTTGAGAGCCAGGTCCACGCACGTGGCCGACTTGCCCAGCAGGCCGATGGCGCGCCGCGTGGTGTTGGGGAAGAAGCCGCTCTTGTCGCCCCCGTCGGCGTCGAAGTGCGGTTTGAGATCGCGCCGGATCTGCTCGGCCTGTTCGCGACTGAGCAGGTTCGTCACGATGACGGCGCCGTCTCGTTCGAGAATCTCTTGCACCAGGTCGGCCGTGGTCGAGGCGTCTCGGGCGTCAACCCGAGTGAGCGACGGGGTTGTTGTGGACGCCGAAGTGGAAGACTCCGGGATCGCCATTGTTCAGTTACAGCAGGAGTAGTAACCTTCTTGGTTGAGTCGTTGGCTTCTTGTGCTAACAAGGACTGGTGAACCACGGTCTCAGGACCAGAGGTTCAATATAAACAACTGATATAAATACACAGAAGTTCGTGGTAAAAGAAGATTAGCACCCTAGGGCATGCCGCACACAATTCAGCAAGCTTTTCCCATTCCTACTGGCGACGATCCGTGTCCCGATAGTGATCTTGACACGCGACAGCTGTGCCTTCAATACCTTCGAGGAATATGACACGAAAATGTTGCCGGGAGATATACCTAGGAGTCAGTGTGCCCACGGCTGGCGCGGGACTGGGGGAGTCCAGTGATTCTAATAGGGCAAGGAAAAGCGCTCCTTTTTCGGAAACTGGCCCCCAAGGGGTGGCTCGCAAGAACCGATCAACATGAGAGCGGGCAAACGTCCATGGGCTTGAAGGTGTTGCTAATCGGAGTAATACTAGTTGATCCAGATGCGTGTTTCTTGATAGGAAGGATGACTAAGGGCCCAGCAAAGTCCGTCCGTGCAAATCCGAGGAATTCCGGACCTTTTCGGAGCCGAGGGATTCTCCGTGGTGGAAGGAAAAGTGGTAAAGAGACCCAAGTCACTCTTGTAGTCCGTCATGGAGTTCATCATGTTTTAGTGAGTACATATAATAGAGAATAGAAATGGCTCTTGCTTGGTTCTCCTACCTAAACCCACTCAGACCTACAGAGCGTAAGTGGAAGATCTTCAAGCGCAGTTTGCCAGCCTCGTCTAGTCTCGTGTTGTCTGAATCTCCTGAAAGAGCCGGGTATCCATCATATGTTATTATGTTCCATACTCGTCAAACAGGGTTCTCACCTCGTGGCGAGGATAGAGTCACTACTGCCTCTGTAAACTAAACTAGAACATCGCAGCTTTCTGCAAAGCATTCAAACTTCTTGCTTTTGAATTTCCCGCTTGCCCATCCATATTCATTAGTCGTCATTATCATCAATTGTGTGCCACTGTTCAAAAGCACAATCAGGGCAATAGCAAAAGCCTAAGCCTGAGATTCAACGTCAACCGTCATCGCCTCGACAGCATGATGTCCACCTAGTATCATACTTCAACTTTTGCCGCTCCGCTAGAGGGTCTGAGACTAGATCCATGCTTTTTGCTCGAAGAAAATAACAATGTTCAAATTCAATTGTGTTTGCCACTTAACTTCGGATTTTGCGTCTGGGAGGCATATTGTCGGCCTCATCAGAATCCTGCGTGAGATCGACATGCTTTTCTTCTCTCTGTGCACGCTTGCGTTTCAACGTCGGTTCAGAGTGATGAGCTGCACTCTGGGGCGATTGTCTCTTCGAAGCACGTTGAGACTGGGGCGTCACACCGAACTTCTTCAACATTTCTGCATCTGCTTTCTCTATGTCCTGATCGTCATCATCTGAGACTTGGTGTGCCGCATGCTCATCTGTTCCTGGTCCGCCATTGAATTCGTCAGATACCGCCTGCGCCCCGATGTTTGTGTCCCTCGAGGGTGCGTCAGGTGCATCAGCTTCGAACTTCGTTGCCCTCTGACCATTTGCAAACAGTGACGAGCGAGGGTGTTTGGCCTTGTTCAATCCATGGCTTCCTGTGGCATCAGCCATAGCCTGCGGAGCAGTAATCGTCTGGTCTGCCGATCCACGGTAAGTCGACTGGTCTGTCTCGGCTCGACCCACCAAGGTAGGGAAATCTTCCCCAGTTTTTGTCATTTTCTCGCGTGTTTCTTCGAACCGCCTCTCTAAATCCTCGTGCTTGGATCCCAATACCGCAATTTTTCCTGCAATATTGGCTTGATTATTCACAAGTTTGTCCATTGCCTCCTGAGAAATTTCAGGTCGGTTGCGTAGTTCTTCCATAGCGTGCAAGATTTCGTCAAATCTGTAGTCGAATTTTGAAATAGGTTTCCGGACGGGACCCACCATCGCATAAGTAAAACATTCGGAGGCGAGTTTGTCGTAGCGTTGGCTCTGGTATAGGCTCAGATGCATGAGCTTTTCCTGGTTTCTCTCTAACATATCAAGGCGTGAAAAGATGTGGGAAAATCTCAACTCTTCTTGCTCACCCGGTACCTGGGCCACCTCGCCAGCTAGGTTATGATCATGGCGCATTTGGGACCCCTCTGAGCTCACATCGTGCCCAGCGAATCGGCCTTTGAATGATTGAGTCCCTCCATTGAATGTCTGTTTAAAATCTTGTAGGTTGTTCGCTTGTTCTGCCAGTTGCGTCCGTAGGCATTTAAACTCTTCCCGGATTTTCGCGATATCTCCTCGATCCCCTGTTGCTTTAAGGTCTGCGAGATCTTCGCAGATCGAACCGAGGCGATTGTCGACTTGTTTCATATCAGCCGTGTGTTGCACAAATTGCTGCTCAAGCGATTCCACCGCTGCCACAAGGTCTATTCGACGCTGCCGACCCGACGAGGACTCTGCAGCTTGGTGCTCGATCAAGTCCAACTTTTTGCTGAGCTCTCCTTGAGACTGATCGTACTTGCTGCTTCGATGATCAAGGTCTGCACGGACAGTGTCCAGTCCGCGTACCAACATTTCATATTGCGTGTTTAGCGAGTTCAACTTTTCACTCATCCCTTGGGCAATGATTGACAATTGCCCTGCTTTTTTCTCGAGTTCTTTCTCCATGAAATTGCGATATTTGGAATCCAATTCATTAGGCACATTTTCAATTCTGAGATGAAGGCTTTCACGAACTCGTTCAATCTGGTCCACCGCTTCCTTCACCTCTTCCTTCAACTTTGATACCGTTGCCAGAACCCAATTCAAGCCTTGAAAACGCGATTCAACTGCGGTAGATCTCTGTTCTAGACTCTTTAAAGATTTTCGCAATTCATTGTGGTCGGTCTTCAGCGCTTTTATTGTCTCCTCCATGTTCTGATCGCTGGCGCGCTGTGAAGACCGCAACTCTTCGCATTGTTGGAGGATATGTGAATAAGCTTCGGCGTGTTTCGCAGCATCTTCGGCGGCCTTTCGCTTAAGGTTGTTGAGCTCATCTAATGTCTTGATCTGCTGGTTTCGAGATTCTTCTAGGTTTCGTAGTCGGCTTTCCAATTCCTCGTACTGCGATCGAGACAACGTGGATGAGTCTGCTTGATGCGAGCGGAGATCTTTGATGTCTTGTTGAACAGGACCCAATAGATTGGTCACAGTCCTCCCAAGTTGCTCCTTCTCCGTGTCGAGGGCATTTAGCAACAGTCGTCTGAAGTCGGCTACGCAATCCTGTACCATCGCTATAGCGGTATTTGTCTCTCCCTTGGCTTCTTGGTATGCAGCTTCAATCTGGTTCTTCTTCTGTAGAGCCTGTTCAACAACAATGGGAAACTGACTACTCCTTTTCTGTTCCCTCTCATGATCTTGTTGAGCGCCCTTTCTTTCATTTCTGAGGAAATCCCGTCGGCGTGTCCAATAGTCGGCTCTGACAGCGTTTGCGACATAGGAGTAAAAGGCCTTTTCGAGTTCGGGATGTTCGTGCTGGTTACTAGGAGTACTCGCTTCACTAGCCGTGGTTCTCTGCAGAGTACTTGTCGAGGGTTTGTCTTCATTCCTGCTGCCGGAGATCCGTTCACTGACAGCATCAACAACCTCAGCCACATGCATCGAATTGACTCTTCCTCTGAGCCGCGGATCTCGCAGTGATGGAGCAGGATCCGTGCCTGGAACCGAGCCCCGGCTTTGTGAAGTTGATTTCTGCATATTTACAGCGCGATTGCCCTTCAGGCCGCCAGACGATCAAAGATGATTCTCGCAGTGCCGCCGAAGTGCCAGGTATTGGAAAGGCTGCTGCGCTCCGGTGTATAGGTACCACGAGGAGGTCTAGAGGGTGGGCGAATCGTAAGAGGTAGGCGCAAGAGGAATTGAAAGCAGAACATACAGAGTTGGTAAATAACATCTAAACGGATTCACAGTCTACGCAAGGTCATTGTTGGTTTCAGATCGTTTCCTTTGAGCGTCTCCATGCAAAGCACCGGGGCAAGCACGGGCAAGCCCCAGCGAGCCCGAGTACGTAGTTTGCTCGTCCACCTCGTCCACCTCGCCGACCGCCACCTGCGCGCCTGGTCCAATGCGTCCCCGCAGAGGGAAGGTTATCCGACTGCGCGAACTTTTTGAGAAGTTGAGTATGCGCAGGGATGCTTGGACTGACAGTATCACTGCTTAGTCTCTGTGTATCCGCCTTCTCAGAGTGCTCTCTTCGTCTCTGCCTCTGGTCCTCCAGCCAACACACAAGATGGCGGCGGTGAGCTCTCCTTGGGTTCTTTTATTTGTAGCTCTACTGACTCGCCGCAGCCCATAACAACCGTGTCCGAAACCCGCGAGGTTCGTGGCCTCAATCTTATTGCTGCCCATTCTCATATCCGGGGCCTCGGTGTCGATCTCGCGACCTTGGAACCTAGAGCCTCTTCCCAAGGCTTGATCGGGCAAGAGAAGGCAAGGAAAGCGGCGGCGGTCATACTCCAGATGGTGAAAGATGGCAAGATCGCTGGAAGAGCAGTATTGGTCGCTGGCCCCCCTAGCACGGGAAAAACTGCAATCGCGATGGCCATGGCACAATCCTTAGGGCCTGATGTCCCCTTTACGATGCTCGCGTCTTCCGAGATCTTCTCCCTCGAAATGTCCAAAACAGAGGCCTTGACCCAAGCATTCCGCAAGTCCATTGGAGTGAGGATAAAGGAGGAAAGCGAGATCATTGAAGGCGAGGTCGTTGAAATACAAATAGACAGGAGTGTGTCAGGGGTAGGCCATGGTCCGTGGATTTATTCGAGCCATGACTGACGAGTTATCGCAGGGCAACAAACAAGGCAAACTCACGATCAAAACAACAGACATGGAAACGGTCTATGACATGGGGACGAAAATGATTGACGCAATGACCAAGGAGAGAGTCATGGCTGGCGATGTCATCTCAATCGATAAATCCTCGGGGAAGATCACGAAGCTAGGGAGGTCATACACGCGCTCACGGGACTACGATGCAATGGGTGCAGACACCAAGTTCGTGCAATGTCCAGAGGGCGAACTGCAAGTACGGAAAGAGGTCGTCCACACCGTCAGCTTGCATGAGATCGATGTCATCAACTCGAGAACACAGGGTTTCCTGGCCCTCTTTTCCGGCGACACTGGTGAGATACGGAGCGAAGTACGTGATCAGATCAACACCAAAGTTGGAGAATGGAAGGAAGAAGGGAAGGCCGAGATTATCCCCGGTGTGTTGTTCATTGACGAAGTGCACATGCTTGACATTGAGTGTTATTCATACATCAACCGTGCCTTGGAAGCAGATTTGGCCCCGATCGTCATCATGGCAAGTAACCGAGGGAACACTCGGATTCGAGGGACGACATACAGCTCGCCGCATGGCCTCCCATTGGATTTCCTGGACCGACTCGTCATAATCAGTACCCAGCCATACTCCGCCGACGAAATCTCTCAGATCCTCGCCATTCGTGCCCAGGAAGAAGAAGTTGACCTCTCGGCAGATGCGCTCGCCCTTCTCACCAAGATCGGCCAGGAGTCTGGACTGCGATATGCGAGCAATATTATCACTACATCGGCACTCCTAAGTCAGAAGCGGAAGGCGAAGGAGGTCAGCATTGACGATGTCCAAAGAAGCTACAGATTATTCTACGATCCGACGAGATCCATCAAACTTGTGAATGATTTCGAGAAACATTTCATCAGCGACGCTGGCAATGTTACTTTTGCGATCAATGGTACCAACGGGACGAACGGTGATGCAATGGACACAGCTTGAAGACTTCGACGACACCTAGCAACAATCAGCTTCGTTTGAAGATCATTCTTCTTCCGGTCACTGGCGTTGCACTGGAGCTTAACCCATGTCCGCATTTTGTCGTCCGAGGAAGGTTTATTAGAGAGTCGACGGTCGCTGCGCTTGCCCACATGGATGCGTCATTTGCAATCGAGCTCGTTGGTGGAAGGCGGAACAGAATCGGGAAACGGAAGTCGAACTTTCAATCTCTGTCCATTTGAGTAGCGGGCGCTGGACAACATTTGAAAACCTTATTGCAGGATGACGAACGAAGTCTCAATGCCGGGTCTTAGTAAGTGTGCAGCGATGGAGGATAACTCAAGGTTCTCTGTTTGTGGTGTGCCTGGACTAATCTGTAGTCCCAGGAGCGCCTTGGAAATGAACCCTTTCCAGCAAACCCGATCAAGCATTCTCATCGTCATGTCCAAAAGTCAAGCAGATATATAGGTGATGGTGGTTCTCTCAAAGTTTCGCACCGACATTGCTGGGAGACATGGAATGGCCCACTGACTAGCTTCGACATGATACCTTTTCCCTGACGCGGACAAATATTTCAAGTTCCCCGCTGCGGTCCGGGCCATCGCTACTCCAGGTGTCTTTAGCCTATGTGGGGTACCCCGGACAAGGCTGTATACAAACGATAGCCTTGTGATAGTCTGCCCACTCCATGTGGGGCGTTTTCCTTGGGTCCAGGTTGACCGGTCTTTATTTTGTGTCCCGGCAATGTTCGGAATACAAAACTCGGTTGCGGTCATTGCTGCGGTCATATATCTATTCCCCCTGGAATATGCCCGATGTGTGAATCTGGGAAATGAACGCTGGTTCCGGGGCCAATGAAGCGGTGGGGCTCGTCGCGACTGGGAGAATGATTCTTCATCAATCATTGTCTCCAATGCTACAACCAGATTAACCAAACCGCATCCTCGGTCGATAGACACGATGTACAAGCATCTGGGCTTGAGACTGTCCCTCCAAGGTATTCTATCACGCGGTGTACCTGCTACGAGAGGACACAAACGGGTGAAAGGGGGAACATCATTTGTCCAGCAAACGAGACCTGCGTTGCCATGACCGGGTGGCTTTTTGTTCCAAGTCTCCAAATTTCCCGACTATCAGGTAGATCCTCTTGCACCTGGGACCAGAAGGCCCCAACACGTTTGTTAAATGATCATTCAAGAGGTGGGGACTCTGCCCTCGCTTGAAAAATGGGACATGGCATAGATTTGGAGATTGTTGGAGAATTATCAGCAATAAGACCGTGCCGTTTCATTCTACACCTTCAGGCTTCAGCTCATCTTTCTCTTTGATCCTCTACTAGTGTCTCTCTCGGACAGCACTTCTGCGAACCACTGGCACACGATGTCTACCTCGCTTGAAGAGAAAAGAGCGGCTGCCGAGGTTGAGGTCCTCGAACAGGCTCGATCAGAAGCTCGTCATGTACCTGTCCACGAAATCCCACTAGACCTGGACGATCCACACAAGGCCGCTTTGGAAGACAATCCGGAGAAAGCAGAGACCTTGACCTGGACGACTCTACTCGCTATAGTGGTATTTGCGCCAACATCTGTGACCTGTGGTTGGCTGTACTAACGTTTGTTGCAAGTCTCTAGCATTCTCATACGTCTGTCCAATTTCTTGTGGCTTTACTCTGGTCACAGGAATCTTGGTCCCCATCGGCACCGACCTTGGTGACACTGAGCATATTTCTTGGATCGTGGGTGGATGGAGTATTGCATCCTCTGTGAGCTTCTCGCTTGCGGGTTCCTTGTCAGACGTCTTCGGTCGACGATACACAATTGTGGCTGGTGAAATTATTGCCATTGTTGGCTCGGTATGATGACGCTCCATCATTCCTGGACTAGGAAGCTGATGTCTTTCGCAGATTATAGCATGTACCGCCAAATCCACACTCATGCTTGTCGCCGCATCGACCGTCATTGGTTTCGGATGCGGGATCTGCTTTGTCAGCTACGCGTCGATTCAGGAGCTTGTCCCTAACAAATGGAGGGGACTACTGGGTCAGAAGAAGCTCCCTCATATTCTCCCAGACGACTGACACTCAGTCTAGGGCTTACTGAATGTGCCATGGTTCTTCCCTGGGCGCTGGCGGGGACGCTGATAGCGACGACCCTGAATGCTAACACGGCTGCGAAGTGGCGATGGTGCTATTACATTGTGAGCTTCGTTGCATCTTTCTTTTGTGTCAACTACACATGATTCGCGTGCTAACGGATCTAGGGCATCATTTATGGCGTGTTAAGTTTGATTGGGACCCTGGTCTTCTATTGGCCCCCCACACGTCCACAGTATGATTTCCTCAAGTCCCGTTGGCAGCAAGTGAAGGAAGTCGATTATGTCGGCTTCCTCCTGTACACCGGAGGCCTTACGATCTTTCTGATCGGACTGACCTGGGCCGGGACCGATGGACATGCCTGGAAATCGGCTTCTGTGATTGCTCCCATCATTGTGGGTTTGCTGACTCTGGCTGCCTGTTTCGTCTACGACTTTACACTGGCAAAACAACCCTTCTTTCCATATTCTTTGTTTCGGCAAGTGCGCGAGTTTACCGTCCTTCTGGTCGTGGTCTTCGTGGCAGGTGAGTGGCTTCAGTTTGATGATTCACAGCCAACAGAAAATTGCTGATATGGTGCAAAAGGCGTTGTTTTCTATTCTTTCGCAGGCCTGCTACCTCAAGGGTCGCTCTATATGTTCACCAACGACCCCATCCAGATCGGTATCATCGCTCTTCCCAATGGTTGTGCACAGCTTCTGTTTGGCGGCATCGCAACCCTTTTCATGGGCAAAGTCGGCCATTTGAAGCTCCAGGTAATTGTATTGCTGGTATTTCAGACGGTCTTTACAGCCGCTTATGCTGGCGTGGTACCATCTGACCGGGCGGGGTGGATGGTGTTCCAGTTCTTTGGAATGGGTCCTTTTGCCATGATTACTCTGCTCTGCTATGTGATTGCGGGACTGAATGTGCCCTTGCGTCACTTGGGAATTGCATCCGGGTTGATTGGGACATTTCGCAGCGGTGGCGGGAGCGTGGGCAACGCAGGTATGTCGGTGCCGGACGGAATCCTGACTGGCCTCAAGCTGACAAGAGACCAAAGTCTTCAACACGATCCTCAACGGTGAGGTCAAGAGCGAGATTCCAAAGAAGATTGCAGAGGTCGCCACTGCTTACGGTCTTTCCTCGCAGCAACTCGCGGCTCTGATCCCAGCCACGGCGCAGAATGCTGTAGGCGTGCCAGGTGCCTTCGCCGCGGTTCCTGGAATAACTCCAGCGATTGAAGAGGCGGCGGCGACGGCATACAGACAAGCGTACGCCTTCGCTTTCCAGAGAGTTTTCTACTCGTCTATTCCCTTTGGAGTCATTGCCATCGTCTGTGCACTGTTTATTAAAGACCCCTCTCAGTACCTCACCAACCACACTGCTGTCCACATGGTCAGAGAGGGGGCACTTGGAAAGACTCCCCGGCAACCATATTCGGGAGTAGAGGATGAAGCGAAGTCGGGCTCCAACACAGATACACCTTCGGAGGGGCACTAGGGTGCCGGCGGAAAGGACAAATGGAAGATATGTCAGAAGGTGGTCTATGTCGAAAAGTTTATTGGCGAAACGGATGCAAAAGAGCTGCGCAAGATAGCTTTTGTGGAAACGAGGATGCATTTGTCGGTGCGCCACCAGATGTGTGCTGGCTGTTGCTGTCGAGATGTGCACTCGCATTCCGGTCAGCCATCGTCGTTCCGTAAAGCGCGAGGCCCCTGTATGTGGTTCATCCGTACCGCCCTGGCCTCGGCTTTGTTTATGTATATGCAGCATACGGAGGAAACATAGGAAGGAATCTCTAATAAACATGTACCTAGGTAGGTATAACTCTTGAGTCTTCAGCTGGGGAAAAAGGGGCCTCATCGCGATTCTGGGGATGTGGAGCAGCTCCGCAATCTGACAACCACGGGGCAATTGTTTCCATTTTTTTGCTCTGCTCTGGTTGGGCTGTAGACCAGACTTTAGCTCCTTGCTTCCTGCATTTCCTGCCACCTTCATGATGGGGCTCCTTGCTCGCCGGAAGTGGCCTCGTCGCGGCATTCATGGAAGAGATCGGGAGGAATCCTTTTCTCGTTGAACCTCACCCGTTTTCATGCCAGCACAGACCGAGCCTTAGAACATCCGCCTCAGATGGCGACCAAGGCTCTGCGTAACAAGAAATGCCTGTATTGCGAAAGGAAATTTGGCAAAGCCGAACATCTCAAGCGTCACCAGAGAGCTCACACGGGGGAGAAACCGTTCAAATGCGCGCACTGCGGCCGCGAGTACGCGCGGAGCGACGTGCTCATACGACATGTCAGGAACCACCACTCGGCCTCGGCCTCTGAAAAGCAGACCGGGTCCCCTTCGCCAGAGACAAGTTTGCAAACGGCGCACGGAGATGAGCTAGTGGATAGGCTCCCAAGTCCATCTTCTCAACTGCGTCGAGATGGTCGTCCGGCCGGTTCGATGCACGCGCAATGCTTGAACGACGACAATCCGTCAAACACCATAGGCAGTCAAAAACAGAATACGGGGAATCTGCAAGATCAACCGAACATTCAGGCCTCCTCCCAACGAGCCAGGCCCTTGATCGGGCCCGATAATCTGGTGGATCGAAGGGCTGTAGCTCCACTGGAAGGCTTTGAAGACTGGCTGGGGCCTCAAGATCTGCCTCTGGCCGCCAACGTATGGGACGATCTGTCACAATTTGATTTCATGAGTTTTACGAATGATGCACGGCTTAGTCTCTCCCCCTACCGACCCCGGCACACGCTGCATTCGCCGCCCAAGGACAACATATCCGATGAAAGATATGCCAAAATAGCAAGCCTGTGGCCAACCAAGAAACAAACGCCTCGACAACTGATCCAGACTCTCTGGCGTGATGTTGCCTCGTTTCAGGAGGAGAACATATTCTCCCAGCCAGCCACGACGGGGCTCGAAGGGAATAGTGCACTAGGCGAGGTCCCAGAATCGAGATGGGGCCTGGACGAGGAACGGAGGGCGAGATTGGTCGAAGACTGCGCGCCTTTGGACATATCATTTTGGCAAAAAGCAAGCAGAGGAGTTGAAGCGAGCATCAGAAGCACCAGTGCGAGTGACTCCCAAAGTCAATCTAGCTGCGCGCCTGCAAAGTTTCCCTCGACGCAGATCCTGGACATCAGCCTCGACGTCTTCTTCCGTCGTTTCCACCACCTGATGCCGTTCATTCACGAACCAACATTCTCCGCAAAGAAAACCTCCAGCACCCTCTTGTTCCCCATGTGCCTGATGGGCTTGACAATGTTGGACTCGGTCCGCGCGAAGCGATTTGTGATCTCTCATCTCGGCGACGCCATTGAGAGATGCCGCCGCGACCTGGTTGTGAGCTCGCAGAAAGGGGCCCAATTGGGGGAATTTTTGACCACCATGGCCGCTTCAGTCCTGTTGTTGTCCCTGGCCGCAATCAATCCCAAGCAGCCACTTTCCGAACATTCTCGGCTCCTTTACAACGAGACAATCAACGCTGCCCAGCAGCATGGGCTTTTTGCCCCTCAAGAAGGCGAACAGCTGTCTTCGGCCCTATTTCAGACCTTGGACAACGTGGCCATGTGGAGGGCTTGGACACGCATAGAATCGACCAAAAGATTGATTGTGTGCCTCATAATGTCTGACTCGTTCTTCTCGGCCCTCGACGATCATAATCCCATCATACGGACCGAGCAGCTGCATTTCTATTTCCCTTGCAAGACAGAGTTGTTCCAAGCCGCCACCGAAAGACGATGGTCTCAGATGGTCGACGCCGGCTCATTGACCATCATGCCTCTGATGATCCCGCAGCTAGCTTCAGCCATTCTTCCCCCAGCCTCGGATGCTAGTGCAATAGGATTCTTCGGTCTTTTTTCAACAGTCTGGGTTCGAATGTAAGTTTCATCCGTCACCGGGAGCTCTCAGGGCGGTCTCTTGTGCAAACCCATTCCTTGTAAACTCCAATTACCGGCGCTCTTCTGATCGGCATTGCTAATTCGAAACCTCTTGCAGAGTGGAAGCAAGATACCGCTGTACTCTTCTCACGTCTGAGCAGTCAAACCTTCCGGTCCCAGCTGAGATCTTTGCCCACGATGAACACGCCGCCTCGATTGCCCCATTCCTCATGAAGATGTGGAGGTCGTACGGTGAAACCATGTGCATTATCAATCCCAACTGCGAGGCCTTCTGGCACCATTTGAACATCTCGATGACGGCGGACCTTGGAGTCTTCGAAATCGCCTCCGGCCGGGAAGGAGCAGAAAGCGCAAAGAATGCCCTCGACGATATCGCGACCTGGTCCGCGACGGCCGCTGCTCGCCGAGCGTGTCTTCATGCCGCACAGATCTTCTCGTGTATGTCGAAACGGCGGCCCATTGATGGGACGTCCTATGAAGCGGAGATCGCTCTGGTGCATGCCGCTTTAGTGCTTGGTCTATACGTCTTCGTGATGCCCCAGCCGGACGAAACAGAGAACTCAGAGCAGCAACAAGCACAGAGACAACCCGAGGCATTTGAACTTTTGGACCAAGTGGATTGGAACCTCGTGGGTGAAGTCGGCTTTACCAGCTACAGCACCTCCAGTACCGACATTGACATGGGCATGGACTCTGCAATGTGCGCGGCGAAGGGATTCATCCAGAATGGTGGACCGATCTCTTTCTCCGGCGTCGTCCAAAATGGCGGCTACGCCTCGGCAAGGAGGGTACTCCTCGAGTATGTCTATCTACTGGAAGATGTGGGAACACGCTACAATGTGATGGAGTTCTGTCACATCTTGCGGATTCTGAGCGATGCGCTTATAGATTTTGACTCTGGCGGCGCGGAATAGTGTGTGCACCTATGTAAGTAGCCATGGTCAAGAGTAATTGTCTGTCCATACGGTGGAAGGGATCGAAACTTTGCCTCTGTGCTCATTAGCAGGCGATGATGTACTATGTGCTTTACTTGTAGGTACGTATATGTGACTCTCGTGGGGATGATATTTGTTGTATGTAAACCCGAGGCAATGACGTGATTCGGACGCACAACAAACCTGTGAGCGGTTCATCGCAGCAAAGTTTCCAGCAAAGTTTCGTCCCCTACAACTTCTCCAAGTTATATCCATCGACAACGCTCCCGTTCACGTAGGACAATGGTCACGCTGAACCTGCACCCAGCCTTGTCCCTATCTCTCCAGCATGTTCACCTCCCGCCACCCCGAAGACCGGTTCCGGCTGCGCATGCACCGTGCCCGCTCCGTCGACCTCACTAACGATGAGCTCGTCGAAATCCGCGCCGCACAACGCACCTTTGAAGGGGCGTACATCCGCACCTCGCTCTCGCAGTTCTCCTTCGCCCTCGTCGTCCTCAAGATCTTCACCTCCGAGTTCTACTCCATCGGCGCGCTCTTCGCGGCCTACGCCGTCGGCTTGCTCCTAGTTAGTGCCTATCGCAGACAGCAGGGGAATAGACAGTTCTTCAATGAGGTCGGGGACGATGGGCTGGGCAGGAAGAGGTTTCGCACCAGTGGCAATGTGGTCATTGCGCTGACGGCACTGAGCATTGCGGCGTATGTGAGTCTACTTGTATTGACGTTGAAGCTGGAGACTTGAATCGGTACCACCCGAGGGGGGCACGCCATGATGGATCGGAAGATACCAGGGGAAAAGAGCCCATACGACGACGTCGAGCCATGAGAGGAGACAGGGTTAGGCTTGACCCAAAGACTGGATGAAAAGTGGGACACCAGCTGTGCTTGGGCTCTGGATACTCTCATCTGATCGACTACCCCATGATGGCTCAGACAACCCTGTACAATTAACGTGGAACCACGAGGGGAACGACCTTTGGTAAGGCTATTCACCTGGGCACGTCGTCGACCTCTACGGCATGGATTCAGGGAGCATGTGGAAGCATTAAATCTCGACGCCTCCAATCTCCCACTCCAACAGCGAGGCAGGCAACTGGCTGGAAACATGAGCCCAGCTAAGAACGAGCACGCCACTATATCATGCGAGAGACGTATTGCCTCATTGCCGCCAGCTTGACACGATCTCTCAGTCTCGACAATGGGAATTTGGTTCCAGTCTCATGCTATCTACCACGGGTTCTTGCGGGAGTAGGGTTTCAAGGGGCATTGTCACTCGATGGGGAAGAAAAGGTGAAGGCCCGAAGTGAGGAAGTGATAATGGTCATGCTGGTGAAGCTGCACAGCCTTGTCTGCTATGTATGCCACCTGTGACCATGACAGGGGATGGTCATGGTGATGAGAGGAAGTGTCGGCTTAGATTAGGACATGTATGTCGGAGGATGGCTGATCATAATATCCAACTTGGCTCATTGTCTGCCAAATGATTGACAAGTCTTGAGTCTCTTTTGCGGAACAACATTAGTCCGCCAAGCCTCCGAGTTCACTTTCCTTTCACTGTCTGCAATAATTGACTCGACAAAAAATTAAAATGGCTTGGAACAAGTGATAAGTGATACTAGTACATTGATTTACTCACCTGGGTGTTGTAAATTGTCCTTTTTTTCTTTCATACTGTATATAGACTTCCTTTCTTCCCCTTCCACGAGTGGTAGTGGTGAGGGTTAATGCTTGACTCCCACCGTCGTCGCCTGGAGAAGTCAAAGAGGTTCGCCATTTCCTCGTTTGCACCTTGACAAGGCCTTGTCGTCGCTTCCATCTCTCACTTTGCGAGCGGGTCACTTGCTTTTACGGCAGGCGCAACTGTGCGATTGCCTTTGTTAATCATCACTAGAAGAGGAAACTGCCTCCCATCTCTCAATCTCTTCTCCCTTCTCTTCTTCGTCTCCAGCTTTGCAGAACTACCTCTCTACTCTACGATGCATCCAAACCTCAGCGGCCTCCAGACATGGCGGAACAAGTCTCATTCCTCGAGCCATTGAAGACGGTTCACGAAAATCGCTCCGAGGAAGTGTTCGGTACAGCCCCTTCTCCTCCCCTCTCCCGAAGGTCTCTGAATTAATTCTTGTCATCCAGTCCAGGCATTCGTCATCGAGATACCGGCCAAGTTGACGAGCAAAGCACTCGGGTAGGTAACTTCAAGACCTTGATAAGTGAATCAGAGCTGACCACGGTGACCAGCATCGTCAAGCCCGTCATTCCTAGCGGCGGCAAGCACCCTTCATTCAGTCACTTTCGACGTGTATGCTCTCTCACACATCTCCCTCTGGACTTGACATGGCGCCGTGATTATGACGCACGAGGCCTTCAAACCGTCTTTCTGTTGGTGCCAAACACCGTCGTTTCATGGGAGGATATCAAGGCCACGCTTGTGCCACACATCGATGTTGAAGGTCTCCCTCGTTGCTTCGATGCTGTAGTCCCACGCCACGCACCTCTGAGTGCAGAGCAGGCTGCCCTCTGGACGGAACGGTATTGGCCATCAATCTACAACCCTGCAGCACAAGTCCTCCAGGATGCTCCACCCCTTCACCATCTTCGACGGATGCGAACCCTCCTTGAGGTCCCGGCCGCAGACACATACATGGAGCTCGCAAGGCGGGCTGCCGATGCATCCAGGGAGCTCGGCCATGGGAGAGGCGTTGGTGCCGTTGTGGTCGAACCGGAAACTGCAACAGTGGTTGCGGTTGCTGGCGATGCTCGTTGGTGGTCAGATGATCCAGGGATCCATCAGTCGCTGATGGCAAACAAAGGAGAAGGAAGACCCGAATATCACGCCGTCATGCGTGCTGTCGCCATGGTTGCCAACAAGGAACTTCGTCGACGCATCAGAGCCGGGGGTCACCTCAAGTTCAAGGACACATGCACTGAGACTCCGTCTGGCCAGGCTCTCACACCTGTTGAAAGTCAATATGAAGACGACGAACAGATCCTCCGTGACGTTACCTCTGGACTGGCCAATGTCGTTCTCGAGAACAATGTAAACGAGGCTGCGTCAGAGAAACGAGCGAATTCCCGGACCGAAGGTTATCTCTGCAGTGGACTCGACATCTATCTGACACACGAACCATGTGTGTGCTGTGCGATGGCTATGATCCATTCGAGATTCCGAGCCTGTATTTTCGCTCGGAAGATGCCAGGCAGCGGTGGCCTGTGCTCCGAACCTGGCGGCAATAGACTGGGGTACGGGCTGTTCTGGCGTCGAGAGCTCAATTGGCGAGTCATGACATTCCACCACACGTTGGCGGCTGCTGTCGAAGGCGAACAAGGCCCCACGGACACGGGAATATTCCACGCTTAGGAAGTCAATTATTGGGAATATCGCACAACATCAACATCATCCTCATCAGGCGAAGTCGGCCACTCTGGTCCAATCGCCACCACCGTCTTTCCTACGGAATTCAACACCTTCGCCGAAGTAGCCAGCATCATTCCATTGCTTCATGGCATGGCCATCGAACGGCCCGTTTATCGCTCCACCGTCTCTGGCGTCAGTCCACCTATACTCCCAGAGTTGAGCCGTGGAATCATCAGTATTGGCTTGGGCATCTATGTCGTCGGGCTGTGGGGGATCGTTCCACTCATTACCAGTTTCTCTTAGATATTGTCGAATGAGCAGTTCTCTTTCTGTGTCGTAGACCTCTGCTTGGCCTCTGCCTAATAAGATAGCCGCTGCACTGCTGATCTTTTCGACCTTTGCCTTTCGAGCCTTCTCCGCGGCCTCATCTTCTGCTGCTGGGTGCCCTTCTGGCCCACCATTTGGTCTCTTCTGCTTGCTCTTCGGTTGCCATTTGGACTTTTTGTCTTTGCCCTTTCCGAGGCGAGCGAGGGCCTCCAGTGCGGTTTCGCCTCGGTCAAGCAGCGGAATGAGCTCAGCCAGAACATCGCCGGTTGACTTTGCATCCTCCTCCAAGTCTCGTTTTCTTCGCTCTTCTTCCCGTTTGTCGGCAGCCTCTTTTGCCCTTCTCATTTCCTTCTTCGACATGCCTTCGAGCCAGATGTCGTGAATAGCGTCAGGATCAGCTGCTTTTCGAACATAATTCCCCTGGTCGTCAAAGCGGCCTTCCTCCTGTTCTGCACGCATGTTGAAAGCATCCAACTTGGGAGCATGGGACTTTTTGCTCCCGGCTCCAAGCTCGGGATCGAGCTCGCCTGTACTTGCTCGTATTTCATCGTCCACTTCACTTTCACTGCTGCTCTCAACCTCGTCGTCCTCTTCTTTTGCCTTTCCCTTTCCCCGTACGTTCAGGGAGAAATCAGCAGAGACGTGTCCGCCACTTTTTGAATTTTGAATCTGCCCTTCTATCTCGTCTTCATCAATGAATCGGACTGCCTTCTTTTTGCCACCTCTTCGCCCGGCGTCGCCTTCTGAATCGTCTCCATCTTTGAAGTCCTCGTCTAGATCAGCGAACATGTCATTTTCATCTTCCTCCTTGGATTTGTCCTTCTCAGCTCTTGTACTCGCTTTAGCTTTTCTGTCGGCGCGCGCGTCAAAGTTGTCATTTTCCGAGTCCGAATCGTAGCCATCGATGTTTACTGCGCCGCGTTTCACCTGCTGACCACGTGCGCCGATGACATCTGCTTCCAGAATAGCATCTTCCTCTAATGCATCAGGAGCAAGGGCGGAGGGGTTGCGCACATCGAAGCGCGGTTTTTTGGTAGGTTGGCCGTAGAAGTCATCGTGGGAGTGGGAAGTGGTGCGGACATAGTCTTCGGCTGCCCGTTTGGCGCGAGGCGCGTTGTAGGCCATAGTTGTTGCATGTAACTGGAAGAGAAGTGGTTGTGACAACTAGCACAGTCTCGAGCAGTAGAGGTTGTCCTGCCTTGTGGCTGAACTTGTGAAGTTGGTCGATTGATTTTGTCCAGTAACTTCTCCGACCCGCGGCCGCGGCACCAACGAAGCTGCGTCACCACGTCCCGCCGCAGACGGTGCCTGGACTGGTCTCGCGACATTCATTTCACCACCTTCACAGGCACTTCGTCCTTGCTCCCTCTTCAACTCGGTCATTTCTACTGAATATCCTCTTCTAGAACCACACATCACCGACCCTGGACCACTCTCTCATCGGCCCCTGCACTATACCTCCAAGTTGCGTCGCCCCGCATCATTGCCACCCTTGATCTCCCTTCCTTGATCTCTAACAGCGTGCGCTGTCCTGTCCTGTATCTCTCGAACCTCCTCTCACATTAGGAAAAGAAAAGCCAGAACGGTCTAAATGGTAAGTGTTCTCAGTATGAGGTCTACGTCTGCAATAGCCAACATCTTCAGTCTTTCTACCACGATCCGATGGACTACCCGTCCTTCATACGGGGTCCTCCGCCCTTTGGCCGCTCGATGGGCCGGTTCGACGAATACTACCGCTGCTACCCAGTGGTCATGATGAGCGGGCCTGATCGGAAGAATGTCAACTATGGTGGAAAGGTGTTCATGCCTCCTTCGGCACTGGACAAGCTGACAAGGCTCCACATTACATATCCCATGGTGTTCGAGCTGATAAACGGGAATAAAGAAAAGAGTACCCATGCTGGTGTTCTTGAATTCATCGCAGAGGAAGGGAGAATATACTTGCCACAATGGGTATGCGCGCTGGCCTACGGAGCTGCAAAGATACAAGCTGACATTTGGGGATAGTTGATGAAAACTCTCGAGTTGGATCCCGGCGACCTTCTTCAGGTTAAGTCCACAGATCTCCCTCCCGGCAAGTTTATCAAGCTCCAACCTCAGTCGCCCGCATTCCTCGACATCTCAGATCCACGAGCCGTCCTCGAAAACGCATTCCGCAATTTCTCCTGTCTGACAAAGGGTGACATCTTTACGTTCGAATACAATGATCAGACGTACGATATTGCCGTACTGGATATCAAGCCAGACACAGATTCGCACTCTATCGTGACTATGGAGACTGATCTGGAAGTCGACTTTGCCACCCCCATTGGATACGTTCCTCCGGAGCGAACGAGTGGGACAAGCACACCTCGAAGTGGCGTGGGAAGGCCACACGGTGGACCAGTACATTTCCAGGGAACCATGGCACAATCAATCAATTACGGAAGCATAGCCCCTTCGTCAAATACAGCTGCTGCCGGTGCTCGCGCTGTCTCCTCACATTTCCTTTCGGAGGGCCATAAGCTCAGTTCGAAGAAGGGATCGAAAGCTCCCACACCCAATGCATCTACACCTGTAGGCGGAGTGTCCACGAATGCCGCCAACCCTGCACCGCCGAGAAGAACAAATGGACCCCAACCCTTGCGTCTGGCACCTGGAAAGCTGTTTTTTGGGTACGAAGTCAAACCGTTGCGCAAGCGGGACGAAAACGGGGAGCCCGTTGGCGGCGATGAAGTGAAGCCTCATTTTAAGGGACAGGGCCAGACGCTGCGCCAAAAGAAACGAGCTGGTGGTGGAGGGACAGACAGTGGAACAGCGAGCGGCGTGAATAGTGACGCGGAGGGGAAAGCCAAGCCTAAGGGCACTGGACGGAGGTAGCAGATGTTATGTGGAGAGGATTGCTTGATTGAATGACTGCATTGATGCATAGCGAAGGCGCTTCTAAGCTGGATGCACATAGAGGGAATAGGGTCGCTGAACCGAAGGGAGCGGCAAATACAAACGGAGACACAGGCTTGATCAAGGACCACTTATGGAGTAAGGATGGAGTGCTGTATAAATCTCCCAGAGTAGAGACCTACAGAAAATACCAGATTGATCAGATATTGCACATGGGACTTCAGCCTCGTCCGGGAAACAATAGCCCGAAGACCGTGCAATTGCGCGGTATACACAACTACGTCATTCAGCGTCAGTCCACGACCCTGCATATGCTCAACGTATGATACTTAGGGTGAATGCAATGCAATTGAGAGACACAGGCTTATAGCACCAGCACTCGATCCCTTCCCAAGGTTGCTGTGACCAAGATGCCCGGCATAGATCCAGCCATTGCACGCGCTCTCCACCTCGACGCCAGCACCGCCCAGATTTCCACCCACGGCGGCTCTGGCTTTGCATCGACATACCGTATCACCACGTCCACCACGTCCATCTTCGTCAAACAGTCCCGCTCTCCAGGCGCGGATGTCATGTTTCAGGGGGAGCACGCCTCCCTCAACGCCATTCACCATGCCGTGCCCAGCCTCTCTCCGAAGTCTTTGGCCTGGGGCAAATTGGAGAAAGGTGGGGGAGGAGGATACTTTCTCGCTACGGAATTTCTGGACCTAAATGGACGAGGGCTATCGTCGTCGAGGACCAGAAGCGGTAGTAGCAGAGGCAGTGGAATGTCTCTTGCCCAAAAACTCGCGAAGTTACACACGACCCCCGCTCCCGTCCCGGAGGGCTACGATTCACCTCAATTTGGATTCCCGGTCCCAACGTGCTGCGGGGATACGCCACAGGACAACACATTCACCTCGTCGTGGGCAGAGTTTTTCGCGAAACGGCGGCTCCTCGCGATCCTCGACAAGGCGGAGGAGAATAACGGGAGAGATGCAGAGCTGCGCCGGGTCGTGGAAAGGACCGTCCACGAGGTGGTGCCGAAGCTGCTTAGTAGCGACCATCTGGGTGGTGCGGACGGGATCATACCCGTCGTTGTGCACGGCGATCTGTGGTCAGGCAACAAGTCCAAGGGCAGCTTCGTTGGCCGCGACGGTGCAGAATCTCCGGACATGCCCGGACCGACAGAGGACGTGGCCTTTGACCCGTCGTCCTGCTACGCGCACAACGAGTATGATTTCGGCATCATGCGCATGTTTGGCGGGTTTCCGTCGTCGTTCTGGGACGAGTATCATGAGATGGTGCCCAAGACGGAGCCGGCCAGTGAGTATGAGGATAGGGTATCGCTATATGAAAGTGTAAGCATTCATCCCCCCTTTCCAGAACCACGGTTTCGATTCCATGATGGCCCGCGACCTCCACTCTGACACAGGACTGATCTCCTTTCTGCAGTACCATCACCTAAACCATTACGCTATCTTTGGGGGCAGCTATAAATCTGGCGCCATGGGGATCTTGAAGAAATTGGTGAGAAAGCACGGCGAGCACTAACGGTAGTCGAACATAGGCAAAGACATCCTCTGGCGGCTCTGACCCGAGACTTGTGGACTATTGGCACATTCATCTTACTCGAATTCGTACACAGGCAGGAAAAGGCGGGCGCCCCGACAACTATAAAATCTCGCGCCAAACGTCGACATGGCATCAAAAAGGAATCATGGTCAGCATTAGCGATCTATACGAGGTACAGTACCGAGTATGCCTACTTCCTAGTATATACATATCTGTTGGAATACGGAGTATGGCGCAATGGGTCCATCCCCACTTCATTGCAAGCGGGACTTGTATCCAATGACTCGACGGCCGATTATCTCGCGCCCTTCGTAAAACGATCAGCAATATTATATGTATCCCCCCTGTTCATCTAGAACTTGCATATCCTTTCATTTTGTTTCTTTTGGTTATTCTTGACCCCTGACTGGGAGTGCGGCTGGCGTTAGCACCATCAAAGTGTGGCTCAATCTGCTGAGCTCTTTATGACACACGGGTCTTTTTATTCCTCCACATCGAGTCTCACGGCTGCGAGGTTATGGTGCGAGTAAAGGACGGCCAAACATCCAGGGCTCAGGCTCGCTGGAGCGCGGATGAAAGCTACGACCGGTACAAGCGGTGGCCGCAATGGCGGCCGTTGTTGTTCCTGGCTGCGGCCATCGCCGTCGGTGTTGTTGCACTCAAAGATGGCTTTTTCCACAGATCAGACTTGTACCTGCAGGTGGTCTCGTTGATTCCATCCTCTCTCCTCTCATTGGATCAGCGTGTCGCAAGAATCATGGCCATGACGCCTCTGATGGGTGAGTTTCAGCCCTGCAATCAGCCAGGATGCTGCCATTGAATTACTAGGAGCTGCAGCTGATCGAGTGGTGGATAGACGGCCATGATGATTTGGCATGGAGTATACGCTCGAACTTCCACAACCACATCTACGACCAGGACTTCCGATCCAAGTTTGAGAGTGGCGGGATGCCGGACCATTTGGATCTGGTCCGGCTGAAGGAGGGCAAGCAAGGCGGATTCTTCTGGAGCTGCTGGGTTGATTGTCCAGCGGACGGGTTCGACTTCTCCAATGCGAATTACGCTCCCAGTGAGTTCCCTGTCAGGAAATGAGCAGTGTCCACTTCCTTACATTGTGTGTAGCTGTCATTCAGGCGCTTTCGCAAATGGACCTCATACATCGCTTGCAGGCCGCCCACGCAGACATCTTTTCTCCCGCCACACTTGATAGTACCACGGCCCTGACAGCCTTCAGGCGTCATGGGAAGTTGCTCTCCCCGATCGGACTCGAAGGGCTGCATATGATCGGCCGGAATGCCTCAATGCTTCGTCTTTACTACACGCTTGGGGCAAAATATGTCACGTTGACCTGGAATTGCCACAATGCCTTTGCAGACGCTGCGCAGCTTTCGGTCGGTGAGGACTCACTTGTGCCGGGAGCTGCTAGACCGGCAGCACCGCATTGGGGCGGCTTGAGTCCTCTGGGCACTAAACTCATCCATGAGATGAATCGTCTGGGCATGATGGTGAGTTGCATCTCTACCCATATAACCCCTTGCTGTATTCGTTTCTGACCAATGTCGTCAAGGTCGATCTGTCGCACACCCATCCGGCCACAATGCACGACGTGCTTGCGGGCAACCAGACCAAGTCGTTCCCTGGCAGCCGGGCGCCCGTCATCTTCTCGCATTCGTCAGCCTACGCACTGTGTCCTCACCCGCGCAATGTCCCCGACCATATCCTTCCTCTGGTCAAGCAGACCAATTCTGTCGTCATGGTGACTTTTGTCCCGGAGTTTATCTCCTGTGTCAATTCGACCAACCCGGGTACTACTTTGCCAACCTTCTACCCGGCCAACTCCACGCTTGACTGGGTCGCCGACCATATAATGTACATTGGCGACAAGATCGGCTTCGAGCACGTCGGTATCGGGAGCGACTTTGACGGAACCCAGGATACACCGCGCGGGTTGGAGGATGTGAGCAAGTTTCCCGACCTGTTGAAGGAGCTGTTGAGGCGAGGATTGAGTGACGATCAAGTCGAGGGCATCACGGGCGGCAATCTTCTGCGCGTGTGGAAGAGGGTGGAAGAGGTGGGAAGGGAGATGCAGCAGGAGGGCGCAATGCCACTGGAAGACGATATCTGATCAACTAATCTATTCCTCGATAGATAGTCGGCTAGCGGACTCTTTTACTCTGGCAAAGGTAGGAGGCTTTTTGGACATCTCCACGGCTGTGATTGTTTTCATTTCATATCTCTCGGTCTACTACCGTACAATACCTGAAATCTTCAGCGTGAATAAAAGCGGCACCTTTACAGCAAGGCCAAACAGTTGCGTAGCCTTGAATTGCCTACCTAGGTAGGTATGTATTCCGCGGTGGACGTTATCCAACATCACCCGGCGATATGGCAAATTCCCGGACGATGGTTCAAAATAGATCATACTCTGTACTCCGTAATCTACTCCGTACTCGTAGACGTCGATGAAGGGGGCCAAAAGGTTGAAGTCGTTGGTGGCGTGGAATTGTGGCGCGGCCGATACTCAAAGGAGAAGCATTTTTCGAGCTGCAGACGCCGCGCAACCTTCATTCCACCCCGAAAGAAAGATGACCAGAGCTGATGATCTTCGCGCATTGTTCCTGCATCGACGGCCTTTGTGATTTTAATACTCGAGTGCGCTGGTCGCATATATATCTCTCTATCTGAACACTCTGTCCCCATAGTATCTCTGTTTCTTCATCATAATAGGTGTCCCATTGCACGGTGGACCTTTCTCGGTGCCTGCGGCGTCAATATCTTACGACTTTGCGGCCATTGATTTCACGACAACATGGACACCATTACACCTCAACAGCGGAAGAAGATCTTGCGCGTGCTGTTCATTTCGCTGCTTCTCGACCTGGTAAGTGTCTCTGTCCAGGAGGATACATATATCCCATGTCCCAAGCTAACCGACGCCTTGCCCAGATCTCGTTTACATTCATCCTCCCTCTCTTCCCCTCTCTGCTCACCTTCTATCGTGGACTCGAGACACACCCTTACTCGGCCCTCAACCGCATCCTCCACTACCTCAACGCGTACAAGTCGTCCTTTGCCGTGCCCATCAACGAGAAATACGATATAGTCCTGCTCGGAGGGGCGTTGGGCTCGCTGTTCTCGCTATTGCAAGCAATTGCATCTCCGATTATAGGACGTGCGTCGGACAAATATGGTCGAAGGACGGCGCTGCTATGGAGCATGTGCGGCAATATTGCAAGCGTGGGGCTCTGGTGCTTCGCTGTGGACTTCCGCACCTTTCTGCTGAGCCGCATCGTGGGTGGGTTGAGTGAAGGCAACGTCCAGCTGGCGACGGCCATTGCGACGGATATCAGCACCGAGGAGCAGAGAGGGTCGACGATGGCTCTCGTGGGCGCGTGCTTCAGTGTGGCCTTTACCTTTGGTCCCGCCATGGGGGCTGCCCTTGCAAGTATTACCACCGTCATCGCCAACCCATTTGCGACAGCCGCGGGCTTCTCCCTGCTCCTGATTGTCCTCGAGACGCTATACCTCTATTTCCAGCTTCCCGAGACAAGACCGGTCAAGGCTGCGGCCTCCGACTCGAAGGCTGCGAAACCCGGCTCGACGACTTTCGAACACACGAACAACCCCATGATTCTGAACATTATCCATCTGCTGTTCCTCCTTCCCTTTTCGGGCATGGAATTCTCCTTGCCTTTCTTGATCACCTCTGTTCTCTTTCCGGAGAACCCGTCACCGTCGAAAATCAATGGGCGATTGCTGGGGTTTGTTGGATTGATTGCCTCGCTGCTGCAGGGATCAATTGTCCGTCGCCTCCCTCCATTGACGGTCGTAAAAACAGGTGTTGTCTCTAGCACTTTGGCATTTTTTCTACTGTCTCGTATAGACAACACGACTGGCTTGTACTGCGCGGGCGCGTTACTTGCCGTGACCTCGGCGACGGTTGTGACGGGGTTGAACAGTTTGGGCAGTTTTGAGGCGCGCGAGAGTAATAGAGGAGAGGTCTTGGGAGCTTTACGGAGCTGGGGACAATTTGGAAGAGCATTGGGCCCGATTGTCTTTTGCAGCCTGTTTTGGTGGGCTGGTCGTGAGACGGCCTATCTGGTCGGCGGCAGTGCCATGTTGGGCGTTACCGTCTTGGTTTTCACCATGTTGAAGGCTCCAAAAGTTGAAAAGAAGAAAGTATGATGTGACATTGAAAATGGAATGGAATGGTCAGATGAGACGTCAAAATGATACAATGAAAGTGATGCACCAAGGGATATTGGTGTCGTTTGTCATTCGATGTGGTCGACGAGATCGACTTCCCTGCGCGCAGCTGCGGTGTCGTCGCATTTGCTCCTCACGCACAACTTTCGACTTCCCACTATCTCGCGCTGACCCTCAAAGTGCCACTCTTTTGTCCCCTCGACAGCATCAGTCCAGCTGTTTGACCAGATGGGGTCAGTGTTTGAATCCTGCCATTCTTTGGCACATTCACTGACTCACTTCACGCCTTCAGGACAAGACCTTGTCACCAGCCACCAGTCACGCTAGCCGGCTTCAACTGCGTCCTTCACGTATATTTCCAGACCCCACAGCCTTCGTTCTTCATAAATTTAGCAATTTTCGATCCGAGTACCAGTTGCTAACCACAATACTGAAATCCGACCAACTCCTAGACGCGCCAGAGTACTGAAAAATGTAAGTTCTGCGCCCAACTTGGTGTGTGATCTCTGTAAAGGCTGACACTGTCCGATGCAGAGTAGGCGACTATTCACCACCAGCCTCATGTCGCAACCTGAGAGAACCATCGAACAGTGGCAGGCCGACTTTGTGCATGTGATCGAGAAACTGCGCTGCTACGGAGATCACTGCCCCTTTCCCGCATGTTGCAAGACACCAGAGACACAGTCTTTGCAGCCAATGGCCCTTCGCGTTCCCGAAGTCAACTGGCGCGACGCGGATGTTGCTAGTCGATTACACCGGGCATGTGTCACGCTGAGAATGCCTCCTCGCGCCGAGGAATTCGCAGAATACCTATTCCGGCAATTTTTCATGCCCATCTCCTGGCCACGCACGTTTGGCGTCTCGCCTAACCCCGGCATTGCGGCTTCCATCAGGCTCTCATGTTCCGAATACAAGCTTCCAATCACCGAGGACAAGATTTGCACGGTTTTCCGCAGCGTCAACATGGAGCGTCTCGAGATTGCACTCGACCAGATAGAAAGAGATTATGTCAAACTCAGAAATCGATATTTCAAGGGCAAACTTCGTGCGAGAGGAGAAGCGAGAGGCGCCGTGTATGATCACGCTGCGCGGCGAAGGCGCAGACTATGTGGCAGAGATGTGACGAGAGAGCTGAGGGCGCAGATCTACCTCATGTCTGAAGGGATGTGATGCTTATCGAGGTATGTAGCATCAAGGCTAATGTCGTCAACACCACCCTCTTGAGAACTAACGCAGACTTTAGCCAGGTCACTTCCGTTTGTGCAGATGAAGGGAATGTAGTTGAATGTCAAGCTACGTGACACTGAGAAAGGGATGTGATGGAGACGCACTGTGGATGTCGGCTGCTTTGTTGATGGGGTTTCTTCCAGCTGGACAAGTTCGACATGCGACAATAATCAATATTAAAAGCTCTGCCCCATGAAGTCAGGTCGTCAGGGAGTTTGTGATTGTGCTACTGTGCGCAAAGAGTCTCTATGTCTTCACGATGCGGCCTCGCTGTTGCTGGCAGTCACGAGTGACCTCCGGATCGTCCTTTTCTGCCGGCCCTGTCGCCAGCGTGCTGTACTGACACTGTATATCATGATCTTCACTCATGGACGCGGCCGACACGATCGAAAGATTTCACTCTGTTGCTGCACTATGTCCATCACTGGGTAAGCACTCCCCTGGCATTGCACTGCCCTAACACTCCCGAGTTGTCGTACTGCCACTGCCTTCACGACCTGCCTCATCTGTCCGCGTCGAACCATCAGGTTTTTCGAGATCCTGGGAGTGTTTCTGCCCTCATTTCCAGCATACATGCTGCCTAAGCCAGCCCGCGCCTCCCTTGCCCAAGACATCTACTGCGTCCTACGTCTTTCTCAGCCATGCAAAGGGCTCGCGACACAGAGAACGCCGAGCCTTGAATCTCCCACCGTTTCTTCACTCCCACGATCCTTTTTTCAAAACTTGACCAAGCTCCAAGCGGAGCGACTTTCTCATCGAGACTCGCCTTCCAACAAAGGAGCTTTCCGCTTCGATTTGGTTGTCTCAAACGCGCGAAGATATCACCCTCGAGCCCCGAAGGCGACGTGGCCCAAAGGATCTCTCCATCACAGCGAAGACGGTTCAAACCCCGGTTGACAGCTTCGAGGGATACAGTGTCAAACACCCAGCCAGGTTGCAGTGACCGTCTGAACAGCAACAACCCCCCCATCCTGAATGTCACTGTCATACACCCGCCTTCTCGTGTACGGACCGAGCAAGCAAACCTCGTCTTCCTCGACTCTAACTCCGTTCACGCAATGGATAGCACTTTCCTTCGTGCTTTCATTCGATGGAAAGAGGCGCAGGCGTGGCTGCGTCTGCAACGCAAACTGAAGAAACGCATGCGAGAGTTGCGCGGGTTGCGAGAAGCCCAGGAGAAGAAGGCGGAGAGTCAGGCCAAGGCGCGGCGGCGAATACAGAGGTCCGTGAAGAGGATCGTCAACGGCCACAGTGATGCCGAGCGGAAGAGAGTCAAGGAGAAATATCTCATGAGGCATCATGCGGAAGCGAACGAGGCGACGAGTGGATGCAAACAGTGTGACCCGGCGGCCTGGAAGAGATGTGCCTTTGCGAACTGGGACTTTGGACTTCCGGGCCCGGGTGGTGAGAGGGAGATCAATACTTTGGATTTGCTGGATTGAAAAAAAACTTCGGGTATGAGGAGGCTCAAATGTATCTGCTCAGGTCTATCGGCACGCACTCCTCATTGCTCCAACGCAAGATCGTCAGCTTCAACACCTCAAACGTCTTTGGTTTTCGAGGGTAACTTTTTTGGATAGTGGAGAAAGGAGAAAGGTGTGCTTCTGAATTTCAGTCAAATGTAACACACTAGCATCCGGCTCCAGAGTCGCTCTCTCGTCTACCTTGATTCGGAGTCCAAATAATCTGAGACAAGAGAGCCAAAACCCGAGTTTCAGTATGGACACTGTCCGGGCCTTTCAATGGCTGTTTTTGACATGTGCTGGACAGTTGTAACTTGTAGGGTGGCACGAGACAGTAGTAGCAACGCCAGGAGTCTCGTCGAGACTTGAGTGTTGCGAGGCTGAGCGAGGCTGCTAAGCCAAATAGGGGAAGCCGAACTAAGAGGAGGGCTAGCTGTCCAGCTTTGCCTGTTTCTCAGCATAGACTATTATTGCCTGGCGCGCATACCGCAGGATCTGTCGGTCGATGCGATGGGATGCATCTGACATGGTGTGATCTGACGGACTGGATAGGTAGGGTAGGGGGACATAGTCGTGGGATCGTCGTGTAAGTCGTGATTATATACCCGGCGGGGCTGATCGGATCTATTATTCAGTATGGCTTGAATGAAAAGTCGCCGAAGTCTAGGTTGGACACTAAAAGAGGAGAATTCGCATTTTGATCAGCAGATGTAGCAGCAGGAGGTGGAACGCCATGATGTTCTTGACATCCCTTTGGGATCCAACATTCCATCAATGGGGGTTGGGGTTCATGAACAGGAATAAGCAGGGGAGGGCGGTTTTTGATGTTTGTGGTGTGGCAGGCACTTACTCTGTTCAAAAGCACCGTAGGCTTCGTCAATGTGCTCGTTGACGTTGGGGAACATCTGGTTGTTGTGGCAGAGGGATTCGAACTGCAGGTACGAGACGACGGGTTGGTGGTCGGGAAAGTCTTCGGCGCCGGCGTGGCGGGTGTGGTTCTGGTAGTCCAGACTCGGAGGGGGCGACGATAACGGCCCTACACGTCCTCCTGTGGACGCACTCGCACTCACACTCGCTGTCCCCGTCATGCCTACCTGGAAGGAAGGCGACTTGGACGACATCATGTTCGTCCCTCCGCCGTGTGGCTGGCGATAGCCGACACTGCTGTTGCTGTCCTGGACCTGCCTCGTTGCGTCGAACGTCGGCCCGATTAATAGTCGGTCCTTGGCGATGATGCCCCCCGTGTCCGGGGGCGGCGGCGGCGGTGGTCGCAGCGCATTGTCCATCTCGCGCTGCATCGTCTTCTTGTAGAGCCTCGTCATCATCTGGTCCGTGTGCTTGGCGATCTTGCTCTCGTCCTTGATGGCCCTGCAGGCGGCAATGATCCGGAGCACCCCGGCCTTGGCCTCGCCGGCCATCTGGCTGTACGGTTGACACGTCGGCGCGATGCACAGGATCACGCCCGCCGTGAAGAGATGCATGAGCACGAACGACTGAGCGAGCTGGCCCTCGAACTCGTGCACGGGGACCCGCGACATGCGCAGCGCCGCGCGGACCGAAGTCCCCAACGAATCGGGGATGTCGTCGCGAGCAATCTTGAAGTTGTCGCTGGCTTCCTTAGGAGAGATGGATATTCGGAGTTTGAGGAGTGGTCGATGCGCCCATACTCGCGCGGCGTCGTATAACAGCTGCAGGATGAAGCCTTGCAAGCCGATTTTCCTCCTCAGGCTGATTTCGTCCGAGCTACTACACTGGTCGAGTTCAAGGACATTCCACGGATCGTCTGCGGGCCATCGCGAGGATGTGAATACCGCAGGAAGGTTGTCGTGCCACTGCTTCAACATGAGTTCCGTGGTGTTGACGACTTGAATCAGCGACTTCAGGTCTTGGACCGAGACGGGACTCTGCAGTTGCAGAACCCTGAAGCTCTGCAGAGTCTGACGAATGATGTCGTAAAGCTCAAACTTGAGGGTGTGGTAGGTCAGAAATGTCACGGGTCGGCCGCCGGGCTCTTGGAAGATTGCCAGGGCTGCTGTGCCGTCGGGGAGGTCGGTATCGTCCAAGTCTGCGAGTCTCTTGAACTGAGCAAAGGCAGGATCGAGCGACGCTGGACGCCCGAATATCATGGAAGAGAATTGATCCGACACGACCAGATGATTCCAACATCGGTTACTCACTTCACGCGCAATCTCGTCCGTGTTTCGAGCCTTGTCGCAATGGAGTGCCAGTGCGTACGCCGCGCGAGTGGACACGCCGGACACGTTCCAGGCCAAGGTCGATGACCCAAAGTAAACATGATAAATGGTCAGCAGCATGCAGATTTGAAACACTTCAATGCGTGACTCCAGCATCAGTTCGTAGAAGCGCGACGCGATCTGCGACATCAAGTCCGAGACGAGCGACTCGGCCGTGACGGAGTAGGCCTCGAGCAAGTGGTGCCCTTTCCACGTCTTGTCGTGTTCGACACACCGCAACCCGAGAGCCGCGACCGTCGCCACGAGGAGCACATCGCACAGCTCGTCGCGTCTCCACGCTGTCCGACGGAGGATGTTTTGCGTCCGGATCGCGAACGATGGCTGGTGGAAGAGCATAATGTACCAGTTCACCCTATCGAAATAGGCATCCACTGCGACTTGGAGAATGGTCTGTGAAGGCAGAGGCGTCAGAATAGAGCTGAAAGTCTGGGGGTCTGTGGCTGAGCGTCCTGCATCGCCTGGGATGGCTCCGCTGGCTGGCGAGTTGCTGTCGTCGTCCTCCCCGAGCAGGATCTTTGCGAAACCCATCGACGAGTCGTTCGCGCCAAACTGCTGGCTTTCCTCGGGACTGGTCCTCGTGATGTCCGCCACATCTAGGCCAGCACCGTCGAAGTGGGAGGAGCCCGTTGTGTGCGTAGAATCATTCATGGGGCTGGTTGGGACGTGCGCGACACCGTGTTGGGCATAATTTGAAGTAACCAGCGACCCCGTCGTTTTCGTACGCCGTGGCACATCTGAATGATCTGATCTCTTCCGCTTCAACGGAGCGTCCTCTGCCGACAATTGCGGTTCGCATGCGACCCCCGCTCTGACACATAGTATGCATGGCTTCTCCACATCACACTAGATGGCATGCGCTCGGATCAGTACTCACCAGGATGACATGATATATAAGAGAGGGGTGGAGAGGTAGATAAATACGAACCTTGAGCTTTTGCCGTCTACAGCGATAGCACGCCCACGCAAGCCTGGTAGAGCGCTGGACGTTATCCATCGGGTAACAACTCGTCTGGTGGGTATCGGAGCCTTGACTGAGTGGTTTGCGGTCTACATGAGGACGTCAAAGAAAGGATTTGAAGGACTGCCGTTAGCTTTCGAACCCGACCACGTAGCGACTCGTTCTAGAGCAAGTTTGCGAACATGCGCTAACTGGTCTTGTCGAAGGTGGGTTTGTGGCGGAATCGAGACCGCTGTACATAATGCGGGGATGATAGATGTATCCTCGTATAATACTCTGTATGTATATCGACTCGCAGACTTGGGCCCATTCCTGTCTCTTCTCCCACTATGAGCAGTATCTTTCTAGGGCCAAATAGCGCTGCGACTTCTCCATCGAGCCATCTATATATGATGATGGTGCTGGGGGACAGGTTCTAATACTGGACAGCCAGAAGAATGGTTTGGCAGATCCCGAGTCCCACAGTGTCCATCAACAGTGCCGGCATGCTTCAGAGCCGATATTCGACGCATCGCGAATCAGAAGTGACCTTGGATCTTTGATCTTGTATCTATGGTCGTATAACGGCATTGTGGTGGTGGCTTTGGTGTGCTCGAACTTTGCCTTGCCATTTTCTACGCGCCAGTTCGGTACACAAAATGTTCCGATATTCTCCGTCACGAGATACTCGTCATTCATCAAGAGTTTTGGAGAGATCAGTAGCTAAACAGATGAGGTAAGGCTCGTGGATATCACGGCTCTTTGTCCTAGCCGTCACGCAGATGGCTTGCCTATGTGGTCTCGCGGCGCATCTTCGCCTCAGGGTCTCCTACAGTCGGCAGTTGATGCTTCAGGTCGAGACGTTTGCTAACTTGCATCCGATATAGTTAGACTTCCGACCGAGTCCAATGATCGACGGGACACAAAAGGGCGGTGCACCCGGCAACATTGCGCTCGAGCGATGAGAAGCTGTCCTGGTGGTACACAAGTGGAGAAATGTGTCCGGTGGACGCGGAAAACTGGCCTGAGGATCCTTTCCCCCGCATTTACCCCCTGACAATTTTTTTTTTGGCCCTTTGTAATGAGCTAGACACAAAGATCCTGCTCGGCAGTATTGGGATCATTATAGATTTTCTCCAGAGATGTTGTTGGAGAAGCAGTTGCCATCAAATATGTCAACGAGAGAGGGCAGGACTGAAGACCGAGGCCTGCAAGAAGTGAGTGATACTGCACGACATCCAGTCAATGACCAATGTTATAGTTCAATGCGGATCGCAATGGATTGCACGGGAGGGTATTGAGAGCCTTGGCTTTGCCTGGTGACACTAGAATTGCTCTGTTGTATACAGTTCCTCAGCAGAGGTGCGAACGATCTTTTCAGATAGATGCCTGTAGAGCACCGCAATTGTTCTAGCCTTGTCGACAACACCAGATACACTTTGTACCCGGTATGGTGTCGTCGCCGTTGAGAGGTTAAGAAAGTAGAGCTCAAGAAGCGAAGCTTGGAAGCTTCTTAGACGAATCGAAGCTGAGGCGCTAGTCTCCATCTGGACTGTCAGCGCCAAGGCGTCAATCCTCGTATCTCCCTTGCTTTATCACTTTTCCTCCCAAACCTATCCGTCAAAGCCTTCTTTACCTTCATCTTTGATACGGACATATTTTGCATTGATTCAATCATCCTGCGTTCCCCTTCCTGCGGCCAAATGAAGCTCCGCGACTTTTGGAGAAATTCCCTTCCACCGGACGCATTGGCCGACGGAGAGTCTAGCCCTGATGGGGAAGTTCACCTGCCGCTCGCCGTCCATTGATGGCATCAATCTCTATCCCTTGCACACTCTGGGAGGCCATGAGCATGCGACCAACGAGATGGTGGAAGGAAGTAACAATTTGCTTCTACCTAGCTCCCTCACCCCGCTTCGCACCTTGCATTGAGTAACCGAAAGCCGGGGAAGCACGCCGTAAAGAACTATATAAAACCCGTCTTAGTCCAGTCCCAGGTTGTCGAGGTAGAAAACCGCAGACCTCCACACTTTCTTCACGTCCCTGGGAGTGTTGATTTAGTTTCGAGATGGCTGACATGTGGCGTGTGGCAGTCTTGCTTCTTGCCGGCGCCGTCTGTTGTACGGCAGCTGCAGCGCCTTCATTACCCACGGTGGACCTGGGCTACGAACTGCATCAGGCAACATACAATGTGAGTGAGAGATAAACTTGCCTAAGGTTTCATCTAGCCAGGACATTAAAGTCTCTGTAGTCGTCTGGCCAGTACTACAACTTCTCCAATGTGCGTTATGGCGCTCCTCCGGTCGGAAAACTACGTTTCTCTGCTCCAGAGGCCCCCAGCACAAACGGCACCAAAGTCTTCAACAACGGCTCTAGAGCTGTGACTTGTTTTCAGGTCCTGCCAGCTTGGGGCATTTATTCTGCAGATTGGGTTGCCAATGGCACAGCTGCTTTCAACATCTCTGCTGGTTACCAAGTCCCTCCACTTGCATCAACACCACCACCTGACCCTACTGCTACCGAGGACTGTTTGTTCCTTGATGTGATGGTCCCTAAAGCTGTCTTCGATTCTGCTGGTCAAGGTCCGGGGGCACCAGTGTAAGCGGTCTGACCGTGGAAAAGATGGCCAGCTTTGCTGACAGACCATTCAGGATGGTCTGGATCCACGGAGGGGGATACACACTTGGATCCAAGACTCTCTACAGCCCTTCTGCGGCAGGCCTTATCAAGGCAAGCCAGAGTCAAGGAGGGAAAGGCATCATCTGGGTTGCGATGAACTATCGCCTTGGAGCTTTCGTATGCCTCAAGCCTCTCTTCGAAATTGTTGCGTCCTAACACTCCTTTGCTAGGGCTTTCTCTCCGGTCCAACTTTTCAGGAGTCTGGGACGGCGAACGCGGGCCTCTATGACCAGCGCCTAGCGCTCGAATGGGTGCAACAACACGTTGCCAAATTCGGTGGAAATCCGAATCAAGTTACAGTGATTGGAGAATCCGCCGGAGGAGGCAGCACGATGCACCAGATCACGGCATTTGGCGGCCTGAAGGGAAAAGTGCCTTTCCAGCAGGCTATAGTCCAGAGCCCTGGATTTCAAATGTCGCCCAGCGTTACGCTGCAAGAGGCCATCTACACCCATTTCTTGTCCCTGGCGGGCATCAACTCGCTCGAAGAAGCTCGAAACTTGTCCACTGAGGCACTTCGATTTGCCAACTACAAACTTGTTGGGGGATCTACCCCATATGGCACATTCACTTTCAACCCTGTGGTAGACGGTGCCTTCGCACCCGATCTTCCCGGGCAACTTCTTCTGCACGGAGGCTTCGACCAGTCCCTCAAGATCATGGCCGGCCACAACATCAACGAGGGTCTCGAATTCATGGATCCGTTTGCTCAAAACGAAACCGTCTTTGAAGCCGACCTCCGCATATACTTCCCTACCATCACAGAAGCTACCGTCAAATACATCTCCCAGACACTATATCCGCCCAAGTATGACGGTTCTGTCGGCTACACTACTCCCACCGGACGAAGCGAGTTGATGATCACGGAGGCGTTCTTCACATGCAGTACCAACTTCTTGGCTCGCGCGTACAACAACAGTGTGTTCAATTACATATTCAGCGTTCCACCGAGCCTTCATGGAGATGACATTTACTACACATACTACGATGGTCCAAATCCCTCGGTCAAGAATGACACACTGGCGGTCATTATGCAGAGATACTTTACCAACTTTGTCATGAGTGGTAATCCGAACGGAGCAGGATTGCCCCGTTTCCCGACATATGGTGAGAATACCACGGTGCTGAATCTGAATCTGACAACGATTGGGCCGATCAAGGACAATGCTGCGAACGAGAGGTGCTTGTGGTGGCAAAAGGGCCTGTATGCTTAAGGCTGTCGGTTTGACGACTGTCCCAACAGCATACGGAGAACATACAGTATATCAGACAGAGTTGTGTAGCCTCGTATTTTGGTCGTGCAAGGCTGATAGGGAGAGTCTCCGGGGACAAAATTGATCCAAGACGGACGCAAGCCGGACTTCTATATAACTCCCCGGAGCCTCATAACAACCGCAGAGGCATGCCGGATAATCATTCTGGCACCACCCTATGCCTCGGTCAAGAGCCGCGCGAAAGAATATCACGCGTTATTTCCCCCTGATTCTTTTTGCCTGCGCTTCAACATTCGACAGAAAACAGTTGTATATAACTCTGTTAGTAGAGTCCCGTCTATGGGTTGATTTGCGAAATGTCAAGTCTCTGAGGTACAGGCAACTTTCCGTAATCTCCTCCTAATCTAATCACACCGTCGGCATTGTCATAGCTGCAACCTGCACACTCAACAGCAGGGGACCTTTCTTGAAACTTAGAAGAAAACAAACCCATGGAGACAACTCTATCTACCGACAAAGAGCGCCATGGCGGCGTGGACCTCGAAAACGGCTCCCCGTCTTCTCCAAGCTTACCCGTGTCGACTCGACTACGGGCGTGGTTGACGACGGACATCGACACGAGGTGGGCGGACACGGTTCTTCTGGGGTGTTTCTTCGTGACGGGGATGGTGGACTCTGTGGCGTTCAATACATGGAACTCGTTTGTCGGGATGCAAACAGGTAAGGAAAAGGAGATTTGGAGTCTCTCTCTCTGGACCAGCTGATTTAAAAGACTAGAATCTTGCGAGTACCTCAGTTAATTGACCCATCATTGATTTTTTTTTCATATTAGGAAACACCATCTTCGCCGGTCTAGGCGTCAGCGACCTCCCGGGCACCGTGCCTCGACACACGTGGACGAAATCGCTGGTGGCCATCCTATCGTTCTGCGTGGGGGCGTTCTGCTTCTCTCGATACCACCGGCACCTGGGCGCGGTGAAGCGGTGGGTGGTGGCGTCGTCGTTCCTCGCGCAGACGGCGTTGATGGTGTTGACCGCGGCGCTGATTTCGGGCGGGGTGGTGAGTAAGACCGGCAACGTCGAGAGCCACGGGGACGGACGCCGGGGCACGTTCCCCTGGCACGAGCTGTGTCCCATCGCGTTGCTCGCCTTCCAGAGCGCGGGTCAGATCGTGGCGAGCAGGATGCTCAAGTTCAACACCCTGCCGACCGTGGTGCTGACGAGCTTGTTCTGCGATCTCATGGCCGACCCGGGCCTGTTCACGGCCGGGTTGCTCGACGACCCGGACCGGAACAGGCGCGCCGCGGGGATCGTCTTGTTGTTCTGCGGCGCCGCCGTCTCGGGCGCCCTGATCAAGTCCTCGGTCGGGTATCAGGCGGCGTTGTGGGTGGCGACCGGCGTCAAGGGAGCCATGGTGTTGGCGTGGCTGGTTTGGAGTCCTAAAAGGCAGCAAGTGTAGATAGAAATGATGGACCAGATTTCATGATCCATCTTTTTTTTCTTCCCCTTCCTGCACACACACTGCGGGAGCGTCTTTCTTATTGGAACCCCGAGCCTTCGAGGGACGATGTGATACGACATACGCCTGGCTACTCTACTCGTACTGGGGTGTTCGAGATGGAGGTCCCCAAGCCAGTCAGGACTCCCTTTCCGACACCGCGCAAAGTGCGCGTCGGACCGTCCGGCGAACCCAACGACACCCACCTCAGCCTGGCGCAGCCTCGCTTTAAACTGTACACAAGACTTTCGTCAGGGAATAAGACAGATGTTATCGTGAAGTACTTTATTCATGTCATGGAACCGCCGCAGAGTCCTACAGGGATATATAGAACGTGTCTGTTCCACTAAATCTAGATCACGGATTTGTTAGTTGCTTGCCATTCAGCAGCGGCACACGCCCCCCCTATTCCACTCAGCCTTGTTTCAATACTTAGATCAGGCCAACAGCGACCCATGGCATTGTCCAAGAACATCTATATATCATTCATCATCATTTGAACCCAATGCGCGCTCACCTCGCAAGGTCGGTCTCGAACCTACGACTCATTCTTCCTCCTCAACCCCCATCAACCTGCGCTCCGCCACTTCCCTGATCTTGTCCTCCAGCACAGTCCGTCCCCATCTTCCAGCAACCTTGGCCGCAGCCTCGAGCATCTTACCACTTCGGTCCTTCAGCAACCCCACAATCTCGAGAGCCTTCATGCCCCTCTCTTCGCCTTCGCGACACTCGACCGCCAAGAGTTGAAGCAAAATCTTGTCGACTTCGACCTCTCGTCTCACGACCTCGGTCTTCTGCGAGTGGCTGACCCTCTGGTCCAGACTCTGCACATGGTCGTCAAGCAGTCCCAAGATCACAGAGCTGCGGACAAATGCTTCTTCCAACCTTGCTGCGGCAGCAGCATTGGACTCTTCCCTTTCATCACCATCGACATCCTTGCTGTCCTCCACCGGCCTACAGACCGGGATATTGAACTCAAACTCTGTGAGCAGAGGCCGAGGGAAGTATGGAGTCTTGTCCCCGCCTTTCAGGATAATGCAGTGGAATTTTTGGTCCGCCACAGCAACGGGCCAGTATGTCTCTTCTTTCTTCCCGTCTTTCAATCGATCGAGCAATCTCGTGTCAAGTAGAGGCACCCATTTGGCCTGTCCCAGCGTACGCCAGTGCATTAGAGTCAGGAGTACACCATTGCTGTCGTAGATACAGGGATCTCCTGCATCGCTCCAGAAGAGGTTCTTCAAGCTCACATCCTCGTCCTCAGATTCCGGCGGGACCGTGCCCAGTGCGAGGACATCTTCGTTCTGACAGCTTTCGTCTCGCCGCACATTTTCAATGCTGTAGTTAAGCTGGGTGGAACCATCAGCGCCCACAGGGCCGTTTCCAACTGTCATAACATAATCACTCCATGCAGCACATGTGACAGCAGGGGAACTCTTCATGCGCCAAATCCGGACAGGCGTACCAAACAATGTCCATACCCGGACGTAGTTCTTGTTTGTAACAGCCACGATGTATCTGCTGCTGAGAGCAATGCATGTTGCTTCTTCGCCGTCGGGCAAATTGATGCGCATATCCGACCGTGTGGTCCAAGTCTCATGAGGTCGGTAGAAGATCACTGCAGGCTGACCATCCCGAGGAGGGCAAGAGAACAACGTGCCGGTTTCGTTCAAGCACGCTTTGTCATATAGGAAGGGATCGGTGAAATGGAAGTCCCGGTGCATTTCGCGGTCATAGAATTCGACCGTAACTGTATGATGGGTGTCCTGGTCCACGGTCCAGACAAAGCCAATCAAATTGAGACACAGATATTTGCGGTTGCCTCTCCAAGGGGTGGCACCTGGTTGGAATGGCTCATGGACATGTGCTTGCCAGGTATCCTGCTTGTTTCGCTTGGGCAAAGGGTATGTGGTATCTCCAAGATGCCCGTTGGTCCTCTTTCCGTTTTCATTGATATATCCCGCGCCATCGTCGTCTTCTATCCAATCGTATTCTTCTTCTGGCCCGAGAAGCTCGTCAAGACTGTCAGGAGTATGTGCTCGCTTTGCTTGACCGTTGGCGAGTGGTTTTCGACCATTCACGAGTGCAGATTTCTCGAGCAGTGGATCATGGAAGAAAGGAGCTCCGACTTTAGGTCCTTTGAGCAACTTGACGTGAGCTTCGTCTTTGAGGAATTCCGGGATGATGAAGACTTCGCCATTCGAAGTCGTCCAATTGAAGATGTTCTCGTTGTGGTTCTGCCACGCCACGTTAAGAATGTTCGTGTAGTTGAAACGTTTCAAGGGCTTTTGTGTTTTGGCGTCCCAAATGATGAGATAGTCCGAGTCGGCCGAGGCCAACAAGGCCCCATTCGGTGACCATGCCAATGATGTTATCTCTGCACTGTGCTCTCCTGCGAATGTTCGTTGATGTGCACCGTCCTCAATTGAGACAACTTGGATATCTCTTGTCGCTGTTGCACAAGCAAAAGCCCTTCCGTCAGGATGCCAAACGCAGCGGGAAGTGGCTGTTTCGGCCGTCTCAAGTCGAGGAATTACTCCGTCGAATGTTCGGAATAGCTTAGGCTCAGAGGAGGTCATGTCATAAACGTAGATCACGCCATCGGTGCAGGATGCGGCAAGATACCGGCCAGACTGATCGTATGTCAAATGCTTTATTGGTTTTGGGTGATCGCGTAGTATGGTCATTTGCTCAATGTCGTTTCGGTTGACCACCTTGATTTCTAGCTCGCTGGGAAAGTCAGACTTGAGTACCTGGCGTGAATGAGATATTGACATACTCGCTGGAAACGGCCACCCATTTCTCGTCTGGAGAAAGGGCAATGTCTCTGATTGGAAGTGTGGTTCTGACAAGCATCTGTTTGAAGTCCCCGGACGGGACTGCATATTTGCACACTGTTCCGTCTTCGCAGCCAAAGATGGCGTAGTCGTTCTGTGCCAAATCAGCCGGCTGCATCTCATGCATTTTCTCTTTCAAGCGGTCCCTACCCCTGAAGCAACAGCAAATGTCTCTGCATGAGTCGAGGGTAATAAGTCGGGTTCGCCGTTGTCGTTGGTCCTGAAGGAACGAGCAAAGTCTCCAATGCCAGCCACAGTCAACCTCTGGCCATCGGGAGAATAGTGAAGGTAGGTAGGGCCCGGGGGTTGGGCAGGGCGGCCTGGAAAGGGAGGTCTCTCTGGCATCTTGACTATATGTATCGAGGTGCCGAACGATGCTCATTCATTCAGATCTGTCCGCAGCGACTGGTATGAATCGTGGCGGAGGGATTAATTATCTCAGGTGGTTGCGCGCCTCGAGACGCCGAGACGCGTCGACGCGTCGTGGATCTACCGAAGTTCAACCGTGTCTCCACTACAAACCCCGCATCGCTAGCTTGTGGTGGCACGGCTGCGTCAGACGTAATTGAGCCGATGGCCACGATGGCATCCATCATTGCGCTTTTGAGACATGTCCTGATGAAGAATAGGAAATGTGATAGGATCGGTTCTAAGCAAGATTGTTCTTAATACAACATGTCGAAGTAATAAGTCTATCATCTCGTTTAACATGAGGCCGTCGAGTCTGAACAGTCTCTCCCCCCCTACATGTAGACCGCGTGTCTGACCCTATCTAGACCAAAATCGTCTTGCTTATCGAATAGTCGTTGTTTCCGTGGTGAGATCGAAAGTGGATGTAAATTGCAGACCCCAACCGTTTATGGAGATTCCCTGGCAGGGGCTCGCCGACAGGCCCAAATGTGCCAGTCACGGCCACGGCTGTCCGCTAGCTATATTCCTCAAGATCTTATCGGAAATGAGATCTGCCATGGAGCTCAGGCGCGGAGCGAGAATCGTATGACATCCCCTCGCCCAATCAAGGCGGCGATGGATCAAACGTGGGAGGCTCCAGGCCGCGGACAAGGCCCTTATCCAAAATGATGAGCGCGATAAGCTGTACTTCTGAATTCGAGGTGCTGATGCAGTCATGGCTCAACCCGTCTCTCAAACACTGACCACGAGGTCCCCAATTTCTAAGGACCTAGAGCTGGCGTAGCGTGAAAGTATTTGCAGCCAAAATCGGCACACACCGGGTAGATATAATGGTACAGGGTAGTCGCAAACGACTTGCAGTCCGGAAGCAGGGTCTTCTGGCAGAGTCAAAGTTGGTGAGACAGGAGCTGCAGCAGAATCACAGAATCTCCTCGGGATACTGCTGGGAACGATCGTTTGGCTCATGGGAATACGTTGAGGACAGGACCGAAAGCCAACGCATCATATTGTAGTTCAGCGGACAGCCACGTGAGATCTCCTATCAAGTTTCTGGTGGTGGCGTCTTCATGGCAGTTGGTTCGGAAGGAGGGTAGAGACACTGGCGGACGTGAGATATGACATCCTGGACATATTCTCGGGCTTGGGGTAACGCCCTATCCATGTGCATGAAGTGGTGCGGCATGCCATTGAACCTTCGTAGGACGATTTTGTTGCCCGCTTCCTCAAGTTTCTTAGCATATGCTTCCGCCTCGTCCCTGAGGGGATCAACCTCGGCCGTGGCCACATATGTAATAGGAGCTAGATTCTTGAAGTCTGGAGCATTCATGGCGTCGGCGAACCACGATATGTCTCGTTTCTGTTCCTTGGGCTTTGTCGGGTGCTGGCTGGACAGAGACATCCATTTGAAAGTGTCGAACCATTTCAATTTCTCCCAGTTGAGGAGGGGAGCAAACTCGGCTTCCCTCATGCTTGGCCATGGGCTCATGTCTGGTGTTGCATACTTCCGTACGTCGCTGATGGTAGGTGTGGCGACAACCACACCCTTCAAGTTGTCGCTAATACCTCCGTCGCGGAACAAATGGTTCAGGATTAAAGCGATCGTGGCGCCAGACGATTCACCGCCAAAAGTCATGTTCGTCGAGTCGATTGAGAAAGTCTTGTGGTTGGCCAGAATGTGCCCGACAGCGGTGAGACTGTCCATGATTCCGATGGGAAAGGGATACTCGGGGATTAGCCGGTACTCGATATCAATGACGCAGCAGGGAACAGAGGCGCAGATGTGGTGGCAGATGTGTGCGTCGGTCTCGAGGTCACCTACAGCCCAGCCTGGACGAGTGTCAGCAAGGACAATGATAGACAAAGGTGTAGATGGACAGATATACCTCCACCATGGAAATTGAAATGGACGGGCCACACTTTGCGCTGGCCCGGCTCTTCACCCGGCGGTACGTAGACTCGCACATTGATTTCCCCAGGATATTTGTTCCAACCCGGTACTTGTGTCTCTCCAATGCCTCCTACCCCGGATGGCGGCGCTGCAGCATAGGAATATAAGGAGGAATAGTTCTGGCGCACCGTCGCCAGATCAGTGGACGACGGGGGGCCGTTCGCGATGTAATCATTGTATAACTTCACGAAAGCGGGATCAAGCTTGTCCATCACGGAAGGGTGGATAGGATAGCGAAGAGGAATGCCGGGCGATTTGCTGTCGTCGTGTGGCAGAGCGTGGGCATCATGCATGCGAATATCGTGGGTGGTGTTCATCTTGAAAATCGCCGGCGCATGATCCAGTTGCACGTTTCGTCCTGTTGGCCACGCAGAGGAATACCTAGTAGGTAATGAGAGCTGGGATGACACCGCCGAAGCAGAGTGGTCCTTGTTCAAATGTCCATGCTATGGGGAATAGATATAGAGGGGAAAGGATCACAAGATGTAGATGTAGACCAGATGCTCCAGGCGCATGACCGAGTGCGGACGGAAAAAGGGTCGACTCTTCGCTCGCGTGTGTTCCCAGAGGATGAGAAGAGGCGATTATTTTTATGGATCCGAGAGCGGAGTGATTGGTGGTGATGATGATGTCGGCTGAAGGAAGCAGGGATGTGATTGGAGTTGAAGTCCGTAGATACTAGAAGGGCGATGATGGAGGGAGAGATGGTGGGTGGATGGTGAGAAGGAGATGGTGATGAAGGGGTGCGCAGGCGGGCCACTAATACCGAGTACCCTGCTATAGTACCTCTTTAGGCTCTTACTGCATCTACGGAGTACGAGGTACCCTTCCATCCACCGCTCCATCTCCTTGTCTGCTCTGGCCCTGCGGATATCCAGCTCATGCCAAGTCGCCAGTCTGGGTGCCAGTGGGACTCCAAAAACTCCGAAAAGGATCTCGCCGCTGCTCCCGATATTAGAGTGTAAGACACCACCTGCAAGACTTGTTCAAACGAATCGTTAGACGTATCACACTCATTTCCTCATCCTGGAAGCTTTTTTGCAGCAGACGTCCGATCAGCACTCATCACCTTCATCCGACGACGCATGATCAGGATCGATAGTTTCAGGTGTAAACAGGTGAGTCCGTTTGCAAGCGTGCAAACATCCCGGCTCCTTGGGCTCACCCTCCATGATTCCATCCTCCCGCGAAAGGACCTCTCCTCTTCAGAATCGCAGGGCGTCCAGGTTCAGGCCCTCCAATCCCCGCCATGCAAGCCGTGGCCCACCTCCTCCTCCACCTCCATCTCGTGAATCCTCTTTCTAGGGCAGGTTGCGTAAACGACATCTCAGTTTGACAGGAGCCTCCGCTCTCCCTTCAGCAGATTTAGTGTTGGCAGTCTACCTGGAGGGTGTCAGCAACAGGACCATAAGCATTTCAGCGCTGCGAGACAACAAATCAAGTTGGGCCTGGCGTGTGAGCGCTTGTCTTCGTATAACCGTATGAGCGCAAGATTTCTGGAATTGTCCGGAGGTTATTGGGGACGAAGGATTTTGAGTTATGATAATGCTGACCTCGACACCCAGCGCAGCAGACGTGTGCTTTCTGGATCAGGCCAACGAGATTGAAAAGAGAATGCTTTCCTGATCGAGCATCACCACGACTTGCAATTGATGGAGAAGTTGACGAGCCAATCGATCCACCGAATGGTCCCTGGTCGATGTCTGAGTTGTTCGTCAATGTATCCCTCTAGGGCCTATGCTTCGGGTCTTGCGATCCGCTTGTTCTCCTGTCCGATTCGATTCAATCACCTTCATCAGTTCTCTGCGCTTGCTGGTACCTTCTCACATAGACATCTGGTTGTGGTGGTGCGCTTGTCTTTTGCAGGGTCCACTACTCGTCCTCGCGAACTTGCCGCCCGAGGTTAAGTTTTCCTTGGAATTGCTCCCTGCATTGTCGATAGCGGCTGACAAGCTAGACATTCTGGGATCCTTGTTGTTCCGTGGAAATGCTCGTCGCCCGGGTGCGCAAGAGAAAAGAGTTCGGCTGACGGTAAGGGGTACGCACCGATCAGACACGTTTCCGAGAAGACATGGGCATCTTGGACTCATCTTGTTTCGAGGTTCAGTGATGAAGGCATTGGCAGAAATTGCTAGACGATCCTGGAACAGGACACTGGTGCAAAGAGCCCAAGAGGAATCGAGCGTCCAATCACGAGCTGACTGAAAGTCTTCTCTCGAGGGACCTTCAAGAAGATCGAGTCCCTGTGCCAGTGAACAACTAGGCCGCACAATCACTCTCCCTCCTCAACTTAGGGAGGCTTCTCCTTCACACTATAAGGTCACGTTTCCATCCATCAATCCATTCGCCCGCCGTGACACTCAAGTCGCCTTCACGTGCACACCAAGAAAAAGAGCCAGATAATGAAATACACTCGCACAATTCCGGTCGACATTCGCAGAGGATGCACCACCGGGGCGCCGTCCCAGGTGCAGAGGAATCTGGGGATTTATTGAGGAACAGTTCGCGGAGGATGCACCCGCTGACCGGCAGGCTCGGTGGTTGCAAAGGAATCTGGGAACTGATATTGACGTCTGCTAGAGTTTCTCTCACTCTGTGGACATGTCCCTAGGACGCTAGGACATGAGTTCGAACCCGACGGGGCTACCGACCTCTTGTGCCCGGAGCAAGAGATACAATTGACCCAGCCGTGGGTCTAAGGCACCTGGCCAGTGCTGTGCTCATGGACATCCCTTGGCGGGGACTGACCAAAAAAAAAGGGCCTCATCTACTTTGCCAAAGGAAATGAGGATCAGTTTCTTAGCGACCGCTAAGTTTTTGTCATCTTGTTACCCTTCCACTACCTCGCCAAAAGGGAAGCCAGCTGGGCAGACGAAAGGTAGATTAGAGAATGTGCACGACGAGATATAGTACCGAGTACATCAAAGAACAATATTTCCAACAGTAATAGCAAGGTTCTCCCTGATCTATCCCCATCCCCAGTATCACCCGTATCGATCCTCGTCAGTCTCTCCGTCCTAAAAATTCCCCGTCTCATCCACCGAGGCTTCTTCTGACTCTACATTCATCGAACAACAAAACCTTGGAATGTACTCAGCATACATCCAAATCCGGAAATGTCGAAACCCCTGGAATGCAGTTTCGGTACGGTATGTATGCGAGTGCCACCGGTGCGGGGGGCGATCATTAGTAGCCATCTGTGCCTCCTCTTGCCAGGTGGAGATCCAAATGTGGATCAGATCGTGCGTTTGACAGTGGACATTACTACCTAAGTAGGTAGGCACCATAGGTACCTAGGCTCGCTAGGTACCTAGGTAGTAGGGCATGCTCCCGCCCAGCCCAGCCCAGCCAGCCACGAGGGTTACGGACATACCTAAGGTAGGTAGGTACAGATTCCCGTGCAGGGCGCCAATGCATGGCCGTTGGGACCTCGTGGCACCAAGTAAATAAATGAGTACAGGAGTCGAATATGTGAATGATGAAAATAGCGTGCTCAGTGTATATACAAATCAGTTGACAGTATACGAGATTTACTATTATATTTAAAGCCTTCGGCCCGATACGTGGTAGCTACCATATGTAATAATACTAATGACATCGATGCAACAATACATCACCTGCATCTCTGACATGTGCATTTCGACCCTGATCCTGGGACTCAAACTTCCCTTCTTGGCCATTGTGCCATTCCAGATCAAACCCCAGAACAAAGCCCCTGCGAAGATGGCGATCAATGTCTAGTCACCCATCCCCGTCGCGCCCTATCCCTAATCCCATCGCAGTTGCTGACTCTCGGATTGTGATCGATCGACCACTATCCAAGGCCGCATGAGTCGCCGATATAGACCGCCCGCCTTGCTGAAATGAACCCATGTCGCTGAAGTTGAAACCCCACCTTGCTTTCTCACCTCCCACTCCTGGAGCGTTCGACTTCCTGGTACTCCCGACCACCTTTCCTGTGCTCAAGCCGAGTGACAGCTGCAATTATCGTGCTTTGAGGGCGGTATTGCACCTGCTCAGGCACTCGGATAGGTGTTCGTCGGTATTTGGTTCGCTTGAGGTATGTAATCTTGACCCATCAGTCGCGGTGGCCGTCATTTCCGATGTCCCACATGCAATCCATGCGGCGGATCCGACGTGCGCAGCCACGCGGATATAGATCGCAGCAAAGTTCTGCTCTGCAAGATGTGTCCGGACCGCCTCCTACACCTTCTTCTTCTTCATCTTTGTGATCCCTGCCTTCCTCCTCGCGGCCACATCTCCTTCGCCCAACCACTTGCAGGCCTTGACCAGCTGAATGACGTTGATAACCTGTTTGCCAAACATGACGGGGAAACTGATTCCTGCCAAGATCCAAGGGATAGTGCTATCCATCTTGTTTGCGCGGGCCATTTCCATTGCCCCTGCGCTCCAGGGGTTGACAAAGATGGCGCTGGGCTTGGGGTGTGCAGGTGACCCGGGCTGGGTGGATGACATGCCGGCCTCGCTAGTGACGAGAAGTGATGGGGACAGGAGAGGCGAGGAGAAGGAGAGGAGGTAGAGCGCAATGAAGAAGAGTTCGTTCAGGGCGCAGAACATGAACAGCACGACCTATAACACCGCCATTAGTTGCCTTGATGCGGAGCGGAAAGGATTATACGCACCTTATTCGTGTAATACAAATGCAAAATCCAGCTCCGACTCGAGTCAACCTTCTTGTGGCTCTGACCACCCATGGTCAAAGTCGCATACATGTGGACGTAGTGGCTCGCCAAATCGAGACTGATCAGTCCCTGGAATACAATCGACCATCTGGGGAACGCCGAGGCGAGGAAAACAAGCAGGCAAGAGGTTGTGCAGCGGTCGGTCACCATATCCAGCACTGCGCCAAAGGTTGTGGACTGGTTATATCGGCGCGCAGCAAGACCGTCGGCGGCGTCGAGAATGCACGAGAAACTGTATAGGCCAGAGCACGTCCGAGGGTGCAAGGGCATGTAGTATAGGGATGCGACGGCGAGGATGATTCGGGCATATCCTGTAACAAGCAGCAGGTGTGGTTAGATCTCATTTGCTACAAGGTGCAGGAAGACTTGTTCCGTTCAGACGTCAACGGGCGGTGCAGTTCCATACCGATGATGTTAGGGATGAAGAGGAAGATGTTCTCTTCCTCGTAAATGTCCTCTTCTGCTTTCGTTCTCGTTGGAACGGTGCCGTTTGCTTTTGCGTGCCCATTGGCACCGCCGATGTGGCCGTTGACTCCCTTGACTGCGTCCTTTTGTCCCATGATAAGTCGGGTGTGCAGTAGACGATTCTGCGTTTCGGGGACTGAATTAAGATAAGGAAGGGCTGGAGCAAGGGATGAAGGACGTCGAGTCTCGTGGACAACTGCTCGATCAGGTCAGGAGGGAGGAGAGGAGCGGTTTGGGACAAGCCAGTCTGATAAGGAGGCCTCTATCGACTGGAGACCCGCGGATTCTGTTGCTTTTGCAGCGGGCGGGCGCGGGATGGACGATTAAGTCGCGTTCTTGCTGGTCGACTCTGGGCTAACGCTCCTCGCTCATTCGGCGCACAGGTTGAAGGAGATAATGGGTACCTAGCAGGTATCAATGAACAGAGGACAGATTACAAAGGCAACAACTCGGAGGGCGAACCAGGGCGTAGTCGGGATCTGAATAATAATTTATCTCCCTCTTGAACCTGCATTTGGGATCATGTCAGGGTCTCTTCCGGAACCGCGGATGGAGCAAAGGCCATTCGGACGAATCAGTGCCTGCGCCGACTTTCTTCCTTCTGCCGCAAGTTAGTAACCATGACTGGTGATACGCACAAGATCTGCTGATGCTCGTAGGTTCGAGGATGTATAGAATATATTTACACTAGATGGAATGGTCTATTGCTGTCGACTTCTCGGATTAGATGCCTGCTGTCGCTTGAAATCTCGCACCTCTTTGGTGGCCAGGCTTCCGTTGCCGCCTTCTTGTCGTCGCTCCCATCCTCCCATCCTCACCACCAAGCAAGTGGCATTGTCGCCCTCGGTAGATACCTCTGTTGCGAAATTGACCACGTCTCGCGCCGCCTGCTCGGGCGTTTTGGCTTCTTTGACAATGTCCACCACTTCTTGGTCTTCCAGCGTGCCTGACACACCGTCCGACATCAAGACCATGAACGAATACTCGGCCGGCCCCAGCTCCACCCTCTTGATCTCGGGTTCTGCACTGACGCCGATTCTTTTCGAAGCGATGTCCCCAAATGCCCGAGTGTTGGCCAGACCTGAGATCCGTTCTTCGCCAAACGAGTCAGTCACAAAGGACGCTGCATACCTTCTAAGTCTGTTGCTCTCGACTGGTGAAGAAGGATGATGGTTCGTGGTCAATGGAATCGCTTGCCCTGTCACTGTAGAGCAGAGGAGAATCCTTGTGTCCCCGACATGAGCCACGAGCATTGTAGATGTGGTCGCAGGATTCCAAAACGGCGTGGGCGACGGCGTCGAGACCATGGCCACACTGCAAGTGCTTCCACCTCTGAATCTGTTGCGTCCGCCAATGTGTGCCGCAACCCTACTAGGTTCGCCGAGAATGTCCCCTTCGTTCAGTGGTCTTTCAGCTCTTGTGTTATCCGCACTTTCAGAGTTCTTCGCTGCTTGAGCAGCCACAAAATCGTAGTCTGCTTTGAGAAAGGCGTAAGTCATGACCTCCTCAATGCCGACACCACATTTGATGTCTTCACCCGCTTGTCTCATGGGATCCGACTCCTCACCCAACTTTTGATACCCGCTGTAGATCGAAAAGTAGGAAGGCTTAAAACGGCGAAAGTAGCCACCCACAAGTTCTTTCCAATTTCTTGTGAGCTCCTTCTCCAACTGTCGAATGTTCCTTTTGTTGGCGCTTTGGATCAGAGGAGGATCGCCGGGGTATGGCTTGTTCTTCCCACCCTCCAGCTCGACGTTCTTCTGCGGCTTGGAGTCGTCCTGGCTAACCTCGAGATTGTCCAGTGCCTGTCTGCCTTCTTTTTGTTGGGTTTCGTCTCCGTCAAGTCCCCCAACTATTGGCGCATCTCCGCATTCCTCTTTATCGTGCTTCTTCAAGCTCGATCTCAGCTCGAACGACTTGGCCGATTTCTCGATGTAATCATGAAGCGACTCGCGGAGAAAGTCGCTGCACTCTGCTCCTCCATGTCCGTCAAAGACGCCAAAATAGAAGACCTGAGGATCTCCCGACGCGCCCTCTGCAGAAGTGCCCTCTCCGGGGGTTTTGCTCAAGGTCAGGGACAGCGGCGCCTTTTTGGCAAATGCAGGAAGCTCGATGACACCTGCTTGGTGAGAATCTTCATTGTAGGGCCTGCTACCTCTCGACACAGATGCGCCATAATGATGTTTCGCGCTCTTAAGGGGAATGCGCACCACAGTGGTGTCTCGAGAAATCGAGGGATGGGTAGCTGGAGCAGATTTGCCGTCGGGGGTATGCGGGGTGGAAGCTTGCCGTGGGAACTTGTGGGCAAGACCGGTCAGGGAGCGGGAGTCGGGATGAAGAGAGGAAGAAGGGAGATGGGTGACGAAGTAGTCGTGGAAAATTCGACGCTGTTGCTCGACGTCTCGCAATCTCGTTCGCGTTTGCGGCCGAGTCTGTCGGATGAAGGTTGCTAAAAGGTCTAGCAGGGGTCAGGACACAATCTCATCAACGTTGAGAGAAAGAAAGGGCATAGACTACCATAATAGCAATCGGTAGAATGGCGCAACGTTCTGCTGCCAGGCGAGGACATGGCTAAGGACAGGGCCCTTCACAGCCGCCATAGTCCTATCGACAGACGACAACCATTATCGAACGAGGAGAATCGCAAAGTGGTCGGGCTGGGCGAGCAGCTGATGGCGGAGAGGAGAGAGGAAGAAGAGCTGAAAATCCTCTGGAACAGTTGCGATGATGAAATGGCGATTTGCAGGGGCCACAGTGGAGCGAAGGTTTCCAGCTTTTTCGTTGCTTTTGCGGAGGCGAGTTGGCGCTTTGTCCGCCAAACCGAGCACTACCTCACACCGTAGACAGAAGGAGATGGTGACAACACGACATGCTTGAACTCGGCGCTCAATCGAATTCGGGCTCTCTATGTTCTATCTCTACCTATCTATACGCCACCACATTTCTCGTATCCTTTCCTCAATGCAAATCCTCAAACGAAGAACACCACCACGGACAAGCATCTCCGCCCTCGGGCGTCTCCAGTGCCATGGTATCTATAACTTGGACTGACCATGGATACCTCCATCCGAAGTCTTGATCCCTGTGCCCTCTAGATTCTCATAAGAATCAAAACTCTCGTCCCCGTGGAAATGCCAACCCCTCTCCTCGCCCTGACTCAAGTGATGGCAACTGCTATTCCAAATGCAATCCCAACCCCCAGCGACGCCCGTGCCATTGGTCCTCCAGTCTTCGTCATGGTAGCAGTAATCTTCCCCGGCCTCCTTCTGAGCGCTAGAGGGAGGAGGCAGTTTCCGTCGCACGAATTTGCTGATTCCGCACGTAAAACACCGAAAATCCTCCTCATCCCAATCCTCGGGCACCTCGCCCGTCAATGCCCTCCCGCTCGCAATAATGGGCGCGGCGTGTCCACAGATCAAGATGGTTACTTCCTCGTCACCTCTCCCGGCTTGCGAGTACTCCTCGTCGACATCCTGAATGACGCGTGCCAACGCGCGCGCCACGCGGTCGTGCAGGTCGTGAATCCGCTCCCCGTTCTCCGGAGGAATGACACGGGAGGCATAGGACTCGTCCAGCCAGGGAAAGAAGTCATTCTTCAGTCGCTCAGGATCCGCGGGGCGAGGCTGGGTAAACCAGGCCCGGCCGAACCATTCACCTAAACCCCTCTCGCCGCGAACTTGTAGGTTTCTCCGTCTTTTGACATCGGCCGCGGGCACTTGTTCGAGGATAGCCTCCATCACCGGATTGAGAGTCTCGAGACATCGGTAGAACAGGCTGGAATACACTCTCAACCGGTCCTGCTTGATCAGATCGGCGAACGCTTCGCTGAAATGTGCCGCGGTCTCTTGCGCCTGACGCACGCCATGCGATGCCAGCGGAGGATCTGCTGGTAGGCGAGTCGGGAAAGGGTGATTCGAAGTGTACTTGCCCGTCCTAGGGTTTAGGGACCAGGCGAGCCGGTGGCCATGCCGGAGGATATAGATCTCGGTGACGGGCATAGTTTGGTCTTGCAAGCTACCGTCGCTATCGGGACATATCTGATGGTCAAGTATTAGGTGGCAGACAAACAAACCAGAGGCCAACAAGAACAAGATATGTACCGAGTACGAGTTACAACAAGAATGATCGCTACCACCTACGCAAAATGTTTCGGCTCTGGATGAGATGGGACTAGTGGGTAGAACATTCCTTGCCGGATGATACGTACCGAGGCATGTGCCCCAAGCTAATTACCTGGTAAGTCCTTGTAATCGGATTGTGTTAGGATCTTGACCCTCCCCGCAATTGGATCTTATCCGCAGATATTTTGGGTACCTGGCTCGCTAGTAGGCAGTAGGCTCGGTGGATATACGAGGTACAACCTGCATCCAACAACTACCAAGTTCTGCTTTCAAACCAACAGCAATATGTACCTATAGACATGGCCTGCTCCAGGAGAATGGTGTTATCATCTCAGCGGGTTTGGCGCAGGAACCGCCGGCCCAGACCATTCGAGGAAGTGAGGCGCCACTCAGCAGCATCTTGAAGGGTACATGATGCATTTTCAGACACCCTCACCACAGGGGACTGTACCAAGTAGCACATGAAGTGCCGCGTTTGAAGAGTCAAGCTCCGAGACCTGGTTATCTCAATACACTCCCCGAGAAGTTATTGGAGCCTTGGGCGTCAATGGGCTTTTGACGTTGAGATCAAGCGTGGTATTGCAGGTTGCACTGGAGCTCAACTCGTCGAAACGAGGCTCCCGCCCCAGTAGATCCGTTGCAAAGCCGCCTCTTGTCTCCAACACGCTTTCTCTGGAACAAACCGTCGCGGTGATTCCGGGGGAGAGTGCAGGTGTCAACCAGAAGCCGGTCTTTTGTGCGTGTCAGTGTTGGATCCTGTGGGGTGTTTATTCGGCCTCTGGAGTCGCCATCAACCCTACATCGTCCTGCAGGTCAACCCGATACAGGAAGCGTGTATCGGCGAGGCCACTCTTGGAGCGTGCGATCCGTTTTGGAAGGCACATTTGTCTCCGGAACGGAGCGAAGAGATCGATGGGGCCATTACCAAGGACTTGTGTTTGGCCTTTTGGTTGCCATCGAGGACGTGCAGTGGATCCGCGATATTTGTTTCACCACGCACTGTTACGATGGTTTTCATCATACCGGTGACGGGGCGATGTCCCAGACTGTGTGAAAGGCCCTGTCCCCCTTCAACTTCCTGTGACGAGGGCTTTCACCTATGCCTTTCCCTGCTGAAACCCCATTTTTGCCGGCGGAGTTCAAACATGAAGAGACTAGCGATCAGGAAGGCCAAGCCAGCATAGATTTCAGGCCATAAATAAGGCCGAGACGAATGAGGTCGGCGAATCTCTAACGCAATTGCTTCTGAGACTACACCCAGAATGAGCTCCCACTTCGTCAGACGATGGCCACTTTAAGTACTCACATAAAGAAGGCATAGACACAGTCACCCACATTAGGCTGAGTGCTGATGGAAGTTCTTTCAGTTCGACAACCTCGGCACACAGGGGTGCAATGGTCTAAGGATAGGTTAGCATGGTTCGCAACATGAATGTGGTTGCATTCGTACACCCCAGTAGATCCCACTCGTGGCGCCCACGACAAGAGCAAAGAATATGAGCAGGCCATAAGAGTTGGTGGGAATCCAGATCGCATATATTAGCAGAGTGTTTGACGCTGTCAAGATGCATGCGACTGTCATCCTGCCGAATCGATCGCTAAGCACGCCGACGAAAGGCCGCCCAATGGCAGTCCCGACATTCATGATGGTGATTACGTCGCCGCCTTGGTCCTGAGTCAATCCGAGTGATGTCGCGAAGGCACCTGGGAGAGAGATAAGTCAAACGCTGAGACAAATGAGACGAGATGAGACGATGGTTTACCTAGAGAATAGGTCGTCACGATATAGCCGAGAATCGAGAAGAATGTGTAAAAGATAAGTAACCAGACACGATATCTTTTCAAGAGATCCGTGTCTATAGGTTTGAAGCTTGGGCGGATTGCCTTATTTCGGTCGCGGATCAACGAACACGCCGTAAACAGTACCACAAATGCGAGGATGCCAGTAATCCGGAGTGACCAAGCAAGTGAGATATTCTGGATCATAGGTGTCGTCGCGGCAGAGAATATAACTCCACCGACACCGCTTCCTGCTGCTGCGATGCCTTGTGCCAGACTCCTGTTTCTATTGAACCATTGGGGAAGGATGGGTGTAGCTGGCAACCACGCAAAGCCTGTTCCCAGCCTACCGAAGATTAGTCTGACGCATGATCGGTTCAAAGCTTCAGTCACATACCCGACAAGGATACCCTGCGTCAATACAAGATGCCAGAATTCAGTCGCAAACGAGGCAGCCACAAAGCCGCCCGCAAACATGATGCAGCCGCAGTACATAGGTATATGCGTCCCAAGTCTCCGGATAAACAAGTTGACGATAGGTCCGCATAGCATGGCACAGGCGAATTCCACGCCGCCAATGAAAGTATAGTCTAAGTCAGAGGTCCCAGGGAATATGTCATGATCAATGTAGTACGATAGATAAACGCCATATGACTACTCAAACGGTTAGCACTCCCTACAGACATCTTTGGATCTGGTAACCATACCGCAATAATTCCCCATGTGAAGCCATTGATTAAATGCATTGCGACGCAGACGACCCACCCGTAAGGCGGTTCAATAGATGCATCGAAAGCTGCAACAGGCTGCCCCGGCTGAAGAGGAACTGCAACAGCAACCTCTTCGCCGTCTCCTACTTGCTTGTCCTCGCCCATTATACCTCGATTGAAGTTGAATCTCATTGATAAATTGGCAAGGCAAGCAAAACAAGTAACCAGATATGCCTGTAAGCAATTTCCTGGGGAGGAACAAAAGAGTCGTTCAATTGGGACTGAAGGGTCTAAAAAGCAGTAAGATGTGGAGGCAGGTCCAGAATCCACATAACCGACATCGCCTCCGAAGACCGCACGGCACACATTTGCCGTAGTAACAACCGGGGGATAAATGGAGTGGCGTTGGCACTGCAAAGGTGTGAGGTCAGCATGTACGCTATCTGACGTACAACGCGCCCGTAAATTCTTGACCATATGAGATGGGATCTCAGTTTAGCCATATACATAATTGCATCCTTTTCAATCATTTGACTCACAAGGTACTCAGCCATCCACCACGCTACCATGGAATCTTGACTTCCAAGGCGTTCTTCTCCGCCGCCAGGTCACATCGAGAAAACGAGCCGAGAGTGTGGAGTATCAAGGTTGGAGAAGGCTTCTGATTCTGCTGAAGTGGACCTCTGGGCGGAATTAACCAAGAGACTAACCAGGTACGAGGTAGAGGATGGATGCGACGGAAACCCCCCTCTCTCAGTACATATTACGCGGTTGTAGCGGCCGCTGGTATCCACGCCAAGTTTAGTATCCATACGCCGACAAATACGAACAGCGCCTTAGGTCCGAGGCCTGCAAGACTCTTGGTGATTATCGACAGGGCGTTTGTCGTAGCAGCGCTCGTCCAGAGAAACGCAGCAACCACGATTGCGGTCTCCAAAATATCAAACACGCCTCGGCAGCCCTGGCGACCGAGGAGTTTGCAGGCTAGTCTCGGGCGCAGCACGCCGCGAGAGTCGGCAGCAAGCAATATGTGATATTGAAAGACAAAGGTCTCCAGAGAGCATCGGCCAAACCATGCAAAGAGTCGACTGTGAGAGGCCGACAATTTTCGGGTCGAATTCCTGAGGGCAATGAAAGCCAGCACAGGCAAGGGCGAAAGAAGAGGATGCCATTCATTGTACCGAAACTTGTCTGTGAAACAGCCGCAGAATATCGAGTATGCCAAAACGACGACCGTGGCGCCCCATGTTGTCAATCTCGAAGTCGGCTGAAACCAGGGGATAGCCACTGCCGCAATTTTATGGCACTGGAGGCCATAGCAAGTGTCGTACTTTGCATAAAGAACTGCCGTGATCATGCCAATGAAGGCAATGTATGCATCGAGGCCGAATCTGAAGAATAGCTCCCGCCCGTCGATTCCAGGAAGGCCTAAGCCTGCATCACCGAGAACGGCGAAGAACGGTTCAATGATATCACTAGCTCCTAGGGTAAGTCTGACCAACGTAAAGGATATGGCGGTCCGGCGGACAAACCGATACATGTCCACGCCAGGTGCTGCATTTCTAGGAACTGTTGCCCACACAATGAGAAACCACAAGCTGGTCAGCATTGGGAAATAGTACAGATCGTACCGAGTCCCCATCACGAAAGCGAGAATGATATTGAGTAAATTAGTCCTCAGCAAAACAGTCGCTACTCTGCGGAATGAGAAGTCATTCGTGGTGATGAAGTAGGTGGTGTGGCCGAATCCAGTCATGAAGAGGTACGAAGAGACCAACAGCCGGACAAACTGATAGACCCAGAGGACTTTTGACAAGCCAAGGTAGTGGTACAAGAGGATGATGATCTGCATCCAGCCTTTCCACTCCTCCGTCTGCTGCCTGGAAAGCACTTGACGGTATTCTGGTAGTGCGGTCATGTTTCCATTGGTGGTCTCATGCTGGACCCGATTTTGCTTGAAGGTGGCTAGGCCTGCGAGCAGGGCGATGCCAGTCATACACAAGAATGTGCCCAGCTCAGCCGCTTTCGTAGCTTTTTCGAACAAGGCAGTACGATCGGCCATGTAGCAGTACAGTACGGCAAGCGAGATTGTAGCCACTGCACCAGCGACTCTGGCTGTTTCCGGGAAAGAGAGCCAGCCTCTTTCATGATTGAAGATACGCTTGCTGCAGGCGAAGAACGATAAGAGGTGATAGACGATCGCACACGAACTCATTAACAACAGCATCTTCTGCACACCATTTGGACCGACATATGGGGCGCAACAGTAAGCTTGAGAACTTTTTGATGGCACGTCGACAAGCTTGTTGCAGAAGTAATTCAGCACGGCATCCGCATGGAGAGGCGCAGCCTCGTTGGTGAGGTGGATACCATCCTCATTGAAAAAGAAGTGAGTATCGTCGATCATCCACGGGTAACCTGCAGGAGTGTAATTCTTTTCTATTGGCCTGATGCCTACGAGGGCATGGCGGGTAGAGTTGAATGCAGGATCCCAGACATGAATGATTCCCGCGCCCTTCGAGTTGAATATCGTAGCACCTGTGATGTTGGTTTCTGGCTTCTGGCTAGCAATTTGAGCTCCCTGGAGGTCCAACTTTTCTGCGACAGTCCAGAAGATTTGGCGAGCTTTTGTGCCACCGAAGAATATGAGGCTTTGGTTGGAGAGGCAAGACTGGATCTTGGTCGAGCCGTAGGGATGCAGCATGCAGCTCGAGGGTGTCACAACTCGACCTGTCACTGATGGAGCTCGAGCTTGGGCAGGGAGATTGTCACACCGATCATGGACCCATGAATCTAAGATAATCACATTAGCATTGTTGCAAAACGGAACTGGTTCAAGTGATCCTTACCCTGGGGAATCTTATCTACAAGGAACCAGAATGGTAAACAGATGCCGAGACAAAGAACCAGTGGAATTGATGCACGTAGGTTGACCATTTTGCATGCTATTTAGGTGATTGTTCCGGCAGAGGGTGAGAATTGCAATCTGAGCGGTGGTAGAGAAGAAAAAGGAACAGGTGGTGCGGCAGCTGTGTGTTAAGAGTGTAGGAGTGAAGCTCGCAGGCGCAGGCGCAGGTGTGCGGTGTGCCTTGTGTGAATAGTGCCCATTGAGGTCCATTCCAGTACAATCCTGCAGAATACCTTTCAAAACAACTCCTGAGGATTATAACAGTGACTCGGCATTTCATCCCAGTGTGCCCGTTGATGCGTTCAATTGTTTATGTTCATGTCGTGGCAGTCATCAAAGTCATGCAGCGCCTATCGGATCTCTGGATCGCCCATCCAGTCCGCCGTTTGAAGCCCAACAACCCTGTCGGCGTCGGCATCGTCATCACCCTCCAGCGTCTGTTTCTGTTTACTCCCTTTGCCCTTCCTCACGTGGCTCTTCACCTCTGCGTGGTGGCTGTAGTCTCGACCAAATACCTGAAATCCCCGAACATGGGTGTCCTTGCCATTTTGGTGGTTCTCACAAATACGAATCTGTACCACCATCGCCTTCAGCACGTCCCCTCCCGATTGCTGCCGGAGGTCTGAGTGAAGAGGGTAAAGAGTGGGCTCCCCTTGGCTGGCTCCCATATCCGAGTTTCCATGGTAGCGTGGCTCCCTTCCGCCCACACCCTTCAGCGGGATGTCGACCCAACCCCGTAAACCCTCGATACTGCTGTGCGCCTCACCCGTCTCCGGATCGATCGTGTCGTTGACTTCCCACGTGCCAAACTCAACCAGACTGCCTTCTGACATACCCGCATAAAACTTCATTTTCGTAGGTGTGTACGACTCGTCGAGCTCAAAGTCCAGATAAATTCTCATTTTGACAATGGCGACAAGCTTGAAGAAATGTAATGTCAGAGTGTGAGGCTGCGGCCCGTCACTCTGCCAAAATAGAGTAGGACTTGGGCTTCGCAGTTGCGGCAGCCCACAGCCGGGCTTTGTGGAGGACAAGGTCCAGGTTGCCAACGATGAGATGTCTCGCAAGCCCTTGAGATGTTTGGCATCTTCAATATCATGGTGGACAGATTCAAGTAATGACTGCTCATCTGCGTGGCCACCTTCTGAAGCTGTTGAGCCTAGAGCATTCTGCGACGCCTGTGTCTCTTCAGAGGCCTCATTCTGGGTATGACCATTTCCATGGGCAGTCGGTGTTGGTTCATTCCGAGCGTGTTGACGACGTGGGGCATTGGTTCCTGGGACAATGGAATTGCCTGGATTGTTCGACGGCGGCAAAGGAGTAGTGAGGAAAGGAGCATGAGGAGGAGTCTCGAGCATAAAGGGTGGGATTTCGGCAGTCAAGGTGTTGCGCGTTGGCGTCGTTGAGACCTCATTGTCCCGGGCCTGGTGGGCTGCTCTTCGAGGAGCGCGTGGCATGTTGGCACAGGAGCCGCGCACAGACCGCCGCTACGTCAACCAGAATCGATGAACTCTTCGCCGTCTGCCATGCCTCGACGGGTCTTGCTGTAGGGTGTATGCAAGGATAGTTGGGATGAGGTTATCGAAGCAAAAATACGTAAACCAGAGTGGTGCGGTAGTGGGTGGGTGCTCATTGAACAATGATGTGCAATGTTTACCTGGCGAGCTGGGTCCGCGAGGCTGCGCCAAGGGTTGATTTGATTGCGCCTCTCGCCGTGTCTTGTGGGAGCCGAGGGTGGGCGTGTATTAGCCGGGGCGAGCTTTCACCTGTTTCGCGCCGCATGAAACCTTGAACCCTCCAAATGCTACCTATTATTCTATGGGGTACCCTCCATTTCTTAAGACCAAGGTATAAAAAGACTTCAGGCTGAACCTCGTCTCCCTTGAATGAATCAACAGCGTAGGCAAAATGATGGTTGAAGTCAAAGTCACTTTGGGCATAAGACGGCGTTACGATTGACCCAAGCCTTTGTGGTTTCGAGCCGCTAGTACATGATCAGATCTACAACATCCGTCTATTCAGCCTGCCTCCGAGCCTGAGCCCGAGCTCGATGTAGATCTTTGGTGTAAACTTGAATGTGATGATGTTTCGGTATCGAACACCATTCAATCGCTGGGCCCAAAGTGTAATTACAAAATCCACGAGATGAATCAACGTCCGAATTTCTTCAACTCCATGGATCGGAGCACGGGATAGAGCATGGTCACAAGCACGAGCACGCAATAGTTGCCCACATCTCCACCATATGTGCCGATTGGTTTGGCGGCAGGACCAACGTACTGGAGTAGCGATCAGTAAACGCTCAGGATTCGGTGTTGAGAATGGTAAACATACCCAAGTTTGAGCCATGCCGACAAAAGCAATGCCCATGCCAGCTAAGAGGGTAAGAACTCCTGCCAGGCCCACGGGCATACGATCCTTGTCTTGCCAACCCTCAACGTCGTAGCCAATCTTCGGGCGGAAGTAGAAGACCTCTATTGCAAGGATGACGCCGAAACAGATCGTCCAGTATCCAATAAGGCTGAGCGAGTTGCTGATGATAGATTCAAGGATGTGTCGACCGCCCCACGCCAACCCAAGACTGATTGCCGCAAGTAGGGTGTTCCAGACGATACGAGGAACTGCGAGGAAATGTCGGCCCCAGAGCTGGATCGATAACGAGGAAGAGTAGAGGATCGCGACTTCGTTTCCAACTACGACGTGTACGTGTCAGTAATAATACTTTGTAGGAAGCAGAATATCATATGGAACTGATGCGGACTTACTGAATGATAATGTGTACATAACACCGACGAACTTTGCAAACCCCGATGGCCGTAGGGTCGCAACAATTAACGCACCAAAGCCACCAGTATCGTACACATTTCCCATGTCTTCGTTGCTCATGACGACTCCACCTAGCAGATTGCCTAGGACAGTCACGAAGATTGTAGGAATTGCCAGCCCAGTCCAGGTCAAAGAGAACAGCATCCACTTATTGGTATTAGTCGGATAGTGGACGTAGTAATCGCCAGACATGGAGCACCACGCCGCTGATCCACCGAAGATAATAGCAAAGTACGACAGAGCTGAGCCGGTTTCGTCGAGGCCGGAGACGTAGGACCGACCTGGATGTGGGTCATAGTATCTGGCCGACAAGCCGTAATCACAGAGTAGAAGAATGAAAATCAACACCCAGGCAACCGACTCGTACCAGTGGATGATTCGAAAGCCGAAGAAAGAGACGACATACGAGATGATCACTACGATGATGATGCCTGCGACGTCGCTGATGGAGTCGTCGCTGACAGCTGCCAATAACTGTCCCGCGACAATGCAGTTGATGGTGCCGAACCCGATGTTGACTGCGATGTTGAGGAAGCCGCAGAGCTTGGATCCCCAAATACCGAATGCAAAGCGGGAAGTGGCGATCTGTCGCAGTCCCAGGGCGGGACATAAAGTAGCTGTAAATGCAGGCACAATGGAGCCTGTGGCGGCTGAAACGACCGTAAGTCCAATGGACTTACTAACCGACAAGCCAAAGACGGGCCCCAGCATTCCAAGACTGATGTAGCCGGGCGACATGAGCAAGGAGAACCAAAAGATCATCATCTACTCTGGCGTTAACGTTGACTTTAGAAAACAGGGAAGGCTAAAAGGTTAGGGAAAACTCACATTCAGCACATGAGGAGGACGTCGCTCACTCTCGGGAATACGTTCAGCGCCCATACCCTCGATCTTGAGCTTGCGATCCAGCCAGAGCTCGACTTCACGAAGTTTTCGCAGCACCGTGTTCCCTTCTCGGATCTTGATAACCTCAACCTCACCATGACCGAGGTGTGTGTTGTTCTGGTCGTCAATAACGCCATTTTCGAGGGAAGGAGGAGGATTCGTCGCCTCCACCTTGACTTCGGATTTCTCCATGATGGACGTCTTATCTGACAAGTGAAAGAAACAAAATTCACCGGAGATATCACACGGGCCCAACTTGAGCCTCTACCACAGCACTTTGGAAGAGAGAAGAAAAAAACATTCAATCTTTTAACACACCTACGCTGTCCCGACAAGGGCACCATTCCCCATATTTATGGGCTTCAGAGCCAAGGTACCGATAAAGGAGCCATCCATACACATTGGCATACACTCAGCGGGTCACAGCATCGGTGAGCTCCAGCGGCTGAAAGAACAATTATCTACCCTCCCCATTGACCCAAGACATCGGTTCGGAAGTTTAATGGGAGACAGATGCTCTGGGCCAACCTCGCCAACCTCCGCCAACGGCAACTTATCTGATATTCTCTGATATTGGCTATACCAGATTAGGCTTCTATCTGCGTCGACTCTCGCAAGGCTGTCAATGATTGTCACTGCTTGCTATCAGACGCTTCCAACGCGCCTTACATCTCGGAAGAACAACTCTGGATGTGCAAGTCCGACAACAGCTGAAAATAGATTGCACCATTGCTGAGATCTCAACGGTGGATGCCGTCGCGCAGAAGTTGGTATCTCGTGCTTCTTGGCAGGCCTGCTGTACTTCAAATCGTAAGTGGGCGACCGGGGTTGATTATTCACTTTGTCTTTCCACGGACATCTCCCAAGGCTCTACTTTGTGCTTCCACAGTTCGTTCCCATCACTGCCAGGCAGGATCATCTCTCTGGTCTCGGTGAAGAAGCTTGCAAGGGTTTTCGAAGTGGCAGTTAACATCCACCACAAGATCTATATGGACTTCAACTGAGAATCCGAATTTCCCTATCCGGTTCTTAGAAGAGGATTGCACGAGTGGACGGCTCTTTCACGTCTTCCGGATCCTCTTCACAAGGTCTCACCATCGCGATGGCCTCTTACGAAGACTTCATGCCGCTAGATGAGCGCAAAGCACTCCGTGCAGAACTGGCCGCAGGAGACGATTACCCGTTCATGCTTGCACTTCCTAAAGTAGAACTACATCTACACATCGAGGGAACACTGGTCGCGGATTTGCGATGGAGAATCGCCCAGCGCAACAACCTGACGCTTATCAACCCGCGTACCAACCAGCCTTACGAAAATGTGGACCAGCTGGCCGCTAACTACGAAACATTCACCTTCTTCGAGTCCTACTACGAGGGGTTCAAGGTGCTGTTGACGAAACAGGACTATTTCGATCTGGCGATGAATTATTTCGAGAGGGCCGCGGCCATGAACGTGCGTTATGTCGAAGTATTCTTTGACCCACAGGGCCATACGCAGCGAGGGGTTTCGTGGGAGACGTTTATGAGTGGGTTCAAGGAGGCCAGTAAAAAGGCAGAGAAAGAGCTGGGTGTCATGTCCGCGTGGATTATGTGTATCCTCCGCGACGAGTCCCCGGAGTCAGCCATGGAACACTACGAAGCAGCGCTGAACTACCGCGACATGATCATCGCGCTGGGTCTAGACTCGGTCTCGTACAAGCTGCCGCCGTTACTGTTCGAAAACGTCTGGTCGCGAGCCCGTGCCGATGGCTATTTCAAGCTCACCGCCCACTGTGACAGCGGCGCCAAAGAAGACATCTACCAACACATCCGCGAAACTGCCTGCCAAATGGGCGGATATGGAGCAGACCGAATTGACCACGGCTTCGACGCCGCCGACGACCCGGCTCTGATTGAGATAATCAAAGAGCGCGGCTTGGGCTTGACACTCTGTCCGTGTGCGTATCTACGCCATTATCCTGTCGAGGCCGTGTACTCCAAGATCGCGATGCTGTACAAGGAGGGCGTCAAGTTCTCGATTGGTAGCGATGATCCGGCATATATGGACGACAACTGGCAGGTCAACAATATGCTGCTCGCAAAGCATAAGTGCGGCCTGAGTGACGAGGATATGGTTGTGGTATGCAAAAATGCAGTGGACATGTGTTGGAGCACGATGGAAGTAAAGAAAGCCATTTTGGAAGAGATTGACCAGGTGTGGGAGAAGTATAGAAAATAAACAAGGCAAAGCGTCGCCTTTAACTTGTCCCCGTCTTACAGAATCAGAGCGCCCGTTAAGTTCCCCGCAGTGATGGAGTCGTAATACTCGCCGCTCTTCCATATGGTCTTTAACGTCGAGGCCGCGACATCCAGCTGTCTGCATCCCGAAGTGCGCGTCATCATCTGGAGAAAGTCCATCAACCACTGCCGTTGCTCGAAGGACTCCGCCCCTTCAAGCCATAGTCCTGCCTGAAACAGCGGCCACACGGACGCATGGCTCCACGCACTAGGCCTTTTCACAGCCTTGGCCTGCGCAAGCACCGTCTCAACAAGTTCCGCAGTGCGCACCGTAGCGTCATCGTCGCCTTCCCCACAGCGGTGGTGGTGATGATGATGAAGCTGGAACAGCCGAATAACATACAACTGCACACCAGCATGCCACGCCTTTACAACATGTCCCATCTGCTCGGAGTAATAGCCCGACGGGGGCGTCCAGGCGCAAACGCGCTCCAAGAAAAGCGATGCTTTCTCGATGGTGGACGGGGAGAAGAGCTGGCCGCGAGGCTGGATCTTGTAGAGTACCGTGACGTCGACGATGTATTCGAGCAGGTCGATCGGGCAGGCGAAGGCTTCGTTGCCCCATTCGCGCACGTGGCCCGCGGCGGATCGGTAGCGGCTGAAGACCTTTTTGAGGTCGGGGGACGTGAATGTCAGGAAACGGTCCGAGGTTGTGGAGCGCATGATGTCGAGCCTGGATGGAGTTTAGGACTGAGGTTGCGTAGAGGGAGGGAGGGAGGGAGGGAGGCAGGGCTAGCGGGCTTTCTTACCATGCGAGTCGCTGTTCACAGTAGCCTCGGTCTGGTAGGTTCGAGCCATGCTCGTCGACAAAGGCTCTTGCAGCGGGAATATGCGTGTCGAACTCGGCGCAGTCCCCTGTGCACATCTAAGTCCACCGTTGATCAGCCACCTCGAAGGTCCCCAAAGGCAGGTCCACGGAAAATGACACGTACATCCATTTGAGCCATCATGAGAATGCTCAGCACTGTCCCAAAATCCGCCGTCAACGCTCTCGACGCGAGCCTCTGACGCATGAGCTCCATCGCCTTGAGCTGCCACTGGCGGCTCCTGGCTTTCAGCGAATCATTTTGAAAGCGTATTGCCAGATGGGACGCCGCTGATGCTGCCACGACATATCGAAGTGGCGGCACATGATTCGTTAGGGGGCGGACATACAGCAGGTATGGGCTCTGCTCTGGTTCTGACCCTAGGTAGGGAATCCCGCTGAGCTCGTATGTAACTGTTGACCCAGAGAGCCTGTCAGCAGACTGGGGTACACTGGTGTTCCGCTCCCTTGCGTAGACGAGCATATGTGGTTAGCAATCTGGACTCACAATAATCAATAAAAGTATCCAGGTCGTCTGAAGTCCCTGGGAGGTCCCATTCAATTGACGAGCTATGTGAACTCTTGGATATTTCTTGGGATTGCCGCTGCTGCTGAGACCGTAGTGGAAGCTTCCGCGGCGGCGGCGGAGTCTGCCATTTAGTGGTGGAAACAGCACTTTGCTTCTTCACAAGACGTTTGCCTTCACCACACTCTTCATCCACGAGGATCGGAATCGTCTTCCCACGTAGTTTGCCGCGCGCCGCGACACCCGTCCACCGGGTCACGTAACCCTCACAAACAACGGATCTGTCCTTACAGCTCTGGCATAATGGCAGGGTCTTGTCGCACTTGCGGCCGCGGCGCCGGCATGTACGACAAGCTGTCGGATGCGTGGCGTGGCGGGTGGTGGTGGCCGGCTGCATCAGCAAGCCGATGAGGATACGCCGTGAGGATACGCTGTGAGCATGCGCCGTGAAGATACGCCGTGAGGATACGCCGAGATATGATGTCTAGTACGGAAATGCAGCCGACAAAAGACAGGAGCGCGAGACCAGACAATGAAAATGGAAGGTGTTTCAGTCGCCAGCGTGGTCTAGGAACAGGATTGATATGCCAGCCCCACGAGCTGGATATCTGTTTGCACTTAACTGTTTCTAAGAGGATCTTGCTTCTTAGCCTTGATAGGCTTGTTCGGGGCTTATCAGAACTGTCTTGTGGCCAGTCTTCTCCAATGAAGTCTCCTCGACGCACATTGCAGCCTCTTTGGGCCTAGAGGGAACCTTTCTCAATGGAAAGCCGAGGATCTCGACCCGATAGACTTACAAGTTCGCTTCTCGAGGATCATGTGCAGAACAAACGAGAACATCTGCACATGGGAAGGAAGCTCTCTGTTGATGGCTGATCCACAACTAAAATCCATTCTCTCCTTCTATGCAGTCCTGATAGGTATATTGCCACGCTCTAAATGCATCGCGCTATGGGTTGCGAAATCATGTCGTAGGTATAATCTTCCGGACCCAACCCAAGCGCCCTGAGCTTCTTCACAAAAGGATGATTCGGTCGATCAGCCATCATGCCTCGCACGTGCTCTCTGCCAATTTCTCTACGTCGACCTTTGAGGTCATCATCTTCAAGAGGGACCATGGGATATATGGTGGTAGTAGGACCTGGTGAGAAGAAGAATGGAAGCGAGGTTCGGTCGGTGTTGGCCTGGGATATGTCAGTCGAGCACAGTCTCCGGGAGCATGTGAGAGAGTCTCCTTACTCTTGCGCAGACACGATGGATGGTCGACTTCCACCGGCCGCCTGATATCAACTCAAAGTAGCTCCCTGTGTTGACGACGAAGGCGTGTTCTACGACAGGTGCCTTTATCCAGATTGCGTTGGCGTTCAACACTTCCAGCCCGCTGACTTCCTCTGGGATAATACATTAGTATATGAAGATTCCTTCATGGCACAACTGGACATACTCTGAGCCAATAGTGTAAAAGCTGCCAAAACACAGTCAGCTCGTCTGCGTTTCCGACACACTGGCAGGGAAGCAGATACTCACCACCATAATCAGCGTGAGGATACAGGACCTGTTTGTACTGGTCGTCGCCGGCCTGAGGTGGATAGTGATTGATGGTGATGTCGGCAAAAGGCAATTTGAAGAATTGGTCTAATGCTGTCTCCTCGAGTCCGAGAGCGAGCGAGAATATCTGTACCAGTTTCTCTGCTAAAACATAGACTTCTGTGACTGTCAAAAGTCGTCAGCTCTCTTCCAGGGTGAATTGATTGCAGAATCCATACAGTAGGCGTAGATCGCTCGACGGAACTCAGGAAGGTCCTCGTCGGGCCATTGATTGAGAGGGACGGTGCCGGGCGAAGCGACTTTGATGGCATGCTGCTCGGGGTCCGTGTAGTCGATACCCATGGAAAATGCCTCTCGAGCTGAGCCAAAACCTGCTCTCTTGTCGGCAGGGTCGACAGGAATAAAACCCTTGACTGCCGGACTATTGTTGACATGGTACTTCATCTGCATGGACAAATATCAATCGAGTCCAAGTCGCGCTGAGGGAGATTGGCTCACCTTGACATCCTCCGGGAGGGCAAAGAACTTGGCCAGCGCGGCAAAGGCAGCATCTACAGGAACCAGATCAGTCCATGAATATTGCAACAACGCCACGGCGGCGGGACAATCATATCCCGCACGTACCCATCTTTGCCCCAGAGACCGGCGGGTTGATCAGATAGAAGAAGCCCACATCTCGAGCGGCATTGCCAATCTGTTCCGCGAGCTCCTTACGTTCTTGAAAGTCCTCTGAGAAGATGTGAGAAGCATCGATAGACGGGATTTCGTTGAATGTTGGCTTCGCCTCATCACCCGTCAAGATCTTGCGACACTGAACCCGGTCGCCAGACTTGAAATAGACGTAGCCGGGCACGTCAGGGAGAGTAGTTTGCCCATACATCTTGTCAATTCCGTTTGAGAGTTCGTCTGATGTTGATCTTGGAGCACTGGCTCAAGTATTTCGTCGCATGAGGCGAGATATACCTGTACTGATCGCCTTAGATTGTCAGTCATGAATCCATATTCACAGGTGTAACAAAAATTGTTCACAGATGCTCGCAGCCTTTATCGGGGTACTGAGTAGGTCTGCCCCTCACTGCCGCAATAGGCTGATACTTCAGTCACTGCGTCGGGGAAAGTCATACAGATAAGGCGTCGGGTTTCCCCGAAGCACTGTCGCTCCTCTCAAAGAGCCATTCATTGCAAGATCTCGGGCAAGCAAGACGCAAAGACAAGCCACATTGGGAAATATCGAGTATATCGGCACGGAGGCAAAGTATTCCAGACCAACCGTGATGACAGTTCCTCGATATTGCTACGCCGCCTGCATAGCTTGTGCCGCGACTACTTGGATTTCCTTCAGTATAGATTCCTTGAGACCCTCCGGGGCCCAACTGATCTGGACGGCATTCTGTTGCAACTTGACGATATCCGCAGCTGTAAATCCACACTTGTCCGCGACCAAGATCAGGTTATCCTCGACGTAGTTCATCCCATGGCAGGCGGGGTCGTCACTATTGATGGTGACGAGAATGCCATAGTCGAACAACCGCCGCAGCATGTCTCTGAAAAGCCTCTGTTCTCCGTCGGCTTGGAAGAGATAGCCATAGGCACCCCACAGACAACAAGTCAACCCTGTGTTCGTAGTTTTGAGCATTTCCAGTAGTTCGGGCTGCTCGACCGCGTTGAGTCCGTGGTCGATTCGGCGGATGCCATCTCCTGCAAGCTCTGTCAGGCAATAGTGGATGTGCTTGTGGGTGTCTCGAGCGTCGACGTCGCAATGTGCAGTCAGATGGAAGCCGTCAGCCTTTGCCCGTTTGTACACGTCATTGAAGAGTGACGGTGGCCTGCCATCTTCCAATGAGTCCAATCCAATTCCGTGGATCATGTCTCGATATTTCAAGGCTGCCTCGTATGTCTCCATGGCGGATTCGGGCGATTCGTCGCGCAGAAAGCACATGATCCAGTTGCAATGAAACTTTCTTCTGTGTCAGCCTCGCGCATTTCCATTAATGAACTTGTCGAAGGAAAAGGACTCACACCTAGCTTCTCTTGCGCGTCAAGCTGAGCTCTTCGCAATCCTTTCATGACGGTATCGAGATCAAGCCCCCTTCGAGTGTGAGCTTGAGGGTCAAAGAACATCTCTGAATACCGCACATTCATCTCAACCGCCTTGGCGAAATAGCCCATCGCCAGTTCATAATAGTCTTCTTCCGTCCTAAGGACTTCCATGGCACCATAGTAAAGATCGAAGAACGTCAAGCTTCCTCCCTCCTTCTGTTTGCGAAGCATTTTATCAAAGCTGGCACGGTAATCTTCAACCGCTTCCGTAGCAGTGGCCCATTTTTGCGGAATCTGGTGCTTTTGGGCCAATTTAAACCGTAGCTGAGGTGTCAGGGTCCCTTCGATATGTAAATGCAATTCGACTTTGGGGATTTTCTTGATAAAATCGACAGTCGCAAACGCCATTTTTGTTCCCAGTGTGAGTAGAGAATGGGATGACGGCCTCCTGCTGCGACCGATAGGAACGACTCGAGGTTCGAAGTTCCAAAGTCGACGCGTGCCTGATGCGATGATCTAATCGAGACCTTCTGCATGCTTCTACCAGAGCGAGATCTGTGGGAGCGATCTGTCTCGAGCGTGATTGTAGGCGTGTCGATGACCCAATCAGCATGTAGCTCTGATTTACTAGCTGTCTTGAGTCAATAGATACGCTGAAGGCCATTATTCTGGCCCCGAAAAGTATGAAGAGCAACGGCATTTCGCCCTATCTTTTTCATGCTCACTTTTGGCGCTTGCAGTCACGGCAGTCGCTTGCGTAGGTAAGATGCTTATCGAAATCATGGATGATTGGTCTGGTCGACAAGGATAGTGGCTAGAACGGTCTTCGAGGTTATTGAAACGCGAGCCTGCGCAGTGCATCAACGTGTTCAGCCTTGGAACTGCGCCAGGTGGACAATTGCGAAGTGACGGGCGGCCCCTAACCCCATCAGCCACGGGCGAATTGCATTGGCAAAAAATAGTGTTATTGCATTGCAGATGTCTTTCGCTTCGTCTTGCTCCGAACGTTTCTACAGAGAGGTACACAAGGAAAAGCAGGCAGTACTCAACCCTGTCGATCCCCTTGGAATGTGTTGACATACTGTGTCGGTGTTTGCATCAAAAATCATAGGAGTGGTGCCAAAAGGGTCAGGACTCATCGTAGGCTGCGGACGCATAGCATTCACTCCGGTGTTTCTACAGTTGTTATTGCATTGGAGCATTGTTAGCTTCAATGAATGATACGTCCCCCGGCAGCTTTTGTCATATGTTAGGACCAGCCGATGCAAGCAACTCTTACAGCAGTGCGCCCTATATTTCGAATATGGCGTCCTTTGGTCAATCTGTTCATGGCACACCTCTTCCTTCCCTAGTCGCTTTGGCCATCTCACTCATCGCCCGGTCTTCCGCATAGCGCTGATATATAGGCATATAGTGTTCCTTGTCGCTCATCGTCTCAGTCACCGATTTCCTGGAGGTCACGGCATCGACCCATTTCCGCCACCGATTCCACAACTGCTCGTCTTCTCCGCCCTGGCCCGGAGGAGGAATCCCCAGGCCGCCCTTGAAGTGGTCGAACACCCACATCCTTAGCGCCCAGGGGGCGAGAGCTACATCGCCAAAAGTCAAGTCTTTGCCCATGAAATATGGGCCCTCAGGATCTGCGTTGGAAATCCATGTCTTCAGGGCGTTTAGGAGCTCGGCGCGTGCTTTCTCCAACGTGTACGGGCTTTTCTCTGTATGCTGCAGGAACCTGTGTTGCTGTGAGATATTGAGGCCAGATTGAGGTGTATCGATGGTTACCTATGGTATGCTGGGAGGATCCTAGTCGTTATGTGATCGACCCAGACCTTCATGACTGCTTTTTTGTAAGGCTCGCGTGGCCACAGGGGTATCTGGTCTGGATACATCTCGTCAAGGTATCTGACTTTGTCAGCTGACAACAGCCCCGGGCTCTCCATGTTGCCGTCATGACATACTCGCAAATGATATTGGATTCAATCAATGGCTTGGTGGATCCATCCTCTTGGGGACATCCTAACGTGGGAACCAAACCTCGCGGGTTGAGCTTGAGAAAACTGCCTTCAGTTGGTACAGAAACCGGCCCAGCCATGTTCAACGCTGATCTGGTACACACCTTGGTTCCTTGTTATACGGATTGATCTCGACATACTTGTACGGAATCTTCTTCTCCTCAAGGGTGATCCATGCCCTTTGGACGAAAGGGCAAAACCAACCAGAGTATAAAGTGATGGGCTCGTCCTTCTGATGTGCAGCAACAATCTTGGCCGCAGGGCCTGTTGCTTCCGGGTGGATATCTGCGTCAGGATGTGATGCCGAACCCATTGTTCCGAGTTGCTTTTCAAATTAACGGAGTTCTTCTCGCAACAACGCAACGAGTCCGCGGGAGAGTCTTTTGATGTCCATGGCGAATTTATCGTTCCGCCATTAGTAAGAATTGGAGACAGAGAATCGTGACGCAATATAACACCAGGCTGATCCCGTGGGCGGAGAAGCGTGATCTGCGGCACGCTCAGCCTCGCCAGCTATGATCCACTCAGCCTTGTCGACGGACAAGTTGTTGAAGGAAGTCTTACGTGCTAGCCGAAAATTCTTGACAGTCTGTTGCTCCCTGATTCTCTTCTATCATAAATGTCTTACCAATATCTGCAACCTGTTCAAATACCAATGCCGCGTTGGACATACACTCGAACCCTATCCTATTTCCACTGCAGACGGGGAACGATATATGTGTCTCTGATCCCCCAGAGCCTTCACGGTGGGTCTAATTAAACGTGATTCTGTCACTAACGAGCAGGTTCAGAAGGAGTTGGTGACTAACGAGAACTTTTATTGAATTGACAATCGCACTACGGCCTCTCAGGTCCAGTAGTGCCAGTTGAGAAGCCTGGGGACATTCACGTCTCTCTCGCCCAGATCCTTTGCATATCCTCTCCCTCAAGACCGTTGTGCCCGCTCTTGACGAGGCTGTCAATCGCTTCTTCTATGGGGACGTCGCCCTCCAACAAATCAAACCACCCTCTTGTGTCGTTGCGGTCCAACAGCGCCGCGGCGACCCGTGCGACATCCTCGCGCGGCACACCTGTTTTGGAAGCCGTTAGTGAACGGCTAAACCAGCAGATTGGAACACTGAAGCAGCAGAAATAGGACTAGACTTACCGCCGCCTACGTGCGTCTTGCCCAGCGTCACCTTTCCCGTCCCCGGCTTATCCGTCAGAGTGCCGGGCCTCAAATTGATGGCTTGGAACTCTTGATCTCCGCTGTCAAACCTCTTCTTCGCCAGGGCCTCGAGATGCTCGTCCGCCTCCACTTTGGCTTGGTAGTAGGCTGGCAGAATATTTTGGTTGGTGTTGTCAGCGGCTTTGCGGTCTTCGTCGGTCCACCACGGGGGATAGCCCCTTCGAGACTGCACCACGCGAGAGGTAGAGGTTAGCAAGAGTCTGTCAGTGAGGATGCGGCTCACATTGCCGGGAATTGGGAGGGAAATGGGGAACTCGAGATAACTCACCGCGTGGTATGAGACCATCAGGAACTTCTTGACGCTCGGCATCGCCAGCGACGCGGAGATGTAGCATTTCGCGGCAACCATATCAATGGCCTTTGTTCTGGCCGGCCCGCCCTTCCCACCGGCTCCTATTGACATTCGTTCCGACGTCAACAACCCATTCCTCGAACTTTGATAGAGTGCCTTCGACTTTGAATGACTAGCGTGGCGCCATGCAAAGAGAGAGCAATCAATACTCACCGGCACTCCACACCACAATATCCGGCTTGACCTTCTCGAGCACCCTCTTGGCGTCGCTCACTTCCTTGACGTCGTCGAGACTGTCCACCAACACGTCGATCTTTCCCGGCTTGTCCTTTCCCAGCGCCAGGATCTCGGCCTCGTACGCCGGGTTGCGCACAACGCTGGTGACGTGCCATTTCTTGGCCAGCAGGAGCGGCTGCAGGAAGAGGGAGACCTTGCCGTGGCCGCCGAGGATGAGGACGCGTGGGGCAGACATAGCTTTTGGTTTGGTGTAGCAGGGGCGGACGATTCTGTGAGGACTTCCTTTTGTATGAAGGAGTGAAAGGGTCTGCTTTCTGGTTCGCAGTTGAAGAAGAATCACTCACTGGACTGCGGAAAGAGATTGGAAGGGAAAGTACTTGGATATATACACCAAAAGAGCAATTACAGCATCATGTTCGATATTATTAAGTATACCTCGTATGTATATAACCAATAGGGTGTGATCCGAGTTTTTCCCGAATCGCTCTACGTCACAGGAGCCATTACACAGTCGTGACAGTCGCCAGCCATACAGACAGCTTATGGGGTGTCTACTTAGTATATTCGGAGACCTCGAGATTGGATCCGTGGCTCCGAAGTTGGAGCTTGAAGCGAATCACAATGTAAGCGACTGTGTGACGCGCACAGCCTCGGCGCCGGGAGCTCAGGCCATGGTGCCCGGAAGTCGCAGGCTTCGCCTCGTCTTTCACGGCATAGACTGGGATTGTGTCATGAGAGGTGGACTGTAAGAGAGACACATGACATGGCCGTCTTTTCAGTTGAGAAGATACCGATGGTGCCGAATTCTTGGTTAACACTATGCGGGAGGCTTGACGAAATGGACAATGAATATTTGTCAGACACATTCGACCGGGTCAAGGCTCTGAGCCCCTTTCTTGTGATTGCCTTATTCCACGATGGCACAAACGTATTACCACGCTGGACGATCATGAAGACCTTTTATATTATTGTGGATTCAAGCTAGGATGTATGATATCAGCCGTCCACTTCCTCCAACTTCGTCTACAAGTAGACAGCAAATTCCGCTCGAAGTCGGTCAGTCTGTGGCTCCGTAATGCGTTGTCAACGATGAGATGCCCATGTTCCCAGCTATTGAGATTGTCCTGTTTCTCGGAAGCCGTTCTCTTCCTCTGGCTCGGTACTATATCCGCAAATGACTGACACACGACCGTTTTTGGTTGGACGATTTGAGGCCACCTCGCCTTGCTACCGTTTTCAGACTCGCCGCGGTAAAACGTCCCTCGAACTCGTCAAATCTGTGGACGGCATCACCATTGAAAGTGGTAATATTGTAGCTAGAACGGAGCCTAGTTGTAGGTCTCCGGTGTCTCCAGCCTGTGAGCATTGCTTCTTGCATGACTCGGATGTAGTCCCTCTCAAGAAGCGAGCTGATACGCAGTGCCAGTCTTCTCAGAAAAGTGTCCGTGGAGCCTGTAAGAACGCGTATTCGGCTCATAGAATGATGGCAAGAGGTGTTGTCGTTGTCGAGTCATTACTTGATGCAGCTGGAAAAGATTCTTCGCAAGCCTGGCAAAAGCGATTTGTTCGCCTTGTCTGCGGTTGCGTTCACCTTCTCCAGCTGGTGCGATATGATTTACTCACAGCCTGAGGTTCATTTCTGCCACACCTCTCCCGCAACCCGCAAATTGAACCTGACAATCTGAAACAGGCCACAAAAAAGAATACTGGAAGTAGGAATTCTCACGCTTATAGTAAGGATTGAACCCCCAACCTCTTTTCCACAAAACAACAAAAAATCCGTGCCCCCCTGCAGAACCGAAGTTCCCGGGAGTTAGCAGACACATCACTAGGACGTTTTCGAATTTTTACCCTATGCTTCATGGCACAACGCTGTCACCGCAGCGTCCGAGGACACTAGCAGCCAGCAAACTCAGCAGTCGCAGGATGAGCCCACTTTTGTGGCTGTAATCAGCTCTTGTCCGTAAATGGGTCACGGGCCCGAAGGCAACAGGAAATTCGCGATTCTCAAATATATTCCTGTATTTTTGGGAGAGAGGATCCGCTTTATTGAGGTCGACTGCTTGGCGATGAGGATAGGCAAGTGTGTGAGGTGTCGAGGCCACGGGTGAGGTACAATCCGGTGCTGAAGGTGAACAGGGCAAGGCTGCGGAAGGACGACACCCGACCCTGAATGAGAAGCAGGACGGCTAGAGTCTCTAGTCTTATGCTCGTCGTCCACCGAGTCTAAGCCTTTGGAGGAAGTCGGTTTACGGCAAATCCAGGAAATCCATGATACTGAATATATTGGTCAATCATCGTAGGTGACTTGATGTTCATCATTCCTCCTCATATCATGAGCAGGATAGCCAACCGTGACCAGGCTCAGCCGCCGCCTCCAGCAGCTATTGTTGTCTTTGTTCTCCAATCTTCGAAGCTGGCGGATGCCGCCTCGCCTTTCCGGTCCGGGTCTTTTTTCTTCTGCTTGTCTTCCCAGTCACCCTCCTCCTGAGCGATAAGAGCGTGGAACTTGCCTCCTTGGCCTCTCCCAAAGTAGATGGCTCCTTCTTCTCTCTTTGCCACACGTTCGGTCACCAAAACATACTTGACGCTACTTCCGGGCGATTCGAACATAGCATCACCAAGGATGGTCTCCATTTCCGTTCGTAGAGCTCGAGCTCCTGTGCCCATGGCGAGGGCATTCGACGCAACCACATGAAGAGCCGGGGTGGTAAAGCGGAGCTCGATGCCGGAGAGGGAGAACAGCGTGACATATTGTGCCACTAGCGAGTTGCGCGGCTCTGTAAGTATACGCAGTAACAAGGAGTGTGTGAGGGCAGATAAGGCAGCAGTCGTAGGTATACGCCCGATAAGCTCAGGAATGAAGCCATAGGATTGTAGATCGGCTGGGGTGACCAGGTCCAGAGGGTTAAAGTAATTTGGTTCCGGGGCAGAGCCATCCATGGTAGTCTGCTCAGGAGTTGGCGCCGGGGTGAAAAAGGGTAAATGTTTCTTGTAGAGAGCCTCTTCCTGGGATCCCGGCAAGATGGGAACCGGAGTAATTGTGGTAGATTTCTGATCACGACTGTAGGAGATTAGATTTGAGCTGGATCGTACACTGGCGCCAAATCCAATGCTCCCTTTGGTCAACCGGTCCATGATGTGCTTTTGAAGCCCGATGAATGCACCACTGAAGATAAAGAGGATATTATCCGTCCGAACGTTATAAACCTCGCCTTTTGCTGGAGCGGCCGAGGCCCCGGATGATCCAGAAGAGAAGCCGGCGCCCAAAGGACTGTTCGTGGGATATGTCTGTGACTGGCCACCCGCTCGAGGAGCATTCCTCTCTGGTTTTGCCTGGATTTGGATGGTAGTCCCTTCGATGATCTTCAGAAGTGCTTGCTGAACGCCTTCGCCTGACACATCTTTGCCATGGCTGACCTTCGCTGTTGCTATTTTGTCGACTTCATCCAGACATATGATGCCACGCTCAGCTCTTTCGACATCATAGTTCGCTGCGGCTAACAACCGGTGAACGCAAACCTCGGCGTCCTCGCCAATATATCCAGCTTGAGTGAATGGTGTGCAATCAGACATTGAAAAGGGAACAGAAAGAACTCGAGCAAGAGTCTTTGCCATCAGAGTCTTTCCCACACCGCTAGGACCAAGAAGCAAGATATTTGACTTCTCTAGGGTCAGTGGACTTGTATCCACCAAGAGCGAGCCGCCTGTCCGCGGATTGAGCGTAGTTGAGGGTCCGCCCATGCGGATTGTGGGTTGTTGACCAGGGAACTCATTCTCGACAGGATGTCGCTCTCTTCTTTCCCTTTGTGCAAGCAGCTCTTCCTCCTCTTCCTCCCGTCGTTGCAGCTCTTGTATTCTTTGATAATGGTTGAATACAGCAACGCTCAGGACCTTCTTAGCTCGTTCTTGACCGACGACGAACTGATCAAGATGCTGTTTCAGAAGTTTAGGAGTCAGGCGAGGAGTGCCATATATCGAAGCTCCACCTAATGGGCCAGATGTAGGCAAGCCTGGCTCGTAGGTTCCGGTGAAGGGTTGATTTGCAAAGTCGGAACGATGAAATTGCGACGAGGATAGCCTCTGCGAGTGACTCGAGATAGATCGCTTACTTAAGGTAATATACGATGAACGGAGCCGCCGTGGTATTGAGGTGGTGGAGGCGGTCGTGGTGCGATCGAGCGCAGGGCAAAGGAATATTGGGAGAGACGGTATTGAATGCATGGGTGCTGTTCACACTGGGGGTGGGCTGTAAATGCCAACGCCCGCGAATATAGGATGCCTGCCTCCTGTCCACACGCAGCAAGCTTGATACAATAATAAATACCTATGGGTGGGAAGTGGTATGAGTCAAGCAGACTACTAGTATTCCGAGTTGCGATAGCAAGCAGAGCTGCGTGGCTGCTGTCCCCCTCATTGCGAAATCGCCACAGCCTGTGTCAGTTTTTCCGAAGTTTCACCGTCAGAGGTGCCGCTCCTCTTCTCAATACAAAATATGTACCTAGGTACCACTCTCGATGTATCTATCTACCTAGGTAGGTAGGGAGAACCCTGATGAGACCCGATTTGTTTGTCGTGAGTAAGTGAGCGAGCAGGGGCTGTTCTACTAGACAATCTACTGAGGGAGGTTACGTCAAACGCTGGAAAAAATCTCCAGGCTGTTGGTAATGGGCGGAAGAAATCTACTGGATGGAATCCTTGCGCCCATGACGTTTCCTTATTTGAGGTATCAACATATTCGGCGAAATATGCCTTGACAAGGCTGTAAATCAGCATTTCAAAATGGCTTCGACTGGGATGAATGTACTGGAACATGCAACGAGGTTTGGGACCCTCAAACAGGTGCAAAAGTCCCTCTGTACCACCGAACGTCTTTCAGTACTTGTGGGAGGGACAAGCGTTCGTGGATTTCTCCATCTGCCGGCGGGCTATCCAGAGAACAAAGACAGAGTGGCTGCTGCTGTGATACTCCTTTCTGGGGCGGGCGGAGGCGTCGTTGGTCCTTCATCAATCTATGTCTCCATTGGAGACAAACTCGCCAGTCTTCGAAGGGGCATGCCCGTGCTTCGACTGGATTACCGCTATCCTGCTCATGACACCCCTTGCGCGGAAGATGTGACTGCGGCAATGAACCATCTGGAGCAGAAATATTCTATTCGCAAATTCGTGTTGGTTGGCTGGTCATTCGGAGGCGCGCCGGTCGTGAGTCTTCCCTTACCTTTCGGATGCTGGTTTTATATTCGAACAGCAATTGATATGGAATACGCCAATGTCCACACACGCTAACGATGGCTTGCAGTTCACCGTAGGCGGACAAGAGAAGGGTAGGTGTTGGGCATTCTGTTTGAGACTTTGTCTAATGTTGGCAGATCGTGTGGTAGCCTGCGCTACCATTGCAAGCCAAACCGCAGGTACAAGTGGGATCACGAAGCTGGCCCCAAGGCCACTGCTCTTGCTCCACGGTACCGGCGATCGAACGTTGAGATGGCACTGCTCACAGAGTCTCTACGAGTCATATGGCAGGAAGGGAGATCGACAATTGAAGCTCTTCGAGAACGATGATCATGCGTTGACAAGGAATGCGCTTGAGGCCGAGGAACTGTTATGCGACTTCATTGCGAACTGCCTTGGGCTGGAGATAGCAAACGACGAACAAGAAAGAGTCATTCAGAAGCCATTGGTGGACGGCGGCGAAAGAGTCGAACTGATGAAGAAGGGCGGAGATCTGGAGGGCGAGAGCATCGAGTAAGACTATCGACGTGGTTTGATGAAATGGATGGTTGGGACAAATTGACTTGTTCGGAACGGAAAAACTGTCGGGACGAATACAGTGGCCGCGCAGATTTTGAAGGGCGCCACCGAGGCGCCCATTGGCTCGAGGATCTAGGTGGGCTACAAGGGCTACAGGCACCGTGGCACCCAACAGGAGCAACCAAGGAGCCACCCAGGAGCTTCCCCACGTCAAACCACGTCAAGGTTGCAGGTGCTTGTTGAGGGTTGATGTCATTATTGAGTTCCTCATACCACAATTTCGCCGCAGCCCCCAAGCGTCTCGCAGCCTGCGCAGGTAAACACCTCATTTCAACATTTTTTCCCATCCAGGCCCAGAAGCCCCTCCAACAAGTCGTCGGTCATCCAGGAACAGCCTCGATAAATACTTTTGAGCTTCTAGCATTGCTATTGGATTTCTTCACGTCTGGTTGTTATATTCTCTTTTACCCGACTCAATTGACTTCCTCACCTCTTCCCAGCTTCCGTTGTGACCTCCACTGCCCCTCATGGCATTGAATCAGGATGCTGCAAATTCTCTCATGGCTGCGCCTGCCAGCGGTGAAGCTGCCCCTGACGGAACAGGTATGAAAACCCTCATGATTCCCTCAAGCCTCTCTGACTTTCCATTAGGTGTTATCCAGCTCGACCCTTGGTTAGAACCCTTCCGGGGAGACCTGAAGTACCGGTTCTCAAAGGCTCAGGAATGGATAAAGAAGATTGATCAAACCGAAGGTGGCCTTGAGAAGTTCAGCCGCGGATATGAGAAGTTTGGCTTCACCTTCGAGCCGGATGGCTCCATAACCTATCGCGAATGGGCACCCAACGCTGAGCAAGCTTCCTTGATCGGCGAGTTCAACAATTGGAGTAGAGAGGCGCACCCAATGAAGAAGAACGAGTATGGTGTATGGGAACTGCGGCTCCCTGCAAAAGATGGCGTCCCAGCAATACCTCATAACACGAAACTGAAGATATCCATGGTCATCCCTGGAGGAGAACGCATTGAAAGAATACCGGCGTGGATCACCAGAGTGACCCAGGATCTCTCTGTGTCCCCCGTCTACGATGCAGTGCTATGGAATCCTCCCAAAGAGGAACGTTACGTCTTCAAGAACCCTCGCCCTCCGTACCCAAAGAGCGTCCGCATCTACGAAGCACACGTCGGCATTTCTTCCCCGGAGCTGAAGGTTGCCACGTACAAGGAGTTCACGAAGAACATGCTCCCAAGAATCAAGTATCTCGGGTACAATGTGATTCAATTAATGGCAATCATGGAGCACGCTTACTACGCTTCTTTTGGATATCAAGTCAACTCCTTTTTCGCAGCCAGCTCCAGGTACGGGACACCGGAGGATCTGAAGGAACTCATCGACACGGCCCACGGGATGGGAATCACAGTGCTCTTAGACGTCGTGCATTCTCACGCAAGCAAGAACGTGCTGGACGGTCTCAATATGTTCGACGGCAGCGACCACCTTTACTTCCATGAGGGAGGAAAAGGCCGACACGAGCTATGGGACTCCCGACTTTTCAACTATGGCCATCACGAAGTGCTACGATTTCTCTTGTCCAACCTCCGATTTTGGATGGAGGAGTACCAGTTCGACGGCTTCCGTTTCGACGGAGTTACCTCCATGCTTTACGTTCATCACGGTATTGGCACCGGCTTCTCGGGAGGCTATCACGAATACTTTGGCTCATCCGTGGACGTAGAAGCTGTGGTCTATCTCATGCTTGCCAACGAAATGCTTCACGACATCCACCCGAACTGCATCACCATTGCCGAAGACGTCTCTGGTATGCCTGCCCTATGTCTGAAACTCTCGCTAGGCGGAATAGGATTTGACTACCGTCTCGCCATGGCGGTTCCTGATATGTATATCAAATTGCTCAAAGAGAAGAGCGATGATCAGTGGGACATTGGCAACATCGCGTTCACCCTCACCAACCGACGCCATGGTGAGAAAACGATTGCGTATGCCGAATCCCACGACCAAGCCCTGGTAGGCGATAAGTCGCTGATGATGTGGCTCGCCGATGCGGAAATGTACACCAACATGTCGGTGTTGACCCCCCTGACACCGACCATCGACCGCGCTCTCTCCCTCCATAAAATGATCCGCCTTGTTACCCATGGCCTGGGCGGCGAAGGTTATCTCAACTTCGAGGGCAACGAATTTGGGCATCCAGAGTGGCTCGACTTCCCTCGAGCAGGCAATGACAATTCCTTCTGGTACGCTCGCCGACAGCTAAACTTGACCGAAGACCATCTTCTTCGGTACAGGTTCTTGAATGAATTCGACCGTACAATGCAGTGGAACGAAGAAAAATATGGCTGGCTCCACAGCCCCCAGGCTTACATCTCCTTGAAAAACGAAACCGACAAAGTGCTAGTCTTTGAAAGAGCAGGTCTCTTATGGATCTTCAATTTCCACCCCACGAACTCGTTCACCGACTATAGAGTCGGCGTGGAGGTACCAGGCGTTTATCGGATCATCATTGACACGGACGCCGAAGAGTACGGTGGGCACGGCAGGAATGCAAAGGATACGAGATTTTTCACCACCGATCTGCCATGGAATAACAGGAAGAACTTTATACAGGTTTATATTCCGACTAGGACAGCTTTGGTGAGTGTGCAACCCTTCTAATCTTTGTGATTGATGTTGTTTCGTGGGTCTGGACCACTTCGCTGACTTGATGTGTACAGGTTTTTGCTCTTGAATCGACTCTTTGATCCAGCGATTCCTTTGACCGACTTTTGTTGTAGGGGGATGACCTCTGGGGACGATATCTTTCAAGCTGGCCAATGAAGACACGTTGAGCGGTCCATAAAAAAAAGATTGTGTTCCAAATGGAGTTCAACATGTACTGGATCAATATTACCGTTAATGGATTCAAAGGCTAAGGATCTCCCAAATTACTGCCGAACAGTAGAGCGGCAAAATCTGTATCAGGCCTTGCCAATGGCATGTTCTCGACACTGTTAGGGCATAAGGAAGCTTCTTTTGCAACGCGTTTCTTGCATAATTAATTGTTACAACCTATGGATGAGTAGAGCTGAGCAGCACTGGACTGGGGATGTGTTCTGTTCCAATACTCCCAAAGAAGCCGCTCCCTGCACGCTTTTCGTTTCGCATTGAGGGGTTTTTTTCTTCTGCTTTTTCCTGGACAGGAGTGGAGGATGAAGGGTCCTAACATCGATTTCTTTGATGCGACACTTTATGATTTCAGGTCCAAGAATCGATGATTGACGATCTTGTCCTCAGGAATTCGGAGGCACTCCCCTCCTAATATTCCACTCGTCGCGACACACCCTCATGGCCAACCCGGGGACGAGTTCCTGCTCTTTGTTGCGTCCCCCCCATTTTGCCTTGCCCAACAACCAGTCCGTCAGCGTGACGACTTTGCTCGTCTTGTCATAGCCGTTGCTCTCCTCGGCGTGCTCGATCGTGTGGCTTGCAATCCGGCCCTTGGAGTCGAACGTGAAGATGAAGAGACCGGTGAAGTCGTCGCCTTTGTTGAGGTTGAAGATGGGTTTGTCGCCGCCGAGCAGTTTGGAAAGGCCGCGGTTTATGTTCGACGAGTCGGTGATGTCAGCTTCATGATTGCCGTTGCCATTGCCATTGGTTTTGGGCTCCGTTTTCCACCGCACGACCAGTTTCTCTGCGCTGAGATCTTGCTCTTGCTCGTCTTCGGATGACGGAGGAGGAGTGGCGTATGAAAACCCCGTCCGCACGATCTTCTCCGAAATAATCCTCAATTTTACATTGCCCACGATGGGCACGCAGCCCCAGGCGACTGGGGCGGTCCAGAGAGATGCGCGGTATGCAACGCGGCCTTTGACAGCTGGCAGATGAGGATGAGTCGAGGGAAAGAGATGGAGGGAGATGTTGGGAGACAGGATCTCCGGTGGGAGGGGTTTGGTGAGGATATCTGGGAGGAGAGGCGACAATGTTCGCAATGCTATGGCCATATCAGCGTTCCATTTTCTCGGACAGATGTATCCATCTTAAAAACATACTCTTCCCTAGCCTGATCAACCGTTCATCCGGCGGCTTGTGGTCACTACTATTGTTTGCCCCAGGCGCAGGAGAACCTCCAAGTAAGTCGTCTTCCGGACCAAATCTGGGGGACGCCGACGTGAACCACACTTCGGAGATGGGCTCCGGCCGAACTTGTGCTAGATGTCTCTTAGACAGCACCTGGCCCTGGCGCAAGGAGCCGCTACCACCGGAAGCGGAAGCGGAAGCGGTCGACGACCTGTGCCTGCGAAGAAGCTGGACTTGGTTGGGATAACGGGAAAGGGAAGTCCATCTCGAAGCTGCTGCTGGAGCGGCACACTTGGTGGTGGCAGCAATGGGAAGCTTGCGCATTGGCCCGGAGGTCATCTGGGCGGAGGAAGCATGACTTTAGAATTATTATATTGAGCTATCTCGAAGAATTCGAGGGGAGATTTGTGGACAATCCGGAAAATATTAGCAGGATGAGAATCATGGGAACAATTGCAGTCACTCAAAAGCTGCAGTGGTCAGTCTTGCGCATCTCCGATTCTCACCACGAATATTATCGGGAAGCCAACTACGTCAGCCAATAACAGCTGCTGCCCACACCATGTCCATGGACCCAAATTTCCATCTCGCCGGTTCAATGCTTACCTACCTGAGGTACCTAGAATTACTTACGACGAGAACTACAGTGCTAATGCATCACGCTGCCAGCGAGTGCGTAAAGCCTGGGACTGCCACTCGCAGACGCCTGGTACCCAACGCATTGATTGTAGTCCTCTCTCGCAGCGAGCTGGTCTGGTCCTGATCCATTTGTCCGCATCGGCAGCATGGATGGTGCGGATTCCCGGGAGGCGGAACTGGAAAGTACGTTCAGGCAAATGGTCCTTGGAAGCTCCGGATAGTTTCACTATCAAAGAAGATGGGATAGATTCTGAAGTAGCAGACAAAGAACGAGCATGTGAGGAGGCGGCCGGGGTTTGCAAAAGTCAGACTCCGCTGGCAGGCAAACACAGCAGATCCGCACAACAAACATACAAAGTGCTCAATAATGGTGAAGCGTCTGTTGATTCAAATCAGTCCAGCTGTCAGGAGTCATCCAACAGAACCCCCTTGTCTGAAGCAGCACTCTACAACAAATTGAAACGGGATAGATGCCTCGGAAGAACAATACTCCGATGCACAAGTGTGCCGACGATCCCCTGAATTGCGAGCCTTATCCGGATCGGCGGTTGTCAGTGCGACTTTCCACAGCTTTCTGCTTGGATGTAGTTAGCCAGGGCCAGAATCTGATGTGCTGTCTTTGTGACTCATATTGTCGCTTCGAGAACGGTACATCAGCGGTTCCAAAAGGCAAGCAGACCTTCTCTCTCCGTGGTAAGGAACTTCTAAGCCAAGATGATCCCTACAGGACGACGCATTGAGAATCTTGTTGAATGATGTGCTCAATAGATGCAGGCCATGTTCAGTCGATCTCATGCTGGATCGGTATCAGGAGAATCCATTGGTGTTAGCGTGCTGCATGAGCCTGAATGCTTCTCATGGATCATTTTGAACCCAATACCACTCACAGCTGTCTCGTTTTGAAGTCGTAATCTCAATTGGAGGGAAAAACAGATCCCTTCTTGTGAGTTGCTCGGAAGTGAGCCATGGTGGCCGGTAAGACAAGACATCCTCTCTGCATTCTTTCTCCCCCAATTGGCAGCCCCGTCAACTGCTCCCCCGAGTTTCCGGCAAGAAAGGAATGCATGCAAACTGACGCCGTTGCAGAGATGGGGTGGCTGGATGCAAATTCAAAGAAGACGACCGAATATGCTGATTAGATTGAAGCATATTGCCTTGTCTCGTGCCTGAATAGTCGAAGAAGTCAGCCGATGACGCTTCTTGGTCTGGAGGTAGGCACGCACTGACAGTTGTGATACACTTTCCGAGCCAACCGTGTTGAAGAGCAGTATCTAGGAGTTTGTATGGCTCTCGAAGGCGTCCGAATCCTCAAGTGTCAGTGTTGCTGTTGCGCGTGCTCAGAGATCCATTGCAGTGGCCTGGGAGGAAAAATATGGCTAAGCAAGACAACCTGTTCCCCAGCCCCTGGTACAAGCGGCAAAATGAGTAGACCCTGGGCTAATGCTGTCGACACAGTAGTGTTCTTTTGAATGTGCCTGTTGTGCGTAGACGCGATCGAGGTGGTAAAGAGGAGGTTCGGAGGTCTCCAGGGATGCTTCAAAGGCGCTTTCAGACGTGATACAACTGAGAATTTCAGTGCTTGGTCAGAAGGAAGGATCTGCCCATTTTTGTTACTGTGGATGCTTCAATTTGAAGGATGTCTGGCTTGACCCTCTTGACAAGGGCTCTCAGTGGTGGACATTATGCTTTGACGGCACACCCTGTGAACGAAGCACGGCCGTGAGAGGCTAAAAAGAGCATGATGACCGGTAGTAAGACATCCTTGAGAGGCGCGGCTGTGTCTCTGCGCCCAACAGAAGCATAAAAGAAACGTCCAGAGGAGCGTAGACGCTGGAAAGGCGATAGCTCAAGGCATTTCAAACCGCGCCGAGTCACGAATTTGAGACGTGTTGAGCCTCTGCCCGCCCCAAAGACACAAACCAGTGTCCCCAAACACCATACAGGATCTTTGCAAGCACTTGCAACAACTTCTCCCATTTCTGCCATCCTCGTACACGCCTGCTCTCAGTCAGTACCCTTTGCTGTTCTTGGTCATTTCGTAAGTGCCTTTGTCGTTCCAGATTTCAATGCTACCCAGGTTTCAGCTTGTCAGTGTTGTTCCTTTGACTTTCAGCAATTCGGATCAAAAACCCAACAGTTTGACCCAAGCAATCCTTTTGCTGGACAATCAAAGACAGTACAAGGAGAGAAAGACAATAGCTGACGAAGATCTTTGCAGATGGACGACTGAACTGTGTACTTATCTTGACAACAACTCTCAGAGTCCTGGACTCCTCGTACCGTCTTCTCCGTCAGAATCCCCGTCAACTCGCCTCATATTTGCAGTCCCTTCCCGCAGAGCATTCATCAACAGGTCTCCTTCTACTTTCTTCGAACTCTCAAGGTAGTGACCATGTCTCGCGCAACGTCAGACGATCAATTGAGGTTCCTCTTGAGCTGTGTCAAACATGCCACCAACGGAAGGGTGAGCGAGGTCATCCCACTTCCCGATAGGCTCTACAGAACTGACAGCCTCAGGTTGATTTTGTGGAAGTTGCCAAAGAATGTGGTGTAGTCAGCAAAGGAGCGGCGTGAGTATATCCTGTCGATGCGGCTGTATCTGCCGTGCTGACAGACCACAAGAGCCAAACGATATGAGAGACTCATGAAGGCCAATGGCATCAGTTCCCCCAGTGGTTCTGCACTCAGCTCGGCCCCGAAGACCACACAGTCCAAGCAAAAGGCGAGGAGCTCAGACGAAAACCCTCCGACTGCGAAGAAACAGAAACTGGAGAGAAACAGCACTCCCCGCACATCGAAGAGGGCCGAAGACAGTCCCAGGTCGACCACGGTGGCCATAGCCAATCCACGAGATGATGCCTGTGAACCTACACCGCCAAAGTTTGAAGCATTAGCATTGAATGACCGTACACGACGTACCCTTTCTGGTCCACCTAGCATGCTACAACTGTCTCTCCCCTCTGCCATGTTTGTTCCCAGCAATTCTGTGGCTCAAGGCGTCCCATATCCGGCACGGCAACGATCGCCATTTGTTGGGTACCCGACAATCGCAGATGCCGTTGGCCACCAGCTGGTCCCAGATGTCCCTTTCTATCCTCCTTTTCCGCCAGCATTCAGAGAGCCGTGGACATTCACAGGCCAGGAAAACGCCAACGCCAGCAGTGGTTTTGAGATGTTTAGCCACCAAGACTACGCCAGCCGACAAAGTCAGGGCGTCCAGCCTCCTTTTTTAGACGAGGCAATGCCGATGAGACTTCCGCCTCAGCCACAGGAGGTCGTGCCGATTCACCAGCCAAGTGAGCATCTGCCAGAAGAGGGAGACAGTGCCTCAAAGTCCAAGGGCCATGTTGTCGTCGTGGAGTGACCTGTTTCGAAGTACCCAGCGCTGAAGATGCAATAAGGTGGAAGGGAGGCAACTTGCTGATCGTCGAACAGTCTGAAGAGGCGGTCGTCTGTCTCTCGGTCAGCAGGCGGTTGTCAACTGGGCAGTTGACAATGTGCCTCTTTGAACACCATACCAGGTGGCCAGAGGGCCAAAGACCTCGTTTTCTGGACACCCAGACTTATGAAGATCATTGTGTGACTTGGCGACCAAAGGAGAACAATATCAATTCAAACCCATTATCTGTGTCATGTCCAAGAAAAGCACAAGGAGGCGAGGGGCGTTGGCGACCTCGTTGTAGGTCCGATGGACTTCACTGCCAACGCGCCCTGAGGCCAAAGGCTTCCCCCCCAACTTTCTCCCTCTTTGCTATTCAGCCCTCAACATCCCCCAAACCTCCATCTCAAATCTCTCACATTCCTCTTCCCTTATCAAAGCTCCTTGTTATACCTTTTCTACCTCTTTTGTCGTGCTCTGAACAAGTTTCAACACCGTCCAGACCTTTGCTGGTGGCGGCTGTTGGTTGTTTTGGTAAGTCCCATTGCAGAGAAGAGCACCTCCGCAACACATCGCACATTTGCCCCAACGAACACCACCTCCCCTCCCCGCTGTCTTTCATCCTATTGTCTTGTATTCACCGATCAACACATGTCGACACCTGTTCGCGCCTCCATTTAGTCCCAGTGACGCCTCTGCAGGTGTCTAATTCGCTGGGTGGCCCGCTTGCGACACTCTCTTGCCCCGACGAAATCGAGGTCACCGAGCATGCGACACTGGATATTCACCAGGTTGCCGAGGCATCACTTTCCCTCTTGAAAAGAACATAAACATCTCCTCTCACACTCTCTGTGCTTTTCAACTGACAACACAGACCAACAGACAAACAGGGTGCACTTGGTCCTCGGTACAAGTCATCATGCCTGCTAGAGAGCGTCCAAAGAAGCGTGTCCTCAATCGTTGGAGTGGTTCGTTGAGATTTCGAGAAGCTCACTGCTGTCCACCTTGCTGACATGATCCAGACGATTTGGACAAGAGCGTCTTGCTGTGTACCCAGTACGCGTGCGTTGAAGCTGGCCTGAAGATCCCATGTAAGTACAGGAACCAACAGTCTTGACTTTATAATTGTAACAACAAATAGGGGCTAGGGTCGCAGCCCTCATGGGCCCCACCTTTACCGAAGGGTCAATCGTTCAGCATTTGTCGAAGCTTCGTGGCCTCATGATCAAGGCTGAGATGCCGGTTCCACCACCGATCAAGCGTGGCATGGTGACCAAAGAGCCATCCAAGATCTACACCAATGCTGGCAATAACGTCGAAGTCGAGCAAGTCGCTCCCATGTATCCTGAGGCCCCCAATGTTGGCGAAGGTGAAGAGAAAGTGTCTCTCTATGACAAGCCGAAGCGTTCTCGTAAGAAGAAGGTTCCTGCAGAAGAAGAGGAGGCGGTCAAGAAGGAAGCGAAGACAAAGGCTAAAGGGAAAGGCAAAGCCAAAGGTCGTCGTAACCACGCAAACGATGAAGAGGACGATAACGAACCTGTTCCAGATCTTTACGATTCCGACGACGAGTACCACGCCCCCAAGAAGCGTCGCAGTGGCAAGAGAAAGCCGAAGAAAGAAGCCCTTGCGGAAGCTTCTGCGGCTATACCTGATGAAGCCATCCCTGCTACGGCCACTCCGATCAAGGTACCAGTTGCAGACAAAGACGCTGATGTCAAGCTTGAGGAAGAAGCGCTCGGGAGCCCTGCTCGTCGCACTCGCGGTATCAAGCGTGATTATTCGGTCATGGCCGCACTTTCTGATGACGAAGCCGAAGAGGAAGTTGAAGTTGATGAGGAAATCCTGCAAGACATGGACGAAGGCTTTGAAGGCGATCATGGAGACATTGACGTCGATGGTGAGAATGCTGCAAGTGCTACCGACGATGATATGGATGAAGCTTCAAGCGAAATGTCGACGGTCGTCCTCGGTCGCCAGGGAGCAACTTCTAGCAATGGCTTTGACCCTCTTGCTCAACAGAATGTGGCTGATTTGCCCTATGGCCAAATCATCTCCACCTTCGACGCTCACCCAACCACGGTAAGTTAGCCTCTTGAGCTTTATAACTGCGCTGACATTGAGACAGGCCCCATTCACGTACCTCAATACTCCGTACACCGGAAGCTACGGTACTCATGGTCATGTTGGTGTTGGAATGATCAACCCCTATTCGGTTCCTGAGCTCGGATATTCTGGTGCTGCCACAATGAGCACAATGCCGCAAGCATTCCCAGCATCGCAATTTCCAAGCATGAGCTTGTACAACTCCTCGGTCGATTCCTCCCGCAACAACTCGGTCGGTGGAGACATGATGTTCGCAACCCTTCCTTCAATGGCTAATGACGAGTTCTTGACTGCGCATACCGGCTTTGGGCATGGCAATACAGGAGACGTGATGAATGCACAAGGCATGATGAATGAGGAGGACATCAACAACATGGCAAACGACAACTTGTTCTGGGACGCGGGTGACTATCTCGTCGACGATGCTTGAGTTTCGGTAAGTCACCACGTCTCCGCACATCAGGCATGACTGACTGTGTTTGGACAGTTAGTCAACGTCTCCTCGCCCTGGATTGAATGATGGCGAATGGTGAAGTGATATTCCATGGCACTGAGCACTCGTGGTGTAGTCTGGGAGGAGTTTAAGACCATGATGGAATCACGCAAATCGGTTATGTTTTCATTTTCTTTTCATTTCATTTCGTTGATTTCGCTGGGCAAAAGTTATCACTGGGTGACTTGATCAACAATCAAGCGTTCCTCGCGAAGGGAGGACAGACCGACATGGATCACATCGGGGCTCATGTCGGTCTCAAACACTCAGCACAAAAAAGATTTCAAGCACTGGAGGGTATGGTGGCACTTACTGACAGCTGGCTATGAACCCATCCGTTTCATTTCCTGCATGTGTTTGTACCAAGCTACAAGCAACAGAGTCATAAGATAGAGTTCTCAGGCTTGCACAATGTCAATCATGGGGCATATCGATTCAGAGTCTACTTTTCCTTCTTCCGCATTGCCTGTGATCTGGTCCCCAGGCCAATATGTGAACCTCGGCCACAGTATCATCAGGGGAAACAGAAATGAGCAGCGGAGGCTTTATTCGGAAGTGTCGGAGGTGGCAGAGGCGAGGCTCCGATTGGTTGCCAAGCTACTAGGCCTGAAATGGAATCATGCTGCATCTGCGATTCTGTTGATTTCGAGAATCTCCAAATTTTTATTGGTATCAACCTCGAACTCTGTACCATACCACAAATCCATCAGCTGTCCTATTCTCCCTTCCCCTTTCCTCATTTCGACTCGTCCAAACTGCTTTGCCCACCATGCAGCGCGCTCTCTCCTCCGCAGCCCGATCCTCCTTGTCCTCCTCTTCTCCATACTCCAGATCAGCCGGGCGAAGTCTCCAACAACTGCGCTTCGCTCACAAAGAGCTAAAGTTCGGAGTGGAGGGAAGAGCTCAGTTACTCAAGGGTGTCGAGACTCTGTCGAAGGCTGTTGCAACAACGCTTGGACCTAAGGGCCGCAATGTTCTCATAGAGTCAAGCTACGGCTCGCCCAAGATTACCAAAGGTGAGTATCCGTGATCTTGGGACCAACACAAGCCCGAACTAACGAAGCAATCAGATGGTGTTACGGTCGCCAAAGCTGTCACCCTCCAAGACAAGTTCGAGAACCTGGGAGCCCGTCTCATCCAAGATGTCGCCTCAAAGACAAACGAAGTTGCTGGTGATGGCACTACAACCGCCACCGTGCTCGCAAGTGCCATCTTCTCTGAAACCGTCAAGAACGTTGCGGCCGGATGCAATCCTATGGACTTGAGAAGAGGTACTCAGGCAGCCGTTGACGCCGTCGTCGACTTCCTGCAGAAGAACAAGAAGGACATTACCACCAGTGCTGAGATCGCTCAAGTTGCGACCATCTCTGCCAACGGTGATACACATGTCGGTAATCTCATCTCGAACGCTATGGAAAAAGTCGGCAAAGAGGGCGTGATCACGGTTAAGGAAGGCAAAACAATTGAAGACGAGCTCGAGGTTACCGAGGGCATGCGCTTCGACCGCGGCTTTACTTCCCCCTACTTTATCACCGACACAAAATCGCAAAAGATCGAGTTTGAGAAGCCTTTGATCCTCCTCTCCGAAAAGAAGATTTCCGCTGTGCAAGACATTATCCCTGCCCTCGAGGCGTCTACCCAAATGCGCCGACCTCTTGTCATCATTGCCGAGGATATCGATGGCGAAGCACTGGCTGTCTGCATTCTCAACAAACTTCGAGGTCAACTTCAAGTGGCAGCCGTCAAGGCTCCCGGCTTCGGAGACAACCGCAAGAGCATCCTTGGTGATATCGGTATTCTGACCAACGCTACCGTCTTCACGGACGAACTGGACATCAAACTGGAAAAGGCCACCCCTGACATGCTGGGCTCGACCGGCAGCATCACCATCACCAAGGAAGATACCATCATCCTGAACGGCGAAGGTAGCAAAGACGCCATTGCCCAGCGATGCGAGCAGATTCGTGGCGTCATGGCTGACCCCTCGACCTCAGAGTATGAGAAAGAGAAGCTCCAAGAGCGTCTTGCCAAATTGTCAGGGGGTGTCGCCGTCATCAAAGTCGGTGGAGCTTCAGAGGTTGAGGTGGGCGAGAAGAAAGATCGTGTCGTTGACGCTCTGAATGCTACGCGCGCTGCCGTCGAAGAGGGTATCTTGCCCGGTGGTGGTACTGCTTTGATCAAGGCTGCTGCAAATGCCCTTGGTAGCGTTCAGCCCTCCAACTTCGACCAACAGCTCGGTGTCAGCATCATCAAGAACGCTATCACGCGACCTGCTCGGCGGATCGTTGAAAACGCTGGTCTGGAAGGCAGCGTCGTCGTTGGCAAGCTCATGGATGAATTCGGTTCCGACTTCAACAAGGGCTTTGACTCGGCCAGCGGACAATATGTTGACATGCTGAGCAAAGGTATTGTCGACCCTCTCAAGGTCGTGCGCACGGCGCTTGTTGATGCCTCCGGTGTCGCATCGCTACTGGGTACCACGGAAGTTGCGATTGTGGAAGCTCCAGAAGAGAAGGCGCCCGCAATGCCAATGGGCGGCGGCATGGGCGGCATGGGAGGAATGGGCGGATTCTAAGCAACAAATGCTGAGTCGGATGAGGGGAGCCATGTCCGGTCCTCCTCACTCTTGTTCCTGACACTTGCAATTTCCTGCGTTCCAGCGATCTCCATTCGCGCCTTTGGTATAGCAGCAATCCGCAGCAGCGCATCGTCGGAGCCTCCTGCCGCCCTCCTCTCTCAAGGCCGCCCTCTCCTCGGGAATCTCTTGACTCGATCTAAAGGAGATTTGCTCGGTCCGAGGAAAAACGGTTGATTTACCTCTTTGTACATTCTACGAAACTTGTTACATTACTCTCCACTCAGGTTCGAAATCTTGTCTATCTTACACATCAGATCTTTGCTCAAGGGAGGGCATGAGGCCTAGAAAAAAGATGGAACAGCTACACTGCAGAGACGCTGGCGAGTGGAGTTGGTCGCGTGCGGTGCGGAGATGGGAGGCGATGCATCGGCTACGGAGGTCAGGCGTTGTATCATAGTTGTGGATGTAGCCGTCCAGCTGTGCAGAAGATACCAGTGTAATAAAAATGAAAAATAATAAAACCAAGCAATTTTATGGTTGCATTCTACAAGTTATGGACACTGGCGAGGCTGCGGACTGAGCCAGCGAACGGGCAATGTTGTGGTTTGGCTTCCTTCACCTAACAATATACAACCTTGAGTCCATCTGGCAACGAGACCACACCTTTGAACCCGTTGCATTCTTTCGGTCGAATGCGGAGAATCAGTCAATCAGATCCTCTCCAGATGAAAGACATTGTCCACTTCACGCAGCCCACGGACATATCCACGAGGTTTGTTGTTGGGCACGAGAAATTTCCACATCCGGACATTGGTTACAGCACACTCGACCTGTTCGCGCTTGACACCCGCCCTCTTTGCCTAAAAACGTCCAAAATAAAACATTGGAAATTATCAACCCGTGAGATGAAAGTGAGTAATTGACGGTGCTTACAAACCCACAGATGAAGGGCGTTTCAGCAAGCGCATCGAGCTCGACGTGCGAGCACTACGAGCCTTCAAGATTTGCCTCATGGCTCAATTTCAGAGTTTCAGATCAAGCCAGCAAATCAGCTATTAATATGCCAGCTCTGCCTCTTCTCTGGACGATCAAGTTTTCTCCCTCGAGAAGTCCTCTTAGCTGGGTGCCCTGACTGCTGGCCATGGCTACCACCGCCAACACAGAGAACCAAAGCCCTCCTGTGCACATTACCGGAACACCCCCCCAAGATCTTCCAGGGTATACCACGGTAGCGACCTTCCCTCCCGGCTCATTCCTCGAGAACCTCGCCGTACGTCGCGATGGCTCGATCCTCGCGTCGGACATGCTGAGTGGGAGTATCTGGTATATCAACCCTCATGCCGAAGATGGGCACACGCAGAGAACTGTCGAGTTGGTTCACAGATTCGAACTCCACGACGCTCAGACAGAGGGACGCTTACCTGGCAACGTGGCTGAAGAAGAAGAAGCAGAAGAAGGTCATGGAATATATTCATCCACCCCAGCCGCAGAAGCCATCATTGAATCCCCAACCGAACCAGACTTGTTCTACCTCTTCTCCGGCATCCACGGCAAGAAGGGGACATGGTGGGTGTACGAGCTGGACATGCGCTCATTCATCCCGTCCTCGAACCGTACAAGGACTGCAACCACCACGTCCGACGAAGGGGAGCAGGCACATCAAGTAGCAAAAGTCAGGCGTCTGGCACCAGTGCCCACCGTGACATGGCTGAACGGGGGCACCGCCATTCCTCACCCGACAGAGCCCTTGATCCTGATGGCCGAGTCGTATCAAGGGTCCTTGTACTCGTACAACATCAAGACCGGAACCGTGGACGTCTGGCTCCAGCACAGACTCTTGGGGAAGATGACCACAAGACCGCCCTGGCCGGGCGTCAATGGCGTCAAGTACCACCACGACGGGAGGGATGGCTGGGTCTATTTCACAAACTCGGACCGCGCAATCTTGGCGCGGGTGAGGGTTAGCGGCCATCAAGGTGATCCTGCGCCCGTTGCTGCCCGCGATGCCCGGAACGGGCAGGTTGAAATCGAGAGTCTCGCCAGCGGGTGTGGTGGTGACGACCTCTGCCTCGACGGACATGGGAATATCTACGTCGCCACGAACCCGCACGACACCGTGCTGAAGTTCCCACGACTTGCGTCCCCGGATGACGCTACCCAAGCACAAAGAGGGAAAAAGGGGGAACCAGAACGTCAAGTCATTCTCGGTCTTCGCCGCCGTCAGTTGTCCGCTGAACAGGCGTCGTCGCCATCGAAGGCAGACTCCGACTTCGAGGTCGACGGGGACACGACGGGACCTACCGCAGTCGCCTTCGGGACCACGGCATCCGACAAGAAGGATCTCTACGTCGTCACGAATGGTGGGATCATAAATCCGTTTGACGGTGTTGTCAGAGAGGCGCGAGTTTTGAGAGTACATCTTTAGTATTTTAACGTGGAGAAAGAGAAGGCGCTTGCAGGTTAGTGTCGAGGATGCCAGAGAACACAGTGAAGAATCGATACAGCGGCACGTTTGTGTGCGAATCTATGATCTCAAGCAGACCAGGTCTCTCTGTTCTAGACGCGCCCTAGCCAGCGCTGCTCGGAATAGTAGTACGTTCTCCGGGGGCCGAACGAGTAGTCTCAGGAACAAAGAAGCCTCCTGTTAATCAGTATATACGTCTACATGTTGTGGATTTAGCCCTTGGCTACAACGTGCCCTACCCATCTACCAGTTGTTCGAGCAGTGCTATACCGCGTATCATCATCCCGGCTTATGCGACGCCACAAAGCTCACGCACCCCCTTTCCCTATTCATGCGCCTCGACCATTCCTATTGCCGCCAAGTTCAGCCCGGGCCAATGCCTCTCGCCCCAAACAAACCAATATCCCAGCGAGCACAGCACCACAAACGCATAGATCGGCAACGCGTAATTCATGTTCGTGCCTGTGACGGGCAATGTAGTCGGGAAGGGTAGCCATACAGTTAGATAAATCGTCCAAACCAGAGCGAAGATGTTGACCGGCGTGCCCCAGCCTTTCCACATACGCCAACTGCCATAGTTCACGATCGCGCCGGACTTGTCGGACAGGCGGCCTGTGAGGCGGGCGTGCAAGATGCAGGAGATGGCGATGATGTATGAGGTGTACAGACCTAGGGAGGAGAGGGCGGTGAAGGCACTGAAGGCGGTCCCTGTCGTTGATCCGATCTCGAAGAGGGAGAGAAGGCAGACAATGACGATCGGGAGCCAAGTTGCGTTCGTCGGGACGTGACGTTTGCGGTCAATCTTTGCAAAACATTAGCAGAACCAGCTGAAAAGAAGAGTGCGAGATTTGAAGAAAAGAAGGAGGGGACCCAGAAACGTACAACCGCAAGCCATCGCAGCAGAGCGCCGTCTCGAGCCCAGGCCCAGGTAATGCGTGAAACCGAAGCGACGCTGGCAGCGACCACGAAGTAGGTGATTATGATCAGCCCAGAAACCATTGCATTCGCGGCCGCCATTGAGCCCGTAGCATTCAGGCATATGGGGATAATAGGATAGGACGCGTCCAGCGCATCGTCGAGGTTGCCCAAGCAGTAGAGCAGGACCAAGATGATGCTGAATGCCATGACACCGTTGATCACGATGGTCAAGATCATGGAGCGCGGAACCGCATGTTTCGCTCGACGAACTTCTTCAGACATGTGGACAACGCCATCAAATCCTGCCCATGGTCTCATGTCAGCAGCAAAGAATCCCATGGGGGGCAAGAGAAAATGCGGAATCTTGAAACAACTGACCGATAAACCCCCAAGCGGGCACCAGCATGCCCAAATTGAACGCGACAAAGCTGCTCCGATCCCAACCGGACAAGACCGAGTCGGTGAAGAAGACAAAGTGCGAGTCGTGCTTGGTTGGCGCCAGGGCCGTCAGGACAACGACGAAGATGACAAACAGGATAACGTGCAGAATGCCGGAGGCCAGCTCCAGCCAGGGGACAAGCCAGAAAGTGTACGTGTTGATGAGCCCGCTGCTGATCAGTAGCGCCCACATGATGAACGTCAAATGCCATCTCTGGGCTGTATACCCCGGCACGTTCTCTGCAATCAGGGCTTGTAAGAGGGCAGCTTCGCCAGAGGTACTTCCAGCGAGAGCCGACACCCAGGCAAACCATGTCACCCAACCTATATGCCTGCGTCAACGGCGGGAAAGACATGAATAGCACTCGGTCGATGGATATAAAGGCGCACCTTGCATCCAGGTAATGAACTTCCTCGAGCCGTCGGGCGCCATGATATGCGTCCAATGGTACTGAGCGCCGGCTATCGGGAGGATCGAGCCCAGTTCGGCCATCGAGTACGCTTGGGCAAGAGAACCGATGACAACAGCAATGCAGCCCCAGATGAGTGATTGCGGCCCGCCGTTCCAGAAGGTGGCGGAGATGTTACTGTCACGGAACATATCAGAGGGGGTTCCTTCACAGATGCAGAGAGTGAGACGGACATGGCCATGACTTCCCAGGACTCCATGAAAGTCAAGGAGAAGGCAAGAAGCTGGGCGAAACTGAAGAGTCGCTGGGCTCGACGAATCAGCCGTTTTGCCGACTCGATGCGGCTCTTGTAGAGCGAAGTAAAGTCATTACCCTCAGCGATGTACCATGGCCGTCGACAGTTGCGGTTGGATACGCCTGCACGACGTTCTTCTCCGAATAGCCTGGTGCCTTCGCATCGTGAACGATGGAATCGGCAGAGTCAGTTCCAGGCTCGACCGTCTCTAGGACGTCTGTCTTGTCGAAGGTTGACATGATGGGTTATTCCGATCCTTGACAGGTTGCTAAGCAGCAAGATAGTGGCGAGAGACTGAAGGGAAATGAAAAGAGAAGGACCTGACTCAAGCGAAGTCAAGCATGCGGGAGATGGCCGATCATAGTATACTCGAGAGCACCAGGCCCCTCCAGATGCTAAGTAGACGATATCCGGCAGTACGACGACACAGCCTGACCCGCAGACCCTGCGGCAGTTGGTGATATTCTTCAAGAGAAGCAGGACAAGGTTCCCTTGGATAGTCATGAGCCAAGCGACCCGGCGTATGTAATGCAACGCAACGCAACGCAGAAGCCGTCCATTGATACAACGTGCAGATAGGGGATTTGTTGCAGAGCTATTGAGTGGAACAGCTAGAGGCGAAGATCCCGCTGAGGCGGAGGCGTACCTCGTACAGATACGCAGGCGGTGGACGAATAACGGAGATGGAAGCTGCCCCATCATTCTAGACATAGTATTGGATTGGAGCCCGCTGTAGGATTAGCCCCATGGGTAGATTGATAAAGCACAGTGGCCCCGGACCGGGGCTATCCAGGTAGGTTGATTGATTGACATACGTGGATGGGCGATCATTAGGTATCATGGAAACGAGGTGGGTGATAGCCTGATAGGAGATCAAAAGAAGATATGGACGGACGGCGCCTCGGGTCGCTACTGCCAACCAACCCCGTCCCAACGTTCGATCTGAAGGATTCTGACCCAGCCTTATTTGGTTCTGGTACAATAGCTTCTGTAGTACCTGGGTAGCACCGAGTAGACTCACTCGTACGACTTCTGTCTGGAGGCACAATGCAGATGAATTACAAAAGAGCAACAAGCGGAAATTTTGATCTCAGGAATAAAAGGAGGTTGTTCAATGTACAAGTTTCCTGCTCTCCTCTCGCGGTCCTCGGGCTTCTAACTTCTGCACTTCCACCTCCGCTTTTCACACCAAGCACTCGATGCAATGCTTTTGAACTAGAGCTTGTTTCGCTCTTGCATCACAGCCTCATCCCCGTTTCCCTCCACTCTTCTAGGCGAGAAGTTACGACTTCTCCAATTCAGCCAGAATCTTCTCTCCCTTCGCCCGCGCACTCTCAAAGTCGCCCACCATGTAGAAAGCACCTTCTGGCAGGTCGTCACCCTCGCCATTGATAATCTTCTGGAAACTGCTGATAGTATCCTTCAGATCCACGAGCTTGCCTTCAATACCCGTGAACACTTGCGCGACGGTGAAGGGTTGGGAGAGGAAACGCTGTAGTTTACGGGCTCGTTCGACGGTCAACTTGTCGGCTTCCGAAAGTTCGTCCATACCCAAAATGGCAATGATATCCTGGAGCGACTTGTATTCTTGCAACATCTGTTGGACGCGAGAGGCAGTATCATAGTGTTCTTGTCCGACGACACGGGGATCCAACATGCGGGATTTGGAGTCGAGAGGGTCGACAGCAGGGTAGATACCCAACTCGGAGATGCCACGAGACAACACAGTGGTAGCGTCCAAGTGAGCGAACGTGGTGGCAGGAGCAGGATCAGTCAAATCGTCAGCTGGCACGTAGACGGCCTGCACAGAAGTGATGGATCCTTTCTGGGTGGTGGTGATACGTTCCTGCATAGCACCCATGTCGACGGCGAGAGTGGGTTGGTAACCGACAGCAGATGGGATACGACCAAGCAAAGCGGACACCTCGGAACCGGCTTGAGTGAATCGGAAGATGTTGTCGATGAAAAGCAAAACTGGTACCAAAAAGTCAGCAAAATCATCCAGACAATCGACAGCGACATATCCATACCATCCTGGCCTTCTTCGTCCCGGAAGTACTCAGCAACAGTTAATCTGATGTTTTAAACATTAGTACAACATGTATGACATGTACAACATGTTTGCAAAGTGTAAAGACAAAATAAAAGTCCAGAGTTCAGAGTCCGGTCCAGTATCAGGTCTTGGCAGCATCGGGTCTTGGCAACATCGCCAGGGTCTTGGCAGTGTCGCCCGTGTGCACTTTGCGAGCCTCTCGGTATGTAGAGTCGTCGCGAGATGTCGTTACATATTGTAGTCATTGACCAAACGTGTATCACAGACTGAGCAGTAATGTAGTTTGTTTTCCTTGGCTTGTTGCCTGACGGCTTTGACGGCTTTGACTGGGCGGTCGACAAACCCTCAACTCTTTTGGCATGGATGATGGTTTCACGGGAGGTTCCTTTCGCTTCATCTAAGCGTTTTGCGATATGTCCGGCGTATGCCAAAGCACAAACAGGACTTTTTCAGGATGCCAAATGGATGAAGTTCCTGGACGTCGAGTTTGATACCGGAAGCAAGATGATCCAGTGTATGTCCGGGAATATCCTCCAGACTGGAGTCTGGGATAGGCTCAAGAAGAAAAGGAGTAACTTACCCAGTCAAGGCGACACGAGCACGGGCCCCAGGGGGTTCGTTCATCTGACCGAACACCAATGCGACCTTGGATTCGCCATCAAGCTGAATGACAGAGGTTTCCTGCATTTCGTGGTACAGATCGTTACCTTCACGAGTTCGCTCGCCGACACCAGTGAAGACGGAGTAACCACCGTGGGCTTTGGCGATGTTGTTCTGGCAATGGTTAGCCATGGAATCTAGCATGGTCAGGCGCACATACGATCAACTCTTGAATAAACACAGTTTTGCCGACGCCTGCACCGCCGAAGAGACCAATCTTTCCACCACGAGCATAGGGAGCCAGCAAGTCGACGACCTTGATACCGGTAACCAAGACTTCGGCGGTAGTAGCTTGTTCAATGAACTCGGGAGGATCGGCATGGATGGGAGACAATTTGGTGGCTTTAATGGGGCCTCTTTCGTCGATGGGGTCACCAGTAACGTTCATGATGCGGCCCAAAGTGCCAGGGCCGACTGGGATCTTGATCGGAGAGCCAGTATCGGTGGCTTTATGACCTCGGACGAGACCCTCGGTACCTCGAATCTAAAGTCAGACTTCGGACGATCGATTGTGCGAGGGGATCTCTCATACCATCCATAGCAATACATCTCACGACACTCTCACCCAAATGTTGCTATTCACCATCAGTCTCCAACTTGCTAACTATCATCTCCATCTTGTGTGTTCGTACCGCGACTTCCAGAACGAGCTTCTGGCCATTGTTATCGGTTTCGAGGGCATTGAGAATAGGAGGGAGTTGTTCGGTATCGAATTTGACTGGAGATAGCTATTAGCTCGATTCATTGGTGCGAGTTCGCATGTATGTGGTTATTGTTGAGCTTTGTGGGAGCTCAATAGGCGCAAGAAGTGAAATTTTCTCGTACCGTCAACGACAGCTCCGATGACCTGATGGATCTTGCCGTCTCTTGCAGCGTCTGTCGAAGCCCATCGCTGTGCAAGAGCTGGAGCAGCGTGTTTCCGCAGAGGCTCGAAAGCGCGTCGGGAGATGGAAGGTCGAGCAAGGGCAGACCTGCCCAAGCTACGGGCGATGCCGCTGTTCAATCACAGGGTCAGCAACAGGCTCAAAGCATTCCACGAGCTGTGCAAGTGTACAGACAGGAGCTCACGAACCTCTTGAGCATGCTTGCGGATGAACGAGAAATTGAGGATGGAAAGGTAGAGGGGAGAGTTGGTGTCGGATCAGGAGCAAAGTGAAGAAACTTGAGGTCAGGAATCAAAGTTGCTGTTCATTGAGCTCGGGTCTGCGCTATGCCTAATCGGGGACCTCCATTAGACCCCGACAAGCCCCGGCCTCCTACGAAGTGCCTCGTCAATTTTCAAAAGCCATCAGCATGGCATCAAATATTAGGTATTGGGATATGGCAAATGAGGCAATCTTGGGCACCCTGTGGGAATTGGCACCATAAAGTAAAAAAATCAAAAAGAACGGTTCTGTGCTATCGGTTCCATCACCGTCCGTGTTAATCTATGTACAGTCTCACGAACCAGAGAGCGCCCAAAAGCACAGCTGCAGGGAAGGTTGTTGATTTTTTTTTTTTGGTTATTCACAAAAACACATCGAGATCCCTGCTTTCTGATGATACTAGTCACAGTAAAAAAGACCACCATCTGCGCTGGTGCAACTCCGCATGTTTTCACCCCTTCACACCATCGTCGGTCACTCGTCTGGCTCAAGCTTGATGCCCTGAGCCTTAGCAGACTTGCTTTGAACAAAGCCTGGACCGCTGTATCCTTCACTACTGATACCATACATAGGATTGGACCTCTCCGACTGTAGGTATTTGTGTCAGCTTCGGATCTTGTTCAGGGAAAACCTTGTGAGGCTATCCTGGAATGCGCAGCAACCCCACAGCAGGATTGACTCACCTTGAGATATTCATTGGTAGCTTCTTGCCATTCCTTAGTCATGGTTCGTGGAGGCGGTCGTGCCATGGAATGGATGAGCATGAATGTAGCCAGCGATATTCCAAGGCCAACCGCCGTATAAAGCCACACTTTGGTCCATTCACCCGGGGCTGCCTCAGCACGGGGTCCGTGAGGTCCAAACGCAATCCACCATGCTACAAAAGCATCAGTAAGGAGTTTTCCAGCTTGTATCACTCTTTCCTCCAGAGGTGCACCGAGAATCCGAGCTGCGTTGAGCACATCATCCCCGAGCCGCGCTCCTCCGCGGAAAGACGGGACCGGTACATACCAGCTTTCTTTTCCTGCAAAGTCATCTCGTTCCAATCAACCTTCATACGATCTCTCAATTGCATCCACAGCTCGGCCTGCTCTTGCGGAGGCATTGATTCCCATCTCTTCTCAATCCCGGCGAGGGTTGGGTTGGAAATGGCGTGAGCAGATCGCATCTGGGACTGGCTGCTCATGGGAGGGAGCTGTTGGGAAGCTGCAAACGTGGGAGCCAAGGACTGCGCTGAGGATCGGAAGCATCGAATGGAGGGAGATGTGATTCGCGTGCATGCTGTCGAGGTGCTGGTGGAAGCACGAGCTGCACGGGGTAAGGAGCGGAGATACATCTTGCTGGAAAGTTCTGAAAGTTCGATCAATACATACGAAAGTCGACCGTTGAATACCCTGCCGAAGCCTGGAGCTCGGCGGCCGCTGTCGTAGCAGGTTGCTTGTGGGTTGAACCTGGAAGATGTGAGAACGATTGTCTGAGGTCGTTGGTTCCAGATCAAGTTCAATCCCAATTGCAGAGGATTCGCTAGCTCCCTGGGCTTGGCACTGCGTAAAATTACCGCGTACATCAGCGTGCATCACCCCACACCCTCCTACTTGGATACCGTGGCCATGAGCTGGAACAGATATCTGCGGATACCTATGTGAGCGTTTGACATTCGGGTACCGACTTTGCAGCTTTGCGGCTTCGCTCGCGCAGAACTAAGCATTATGATGCGTCCTCGGGTAGACATTACTTACCTAGGTAGGCATGAAGCACCAGCGTTCCTTGTCACAGTGCGGTACGCAAGAAAACCAAAAATTACGATTTGCGATCACATGCAGGGAGCAACAATGGGAGTGCAGCACAGAAGTCGCACCGAATGGACTTAGGCGCACGATGTCGCGTGGGAGCCATGCGATGATGCCTATACTGCCTAGGTAGGTAAGAAGTGGTCGATTAAGCTCACTGAACAAGCACATATTCGGGGACGGCGGTATCAGTCCTATCGGTCTCATACTCGTCGAAGAGCACAGCAGGTACAGAAAGTCTCAAAGTTCTGAAACAGGAAAAAATGCTTCGAATTTTGGTTCGAGACGATCTATCTCGGTCATTCAACGTAGCAGTGTTCTATCTTCATCACAGCCTCAAATGTCGGGCGTGCTCCAACGGCGCATACTCAACCTGTTTGCCATGCTCGGCTCGTCAGAAGATGTGCCCGTTCGTCCAGGTACCATAAGACCAACATATATCTTGTGGCAAGCGTGTTCTGTTGCTGGGACGTCAAAGTGTTGTCCAACCACTTCAACTGTCAATCTGCTCTTAAACTGTCCCTTTGCCTTTGCTAGCTTCCTTGAGCAGGTCGGCCCACTCCAACTCGCCGGGGTCGTTTGCTTGCCAGTTCATGGCAATTCCGTTGAGAGCATTTTTCAAGGTTTCGCGGGAGCTGGCATACACCATGCGTGACTGGAAGTGATATTAGCCATGGTCATATCTAGAAAGAGCAAGGGCGGACATACCTTGACACCGGTTGCGTCCTGGTTGATGTAGGTGATGAATGCAATTTTGGATCTTGATGTTCCCGTCAGTACACATATCCGTGAAACGGGCATGGCGACCATTGGGTATACAATACCTCTTGCCTTCACCGCCCTCAAGCTCGAATTCGACATCGTAAATGGCGTACGAAGGACGGTCCTTTCCATTGGCCTCCTTCTTGGCTATGAGCTTCTCTCTGAAAGTGTCGTAGTCAGGCTCGCTGCCGACTTCGTCTACCACGATTTCCTTCTGATCATCGGAGATCTTGTAGATGATGTACTTGGGACCGCCGCGACCGAGTTTCAAATCATTGAACTTTGAGACGCAGTCGGGATTCACGGAGAGGCTGGTGAGGTCAAGGCATTAGAAGGGCACGGCGGCGCGCACACGAAGCGAGGATCTTTCGAGGGAAGATTGGATAGACATACCCGGACACAGGCTATAAGGTAGGGTTAGTCGAAGCGGAATTTCAGGATGGATTCAAGCACTCACCATGACTGCTTATTCGGGTTCCAGACACCTATGCGACTTGGTTTGAAGCTGCTATTGTTGTCAGTTTCGGCAGAGAATAAGATGGCGCTTGGAGAGATGGGGGCGCAAAGGAACAAAGATAGGAATATGAGGTCTCGGACAGGCACCGGCGATCGCAGGCGCTCCAAGAGAAGGGCTTACGTACCTTGCGGAAGGATTGTGGTGCAAGACTGGACAATGCAACGCAAAAGAAAGTCCAGATTGCGTGTAGGGCAGGCAGAGGATAAGGGAGTGTTTGGTGGGATGGAACAGTAGTAGTGACGGGACGCAATTGACAGTAAAAAGAGAAGAATCAATGGTGGGGTCCAGAATACGAGGCACTCGGTCTGCGTACGCGCCTAATCACAACGAGGGGCTCGCCAGGCTCCTCCGGTTTGGTAGCAACTTGGAAGTCAGTGGTTGTCACGCGAACGCCCAGAAATTCAGCCTAGTAAGCTCCCGCCTTTTCTCTCACCGATACTCTGCCCTTCTCTTTGATATCATCCATGGATATCATTGTCCTGACGATCGCTCTCTGGCTGATGGGTGCCTCCCGTCTGCTAAAACTGCGTTTCATCAGGCTATAAACTGCTCAGGCACCTGCCGTCTCTATCCGTGAGAGCCGTGTCCACGATTACGATATCTCCCAGGCATCTCTGCGTGTTGTACCTGGCGATTGATCATGACACCGAATGTCAGCCGCCTCCCAAAGAGCTAATTGCTCGCCACCTCTCGTTCCGCGAACCAAAGATGCTGGTTGCAGGTGAGCACACGACGCAGATGGGAAACATTGATGCTGTTGCGGTCGTTGGTGGACCGGTTTGCAAACAATGGAGGCTAGGCGTCCACCGGGCTACACAGACTTTGCCAGCCAAAGCACTGCATGATGCTCGGAAAAGTCGCCTTGGGTTTTTGGTTTTAGGCTTGGGGCCTTCAGCCTTCTCATTACTTATCGAGCCTCGCTGCATTTCCGTTCAATGAAGGCCACCAGCCTGTCGCCGCAGCCGAAGGGGTTAGGGGTTTCTGGTGAGTATAGCGCCGGCAGACAGAGACTTACACAGTATCGGATATGGGATGTGACCAAGGTTTGCAGGGAGGTCATTCCCAACTCAACAGACGCTTCAGGCACAAAACAGTGGCACATGGCAATATCCGGATAGGTCACTCAACAAAGGATATAGGATTGAGGGATTAAAGTTTATCACAATACACAAAGACAATTGGACTGAGCGTCTCAACACCGACCATGAGTTCTGCTACTATGATCATATCTGAAACCAATGACTTTGACATCAAGTCAATGGAAGAGCGCGAGGGAGCAAGGAATCGAGAACCGTTGTCTTCTGTGGTTATATTGAGCTGCGCTCCTCCCTACCTAGGTGCTTCCTCTTAAACTGACGTCTTCTCACTCACTGTTTCTCACATTTCTACTCCTTTGTCGTCATCTCCCATTTACTGTCAACTCCCTCAACCCCATCGAAGCCCATCGACCCAGTTACCTTCATTTTCAGTTTACTTGAAGGAAGCTCCTGTCACCAATCATGGCGAACCCTTGGAATGATGCCTCTGAAAAGCTCCTGCTGTTCAGCATGATCGAAGAGCCTCACAACTGCTCTGGAGCAAGATTCGAACAGGCAGCTGTAGCGATTGGTGGTGGAGTGACTGCGAGTGCTTGTCGGTGAGTTCACTCTCTCAAAATTTTAGCGCCGTTTGAGATCCAGAAATTCACGTTCTCCTGACGCTGAACTTGTTTTCATTTCCTCTTCCATCACCCCTACACTTTACCTTCTCCTCCTTATTGAACACCATCAGCTCTTCTTCAAGCACATCAAGCCAGACTGTTGCCCGATCGTTCGTCACCCCAGAGTCTTCACGATGCCTTTCAAATGGGATCCTGCGTCTGAGCGCAACTTGCTCCTCTATGCTATCGCCGAGATGAATGCACCACCGACTTCGATCTGGCCTCGGGTTGCTGAGAAACTGGGCAATGATCTCAACGGGAATGCATGCAGGTATCATCACTTTTCCTCGCCTGTTTAGTGACGTTCCACTTTTGCCTTTCATCTTTTTCAAAGCCTGGGGTCTCGGGCCATGTTTGCTGACTCGTAAGCTTGTAGTCAAAAATTCTACAAGTTGAAGAAAGAGAGTGAAAAGATTCTTCAAGGCGATGCGACTGTCAGAGGTGATGCAGCCACCCCCGTCAAGGAAGCCAAGACTGCGAAGGCGCCTGCTAGCAAGGCTACGTCTGGAAAGAAGCGCAAAGCCGCGGACCCCGACGATGGAGAAGATGTCAAGACTCCCACCAAGCGTAAGGGAAATGCGAAGAAAGAAGCTCCAGCCAACCCAGAGCCAGAGGTCAAGGCAGAAAGCCAGGAGGAGGAAGCGAACTCTGCTGTCAAGGCCGAGGACGAACACAACAATAGTTGAACACCCTCAATTTGCAATCCGGTAATTACTACTTGTTTCCACTTCCCGGTTTCTATTGCTGACGATTCATGAGGATCGCAAGAGCTCGATTCCCGGGCCGTGACCAATTCTGTTCACAGCGCGCCTGGAGGAGCGGCAAATTTCACTTGCAGGATAGCATGAGTGCGCACATACAACATGAGCTTCCTATTCCTTTTCTGCTAGGTCCCGCACAGGATATGGTATGACACGATAGGATATGGCTTGAGCTGAGGTTTTGTTTGAGGAGAGATTGCTTTGAATGGGTTCCGCAACAAGTGTGCCATGCCTGTCACTCTTGCCTCAGAACCAATCATGAGGTCATTCCATCGGGGATGCAGACAACAGAAGGACTGTTCGAGGCACGTTGCATAGCTGAGCAGAAATGACAATTGAAAAACAACTGGACTCAATCCGCGCATTTGCTACTTTCAAGTCGTTCCCAAGGCAATTCGGTCCGTCCTAGTGAAGAGTCCGCTTGGCTATTGTAACCCGCTGCTAGGTCCGGTGGTGTCTTACGTGTCTACCAAGGAACTGTCACAGAGCCTGATGCAGAACACAGACCTTTCTTCGGCTGAACCTGGCCAAGTCCCCCCTTCTACCTCCAAGAGGCGAAATGGAGGATGACTGGTTTTCCCCTGGCCATCAACTCACCATCCGCTGTCGCGCTTTCAGTGCTCTCTGCTTGCTGGCCTTTTGTCCGCGGAAAAAGCTTTGCCTATTTCCGGCAAAGAAGGAGCTCCAAAGGCCGAAAAATTACATCGGATTTGCTGCCACGAAGATACGCAGGATTCAGGTCCACCATTCACCTTCGTTGTACTTGGTCAAGTGACTCGCGCGACTGCGATTGCAGGGGTGCGCACACTCATGTAATCTGTAGTAATAGGGTGTGAAAGGAGTAAATTGTTGGGGAGAGGCTGGAAGTTGCGGGAGGAAAAAGTGGTCCAAGCCTTCTTTGCGAATATTGCGATCCGGACTGAGGGAAACCAGCAGCCTCTGGTTTCGAGGCACCATCTTATGCGAGAAAAAGATTCTTGCATGCAAAAGTGCCATGCTCGATTGTGATTGCAACTGTGGTGCTCCAATCAGCAGCTGATGCATGCAGGAAACGGGAGGGTCGTTGTTCAGTTGTAATGACATTGTTACCGCTAAGCTGCACGCCTGCAAGCAAACAGACCCAAGAGGCGCCAACTGCGCCCGCTCCGTCATGATCCTGCAGCTTCACCCTTCGCTTCCTTACCACCCTCCATCACAACTTCCAATGGCTTCAACTCGTGGGACTTGGTCCTGCTCTCACTCCACTCCATGGCCGCGACGAGTAATTTGTGGCCTGTGGATCAAAGAGACCGGCGACCCAGGAATCTCTTCTGTGTGCTCCTCTCGCCCGCCCCCAGTCCACGTCAATGACTGACTTCGCTCTTCTTGTCGAGGCATCACCTCCATGAATGCATCCAGCAACTCCAATATGTCCTCGATCTGGGACTTCAAAGATACTCTTTTCCGGGTATTGGCAGCAACTTACGCTGCGCTGGGCGAGGAATCTGTGAGAGGCTCATTCCTGTCAGGCTGCGTTCGAACTAATATTGTGCCAGTTCAGAAGTCAATTGACGAGTATCGCCGCATATTACGGAGGAGGGGCAACTATCCTTGAGATCGAAACCCTCTTCACAAAGGATGTTCCTGCAAAAGCAGAGCAGCTTAGACGCGAGCTGGCCAGTCGCCACGTCTGTGGCAGAAGCAGGCTTTTGAGAGGTTCGGCACGACCTCATCGCCCACCTCTACTCGACTTCGACGACGAGGACATTAGCATCCTGAGCCCAAGGGAGGTCGAAGTCCTACAGGCTCGATCTAATAACTCGCTCCGAGCTCCTGCAAAACGTCCTCGTGTGGTTGAAGGACCACCTCCGACGTCGCCTGCTGGGGGCGTACCAGCGAGTGAGGCCATGGCACCTCCTCGTAGGGAGTCCGGCATCCCGCAAGTAAGGGCCTCTGGGGCTGCAACAAGTGAAGTCCAAAGTGGCCCTTCGAATTCCGAAGCCCCTACTACGGGACAGAACCAACCAGATGATTTCGCTCGGGAGAGCGTTGCCCGGAGCCGAAAACGTCGCTTTTCGGAGGTGCGTGATCCAATTGAGGCCCAGACTGCAGGCAGTACTCACACAAGTCCCCCGCCGACCTCTGAGTCCTTCGGCTATATTACGAAGAACGGTGAGTATCGGTGTGCCCTTTGTCAGAGGCAACTGCCCGATGAGAATGACCTTAAGTTACACGAACAAATCAGCAAGGAGCACACTCGCAATCTGAAAGACAAACGAAAGGTTACCATCGGTCGTGAGAGGCTAGCCCAGCTCATTGCAATGTCTGCCGAAGGAAACAATGCGAGTACCTCGGTGCTCAGTCAGCGACTGAGTCCCGACGATCCACTCGCATCAAGTCCCCAACCTGCAGCTGTCGAGCCCTTACACGTGGAAGAAAATAGTGACAGCCATGAGTGCCGATCACCAGTGGGTCAGCGTCAGGACTGTCAAGTTTCCTCCATGGATGTCAATCAGGAACGGCGACGGCATCTCAGCACTGCGCCAATCCAGCAAAGTATCGAACACGCAACATCCGCATCATCAGCGGCGCCTTCGCAGACTTCCAACAAGGGGAAGACCCGTGCTGCGTCTTTCTTACCCTTTTCAGATGTTACTCCTTCTACAACAGCGACCCCTGCACCGGCAGCAGAAATACACACGCGGCCCACCACCGCTCAGACCGAAATCGGAACTCTCAACAGTCCTCACGTCTCCCGGTCCGTTGACTCTGCTATTGCACAGCCGCCCGCGACAAGGCCGGACGATGAGGCACCTGAAATCTCGCTCAGGACCATCAAGGACATTGTGCGCTCGACCCAGCTGGCAATCCAAGTGCTAAGCACATTCCAAAACTGCGCGTCCGCCAGTGTCAAATCGACCACCATTCCTGCCGAGCCTGGGCCTGCACCCTTTGCCAACCCCAAGTCCGAACCTCTCCATACAGGACTTGGTACCGGTGAAATTGACAACTCTGCGGTCCCCACGACTTTGATCTTAGAAACCTTGGATGATGCAGCATCATCCAGCGGTCTGAACTCTGGCATCAGGAATCGCGCACAGGGCACGATATCAGGGCCAGGGATTGGAGTACGTTTTGGCATCAAGCGTAGAGACACAAAAGAAAATGGAAAGAAGAAGGATGTCGGCGAGCCAATTTCTGTCATTGTTCTCGACTAGGTATTTTTTAATGGAAATGTTCCTGTCCCTTTTTGTCCCGCCTTCCCTCCAAGCTACAAGTCTGTCTAGCACAGCAGAATCCAGCCGAAATCACTGTTTGTTGGATGACTTTGATTGTTCCCTTCCAGTACTGTTCCACCCCAATGTCTTTTCCTCTCTTGTCTTTTCGGGTTTTGTAGGCTAAGCTCATTTATGTCTCCCGTTCACTCGCCTCTACCCTCATGTGAGATAACTTGGGTAATTCTAACTGTTGATTCATTGTTCCGCCCTCTATCCAGCTCCCGCCTGACCTATGTAGTAATGCCCAACACTGATGGACGGAAAGCCAGTTATTTCCCTTTCAGCTCGATTGGCACCCTTTTCCCGCTCTGGACGCCTTCCTTCCCTGCCGCCGACATGGCCGGCCTCGTAAGCATGCTGGAGACAACACTGGAGCTTGTCGTTACGCTTGTGAAAAAAACCCTTTTTTCAATTCTCGGCCTTGACCTTCTTGTTTGGCACCCCATTGTCGATGCTGTCGCGGTCATCCAAGCTCCGTTTCTGCGGCATGTACCCGAAAATTTGGGCCACATTCGCGCCGGTTGCCACGGGCGTTGGTGCAGCAGCAGTGGGAGTGGCGAAGAGGGGTTCCGCAGCAGACTCGGCTGGGGAAGGAAGACCATAAGCGACGCCCAGGTCGTGAGGATGAGGATTGCCCGTCTCCACCTTCACGTGTTGTTCTGCGATGGAGAGGTCCGGCGCATTCTGCTTGCCTGTCGTCTTGGGAGCCACTCGCTCACGCTTGACCTTGGGCTTGGCCTCGCTATCTTCTCCAGTCTCGCGCTTCGCGGCAGATGAGACTCTGGGGACGGCGAAGCCATTGTTGTTACCGGATGGCGGACTCGTGGTGGTGACAATGTTCAGACCGTTGCGCTTCTTGATCTCGCCGAGTCGCTTGACGATGGTGTTTGGTTTTGCGCCGGTCTTATGACAGTACGGGCCGATGTGGAACTATATCAAGCGTGAGAAAGGATAGAGGATAATCGAAAGAAGGAGAAAGGCAAAGCGGGTTTGGTACTCAGGTGAGGTGAAGTGAGGTGGGATTGACGATCCGAGGATCTGGTGAGATGGGCGAAGTTGGCAGTGAGATGGCTAGAGGAACTAAGGGAGCGAGGAGAGTGAGGTCAGAATACTTACGAGGATCGGTTGAGGAGAGTCACGCATGAGTTCGAGCAAGAACATGGCATCTTTGGTGCTCAGCTCCTGCTTGTTGTTGGTATTTTGCGTTGGTGCCATATTTCGAAATTGCCTAGTGATTTTGTCTAGGTGTATCGAGTAGTGCAGTGAAGCAAAGCTTGAAAAACTCTTGTGAAGAACGGGAAGTAGAGGGTAGATTAAACGAGTCGAGTTGAGCTTCAAGAGAGTAGTGGAGAGTAAGGTAGATGTGGACTGTGGCGAGGGGGAAGGGTTGAGTAATGGTTTTCAACCGTAGAGCGGGACGTTTTTGGGACCGTCTCAACCACGAGACGGGAATTCTAGGTTCACGGGTACGATTTGTGCTGGGATGGTCAAAGACCGGACTCGTATGAGAGAAAATGGGGAGGCTGGGGGTTTCGAGAAAGGAAATTCCCGCACGTGCATGCAGCTGTTGGGAAAAGGCTAATGTTTCTGACCTGGTCGAAGAAGAGTCCGAGGGCAAGGAAGACTAGAGGGATGGATGGATACTAGTACAAGGTACATTGGCGTGATTCGTCTGTGCAAAGGACAGTCGAGCCGGACTTTCGTAGATATTGTGCAAAAGGCCTTGTAACAATGTTGCCACCATACCTACTTACTTCTGGTATGCTCCTGGGGTCCATTTAGAGAATAGATTCTACGCAAAGGAGAGGTGGCCTGCTAAACCCCATTTGAAGGGCTTGCATTTTTTGCGCAAGTACCATTGACAGTTGCAGATGTCGAAGGAGCTAATTGGAGGATAAGAAGCCGGTGCTCCAGAAGACATGTAACTTGCGGAGGAGGAAAGCAAGGTTCAAAAGGAGAGACGGTGTGGATTACCAGTAGGATTGGGACGAGCACATTCCTCAACGAAGAAACTTTCATGCGTCCATCCCTGGTCAACATGTAGCGTGACAGGGGTCTCCAGGACTCTCCAGCGTAGTTTGAGGGAGCCAGGATATGCAGGATGGTCTATCACATCTCCCATGGGTGCAACTTTCTCTTGTCTACGTGCATGGTGTGTGGGGGGCGATGGGAGGGGACGGTCGAGGCCCGCTCCACCCGCGAGCCTTGTCGGAACCCCCGCTCGCTCCTTATTGGGTACGCCAAGCCGACGCTAATTCTCGGGGGCCAAGACGCTAAAACTCCAGGCAAAATGGACGACAAGTCTGCAGTATACAAGGCCAGGCAGACATGTTTATACAACGTTTGATATCCCACATCCCCACGAAATTCAGGAGGTTGGGAATCCCTCCATCATGATGCGTCCAGCCCCCTTGATTTCCTCTGCTGCAGGATCGTCCAGCAAACTAAAACACCCACCCACCGCTACCCCCCAAAAAGCCAATTGGATACCGTTTGCTTCTCTAATCCCTCTGCCGTTCTTGCCGGCATCTTCGCACCCGTTTCTGAGTCATTTTGATGGCGTTTTCTCCGCCAACTTTCGAAGCCTTTGCATGATCATTGCATGCACCCCTTGGGGAACTCTAGGGACTTGACCAGCCGCGCCCTCAAGCCATGAAACTGTTGTCGCTGCTGTTTCCACTTCTCTGATGTCCGCTCATCATCTCCCCCATGTTCACCGCTGGGAAATAGGCTGCTACTGGCGTGAACTGTGCGCCGTAGCTGTGGAATGAGTCCAGGCCGTTACCAACGTTCACCGCCATGTCCTCATACTTGACTTTCTGATGAGGGCTTTCGGACTCGTCGCGGAATGGGATCCCTTCCACGGACTTCTGCTTGGGTTTCCGAACCCGCTTGGACGACGGGGGTGTCTTCTTCTCATCGTCATTATCCTCAGCCTTGCGCTTGGTTGGTGTCGTGGGTGTCGGAACTCCTTGATCCTCCAAGAGCTTTGCCATCTCGTTTCGCAGCTTGTAGTACTTTTGACTGCCCACAGGTCAGTAAAACTCCGCGCAGGAAACCTTTCGTCTGTGGAGCACGCGATGCACACACCTCACAGCCGATGCTGTCAAGCCTTCTCCGAGGAGACTCGCAACCCGCTGCCATGTATCGGCAGAAGGCCTCAGGTTTGCAGAGGAAATTGCGAACAGCAGCATGCGCCGCTCCCGCTCAGCAGTCCATTGATAAGGCATGGTTGGGAAAGGGGACAAATGTCTAGAGCAACAGTGACAACCAAGGAGCAACCCTGGCGAGAATGCACTTAGGAAGGCTGGTGAGGGGAGCGGAAAAGGTGCAAGAAGGAAATGGGAAACTCATGTAAATATAGAGAGAAAGTCCGCAGAAATGAGCGACACACCGGCGTGTTGCTGGAGTGTGTATGTGGGCCTAGATTGACCCATCTGCTGCCACTGGATTGCAGGTAAAGGGCTAGCCATGGCCCTGGTTCACACGGAGCCAGGGTGACGCAGCATCCGACCCGTGCTAAAAGGGCGATAACACGAGAAGAAGCAAAGATGAATTCAGTATTCCCTTCGCCACTAGCAAGGGTGGGTCGACGGAGCCAATGTTTGTAGTCACTGGGCAAATCACCTCCCATCTTGCAACAGTTCGGCCGTGCCTCTGCAAACCCGTGATTCCCAAGAGCCCGGCACACTTCTAGCGCCGGAAAATGGCCTTTTTGAACCTTCTCTGAGGCATACCAAGCGCTGAGGGCCAATCAATGAGACGTCGGATCCCTGAGCCTGAGTGTCAAATAAGTCACGGAACTGTATGGGCTAGTTGTAATGACAGAAACGGCCTCGAGCCTTTCTGCTCGCCCTGGGTTCACACCAGCTGAGGTACCAATCGCCCCCCGAGAGTAGGGGAAGTCCTTCAGCGCCTGGTTGGTAGGAGCTTGAGAGGTATAAAAGGCCTTGAGCCTGATCGTCGAAGCCCAGAAGCTGAAAGTCAACAAAAGCTCTTCTACCCCTGCCAACACCTTTGCTGAACCATTTCCTCTTCTCAATTTAGCTCAGACCTGAAATACAGGGCGAATCGATTGAAATAATGGCTCAAAATCAGGTCAAGGATACCGATATTGCAGTTCTGATTGCCGCAATTCAAAGCTCAGTGGGCCCTATTCAAGTATCAAAAAAGTCGCTGCTGAGCCGACGACATGACCTCTGACACATTCCCCAGGTTGATGCCGAAAAAGTGGCAAAGCATCTGGGCATGAGCTTGTCGAGCATCCCGCCCAAGTTCACGGCTATTCGGAAGCGGTACAACATTGACATCAAGGTCGTCAACTCCGGAGCCTTGCAGCGCAATCGCCAACACAGCCCCAAGAAGAGGCTCTCGGGGCACGGGCCTAAGCCCGTGAGGAATGTTAATACTCGAACACAATCGGGGAATGAATGCGTGATGGAGTTACCAGAAGGGCTTGTCTTCGAGCCAGCTGTGGTTGCGAAACATGAGAGTCCGTGAAAGTCGGGACGCTTGTTGCAGTGGAAAGAGATGACCATTTTGTCTCGGAAGAAAGATGGTGCTTGGGGGTTTGAACAAAGTCAGACACCAGGGGTAACTCTCTCCCCTTCGACAAGGGCAGTGTACTCACCTTATAGGAACGCGTTCTCCCATCACGTGTTGCAAGAGCCATGGCGTTAAAGAGTTCACATGCTGGAAAAGTTGAGCAAATCGGACGACAAAACAGGAGAGTGCGGTGTATAACTTAGTCACAAAGAAGGACAATGATGAAGCAATATTATTCTGGCTTCCATGACATGTCAAACCATGACCCCATAAGAGTTTCTCATGGTAAGACATGGATGACCATACAAATCGATACAGACGACCTGAGTCCTTCCCCCTTTTTGTCTCTCTTTCTCTTTTTGATATCCTTTGTGTTGACAGTGTTCTGTTGGGGGCTTCCCTATCGTAAGATGACCGAGCCTTGATGGTGTTTTGCCGTACGCTGGACGCATCGCAACAACCAGATGATGTGAAAGGAACGCTCCGTGAGACCATCGTCTATGTCGAAAGATGAAGGGCTTGTCGACCGCTCTTCTGGCTAGCGTGGGAAAGGTGCGCGCCCCGATCCCCTTCGACCGCGTCGCGGGGCCACAGAAGAATGCCCTCAAGGTACTGATCGGTGATCATGAAGATGCATGCGTGAAAAAGGTCCGTGAAAAGCGCTTCGAGGAGGAGGAAGAGGGCCCTTGCCCTTGGGACGAGACCAGGACGGGGCCAAGGGAGACCAGCAGAGCATTCCGATGTGAGTGATTTGATAGGTATCCTTGCACAAAGCTTCGTTTGACGAAGCGAGGTAAAGATAAGCTATTCGACTTATATACATGTTCTCATGATGACGCCAACATCCTGAGCTGTGCCTGAGCCAATGTATACCGCTGGCTCCTAGCCGGGGTTTTCCACGGCAACAACCACACTCCAGGAATGGATTCAGGAAGGATGATGAAGAAGCAATGGTGGAGGCTTTCTACTTTCCACAACAGGCCATAGTGGTTCAGCCCAGCTCCAGCTCGCAGGGAACTGAGATACTGTCGAGGTTGTTACCTTCTTCGTCTGAGAACAGGAGATTGACCACCTCGCCCGCCGCGCCACCAAGCCCGCCCTCAGATGGAGCCTGCTTTGTCCACCACTCCTGTGGCTGCCGTTGGAAACGTGCGTTCCGCAGGGACAATGCTTGAGCCTTCTCCTCTTGACAAAGGACGACGGCGACATGAAGAAGCTGGTCCCAACGCCTAGAGAAAAGGTGCTGTTGGCGCGGCGTCGAACGTCACTGGCAAGAGATCAAGAGGTCGCGTCGGTGGGAAGCAGGGCAGCACCGACAGCCAGGGCGGACATATCGGCTGGAAGAAGGGCTCTGTCGATAGCAAGGGGAGACGTGTCAAGAGGAAACAAAGGACACATTGAGATAGTAAAAGCACGTTTCAACTTGTCATTCCTGCTGTGAGACGATTCTCACAGCGTGTGCTGTGCTCTGATCTGCTTGTACATACATATGTGTCACTTTTGACACAGCCAGCCGCCCGTGCCTCTCCTTGGCCCCTCACTTGCGAGCCCGCTTTGCGGCCTGCTTCGCGGCCTGCTTTGCAAGCTTGGCCTTGCGGGCCGCCTTCTTCTCCCGCTCTTTCGCAAGGTCGTACTCCCCATCGGAGCCCTCGGTATCCACTTGCTTCGCCCCTTCATCAACCACCTCGGCCGCCGCGCCACCAAGCACGTCCTCGGACGGGGCCCTGGCGGCACGGCGAGTCTTTCGCACCGGCAAGGTCTTCCGAGCCAGTGGCGTTGGCGTGTCAACTTCAACCTCATCGCCTGAGGTGGTCTCGCTTGCTGACCGCATCTCGTCGTCGGAGCAGGGTGTCTCGGCACGGCCCTTGCGCTTGGATCCGGTGCTTGATTTATTCGCAGTGGAGCGCTTGTTCATGAGAGTCAGACCGCGGCGTGGAGTTGTGACTGGGTTCTTTGAGTCTGAAGACTTGGTCATGGATGATGTAGTTGCAGAGGGTGCAGAAGGGACAGCAAAGACTGACTTTGCTTTGTGGTCGGCGTTCTTGTCTTCGTCCTCGTCCTCGTCTTTCGCAGCTGCTCCTCCTTGCTTGATTTGACGCAGGGCCTCGAGGTCTTGAGCGTGCTTCATGATGCTGTGAAAGTTATCGCGAACGCTGCGAACAGTGGGCTTTGCATTGTCGTCATCACCGGCTACAGTTAAGTTAGTAATGGTTGAACAAGATAAAGGACCTTCGGTACTTACGCCACATCTCAGAGACTTTGTTGGCATCGAGTTTGAAGTTTGGGGAACACGCAATGGCAGTTCGGAGGAGCTGTTGAGGGTCAGCGCGTAAACTCAGGATCAGGGCTTTTGGAGGACTTACAGTGAGCTTTTCCGCATCGTTCCATTTCCTGACAGGCATTTTGAGTTGCGGTAGAGAAGAGGGATCTGATCTGACAGGAAGTCTTGACAAATGCGTACTCGAAAATGGCAGGGGCTGAAGCTGATGTGATTCGAGAGCGGACTCAACAAGTTGCTGATCGACAAGAGAGGTGTGAAGGTTAACAAGATGGAAGAAATTGAGGCGTCAACAATTCGTGGGTAGAAGTTCAACCCTCGGTGCGCAGCCAAGACAAAGCTGGCAGAAAGTGAATGGCGCCGACATTGTCAGTGAATTTATTCCTCTGTCCTCATCGTTGCATGTGTTGACTGGCCGTGAGACGTCTCTCTTCCCGCAAGACACAGGTTGGTAAGTACTGCGCATTTTGTCTGTTGAATGAGCCAGCTTTATGATATATATACTGACTCGGTTGTCTTGTGCAGGTCTTTGCGACACTGCATGACAGGCGATGAGCCCACTGTTGCAGTGGGCTCACACCACAAGGGTTTTGAACAAGGAGGAGGATGAGAAGATCAAAGAAGAAGATCACAAGGTAAACATACGGAGGAAAAGGGTCACCATCGGGCCGAAGTTTAGCCGACAGCCTTGCGATTTCCTGTCACCACTACTAGGTACCTAGGTATGCATTTCCACAAGCATTCAATATGAGCAGCTCCATAGAACCAGGACATCAATGAACGAGCCGAGCCGCCAGTCAGTCCTCTATCCAGAACAGTACAAACACAGCATCTACTTCAAGCCCAGCAAAATCGAGACATAACATCAGAAGGACATAACATCCACACCTAGCTACCGTCATCGCTCTCCAATTTGTTCCCAACGAATTCCTGTTGCTGCGCATGTCCAGATCGGTTATCGCCCGCATACCAACTTTGATGACTGGCCGTCGTTACCGAGGACTTTCCGCGATAGAGCCTTCCAGCACGAACGATCCCGGCAAAGATGTCTCCAAGGTTGACTGCGTCCAAAGCTGCCGAAATAACTCCAGCCTTGGAATTTGTGGATGTCCTCTGTGGCCAGAAGGGCCAGACAAAGAGAACAGCAAATATAAAAGTCTCCATGCAGGTGAGGAATGAGTTCAGGCCAAGATTGAGGTCGTTATAGCTCAGAGACTCGGTGGGATTGAGAGCATCACTCTGTGACAAGGCGTTGAGAATGATTCTTTGTAGGAGCTGGACAAAGACGACGAGTTTGAATGCACCCATCTTGAAAAAGATTCGTCGATCGGCAGCGTGAAGTTCGCTGCGGAATCTCAAGTAAAACTTGGAGATCCCGATCACGCAGATCGCTGTCAGGACGCCCTGGACGATGCTGATAATGGTATTCGCCCGACGATACCTCTTCGTTCCTTGGCACTGTGTTGCTTCGACAATTTCCGTGGCGATGACTGTTATCACTCGTGTTGGCAAGATCTGTATCACGGTGATCCAAATCTTGCGGAACCAGTCGACATTCGAAGTATCGGAAGATTTGACCGTCCCAGCATGAGTGGCAAAGAACTGACGCTGTCCTTCAAAGGACTCTGGCGCGAGGTAGGCAATCAACAGGAAGAAAAGGGCAATGAGTGCGAAGCATTCGTATAGCTCGGCAATAGGAGTCAGGTAGTTGGCAAGATTGTAATGCCAGACTCCGAAGAAGCTGAAGATGGCGAATACTGCTGGCGTCCAAATAAGACGCAAGATTTGTCTTTGCTGTCTCGGCTCTGCATATCTGACGAGATGTGCAAGAGTGAGGATGCTGCACAGTATCCATGTGCAGATAGTGGTCCCCGCAGAAACATAAGTCGTCAAGGTATGGTACGAGAGGTCACCAACAACCGGCTTTGCCTGGTCTTTGAGAAGAGTTAGTTATGCGTCGATTCTATGTGGGAAGGAGAGACCTACTGGCGTCGCTAAGAGATGGACAAACGGCCATGTTGTGTCAAATGCTCTTCGATGTTTTGGTGCGAATGTTAGAAATCTGTCGAGTGCTTGGAGATTTCCAGCTTCAGGACAGCTCATGGGGTATATATACCTTTTCGACATATCTATCTCAAAACTTGCGTTCGAAGCATCCAGCGCCTTTAGGACCTGATATCCTCTAAAACTCGTGGAATGGGACAAAAGGAGCAATCGCGGCGCGTCTAGCTGAGATTGTGTCCCGTTTCGATGTATTCATGCTGCGGGTCTGGAGAAGGTGGATCTACCTACCGAATGCGGAAATCTCAGCGCGCCTTGGGGCTGGTGCGGCTGAGCTCGTGGCACTGATCCAGACTCTAAGCGAGAACCTTTTGGCACAGTACAGATGATGCGATTGGTCTCGCTTGTTGCCGAATTCCCTCGTCGTTGGGCCCTGGACGTCCACAGGCCCTTGAGCTGCCGTGCCTGGGCTTTCCCCTCCTCCCACTTCCTTGACAATACAACGTCCGATCGCCTTCATCGTTTTCACAACTAAGCAATGCTTAGCAGGGAAGATGCCTTACAAATACGGAGGCCCACGAAGTAAAGGGTGCCATGCGTGCAGGGTTCGCAAAGTCAAGGTAGGCTATGGCTGGCATTCTCGCGCCCATTTGCTCATCAGATGTCAAACAAAGTGCGACGAAGCTCGGCCAACTTGTGGGCGCTGCCTTCGGTCAGGCAAGAACTGCGAGTTTCGAGAAGCCTTCGATCTTCTCCACTACGATGAGACCGCACATGCCTCTCATCGAGCTCACGAACTATGGCAGAAACGCTCAACCAAGTCAGACGAGAGCGATACATCCAGTCTTAGCACCACAACTACCCCTGCAGCCATACCATCCGATCTGACACCGGTTCTGCGCCAACCCTTGTACGACTTGGCAATGCAACGGTTTTTCTTCGACTACGTCTTCCAGATGAATACTCCTTTGGGGAGAGGAGGATATCTAGAATACCTTCCGGACGTCTATCCCGGGTTCATCGACCAGCCTTTCTTCCTCTCCGCGTTCAAAGCTACTGCTTTGGCAAACTTTGCAAGGCGATGCAACTCGAGAACTGCATCCGATGCAGCTCTGGCCGAGTACGGCAAAGCAATATGTCTGACAAACGCCGCTTTGAAGGATGCCACCCTGGTCCTCAAAGACGAGACGCTCCTAGCTTGCCAACTATTGGGATTCTGCGAGGTAATAATAGCTCCTTCGGCATTGCGCACTTCACAAGGCACTCATTGAGTGGCAGATCTACCTATCCCCTGAAACGGCGTTCCGTAGCTGGTTCGCCCATACAAAAGGAGCGGCGGCGCTTCTCGAACATCGAGGGCTTGGTATTCTCCAGACACCCCTAGGACCGACACTTTTCAGAGCAGTCCACACTCAAGAGGTTGTACATGCCGTTCTGACGGGTTTGAATTCTGCTAACTGTTGGAAAGCTCTACAAATGCTTGCGGTTCTGTCTGCGACCTACAGGTAATCCACCATTCGTGAAGCAAGTGTACGGCTCGGTGTCGGCTCAAATACACCTGTTGGCTGCTGATGTCGCCACTCTGTGCGCAGATTACGTCGAGCAAAAGAGCACCCTGTCGGGCGATGAGTATGATGCTTTTGCGACACAGCTCTTAGAGAGAGCTCATGTCCTGGACCTTCGATGGCAGCGACTCACATCAGATATTCCATGGAGCTTCAGCTACGACCGGATCCCAACGAGGCAATATGGGTTGCTGCCGCATTGGATCTCGCCTTTGATCCGGGACAAGCGAGCCCCTATCTTCGTGCACGTCTACTCGGGATTCGGACAGTGCTTTCTGTGGAATGTGCTGCGGTACGCTCGAGTCCGACTGCATGAGCTGCGAATGATCCTCGCGGGGGCCATGACGCTGTCCGGAGCGGCGTCCGAGTCCATCGAGGTGCTGTTGCAGCTTGAAGACGAGCTCAGCTCGACCGTGCCCGCCTTGTTGATTGCTACCACAGAGGAGGACTACTCCGGTAAACGATCAAATGGAGAAGGCATCCCAAGTTTCCGGTCCTTCTTGATGATCCGCTCGCTGATGGCGGCCCGCATGACGCTGGTGTTTCTGGCCCGACGAGGCCTCTATGTCGAGGAGAGACTGGCCTGGCTCACTGACCTGTTTGCTTGCCTCCATGAGCATCTCACTATTTTCGTTCCTCCGGAGTTTGACCCGCTGGATGGGGACTGACGATCGTCTAATAACAGTGTGTTTATTTGATTATTCAAATCATCTGGTCTACGTCTTTTAATATGCCACAATGCAAAATGGTAGATCTAAAACCACATCTGCTCTCCGTCAATCGGCTTGTTGGAGAATGCAAGCTGCGCCGCATCTGACAAGCAATACCAAAATGCCACAACTGTACACAGAATGCAGAGCTCAAATCCAAGCAAGGGTCTAGAGTCCTCATAAACACAGCCAGATAGCCCTTTTCTAGACAATGCGATTATTCGTGCTGCACACACAGGCCCATCACACACGGACGGCCCTTCGTCTTCGCCACCATCTTACCACCCACCACGCCATACTCATCGTGAGCGCTGTTCTGTACGCCAAGAACAGGGCGATCGCCCAATTGACTCTGGCATAATACCCGTGCAGCAACTTACCGACAGCGTGTTGCGGGTCTTTCCCGACACCTAGTCCGCCGATGCCGACACTGTGCTTGTTGAAAGATGATCGCTTGGTCGTCCGAAAGGGACCCTCTTCTGTAGGGTCAGGGACTGGCGCAGATGTTGATTCAGGTCCCATGGCAAGTGAAGATTCAGCCACGGAGATGGCTGTTGCCTCGGTCACGCCATCCATGGCGGTTTGGCTTGGCTGCCGCTGTAGTCGACTGGGCCAAGACCCTGACGAGAATGTTTCGGCGGTATTCTTGCGGAACGAGCGAGTCATGAGGTACACGAGGAGGCGGAGGTCAGGGACCGTGAACGTCGGATATTTCCAAAGCGCCACGGCATTGTAGGGCGGAAGTTGATCGAGAAGATCCGCCAGCACACCCAGTGTCAGACCCCAGAGGATGAGTGGTTGTTGGAAGGTTAGGAGAGAACGGTGACTCGACGAAGAGGGGGTGCCGAAGGGCGCTTGTATCCATCCCGCCAGCGTGGAAAGATTATCGCCACCCTCCGTGGGTATGAAGCCCGGTATTGAGCTTGCATATACGGACTCTGTGGGGAGAAGACGGACGGCACTGAACATCATCCTGCCCATTGTCCAGCGGATCAGTTTGTGGATCGTGGGCCCCAGGTGCCTGGCCATCCTCGAGGAAATATCCACGGGTTCTCTGGTTCGTAGCGTTGGGGAGAGTAGAGCACGGAGAGAAACCCAGTGTATTGAGGCGACTTCTGTAGGTTGCGGCTGCACCGGAGGGACGGTCTTGCCTGTAAGGAGGAAGATGTACGGACACAACACCATGAGGACGTCTTTCCCCCAAGAAGTAGTGACCAGACGTTCAGGGAGATTCCCCGCTGGCAAGCATTCCATCGTGTCCAGGTCCAAGCCTATCTCTTCTCTTGTCTCGCGGACAGCAGCAGCAAAGTCATCCGCGTCTTCGGGATCTCGTTTCCCTCCAGGTAAGGCAACATGCCCTGACCACCTATCGCCAGCGCGGCCGGCACGCTTGATGAAGAGCAATTCTGGGTCTCCTTCTTGAACCCATTCCTGCGCAAAGAATTCACTGATCGTAGAGGGGGGCGAGGCAGGAGAAGGCTTGTCAACCGCTATGAGGGAGCCGTTGACACTTGCAGGGACTGGCTTATAGGCCGGCCGGACACGGATAATGGCAGCAACGCTGGCTCGCTTTTGAGAGGTATTGGGAGGATTGGGGACATGCGGGTACGGGTTCTCGGTAAGCCGGACGAGGACTTTCTCGAGCGCTCTGACAATGGCTCTCGAGTCTTCCGACATAGCGGCGGAATAACAAGTTAGGGTCCTCTCCGGCCTAGAGGCTTTCCAAGTGAAATAAATGGTATTATGCGATATGACTCAAACGGAGACAGCCTCGTTGGCATCGTTCATACCTAAGGTATGTCTGCCGAGGCTGTCACGGTCCGGCAAAGTGGCCAATTGGAGGTGGCCGGCCGGAAAAACTACGTCCGAGAATCTTCAGCGGATAAGGCAAGAGATGTTCCGGCACGGGAAGGGAAGAGCTGCGTTGATTGGCTGTTGCTCCCCACGACTTTTGCTTTTGCTGCAGTTGAAGTGGGGAAGGCGCAGTGGCAGGAAAAGAGAAAAGAGGGAAGGCACTGACTGCATCGAGTGAGCGAGGTTCCCACGGTTTCCAAGCTCCGCAGCTTCAAGCTCTGTGGGCTTTTTACCCATTGCATAATTGCTTGGACTTTTTCCCTCGACAGCTCCGGCTGCTGTACATAACATCAACAACATCTGTATGGAGTAGCTGCTACCTTCCTGAACACCGCACCTATCTCTACCTACACTTTCACGCCAATATGCGCTTCGGAAAGACCCTCTCCGATTCCATCTACCCACCATGGAAAGACAAGTACCTCGAGTACGATAAGATCAAGAAGCTCCTCCGTGAAGATGAAACTTCTCCACAAGGTCGCGGTGGTGAAGGGAGCTGGACCGAGCAGGACGAAGAAAACTTTGTCCACGAGCTCACCGTGACTCAATTGGAAAAGGTCCACCAGCATCAGGTCAACACTTTCAACTCCCTCCGAGACCGAACCGCCGCCTGCGAGGCCAAGCTCCCCTCCAGTGAAGGTGACGATGCAGGAAAGTCCGAGGAAGAATATACAGCGGTTGCCAAGGAGCTGCTTCCTGAGCTCGACAGCATCTCCAAAGAACTCAATGAGCTTAGGAAGTTCAGCAGGATCAATTATACAGGCTTCCTCAAGGCTGCAAAGAAACACGATAGAAAGAGAGGCCTCAAGTACCGAGTTCGTCCCATACTGCAAGTTCGTCTTTCCCAGATGCCCTTCAACCAGGAGGACTACTCGCCTCTGCTCTTTCGGCTGTCGACCATGTATAGCTGGGCTCGCCAGAAGACCGAGGGCGAACAGGCTGGCAAGGAAGCCAATACCGACGTCCGACCAAAAGACGAGTACAAGGCCTTCAAATACTGGGTGCACGTGGACAACCTCCTCGAAGTCAAAACCTACCTCTTGCGTCGCCTGCCGGTCTTGGTGTACAATCCTCAATCTGTCAAGGTGGTCGATTCGTCTCAAAAGGATCCGACAATCACCTCAATCTATTTTGACAATGACACCTTCGACCTCTACCAGGGTAAGGTCGAAAAGGCCACCGGTGGAGCGTCTCTGCGGGTCAGATGGGCTGGTCAGTTGCTTGATGAGCCCGAGGTTGTCCTTGAGAAAAAGTTCGTTGACGAGGAAACGACCGACAGTAGCGACATCAGGATCCAGCTGAAGCCCAAATATCTTATGCCGTTCCTCAAGGGCGAATATAAGATGGAAAAACAGATTAAGAGACTTGAGGAGCTGCTAGGACCTGAACACGAGGATACCAAGGCGTTCAAAGCCAACGTTGACGAGATCCAATCATTTATCCAAGATCAAGGTCTCGAGCCAGTCCTACGAGCAAGCTATACCCGAACTGCTTTCCAGATCCCTGGGGACGACCGGATTCGGGTGTCACTAGACACCGATCTCGCCTTCATTCGAGAGGACGCACTGGACCCTGACCGCCCGTGTCGGGACCCCGAGGACTGGCATCGGTCAGACATTGATCAGAACAGGATGGAATACCCATTTTCCGCCATTAAGAAAGGCGAGATCAGCCGCTTTCCCCACGCTGTGCTTGAAATCAAGATCAAGGAATCCAAGTATACTAGGAATAACACTTGGCTCAACGACTTGATGAATTCTCACCTGGTCAAGGAAGAGAAACGGTTCTCCAAGTTCGTCCACGGTGTGGCCGAGCTTTTCGAAGACTACGTCAACAGCTTCCCATTCTGGCTGAGCGACTTAGAGACCGACATTAGGAGAGACCCGGTCACGGCCTTTCAGGAGGAGCAACAGAAAGAGGCGAAAAAGGCCGAAGATGAAATGGCTGTTGGAAGCTTCATCGCAGGGTCCAGACTCACACCCAAGGGAAAGTCGGCATCTCCCGGCAAGTTTCCAGAGAGAAAGCTGTCCGGCCAGCTGTCCCAGTCTGTTCAATCTCAACATAGAAGCAGGCCTGAGCCACAGTTAGAGACCACTGCCGAGGAACGGGATACTGACGAGGACGGAGTCCATCCTCCCGACGAAGTCGAGGTCCGAGACTCCTCAAAGGGTGGTATTCGATCCTTCCTTCCGGCTTTCTCCAATTCTCGTTACGCTCGTCGTCACCGTGAAGGAAAAGGCGCGTGGGAAAATGCTCCGCTTCCGCCTGGTGTCAAAGAACCAAGTTTCTGGATCAAAGACCAGGGTGACCTGAAAGTCGAAGCCAAAGTCTGGCTTGCGAATCAGCGAACATTCATCAAGTGGCAGCACATTTCAGTCCTCCTGGCCACCCTGTCACTGGGTCTCTACAACGCCGCAGGTATTGATAACAACATTGCACGCATCCTTGCTGTTGTGTATACCTGCTTCGCTGTCTTTGCAGGAGTATGGGGATGGTACGTGTACATGTGGCGGACCAAGCTGATCACGGAACGGAGTGGGAAGGACTTTGACAATCCCATTGGGCCATTCGTTGTCACCATTGGTCTGGCCGTTGCATTGATCTTGAACTTTGCTTTCAAGTACCGCGCTGCCGTGGAAAGTAACAACCCAACCCCAGGGAACGGCACGACTGGTCCGTCGATGACCCTGGCGTTGTTGACGGCGAAAGCGTCTGCCACTGGACTCCTCGTGCAGGAACTCTGAATGCACAGAAATGGGTTGGAGAAGGGGTCGCAGGAGTTAGCCTGTCTCTACTGAGAACAGAGCACGAAGTTGGAAAGGAACAAAAATGACCAATGGATATAATTATTGGGCTCAAGGATATAGCTCATCACTACATAGTATCATACGTACAGAATCAGATAGCCCAGCGGATTAGTGAGCCCGATGCATCAATACTAAACAGTTTCAATCATCACCGGCTTCCCAGCAACCGCGTACACAACTTTATCCGTCCACAACAACGCAGCAAGGCTATGTAGGCAAGCAGGTTGTTAGGCATTCTCGCACGAGATAGACGTCGCACTGCAACCCACCCAACCCTTGCACCCATGCACGCTAATCCAGCTGGCTCGGTAGACTCCCTAGGTACATATAACACTGTACCGAGTACCTACGGCATGAATGCCATCCAGAAGAACGAATCGCACAGGGCCACCACCTACAAGAATGCCACACGCCCCCTTTCCTTTCCATAGTTCCGACCCCCACCCCAATCCCAATGGATCCTACGTGAATGACGGGATATCAGGAGACGAATATATGTTCCACCACCTGCAGATCGAAGAAATCTTGGAACTTTCGGTGCCTAGGTACCGCTGAGGCAGTCGCGGCCCCCTACTCCACGGTTTTTACATTTTTGACATCCTTCTTTTTTTTCCCCTCCAGGCTCGGGCGACTCTGCTTTCCCGCTTCTCCTTTTTTCATTGTTTGGGGGCGCTATCATCACGGTAGTGGGTGGTGCGTAGTGCGTAGTGCGTAGTGTATTATACGAGGTGAAACAATTCTGCTTGGTGCCAGCCAGGCTCATCGGAAGGCGGGTGGCAATCATCAGGAGATAAACACCGCTCACGAATGGGTATGCACTGAGTGGTAGGAGCACGATGTGAAAATTGCCCCTAACCTCCCTCTCTCACTCTCTCCGAAGAGTTCTCTCGCTCTCCTTCCAGCAGTCTGCAGTCTGCAGAGAACACAAAAATTGAACAAGTTCTCTAGTCTGTCTCTCCACACACACCCCCTCAGTCGTCCATGCACATGTCACTGCCTCGCCTCGGTGACAACGCCCTCATAATCCCGAGACTTGATATAGTCGAGCGTCCTGAAGAAGTGACGCTTGGGGTTCTCCAACGCCTGGGCGTTTCCCTCGGAGTTGGTTGTCGACAGATTTGAATGGATCAATTCAATCAGTCCGTTGAGGTACTTGGTCGTGACCTGGAGCATGAATTGTCAGCCAATGTCCGGTGAAGGGAAAGCGGAACTAGACCGTCCTTACCGTCTCGTTTTGCTGGTCAAAGTAGTACACGTATCGGTTGAGGATTTCGACAAACAGTTCCACCGACACTGCGGTGTCCATACAGGCATCCGCAACACGTAATGCCCGTTGGAGACACTCCAGCACTCGCTTGCCATCGCGGTAGAACTGTGTTTGGCATGTTAGCACTTGACGCATTCCCTCAGCATCTGCGCCTGTCGAAACTCACGTTCTTCGGGTCCTCCTCTCTGCCGGGTATCTCAACACACCACCATAGATGGCTGGCGAGATACACTGCGCGACACTGATCTGGTTTCTTCAGCAACTTGCTCCCGTGCAACGCGGCTTTTGTGATCAATGTGTCATAGTTCTCCTTTCCAAATCCCCTCGTCATCTGCAGCGCGCCAGCGATGATGCAAACAGCCTGGAACTGTGCCCTTGAGTCGCTGATACTGTCCTCGTAGATGGTAAACGCTTGAGCAAAAAACTCATATGCAAATTCCTCGAAGCCGCACTGGTCGGCGATTTGCCCACACGAAACAAATAACCGCAGACACAATTCTGCCGCCCCAGGATTAACGCGGGTATACAATTGAGAGAGAGTCTGGTGCATAAACCGGTACAACGCAGATGATTGGGTTTGCCAGTTGTCGTCAAAATGCTCCCGGGCTTTGAGTTTCCGCGCAAGCTTCATCGAGGCAGTTATAACGGCCGGAGTCGTATATTTGATCCGCTCATTGCCAACCTCGAAGGCTTTGCGCATCTGCTGCAGGAGTTTGAGTTGAGTGTCGTTGTCTGGCCCTTGAACACAATGGACGATTCGTGCCAGCCAGCCCTGCTCCTCAACCGTCTCGTCCGACTCACCACCTCTCGGGCGGTTCAACCCGGGATAGCCGGTCGGTTGTTGAATGCCCTCCTTAATGATGACTTTGAGAAGAGACATGATGCCCTCCAGATGTTGTGTAGTTGTAATTAGCACATGATTCCGGAGGATGTTCTTAGCCACCTCGCCGGCAACAGCCCGCCTCGTGGCGTACGTTTGTGATTGATACAGAGGTAGATAGTTGGGAAGAGCTAACGCTGTGAAAAGTGACATATATGTTCGGATTGGCGCGAGGAGGAGATTGAGCATATTGGCTTGTGTTGCGGCGGAATGGAGGTCGGCGGAGTCCATGTATTCGGCACCCTTCTCACGGGCATAGGCCATTATTTGGTCAAGATATTCTAGCCTCTCTGGGTAGATGTTACTGGATTGTGTTAGCTTGTCCATTTCCGTAATCAGATGAGGCGAACGTACAGTGCAAGATTGGCCAGCGATGTCAACAGTGCCATGGTGTCTTGGATTGGGAGGCCTCTCGTTTTGACAAGATTTACGACTTGTTCGTAAAAGATCTCGAACAGCCTCACCTCCCCGACGCCGGGCGCCTTCTCACCGTTTGTTGATGTTGTTGCTGTTGTTACCGGCGTTGCCATTTCGGATTCCGTTGTTTGTGTCTCTGTGGGTGATTTATCCGCGCCATTCGTCGTGGGTGTCTCCGGTTGAGCGGCAGGGGTAGCAGGCTGCGTATCTTGATTCAAGTCGACCTTCTCGAGCATGCGGATCGCAGCTTCTTCTTCAGCTTTGCGCTTATCTTCGACAGACACCGACTCGGCAGTTTCCCTTTGTGCATAGGTAGACAAGCGATCCATTAACCCGATGACAATCTTCTTCATGTCGACGTGTGGATTCAACCTCGCGATGGCCGAGAGCATCTGATCCAGAGTGTGGAGATGGTACTCGTCTGGGAAGACCTTGGTGATGACTAGATCTCCGTCAGCATATCCCCGTGGTTAGACCTATCCTCCTACCTTCGAGCAGATATTCCTGAGCCAGGACATCCCGACATTGCACTACCTGTTCCAGCAACGGGCTGATGATGGTAGCCTTATATGTTTCCAAGTCGACCAGTTGACTCAGTCTCACCAGATTGCTTCCAACCAGCAATTCCAACTCCCTCCGCTCTTGTGTTCTTTGCTCCCTTTCTCTTGAATGGCCCTGGTGCTGCCACCTGACCCAAAGCTTGTTCATCTCCACAAAATTGGTGAGGATGAAGTTGATTGAATCTTGGAGGTTGCCCTGAGGTCCGTCTTCTTTGCCAGTTGGTAAGTGGTCACGGGCCTGGCCCATCAGGTAATATCGGAGGAAGAGACCGCGGATGGGATGCTGAACACCGCGACTCATTTCCATCATGTCCTTCATGATCTCCTTGACCGGCGCATCCTCGACGCCCATGTATACGGTGCCCACCGTGATCATAAGGTATAATCTGGGTATTATGTTGCCTGCATATTGGACGAGTTCGTAGAGATCGGCGAGGTGATTGACGGGATGCGACTCGCGCAGGTAGTCGGACAGGAACCGTAGAGAATCAAACACAGCCATGTAGAGCTCGTAGTATTGTTTGGGCCCTAGTGTAGGTGTGCGCAGCTCAGATACCAAAGTCGACCTATAGAGTTGCCTTTGGGTCAGTGGTGCAGACGTGTTGAGGTGCGGAAAAGGTCCATACCCGCACTTGAGAGCATCCATGAGCTTTCCCGGGGTCTCCAGGCACCTGCGCATCTGCTGTGACTGTTGACGCACGACGCCGAGAGCTTCCTCGAGCAATCGGCCCTGATCTTCGACGGGGCTGCCTGTCGCCATCTTGCGACAGCTTTGGTGGCTTGCACCCGGCGGCGAGCGAGAGTGACAGCGAAAGGAGGCTTGGAGACAACCTCAGAGGTACCGGATTGGAAAGTTTCAATGTAATTGTGCCGATCAAACCGCAAAAGACCGGTCGGAACTTTGGATACTACCTAGTAGGGTGCATGCGCGGACAGTGGTACGCAGCGGAGAACTTCCTGCGCCTTTACCGCACTTGGAGTTCGACATTGGCAGGTCGCGGGCGGAAAGGGCTTGGCACTAAAGCGCCGTTTGTAACACCTTCCACCTACCTAGCTCGCTAGGTACCAGTACTTTCGACTCACCCTTTCACGCGCGGCCATCTTGAAGGTCCCGCTCGTCTTGCGGCACTCCCTCACGAGGTATATTGTGTATGCTAAAGAGTCTCGCCCCCACGCTGCGCGGTCCGAGTGCATAGGGAGCAATAGCGGCTTACTTGTCCAGTGGGTACGACAAAGTTGACCCTCGCAGGGATGGCCGTCAACAAGCACTCGACGAATTTCGCCATCCAAGATCTTCTTTGAGTCCTGCTGGCATTGTGGACAGGACGCCAGACTTATCTTGCATCGCGAGAACGACCGTGTGGGCGGTCGTGGCTGGAGGCTCGTTCTCAAATCGACCAGCACTGGCTGAAAAATAACTGTGATCCTGATAATGTCACGTAGGCAGTTCCATGCCCGCAGCCCTCGTTTTTTAACTCTTCTACACGGACACGGACTTGCTAATATGTATTCTAGCTTCGGGACCGCGGCTGAAGAGCACGAAAGACTGTTCTACAGTGACGTTGGTTTCCTAGTCATGGCTATGGCCGACGGCGCCCTCTTCGGGCATAATCCCTCAACAACGTCCGCCAGCTTGTCATACTCGTGGGTGAGGATGAGCTTATTCCTAGGTTCAAGCACTCGGCCTGGGACCGACCTATTCTCCGCAAATGCACTAAAGCCGCTGGCGTAACTGACGAGCCTATGACCAAAGCCGTATTTCTCAGTATTCTCCGAAGGACTATCGTCAATGCCGCTTACTTGTGTGGCGCGTCGGTTCACGCGATCAGACGGCAGCTAGGAAAGGGGATTGATATAAAGTCTCTTCATCCAGGTATCTTTTCGCGGATCACTCGAAAGTCTCCTACATTTCCCCATGTCCACATCCACCTTTCTCATTCAAGTGGCCTGGCTAACTCTCCCCACCTCCTCCCCTTTCAGAGCGAAATATTGAGGCCGAACGATGCCAACAATGAGATCAAGCCGACCCTCGAGTATTCGTTTAAGGTTATGTCCCCAGAAAACGGCATCGACATATCCGCTGACTCCCACAAGGGGCAGATGAGGCGAAGGGCCTGCATCACGATAGATATTTCACGCACGTGACTGGCTCTATTGTGCTCCCAAGGTTGAACAGAGTAGCATAGAGCAGGTGGCTCCACTATGCTCCTCAGGCGCCGGCCCGAGGCAACCTGGACGAACGAGGGACGAGTGCGACAGCCCATGCCCGATTCTCGACTTCCCAGTTCAAGCGTTCAGGTAATCTATTTTACGCCTGCCAGCCTCTTGGCCGAGACCTTTATGCGGCTGTCATGTAGGCTCTAAACCATCGTATCAAAGCAAAGACACGAGAACGAAGCAACACCCGCAGATGAGGGAGCATAGACCTCCGGACGTGCACATTTTGTGCGCATCCGTCCGCCGACACACCACAGTGCATCTACCGAGTAGTGCTTCTTAGCTTGCATGTGCGTGGCTGTGGTGCATCCCAACGAGTGATTGAATCATCCAGGCCCTCGCGGCTATCTGCGTGAGACTCGTTCCTTGTACTGGGTAGGCCGCCGGTCAAGTGGGCCTGGCCTGCCACATTCTATCGTTCTGAATCCCAGGAAGCTCAGCTGAGGTCAGGAAACGATTCAAGGAGTTTTCCGGAGAGATTCTGAGCTATAGTAACGTGAGAAGCTTTGATTTCAGACGAAATGGCGGCCCTGCGAGCCCCTCCGCCCGCCCTCCCCTCCCCCGAAAAACACCTTCTCCCCCTGTCTCCAGCTTTCCCGTGCATGGCGTGGGGTACCCCATTGCCGTTCGTAGCTCGGTCCACGGCAATATATGGCGTTCATAGAGTTTGCTCACTATCTGCAAAACTTGCAACAAAGGGCCTCGGTTAACGTGTAACGTGCTCTCTACTTGATTCATCTGTCCCACCATCTCCCTCCTATCATTGAGACCTATTGTCTTGATCTGATTTTGACACAACACAACTTGCAAGAACCCTTTCGGGACCCGACGCTGTGGTTCCCCCGCGTATTTTTCTCAACTTGGTCTTCTTCAGCCCAGAATGACTTTGCCAGTAGAGGTTCCGGTTCCATTCTCAGAGCCGCCATGGCTGCTGGGCCTACCATCCCCCTACTACAACGAGTCTCATCGGAGATGGCAAAAGTCATGCCGAGCATTCATCCGGGAGCACCTGCATTCCCATGCCCTGGAGTGGGAGGACGCAGGCGACGTTCCAGCCCACGTCTTCGAAACGTTCTCAAAGAACAACATGCTCATCCCCAGTTTGCCAGCTCCACTTCCGGTTGAATACCTGAAAAGCCAGGGCATCCATGAGCTCCTCGGCGGCTTGAAGGTTGAAGATTTCGACTACGTCCATTTCGCCATCTACGTAAATGAAATGAGAGCTGCTGGCGTCGGCGGTCCGCCCTCATCGCTGATGACCGGCATAGCCTATGGTACTCCTCCTTTGATCAAGTACGGAAGCAAAGCTTTGCAAGATCGATTTCTACCTCAGCTCCTCAGAGGTGAAAAGAGGATATGTATCGCCATTACGGAGCCAGGTGTAGGAAGTGATGTTGCCAACATTGCGACTACGGCAAAAAAGACCGACGACGGGAAGTTTTACATTGTCAATGGGACCAAAAAATGGATCACCAACGGGATCTGGTCACACTACAGTACTATGGCCGTGCGCACTGGAGGGCCCGGACCTGGTGGCCTGTCTTTGCTTGTCGTTCCGCTTCTCGGCCAGGAAGGGGTCACAATGCGTCGAATAAAGACTACCGGGTACAACGCCAGTGGCACAACATACATTGAACTTGACGACGTGAAAGTCCCTGTAGAAAACCTTATTGGGCAGGAAGGAAAAGGCATGAAGATGATCACTACCAACTTCAACCACGAACGACTAGCAATAACTATCGGCGTAACCAGGACAGCACGTGTCGCTCTTTCCTCTGCATTTGCGTATGTGCTCCGCCGCGAGGCCTTTGGCCAGACGTTGATGGGCCAGGCTGTCGTGCGCAACCGCCTGTCACGGTGTGGTGCTGACCTAGAAGCGTTATCCGCTTGGGTTGAGCAATTTGTGTATCAGATGGCCAATATGAAGAAGGAAGCGGCTGACGTGGAGCTTGGTGGACTTTTATCGATGGCGAAAGCGAAGGCCGGGCTAGTGCTGGACGAGTGTTCGCGATGCGCAGTACTCTTATTTGGTGGCAACGGCTTCACAAAGACTGGCCAGGGGGAATTGGTTGAAAAGATATACCGCGAAATTCCTGCAGCTCGGATACCTGGTGGCAGCGAGGATGTCATGTTCGACTTGGCCGTGAGACAGCTGGTGAAGATCTATGAAGCGAAGACGAAGGCTTTGAAGGCATCCTCGAGGGCAAATCTGTAGGTTGATAGTTGATCTTGCGGCATTTTCGCATCTCCTGGGGAACTCAGATGGAGCGCGTGCGAGATTTTCGACGGTGATAGCACCTCGATTTATAGGATTGACCTTCGCCAAAGCTATATCACTTGACTTCTGAGGATGATATTTTGATTCCCTCTTAGGTTAAAGGACCCGTTGAGATGGGCTCTTCAATCTGAACCGCACTGGTGTTATTTCTCCCCAACCGACCTTGACGTCGGAATAGTCTTCACAGAATGATTGTAGGACCATCTGATTATCAATATCGCCGCAGATTGTCCAAAAGTCACGCGTTCCCGGATAAAGTACGAGATCAAGCCCAAACCATTTGAAGTGTGGCATTTTAATTGAGAATGATCAATTGTGTGTAATATATCCCCAGAGATCTATATGCCCTGGAACGAATCAAGAGCATTATGGTCATCCATCAGCGAGGTGATCCGGCCGATAAAGTGAAGAGTCGTCTCCTCTGACTGCATATCAGGCATAATCTTGGACAGAGTCAGAGTGAACGCCCAATACCACAAAGCACCAAACGTCTGCCTTTTCAGCTCTGCCCGTGCCTCCTCCTCGGAGATTGTGGGACCTCCAGCTCGGGCAAGCTCGGTCACATAAGGCTTCACCATTTCTCGCTCGCTCCAAGAGTCGACGTTTTTCTGTTGGTACGCCGGTCCCGAGTACGTACGCCAGATCCCGCGACCAGTGTCCATGAGACGTGGCTTGCCAGTCAGTGAGACCCATGTGTCCTTCAGAGGTAATGTACCAATTTCCTGTCCGCATGTTAAACTCTTCCTCGACTTATGCAGCTTACCATCCAAATCTTGTCTCAGATGAGTACAAGACAAGCAAGTAGAATTCTGAAAAATCAATGATCACATATTCCATATCTGGCAGTACGATGTATTCGCACACTTCTGCTCTCTCATGCTTGAAATTTAGTTACAACAAGAGCGTTAAGGGACACCTATGATCAAGAACTGGCTCCTGCCGTCGCGTTACTCTTCCTATCTGAATAGGCATCCCTAACATAAAGAGAACCATCCGCAGCCCTCAGCATCATACCCGCACTTTGCTCTCTACCAACAATATCACATCTTCTAATCGGTCTCCACCCTCTGCTGTCTCAAGCAGGCCCGCCCATTCCCTGCTTGACATAGAGCCTACCGTATCTTGAGAATGGCTTCTGAGTAAGTCAACTATCGTGTCTGTTGCCTTGAATCCTCCCTTCACATTTACATCCGCGCCACCAGTCACAAGCAATCTGACGATGCCCCAATGTCCAGCCAACGCGGCAATTTGCAGGACGGTTCCGTTGGTGGCATCATAGTTATTCACGTCAGCTCCGTGTTGAATTAGTATGGATGCGGTGGTTCTGTAGGCGATCCAGAATTTGATGGCACAGGAGAGAGTTTCGGGTGCAATCTGCTCTGACGCCTTCATGGTCTTCCTGAGTTTTTCGAAGGCTAAGATATTGGCGCACCAAAATAATGGAGTTCGGCCCTCGTTGTCCGGGGGGTCGACATTTGGCAGCCGTGTTTGGAGAGCCTCGACAATCTCTACGTGCCCGACCATGGCCGCCCTATGAAGCGGTGTAAGGCCCATCTCGTCTCGTGCTTGAATATCAGCATGATGTTGCAAGAGCGCAATTACAGTCGATCGATCGCCCGCGACACAGCCGTGGTGCAATGGTGTCATCCCTTTGGAGTCCCGAGATGCAACATCGGCCCCATACCGCAACAATGTCTGGACCATTTTGCTGTCCCCAGTCGCGGCAGCCCATATAAGAGCAGTTTCGCCGTCATTTTGCTTGTGCTGAGGATCTGCACCACACGACAGAAGATATTCTACAAGCTCCATCTGCTGGCCCGCCACCGCTCGCATGAGAGGGGTTGTGCCTTCGTCATCCATCGCGTTCACATCGGCTCCTCTTCTAAGGAGCAAGCCAACAGCTTCAAGGAGACTTGGAAGTCTTTCTTCTAGCATCTCCTGGAGGCCTGGCAGGGATTCAGGTACCTGCGCCCAGTTCCCGGCCCAATGAAGTGCAGTTGTGCCCTGGCTATCCTTCGCATCTGGATTCGCACCGCCGTCCAATAGTAAGCTCACGAGCTTGCTGCAGCGCATTTTTACAGCATAGTGAAGTGGTGTCGCCTTTATCTTGTCGGTAGCTCCAACATTTGCTCCGTATGAGATGAGAACTTTTGCACTCTCGTCGCAAGAGGATATGGCAGCCATATGTAAGGGTGTCATAAGATCGCCGCTCGGACTGTTAGGGTCGACTCCATGCCTCAGTAAAACGGCTACAGCATGAGGCAGACTGACCCGTACAAGAGCAATAAGAGGAGTATCTCCGTCCAAGGGGGCGCTTTCCACGTCGGCTCCCGCTTCGATCAGTGTTGTCACCAGTTCTTCGTAGCCATCCTGAGCCTGGGCTAACAGGTTGTCTTCGAGCTCGACTCCACGCCGCTGTTGGTTGATAAGCCTTTGAAGCTTGACGACTTTGCTGGCAAAATGGATAACTTGGGAGCCATTGTTGCTCGATAGATGAATGTCAGCGCCGCGACGAAGAAGCAACTTCACAGCGTCGAGCTCTCCAAGGGACGCAGCGTGCATTAACGCGGTCTCACCCAGATCGTTCTTCTCATTCACGCTTGCTCCTGCATCTAAAAGCGCATCCAGTATTTTGACATGCCCTTTGGCAGCTGCGATGTGCAGTGGCGTGGCGCCGAGCTTGTCCTTAGCATTTTTGTTAGCTCCAGCTTCTATGAGGCATTCCGTTGCTCGAAGTGCACCACTCGTCGCAGCACAATGTAATGCAGTGACTCCGGAAGGTCCTTGTTGATCAATCTTAGCACCTCCTTTCAGAAGGATCTGAATGGTCTCTGTGCGGCCAGATCTTGCCGCTGCTTGTAAGGGAACCCCTTTCCAGGATCCAAATCCGTTCGCTGGCGCGCCCCATTCGATCAGTTCCTGGATAACGGAGTTTTGTCCGTTCCTCGCGCCGTGTACCAAGGCAAGTGCACCGTGACTTCCAGAGAGCAATCTATCCATGCCAGCATCGAGGAACAATCTGACTATAGATTCATGGCCTTGAGCAACTGCGTTGGAAAATGCTGTTCGTCCGATGGAATCCTGGGAGAGAACGCTGTATATCCTACCTTCATCACGGAGGAGCTTTGAACATATCTTTCCAAGTCCAAAATAAGCTGCCAGTTGTATGGCACTTACGTCCTTTTCAAAACAATCGAATCGATCCTTGTGGCGGATATGACCATCAGCGTTCCTCGCCTGGACGGAGGTCGCTGTTTTGGACTTAGAGTCCAGAAAAGATAGGATCGACGAGAACAGATCCTCATCTCCATCGTGGTGTTTCGCATGACAGCCCCAGAAGGTAGCAGCGTATGTGAGTAGCGGGTAGGACTCTAGGCGTACGTCCAGGGATCCATCGGTCTGACATGGCCCAAGTTCGAACTCACCGAGTGAAAGGTAGCTGACGCAAGAAATGGCCATGTCTAGATTCCCAAGAGGGAAAAGTTGGTCTTTCACACTTTGGAAGTATTCCTGGGCTGTAAAATGCACCATGCGTATTGCACGGTTGCTAGCCTCGATTGTTACAATTCCACAGCACACTTCAATGAGGATCTCAGCGTCAATGATTCGAGTTCTGGGGAATTCTCCTTGGCCTGTCTGGACAGCAAACCCATGCTGCAGCTCTTCGAGTTTCAAGGGCCGAAGGGCGTGAGAAAGCCACGACAGAATTCGGAAGGCCAATTCGGCATCCTTTGGGACCTGGTCGCGTATTCGCTGAAGTGCCCGTTGATATGAGACTTCGAGACCGTGGGGTAAAGTGTCCAGTGTTTGTATGACGTCCTCCACGCTGTGTGCCAGACTTACGGCGTCCATGTGTAGTTGCGGCAATAGAAACCTATATGGCGTCAGTCTCTTGATTGGTAGATGCACAACTTAGAGCCCACATTCCACTCGCAGAGCCTCCAACAGCAGACTCAATACGCTCCTGGAGTTTTGGATCAACCCGAATGCTAGAGCGTAGCCTTCTAGTCCGTGAAATCCGTTGACGGACATAAGCCTTGATATCTTCATCCCTTGCCCTTACCTCCAAAGCAGCTTCGCCGGTGAAATCGTTCTCAAGAGTAAGCATCTTTCGAGAGGTTACGAGAACGGAGACACTGGGTGAGAGGTTCCTGAGCTCGTCAATAAGGTCATAGCTGTCGCCTGTTTGGTTGGAGTATTCGTCCAACGCATCAACTACTATGAAAACTCTTGAAAAAGATCGGACCTCTTCCTTTAACAGTTTGACGCACTCTTTCAGGGTAAGCTCTGTGTGGCCACGACTGTGGCTGCGGTATTCCAATTCTACTCCAGGTGGAATTCGTTCCTTTGGGACCAGCAATTGGTGCAGAATACTCGAGATCAAACTTTTGGTTGTGAGTTGGTTTTGCTTGTGGTACTCGCAGTAGATGTATGCGATGCCGACATCTGAACTTTTTAATGTCTCTTTCAGATGTTCTATGATTGCCGATCTGGATAAGCAGTATTAGGAGGTGGCTCGCTCACGTCGTTGGCATGGGCATTAACAGCAGGACTGAAGCGTGCAAAAGGCACCACGCTTACGTTAACACCGTTTTCCCTGCGCCAGCTTTCACGAGTCAGAAAAAAAATTCCAATTTCGCACATGGATTGACATACGAATACCATAGCACCATAGAAAGTTGACAGATCCTTGTTTCCATGACTTGAATAAGGGCTCTTTGAAGAACCACTCGCAGGTTCCTTCGCAGCGTATGGCAAGCAAGTCCTGATGTTTTGCAGCAAAGCTTTGGGAGCTTATCCACGACAAAATCTCCTTCCGTTCGTCTGTCCTCGCCCGGCGATCTATATCGAGAGAGACCGCTCTGAGTTGGTCAGTGATCTGAGCGGCATCGGAGGTTTGAAGCAGGTCTTGTGCTGGGATGATCGACAGCAACTCCTTCATGTATGCGGCCGCCACAGCCGCTGCGTATGGCTGCCACCTGTTATTCTTGTGCGAGTCGGCGTAGTCACAGATTCCTCGGACCACCAAACAGGGAAATGTGTCCATTAAACCGGCCGCCTCCATCTCCACACAAATGATGGGTACGTCTTGCTTCAACCTGTCTCGGGTTGCGGCGTCTTTAATCACTGCGTTCGCTGAACCAATCGTGCCATAATGAATCAGAGGTGCCTTGTCAATACGTTCGGAGCGAGACGCCAACTGTGATGGGTCGCAGTGCCGACATGTTGGCCCATACTGGTGAGCGTAAGTAGCCTTAAACAGCTGATCCTGAGCAGCGCCGGGATAAGCATAATCAATCCCCAGCCGAGGATACTTATCGAACACTTGTGACAAGAGCTCAGGGATGCGACTACCTTCACGACGATGTTTCGCCTTTAGTCGCTCAACGTTGGCGCTCAACACTGCTGGAGGTTTCCCCAGCGACCCCGTCCGCTCAAACCTACCGTCGATCGTCACTTTTCCAAGGTCGTACTGCACGACCCCACTAAATGTCCCGGTTGGTTGGCTGACCACGACATCCCCCAGGCGCACATCATTTTCACCATCCTCACCGTCCTGGCTCGGTAGTCCCCCTCCGATACCGACAAGTAGTGCAAATCGGATCGAAGGAAAGTCATTCAGAAGCTGGGTCGCCACCATCGCCGCTGCGTTATTCCCAATTTGTGCCATCGCCGCTACCACGATGTTGTGGCTGCCAATGCGCCCTAAGGTGTATGCATTCAGCCTGCGACGCGTCGGAAGGCTTGTGTGGATCTCGTCTAGCATGGCTTCTACCGGGGCCAGTTCGACCCCCATGGGACAGAGACATGCCGCGGTGTAATCGGCGTGTGAAGGAGGGCGTGGAGATAGGGAAGGAGCTGGATGTTTCGCGGTGGAAGCGTCCATCAGGGTCCTAGACACTATAGCAAGTATCAGGTATCCGCACCAACTCGTTTATTAGCATAGGATGTTGGGCAACGATCTCTAGTGGGGATTAGACGTCAATGTGAGAAGCTGCGCGTCGAGTCTGCGGGGCTCATTAAGCATGTGTTTCGATCCTTGGCATGCAAAGGCTCATTTCGATAAATTGGCAACTATAGGCGGGGGCTGAACAGGGCCGCTATATATACCTAGGTATATATATATCGATATATATGGCCCAGATGTGGCGCGATTGATCCGTTCCTCGGGCTGAACACCATCATGCTCAGTTACGTGGAGGAGTATCTCAGGTCGAAGCAGCGAGCCTCAAGGCCACCCTCAAAACCAAATATGGAAATGAAAAGTAATCGTGTCGAGATTCCGACATCGAACTGCCTGTTTCACAGCAGGGAAACATTGTATCTCGAAACATTGTATTTCTTCTGCATATGTAATATGCTCTCATACATAACTGCCGCTATTGCGGGCCTGGTGAGAAAGATGCCAGCTCCCGCGGGAAAGTGCAATACAAATAACTTTGAAACAGGCGACTCACCTGTGTGTCCAATATTATGAGCCTACAGCACTTCAAGCCGTGTGCTGGGGAACTATTGTAAATGTGGCGTTTGGTCTTGGGTTCTGGCTCCTGAAAGTGCCATCAATCGTACCTTTCCTGCTGGCTGTGAACACCGTTTATTTTACTACTAACTTGTAAGGATCTTATGCTTTCACAAAATGGTGAACCGGACCGTCACAGCAACTTCAATTTTCATCTACCGAGTCTTCTTTCACAGGTTGCGAGCTTTCCCAGGTCCTTTCTGGGCTAGAGTTACAAAGCTTTGGACTCGCGAGTCACACCTTCGCGGAGAATACCATCGAGACAGCCTCGAGCTCCACCACAAGTATGGCGACATTGTACGGGTTGCGCCAAACGAGCTTGATATCAACGACCTGGAGGCCATCAAGCTGATCTACGGACCTGGCAGCAAGCTGTACAAGGGCCCCTGGTATGACGGTCCATCTGCTACCGCCGAGGCTCGAAGCATTCAAGGAACCAAAGACCATGCCATCCATCGCTCGAGACGTAAGGTCTGGTCACAAGGAAATAGTGGATCGGCTATGGCCGAGTTTGAGCCCCTCATGGTCCGTCACGTCGATGAATTTATCGAGCAGATAAGACTTCGTAAGGAAGTCGACATCGCACTCTGGATCAACTTTCTCAGTTTTGACATCATGGGAGATCTGACGTGAGTCTTTTCCATTACAAGCCTTTGAGGAATGCTAATGGGACCATAGCTTTGATATGCCATTCAACATGGTCAAGTCGGGGGAAACGCATCATTTCATGACAACGCTTCGCAGGTTCATGAAAGCTGTCTCCATGCTGTCTGCCATCCCGTGGCTGAATTCACTCGTCCATGCACTGCCCACAGATAGTGCTGTCAAAGATCTCGAAGAGTACTCTCGAGATTGCTTCAAGACTCGAAAGGCGCAGGGTTCGTCTCGGAAGGACCTCTTCTACTACCTTTTGGGTGAAGATCAGAATGGAACCAAACTCACAGAGCTTGGAGCTGATCATGGACTCACGCACAGCTATTGTCGGAGGCTCGGATACGTCATCCATCGCGATGGGGTGCGTCGTTTACTATTTGGTTGCACATCAAGACAAGTACAAGAGACTGCAACAAGAAGTCCTGGAGCACGGAGGTGACTTGGACAACAACACACTACGAAATCTTCCCTACCTAGGTGTGGTCATCAACGAGGCTTTGCGACTGATGCCCCGGTCCCCCAGGGGCTGCAGCGAGTCGTGCCACCCGAGGGCATGGAGCTAGCCAACAAATTCATTCCTGGCTACACGCTCGTCAGCGTCTCTCCTTGAACGGTCTAGCGAGATGCCCGGAACTGGGGCCGACTAAACGAATTCATCCCTGAACGCTGGATCGGCGAAGGGCCCGAGCCATATAATAATAAAGACGCTTTCATCCCCTTTTCAATTGGTGCGTACAGTTGTGTGGGCAAGCCTCTCGCCATGATGGAGCTGCGCGTCATCACAGCCAAAATTGCAAAGGATTTTGATATCTCATTTTCCAAAGAAATGGATGTCGCCGGTTTCGAAAGGGGTGTTCTAAAACGACTTTACAATGACTCCACCAAGTGTAAAAGTGGTCTTCTCACCGCGTTATTGATGTGCGTGTTCACGTGAGGATGTTTCGGCAATCACTTTGCAGCGTTGCACACAGTGAGTGTGAATGCACTGCACTAGTCCATCTCCACCTATGCACTAGTTGGCTTGAAGAGTTTGGAGATTTTACGAGCCGCTTTATGACACGTGAGGTGTCGACGAGCGAACCCAAAGTAGTTTACTTAAAGATATCGCAGAGGGGCGGACACAGCGAAGACCAGGAAACTCGAGTATAGTATACGAATCTATATACAATGTGTATAGCTACCCGTCTATAAAGTTAACGAAGTTAATGATACAAACTGGCTTGAAAGAGGCCATAACTCCGATGCGAAAGCCGTCCTCTTTGCCCTGCAGATAACCCAAAAGAGGCCCAATTGCATTTTATACATCATGATTTCATAGAAAGGATCATTGACTGACATCGCTTCATCGAAGTGTAGGGATTGGGGGCGGTGACAAAGTGGTGGGCAAGCTTGAGGTCCAGCTTGGTTGGAAACTCGATTCCGAAGTAGTTGCAGTGGTTGTTGTTGTCCAGCTCGGAGAACTCTCCGGGGTGACGGTGTAGTAATAGTATGTGTGCCACATGCCGTCGTCATACGGTGTTGTTGAAGGCTGTGGTTGTGTGACAGTGACAGTCACTGGCGGAAGAGTCTCCGTCGCCGTAACTATCGCAATGGAGGGTGCTATTGAGGTTGCTATTGAGGGCGATGAGTTGGAGGGAGGATATTGTTGACTCGACGAGGCGGAAGATGTTTCTGAAGGGGAGGCGATTGGTATTGTTGTCGAGGCAGGCGAGTAATCGGTGATAGTGGTCGGCGATGGAGAGGTAACGGTCACCACTATCGTTGTGGCTGTTTCCGGCCCTGAGATGACGATGGTGGATAGTTGTGTCTCCATCACGGTGGTTGTACGAGTGACGGCGTCAGTGATTGTTGCAGTTGGCGAGGCATCGTCTGTTGTGCTTGCGCCGCCCACTGCGACAACTGAGTATGAGACCGGTGCTCTTCTTTCGATCGATGGTGGGAGAAGCGGGAAGGCACGGGACAGAATTAGCAACGACGACAAAGAGAGCATGTTAAAGGCTGTCGTCGACTTCATTCTGGTAAGGTAGCGGATTGAGTATCACAGTCGACCGGGGCTCAGAGAATCTGTTCGATACTGTGTAATCTTCTGGGCAATAGTGAGAGCGGATGAATTTGAATACTAGACAGAAGGAGAAGGGGAATGAAGGGAAGAACTTTTAGACATGTACCGTTCCATGTCAGAGCAGAAATGCAAGGGCTGGTCATTGCGCAGACCATTGCTGCGCGCATACCTCGTATAGCGCATCATGTGGTGGTATTGCGGTGGCTATCGGCGCGTTCGTTGCAGCTCGTTGAAGAGGTTGGGAGAGTCAGTTCGAAAACAGACCAACACGGAGCGCAGTCAAGCGCCAAGACCGGGAAGTAAACAGTGCCACCGCCTGTCATTGGCTACAATTGTGTGGCTGGTAACTGAGTAAGCGTGCCAAGAGGTGGCTGGAGTGGACAAAGTACGCAAACCATGCAAACCATGCAAACCCCCAACCCATGTAACGGCGAGGACAGTCATCGGGGGGTTGTTTCGCACTCTCTCAAACAGTTTCAGGACCGCCGCTCCAGATCTAGACCTGTCTTTCACACGCCTCTGGAAACGCTCGGATCTGCAAACACAGGAAGCGAATGACTTGCATCACTCGCTCGCATGCTGAATATCTAGGGTTAGCTGGTCTTGGCCTTCGGCTTCCGGATCACGACCTTATCCCCTTCTCGCATCCAGCCAACATCTTCTTCCTTGACTAGTTCGTCCCAGCTCTGTTGGCCGCCGGTGGCGCTCTGTAGGATCCAGTCCACGTCGCAAGCATAGTAGGCTCGACCGATGGTTTTGAGGACCATCTTGCGCTGAGTCTCGAGGTGCCAATAAAGGATCGCTCGTACATAGCCATCAACCTTCTGTCGAACACGCCAGAACGTGACCCAATCTCCTATGACGATCGATTTCAATATGCTGTCGACAACTCGACTCTTGTACCCAAAGCGGACACGGCTATTGTACCTCAAGGCATACGCTTGGTAGAGATCATGCTGCCGGATAGCCATGTCAAGGATCAAGTAGGTCGTCATCTCAACTAACTCGGATCGCGGTAGCGGATGCTCAGACGTGTGCAGGACGGACAGTAGATGCATCAACGAAGGATGGTAGCCCTCCGGATGAAGCGCTAGGATGGCGACTCGGATGTTGAACACATGTACTCGTTGAGAAAAGACGGGATTTGGTGCGGACGCAGAACTGGCAAGCAGACCCTCGCGTAGTTTTCGCAATGCTAGAAGAATGATCGAGAGCTCCGATGCTGGCAGAGGCGACGCGACATTTGGCGATCGAGTGTTCGTAGGGACAATGTAGTCTGGTTGCGATGAGCCTTGAGCTTGTGCAGGTTGAGGATTGGTCGGCTTTCCAGTGGATTTCTTCAAGGGATCCAAGGCCGGCGACTGGCCCTCATCAAGAGTTAAAGACGCAAACGCACTGTCCAGGTCCTTGGAGTGCTGTGCACAGAATTGCATGTAGCGAGCAACAATCTTGTTGTAGAAGCTCTGCTGGGTTTTGACCTCAAGTAGCCTTATTCCCGTTACAAACAAGCAACCTTGGACTAGGCAGGGGAGGGCCGTACCTGTTATCGCCCTTGGAGACGAATCCCATGGCCTCCAAAGGATCTTGCTTTACTGGTCGTAGCCTGTCCCATGGGGCCGATGATTTTCGCCCGAGCGTTGGAGGGGCTTGAGCCATCTTGGTCCGGCTTAATTGATTCTGCTTGACATTATGTCGATTTTGCTCTGTATGATGTTGTTGGGAGACGGCGCCATCACCTTTGCGTCAGACGCTACTTCTGGTCTACAGCTGGGGACAAGAGAGAAGGAGCAATCATGCCAGGATCATCACGCCCCTTGCATCTTCACAACATTTTGAAGTCCGTACGACTCGGAGTAATCGATGCAGAGGCAAGAGAGGCACGGGCCGAGCCTCGCATTGACCTCATTGTGATCAACTCCCGATATTTTACCGTCCCTCCTATCACTTCCGTCCCAACAATTAAATTTCTTGACATTGCGACCAGCCCACCAAAGGCGAAGATAGAACGCAACCATGTCGACGAGAGATATAGACAACGACAGACCTAAAGACGAAGGGAAAACAGCGTCTCCTTCGAGCAAATCAGTCGATCCAGACAAACAATCCGCAGAAGCTGAGGATCTTTGGCACACTCTCATACACTGGAATGATCTACCGCACTGGCTCCAAGACAACCACTTCATCCATGGCAGCTATCGGCAGGCCTCTTACAGCTACACAAGATCTCTGCAGAGTATTCTGCACTGGCATAACGAGAGCGTGAACATTTGGACGCATTTGGTCCCTGCCACTCTCAGCTTGCCCTTTGCAGCATTTCTCTATAGCGAGCTTGAACCTCGCTATGAGAAAGCATCAGTGGCCGACGTCATAGCAATGAGCTGCTTTTTTGGTGGTGCGGCCGTTTGTTTAGGACTGAGCGCTTTCTACCACACTTTGTCCAACCACTCTCCGCCCGTTGCCCGAATGTGGAATCAGCTGGACTATGCCGGCATATCTGTGCTGATTGCCGGCTCATTTATTCCCAGTGTATATTATGCATTTTGGTGCCATCCAGCCAAGCAATGGACATATTGGACTATGGTGAGCAAGTGTCACACGGCGTAGCCACATTGCTAAGACCTGAGCCAGATCTGCACATTGGGTATTGCATGCACCACCACATCAGTCCATCCACGCTTCCGAACTCCAGCCTGGAGACCGTACCGGGCTTTGATGTTTGTTGGCATGGGCGTATCCGCAGTATTCCCTGTCCTCGATGGGCTGAGAACCTTCGGAATCGGGAATATGGAGAACCAGATTGGCTTGTCGTGGCTGGTGTTGCAGGGAGCTCTGTATATTTTGGGTGCCGGTCTGTATGCGGTAGGTTACCATACGCATTGATGGTAATCATATGCTGAGTAGATAATTTCAGGCGAGGGTTCCAGAGTCCTTCTATCCAGGCAAATTCGACACTCTCGGACACTCACACCAGATCTTCCATGTCCTGATCGTCTTGGCCGCCTTGTCCCATCTCAAAGGACTCCTCAAAGCCTTTGACTACCGTTATGGGACCATGGCGTCCATTTGCATATAAACTCGGTGACATTTGTTCATAGCTTGAAGTCGGCATTCACAAATGTGCGTACATGCGCAGGGTCTCTCTGACGACCAGCAATATGTGAGACCATTGAGGCCTTCAATTCGCGCGATCGATCCGAAGTCAGATCATAGATAGTAGCGAGGTTGATGGTCAGTGTCTGGAAAGAATGTCCGTCATTGACCAATTTTTCCAGGATCTGCCTGGACTTCTGAATCTCTCCCCGATATAGATATGCGACGGCGAGGTTCTGTTTCACGAGCGCAGCCAAGTCTGAATCAGCACTCGCTCCATTTTCGGACAGACCCTTCATAGCATCGTCATATCGGCCTTCAGCGATATGAAGAAGAGAGCCAAGTACAAGCTTGTCCTGCGAATCTAGGTTTCCCGATTCAATCAATCTCTTAGCTCCTGCTATATCGCCCATCTTGATTCTCAACAGGCTCATCCTGGATGTCCAGAGAGCCAGATGATCATCAGTCGCGGGTCTCATACCTGCAAGGGTTCTCGCAGCGCAATCAACATCTCCCATCTCAATCAAAGCGTTCACAACCCGAACGGAAACTTCACCGAGCCGTTCAGTCCAGAGCTCTCTCTGCTCGGATGATGTACGCGTAGCGGATAAATGTTCTCTGCACTCCAGCGCAACATCGTAAAGCGTAGACACTCCCCTTCTTGGATCCGAGAAGCCGATGCTCTGCAGTCTCAGCGCTTGCAAGCGCAGAGAAAAGGGCATTATGTGGGTCGGCACTTTCTGGCCACCTGCCAAGTCATCATCTGCGCTTCCTCTCTCCGAGTTTGGCTCATCATAGTAGAACCCGGAACTCAGATCCTCCAACGCCTTCGCCTCCTGTGCAGCAAGCAGCAAATTCCCCGAAAGTTCGAGACAAGAGTACCTAATCTCCAGCAGGCGAAAGATGGATTTTGAGTCCATGGGCCGCACGGTACCGGAGACCAAGATGGAGCCTGCCAACTGGGCGGCTCGTAGAAAATCGCATTGAGAGAGGAGTGAATCTAACTGTTGCATGCAAGTTTTGAGGGGCGTTTCCGCGTTCGGGGGCGGGAGGAACGGTTTTCGAAAAGGGCCGGGGACTTCAAGCTGAGAGAGAGCATGGTAAATTGAAGCATCGAGGAGGAAGGAGAGGTCCCTTTCTTCTGCTGGAGCTAAGTCTTCAGTCGGCGACCCCGGCTGCTGGACACTCGAAGCTGGTAGTGGTTCGGTGGCTGTTCCAGACGCTCCTACCGGCTCGCTGACTTCTGCACTCGGCGACAATGGTACTGAGTGGTTTTGCGCAGAGGCCACAGACGTCGCAGATACAGTAGGCAAGGGTCCTGTTGGTGCATCGAGTGGGCCTTTGGTAGTTCTTCGAGGCAGGGCTGTTCGACTGGAGGGCTTGCGGCTGTGGTGTACGGAAGCCATTTCGAGGACGTCACACTTTCACACTCGAGCAGTCCGTCACTCACCACTTCAGCTGCGGCAACGCATGTGTGCTGGTCTCTTTCATCGAGCACGGGATGGTGCTTACAGAGAAGACATCGAGACAGACATTGATATCGAAGGTTCAGGGTCGGATAAACCTCGGTTGAGTCCCTTAGGAAATCCACCACCTGCACGTCGCGCCGCATTGATGATCTGTCGCGTACAACTCAAAGCCACTCCAACTGCGAAATCCACACAAGCACAACGTCGCAGTCTTTTAAGGACACACTTCAAGACTCTACAGCCATGGGTTCCAAAGGAGACAAATACTCCGTCATTCTGCCAACTTACAATGAGCGCCAGAACCTGCCCGTCCTGGTGCAGATGCTCTCCGATGTCTTCACAAAGGAGTAAGTCCCCCTCCGGTGCACTACCACCCACCACTACCACCACCTGCACCATCTTACGCACATGGCTCAACAAATGTCTAACAATGCGTTCCCCTACAGGAAACTAAACTGGGAGATCATCATCGTCGACGACGCCTCTCCGGACGGTACGCTCGAGCGAGCAAAACAGGTCCAAAAGTCCTTCGGCGCCGACCACATCATCCTGAAGCCCCGGGCAGGCAAACTGGGCCTGGGCACCGCATACGTGCACGGATTACAGTTTGTGTCGGGCAACTACGTGATCATCATGGACGCCGACTTCTCGCACCACCCGAAATTCATCCCGGAGTTTGTCAAGATCCAAAAGGCCACAAACGCAGACATTGTCACGGGCACACGGTACCGGTCCAAGAATGGATTGATCGGGGGTGTGTACGGATGGGACGCCAAGAGGAAACTCACAAGTCAGGGCGCAAATATCCTCGCGGATTTTCTGTTGAACCCTGGTGTCAGCGATTTGACGGGTTCGTTCAGGCTGTACAAGAAGGAGGCACTTGTGAGAGTGATTGAGAAGACGCAGTCAAAGGGGTACACGTTCCAGATGGAGATGATGGTGCGGGCCAAAGCCATGGGCCTCAAGGTCGAAGAGTGTCCCATCACCTTTGTCGATCGGTTATACGGCGAGAGTAAACTGGGCGGAGAGGAGATTGTCGAGTATCTCAAGGGCCTGCTGTGGTTGTGGTGGTCGGTCTAAATATTTTCTCCGGATGGGGGGCGTGTCGCGATGGACTAGCCATCCAAAAGGAAAGCATTTTACGGTGTTCAAAAGAGCCGGGGGGGAATATGGGTGTGGCCCGCAAGTTGGTCCAGGCTTATTCGAATATTGTGTTCATTATTCCCAGCAAAAAAGCCCTATGAACTTTCTTCATTTCGCCCCCAATGACCACCGACATGGCTTCGCCCAGCAATTGGTCTTGCACAGCGATGATCTTGCTTAGCTATGTAACCTCTATCCTGGAGGAGGACGGTCTGATCTCCCGGATTTTCGTTTGCCTTACTCGGGAAATACCTTCGGGTCCGACACTGTCGGGCTAATTTCAGTGCGAACTTGAAAAGAGGGCGTTGGGAAAAAGGTTCAATCGTTGTAACGAGTATCAAGATCTACTGCGCATGTGTGTATTTGGGACCAGGTTGAAGACCCCCTCCACCACTGGCACGAGGCAACAAGTTCTGCTGACTTCAGAAGACACAATGTACGCCCATGGCGTCTCGGTCATTGTTTTAGTGACGAAGGTGACGACTCATGGCCGTTTCGAAGTAAACGCCACTGAATTGGTTCCGCAGCTCATCCACCATTTAGGCCCCCAAGAAATGCCACCTGCATACCTAGGTACCTTAGGTAGGTATTTGTGTACCATCTGGCAAGACCGTCCCGTCGTCCCTTGATCCCTTCCGGTTGCTATTCTGCGAAAGTCAAAAATACACACATTACACCATTATCAAAGCTTCTACGAGATACCACCTAAACTCATGTCCAAACGTCTGTCCCTGGTGTAAAGGGGAAAAGAGCTGGCGTCGTTATTGCGGTGGTAGACAGCCCCGTCCCCTCCCTTGAGCACATACGTGTTTGAGCCTGGTTTATTCTCCCACCATTGGTCTGGAGACTGGCCGGGCTGCCGAGACGTTATGATATGATATGCAAGGGCATCATGTCAAGAGTGGTCGGCATGTCCCCTGCAGTCAGCCCTAAATCCTGCCTCCCGTGCTCTCAACCAGATTCGCAGGTCGGCCCACCGGATCCGCTTCCAGCTGCTGTGTTGGTCACGCATTCTCTGCAGAGACGTCACCTGTTCCATTGGCGCGGTCCTGCGTGGTCGGATCTTTTGTGATCATTCAGATCAAAGGCTAACATCAAGACGAGGCTGACCCCAAGGAAACATAAGGCGTCTGGCGGTCAACGGCTGAACATCACCTATTCGAGACCGCGAAAACGGTGGTCAGATATTGCTTCTGGCGGTCTGGGTACAATTGTCATAAGTATCCCTGATCTGACCAAATGAGGACCGAAAGCGCAGTAAGACGTCCAGTCGAGACAAAGTGCATTATTGGCGTGAGCTACCACAATCCATTCAAGCACAGACGCTGTAGATCGTGATTTCAATGCCTGCCTCGAGCGAGCTTTGTCCTGAGTTCAGAAAACGTTTCCAGCACAGGCGTCGATCGCGATGGCAGGATTGCTAATCTCAAAGGAGGAACATTGTAGGCAGTAAGCGCAATACGTGGAGAGGTCAATGAGCCCCAGTGGGTGCCAGTCGATCGCTCGATCGCGGACTCGTTTCTTCTTTTGTTCATCGCTAGTGTTGCTTGCTGCTGCATCTCGTCAAATTTACGTCCTATAGAAGGCGCACTATGGACTCGATTGGAAATGCGCAAACCCATGCAGCTTTCGATTTCGGCCCCGTGCACAAATATGGAAAATGGTTTGCGTGATAGTTACCTAGGTATTTGGAAGAGCCCAGTTTAGGGTATTCACCACGGCTGCCGAGCGGAAACCATAGCCCGTGTCTCGTAGTTTTTGTAATCTACCGCAACGTTCTTTTGTAACATTATGCATTCGCGACTTGAAAAGGTTTGAATGGGGGCCAAGGGGATAAATTGATTGGGAGATGGTCCAGGCTATCCCCGGGCTTGGACGAAAGCTTTAGGCTGGTCTGGGTAGGTGTCCGTCTTTGCCCACATGGACGAAGGTTTCGTCGAGAGTTTTCCCAGCGTCTTGACTCGACGTCGGCAACCACAATGGTCGATTATCAAACCAATTAGGGCTGATTAGTCACTTGGCATGTAAATAGACTCGTAGAGCGCGGGTGGGCGCAAGCAAGGAGGGGGCCACACCTTTCTGATCCCTTAGGGCTGAAAGCGACTCCCTTTGACAGTAGGGTGGCCTGGGACGGCGGCGCCCGAGAACATAGGTACCTCGTACTGCTCCAGAGCAATTGGTGCACCGCCCAGATCTTGTCACAACGGCGGCGTGACCCTGTCGAGGAGAGACAAAAGAGACGGCGTGGTTCCCCTGCACCACCAGGTGCTCCCCGGGAACGACTTGGGACAAAGAAACCGGCCCTCTTAGTGGCCAGCATGGCAGCAGGGGCCGGACTGGGGGACACTGACTCGAGGTGTTTGGCCCGAGCCAGAATAGTTTGTGCACGCGAGGCATCGAGCGACTGGGATTCCGCAGCATGAATGCTTTGCATATCTTGGCTTGGCCAACCATGGGTGTGCGAAACCACCAGAACATGGCCTCCGTGTGGCGTCCCCTGTTCCTGCTTATTATTATACCTCACCGCCTGCTCTTGCGCTACCCGATCATACTTTGGACTGAACCAACCGACCTGGAGGCGGAGCAAGTTCACGTCCCCCCCAATCTTGCTGCTCGGACACGCGGTCTTGATGGCGTCACTGGCTTTCAGTCGGCAAGAGATATCTGAGAGTCCTCCGTACCAAGTTGAACTCGGTTGCGCAGGGCTTAAAACTTGACCCGCAATTCCACGTTGAAAAGGGTGTCAAGGCGGTATTCCACCCATTCGGATCTCAGGACACGGCGGTGGCTCATCCTCTTCCGGTTGACCTTTACTGCACCTCAGGCTGTTTAGATGGCCTGATCCGCCCATGCAGGAGTTAGCGTCCTATATTATCTAAGGGCCCTTGAATTGGCCTTTTATCCTTTTGTATACTCAACAAAACCATCTCCAGCTGAGGGATTCGGCCCAGTCTGACTTATGCTCCAGCAAAACTCAGCTTAATCCCAAATGCCCCCATCCGTGGGTACGAGATGGTACCTCGAGCCCTTGTGGTCGCTGACAGGCGTCCATTGACGGGTGCTGAGCAGCTGGTAGAGCGAAGCGCCAAACCATCCAAAACATCCAGAACAGCCAGAACATCCAGAGTTGTTGAAGTTCAGATGCCAACAGAAACTACACTGGTAGTTCTTGGAGATAGAGAGGCAGAACGAGAGAAGAACAGGGAGGGAGAAAGAGAAAGGGAACGGGAAAAGTCACCCACAAGATTGAAAAGGAGCCATCACAAAGTGCGTACCGGCTGCCTAACTTGCAGGTATGAGTTGCCAATCTCTCCTCCTCCCTCCTCCCTCCTCACTCCTGCCTGCATCTTTCATCCTCCATCCTCATGTTCCCCATCTCCCCTTTTTCTAGGTCTGAACATTTCATCTTCTATCCACCACTTTTCTTATTCTCCCTTACTCTGTTCCATTTTCAAGAGTTCGCTAACTTAAGCAAGACAACGGAGGGTCAAATGTACGTCAATCCCCACTAGTTCCTCCTACAGTCCTAAGTATTCCGTACTGGTTGAGCTAGCAGATGAAATGGCGGCATTGTCTTGACTGCATCTGCTCGTCGCGTGGTCTCGTCTCTTTTTTGGGACGTTCCATCTCTCATACCTGGGCTAACTCGTCTCCTCAATGTCCTAGGCGACGAAACACATCCACGGTGTCTTCGATGTGCCAAAGCCGGTCGAGTGTGCGAAGGCTACACGCAATCAAAAGCATGGTTGCTGCAGTCTGCATCTCACGGACACTCACCGACCGAAGAAATCGTCCCTTGGTTTAACAGCGGCAACCCCATCCACTTCTACAATGAGCCTGATCTCAATCGGCCTACCCAGTTCTACCTCGAGTTCACGGCGCCTCGAATTGCCTCCTACTTTGCCGAGATGATGGACTCCTTCCTCGACGATAAAGCCTTGGTCCATTACTCGTCTCGCTCAGCATGGAGCTTTTGGAATCGGTTGGTTATTCAAGCAAGTCAGACCCAGGCCTGTGTCCGTCATAGCTTGGCTGCATTGAGTAGCCTGCACGAATGGATCGAGCTCACGAAGCGAACACCTTGGCAGAACCACACCTTTACTCTCTATTACACAAAGGCCATCACAGAGATCAACCAGGGCCAAAGTGCCTTGCCCCTCGAGATCATTTTGATCTCATGCATCCTCTTCGCTCACTGTGATTTTCTCATGGGCGCCTCCGCCGCGGGACTCACTCATCTCAAATCCGGGCATCGTATTATTTCTGAGAACCGAAGGAGACAAGCCATAATTGCTCCAGAAGTTGCTGAGTTCATCGAGCCCATAATACGTGGTTTCATGGCCAAGTCGGAAAACTATGCACTGCGAGAAGAACCAGGACCTGAGTCGGCCAATCCGACAGAAGGTGCGACGTATGCGGTTCCTGACATGCCCGAGATATTTGAAGACCTGGCTCAGGCAAACAAGCATCTACAACAGGCTGTCTATATGGTCCTGCTTCTTGAGCTGGGCAAACCACACCATTCGACACCCATGATCCCAGGCGTCCGCAAGTACGTTGCCGATTGGGCGAGCGCCTTTGGTCGCTGGAAAGCAAATCTTGAACTTGACGAACCACTCCTGAAAGACTGGCAGCTGTTGCTACTTGCTCATCATCGGATGGCCCTGCTGATGTTGAAGACTCTTCCTCCAGACAATGACTGCTGTTACAATCGTGCCGCTGCAGACTTCCGAATCATGTTTGCTCAGCTGCGGACCTTTTTGCGAAGTGGATACACTACAATGGAAAAGGGACAGGACAGCAATCTTGTCCTAAAGGTGCACCTGGGCTTTATTGCGCCGCTGTACTTTATTGCTACACTGTGCCGAGTCCGCGACATCCGCCGAAACGCCCTCGAGGCATTGCAAGACTTGAAGGTCGTCGAGGGCCATTGGAACAGTTGTGTTGCCTATGCCGTGGCTAAAGCGGTCGTTGAAATCGAAGAAGCATACGGTGAGACTTTGATGAGGGTACGACGTATCAAGGTCGACAGTGTTGATCGAGTAAAGGATGGAACTCTAGAGATAAGATACCACAAAGTGCCAGGGGACGGGACTCATGGCGATACTGTCACCAGAAGGATAACAGAGCCTTGCTGCCACCACGAGACAAACATGCAATGGGTAAGGGACCTTTGTAAGCTCGTATGCTTTTACTAACGACTGGCCCAGCCATTAGTACGTCTTGTCCAGCTTCATGGATTCCAGGCGAGTGTCAAACCTCGCAAGCTGAATTGTTCATGCAAACCGACATCTGTGGCATGACGACCTGGAGATGTCCACCGTCAACCAACGATGATCAGGAGTCATCCAGAGAGAAGGACCCGGCTACCAGCGTCTCTCCGACATGGTGGTGCCGGCCAAAATAAACGCTGTTCAAGATGCGGACCGAGCCAGTGGGAAAGCCGGCGCTCACCCACCTTCTTGACAGTGTTAAATCGCTAACCAGATAGACGGTGATTACTTCCCATCATCCTGATCGCCGATCGGTCAACCGATAGTTCTACAATGATGACCTCACGGTTTCGTTATCGATGCCATTTGCAGGATCCACGATTCCCTGTCATCAGAAACGTCGCCTACATGGGATGCTTGAGTCGCGAGAGAGTCGTCACAGATTCCGATTTCCCATAGTCGACGGACACGAACTTACCTGGCCCTCGCCCAATTATCTGGATGCTTCTCGCACCTGGGATGCTGTCCTAACAGTGGGATGCTGATATGGTGGTGGCAATGAGAGAATGATTGTATGAATGTTGACTCCATGATTGCTATGAGTGATGTGACACGCGAGGAAAAGCCGAGACTCTTTCTGGACCATGATATGTGTGTGACAACGAGAAGGTGAAAAGACAGGTAAGAGAGGAGAAAGTGGACTAAAAAGTCTTGATCGAAGTCATGCGGGAGTCACAGCATTATCCGCGTTCTTGTGGCTGGATCTTAAAGGATAAGCTACGTGAGAGTGACAAAGGGTGAAGCATCAGGGGAGGAAATATGAATGCCAATATGTACCTTTAGTATCGACGAGGTGGGTGAGCAAAATACAAACCGTCCGCAATGTAGAAACAGTGTGTACGTTGCTAAACCTTTTAGCTGGTAAGACCACTCGAAGGGAAATGGGGAAGGAAAGAAAGCTCTTCAACGCGCTTAGCCGGGCACCCTCTGTACTTGACAAGGTCTGAGCTGAGTGGTATGGTGAGAGAGCAGGGATTACCGAGTATGTACCTCGTACATACCTAGGTAGATAGATCCGGGCGATGGAAGGCCTGAAGAAAAATCCAAAAGGGGTCCCTTTCCCACAGAGCCTCGCGCAGCCTTACAGCAGCAGCAGCCGCCGCCGCCGCCGCCGCCTTTTACGGCTTACGCACCTACAGAATATAGGGCGTGGCATGGCATGGCATGAGATAGCACGGCAAAACGGGCACCTGGTCGCATAGCATACCTGGGCGTGGCAAATGTTGAAGAAAATGGGCGTCAGATACGCAGTGTCTCTTTTGTTTGCCGGGCCTTGTCTGTGGTATGTATCTCGTACATACCTAGGTACCTCTCTCCAGCTGCTACCTAGCCTGCCGTGTTAATTTTCAGTTCGGTGTCTGCCTGTCTGTCCGTCTTTCGACATACAAATTTCCCATGTGCGATTGGCCTCGTAACTTCTTCAGGAGGCTCCGCCTTTTGGCCCAATATCGCGGGGAAGGCGTCGCCAGTGTTAAACGTTTCATTTCATTCACTCATACTTTTGTACACTTGTTCGCTCTATCAACTCCGATTCGGCTCCTTTACGTTCCCTCAACGTCCCATTTGTATTCGCATTCGCATTCATATCCACATTCGTCGCGTGTCCATTACTCTTCTCCACCAATCTTCGGCGTGAGTGGTCGTTCTTGTCGTCTGGGATTTCGTGCACTTTCATGTCAAACCCGACCCAGAACCTGCGGTCGCGCCAGGTCACGCTCGTGCCGCCCCAGATCGCCCACGTCCAGATGGGGAAGGCGAGGGATTCGCGACCGAGCCACGCCAAAAGCCAGACGGGGAAGCGACGTCGGGAGCGTGAGGTGGATGACAGGGGGAGGGCGAATGCAGGGACAGGTACTTCGTTCGCTGCCGCTGCTGCTGCTTGGTCTGTGTTCGAACCCATGAATGAGGATGAGGATGCTGATGAGGATGTTGGCGTAGATGTCTCAATGGTCCGACCCGAGTGCAACAACAGGTACACGGTCCAATCCACCGCCATCCAGCAGAGGATGCTCAGCAGCCACCACATCCACAACCGTCCCCACGAATCCCCCGCCCAGCCTTTCGTACCGCTGAAGGTCGTCAAGCCCCAAGCGCCCATCAGCGAACACAGAAAACTCTCAGTGCCCGGTTCAACCAGCGTGGCTACCGGGACCGTGAATTTTCTCACCCTCAGCCACCGAACGCGCCGGGACATGTAGGACGGGAGGGACATGGAGTTGATGGGCTGGATAGCGAGATCGCCGTAGACAAGGCCGTGGTTCTTCATGTTCTGGGGGAGATCGGGGGTTGTGGGGATGGGGGATTTCCAGAGCAGATCGCCGATGAGGTGGTCTTCGCAGATATTGTGGGAGAAATAGTCGATGCCAACCCGTGCATTTGGGACAAAACCGCTGTTTGCTGCTTCACGGCCCGTTAAGTTGTCTCGCTTCCTCCTGGCCTTGTCTTCCTCGAGAGCCCTTTGTGCTGTGAGATGATCCAAGTGCACACGTCGGAACATGGTGGATTTTCCCACGATGCAGGGTGCGACGGCCACGGCGTTGATGGCAACATACATCTTCGCGTGGGAGGAAGAGAGAAAGAGTTCTTCAACGTGGCCACCTGCACTCCGCTTGAGCTGGTCGAGTCGCGACCCAATACCAAGGGAAAGCCCCGGTGTGGAAGGGCCGCCGCTGTGGGACGGAGAGTGCGTCGCCCCGATACCACCCTCGTAGGCGTGTACGTCCACATCGACTGATATAGGCAGGTGATGGACCAGCTTGTATGGCGTAGCTGGTGGTTGTCCGTCTCGGGTGAAACCGCACAACCTGTCAACCATGCGTGCACAGACACCCCGGCCCACCCAGACATTGCAGTCGAGTATCCATATGAGATCGCGCTTCCCTGCCTCGCGGTAGGCCTTGCTCATGTTCCGAATTTTTGGGTTGGGTCCCAGATGCAACCTGCGGTAGTTGCTCTCCTCTTCGTCTCCGTTGGCGAGTCCATCGTCTTCCTCCTCGACGAAGATCCGCGCATTCCGAGACCCATGGTCATTGACGACTTTCTCGATAACCCCATAGGCAGGATCGGATCGCGACGAAACGCAGAAATGCACCGCTATCTTGTCTCGGGGGTAGGCTTGTTGGAACGTCGAGGCGAGACATTCGTACAGGTGAGGTTCGAGTCCCTTGCAAGGGCGGATGACCGTGACATTGGGGATGCTCTCGTGGTTTGCTGACTCGGAGAGAACGGTACCTGGGGAAGGGGTCTGGCGATAGTAAAGAAACCTACATTAGCCACGGTCAGTAAGTGAGCAGGAAGCCATCAAAGGAGGGGTGGCTTTAGAACGTACAGACAAATGTAGCCAATGGCACAGACGCAGGCTATGAAGATGTACCAAGCGATGCAAATCGCCGCAATGTAATCTCTGAGCATGAGTGTAGCATGTCGGATGCAACGAGGAATGAACGTGAGGTAGGACCGAGAAAAGAATGAGAGAGAGGTCTAGTTGAATGCACGATACACTGCAACAGGGAAATTTATTTTCGTGGGTTTATTTCGTTCGAGGAAGTACATAGTGTCGAGTTCCGAAATTTCCGCATCGACTGAACCCGGGGTATTGCTATGCTACCTAAACACCCAAGGTCAACAAGACGCAGCCCTCTGTAGGAATAAAGCAAAGCTACTGTTCTCCTTTAGTGCTTGTGGTGCTCAATCCCTCAACCATGCGCGCCGTTTCTCTTCCTTCTTCTCCCTGCGCTTCTCCTTGAACGCTTTTACCTCTGCCTTGCTCAGTTTCTTGTTCGCCCTCTCTGCCCTCAGGCTTCTGCCATCGTGACTATTTGCCGCAGCATCCACATCGAAGAAGGCATTCATCTGCCGCCGGCTCTTTTGCTCATCGGTAAATTTCTCTGGGTTGAGGTCTGCTCGCTGCCATTTCCCCGTGAAGCGATTAAAGGTCCCGGATGCGGCATAAACGTCGGCAGGATTTGTGCCCGGAGCAGCGCCAGGCGCGTTGTCCACCGAAGAGATCTCGTAGGCTTTGGCGTAATCGGCATTTGGGTCGTAATCACCATGGATGGCAGGGTCATATCCGCCAACTCTGTGTGCTGGAGGGCTCTGGGCTCCCGCTATTCTATCATGGTTTCCAACTCCTGGAGGGCCGGCTTGACTCGATGTTTCTGGTACTCTGGGATTCTCCCACTGTGTCGCTTTTGTGAATCGGTTGAAGAAATAGAATGCTTGGGCATGGTCATCCCAGATCGGTTCCCAACCATCATCCACTGGTTGAGCAGGGGGCGCCTCGACCGGTAATGGAGGAGGTTCTTCGTCGCTGGGAAGCGCAGGATTTGCTGCTGGTGTTTCCGCGACACGTTGATCTTCTGGGTCTTGGTCTAAGGGCTTTGCAGGCGATGAATCATGGTCGTCCACTTCTCCATCTTCCTCGCTGAGAGGACTGTTCTCTTTGTGCATTTCTTCTTTCTCGGGACTGGTGATAGACATGACACATTAGCAAGGAAAGCAGGAGAGCGAAAATGGCCTGGAGGTCAGCTACAGCATGTTGGTCTGTCACACGACTTCACCGCAGAACGCAGATATACTCATGTAACAGTGGTATTGCAGGGCATTGACGGTAGGGCTACGGTACAACAGCCCGGGGAGCCGATGAGGATCTCTAGATTGATACAACAACGTGGGCGACGATTTGCGACGAGGCTGCTTGGTACGCAGGGGTATGGGAGGATGGTTACCGCAGTGTCAAAAATGTTGTAAGGGCAAGGGCGAGAAGGTTCTCTCCGAGTCCCTCGAATTTAGCGCCACACGAGGAAGGTCTGCCGGCACCACGGAATACACACACCAATTTTCCAACCAATGCAGTTCTTCCCAAGGCATTTGGGCAGGAATTGGGGAAAGCAAGCAGCCGAACGGTCTAGATGTTGTGTCACCTGAGCAGCGGGAAGAGACGCGTGCCACATTGTCAATCATTACTTAGGGATCTTGTGTGCCCATGCTGGAGAGTTGGTCCGCCTATGTCCGCTTTGGCGTCATCCTCGCCCTCCGTTGAGTCGAGATACTGCTTCGCCGGACCTTTCACTTCCATGTTTCGGCATCCTTGTGTTGCAGGCCCCTGGCCTTCATCACATGTTCTCTATTCTGCTGTTCCAGCAAGCGCAATTGCGTCTCATAGTCCTGCAAAGCACTGCTTTTACCTTGTAGCCATTTTCCTTGCTGAGAATGAGAATGGAGAGCTTTGCTGCAATCAATGATGCCCAGGTGCTGTCTGAAATGCGCTTTCGTTGCCGGATCGTATTCCGTTTCAGACTCTTCTTCAGAGCGATCTGCAGCATGTCCCCCACAAGCCCAGAGCACCGGAGTCTGATATCTGTTTGCCGCAACCCTAGGGTGCGGAGGCATCGAGGTAGTCTGGTCCACAAACGGTCGTCCAAACATGAAGGTAGGAATTTCCTCTTCAGTGGGCAGAGATGACTGGTAGGAAACAGTATGATTGGGTGTCGCGGATGTTGATTTCTCCTGGAATTCCCCATAGTCCCGGACTATATCATGACAAGCGTTAAACCTGGCAGTCTCGACGGGTCTCTCTGCATACGAGGTTGCGTTGGATAGGGACGGTCTCGATGTCGGAGGTGACATGTCTTCTGGTGTAAGGTGGCTTGCACCTCTCAGACAAAGTGTGATATGGACAGTAGATTGTGAAGTCACATTGATATCATTGTCGCTATAGTCTCTTGCTTTTTGCTCCATTCTTCACGTCCACGCTCTGTAAGGGGTCCGGACTGAACACTAAAAACAGTAAAGAAACTTACAAGGATGGTGTAAGAGAATTCAAGAGCTTGAGTCGACTTCAGCCCTTATTTATCATCAGGCTGAATGGCGTGGGACAGAACCTTGGAAGGCAAATTTGAGCCTGTGGTGTGCGAGGAGCGAGGAGGGGAAGTGGTTGAGCTGCCGGTGAGGCTGAGCCTTTAGGTCTCCAATTTCGAGGGTTTTCATTGGCTGATATCAGGCACTAATCCTGATTGGGACCACGTAATGCACACTCCGGTCATCCTCCCACATCCGCGTCTTTTGCCCCTTTTCCTCAAATGTTCACCGGCTTCATGTCACTGGCCTTGCTTTGTCCACCAATTGACAAATTCTTGACTCGTCATTTCAATTTTCAGAGCTCCCATTTGCGCCTCACCATGTACCAAGGCACCTGAACAGCCATGTCGGGAAAGCCGTCTCTCCCATCGCGACTTGCCGCCGTTCTCCCTGTTGGACTGGATCTTCGGGTATATCACCTGTCAACTCCGCCCACACCAGGACCGGCCTTGTTCGCACCTTTGAATGGCCACGACGAGGAGGCGACCCTCTGCGAGTCCCATTTTCTGGCTGTCTCCTCGCCGGAGCACGAAGGACGCAGAGAGGTTTTGGTCTACGCAATTGAAGTCTTGGTTTTCACAACCCAGTCTCTCGTCACTCTCTTTGTTTCAAAGGCCGACTCTTCGGGCTTCTCTTCCCGTCTGAACCAACACAAGGGCTCTCCATCTGCCGTCGCGGCCATCACCTCCACCTTTGTGGAGTTTCTGCTTGAACCTCGTCTGAGCAGTTCAAGGGTGGTCGTGTCTCTCTTCGCTCGTTCGCAAAACCAATACCTTTTCCCTGGGAGTTCTGAGAATGCTGGAAAACACATTCTAGACGACCGGCAGCTTATCAAGTGGTGGTGTCGAGTGCTCGATAGAGTACTGCGGCTGCCCAAGGATGATTTAGTGGCTACTGCGCACCTCTTGGTCCCTGGATGCGATAAGGGCGAAACGAGAGCCTTTTTCCCACCATCAAGTCGAGAGGATTCCTCTTCTGATCCGAAATGGATCAATTCATACCCAGTCAACCTTCTGGTGACTGACCCTTCGATTCCTCCAAGAAATGTGATACCCCGCCTTCCAGACGATCCCAAGGCGCGGTTCCTTGACGACCTCGATGGCGACTTTGTCGATGAGAAAGGATGTTGGCGGAGTGTGAAAACTCTTGATCAATTCTGGGAGATGATGTCCTATAGACAAGAATGTTCTGCCGGACGACTAGTCGGTTTTCTTTGGCTGGTTTTCTCCCGAGGCCAGACCCAACACGCAGCGCTAGGCGAGCTTGAACGGAGGGGTCAGACGGAGAATTTAACCAGGCCACCCACTCACTCGAGCCTTGTTACACCTGTCAATTCTCAGCAACACGATACCGGCGTGACGGAGTCAAGTGCGCCGACTGCTTCCGTCCTAAAACTGATTGCAGAACCCAACTCACCACCTTCCTCTTCGCCTATCCATCCAGAGCCCGAATCGAAGCCCTCCGAGCAGACACAAAACGCTGACCGAGGTGCTCCTGTACCTGGACAGGGTGAAAGGTCACCGTTGCCTACAATCGAACAAATGCAGGGTGAGCTTGTTATCAGCACTACTCAATATCAGGCTCTGATGGATCATCTTCTGCAAACTGACTTTGCTGGCGAGGCCATTGCTGCGGATGCCACAAAAAGTTGGGTAGATAAAGCTATGGAGCTGTCCATGGCGGCCTCATTTGGGCATCCGGTACAGGGTCATGCCACCCCGGTCTTGGCTCTATCCACAGCACCAGATACTGTGTCGGCCAAAGTTAACATGCTGACTGGCGTCCGCAAAAAGAGGAAGGCGGACACAATGGACAATGGTACCACCGTCGCCGCCACCACCACTGAGGTTACACAAGAAGCTGCAGTCACGACTGCTAATTCGTTGTCGGCCAGCTTGGTGAGAAAGAAGCCGAAATCCTAGCGATGTATGACGAACTCTTCGGCGCAAAATTAGCACGTCCAACTTGTACCTCTGGAAAAGCAATACCTGCAAGGCACCTTGATTGGATAGACGTGCCTTGTGCAGGATTTCCCAGAATTTCAAGATATTGGAGAGAGAAATTTAGGATATGACAGAGCGGCAGGTGCGCACGACTCGGCACGGCGAGTCAATCGAAGCAGCCTCTCCAAAGCTCTGAGTGGCCGTTTGCCGGGTCAGATTGTGGCTATACAGGACTCGGCGTCCTAATCCGCCCCATATACTGCTCTATTCTCATTGGCTCAGCCTCCGCCGCCGACCGTTGATCTGCCAAGCGGCATTCCGATTGGGCCTCGGCAGCCGCCAGGCTGGATTGTCTTCCAAGCTTCTCCTAAAAATGGAAATTCGTCGAAACCGCATCTCGACCTCTCCGCGCCATTGACGCCTTCTTGCATCAGGCCTCACCATCGGCCGGTCCTGGGTCCGACGTGTTTCCTCACCTCTCGAGCTATCTCCAGGCTGCCCAAGAAGCGGCCTACTGCAGAAAATGACAAAAATGACGACCGCCTTACATCGACGGATCTTCTCCAGCACGGCGTCTATTGTAACCCTTCCGTCCTCCCCCAGCCCGTTTCAGATTCTGCTTGTAAATGCTCAAGTCGGCCAGGCTGACCACGGCAATTTTGGACGCATCTACAAACTGTATGGCCATCAATTTTCTCTTTTACTGCCTCATCTCATCTCAATCATTTTTTTTCTGTCCGTAAGTGGTCCTCGGTCATCGTTTCCCTTTTTCCTTTTGTTTTTTGCGTGCATATGAACTTCTGTTGTTCCTCAGCCTACTCAGAGCGGTGATTAGTGACTGTTTGGGACATATACTGCCGGCTCGTTCCTTTTACTGTTTCAGATCATGGCCACGGTTCTGGAAACTCTACTTCTCCTTGTGGCTGTGGTTGCGGCACAGAACAACTGCTCTATTGTCCCAATCTATGTCGATTTCCACGTCAGAGCCGTCGACGGTGGGGTCAACGAGCAATATGGATTGTTTACCGGGGCTGGCTTCCCAGTATCACAGAACATGTCGCACTGGCCGTCGTTATCGAACAACGAAACAACAGTGGCCAGCCTTGACTACTGCACGAACAGTCCTTTCGAAGACTGTTTAAACCACGCCCATGGATTCTACTCACCAGACTTGTCACAAAAGTCAGTATCACAGTCCTTAGCTCTACTAGGTTCGGATGCTGATTGTGGCCTTACAGCTACTCCTCAGGGTCATCATATCAGTCACTCGATAGTTATGGCTCGATACCCGCCACTATCCTCCAAACAGCACTCGATACATTCAACCTCTTCACGCATTACTACGACCCCTCTCCACCAAATATCACTCGGATCCCAAGTTTCCCCCTTACGGTCCTGTCAAACTACTCTGCCAGCACGTCTCCTTGGTTTGGTCCCGCAGGTCTGCTGGGCCTTGGACCAAAAAGCACGCTATTGGACCATCTATACGCTCTCCAGTTGATCTCGTCGCGGTCATTTGGTCTGTACATGGGCACTGCCTATGAACAAGCAAATGGCGTAATCAACGGCTCTCTGACCTTGGGTGGCTACGATTCGGGTCGGTTTCAGGGCGACGTGCATAATTTCACCATAAGCCCCGCTCAATCAGACGCCGAACACAGCCCCTTTGTGGTTTCTGTCGGGCAGATGACGTTGACTGCCTCTGATGGGACCACGACAGATCTCCTCACCGAGGCCTTCGACGCCCATCTCACCACATCGCAATACCACCTCAACCTCCCCAGCGATGTGACGCGGAAATTCTCCCAGCAAACGGGCGCGACAACTTCAAATGATGGCCTTGAAGTCTTCCGTCTCCCAGACGACTTTGATTCCACATTGACCATCACCCTTGAGTCGGGAATGAGTGTCACGTACGAGTCGGACTGGCTTAAGAACGTGTCCAACGATTCCCCAATCTCTACAGGGTCGGTCTCAAATACATCGACAAACCAGACAGTCAACTTCTTCGGTACCGCATTCCTCTCTCAACTCTATTTCATCGCCAACTACGACTCCTCGCCACCGACATTCCACCTCGCGAATGCCCTGCCACATGCGCCCTACGTCTTCACCCAGACTCTGTGTCCCAACACCGTCCCAACACCCGCTCCGAAATCCAATCTGTCCAGCTTCGGCACCTCTGGCTTGACAGGAGCGATCTTGGGCGGCGTTGTTGGAGGAATTGGGCTCTCCTTTGTCATCTTCTGGCTGTTCCGAAAATGGATGCAGCGACGCATGTGGCGGGAGCAGGCGGAACAAGCCATGAAAGGAAAGGGGATTGACAGTGCGTCCACAATCACCGTGACGGCAGGCAAAGGGAAAGAGTCGCCGTCTTCCTTCTCCTCCGCCAGCCACGATGAGGAAGCACAGAGAGGAGGCGGCGGTGGCGGCAGAGAGTTCGCGTTTGACTTTAGCTCGCAACAACACCATGCCTACCACAATTTCCTACAGAGCGCAACACAGCAGCAGCGTCAACCACAACAACCACAACAACAGGATCATCAACCCGCAAATAGAGAAATACAGAGCACTGCAGCTGCTCACGACGCGGTCTCCCCCATCTCGTACAGCTCCATGCCCGTCACACAGTACGCCCGCTCGTTCACACGAGACTCATACTCCAACTCGCCACTCACGCCTGCAACGGGTGTTCCCTTGCTATTGTCGCAGCAGCCGACCGGGCAGCTGCAACACTCGGAGGCTCGGCCGCCGACGGCAGACTCGTCCTTTCCACCTTCATCCTTTCCATCGTCGACGGCCTTTGCGCCGCTGACGTTGACGCACACAAACCTCTCCCTCGAGGACCCGACGTCCACCTACCCCTTCGGCGCGGGCCAGAGTCGGGGCGAGGACGACGACTCGTTCCGAGCCCGACAGGCTAAGCTGCGCGGACGCGAGATGGTGTTGAATGTGCAGACCGAGTTTGCGCCGCCGCCAACGAGGACCTTTAGATCCTCGTCCTCCTCGTCCTCTACGGACAGCAAGGCGGCGAGAAAGGCGGCGGGCAAGGAAGGCCGGAAGATGGAGAGTATGTTGAAGAAAGTCTTCTCTCCTCCGGCCTAGGGGGCGGAGTTGATCCAAGATGAGGACGTGAGCGAAGCAGAGGTTCGAGGAAACTGAACTTCTGGACACGAACTTGAGCCTTTGATCTTTTACGACTGAAACGGGCATGCGTGCATGAGAGGCGCGGCGTTTGTCGGGGTCTTGTCCAGGTGTTTGTGCATGGATCAGGCTGGCCTGGCCTGGCCCAGGTCAAATTGGTATTAGGGGTTTTTTTTTTTGCTCTATTGGTAACGATGAAGGATTTATCACGGTCACGAATCCCTCCCTCCCTTCCACCATGCCGTCCAAAGTAGGAAAAACAGGCGCTCGCTTTGCAGTTTCTACCTTTATCCACACAGATATATACATATTTATTTCCATGTGTGTGGTTGCACACCTTTTTACCATTCTCCAAACCTGCTTTCTTCCATCGAAAGAGCACAAATTCATTAATCCATCCTGGTAGACATCACCGACATGGGGCGGCGTGTTACTATATCTATATACATAAATGTGTAAAGTGTATGTGTGGCGTCGAGGGCAAAACCCGGACTCGGTATCGGTATAGTAACAGCAGCTGGGTCGCCGGCCGGTGAGACGGAGTTCAAATATGGGTTTATGATTATTACCACCCTGGTTACTTTTGTCTCTCCGTCAACCCACGGAGAGTGTGTGTCTGACAACTGTAGCTGGGGCACTAGGGCCTTGATGCTGGGCCGGGGTGGCGGTGGCTGTGTTCACATCTACTCTCTGCCTTTTCATTCGGGAGGTAGATAGGTAACCTAGGTAAGTAGGTAAGTAGGTAGAAGACAGACACCTACGTACGTAGACCTAGCTCCATCAATCCGAACAGATTTCTTAAACAGCCATCGTCACATCCCCGCTCTCCTTGTCACCCACCCTTCCCGTCCCCGTTCCCGCCCGTATACCGTCCTCGCCGAAACCCTCTCTGTCGCCGCTGTGCGTAGAATCCCCGGCCCCCAATTCCTTGAACCCTTTCGTCTTGACCCGCGCAATGAACAGCTCGTCCAGGCGCTCGTAGCTCAAACCCGCGGACTCGGGCTGGCACAGCCACAGGTAGACGATGGAGAGCACGGACAGCGCGCCGAAGATGAAGGTCACTTTGGCGCCCAGGTTGGCCTTGTCCGGATTGAAGAGGTAGGGTAGGACGAAGCCCCACATGGTCTGTTTTATTGGAATAAGTCTCAAGGGGGTTTTGGGGGGTGAACAAGCGGGATGGGAACGACGGTTGCAAACTTACAAAGAGAGCGCTTTGCAGTCCCACCGATATCGACGCTGTCTTGGCCCGTAGCCGCGCGGTGGGGATCTCGGTCAGGATGGTGAAGGCCGTGGCGCCGATGGTGGCGTTGTAGACGAAGGAGAAGAGCTGGAGGAGGGCGATCGTCCCCTTAATGGCGGGCGGCGTGCCTGAGACTGCGAGGCCTGGGTATCATTTCCATCACCAGTCAGCGAACAGTCTTGTAGCTCTCGCAATTCGCGCGGTTCATATAGTTGTCAAATGCACATTCTGTAAGGCTGGTGGGATGCCGAACCGAAGGTAGTGGCGATAGCGAAATCATACATACCTCCAGTGATCAAGAGAATCAGCGTCAGCATGACCATTCCCCATAATGTCAAAGGTCGCCGGCCCACTCTATCCACCAAGAACCACGAGCAAATGTTGCCCGCGCCCGACAGAACCTGCTGGAGGATAAACAGATGGAAACTGGCGGCGGTGCTGTAACCCGCGAGCTGTTGGTAGTACGTCGTGTAAGAACCCACAAAGGCCACGCCCGAGAAGGTCTGGATGGTTAAGGGCATGGCGGCGATGATAGTGCGGCGCAGGTTGGACCTGCGGAAACATTCGACGTACGTGGCGCCCGAGGTCTCCTCGACCGTCTTGGCCAGCACGCGCTTGATCTCGCGCATTTTGAGCTCGGCGTCGGCGTCGGAAGAGTAGCCGATCTTCTTGAGCGCTTTGAGCGCTTTCTCGTCCTTGCCGTGGCTGACCAGCCACCAGGGCGACTCCGGCATGAACGGGAGCACCACCGTCGCGAGGCCCATGAAGCCGTAGCCGGACACAAAGGCGATGCGGTAAGCCCACCGGGTGGCTTGATTGCCCGTGAAGTTGACCACCAAGGCAGACGACAGGGCACCGGTGATCAGAGAGATGGGCACGGCAGCGGTGAGCACTCCGCGCAACGGCAACGGCGTGATCTCTCCGATGTAGGCCATGCATAGAGAGTTGGTGCCGCCCGTGGAGAAGCCGCCCAAGAAACGTCCCCCGAAGAAGGTATAGTTCGTGGTAGCGAGGAATTCCAACGTGACGGATGTGAGTCTGACGGCGAAGATGAAGCCGAGGGCAAATCTGCGACCGACCTTGTCGGCAATCCATGCGGCACTCAGTGCGCCCATCACAGCGCTATCGTGAGAAGAATAATCAGCCGAGTCTGCCCCGTTGGACTTTTGTAAAGAGAGCCATGGTCTTACGCTGCCTGAGGAGCGCCATAGTATGCCGACTGCCACTTGGCCGACAGCACATAGTTACCATCGTAGGCACTGCCAAAATCCTTGCGAAACTGAGGAATCCCCAGGACTGACTGCCCGGCCGTCTTTGCGTAGTTGTTGGCCAGGATGCACCAAAGCATGTAAAGACACCAGATGACAGCCCAGATGTACTTGCGGATGGATCGCAATACCGACGAACCAGAACCACGGCTCTTTCGAGGAGGTAGATCCTCAGCCGGGTTGATCTCGACTGCACAGACATTGCTGTCGAGGGGCGGCTTTTGGGAGTCTCCGCCAGCCATCGTCGCCTTGTCAAGCAGATGCGGCTTGTGTCGAGTGGGACATGGCCGGTTTGTAAAGAGATATAGTATCGACCAATGTCCCTTCAAGGAAACTCTTGGGTGTCCGAGTCACGTTGGGTTGCCTGAGTTGTATCAAAGGTGTTAATAATCGCACCATCGTAACCAGATCTCTCATTCTGTTCCCGATACGAAATAGGCGACTTGTACCGAGTCAGTGTGCCGCCTTCTCCCAATCCGGACCCATCTAGAAGTAATATTATGTTAAGTAACCACCCATTCAGAAAGCCTAGCCCGCTTGCTCCTGGGCCAGAACATGGCCATACCGGGGGCTCATGAGGCCCAATTGTAAGCCTGGTGAGCCCCAGCACCGGGAGGTCCATCAATCATCAGCCAACGGGTGGGAGCCCTGGAGTTGACCCACTCACTGACTTGCCCGGTCTCTCTTTAGCGAGTCTGAGTAATCGCATGCAGACAAAGTTGGGGGCCGTTTCTTCGACTTACATACCTAGGTAGCTAAGTATGAACTGTGTTCGGCGTCCTCGCTAAAATTTGCTTCGGTGCCGACCTCCGCATGGCCCCGATTATCAGGAGCTGAAGATTGGCCCCAGAACCTGACATCTGAGATTGCCGCCCCGTGATTTGCTAAGAGACACCGAGACACTCAGGATGAAGGAGTTGAGTTGTGTGGCGGAAATACGAAGCAGAAGGAACACAGAACAGCCTCGACACAGCAGAAAACACAGCATCAAGACCGATTTCAAACAGTAAAGGATCCGAAGGTTCAGTGGCGGCGGGGTAATGCCTGTTCCAATTCAGTGAGCCACCCAGCCAGAGCGAGCCGATCAATTGCCAGTTTACCAAACCGGCCTGAGCCTGCCGCAAAGGCTCGCATGTTATATGTACCATGAGTCAAAGCCGCAAGCCCCCGCCGTTGATGTTCATCGTGGGCGACGTCAAGAATCCCTACAGGACGACCAAGGCCATCAAGTCGGCAAAGACGTCGCACATTTCTTCGCGCTACCGATGCTGGAACAAGGCCAACCACCAGGACCTGGCTCTCGACTCGACCACCAAGGCTATCTTGACCGGCGGGACCACATCGACATCGTCCTCCGGCCTCCAGAGGTCGTCGTCGTCGCCTGCTGATAACCCGAAGACGCCTTCTGTGGGCAGGGCACCAACCACTGACGACGACGAGACGGAGCAGCAGCAGGATCACAAGGACGCCAACCAGATCCTCGAGGCCGATGCATCTACAGATGACGGAGAAAATGGTGCCCTTCTGCCCGTGGCGGCGACAAATTGTCTGACAACAACATCGCAGAAACCGCGTGTAGCCATTAAGCCCTGGGAACACGACCTTAGAGCCTACGAAGAGTGGACGGCCTCTCCTCTGCGGCTGCTGGGGACTCAATTCTTCGACATCTTCACCCCATCAACAGCCATCACTTACGACACCGAAATCAAAGCGAACCTCTACTTTTATTTCTGGGTCATCAAACCCTTTGCGACGCATCTGCTTCAATCGTGGAAGTGGCTGGACAACCTGTCGCAGATCCAGGCGTCGCCCTGTCTAACTTATGCCGTGGCAACATATGCTTCCGTCTTTCTCTCGGGCATGCTCAGAGGGTGAGCTCCCTCCTTCCCCAATGTACCAGGCCCCTTTGATTGAAATGAATACCTCTTGTACAGCCTGCAGGAGGTATACGTGGTGAAACATACAATGTCCACGTTTCAAGGCTAACATCTTCATCGCCATGCACCCAGGGGCCCGGGCGTAGTGTTGCCACCACCGACCGAAAGGGGCCAGACGTCTCACTGGCCGATACCGGCATGGTTGCGCCTCCATACCCGATGTCTAGCCGAGCTGAATGCCTTCCTGAGCGATCCCAGCCAAGCTGTCGACGATTCCTGCTATCAAGCGATTCTATTTCTGTACCGGCTGTCGGTAAGTGGGAGAGATGGGTTGAACGAGGAGGGCCTCTGCGGAGTCGACGCCATCTGACGATTCTAGGTGCTGCTGGCGGACGGTGAAAGCGGCAGAATGCACCTCCAGGCGCTCAAACGCATGTCCCTACTCCTCGACATGAATGAAGCTTCACTGGAAACAGAACTGGCCGTGTGAGCATCCCGCGTTCGTCCCTGGATTAGGCGCAGCTGGCTGATGGTACATCTCAGGTCCAAGATCAACATCATTGGCGCATTCCTCCACAGCCGCTCAATTGTGGTGGTTCGCAAGGCGCACCGGAGAAAGCAGGAGTGCCGAAAGGAAATGATCGAGATCGACAGGAAGTTCTGGAAGTCTGACCGCGAATGGTATTCCCACCGCGCGCATTTAGCTGGGCGCATGCTGGCCTGGCGTCCCGAGAGCCCCAGTTCAAGCATCTTGCCGGAGAGCGCGACGGCGATTGCGCGAATGGACCCCGATAGCCGCAGATTTTTGGGCGAGTCGGAGCACCTCGAAATGCAGCGGTGCTATCAGATTGCGCTCTTCTTCTGGATGTACCTGAACTGCATCAGCTTCAACACCTCTGCCCTCATCGTTCGCTCGAACCTGCTCGAACTGCAGTACCGCCTCTCGAACATGGATCTTCCGACCATGAGTTCCATCTGCCACACCACGCTCTTCAACATCTTATTGGCGGGCATGGTTGCGTCTCGAAACCAACCCGAAAGATGGTGGTTCGTGGAGCAGATCGTCTGGCTCTACCCGACTATCCAGCACCTCGACACAGTCTGGCAGCTGTTGGCCGAGTTCTTCGACTCCTTGTCGATAAACTTCAGGTTCATCCAGGAGATATGGGAAGACATTGCCGCGGCAAGAAGGACGTTGGTGAAGTCCACTAGCCCCACGGACGGGCAGCTGGTCAACCCAATCATGCATTTCCGGCCGACCTCGTACTCGCCGGATCTGACAAGACCGCTCCCGGTCCTTGAGCTCGAGGACACAGAGGGTGTTTCGCTCGAGAAGAGCATCCACAGGTCGCCCGGTCGCGCGTCGGTTGCTTCTTGAAGGGATGACCAGTTCGCTTATGGGGGAAACCTGTATCTCTTAGAGATAGGAGCACAAGACATGGAACAGCCTCTTTGCTATTTCTCTAGAACGAAGAATGCCTGTGTCGTCTTGTGCTCAACGGCGGACGACCCTCGAAAACAACTTCCCCATTTTGGGTGCCATGCAGACTGTCGAAAGTGAAGGCCGACTTCTTACGCCGATCATTCAGCAGCCGAACAAACTCCTCATTCCGGAACTGAATGGCAATCTCCAGTGCCTTCCGACCCACGGTGTCTGACATCTCCGTGTCGACATCATCCCGTTTGAGCAATAGCTCTGTCCATTTCGTGTCTCTGTTGCGTGCAGCGTAGTGCAACGCAGTGTTCCCATCGCTGAATCTCATGTTCACGTCCAGATCGTCTCGAAGAAGTAAGCGCTCCACTATCCCTTCCTCACACCACTCTATGGCATCCTGTAGAGGGGTATGATCAAAGTTATCTCTCGTGTTGAGTTGGATGTCCTTCTTTGCAAGCAGTAGATCGATCGGTTCCGTGATAAAGTACCAGTCCCATTGAAGGAGAAGAAGGTGTAATACGGTCCTTCCGTGCTTGTCTGGTATATTCACGTCAACATCGTCTCTTTCGAGTAAGCGCTCGAAAGCGTTCCTCATCCGCTGATACTCTGTTGTAGTCTTTCGAGGCAAGTAGCCTTGATCGGGTAGCTCGTCGCTGTCGAGGCCCCTTCGTAAAAGAAGCGGAACTGCGTGTCCCTCATTCAGGTACCTAGCCGTCCAATGCAATAGAGTCTGCCCACGCTTATCCATGCTCTTCAGGTCCAGAGCACCATGATCCAGTAAGATATTGGCGATGTTCATGTGTCCATAATACACTGCATATCTGACAGCTGTCCAGCCTCCGTCATCTTCACAATTGACGTCGATATCTGGGCGTGTGAGAAGAAATTTCACCATTTCCTCATTATCCTGGACCACGGCGTGGCCTAATGCTGTGTCCGACATGTTATCTCCAGCGTTGACCTCAAGGTCTTTCCGTTCCAACAACATCTTTACGGTTTGCGTCTGCCCATTGTGGACGGCCTTCATCAGAACCGTATGTCCATCGGAATTTCTCTGATTAACACTTAGCCCACTCTCAACCAACTGTGAGAACATGGCTTCGTCGTCAAGAAATTTCTCCAATAGCTCCATGGTGCGTCCGCGATGTTCTATGCCTGCATCTGACTTGGCGATTTTTGAGGTTGTCTCACGGACGAGAGCTTCATGATCATTTTTCAAAGCCCATTCTAAGACATTTTCTTCTTGTCCAAACCAGGATTCAGGATCCCAAGGAAATGTAACAACCTTGACACTGTTCGACACCAGACCAAGCCACAGTTTGTAAGTGACCTGCCTTCCTCTTCCGAATTTTCGAGTGTGGAATAACCAAAATGTCTTTGCGTAGGACAAGAATGCATAATCTGCTTGTCTTCGTTCCTGTGGTACCATCTCTCTGATACGAGCTTCCAGATTAAAGTCTCTTGCTCCCTTTTTTTTCAAGAGTTTCAACGCAATTTTGCTGACTGCACCCTGCGGGAGCGTTCTTTCAACAACGGAGGTGGTTATGTCTTGTGGCTGTAACGCTGCGCGATCGCTCATCTTGGTAAGTGTGGTGTTGAAGACATCGAAGTTCAAGTAGGTGACACAGATTTCACCTAGACTCAGATCTGCCTCTGATAATTCCACGTGGAACTGACGAGTAGATGCGTCCCGTGGACTAGAAATGATATACTGTTTGACGCTGTGATGGCTAAACCGGACGGCAGAGTCCTCCTCATCGATGAGCAGAAGACTTCCGCACCCGTTGACCGCCATCCGAATGTCATTGATTAGCTTTCGTGGATTCCACTGCGTATCTCCTGGTTCGACGCCCATCGCCTCGCGAAGTTCATCCAAAGTCAGTGGCTGCTGAGCCGCAGCGACAATCGCAAAGATCTTTTGGCATGTGGCTGGATTTGTCGTCCTTTGTCCTGACAGTTTCTGCAGGACACGATCGAAAGTTTCGGGCAGATCTCTCGGCAAAGATTCGAGCGCTTTCAGAATCCCCTCATCGGTGAGCGCAGCACAGATGGATTCCAGTTGAAAGACGACCCATAGAAACCTAACGATAATTAGCTTCGGTTTCCAACCATAAGCGTCAGCACTAACATCCCATGGCTTCCTTCTAAGAGAGCATGCCTGATGGCCAATATTATGTCTGGATCTCCTAAGCACAGGTCGCCTGTTTCCAGACGGTCTTCCAAAGCATGTTCGATATATTGAGCGATTTCAGGGTTCTGCACCGGTAATGGTAAATGGTGGTGAGGTTGTAGAGCAGTCCCATATCTTGTATGTAAGTCAGTACGACTAGAGCAGAAGATGTGGAAGTGGTGATCTGATTTGAGAAGCCTGCCGAGGTACTCAAATAGGATGTCCAGTTCAATCTCATTGCATTCATCGAGACCGTCGACAACGACAAAGATTTGTTCGTTTTGAGGAAGCATTCTGAGCGTGGAAGCGACGATCTCATCAGTGTCGAGTGCGCCCGGCCCGATCGTATCGACGCTGCCAAAGACGTCCGGGTTGAGTAAACTCAGAAGCTGCCTTGCGAGGCAGCCAATTATGGTCTCGGCCTTGAGCGATTCCGCGTCGTCGTGGCTACAAAAGAAATAGCAGACAAGAGCATCTGGGAATCTGATGCTGACTTCCTGCACCACGCTGGCTGTAAGGACCGTCTTCCCTGACCCGAGTATCCCAGTGATCCACAGTACACTCGACGCTGTAGACTGAATCCAATACGTATAGGCTGCTTGGCCGAAGACATAGGAGCTTTCACCCGCCTTCCGCGCTCGCTTCCATGCCGTCTGGTGATTGTAAGTAGAGCATGAATTGAGAAATTGAAATTTCGCCTTTTGGGCCCTGAATCTCTTGGCTTCTTCAATCTTCATTGACATCTTTGACAATGACCATTCACGAAAACTGAAGGCTTCCTTTTTTTCAAGGGCCAGTTCCTGTTTGAATGCCAGCGAAGCCTCTTCGCGAACAGTATCTGCGATGGTCGAGAGATTGAGCTCGAGAGGTCCGAACTCGGACTGAAATGGGTTCAGAAGCGCGGCTGATAGTTGGGCAAACGTGCCTTTTCTGATCAAGAGAACAGCCTTTTGGCAGACTTGGACAACTGTGCGAAAATAATCATAGATGGCGTCTTGTAGCCTGGGAGACTTGGGATACATGACACCATATTGCTCATAGCGGGGGCATGAGCGTCCGATGCGCATAAACAAGGCTGACAGGTTATCGAAATAGGATGCAAATTGGACGGTGATCTGCAAGGTCATCCGCAGCACGCCCCAGATGGAAGTCGCAATTGGAGACTGGGTGCCGCCTACGATGACATCGAGAGCGCTTGAGAACTGCTGTACGGCTCCCAGAATGGAAGTCAGGCGAGGGCCAAAGCAGCGACGGCTCATGCGGCGGCTGTTGTTCCTGTCAATCTCGGCTGTGAGCTTCATGACATCGGAAACTGCGGGAGGGCTTCCGCCACGCCAAGTTCGGAACGTTTTTTTATCGTCATCGTCGAGCATGGCTTCAAATTCTGAGAGCGCTTGAGCCAGCCTGATTTCAGGTTTCAAAGGGGCGGCAGACCGTAAGGCGAGGGCCATGATTATGACAGGCAGGTTGTAGAATGATCAGAGCGAACGGGTCGAAGACGAAAGGGTAAACTGAGAGACAGGCATATCAGGGAGGACGTTTGACATCTTCGTGAAGAGATGTGTAGATGAAGTCGTCCATGGTGAGGCTGAGAAGCTACCAAGCCCAATTCATCTCTTCAGACTCGTCACGTGGAGCGGCCCGGCCTCGACTCGAGGAGGCCGATTTGAAGGCCATTTGCAAGCGCGTCGTCCGTCCGGTGGCTGCGGTCGCAATGGACATCATTGGTGCCCGAAGAGTGAGAGAGGTGGCGTGGGCTAGCACGATCAAGGGTGGGTGGACGGGGAAGCGAAGTGTTGGAGCAGTCGAAGGAGGAGAGGCAGGGAGGAGGTTGTAGGACAAGGACTGTCACATGTAGACGAGGGTCACGTGCACAGCCACACCTAGAATATGGATCTAAACTTCATCAGGCTAAGCGTCACTTGGCGGGCCTCATCCCCAAAAACAGCCACCAACCAACAGATCGTGTCCCTTCATGCCTCCAGCTACTACCTGAGCGCCACCAACAACACTGCAGAAAATGCCAGGGCTGCCCATCCTATCAAACACGGGGTGGGACGATGTGGCATTGTCCCCGGCTCAGAAGGCCTCCATGTGTCGTATACAACCGATTGTTCAGACGAGCAGCCACCATTTTCTATGTAAGCATGATCAAAACGCTGATATGCAGCCATTGGCCAAGCGTGACAAGCCTGATTCCACAAGCCTGATTCTTTTCCCCTTCTCATGTTCCACCGGCCAGGGTCTTGCCCTCTCCTCGTATTTTCCTTGCCGAGTTGCCGGCGACCAAACCCCTTGATACGGTGCTTCTTGGGATGCTGCAGGGTTTGAATCCTTGCACTACAGGCTTCGCTTGGGCGTCAGCCGTAGGCACTTCCGAGAGGCTCTGCATTGGCCGTCGGGTAAGAGAGCCATTGGACCGCTGCATGAGGCTCTGCCACCCTTACCTGTCAAGCTTCCGGCTGATGGGGTCCCGGTTAAGTTGGGTCTGAGTATACACTCTATCATAGGGCGAACGATCGATAAAGTTTGGCTTCTCCATTGGCGCAATGTCCTAGGCTCGAAGATTGAAGCCAGACTATGCTTGAGAACCTGACATGAAAGGTTCCTCTTGCAGGACAGAACTTACGTTGAAAGTTTCGATGGGGAAACAAATAGCGAACCCTGTCGACAAGAGATCATCCGCGCTCGAAAACAAAGCCATTATCTGGAACCCCAAGGCTCAACCTACAGGCCTTTTCTGGCGTCCTCGGCAGAATAACAAAGTTGGATTTCCAACCGTATAACTAGGAGGTCTCGAGGCAACGCCAGATCACCCGTAAGTGCCCACCTTGTCATGGGCCCTCTACGGCTAGAAGCAAAAGTCACCTATAGCCCACCCATCTCCTTGTCACCGGGTATGAGGCTCCGAGCCCAAATACTATCAAGAGGCTGAACAGATGGCCCGAATCCTCCATCTTCTTCCTCGTCTAGTGACCGAGCAACTAATCAGGATTGCTTCCGAACTTCCAGCATCCGGGACGATCTGATCCCATCCATATTATGGACGCACCACTAACTATTCCAGCCACGTTCGCGACCACCGTCAGCCAGACACAGTCACAGAGGCTGGCCCCGGGGACTTAGTAATGTCACCCCGGCCCCGCGACTCAATAGGTCAACACGAATCGCGGAGCAAAAGTGATCGGGCAGTTTGGACGGTGTCTTCGACCAGCCCACCTGGACATGCCTGCGTCTGCTCACTCTCGTTCCCAATCCTCACATACTCTCTCTTCTCCTTTGCAGAGGCTCTCTTTACAGGGATCCGCTTCAACAGCAGTCATATCATTCCCAAAACATCAGGCACACAACCAATTCCATCTGTTATATCCCTTGAGCATATATCCCTTTTCGGAACGCCCAAGTTGAATACTCAATCCGTCTCACCAGGGATCTCGGACTGCGCTCTCAGCAGCACAGAAGTCACGATCACCATCCTCAACGGCGCGTTATGACGATGCCGCCGTGGTCGCTGGTCCAGGCCATGTATTCACGAGGGCTAAGCAGCCCTCAACACCGTTGACTCGTGAGTCTTCTCTATTGTGCAATGAGGACCGAGGGCTTTTGACAGAGCATCACTGCTTATCCTCCCCTTCTTGTTTCCCTCCTTCCTAGTTTCCATGCTGGCTTTTTTATTTCCGTGTGAGCCACAAAATGGAAAAGACTGACTAGCTCACTGCTTCTAACTACAATATTCTCGAACGTCCTAGGTAAAGGACCCCTCCTCCTCCTCCTCCTCCTCCTCCTCCTCCTCCTCCCCGGCGTATACACTCCACGCCGCTTCCACCTTTATTCTCCCCAACGAGACAAAAAGACTGACTCCTGCACCTCCTCTCTAGTCTCACCACTATATTCTCAAAAATATCCCCGGAGAAGAACTCAACTCCCGAGACCTCCTCCTCCTCCTCCTCCTCCTCTCGAGATACAACCACAATCCAAGCCCCAATGCCCGATCCCCCCCATAGACGAAGCCACTGACTCCGCATTCATTATACACACGAACCTCGTACTGGGTTGGGATTTTGGCCTGGGAACAAAAAAGGACAAAGGAGAGGGTAGAAAAAGAATGAGGGCGGCAAAGAAGATGTCTTAGATCATATTCGCTTTCTTGTCTTTGTCCTTCTCTGCCCTCCTCTCCTCTCCTCTCCTCTCCTCTTCTCTGTTCTCATTCTTTTGGGACTCGCTGTCCACCATCTTCCGACCCCTTTTTCGCATTTCAAGGATTCCTTAGACGGAGAAAAACCCCGCGCTGGGATGGTTTCACGCGTCGAATGAAACGAGCTAGAAAGATCCCTAGAAAGAGCAGGGGGAAAAAAGAAGAGGAATTGAAAGGTGCAGAGAGACAAAATTAGTAGAGTACGCATCCCCCCAGGGAAGGTTTTCAGTCGATACCAGCATGCATGCGAACAATCAGCGAACTATCCGCGAACTATCAGCGAACTAAATCAAGACAATTGTAATCATCACATCGTAAACATTGAGTTCAAGTAAGACAAAATACCAAATAGTAAGTAAGCTCGATAACGTCCATCCATCAATAGTCCAGGCGACGCTCCATCCGTGTACCCGAGCAATTTGCCCTGAAAGACACATGATGATGGTGGTAAGACATGATATGACAAGATATGATAAGATATGAACGTAACTCAGTAAAGGAAGCAACAGAAGAGCAGCAGTCAACGAGCGTCAACCAATCCATGAAAGCAACGTACGACACAACGTCCAGACCGAAGTGGCCGCCATGGTATACTGGGACCACCCTCTCGTCTCCCTCCTGGCTTGAGGTTTGTAGCAGTAAACGTCAAAGAACACTCTCGGCCGTCAGCGTTTCTGTCGTGGGTCATAAGGCGTAAAATTTGTTCAGGGAAGGTGCTCGTAGCCATCTCTAGGCAAGGTCAAGCCGAGCGTCGAGTCTCGACCAAACGCAAGATGAAACAAGGTCGCATGTCATGATTGGCAGCAGCATGTGGGCAGCTGGAGCCTTCAATCAACTGATTCCTCCTCTTTTCTGAAGAAAAAAGAAAACGTGGCACGGTACAACGAGACCGGGCACCAGTCCCATCGAAGTGACACCCCGGATGTCCCTCAAACACATTGTGTCATGTCCACTTCCCAACTTTGTTTTTCAATATTCGCATGTGGATTGATATCCTCTTTGCGACCAGCGGACGTACTCGAAACGTATGTAGCTTTCCTTTCAGCTGAACATCTCGCCGTAGTCGCCGCGCTCCCAAGCAGAAAGTTGGTCGGCCGACGTCCACTCTGGATCAAATCCAATCTCGATGACCATTGAGCGTTTCTTGTGTCCTACAGGTTCCGCCGCCGATGAGTAACATTCTGAAAAGATGAAGTATGCCAAGGTTGTGGGGAGGACTTACTTGGATTCTGCTGCAGTTGATGAGGACGGAACCGCGTCGAGAACATGTCTGGTCTGAAAGACCTGATGATTGCCTTATAATCATCATCTGGCTTGACACCAAAGGCAAGGAGGCCGACAAGGATGCTAAGGTACCCGGCCAGCCTACACGTTGGTTGACTGTCCACCTGCGCCTGGCAGACGTCAGGCAGAAGTTGCTCAAACCAGGAACCTGGCCCTTGGAGGTGCAGTCGATAGTCATCCATGTGGTGGCCAAGGACTGCCAGATTAGAGTCCCCATCGGCTTCGTGACGGCCAAAGGAGAGTCGCCGCCAATCTTCAGCCCTGAAAGTCCTAAAGGAGTCAGTAGTACAGTCGATGGGTGCATGTATATAGCCGTGACGCTCGGGATCCCAGACCAAAGTGCTGGTCCCGTGCAATCTGCGCCGCTCATTTTCTTGCTGCGTTGGTCGACGTAGGCCTCCTTGAGGCTGGTAGGGAACCCAGGTCCACCAATCTGATGAACTCTCAACTACAAATTGACCTAGGTGGGATGGCCGCCAATAGAATTCTGGACCTTCGACGCTGGCCGGTGTATGGAGAGCTGGTTGATATCGGACGTGCTGGATGTGCAGGAAGAAAGGGAAGGCGGCCGGATATCTACCCTGCGATGGTGCAGGTATAGAAGTATAGTTCAAATTGTCCATACTATCGATTGAGGCGCGTACAGGAGAAAGGAAGAAAAGAGGGAGAAACAAGTAGCTGGAGTACGACCTGAGCGAAACTTGTGATCTGTGAGTGAGACAGTGCGAAGGGTGGTCACAGATAAACGTAAATGATCGTCCCTGGGACAAATGAATACAACCGCCAGAATGCCGGAATGGGTGGGCGCCGAGCACATGCAGGAAGAAGGTGAACTTAGCTCTTGGGCAGATAGCTGCTGCCGAATCAGCAGCCCATCGCCGGCCGCAATGGCAATCTTAGCGCCGAGCATGGCGTCAGAACGAGAGGATGCTGAAGCCCATACTCTAGCCGGTGCAACGCTTGGGCGACATGAACGGCCAATGGCACGCTCCATGGTAGGAATTTGGATTCCGCCATTCCCATCGAGGTTGGTTTCAATGTCAGCTAGGGGAATGGTCGAGGTTCTCAGACGGGGCCGCTGACTCCCCGAACTGACAATGGGAGTGATGGCTCCATGCTCAACATGATATGGGAAGCGCAATGGTCGAGTAGAGTATGGAGTTGGTGGTAGGGAACAAGCAGGGGCCCTGTGGCGCATGGGGAGCTTGCCGCTCGTCCAGCCGCCAAACAGCGGCAAGCCTGACAGGTTGGGGCATAAGCTCCAACGATGGCGAGGTTGGGAAAGAGAGAGGCAGAGCGCCACCAAAAGCTCGGACAACCATTGACCCGGTGCGGCTCTGCGGCAGGCGTCGGCTGTCTCTAGGAGGTGTGAATTCGCACCCGCGCTTGTTCTCGGGTGAACGGTGTTTCCTCGCTCAATCGGCAGATTCTTTCCTATCTATGGGGATTAGTAACTCCGCTCGGGAAAGAGCTGGCGGGCCAATGGGAAAGGAAGATACTTGCCGAAGCCCTGGGACTGGGCAGGGGCCCTCTAGAGCCCCTGGGTTGGATGATCCAGGTCATCAGACGTGGAGTTGATCAAGACAGGAGGAGACGAGAGGTTTTTTGAGCATGGACGTCTTAGTCCTTATATGCTGCTGTCGCAACCAGCCTTACACAGCGCAACAGGTCATCTCAGCTCAATTCACCTATCACATTCCAATGAGGTGCATTGGCGTGGCACTAGCGATCAGTGTTGGTCGGCTGCTTGCTCTGCGCCCGATTTTGGTGAGGCATATTCAGCGCATGCCGACAGTCATCAAACGTGAGTCGCTGCTCCGGAAATGCACTAAGTGACAGATAGCTAGTCGATTGCTTCCTCGCTGAGTTAGCCAGGAGGAACTGTGACCACGAACGCTTCCGCGGCCAGGCTGCGATCGATCATCCCCCGAGATCTCACACATTCTGAGTACAATTCTTTTCTTCCAAGCTGTTACCATGCGGGGCAAAAGTCTTGCGGATGGATTATGTGCCCATGTTGAGTGTGCTGTCCTATCTTCAGCAGCAATGAAGTCGCTAGCAGCTCGGCTGCCTACAAGTCATGAAGCTGGTTGTGGCGGGATCCCGCTGGAGCCCGAATGCTGGCAGATGTGGTCGCGAGGTAGACGGCATCCTTCAGCAGAGAATACGAAAGCCATGATGCTCGTTCGTCAGGAGCCTGGAGACACGCCAAAAGGATCGAAGGCATGCGACACTGACGAAGTCCAAATAGAATCTCGACCAAATTCAATCCAAACTTTGACGGCGGCGCCTTCCGCCACCCCTTTCGCTCTAGCCTTGCGGAACAAGGGCGGGAAGGCGACAAGGCTCCGCTATATCATGCCACATCCACCTGCGGATCCTGGAGCGAACTCCTCCTGCGGCCTTTGCACGTCTGTCACCGGGCACAACGCAATTCGTATCTAATTCATCAATCAGATCAGCCTGTTTCTACATCCCCACTACGGGTCGACTGTGTTCAAATAATATACACGAAGATACAAACTCAAAGAACAAAGCAGACATCGTAACGTCTCACTCTCACAACTGTACACTTGTGGCAACGCTGGCTGTGCAATTTCATACATGACGCTAACTTCGCTTGCTGCATGTCTTTCTTCTCCTGGCTCCTGCGGGGGCGACGCTTAGACCACCCTCACGGGCACAACCAGAGGTGGATGGGACCGAAGACGTGACCAGTTCAGTTAGAACACATTTACACAGCCCCAGTATTGCTCCACGTCGAATTGTCCAGGATCCTTCCATGGTTCGTCCTCATAGCTCAAGAAGACGACTTGAGCACCTGCGGTCGCCTGAATACCTTTCAGGGCAGTGGCTTGATTTTCAGGGCTAGGGCAAGCCAAACCATTGCAGTTACCGGCATGAGGCCAGCCAGATTCGAGAACATAGACAGCCTTGCCCGAGCAGACCGAATTCAAGATGTCGATCTCGGACTGGATGAAGCTGCCGGCCTTATCGGCCGTCACATCGGCGTTGAAGAAGGCGTACAGGTTGGCACCGACGATATCAACAACGCTGCAGAACGCTGAGGCACTGCTAGTATCTTGCCATACCGACAAAGGCTCGGTCGTGGTGATGGCGCCAGTGTAGCCAGCGGCCTTGAAAGCACTCGCGCTGCTGGAGATGAAGCCAGCAAGCTCGCTAGCGGAGCAATAGCCATTGAAGACAGCCTCGTTACCGACCACGACGAGTTCGACAATGTCCCACTGTGCCCAAGCGACGATGTCATGGACCTGCCCTTGAGCGCCGGAGATGCCTGTCGACGAAATCCAGACACCCAAAATAAGCTTGAGTCCATTGTCACGGGCAGAGCCACCAATGTTTTCGAGCGTGCTGCAGTCGGTGCTATAGACACGGACAGAGGGGAATCCTTTCTGTGCAATGACAGCCATGTCGGAGGCAATTGTGCCAGCGTCCTTGCAGCCCCCCGAAGCAGTGTATGGGGAATAAGTCATGCCCCACAAATCACCATTAGATGAGATTCCAGAGCTACCACTCGATCCGCTGCTCGATCCACTGCTAGGTGTCGAAGAAGCGCCCGCCCAGGCAGAGCTGGCCCCTCCGCTCACAGACACAGACGCGGTTCCTGAGGCAGGTGCCCAGCCAGGGGCCGTCTCGCTGGAGCTGACGACAACCACTGCGCTGTCGGATGCAGACGAAACCCAGTCACCCCAGGTCTCGGTGCTGGTGGTGGCTGGATCAACCGGAAAGGACGAAGTCGTGGTCCAGTCGACCCAGCTTACATAGGAAGATGTGCTGCTGGTGGTGACGGCGGCAGCGGCGGGCGTGCTGGACGTTGACGTGGTCCAATCAGCCCATGCGGCGCTGGAAGTACTGCTGCTAGATGTGTTCACGGCCAGGACAGGTGTGGGATACCCTAAGTATACGGATTAGAAACAGTGCAATCAACCGCGAGGGCTCGAGACCACTTACAGGTTGGTAGGCCATAAGAAGTAATGATGGAGATTGCGCAACTGTCGGCTGCGACCGGCGCCGAGGGGAAAGCCCAGCTCGAGGTGGTCGAGGTGGTGGCCGCAGCAACGGCCGCAACCGATGAGGTTGTGGAGGAAGTTGAAGTCCAGTCAGTCCAGGTACTGGAGTCCGTCGAGGCAGCGCTGACGGGCTCGACATATTTGGTCTCCGTAACAGTCGAGGCCAATGTGACAGTGGTGGTTTCTTCAACGCTCGACCAATCGCTCCAAGTCTCGCTGGCGGTTGCGGTAGGATCAACTGGCTCGCTCGTTGACCAGTCGCCCCAGGTCTCGGTGGCGGTAGAGGCAGGATCGACAGGATCACTGGTGGTCCAATCTGCCCAGGTATACTCCTCGGTGCTTGAAGTGGAAGCTGGATCCACTGGGGAAGAAGTTGACCAGTCACCCCAGGTCTCGGTGCTGGTGGTGGCAGGATCAACCGGAAGGGACGAAGTGGTGGTCCAGTCCGCCCAAGTCTCAGCAAAGGTGGTCGTGCTAGAAGTGGTGCTCGAGGTCTTTGCGGGATCAACCGCAAGGGAGGTAGAAGTCCAATCCTCCCAGAGGAATGAGGTTGAAGAGCTAGTGGAAGTGGTAGCAGCCTTGACCGGAGCCTTGGTGGTGGTGGTCTTTGTCTCCCCATCTACAGGCGTGGCAGAAGTAGAAGCGGTCGCATTCCAGTCGACCCAGGTGTCGCGTGCGACATTGGCGTGTAGTTTCGCGTGCATGTGCTTGACATGGCTCGCGGCAGAAACGGTGGTGACGACCGCTGCACCAGCAGCGGCAATTGTAACAGCCTTCATGTTCGAAGTAGTCCCTCTTCTTTCAGTGCGTGTCGGCCGAGATTACGGTAGACTGTCCCTCCTCGAAGATTCCCCTTCTGATGTGATCTGTTGATGGCTGGTAAAGAATGCCCGCGTAAACGAGTGGACGCGGTAGTTGGAAACGCTGAAAAACAAACAACAAATACGGAACTCTTGTGAAGCACCTCAAGAGACCATGAGTCGAGCCTTGTAAAGAGGAAGAGAAAGTTTGGTGGAGGACATGATAAGAAGCATATAGGCATGCAGCACGGTGCTACGCCAGTCGGAGGCGCGACTCATGGGGATAGCGCCAAATCTGCGAATTTCGTTTAGCGCCCCCCTGTGGGAACTTTGTCTCTGCTTGGCCCATAAGCAGGGTGGCAGGCAACTCAAAGCACCACACTGGGCAATATTGGGTCTGGCTGTTTGGATATTAAAGTTGACAATGAGCTTGAACCGGCATGGTTAATCCTCCGAGGTGTTCTTAACCAACCCCCCCAAACAGCAGGACTGGCGGGCAACAGTTAGCCGAAGAGAATGCTGATCAAACAGGAGACGATGAACAGTGGTCGGCATGCTGGCGTTGGCCATTTTCCTGCACAGCATCTGGAGCCTTGTATCTTCCCTACGAGAGACGCCTTTCTAGAGCTTTCGCCAGTGAAAACGTGGGTTCCAACTTTGCATCACAGTCGTCAGGGCCGAAGATCAGCTTGCGTAGGCGAATTGGCCACTGATATGGTAGAGAGTCGCAGGAATGACATTGCTGCCACCCCCAACCAGGATGGCCAACAGGGGCTAAGGGGAGATTGGGCGTTCTGAAACACGCGAGGCCAATGGCGGTTGGGTGGCTTCTGGGCGCTGCAAGATGAGGTGATAAGGTTGCTGGCCTATGGGAGGAAGGGGAATATGTGGGAGCGGAGGGAGCGGAGGACGACGATCCCTCGAGCAGAAGGCTTTGCGAGGTGGAGAGGGCGCTTTTGTGGCGGGCATCCAGCGGGGGATATGCAAGCAATGCTCGAGGTGAAGACGACTGGGTCACTGGGCCAAGGTGACTGGCTATGCAAGTGAAGGGTGGACAGGTGGACAGGACGGTGGACCGGGTGGTGAAGGGGGCGAAAAGGGGCTGATTGCGGAGATTTAACAGCCTCCCGCGCTAGGCTGGATTGGGAATCCTAACAAAGCATCAGAAAGCTTGGTTGAACGCCATTAAGATTGCCCGACCGGCTGTGTAGCCCACCACTTGCCCACTCACCCACTCACCCACCACCAGCTCCGGTTTGCTCCATTTAGATCCCCAGGAAATCCGTTGTTTGGGTCGATTCTCACCTTCAAATTTCGTGCTCTGGGTGCCAGTGGGTGGTGCTCACTGCAGCAACCATACGAGGAGACTGCCACCAGATTCCCCCGGCTCTTTTTCTACGAATGGTCTTCTGCTGCCCCGAGATTGAGTTTTTTTCAATCTGCCCTCAAAGCACAACGCCCGATCCATGGCGTCCGAATCGCGGCTGATAACGATGATCCGACCTCTCAGTACGAGTAGTATCCTGAGGAATGTTTCCTGGTGTTACTTTTTCTTGGGAGTGCCGGTATCCATCGACTCCACCCTTTCCTACGTGCTAAGATGGAGGTGACGACGCAATTCTCCGGCTGCTTCTCCTCCTGCAGACTTGCCTCTGCTTGTGCTTACATTGGCAGATTTGCAAATCAAAACAACCACCTGAGGACAGGGCATTTGACGTAGAAGTGGCGGGGGGTTGGTGTACTCGGTATCCTGAGAGCAAACAAGATCCTCCGTACGCTCATATTTCGACAACAAAAACGTTGATCACGATCGCGTAAAGTATCAACTCAGGGACCGCTCAATGCCGTTCATTTGCCAGCTGTTTTGCTTACTGTGATCCTCACCTCGAGCCAGGGCCCAAGAACTCGTGTGATTGCCTGTGTCTGTATTCTCTAATAATCTCCTGCCTGATTGCGTCCCTCACGACTGGACTGTGACCCCGATTCCTCTGCATCTACCCAGTCACCCAGTGTGCTCATATTCGAAAGCCGTCCTGGCCTCCGAATCAAAGGTAGCATCAAGTCCTCCGTATTTTACACAACGCTCATAAGGTCCCACTTTTCGTCCGGCGTTTCGGAAGCAGAGTCTGACCTCTTCCGACCTGTCTCAGCCCAAACCTTCTCGTCCGTGTCTCTACATAGAAACCTTTGCATGCCATGAGAGCATGCTCTTGGCCATGCGCGTGCGCGTGTGTGTCTGCATCTTCCACGTGCCACAGGACTCGCACTTGCCTCAAATGTCATAGCCGCTGAATCCCTCCTTGACTCCTCTTTCCCATGCAGCTTTCTTGCGCTCGACATCCTCGGCTCTCTGGTCCCTCATCCACGCTGTGTTCCGCACAAACTTTTCCCTGAATCTCTCGCTTTCCTCGATTTTGCCCCGTTCATATGCTTTTCTCAGCGGTGTCTCAAGCGCGCTGCGCCGAAAGAATTCGAAATCGCCTTGCAGCAAAAGCTTGTAGGAATCAGGACTGATGAAGGCGGTCTGCTCATCGAAGTGGTCAAGGTTGCCGTACACTTCTTGATATGCGGCTTCGATGTTCGCGTTCTGGGGGGCAATGTTGCGTCGCAGGTAGGGATTGTGCATCCGTGACTGATCGACACCTTCAGTTGCGTCTGTCATGGTGTAAGACGCGATGTAGTATTGCCATCGGGCTTCGTCTGAAAGCGAGTCACTGTCGAAAGTAGCGTCTTCCGATGGGAATAGCCGTATGGTGCAAAGCCGATCTTCAGGAGTCTGCGGGAAGGTCAGCATTGTTTCCACCTTGAATCAATTACGAGGGCGCAACTCACGTAGCTGATGCGATACACCTCAGCGTCCTTGGACAATCGTTCAACCTGCTTCCGATACTGAATTTCCTGCTTGCGGGTCGTATCTGGGCGCTCTCGGTCTCGGAGAAAGAGGTTAGTAATCTCCACACTCTTGTCCTTAGCATCCCCGCCCAAGATGTTCATAATGAATCGAAGAATAGCCGAGACAAGCCTATCGATCGTGTAGAGCTGCCAGCCACTCTTGTTGTAGTACCGCCTCAGTGTCTCTTCAAGGTGAGCGAGGTCGACAGTGCCCACCAACACCTCCTGGCACAGTTGCAAGATCTGCTGATAGTAATTCTGCTTTCCTTCAATGCTGTAGAAGAAATAGTCTGGTCCTTTGTCGATCATGCGGAGTTCGATGGCTGGCTTGATCTTGCCTTTGGTGCCCTTATGTCTCGCAACGGCTTCTTGAACATTAGCTTCGTTGAGCTTGATCGCCAGCAACCTGCTGTACAGCATCTCAAACAATCTGAAGAAGCAATAGATATTGGCGTTGGCATAGAGGTTGAACGTTGTGTGAGGATATGTCTCGTCCATGGCAAGGTGGCGGGCGGATGTATCGCTGTTAGCGACATTTATCCACGGCTGTTGAGGCTCATCAGGAACATCGGAAACTGGGGCGTCTTCGTCGATCTCCATCTCGCTGCTGGCACCTGGCGCTGGCGTCGACTCTTTGCTTGCTGAAGCAATACTGTCTTCCTTGCGGTGTCTTCTATCAAGCGCCAACCTCCTAAGCCAGTCCGACTTGCGTGGGTGCTTACCCTTGGCGGGTGGGTGAGCATCACTATCATGGCCATCAGCAGCATCGTCTTGCTCGTGATGCTGTCGTATTGATGTAAAATCAATTTGCTCCACGAATTTGTCGCCATCAAGACCGTAGAACCGAATGAGGAAATCAAGCAACCATCCCCTAATGCGTTCTTGCTCCCCGCCGTTAAAGGTTTGTTGTCGGTCTGAATCCAACGACACCAGTATCAAACGCGTCGCATCGGCGATGACCTCCAAGTCATTGAAATTGTATTGGAGTTGATGCCTCTTTCCAACAATGCCATTGTCGCGATCCTTCTTTGATTCTTCGTATTTAGCTTGTATCTCGCTTGTCAAGGCTTTTTGTTGGAAGTTCTTCTTGTCGAGATTTTTGGCATTGATTCCTTGATGGTCAAGGCTTCTCCAGAATTGTTTGTGGATCTGGTCGCGCCAAACTTTTTCCCATTCCCGTTGCACCTGCTTCCATTCTTCAAGCTTCTGTTTGAGTCTTGCAAGAACAATCGGCAGCACGGAGGTGGGGCGTGCGAACATTTCTTTCATGACCGTAGCGCCGGCTTCACGGCCGTAGACCTTCATGACGATGCGCTTGGGAATGGCTTCGCTTGCGCCACCCAACCCCGGTGCTAGGACGAAAGCGGCTCTGTCCGCCTCGCTCATGACTCCGATCTGCTGTACAATGGGCTCCATGAGTTGGATAGTCCGCTGGCATGACTCGATGTGGAAGTCGTAGTCATGGCGCTCTTCTTCAATCCGATGCAAAGCTTCCTCGTATTGATTCTTGCGGTGTGCGACAAAGCCCGAATCCTCAGAAGCCCAAGTTGGGTGAGAAGCCCAGACGTCATTGAGGACTTCATAACACATCCCGTCTCGGCCCTTACAAGGTTTGTCCTGGTCGCGCTTAGGCAGGTGACGATAGCTTGGTCCGAGAGCACGGCAATGAGAGAGATTGACTCGACCAGGGTCGGGCCGCACACGCGCTTCGATCACCTCCTCTTGATCCTCAATACCGAGGAAGTTTTTGAACCAATTCATCAGATCGAGGTTGCCGCCAATAAAAGCGCCGACTCTGTCCCCTAAAGTGTACTTGTCGATAAGGTCTTGAGAGTACAGATTGATGAGTTTGAGAAATTCGGCATAACTAGCGCGATTGCCGATCTGTTTCTTCGCCCGATCAAAAAATGCGAGCTCTTCTTGAGTGGTCGATGAGTTGGGGAATGGGGGAAGGGGTTCAGGGAGCTGGGGTACAAGAGTTGGTGAGGTGACGACCATGTCAGGTTGGGGCTGACGCTGAGTTGTGAGTTTTGGGCGCTGCCAGTGACATTAGTACCATGTAATACTGTAGTACTGAGAAGTACAAAAAGTGCGCTTCCATGAAGCGGAGTAAACTGAACAGTGAATAAAGTGAACTTACTTTGCTAGCGTTGCCAACCTGGACTGGAGCGGCTCGTGAACTTTGATTGACACTGGTCTCGACAGCAGGCTGTGCCGCTGGCTGGCTGGAAAGAGTGGCTCCAGGGCCCCCACGCCGCTTTTTGTTGTCTTTGCTTGTGCTAGGTGGATCAAATTGACCCATGGGTGGCATTTTGGAGGCAGGCCTTGGAGTTTGAGCCTGGGGAATGGCGGTGCTTGCATATCCAGGTTCGCCGCGAACATTGCTAGTCTCTTCTTGTTGATTCATGAGGCGAGCAGCTTGAGCCTTGCCTTGGGCGGCAGACTCTGGCAGGAACTGTTTGAAATCTTCAAGCAGATCTGGGGCAGATATGAACAATTGGGTGACTTGAGCGTATACGTCCTGGATCGGTTTCGACTCTCTTTGGTAGGTCTGCAAAATTTCGAGGAACTGCTTGTAAATCTCTGGTTGTTGCGCAAAACGGTTCTGTAACAAGGTCAGTAAATTCACACCAGATCCGATAGCGGATCGACAATACCTTTATTTTATTCACGTAGCTGATAGCGTGGTTGAATTCAACTGGTCCTCCGCGCTTCAATTCACCAATGCCGGCATTAGTACCGAACCCAGCGGTCTGCTGAGTGTATGTCCCGCCTTGACCTGGCCCAGGTGATACAGCAAGAGCTGGCCTTGTCACTCCGTTTGTCACCGCAGTGACTGCACTCTGCAGAGTTGAGACGCCGCGTTGTTCTTGCTGAGTGATTGCATTCGAAACTTCATCCATAGGTCTTTCCCCAGGGCCCGGCTTATATCCGGGAAGTTCTGCCGATCTCGCACCAGGTGAAGCACCGAGAGGCTGTCCCCATCCATGTCGGCTTTCGAATGTGTCCTGTCGAGCCACTGCAGGTTGTGGGGCAGGTTCGAATTGTGCGCGACCCCTACCCTGGAGGGATTGGGTCATCGTGCCACTAGGGGTGGTGACCCTGATGGCGTCCGGATTCTCTTCGGTCCCGCATTCTATACGGTACCCAGGGGGTAGGAAGGTGTTGAATCCTTGAATCAGGGCGGGATGACCATTAAAGAGGTTTGAGACACGCTCAATCACTCCAGGCGTGTCAATCGCTTGGCTCTTGAAGTCCTTCATAATGTCCAAGAACCTGTTATACACGTCCGGATGATCGCTGAAGCGTACTTTGACTTGGTCGAGGTAGCTTAAGGCGTCATTCAGGATGGGCTGCTGGCCGTGCGCTAGTTGCGCTGGAGCGGGCATCGGAGACGGACCAGGCATAAAGGATTGACCCTGTTGTGGAGGCGCCGCCGGCACTGGTTGCTGCATGTATTGAGACGGTCTCTGCGAATCGTGTTGTCCTGGTCCGCTAAAGAGGCTGCCGCCAGCGGAAGCGCCTGGACCGCCATTCGCCAGAAGGCCATTTGGGCCATGGATCGAGTTCTGGACTTTGGAGGCTACGGGCTGATGTATTGGGATGGAACCGGCATGGCTCTGCACTGGACGTTGTTGCTGCGGCTGCGACTGCTGTTGTTGCTGCTGTTCTCGGTGAATGCGCTCTAATTGTTCCCTTTCTTGAGCCTCACGCTCACGCATTATCATTTCATCTCTTTGTCTTTGCATCTCGAGGTTGTTACGCTCGCGCATCTCTCTTTCCCTCATTTCATGCTCCCTCATTTCTCGCTCCCGGAGCTCTCTGATTTCTCTGTCGCGGCCGAGGTACGGAGGTGAGTGCTGTGGCATGGTGTGTCCCATGGGCCCACCAATAGGGTGGCCTTGAGGCTGGGGAGGCGGGGGCTGAGTGTTGTACTGATGTTGCTGATGATTTGGAGGGCCCTGTGTCAAATCTGCGATGGACAGGCTGTGACTTCCAGAAGGCTGCGAGTGGTGTTGATGATAAGACGAGGGCGGCGGTGGTAAGACATGCGGAGGAGGTTGCGCCGGCCCATTAGGACTGTTGACACATGGCGCAAGTTAGCGGTACAGATCATGCCAGCGCATGCATTGAGACTTGAGTAAAGCAGGATTCACTGAATCGCTAAAAGTGTGTGGTGAAAGATAAGTGAATAGAAACATACCCGAAACTGGCAAAGGGTCTGCCCTGCGGTTGTGCCTCACCCTGAGGAGGACCTCCAGGTCCGCGCCAATGGTCTCCGGGGTTCTGGTTCATTATTGATGATTATCTGAGACTTCTTCGAACTATGACGCTCTGTCACATCTCATTTTTGTCGTCTAACTGCGCCAAGTAGATGGAAACCGATATTGGCACGTACAGACACGTGTACGACCGAAGGGCAACAAATAGCGGAGCAGGAGGCCACAGTCGAAGAGGCCTGGCTGCGAGATCGACTGGAAATAGACAGGATAAAGGCTGGACACAACAAGCTTGATCCGAACGAATGCGAGGACTGTTGAGAACGAGGATGAGATGAGGCCTGGAAGATGGGATGGTCAGGGGACTTTTTCTCCAAGCTCCTCGGTGCTGTGGATGCGCAGTCTGTGGAGGATGCGAGAATGACGCCTGCTGCGTGACTGGCCGAGCTTTGCCAGAACTAGACTAGTCTTGTCGCTATACCTTCTTGATCTAGCTATGTGTTGGAGTGTCGCTCCACATAAAATTCTAGCACAGAGCCTTGCGTGCCTCGTCAGACTTCCCTCGCCCTGCAGCTATGGGACGAGGGGGAGCAATATTGTGGAGTAATAAGCCGTGGTCACGTCCGCTCTCTCAAGAGAAGAACTTGCTGGCAAGGCTCATCAGCCCAGAGGCACCGCCGCTACCTCCGCCTTGGCCCTTCATATACATCTGCATCGCCATCTTTGCAGCCATGTTGATCGCCGATTGCTTGTCTGTGCCGCCCTGGACGTTGCCCATGCTGCTCTGCTTGTCGAACAATTTGGAGGCTTCTTGCATGGCCATAGAGATCATTTGAGACTGCGATCCGCCTCCACCAGATCCACCAGATCCAGAGAACATCTTCAATGCTTGCATTGCAGCTCCGGCGCCCAAGCTAGAAGCATCGTGCTGCTGGCCACCACCCTCTTGCTGGTACAGCATCTGATGACTTTGCTGCATGCGACCCTCGTCCACGTCCTCGGATTGGGCACTGTGCTTGTTTTGGTTGAGGAAGGACATGGCCTGAGAAAACATACCCGAGTCTTGGGGATTGCCGTGTTGCTGGCTGTGTCGCATCACTTCGTCTTGGTCGTAGTCGGCAGATCCGCCTCCTCCATACCCTCCTCCCGAGGGTCTTCCATAGCCACCATCGCCTCCATATCCTCCGCCTCCGCCTCCGCCCGAGGACCCTCCATAGCCGCCATCGCCCCCGTAACCTCCACCTCCGCCAGAATTGCCACCATAGCCTTCGTCGTCGCGGCGTCTGTGATGACCTTCTTCTTGACGACCATGATGGCGAGGTGGTTCATCTCCGTAACCTCCGCTCATGCCACCACCTCCATAGCCGTCGCCTCCACCGCGTCCTCCTTGTTGGCCATACCCATCTCCTCCTCCGTAACCTCCTTGCTGGCGTCGTTCGCCATAGTCATCTCGACGACCGCCGCCTTGCCCGTTGTCGTCAAAGCGTTGGCCCTGGTCGTAGTAGTTGTCGCCGCCACCACGGCCACCACCGCCATACTCGCGAGGGTCTCCTCCTTGACGGTCATAGTAGTCTGACATGATCAGAGCTGGTTGTTGAAATGAGGGGTAATCTTGTAGACTGCGACGAATTTCGGGTTATGCAGGGTGATTTGGAGATATGTGGGAATGGAGAACAATCCGAAAGCAATAGGACACAGGTGATCTGAAGTGATTGGCAAAATAGCTGTCACTTTTGGTGATAACACGGATTCAACGTCTAGGTAAGGTCGAGTTCAATGTGAGTGGAAGGGGCAGTGGCGCTAGCCGCGTCGACCAATGACGTCAGGGACTCGATGTACCTCGATGCGTGCCCCTCGAAACTTCACTGAGCAGTAACCAAAGGATTAATCGAAGGACTCCATCCTCCAAATCTCGTCACATTGCGCTGCATGATGCTACAGACTTAATTTCTAGAATAATTGACCAGAACCATAGAGCTGGCCAACATGGCTGATGCGGCTGTGCTCGCGAATACAACAAGGTCGACTGCTAACACCACGAGATAACCTGCGAATAGGTACCTAGGTAACCACTGCTATGGCAAAATGGACCAGTACCAGGCTCAACAGCAACTACCATTGTCAACAAGGGTGGAAGAAGAAATCTCCCCGCCAATCGCGATATTCATCCAAGAACTGATGGCTCTGTTTTGAGACGATTCACATACTTTCAAAGGCAAGAAGCACCACTTGCTCGACCAAAGCAACGCTGCTCCACTGCTGTCAGCGGCATGTCGAAAGTCACTATCGAGTACGATTGTTTCAAAACCCCCGATACCAGAAGGTGTAACGAAAAAGGCGTCTCCCTAGGTACGCTTCGTTGCAAGGGCGAGGGACGAAATTGATTCTCGTCTTGCGGGAAGTCGACTCGAGGCTTGGAAGCAGCAAATTATCCATTGGGGGATGGCATTCCACCTCATCCATCAATAACACAAATATCATAACTCGTAGAGCAGACATCTACGTAAATATTGCAGAGAACCTCTTCAGAATGATAACAGCAACGTGGAAGTTGGGGGGTAGGACCATTAAATCTGCTGTTATTTTGCTCGGCCCAACATCCTCCGATCCCGGAACATGACGTCGGCCATATATTTTTCAGAAGCGAATCCCGACATAATCGTCCCTTTCTGCGGCGTGAGACTCAATCTCTCTTCCTGCCTGCAACCATCACAACCCCTTGCGCAAATCAAATCCATTGATATATTGTTTGCCTTTTCCAGCAAGTCGTCTCTTGACCCCTTCTGGAGTAGACTCCAACCATGTCAGGAGCAGCACCGACGCGGCAGACACTGCGGCACCTCCGACGCCTCTGCTTGATTGACTCGCCTACCGCCACGACTGCAACTACGAGAAGGACACCCGGCCCCTTACAACGTTCGCGACCAGTATTAGCAGCAGCTCATCATAGTCCTCGACGAGCATTTAGCACGACCATCACCCGTCATCTCCAGGAGCAGCCGGCAGCGCAGGCGCAGGCGCAGGCGCAGACCCAAGCTCAAGCCCGACCAGCACAAACGACGGAGTCCAGCAAACAAGACGATTCAGCCCTCTCAGCGACTCCCCCGGACGTGACCAACTACTACACCCTCTTCCCTTCCACACTCCCATCGGGCCCGCCCCCAGGTGCGCCCTTCGATATTCCCCTCCCGCAACTCCGCCGCGAATTCCTGCGCCTCCAGTCCCAATACCACCCGGACAAATTCCCCGCGGGCACGGCCTCGCACCAGAAATCCCTCGCGCTCTCTGCCCTCTTGAACAACGCCTACAAGACCTTATCCGACCCGCTCTTGCGCGCAAGGTACCTTCTCCTCCAAAATCATGGAATCGACATCACGCACGAGGACAACGCCACGCACGCGGGAGTGACCGACCAAAACACGTTGCTGGAAGTCATGGAGGCACAGGAGCTGCTCGAGGAAGCCACGACTCATGACGAGATTGAAACATTGATGAGAGAGAATATAGCGAGAATAAGGGAGACGGAGGCGGCGCTGGCCGAGGCTTTTGAAAAAGACGATGTCGAGAGTGCGAAAAGGGAATGCATCAAGTTGAATTACTGGCGGAGTCTGCATTCTGCGCTACATGAGTGGGAGCCAGGGAAGGAGGTTAGATTGGTGCATTAGCTTCCTGGAGCTATGCAAGATGACGATGGCCGATATAGTGGCAAGGTGAATGCGGTTGAATTGCTACACTCCGTATAGCTCGTGCATACCCTCTTTATTTCATATCTAGCCCTTTTTGGCATATCAATATTGGATATCTGATCCGATGGATTCTTGCACCTTATTCCGACTGGTGGCTTCAGACTTGCCGTTGGTCTGTATTTGATGTTCGCACACAAAGGACCACAGGTCTTCGTGTCAGAGCCCAATCTTGTCGAACATCAGACTGGATCCCCTTGGAAGTATCTCCGGTCCGCCACTGGCTTCACCAAACTCGCTTCTATTGTGCTTTTGCGGCTCTTTCGTGGCGTCTGGCACCAGGTTCTATTTGGTGTTCTCTCCCAAATTGCTCTTGACCTCCCGTTTCAGACCTTGCCTCTCATCCTCGATGACTTTCTTCTTGGAGGTCTTTTCGATGCGCGTGGCCTCTCGTTTCATCTCTTCGGCAACGAAGTTCGCCCACTTATCCTTCTGACTCTGCGGCCAAGTCAAGCTCACAGAAAACACTTCGCGTTCGTGGTCTTCGAGCATGGGGCTGCGTCCTTGATAGCCTTTTGACAGCACCAGTCGGTCCAGACCACAGAAGTTCTCAGTATAACCCCAAGCCTTAAAGACATCCTTGTCTCGGAAGAAGAGGTTGACGCCAAACTCAGTCCATGTGTGCTCGTACAGGGTAGCGGGTACAAAGTATATGTCTGATATAACATTGCAAATCCAAGACGGGACATGCAAGACATTTTCCAGGACAATGGTGTGGTTGTCTCGACTTCCGGGCTCTCGCCGGAGCTTGAGTTCGACTGTCCCAATGCCTTGAACCGGCACCTGGCGTTGATCAGAAACTGTGAGAACATATGACTTGAAGGAGACGTATGTCTTGAAAGCAGCACGATCGATGGCGATGTGGACGTTGGAGGCGGTTGAGAAGATCCAATCATAACACTGCTTTTTCTTGGGTTTCTTTGTGGGCAGACCATAAGAAATGGCTCGTTTGTGATGGTGCGCGAAATAGTACGAAGTCGGCTCGATATTGGGAGGAGGCAAGTCTCCACGTGGATCGAGGATAAAAGACATGTTGCTAGGTGGTGCTTGAGGCGATATTGCCAGGCTTTGGTGAACAATGCTGGTCTCCGGGAATAGATCTGCGGTGCTCAAGGAGTGGATCTTGCGGTATTGGTGTCGTCAAGAGTATTTGTTTGCCAAAAGAGTGACAAAGTAGCCAAAGATTGGAGATGGTGAGGTGAGCAAAAGAGTACGCCTGTCAAGGACAACAAGAGTGCGAAAACCCGATAGTTGAAAGTAAGTCGAGATATCGAATCTGTGTTCCTGTAAGCTGGCAAGAGCGCTTCATCATCCCATTAGAGGAAGCCATGGTCATTTCCTCGGTGGAAACTGCAGATCACAGGGAAGAGGCAAACCCAGGCGACGGTGTGTATCTGCGCTGGTTCATACGGCCTTCTAGGCTGCGGAGGATTCTGGAGGGCGTAGAAAGGACCATGACAAAGTTCAGAGTGGCAAGGCCGTGGACATTTCGACCACACCACAGCGTCACTCAGACTCCAGGAAAGAAGCGACGAGGGATAACGCCAGTGACCTTGGATATCAGATTGTGGAATGCATGATTCGTGGGACAGTGTGACCCTTGTCGGACAGGATATAGGGAGTGGTAGAGCTGCAGGGGAAGGGGAGGCTGGTTGGATCATCCTTGTGTCACCTCCCTGCCAACATCGTCTATATCAAACCCTACTGCCTCTCTATCCCTGCGATCTGATCTGTTGATACTGCAGAGGCGAAGGGCTGGATAACGTCCAGCTCCTTGGGGATTTGATCAGTGAGCTCCTCTCCTAGTTCGTTACAAGTTCGCCATTCTCATTTCCGCCCACCAAGATCGCCATGCAACCAACTCAACCGGTGTCTGAATCAAAGCACCAGCCCATCGCTGTGGGTCAATATCACAACAATAAATTGCTTCTGAGCACTGACCCTTGTTTCCAGGGCGAGAACCAACCCCACGATGTTCCTATTCTGCTTCGTCCAAGGCCACGGCCAACAAATCCGCTCCCCGATCCCCCTCCAGTCCCAAATTGACGATGATTATCTCAACCAGAGCCACGGTATTCAAGCAGAGGATAAGGCAGGGATACATTGAGCATAGAGTCGATTAAGATGTGCAAATATTGTCGTCAGGGGCATTGCTGTTATCCTTATTGGAAGGATGCTCACCCTCAAATGTTGGGATAACCGACCAGGAGATGCGTCCCTGCATCTGTGCCGCGCCGTGGGAAGGATTACGGCGCGACAAAACATGGGGCGTGCGAGGTGGCGAACTAGGTGACCTTGACTCCCTCGGACACTCTGATCTTTTGCAGAATTCACAAGATATTGCAGGCCATTGCGGGCCAGTTCCGGCAAAATTCGAGGCAGTAAAGGCTTCTTTCATCCCAAGTGAATGCTTTAGAACAATCTACTCCTCCCGAACCATTGGAACGCTCCTTGGCCAAGTGTTTTGGACACATGCTGAGCAGCGCGAACGAGTGATTGCTACGAGGTATCGCATCGCCACAACATTACTGTTTGAGAGGGCATCTGATTTGCCACTCTGCGCAGAATTAAATCTACCTTGCGCTTGATATCCAATGGATCCCACAGAGAATTTCCGTTGGAACGAACGCGGGGATATTGGTCCGTTCCATCCAAAAACCTTACAGTGAAAACTATGTTCTATAATCCACCGAATCGTGCCACTGTGTCTGAAATCATCCGCTGGGACCAGCCAAGTTTGTTCGGGCGGATGCTGAGCTACAGTCCACGGCAAGGTACCAGTATCTTGACGCGGATCGTCGCCCCAAGAATTTCAAAGAATTTCAGCCCTGCAAAAAGTCCAAATGGAAGATCTCCTTCGATCCTCGATGGTGTGACCGGATACGAGCTGCTTCAGTGTCAGATGAAGCATGGTATAGAGCAGTTCTTCTTCTATGTGCGGCTGCTCTCTTGTTGGTGCTGCAACGAGGATATGAGCCTGCACAAGTATCTTCCCAAACATGAATACCTAGGTAGGTGGCTTGAGCCCCCCAGGTCGCAACGCGCTAGCCAGCGACCCAAGAACTATGCTCGAGACATGGTTTTCCAAGGGCGGAGATCGACCTCTGAGCACTTTCGTGCGTGTGGTACCGTCCCAGATCCAAGGGATCGATTGAAACAACAAGCATATAGCTTTTGGGTCGACGACTCGAAGTGGGGACGAGGACCACGATAGAGCCTCTATATATTCCCTTTGAGGCCCACGAATTTGCAGCAGAGCAGCTTCCTCAGACCAACTGATTTCAGATCACGGCACTTTACTCACCAACTGCTATATTCCACCGACATCACTGGCGCCTCTCACACCAACAAACACGATCTCAACAGTCACTCAACACTTCTTCCCTTTCAGACAGCCTTTCTCCACAACATAACCTCATCTACACTTTTCGACATGGCGTCCTCCAACAAAAACAACAACGGCACAACTACCTCTAACACCACCTCTCTCGACCAGGCGTGCTCTTTCCCTCCACTTGAGCGCCCCATGTCTCCTCCGGTCCCAACAACGGAGGGCCGCAGACCACACCGCCCCATACCCATGCGGGAAATCGACGAGGATGGGATCGAGGACATCCAGGTCCCTTTGATCCCAGCGATTGGACGGATCGAGGACTTGATACGATACCCAGCACCACCCCGCCCACAGCCACCACCGCCAACACCAATCATCAGACCCGTGCCCGACTATGGCACAACACTAATAATTGAATATGACTTGGAAGACGCCACCTGGCCTACTGAAGCTGTCCCCTGGCCTTCCTACGATCGGGCCAGTGGATCAGCCAGTGCTCTAGATGAGCGCCGGATGCCCGTTATATCCGTCGTCCCAGAAGAGGAGGACTCTCGGTCGGAGTGGCCGCAGCAACAATCTCAACAACCTCAACAACAACACCTACGGCGTCGACCTGTACCAAGACCCACTCCGAGTCTTGAACCGTTTCCGCCCTTTTGGTATTCGAGGCGGACTTTGACACGAAGCAGACATTATGGGGATGATCTCAAGCCCTTGGTGGATTCTATGCTTGAGCATATACTCGTCTGAGATCTTGGACGAGTATGAACGGATTGGATGGGAAGCAGGGTTGAAAAAATAAGGATCGGGTGGGAATCAAGGATGAAGGAATACAGACTGGATGGGAAGCAGGATTGAAAGGATTAGGAACTCGAAGCAGGTCCTTGGCCATATTGGAAGGGCACTTTGGTTGAATCTATGTGCCAGGGAACACAGGACTATGGTGCTCTGACAGTGTACGAGTATTGCGAAGATAGGACAATGGAGACAAAGATTATTATTCCCCCCGTATGTATTCCATTCTGCATGCGCGGATATGACCCTAATTCGACAGCTCGTGGAGAACTGCCTACTGCGGTTACCGCCCCATGAGCTTGGCAAGTTGCACCTCTCAACATGCCAGTGGGTGCCAGCCGTGCGCTTCAAGTTCTGGAATCCTTCCTCCGCTTCTTCGCTTCCTCATCCCTCCGTTCCTACCTACCTAGGTACCCAAGGTAGTCCCTATTCCCCAAAAAGCCGAACCCTTCTCACCCCCATTTTTGGGGCCTGGCAGGATTTGCACCGCCGTGCTGAGACGGATCGCACATCAGATTGGACGCCTGGATTTTTCTTCCCCTTGACCGATCTTGAACTTTTTCCCGCACATCAGATTGAAACGAGCCGAATTCCGATCAGAACAACTTGTCTGGGCGGTGATGAGCATCGATGCTCTCTGTCTACTGCATGCAGGTGTCTGCTGCATGAAACCTCACCTGACGACCCAACGGATATCCACCGCACTCTCCCTATGACAGCTTGTCCTCATCAGCCGTGGTAATCGATGTACTGGGCCACTGACCACCAGCTTTCTGCAAGCGGAAAAAGATCGAATCCTTGAGCAATCTGGCGAAGGATTAATATGTGCAGCCAGGAGCATCATCACAGCAGCGGTCAATTGGTCCATGGGGATAAACATGGATTACTAAGTCCATCCTTTAGTCTTCCCCCTTCAGTAGAGCCCGAAACGGGTAGTGTTTGTAAGTATTACTAGGTAGTAGGAGGTACTTGCGAATGGTTGACCCCTCTTCTGAGTCTTCTCTGATTGCTGGTCGCGCACAACATTTGCTAGTCCACTCGTGGTTACTCTGAGATTCGTCTTCTCGCCCACTTGAACCCAACGTCCGGTGCCTTCTCCGAATCCTGAACTTGATATCTGGCTCTTTGCCAATTCACAATGATCTTCATTCAGCGCTTCCTCAAATAAATGGCATCCGGTATTATTCATTTCGTCAACGAGACGGGGCGGGGTGACAATGGCGGACCGAACAGGAGAAGGCTGTCCCGGATCAACGCGCACGTCGCGCGCTTCTCACATCAACGTCGGAAAAACAGCAACAATTCCGCAGTTGTCAATAAAATCGTGAGTGTCAGAGTATCATCGCGGAAATGAGAGCTGCCTACTGAGCTCTACCACTTTACATTGTCGCTGACGAACGAGTCTGGACAGTCGCCGTCGCTGCAAGTCGACTTTGTCCTGGAAAGCCCCCACCCGGACGCTTCTCGCGCATCCAGCAATAGCCCCGAGCAGATCTCTCCGTTTACATGGCAAGACGTCAATGGAGCCACACATCCAACCAATGGTTTCCCTCTGGAGCTACCAGAGAGCCGTCGCAGTTCCGAGTCCACCGAGTCTACAGGGCTCGAAGGCAACAAACCTGCAAGGCATCACGCTACTCCTGTCGATATCCCTCGTTTGAAGAAGGGGGATGAAGGTAGTTCCGAAATAATCATCAGAAGATCCTCGGATGGAAAACATCATTCCTTCTGTTCATCGCCTGAATTTGGACCTCTGGGATCATTCTTCCAGCTCGGTGACTCTGTTGACATTTACGAGAAATATCTTCTCAATTACTGTGCGTCTCCTATGGTCTCAACGTCCACCTCGTTGGTTTTCCGCTTGATTTTTATTCATTCCACTGCTGACCGAAAGGCACTGAAGATTTTACCGACATGCAAACTCAGATGTTCGGTTTCCATAAAGATGCCCTGTACTGCCCGCAAAGAGTGCCTGCAGCTCGGTCAATCCAGCAATCTCGTGCGGCACTGCATTGGATCCTTCTAATCGCTGAAGAGCAAATGGCCCAACGCATCAAGGAGCCACCAAACGCGCACATTCTCAAACACTCCATCTTGAAACGCAGAGCGAGTGGATATGGGATGCTCAGGTCGCTCTTGAACAATGCTGACTTTGACCTGGAGACGGCCGTATTAGCTTTACGATATGCGATATCGGCTGAATGTTACATGAACCACAAAGACGCTGCCCAGGAACACTTGAAAGCCTTGGATGCTCTACTGCAAAGACCGGGGGCACTGGAATATTTCGTCGTCAATGCGGACAAGACTGCACTGTCACTTTCGACCCTCAAGAGAATGTACGTGTCTGTTCCTTGCAGCATCAGGTCATTCAGCGACTTTGAGACTATCAAAACCATGGTATTCCTCAAGTGGAGGCGCTTGCAGGCATGGTCGAAGCAGAACCACGCTGACTTGGTCCGCCACGCTTATACCACTTATCACATGAGCGCCGATGCCAACCACAAGGCTCAAGCTCTTCCACAGAAGCAAGCAAAAGAACCTACCACGGAACAGTCTCTCCTCGATCGGTACATCGCAATCAAGAAGTCCGCGCTCTTCTCGACCTACACTTGTGAGACAATGAACGCGGCTTGTGATCCCGAATGGGTGTACACTTACCAAGCAGGGCTCTTCGCATTGTTTTACGACCTGAACATGACATTGGCAAGTTTTGGAAGGGATAATCTTCGCGAGAAGATCTTGTTCCTGGAGAAACTCAAAGTTGCCTTCGATTCCAACTCTGCCAATACCCTGGGCGGGACCTCTACGCTGTCTATTGTGGACTGGGTTCGCGAGCAATGCTACAGTGAATGCTTCAAGAAGGAGGAAGCCATCTTCAAGGAAACTGATCTTTGCACTTACGAGATCAATGGTTTTAAGATCTTCGCACTACTGCATGTGGATCAGCGAGTTCGTCTGACAGCAGCGCTACGCGCTTGGTTGCTCATCGATATCAGCGTCGACGTTGACATCGAGGCAGAAGATTTAGAGGAAGTGGAATTTCTCTCGATGGAAGAGCAAGTCACCAGAGCTTGGTGGGACGAACAGCTCACCCCGAACTCATCGCCATCACCCTGAAGAAGTCCTTTATCAGCCTTCTGATATTCGCCAACACTGCAGCATCAACTTGCCCTTCTTCTGGCCACCTTTCCGTGGGCGTAATCGGATCCCCCAGCTGGGTACAATTGCAGAAGGTGTCCCCGTTTACGCACACAGGAACAAAAGCAGACTTTCCGATAACAGTGGACTTCGCGAAAACAGTGGACTCTCCGCCAACGGTGGACTTTCCGAAATGGCTGTTTGAGTTGATGCCGGAAAGCGCAACTACTCGAGCCAATACGCGTGGTCTACAAGTTACAGAGCACCCCTCCTTACCTAGGTACATACCTAAAGCTCTCACAAGTCACAGGTACTCAGCCGGCAGGTGGCCGGGCCTTGCCAGCGCTGACTATTAAATGATTTAGAAGGAGCACCGAAAACGGCCATTGAGCACGAGTAATGATTACTTGGTCGGCTCCGAGAAGCGGGGTCCCGTCGGCTTGTACTCGGTCCTCCCAAGGACATCGCCCGGGTGCAGATGAAACAAAAATGTAAACATTTCTCAGGCGGAACGGCACGCCGTCCACCTGCCGATTACAACTACAATGCCTGAATTGGGATCGCGGCACTTGTCGTATTCGGCAGGGAACCAAATGCGTATCGACGGCTGAGATTGATGCGCCTACCGACTGGGGCCGTATTTAAGTTCTTACTGGCAACCGACACCTTTTCGCACGATTAGCAGTAAGAGGCCGCCATCGAAAACGTGTTCCAGAAACCGCGAGGATACGCAATGTTCTCACCTCTTTGCCCTGTTTCGACAGGACCTTTCCACACGGCTCTTCTCAAGCATTTTTACAAGCCGCTGTGACTCCTGACTCCTCGAGATGCAATCGGAATACACCAGTATTACTTCCGGTTACGGACCCCCAAAACAACTATGCAGACATGCTTAGGAACTGCCCAGGAGCTAAGCTTTGCTCTCATGCTGCCTACGTGTCGCACGATTATCGGCGATCGAGCTGTCAATGAGCGCAGGAATCAGCTAGCCCCCGCTATCGTTGGATGACCAAGCAGGCATTGAAAGACGTTGAAGAAGGCGAGTCAGATGACAAAGGGACTCGTACCACTCTCAAGGTCTAAACGTACAACTATATCCCGGGACACAAGGGAATTTGGGGTCTGCTCGACCACACCGGCATGTCATTCATCTCACTGAAACATGTATACCCTTGCGAAGTGGAGTCGCACCATGCAAATTGTCACTGCATGGCCTTCGGACGTGGTTCAGCGTCAGAACTAACACAATGCCGGAAGCCGGGAGAAGCGTGATCGGGAATCAATTTGAACATGGTGCCACCTTTCTCTGATCCCGCTCCACGATTCAACAGAACCAATCAACTTCGCTTGTCCAGTCTTTGTCAGCCTTGCCTAGGGAGAGCCCTGCGCCTGCTCTAAGAAGTCTTCAGGAGCAAGTTGAAACTCAGAGTCTCTCGCTATCCCATGGAGGCCTCAAAATGTGAGAAGCGCTGCCGTTCGGCTCGCAGCCACGCATCTATGTGTCCGATCTCAGGGAGGCTCATATGCACTCGTCTGCGGATACGAAATCGTCCATGTGATGGACGGCTGGAGGCTCTTTCGATTGCAAAGTTGGGGATGATGGTCCATGCTCTGGTCGGCCTAGACTATAATGTTGCGGACCCGTCCATGAACCGAGCCAGCAAAGTTTGACCTATGCCAATGTGTAAGCAAAAGATTGCATGAGTGATGATGCACAAAGCAGTGAGCCCGGAATTCCATAGTCGCTGCCGCCTATTGCACGTTTCATTGGTATCTCAAGACTTTCAACACCATCCTTCCTGCCCGGGACCGTTTGCGCTGGGATGAGAGAATTGTCACTGCTGGAAGAGTACGAGGATCAGAACGCTTTGTTAAAGTCTGATCAGCTGGAACGAGTCTTTCAGTGGTGGCAGTTTCGCAAGCGTGCCATTTATCGAGGAACGTCCGCTCCTGTCGCGACCTGCTTGAAGAAAAACCAAAGATCTGTTGATGATGGCTTTCTTCTGGCCGGTAGTGATGAAAGAGGAAGCTTTGATGCTTGCCGAACTCATGCGACGTGGTTCTTTGACGAACGGAGAAGGAAACTACTCACCTTGGCTTCCTTCCCGCTGCACAAAGGCAATGCATGCAGTTCCTCCAGGCCTGTACAAAGTTCATGTCAGATCTGCCGATCCTGCAGTCTTCGCTTGGAGGTCCGACAAGGTCTGGATCTCTTCCTCTGGAGCGTATTTGGAAGACACTTTCCTGCAGCAGGACTTCGCTCTGCGAGCAGAACTTGCGCAAGTCATCTATTAGACTGCGTCACAGTTCACGAAGCTGGATGGGGTGTTTCACTCTAACCGAATTACTCAGTCGAGAGATGTATCAGGCAGCAATTGTTTATGTTGGGTCGTGCTATAGGACATGATATTGCAGAAGTTGTTTCCTTCACGAGATGAGGCTCATACAAGCAGATTATATGATCCTGCGGCCATCTTACCATCACGAAGGCCATGGCGAACAATACGTAGGCGTTATTGACTTGGAAGTCATGTTGCTCGTCGAGCCGTCATCGTTTCATTGTCGTTCTGGCTCTTTTTGAGTCGCCGCCGTGGTGAAAATGCCATCCAGAGTCCACTCTAGTTGATGCTCCTGGGACCGATTCTCCTCGCGGCTTCCGCCGAATTCTGAGCACTGCTCCGTTGATACCTAGCTATACCACCGAAGACGAGAACGGACCGATCTCGGAAGACTAGCCGGCTAGCGAGTGAGAATCAAGAGCAGGAGGGCCCCTACCTACGAACGACTGCTAGCGCTGGTTACAGGGCGGGCTACAAGCAAAGCTTACCCTGGGTAGCATTGAAGATGATCGACAAATTCTCTCATACTATTATGACGCATGCCCAATCCGGCGCCGTTACTTCAAAAGGCAGGATGTCGTGTGCCCCCCATTCTCGCTACACACCCCCTCCATAACAACCAAGTTCATCAGGGGTAATTTCGCAATGCCACAAACCGACAGCATTGCTCTACGGGGGTCGCTGCCCTCAGACGGCGGCGAGCCAGGACCCCAAGACGGCGACAGCAGCGACGTCGCGCCAAATTTTGACCAGAGCAGCTCGAGGCAGCGGATATCAGGGAGGCAGAGGGCCTCTGTTCTCGTGGGCTCCTCGATCCTGCAGCTGCCAATATGGGGTAGGTAGGGTCTAGGAGAACCGGTATATATATTGGCTGATTTATAGTTTCTAACTGACAAAACCCCCCAAAAAACGGACAGGCTTTGCGATGAATTACGGCGTGTTCCAGGAATACTATTCCAGCAACTGGACGCTCAAGGGCAGTCGGGAAACCACGGGCATCATCGGGACGACGTCCAACGGGGTCATGTACCTCTCGATGCCGTTCCTGTTCGCGCTGTTCACGAGACGATGGGCCCGGCGACGGCAGATTGCGGCGCTTGCCGGGGCCGCGCTCACCTGCGTCTCCTTCCTGCTGTCCTCGTTCAGCACCGACGTGTGGCACCTGGTCGCGACCCAGGGCGTCACGGCGGCGGTGGGCTGCGCGCTGATCTACAGCCCGACCACGCTGTCACTGGGGGAGTGGTTCAACACGGGCAACCGGGCGTTCGCGTACGGGGCGGTCCTGTCGTGCAAGAACATTGTCGGCTCGACCTGTCCGTTCCTGCTGCGCGCTTTGCTCGACCGGTACGGCTTCCGCGCTACACTGAGGATATGGACGGCTGTTGCGGCGGGGAGTAGTCTGGTTGGCGTCTTCATGATCCCGACGACCCCGCTGCCTCCGTCGACCATGGCTTCGGCCTCGAGCAGCGCGCACCGTTCACGCCGCATCCCCTGGCACTTCCTCAAACACCGCACCTTCTACATCTACAGCATCGCGACCATCCTGCAGAGCTCCGGGTATGGCATCCCGCAGACATACCTCTCCACCTACGCTGCCGAGGTGACACAGCTATCACAGACATCAGCAACATTGCTCCTCACGCTCTTCAACCTCCCCGGAATCATCTCGTCCGCCTTCTTCGGCTACCTGTCCTCGGATTCGACTAACCGCTGTTTCCCATCTCTCAGCGCCACGACCGTCACCGCAATCTCCGCCATCTCTTCCGCCCTGTCCACCTTCTTGTTCTGGGGCTTGACTTCCTCGCACGCCGGCGGCGGCGGCGGCAGTGGCGGCGGCGCCGGGACCTTTGCCCTGCTGGTCCTGTTCTCCATGACCTTTGGCTTCTTCGCCGGCGGGTACAGCGCCACGTGGGGCGGGGTGATCAACGACCTGGAGCGCGAGGCCGCGATGCGCAACGAGGCCGTCGACTCGGGCATGCTGTACGGCTTGTTCAACGGCGCAAGGGGCATCGGATATGTCGGTGGTGGGTTGGCCGGTGTGTCTCTCCTCAAGGCCGGGGCTAGCATCGCCTCTACACCAGCCCACGGCCCGGGGTATGACACGGCCTACGGACCTCTCATCATCTTCACGGGCCTCTCGACCGTGTTGGGCGGCTGGGGGGTGTTGTGGAAGGTGGTGCCGAAGCTGAAGATGTTGCGTTGGGTGTGAAAACATCGGCGATCAATCATCATGCGCTTGGTAGATGATAATATTGGCTGCATCTAGTCTTTGCTACCTTATTCGTGTCTATAGGTAATATAGACTCTGGTATATACGCGCGGTTGCTGGTTACTTGTCTTTAGGTAAATGAATGGGCATCTACCCAAGCGGTATCCTACAGCCTCACTATAATTTTTATTACTGAGAAGATTTTTTTTGCGTGCTTTTTGCTCGCCTCCGTTTTCGTGTACCATGCGTCCCCTCTCGGGTTGACTGTGTTCTTTGCTCATATGATATGAGGATTTTCTTTGTGCAAGTGTCAAGGTTTTGAGAGAAAAAGATCGTCAAGTCATTACTAATTTCCTATCAACATCACTGCCCAAAGGACAAGAAATGGAAACACCAATGCCAGCATCCCCAATTCTCAGAGGACGAACAATCCAAGGTCCGTCCCATTTCTGTCAATTGGACAATACGTCAGCTTGACCGTCTAAGCAGCGGTGGTCGGCACAACTAGCGAAGCAAGCGCGCTGTTGACGGGCCACTGGATGGTATTGTCCGGACCGGGGATGTTATCCGGGAAGTTGAACTGCAGGTTCACGCCGGGCCTGAAGCACAGACAGTGCGTGGAGCCGCCGAAGTGGAACATGCCCAGCTGTTCGCCCTTCTGGAAGTGCTTCCCGGGCGGCATGGTGATTTCGACCGACGAGACTTCGGCCATGCCCACCAGGATAATCGCCATGAGGCCTATGAGAGGGTTGTCGGCTTGGATGAAGACGACGGCTCGCGTCGCCACCGCAGAGATGTAACCCTGCGAAGCCTCGTCCGCACCCGGATCGGGGGTTGCTGGGCCGTCATCGGGACTAAACCCCGTGAGCAGCGGCTCAGAATAGTAAGTCCCCGCGACAATGGCGGGCTTATCCACGATCTGGCCGGACACTGGCACGTGGAAGCGATGGTAGCTGTCGGCGCTGAGGAATGCCTGGTACACGGTGCCGCCGACAAATTGCTCGGCGCGAGGGTCGTTGTTCATCATGTGATCCAGGGAGTAGCTCTGGCCCTTGAGCCAAAACGTGTCGTGGAGCTTGACGTTCCGCTGGACCGCGAAGGGCGTGGCTTCGGCGGCGCTCACGATGACGTTCTGGTCGTCCGGGAAGGCGACGCGGCGGCGATTCGCCAGGAATTCTCGCGTGAAGAAGGCATCCCACGACAGAAACCCGCCCGCTGGCTTCGTGATATCCACACCAAAGTCCTCGACGAGGTCCTTCATGTGAGGGCTATTGAGCGCGGTCTGCGAGAACCAGCCGCCTTCGCGAGTATTCAAGGTGTGCGTTGAGTCCTTACCGACCAAGAATTGCGCCCAAGTTGTCAGCATTTTCTGGAATTGCTGGTTGACCTTGGGATTCAAGAATGCCGCAAAGCCAGCTTTGGTGCCCATCGGCCAGTCGAGCACGGCGTTGATGGGAGTGCCGACCTGCGCAGAGCTATCCCAGGAAGGTGCTTCGAGCAGTATGCTGTCAAAGACGTCAAACAGCAGGTTGAGGTCTCGAATCTCAGGATGCCCAGCCGGGTCTTTCTCGTACTTGGCGGGCACCTCGGCCAGCATTTCATTGAACAGCATGTACAGCTGGGGGTCAGCGATCACCATGTCCTCGAATTCCTTAACCACATCGGACCGCACAGGAGGATTCGCTTTGACTTGTTGCACTTTTTTGTTTACCCATTTTCTGAGTACCTTGGGATCATCAGGCAGCCAGTTCCCGACTCTGCTGACCATGGCTAGAGTATGCAAGTAAGGGGTAGGAAATGCTTGATGATGGTTCGGAAAATAGGAATTCAAGAGAAGACAGAGAGAGAGGGCTTTGGCAGCTTTTAGATCCCAGGTTCACAAAACGGGAGGGTGGTTGCTTCTGATATAAGTGGGATCAGACGTGGATAGACTGGGTTCAACAAAATCCTGGCATTTGCAGCTCGATGCATGCTTGTCGTTGGCTATAGCATCGTTCAGCTGAAGCCGGCATCCTGTGGTCAGATGCCGTCTTACGAGCCTTGTACAACCCAGCTCGTGCTCCATCTTCGATCGCTGATGGCCTGGCGAGGAGGTGAAAGCGATTAGCTGACACTGGGATGGAGAAGAAACGGAAACAATGTGGCATTACACTGGATTCCTGTTCCTGCTTCTCCTGACCAGTCGACTGTCCTCAGAAAGTAGCCTTGGGCCATCAGTATAGTTGTCTTCTACCGTTGGGACGTTCTATTCATCCAAATCAATGGAGCGGACGAACACCTGCTCCTTTAGAGATTCAGCTTTCGAAACGAGGTGTGAGAATCCGCGTTAGGGCTAGACGCGCAACAAAGCCCCTTGAGATGGCTGGCTGAAAACGCAGACCTTTCAGCACAGCTATGGTCCTTGGCAGTCTACCTAGCTTGGGCGTGTCAGGAACCGGGCGGGGAAAAACACGGTTTGTTGGAGAGCTGAATCTCTGGGAGAAGTGAACAGCAATTGAGCTCTGCTATCATGCTCCATTAGGAATCCGTTCGGTGACTCTGTTCTCATGACCACGATACTGAGGAGACCAACATGGGACGTCCCTGACAATTTTCAATGGTTCTTGAAAAATGGGAGCACAAAGTCGCTCTCGCTGTTTGGGCACCCAGAACCACTGTTGTCTGGAAAGGCTTGCGAGACTACCAGCTCTCGGACTGGACGCCATGCATGGAGGAGAAAGACGGGGAAAGAGGATCAGCCTTGTACCAACCGGATGGCATCTGTCAGTCGGCAGCGTGCAGCTCGCAGGTCGGCGTAACAGACATCGCATGAATCTTCAGGTGATTCAACAGGTCTTCTCAGGTTCGATATGGCTTGCGCTCTGAAACACGCGGTCAAGATTGTTCACTCCATAATTATTTGTTGGATGTTTGAAATCCATTCTCTTTCAATCACAATCTCAAGTCTCGCTGGGCAGAGTGTTTGGAGATCAGAAGCAGGCGCTGTACCGTTGCTGCACGATAGCAAGTTAGTTGCTTGCCATGATAAATTCACCTCTGACCATGATTCTTTTCTGTGGGAAGGAAATCAAGACGGTGCACTTCTTTTTCCAGGCTGCGATATCGGAACATTGTGAGCGCATGCCCTTGTTGCACTGACTCTGGCGAACAAGAGTATCTCTACTCGGTACTTCCGAAGCTGCGGTCAGCTTTCAAGCGCCAGAATCGGGATTAGGGTACGTTGTCCGGATCAACAATTTGCCGAAATGACAGGATCATGGCAGTCGCAGTCGCAGTCACAGTCGATCATCTCCGACATTGCCGAGAACATATGCGCACAATAGCGACCAGATGGAGCCAAGGAGAAGGAAAAGAGCACATGTTTGCCCCAGATCAGAGATTGCAAGGAGTGGAGATGACATAAGAACACATGCTAAATGAGCGAGCATGTGGCGATTGGAACGGTGCACATGCTAGAGATAAGAGTTGAAGCACGAAGGAGTATGGTACATTCAAGCAGATCACAGATACTGCAGAGCGAAAGAGAGTTAATGAAAGGTAAGAGGTGGAGGTACCTAGCACCCAAGAGCAGGTCAGAGGCACCCAAGAGGTACTAGAGGTACCGAGCAGGGCCAGCTCGCCAGGTACTCGGCGAGTCGGTAGAGTATCTGAAGAGTGGGAGCAGCAAAAAGGGAAACGGAAAAAGGAAAAAGGAAGCTTGGAATCCAACAGCTTGTCAGCCAATCGGGGAAGGGATTCGGCATGTCCAAGCGTTGGCCCGAAAAAGCCCCAAAAAACCATTGCAGGAGCATGTGATCGATTCTCCCCCAAGTCCCCAAGTCTTCAAGTCCCCGACCACATCATGCATCACCGTCAACCGTCCATCTAATTCCCGTCACTTGCTACCTCTTCCTGTCCTGCCTCGACCGACCGCTTGGACACCCCATGTGATGACCAGTACCACGCTGCCACACACACACATACACACATACACGGCACTACTGTTCCGGTCCTTTTCCTAGACTCCTCAATCTCAACTCGACTCACTTGCTCCCCTCCTCACCTCCTCACTTCCTCACCTACCGCTTTCACGTCGCATATTCACCACCGTCCCTCGTCGCATTTCAAGTCACCCTACCGACCATGTAGGAGTCTCCCACTTCACAGTCCTACCGTCCCCAAATACTCTCCCTCCGGCCAAAGTACCGCCCACCGCATTCAACCCGACTCACCTTTTCCTCCACACACACAATGGACTCGCAATCGCCAAATCCGCCCTACGCCATCCCTCCACCCTTCTCGCCTCCGCTTTCCGCCCACCGTTCCTCCGCCGACTCTCATAAACGCGCGTCCATCGACATTGACATGATGAGATCCGATGATCGCTCTACGAGGGCAGGCAGTGTGCTCTCAGGCATGTCGATCGAGGATATGGAGGCCGCCGAGACCCTGAACAACCTATCTCAGAGTAAGAAATATCCCCATAGTTCCCCGTGACATTGTCTAACATGCGACCCCCAGAGTACCATTCCCCCAGGCAATCTCACCAACAGCAACCTCCTACCCTTGTCCAGTCTCACACCTCCTTCGACTCAGACCAACCGGAGCCCCTTCTAAGACTCTTTACAAGCCAATATCCCTGGGCACGCCCTCTGATCAATGGCTCTCTGTCCGCCTATAAAACTACACAATCTTATATCCCGGGCGCAGAATGGACTGAGAGGAATGTTGGCTTGCCGATCGCAGGCACGGTGGCCAGAATATCCGGTGTTGAGGGTGGTCTACGCTGGGCGCTACAACCCAAGCGCGATGGGAGGCCATCGAATAAACCCTCCGATGTCGAGAAAGGCTACTCTGACGTCTCCTCTGATGGCACCCACCGTCCAACTTCCGAGGCGGGTTACCCCGATTCACTGCCCGCCTACAGCGCCGGTGATCGCTCACCACCCTACACTGAACAGCAGGTCCTTCTCAAAAGCCGTGACGACCGTCAGCCGCCGCCGGGTTGGCGACAACAACTCATGGTGTCCACAAGCGGCCTGGGCATTGCCATGAGTGAAGAGTCCATTCGAAGCCTACGGTACTGTCTCAGTTGGTTGCGCTGGGCAAACGGGCGACTCGGGGAAGCCATCCAGAACCTCAAAAATCTACTCGAGCGGTGGGATGAAGGCGTCACTCCTGGTGAACAGCCGCCCACCATGTCCGTGGCGAACGTGACTCAAACTCAAGAAGAGAGAAGACAAGCTGCTCTGTCTGCGCGTATTGCAGCATTAAAAGCCGATGTCCTGCAAACGCTTAAGCACGTTGTTGGAATCGTCTCGGCATACGCGGGCGGCGCACTACCCCAGAACGCTCGAGAACTGGTGCACAGACATCTGATCAGTCTGCCTCAACGGTTCAGTCTGGCGAACAGGGCAGGCGGGGAAGAGGACCCAGCCAACGGCACAGGCCCTGCGAGTTCTGAAGCGGTCAAGAGTGGAAGGAGAGTCATGGTTTTGGCCCAAGAAGGTCTGGATATGATGACTCAAGTTAGTCGGGTCGTCAACGATACCCTTGTCAGCGCAGAGGGCTGGTGTGAGAAGTTGGGCAAGAGAGTGGATCGGGAGCAGCAGCAACCTGTGCAGCAAGCACCGGTAGACGAGAAGATGGAGACCGATGATCGCGAAGACGGCGCAAGGATTGACAGAATCAGGAGCGAAACGCTTGCACCGACTGAAGGTGGGAAGGAAATCGAAGACGTCAAAATGACCATGTAACAACAGGCGCGCAAAAGGTGAGTTGGATCTGATCTTGCGATGGGAGCACACCTTCCGCTTCATGATCTTGTGGCAAAATATTGATGTAAGCAATACTTTCGGTCGGATACTATGCTTGCGATTTCGCAGGCTGCGGGAGAAAAACAAAGGCACAACAAGCGATGCTCTGAAAATACTGGCAAAAGTGGAACAGATTGAGATTCCCCCTGTCCATGATGTTGGTGACAGGAAGACATTGAGAGTGCCTCAAAAGATCAAGGGGCCAGAAATGATTAGATGAGCCACGAGCTACGGCATAAAGCATGACAAGAGAGAAGCTCTTGACTATCACCTTGGAGCAGATGGCCAGGTGGGAGCACAGTGCCCGGTCAAAGTGTGTGCAGTTCCCTTTGATCGCAATGTAAGCGAAGAACCTCCAATAGCTAAGGACAGGAGCGCAAGGAACCATCTAAGAAATATAACTATACATTAAGAAGTCTATCGACGTTCCTATGATTTAAGCTATCCATCGAAGTCCCATACACATGACATCTGTTAATGAATTGTGTGATAAGAGGTCCGAAAGGGGCGAGGCTGGCGTCGGTGCCGGAGGAATCTTTCTGCGAACGCTGACAGACCTGTGCCGGCTCCAGCAACTGAGCGCGTTCTGCAGTCCATGAAACCAAACCTCACCTATTTATACCTGTAGGTGCACATCAAACAGTCTCGACGTCACTGCTCTGGCACTGTGGCATTCCATCTGGTCGCACGATGAATATCCCCAAGTGACAAGACCATGGACCCCCAGCAGTACTACGGGTCCTCTCACCCCTCCGACCAACCCGCCCACCGCACCATCTTCCCCAAAGGCCCGGTCTTCAATCTCGACGACTTCTCCAGCCGGGATTTTATAGCCAAAGACTTCATCGAATCCTTGACCGAGGGCGTACAGGCCGCTCATCGCCGCTCCCATGGAACCGCCAGCGCACCTTTCGACCCCAAGCCCTTGATTCGCTCGTTCGAGCAGGCCTCGCGACGTCTCGATGAACTGTCCGGCGAATTGGAGCAGCGCGAGAATGAACTGTCCGCTGCCGTGAGAAGAGCTGAAGCGCAACATGCGAGTAATACCGAGACACTGGGCAGGAAGCTCAATTCCACGATCGAGAGCTTTCAGAAACTCGATACCTCCTTGAAGAGCGACAGAGGGGAGAGATGGGGCGGGAATGTCGCCGTGGAAACTGGGCGCAGAATAGAAGAGCTGGATCGACAGAGGAGAAAAGCCCTGGATGCGCACTTTTTGATTGAGTGCTGGGATGAGGTCAGTAACCGCGGCGAGGTCACCCTGTTGGAGAATCTCAGAAGATCCGGCACTGGAGAAGGGAAGATCAGGTCGGCCAATATCGCCCGTCAGCTACTGAGGATTAGCCAACGACTAGATCCCAAAAGTCATGGGCAGGCCAATGGCGTAACGACGAACAAGCAGGTCGGCATCACGAACGGTGTGACGGGAAGCCGGAATTTCAACACCAGAGAAGTCATCGAGAAATTCATCGAGACATTAGAGAACGATATGCTCAAGCTGTTCGACGACTTCTACCGACGACAAAATTTCGAGGAGATGAAGAACTGCGCGATTGTGTTGCAGGATTTTAATGGCGGAGCCTCTGTCCAGGCGGCATTTGTCAATCAACACCAATTCTTCATCGATCGAAGCAATCTCATGACTGAGGAGATAGGCGGGGATCAGGAGACCTGGATTCGGCTCTCCGACCCAGACGCCGAGTTGCCGGGCGTTGAACCTGGCCTGCAGTCGTTGATCGACGAAGTCAAGGTCGTGGTTCAGGAAGAATCGGCCATCATCAAAAGAGCATTCCCCTACCCGGAACAAGTGCTGGGTAAATTTGTTCAAAGAGTTTTCCAGCAATCGATACAGCAGAGGCTCGAATTGGTGCTGGAGAAGGCGGAATCGGAATCCACACTCGCCTATCTGAGGTCTTTGCAAGCCGCGAGGAGCTATATCAGTGTCCTCGTCGAAGATTTGAAGGCACATGGGTTGACGGAGCATCCTGAACCGGTGACTTCTCAGACAAGTCAACTACTTGATCAGCAACTCGATGAACTTTTCACCCCCTACTTTGGTGGTTCAGCATACATCGACAAAGAAAAACACAACCTTCAAGAACTCTACAAATCTCTCCTTTTCAAGTTCGAACTCTTCCACTCTCGACGCCAAAAAGAGCCGAAAACTTACCTCGCAGCGATCCGCAATCGAGGTCAGGAACTCCTCGCATCGGCTAGAGAAGCCACTGACGCGTACGTTAAGTCCCTGGACTTGGAGAAGATGTCGCCCACGCAAAAGAGGATTCTGTTGAGTGTTGCTGGTCTCCAGAACACGGGAGGCGACGATAAATCACAGCCGGACGTGGAAATCGACGAGGAAGACGGGAGGTTGAATGTTGTATTCGCAAAGAGGATGCTCAAGTGGCTCGCTGAAGGAGTAAGACGGGGTCTCGAATTGGGTGGCGGTTCAGAAACGCCAAAGGACGTCGCTGCCCTCCTCAACCTTGTCCTGAAGAACTTGCTGGAGTCATATGTCGAGGTCTCCCTCGAAGCTTGTGCCGACCTCGCCTCGTCTCTTGAAAATACACGAAGAGAGCCCGACCTCTCCTACCTTTCCAACCTTCGCACAGCTGTGCACATCGCCCATCTGGTACAGTCCTGCATCAACACCCTTCTCATCCCCTTAGCTAGCTCATCATTAACCACGCGGCGAGAGATGGAGAAAGCTGCCCGTACAGCGACGGTCCGTATCGAGGATCAAATCAATAACATTGAACAAGCCACCATCGACGGTGTGCTTAACTGGACGTCGCGATTACTTTCCAACCAGAACCGCGCGGATTTCCGACCCCGGCAGGAAACGGAGGCGCCGAGCTTGGAACAGCCTCAAACATCGACCTGTGAAAGCGTGTGTAGATTTTTGGCCTTGTTCCACGATACAGCCGCGCAGAGTTTCGACGGCACGAATCTCAGCGTGTTGTTGATGGAGGTTGCGGTGGGATTTCGCAGTCAACTTCTCCAGCACTTCACCAAGTACCAAGTCAATAGAATTGGCGGGGTCATGCTTGCGAGAGACATGTCTCGGTACGTCCAGCTTCTCAGATCTTGGGAACTGGGGAGTGGCGCTAGCGGCGAGAGCGGTGCCAACAGCATCGACGCTGATGCGGTTAACGGTGGAGGAGGAGCTTCCTTCAAGAACAGTCTCGAGGTGCTGAGTGAGCTGGCCAGTGTATTTGTGCTGCATCCCGACGCACTGAAGGAGAGACTGAGGGGCCCGGTCCTGGGGAATCTTGGGAAAGAGAATCTCAGGCCGTATCTGCTTAAGAGAGATGATTATTTGGAGGTGGGCATGCAGAGTCTACTGGCGTCCTTGTGATACAGGAGGGCTTCGGAGGAGATATCCAATATGGAGGCTTTGCAGCATCGGTTATAGGACACAATGGCCGCGCCAGAAACATGTCTGGATGTATTGTGACCAAGAGCAGCGTTGACTCTTGATCCGGTTGCGATTGTAAAAGAAGGATGGCGATAGAGCCTGAATTTCCCATTATCTGTTTGTGGGAGTAGAGAGATCTGTGCTGCGAACATACGGAGAACTACCTGCAAAACCCCATGATACCCCCAAATTCTCGTCAGTCTATGCAGTAATGGTACGGATGCGCCGACCATGCATTCCTTTGCCGAGTCCTTCTGTAAAAGTCTATACATCCCAAACCGAGAGACTGCTGCGCCTAGCAATGCAAAGCGCCCCTCCAAATGCTCGTTCGTGTCTGTGCAGTTCCCAGGCATGGTGTACACGGATCTCCGATCATCAATCAATGGCCGTCATTGCAGAACACAGTCCCGCTCGAAACAGAATGGGATTGGGACATGTGCCAAGCTGGACTCGAAGCCACAGCTGCCTTTTCTTCCGGGTTGTTTTTTTTTGGTTTCATATCTTAAACCCATACCCAGCCATGCAGTCCTTGTACTGCATGACCAGGCCCTTGCAGTCCTCCTGCGGATCCTCGGCGCGGGAGAAGAGCATGCACTCGTCCCGCCGCGACTTTTCGTCCTTGCACACGCAGCATGGCTAGATATATTCCAGAAGCACCGTTAGCCGGACAAAATGGTTCCGTGAGGCGATGGACAGAAATGCTTGCGGCGCAGGATGATGAGGCGCTGGAGGGGTAATCCGTCGGATTCACGCAATTATGTGGTGGTGGTGGCGTACCTTTACTTTCTCCGTCTTCTCTGCTGTCGACGCTGGTTTGAGCGAGCTGGCGAGATTGTCGGGCGTTGAGGGCTGCGTGACTGTATCGGAGTATATTAGCTTTACAAGTACTTCCCGGTTCCCTGCGTCTCGGTAGTCGCGCGGGAATTTGTAGAGTGGAGGGTAGAGGGACGAGACCAACGTACCTGCAGCAGGTTGCGCGGGCGTGGGCGAAGAAGAGAACCAACCCATCTTGACTTGGTAAACTCTATTGAAGCTGTTTCAAAGGAGAGCTCGTGGATGGACTTTGGATGAGAAATACAAAATGCATTTGGAGACACTACGAGAATTGGAGAGGTTCGGTCGGAAGACGTCAACTGCCTTTTCTCAGTCAATGATTCACCGTAAATGCTGTACGGCAGATCACAAGTGACGGTCCCCCGCAATATCGGAATTTGCATCATTTTGCACTTTCAACTCTCCCCCAAGTTTGTCTGCCTATTCCACACTTTCTTCCGGCTGCTCTAACACTTCACAATCATGGCGACAGGTCTGTTCGCCTCTTTACCGAAGCCGAAATATACGGGCGAACATGAAGAGGTGCCGCTGCACGCTCAACCTCGAGGCCCTCGGGTCGTGGGACCCGGCGTGATCGATGAGTCTCAGATTGTTTTAAAGGTGGGTAGTGACAGCCTTCTGCAGATAGACACCGACATGCTGACTTGTGTTTTCTTCTATTAGCGCTCCGGACCACCTCCCTACGGTCAACGATCAGGATGGCGACCCCGCTCCGCCGAAGACTTTGGCGACGGCGGTGCCTTTCCCGAGATCCCAGTGGCACAGTATCCGCTCGATATGGGTCGCAAGGGCACGGCATCGACCTCGAATGCGCTCGCTATCCAGGTCGACGCTGAAGGAAAAGTCAAATACGATGCCATTGCGAGACAGGGCCACAGCGAAGGCAGGATCATACATTCCAGTTTCAAGGATTTGATCCCGCTGAGACAGAGGGCGGACGCTGGCGACTTGAGCCTTGACAGACCAACCGCGGAGGAGGCGCAAGCCACGGCTGAAAGGACAAGACTCGCGCTGGAGAAATTGGTGTCCGGTGCTGTGGCGGCTCAGAAACCCAAGAATGTGAAAGGTGTGAATCGGGAAGAGCCGACTTACGTGCGATACACGCCTGCGAACCAGATGGGGGACAACTCGAAGAAGAACGATCGGATATTCAAGATTGTCAAGAGACAGGAGGATCCCATGGAGCCTCCGAAGTTCAAGCACAAAAAGATCCCCCGTGGACCGCCGTCTCCGCCGCCGCCGGTCATGCACTCGCCACCCCGAAAATTAACGGCTGAAGACCAAGAGGCGTGGAGGATACCACCGCCGATCTCGAATTGGAAAAATCCCAAGGGTTACACGGTTCCTTTGGACAAGCGACTGGCGGCGGACGGACGAGGACTACAGGATGTCACGATCAACGACAAATTCGCCCAGTTTGCGGAAGCTCTCTTCACGGCCGACCGGCATGCCAGAGAAGAAGTCCGGCTCCGCGCCCAGATGCAGCAGAAGTTGGCGGAGAAGGAGAAGCTTGCAAAGGAAGAGCATTTGCGAGAGATGGCGAAGAAGGCGAGGGAAGAGAGACAGCGTGGTGGGGAAACACGCACAAGGCGGTCACGGTCACGATCTTACTCAGCTTCATCATATGATTCCCGAAGTGACAGCGAGGACGAGGCGGCTCGCGAAAGAGAACGGGCCCGACGAGAGCGCAGACAAGAGAACGAACGACAACTCCGGCAGTCGAGAATGGGCGCCGAAAAGAGGATCCAGATGATGGCGCGGGAGCAGAATCGCGACATCTCGGAGAAAGTGGCGCTGGGACTCGCGAAACCGACGCAGAACCAAGAGACCATGTACGACTCGCGGCTGTTCAACCAGACGTCCGGGTTTGACTCCGGGTTCAACGAGGATCAACATTACGACAGACCCCTCTTTGCGGCGCACGACGCCATCAATAGCATTTATCGCCCTTCGGCGGGAAACCAGGATGACGAAGAATATGGCGAAGAAGCTGCGGAGAGCGCGATGGGCAAAATTAATAAGTCGAACAGGTTCGAGGTATTGGGGAGGGCTAAGGAAGGATTCAAGGGTGCTGATGTGGCGGAGCGGGAGGCGGGACCTGTCCAGTTCGAGAAAGACAAGGACGATCCATTTGGGATTGATAGTTTGATTGGAGAGGCGTCGGCTAGGGCGGGCGGTGGAGAGGGGGCCTCGAAGAAGAGATATGGGCTTGAGCAGGCTGAGGATAGGGAGAAGGAGGAGAGAGAACGGCAGAGGAAGAGGGCGAGGGTTGATGATGACTAGAATGCCGGTGGAAGCTGTGGTGCTGGAGCTGGAGTATGCCGGAGATTTCAGGTACAGTGTGTCAGCATTGAGCAGGACGGCCATCAAACGGAGAATCAACATTATATTCCCATACCTCTTTCTTTCCCACGACTCAATGCCTTGCGTTGAACAATTTTGGCCTTTGTCCCCTTTTCCCTCCCTTTCGCCGTTTACCTTCCCATGGTCCCCCGCCCACATTTTGCCATGACCTCCCAGATCCTTTGGACATTTCCTAGGGGTATTCACTTCTGAACCACCAAGACGCCAAAATGCGGCCTCTCCTCACACCCGTCCCAGTAGTCGATCCCGACACCATACTCTCTCAAACTCTCCTCGTCCGTCCTTGGTAGGTCCACAGCAACCCACTTTAATGCGCCGCGCATGCCTCCCGCGCGGGCGGCGGTCTCGTAACACTGGCGGCGGAGGTGGAAGTTCTCGAACGAGATCTCATCCACGGACTGCTGCACGTGGTGTTGTTGTTGTGAGGGCAGCGCGGCGGCGGGCTGGGACTGGGACTGGGACTGTGCCTGGGACGCAACAACGCGCGCGGTGACGCGCGTGTGGTATCCCTCGCCGGAAGCAAGGGGCGACACGTAAGAGACGGCGACGCCGAAGCGGCGCAGTATCTCGGCCTGGTCGGCGTGCAGGGCCGCGAAGCCGTCCAGGTCCCATGCGGGATGTGGTGTGACGCCGACGAAGTGCCCGCCGGGCCGGAGCGAGGCGGATATGTTGGCGAACATGTCCGTCATGGCCTGGGTTGAGGGGGCGTAGTTGAGGAGCCACGCGCCGAGGACCACGTCGAACTTGTTAGAGGAAGAAGAAGAAGAAGGGGAAGTGTTGTTAGGATCGTCCGAGAAGATTTCCCGTGGGAGAGGCTTCGTAGCGTCCCCGACCGCGAACTTCAACCTGCCCTGGCGAAACGCATCGAGATTCTCGGACGAGCGCTCCGCGGCTGCCACCATGGTCGGCGAGATGTCCATGCCCACGACGCGGCGGACCGGCGAAGACGAGGTCGAGGCCCATTCGAGGACCAGGCGCGAGTAGAACCCCGTGCCGCATGCGAGGTCGAGAACCGAGATCCCAGCACCACCATCGCCGCCGGCGCCGGCGCCGGCGCCGCTGTTGCCATGCTCGCTGCTGCCCGGGCGAAGCGTGAGAAACGGCACGATCGCGTCGCGGAGGTTGTTGCGCTCGAGCAATGAGCCGGGGACTCGTTTCATGGACTCGTACGACTGGCCGATTTGGTCGTATTGGGTCGGGTTCGCTGCGGCGGACCCCTGGCTTGGTTGTGACGACGAGGTCGATGACATGGTTTTTTTTGGGTTTTGTTCCGAACCAGACCCCAGACGCCTACCGAAGCAGAGGAGTCGGGAGTCGTAGGGAGGATATATATACACCTAGGTAGGTACTTATATCCTTTCACATTCTGTCAATCAGACTTTCGTACCGACACCAAAGAGGATCGATCTCACTGAGATTGAAAAGTCAGAAGTACATACCCGATTCGCCTGTCTTCATACCCCTACTTGGTACCACATAAGGCCACCGTCATCACATGGCGGGAGGGGTTTATCCCTTTGCCCGCGCTCTCTGATTATCTTTTGTGAGGAGTGACTTTACCATACTAGGACGCAGTAGGAAGTAATACCACGTCGTTGGAATAAGAATAAGCCTGGGGTTGCTTGCTTTCATTCCGTATTATTGACCCCGCCTAGACCGTATATGTATCTGCTTAGTATTCCATATGCCGTGGAGCGCCACACATCGGATCGCAAAAGCAGACGGATCCAGTATGTAGGTGGAATACGGCACCTACAATGTACCAAAAAGCACGTAGGAGTTAATTGAACGTTTGATAGGTGGGTTGTGGTTAAACAGACTGCGCCTGAACTGACGTTGGAATTAGATCCTAAGAAGGTGATGGGGAACGAATACTGAATATTTCTAGCTGGACAAACTCAAATCCCAATCCCCTTTTGTATGAAAATTGAGATACAGATTGACTGTATCTTCTGGGGGAAGGGGTGGGTATTGGAGCCACGACATAACCCAATTGCTTCACACCAGGTGTGTATATATGGTCACCATAGTAGACCTAGGGTATAACAGAAAAGAAATAAAAACAGTCAACAGCCAGGATTCCCAAGTCCTCTCCCAATCTTTGATACTAACTACGTCTGAGCGATTACTGGAAAGAACATGGATTTCCCCAGTCCTGTGCCCCAGTCCTGTGCCCCAGTCCTGTGGTGTCGATTGCGATGGATGAATGGGCGTGTATATCGAACCGACATACCTTAGATAGGCAAGGTAGGTTTTCTTGAATGATGGTGAAAGAAAAGGCTGAATTACCCGATAGTCTTTTTTGCCATTGCCACGTCCCTATCCTGTCAATATCCCGACCAGACCTCAAAAGACATGGCTCCTGTTATCCTCATGAATGCCCGTCTCAGGTCAAACCTCCATCATTGGACATCACGTCATCCTCCTCAAGCTTGAGTTGCTTTCACAATCCATCCCGGTAGATGTTCCACACATTCAACATCCTGGCTCCCTGACCCGGCGTAAATCCCGCATAGCACGCATCAGTCGAGTAATCCATAAACTAGCCATCATTCTCGTCAGCGGCGGGTCTAGGCAAACGAACCATTCTTCTCCTTCCGAGAGCAAGCGGCCAAATACTGCGGATAGAAGACTTACATTGTGGATCGGATCGGGCCCTGAAAACCCCTGCGGACCGTATGGATTCGAGCCTTGGTCGGAGAGGCCCGTGTACGCGGTGGATGAAACACCAGAGTTGGGGCAGGAGTCTTTGGAGGCCGGACAGCCGCCTTCCACCTAGAGGTTAGTGACATGGCTCATGCATATATACTGGTGTCTGAAAGAAGCAAGATGAATGGGCATCTCGAAACCAATAGAAGCACTAACAAAGACATCGGCAAATGCAGGGATGAAGCACAAAGTTCTGAGAGAGGGGCGAGGGGTGAGGACGTAACATACTTGTGCTGGTCATCTCCTGCGGCGTGTCGGCCACATAATCGCCCCAATCCCCAGCGTCACAGCTGTTGTCATTGAACGTATGCAGCAGGCCGTTCCAGTGGCCCACCTCATGTGCCGTCGTGCCTCCCAAATTGTACCCCTGCATATTCCCTCCAGGCATCGTCTGGCTCAGCACATTACATCCGTCGGTGACGTACAAGCTCACTGGGGTAGTCGAGGTCACGCCGCTGGCGGGCGAGGAGCAAAACCCCAGCAGAATACTGCCTGTGGGTACCCCGGGGGTGTTGCTGCCCGCTTGCAGGAGGGATTGGTAATAGATGTTCAGACTCGAGTAGGTCCCCCGTCGCAGCGCTGTCTTCATGCCCACGTCGTCCCCGTTGCTCGCCCATGTGTCGTTGGTAGTGCGAGTCACGCCCGCCAAGCGGAATCCGATCGAGGCGTTTGTGTAGGACTGGGCGAGGTAGATAAACTGGTTCTGGATCATGCTATCTGTGATATAATTTGACGACGAGGCGGACGAGCTGGCTGTGTCGGATACAATGTGTATATATGTATCAATCGTATATAAGGGTGTCAAGGTTTGACGGCGTTCGTGACTGGACGAGTGGCGAGCGGCGACGAGAGTACTGTTCCATAGGTCGTTCTCGAGCGGTTCGTTTTCTTGCAGATAGTGATGTGTGGAAAGGAGGTCTTCAGAGGGCGCAGCCACGCCGCAAGAACGATGGATTGGTCGGTATCTGGGAACCGCGGCGAAGCTGGATGTGCAGAAGGCTGTTAGGATGACAAACTGTACAAAAAGCAAGCAGGCGGAGGGTTTCCCACTGAACCAAACCATAGTACACAAAGCAGAAGAGTAATTCATGATGCGAGAAAAAGGAATTCAAAGCAGAATGCAGATTTTGAAGAGCACACAACAAAAGCACGGATCACCATCACAAGTTTGCCACACAGGCTCCTGGGAATGTGGGCAGGGGCGAGCACCCATCAAAAAACATCTGGGCCACACCAATTCCTAGTCGAAAAGAGACCTTGGAACAACCTCTGCGAAAGGCACATGTGCATGGCTGATATAAGAATAAGCATGGCTGTATCTTTTGAAAAGCTGCTCCAGAAAGCTTCCGGCCCCCGTAAACTCCCAGATTGCCTTGAAAACGCCGGCTCCGTGATATGAACAAACACTATATCGCCCTTGTTAGAAGAATCATACACTTGTCGTATCATTTAGGACCCTCCAGGTCGAATATCGCGACCAGTGGCAAGGATTCCGGTAGCCGGCGCATCATTGTTCCAGGATAGATACGTATGGTCGCCCAGTTTTCTGTTGCTCTTGTTAATGAAGTTCATTATACCAGAACGCGACAAAGGGCTTACCTGGGCCTGATCAAATGTGCAAGAGTGAATAATGCACCAAGAACGATGCATAAACCGCCAATCGCGACGTATGCAATACCCAAGAACGAATTCTTGCCGCCAATCACTGATCTTGTCGAGATCAGAATGCTCTTGGTACCGTCATACACGGTAACGGGGAAGACTGTGACAGATGTTAGGACTCAATTGTGCATTCCGCTATAGACCGTACTCACAGTCAAATATCTCCATCGTGTAGGTGCCAGCGACCATGGTTTCATTATCATTGCGCAAGGCCAATTTACTGAATGTGGGCAGACCAGCTGTTCTCATCCAGACCTGGAATTCTTCGTATTGCGACAAATCTGGGATGGGGTGTTCGTCGGTATAGTTTGGATAACGTTTGATCCAGTTGGGTGGCGGAGCGACTTGATCGTTGGTGTACTTTGTCTTCTTGTAAAGTGAGGCATCGGAGCCCCAGGCAATGCTCCGGTTTGTCATAACGTACTTTTGAGCGGGCGCAGTTCCACTCGGGTTTTGGAGTGTGGGAGAATTCAGCGTATCATTGAAGATGGAATTCGCGATCAGCCCGCAAGGGTAGTATGCCTTGCCTTCGTGATTCAGTTTGAGCGGATTGCAGGCGCTGTTGCTGATTGTGTGATTGCTAAGAACATCGCCCTTCAATTGATCCGTATCGAGCGACTTCACATATCGTCGGTGGTTTTGATAGAAGTTCGTGAGGCGATAGTACAGGTAGACCGGAGGACCAATGTCGTTGGGGATGGAGAACCGTAGCGTACATACAGGGGTGTCTGGGATCGCAACGCTCCAAGGCGGGTGTGTCGTCTTCGTGGATCTCTGCCATGCAGGTTTCGACGACGTATCATTTGGGGTTGTTTTGAAGGACGAGTGGACTTTGCTATCTGGGATGGTGGTGAAGTCGCCAGTGCCTGCGGTTGTAATGCAGTCGGTATAATCAATCCTCAATTCTTGCACCTGAACAATGCCTTAGTATCCAGACGATCTGTCTTTGATGCTCACTTGCACTCACACTTGCGCTCGCCCATAGAAGGAGGCCGCCGATAGGGGCAAAAATGACGCCGACGGCGAACAAGAGGGGGAGGACAGTCTTAGGTGTCAGAATGGGCCTGCAGGGTCAGTATCTCCAGCGGTAGGATTCAAAGGTATAGCGGAACTCACTGCCATGCCTTCAGTCTCTGCTGCCGAAACGCGGTGTCTGTGGAAAAGATGCTTGTCAGCAAAACTGCGCTTTGCGAAAGGCCTCAGCACAGCGTACTTGCGGGGCGTCTGCTCTTCTGTTTCTTGGGAGGTTCGTTGTGAGGGTCTTCCTCGTGTATGGAATCAGCGTGCTGGAGTTCTGTCCGCGTCATCTTGTCTCTGCTCTTTCCCCTCGATACTGACAGAACGGATGGAGAGGAGGGGACGCCGGCGAGGTCACTTATGAAACCGCAGAGCACAACGGGGTGGCTGCACACTCAGCATCTCGGCGCTGCATGCGCCATTCCGGGTTATCCATCTAACTAAACCCTTTTGGGAACGTCACAGGCCCCCCGTCAACATTTGTCATTTGATTCGTATATCAATTTTCCCTCGCCTTTTCTTTTCACCCTCTTTCCTCTCTCCTTCATAACTCATTCGCGGACATGACTTATTGTAGGAGCCAGGGTTGCAGACTTTTTGCATGCACAAATCTCTTTCTCCTCTGCTACGTGATCCCAGATCAAGATCATGAATCATCGCGCCGTAGCTGGAGCGTGCTATGAAAGAAAACAAAAATTTCCATGATGCTTCGGTTCCCTTACCGACGGCCGCTACATTATCCCCAGTATCTACTCACAAGGACAAAATGAAGTGCATGTTATCCTCCTTTCTCGTTTTTCGTCTCCCCTTTTTTGCTCTTGTTTGTCGTGAACAGCCATCCTGCCCAGTTTGTCTATATCGGTCGCCCAAGAAAAAGTCACCCTACCCGCAATGCACCCGGGAATCCAGGAACAGGTTACCAGCCGACTCCAAAAACACCTTCGCTATGTCATTCCAGTAGTGGTACATCCATCTAGTGGTTATTGCTTTTCATCTTTGTCCCCAACCGCCCAAGTACTTTCTTGTTTCGTGCCTGGTGGTAGCCAGCCAGAGTTGAAGGTCGAATCGGTTTGCCGAGCACGGCTATCATCTCTCTTCGGATGTAGATCTGACATCTCGTTCACGTAGTCATTGCTAATTTCGGACCCGTCAGGGTAACCTGGGGTCTTCACCTCGGCAACAGGCAAGAGTGGTGTGTGTTTGTGACGGAAATGGTCGGCCCGAGTTCTTCGTTCTGCAGCGTCCTCCATACTTGTCCGATCATACAGGTAGAGACCAAAACATGTGAGGACGATACCGACAACCTGGATGGACGTGGTTGAACTCTTGAACCAGATGATCGCAACAACGATAACCCATACCCGCTTGATCAATGAGGCCACCGAGTACGAAACTGGTGACAACATGGAGAGCAGGACAAACGCCATAATGTTCTGGAAAAAATGGAAGATTCCATTAAAGACAAATTCCAGAGCTAGCTGCCCGTGATCCATCGCATCTCTCTTTTCAGAGAGATCGACTGACCCATCCTTCCAAAAGTCTCGCATGAGTTCCAAGCCTTCGGTGTAAATCCAGACTGGCGCCGAGAGCATGAAAGCTCCTACGGAGCAATAGCAGAGGAGATTGAGCTTGTCCAGCTTGCGGGGCAGATGCGTTTGTCCCTCGGCTTCCGCGCGGGCTGATTCGGTGAACAGTTTCTTTGAAAATATGTTCTGCGTCACAAAGACGATGGCTGCCACCAAAGAAGCACTGATCCCCCAAAAGTTGGTGGAAAAATCGGTGGAGCATGCCAACATGACTCCCACTGTGAGCGGGACGAGCGATAGATATGTGGCTTGCCTGTAACGTATCCGGAACACTAATCGATAGGCCAGCACGGTGAACAATGGTGAGAGACCCTTGATTGTGTGAACCAGAGAAACTGGGATCTTGGATGTCGCATATGAACTTAGGAGGTGGCCGAGCAACTGGAAAATCGAAAGAGGAAATGCTGTGTACATGACATCCCACGAAGGTCTGCGGAGACCGTTTTTCAGTGCAGGTATACTTCTTTTGATTGACGGGAAAAGAGATGACAAGCCTGTCAGAATCAAGCACCAGATCGAGACCGAGGCAAACTGTAGGATTGTGAGGGTGGCTGGCTTGGGGAAGGCGTTCAATATCGACTTGGAGGAGGTGTTTGTCAAGGCAGAGGTTAAGTACCAGATGATGCACAGCACCTGTCGTGTGTTAGACCTTTGGAGAGTGACGCTGCGGGCCACTCACAATCAGTTTGTAGGAAACTGGAGCTTTCAGCGCTTCCGCCAGTTCTTGCGCATTCTCGCTCACGCTGCCTTGTCGTGTACGGATTCTGTGAATCGCATCGCTGACGCTTCGCCTGGATCTATGTGTGTATACTCCTGCCGGCCGGGCGTCGCGCAGCCTCTGGCTCATTTTTCTCGCCGGCCATTTCAACTCGCCATTGAGGTGTGGCGTAGGAGTGAGTTCTTGCGGGCTTTCCGCGACGACAGCAGAGTTGACCTGGAGGCTTGGAGGGGTGCTGTGATCAAAAGAAGGGAATCTTTCATGACCGGACGTCTCGCTTGCGGCCTTCAGAGGGGACACGGATCGGTGCGTGAATATCCGGGGTTCAGGAGTCTGGGTCATGGTGGTGGTCATATTCGTTGCAGCAGAGGTGTTGAAAAGGACTGAATTGGAAAAGAAACCACCGTCCTGCGCTACATTTGCCGGCGTGCTGCTTCAAGGTATCTTAGCGGTGTTCGCCATTTGCTTGGAGCGAGCGTCGTTTGTTGTGTATGAGTGCTTGTTCAATGACTGTAGCAGATTTGCGGATCGTGATGCATAGAATCTTCAATCTCGGACAAAGCATGGGCAGGGGTGGTAATGGACTATTAGGACACTTGGTGTGCCATTGCGCGGATAGATAACGCAAGCCTATCGTCGGATAAATTGCTTGCCACATGTCGGTGCCGGATAAACCGGAGCTCCGACTAGTGCGTGGCCTCGCTATTCCAACTCACCTGGCCTCTTGTGCCTCTGAGGACAAGTCATTGCCATGTAGTAGAATGAAGCTTGGGCAACTGTGCAGACTCCTGCCCTTTGTCGTACCTTGTCAGCTCGTTTGTCTCTGCGCCAGCGCGTCTCAAGATGTACTGGCGGAGGAGGATACTGTCAATCAGAGCCTCATCACCATCCTTCCCTCCTGGGACGTCATCGGCCCATTCAGGATAGGGACTCGAGGTATTGAAGCAGCTGAAATCAAGCATTTGCTTCTCAGACTGACAGTTGAGTAGAAGCAGTCTGGGGTGCTGATCCCCTTGAGTTCTATGGGGGGATCCAGAACGCCAGACCGAACGAGTTCGGCTGCTTCCGGAGTCCGTTAGCAAGGAACGCGACCGTGCAATGGGCTCGGAAAGAGTACTCTACCTCTCTGTCGAAGGGTGAACACTCACTTGAGTTCTCACTAGCCTTTGGTGAGATTGATTGGGAGTTCGCCCAAAAGATCTATGGCTGGGGGGCTTTTCAGTACCAAGCATGGGCGAAAGGGGAGATCTTAAACCGGGACATCGTGAGTCGGCTCATCAATATCTTTCCTGACAACATCGTTGAGCTCTGGATCAATGATATGCATGTCTTTGGTGGAGATTTCTTCGGGTTTGGGCGAGTACCTGTTCTGGTTGAGCTCCCTCCGGGCGTCAACAATATCAGCGTGCGGCTGGTGCGTGAGGTTCGCTCTATGGGTGGTGCGTTTCCTCCAACAATCCAAGCAGGCTTGAGGACTCGCCTCGCTACTGAACAGCTCGTAGTTGTTACAGACAGCATGGTGATGCCAGATGTGATCAATGGAAGACTCTGTGCGCGGTACGGTAGCGTAACAATCCGAAACCAAGGCGGGACATGGATACATGTTCACAGGATAGCAACAACGTCTGAGGGAAGGAGTTATATCGTTGCAAGACAAGACATACACCTTGCGCCTGGCCAATCGCGTCCAGTGAAAATGATATTCAAGGCCGGATTCAGATTGGACGAATCGCTGAAGTTCATTCTGAGTTATTCAGGCCAGGACGCGGCACTGAACGAGGTCACCTTCACTACAAAGTTGGAACACGCAGACATATCATCTTTGCAGAGGATCACATTCCTTCATCCGAGCGGCACAGTGTCTTATGCCATGTTGAAGCCGCCATCTGCGGCCAACGCGACGAAAGATGACAGACTACCCGTGCTCTTGAATCTTCATGGTGCTGGCGTGGAGGCAGGTGGCCCCTTATCGCGACATATGTTTGACGATGCTGCTCATCTTCCCGCGTGGATACTCACTCCTACAGGCATGAGCCCCTGGAGTGGCGACGATTGGCATACTTGGGGTTTTGCTGATGCTCAAGCTGCAGTGGCGGCAATTCCTGATTGGATTGACAGCACAGGCTGGAATGGTCCAGGCGTGTATTCTGACAAGCTTCTCATTGCAGGCCACTCCAACGGCGGGCAGGGGACGTGGTATTTTGCTTCCCATCAACCCGATCGTCTTCTGGGTGCTGCCGTCGCTTCGGGGTATTCGTCGATTGAAAACTATGTACCATATGTTTTGTGGAACGAGGCGGACCCTCTCCAAAACGCTATTCTCGAGACCTCAAGAAGCAGCTTCCGTCATGAGATCTTAACTGAAAATCTAGCGGACCTTTCTATCTTCCAGCAGCACGGATCAGCAGATGACAACGTTCCGGCTTACCACTCTCGACTGATGAACGCCCTGCTGGAACAAGGGGGCGGGATTGCACAATATTCGGAGATGCTGGACAAGGGACATTGGTTCGACGGCGCAATGACTACCAAGCCAATGATGGAATTTTACTTGCAGCATCTGACTTCGTATCACAGGGGGCTCACGGTTCCCACATCTTTTGCTGTCGTCGTTCCCAATTCCCATGACATGGGATCCAGGTACAGCATCGTTGTCGACCAACTCTCATCCCCAGACCGGTTGGGAAGAATCAAGGTAAAAACCGAGCTGTGTGGATCTCTCGTCCAATGGCATATACGGACAGAGAACATCCATCGATTTCATCTAGATCCCTCCGTACAACTAGCGAATGCTCCTGACGAACTCCTCATTGATGACGTGCCGCATGTGTTCGACGCCGGAAGAGGGGTAGCTTCTTTTATCAAGTCCCCTTCCAATGTCTGGGGTAGGGACGTCGTCTTGGATTGGAGAACTCTGGATCAAAGATATGGTCGTCAAAGAGGAGCCCTTGATGCAATACTTAGGAGCACTGGACCATTTGAAGTCATCTACGATTCCAGCAAGACACTGTCCATCGCGGTACAGGCAAGCCGAAACTTTTTGCAATATTTTGGAGCTGATACCAATATTTTGCCGTTCTCCGAGTATGAACAAGCATTGGAGAGGGGAGGAAACATTATCACAATCTGTCTTGGAGACTTTGTCCCAGAAGCTCGTCTCCCAAGGTTCCCGATACGGCTTACCGATGAGGAAGTTCTCTTCACTGGACCAGATTACCGATCGAAGTCGTTCCATTTTAGAGAAGGCATGGGCGGAGTCTGGCTTCGTCCGCTTCCGGGAGAGCGTTTGGAGCTTGTGGTATGGGGAATTGACGAGCCTGGTTTGCGACAAGCTGCGAGGCTGATACCCACAGTCACTGGAGCTGGTCAGCCGGACTTCGTGATTTTGGGTAGCGAGGCAAGATGGAAAGGTCACGGAGGTGCCATTGCAATGGGCTTCTTTGACCGCAACTGGAAGATATCCTCTGCATCATACCTGCCTTGACAGCATTTCTCAGCCCGAGCCTTAGGCTTTGTGAGTAAGAGGATGGGAGTGGAAATGAGTACTGTTGATCAGATGGCTAGTTGGAAGAGCATGAACAACTGCTGAGGTTCTTTGTAAGGTATTTCGATCCCCTGATCTGTCACCTGGCAATGGAGTGGGCAAGGTGAGGCAGAATTTGGGACGAGGAAAGCGCGGTGCCTGCGAGGGTGCGAACAGTTCATTCACTTCACTGATGCTCGACTTCCTCTTCTGCCTGCGACTGCAATCACTCCTTCCTTGTCTTTCCCACCACATCTTCTCCTTTCCATCTGCTGCACCCTTTTCTTCCCTTCCACTTCTACACCCTCAACTTCTCCAGCATTTCACACGTCTTCCCCATTTTGCAGGCAATCTCTTGTCACTGTCGCCGCTCGGACGGTGTGCTTCTCTCCCTGACTTCTCCTGATCTATTACCTGGATATCTCTGCATGTTGTAAAGACTTCAGTCAATCAAGGCTCTTTGGTTTCCGGACTTTGACAACCTCATGGCCACGCTCGTCTCCACAGGATCTCCGACTGGCAAGATGAGTCGTAGATCAACCCCAACCATCAAGGTGAGAGAGGAAAGTGACGATGGATCTGTTGCGGTGGCAAACACGCTCACGGTGGGTTTGTTTGTATTTCTGCTTCACTTTGTCACTGACACATAACCACAGACCGCGACCAATTCTCACTCTGCAACCTCCAACCGTCCTTCCTACACTATCTTGCATAGCGACAAGCTCAGCAACGTCCAGCCTGCAAAACAGAAGGACAAGGTATGCTGCTTCATTGCCTCTAGGCTCTTTCAACCAAACTTATCCTCTGCGGTTGGCTAACTCCATATTGAACAGACAACTCCCAAACCTTCTGAGCATAGCGTGATGGGTGGCGGTGGAATGGAGGACATTCTTTCACGCCTCAAGCTCAATGATTCTCGTAAACCTGCTCCTGCCCCAGCTGGTGAGGTCAAGTCGCGCAAGCCTGATGAATTTGGGAACCTTGACAAGCTTCTGAACAATCTCCAAGATTCAAGCAAAGCTCTCAAGAAGCAAGAGCAGGAACTCCGAAGCGAAATGCAGTCCGATAATCACAAAGGCCACACCTCAAGCGAAGACAGCCTTGATACTGCAAAACCTGTCCACCACACAACAACTGCGAATAAAGTAGATGTGGCTGAAATGATGCGTGTCAAACAGGAGCTCGAGGCCGCCAAATCTGTCATTTCACGTCAGGAACAGGAGCTGGCTGAGACCCGCACGCTCAAACAAACCATCGACCAAGCCATGGGTCCCCCATCCGAAGCCGACTTTGGGCCTTCCAACGATATCTCCGAACAAACCATCGGTCATCTGCAAAGTGCTTTTAATGCCTCTGCCCGTCCATTTACTTCGCAGACCGACACTTGGGCCAGCAACGACGAACACCGCAATAATTTCGTCCGTGGCAGAGGTATCTGGAACAATCCTTCGACGTCGATGACAAATCTCCTGGCTACCAACCCGACTGCTCCAGCATATGACCATCCCCGTGATGCACGTCTCTCAGGTCAGGCCTACAATGGAGTCTATGGAGCGCCCTTTTCCCCGGCCGAGGCCAATTTTCAGCCTCGCAACTTCTCGGGCGCTGGAGGTCCAATGGGATACGACATGAGGTCCAACAATGACATTATGCCAATCAACCCTACCCTCGGCATGAGACGCAATGGTGGACAGTTGAGAATCAACCCAGGCCTTGCTGATCCAATGTCACAGATTGGCAGCTTTCCGCCTGCATCTACCACATTGACACCACCACCAATCAGTCCCGTCGGTTTTCCAGGCCAATACAATTATCAACGAGGGCTCACAACCCCAATTACTCCTGCCACAGACTTCAACACCACTGGCGTGCAAAATGCTGGAAATCCATGGCCGCTCTCGGCTGGTGGGGCGAATGGCCAAACCTATGTTACGCCCCTCGAGCCGATGAACTATCGCCGCCTCCTCGACAAGTCCGTTTCCTGTGATTGGAAGTACATTGTTGACAAGATTGTCTGCAACAATGACCAGCAGGCTAGTATCTTCCTCCAGCAGAAGCTCAAGGTTGGTACGGCTGAACAAAAGTTTGAGATTGTTGAAGCCATTGTCAATCAAGCTTATCCACTCATGATCAACCGATTTGGCAACTTCCTTGTCCAGCGATGCTTTGAGCACGGGACTCCCGACCAAGTTGTTGCCATTGCCGATGCTATTCACGGTAATGTCCTTTCTTTGAGTATGGATCCATTCGGCTGCCATGTCATTCAGAAAGCCTTTGATTCGGTCCCAGAAGACCACAAGGCTGACATGGTCCGAGAGTTGCTTCGCCGCATTCCGGATACGGTTATTCACCGCTATGCTTGTCATGTATGGCAGAAGCTCTTCGAGCTCAGATGGAGTGGAGAGCCACCACAGATCATGCTGGAGGTCAACAAGGCTCTTCGCGGCATGTGGCATGAAGTTGCATTGGGTGAAACAGGGAGCTTGGTGGTTCAGAACATTTTTGAGAATTGCATTGAGGAAGAGAAGAGACCAGCCATTGAAGAAGTGATTGCCAATATCGACCTCATCGCCCACGGTCAATTCGGCAATTGGTGCATTCAACACTTGTGCGAGCATGGCTCCCCACCCGACAAGCGCCGTGTCATTGACCACATCCTTGCCAACTCGTACAGTTACAGCATCGATCAGTTCGCGTCCAAAGTCGTTGAGAAATGTCTCAAGATCGGAGGTCCTGAATTCTTAGACCGCTATCTTGGAGTCATCACGACCGCTCACCCGGATCGTCCACGCATTCCACTTATCGACATTGCTGGCGACCAATATGGCAACTACCTGATTCAATGGATCTTGATGAACACTCACCATCATCAGCGAGAACAAGTGGCCATCCATATTCGAAAGCACATGGTCTCTCTGCGTGGTTCCAAATTTGGATCTCGTGTTGCCATGCTCTGCTGCAACCCCAACTCGGTCACTCGTCCTGGTCCGGGAGCAGTTGTCAACCCTTTCGGGGCTCCTGGTCAACCACGCAACCAATGGCCTCGCTTTCGTTGAGTCAGGGTCTCGACATGTCTTTACGGACAAAGGCCTGGCCTCGCGCTTCGTCATCTCATCTACTTACGTGTCATCTTCTTGAAGATGAGGGTATTCTACAAGTTTGTCAGTACAGCGAGGGGCAACTACCCTGAGACTTGGAATACCAACCGATACTGCCATGACCGATGGAGAGGAGGATACTACTCGAGCCGTTGAAGTCAGTCTCTTATCTTGGCATGGACTTCTTGGTTTTTCATTTCCAGCCAACTCTTATCGAACAAGAATATTCGATTGTATGTGTTTCTCCATATCGACAAGGAATGTTTCATATCTGCCGACGATACAAACGACCCAACCAACATCGGCCGCGTGTGGGTGTTTGCTTTGGGAACCACAACTTGTTGGCAACAATATTCCAGAGCTAGCAGTATTATCGGCGTCAATGTTCACCAGTCATGGCGAATGACTGGGTATCATATCGAGTCTTTGACGGTTGTCCATGCCCGCCGGAAGAGGTGAAGGGGAAAAATGACCAAGCATGTATTTATCAGTGGCATGATGAAACATCCAAAATGAAGAGGACATTGTAGCAGATAGTGAATATCATAGCTGAACAAGCGTACCATAGAGTTCGTGTTCTTGCTTTCCCATTGGGCCTGCACCTTGACTTGAGAGAAGCCGATCTGTACATAGGAACCCATTCATGAGCGCGCCCCTCCACTGGTACAGTGTTGTGCATTCTAGGCATCCCTCATGTGCTGTATACTACGGAACAAGGCGTTCCAATCCAGTGAGCTTACATTTCCACAACGATGTGGCTCGCCTAAGTCGACTGCAAGTTACCCCTAATTCGAGGCTAGATGAATAGCACCGAGTGTCTTGTTCAGCCATAAGTCGACTGCATCATGGATGTTGTGAGATGGATTCTGAGATTCCATCCATCACCCGGTATCTTTGATACTTCTCATCAAGCACAGCCAATCAACACTCCACCTCACCACTTTGGAGAGCTGACACCGAGGAATTCCATGGGGCGCGGAACCATCTCGTCACGCAGTAGATTCCTCTATTTGGACATTTGCGCCCAACGGCGACTTGGCGCGCGCTTGTGAAGCGTCGTTGATGGCATATGTAGTCTCTGTCTGATATTGCGGTAAGGCGTGTGACTGTGCGTTGTGTCCGTTCTGAAGTTTGTCCTCATTCAATCTCGGCTGAGCAGTCCACTGTCTGGAATGGCGTTGGGTTGAAGGATCTTGACCAGCCCGTCACCCGCAACTTTGTGTCCGTTGACGTCGACAACACCTTCGGGCTGCTTAGATCCAGCTTCACCACCGCTCGTGGTGGCATGTGTGTCACCAGCAAACCCCAAAGATGTTGTTCCTTCTGCTTGCGATTGTTGTTCTCCTCCCGACGGCGTCGTCACGTCGTCGACATCCTTCTCCCAAGGTTTCTTCCTCCTCGGTGTCCTGTCGACCTTGCTCGAACCTGGCTCGAGGACGGTAGGTGGGATCTCCTCTATGCCTGGAACGGGCAGGTTGCGTGTTATGAGGTCCACTATTGCCGCGAAGGAGGTGGGGTAAGGTGGAGGTGGGTCTTGAGCTGCTGCTTCTGACGGAGCTGCTGCCGCGATAGTGGTAGTGTTTGCGGAGGTGGAGGCGGAAGCGGAAGCGGTTGTTTGAGGTGGATCTCGAGGCTGCGAAGACGGCGCTGAGGATGTCGCTGGCGGTGGTGCTGAGGTTGCAGGCTCTTCAGGCTCGTCGGAATGAGATTGTAATAATTGCAGGTGTGGATGTGGTTGCGGTTGTGATTGAAGCCACGCTGAATACGCTTGGGGAGCCACAGGCGGCATGATGTGAAATTTTCTGGAGAAATAGAAGCATTGCGCCTGGAGTACCAGGTCTGACTTCTCGTGCAGTTCTTCTGGTGTTGGAGGAGTGTGCTGATGGCCTAGGATAGTTGCGAGGCCGGCTTGATACTCGGGATCGGTGGAGAACGGATAGCGGGACAGGTGGGTGTAGATGGCGTCCAGATCGGGTTGAGGCGGAGGATGCGTCTGTTCGCAGCTGGCGTCCTGGCTAGCCATGTTCCCGACTCTGGACAGAGGAGGTGTCTGAGCGGACGATGAGGGTAGCTGACTCCAGAAGCAGAGGTGCCCGTGTGAAGAGGGAAGAGGTTGATGTCAATGGACGATGGAGCGGTAGAACTTCGGGCAATGATGTTGGATCCCAAAAGCACCGACTACGGCGACTAGTGGGAATGAGTGGAGTTCGTCGTTCTCTAGCAAGAATTTGAGCGATCTCAGGGCATCAAGCAAAAGAGAGCACTCTGGCTCAAGTACCTAGTAAAGAGCTTTACGCAAGGCTGACCCAAGTGCGAACCAGCCAATCAGAGGCGCTTGGAGTCGCAAGGCTGGCGCTTGATTAGCGCCTGCCTCGCCCTTGGCCCGCGCTTCGTCTCTTGATTTCACCTCAAATCTGGTCAACTGCCCATATCGTCCACCTTCACGCTCCATCTTCTCCCTCGCATTCCAACTTGCTGTCCAGTTTCTGACCTCCGCCTTGAATTCTCACGAATGCCAATGTCTCACTGACAGCTCTCGACCATGGCGGAGAATATGCCCACCCCGCCATCTCCTGGCGCCGGGCGCTATTCAGGCGCTGGCCCGTTGTCCAGCGGCAATTCAGACACCGCTCATGATAGCACATCGGACCGCGTCGACATCTCTCCAGAGAGGCGTATGCTGCACTTTATCGAGGAGCACGATAAAGAATTCAGAGAAAAGCTCGACGTTTTGACCAAATTTGCCAACATTCTGGCCAACGATCATGCAAAGGCCATCAGCCACTTGAAGAGAGCTTGCAGGGAATATGCTGCCAGAAATCACAGTTACAAGCAAGCCCGAGCATTTCAAAAAGCCCCCGAGCCAACAGTCGAAGAATCCATGTGGGATGCCCCACGGCAAGCAGAAGAAGTTACGGAACCCCTCGTCGTGAATCCAACATCTGCGCAGTTGGTGACTGGTGCGAGTCTCGGGGACATGAGAGATTCCTCACTTGAACCCCCATCTCAGACAGTATCACAGCAAGTCACCGAACCTCTCATCGTGAATTCAATATCCGCGCAATTGGTGTCTAGTACAAGTCTTGAGGACGTGAGAAATCCCTCATTGGAACCCCCGTCTCAGACGGTATCACAGCCTGTAGTGAGCGGCCCGGTCCCCGATGGTGATCATCTCGAGGTGGACCCACCTGCTCGCGTGGATGAGTCTAGCGGAGGAGAACATGAGAGTTCAAGCCCAAATGATACCGAGGACGACAGTGCTTCATCTTATTCCACAGATGACGGTGATCACGACAAGGATATCTACCATGAGGAGTCCCCCACCCCAGACGAAATTCCTCAGAGTACCAATGTCGAAGCGCAATCTACTGCTACTCCACAAAAATCTGGAGCTCAAAATCGACCAGCACCCGCGTCTCAACCTAGTAAGAGCTCCCAGTCGGCTCGGGACGGATCTCGACGATGGACGGAAGAGGAGGAAAACTGTATGATCGAAATCATCCATGATCTGATGCAACAGGAAGACCCTGGACCAAGCAAGTCTAGAATGTGGCAACGCGCATCCGCCATGATGCGCACACGTGGCTATGATCGCACCTACCAACAAATGATGGCCAAGTGGTCTTACCAAACCCGCTACAAGTGTGAAGATCGTGGCTTGGACTGGGCGGCTAAGGTCATGGCCAAAGTCCCACATATGGAGCGCAAGCGGAAATCATCATCAGGCGACGTCCGAGAAGCAAGGCGGTCTTCAACATCAGATGAACAGCCAGGGATCATACCAACCCCAAGTAAGTCTCAGAAGGTTCGCCACAATCAACCAAGGCCGGATGGGAAGGTCAAGGTGCCGAAGCCGAGGGGAAGACCGCGAAAGAGCAGTAAAAAACACCCAGCACTCAGTCCTCAGCAAGGCTTTACCACTAAATTCGATTCACTGCCTACAACATCGGAAACCCACATGCGCCTTCGTTTTGTTTGGGCTCGTACCTCGAACGACATCGTGCAAGTGGATTGGTCTGCAGATTCCAAATACTTTGTGGCTGCCAGCACCTCGCTATTCAATCCTGAGAAAAACTTCAGCGATAACCGACCGGTGAATCTGGTTCATGGTTCCCTGCCTTCTAAGACGCTACGAGAGCTCCCTGAACATCGGGTCGCGGGCAATGTCATTGCTGGGCAGCCAGAATACGTGTACCGGACTGTTAGTGCAGTTCGGTTTGCTCCAACCGGCCATAGGATCTACAGCGCTGGGTTTGACAATAAGGTCCGAGTCTGGGACGTGGAGGATGAGGCCTTCATCCACTGCAAGACAGAAATACAGTTTGCCCAACGGCTGGAAGTCATGGATGTGGCTGGAGAGCAGAGCGCATTATTCGCGACTGGTACAGCAGGCGGACTCAAGTCGATCCGCGTCTTCTTTACTGACTCTGACCTGGACGTCCGGCCTCAAGAGATCAGACTTCTTCGGGACACAGAGAAGAAGCCGTTACCATTTTCCCCGACATGTCTCAAGTTCGGGCACGCTCGCACCCGGGATTGGTTGCTGGCAGGCTTCGGCAGCGATGATGATGGTGGCTTTAGCGACGGCTATACAGCAATGTGGAAGTTTCGCGAGGCTTCGTGCGAACAGTTGAATTTCCCCCGGGGAGATAAATTCGTGTTTCACTGCGCTTGGTCCCCATCGGGCGAGCTTTTTGCGATTGGAAGCGCAAGTGACGCCATGTCAAGAGCGGACACAGCAGAGCATTCGGTGGTCAAGCTGTACTCGGCAAACCAGCCGGACTCGATTGCCAGATATAGCTGTCGTGCAAAGGATATCAACGATGTGACCATAGACTACGGTCTTGTCACAGCCTCGTGTACCGATGGGTCGACGTACGTCTGGGATCAACGTCAACCTCAGAAGCCACTACATATACTGGCTCATGGTCAGCCCCTGGCGAAGCTTGCCCCAGGGGCAGACCGTGAGCTCGAAGATGTGGGGGTGAGGTACATCGAGTGGAGCGGTAATGCTGGGCAGTTGTACACGGGGGCTAGCGACGGCGTCCTCAAGTATTGGGACACGCGGCACTCACCTGCTGATGTCCTGGTCGAGGACCTTGTGGATACCGGTAGTGAAATCATGTGTGGGCGTCTGTCGCCGGATCATTCGTCTTTGTTGTTGGGCGACGATGATGGGCGTCTGCATCTGCTCAGCATGTCGAATGGTCCATTTCCGGACGAAGAGTGGCGGTTTCGAGTGGCGGAACAATGGGATATTGCGAATTAAGGAATCTTGGTTTGGATGGATGAAGAGTGGTCAAGGAAGGGATTGATGGATGTGTGGGACAACACTGAGTGGGACAGGAACGGCGACAATGGGTTATCTTTCGAAACTGGCTCACTGGGAGGGCAGCGTCTTTATCTTGCTAGGGCTGAAAGTTGCCATTGGGACATCCGGGTGTTGGCGCCTTTTCCAAGCTTGATATCTGTGGGTAATTGACAAAATCCTTCCGAAATGGGGCACAAGAGAGCAGAATGTCGGTCAGAAGGGACAGCCATGGCGGCACGGGCATGAAGGATGAGAGAGATTGAGGCTTCTTTGATGGTTTCAGCGAGAGCTATGGATTGTATTCGACCCGGCAATTTCCCTTTTATGGCACTGGAAGTCCCATCGCCTTGTAGACATTTGGGAGAAGACGAACTGCCTGTCTCTGCCACTCACCGTGACTCGCGTATACACCAATCTACATTAGAAGTAGTCCGGTCCTGGCCAGGACAAGCCGCCAGTCCACTGAGACCTGAGCACTGAGGCAGTGAGTCCTAAAGCAGACCAGACGAGTCAGTGGGCCTCACTCGCTCGCTCGCTCGCCTGCATCTTCGAAGGAATCTCCCATCCATCCCTCTCGACAGGCAAGGCACCCACACAGGGGGACGCCTCACAGCTTCGTACATCGAAAGGTCCTGCTGTGATGCGGTAGTGCGGTCGGTGTATTAGGCTGCAGACTGCCCGGTTGTTTTTGTACGAGTAATTACATGTAAGACTCCCGTCCGGCCCCCGGAACCGGCATGTTCTGGTCCCGGGCAAATCCAGAATCACTAGGTTCCTACTAGGTACCTACCTAGGTAGGTAGTAAGATGAAAAAGTCTCCGAAAGATGAGATAGCAGTCGGATGAAAGGTCGGAGAATACGAGAAAGTTGGGGCCATGTCAACGGGGCAGAGGTTTATATTAGAATTGACCTTTGTGTTCTTTTGTATGGCTTTGGCTTCTGGCAGAGCGTGGGATATATATATTCTGTTTACTCGAGATAGGCTCCTGAATTCTTTTTCTCGGTTCACGGCTGCACTGCAGGCTCAAACCAGGGCAACGTTGGGGTTGTATATCCTCTGCCCGAATACCAATACACAGCAAAGGAACTGCTACGTGTCTGCCTATCTACCTACCTACCTGCTTAGGTACCTTAGGTAACTAGGCGACCGCTGGTGCCATCCAAGGACATAACCACTCCGTGTTACCCAGTATTCAGCCATAAGACGGGACTCAAGTGTCTGGCAAGGAACTATATTGACAAGCACAATCGAATCAACCGATATCACCGGCATACACACACGAATCACACCCCCCGAAGCCACCTGCAATTAAAGGGGAAAAAAAACGAAACCATGTCTTCCCCCGCACCCATCCCGGCCATCACCGCCGGCCGCCTCCTTCTCAGCCTCGTGGCCCTCCTCACCAGCATCGGCTGCTACATCGCGGACTGGAACGAGACGCACGTCAAGAACCCCAACTGGCCGCCGCACGCGCGCTTCCACAACGGCCAGACCATGTCCATGGGCCTGTCTCTGGGTTTGCTCACCATGTATTTTGCCTGGAGACCCGTGCTCGTCAAGGAAAAAGGGATTGGCGAAAGGCAATGCATCACCATCGCCGCCGTGCTGGGCTCGCTGTACTATGTCACGGGGATGAGTGGGATTTTGTACCCAGGGGCGAAATGGTTGGATCCGGAGTTCGGGGAGGGAGCACCCCAGGTGCGCATCTTTGTTGGCGTGGCGGGCATGGCGTGGGCCGGGTGGGGGTTGGAGATGAGGAGGTTGGCCGCGGAAAGGAAGGTGAAGAGGGTATAGTTCCATAGGACACACTGGGGATTCTAGGCGTGGGATCCCAGGTGGAGAGAAAGGATTGGGTTGAGGAGGGAAGGAGCTTTGGAAGGGGAGGAGGAGGGAGCACAGAGAAGAAGCTTGTGAGATTCGAAGCAGACAGGCCCGTGAGAAAATGGGAATGGGAACCATAGGGGAAGAAACTGTGGAATCGTTCAATGGTCGATTTTCAGCGAAAAGTCTATATGCGGCACGCCCTGGTGGACGGCGCTCGTGGATATTATGTCGATGTCTGCACACCCAGGTGAAAGGGAAGAGGTTAGTCCAGAAGGAAACCGCAGAGAGAATCGTGGTAGAGCAAGGGCTGAGAATCTCCTCTCCAACACACGAAGACAGCAGGGCAAATGGTAAAGGCAGTGCTTGAAGGACTCAACTTACCATTATTAATGTATTCCTTAACATTGGCCTCGGTCAACCCGCCGCTGCTCTCCAGGAGCACGTCTGCCCTCCCCCTAGCCCTCCATCTCTCCTTGAGGTTCTTGGCCGCCACCTTCAGACCGGCGCCGTCAAAGTTGTCGAGCATGACCACATCCGCACCGGCTTCGATGGCCTCGTCCGCTTCTGCCTCGGTCTGCACCTCGACCTCGATCTTGAGCGCGAACCCGCCCACGGCACGAGCGGCTTTCACCGCGTTGGTGATGGACCCTTTCGCCCAGATGTGGTTGTCCTTGAGCATGATCATGCTCGACAGGTCGTGGCGGTGGCCGTCGATCCCGCCCACCAGCATGCCGTACTTCTCGACCAGCCGGAACCCGGGCGTGGTCTTGCGCGTGCCGGCCAAGATGCCCTTGTAACCTGCGCCGCGCACCAGTTGGAGCATTTTCTGTGACCGCGTCGCCACGCCGCTGCACCGCGCCAGTGTGTTCAACGCGACTCTTTCGCCCAGGAGGAGTTTTCTGGTAGGTCCCTTGACGGTGGCGACTTTGATCTTCCCGCCCGCCTGTTTCGGGTCGAGATATGTGCCTTCGTCGTAGTGCCACTCCACGGCGCAGTCGAGTTGGCGGAACACCTCGTCGAAGAACGGCACCCCGGCGAGTACACCTGCCGACTTGCAGAGAAGCTGTGCACTGCGCGGCTCGGATCCCACTACGAACCCGCCGTAGTCAAACGAGGGCGTGTCTTCGGCCAGCCAGGCGGTGATTTGGGTGGTGAAGTGGGAGGGGAGGAGGTCGGCGAGGGTGCCGTGCTGGGGTGCGGAGGGAGAGGACGTCGACATGGTTGCGTTTTGCTGGTCAGACGAGGCAATGCAGACTCATAGAGCGATGAGGGAGAGTCTGGAAGGGCGCTCTATCCAACTCTGAGAAAGGGTTAAGCATGGGGCGTCCGCTGATCTTGTAAATAAAAGAAGAGGATCTCGAGGGCAATGAGTTACAAACTGTGTCATGGACCCCGCACCGAGTGGAGAATAGACGCTGCTAGACAAGCGTGACAAGGCCATGATCCCCTTTTTCATGTGAACTGGAAGCCTTGACCCTCTACAACAGGTGTCGCTTAGACCGGATCCCTACACTAGTAGAGGCAGACTTTGACTTGAGACGACGCCGTCTGCTGCTTTGTGATGCTCCGGCTGGAGTCTAATATATGAACAAGTCTCGTGGACGCAATGGTCCGGTCCTAACACCGAAGAAGCCGTTTCTTCATCGAGGCCGTAGCCTTGAGCTGGGTCTTGTTGCTTGCAGGTTGGCAACCCGGCTGTCGACAGAAAGATCGACGCATGTATTGGATCGGTAATAAGGAAAGGTCTCAGGCAGTGATTCTCGATGCTCACGGAAGATCTCGGTGGTAAAAGTGGCGCTTATATGATATCTGGTCTAGCATGGCGGCAGACCCTTCATAGATGATGTCCTAAATATGGTACCTGGATTGACGAGCGAAATGACCCGACAACAGAGGTACAATATTGCATTGCAACCAGCACGACATCCGTTTTGATGGCTGTCATATCGAGTTGACACATCAAAATCCCACATGCTCGAGACCTTCTGCTTCTTCAACAGACCGGGCCTTGCATATGTCTCGCTGCTGCTCAAGCCTTCAGGCTCGCTCCGTTGTCCTTTGCGATGCAGTTGCTTGCATGTGTTGCTGCCTTGGCGCTGAACGGGCGTAGCATCGTCCAATAGCTTATTGGCAAACGTTGAGGGCCGGTATCTGCTGTGAAAGACTTTTTTGTGTTTGTGTCAATCTTTGCCTTGCTACCCAGTGTACAACTCACTCCTCCCCGGGGTGGATTACACGCCCACAAAGAAAGGGCGCCCGCATCCAGCCCGAAGTAGGCTGATCCGCGAGACTCGATTGGCGCCAAATGTCGCAAAAGCATTCCAAAATCAACGTGGCAGACGGTTGTGGACCGGTTCTCCAGAGGCAAAAGTCTCAACAGTTGTTGGGCTCGTCTAAGACAGAATTAGCCATCAGTTCCGCAGCATCAGGGCAACATCGAAACAAATAGCCCCCGCCCTAGAATGCCTTTCTTAGGTGGAAATGCGATGCCTGGAGCCGCACAGGTCGTGTTGCAGGAGATTGGGAAAAACGAAGCGAGAGATGGGGTTTGCGTGCAGGCTTCCATTCGGGGCGAGGTGCGTGCACACCGCCTCCCGGGGAAATGACACGGCAGGACGGTTGAATGTGCAGAGCTCGCAGCCTGAGTCATTCAAGCCTTGCCTTCTCAGGGACGTCGCTGAAATCCGGCTGATGCACGTCGCAAGTATTGTGAGCCTAGTCCCGGCTCTTGAACAAAATCGACGAGGTGGGTTTTGTTGTTGCAGATTCATCATAGGAGGTACACGAAAACAGGCCAGGATCAACAGATTGGAACTTGCACCCGCAGACCAATCAAAATTGTCGGTTCTCTGGTACTTTTTGCCGGTCCTTGCGAAGGATGTGAACCTCCCACGGTCATGTGGGATAACACTTTTCACACCTTTACCGGGGAAGGAGGATGGCGAATCTGGCAAGGCCAAGAGCCTGTTGGACGAGGGCAGGGATGGTGACCTGGTTGGCTGATCGTCGCAGCCGTCCGTCGGCAACACAGGGCAAAGGTTGCTAGGCTACTGATTGAGTCCTTGGATTGACTTGTGGAACAATCATGCTTGTCGGAAGCATGTCTCTGGATGCCTTCACATCCGTGAGCACGGTTCTACTTCCGATTAGTGAGCGCAACGAAACGACCACGACTGCATTTCATGGACGAATTGTGGTTGGGCTGCCTCGAGATGGCGCAAGAAAGGAACAGGCGCCAGGCTCTTTTTGCACAAGTAAGAAAGTAGGGGGGAGCGACATAGTATCAGGCTGAGACGGTGGCCTGCCTAGTGGGCTAAGATGTGAAGATCCGGGAGGAAGGATCCTCGAAATCGTAGGAGTGCACCCGATCGTCCACCGAATCGTCCTGTACCTAGTACCAATTCAAGTGACAGCATTTGGGGGTTCTAGTGACCCAATTGGTGGAGATCCAGCCAGTCCTGGCGATCATTTCCACGAGGATATGGAAAGCGGGCCATCTGTGTAACGGGTTTTCGGTTCAATGTTGGCGATGCTCTCGCCGCAGATGATGTCTGTCCACGTGGCAGGCATCAGTGGCGATGCCGGGTCAGTCTAACCATTGGGCAATTCAGCAAGAGAGCACGGATTGCAATAAGCAAGCCATAGATTGTCTGTTTGCTACCAGTTTTGGGCGGGTCGACTTCAAGCCGTGTTGGCTCACATGCCTAAAAAAGATTCGGTAGTGCGTGGTCGGTTAGGATGGTATGGTTCTCCGAGGGGGACCTCGACGCAAGATCCGCAGGCATCATCAGGTGTATCGAGGATGAAGAAGTGGAGGTTGTTTGTCTCCAATCGACCAGTGGTTGATGATTCAAGCAGCAAACAAAATTGATCCAACCATTGGCCGGACGGGGATCCAGACCAAGCTCCAAAGACAGGGGATCAGCGGGCATAGAAGTCGGGCTGAAAGGTGGCATGCATGCAAGCGCAGGTCGAGAAGCATGCGTCAACCATCGGAGGTGACCAGGACTGAAATCTGTGACTGCGGTCCGCCTTGTCTGGTCTAGACACGAATTCGGGGGCAGCCACCGCGACTTTTGCGGTTGAAGATGGAAGATGGGGTTGATGGGCAAGCCATGAGCAGAGCATATCTCAGCACGGCTGCAGCCCTGATACGGGACTGAGCAGATAATGTACTTCGGCTGAATGCAGGGCGACCTGAGATGTTGACAGAGGCCGCGTTGTGTTCAGGAGAAGTGCTGAGGTAGAGCAACGAGGCGTGGGAGGGAGTGTAGGGTGCTGGGTAGGGTGCTGGGGTGGCAGGCTGCTCAAGCTGCGACCGGGATACGAGGTACAACACGTGAGCCCCAGTCGAGTCACGTGTACGAGGTCCATTTTCAGATCAAAGACTCTACCGAGCGAGGCGACTCGGCGAGTACCTCGTATTGCTCGCCCGCCATCTCGTCCCTCCGATCTCCACCCATGTTGGAAGCAAACAACTCTTCTGCGCCATAATCTGCATCCTATGCGGCAGCTGATTCCATCGATTTCTCCCAGCACGCCCCAGCACGCCCCAGAACTCAGCTGCTCTGCTGATCCAGGTGAAAGGCATTGGTTCTCATTCCGTGATTGTGGCTTTCAGATTGCCGGCGTTGCGATCCTCAGGTCGCCTGGGACTTCGCCTCTTTCGACGTCTCACAAACCAGTGGACACCCCTGCCCGGTGCCATCAACATGTCTCGCAACGAGAACCTGGAAATCCAGGGATCGAACTTGTCGGGCCGAGCGTCCCTTGGACCTACAGGTACCAATACCAGGGTATCCAAAATGGCTAGCTGTCTCGACCTGAACAGGGGCATCCTTCTCATGCGCCTGGTTTTCTTGGGGAGCAAACCGTTGAAGTCATGCATAGCTGCATGCTCCTCTCCACTCCAGGAGAATGCTGAAATTTGGTTCGAGCACCTGAAGTAGATGCTGTTGAAGAGTCCGAGACTCCGGTTGGCACATACCTGCTATCTCCAGAGTCCAGACACTACCCAGCCAGCGTTGTTTCTGTACCAGGAAGGCCCCTTTGGAGTGCAACCAAATGAACAGAGAATGTTGCTGTGGTGGCGCCCATGAGTTTTCCCACAAGCATCATCACTTAACAACCACTAAAACGCACCTATGATGTGCATACAGCTAGCCACGGGTACGAGGAGAACGATCACGGCACGATCCGAAGAGGGATTGTGAAGAAAAAGGCCTCGAGAAAGAGAAGGAGGTCGAGGCGTGTGGGAACTGAACGGAACCCAAACACGGACACAGGCAAGTGACCAAGCGATGCCACTTCTGCTGCTGTCAGCGCATCCTTCTCCCTCATATGCGTCCTACTCCAGACCCTTTTCCTTGCCTTCTCTGTTTTGCCATCTTTGCCCTGCCCACCCACCCCCGCCCTGCTCCTGGATCCTTCTCGTTTCCAGCCAGACCTAAGTCTTTGTCTGCCCTTGCTCGCCTCTCCTCGTATCTCCACAGCAGCACGATGATGGGCCTCTTAACCCAGTTAGGCGGGTAGGTGTCCAGCACATTGCTCTTGCCGCTAACTCCTTCTAGCCAGCCCTCTGCCTCGAATATCAACTACCCATCTTGCCGTGGTCAACCCTCCAACACCTTACCTCACCTTTTGTTTTATTCTTCAGTTCATATGAGAGACCATTCAAACATTCTGTCTTAAACTTCTTGAAGTTTTAATCCTCTCCTGCTGTCTCCCACTCCTTTCTGTCCATTACAGGCCGAACCTTCGTGCCCGTCTGACTACCATTCTCCCTTCCTCTTTGCCTCCCAACGACTCGCTCAAGGTATCCCAGAAGTACCCAACAACAAGGGAGAAGCCAACCGCATCGCCCAAGAGCGTCGAACTTGTCATATTGCTTCCTTTTTGACAGCCGTGACAGATTCTGTGGTGTGAACACTGTGCTGTATTGATCCGCTGCGATCTGCTTTGACTGGCCTTCTATCAATTGTTGCACTTCCAAGAATGACCGACTATGCGCCACGAAGCAGTCAGGATTACAATTCCTTCTTTCAAAGTCCGCACCTCGCCATGTCGCATTATTCCAATGGAACTGGTCTCAGCTACCTATACAGCAATGGTCAGGTTCAGTATCAGACCGTCCACGCGCCATGTTCACCATACTCACCAACCTACGCACCGAGTCAAGGAACATCGGCAGCTCCCCTCTATTTGCCTCCCACCTCTGGGCCACAGCTCCATTATTCATTTGTAGGCCCACGGGTTCCAACGCTTCCCTCCCAGTCTCGTGCTTTCCCACAGAGTTCCTATTACGCCCCGTCCTCAGGGAATCGCGCGACTTCACATCATCAACGGCTCGCTCCTCCACGAGACTTCACCTCAATGGATGGCACAGAGTGTCAAGATTCTCCAAACGAAGACACTATGCTCTCAGAACCCGTTCTACCGCCGCTGGAGGGCTATCCGGATGTACACGAATTTGATGAGCTGATGAAACGGTACTGGAAGTCTCTACCGTTGTTGAGCATGGCTGATTCGCTCTCCACAGCTATGTCCAGGACCTCTCACCCAAGAAGCAGGACAAGGCTCTTATCCATGCCCGTCGAGCTGCCAATATCAAACACGTACTCATCGACAAGAAGACAACAGCCATAGAGTCAGCGCAGTTCAGGTCAGTCGCGACCCTTCTCAGACAGGCTTGCCGTGGTTCAAGTCGCATCAGACGCTAACAGCCTGTCAGGTTTTGGGTGAAGAAGATGTTTACATTGCAACCTAACGATAGCAAGGTCCCCGAGGTGAGACAGGGCCCGGACTCCAAACGGGCACGACTAACATGGTCCAGCATTTAAGAAAGATTTGCCATGAAGGGAAGCCAGTGGCAGTTCGGGAAAAGTTGTTCAAGATCCTGACTAAAGCACACAAACAGTGTCAGCATGGCGGCCGGGACAAAACCTCTGCTCAAGTCAGAAAGGTGTACTCATGGTTCGACGCCTAAACCTTGTCCAAGTTCGAAAGAGACTGATATATCGTTTAGGGTGCCCAAAGAGCTCATTTCAAGATTCGTCAAGTTGTGTCCGACATGTCAGGTCCGACGGGGGGCCAGTCGTAACTCGCCTCCCGACTCAGTAAAAAGCCCCGAGACGAATACGGAACCACACTCGCCGGAGGCACTATCAGTAGCAGGGTCGAGGAAAGGCTCCACGGCAAACAGGCAGGCGACTGTCAATGCGTGCATGCCTTTGCAGACAGCAGGTTTCAAAACGAGCACAACCTTTCAACAACAGAACCGCTGGATGACGCCATTGCAGCCTCATTCAGAGACCAACCACGTCTCTCCTGCGCTGAAGCACGGCCATCTTAACCATCGCGACTCTTACAACACCGGTCCACCCATGTCCTTGAGCTGTACCAATGCTACACCACCGGGTCTGAGCTTCCCGTCTGTCAATAACTTCGGATCAGCCACAGGACATTCACCTGCATATAATTCTTCTTCGCTGCCTCAATCTGTGCACGGCAATGTATCAACAGAATCAGCATATGGAATCAAGGTTGAACATTATATTTAGCCAATCGACTATGTTGTGCACTTATATTCTGGCTGAAAAAGCGAGCATCGCTGTCTGCGCCATTCACGATACGCAGGAACTGATCCAGAGCATAAGGTGCTTGGTTTCGCGTACAGATACGACGACACGAACCTTCTCACGGACTTGTTTCTCCCAGGCATTACCTGGGAGTTAAGACCTTGCTATGTTGTTACAGAGTTGAAGACATCCATTTTCTTAGGCTTTGTTGGCGCCGATTTGCCGGTTGACTTACGCTTTCAACTTGATCGATTCCCTTGGGGTCTTTGGCGCAGGAATGACGGTTACAGAAAAGTCTTGCCATTTACGTAACGGTGAACGAAACAGCACGTCAAGCCTTGCGGGACGAACAAGGTGATCTATTGTCCAAAAGCACTCCAAATGCTAATAGGTTGCGGGCTATCACTTGTTTACCCCCTTACTTCGCCACCGGGCCATGGAGCACGGATGAGGTGTTTAGGGAAGATAATGGTACCGGACATGATAGGAAAATATTTTGGTACAGGCCAAAGGGCCTACGATACTCGTTAGGGGTACAGTCGTGCGTGCTTGACTGAGACCGTAGCTGTGTCAACCAAAGGCAGCCATGGACTACAGTACATGGACCGTGGTTCATCTGATAGAAGGTCTTGCAAGATCTGGGCTTGGCAATCCAGAATGAATTTTCTTCGAACTAAACTATCTTGACTTTGGATTTCTCCCCACGCCCCTTCACCTTCTGTCTGAAGAGCATTTCCTGTTGACCACTTGCCTGCCTCAACACTCGATGCTCTTGGACCCAGGTGAGCTTGAAGGATTCGCTTGCTATCCCCCTCCAGCTACCGAGTTCAAACGACCATGACAGTGAAATTCGAAACAAAATATCCTGGTCTGGGCCGTCCATTATGGCACACAATCGAGCGTGGTTACCCTAAGGTCCTCATCATGGAGATTATGGTTCATAAAAGATGCAACCAAAATGATCTAAAGCTTGCTGCGGCATGGACGGAGAGTTTGTTGGACGAACCATCCGCTTGTGAGTAAACCATATGTTCAGCCTTGCCGTCCGAAGTTTATTTCTCAACAAGCTCCTCGTGCCTGTGAAATGGTATATATATACAGAGTACGGCCATAGGGACTTTGGTTCCCTTTCCCACATGGCGCGCCTCTTCTGTGACTCCCTCTAGTGACTTCTGCATCCGTTCTTCTGCCGACCTGCTGAATTCAACAAAAGAAATTCCTTCAGAGGATTTGTTTCAAGCGTTGTACACGCCGTCTCCCATTTTCGACAAGTGCTTTTACAGAAAGTCATGGGCAATGTATACTCAATAATCAGAGCCATTGCGTGGGCGAAGGAGCATTGGTATCATGCCGTAGTCGGCGTGAGTGTCCCGCTTTTGACGGGCTCGTTCGCCGTCAGCATGGCATGCGGCACTTTTCGAGCGTGCGACCAGGACCCTTGTGGACTGCCCGTGAAGAAGAGTTTCTTCGATGAGCCGGCTTGCGACTATTGGGAACATGGCGGAGACAGCATGGTCCCTACGAGGAAGAGGGCCTTGCGGGGGACAACGGTCACGGTGATAAATGGCATGAAGGGCTGGGGTGGGCTGAACCAGACGGGTTACAGCTATGATGAGATTCCTGGAGTCACCATTCACAGCAGCAATGACATCGAGGACGCGGAGGGGTTCAGTTCATTTGGCGAAGGGACACTCAGGGTCACCATTCCTGGTGACAAGTTGCCCGACAGGATCGGCATCACCAACGCTGGTGAGGCGCCCATTTGCATCGCTGGCGTCCACTTGACCGCCCCTGATGGATCGCAAATCACCATGACAGGCAACTTGGGGAGACTCTGTGGCGCAGATCACTACGAATCTGCGTCCGAGGTCCTTCCCAACGCCGAAGGGAAACCGGCGGCCTGTGTATGGGTAGACCGACACGGTTCGAATGGTATTCGACTCCCGGGTATCGCCTTCGACCTGCAGAACTACGATAGTGAAGACGGCCCGGGCCCGGAGTTCTACAACATCACATCGGTGCAGGACTTGTGTAAAGCGCCTTTTATAGCGTTGGGTGACGACCAGCCTGCTCTGTCACGGAGGCAACTCGTCATGCCCAACGTCGCCCGCGATGACAGCTCCGTGGCCAGCCTCAACTTCGACTCGGCGCTGGTCAAAAGCAACCTGGACCTCTCGAGTGCGGTGCAAATGTGCCGGGGCGAGTTCACCAAGGGCCCGCATTTCGTGAGTCTCTCCGAGGGGCTTTATTGCGACATGTCGACGAGACAGCTCTATCCTGTATGTAAGGATGATGCTGGTCACGATGGGGAGACATGCTTTGATGTGGAGCAGAACGAGCTCGTGGAAAGGGATAGCGGAGAAGATGATCCCGCGTCTCGGACTCGCCTTGTTGAACGCTATCCAGAGAGCCAGAACGCTGGACGAGTCAAGGTGTTGAAGACATTCCGGTATGTTGATACTTGGCATTAGGGAGATAGGGGCACCGGTGGGTGGGGGAAGAAGGGAGAGAGTGCTTACCTATGCCAAAATCTTTTTATACATCTTCGGAGTATATTGTACAACGGGTATATATTGGTTGATCACCATGGCTAACCAGATTAGCCCTATTATTTGTCCTCGTATGCGAACTACGGAGTTTCTCAGTGGCATAGGGCTTATTAAGTATCTCAGGGGGCGCCACTTGGGGGGAGTTGCCTTAGCCAGCACCCACCCAGTTGGGGGAGCTAGGCATCGAGGTACCCGGAGCTAAGGGGCTCTCTCTTGGCGCCTTTGGGTAGCAGGGCCCCAGTTCAGGCGGGATACTGAGTTACTTGTAGGGTCTTTCGGCGCTGACAGCCACTCCTTAGCCCAACGAAGCTTAACTGGAAACTCTGTGGCTTCCATCCGCCTCCCCGCCAATCACAGCCTGCGGCTGCACATGCGCGTCGTCGGTCCCCTTTGGGCCAAAAAAGATTCTTGAACAGCCTGGCATATTGCGCATCTGCAACGACCATCTTACGCACCGAGCACGCAGCTGTCCCTCCTTTACCACTCGTCTCGCGATCTAGCTTCCGATTCTCTTCGACAGCTTCCTTCATCCCAGTTGAACTGTTGCCACAGAATCCCCTGCGGCGTTCCTGCGCCCTCTTCGGACTGCATCCCCCTTCAATTGCCCTGGTTGAGCTGGGTCCCAGTTGTTCGCAGTGCCCAGGTGCTCATTGCCTCTTGATCCTCGCCCACCATGAATCTCTTCCGGTTACTCGGTATGCAGACCCAGACCAATTTACAGAGATTTGACGATGTGCTAACCAAACTCTTCACGGCCTAGCGGACCTGTCGCATCTGGTCTCGATCTTCATCCTCCTTCATAAGATGAAAGTCTCGAATGTATGTCGAAGAATCCCCCTTAGCGCAACGACACAATACAGTGAGGGAAAACAGGACCATTGCTGACCACCTGTCTACGCTATTGGAACAGTCATGTTCAGGCATCTCCTTCAAAACCCAAGCGTTATACTTTCTCGTCTACGTGACGAGGTACCTTGGTTTGTCCGACCCCAAAGCTCCACCGACGCGAGAACCTCTTGTCTAACATAAGCCATTGTTTATGCGCAGATCTCTTCTGGACCTTCACCGACAGCGCATGGAACACCATCTTCAAACTAATCTTCCTCTCCTCCTCCCTGTATACTCTCTACGTAATGTTAAACGACTACAAGCCGACCCACGATCCGAACCTCGACACCTTTCGCGTCTCCTACCTCACCGGAGGCTCCGCGGTCCTCGCCTTACTTTTCCCCTACCGCTACACCATCCCCGAGGTGCTGTGGGCATTCTCCATCTGGCTTGAGAGCGTCGCGATCCTGCCGCAGTTGTTCATGCTCCAAAGGACGGGCGAGGCTGAGACAATCACCACGCACTATCTATTTGCATTGGGAATATACCGAGCTTTGTACATTCCGAACTGGATCTACCGTTGGTTTGCAGAGGGCCATTTTGATCCGATTGCCGTGGTCGCCGGCGTGATACAGACTGTCCTGTATTCCGACTTTTTCTGGGTCTACTATACCAAGTGAGTTTTGACACTTTTTGCGCAGACAACCTTGGAAGAGGAAGGTGATGCGAGGTGTTATGAAGGCGAAGCTGACTCGTGTGTGACTCTAGGGTTCTCAAAGGGAAGAGTTTCAAATTGCCTGTCTAAGGGCAATGCCCAAATCAGATTTTGAGCACACCCCATCCGCCCCGGAACGAAACATCCCCCTTATTTGTTTTCTACCCGGCGCTTCGAGCGGACATCTGCGCATTGCAGAGTAAGACCATGCGCTTGGAGTAGCACGGGATAGAAAAGGAAGACATATTTGTGAATGCAAGTCTTGTGTATTTACAATTTGCCTCGTGGAAGGACATTTTATCACCCGGGAGGGCCTTTGTTGTCGGGCAAAAGTCAAAGACTATGGATGTCGACCACCGATCTGCCACGCCCTTTAGACATTGCAAAATGGTTGCAAAAGCAAGAACCTGGTTGCGAACATCAGGACTGATCCGCGGCCTCGGAAATGTGGAGATAGAAGCCGGAGAAGGATCGAGAAGGGGAAAACTTTGAATAAAACCAAAGCACACCACAACAGAGAAGCAGGAAATGCACTTGGACGGTGTCATGAAAAGTAAAGAAGACGCGTCCAAAATGAATGAACCAATACTGTAGCAAAACCCCCCACACTCGCCGATCGAAGCGCTTCAAAGTTCTCACACGCGATATTTAAGAGATTGAATGACGAGTAGCGTACATGGAGGGATAGCCGATACGTATGTATGTATGGATGTACGTATCTAGATATCTCGTCTCCGACCCTCCATCAAGGGGGTAGGGGGTAGGGGTATCTTCTCGTCCATGCATGCATGGGAATGCAAACCAAAATCCTCCTTGAGCGGGAAAGCGGTGTTATATCGATGGCCGGGATATATGTAAGAAGAATACATGAGTCCAGGTACCTAGGTATTGGGCGCACGTATTTCCTCCCCGTTTATTCCCATCAACCCCCATCGGCACTGGGGAAAAGTATGTAATATATACTCCGCATACTCGGTGGGTGCTCGGTGGGTGCTCAGGACTTAGGGCATGGGAAATGAATAGATGAATAAATAGATGGCATTTTTGATCGCACCCCCCAAGAAGATTTATCCTGTCGAGGGGTTTCTGAACGCTGATGATGGGTCGCTCGATGCGGGAGTAAATAACCCAAAGAAACGTATGTAGATAGATAGATAGCTAGATAGATAGCTAGATAGATGAATGGATATGTCGAGGTGAGAGAATATGTAAGGTCGACATCAAAAGATATTTCGCCTCCGCTCACATCCTTCGAGATCTTGTTTCTCCCTTGGAAGCAGCTTCGGCTCCGTTCTCTCCCCTGCCCAAAACGTGCGCAGACATATTCTTTGACCTATACGCACGCTGTTGGCCTCCTAAGTGTCTCCCCAGTTGTGTTTGGTTCCCAACACGGCCAATACCACCACCAGAGCGCACACAACCACACCAACGGCACTCATCCATCGATTCAGGTTCCTCCACCACCGCGCGTTCTGGAATTTGAGTTCTGCCACGCCAGCAACGTGCCGTTCATAGCGGAGTCTGGCCAGGACATCCATCGACTCCCACTCCTGTTCTGCTTGGGAGCGATCGGAACTAAATTGTTGGGACAGAGAATAGCGCAACGATTGCGTTCGGGACTGCGGTTGCTGTTGAGGGTATGATTGGCGTTGTCTTTGACGCTGTTCTTGTACGACTTCCTTCTCAATGTCCCCAAAGCTCGCCGGTCTTGCTGGAAGGGGCAAAAAGGCACCCACGAACCATGCCGCAGGTATGAGAAAGCCGGCAGTAAAGCAAATCACCTGGATGGAACGGCGATCAATGTGCAGTGGAGACTGGGGCTCCCCACTGGTGACGAGATCAGGCACACCGGTCGTCCAGCGGGACTTCGTGTTAAATGGAAACCCAAAGCCGCGGGAGACGGTCGAGCCGGTGCCCAAGCGGGCGTCATGATGGAGGTGCGGAGAATAGGACCAACGATGCCAGGAGCGACGGAACAGATTCCCACTTCCGCTTGCTCGAGGGTGGTGTATCACAGACTGATTGGTCTGGGCGTCGGACTGAGAGCCACTGAGGCTATAGGCAAAGCTGTGATGGCGGATCATGTAACTTGATCCTCGCCCATCTTGGTGTGGCTGTTCATGGATCTCGACGACCCCAGCCCAGTGAGCCCGAGGGTCGGCAGGGTGTAACGGCAAGGAAACTGAGCGAGAGTGAGTGTTCGGATAGGACAGGGTTTGGGGATAAGATTGTCGTCGGTCTGTCGAGGCTAGAGCTGCCGGTGCTGGAGCGCGCACTGGGTTCGAGACCAACGGTCCGACACCAGGTAGAAGATGGGACTTCCTTGCTTCGAGCTTTGGTCGCTTCCTAGGTCGGAAGGGACCGCCGACCCCGTCCATCATCCCCTGATGGAAATTGCGAATGCCGGCGCTGATGTTTGACTTGGAAGTTCCGGGCCGCGAGGGTGGTTCTAAATGTACCGGGATTGGTGCTTGATTTGAACGTGAGGGTGGTTCTAAATGTACCGGGATTGGTGCTTGATTTGAACGTGAAGGTGGTTCCAAACGTACTGGAATTGGTGCTTGATTTGCTGCTCTCTCTCTCAAATTATAGTATGAACCGCTGGTATAAAGATACTGAAAAGAGTCCCTGTAGAAGCCCGAATAATACCTTCGGGCCCATGTTGGCACAGGGATCACACTCACTGTGCTACCAGAAGAACCTGGCCGCAAGGAATTTGAACGGGATCTATTGTGTCGTAACTTCGTAAATGAATTCATGGAATTAAGGCGTGTGATCGACTGTTGTGAAGAGTTGTTCGAAGAGGAGTGAAGGTAACCGTTGCTTCGGCTTGGTCGAAGGGGAGGTGATCTATATGCATATTCTTTCGATGGCAGTGCTGAGACTTCGTCCGTGGCCTCGTTGTGGTGAGGGTCCAGTTCTTGATGGCTGTATTCGGTTTCCCATTCAGAGTCGCACTGGGGCTCGGCTTCTGGTTCAGTCTCCGGAACAAGTCTGATCTGCGTCAGATTTGCGCCTTCATTGATGATGTAGGTGGAGGCCGGAGCCAGGTCTTCAGAATTAAGATACTGGTCGAGATCATCAGCTATAGAAGACGCTTCACTCGCTGGCCTTGGTCGCAACCACGAGCCTTCAGAGGGGACGGCTGACAACCGGGGTTCAAATTTCGACACAGATCCCTCTGTGGACATGGATCTGGAATTTCGTTTCGGTACTGAGAGTCCGGCATGTTGGCTTACAGCAGGAGCTCGAACAATGGGGTATTGAATACGTGGTGGACTGGAACTCAAGGCAGCTTGAAGACTGGCGTGGGTATCGGCGACTGAACTGCTATCGGAAGTCGGTTGGTCTCTCGTCAAAATTCGAACCACTGGGCTAGACTCGTCGATAGATTCGTTGGTCTGTTGAATGCTCTGCGGTGCGGAAGACGGCATTCCAGAGTCGACAGGTGAGCTCGCGTTTGCAAAAGCAGTTGGCGGGAGGTAACGATGAACGGGAGGGCTAGAGGCTAGGGGATTCCTTGCTCCAACTCGTTCGGCGAATGACTTCCCTTCCCCAGACTCGGACCTTTTTCTTTTCCTCGAAGAGCTTGACGACGATCGAGAAAGTGTAGGATATTTGGAAAAATCAGGTCGAGCGGTCGACGGCGATGACGGGCCCAGTTTTATCACATTTGGACTTGACGACTGGTCGCTGCCTTGAAACTGTTCGGTGCTGGAGGTGTGCGCGAGACGAACAACATTGGGACTGGACGATTGGTCGCTGCTCTGAAACTGCTCCGTACTGGATGAGTGTGCAAGACGCACCACGTTGGGACTGGAAGACCCATTGGGGCTTTGAGATTGTTTGGGGCTCGACGTGTGCGCAAGCCGAACAACATTGGGGCTCGATGATCCATCTTTCTCAGACTCCGTATCCAACACCTCGTCAAATGCTTCAAGCGAGGGTCCCTTCAAGTCTCTGAAAGATGGCAGTCTCGGACTTGAGGTTGTTGCCAGAACTTTGTAGTTCGGGGTTGAAGTTGCAGCGACCTTCTCTGGGATCGACGTGAAAGAGGAACGGGACGAAATCCTTTTGACAGTATGAAGTCCAGGAGGTAAAGACGGTAGCAACGCCAAATCATCGGCGGAGATCTTTTGCAAAGATTCCCAGCCGTATGCGCCCGATAGACTCTCGCTAGAGCTGATACTTCTTAATCGAACTGAATTGGCGGTGCTTGGACGGAGCGCCGGCGAGGTTGCAGTGGAGGGACGGGACGCTTCTTCGGCTTGAGATTCATACAGGTCTCTCAACGCTTTGACCGATCGCTTGAGCCTAACGGTGGGCTTTGACCCTCCACCTCGCGAGTTCTGGGGGGCATCGCTGCTTCTACCTGATTCACTCTCATAGAGCTGCCCAGAGATGTCGGCGAGCTGGCCTAGCCCGAAGCTCTTCTTCTTGCGGATGGTACTTGGGAGGAGAACATGAGCGGGTTTCGTAGGGAACGGAGTGCTGTTGTAAATGTCCAAAGTCCCCTGGTCTGATCTTGGCTCTTGACTGAGACGATTTGAAAGCTCATTTGTCTCTGAAGATGTTCGTTCTTGTAGCGGTGTGCGTTTGGGAGCAGTCCGCTTCGGCGATCTTAGCTTAACCGACAAAGGGGACGAGGACATATCTATCTCATCGTCGCAACGAGCAGCCGGTGATGCATTCGGTGACTCGCGAGTTCAATACGGCTTCCCGAGGATGTGCTTGGGTAGGAAAGTTGGGAGGGTAACGAACGACTGAAGGTGAGGTGTGCGAAGTCGAAAAGAACGTCGAGTGGGTGCTCAATGTGCAGAACCGTGTATTATTGAAGTCTCAATGGCAGCCTCATGGCAGCACTGTCGGAGATATTTTGCACTCAAAGTTACTTGAAGCTCGGCTTAGGATGACGATCAAGCGGAGCTGCATATGCATGCTTCAGGGCGAGTTAAATTGAGATCTGATCGGCCGCGGGAGTGGCGGCGTGTGATCGGTCGTGTGATGCCTGAGACTTGGTCTGGTATGTGCAGAGATGTGTGTGTATGTCCATAGGAAAAGAATGTTGGATGTTGTGCCAGTGTCTGGTTCAGTTGTTGGTGCAGATGGAGAGACGCAGGGAGGTCTTGGATGACTGCAGGCCAACACCCAAAAGCAGTTGGGGCCTCACCAGCCTCAAGCCATCAGGGGACGAAGCGAAGTCGAGATCCCTGTTTCCTTCTCTTCTGGAGGCCTGCGCCCATGTAAAATTGGAGTGGGCTGCTCGCCATATGCCAGCACTGCAGCGCGGAGTATTATTGCGCAAGGACCAGTGAGCAATTCATTGCTTTTGTGTCAAGGAGGGCCTCGGGTAATGGTGCATTGGTGTGCATTGGTGTGCACTGGTGGGAAGGTCGCGTCTCAGGCTATGGAGAACTTTGGTCGCGTGGCACATTGCCAGCGTTGAAAATCCCCGATTGGATCAAAGGGTGTCGCGAAATTAACGCGACAATCTGGCTGCGATAGGGGGAGGTGGGTGTGAGGGAGGAAGCGTTGTGGCGCGGGCAGCACGACGCAGACTGACGAAACTGAGTTGATTTTAATTTTCCGGCTTCTCCAGATATCAATAGTGCTGTCGCTCAGTCCACAAAGGAATATTACCTTGAGTCAGTGATTCTGGAAACCGGAAAAGGATTGCTGGCGGGTGGCAGCCACAGTCACCCACCGTGGCATTGATTGTAGAGATATTCACCGACTCTTGGCCACCATTTCTCCTTTGGGAAAGTCCAACACCCCCTTTATCAAAAAGTCCCCTTCGACCTCACGGTACCGAGTGTCTGGTACAGTCTTTGCCAACATCCTTTCCATCGCATTATTGGAGCTTAAACCACTTGCCAGCTCATCGCCACCGGAACAAGGCATGGCTCCCGTCAACTTCTTCCTCAAGCTGAGAAACACTTATTTTGGCCATGCAGGTGCGTTGGACCTTTCATTGGCTCGCATTTGTCGACGTGTCGGCTCCCCTGAAACTAGTTCTCCCACAGACTCCCACAGGCCTTGAATGTCTCTCTCTATGTGAATGGGCTGAATGGGCTGTCAATCTCAAATTCTCCCCCGAGTCTACCTATTGGCGCGTTGTTCGTGGATCTCTTGTCCTGACCCCGACCGATGCGGTTACATATCGATAATGTCGTGACCGGCCCCGATGGCTGCTACTCGTTGCTGATCCGAATGACGAAACAGACAAGGACAAGCCCGTCATTTCGCCTACCACGGCAGCCCTTCTATCGGTACGCCAGAAGGTGGTCTACAGTTCTGGCGATGCTCGGATAGCTGATCAATCCTCCATCAGGTCGCTTGCACGCTGATCTATGTGGTCCCTTTCTACCTGTCCTCCTCAACCCGGCCATCGCCAACACTAAACCGCGATGCTCCCAGCGTCATCCGTGCCCGCATTCGGACCATCACATTGGCCTGTATCCTTAGCAGTGCTGGCACTTTATATCTGCTGAGCGGAAAAGCGAAGCTCTCGCTCACAGATGCCTTGCATATGCTGGGCTATTGGCCCATTCGACCCTGGGACCTGTTTAGATCCTTCACCCTGACATTCCTGCTGTATATTGGGCCACTGTTTGAGAAGATCTTCGTCGAGGGAGAGTTCGACGACCTACGTGATCGTGGTGTTGCCGCGATTGCCGAAACTCTGAGCAGCTGGCAAGGCTACAGGAACTATGTCGCCGGCCCAGTCACTGAGGAAGTTGTTTTTCGCTCAGTTCTCATCCCGATTCACCTCCTCGCCAAACTCTCCCCTGGCAAAATCGTCTTCCTGACACCCCTCTATTTCGGCATCGCCCATGTTCACCACTTTTACGAGTTCCACTTGACGCACCCTCACATCTCCCTCTTGCCGGTTTTGCTGAGATCGCTATTCCAGTTCACCTATACTACACTCTTTGGGTGGTTTGCAGCATTTATCTACATGCGTACGGGCTCGGTCTATGCCTGCATCGTCATCCACTCATTCTGTAACTGGGTTGGCCTTCCTCGTTTCTGGGGCCGCGTAAGGAGACCGGAGGACTACCCGCTGTCCCCTGTTGTCATTCGTGGCAAGGACGATGCAGAACTCGTCCAGGCTTCGGCAAAGGGCAAAAAACTGGGGTTACGGTGGACGGTGGCGTATTACCTGCTTCTAGTCGCGGGCGCATATGCCTTTTATCGAGGGCTGTGGCCGTTGACTGCATCAGAGGCGGCTTTGGCAGAGTTTACGCGCAATACACGCAGATAACCAGATCTCCCACACGTGTTTTTATGTGGGATCTGCAGGCTGACAAGCAGAGCCCATGACTTTTTGAATGACAATGATAGAAGGCGGCGTTCTCTACTCGGTATGCCTCGTACACTGATATGCCTGGGCTTTCCAAACCCACGAATATTGGGCGAATCGGCCTTTGTTGAACTACCGCTACCGAGTCTTGACGCGGGAGGCAGCTACTTTCCTATCCTTCCTCTTTTTTCTCCTTTCTTCCCATCTCCCCCAACCAGCGTCCTGGATATCTTCTGTGACGATCAAGTCTCTCACCCTAAACCTCTTACATACCCAACTCTCCAAAGCCCAATCAAGCCACCCATAATGGCGTAAATAGGAGGTGAACAAAAACCAGACGACGGCAAAGATTGCTCCAGCAGCGACCCCAACCCAGACTTGTTTTGGCGTGTGGTAGTTCAAGTAGACGCGGCTGGCAGCAACAGCCCCGGCGCCCATGCACGCGAGGAAAGACAGGGTGAGCCGCTCGATAAACGTGGTAGGTGAATAACTTGCCGAAGAATCGGGGACGTGGCGGAAGATCAAGAACAGACTAAATGACAGGGCGAAAAAGGCCACAAATTGGGAGTGCGAGGAGGGCATGCCGTAGCCTTTGCCCGTCATTTCTGTTCCATCCACAAAAACATCAATCAAAACACGAATCCTTAAGAGCCTGAAAACAAACAATAGGTCCAATGGCCCGAGAGAGAAAAGGCATTGACGTACGTTTGGGGCGTTCTTCCCGAATCAGCCGTTTCAAGCCAAAATTCACCACTTCACACGCCATTTGGCCGGCGAACATGAGGAATATCTCAGCTTCCCGCGATGCCCAGATTAGAGTCACATAGACCACACAGAGACCCTGTGGCACCAGAGCTAGCCATGCTGACGCGTAGGATATGGGGTCACCAGGAGTCTAGGGGGTGCCTGTTAGCTGTGCTACAGTACAGAGTCACTTTCCGTGCGGACAAGGAATGGACCTTACGTAGCGGACGTGAGTGAGCGACAAGGAAGCGAGGGGCTGGTCGTCCATCCTTCCTAGACGGCTAGATCTCTATCAAAGGTGGAGAATAAATGACTCAAACAACTGAAATGATGAAAAAGACATCAAAGTATCGAGTATGTCAAAGGCAGATGCGAAAGACGAGAAGCAAGGCTGAACAGACTGTGGCGAGCCAAAAGCCACGGCGCCACCACCAAAAGCTGGGCCCCTGTTCGGCGTCTGCGGCCTTGTCGATGCTTCTCCGTCAATCAGAATCGACCTGATGCTTTTTTCCTCTGCCGCCTGCTGCGTCATTTGTTTGGTTGTTCATATGCATGGATGAGTCGAGACTGTTTGTCGAGGACCAGAATCCATAGTGCGGCCCTCGTAAGTCGCTGTTTCCTTTCTTTTCTACAAACACCTCTCCATTAAAGGCCATTGTGCCTGCTTGCCCAGCTGGGACGCATCTCATGGCTCTCTGATAAATAGTCCTTCGTTTCGCTTGATTCCGTCCACAGACCCTCGTTTCCCCGCATCCTCACCATCCTCGATCACCTGCTTGTGAAAAAGATGGAAGACGACGAAAGAACTACTGAGCTTTCGACCATCGCCGCAATTTACCCTGAACTTGTGGTTGATGATCAGGATCCATACAGTGCCACTCTCGATCTCTCCGTCACGCCAGTCCAACCTCTGCGCGTTGTCTTCAAACCCTCGGCGGACGGTGCGCCACCCTTTCTTGCCACACCACCTACCTCTCCTGAGCAAAGTCAGAGTGATGGCGATGCGAAGTCAGAGTCCCAACACCCTGTCCTCCCCTTGGATGCGCACGAACTGTTCCATCTGCCCCCACTGTCACTCCGAATCTCGTTGCCAACGGGCTATCCAGCCAACGAGCCTCCGATCATCTCGCTGTCGGTCACGCCTCAATGGCTGCCCCAAACCGTTCTGAGACGGCTCAAGGATGAGTGTGCTAGACTGTGGGAAGAGCTGGGAAGAGACCAGGTTGTCTATGCCTACATCGACCATATTCAGCAAGAGGCGGAACAAGCTTTTGGTTTTGCGGGCGAGACAGAAGTTCAATTGTCTAGCACTCTGAAATTGGCATTGCTAAATTTCGACCTCAAGACCAAGCGCGAACTTTTCGAAAAAGAGACGTTCGATTGCGGAATTTGTCTCGAGCCGAAAAAAGGTGTTCTTTGCCACCGGCTCACGTTGTGTGGGCACGTCTTCTGCATCGAATGCTTGCAGGAGTTCTACAAGAGTTGCATAACAGAGGGAGACATTGATAGTGTCAAGTGCCTCGCCCCGAATTGCTCCAAAGATGAGCCTGTACAAGCGGGCGCGAATGGCAGACCCTCGAAGAGGCGGAAACACGATCGAACACTCAGCCCCACCGAACTTTTACAAATCCCCATTGAACAAGAACTCGTCCTTCGTTATTTACGACTCAAGAGAAAGAAGCGACTGGAAATAGACAAAAACACAACCTATTGTCCCCGACAATGGTGCCAGGGAGCCGCCAAGTCCAAAAAGCATCCCAAACCGCTTGACCCAATGAACGACCTTGAGGAAACCTCCGAATCAGAGGAGGAAGAAGAAGAGAAACCAGAGTCGTCGGGGCACAAGAACGACGAGAAAATCGACCCAGAGAGTCTTCCCATGTCCGAACGCCTGGCGGTCTGCGAAGACTGCGATTTTGCATTCTGCCGTGTCTGCCTGAAAGGGTGGCACGGCGTGCTTGCGAGATGCAGTCCTCGCCGAGAAAGGGAGCTCGACGAGGAAGAAAAGGCAACCCAGGCATATTTGAAGAAATATTCCACACCTTGTCCGGAGTGCAACACACCCGCGCAGAAGATCATGGGATGTAATCACATGACTTGCTTCAAGTGCAAAAGCCATTTCTGCTACCTATGTGCGGCGTACCTTATGCCTGACAACCCTTACAGCCACTACAATGATCCAAAGAGCAGCTGCCATATGCGTCTGTGGGTGCTCGAAGAAGGAGATGGTGAAGGCGTCCACCATCCTGATCTTGCGCAGTGGGACGAGATTGATGATGCAGACGAGGATTCAGACGACGAAGAGCTACCACCTGAGAACTTTGCCGCCTTTCAAGGAGACCATGGACGACTCTTTGCCGACGAAGAGGACACAGATGACGAGGAGCCAGCACCTGACCAACGACGCAACCGGCCGATGCACATCGAAATCGTAAATTTTGCGCGACCTGGAGCACATAATCCTCAGCGAATAGAACTTCCTGAACGACCTCGAGAGATCGGAGCACCTGTACCACCGCAAGCGCCGCATCCCCCTAGAGCCAGGCCTCGACGAAGAGGCGGTGGTCAGCAAGCCAACCGTCAACGTGCGATGGCGAACGAACCTGCACGCGCAGGTCAGGCTCGAGGGCAAGCTCGGGGTCGGGTCCGTCCTCCTGCCGCACTGCCAGCTCAACACGTACGAGCAGTCGACGATCGGCAGAATGGCCTCAACCAGCACATTGGCGGAGTTGTACATGCTCTGCCAGACGGCAACGGCAATGGAAACGATGATGCTGCGGCTCCTCCTCCGGCCCAGCTTCCGCTTGCGGCTCCTGGTCAAGGAAACCACCCGGATGCCGCGCATGGCGCGCAAGCAGGTGCTGTCCGTGCGATGGGTTTGGAAAGATTTCTGCAACTAGCACAGCAAGACCAGGAGGATGAGTGGGACTCGGATGAGTTGGAGGAAGATGATTTTCGAGGCATAGAGCACGAGCATGAGCCCCGGCGTCGAGGACGGGAGCGGGTCATGGGCTGGCGGCCCTAACTGTGCCGACCACATGAGCCAGGAGTTTCTTGGACTACTTAGACAATAGAAATTAGTTGTGAAGGCTGGGACATCACCTATGCACAGTGGCTGCGATATGCTTGTATATGAGCTTGAACATCAGAATGCACTCCTGTATACCGAGTACCTTGTAATATGAATCTCTAACAAGGCTGAAGGCTGACTCGCAGGGCTGTGGAAATGGGGCATATCAATCGCGGGGACCAATGGGCAATCTGGCTGGCCAGCGCTGGCCTGTATCGAACACCATGAATGAAGCCGAATTCGCCTGCTAGTAACAGGTTGGAAGAGGCCTGTTGGATCTCAGATTGCATCAAGTTGTCCGGGAACAGCATTTTCGTCTGGCTTGTCCAGAACCTGGGTATTTGTGCCGCGGTGAGGCAGAAGCAGCATCAAGCAGATCACTCCTTTTAGGGCAGTCGGTTCACCCCTGCGGGATGTGTTGGCGCGGCAGGAACCAAGTTCTTTTTAGTTGGGTACCTAGCTCACTAGGCATGGCAATTGGGTACGTATCTCGAGTGCATAAACTGCACAATGCAAATAGGTATTGAACGACGTGGTCTCTTTCCCTTCGGCCCGCAGGAGGATCTTCATCATATGCATCAATACCCTCTCGAATCACGTTTTCACCCCACCGTCATTGTCTTGTGCCTTCGTAGTTGTGATCGCAACAGGAATTGAGATTTCGAGCTCGGCCGCTGAGCGGATAGAGAGCTAGAAGCGCATCGAAGATCGAGTCGGGACAACCGTGAAGCAGACACGTGGTATGGCTGGACTTTCCCCAATAATGAAGGGAGGGATGGGCAAGGAGGATTCGACTGACGCAATGATCAACTTTTGTGCTGCCCAGTGGGCGTTGGCGGTGACCGTTGGTGTTGGTCATGGTCGATGGTCTGGTTGCTTGATGAGACATTGGGTGCATGGGCAAACAAAGGGAAAGATGGAGTGATGTCATCCCGCCCTTGCCAAGCCGCACCAAACACAAATGTGACGTCGATCTTTTGTACTAAGAAAAAAACCCCATTAACATTACGAGGAGAGCGACCGCGGTTTGCTCTTGACACGATCCTTTCCACTGTCTCCACGGCGGCTCGCATCCCACGATCCTCAGATCGCTATACCTATCATGGATGGCCGTCTGACCTCGCTCAAGCGAGAGCCAGCCCTGCCCCTGTGTGTTTGGTCCCACTCGCCGCGTGCCGGACTGTAACTCGGTAGCCGATGTGTGGTACTCTACGTCGCCACTTTTCCACGGTAGGATTCCCATAGGCCATCCCCAGGTTTTCTTCGGCATCTCCCTTGCATTCTAGGAATGGCTGCCTTGCACAATGATATCAGAGTGCCCAACAGGCATTACCCAAGGTTGGCCGCTAGCTGGCCGTCGTATTAAACCCCCTTTACTTCCCCCGCAGGGTGCCATCTTCTAGGTTTGTTGAATTCGCAGAGATATTATTGCGATCTCATCACCACCGCTCAACATGAAGGGCATCAGCACGAAAGTCTACTTTGACAAGTATAACCCGAATTCGGAGAAGGGGGACGATGTCAGGCGCTCTCTGGCCGGCCTCGACTACTCCCCCCTTCCTCGGGTGACTGGCCGCTCGTTGGCAATGGGCTGTTTGGTCTCCATGGGTGGGTTGATGTAAGTAACACCTACCACCACGGCTGTGTAGATGTGCTAATATCCCATCCAGCTTTGGCTACGATACTGGCCAGATTTCGGGCTTTTTGGAAATGCCAGACTTCCAAAAGCGCTTTGCACAATCGCAAGGAGACGGAAAATACAAGTTTAGCAATGTCAGGTCCGGACTCATAGTCGCAATGGTACGGACAAGCCTGCTTTCTGCTGTTCCTTTAGAGCGTCACTAACGTGCTCCAGCTATCCATTGGAACCCTTCTCGGGGCTTTACTGGCGGCGCCTCTAGCAGACAGGATTGGTCGTCGATTCTCAGTCAGCTTCTGGTCTGTCATTGTCTCGGTCGGCTTTGTCGTCCAGATTGCATCTGAGACTTCGTGGGTTCAAGTCATGATCGGTCGGTTTGTAGCCGGCTTTGGAGTTGGGGCCCTGTCAGTTTTGGTCCCTATGTTCCAAGCCGAGACTGCACCGCCGTGGATCCGTGGCGCCCTTGTGTGCACTTACCAGCTGTTCATCACACTCGGCATCTTCCTAGCCGCATGTTTCAACTACGGCACTTATAAAGGCCAGCAAAACAATTCGGCATCCTGGAGAGTTGTAATCGGCCTCGGCTGGCTTTGGACACTTATTCTGGGACTGGGCGTGCTTTTATTTGACGAAACTCCACGCTATGCCTTCCGTAAAGGCAGGACTGAAGAGGCCAAACAAACTCTTATGAAGGTCTACGGTGCACCTGCCAACCATTACGCCATATACACGCAAATAGAGGAGATTGAGAGCAAATTCCGCGCCGAAGATCAAACAAAAGGAAGTCCCATCCATGAATTTGCAGTTATGCTTAGGGCACCGAGAATGGGGTAAGCAACAACATGCTGCACCTGTACGTCGAGAGGTTTGAGACTGACACATTGATGCTAGGTATCGAATTGCACTTGGCGTGATGCTACAGGCCTTCCAACAACTCACCGGCGCCAACTTCTTCTTTTACTACGGCACCACGATTTTCCAGTCCGTCCAGATCAGTTCTTTCGTCACCCAAATGATCCTCAACGGCGTCAACTTTGGAGTTACCTTCATTGGTCTCTACCTTGTTGAGCACTATGGGCGGAGAAAGTCGTTGATCGCCGGGAGTTTGTGGATGTTTGTCTGTTTCATGATTTTTGCATCCGTCGGCCACTTCTCGTTGGACAACCAGGATCCATCCAAGACTCCCAAGGCCGGTGTCGCCATGATCGTATTTGCGTGTCTGTTTATCCTGGGCTTTGCTACGACATGGGGCCCTATGGTTTGGTGAGAAAAATTTCACCCCATCTGACCTCTCTGTTCACACGCGCTGACTGTTGATATCTCAGGACTTTGATTGCTGAACTTTACCCGTCACGGTACAGGGCCAAGGCGATGGCCATTGCCACCGCCAGCAACTGGACCTGGAATTTCCTCATTGCTTTCTTCACTCCTTTCATCGTCAGCGCGATCGATTTCCGCTACGGCTACGTGTTTGCTGCGTGCAATTTGGCTGCAGGGCTACTTGTGTATTTCTTCGTCATTGAAGGCCAAGGCCGGACGCTGGAGGAGATCGACACAATGTACATTGAACATGTGTCTCCCATGAAGTCTTCCAAGTGGGTAGCGCCTCCTGCGGAGGAGATGGCTCGGATCAGACGCCAGGCTGGCACGGAGGCTGTTGCACCAGACGACGTGGAGGGCAGAGGAATTTACAGCGGAGAGACGGAACGAGGGCTCGAGGGTGACCGAGAAGGGGAGAAGGCTAGGGATAATCACGCTGAAAGGGTGAAGGTGTAAGATATACGGGTTTTATGGCTTCTGTGGAGTTGCATGTTACATGTACAAAAAGCCTACTTCTTCAAGAAAGGAACTTGAACATTGAAAGAAATGAGGATGAGCGCACATATTTCTCAAGGCTCACTTACTGTAGGGATATGATTTTTAAAGATCTTTTTGATCCGCGCATTCAAACCGGCGTGCTCCGACTTCGACCAAGTCGGATTTGTGGAGGGTAGGTGTTGGTTTCGACCAGTCCTTCCTCGGAGAGGAAGGTGAAGGACCATTTATACTCCATACTGTGATCACCCTGCGTCTCGTCCGAAGTGCTGAGCATACGAGCTCGTTTTGCCGCACGACGCTTTTCCGCCCGCGAAACATCGGAGAATAGGACAAACTTCGCCTAGGTTATAGTTCCTCTGGAAACTATCCTTTACCTAGCATTAAGACTCGACTCCGTCGTCTTCTCGGAGTATGAGGAAATAGCTTATGGGGTGTAAAAAATGCGGAATGATCAATGTAGAAGTTGAATAACAGGTCTTCATTTGACGTGGCCCTCGGCCCCTCAAAGCCCCCGGAAAGCCCCCGGATGGCTCTCCGCTTCTCCATAAAGCGTGACCGTTTCCGCCATGACCGAGTATCATCTTCTCACAGAAGTCAATGCTTCTACAACACATCTTTGAGTGGCGCAAGGCGATTCTTCCCTCCTATAGTCTGAAGCATGGCCACAATGCCCTCGGCAAGTGACGACAAGGCCCTCCTCGTCCAGAAATACTACCGCGACCTGATCTCGGGCAGCCACATTCTTCACTACCACAATGTCCTGGACGCCTTTGGCCACTTATCATTCCGGCACCCCTTCAACCCGCAAATCTTTGTCATGTCCCGAAATGCCGCTCCAGGAACGATCTCTTCTGCGGACGACTTGATCGAGTACTACATCGAGGACGCCCAACCGGTCGACCCCAAGGCGCCGCTGGGGTTTCTGGAGCGCTGCATCCACAGCGAATGCTACAAACGCTACCCAGGTATTCAAGCCGTCATTCACAGTCACTCGGAGGCCGTGGTGCCGTATACTATCAGCGGTGTCCCCCTGCGAGCGTGCTACCATATGGCCGGGTTTCTCGGCACCAGCGTGCCCGTCTGGGATATTGCGGAGGCGCAGCAAGCGGACGACATCAGCGATCTGCTCGTGCGCAACACGCGCCTTGGAAGTTCTCTTGCTAGTTCCTTTGCTGGCACTGCTAGAGATGATGATACATCGGGAGGAGGAGACCAATTGCCACATCACGTCGTGGCGTTGATGCGAGGTCATGGCTTTACTGTACTTGCCGGAAGCATTCAGGATTGTGTCATGAGGGCCGTCTACACGCAGAAGAACGCCATGATCCAGACCACGGCCTTGGTTACACGGGCTGCAAGTGGATTTACTGGTGGCAGTGTTAGCTACCTCAGTCAGAAGGAGGCGGTGGACTCGAAATGGTCCATCAGAGAGTCTGCCCATCGGCCCTGGAAGCTTTGGCTTCGCGAGGTAGAAGCTTCCAATCTCTATACGAACTCGGCATGATTATAGTAATTCTCCGACGAGAAGAGAAACACCATTGCCCCGCACATATTCCCTACCATGAATGGCGACATGCGTGCTCTCTTCACATTCCGACTTTCATAACAAGCTCCTCTCAGTCTCCGCGCGCGCACAAAGTTCTCCAACGGATAGCGTATGTCAGCCCCGTTGATGTCGAAAGTTTCTCCGAAACGTTGTCCTTAGCATGGGCTGTGGCTCCCCCTTCCGCCAGTTCGACTTGTCCGCAAACCGCGTTGCCGTTATGCTAGAATTGCGCCCAACGAACTTGCATTCCGAGTTTCTCGGACAGCGATCCGTATGGCTAGGTCCTTCAGACAGAGACGCTTTCTCCACAAACCTGCCCCAACGGGCGGGTATTTTAGGCCTTTCATTTCCCATGCTTTGATCACTTTGACTTCAGGCACGACGTTCCTGGAGGGTACACTATTTAAATACCTCTATCGTTTGGTAAATGCGTGTTGTTTTGCAAATCGATGGGACGAGAAATTCTGTGATTTTCTAGCTCACGGATCCGATCCTCGGCCTGTGTATTTTTTGGGTACCAGTATCATGAAAAGGAACAGCTTGGACATTGGCCATAGGACGTTGCTTCTAGAGGCTCGCTATATGATAATGCAGACTTCGAGGTGAGCAGAGAAGCGCAGTTCCGGGGAGGCGGACTGAGAAAAAGTCAAGTGCACATCGAGCAATGAATGATGGTGGTGGGGAATTGTAGTGGAGCTTCCTGGGGTGGAGGAGAAGCACCGGAGAAATACGAGCTACTCCCCTATCTTTCTTTCGCCCTGTTGGAAGGGCTCAAAAAAATTCTCCGCTACTCACAGGGGACGCATCAAATATGTACCTCGTGCTGCGACATCAAGCCATCACTAATATTCTACTGTGAGCCAACTCTCAATTCAAGAGCAGTCACTTCCTGGTATGAATTCTCAGTTGGTAACTCCTTTGTCTGCGAACAATACTTGGTGCCAGACCCTGCACTTCGAGTTCCAGGGACTATGTGATTTTGCGAGCTATCAGCTCTGTAAAACGACTCATCCAGCTGAGAAAGTGCTGGCCGAAAACGCCATGCACCGCCTCTTTCCCTGCTCCCACCTTCCAGAAAGTCAGTCAGCAACAAGTCCTCAAGTACAGAGACCAGTATTGGGATGACCAAACTTGGATGATGCAGGGATTAACAATCGCGTATGGCCGATTGATATCGAAGGCCTGGACGAGATGAGATACCGCAGCTTGCCTGCACTCTAACCAATCACACGCCAGCTGATTCTTTATCGACGTATCTAGGCCGATAAAGGTATGGCTGTCCAAGGCGAGGCCGTCGGCAGCGGCTCCCGAGCCCCGATGCCTGCTCCTTCGCTATCAATGAAGGGCCCGTTTAGATTTAATAATGCTGACCCTCGAGAGACGGCGATATTGAGATAAGGTCGTTGCTTGCAGAGAATCGATCACCGACTTTTGTCGTCAACCTGGCGGGGCGAGCGTATGCCCTTTCCATGCCTGGAGCCAAAGACCAACAGGCACCCAGGTCTACAAGCAGCAATGGCGAGCAAAGGCAGGAGACCACCATATCAAAGCGGAGACTTCCAAAAAGCCGTACCGGTAAGATGCGACTTGGTTTGAAGCACTCGCTTCTCCGGTACGATGCAAGGTGAACCGATTGCTAAGGCGTGCATTCGTTGTTAGGCTGCAATACCTGCAAGGCTAGACGCGTGAAATGCGACGGTGAGTCCCATATTTCCTGTTTTGTTGCACGTGAGAGCCTTTGACCTTACTCACTGGCCCACTTCATCGGTCACCCATGACCTTTATTGTTGTGTAAACATGGGTGTTGACCATTTCTAGAATCCAAGCCCTCCTGCTCGCAATGCATAGACAGAGGAGTCGAATGCGGTGGGTACGTCAGAAACCTCAAGTGGAAGGTCATGGGAGAGCAGCCTCAGAAACGTAGCCGGCCTGAAGGTACCCCCAAATCCTGCTGCACTTGCCGTGCAGCGATCTGGTGATGTGGCCGCGACACTGACTTCTTCGCAGAAAGGCGATCTCAGGATGCAGAGATGGTGCCCGGTGAACGAATTCCCCGACCAATCTACAAGAATGCCACGCCGGATGACCAGGCTGCGAGGTCACGTCTAAAGACCGAAGCGAGCCTGGCAGAGGGGATCGTGGGGACTAACAGCGCGGCGTCGCCACAGGCTCACGCAGAGCCTTTATGGCATTTGCAGCATGACCAGCTGTTCGACTTTGGCGACGTTGATTTCAATGACGACTTCTTCCTGGGCGATGACAATATGCATCTGGATGTGCCTTCCGACCTGGGTTCCCCGGCCAATAGTCCATCGGAGCCTTTCCTGGAAAGCGTCGATTCTCATGTACCTTCCTCGGTGGAAACAACGCATATCTACTTACGAAATGAAAAAGCGCCAGCCTTTCCCGACTCGATTATATCACCTCGTTATACGCCACAAGACTTTCAGGAGCTGGCCAATCACGCCGGTAGCGTACGACAGTCTTCTGAGCAGATGCAGGGTGCAACTGCTGGTACCTCTGGTCAAGCTAGCTGGCAAGATCACAACCCTGAGAACGATCATGTCCTGCGCGACCAGCGTTCGTCGTTTTCAGACACTCCTCAAATGGTCAAGCAACTCTTCGACAAGCACATTTGTAATGTTCTGTCTATCAAGGACGATCAAACTACGAATCCATGGGTAGTTCATGTGTGGCCGATGATTGCCTCGTTTCCAGCACTTTATCATGCTCTTGCAGCGATGACATATTTATACCTGAGCAATTCACACCTGGAGTTCAAAGCAGCTGGCTCAAGGCACCTTCATTCCAGCCTGCAGGCCTTCACGCAAGCTCAATCCGACGAGAGTCTTGAAGCATCTCTAGCCGCTAGATTGGCACTTGGCTTCGCAGAATCATGGAACGACCAAACAGCCTCTTCTGGTATCGAACATATCAAAATTGCCGGAAGACTTCTTCGAGACGCTTTCGACAAAGACAGGATTACGAGACTAACAGGTGACGAACTAGATCGCCTGAGTTTTCTAGCACGCACTTGGGTGTATAAAAGTGTTTTGATTCGATTGACGACCTCGGACGATGGCGAGTCCGTTGACCTTGAATCAATGGTAGCCTATATTCAGCTTGATCGTTTGCCAGTCGAACAGCAGATCGATCCACTGCTTGGTTGTGCAATCACGCTGTTTCCGTTGATTGCGCGTCTGACCGATATCATCAGATCTGTTCGACGAAGGACTGAAAAATACAACTCCCCGTCCATCATCTCTAGAGGCGCGGACCTGTGGAAAGAAATCCAGGGCTGGAGTCCATCTTTTGACCCAGAGCAGCCAGGAAACGTTCCATCTCACATAGCTGATATTATACAGACAGCCGAGGCATATCGCTGGGCAGCGTTGTTGCTACTTCGGCATGCCGTTCCAGAGCTTCCGTGGGCTCATTCACTTTGGGACCTTTCAGAGAAAGCTTTAATCTACCTTGCAACCACACCTGTCACATCTCGAGCATTGGTCGTACAGACATTTCCCCTTATGGCAATTGGTGGGGAGGCCTTTGATGAGGAAGATCGCAACTGGATATGTCAGAGGTGGAATGCCATGGCCAAGCGCATGCCTCTTTCGAGACTACACAAGTGCAAGAAAGTCACAAAGGAGGTCTGGCGGAGAAAGGATGCATTTGAAGCACAACTTGGAGCGTGCCCTAGCTGCGGTGCTCACGGCCCGAGATCGACAGGAATAAGTCCTAGCATGGATACCTTGCCGGACGCGGACGTATCTGTTGCATCCTCTCAGGAGCGCGAGGAGGGCAGCCGTCGGTGTCGGTGCAGCGCGGTAAGACGCAGCACTGTGCCGGCGTCCATTGATTTTCCAGACTCGTTGGCTTTCAAGAAGGGAATCGACAACATCACGAGAGCCGGCAATATGCATTACATGATGAGAGGGGAATTGCACTGGTTAACAGTTATGGAAGACTGGAACTGGCAAGGTGAGCCACATTCCACACTTATCAGGAGCGATGGAATGACTGACCATCTACAGTGCCGCTTGGATGAAGGAGATGTTTGATAAGAGATAAATGACTGGAATAGACCAGACTGCGAGTTCAGCACCTGATCGGCCGGACACGGCGCAAGGCTGCCGGCCGCCGATGTGGATCCCACAAATCCCACTAACCAGAATAGGAGAAAAAGTACGTCCTCCGTCGTCCACCTCAGCCGTACGGTGAGGACGGCTTGCCTTGTTCTGCTCTCTGGGAACTCGAGACTAACAATTGTAAGGTTGATAATGGTTGCCGGAAGGTCTATGGATCGGGCGAAGAGGGTAGCTATTCTCATCGCATATCAAGAACGCACGATATGTTCGTCCTCAACCAGCAGCCATGGGGCTTGGCCCGGTTACCCAATCGCGCCAAAAAGTCCAAGCAGCCAGTCAAGGACGAGTGGCAACTCAAGGAACGTCCTAATTCTGCAGTTTAAACACCCCGGTTGTCTATCTAGCGCCACAACATGAACGATAAATACGGAGTATTACTATCACATCCCCAGATCCAACTACAACCCTTACATGCTAGCACTCACCAGAAGACCTACTCTCGAAGCTCAAAACTCACTCCCTCTATCGAAACCTGATCAAACAACCCCCCTTCCACTATGGCTATCCTCGATTACATCGGTTTGGGCCGCCAGACACCTGCTGCCAAGGACGAATCAAACAGCCCCGTGCGTGCTCTGCCAGCGAGCTGGTACACGTCTGAAGAGATGTACCAGCTTGAAAGACGAGCCATCTTCTCCAAGCGATGGATGCTCATCACGCACCGGGCGAGACTCGACCAAGCGGGAGACTACCTGAAGTTCGACATTGCCGGCTACGAGTTCGTCCTATGCCGGGATCGCAAGGGAGAAATCAACGGATTCCACAACGTCTGCCGCCACCGCGCATTCCCCGTCGTCGAAAGCCAGCAAGGCACAGCCAAGATCTTTGCGTGCAAGTATCACGGATGGTCGTACGGGCTCGACGGAAGACTCGCAAAGGCTCCCAAGTACGACGAGCTTGAGAACTTCGACAAGGGCCAGAACGGGTTGTTTCCCATCCACGTGCGCGTCGATGCCTGCGGGTTCGTCTGGGTAAATCTCGATGGTAACAAGACCCCCGAGGTGCCGTGGGAGGAGGACTTTGACGGCGTCGATACCCAGAAGCGCTACATGGTGTACAACTTTGACGACTACGTCCTCGACCACGAGTATAGACTGGATGGCGCGTACAATTGGAAAATCCTGGCCGACAACTTCAATGAGTGCTACCACTGTCCCACCGCACATCCGGACATTCCGACACTGGCGGATATCGAGACCCACGACGTTGCCGGCATTGACGGGTACATTACGCACCAGTCGATCCCTACAGAGGAGCAGAAGAGGCTCGGCATGGCCATAGCCAGCACCTATTTCTTCCCGAATGTTTCCATTTCGGTTTTGTAAGTTTTTTGTCTCCTCCCACTCGTCTCTCCCCTCCCTTCCTGCCTTCAGTGCAGATAGGTATCCGGTGGTGAGCACATCATCAGTAGCAAAAGCACTTGCTAACCCCAAGAAACTACTTGATTACCGACCAGACCACACTTCATCATGCTCCAGAGGTTCCTGCCGCACGGGCCCAAGAGCTCGTCCATGCACTACCAAATCTTTCGGAACAAACACTCGTCGGAGGCGGACTTTCAGCGCATCCACCAGCTGTACGCCAAAGTGGTGGCCGAGGACAAAAACCTGTGCGAACTCGCTCAGAAGAACCTCAACGCGGGGGTCTTCGTGAACGGCCAAATGCACCCCCGGCTCGAGAAGGGGCCATTGTACTTCCAGCAGCGTGCACGCGAGGCCATTAAGCAGCACGTCGCGCAGGAGAAGGCCGCCAGGCGCGAGATCTGGCCTGCCCAGCAGCGTCTGCCGGGCGATGCTGCGGCAGCAGTGAGCAAGGAGGATGTGGACCTCTGCTCCGGCCTCGCCTGTCGGTCTGATCAGGCTGGGCAAGCTGGTCTGGAGTGGTGAGATATATGGGGTATTGGATATGGGAAAACTGGTAAACCGAAATCGACCTGCTTGCTAACTTGGAAACATTTACCTGCGGTGTTCGAGAAAGGCTGGGATTCTCGGCGAGGGTCTAGGTCCCAGTGACTGTCCTCGGCCTGGAAAGTGAGATTCTTAACGATTGCGACGTGAGGACTGGTTGGTGAGGCGTTACAGGCGTTCACATAGTATGGTGGGTTTTCTGGCATATCTAAGAGTATGTAGCATGACTCTTTATCTATTATCGTTTTTCTGACCGCCAGTCATTCGTTCTTTGAAAGACCAGTCTACCGACCCCAACCATTGTCCTCGCAAAGTCAATACGCGCCGTCCTGCAAAGCTAAAGCGATAACGGATGGTCCATCTATCTTGTCATCTGCGCCAACACGTTGGGCCCATACGAGCAGTGGCAATCGACGAATAGTGCTGATTAGTTCCAGGTCCTTTTGTTGAAGCCGGGGGGATGCGTGTCCAAGAGTCCAGAAAGTCTCGCCCATGGGGGTGTTTTTATCCCAAATCCAGTAAAGGGCTTTGCGAGCATACCTGAATAGAGATGATATGTCACCGAGTGATAAGGTTCTGTTATAGTACCAGGCAATGGTGCGATCTTGATCCTGGAGTTTGGCTTGAATGAACTTTATCTGGCTTCCATCGAGTGTGAATCGCTCTGCTGTCTGAGTTTAGCTTTTGTTGTCTGATGGAAGGTCAATCACACAATAATAAAACGGAGCCGTGGAGCAACGGTCATTACCGCCGCAAACGAATGGACGGATTGGAAAGCCTGATTCGGGACCAAGGGATGGAGAGAATACAACGGCATTGAAATACCACCTTTGCTACCGCCAGGCTATCGATCTATCGGGACCGCGGGATGGATGTCGGGCGGGCGTTGGTAACGGGGCATCTCTGACCGAGCGCGTCGGCCGAGAGCTGGTGACGCGAGCGGATTTTCCTGGAGTTGAAATACTACACCTTCAATTACCTGGAGACTTCATATCATCTGTCTCTCAAATATCCTCTACTCTAGATTTCTTCTACGATTCCCCGACACCCTTCGATGCTATGCCTCGACTGAGGCCACCACTCTTCGTCTTTCCCGGCCCCTCCGCGCCTGCGGCAACTACTACTACTACTAGCCCTCTCGCCCGCTGCGTAACCCTCTCATCTCGCCGCCGCCGTAGCATTACCACCCATAGAGCTCCTCCGTTCCCTATTATCGAGACATGCCCCGAACCTACATGTCCATGCCGCTCCACTCCAAAGCTCGACCTGGAAATCGACAGAGAAAAGAGCCTCAATGGCTCCATGTCCCCGTATGCGCAGCACCTTCTGATCTCGACGGGCCGGTCGGATTGGACTTCGAGAATAGAAGATGAGCACAATAACGGCACTGCGTGGGGGAAAGTGGTGGGGGATGTCAAGACGCTGTTGGGGAGGCATGGACAGTTCCACGATGTAAGCCCTCCTAGTGATACCCTTTTGTTTCTGTTCCCGACGGTGAAAAGAGCTGGGGGAATAAGAAGACGAGAGACGAGACGAAATTCGGCTGACTTACACAAGGACTGAGATCTAGCCCTATAACAACATTCTCATTAATACTTCGTCGTTCACACCTTCCTCAGAACCGGGGAGAGGTGGTCGAGGTCAAGACGATAGCGGCTTTGAAGGCGTCGAGGCCCTTGTCTTCCCAGCATTTCGGCGATTTAGAGACTTGGTGCCTCTCACCCAGAACGGAAAGTCCATCGCAGACTCGGGTTCAGGCACGCTGAACGACTTCGTCCGCGGCTATCTCCTCCCAGAGCCCGACAGACTACACCCCATCTACAAAGACATCCCTGAACAACAGCGAGCAGCGAAAACCCGAGATGCCAATGTGGCCTCGAAGTTCCACAGCTGGCCCATCACGAACCCAACGATATTGATTTGCAGCCACCACCAGCGGGACAGTCGGTGTGGAATATTAGGCCCGTTGTTACACGATGAATTTAGAAGATACGTCGATTCGCGGAAGCCCGACGAACAGGGGGTGAAGCTCGTCACGCCGCGGTCACCGGGAGACTTCGTCGCCTCTGAGAGTGACGTTTCAAGTGGGTTCGAATCGGGACAGCAAGGGGGCAACTTGGATTCCCAGGGCCAGTCACTAGACGACACCACCGTATCATCCATCTCCAATATCGACACGAATGCTTCGACTTCCGATTCCATCCAAGCCCACGTCAATGTGGGCATGATATCTCATGTGGGGGGCCATAAATGGGCCGGAAACGTGATCGTATACATCCCTCCGACTTTCACCACCAGGTCTGATCATCACCCACCTCCTCCGTCATCTGACAACATGTCCCAGCGCGCTTCTGGTGTGCCACCACCACATCCGCTCGCAGGTATGGGAATCTGGTACGGCCGGGTCGAGCCGAGACATGTCGAAGGCATCATTGAGCAGACGGTCGTGCAGGGCAAAGTGATTGAGGAGTTGTTTCGTGGTGGGATTAGTGCCACCGGGGAGATATTGAGGTTGTAAAGACTCTAGACCAATACACGCCCATCCACTCCTCATCCGCCACGAGTATTTCAAATGCAGCTCTTTTCGTAGAGTGGGCCCCCTTTCCCAAGACGGGGGGTTCAAAGATGTTAAGACTCTATAAGTACATCTGGAATGGTACTGCCAAACTCACCTGCACTCTTCGGCGTTGCCGGTGACAGTACCGAGGAGAAAGCTAGACATGGATCTGGAATTGGGCGCCATGGTGAGTTGGTGTGATACCCATAAGAAGAAGCTGGGAAGATTCACGAGAGTCTTCGCTGGTGTAGCGACTAAAGGGGGAGGAATGCTTGAAGTATTCAAATCCAGGCACACGCCAAAGGCAATGGGGGTCCGGGCCTATTCATGATAAAATTGGTAGCATCCACACGACCAATGTGGATGAATTTTGGGTGCAGTTCTCAATGACACGATTGAATGATGCAGGTGGTTAGTGCGAACTCTTCCCGTACTTGTTAATGCGTATAATATATCCACATCGATCTTGGATCTGGGCAAAATGGCGCGAAGTGGCAAAGTTCCAATGCCGGAGGAAAAGGGGTTTGAAGGATGAGCTGGGAATTATCCGAATATCCACGACTGAGCTGTATGGTGTGTCAATTAAGGATATGGATTCGGTACATGAGTTCAACTGCCATCAAAAAAGCTCTGCTGACGCTGAAAGATTATTTGGAAAGCGGGACAAAGGAAATGTAATGGTTTCCAAACGGTCTGTCTCTTGGCTGTCAGTTCTCTCGCTTTTTGGTTGATTCGCGTTAAGAAAAGCCATACCTTGACAATTTCAACAGTTTGCATATCCTTCACATTCCTTGCAGACAAAGATCTGCGGCGTATTCATGTACGCCCTCGGTTCAGGCGAGGGTCGGGCTTCCCAATCATCTTGAACCAGACGTCGTAGTCCTCGAGCCCGTTGATGCGTGCAGCTTCTCTCAGGATATCTGCGACTTCAGTATCGTCAATACCTTCGATCGTCTGGCTGCTTGAGGGGGCAGCCTCGATATTTCCTTCAGTCTGAGCTTCTTCTGTCGCGCTGGATACTGCTTCTATCTCAATACTTTCATCGTTTGCTTGAAAGACGTAGTCGTCGCCTGCGTCAGAGTCTTCAGGGTCGTCTTCGTCGGTGTCATCTTCATCCGGGTTATATTCTTCGGCGTTTTCGAACTCATCTTCGCCGTCACTCTGCATCTCCTCATACTCTGGCTCAACCTTCACCCCTATCTCATGTAACGCTGCCAGCTCTTTCTCGCTCATTCGAACCGTCTTCAAGACATCGTCTATCCTAGGGAGCCACACTTTTGACACGAACTGCTTCTGTGTCCATTTTGAAGTGTCCCACAGATCAGAGAATTCCGCCATCAAAGATTCGAGGAGGAGTATCAAATCCCGTTCTTCGTCTTGGATTTCTCCAATTTCGTCGTCCGTGGGCGTGGAAAAGGGGCAAGTCTTTTCCCACGCTGTCTCTGAGCATGGCTGGGGGGAACCATGCCGACAACATGTGTGCGTCAATCCCAGCTCATTAAATGTCCACAACCTAACCATTCTCAGGAACAGTGAGTCGCTAACACCCCAATGTCTGTGATCTCGAGTCCAGGACCAGAGCCCCTCCTCACGGTAGCGATATTTATCCAATAGGTTCATTCCTGGCACGCATCCTTGCTCAGAACAAGCGCAAAGACACTCATCAGTGACATCAGAGGCCAGGATTGCTGCCAGGACTTTGAACCGGGTTGTCAACTTCTTAGTTGGCTGTAATACTCAGAGGCGGATACGTGCAGCCAGAGAATGAATAGCCTTCAGCCCCAGCGGTCTCTGATGCTTCCCAGCTTTGCAACAGTTCTCCGGTCGGCACTTGGGGAACGCACAAAGCAGATCCGCGCCATGGTTGCAAAGCCATTGGGAATTAATGAGTGTTTCTAGCATATCTCTCTCCGACAGCGCAAGCCTTTGATTTAAGGACATAAGAGGCGTGAAGCCTTCATGATTTTTTCCGTCAATGTCCAGGAAGCATGCATCGTAGAGTTTCTGGGCGACGTCGGCGGTAAGTCCATAACGATGGTACATTGTGGTTTGCTCCTCAGAGACGGCAAAGCTTGGTGGGATATGAACGCCAACATCTTGAAGTGCTGCGGCCACATTGTGGGCTTGCTCGTCCAAAACTCTGACGGGATTACTGCATCCTGGGAGCCAGTAGCCCGGCGGCAGATGTGCTTCTGCAAGTCTTTGCAGTCTGTATCTTCTGTCGGCAAATGCCTCAATGATAGCGACTCCCCCGGCAGGGTCATGCCGCAGAGTTGTAGACAAAAATGACCCTTCTTCCCATCTCTGTCCATGAGTGCTGCTGCCTGCTGCCAAAAGCAACTTTGCTGCAATAAATGATGAATTTTGGATTGCTGCATCCAACGGTGTCTTCCCAGATTCGTCCTTTTGATTGACTAGCGCAGCTGCTCCATGTTTAAGAAGAATCACAAGTCCTAGAGGCCAACTGATCGATAGATGTAGAGGCGAGTGACCCCAGTCATTTACTTCACGTAAAAGACCTGGCTTAAATTTCAGGAGACGAACGACCTCTGATGGGGTTCGGCGTAAAATAGGTCTGGCAAGAGGATGGGTTGCGAAAACCGAGAGATTAGCGCAAACATCAAGTTTCTTCTAACAACAAACCTACAGTGGTGCCAATGTGCATGCTCGCACAGGCTGATCAAATGAAACGGCAAGGTGGACTCAGTCAAGGCTCCGTTCTGTATCAGATCCTCTGCCAACAATCCTAGCCTAGTGTTGCCTTCCAGCGATGAAAGCCGGACAATACTGAGTATACTATGTCAGAGGAAGTTCGCAATTGAAAAGAAACGCTTACAAAGTGAAAATCCAAGATCTAGCTTTTGAACCATTGCTTGCTAGGAAATAGATGAGGCGACAGAACGCTGCGATAGTTTCATCTAATGGTTCTTGGAGTCAGTCAATGTTGGATGAAACGCATTCCGAGGCAGAAGACTTAGGCCTTCAGAGAGAGTAACAATGTGTTTCAATGTTGCGCTCAAACGCGATCGGCAAAGGAGCTGAGTAGATGACGCTATACAGACCTGAGTGTCGCATATTCCTGAGAGAGAAGATTGCGTTCTGGGGAATTTGTTAGTGAGGTTTCATTGTCGAAGTCGATATTGGCCGTACTTCGAGAAGACTTGTTCCAAGGGGATCTACTTCTCGGGGATGTGACTTCCGCTGAGCAAAGAGTTGCGTCAATTTAGCAGGAGCGTTTGAAAGGAAATCATCATTGCCCTCCCAGAGTCCTCGAATCAGCGTGTAGGCGGGGGAATTGTCCATGTCGACGACAGGTATCCAGTCAATATTTCCACTGATTGAACTTCCACCCGACCCACCAGTCAAATCGACCATAATCTGAAGACTGCGAGAAATCAGCCTAGAGAAGTAGGAGAGTTGAAGTTGTAGGCTTCTTTTTCTCTGGCCTATGATATGGAACGGACAGCACTCATGATGCTCAGAGGTTTGGGTATAGCGGATGAAGAAGGTCTGTTTTTCCATAGCGCGCCGAGGTTGGGGGCGGTGACAATGACATGAATACGCCAAACGCTCGGATGAGAGTCCTGGCTGGTTATCGAGTCTGCTGATCGGGACATCATCGCACAGCCTCTGCCTCAAGCTAGGCTTGGATATGAGTTGTCGTTGAAGAGTACCTGTATCGGATTTCTTCTGATTGTCAGCGCTGAACCTGCAGATATGTCGTGACGAGTCTGCTCATTACCAGCTGCTGCAAACCGGCTATGGATGTATCAGAGCGAATTTGCATCTGGGCTAACTGCTTAGACACGCAGTCCAAGCGTTGCATGATCATTTGCACGCCTGGATCAAAGGTGGATCTCAGCTCCCGAAGATCGGTGTGCACAGCCGACAAGTCGGTCTGAAGAGACGAGAGACTGCGGGCATTATCCTCAGCACTCAAGGCTATAACACCTGAGATGGAGACAACGGTATCGAGCCTGGCGTTTGCGATATTTTGAGAGCTCGCCAGATTGGAGGATACTTGCCTGTAGGAGTTAGCTGCATTTGCGACCAAGCAAAAATAGGCTTTCGACTTGCAAATTTGCAATCTGAAGAATCGTGTGCAGATTCTGCTGTAGTCCATCAACTGTGCTAGACAACTCCACCAAGGCGTCCTTCTTGAAGGGAAAGATGGCCTTGCGTGTGAGGTGTCGAAGTTTGTCGTGTACAAGCGAAGGACCATGTGTTCGCTGTAGATCGGTGAGCTTGGCTTCGAGAGATAATATCTGCGAACGACACTCGCTGATTGAATGGTCGATCCGGGAAGCTGCGTTGGCTGTATGGCTCCTCCACGAAGGCAGAGCTCGTTGGAGGATGGTAAGGCAATCTTTGAGACCTTCGACTCGTACCGTGAGGCTGTCAAGATATTGATCTTGGCCTTTCAGAGCCGAAAAGTAGGAGATTAGGCCTTGACATACTGTCAGGCCTAACGATATGACGCCCAGCGCACTGCTTCCAACAGAGAAAGGGTCAGACATGGCGAAAGCGCGCTGTCATGGCATAAAAATCGGCAGACGTTCCGAAGAAGAGATTAAATTCATGTTAGCAATGGAGTGAACAACGTGGTGAGGCTGAAGGCTCCAGCTGCAGATGGCCGTCTCGTGTTGGGCACGAAGAGGCTGGCCTCTGATTGGAAACAAGAGCTGCAAGCCTCATTGGTGATGGTATCGCAGGTCTCCATTGTGTATTTCATGCGGCTGAGGTCGGGAAAACAGTAAGGTTGGATCCACAGCCTCACGCCCTGAGATCTTATGTCTGGATGCTGGTCACAAAGACATTGCCACGTCAACAGAATCAAAGCTTCAAGCTGATGAAGATACGAGCAGTACGTGAATTGCACGATCTCACGTGACAGCCAAGATTGTGCTGACATAATACACTGTTCTTCTGTTAGTAGTGGTGCTTCGGCTCGGCTGCTTTTCGACTCCGGTAGTGGAGTTAGTGTGCGGCTCGTAATGCGTGCCTTGTCGTACGAGCTTGACGAGTTGTTGTTAGCATTAAGGAATATTTAGCATCCGACGAGTTAGCGCCAGGCGCCCAGCCAGTCATTGACTCCGTATCACGTCGTCACCACAACTGCTCAGTCAGTCAATGCTCAGCGCTGATCTATTCTTGCGCCTTGCACAAAATATACATCCGGCCACATCCGCAACACGCCCAAAGAGGAATCTGCCAGACCATCCCTCAGATTCCCTCTCACGTTGTGCTCTTCCCATACACTCCTCCTTCCCGTTCTCCTGCTGCCTTGTTATAAGCCTCGCTCTCCTGTTGACCAGACTATCTTATCTCCCCTTTCTGGTCCCTCAAATCGTATCAGATTGCACCACAACAACCATGTACATCACGCCTGCGCTGGTCGCCGCCTGTCTCACCCTTGAGGCCTCCGCCCTCCTGGTACCTCTCGAGGTTGCAACTGCTGCGAAGCAGGCAAAGTCGGAACTCGCCTCCCTCCTCGCTACCACTGGTCATACGGTTGACCTCGACTGCCCCGGATGTCCATACTTTGGCAGTGAAGATCCGGCCGACCTGCAAGAAGATGTTGAAAACAAGATTGTAAGCACGTGCCTATTTGCAACGAGTAAGACCACCATGCTGACGGCGACCTCTTGATAGCATCTCGAATTCGACGTCGACTCTGAACTCGGCCTCACCATTAATGACCTTCCCATCTTCTCCTCCGACCCTAATACTGCCTCTATCCCCTATATCGTCTCCGCCCCTCAGATCAGAGTAGAAGACGGTCAACAAACAGAACCGGTGCAGTTGGATTTTGCCTGGGAGAGGTTAGCCCCCGTCACGTCTGCCGAAGAACCCGACAAATCTATCCTCCCTATACGGTTCACGATCCTTGGCCTTCAAGGCTACCCAGTGAAAGTCGACACCGTCGCCATCGATCTCCTCCAGACCCCCGAGCAGACCTCCATTGCCCGGATAGCCACAATCCCTTTCGAAGACACACCTGGCGCCACAACTTGCGACACATCCTCAAAATGGTCTCTTTGCCGTCTGCGGGCCATCATCGCCGCTCGTCTCCAGGCAATTATGGAAGCGGCCACAGCACGCGCCTCTGCGGCGACCAAGGGCTGGGTGAACGGTGGCAGCAAGGGCTGCCATGGTTTCAAACGTCCCAAAGGGTTTGGTCCTATCGGCGGTGAGGGTCCTCGTCACGCCCATCACAAGGGCGGCCCCCATCATCACGGTCACCACCACCACCACGGTCACCACCATCGTCATCACCGCTTCCACCGCTTTGGCCACATGCTGCACCAAACGCTGCGTTTCTTCGTCATCCCTGCCTTGCTGGGCGTTATTGGTGGTCTCATGGCCAGTGCCATCGGTATGCTCGTCGGCCAAATGATTTCCTACCTGTGGATCAGATTTCACCGCAACGGCCAACGCGGCACTGCAAGTCGCGATATTCGCGTTGTCGAGATTGTCATTGATGAGGAAGAGAAGGATGCCTTGATCGTGACTCCGCAGATCGAAAGCGAACTCCCTCCTCCCCCGGACTATACGGATGTCGAAGCCGGTACGCCGGAGAAAATATAATCGACTCAAAACAAACAAATAAACCAAACCCCCCTCGAGTAAAACCGCACGCTCTACCAAAAGGTCAGGGACGAATTCAGACAACAACAGAGGAGAAGAGCGAGACGAAAGAACTCAAGCCACAAAAAGACATTTTATGAGATACCCCCAAGCATTGCAGGTGTTTTGATTCAATCGTAAAAGAGGAGGATCATTGCGTGGTGGACCATGAGAATTGTCCGACGCGTTACATATTATATGGAGGACTCGACGTCCGGTGTTGGTCCTTGAAAGAAGTTCTTTTGCCCCATGTATTTGAACAAGATTCCGATCCTTCAAAACAGTCCCGCGCACCACGTGCCCCGTTCAATCTGGATGGATCATGGATTGCATTAATCTTTTCCCCCGACCACAACGACATGTCGGGGATTCTGGATGAGAGCGCGGCGTTCATCAGTCTGGGAGTGGGGAGGCGATCATCGGATCATCGGATAAGATAGGATAGGATAGGACAGGATAGGAATGGGATGGGACGGGATACAGGGTAGGATGCAATATAGGATTGGATAGTGTATCATTATATACCTACCTCTATACTGTAGACTTTTCCGATCAATGACTCCGAGTGCATATACTACAGCGCGTTCGCTGCCTATGATACACTCCGATCAATATTGTGACCTTTGAACCAAGGGCTGTATGTACGTCAACCACTTGCAGGTGGTCATATCGGTCTTGTCCTCATTCTACTCAGTAGACTCTTGTGTATTCTATCTCGTACTGCAGAATCTACCTAGGTAGTTTTCATGGGCTCTTCTATCTTGTGCATCTAATCTATCTACCACTCTTGTATTCGGCATTTCCACTTGGATGTTCGAGACGCGTCCACTGACAAGTCTTGACCTATGTGCGCGTATGTCGAGTGCTGTTGGGCCGCCCTTTGTGATCTGTACAGCGTGAGCACACCTGCAGTCCCTCGTCTATGTATGTACAGCGTGAGTTTCAAGGCACCCCGTCCATGGAAGCCCACTCGGTGCGTGTGTCCTGTTCACCTGGCCAGCCGGCTCAGTGCCCTGAGTTTTTATTCAAAAAGTTCGTCTATGTATCTTGGGGATTCAGCATGGGTCCCTTCAACCCCCTTTCGCCTCGTATTTTCACCCTTATTTTCCGTCTCGCATTGAGGAATCAGCGGTGATCGAGACATGGAGATTCGTTAGAAGCTTCAGTATGCTCTGACGCCCATTGCTCCACCCAACACCAGCTCGTGAACTTTGTACTGCCAGATCTCCAACATCCGCTGGACCTCGGGCACCAGACCCAAGTAATCCGGCCCAGTGTGGACCCGTTGCAGCTTCGAGTTGCGCTGTCGGGCCTTTTCGGCGCGCTCGTCCATCTCGGCTGCCGTAGGCCGTTCGATGATTCTTCGTGGTGGACGTGGGAGTTGCAGCTGAGAGTAAGAAGACAAGGATGCGGTGGCATTGGGATTTCCGCATTGGTTGTTGCTCAGCGTAATACTCGGACAAGAGCAAAGCCAATGTCTGCTGCTCTCAAGTCGCTCTAGAGATGGTGAGGCTCCTGGGACGGGTTCGGCGGCGCTAGGGCTGCTGCTGTTATTGGTTTCTTCAGAGCCCGATGAATGGATCTGAAGATTGAAAGATCTTGTGGGAGGGAAAGAGGAAGGCTGGACTATGAACACGGTCATTGTTTCCGTCTGGATTTCTGTATGTGTATGGGTGGGGGGCTCTGTCACAGTCTCAGTCTTGGTTTCCGTCTTCATGTGTGTCAGGGGTTTTATCTGCGTTGTTGTCTTAACGAATATTTCTGTCAGAATCTCCGTCTCGGTCAAGGTCGATATCCAGGTCTCGATTGGCCAGGCTGTCACGGTCTCTGTCTTTGCCAGTAGTTCAGGCTGTTCTGCGTAAGCGTTGCGGGCAGAATCCTTGGAGAAAATCGGACAAAGTAGACGTGTACGTATTGATCCAGATGAGGCTGGAGAATCTCGCGCCTCTGTACAAAAGAGAGGAGTCTCAAATGGCAGAATGTTGGTATAGAATGCTAACAGCATCAGAGAGCAGAGAGCCATGATTATTGGGATGACAGAGGCCAGTCCGATGGTTCTCTTTCTGACTGAGGGTATCCAAACTCGATTTCCATTTGTGCCTTTGTGACGACCAAGCTGTTCACACGTGGCGGAGCTCATGCAGGTCGTCTCCTGAGCGTCCTCGAGGTTTTCTTGCTCTGCACAGTGAAGAGGGATTCTCGATGAGCTTGCATTCTGCGCGGGTTCGAGATCGCGGACCAAGAATGTTTTCGCCGAAATACCGCCCTGCCGTTTCCTCAGTCCGGGACTGGGAGGGTATTCGATGGCGGTACTAGTGGCCATTCCATCCTTGACAATATGGACAGGGCTGGAGACTGGGCTCTCAATCGGTGGAATTGATGTCCTTGCTCTAGACGTAGTTGAGGATGCAGAGGAGAGTACTTTCTGCACTGTATCCATTGAAGCACGAGCAGGACCGCTCTCTAATCTTGCTCTGATTGCAGCATGCCGCAGGATACTCTCTTGTAAGGCCAACGTATGATCGGTTCCATCCGTGGTAGTGCCGCGAGAGACCGAAAGCGGAATGTTCCCGTGTGCGGGTGTGATGGCCTCGGGCAAGAAGACCGCCTGATATTTAGACTTGTCCCATACAATGGGCAGCGGAGTTGTCGATTGCAATGCCTCGCGAAGCACTATGTGCTCTCTCTGTGTCGTTGGCATGGTCAAAGAACGGCCTGATACGCTCCCTTCTTCCGATACCTCATCATCCCCGAGAGTGGTCGGTAACGATGGCTTCATGTGCCGGCCTCTCCTGAAATAAGGATCGGACTGCCGGCGCAATGGAGAACCCAGGGCCCGATAAGTAGAGTATGTTGGTATTGGATGAAATGAAACCCTCTTACCCGAGAGCAGCCGATTTTCTGTGGTGCTCGCAGCCGTCACGGGTGGTGACTGTGAAGTTGCAGATGCACTTATAGCACGGGCAGGCGTTTCCAGAACAGATGGGCTTGTTGCGCCGCTGAGGGAGGTTCGCGGTCTTGAGAGGACGGGCTTTTCGCTCATGAGGCTTTGGCGTGTAGATGAAACCAGTGACTGGCTGGTCGCACTTTGAGGCCGGGAGGACATGAAATCACCGAGAATCTCGTGCTGTCCGGCCGATGTTTGAACAGAATTGCGAGTGCTTGGAGGTCGTCGCCTTCCAAAGGTCGCGAAATGTGCGTCATAGAGCCGGTATTGTTCCATGTCTCTCTGAGCTTGTTGTTTGTGTGCCTCCTTTATCCATGCAATGGATTTCTTGATTTGCTCACGCAACTTCTTGCACTTTTCTTCGCTTCTTCTCCGTGCTTTTTCAGACAGCTCTCTTGACTCACGAAGCTCCTCCACTTCGCTCAGTAGTGAGCTGACCTCCGCTTTCTTTTGTTGGAGTTCACCATATAGGTCTCCCAACTGCCACTCGGCCGTGTTAAGCTTGCGCTTTTCATCCTCCAGCAATCGAAGCCTTGCAATCTCTCGCTCCAGCGCCTCGACATGCGCTCGTGATTTGGCCAGCTCTTTCCCGATGTGTTCTTTCGATCTCCTGATTTCCACGACTTCTTGTCGGCGGGTTTCAGCAAGGTGCTCGGCTGCTCTTTGCTTCTCGCGAAAGACGTTGATCTCGGCCCGTTGCGTTTCGCAATATCCCTCGAGTGCCTTGACCTGCTTCTCAAGTGCGAGGTTGTCAAGGCGGAGCTTTTCTTCCGCGACCAAGGTATTGTCATCCTGGGCCACCGCGGGTCCTTTGTTCCTGTCTCGTTGCTCCTCCTTTTCATTATGATTTTGAGCTTGCCCGTTCGGACCAATGGAGTCATCGCTATGTGTATCATCGGTAGTTCCAGGCAAACGTGGTGACCCACCACTGAGCTCCCGTCCTAATTCGGCTCGATGGACAACATTTTCTAGGGCAATGGTCACAAGATTGGCGTGGTCATGCTGATCCGCATAGTTGTTTTCTCGATCACTTCTTAGAGCAGCGTTGCTCCTGGGACTGGAAACTGCAGACCGTCTGCTTGCTGGTGATGCCGGTCTTAGCACTCTGGGTGGTGTTGTAAGGATACCTAGACCTATTTCTGAGTAAGGTTGACGATCTTCATCTCCGCTGGGAGTCACCGGCCTCCTATGCTTGTCGTCTCGGCCAGAGTCAGGGAGATCATGAGGCGAGTCCATCGTGGGATGGGCAAAATCTACCCACTTCTACCGAAAGGCTGCTGGCTCTTCATTCATCATTCATCTCAAAGATTAGGAATTTATGGTCCCGATTTTGTCTTGAGGTTCGAGTATCACTCAATCCTCGGTGTAAGAAGCACAAGTTGGATGATCCCGTGTTGGGGGATGGGGTTTCTGGGTTGGAGAAGAAAGAAGGCCGACTGCGGATTCGAGCAAAGGAAGAATGTTGGTAGAACGCGCTCAAAATAAACCGAGAGCGACAGTGAAATAAAGAAGAAACTTCCGTTTTCGGCAATCAATGGGGAAGGGAAAAAGTGAAATTTCCGAACCAAAGAATTCAAGTGCACACACGGACCAGGCCACATTCCCCTGAGAGGGCGGCGGCCACAACCAACTGGGAAAGTGAAGAGAGCGCTGTGCTGCAAAACCACGACTTTGACGATTGAAAATCGACTAGGCGCTCCTCCTGAAGCCAGGTGCAAATCTCATAGTCACGAGACTGCCAGACTCACCGTGCCAGAGTCTGCAGCGTGGGTGAGTCCTACCTGAGAAGATATCTTCAGTCGCGGTCGTGGTACCTTGTCAATGCTGTCGCTCTTTCAAGAGCCGATCCTGACTTGGTCGAATCACCCCATGTCTGTCTGTTCTCCTCGAGTTTGTGCTGAAACTGCGCGCTGGTTGTGATAGAGGTGTACTACCCTGCCCACGTATTCATTTGGCGATCGGGACCTGCTTCGCTGCAGGGCGCAGCCGCAGCCGGCGAACCTCCATTGGTAACACCAACGGTTCAAGAGCACACTATGCGCTACCCTGTCTCTGAGCTTCAACCTGCCTTTTCGGCTGCAGGGTATGGTGGCGCGCCATCTCGAAGAACATCAACTGGAAGCGATGCTCCGTCCCGATAGTTCTTGCCGTCGACTTGAAAAAGCTTTTGCTTTCCGTTACCCTCGACGACCAAAGCCGTGAGTTTACCTCCATTGACACAGCCGCTGTCGAGTCCTTTGGTGTATTTGTGGATTTGCAAGCCTTTTTTGGCATCGTGACCGTAAACGACAGTCACAGGTTTTTCATATTCTCGACCTTTATCACCCTTCAAGTTGTCAAAGCGCTGGCGCACGGGCAGTAGCTGTTGGTATCTGTTCCATAACCTGTACCAAGCAACACTTCCTTTTTGCTTGTGCTTCTTAGAAGGTATACGTGTAGCAAGGTCAACAATCCGCATGTTCATGGCCGACACAGGGTCTTGGGATCCCAGAGCTAGACCCGGAATGAGCCCACCGTGCACCACCACCGCATCACCGTTGAAAGCTTCCAATGACCCTAGACGAAGAATCACCGGGCAGGATTGTAGGTATTCCAGGTGCTCCGCTTTGAGCGACTTCGCCAACTGCTGCACAGGATCAGTCGCTTCGGCAGACTCGTCAGTTGAATCCATTCCTGCATAGTTATCCGCGCCTGTCCCGGACGCTTTTGATCGAAGTTGCAGCGCGGTCAACAGAAGACGGTCATCGTGGTTCCCGCGCACACACGAAGCGTTACAACGACGCAGCAGGTCAATCACCCCGAGCGAATCCGGTCCTTTGGAAACAATATCTCCAACGGAAATCAAATGATCCGTCGAAGAATGAAATTGTACTTTCTTCAGCAGGGCCTCCAGCTCCATCCTGCAACCATGGATATCGCCCACAAATATCAACCTCGTCTTCCTGGAGCGGGAGCTAGCATCACCGGTGGAAGACTGTGGAAGCAATGCAGGATCTAGTGTCTTGACGAAAACCATATCCGGAAATTTGGGATGGCTGGCTTCGTTCACGGTGTCTGCAACCACTGAACTTGACTTGAGGGCAGACCAAGCAGATCTCCCTTCCTGGATGATGGGAGCTATGACCTTAACCCACAGAATGATCGAACAGGTTGTGAGAAAGGCGACCACCATTATTAGTCTTCTGAACTTAGAAGCTCTGATGGCGGTAACTGACCTGCCCACCAGAGCTTCGATACGCCGCAGGAAGTCATTGTCGGCCCGAGACGAGGGGATTGACGACCCCAAGTCAGGATGATGTGAACCCAGGATTGGCCTCTTTGTAGCTGTCATTGCTCTTGTATCTAGATCCTTGCGTCCGTCTCTTTCTCGAACCGCAACGAGGTGCTCTCAACATCGGTATGGCAGGGTCACAATCGGCAGCGCAGCATCCGATGCTAGATGCGGGTCATATGGTTCACGCGATCGACTTCGCAGTATGGGAGACGGAGTTCAAAAACTTCTCTAGGTCCTACCTCGTGCGGCGAAAGAAAAAAACATGTTGCAAGCTCGGGAGCCACTCTGACGACATTAGATCAGAACTGCGCAAATGATCACAGCCGAGAAAAGAGTTCGGAAAGCTCTGACATCCGCAGCTTCATTGCCAAGCCTGTTGCGGTCGGTGCGGCATTGACGGGTAGGTACCCCCCGAGTACAAAGCACACGACAACTGAATTATGCCCTTGAGTAATAGAAGTCGTTCGTCATTTCGGTGTCTACAACAACTGCAATTCCAAGGCCCTATGCGGAGGTTCTGACTCCCTCGAAGCTAATGCAGCTCCATCAAGGACAGGCCGTCGAGCACAGTGGGCTGTTGAAATGATTCTGGCACAGATATGAATTTGAATGATCGATCAAGTCATGTTCTCAGAAGATTTTGGTTGCCTCCAAAGGGAGACAACTAAGCTACTACCATCCAATGTGAAGTCCCCAGTAAGTATCGTGTCAGAACGTCGTTCAGAAATTTGAATCAGGCGCCAAAAAAGCTACGAGCATGTCAGAAGTGAAGCCATCCCTTACTCTGCCAGGTCTACAGAGCCAAGCCAGCCATGACAAGAGCCAGAAATCCGAGTCCCACGCTACCAGCATGGAGGCTATCGGCGCCATTGCCAGATGACCCTGTGGCCGAAGCTGATCCAGATGAAGAACTGCCTGCTACAAATGTCGTCAGTAAGTCAACAAATCCGCAGTTTGTTTGCGAAACCCACCGGTTGTGGATGCCGAACTCTCAGTGGTGGTGGCGCTGCTTTGTCCAAAAGCAAAAGTGCCCGTGGCAGAGGAGCTGCTGTCCGTTTGGCTGGCACTGGGAGCAGCGGTAGAGGATGCGGTCAGGAAGTAAGAGCTGATGCAAGACGCTTGGCAGGATGCGTATTGTTGAGTCTCGCTGGCCGTGCCATTGCCTTGTGGGCATTGCGCAGCACATTGTGTGGTCGCATTTGCTTGGAGCTGAGACGGGCATGGGACACCGACACATTTTGCCTGGCAGCAAACGTCCGCAGAACCACCTATTCAATCAACTACATCAGTCTCCATCTGCGATGTGCTCCCTTGTGGTCTGACTTACAGGACTGCAAACACCTGACTTGCGGACTCAGGGATGCGGTGGGAGCGGCAGAAGAAGCGCCAGTCGAGGAGGCAACGGCGGATTTGGTCGACTCAGCAGTTGTAGTTGCATTTTGAGCAGCAACGAAGGCGATCAGCCCAAAGGTAGTGAAGGTAGTGAAGAAGCGCATTTTGATACCGAGTTCTCTCGCGGGAGAATAACACAGGGAATGTCTGATGTTGCAAAGAAACACAGAAAAGGGCTGAAGTCGCCGGTATAAAGTGCGAGGTCAAGAGAAGCGAAAGCGAACCAGACTCAGTAGAGAACGTGAGAACGAGCGTAGAAACGAATGTCGCGGCGCAAAAGTGCCAGCACAGGAGGATACAAGCAACCAGTGGCCTCAAGAAAACAGATCAGGTCAGCCAGATTTGGGTGCGACAGGGAGTAAAATACTTCTGGCACTGGCCCTCCCAGTTTCCACCCCCAAACGGGCCCAGCGTCCAAGCGATCCACGAGTCAAATCTCCCCAGGATTTCCTCATTTTGCAAGGCCTATCCAAGGCACAGTTGTTTCGGCTAGCGTGAAGCGAGCTTTTGTCGGTGCACAGTGGACACTGGACAACGCCTCGGAAGGGGCTTCCTGGGATCCGCTTCAACGGAGCTGAAATTGAGGCTAGGCTTCCCTATCGGACGTTAGAATTCTTGGGCTGATTTTCGTGGGCCGATCCGACCGTGACGGCTGATTCGCCGAGCTGCGCAGGCCAGTGAGACAAATGAGTTGCGGCCCGGCCATTGTCCGCATTGTTTGTTTGTGGCGAATGATGCATGCCTCAGGCGTCGCCGAGTTTGGGGGTCGTTTCTGGCCTCGACAATTCGAACAAGCACACAAGGCGGAGGTATGCGCATGTGTGGTTCACTGGCTGGGTCATCGTCGCCGGAAGAAAGAGAGGCAGAGTTTCCAGTGCCCGTTGATCGCAATCGGGGATTTTCATGCTGTCATCATTGTGGGCCAAATTTCCCCCAAAGTACGAACACAGACCACCATCGATTGTCGGAAATTGCCCTCGTGTTCTGTCGAACTTCGGCTGCCCATTCCATTTCCCCAGGCGCCGGCCCTCTGAATCTGTGATGGCTCTTGAATCCACAGGCATCACATCACGTACAACTCGTAGCGAGCAAAAAATGTGACAACAAGGCTGCATTATTGGCGCGAACGGCAAAACCAGATGCGCCGGATGCGGGTTTTGGTAGAGGGTGTGCATCGCGTTGTCAAAGCGTTCGCGGCCAAGTATCCTGACTTAACATGGTAAGAACGACGACAACAACTTCTGGTCCCGGGAAGAGATCTACAAGCGCTTAGACTTTGTGCTCGGTGCGGACCATGATATCCGGCGTGGCAGAAGGGCCTTCTGCGGAGAAGAACTGGCAGATATGACGGCGAATTTTAGCCACAGGGCTGTCGATCACGAGGAATTTCGCCTCGGGTTGATCAATGGGTACTAATGCAAAGTGTGACTGCTAAAAGGTCCACTGACTCGTTCTCGGGGTATGAAGCCGGTCAGTGTCGAAGTCGAAGGCAGGCTCGACAGCGACATCGCCACTGTCTCTCTATCCAGCGCGGCATCCCCAAGACAACGAGGCCAAGGGGCAGCAACGTCGCAAAGGCTGACTGATGTCCCAGAGCGATACGGCATCCCTCGAGGATGGAGAAGGACTCGATTCTGCAGTTCCTGGGCGAACGACTTCTCTACATACCGGTATTTCCCAGAGGAGCAGTGGGAGTCTCTTCGATATCTTCCATCCAACCACAATGACGTTTTCGTCTGACCTGGTCCGTTCGACATCTCTAGGATGGACGTTATGATGGTGACCCTCAGCTTTGAAAGAGCGGATTCGAAGGTCAAGATAGAGTCTAGATGACACCATTTCGTGATCTTTATAGTACTATCCGGAATTTTGTATAGGTACCTGCCGCATCGATCTGGCCATAACGATCAGTGCACTGTGCTCGGTTGTACTCTCCCGACGACGCATGGCAGCGGATACAGGGGAGTACAACAGCAGCCTGCCTCGCACGGAGGATCCTGGCCTCAACACCGTATTGTGTATCTTTGCGTGCACGCTGGCAGTAATATTAAGTGGAAAAGGAGTTTGAGCGACAGGCTGACGAATGATCCTGTAGGGTCCGAATGGACATCCCATCAGTGGGCATGCAATGAATGGCGGTATGTGAGTTCAATAAATAATCTCAAGATGCACCTCCACGCCGAGAAACGTCGCGTAACCAAGGCGCGTCTGGCATCACGTGCATTCGCGTCACAAACCTTAGCGCGTCGTTCGCGCCACTCACTTTCTCCACCATCCACATTCGCATCTCTTGACATTACGTAGAGATATCATGCCTTCGGCAATAGCCTGAGTTGCCAAAGAGATGGACTTTCTAGACGATGAGGCCGAAGTCAGCTCGGATGTTCTAGTGCCTACTTCCCAACAGGACCTAAACCCTCGTGCTCGCAAGCGTCGCCGCCTTGACTCCGAACCCAACGACACTTCATCGACGGAGCACGACGAATACGATTTACCGCCAAACGAGGATGAGGCCGGAAAAGAAAACAAAAAGTCCAAGTATGAAGAACGTATCTATATCCCTCAATATGCAGACCGTCCGCCGGATACCTTCGTCACCCAATTGCCTCAACAACATTCCAGTCCATCCAGAATCAGAGGGCCAAGATGGATGAAGCCTCGGAAGAGCCCCTCGTCCTCTTCTGCTGCTGTTAACCGTCAAACTAATACTCTGGGCCGACATTCCCCGGCCCCTACCCACAGTGACGAGTTCGAAGTGGACGAGGACGATTTCGAACTTTTGGAAGCCTTGGGTGAATGTGCCAACCCGGCGCAAATCAATGGCAGTACATTCTCGGGGACTATGCAAGGTAGCCCCAAAGGCAATGCTGGTCCTCGCCGTCCTCTACAGCAATCAAACTCGTTCCGTCAGACGACTCTACATGGGCTTCATACCACCCAGCTTCCCCCGACGCAAACGCAGTCGCAGCCCAGGGTACACAACTGGCCGCTGGCCAACCGAAATGAGGCCCCTTCTCACCATGAGTTAGATCGCGATGCCATGGCCACGTGGGTATATCCCACGAATCTTGGCCGAATCCGAGACTACCAATATAATATTGTGCATAAGGGTCTTTTCAGCAATATTCTGGTCGCGCTACCCACTGGGCTGGGGAAGACATTCATTGCCGCGACAATCATGTTGAATTGGTATCGCTGGACAAAAAGTGCGCAGATTGTCTTCGTCGCGCCGACAAAACCCCTCGTCTCACAGCAAGTTGACGCCTGCTTCAACATCGCTGGCATCCCGCGATCTCACACCACGATGCTCACTGGAGAGGTCTCACCCGCAATCAGAGCAGAGGAGTGGCAAGAGAAAAGAGTCTTCTTCATGACACCTCAGACCTTGATCAACGATCTGAAACACGGCTATTGTGATCCAAAAAGGATCGTGTTGATTGTGGTGGACGAAGCACACAAAGCAACCGGAAGTTACGCGTACGTCGAAGTGGTCAAATTCTTGAGAAGATACAACTCCAGTTTTCGAGTCCTGGCTCTTACAGCAACTCCCGGGAAAGACGTGGAAAAGGTGCAAGAAGTGATCGATGGCCTTGGGATCGCTAGAGTCGAGATCAGGACCGAGGAATCTTTGGACATACGCGACTTCGTCCACAAGCGGAATGTTGAGACCCAGGTTTTTGAAAACTCGGACGAGATAACCATGTCGTTAGAGATGCTTTCAGCAACGTTGCAACCGCTGCTGAATAAGCTGCACTCCCAGGGCGCCTCTTGGGGGAAGGACCCGCGAATGATTACCCTGTTCGGTTTGAGAAAGGCCTGGGAAAGGTGGCAGTCGTCAGAAGCAGGCAGAAGAGCTCAGCATTCTGTGAAAGGCATGGTGAAAGCGATATCTACTACTTTGATGAGTCTAGCCCATAACATCGAGCTATTGAAATACCATGGCATCGGACCTTTCTACCACAAGATGAAAGCATTCGCAGATGAAGCCTCCGGGGGCGGCAAGTATGCGAAACAAATTGTGGACGACGAGAACTTCAAGAAATTGATGATTCGGCTGAGGGCATGGATCAACAACCCAGATTTTGTCGGGCATCCCAAATTATCATACTTGAAGACGGTCGTGCTCAACCATTTCATGGACGCCGGTGAGAGTGTTAGTGGGAGCCACAGCACTGGCTCTTCGGGCACAAGAATTATGATCTTCACGCACTATCGAGACAGTGCAGAGGAAATTGTGAGAGTCCTCAATCGCCATGGTCCTATGATCCGGGCGCATGTGTTCGTTGGCCAGTCAGGCACAAAAGGTGGCTCTGAAGGGATGGATCAAAAGACACAGCTGAATGTTATCAAGCAGTTCAAGGCTGGAAAATACAACACAATTGTCGCAACATCAATCGGAGAAGAGGGTCTTGATATTGGTGAAGTCGATTTGATCGTGTGTTATGATTGCTCGAAATCGCCTATCAGGATGCTCCAACGCATGGGTCGGACAGGGCGCAAACGGGCGGGAAGTATCGTCTTGCTCATGATGCGTGGTAAGGAAGAATCTGATTTCGCCCATTCAGAGGACAATTATCAAAAGATGCAAGAAAAGATTGCAAGTGGCAGGGAATTCAACTTCCACGAAGAATTGTCGGCCAGAATTGTCCCGAAAGAAATCATACCGGCGGTCGACAAGCGTGTGGTAGAGGTCCCCACGGAGAACACGCAGCCTGGTTCGGTTGAGCCTAGTCGGCGAAAAGCCAAGAATGCCAAAAAACCACCGAAGAAGTTTCACATGCCGGACGGCGTTGAGACGGGCTTCACATTCTTGGGCAATGGAAACAAGAGGATGAAAGCCACAACAAAGGAGAGGGCATCAGAATCTCTGAAGTCAAAAAAAGACCGCGACGTGGCTGCACTGCCTCATTTGAAGGATGTCCTTCTGTCCGAGCCGGAGGAGCGAGAACTTGAAGACCGCTATGTGCGACTCGCAGGGGTCAAAGACGAGTATATCCAGTTCGTGCGCTTTGATGCTTACCCAGATCAACAACGACGGCTAGGAAAGACAGATGCCGTCAAACATTCACGGGCAACTAAGACTTTGGTGAGAGCCTTCGAAGCCATGCGGGATCCGAGACAGGGCTGGAGTCGTCCGTTGCAATATGAGGTGTTTTCAGAGGGCGACGGATCCTTGCCTGGGTTTTCAGATGCGGAAGAACCGATGCGTGCGACCAATACTACCAAGAAGAAGCAGAAACCTCAAACGACCCCTCGATCCAACGTGACGAACGACACCGTCGGGAGCAGCTCTGTCGGCCAATACGATGACAATGACAGCTTTATCGATGACGGAGAAGAAGATCTCGGAGCTGCCGACCCGCCGAAGCACAGACGACAAGCGAGGTCACTGCTCGATGATGGTACCGACGACGATCTATTTTCCCCTCTACGGAAAACACCGAGCTCATCCCCTGTCCTCGAAGAGGTGGCAAGCCGGGCCGAGAAACGCTTCTACATTTCTCAGCAAAGCATCGATTACGATGCGATGGACGATGACCTGCCTGATCTAGAGGCCCTGGTTTCTACCAAGACCAGCAAGAATCACGCACGGGACACGAAAGGCCAGGGCGCTACGGTGTATAACTCTCCAATGGCGAGAGAGAAGGTCACCAACCACGCGCGTCGGAGAGGCGGAAGGAGGGTGCTCGATAGTGATGACGACGAATGACTTTCGAGGCCTCCGAGGTGACGGTATCTTGTTGTATTTTTGGTGCTGTATATCGACTGGATTGGTTGCCTGGATAATAGGTCACCCACATAATGCTGGACTCGGCGGTCGCGCTCCAGATTCGGGTTCCTGCTGTGCAAGGAGCAACACCCACCGGCCCGAACATATCTACCTACGATAACGGATGTCTAGTTGCTACTATGAGGTTAGTGCATTGAACAATGTTGGAAATCCCCCTACGAGTCAAATGTCAATAGGAGTCAATCAATGTCCTCGCTCAAATTGGTTTCCATACACGAGGGTCGTCTCTGAGGGCTGAATCTCCAAAATAATATCGACTACAAGCACTCAAGTCGGACTTCTACAGGTATCGAACGCAACCTCGCAGGCTTGGAAAATCGTACAGTTTTTTCTCTCTCTCAAGGTATCCGGATTACGAGCTTCCCAACCTGCCGAGCCTGCCAGATATCCTCGATTGCCTCGTCGGCCTGTGCAAAGTCGTAGACCTTGTCTATAATGTCCTTGAATGTTGTTTGCGTCGCAGACAAGGCGGCACAGAGATCTTCCTGCTCGAGTTTCGATCCGCCATTGATGCCTCTGATGGGAAATTAGTTGCCTGCAATGGGCTTTATGTAGCGATTCACGAAGAGAATGCTCTCTCACCTCAGAATGATTCTCCGATCAATGAGAAGCGGCAGAAACTCGGCGAGGTCGTCAAGGTTCTGCTTGCTCAGATAGCCGACTTGACTGATGATCCCGCCGCGACGAGTACATTTCATACTCTTGACCAAACTCTGCGTGCCTCCGATCTCCACCACTAAATCCACACCGGCGCCGTCCGTGAGCTTCAAGACCTCTTCGTGCCACTGCGGGTTTTGGGCGTAGTTGACGGTGAAAAGCGGAAGACGGTCGTCTGAGAACTGCTTCTTGATCCTCGCCAGTTTGGCGTCGCTTGACGAGCTGAGAATCACCTTGAGCCCGGCTGCTCGGGCGAGTTTGAGTGCGACCATCGCGACGCCGCCGGTGCCTGATCAACCCCGCGGTCTTTGTTTTAGTTTTTTGGGTTTTCTTTCTGCGCGCTATGATAGCGGGCACCCTTGCCTTCGCTGGCAGTGGGGGCGTATGTAGTAAGAACATACCTTGGATCAAAATGCTTTTTCCAACTCCCACATCCTTGATCGCAGTCCATGCAGTCACCCCCGCGCAGGGAATAAGGCATGCTTCGACCCAGTCCAGATGCTGCGGCAGTTTGGTGAGCTTCTCCTCGCCAAACACGAGGTAGTCCGCGAGCACGCCGTCCTCGTCGGCCGCCAACCACGAGCGCGTCGCCTCTCGACCCGTGAGATTCTCCGTGTCGATAATCGGCGCCACCCGGTCCCCGACCTTGAGGCTCCGAACCCCTTCGCCGACGGCGATGATCTCCCCAGCGGCGTCGTTGCACGGGATCCCATGCGGGGTCACTGGCCAGGGGTTGCCGCCGTTGGCGATGTTGGCGTCTCTGTAATTGAGAGACACGGCGTGGACTCTGATCAATACCGACGTCGCAGCCAGGGGCAGCTGTAACGGCTCTGTCACGAGCGTCACCCTCGGTTTGCCCGGCGTGTAGTCGTCGGTCCGGCGATAGGCGTTGCGGGATGTGATTGGGACAGTGGCCATGTTTCCCTTCTCTTTTTCCGGCGACTTTATTTTGAGAAAGCTCGAATATGAGCCCTTAAGTCTAAATGGGCTATAAGTCTTTGACTTTGTACTGGAGACAAACGTAGTCTTGTCATCACAACACCCGAGCACGTCAAGCGACAACGTCAACCGGGTTCACAGCCCTGCAGAGGCTAGGCCCCCTATTTGATGAAAAGGCCCACGATCGAAATGACCCATAGCAACAGTGACTATGACCAACATGGCGCGAAAGTCCGTTTACTTTGTTGTTGTCGCAGGGCTCGTGGGGAAAAAGGGTTTTCAACGTTCGCAAATCATGTTCGACTGGGGAATACGGATCGCAGTCCTTGTCCGTCGGAAACCTTGTGTCGAGTGTGTCGCTTACCAACCCGAAACCCTCCCAAATACAACTTTTACGCGCAAGGCGATTAGAAATCCAAGACAGATGGGACATGATGTTACAGGGTTTGAAAGGAGATACGATTCTCCTTTATGTGCTGGAGAAAACATCTGAACCGAAAGAGCGGTGGGTTATAATCAGCAGATGCCTCCTGATTTCTCGCAGAAAGCTGTTTCTATGGAGCTGAAGTGCTCCGCTATGCGAACGAAGAAATGGCAGGACGAGGAATTGGGTCATTACTAGGTTATTTCCCCCCTTACCGAAAGGCATTTTGCGTAATATACTACACGGCATCGCAGTGCAACCTGCTTCCATCAAAAGCGATACAAAAGAGCATAAACCCCAAGTGACTCGGACGAGCATGGCGTTTCTCCCAACCCTGGATAGGCTTTTGGGGCCCACGCATCCCGATCAATACCAGACTGAAGATCAAGTTTCCCAATGAGAGACCAGGGTCGAGTCTGAGTCGCGACTGCGATGGGCCCTGACCCAAAGATTCGAGGTCGTAGGCAGAAGAGTCGCTAATTCGGAATACTGACCAGAACTAGGATCCGCGCTTGCGTGGCGGCTCAATGACGGGCTGCCATTGACGCTGCCAAATCTTCTAGGAGTAACGGGCAGGGTCGTGGGCGAGAACAGACCCTTATCCGAATTGGCGCTTCTTGGGTTGGTACAGACGCCATCGGCGACGTTGAAGACGGCGCCTTCGAGGACGTCGAGCTTGTCCAAATCGCGGCCCATTGAAGAGGAGAGCGGGAGGTATCCGTTGCCGGTCGCTGCCGCCGGCATCGTGAGCCCCGGAGAAGAGGATACAGATGAGCGTTTGACATTCGACCCCTGAAGTGATTGGATCATCCAGTCAATCTTTGACTCAGGGACGTCCTTGATGATGTGGTGGTGCCGCTTCCACAGCAACAGGATCCTGATAAAACCGACTAGCAGTGACGATATTACAGCAGCAGCGACGATGAGGAAGGCAATGGAGACTTCAACGGTGCGGACTCGGGTGCTGATCTCGCGCGTTACGGGATGAGGATAAAACGTGTCTTTGCTGATGGTGTAAGCCTGGTACAATCGGAACATCTCTTCACCAGAGGGGGCGTTAATTTGAGTGTTGCCGTCGCTGGTTGGGCGGAAGAGATTCGGCCAGAATTGCGAATGCAGCATGGCGCTTAGATGGCTGTTGTTGTAGAAGACGTTTGGGTACGCTTCAAAGTAGGAAAATTCGTCCGGTCTCTTTCTCGTGATGTCACACTCGACTTTGGTGAAGAAAGATTGTTCGAGCGGTCCAATGCCGAAGGACCCCACGTCAGGATCTGATGGATAGGGCGAGTGCCGGAAACAGACTGCTATCAGAGCTACTGACATGTCGGTCATGTCGTTGCTGGTGTTTGAAGGTTGAACAGTCGACGTTATCCAGATAACTCCGTAGTCCCAAAAGGTGGTACTCGTCGTGGTCGTCCATTGCCCGTAAACTTTGGTGTCATACATATAAGCGTCCCGTATCCATTCGTCAGAGAAAAGGGACCAAAGACCTGGGACTTCGTACAACGCACTGAGGCCGGTGAAGCTGTAGGTATAGTTTCCAACTGCTTCCAGGCTGATCAGAGTCTGGGGAGTGGTGTGACATTGAACGGCGAAAGTTGAGTTCCAATCTTCAGCCTTGTAGACCCAGTCCGAATTGAGGTCAGGAAGGAAGTCGAGCAATTGATCTCTTGGAAACTGTGCTTGATCAAGTGAATCCATAATCTTCTGCCATCTGACTGAGTTATCAATCTCATCCGACATTGACCTCGTGGCCATGTCGCCTTGAGTCGTCCGATGCGGAGTGATAGACCCTGTCCGAGTAGAAACCTTTGCGATTACTCCGGCCAGAATACCGCACACATTCAGAAGGACGACCAGCATGCCCTGAATTGCTAACCCGCGGTGTCTAGAGGAGAAAAGTCGGAATTTAAACAAGCGAAGGACATCCCAAACTTCCGATGGACTCGTGGAGGTAACCAGGGACGAAACCGGGACATTTCGATTGTTGCTCAGCCTCACCGCGCTGGTCTGCCAGAATAGTCGAGATACTGTGGACGATGCCAGGAAACAGACAAGAGTAATGATGACGGCGATTACAGCCTGGACTTCGGCGAGTGTCCATCTTGTCGTGACTACCACCCAGGCAACCATTGTACGCTGAGATTTCGACCAAAGTCGACGGGAAGACAGTAAGGCTGAAACAGGACACTGGGAGCCGCCGACAACAGCGAGGTGGGCGACGCCATCCTTATCAAAGCCAGGCCTCCCACACCATCGAGTAAGGCTGGGCCACTTGGCCCCCTTAGGTTGGGGTCTACCTTTGGATAACTGGGGCTGCCGACTAGTTGCAGTAGTGACAACGCTATCGTCCCGTGTATGGGCAACGAGGTGCGCTCACGGCGCGTCAACTTGCCTTCCGACTGCTGCCGAGCTGAGTGTAGCTAAAGGAACGGATAACTTGGCTGTATGGTCCACTTGAGTCTACTCGGTAGTAGGCACATTGCGGACTTCGGCCACCATCAACGAGAGTAAGTAGAAAGAGCGAGTGCAAGTATGCAGTCGCAGAGACCAGGGTGGAAAGAGGCTTGCTTCAGCTCAACGGTAATTGACCAAATCATCGCTTCGCGCATGTCGGGTAGTGCACTAGCTTGGTGTGCCCATGAGTCTGGAATCCGGTTCTCCGGCGTTCCAATGCAGCCTGGACCTTGAGATACGAAGCGAAGGCCGGCGAACTTTACGTAAAAAATTAACTCGGGCATCGGCAGCTCTTGCCCTAGCGTCGGCACGGTCCATGACGCTGCCAGCGGTACGTCTCGAGAATTCAACATGATAAGGACAATACTAGGAGCCTCCAAGAAGGGAACGATTTCGGTAACAAAAAGAAGCCAAACCATCAGAGCTAAACATCATAGCTAACTTGCAGCCTGGCCGATATAGACAAGGACAATTCTCCATTCGAGCCACGACCGGGAATGCAAAAACGAACGAGGCGAGCGCATTCTGCAGAACTTGCAATCAGGCTGAAAACTGCCCAGATGCGGCTGAGGGTGATCATCCGAGGTGTAGGAAATCCCAAAGGTGCTTGCACGGGACATGAGTTGTCGTGAACTCCACGACGCAGCTGAAACAATTGTATGTCTGGTGCATCTTTCAATTACAGCAGGATACTCGAGTTTTGATATTTAGTGGTTGAAAGGATACCATGAGTACCGTGGACTGTGGCGTCAAGGCGAAACCGCGGTCTGCCCGAATCCTCCATGAGGCTCGAGAGTTGATCCACAGCCTCACCGACACCTGCTCAGACCCCGCAACAGCTGAGGTTGTCTCGTCGCTTCATCGCTTGTACTCAGTCTCCTCTTTAAGTCTCTACCTAGGGAGGCTCTGCGGTGCCGCCAAGCATCTTGACAAATGCCATACTTGGAGCTGTGTAGGTACTCGCTGATATTAGGAGAGGGTTTCAAAGTCCACATGCTCGCGGCTCATTCTAACAGCTTACTGAACCTGGCGTACACATCAGGCTGCCTGAGTTTTCATAATGTCGACGACAATTGGAACATCCTCAATCACTGTCGGGTGCGTGGGTGTCCACCCCAACTGCTCCCTTGTTTTCACACTCGATGCGATGCCGTCGCCCATGACTCCAAATTTAAACCAGCCGAAATGAGACTCTGCATTCTCCGGTGCGATGCTGATAACGGGGATATTCAGGTGCTTTCCAACCTCAGTTGCGATGTCCTTCAACGGCACACCCTCCTCAGCCACGGCATGGAAGATGGATGCAGGCTTGGCCTTCTCCAGGGCCATTCGGTAGAGTTTAGCCGCGTCGTCGCGGTGGCAGGCGTTCCAGTGGTTTTGGCCTTCGCCGACGTATGCCGACACACCTTTCTGCAGAGCAATGTTGACGAACGAGCCCAACAATCCCGAATACCCAGGGCCGTGCGTCACAGGTGGGAGGCGCACGACAATGCTGCGTACGCCCTGCTTGGCGAATTCGAGGCACACGGCTTCCGAGGGCCCCCGGGCGGCGGCCATAGGTTTGGTCATGTCCACGGCGTCGTCCTCGTCACCCAGCTTCCCGCTCTTAAGCAGCATGGTGCCTGAAGTGATGATCAGGGCACGGGGGCCCTCGGCCATCGCTAGGATAGAGCCCATTGCCGTGATGGCTGCTCGGTCTGTAGCGCAGGAGCCCACGAAGTCTGCACTCCCGTGCACGAAGGCTAGGTGGATGACTGCATCACAGTCAGAGGCGCCCTTCTTCAGGACTTCTAGGTCCGTGATGGTGCCATGCAGCGCCTCAGCACCTTGGCTCTTCAACTGCGCGACTCCTTTGTCGCTGCGAGCTAGGCCGAGGACTTGATGTCCGCCGGAAATCAGTTCTTTGACAACGGCTGCACCGACGAAGCCAGTCGCGCCAGTTACAAAAATGCGCATGGTGAGACCTGGAACTGTAAGAACCAGCGGAAAACCAGACAACAATGGATTCTCGCTCAAGGTCAGAGTCTTGGGTAAGGTCGAAATGACACGGTTTGGTTTTTGGCCATTGCTCGCGAGATACCTTGCTGGACCTTTATGTATTCCGTCGCTATCACACAACACAGAGGCCAACCGTGTTTGTGACGAGCATGTCTGCTGAAATGTGATCCAGACATGGTGAATGGAGTCAAGTCAGCCAATCATCAGAGGTTGGACCCGAACTGAAGTAAAGTGTGGTTGTGGATCGGTTATTGATTAGGCTAGGACCAACTCCCCGGAGATTACGGACACAGTATTATAGGCCCACCTCCAGGAAACGGAGATAGGTGCGACTTCACCAAAGATAGACCCTAGCAAAGCTCCTCAGCTGGGCCAATTTGTTGCCCTAGGACCACTCTTCATGCGAATTGATCATGACTTCAGATGCACGCATGACCGAACAGAAGAGCTGGCGCAAGCGTAAGTCGCGATTCGGCTGTCGCAATTGCAAACTGAGGAAGTTGAAGGTAAGTCCAAGACACTAGCAGTAACAAATTGCGGCCAGGCCAACTGAAGAAAACCTTTGTTTTGTAGTGCGACGAGACCAGGCCACATTGCGTGAGGTGTCGTACGTATGGGGTCTTATGCAACTTCAGTCTCCGGGTCCCTGATCTCCAGCCGCTCCTAGAAGGACGAGGAGAGCAGGATATAGCAAAGCGATCTGCGTTGCCGCCGCCGCGGTCAACTATTAGCAACGCCATATGGGCTGACGATGGATCAACATTTTACATGTTAGATGTGCAGGATCAAGAACTTTTCATCCGATTTCGTCATCGGACTCTACACTCGCTTGGTGGCTCGGCCATGGTCGATATATACGAGAAGCATATGTTGAAGGCCTCCTTCACCGTGGGTCATGCCAGGCCCGAGATACCATCCGCTTTGGACTTATTCAAGCGAACCCTGAAACCTTACTAACGCATAGTCTACAGTGTCCGTTCCTAATTCACGGTACATTGGCTGTAGCAGCCGCTCATAATCGCTACCTTGGCGCAACACACGGTCGCTGCTTACGGGAATATTACCACTGGTCTCAATGCACAATTTTGTTCAACAAGTGGTTGAGTCAATCCATCAAGGAAGAATATAAGGATCTTCTGTGGGCCACAGCGGGAAGCCTCGCCATTCTCACGTTTTCATCAATCCACATTCGTTCTCATGAGCAGGCATGGCCTCTCTCAGCAGCCGACTCATCCGACCTGGAGTGGCTACGGCTAGGAACCGGGAAGTCAGCCTTGCGGCGTCTGGCAAACCCTTCGCGGCCCAACAGTGTGTTCTGCGCGATGTCCGAGGCCTTGTCGTCTATGCATCAACTCCCGACCGCTAGAGGCGCCAGCGGCGTACCGGTCGAATTAGCGCAATTGTGTGGCCTTGATGAATGGTCAACACAAGACAACAACCCTTACTTCGCTGTCGCGCATGATCTCTCTCGGCTTTTGAAGCTTCCGCGAGGCGAGACTTCGCAACGCAGGATCTTAATGGTCTCCAGCCACATGCATGGCGCGTTTGCAACCTGCCTGCAGGAAAAAGACCCGGTCGCACTTCTTTTGTTGTGCCTGTGGTACACTCGAGCCCGCGAAAAGGCTTGGTGGATTGACCAGCGCGCCAGATTTGAGCTCCCAGCTATTTGCACCTACCTGCAGCGACATCACAAGGACAATGGCATCATCCAGGCACTGATACCTTGGGGTGAAATAAGGACCCTCACGTAATCCAGAGGGGATAGAAGCTTTGAAACCAGCTTCTTTCGGGAACGACACATAATCATAAGTACCGAACAGCCTAAAAGCTCTGCCAGGAAATGGTAGCATCCTCAGTCTTTTAACGTTCTTCAAAGGGTCGAGGCTCTTTCTTCACGGATACTCGGAACATGGGAAGAAGGATAAATCGAAATCGCTTGTTGGCAGCGAGGGTACGTAGGCCTTATACTGAAATCTCATGCAGGCCCAACACAACCTAAAGTCGTGTTAGCCAAAGCTAGAATTGGATCGTAAGAGCCCTTAGTGGTTGGCTCTACCTTTTCAAAGTACCGAACTCCCACCACGATGCCGTCTTCGTCCAGAAATTCGTCTGGATGGCCGAATGCCTTGTCTGTTCTATCCAGACAAGTCAAACAGGCGGGGACAATGCCCGTGAACTTGTGGCCCATCCAGCTCGCCAATCGACTCGACGCCAGATCAATGAGAGTGCGCTTCACTAGGGTCGCCTTCTTGCGCTCGTTGCGCTCTGCCTGGAATGGGCTTATGTCGAGCATAGCGCCAGGAACGCACACGCCGTCGTCATCGCTGCCGCTTTGCTGTACCAGGGATGTGTCCACAGTCCGATTTCTAGCAGCATGACCCCGAGGCTGTAGATTTCATGCTGCATCACATAGTCGTCCTCGGGTAGGAGACCCTGTCGTAGGGGATGACGGTAGAGGTTCTTCTCCCAGCACACGTCTCCTTGTCGGAAGGTGTGCCCGTCAAATGGACGGGATTTCTCAAACCCCACCAAGAAAGCGGGCTGCCAGTGAGGACTCATCACGGCGGAACACGATCGTGGTCTCAGGCCTGATGTTCTTGTGCACAAACTTCGACGAGTGGATGTACAATGATTGACGAGGCCAGTGAACGTGGGAGGACAAGTCGCTGATTGATCGAGTACTGCCATTCATTCTGGAACAACAGAGTCCGTAACGAAAGTAGGGTCTCGGAGACCATGGGGAATCGAGAAAAGCAACTCGAAAGTCTCTAGTTGTTTGTCCGCTTGGGAGAGGTCTCGATAAATGAATTTCAAACACATATACGCTACAGAAGCCAAATGAGGGCTGCAGCCGAAGTCAAAGCCCTTACCCCCATCTTTTAAACCATTTTGTGTAGCCGAGTTACCCATAATCGAAGCACATACACAAAGTACCAGCCCAGTGACCTTCGCTTTTCGGCCAGATCACTGTGGAAGGCATTCACAGAAGAGAGGTCGGGGGTTTTCACATCTGGCTGTATGCCCACCCACTGAACATATGATGAAGCAGGCACATATTCCTCCCTTTGTTTTGTGGGTCGGAGCCACAGCGAGGATCTCTCTCTTCGGCCGGAGTGGAAGTCGCTCGGTCACGTAAATGTTCCTGGACCCCCGTTTTGTGGATATTTTGGATCACTGGAAGACCCACGGTTCGTCAGCGAACCCGGAATTATCCAAGTTCTCCAGGTAATTCACCAGGTTGTCGGTCAGGTCCTGCGTGAATCCGTACAGCGTGTGCAGGCTTGGAATCGAGTCGGCCCCGTTGTGCTGCAGGTCAGTGGGCAACTGCCCAGCAGTTTGTTCAGTGTGCAGGGGAGGACGGCTTGAGAAAGAAGTCTCATCTTGGTTCTGGTTCCGCTGGGCTGCTGCTGTCACGCTAGGATGCATGTAGCCGAGAAGCTGCTGGAGGAACGTGTATGCGCGCTGGGCGAAAGCGTGGTCATGCGACATGGCTTGGATCATACGCAGGGCCGTGTCGACTTTGGTGAGAGCTGCTCGGTCGTTGTTGTGTGCTGGTTCGATAACGTGGGAGACTAGAACGATGACAGCATTGAACACTGGGTGTCGGTTCGAGTCAGACTTTGCAAGCTGTCTTAGGAAAAGGGAGCATGTGTTTTTTCACTCACAGTAGTAGATGTTGAACCAATTTAACCCCATTGTATTTTTGGTATGTTCATGCCTCAATGCAACCATGTCGATGCTTTCCATCGCGGCGTTTATGCAGATATCGCGGCTAGATTGCAAAGCATGAGTGACGACCGAATTTTCCACGTCCTGTTCTCCCGAAAGACCGCGTAAGGACACCATGAGAGATTGCCTGTGGATCAGGATCTTGACCATATTCCCACGCAAGGCTAGAATCCAAGGTTGTTCCTTGGGCGCCTTGTAGTCGAGGATCAGGTGAGAGGGTAGGGACCGATACCATTTCCGGTGTTGTTCATCGAGTGGCATGACCAACTCTACGACCTTCCTGCCACTATCAACGCCGCTATTCAGCTTTGACTTGAAGGCTTCGATGATCCGGTATAGTTTGATGACCTCAATAGAAAATGACATGGACGAAGGGGGTCTCGGCATCGGAGCACTCTGAATATATTCGTCGTCCAAATCAGCTGGCAGACCGACAGAGCATTCATCCGAACGGATCATGGATGGGCGATCATAAATCATGCTTAGAAGCACGTCCAAAGTGTAGGCCGCGTACCACACTCTTCTCTTCGTCTCTCTTAGTGGGTGAGGGTCCGTGTCTGGTGGGTCTTTATGGAGGCCGAGGCCATATGCGATTCGGATAGCCAGGCCAAGGATGTTCCAGCATTCATTGGCACAGCTTGAGCCCTGGAGATATCTTGCGCCGATCAAGAGAGCTTGGACGTGTTCCAGCCTCCAATCTCGAAGCAGATCAGGCTGTATAAGTGAGATGGCGATGTCATAGTGTCTTCGTGCAGCTCGAGGGTTGCCTTGGGGATCGATAACCCAGTGTGAAGTGCATATGGCGAAGATCATGTTCAGAAGGACGAATATGGACTTGTGATGAGAACGCTGTTCCGGTGGACAGTGGAGGGCCGCGTCAAAGAGCGGTCGAATGCTAGGTGCATGGAAGACGGGCGACAGCGGGTGGCGAAGCGTGAAGAACTGGCCGAGCAGCTCACCCGCATTTGCCGGTAGGGTGTACAAATCTTCCTGTGTGAGACGGGCCTCCTGCTCCCGGACATCGTTATCGATGGTCCTTGAGTAGGCCTTGATGCTTTCATGACCATGAAGGGCGTTCAGTATTAGCTGAGTGAATGAGACTCCGCCCATAGACACGTCCGCGTCAGCCACTACGGTTGGTGGGTGGCTGCCAGAGGACGCAGCCGGCGCAGCGCTGAGGAATGAAGGACGCCGGGCCCTGGTACCTCGTTCATTTCTGTAACTTGAAGGTGGGAGCAATGTGGTTGGCTCATTGCGCGCAGTCGGCATGCTGTGAGCCGACTCTAGCCTGGATCTGCTTTCCAGAGCTTCAAGTCGTTGCTCGAGCGCTTTCAGGTACCTCCAATTGGGACCGCATCAGTCTGATTCTTCGGCTGCGACGTTCTCAGTGCTTACTCTTGCTCGACGACCACCGTATTACTTGAACCACCAGAGATGCCTCGCTGCATGTACACACAGCTTCGTCCATTATGTTCGCAGGTCGAGCAGGTTGGTCTCCTCCCATCACATTTAGTTTTCAAAGACCTGCAGCTAAAGCACGAGACCGCGACTCGGTTGCGGCGTCGTCTCTCCGCAACTCTGGCATCTTGTTTGGGTCCTGCCTCGGACGACATCAGGGAATAATAGATGCACTTCGACAGCGAAGTCGCTACTACATGCTGAAATGCCGTATCTCCGCATTGAAAGAGATTACAACGGGGAGGAAGAAGGAACCCTTTTAGAGCTGGGGATAAGGTCCACCTGGAGGAGTAAAATGCAATTCTTCACAACTATGCTCTTGGCATCTCCAGCTGGATAAGCGATAATTTCCTGAACCCGCCTTTTCTCCCCGGCTTCCACTCCAGGCCACGGGCCGACAACAACCTCCCATGGGGTTGTAGGCGATCATTGGCTTCTCGAGCTGACAGGGCCGCTCTGTGGTTGATTTGTTGACTCCTGTTAACTCCCCGAAAGCCGCTCCACCACAAATCCATTATACCAAATCCCAACGACCCGCCGATGGAAGCAACCCTTTCTGCAGTCCCAATGATTTCGCACCGATAGGCGACATTACCACGGGCAATTGCTATGAGATGCTAGCCGTCAGATTATATAGAACCATGGCCTTGCCCAGTAGCCAGCAATCCTTCATCATGACCTGCCGCTTTGCAGCTCAATACCAATATGGCAGCTGAAAAGACTGAAGTATCCCAACATGAACTCATTTCTGCAGTTGCAAAGCGTCCAGAGAAGCGCAGTATCGACTCAGTCAATCTGGATTCCTCGGAAAAGCAACCTCTTCGACATGACAAGGCTGGCCTGCCTCTTGTACCGCAACCAACGAACCGCAAAGATGATCCTTTGGTGTGCTGGTCCATAGCCAACCTCGAATTTCGGCATATGTCCAGGCCGAGACTGACTTGGACAGAACTGGTCACCCACTCCCAAGTTGCTCGTCACATTGCAAATCAGTTGGCTCGCAATGTTGGGTCCAATGGGCTCTGCGGTCGCGAATCCGGCATTTGTGCCAATGAGCAAGACCTTCGGTCTCAGTGTCGTGGAAGCGTCCTACGGTGAGCACAGTCCTTCACCCCAGCGTTTTGTGATCATCCCCTTTTACTGACCATCGAACAGAGTTGACCGTATATATTGTCTTCGGCGGTATTGGACCCCTAGCTGTCGTGCCCTTCGCGAATATCTATGGTCGCCGCCCAGTGTACTTGCTGGGGAATTTAGTAGCAGCCATTACCAACATCGCTGCGGGATATTGTCACACATGGTCAGGTATAATGGTCACGCGGGCATTTAACGGTTTAGCGGGTGTAAGTCCGTCAACAATTCGCCTTAGCTTCTCAAGTATTTGTTTCCCTGAAACATATGTGGGATTCTAAATGCAAAGCAGGGCTCAACCGTCGCCATCGGCGCCGCAACAATCTGCGATCTATACTTCCAGCACGAGCGCGGTCTCTACATGGGTATATATACATTCTTCTTGACCAACGGACCACACGTAAGGACCATCGTCTTCCGTTTCTTTGAGTTGTATTCTGACTTGCTCATGATCTTAGGTGGCTCCTCTTCTTGGAGGATTCATCGCCCAGTCCTTGGGCTGGCAAGCATGTTTTTTTATTCCCGGCTATATCCAACTCGGCACCTTTGTCCTGACAATATTTCTTCTGCCTGAAACCCTTTATCCCAGGATGGATGACTCTTTCCTAGAGCCATCCAAGGAGCTCACCTACATCGAGCTCCTGCTATTCAAACGCACCAGAGTGGTTTATCGCCGGCTGCGGCTACGTGACTTTACACGGCCATTCGAGATGCTGAGGTACATAGCTGTGATCCTCCCGTCCGTCTACTACATGACATGCTTTGGCTATGGCACTGTGCTCTTCGCCCTGACTGGCGCGAAGCTCTTTGCCCAACTCTACCATTTCGACATCGCACAGACGGGCTTACTACTCAGCATTCCACTCCTTGTTGGCTGTTTGATCGGCGAGTTCAATGCCGGCTGGGTGACGGACTGGATGTCAAATCGATATGCTCAGAAGCATAACGGTGAAAGACTGCCGGAAGCACGGCTGAATGCCATTTGGGGGGCGCTTTTGATCCCGGTTGGTATCATCATCGAAGGCGTTTGTCTGTCCCACAGCAAGACCGTCAGTTGGGTCGGTGCTGCCTTTGGAATGGGCATCGCTGGTCTGGGGTTGCAGATAGCAACCACGGTGCTGTATGCGTACACTACAGACGTAAGTTTTACCGTGCCTTGTGTGTATTGAAACGCCAGTGCCGTGTTCTAACAAGACTCTGTCTAGTGTTATAAACCCCAGAGCGCCGAGATCTCGACGTTGCTAAATGTCTTCCGACAGTCTTTCTCGTGTCTGATCTCCTTCTATGCGTATGTTGTCCCATGAACTCCCAGAGAACATATTTCTCCTAGTCTGTGTTGAGACTAACGGTGTGTTTCTGTCTTGCAGCCTCCCCTTCGGCGCCAAAGTGGGAATACAATACGCGTGGCTTACGTTTGCGCTGATCAATGCTGTTCTATTACTTCCGATTCTCTTGCTGAGCGTTTACGGTCCACGACTAAGAAGTCTCCCATCGCAGTCGCCCCCAACATTTCACAATGAGCTCTGACGAGACAGGAGATTATCCATTGACCGCTCGGGGAGGCATGAACTTTTCCAAGCAGAGGGGTTCTTAGAGCAATGAGGTATTCTCACGCGCAAGTCTGGTCCAGCGACATCGACGATTTAAGAAGTAATCCCTTCTTCCGGACAGGCATGCTGATGCAACCACTTACACTCCCGCATCTGCACTGCGCCTCTGACAAGGGGGCGAGGAACTTCATGGGGTTGGAGGACGAGGAGGAGGCTTTGATGCGTACATGCCTTGCTTTTTCGTAATCAATCCCTTCCCTTCAAACTAACCAAACCCCACTCCCGAAGTCCTCTCCCTCGAAGCCCAGCACCTCCACTCGCACAACGACACCGCTTCCATCACCCTAATAAGTCACATCCTCGAGGGGGCCGAGGGCCTTGCGCGCCACATGCATTCTTCACGCAGCAGAGAAGAAACACTCGAAACGGGTGATACAGGAGAAGGAGAAGGGGACGGCTTACTCCACCCCTTCTGGTACATCAACTACGTCGGCGCCGGGCAGGAAGTGTGGGCTCTTCTGCAGAACAGGGACAGGAAGAACAAGAAGAGGGAGGAAAGCAGCACCGGCGGCTCAATGATGGAGAAGGCGCGGATGGTCAGGGCTTTGTACGATCCGCACCGCGTCATGGAGAGGCGGGTTAAAGGCGGGTTGAAGCTTGGGGTATAATACCTACAGTACATATCAAGTAGGTAGGTGGGAGAATGGGGACGGCTGAGTGCCCAACGAAAGCAGAATCGATAGATGAAATGAGCTCGCAATATTCTTGGTCTGATTCATTGTTCGAGCACCGGCCCTTTTTTTCCTGCCCATAGCTCTAATTTCTAGTATCGTTTCCCCAAAAGTAGATTGCCAAAACATGTGGCATGATCGTCGTTCATGTCAAAAGCCCATATCTCCGTTATCGGGTCGTAAGTCTCTTGAGCACTAATTGCTCCATGTTAGTTCGTCCCTGCACATGTGTATCCAAGGGTCGTCAAAAGTCGTCGATCTCATCCGATGGAGGGATTGCAGTTGACCAAAAAAGCTGCGCTGAATACGTCTGCAATGCCCTTGTCAACGTTTGGGAAGCTTCCACGTGCATCTGTAGCTGCAATTCCAACAGTCAGAATCTCCAGACGCGGGTCGAATTGTCGGTCGGCGAGCATTGTCTGGAGCCCGGCTTCGTGCTTTCTGTGCTCAGGTCTCATTCCTCAGCACAGCCCCCGCACCGAATTGGTCAGCGATTTCGGCCTTGTAGCGAGCGAGGAAGAAGGCCCCGAGACTTTGAAGACGTTCCTGGCAGAAAGCAGTCAGAACGCTGCTTTGCATCGCACTGGATACAGCTCAGGAGACGTTCTGCACCCCGGGGATCCGTACCGCCGAAACCAAGCCCCTCAACCACCCATTCATATCAGTAAGCACTATTGTAACATCCTTCCAGCGCCGCCTGACCCAGTCTTCGACCCCGCGGTCTTTGTACCCCTTCCATCTCGCCCATATGACGAAGAGAAACACCAGACTGGCATCGACCAAAATCTGCCGCACGAGTGCCCAGGCCAACCATTTAAGCCACGTTGATATTCGATAGAATATCCTTCTCCGCCTAGAGGTCAGCTCGGGGGAGAAAGAGGAAGAGGATAGTAAGTGGTTTGCGGATAGTTGCTCTCGCAGTGCAGCAACCTCGGTCGAAAGATGCTTTAGGTGAGAATCAATGCGACTTCGCCAGTCCGGATCAGAAGGGGTTCGTCGTGAAGACAGAGGATCGAGAACCGCATGGGTTACTGGGTCCACCTCTTCACTCTCAACAATCTCATCGCTACCTCGTTGTGATACCGGTGACAGGACTCGCAACTGATTGGTGTCTGAGTTTAATCTGCTCAGGCTTTGGCCTTCCCCTCGTGTACTTTGACCGGGAGGTAGGCTTCCAAAGCTCGTTGTTTGCCTCAGGCCGGCCCGCTCCAGCCGTCTCGTGGGCGACTCTGCATCCTCGCCCTCTGAGCTCCCACTTTGACTTTTGATCTGATTCCAGACAAATTCCAGTTCCGACACGAGCTCACGGGACTCCTGCGTGCCAGAGGCATACTCCTTCATGGTCTCTATTAGCGTACTAATGTACCGTCGTTTCGCTTCGGTGCGGGACATGCCGGCACAAGCATGCCATGCGTCCCATTTCTCAATTTCCGCCTCGGCTTCTCGTACTCGTAGGTCTCGAGATGCATAGCGGTGGACGTTGTTTGACTTTGAATTGTTGGGGTCTGGAGATACGGAGGGCAGGGTCGGACGCGGGAGGATAGATTCGACATCGCCCTCCATGGACTGTTTGTAGAGGCCATAGAGACGTAAGCGGGCGGAGGGAGGCGGTCGTGAGGAGCCGGTTCGAGGCAGTCGGCGAACTGTGGCTAGAGCATGGACAAAGACGCGGTCTGCATCGAAGTAAGACTCTGACAGGGTGCCGTTAGGATATCAGAGATGGAGTCGAGACATACCCACGGAGTCCGACATGGCGCCAACTGCGCCCGAGGCGTAGTTGCCTCTCTAATACAACAGTACCGAAAAGGGTTGGTGCAATGTCAAATCGAAGATGTCATTCAAATGCCCCGTACTGAAGATGATATGCGGAGAAGGCGAACAGTTCAACAGTCGCGTGAGAGGGATGAGACGAATCCAAGTTAGGTGAGAGAGGCAAGACGAAGTAGATGTGATCATCAGTCAACTGGTTGAGTATGGACTTTAAGAGTAAGCCGAAAAGATATTGACACAAGGGAGATTGTATAGCTGAATGAGTGCCGAAGATGGACATGGACGGGATGGCATTTGAAGTGACAATTGGCAGGTGTAGCAATCAATTATTTGATCCTCTCTGCCGTGTCTGGCTGTTCTGGCTGTTCGGGATTCAACGCCTCGGCCTGAGGCTACGGCGCCGCATGTGACCGCCAAGCGTCAATATACACAACAATTCTCACTGGCAATTCTGAATCCAGTCCAGCATCCGCAGTCTCGTCGATCCGCAGTCACTTTGCTCTGCAGCTGCCCATCGCTACCTCCCTCCAACTGACAGTATATCCAGTAACAGTCTACCGCGCTATCCTCCCATCTTCTCTGGCTCCGCCTTGCCACTCAGCTCCGTCCTCTCTTTAACAATCCCGTGCGACGGCTGTTCAGGGTCACTGTGCGCCCCCTGTCGATTTCTGGTCGACTCCTTCGCTGCTTCGCCGCCCATGGAATACTTGCTCAAATCTCCATACTTGATGGTGTTTAGGGCGCTCTCGTGAGAGGCGTGGAGATGCACTCGCGGGACTGCCGACTGCGATAATTGTCCCTTCTGCGCTGCGTCGAATGCTTCCTTCCACCGGTGTGCACAGAGACACCACTTCATTCCATCCTTGACCCCGGCCTCGCGCAGGTTGTTGCCTCTCGAATTTGTAAAATCCAGAAACTCTTGGTTCACTGTGGCTGCCACAGAATGGTTTCCCTTGTCCTCGGGTCCGGTCCTGCAGTATCCATCGCGAAAGAAGCCGGTCGGAGGGTCCTTAGAATGCATTGCCAGCTGCCCACCTGCCACTGAGAGCAAGTCAGTGTGTATTTACGATGCTTGGAGTCAAGACTGCGTACCATTCTTGTTCTTCATCATTTCCTTGCTTGAGCTCTGAGGTGTTCCCGCCATCTTGGATGAGTTGCTGAAATACCGGCTATTGTACGTCTGACACTTTCTACAGTGTCACGAGTTCCAATCAAGGTCCCGATATCACTATGTCTTCACGTGAACGAACCGAGGAAAGAGACATATAACAGCTTCGGAGCCTCGCACCCATTTTACACGCTGGGGCGGACGGACAAGCCTGCGGTTATGAAATCATGACGTTTTCCGAAGTGTTTACATCACTAGCAGGTGAGACACGATCTCCAGATCCGAACTCATTGATGACAGCATGACTTGTCGGTTTTGGTGTCTTCAGCACAGCGAGGAAAGGAGACATAATATGCAAATTCTCACTTTTGCATTGTCTTGTCTGTGCGAGAAAGCAACATCTCTAAGCCTCGCTGGCTGGCTCAAGTTCACTGTGCAGCAACAGCGTTTGCCGATAAGATAAGAGCTTGTGCGGAATCAGTATCCGTCAAGAACTTGTGTTCGGCAGGCGGCTTATATTCCGGTTTATGTGCCTGATGCGCATCGTATTCCTTATATACAAGGCACGACCTTGTGTATTTCCTCCCCACATCATCGAACATAACCATGGATAACACGGACAGTCCCTCGGTGGAACCCACGATACCAAGATGGCGCTTCATCTTTTTAGAACGGAGTCTCTCTCTCCTCCCCGGCAAACACACCTCGGCAATGTATCCGGGGCTGCGGATAGACACCGCGGGGAGATCAACGGGGCATTCTCCTCAATTTCGGCTCAGGTCGTTGGTGCACTAGTTATGTCCGTTGACGGCAGTGTCGATCCGTCCTTTTATCCCCAGATCTCGCGAGGGGATTGCATCGCCTGGAAACCATGTTAAAGACACCAGTCTCCCCTAGACTTGCCACCACACAGCTCGCTAGCATTCTTTCTCTCCGAAAGTGTAATTGAACAGACAAGGCCACAACGAATTGGTCGTTGCTATGCTCAACAGGCATGGCTCACGAAAAGATGAAGCTTCGAATGAAGATGTCATGATCCCTATCGCCGTGGATGGCGCTGTCGAAGTTCCTGCTCAGAGTGTACCTCTTCAAAACGACCCAAGACACCCGCCAGTACCCGATGCCGACGGTATTGAACATCGCTACTTGACGTTTGAAACAGACATCCCACTGAACCCGGTACTACCGTCTGGAGTGAAGCATGAGCTCCCGCCCTGTCCAAATCTGCGCGACTACGACAATCCTTTTACCTGGTCACTGACCCGGAAGAAGCTCATGACCTACCTTTCTTGTTCAGTAAACATCACAGCCGCCTACTCCGCCGGTTCTTATGCATCGCCGACAGCTCAGCTGACCGAAAAGTGGGGGATCTCTGCTGTGGCATACAAGACCGGAATTACGATCTTTACCGCCGGGTTTGGAGTGGCTCCAATGGTGCTGGCACCATTCTCGGAGATAAATGGAAGGAGACCTGTCTTCATATTTACTGGTATTCTCTTCGTCATATGTCAGATTGGCTGTGCAGTGACCGATTCATTCGCGGGGATGCTACTGGCTCGATTCTTCCTCGGCGTTGGAGGGTCCACCTTTTCCACCATGGTCGGCGGCATTCTCGCAGACGTTTGGGTGACAGCTGACCGCAATGGGCCTATGGTCCTTTTCACCGGAGCAACCTTGTTTGGTACCGGTCTAGGGCCTCTCGTGTCCGGTTTCGTTGCACAACGCACCTCATGGCGTTGGGTGTTCTGGATACAGGTCATCACCAGTGGCACCTTGGTCAGTCTTGTCACCTGTTTCTTCAAGGAAACGCGCGGTAGTATCATTCTCAGTCGCAAGGCAAAGATCCTGAACAAATGGTATGAGCAACTGGAAGCCGCAGGAGCACTCGGAATGGAAGTGGAGGGTGGTAGCATCGATCCGGAAAAGAACGCAAAGAGGTATTGCCGGATCCGGTGGAAGGTAAAAGCAGATGAAGATAGATTGTCGCTCGGCAGGATGATCGCGGTCTCGCTTTATCGACCTATTCACATGCTGTTCACGGAACCTGTGGTCTTTTGGTTCAGCCTCTGGATTGCCTTTTCATGGGCAGTGCTGTACCTGCAATTCGGGTCAATCCCTCTAGTCTTTGAAGTCAATCACGGCTTCAACCTAGAACAAACCGGAGCAGTATTTACAGCCATGTGCATCGGAGCCATCATTTCCACAGTCCTCAGCATCTGGCAGGAGAAATGGGCTGCAAAGCACTACCCGGTCAAGATCAACGGCAGCCCAGAGGGCAGGCTGATGTTCACATGCATCGAGTCAGCCTTCATGCCAATTGGCTTATTCTGGTTCGGCTGGACATGTTACTCCTCCATCCATTGGATTGTGCCTACAATTGCCGTCGGGGTCGCGACAATGGGCATCTTCAGCATCTTCCTCGGAACCTTCAACTACACAGCGGACTGCTATCATATGTATGCAAGCTCGGCTCTTGCAGCTTCAGGAGTTTGCCGAAACCTGCTGGGCGGATCGTTCCCACTGGTAACGAATCAGCTATTTACGAACCTTGGTTTCCAGGCTGCGAGCAGCCTTTTGGGGGCCATCGGGCTCGCATTGACGCTTGTGCCTTGGGTGCTTGTCCTTTATGGACCAAAGATCAGGGCCAGGAGCAAGATTGCGAGTTCGTTCACATGAAGCGTGCTTGCTGACTGCGAGATGTGACTTTAGTGACTGGATGTGCTTCAGATTGAGGCTACACCCAACCAGTTTTCCAGGAAAGAGGCCCGGAGCTCGAGCTCCATCTTTGCGTCCAGACGGTATCACGGCCGACCGTGATCGCGAACAAAGGCAACTCTGCCAAGCCGGGCCTTCTGACCTCGTCCCCTCACGCCCCCTCTCTCCCTCTACGGTGCACATATGCCGTTTACATATATGTACCCCGGATCTAGAGAGTTTAAAAAGACATCCGGATGGCCTGGCCTGACAATCCTACGAGTAACGTTTCAGACATGGCGAGATTCCATGTGGGAAGCAATCAAATCTCAAGGCCCAAAACAACAGCACTTCTGCCTAATCAACCCCTGTCGCGACAGGGAGCGTACACACGGCGAGCACGGGTACTCGGCACCTACGAGTAGATACATGTCTTTTGGCCCCAACGGGGTCCCATTCTCCTACAGGATTGGGCGCCCCGGCATCTGTATAAGGATGGTGACGCATTTTGCGGGGTTACATAGGCTAGAGCATAGCTACTACACGCGACCCTGAGCGACTTTGACGACGTTTGCAAGTGTCAATGCAACTGCAAGTGCGGATTGGGCTCTAGCAAGAAAGAGACACAACTGATTCCATCCATCAGAGAGCTTCGACAGCGACTTTTTACAGAGACATAACGCTCTCAAACGAACAATGTACCTGCACTCAACACTGGAGGTCCTAGGCTTCTGGTTCAGCCTCGTGGTGCTGGCGGCGCTGGCATACTCGTACGAGCAAGAAGTCATCGGTGGCGTCGGTGGTGGGGAGGACGTCGCCAGCACCACCGGAACCAGCAAATACAACCTCACTCTCCATGTAAGTAGGAAGAAGAACTCTACGTTGGGTTACAAGTTCCGTGGATATGCAAATCTAGTCTTGTGCAACCTGACCCTTTTTCTCAAAAAGTTCGACGACCTCGCCACCAACGCCTCAGGTATCGGCTACGATCCCCCCTCGAACAGCACGCCCCTGCACTGCTCCGACCTGTACTTCCAATCCTTTTCCGTCGTCAACGTCGCCAAAGCCCACCAGCAGCACCGCCTCCCCGACCCTGTCGACCTTTTATGCGCCACGTCGGCGCCCAACGCTTTGTTCGCGCACCGTCGCCCCGGTCCAGACCACCCCTGGCCACGCTTCAGTTTACACCCACTCACAAACCCGTCCCTGGCCCGAGACCCCAATGTGACGTTTGACATGATTAGCATGTCCGTCTCGCCCACGGGCAACATCCCTCAGGACGCAATGGTCATCGTGTGGTTGAATCTCCTAAAGCTACCACCGAACCTCAATAACGTCCCCAGCGAAGGAGGCGGTCGGGCGGGTCGTCTCCCATTCCCTGAACTATCGCGTGGCGCCCCCGGGTGGCCGGAGGGCCGTCTGTACCAGTTAATCGCCTTCTTCGGCCCCGGACCCCATCCGAGCATGAACATTGAATGGGGGCGGTTCCGGAGACAGATCCCCAGGATGGGGACAAAAGTCGACACGTTCGAGATGTACGCGCAGTTCTTTGAGAGGAAGGGCCCCAGTGAGCCGTACCTCGAAAAGGGGGATTGGGAGGTGTGTTTGGATGATGTCGCTGTGGAGATTGCGAGGAAAGTAGGACGTGAGAAGGATGACGAGGACGAATACCCCCGAGGAGGGAGTTCCGAAACCGAGCTAGGGAGGATGTTTCTGTTTGCTGGTCAAGACGGCGACTTCATTGATGATCAGGAGAGGGGTGAGAGGCTGATGAGGGAACTGGGCCTGTAACCTAACCCGCACTGCCCGTGCGAACATACAAAGATGGGTACCTAGGTATATCAGTCAGCAATTACAGAAGGTACAAAAAAAGGGATACAACACGCGCTCGAATTTGTGGCATTTGTCCTCAGAGGGCAGTCGTATCTCATTACACCCCAGGTTCCTAATAATAGCGAGGACCATAATCCGTACCTACCATTGCCCGGCGTCTATATAATTGATCCGCCAATACCTACCTAGGTAGCTATCTAGGTAGGCACTGTAGGTGATTGGGCGTGATACACTCTCTCTCTCTCTCTGTTTGGTTTGTTTGGCCCCCCGAAAAACGGCAGTGGGGAAAAGGAAGGTATCAGGTCTATTCTATTCCTGACAAATACGTCGGGGGCAGAACCAAAGATAAAGACGTTGAAGCGGGAAAAAAAAAGGCATACAAGTAGATGTATAAAACGAAGTCAGATGACTTCCGAGCAACCGACAAAGTGGTATCTATATGTACCCTACTGGTGATCTAGCGAGTAAGTTAGGTGTACCTATTGTACTTCAGGTACACATCAAAGTGCCAGCCACGGCTCATTTTTTGCTTTTTTGAGAGACGCTTTCCGGTGTGTCAGGATCCGGGGCGCTCAGGTCAAGAAAACCTGGAAGGTATCAATTACCATGGTTTTCGCAGAATTTGTCAGGGGAAGAATTCCTTCCCCCCTTCGGATCTGATAATGGATACAAGTTCTTATTCCTGAACGTTCGGGTCAAAATCTCAGACAAAGCAGAACGGAGGGGTGGGCGAATTGGAGGTAATGTATCTTCTGTGGCAGAAATGCTTTCCGCTCTCTTAGATAGTTGCTCGTTATAACGGGGTATCGATCGCTTTCCATAACTTTACAAGACCCAAACACAACCACTCAACATCCGTACAGTCCTCCACAGAGGCAACTCCAGGTCGCGGGGCCCAAACCTCTGACCGACCCCGATGCCCCATCGTTCTCGTCCCACAACGCTTTCGATTTCATTACAGCTCGGCGCGGCCGAGCCGAAGTATGCTGGAACCGATCCACGGTTGTTGTTTTTTTGGTAACCTGAAACAAAGTCGTCCACTCATGACATTTGTCGTCAGCCCTTGAACGCCGTTCTCTAGCCCATCTAATATGCCGCATGTTGAATGACCCCAAATGCGCCACTCCCGTCCGTTGCGCGACTCGACGCAGATCACCAAAACAGTCGTCTCTGCATATCGTTTGTGAAAAAGCCGGTATCAACCTCCATTGGCCCGCTCTCCACGCCCATGGCATTGGCCATCCCGTTCATGCCCATGCCGTTGTTCAAGTTCTGCGCCTGTGCCCAGCTTGAATCCGCGAAACTCTGTAGCAGCATGGCTTCTGCACCGATGCCCACGCCATTGACGTTCGGACTTGAGGTGTTGTTATTGGGCGAGCTATTGTTGGATAAGAACGACGACAGGGCTTGCCAGTTGGGTGTTGATGTTTGGCTTGGGCCTGTTTGTTGTTGCTGGGTGCTTGAGGTTGTGGGGATATTTGGTTGAGACAGGGAATGACTAGGTACGTTCACCGGGGTGCTGGCTCCACTACGGTAAGAATCTGTGCTCATAGAACGGAAAGGACCGGACTGAGAATGCCCGTGGCGGTGGCCGTGGTGGGAGAGATCGACGGATCCAGGACGCGAGTGGCTCGCCGAGTTCAACGAGTGGAGGGGGTTATGGGAGTGACCGTCGTCAATGGAATTTCGGAAAGAAGATTGACTTTGTCCGTTAGAACCAGAATGCAAAGCACAATCCTCCTGCCATTTGCGGATATTGTCGACGGTATCAAGAGGGAATGACTCCCAGTATTCAATCCCGGTCTTCTTGTTCAAGACTGGGGGACTACTCCTCATCGTGTGAGGTCCGGGAGACGGCGAGTCACGAGTTTTCAGACCGAGGATGTTGAGGTTGGTTGAGGGACTTGCACTCAGAGAATCAGTTGCGCATTTTAATTGCTCGGTTGAGATAATGGGCAGCAGGGCGAGAAGCAGTGATTCAGCTTCATGAAGACGGTGCTCTAGGCCTTCGATGTAGCCCTTGGCAGGACCTCTAAGATGGAGCGTTAGTACCATGCTGGACACGCGAGAGAGAGTTGGGGTTAGGGATCGACTAGGTAGCACATTGGGCTGGGCTGGGCTTACCTTTTTCTTTGCTCAGGCCATGTACACTGAATGCCTGCAGCGTGACATTGTGAGCAGCCGGACCTGTCAAGGAGCACAAAGTCAGTTCCACTGCCTACTTCACATCTTTTACTGACAGTGCAAAGTGAGGTACATAAACAAACAGCCGATTCCCCAGTCGTGGGCTCATGTGCAAGGCTTTTGGTGGTTGGCCAACCTGGCCACGATGATGGACAATTGGTGGATGTGGGAGCTAGACCCCGACTTCAAATCATTGTGCCAAAACGATTTAGCCAGCAACAATGTCCCCGCGAAAATGACTGGAGGTAAGATTCTGGGGTAAGAAGGGACTGATAACTAATTCCTGGGTATAAAAGCGAGGCTCGTCCTCCATCTGTTTCGAATTGTCCTTTGACACCGTTTTGGTGAAAAGAAAAAAGGTCGAACTCACCGATCACCGCTGCACTGTTGACCCAAATCAAGTCAGCATAGGTCTTTGGATGATTTAATGTTGAGCCAAGATGGTCGATCGTCCTATGCGACCTTTACAATAGCAAAAGAGGTAGGTCCGACTCTCAGTAGAGAGTGATTGTGGAGAACTCTTCAGCACAGAGCTGTGATGACTACGTACCTTTTGTTTCTTCGTCCGGCACCCGTTGCAGGCACCGCTTATCCGAGTGGGCATGTTGATGGATGTGAATAGGGAGGAATGTTCAACACACGCAGCCTTGAAGGTCTTGATGGATGATGATCGACGAGGCCGTGGGTTTCTCCCAGACTTAAAGGGATGATGTCGAAGTAAGAGACGTTCGAATCAGGTTTGTTGGTGCTCCAGCGCTGATTATGGCAATCCCAGAACCAGAGAAGCTCGTTCTTGGGTAAGGTCGGAGTAATGCGGAGTCAGGTGAATAACCTTCGTAATAATCCAATTGCGTAACTGTGCCGACGAATGGCAGGGCTGGCTTCTGCTTTTTGGTGAATATAGGAAGCCCTGACTAAGTGTGTGCTTTGCCGAGCGGGAGGATTAGGTTGGCGTGGAACAACCAGCTGCAACCTGGGGGCTTCTGCCCCGACAATAAGTCCGCAGGACTTCTTCCTGGATCACGATGACCCTCGGTACACAAGACAGCCTGGGCGATGCACAGCGCAGCGTCCGCAGCCCTCCGTACTCGTTATGGGCTGGTGTTTGTCAAGTTTGTCAGTGATCTAGTGGTACCGTGGCGCTGCAGGTGTGAAGGGTTCTTCGGAGCCTGATATCCGATGCAGGCAATGGGAAGGAGACCTGGGTTGGTAGATAGAAGACGCGAGAGTGGATTGACGAGCTGGGATATTGATGGTTGATATAGAGCCTCGACTCAATTAGCCAGATGATGTATCAGTATGCCGCCGCTTGTAGAGGACAGGATGATGCGACACAATTTCCGCATACCCGTGTGAAGTTTACTCCGCCCCTTATGTCACCAAGAATGGGGTGGGAAGAAGTCTTGGTATATACACGAGGCCCAACAGGCGTGACGAGTGAAAAAAAGAAGAGATCACAGTTCAGGGATGATGCCCGGGCAATAGTTCGGACGCAGATGGTAGAGCAGATGGTAGATGCGTGGCTTTTGGGGGGCGGACGCTGAACAGGGCGGGAAGCTTACGCTCGGATCAGGACGTTTCTTCTGGAGGATTGTAGACGCGGATATCAGTCGGCCAGGCTGTTAGGGTGTATCATTGGGTCGTCTGATGGAGTAGAGGGTAGAATCGGTCAGGGAGAGAAGGACGAGAGGAGTTGCGTCATCGAGAGGAGGTTGTAGGGACAAGTTCGAGAGATGCCCTACCTCGTACTCGAAAATGGTGGCGGTCTGTGCGAGGAACGGGTAGTGAGCAGGCCCGAAAAAGGGCGCATGAAATGTTACAGTGGTCTTAACGGCGAGGTCGACTGTGGTGCCGACAGCCAATCTAGATCGAACGGTGACCGGACACCACTGGCATAGACCAGAACCACAGGCAAGCCCTTCGAATGGCAGTGGCCCTAACGGAGCAGGGAGATGCAGCAGGGGAGCAAGTTCGCTAACATCAGCGCTGACTCAAGGGGAGGGTGGATGGAGTTTGTGGGCGAGGGCCAGACCGAGAGGACCAAAAGGTACGGAGGGCACCCAGGGGTAACCTCGTAGGGGGAGAGAGAGGGAATTGCAGAGGGAGGTTTCCAACACAAGTCTAAGCCTGATGGAAGAAAGCGTGCCGGGAAATGAGCGATGCAGGAACGCAACAAAAGAGACGCAGAGGCAAAGGTCGGAGAGCAAATCAGTTTCGCAGGTACAGCGCCTTGTGAGAAAATGGTGGATGGCGACAAGGTCGAAGTACGGGAAAGGCAGTTCGTGGCTTGTTCTGACCCCCCCCCCCGAGAGTGGCCCTTGGTGGGTGGCTCTTGGTGGTTGTGTAGGCTCTATTGGCTCCCAGCTGCATGCCTGGAGTAACGTTCTGCCGGGCACCGCCCCGCCGCCTGGGCAGCATTCACTTAGGTACCTAGTAGTACTTGGGTGAGGCGGGCAGTATTTGTGATGGCACTGACGGGGAGAGTCGGTGCCAACCTGGAATGCATGCCCTCGGGCCTCCAGGACCAGGAAGCCTCCTGCTCACCACCAGCACTACCTACGAACTACCTAACTACCTACAGGCCTCGTGCGAGCCTGCTCCGTGCGAAGCTGCGGGCGCCCCGACGTCATTCCGCTGGCTCCTGTGGTGGCTCCATACTCTGTACCAGCACGCACTCCACCTCTGACCTGAATTACCTCCAGATCTTCGATTCAAGAAGCACTAGCTATCTTCTCGTCCGCGTCTCGGTTTCCTCCTCCACTTACGTATCTGCTGGTAATCTACAGTATAGGTAACCGTCGCGTCTGTTGCGATCCAATTTGCATACATCCTCCGTCCTACCACACATGTGACAATCACAACACCATTCCAACCTCACCTGCCGGATTTCCGAGGTCAGACTAGACAAGAACAGAAGTCTTCCCTCCCCAAGGCGTCGGGTACCGACGGGAAACTCCAATGGTCACCAGTCTGCAGATCCTGCGAAGAACTTCCTGATACAAGGTAGATTCATACTTGGAGTAACCTGGCCTGTGGCAATTGTCCCGTATCTTATCTCACGCAGATCCCAGTCTCTTTGATTTGCGCAGCCTTCAGCACCCCTTCTATCCGTTGTCTGGTTGAGAACAAAGGCATGGCCTTGGCCTTGAAGCGAATTCCGTTCCCCTCGATATCCGGTAGTTCACTGTTTGTCGGCGATGGCTTTTTCTTGTGCGGCTCCGGCCTTTAGTACACGCAATCAGAACCGCAAATCAGTCATGGCCAAGATCCATATCGTATAGCCGGTGCCTCTCCTGCGCGGCCATGAAGGGCTCAGGTCAGGAGGAGACACCTCGTTTCTTGATCCCCGAGAGAATCTGGGCGCTACGGCTCCAGTTTGTGATTTTGACCCTGGGAACATCTCACATCTCCGTTGCCACGGCCTCGGAAGCCATTTGATTGCCAGGAAACTCGTCTTCCAGCGGACCGCTCACATTGGAGCTGTCCGACTGCACTCGCGTAGCGTTCTGTTGCGTGTTGGGCAGAATCCGGCTGTTTCGCGAAACACAGTTGCTTCGGTGAGTCATTGTTCTTCAGCTGAGATCATTCGGTGCTGCAGAGAAATCCCTTTTCGAGGTGTCATGCATTGCCGATATCGAATGGATTGCATATCAGCTTTTCCCCCTCCTCTTCTCTCCCTCATCACATCCTAGGTGAGTGAGGGGGCACGACTAGGTTGTAGAACATCCAGATGAATGTCCGGATGTGTCTCTGATGTGTCCGTCGGTGGTAACGCAGGTGGCAGAACATTGCTTGCGGCGCGTCGACTGACTGGAAGGTTGTCTGCGGGAGGAGACGGGCGAGGCAAGACGAGACGAAACACACAAGAGGTGAGTTGAACGAAGATGAGTATATATGGCGGAGCTCGTGATGCGATGCGGCGCGATGATTTGGGGCAGTGATATGAGCAAGGTTCGGTCGAGCGTGGCAATGGCTGAAGGTTGGTTCAGCTGGGATTGTCTTGAGTGAAGCGGGCTTTCTTTCAGGTAGAGATGATGTCTTTTCTCCTGCTCACGTCTGCCTATTTCTAGTGACCTCCTCGGTCAGATCTGAGAAGATCAAGATACTCTCACCTGAAGATCACAGTGGAAAGAGAGTGACAATGGTGCTTGGGGTCGTGCTCATGGTTTACAGGTCTTGTCGTCTGGGAGGTCACGCAACCATCGTAAGAGGCCGCCCAATCAGGAACCATGGGGGAGAAAACAAGGAACTTCCCCAGGCAGTGTTGCGCAAGCCGCCATTGGACCCTGTGCCTCGATCAGACTGGCTTGCGTGGAGCGTGGCTTGACTGCCGAGCTGCATAGCCCTTTCCAGGTTCTTTCGCCATGAGGCACAAAGAGATCAGCTAGGTGTAATTACTTGGTAGCGTCGACGCAATGCCCACCACTGCAGGGCAGGGCCAGGCGACAAGCAACAAGCCACACGCCACACGAGGCTTGGACCCTCGCTACGTCTCACACTCCAGACAAAAGCTGAAGCGACAGACGATTGGTCGGCAGAACAATATACCGGACCACTCTGCTCTGGCAAGCCACTCACTACCGACAATAACCACATTACTGTGGCATCCCTCCTTGCATTCATTTCCAGGGTTGATGATCGTCGCCCTTGCATGCATCCCAGCTGCGACTGGCCTACAACCCTAGTTCGAGGAAGGCCAGGCCAGGGTTGACTAGGTATGTGGGTAGAATTATCCCAGTGATCCGAAAATATGGTCGCCCTCTCGCATCGCATGCAGATGCCAACGAGCCCGAAAAGAAATGTCCGACGCGCCACAGCCACATCTTCAGCCTCAGGGGAGGGTCTTTTGATATCTCTCTCTCTCCCCCCCCCCCCTCTCTCGTTCAATGGCTGTAGGAAGAAGAATCGTGAATTCCAATCGTCGCTCTCTATCATACTATCCTGTCCTACGGAACGAGGCCTTGATACACCCGTTGGCGCACGGACTTGTCTACATAGGGCATGTAGAAACCGATTGAGTGGGTTGGGTTCCTGGCGTCTACGTGGTATGGTATGGAGATTACTGCAGATAGGCAGCTCGGCAGGACCCCTGTAGATACTAGCATACTAGCATCAGTTACTGTATGTACCTACCTGAACTTCCCTGCGTATGTACCTCGTAGATACATACATCCGTCCCCATAGAAAGGTGGAGGTCTTCACCCACGCACTCCGTAGATACCTATCTACAAGGAAACAATGCATAAAACGGGGGTGGGTGGGGGTGCACACTCGACCCCCGGCATAAGGCTGAAGCAGGAGGCTGAACGTTGAGGCACATGGAAACTACCTACCTATACGAGTCGGCTCACCTAAACCATGCGGTTCCCAAACGCACTGGACGCTGGCACTGGCACTGGCACTGACTGCCAGGTCTCCGGACTCTGATCGTTATCGGTGTCGACGAGGCTACGGGGGTTACGTACATGTACATTCCTCCCTCAATCCATCTGTACTTACCTGGGTAGGGTAGTGTGGCCTGACTTTCTCTCGTGCAATCCCCCCCTACTAGGTATCGGTGCCATTGCTTGGGCGACGTCATCAATTTTATCAGGAATAACGAGAAGGAGCCGCAAGATGCGTCCGTGAAGCCCAAGGGTTGAGTCATCCTGTTGATGGGTGCGTGGACGCGCGGAATATGGATTTCGATGTTTATTCATCCTCCGTTTTGTCCAAATCACTATCTTTAATTATCTTAGTTTCTCGTCAACCATGCTGTAGTTTCCCAAAATCACAGATCCTTCTTGCTCGCCTCAGCATACCCAAAAGAGAAAAAGCCCACTCTATTAGTTGTCGCTTGCATTGAGATCAAATACACATCATGACATCTTCCTACTCTTGGCTTTTTCTTCCACAGGGTAGGTGGACTGTTCACCCAGGGAATCCAGCATTCCCCATTGACCCGGCTCCTACATTAGCCATGGGGACTTCTTCCTTCATGCCAGGCGGACCCTGCCCATACATCAAAAACTGCAGCCCCAAATACACATCACAACAAGCCTGGAAGATGCCGCACAGGCGGAACGGCCAGGGTATAAACTCCTTGCTGAGGAAGAAATAGCTCATTTTCATGGTGTCGCCCGCCAACCAGTTGATGATGACGGAGAGCCGGAACCCTTTGCAAGACCGGGCTCGGTGGTTTTTGAGGATTTGTGGGACAGGGAGGATGGCTTCGACCGCGAGCCCGAAGTAGCCGAGGAAGGTGACGTAGAAGGGAGTCTGGGAAATAAAGGGGAGGAAGAGGTGGATGAAGAGCAGGGTTGTGGTGAAGTACGCGAGGAAGACAAAGTACCTGTTTCCCGTTGTCTTCTGTTAGCATCCCCGGCCATGGACGGGAGCAGGAAAGCCAAAGGTAAGAGCTTACGGCTTTGTGGCATTCCACTGCCAGAACCCAAAGGGTCTCCTCCCCTCCGTCAAAAAGTCCATCAACATGCCTTTGTTTCCTGGGGTGTTATGCGTATACCCGTGAAATGGTGTATGATGCACTCCGCCTTTTTCGCTCCCACCGGATGGGGCTCGGTTGTCTAGTGCGACCTTCAAGAGGATGAGTTGCACGACGATCATGAGCGAGGCCTGGATGAGGAGCGATTTGTCGTAGTAGGCGCCAAACCAGTAGAAGACCCTACGCGACAGGTGATGCCGTCAGTCCCAACTTTCCTCATATCACGTACATATAGATAGCGTCCACGGCGCAGGAGCAGTAAGAGGAAGAGAAGGGCGCGTACTTGAGGATCGACGCAACCAGCATGATGAGAGGGATATCGAGGGAGAAGCCATCGCACGACTTTTTCCGGTGTATCGATGCGATTTGATCGGCGTAGGAGGTGATGGGCGACAAGACTAAACTGTTCCGCAGACATCAATCAGCCCGAACGTCTCCGCACACCGGTCTTCTGGTAAGAGGACTCACAATATGGGCGCGAGATAGTCCACGAGCAACTGGACTAGACCCCACATCTTGTCGATGTCTAGCCAGGCCGGCAAGGAGATTGAGTGACCTTCTACATCAACCCCCATTGTCTCGGTTCAGCCAAAGAAATTCCGGGATGAAAGGAGGTGGACTACGCTGCCCCCAAAAGGACATACACACCTTCAACAAGACATATGTTTCGAGGAGGGAGAAATGAGGGAACGGGCACAGTCAGCGTCGGGGGACACCGCAATTGAAGTCTGCGATTACTGGTGATGGACACATCCGAGAGATCCTGAACTTGTGCACCTGTTGTTCAGGAACAAGTAAAGCGCTGGGTTAAGATGAGCGTTGTGATTGGCGGAACAGAGGAAGGACCATCCGTTCTCCGAGGTCACGTGTGGCCTTATAGATTTCCCAGATTCCCTTGTTCCACTCGTACTCGCTCCTTCTAATATGGCTCTTCTGATCCAAATCTTCTTGGTCAAGTATGTTCGCTCGCTTTTGTACGTCTCATCATCGTATCTTTGTTCTGGGAAGCACTAAAGGTGAGCTATCACTAATCAAGGTCTCTGAGAGAGATATAGATGTCTGCGCCTTGTTGGTGGCCAGGTCTTGTTGCTCTCAATACTTGACATTGTACACAGACTCCTCCAGCACAGTCCTTTGTCATAGTGTCATACATCAGCTGGTCAAGTCATCTTCGTTCTCTGATTGCTTATTCTACGTCGTTGGATTGCCTCTATCGCAGCGGGAAATGCTCATGGAGGATATTGGTTTCCTCCTAGAAATGAACCTAAAGTCTCGCCATGTCTTTACATCAAACGCTTTATATAGCGCTGACCAGTCCAACCGACCGGTTTCATGATCTCAAGGTACCAGTGGTGATAAGCGAGCGCACATATTCGACTAGCCGCCCAGATGGCAAGACGTTTACGCTAGAAGCTGTTCGATACTTGTCCTGGGCCAACCACAGTGCTTTCCAAGCAGCCATCAGTTGTACAATGCCAGAAGTATACCCTCGGTGTTACAAACTACTCGCCCGCATGGGCCGAAACACAAAATATGGAAATCGTGTGGGAAAGCAGCGGTTCGGTGCTCGTAACGTGGATAAATTGTTTTGCCACGGGCGGGTTCGGCAGATTTTCGACTTCAAGGCCCCCGCGCAGTGTGGCAACCAGTCAACGGCTCGTTCACTAGCTTGGAGCATACTCGTAGGATAGATCATCGACCTCTTCGAACGCCCTGATGTCAAAGTGGAGAGCGCAGACCACCACGCGCTGTTATCTTTCGGCCCAAAATACAGTTGGCAGCCGCATTTTTGGAGGCGTCGAAGCGGATGAAAGACGCAAGAGACTAGGGTTGGTTGCCACAAAGATGCAACAGATATATAACAGCGAAGATGAGCTTGCCGTTGGTGGTACCCCGGCATGGGCGAGATCGCCTTGCACAACGCTTAGCGAGTCTGGTTCGATCGGTCGGCGTGCGGCTCAAACGCGTTGCCGATTGTCATGTCCAATTGGCCCTTGTCTATCGACGCCCCAGTTCCTAGCGCGATGTTGGCGGCAAGGCGCCCGGCCGGGGGCCTGGTCTCGCTGGGTAGTCGTTGCCCGGTGGCTTAGTCAAAGCCACAGCCTCACCAAACCTCGCGCAGAGGATGATCGATAATGCTTTGATGTTTCGATGAGCCGCCGAGATCAACACCTGCGATCGGAGCGAGAAGTTTGGGGGCCAGCGGCTCTCTCGCAGTACAAATTGAAGCACAACCAATGCATTGGCTGCTTTCACAATCCGCCTCACAGACTTTAAACACTCACAAGACGGCAAGGCCTCGTCCCGCGTTTCAGCCCCTGATTTCCTTTAGTGTACCAATCGACTGAGCACGCAGGTACCTAAGGCGATATCAGGCTATCTTCTATGCTTTAGGGGCGGGACGAGCACCGGGGTGAGCGAATGACTCCACCGTATAGTGAATTCATTTGTCTCACAAGGGCTGCGAGCCGTGCTCTTGAAAGCCAAAACGACCCTAGTTCTGGCCAGGCTCTAATTGAAACCAGAAAAAACTGCGGCCAAGGTGCAGCTAACTGACACACCCCGGCTCGACGTAAAACAACAGGACCCATAGTTCCCGTGTTGGAGATGGGGAATCCTCGTCGAGCTTGGGCTCCCAATATATGCTACCGATGGGAGCCTCACGCACCTCGAACATCCGAACTTCTGGCGCCAGTACTTCTCGCACCCTGTCAGCGGTGTCTTCTTTCTGTCAAAGCCACTCTCCATGATCAGGCTTCGACAATAGAACCAAAAAAAAGCTCTGCCTCTCATTTCAGGCCTTCATCATGAGCTCGACTGCTCAAGATCAACAAAACATCTTCCTCAACCCGCCAACTAACGGCGTCAACAATGACTTCACCCTAAATCCCACATATGTTCAAGGTTCCACAATCACGCTGCAATGGCAGACGACGTACCCAGCGACCGACCTGGTTATTTGGCAGAATAATAACCCAGACAGTCAGCTGTTGGCAGGTAAAGAAATCCCTTTTTTAAACCTCTCCGATATTGAAATCTTGTAATTTGCTAACAATATCGACATAGCCGACATCACGACAACGAGCCTCAGCTGGACTGTAGGGACCGGGGAAAACCCGCCGTTCGACCTGAGCAATGGCACCGTCTTTTTCTTCCAGATGTACAATTCGTCGACAACCACATTTTTCAGCAGCCATTATTTCAACGTCAGCGATCCGTCACTGGCTTCGGCCTCAGCTACAGCGTCCTCGAGCACCACAACAACATCCCTCCCTGCTGCAATTTCCTCGACGCAAGCACCGACTTCGTCGCAAGGCGGTAATCCATTGAAAACCTCGGCGATCGCCACATCATCTGCGACGACCACGCCGACCTCATCCGCAGATTCCTCCTCCGGCCATGGCGACAGCAGTAACAGCAAACTCGGGGAAGGCCTAGGACTCGGCATCGGCGTGTGCGTGCTCCTGATTGCGCTTGCCGGGCTGTTGTGGTACTTCTTCAGACGCCGCGGCAGATCGCAACACGCGCCGAGCAAAACCGACCTGCTGCAACCCGAGACCACCTCTGTCTACCCCCAAGGCGGCGGCGCGGGCTACGATCCTCGCCCCTCACCATACCACAGATACGAGCTTGGCTCAAAGGAGCCCTCGACACAAGCAGAACTGGACGGTGGCGGCACCATGAAGGCCGTATAATACCGCGCACACACACACATATTCGGAACCCCTTGATGATTCAATTCGCAGACACGCCGAAAAGAGATGAACTGGACGTCGACCAAGATCCGCATGTACAGATAGAAGGACACTTTGTATATGAGCTTACCCACCTATATACCCTTTTTCTATCGATCGGTTCCAGAACCCGGCGCGGTGTTCGAGCTTTCTCGAGAATGAATTCAATCTTGTTACCCCCTTGAACGCGGTAGCTAGCGCTGTTATTCGACGCCAGCTGGGTGACTGGTCACCATGGGCGGGCGGGCAAGCAAGCTGTATACCTACGTGCCTCTGGGAACGTCTGGGTCACCCCGGCAAGGCGGGGGCCGGGCTTGGGCATATGTCCTAGCTCGTCAGCATCAAACTGATGCGTTCCGGATCGAGGGGTGTTGGACAAGATATATAATAGGCTCTGTAGAATCTCCAGGCATCCCCAGATTGCCAGGATACTTTGTTGGCTCTATGTGGGCGCGAGCACGAGGTATATCGTGTTCATTCATTCCTTCTCTGCCGTTATGCCATGGATTCACCCCATCTATTTTATATTTTGTGTTCGTATTTGTACATAGACGCTTCGTTTATTTACAATTCACTCTTTGGGCCGGAGCCCGAGCTCGCACCGCTCCCGGGGAAGTTCACACTCCAATCGACGCCAATGCCCATCCCGGGATTCCTGACCACGGCCCAAGCGGCCTTGTTCCCAACTGCACCGTGATAGCTTATTTCGACCTTCCTGTCCCCCTTGACGCCGTCTTCTGATACGACGAGTTCTCCAACGGATGACCACGCAGCGGGCGCGTTGACCACGATGATCTTCTCAACCCTGACCTCCTTCATGGCCTTTAGGTATGCGGCGGTCTTTGCACCTTTGGTCGTGCCAATATCGCTGCTCTGTAGGATCCCATCCCCGAATGTGAATTTGCGGTGGATGTACGCACCCTGCTGGTAATCAAACGTCTCGCCATCATCCACATAGAGCGTTCCCTCGGCTTTCTCGCCGTGCTTATCCAAGACAACGACAAGAGTGTATGGATCCCACTTCATCAACCCGGAACTCTTCCTCGGTCTGTCTTTCCGGGGGATGATATGGCCGCCTTGCATGAGCAAGGGGATCTTGTCCAGGGGCGCATCGATCTTGTGCGTCCTGGAGCTAGCGCCAGCATAGGTCGTGTAGTCAAAGTAGTCGTAGTAATTCTCGTCGTCGGACAAATAGACGTCCACGGATTCCCCTCCTTCGACGGTGACAGGCTTGACCAACAACCCAAAAGAACCGAGGTACATCTGATCGTCAATCTCAAAACCCTTTTCATCTGATGGATGCACGAAGTACTGCGCTCGCACGATAGGGTACCCGTCTGTCGCGGCTTCGTGGAAAGCCGTATACCACGCCGGCAGAAGCGAATAACGGAGCCGTAAGGCCTGGGTCATGATCCCGGTATATGGCTCCCCGAGCATATAGGGTTCACGCCTCCGCGTGTCAATATGCGCATGACCACGCATGAAGGGATAGAATGCACCGACTTGGTACCACCTCGTCTGCAGTTCTTTGCTTGGGTTACCGAAGAAGCCCCCCACATCGGCGCCGGCGAAGGGGAATCCGCCAACACCTTGGTTGAGAACCATGGGGATCGATGCCGCCAGGTGTTCCCAGTTTGCCTGGTTGTCACCGGTCCACATTGCCGCAGATCTCTGTGAACCTGCGTAGAATGATCGAGTGAGCACGAATGGCCGTCGCACCTCTCCCTTTTTGCGTTCCAAAAGAGCGTGGTACGTGGCGTTGTGGAAGGTCATGCCGTTGATGTTGTGCAGGTCACGATGTTCCCAGTTGCCGTGGTGCAAGTTATCCCGGGGCATGGTGATTTCTGGTCCGTTGAAGACAGATGGCTCATTCATGTCATTCCACAGCCACACGTTCGATTGCGTGCCTTTGAATCGATCGAACGTGAACAGAGATTTCCACCAGGCTCTGGCGGCCGGATTGAAAGCGTCGATCCAGTGAGAGCTCCCGGGCCAGCACCATCCTTCGAAAATGTTGTTCTCCTTGTTCTTGACCGCTAAACCTTTGCTCTTGAGCTCGTCCACAACAAAGTATCCCTCTTTGTTCTTGATGTGTGGGTCGATGATGACGACTAGCTTGCGTTGGGTCTCATCGAGTTGCTTCTCCATCGAAATAGGATCTGGAAAGTTCAACGGATCCCAGTTGAAGTACTTCTTGTCGTCGGTATATTCAATATCGAGCCAGATGACATCGTAGGGGATATTGTATTTGTCAAATTTGCGGTCCACATCCTTCACGTCCTCATCGCTCACATAGTTCCACCTGCATTGATGGTAAGCAATGGCAAACGATGCAGGCATTGCCGTGTAGCCAGTGAGCTCCCCGTATGATTTGGAAACGTCTTGAGGTGTTGGACCGAGCATGACAAACACGTCCAGAAGACCGCTTTCAGACATCCAGTGTGTATGTGTGTCGACGACTCCACCGGTGAGACCTAGTGTCAGCGGGTTTGTGTCGTGTTTCGTCTTGACAATATCCACCCAGGTCTCAGCGGCATTCAGCCAGAAGACACCGACTGTGGAACCCTTTCGGTGAGCATGGATGAATGGTATAGATCCGTACAGGGTCATTGGAGAGTCGAGTTCGTACTCAAAAACATCACTGTTGTACATTCGATATGGCTGGTCGTAGTTTCCGTCTCCTCCACGGGTCTCCTTCAATGACAAAGGCCCTGCGTGCTCGGGGAGCCCGTAGACGTGCCCGTATCCGGGGAAGGTGATGTCCATTGCAACACTTTCCGGGCCCCTGGGCTTCGAGTCAGTATTGCCTCCGAAGCTCTCGTCCCACCAAGTGCTCTCGTCTTCCGTGAGTTCTGCGGGCTGTGATTCGGTGCTATTCTCATCGACCGCAGGTCTCTCAACCTTTGGTCGCCAATGCTCGACATTCAAGAACCCCCGACCATTGAACACGACGTGCTTCTCTTCACCAGACCAGAACTCGATCCCGAGGGGGGCGTGCCGAATGGTGGCCTTGAATTGACTACTGGGGCCCCACGATACTTCTGTAACATCCTTCGATACTTTTTTCATTGAAGCTGTCGTCTGGGGTTGGAGACCGGCTCCAGTGAGGGCCCAGGCAGCAGCTTCGTTGTATCTCTCCTTTCTAGCGGCGCTGCCATGCCGCAGCTCAATCTCGCCCTTCCTCCTCTTTTCTTCGTCGACAGTGACCCGAACATTGCCGCGGTCCAGGAAGGTTATCGTCAGGGGCAGTTTAACTGCGTCACCGTCGACCAGCGATTTGATAATGGCGCCTTCCAAGCGGCCGTCCTTGAACTTGACGGAGGCCGCATCCAACTGGTAGGGGGAGGAGTCAGGGTTGCCCTTCTCTGTCATAGAATCCGCAAGAGCTCTATTTCTCTTACAGAAGCCAGACTGGTCACAACGCTTGAAGTCGTGGTGTTTGACCATCACTGTGATCTGTTAACGTCTCTACGTATGGATCGAATTGGTCCGCATTGGAATACTTGCCTGCGGGAGAGACGAAGAACAACAGGAGCAGAATTGAGAGGCAGGAGATCGACCATGACGGCATCCTCCTCGAAGATCGAGCCATGGTGATGACTGGGACTTGTTGGAAAAGGCCCTGCCTCGCAAGACAATTCGGTAACAGCTTGGACTTGGGAGTGAGATCCAGCGAGCCAGGTCAACAAGTAAATGTGTCCTGTGTCACCACTCACCGCCCGAGATGTGCCTGGGATTGGCTTAGCCTGGCCTAGACTTCCTCTCAGGCTCTCACTAAGCGGGCCCCTGCATTGGCCGCCGCAAGCTGAGCCCCTCCAAACCTCACCTGCTCCCCCACTTTGATCGATCAAAATATTTTTGCCCAGTTCTCTTTTCCATTGACCGCAACTGTCTTTCTCTCAGCCACTTTACACTCGAACCTATTCATCTTGGTTGTCCACATAGTCTTCAACTGCAGATCAAAATGTCTTCCAGCGAACAGACGTACGCACTCCGCCCCTGGCTAATAGCACAAGGCAACTACTGACAGATTGCGCAGCTTCATTGCTGTCAAGCCCGATGGCGTTCAGGTATGAATTCGTCCTCCTTCATTCCGACCTACCTTCGACGCTGACAATGACAACCAGCGTGGCCTTGTTGGCGACATCGTCAGCCGATTTGAGAAGCGCGGGTGAGCGAGGCCGTCCCATCTCAGCAACGCAAAGGTAGAGTCTGAGACTAAAGGGCGGTGAAGATACAAATTGGTCGCCATCAAGATGGTGTCTCCTTCCAAGGAGCACCTTGAGAAGCACTACGAAGACCTCTCCGACAAGCCTTTCTTCAAGGGCCTTGTCACATGTATGGAAGGCTTTCTACAAGTGTTTTCGAACGAGCCGGCTGACAGAACATCGCAGACATGTTGAGCGGTCCCATCGTCGCTATGGTCTGGGAAGGCCGCGATGCTTGCAAGACGGGTCGATGTAAGTTGCCCAAAAATACCTCCTTTGAAACAGACATGATGCTGATTGTATGCAAGCCATCCTCGGCGCCACCAACCCTCTCGCTTCTGCCCCGGGGACCATTCGAGGTGATTACGCCATTGATGTTGGTCGCAATGTCTGCCACGGCTCCGACGGTGTCGAGAGCGCTAAGAAGGAGATTGCGTTGTGGTTCAAGCCTGAGGAAGTCCAAAGCTGGAAGTCTGCCCAGCATGACTGGATCTACGAGAAGGCATAAACAGGGTTATGTTGGCACACCAGCAAACCGTGGAACTCGACCTGGAGCCACGTGAATAGGGTGCCTGCAGCAATGTCAGCCATGATGACGAACACCGAGCCAGTTTGCAAGAGATAGATTTACCGGAGTGGAGAAATGGCACAAATTATTGCATGCAGTGTTCAATCGCTTGATTTACTTGCTGGTCGGATGCCTAAAACACAATGGGGTGGTCAAGGTATCATGACTTGGATCGTCGAAAAATTGATTTTGTGGCATTGCCGATGGGAATGATGGCAATTCGCGCAAACCATGGCGAGCCCCAAACGCTGACCAGAAGACGCAAAGGCAACAGGGCTTTTACCAACGCATATGCTGTCGCGAACTCGACCACCCATCTTGTGGCACTCTCTCCTCGATTGAACCATTTCGAGCTTGTTTCTTTGTGATTTTCAAAGCGTCCTGCATTGCCCTTCTTTGTCTCCTGCTCAATCTCCTTCTCGTCTGTTTCATTGATCCAGCCTTTTTTTCGGAAATATCGCGCAAATTTCTCCACACCAGCAGAGATCCAAGCTCCCTCAGCAAAATAGGAAGGGAGCCAGTGCCAGTAATGGAAAGCGCCTGCGAGCCCAAATAATGGTATGACCGCAGTCAGTTCATGAAGGACAATGAATGCTGCAATATGCGAAACCGGAGCTTGTCGCAGCCCAGTAACTGTAGGTCGAAGAAAACGTGGGGTGCGTTCAATGAAGCGGTCGAAGCGATTTCTTAGGGCAGCTTGCTCGTCTGGCTTGGACTTGGGAGGTGGAGGGGTGGGAGGTTCTGCCTTGTGCGCTGACAGCCAACGCCTGGTAAGAGGACTCCGGAGACGTGGAGGAGCAATGTGTCTGAATAAGGAGCGCTGCAACATTCTGAAGAATTCACAACATGTCGGCTTCTGTGGTGGCAGTCAACCAAACACCAAAGATCGCAAGGAGACACGCCTCTATCCCTCGTGTACCTGCGCTGTCCAAAGGGACCAGAATGCGCCGCCGTATTATGAAGGGCGGAACATCACGATCCTTGACGCTAGATCTCCGGCTAGTGAGGCTCTCGGGCTGTTATCATCTCAGCCCTCTTCTCACCCTTGGATGCTCATATTACTCTCACTAGGACAGTCCATGCTGTGCCAATCTGTCGCAGGCAGCCCATATTCGTCGCTGGTATGTCTACGCAAGCGAATACGTGGATGGACAGGCTGAAAAGCACCGCAGAGTCACTCTTGGCGGGTCCATTGTCATCAGGCTGAAGCCATTGATGTTATATATGGTCGAGCCTCACCAGCATCGCCCCGGCTAGGACCATCGCGTGTCAGATTGAGCACGGCTAAACGATTTTGAATTCATTACAGTTGGGTTATCGAATCAATATCCTCATCATGGACCAACTTGCTCCCGAATTGGTGGACCACCTCTGCCTATTTTTGGACATCCCATCCCTTTGCTCCTTTCGCCTTACTTGCAGAGCATTTGCCGTTATCGCTGAGGAACATCTCTTCCGCGACTTCGAGTTTCGCCTCTACCCCAACCACCATAGACTGTATCAGCTAGAGCAGCTGGCGGCAAGGCCCTCGATAGCATCTCGGCTGCGCTGCGTGTCCTTGGAATCAGGTATCCAGCTGGAATATGCCGACTACCGATATTGGCAGACTGGAGTATACCACGACAAGAAGAATGCTTGGGAACGGAGCCTTGTTGGAGCTACCAGGGACGAGTACACGCAGTTTCACGAGCGTCTTCAAGCCAGGTTCACCACGGACCTGGCTCGTCGATATGATCTGTACCGCTGGCACCTCGATCAACAAGCAGCATCCATGGCTGAATCACGAGTGAGAAACGTCTTGATGCGTATAATGGGCACGCTTAAGCAGTCAAGCCCCAGTTTGCGGCTCCAGCTGATCATGGCCGAGCCTCAAATCCTGCTGGAAGAGCTTGAGGCGTTCGATCCTGAGAAATACGCCAACGACAAACCCTATGATCCCGATCCGCGCCGCAGAGTCGCAAATCGTCGACAGCATTGCCTGGATCATTTTATCAATTTCCTCCAGGCGGCCAAACTTTCGGGTTGTGAAGTGGCTGATCTCACAGCCATCGATATCCCGCAGCAACTTCTCACCGTCGATACCATCCACGGCTCTCAAGTGCTGGAAGAGACCTTCCAAGGGCTGAAGAGACTCTGTATGAAAATCAGCTCTTTTCCTCACAGTGACTGGCTTTCTCGAAGCGGTACTGGAGAGATCTACTTCGGTGGGAGGAATTTGGCCGCAAGAAGGCTGAGGATGTTGTTGAATCATCCCTCGGAGCTGGAGCACTTGGACCTAGAATTCCCACCAGGTCTCGAGGCCGAGTACTCGTTCGATCTTTTTGATAGGACGAACATCGACCGCTTCCCCCGGTTGTGGTTGCCGCACCTCAAGTCTCTTACACTTAGTCTTTTCAGATGTACTTGGGCTGACTTGGCGGCCCTTCTGGACGAGGGTAAGAATCTCAAGTCATTGGCAATGAAGGACTGTCGGCTTGAAACAGGGTCATTGATAGATTTGCTTGAGCATCTCCGCAGGCGGCGTCTTCCGAGGGTTCAGTTGCTTGGAACCTGGTACGTGGATGTAAGTTGCCTCGAAACCTGGCGGTGTCGAAGGTGCTTTGTGCCAACGGCCCTTTTCCTTTCAACACCACTTGTTCACGCTAACAAAGAGTCAGGAGGACTGCGGTGAATGGCATTCTCACAGTGAAGAGGATTTCACAAGTTGCTTCGCTGCGAACTCGTACGAAGGTCCCTATGCTCGAGCAGGTATGCGGTTCAAGATAGAAGAGTTCATCAATGGCAAAGGAGAATGTCCACTGCCCCGGTGGAGAACAGAAGATGACCCTCCTCAATTGTGGGAGAACGAATCTGACACAAGCTGGCACTTTATTCCGGGACAGCCTCATCACTAGACATGTGGACAGCCAATGTTCGATTCACCTCAGGCAGTACAGGACGCGACGCGACGCTATGCTATCTTCACCATACTTTGCTTCGCGTCGCAGACCAAAAAATACGAGATGAATACTGTTCCCCAGTCGCAATCTCTCTTGTGTACCTAAGTAAACGAAGAACACTCCATTCTCGTTGGAGCTCGCTCGTCCCTGCATATCTCGCCGACCTCGCCGAGCGACTGCTACTGTGGGCCTATCACTATCACCTTCGGGATCTGCGCGGATTAGCAACTGCCTGACTTGGTTGCCTCGAGTCATCCTGGTGCTTTAGCACCGTCGCTCTCTGGCCCCGTCCGCCATGCCTCAACTTCGCCGTGAGTCCATCTCACTCAGCTTTTCTTGAAACAGTCCCTCGTGGCTTGTGAAATGAGATAAGCTAACCAAATGCTCCAGGGGTTACACAGCCTTACGCAGGAAAATCTTGTTGCGTTAGCAACAGCACGGTCGATACTAATCATGCGGTCCCCTCAACATACACCTGCGCCGCGGAAGAACTGGTGGAAAACGAAACGCTCAACAGACCCACACACGCCTTGATTGGGCAGTCACTGAGCGGAGAAGAAAGTGGCAATATCTACCGGCCAGAACAACTGCGCTATCCAATCTTTGAGGTCAAGCTAGGCACGTATCGAATCAACTACCTATCCAAGCCGATGGGACAGGAAGAGATGCGGCGCACTATGACACTGCTCAAATTCTGCGTGTTCTTGTACTACCTGGGCTTGGCTGGGCTGGTAGTCTATCTCTCGCTGCTTCTCCAATCACTTCTCTAGTGGCAGACGCGAGGCGTCTTAGTGACGAATAGCAGGAGGTTCCCTAAGCTGCTGAACAAGAATCAAGCCTCGGCGGAGATGCGGACCAAGTTGTCCCACCGACCACAGGCACCCACAGGCAAAAATGTCCGGCGGAAGTCTCTCATAAAGCAGCGTCACCTTAGCTGTCTTGCGACGTTTCATAGGGCTGCAACAGACTTGGTGTGCTTACGTCCCCATAGATTCCTGACTCAACATCAGCCATCCCAGTTTCAGTACTCTCGCCTATACAACGACCAATCACGTCCTGAAGTCTAGAGGTTTGTCTATGTGCCAGAGACGAAAGGGAGAAGCGGACGGCCTGACATGGCAGTAAAATCTGCAATAGCTCTATAAAGAGCCGATAGTCTATGTCGAAGCCCAGTTGGAAAAATCTCCCCTTCCTTTTGCACAACGAAGTGAACATCGACCCTGACCACGAGGAGTATTCGTGGCCTGAGACTATATTGGACACACTGACTTCTGTAAGTCTAGCCCTTCGAGGACTCAAGGCCGCATGATGCCATAATCAGGTTGAGACTAATTCTCCAGCCCAGACATCTTCTGCAACCAACAGTCCCTTCTAAACACGGTTTGAGGCGAGACAGGCATTCCCAGTCCTCATCCTGCTGGCTGGCTCTCCAGAGTTGTGGAATCCCACTTGATCGTGCCAGATCCTGCACGCCTGTGATTTGTCGCAAGCTGGTGCCTTGAGCTTGAGGGTCGGTGTCGTCGTGTCACCATCTAAGGCTCGTATCAGCACTCGTGCTATTGGCCCTCTTGGCTCGGCAACATGTCAGACAAGTCTTCGTCGCCGTCGCCAAACTGGCTATCGAAGCTTAGACGCTCTCCTCGTGAGTACATTTTTGCTCCCCTGAAGCAAATCTACCAATTGGGGGATTGGAGCCTTCCATCATCATGAAGCGCTTGATCCGAATCTCATTGGATCAACGATCGCATTAGGGCTTCATTCCTAGCCTTTACTTGCACAGAATCAGACTATTTGCCCACGGTTCTTGGCCAACGATGGTCACTAACCTCTTTCATACTTCCCCAGTACCCAAAGCAACCGAAAAGTCGAAACCATCCGAAGGTGGTGATACTGAGACAGAGGCGAAAGCCAGACGACGTGAGCAAGTTAGGCGTGCTCAGAGGTGAGGCCCTTCTGTTATCATGCACCATCGATGCTGGAGAGGAGCGACACCCATCCACCCATCGCCAGCAGCGGACCCCATATAACATGATATGTCTAGATTAGCTAACCAGACTCGATCACGTCACCGGATAATAGGACACATCGAGATCGAAAAGCCACATATGTCAAGACGCTGGAGGCAGAAGTGGCCAAACTTCGAGCTCGCGATTCGGCCCACGAAGCCCAACTGCAAGCGTGCCGCAACGCCATCCGCCGGCTCAAAGAACTGATCAAGTATCACAAGATTCCCTTGCCGCTGGATTTGGCATCAGATCCTCATATCCAGAGCCCGCAGGCCACCATCGAACTGCTTGGCTTTCCGGACTCCCGGACGCAGCACATTCGGGCGCAGTTGCCCCCGGAATCCGACTCGGGCTTTCTGGTGTATGCACCACCGGCACCAAATATATCAACCTCGTCCGACCTCCCCTACAACACCCTTCATTCCGGCTCTACCACTTCTTCTAGCGATCTATTTTCCGGCTTGACCGTCAGCGAGGCTCCCACTAGTCTCCACGAACCCAGCATCTACTCCCAAACCGCAAGCGTGCCCCCAATTTCAACACCCATGCAGCACCCACAAGGCCTCGGCGCTACGCAGGTGGGAGTTGATTTCGTGCTTGCACTTGAACACGTCTGTTTGGAACACCACGCCGCACATGCCACAGCCGACGACGGCTCGGGACACGAAATGATGCTCATGTCTCCCATAATGTGGCATTCGCCCGCCCGCACTCAACCCGCCCAGCCTGCCACAGCAACTCACCAACCTTCATCGACAGCAGTCAACACGGGATCTGGGCTGCCGAGCGGAACAAGATGGAGTGTCCCTGCCGTGGAGTTGGAAAAACTACTTGATTTCTCTGATAAACTGTCGCTGGATGGGGAGATCACACCGGTAGAAGCGTGGCAGAGGGTCCGCCAGCATCCGAATTTTGGGGACTTGACAAGAGACGGACTTGAGGCGCTGAAAGCGACCTTGCTGCCTGAGGTGCATTGTTACGGGTGAGCTACTTTGTCTATTCACAGTCTCTCTTTTACTCCTTGCCAACTCATTCGCTGTCAACCACTCTTAAAACCCAAAATATGGACTGTGTAAAGGACCCTACATGCGGGCTGTTTATACGAGGGGTTGGCGATGGGGGAATGCGAAGAAAAGGAGTAAAATGACTTGATCGCATCTTGTTGCAAAGCTCTTGATGGTTAATTTGTTTCTTGTCTTTTCGATCTTAGCAGATTTGGCGCCGTCATCGACGAGGCCTATTTCGAGTCCCTCCTCCAACAGGCGCTCGGCAGCGGGACGGGGACGGGGACAGTGCCGGGTTCGCTATAGAGTGGGAGGGAAGGGAGTCAGCCCAGCTCTGTCCCTGTCTTCGTCTTGTCTAAAGAGCTCCCATGTACAGAAAAGACAAACAGAGATTAACTGGGATTATGTCACTACGGACAATACAAAGGTAATCTTGCCTACCGAAGCAGACGCCTGCGCTCCACTCTCTCCCTCTCTCTCACGCATGACGGCCACAAGTTCTGACCTTCCTTCTCGTGTCTAGACTGTCTTCCTCGCGTGTGCTGCGCTACACCTCGCTCAACTTACCCGTCGAACACAGCGGAATTGAGGAACTACCTAGGCACATAAGATGGATGGGGAACAACGGCAAGTGGAGCTAGGGCACGCAGAACAATCGCAAGGCTCCATGCTGCCTGGAAACTGTGCGGCGTCCCAATGACTGGGATCGTTTGATATCGTCATCATCATCATCGTGTTAGTGGTGGCTGTCGCTGGGGGCGTGTGTGCTTGATGATATACTCGTTATTTCGGAGCTTTGCCGGCCCACAAAGGGGCCAGGAACACCGGGGTAAATTGTGGGAATTGCTTACACTATCAAACCACCAGACAGAAGAGTACAGAGCGCAGACCACAGGCTTGGACTGGACTGGGCTCGACAGGGTTCGACAGGACTGGCGAGACAGACACAATAAACGAGGCCCGGAAGGAAAGCGCACGGTCTGTCTTTTTCCGGTATGAGAGCCACGACATTCTCATCCGGGGGTTACGGGGTTGGAGTCGTTACCATATGCAGTAGGTACCTACCTGGTAGGTACATAGGTGTGTATCTAGTACCATATCTTCTCTTCTCCTCTTTTGCCAGTCTTGCCATCTTCTGTCTTCCCTCTCTTACCTTGGCCAGCGAGATGTTCTAGTCGCCGCGGGTGTAGGTACGTATATACATGTGTATACATGTATATGCATACCTCGTACTCAACACTCTATACCTCTACAATCAGAATCCATATCCGTGACATTCACCGTTCCATACATACAGACAGACAGACAGTCTTACCATCTTGATTCTTCCTCCGCGAGAGGTGAGGGAAGCTGCGTCCCCAACCAAGCAAAGCAGGGTAGGGCAGTGCAAGCGTCTATGATCCCCCGTGCGCGCGATTGTGTAGACTCGCACACAGTTTGAACCCCTTTTCTTTCCTGGCCGCGGATATGAGAATACCTACCGTCCACGTCCACGTCCACGCCCACGCCCTGGTCGTATCAACAATGTACACAGGAAAACTCCCCGCCTGTGCATCTGGGAACAAGTTTACACAGGTGAGTACCCTCATAGGACTTACTCAAAATCAAGCCATGGCCGCGAAATGTAATTTCTTAAGTAATCGCCTCGTCGACCGTGTGAGTTCGGGCTTTACGTATGTACCTAGCTGGCTAGTAAGAATCCGGCATTTCTTCCCTTCTTTCTTTCTCGGAATCTCACGCCGCTCTTAACTCTCCAGAGCGGCCGCCCCGGTGCGCCGGATAGTACCCCTTACATAATGCCTTTGCATAATCGGCCACCATGCTCCATGAGGCAGGTTCCACTCAGAAAGGAAGATGCCGATCTCATCGTCCCGAAAGGGATACATCTCATCCCTGCACTTGCATGTGCATGAAAGCCTAAGGTATCACACGACGCGGGGTGACGAAAGGCGACGATGAGCTCTGTCGGGTAGGATGCTGAACTCGGTAAGTACTATAACTCTGCTGTATATGGTGAAATTGAAATGTCGCATTCATAACAAGTTGTACTCTTGGTATATGGTTATGAATCTCCTCGGAGACGGGTTTTTCATCTCAAAATCTCACTCGGACCTCGTATTCTTGCCAAAGGCCTCTGGGGCGGGCTATTGCTGTGTCTGTTACAGATACATATATATGCACGAGAAAAGAAAACACTGTCGCTTTGAGACTACTGGTATGATATCGCCCACTGCATCAAATTCAAAAATATCAAAAAGGTCGCCGTCGACCGGGGCACCGGATCCACAAAGGTATCATACAGTTTCCGCTGCAGGACGCCAAAAACACTCGGATTTCGAGGTCCCCCACTGTTCCACCACTACAACTCCATACTCCACTGATTCATGCAGGGATTAATGGTTTCCGTTCAAGGTGTAACCAGAAGAAAGACCAGAAGCAGCAGCGGCTTATAGAGCGCTCCCTTTCCGTCCTGTTCCATCATGTCCTCCAGAGACATTGTCAAAGACCACCGTCCCTTCCCTTTCCCCAAGCTTTTGCATAAGATCCCTGTGGTCTGTCGCTATATTCCTGATTCAAGCAGATCTATCCTCCGTCTTCAATATGTCCGGTGCTCACATGTCCCATCCGCTATTGACGCCACCGCCACCCGGGGCAAATGGCCCCGTCATGTTCTCCCAAGTGGCCGATCCAAAGATATCCGCAACGTTATAGTCCATATTGCCCCAGAACATGGGGTCCGAGTACTCTTGCATGTTCGCGCTGCTTCCATCACCTCCCATGCCGCCCGACGCCGTTTGACCAGGGAGGTTCATGTTCATGGTTGATTGTGCAAACGCCAGATCCTGCGGAGTCGCGTAGACCGCGCTGCCGATACCAGGATTGAACTGCGGTTGAGTAGTCGGTTGACCACGGTCCCAATTTGAGAAGTCAAACGACGAGAGCGAGCCCGTTGGATTGGTAAGTGCCGAGGGGTTATTCGGGTCGAACGTGGTCGAGGGTGTCCATGTTTGAGTGCTGTTGGGGGTGGAGGCTTGCTGTTTCAGTCGTGAGTGGGAATTGTTTCCAGCACCTGTTGAGTTATGCCCTTGGACCGGCGAACTGGTGGTCGACTCGGCCACAGACGATTTCCGAGGACTTGCATCTTCATTACCACTTGTGGTCCGCTGTCTCTTTCGGGACGGTTGATCGAACTCGGCCGGCATACTCTGCGGGGATTGGTCCGGTTTAGGTACAGTCAGGAAACCGTTGATGGAGGCCTTCCGTGACTGAATGTTGATGAGGAGCAGGCTCAGAACCTTGTGACAGTTTTGCACCGTGTACCATCTGATGTTCATGCTCTCCAGCAGATGCAGGCACGCTTGCATGTCACTGAGCGCGCGTGCTTTGGCGTATTTGCCCAATTGGCAGGCGAACGCGATGATAAGGCCAGACATCCACGCAGCGGACAGCAGACCAGGAAGAAACATAGATTGGCCGTGTTGCTTATGCGCTCTTAGACCCGCAACAATCCCTCGCGAAGCTCTTATACATACTTGCAGTCCGTGCTGGAATTCTGGGGTTGATTGGTCCAGGGAAAGGCGAGGCCGATTCACCAGAAGGAGTAGTCGATGGTACAGGATCTTGAAAAAGCTCGCAAGGTGTTGTTGGGGGGGAGGGAGGTGAGATGAGTCGGATCCATTGCCTGCACCTCCATGGTGCCCGTTGGTCGTCGAAGATGTTGGATTCGTGATTTCGCCGGATTCACGGTTGCTCCGCTCGTGACCAGCTTCGACCTCGCCACTCAAAAACCCTGGAAGATCATTCCACCAAGTCTCGATGTCGCTGGTAAGGCGAAGAATTTGTTCATGCTTGGGAAAACGGTGGTTGATGCTTTTGTGAAAGACTTCGATGATCTGGCCAGTTAACTTGCCCCATTGCACATATGCCGTCAGGGCCGCCTCTCTTAATCGCTTTTCTTGAGCTTCAGGTCCGTCGCTGTCAGACTGTGCCACGCGTGGATCATCTGTGACCGTACGTGGAGGGGGCATGTGCATGCTCATGTCGCCGTCCGGATTGGGTATCAGATCTCGCGCAAGAGCCTTGTGAAGTTCGGGTCCGGACAAACAGACATCAATGTCATCGTCTTGAATCACGTTCGGATCGCCGAGACTCAAATTACAATGCCGATCCAAAGCATATGCCGACCAAAATATCCGTTTGCGGATTTCGCACTCTTCGAGAGAAAGTTGGGCATAACGCAGGGGACATCTGTGGAGGCCGGCGTGATAGATCAATTTGATGATAATTCCAGCAACGGTGCTGGCTTGGCGAATAGCCAGGGTAGCGGTGAGGTAGAGTTCGGCGGCAAGGATAGCCTGTATGGTGGCTAAATCGTGGTCCATGGCCAGGCATCCAGCCACTCGGCATACATCGGCGGTGGATTTAACGCGCGATTCCATGGGAAGATGAATATCGCTGCGGTCCAGAGACGCAATGTTGATGATCAGCTGAAAAGTCAGCAGCTTCCGCAGATCGTTCGGAGCGGGGCTGTCCTTGGTAGGTTTTGAAGGTCGGCGCTGAGAGGCATATATTGTTTCCATGTCCTTGATAAAACTAGGCCCATGGAGGAAGGGGAAGAGCGGATGCCATACAGTAAAAAAAGAGGTTACTAATTCCACGGCGATCTTCTTCGCTGGAGGCTTACCCAGGGCGGAGGCAAGGGTCTGGGGAAACTGATCGGATGTGCTTGGTCCTTCATACAGGGGGCCATTGTAGGAGCGACCTTCGGCGTCCTCGCCAGTAAGGATATCCTCGCTGGCGGGAACGGGATTGGCACCGCTGAGATTCGACGCGGCGAAAGCGGCGGAAAAGGCTCGTCGCACGGTGTTGACGAAGTAGACGCCAGAAGAACTACCTAGCCAAGCTGTGCCATGGTTGGGGAGCTTTTTGAGGGTGCCAATCTCTGATGTATGAGTTGGACGCTCTTCCGGTTGATTGTCGCTGTCGGATTCATTGGTAACAGCGGTCCCCGAGGTCGACGAAGGGATTGCGGGCGGCGTAGGCTGACCGACACTGGGAGATGGGTTGTTGCTGATAGTAGATCTCGGCGTCATCTTCGTCGATGATAATGAGAGCCAGTAGGATCGAAGCTGAAGGATAGTGATGCTCTACAGGTAGGTGGGAGTGTGCGCCGACATGGCTGGCGCAATGAATTAGATCACAGAAGGGCTAGGGCTCGGTCTCGGTCGATATTTGAAACTAGAGTGTGTCCAAGACTGGATCAACAGCGTTGGATGCGACAGTTGCGGAGAGTAAGCGCATATAAAGGTGAGGTCGGATATGCGGTGAGAGTGTATTATATCTGCCTGGTGGAGGAGCGACAGGAAGATATGCAGGCAGCCAGCGACCACGAGAAGCAAGGATGATCAGCGAAGAAGGGATGGATAAAGGCGAGGGTAGAGAGATACTAGTTAGCTGCAAAAGCGGACGTGAACGTGTCTGTTGAAGGCTGAAGAGGAGCTACTGTCGAAGATTGTGAGGGTGGAGGCGAGATTGAGAATGGCGGCCTAAGCTGAGAGGGCTGGGGTTCGTGCGAGTGCCAGAGGGAGAGCGCGGGCGAGAAAAGCGTCAGAGAAGTAGCCAGCTGCTGCGACGGCAGGCAGTGGAAGAAGTCAGCAGAAGACGAATCAGATCAAGAGGGAGGCTCATGGAAGGGCCAGAGGTTGAGGAGCAGGAGGTTGGATGCAAGAGAATTGAGGGGAAATAAGCAGTAAATCTGGTCCTTTGACTCTTCCTTTCACCAGCACGAGCGAGAAGAAAAAAAAGACAAATCAGAGAGATAACAGTCAGCCAGTCAAGCCAGTGTAGGGGAGCGAGAAATGGAAAAAGGTCGGATTACTGGAGCAGCGCAGGCACAGCAACTCCTAAACCAAGTGTACCTATGGCGCCCCTAAAAAGCCCAGTCGCACCCCAGTATGAAGCCCCGGAGATTCGCCCAACGCCCCCAAGCACCTGGCCAGTTGAGGATTCAGCCCGGAGATGACGCCTGAAAATCCCGCAATGGAACATGGGCAGCCTACCTAGCTTCCCGCGCCCAGGCGGCCAGCAGAGGTGAGGCGGAAGGGTGCTTTTGTCTGACAGAAATAAGCCATTGCAAACTGTATGGTGCTGCTCTGTCAGACCTGAAAATTATGGCCATGACGTAGGCTGAGTAACATGCTTCCCATCGAGCCATCTCACAATCCATCTGGGGTTTCTTTCTTCCTGCGTGCGTTCCACTCCTCTGGCCTTTACATATCATCACCTCTCCCATGTGCAGCAATCTTGGTGATATCTACCTTTTTACATCATCTATGAGCTGAACACACCGAGGATTACTATCTGTCGCGGATATCCAACGTCGTCAAGTGGCCGCCGGTAACCTTCTATCCCTCACCTCGGCCTTCAGAGAGGTAAGCCGGCGAGCCTGTAGCTGGTTCTACTGCCACCTGTGTTACTGTCCAATGTGCCTTCGATCTCCCTTACACCAGCAGTCGCTGGCTGAGGCCGTCATCGATCAAGATCATCAGAGGCTACCTGCCTAGCTGCACAAATGGATTGATACTGGTGCCAGAAAAAAAGAAACGCGCACTGCTCACTCTCAAAAAGGAATGGTCAAGCGGGCATGCCAAACACAGACGGAAATGATCGCCTAAATCCGCAGGACAAATAGTTGCTATCCAACAAGGCCGCTCGTTCGTCAGCCTGTCGATTGCATTGATCGGATGGAGTCGGACAGGCCAAGATGCTCTAGGAAGCTCCTTGATCAACCTGCTGCGAGCCTAGATGCCGAGCACAAGAGGAAGAGACGGGGCAGCGCCAGCCAGCCATGAGCCTACCCCGGACGGCCTCTGTCATGGAGCCACGCCGGCGGCTCTATTTCAGGTAAGCAAGCAAGGGACTGTCCTCGCTCTCCACAGCTAAAGGTGGTCTCCTATATCCGGTAAGGTATGAGCATTTCAGGACCAGCTCGACACATCCCGTAGTTGTCTATGTGTTTGGATTATTCTTGGAAATGCCTTTGGTACTTGTACATGCTCTGTTAGGGACACGTATGAACCAGGTCCCCCGGTCTAATCCTGCTTCTCTCCACCTACCTCGCAATTCCAATGACTCCATCACCCTCTCGGATCTCTACAGTGGTGTCAATGACATTAGCCGTCTTGAGGACATCTACCACTCCTCCCATTACCCCTGCATCCACCCCTCTCGTCCCATCCACAAACTTCACGTCCTCCAGCCACTCCCTTCCGTCCTCCTCAGAATAATGACAACCCGCCTCGCCTGTCCCAAGCATCTTAATTCCAGCGTCAGGATCCTCGTTAAACATTTTGATTCCCTTGTCCAGCGCATCGAAAACCTGCTTCAGGGTCTCGTCCGAGCGCGGGTCAGGAAATGTGTCACTTGAAGCAGCAATATGCCAGCTAGGCCAGGGGGTATAGATCTCTCCAATCTTCTTCAAGGGTGTGTCATCCCCGTGGAAATAGGGTTTAGTAGTGAAATGCTCCCACATGAAGAAGTCGGCGATGTTCCCAGTGACTCCGTCGCGAAGATCCTTAAAGGGACCCAGCGGCACGAGGGTCAGCCCTTCTGATTTTTGATCCTTGGTGTGATGAAGCCATCCTTCCTGCTGCGCAAGAACAAAGGCCATGATGTGACTCCCGCTGCCCATCCTACTGACGCCCACTCGTCGATGTTGTTTCAGATCATCCACCGACGAGATATCGTCTCGGTTTCTCCCCGTGACGATAGCCCATCGAAGTGGAGTCGACACCCATGACCCAACAATGGAATACCCCTTCTCTTGCAGCGATTGGCCCTGGACAGAGGGGTTCAGAAGTCCAGCGACCCAGCCTTCGGTTAAACCAATTGCTAGGTCGATCTCCTTGGAGCGAAGGGACGTGATCATGTGGCCGGTCCCCGAGGGGAACGGGACAAGGTTGATCTGGAGGGACGAGGGGAAAAGGTTGTGTTTGTTGCAGAAATGAAGCGGGAGGAGGTAGTGCTCGGGCACGAAGCCAATGCGGATGGCGCGAGTTGCCATGATGGTGGAATACGAAAAGGTCCGTTTGGCGTGGTCGGTTTCGACTTCCTGCAGCTACGAGGAATGGAGAAGCTGGAGGTCTAAGATCTGAACGCAGTCATCTCACATCTTGATGGTCGTCTCGGAGAAAAAGTTTGGTTGACCCCTCCCCCGCAAAAGACATGAACATCATCATGCAATGCCCCATAGGCATGATACAGCATTCGACAGACCGAAGTTTTCCCGCCCTCATCACTTCATCCTCGACCACAGCTCACGTTCATCACCTTTGAGTCAAGTCGGTGGCTGTTCCTCTACGAGCTGCCAAAACCCCGTCCCAGTCCCTCCAGGGGATGGGCTCTGCTCGCATCCTCCGGCCATGGCTCGGTGCTTCACGATCATCCTTCCGCTTCTAAACTGCTATGGGGGTCGACCCTTGTACGTGTTCGGAATGAGGTCCGCTCTTGATTTGCGGGGTTTCCGCGCTTGCCTTATAAAGAGCTCGGAAAGGTCAGCTGGAGCAAAAAGGATTTCAATAAATTGATATTGGCATTGTCTCGGGCTTCCTGGAAAGGGGCAACAGTTCTCGTCGACCCCGTTAGCCACTTGGTTGATTTGTGGTCCCCTACGCCTTCAGTGGCCGGCAAAACGTTTAGCAGCACGGACGAGGCTTGGGGCTTGTGTTGGCCGAACTATCACCATTGTAACAGCAGGATCAGGGCTCAGAGGAAACGGTCTATTTCGTCCCTGCATCTTAGGTCCATCTCCATCAAAAGTCTCACCTTAGGCATACTCCACCCCCAGATTCCACTACTAGCCCGGTCAGTCTGACCAGCTTCTTTCCGAAAAGGGCCAGAACAAGGAGGGAGGAAGAAAACGGAGCAGCAGTATCAAGCTCGAACTTACAGCACGACGCGTTCAGCACGAAAATCACCTGATCCGGTCAAGATGTCCGAGCAGCCCAAGTACAAGTATACCTTGTACAGCTACTTCCGCAGCTCCTGCTCCGCCCGGATCCGTATTGCAGCCAATCTAAAGGACATCCCGCTTGAATACAAATATATCCACTTGGTCAAAGGCGAACAGCATGACAAGGACTATGTTTTCCTGAACCCAAGTGAGTCTGTGCCTACTTTGATTGTGAGTGACCTGGAAACGGGCGACGAAATCACCAGAATCAGACAGTCGGTGGCCATCTTGGAATTCTTCGAGGAAGTTGAACAACGAAATGGGGTGAAGCTGTTGCCCAGCCCAGAGGATCGAGTGGGAAGAGCCAGGGTCAGAGAGCTGGTGAACATTGTGGCTTGCGATATCCAACCTGTCACGAATTTGCGCGTGTTGAATTTCATCAAGCCTCTCAACATCGAGGCCAAACAGTGGCAACAACATTTTATGACCCTGGGATTCCGGGCATATGAGGCACTCGTGAAGTCCTATGGCGGCAAATATAGTGTTGGTGATACAGTGACCCTGGCAGACTGTTCCCTTGCTCCAGCCATAGATGGAGCCCTCCGGTTTGGCGTGGATGTTCAAGGCCAGTTTCCACATACATGGAGAGTCTGGGAAGAGATCAAGCCGCTGGATGCGTTCAAACTTGGGAGGTGGGATAATCAGGAAGACACCCCAGAAGAATTGCGGACGAAGGCGTAGCGAGAGACAACTGCCGGCAGTTTGAGGGAGGACACATTTGTTATCCAGTGTCGGGACAGTTTGAATACCAGCTACAGCGGTATTAGATTCAGTACCGCCAGTACTTGAGAACATCGAAAACCACTGGTCATGCCGTTTATTATTGATTCCATTCGGCGAGCACTGAAGAAAGGGAGTGGCCATGCATCGCAAGGCTGGCCGAAGGCGGCTTCCTCATGACGTGTGCCAATGCTGCAACACCTCGATTCCATCCCGCGTCTCACCTTTCAAACAGTTTAAATCTCCGCGCGTTCAGCAGATTTCTAGGGTCTTTTCTGATTTATGTGAAATGTAGGTCGACGCTGCTTTTTCAACAACCTTCTTACCACATGGAGACTGCCGAGCTGGGCCTGAACATCTTCCAGGTCATCCAAAACGAACTTATTCAGCGTGAAGGCAACCGCTCCACACTAGGCCTCGGGTCCCGTCTTTCAATCCTTGAAGACAGGCTCAAGAACCAAGAAGCAAGAAACAAAAATGGTCTGATCTGGAGACCCTATCATGCCATTGCCCCCATCTCTGCGCCCACCCCGGAGGCGAGAGCCACTGTAGAGGCACAAAGGAAACGTCTGCTGGAAAGAAAAGGTGCAAACCCAACAAAAGACAACAAGAACCCGACGATGCATGTCCGAGATGATGAGTTTTGGTTGGTCCATCGCCACTTTCCGCGGACCGTGGTCGAGTTTAAGGAACTTCAATTTCACCGTGTGTTACAAATCCCTTGTTATGACTGGAGCATGTTCTCTGATAGTCGAAAACAGCTGACTGGGTACGAAGTTTGCTCGAGTTCTATTCCATCAAGGTCTACCGGCCAGATATGAGACCGGTCGTCATCGAACCGGCTGACTGCCTTATCGACGTTCAACAAAACCTCGAGACGTGTCTCGAGGAGCTGGCCACCACTTGGGGACTCAATTGGTCCCGAATAGGGGGACTGACTCTGCCGGGTCAAGCCCCTCCTTTTTCAAACCCCTGATAGAGTTGGAATTCAACGCCACGGAAGATATACTATGCGTTAGACAAGCGACGCAACGGCAGATCAGGAGAAATTCTGAAGATGCCATGACTCTTGAAGGTGTCTTAACTGCAGCTTGCTGCTGAGAAGACCTATTCCTGTTTATGAGACCGTTGAAAATGGATGACTCGCTACGATATGCGAAGTGTCCTTACCGAGTCAAGCAAGACTCACACATACCGCCTTTCATACAGCTCTTTCAACATTGAAGACAAAGACTAACGAGACTTTAGACAAAGAAGTTTGGGCTAATTCGAGTAAACATCAGTTATTTTAGGACTGCTTTTCGTTGTATATAAAACAATGAGGCATTGTACCAGACAAAGGATGAAAGAGCATCTCTTGTTCGCGCTGAGGAAATGTCGAAGTACATTTCCACCCCTGAGCCTGCACCTTGACAGGTGCTCTTCTTGCCACAGGAAAACTCGAAGTATATGATTGAGAGTATTTGAATGCAACGACCGTTTCATCATATCCTCTTTACAAGAGTCGACACTTGAGTGGTCGTAAAAGCAACCCCTATATCTCTACCTTTACCAATTACCTTAACAGCAAGTATCCTCAACCCCAAGCCTCTGTTGATTTCAATATGGACTCCTCATCTCTGACAACTCCTGGTAATACGCCATGCACCGCCCCTTCCGCCCCTGGAGAAAGTATACCTGCATGGTTATACCGACGAGCCCTGTTTCTGCTGGACAGAGACTGGAACGCTAGCTCCACAGGCAGTCATCGCCGTATACGAGATGTCCTCGCAACGCAAACAGGAATTCGTGTCCCTGATGCTCTCATGGAAGCCATCGTGGTGCATTTCGCCACCCTTGGCCGACGTATCATTCTTCAAATCAGGGCTTTCTCGGAAGCAGAAATGGCTCCTGCGCCTGGGGACCTGGTGTGCCAGATCCAGCCTGTCCAGCCTGTTCGTGCACAGACAACAACGAATGCAGCAAATACGACAGGCAGACTGCAGGGTAAGACTATCCGCGAGCTCGGAAACGCCTTGCTTAACAACATACCAAACACATTACCAGCGCAAGTTTCGGCAGCATCTGCAAAAGCGAAATCAGCGGCCAAAGCGTCAGATCCTGCGACTTCGCAAAATACTTCCGTCGTGGGAGAGAAGAGAAAACGATCCCAAGAGTCCCGAGAACAAGCAGAAGTCGACCGACCAGCGAAACGGGTGGAGCGCGAAAATGAAGTTGCCCAGTCTGAAACGGAAGATAATGCTGGAGGAGCTGAGGTGGGTGAGCCCACTGCACCTGCGGATGACACGCCTCGCTACAGTCCGAGAACACTGGAGGCTGCGGAAACCCTGCTCAGTATTAGCAACGAAGTACAAGGACCACATTCCGAGGAACAAGGTGAGCCTCGCCACAGTCCCAGGACACTGGAGGCTGCGGAAACCCTGCTCTGTCTGCGTAACCAAGTGCTAGGACCACATTCAGAGGAGCAAGGTGAGGATGCTAATGCCCATGTTGAGCCGACGGACGTTCCATCGGGGCCAGAAGGCGAGGAAGCCTCTGCAGAAGACAAAGAGCGGTTGATCAAACGTCGTCTGCAGCTTATGCTAAATGCGGCGCTACTCGCTGAAGGCATTGGCCCAATCGAAACAGATACCACTGGAGAACGCGCGCGCCAGGACGTGAACTATATCGCCGATCCGGCCGATAGCACATTATACCGCACCGCCTCGGGCGGCGAACGTCGCGTGATACGTCACCAGCCTCCCAGTCTACCCTCGTCGCCGACCAGGGCTGACAAGCATCCAAACGAAAGCCAACCGGAGCTCGACCCTGGTATGCACTATTGGACCAGCGCGGATGGCCTGAAAAACGACATGAAGAAGTTTACGCCGGATCCGCATCAGCCGCCACCGCCGAAAAGGAAGTGGGACGATGTGATTGCTGCCGCGGAAAAGGCACAGGAGGACGCAGAGCGCGGTCCCAAGGCGCCCAACGGTAAGGCGACAGGTAAGCAGAGCCCTGGCAAAGATACAAAGGGGAAGGATAAAGCGGACGAGAGCGCGAGTGATGAGCCCACGGGCCCACACGCAAAGCGCGCAAAGCGCACTCCTGGAGTAAGCCGTCGTCATTTCACTGCAACCCCTATGCGACAAACTAGAGCCGCAGCCGGGCGGCAAAGGGCGGCAGCAGCGGCGGCAACAGCAACAGCAGCAGCAGCAACAGCAACAGCGGCAGCAGCAGCAGCAGCAGCAGCGAGTGGGACTGACAATAGCGGAGAAGACGAGGCGCCGCCGAAGAGACTGCGTCTGAGACTCATCGTCCGGACGCCACCGCCAAACGCTGGTGACGGTTCGAACTAGGACTGCGGATAAAAGATGATGGGATTGAGGGGGATGGGAATGGAAAATGTAGGAAAACGGGTCAAGCGAATGCTGGATCAAGGGGTAAGTACCGTGCAAATCGGAAAGGTAAGGCGACAAGGGACAGGAAGGGGTGGAGGATTGCCATTGCGTATGGGGCCACATTGGCGAGAATCGGATTGCTTTTTCTTCAACCTGCCGGCAGGGCCGTATATACATCCTATTCTAGAGTTTCGGAATCTTATATTTGAATTTCGCATGCTAAGCTCCCACTATATATGGCAAAGCGACATGTGCACACGCACAGTGCCTCGGCGGCTCAGCCAGAGCGGCCACCCTCCAAAGCCGGCGTCAAACTTGGATCTCTAGGGTCTCACTCCGTCTCCCAAACTCAAATTCTCGAGGATCAAGTCGACTTCCTCCCCCGCCGTCACGAGGATATGCTCCGCCGGGAATTTTGCTTTCCAGCCCAGGTCCTCCGCGCCGTGACGAGGGGTGAATGTGCATCTAGATGTTATGAAGGTAAAATGTGAGCCCGTGTTTTCGCGCAGACATCATCATGGAATACCGAGACCGAGAGTAATGCAGAATGTATACGTACCGTCCACCAAGCTGCAACGCCACCAATTCCTTGGGGCAGCCCAGCGCCTTGCCCATTCTCTCGAGCGTCTGCTCCGTCGCGGGCTGGACCGTCTCGTCGTCGACCGCGCCGCGCTTGGCCAACGCCCCGGCTATGGCCGCGTACAGGTCTTCCCACGCCACGTGTCCGGACGAGGCGAGGTAGTAGCCGTGCTTCCCGCTCCCGGGTTTCTCACCTTTTAGGATCGCACGCAGGAGAGCGAGGTAGAGCGTTGTGTTGTCGTAGACGTGGCAGACGGGCCAGGACTAGGGGAAGGACGTTAGTCAGGAAGGGAGGAGGGAGGGAGAGGAGGTTTAGTCAATCAGTGTCCGGTCCAGCATCACTGATAGCAAGTTGGGGAAGTTGTGTTCTTTCGTGATCATGAGCTCGAGAGGAGAAAGGAGCAAGACGAAACGTACGGGACGTCCCTTGTCGACGCTATACACGCGCCGCAAGGCCCGTGCAGCCTGCACGATCGCGACCGTCTGGATCGAGATGCGGTTCCCGAATCCTTCGCCTCGGCCGTCTATATCGCCCGTCAAGATACATATGTGGCATGTCAGTCTTCAAATCTCACAGAATTCAATCCAACAAAGCCTCCTTGGGGATTGACTATTGGGGAAAGAAAAGGAGGGCGGAAGGGGCTCGGAAAAACCCACACACTATGCAAGGCACAAAGATATAGCTGGGCACGCCGAGCGACTCGGCTTGTTCGATGACCTTATTGTTGGTGTCGACGGCCTGACATGCATTCCATTGTTAGCCAGCGTCTCAGAGGTGTTTCGATCTGATTCTACTTCTCTCTTTTTATGTCTTTTCTCCCCGAATAAAGAAGGGGTTCTACTCTTCCGTGGTCTCCCAATGGGCTGTAAGCGGAATTGAAAGAATGCTTACCGACTGTATCAGCGGGATGGCCGGCTTCTGCGCCTTCTGGATCTCGTACAGATCCTCCTGCGTGTCCAGGAGCGGTCGGTCTGTCGGCGCGCCGGCATGGCTGGAGAAGATCTTTGCGCCGCTGGTCTATTCGTTGCAGTGCATATCATATCACACGTAAGCGATCAGAACAGAGTATTTTTCTCTCGCGAGAGGCCACCGGCGTCGTGAGTTCCTGGATTAGGAAGGAAAAAATTTGGGAAGAGAATCTCTGTGTCTGTTCGCCGGCATCTCACACCCGAGGAGGGAAACATACATGCAAAAAGTGAACATCCAGCCCCGTCCTCCGCTTCACCTCAGCCAGCGCACTGATGAAGTACCCCTGCGCCGTCGCCGTCATGGCGTCGATCAAGAAAAAAACGATCGTGATGCTATTGTCGACCACGGCTCTGTGCACGGCCGCTTCGTCCTTGGTGTTGAAAATGATGGGCTCCGCTCCCACAGCGCCGCCGCCGTACTCTCTCTGCACCGCTGCAGCTTGCTCATCCGTGCGCACCAACGCCAAGAGCCGCTTGTACGGCGGCAGTGAGGCCTGCGACCACTGCGCGAGCAGCGTGCCACCTAGGTAGCCTGAGGCTCCGGTGATCAGGATGGTGTGGGACATCGTGTTGGCGGAGGTGTCGTTGGAGTGCTGGAGGAATGCGAAATCAGGAATCTACGATACGAGGTAATATCCTCTACCGACACCTTGCTTGTTTTTAGGCCTTCGACGCTGGCTGGCCTTGTTGTCGGCGGGATATGGTCTTCTTGACGAATGTAGCATTTCAAAGCAAGTGTGTTGGTTGTTTTCGTTTCTCCAACTTTGGATCTGGAGAATTAATAATTATTTCCGCTCGCCGGATTGGAGTCGTTCACCCTCCATGGGGGCGGGGTTTATAAAGATTCAAATTTGGTTGCGCTGTCGATAGACGCGATAGGACCGGCGAAGGTATGGTTGGTCAATTCACGAAAATGAAAATCCCCTTGAATTTGTCGGCCGTGGATGAGATTGAGCAATAGTACGAGAATTGCCCAACACCCCTACATACGCCCGCACGCCGCCCTCAAAAGCACGCAATACCTAGACCTATAGACTCGACCCTTCTCTATGCACTGGGCGTGTCCATTTCCAGCTACGGGAAAGAAAAATCGTCACACCTCCAACGCCTGACCGAGAAGAAGATCCTGTATCCCAGCTTCCTGCAGCAGCAAGAGTGACCAACCAATTCACGCAGAAGCCGGGACAGCAGCCTTCCTCAATTCCCCCACCGAAGACACGCTGTCCACTTTCCCAAGGGCCCTGGCTTTCTCCTCTTCGGCTTCGGCGTCCAAGTCATCCACATCCTCCAGGTCTTCGCGTCTCAATGCACGACACACCCCATCTTTCGTACAGATCATCACCTCCGACACAATCCCCCTGACCACGGTCCTCCCCCACCCCTTCAATCTCCTGAGCTCGCTTTCCTTGGCCGTCATGGGTGCAATTATCGTCTTCACGCCGACTTGCTCCATGACCGTTGCTCCCAAGAGCGTGACGTAGAGGAAAGGATGCTGGATGATTTCGACGGCGAAGGCGTCTAATAGCGCGCGGGCTCGGGACGTGTAGGCGGACGCTTCGGATGCGGATCGGGACGGGTGTTGGGATTGGATGTAGGAAGAGAGGTAGAGCAGGTTGGTGCAGATGATGCCGTTGGGAGATGGGAGGGCGTTGTCGGTCCCGGGCTTGAGGCGGATGATTTGTTCTGTGGTTGAGGAGTCGCGGGGCTTGGGACACTGGAAGTATCCTCCCGTGGTGCTGGCGATGAAATGTTCGTCCAAATAGGATTGAAGCTGAATAGCCCAATCGAGGTACGGTTGAGAAAGGGTCAGGTCGTACAGGGCGAGATTAGCCAGGACGAGATATGCGTAGTCATCTACAAAGGCGGTATTGGTGTTGTCGGCATCTTGATTGAGCTGCGAGGCCGGTGGACCTGCCACCCGCACCAACTGCCCTGTAGCCTCGTCATACATGCTCTTCCGGATGAAGGCTGCAGCCCTTTCGGCGGCGTCCTGACACCTGTTGGCGCGGTGCTTGTCGATCGTCGCCAGAGTGTTGGCTGCGCGCGCCAGAGCCGTAATGGCAAGTCCGTTCCACGAGGCAATTATCTTTGTGTCCACCTCGGGCTTTTCGCGTTTCGTCTTGCGGTGCTCGCGTAACTGTGCGCGGCCGGACTTGACTATCCGCACGATTTCCTCCTCCGGCATGCCGAATTCTTTGGCTAATATAGACGGGGTGGCTTGGACGTGCAGCACGTTCTGGGTCAGGAACTCGTCGTGCATGTCATGTTGGGCGGGTACGTTGCCATCCGGTCGGACGCCAAAGTGCCGAGCCAAGATCGCTGCATCCCGTTCCCCAAGGATCGACTGGAACTCCTTGAACGTCCACACGTAGAAGGCGCCTTCCTTCTTGTCGTCCGACATTGCTCCATTACTCATGGTGGAAAGGGTGGTACGCGAGTCTGCGTCTTCGCTCGAGTACCAACCACCCTCCGGATGGACGATCGGGGACTCAGGGTTCGTAAAATACTCGACGAGGTTGTAGATCGTGCCGAGAATCTCTGGGTCCCTGCCTAGTGCCCAGGCGTCGCAGTAGCAGCCGAGCAGCTGCACATTGTCGCACATCATCTTCTCAAAGTGCGGGAGATTCCAGTCGGCGGTGGCGCTGTATCGATGGAATCCATAGCCTAATTGATCTCTCAAACCGGACCGTGACATGGCAAGAAGAGTATGCAGAGACATCCTTGCAGCGGTGAGGCATGACTCTCGACCCAAGATCCCAGGAACTGGGCTGAAGAAACCAAACCGCGTGTGAGTGGAAGGCAGAGCTATGGCTGCGCCGATACGAAGAAGAAAGGTGAGGTTTGAAGGTGTCGGAAACTTGGGCGCTGTAGGGCTCGGGCTAAATCCCCCGTGTGTTGAGTCGTAGCGCGAGATGAAATGGCTGAGGGCGTCATCCAGCAGGTCCAGGTCCAGTGGCTCGGGTGGATCGGACGAAGTGGGTTCAGCTTCTCGAGCTTGGCTGTCTGAATGGGAATGGATGCCCTCGCCGGCGAACGCGAGTAACTGGTCCGTAATTTCCGAAGACGATTGGAGACACCTTTCGCGTTGCGTGGTCCAGACCTCCTTCATCTTCTTGAGAATCCCGATGAATGTGACTGGCGCCTCGTCGTGAGGAGTGGCCGGCTTCAGATTCGTGGTCGGGGTAGGTCCGGGCCAGTACGTGCCCCCAAAGACAGGTTTGAGATCTGGAGTGAGGAAGACATTCAAAGGCCAGCCTCCGGAGCCCGTCGTCGCCGTGACATAGCTCATGTAGATGTCGTCTAGATCAGGCCGTGATTCCCGATCTAACTTGATTGGGATGAAGAAGTTGTTAAGGATCTCTGCCACATCAGGAGAGCTAAACGACTCCCGTTCCATCACATGACACCCTTAGGAGAGACAAGTTAGATCAAGCACAGCAAGCCGAGTTGGGTCTCTTACAATGGCATGCATTGTAGCCGATACTCAAAAATATAAGTCGCTGGTACCGCTTTGCAAGGGACAGAGTTTTGGGTGACCATTCTTGCCAGGCCACGGGATTGCCCTTGTGCGCACGGAGCTATTTCAAGTCAGCGTCAATAGCCATTGACGATGACGACAAAACTCACATAGACTGATGGACTATTCTCCACGGCATTTTGCAGTCTCAGTTCAGGCTCGCCGTCAACCATGGAGGATGATTGTAGTCGGACCGGCCAAATTATAAGAGGTACTGGTGAGGCTAGTTGCTAAAGGCGAGACGCGGAAGAGGCCAGCTTATTCTGCGGGAGCTATACAAACGATGTCTTCCAGGACTCAATAAAACATGGAAAAAGAAAAGTCTGATGTCGAGAGGGCACGTGGGCCGAGTTGGACAAGGCTTTGCAAAAGTTTTGCGGTTGGGGTCGGAAATCGCCGGCAGGAACAGCGCCACCCGAAATGTTTCGTGCGAGGGACTAAATTCAAATGCAGGCCAGAGGACGTTCCTCCGAGCAGAGATGGATAGGCAGATACGAGATGGATGAATTGCTGACTGAAGAAATTTTCGGATGGGGGGGCAATGGGCAATCAGATCAATCACGAGAAGCGGGAAAAAGACAAAAGGCAGGGAGGAGGTGGCAGGGCAGCCAATCATGGCCGAGCATTTGACCATATCAGTCTATCAGTTCTATCAGCCTGCTTAGCTAATCTGGGGTTGGGCACGTGGGGCATGTATATAACTGATAAGGCAAGGCTGCGTAAAGATGTCCTGGGACAGAGCAGGTCTTATTGCTCGTCCATGGCCAGCTTCTCCAGCGCCTCTTCCTCTTCTGCCTCCATCAAAGCGCGGAGTTCTGCTTCTTCCTCCTCTGTCAACATCCCTAGATCCGCGTTGGGTTCAGGTTCCTGTTCGAGAAGCCGTGGATTCGTAGCCTCTTGCACAGCCTTGTTCAGATCCGCCGGGGCCAGGCTCCATCTTCGAAGTGTCGCATCAATACTGACACTGATGACCAGGTCCCGTGCCAGAGACAGTCCTGTTACTTCTTCGTAGTGCCCGGTGAAAACGTGGTGGAGGTCACCAGTCGCCCTGTTCCACACTCGCACATTCTCGTCCCTACAGGCTGTCACCACCCAGCCATATTTATCGTGTGTGACCACATCCCGCACAAAGTCGGGGTGCGTCAGTGTCATCTCAACCTTCCATCCCTCGTCCCTCAAGAGGTGTTTGGCTGTTTTGTCTGCCGAGGCTGTCCATAGATCTCCGTCCTCATCGAAGTGCAGCTTGTACACACTCGTGGCATGCACCGTGATAGGGGATGACAGTCCAATTTTTTGCGTAGTGAGGTTTGATAGCGCTGGGAGAGGAAAAGAGAAAATTTCCCGCTGAGATGTCGAAAGCACCACAGTAGGAGAATCGGGTGAAGAGAGAGGGTCTAACGCAAGGCATTCGATGCCTCGGGCATTGGGCTTGACCGAATTAAGTGGCTGTCCATCGAGGCTCCAGAGGCGCACGTCACCGTCAGCTCCACCCGATATCAAGATATCTTGCTTATCTGGAGTTCGGACAACAAGAAGGCATTTCACAAAGTCTTGGTGAGCAAGAATTGAGCTTTGATCGATGATTGTAGGTCCCTGCAACGAATACTTCCATATCGACTTGTCCCAACATCCAGCGAAGACGTGGGTGACAGGGTTGGGCCCTTTGCTGGGCTGTGCTGTGGAAAAGGCAAGGCTAGTTAAGGGAGCCTGAGGGCCTTTGGGCATTGTGGATATCTCGTTTGTGGATAACCGCAGGCCCGAGACCGACCCCGCGGCCTCGGCGACAAAGACAACATCTCCAGTAGCGTCAAGATAGTAGTTGATACCAACAGCTAGCAACTTTGTAGGGAATTGGACTGGATCTCCCAATGTGTTTGCTGCTTTCTGGCGTTTCCGATCATGTTCAACCAAAGATGCACTGGAAAATGATCAGCAATGCTCAGAGTGGGAGCCGCGCGGGTTTTGCCACGCACTCGGTCTGGAAATAATTGCCTGCCTGGTCGCCTGTGCTGTAGCTGGTCATGATGGTCGGTGGCAGGGTCAAGCCAAGAAGAGAAAAGTGATGCAATGCCGAAATTGTTTGATATTGCACATACGGAGTGAAAGGCGCACAGTAGTAGCACTGCGCCGAGGTGCCAAGACTACGGCTGGGCACAAGTGACCGCGAATGCACTGTGTTTTGCTAGTTTGTCGCTCTGGCTCTTGACCTTCCGCAGCTTCTCCAGGCAAATTCGTCTTTTCTGCTTCTTCCCATCAAACAAGACAACCTCGCAAACCCTCTGCCGCCACCCTTCCTTCTTCTTCTACTCTCGGGTTTCCTTCCTCTTTATGTAACATTAGTGTCTTCTTTATCGCGCTCTCTTTGCGTCATCATGGACATGGATCATCTCATCGGTCAGCGTTTCAACCTCATCTCGAAAAGTGAAATTCGGTACGTGAACCCCCTTTTGTTCCTGGACCTGCTCTAACATTTTTGCGCGCGTAGCTATGTCGGTACTCTCCATGAGATAAATCCTGAACAGTCCACAATTGCCTTGGAAAATGTCTTCTCATTTGGTACCGAAGACCGCAAAGTCGACAAATTCATCCCTCCTTCACAACAGAAATATGGTTTCATTGTCTTTCGCGGGAGCGACGTCAAGGATATCAAGATCGCTGAAGATGAACCCTCACAACCATCCCCTCCTCAGAACATGCCCAATGACCCTGCTATCCTGGTATGTCGTGTGTCCTCCTTGGTTGCCCCAACCCTGTCTTTATGATGAGATATTCGGATGTAAATTCACAGACCTGTTCTGAAAGCGCAAAGCCATGTGGATGTTTCCGTTGCCTTCCTTCTGATTTTGACCTCTTCTATGCACACTCTCTCTATATGTATAATTTTCTCGAGCACCGCTGACCTAAATCGGCTCTCAGAATGCCTCGCGACCAGGTCCTCCACCGGGAATCCCGCGTGATGGTCCCTTTTCTCCTCCAGAATACCCACATCCTCCTCCCTTTGGTGGTTACTACCCTCCAAATCAGTTTGGCAGAGGCTATGGCCCGCCGCCGGGAGCCTTTGGCCCTGGTCCCGGGTTTCCCCCTTACGGGCCTCCCCCTCCTGGGTACTTTGGTCCCCCTGGCGGCCAGGGTTTCCCGCAAGGTCCGGGTCCTCACCCATTTCCACAGCATCCTCAGCCTCCAATCGGCCCTCCCGGCTTGCGCGGCAATGTACCACCTCCACCTGGTCCGCAGTCACAACCTCCTGACTTGGCTGTTCCCGCACCACCACCTCCTTCGACCCTGACATCTGAACTCCCGGGTAGTAACAAGGCCCCAGAATCAGCTCCTTCTCCTCCCAAAGAAACCCAACTCCCCACATCTCTCCCGTCACAACTGTCCCATGCCCAGGTCGCTGCTAAGGCTGCTCCCACATCTGCTCCTGCGCCGGCAGCAGCAGCGGCTGCGGTAGTGGCGCCTCCCAAAGCCGCTCCTACAGGGCCAAAGAACAACCGGGTCGCTCCCGCAATCCCTCTCACTGTGAACCAGAAATCCTTCACACCTCCAGTCCCCGCCACGGCGGATACTTCAGCAACGAACGGCGCCGGTGCGAAACCTCACAAACCTGTCCCCTCGCAAGCTGCCATGGATGAGGCAGCGCGACAAGCAAAAGAAGCGGTCGCTGCAGCAATGGCAAAATTGAACCCTCAAGCAGCTGCGGTCCCAACCAAAGAAACTCCCTCAGCGGCGGCCGTAGACGCTCTGACGAAAAAGGTGGCAGAGATGTCTACATCAACCACGAGCAACGGGACGGCTCGCGGGGGAAGGGGAGGATTCAGAGGCGGGCGAGGTGGCAACTACCACCGTGGAAGTGGCCAGAAGAAGATGGAAATTCCCAAGTCTGATTTCGACTTTGAATCCGCCAATGCGAAGTTTAACAAGGAGGATCTGATTAAAGAGGCGATCGCTTCAGGATCACCCCTTGAGGAGAACCCGACGCAGGAAGAAGACAGCGGAGAAAAGCCCACGCCAACGAGAAAAGACAGCCTAACCACTGCCGCCCCGGCCTATAACAAGTCTACTTCGTTCTTTGATAATATCTCGTCGGAAGCAAAGGACCGAGAAGAAGGTAACGACGGCCGTGCTCATGCCAGACAAGTGCGCAGCGAAGAGTTCAAGAAGAACATCGAGACGTTTGGCCAAGGGAATGTGGATGGAGGTTACCGCGGGCGCGGAAGAGGGGGTGGTTATGGTCGTGGAAGACAATACGGCGGAACTTATCGCGGCGGCTACCACAACCGTGGATATGGCGGATACAATTATCGTGGTGGCCGGGGACGAGGCGGACAGGGACAGGGACAGGGGCAGGGACAGACACAGGTGCAAACTGGTCAAGCTGCTGTGCAGAACTAGATCAAGTGGTTCTTGTTTTCCCTCAACAAGCGCTACGAATGGGCGGCACATGTGTTATCCCCCATGTCTTGAGTTGTTCAGCATCATGCCTCGCAACGGAGTTGGTAAGGATCCCGGACTATGGGCGATCACGGATCCAGGTGGGAGGAAAGCGCTCTCTTAACAGCGGGACGGGAATGGTATGCATGCTGAAATGAAAAACCGTGGGCCATGTCCGTGATGATGAGTGAAATGCCGCTGGACACGGGAATCGAAGGATGGACACAGGCCGGGTCAGTTGGTTAACACCAGCAGTCAACGCTGTCTATGGAGGTCGAATTGGCAGCGATTGGATGCCTAGTACCAACCTACCAAGATACCAAGGTACCTAGATACCTGCCTCCGTGCCTCGTCCGGATGTAGCTTGATATGGACTGCGCAAAGGACCAATCCAATACAAGATGTACTGAACTGGACTGATGACTTTGATTACACGCCTTGGCTCTCGCGTATACGAGCGTGACGAGGTTGGATTCTTGGCCGACATTTCCTGCTTGGTTAATTGCACTCTGGAATCCATCTGCTGCGAACTGCTGTTAAGGCTTAGTGAGCTTATCGACGGACTCGGGGCAGGGAACAATGAACTGGCCCTTCTGAATATACGAATACCTAGCTATGTTCACGGCGCGGAAGCAGAATCCCAGATTAACAAGATCAGACTTTCTCGGATACCGGGCGCCACGGCGTTGTCGCTCACTCGCCCCGACATTTAAACCGGCCGGTCTCATCGCGATCGTGCGTGATGCCTTTCCGCTACATCCTCTACCACTATCTCGAGCCTCCCCTGACCGACTTGGCTAAGCCTGTACTAAGTCATGTCGGATCAACATCCCCGCCGCCCTGACTTACAGCCCTATTCGGAGAAGTTTCTATTCGTCAACTACGATTCAAAGAGGCCCAGCGGCTCTCATGATGACCAGTCGCGAGTCCTTTCCCACGTCCGTCAGAACTATCATGTATGGCGCAGAAAGCAGAACGTCAAGCATCTTCGAGATCCCGTCGTGGTCCCTGCCACCTGTAAGCAGAAGGTACCGATTCCCAGCTCCCAAAGACGGCCACTGTCCGAGAGCAGCCGCCATGTGCGAGGGCGTCCAGTTCCCACAGCGCGAAATGGGGCCATCAGGACTCAACGCACTGGTGGCGTTTCCGAGCCTGCAGTCGGCTCCCCTTCGATCAATCTCCACAGGGGGAATTCGGATCCCTTCAATGCTTATCCGGTCAAAATCGATCCTCAAGTGAACGAGCTGATTGCCTTCTATCGAGACTATCTTCTTCCGGCGCAGTATCATGTTCCTTCCACAGCATGGGTCAGCTCTGCCAATGCGAGATTAGACTGGTCCATCTGCACCTCCACGCTTCAAGAGCCAGCTTCAGGAAATGCATTTATTGCTCGGTCTGCAACTGTTGCCGCTGTGCTCAACCCCGCTTTGCGGACACTGGCTATGCGTTACCGCCTGCGGAGTATCCAGGAACTGCGGTCGAGACTGCGAGACAACGTAGATCAAACCTACGGTGATGTGAATGTGCTCCAGATTATCATGCTGCAGAAAGCCGACATTGTCGATAAAAACCTGTCAGCTGCTGCGGCACATGCAAACATATTGCAGAACATGTTCCAAGAACAACAAAAAAGGAATCACACAGTGAACTTCACCCTCCTGCAATATGCCCTCTGGAGCCACACACAGATCTCTTCGATGTTTATGGCTCCCCTTGCATTCGATGTGAACCCTGGCGGCTGGGTAGTCACGACGATGCGGCCTCTTTGGGATGCTGCTCTTCAACAGCTTCGAGAACTACCACAGTGGACATACCATCGGGACAATGCGGAAAGGTGTCTCGACCCGAGTGTTGAAGGCGAAGAACTAAAAGCATTCTTCGTCTCTCGGAGGACCACTTTACAAACGTGGCTACTCTACGGTCTCAGTGGTCGACCCACGCCACCTCTCATAATGCTGTGGCTGACGACAACAGCCTGTCTCCAACAGGGGAGGATGCTCAAACACTATATTCGCGCCGTCCACGAGGCCAAAGAGAGTGCATCCTTGTCATCACGGGAAGGTGGAGGGGGATGCTCTGCCGCGCCGGTAGAGTACTGGTACACCCAACAATATTTGATTCTTGCAGAATTTCTTTGGACACATCATTTGAGCTACAAAGTTGAAGTTGGTGGCATTGATCTCTTTGATATGGTTCCAACGCAACTGAAGAATCTTCGAGCAGCGCTGCAGAATGCTGAGGACGCGGGGCCTGGTCCTGGGCCTCGGCACTCTTCAAAATATCGAAACGCCCGTCTCTGGGCATTGTTCATTGGCGCGCATGCCGAATTGTTGCGATCCAAGTCCATGCAGAAAACGTCAAGTTCGGAGCTGTCGTCAAACAAGGCTTTGCTCAACAAGAATCACGAGAAGAAGGAAACGCCTTCGTTCGTGAAGTACCGCAATGACGCCAAATACGGTGGCTCTGAGGGTTACGAGGAAACTAGTGATCGATGGTTTGAGACGCACTTTGCCCACCAACTCCGGGACATGGAATTGTCGGAATGGAAAGATGTTTATTCTGTCTTGAAGGGTTTTAATTATGCGGACATAATTAAGCCACTTGGAGAAGAGATCTTCAACAACGCTATGAACGTGGTCCAGCCTCCGCTGTCTGGAATTCCTCTATATATCAGGTCCAAGCAAGAGAGAAGCGAATCTGACGGTAGCAAAGTGTGATGTCTATCAACTAATCAACCCCAGCCCAGACAATGGCGCATGAGATGGAAGCAGCGTCTATAAAAACTCTACGAGCGAGGCAGTGTTGAGGCTTGGATAGGTGCTTGCGCAACGAGGGAGCGTGCTACCTGGCCCCAGCCTTCGGAACTCAACCGACCAACTTCTCTCCAATCACAACCGCCTTTGACTCTACAGCGTCTTCTGATGACGCACACTCGCCATCCTGGATCTCTAATGCTTCACCCTCGAGCAAGCGGGGATGAGGCATCACACCCAACTTCCTTGCCTCCTCCACCGTAAATGTCGCGAACAGATCTTCTGTGTCAATCTCTCCAAGACCCGGCACTGGGAATAGCCGGTTCAGGACATAATGCACAACGAATGCCAAAGCAAACCCCTCGATGTATGCGAGGTAGAAGATCTCCTGTGCGCCTTTGGGCACATGAATGGACGGGTTGACAGCATTGATGAATCCAGGCAGCGCTGGCGCCATCCCGACGAGCCAAGAAGCGTAAGCGCGCCAGTTGAATCCGTGATAGTACCAGTAGATGGACTGTTCGTTTGGAGTGTACAGGTCAGAAAGCTTGAACTTGCGATCGCGAATGACCCAGAAGTCGCAGACCATCATGCCCACCATGGGACCGAGGAAGACTGAATATCCGTCCAGCACGTTGATGAAGGTGTTAGCGGTGTCAGCCAATTGCCACGGATTGATCACGATACCGAGCACGAACGTGATGACAGCACCCCGGCGGATATTGATCCAACGAGGGAAGAGTGCCGCAAGGTCGAAGCCACCTGGCCAGGCATTGTCGACTGTGTTGATACTAAGTTGAGAGATGAAGAAGCCAAAGCCGGCAAAGAAGGCTCCTGCTCGGGACTTTGCGGTATATCCGTCCTCCATCCAGCGAATGGCGAGTTCTGCGGGCGACCAGAGCACCTCCCCATAGATTTTTTGTGCCGCAGAGGTCGTCAGGGTACCCATGAGGGTCACAAGCGCACCGATGATGACTGTGGAGTAAATCTGGCCAGGAATTTGTGCGCCAGGGGTCTTTGCGAACCGGTTGAAATCGCTTTGGTTCGTCAGCGACACTGCGATGGACCCAATAACGGTTGTGATGCCGCGGATAATAGCCCACGCTCTCTCGCTGGTCGTGGTGAGCGTGCTGTTAGCGGTGAGCAATGGCCCGCCGCCATGGGCTTCCGACAAAGCCCATACCGTGACCGAGAACATGGTAACAGCGGTGATAATGTTGGCGTACCGGAACAAGATCGCGGTCTTCTCAGGGGGGATCAGAAGGCAGGGGAACTGGAAGCAGAGGAAGACGATGAAGCCAACAAACTGCTGAGTTGTCATGTTCGCGCTGGCCGGGAAGGTGTTGGGGATGTGTCTGTAGCCGGAGAAGATGCTGTAGAGCATAACGCCTACCATCTGGCCACCAATCCAGGCTTGGACGCCATACCAGACCAGACAGAGCATGATTCTTTGTGCGAGAGCAAGATATGAGCCCCTCAGCCCCCAAACAGCACGGTTTCCCACAGAGAACCCGACATGCCAGACTGCCCCCCACCAGCCATTCGTAATCGCCACTGCAGCAATGAGAAACTACATGTTACCACGGTCAGTTGAGAACTCGGGGACGTCGGATCAACAGGGGGGACTACTGACCTTGGCGATAATCGTCACAACCATGGCCTCCCACACACTCAACCCGAGCGAGATCAATGAGCTTGCTGTCTGCCACCCTACTGTGTTCAGTTGGATGACGGCCCAGAATCCCAAGAATCCCCATACTGTCCACGTTCGCCTATTTGGAGGAAGAGGGGCAAGATCACGATTGTTCCATGCGGTGGCCCTCTTGCCGTCCAAGTTCTCGTCTACCGGCACTTCGAGCTTTTCGCTGAGCCGTGCGGCCCGGTGACGAAAAGAACTCATTGTTCTTGATCGCTAGCTGAGCTGCGGCAGAGTTAACCTGTGTTTTGTCCAGGCTCCCTCAGGTCGAAAGGGTTGCTCGCAGCTCCAGCAGAGCTGCGATCGCGCAGATGTTTATCAAAGGGGTCGAGTCTCTGATCATGACCCAACAGAGCCTGATTCCGCCCACTCTCCGTGCCCTGGATGTGTATATCGCTGATAAGGACCCAGGCGAGCCACGTGGTGGACCAGCGTGTTAACGCTCATCTCCACGCTGTCGACGGTCACTTTCCGGCAACTCGATAACATAGCTATCAAATAACGACTAAAAGGTCGAAGTCTAGAACCGATAAGTTCGCTTGAGGCAAGAAGCTTCACGGAACCCCTGCCGAAGGTCACATATAGGCTGCCTCACGGGATCATTCTCAGCTTTCCTCGCCAGGTCATGACAACGCGCTTTGTGCCAAACCAATGTCTATGGCATAGGATTTGAATATGTACGACCATTAAGACACCTGATATCAACCTGCCAATCATCGCGGTCAGGTAGGGTCTGGGCGAGTATCCCAACGACCATGTGGCTAGAGGTAAGCATTTATTAGTGGATCGGCTGGTAACCGACTTGTGAGAACGATCCCTAAAATGGAAGGACGGAAACGCGTCGCCGAAGATCACAGTCCATACTCTGCAGATGCATCGGATGAGGAGCGACACGGCAAAGCCGATAAGCAATAAGGCTGCGCGCACCTCCGTCTGTGAACTCCGATGTTTAGTTCGAGCATCCGATGTCCGTTTCAGGAACTGCTGTTCGTTCTTGATATCATATTGGGCCTGGTTTTGCAGCTAGGCACTTGGAGTCTGAAAATCAGCTCATCGTTGTTCTGGCGGCACGCTCCAACTGAATATCACCATGTCCCAAGTTACGACACAGACCGAGGAAAATAATCCTCTCGTAATCAAACTACAGAATGGTCAAACTCTCCACGTTGAATCCAACGAGGCCATAGATGCAGACGAGATCCCTATCATCGACGTAGCAGGAATCTACAGCGACAATTTGGAGGATCGACAGGCGGTAGCGGACAAGGTTCGAGAAGCCGCTCACCGGATTGGTTTTTTCTACGTGGTCAATCATGTAAGATTTGCCTCTCTACGAGACAATTATCGATTGCTGAACATTGCCATTTCCTTTCAGGGCTTTGATCCAAAACTGGCCGATGGAGTATTTGAGCAAGCCAAGCGCTTCTTTGCCCTTCCGCTGGAGAAGAAATTGGAGGTTGACACGAATCTCGTGCCCAAGGAATACGTGGGATACCATGCGCTCGCGAGTTATAACAGGAATGGCAGGAAACATCATGGTAGGTTAACTCTGTGGGGTGCATTCCGAACCGTGATATCTTGTCTTCTCGGGGGCCGCGCAAAACTAACACTTCTGTCAAAATGTGCCTCTCTTAGATCTCAGCGAAGCTTTCAATCTAGCATACTCTGCCGAGCAGGATCCCGAAAACCCAGAAAACGACCCCGGTTCCTCAATATGGCCAAGCGATCTGCCTGGCTTCAAGGAAGCCATGTACGCTTACCACACGCCCATGCTCCAGTTCGCGCGCAAGATGACCCGGATCTTCGCCCTGGCACTGCACCTCCCCGAAACATATTTTGACGAATGGACAAAACGGCCCGAGGCTGGCCTGCGCATCCTGCACTACCCGGAACAGCGGGCGTCGGTGGACGAGCAGAACGGCATCGGCGCCCACACAGACTTTGAGTGCTTCACCATCGTCAACCAAGACATGTCTGGCGGGCTGGAGGTTTTGGGGAAGTCGAAGCGGTGGATCCGCGCGAAGCCCGTGCCCAATTCCTTTGTGATCAACATCGCCGACTGTTTCATGAGGCAGACAAACGACTATTTCGTCTCCACGGTGCATCGCGTCATCAACAAGAGCGGGAAGGAGAGATATTCCATCCCTTTCTTTTACGGATTGGACAGGAAGATGCCCATGTTGCCCATTCCGTCGTGCATTTCCGAGGAGAATCCGGCAAAGTACCCGGTCATGACGGCCGGGGAATACTATCTGTGGAGGGCGAAGAAGGCCAAACAGGGCGATCAGGCTGATGAAGAATAGGCGTTGAAGGTGGATATTCTTATTACATAGCATATGCTATAATGAAGCTCATGTCCTGGGCCGATGTTTTGGGATGTATACAGCCGGCCAAAGTCTCTTCTGGTACGACTGTAGTGCTTCGGTGATATCACAACCTCACGAAACGCTCACACGTCCATTCGACACAGCGCTACGATACTACGAGCGAGAGAGTCGAACTAAACCCCACGCACCGAGTACCGTGGCGGACGCCTAGCGAGAGTGGGGGTTCGGAAAGGGGATTTGATATTCCTATCATACTTTTTGCTCAAGGCTGTTATCTGCCGGATACTAAGTGCCTAGCCGCATCCCGTCCTCCTAAAGGCGATAGACTCTCGTATCTGCCTTTCAATTAGCCCTGTCAATGGCTATATCCGGAAGGAGAGCCTTGGTGTTTTGTTTTTGCAGATTGCGAGAATTCATTTCACTCCGGTTGCCACTTGTTTCCCTGTTCCTTTTCCTTCTCTCGCCCTGGCGGCCTTCTGTTTCTCGGTATTGGAGCGGTCATCTCGCTCGGGCTGGAGGTGCTTCCCTTCCACGACGACTTTGACTTTTATTCCCGTGGCTCTTCTGGGGCGAAAGGCGGGAACGGAGGGGGCCCTTGATGCACTTGTTGGTCCAGGTCCCCTGATCTGATGGCACACTCTGGATTGAAAGTAGCAAGTAGATTCTGACAAGTGAGAAATTGGGGAGATCTCGCTAAAGCATGGCATGGAAGTTACTTGGAGCACTGTGTCAAAACAAGGCCTATACGCAGTACATAGTCGGCAATCCCAGCTCTCGCGGTCACACAGCTTCGACCGCCTTCGGACGCTGCTGCTCCAACTTGACAGCGGGATCGGAATCCCACTCGCGATTGTGCTCTGTTCCTCGGCTCAGCTTGTACGACTCCTTGCCCTTGTACTGCGCCGTGTTCCAGTTGTGGGCGCGCTGCTTGACCCACTCATCCGCATTCAGAAGCCTTTCACCGGACGACTGCTCCAGTCTCGCCACGTCCTCTTCCGTGGGATACTGAAACAGATCGCGCAGCTTGACGCTCGAGTTCGGCCGCGAGAAGTACACCACGCTGTGGCGCATGCATTCCCCCTGGGGGCCTGGAGGCACGACCACCCGGTGCACCGCGCTGTACAGTCTGCCGCCGAGCAGCTTGATCAGGCTGTCACCCAGGTTGATTACGGCACACTCGGGCCGCGGCCGCACGTATTCCCAGTCTCGTTTGTTGGGTGCCAGAACCTGCAGCCCGCCCAGCTGGTTGAACAGCACCGTCACGCTGCCGAAGTCCGTGTGCTCGCCCAGCGTGATCGTCTCGGCCGGTCGGACGGGCGGCGCACAAGTGACCCGCGCCTGGTCGACCGAGGGTTTGTCCAGCTCGTGCAGCGACTCGAGCAGGCCATCCGGCAGGCCCAGCGATTTCCCTAGGGATCTCGTGATGGCGTAGATGACATTATGGCACGACTTCATAAACGTCTTGAGCTCCTCGAACCGGTCCAGCACCACTTGGGGATGGTGGCCCGACACCGTCGGTCGCGGCTGCGGGACGCCCAATACCTCGTCCTTGGACACGTTGTAGAACTCGCTGTGGTCCTTGGTGCCCTTGTCGTCGACAAACATGGCCCCGCTCCGCTTATACCCGTAGTAGTGGCCCGTTGTGCCCATGTCGTACTTGAGCTTCTCGTCCAGCGGCAGCGAGAAGACACCATCGGCGAGATCGAACATGAATCCAGAGTCAACGTGGTGGTTGGACAGATAAAAGAAACCGTAGTTCTGGCACGAGTGAAGCAGGATCCGGGCCTGTTCCGGGTCGCCCTGCGTCAGGAGATCGAAATCCACCGTCGCTATGTCGGCCACCGGCACATCGGATGCAAATGGTGGGATATTAGGATTGTTAGACATTTTTGAAGTGCTCAGCGGATTTCGCCTAGGTTGCGGCAGGGTTGTGAACAATATGAATACGCTTGCGGAGGGACTGTATCATCGGATATGGTTGAGACTTGCCTTTTAAGAAGTCATTGCCGGACGTCGAATCTGTCGGTTATATCTGACCGCATTTGCGTCTCTCCGTAGGCGGCCCCAATTCACCCCCTCGGGGCGCGTTCGTCATCGTTCATGAAACGCGGGGAGAGTTTCGTAGCGTGCTCGGCCATGGCTCGGGGAAATGCTTCAAGTTGGAGATGGATGGCTGGACAAAGGCGACGATCCAGGTGACCATCAGTGAGGGGTAAAGAGGCCCGGCTCGCGTAATATTGGCTCCGTCGCGAAGGACAGGAACGAGCATCTGCACCCCCGAATGTCAAATCCTGGCAAGCCTAACCAAGCTGAGGGACAAAGAGTTAGACTTCCAATCACCCTCCTTTGGGTCACCAGGTCAAGCCTGATACCGCCCTGTGCTCGCCACGTTTGCCTTCATCGGGTGTGGGTACCAATAGCACACTATTCATCGGAGTCCTCCACGTCAAAGAGCATTTGCGGGTTGTATTTGGAGTCAAGAGAGGTTTGCCCGCCATTCGAGGGGAAAGCGGCCAACTCTCTCATAGCCTCAACGAAGGCAGCATGGGCAGGAACAAATCGTAAAGTACGCGTAGCCATGACAGAAAAAGGCTGCGCGACATGTGCCTCGCTATTCAAAGGGTCTGATATAGCATACAGCTTTCTTGATCGCTGCCTGTAGTTCAGATACCGTATACTCATATCTTAAACCATCCTATAATGCAATAAGTGCAACAAGAGTTCGAAGGCCTCTATTATTTGTGTTGGAAAGAGGTGACGTTAGAGGCGGTTGGGCGTCAGGCACCGGAGTGGAGACTTGTTTCGCTCCAGCATTTGCCATGGTGAGGTTGGCGGCGAGGTCTTAACAATAAGGACGTGCCATCCACAAGATTGATGGTACCTCACGGGAGAGGTGCCCAGGCACCAGCGGGCAGCAGCGCCACGCAGCTGCGGCTCAGCAGATGGGATGTTAGCGAGGAGCCTCCCTAGGTACATCGATGCATGATTTTGGCGCCCCTATAAATTTGGTGATAGGACCGGCGACGTAACGGCCTGAGTGTGAATGGTGTTGGCAATCTGGAATCCAACATGTTTACTGTGGAGACCCCCTGCGCCCCTTTTGGTGGGCAGCGGGGCTAAATACGGAGTACCTAGGCACCTTTGGGTGCTTGTTGAAGATCATGAAACAAGCACCGACAAGCACCGACAAGCATCGACAAGCATCAACAAGCACAGGGGAGCCAAGGCCGAAACAGGAAATTCGTGGGTCATGGGAGATTAGTCGCCGCCCAAAAGAGCCGATCCACCTCCACAAGGACAAAAGGCCACGCGCCCGTTAACTCATCCTATCGAGCGAAGCGAAACAGAATATTTGTTTAATCTCCACGTCTAGCCCCTCGACCATGATGAAAAGAGAGCTGAACGGCACGCAATGCTCCATCGACACCATCCCGGACAGAGTAAGGGCTGAACTACTAGTATCCCTATACCCCATTATGGTATGTGTTCTGTTTACGGGGTGAGTCTCCGTACATATATAGACCTTCGCGTCTTGAATTCATCATTCTGATCCTCGTCCTCGTCCTCGCTCTCAGAGCAATCTGCTTTCAGTCATTCGTTTTGCTCTTGTCGCTTTTTTCCTTTTTAAAGTTCTCGTCGCTCGTTTGGCCTTTTCACTCTTTAATTTCATTAGGTCGCCATGAAGACTCCCATCGTCTCCCTTCTGGCGGTGTGGCCATTGCTCGCTGCAGCGGGCGTTAGCCTCTCCTCGTCGTTGCTCGGGCCTGAGACAGTGACCATCGAACATTGTTCAACCATCAGACAAGGAAATAACGTGCCACGAGTGACAACAACCACGTACGCGAGAACCATTACCATTCCAGTCCATGTGACCTCCAGTATTACACCCACTGTCACAGTGACTCCGCCGGCAGTCACAATCACCTCGACAACGAGTACTACCACCACCAGCACCGTTTCCAGTACGGCCGCCACACCCACCAGTGTAAGTCTCAGGGACTAGCTTTCGAACTCAATCAAATTCCCTTCACTAATCTCACCAGACATTCACGGCAACACTTACTCTGACCTCCTCCACCACCACTACTAGCACTATCACGGCATCGACGTCTACTTCAACGGAGGTTGACACAACCACAACCACAAGCACGACCACACTGACGTCGACCGTGCCAACCTCGTCGGGTTTCCTTCCTGTTATCAGCACTCTCCCTGGCTCGGCTGAGAAGCGCAAACGGGAAGTGAAAGAGAGGCAGACCCAGTCGAGAAGATCGTCTTATACTCCGCCATGGCAGAAGCCATCGACCCAGTGTAAAGCACCCGCACCTTACCAGCCTTCCACGGGTGGCCAGGCGGTATGGGACACATGCGCGCAATACCCTTCGGCAGTGGAGTGCCAGGAGCTTGTGGAGATTTTCTCACCTATTGTCACGACGGTCACAGCGACGGCGGTCTCGTCCACATTGACGACAGCAACAACTACGACAATTATCACCTCAACTTCAACCGCTACTACTACAGCAACTGTCACTCCTCCAACTTTCAACTACACCACAACGACGACGACCATGACCACTACCACGATCACCGCCTTCAGCACCACTACACCCTCTACAACGATAACCAGCACATCCACCATCACCGCATCAGCAACGACCTCGACAGTCAGCTACGCAGCCTGCGCCACGCCCAATCTAGTCGGCACGCTCAACGGCGACGGTGTCTACGACGCGATCTATCCTGGTGAGGATACTACTCTCACTACCACGGACGACGGGACCGCCTACGACTGCTGTGCCTCGTGCATCAGCAACGCGGCCTGCGCGGCGTCAGCCTTCAACGGGAACTTTGCCCCTGGCGAGCAGTGCTTCAACTTCGTTGCCACCGGCGGCGCCGGGGCCTGCACTACCGAAGGCGAATACAGCTTTGGCGCGGAGTACGATAGCAGCTTCCCACCGGACTCGGAGTATTTCATTTCAAACGGCAACTGTGGCTTCTACACCTACTCCGAATCGGACTAGGTGTGGCGAGAACCTTTAAGAAAACGGCACGAAACGGGAAATATAATGTTGATTGGAAGCAGAGGAAATGAATTGCGCTTTCGGTCTGGTTTCACTCGATTGTTATTCAGTTGCATTTGCACTTCTATTGTATTCGCGATGCGATCGTACCTTTTAACACATGTTAACTAATTCACTCTGAGATAATATCAACGGCGATGCCATGCCCGTTCTAGACCCTTGGTGCAAGACCTAGAGCAAATACCTCACCGTTACCGGTCAATTCCTTGCGATCAACCGGTTTGGTAGAAGCCATTGTTGAATAGGGGAGATTTGGGCCCTGGGTGACCAAGGGGAGCATGAGGGCTCTTGGCTTGAAGACCCCCAAAGTGTCTTCCTATGCATATCATCTATCCGGCACTGTTCCCGGCCTTGCTTGGCTCCATGTGCAATATATGTCTGAATGAAAAATTCCAGTCCGTTGATAAAAGTCTAATAATGGCAGTCTGCAGTGGCAAACAGCTTGCCCAGCGAGGACAAGCAACTCTATGGTATTGGTCAAACCTCGACCTAACGCTCTGCCGCCGCCATTCTCTCACGCTCGTACACGCTCTACTTCGACCTGGCTGTTATCCTTCTCGGTTTCTTCGTCCGACGAAGCGCGCCTCACCTTTACACTTGCTTTCTCGCCAAGCGCCTTGGATGGATCGGCGAAGAGGCTTCCAATTTCCTCGAGGGACATCATCTTGGTCTAAGGTTTCAGGGGCGTCAGTCTCATTTGGGCATATTAAACCTGCTGGCAGAAGAGCCTCACCTCTGGAAACTTCCACCATATCACAACGATGACAGCAGACGTAGCACCAATACACACCAGGTAGTATTTCCAGCCAATATCCGCAAAGCCAGTGGGCGCGCCCTGCAACAAGGCTAGGGCAGTGAGGAACAGCCCGGAAATGGACAGCGATAGTCCCTTGGCTCTCACTGGTGTTGGAAATATCTCAGAAGCATAGATGTATGATGTTGCATCAATCGTGCTGGCAAAGATAGCAACGTGCAAGAAGAGAAAGAAGACTGCGGCGCTGGCAGAACCCTGTCCGCCATGTTCTTGGAACTGAGAGAGTGTGATGACTTCGCCCACGAGAGCAAGCACGCACCCAGACATACCAAGGACTAACAAAAGTTAGAGATGTTCGAGATATGAATGGTCGTAAGCGGGTTGACGTACTCAACATTTTGACCCGGCCAACTTTATCAACAAACAGGGCATTGATAGCATTGCCGAAAGGAGACACGGAAATCCAGCCGGCTTGAATGATAAGCTGCTGAACAGTATCGAAGCCGAGATTTTTATATAGCATAGGCCCATAGTCTAGGCTCCCGTCAGTCCAGAGAACACAGAGCGCCTCAAGCCACCAGAAATGAGGACTCACTGTTTATGATTTGCGTTCCAGTCGCTTGTGCCCCTACCATCATGATGAAACCAATGCCAACTCTCTTTCGGTATCCCGGCAGCTTGAACAGATCCAGAGTTGATAGCTGCTCTTGCTTCTCTTCCAGAATCTGGGAGTGCAGCAGCGTGAAGTCTGCACGAATGGCATCCTCGTCATCCAAGAAGCTGTCGGAAGTCTCCGCTCGCACTCTTTTGAACGATGAATACGCCTCGTCGAAGCGGTCGTGGTCAAGAACTATTCCAGGTCAGTGAAACCGAGTCTTTCCCCAGACCACGGGAGAAAGATGATACGTACGCCACCGGGGTGACTCGGGAAGGAACAGGACTCCCATGGCTAGCAATGCAGGCCAGACTGCTTGTACTGCCAGTGGGATGCGCCACTGAGCTCCGGCCGCTTGGACAAAGTAGAAGCCGACACCGATCCAACTGGCGGAGGTGTAGCCGACACAGATCATTATTCCGTGGATGCCCACCAGCAAGCCACGGATCTTCGGCGGTGCGACTTCACTCTGGTATAGGGGTACGAGAGTGACGAGAGCCCCTATCACATATGAGCATCCTTAGACAAAAAGACATCGATTTGGTGCAGAGAAGAACAGTCTAAGTTGCACTCACCAATGCCGAGTCCTGTTATCAAGCGAGCCACAATGTACATGGCGATATGCACGCTGCCCGCCTGCAGCGCTCCTCCAACAGTAGTAACAATACTCGCCACAAACAATGCCTTTCGGCGACCCAGCCAGTCTGCTGATTTCATGCAAGACAAGGTGCCGAAGAGACCGCCAGTCTGAAAGAGTCCATTGGTTGCTCCGATGAGGCCGCTCGCGTTTGGTCGCGTGTCGAGTTCAAAGTAGGATATGAAGGAGGGTTGTCCAAGAGTGGTTCCGATGATGCTGGCGCAGTAGCCATATGTGACGCTGCCTAGGGCGACAAAGACCACGATCTGAGATCTATGTTAGTGCCTGACACCGAAAATAGTCTGGGATTTGGTTTACCAGCAGCCGAAGCATCGAAGCGGAGAGCGCCATCTTCGCAGCAGGATTGAAGAGCTTCTGTAACGGGAACCTCTCTGGCAAAGTGATTTGCTGTCAGGAGAGATGCCTCACCATTACATTATATAGGAGCCACTATGCTCAGACATACTAGAATCTCATCAGTACGACAAATTTGCAGCTCCGAACCCCCACTACAATCAATTCCAAAAAGCAATCGCTTGGTGGAACCTGTATAGACCTCTTGCTGGATATTGTGCTTGAGCCTCAAGATTCCCATTGGTCGACATAGTCAAAGCTTAGTCCTTATTCATACATGGATCTCACGAGATAAACCTTGATTGGAATGATGCTCCTCGTCTCAGACTCCGCAGACCGGCCAACAGGAGTCGGTGTGGTCTAAGACCGGGCCTCAAAACAGCACATGCTGTCATCTCCACGATTCACGGGATGAACTCTGGAGTGACGGAGGTGGGAATTCTCAGTGGACTTTCCTGTCTCTGTCTCTGCCTTTTCGCAGAACGTACTGCGGAGCCTGGCCACGAGGTACTTACCTCTGCACTGCGTCCGCCTACCAAGAATGAGCTAGCGCCCAGTCTCTGACAATGGCGGGGATATTTCTGGAGATCTGGGGCTTTTGCCACACCGTTCCGGGCGCCCTATTTGGCCTCTGGGAGTCATTGCTACGGATCGAAAAGGAGCTAGCTGTTGAATATCAAGTACATTATCTCTGGGCAAAAGAACAAAAACCCCGCCGCAAGATTGTCTGTTCTATGTTTACGCGCACAGTCATTTTGCGCCAGTGCAATGGATCATCACGAATGTCTTCTCTTCGGAAGTGACAGGACCGAACTAAGGTGGTATGATTTGATCCTTGTGACCACAGCCTAAGGGAGACCCTCTCAGGTCCAGACTACCAAAGTGGTGTTTAGTATGTACAGAATGTCTTTGCTGTACAAACTTTGCTCCATCGTCCCGCAAATGTCCAGTTCTGGTGTCTGGCAAATCAGACCACCACGCTCATATGGGCTTTAACGCGTGGAGCATTTTGGGCTTGGGAGGTTGTGCAAGAGCTCCCGAGTTGGTAAAATCCACAAACTCCTGCGTCGCAATGTGCTCCTCGAACGCCTTTCTGCCGGTGTAGCGCTCGAAGACGTGGAAGTGGTTGGGGTTTTGATCGTCGCGGGCAATGGCGTATTCCAGCACTCCAGGCTCGGACTGGGTCAAGCGAACCAGTTTCCGGAGGTATCTCTCTAGGTCATCCGCGCGACCTTCTTTGGCGTACAGCTGTCACATAACCATGTTAATCGGTGCAAAAGCCAAGCCAAGAGGCGCCAGTAAACTCACGTCAGCGTATAACTCGAACTGCCCCTCGGGGATGGGAGGAAATTCGGGAGGAAATTCGGGAGTGGTCATGTTTGACGCTCGTTGGAAAGTCTGATGTGTGCTCCGGTATCGTTCAAGTCCTATCGATGAGCTTGTGACAAGCTGGGGGCATGTATTTGTGATCCTTTTATGTGCTAATGAACATGTTCGTTCTAGTCGGTACTCCGCAAAGAAAGCGTCGTGGGGCGCATATGGGGAACTGCGTCAACCGAGGGATTGAATCCCCACAGCTTTGTCTCTGCGGAGTTTTTCGATGCCATACCACAACAAGGACTCTCCCGATTGACCGGCCCACCTGATACGGTGCTTTTTTGCCTGGGTGTTGTGTTTGGATAATAGTTCCTATCTGGTATTCGGCTTAATAGAGGATGGCTTCCTTTTTGATTTGCTCACATGTCTCATGAGCTTTCTAAGCCTTGCTTGATAGTATTTGCTGCTGACACAACAAACGTGACCACATCATCATCATCATCGTCAAGATCATGTCAACTTCCAGTGGCTCCAAGCTTGCACAGCAGGCAAAGGCCAACTGGATAGCAACAGCCACTTTTGGGCTAGGAGTTCTCGTTATTGCGCTCTTCCTGTCAAGCCCTACCATATTCCTGGACCGTTATTACGGCCGTGTGCAAACCAAGGACCCCAAGACCCGATATCTCAGTCACGGAGGTCTCAACAATGAACATTGCTGGACGGATCCTTGTGTGTCTGAGCCCTATAATGGCCATGATTGCCAGTGCTGACAGTCTCGAAGCTGGCCAGACCTGTGAAGACGTCAAAATCCACCATGAGACCGACACGGCATTTCTTGGTGAGCTGGCAAATTGTGACGTCCTACGATCTTACCAACTGATATCTATATGTGTACAGCTTGCGGGGATCCAGTAGGTCGATCTCAGTTCTACCCGCCGATAAATAACCATTGGACGTCCAAAAGAAAAGATTTTCGTGAGTATTTCTTGAAGTACGACATCAAGGTAAGACTCATTTTGCGCTTCATTGAGCTGTGACCCTGGGGCCATTGTTCACCACAATACCAAATAGGGGAACAAGACTACGAGGATGGAAATAAAAGGCTGGGATGGGGACTTGATCCTCCACGGGATCGATATTTGGAGGTTCAAAGACGACCCTTCCAAGGTAAGAGGCTATCGTGCCATGCACACGTATCTCTAACGGCAGCTCCCCCAAGATACACTTGTTTGCGGTGAACCATGGGCGCAAGGGCGAATCGATCACCATTTTCTCGCACAAGCTCGGCACAAACGTGCTTGAGTTTGTCAAAGATATCAGCCACCCAGAGTTGAAAACACCCAATGCAGTGACCCCTTCTGGTCCTCTGTAAGTCTCCCGGACTATCCAGGCAGATGCCGTCTGTGCTGAACATCCGGTGCCCAGATCATTTTTCAGCACCAATGACCACTATTACTACAATGGTATTTTGCGTACTTTCGAGGATAAGTATGCGCCTTTCCGATGGGCGTCTTGGGTCATTCATTGCGACGGCTCCGGCTCCAAGACGACTTGCCGAAAAGTGTCGGACGACCTCCAATATGCGAATGGTATCCTTCTGACGGAAGAGGGCAAGACTCTTCTGGTGAACGACCTATACGAAGGGACGACAATTGTATACAGTGTTGATCCGGATACAAAGGAACTGGTGCTTGAGAGAAAAGTTGTACGTCAAATAAAGAGACTTTGAAATTGAGCTGCGATCCTCGCCACTAACAAGTTGGGCAGAGACTCGGTGGAACACCAGATAATCTGGCGGAGATTCCAACCAACGGAGACATTGTTGTTCCAGGTAAGCAATAGATGATATATGAAACTCTTGACCACGAGGTCGCTCGAATTGAGGCCCTTCCATCCAAGGACTGATATGTGAGCCACTCTGCTGATACTCGATTCATAGTCTTCCCCAATCTAGTTACGCTGTTCAAACGTGGCTTTGGACCCGGTGGCCTGGATTATGGCACCCTGTGCGAGGCTGCAGTGGTCCGGCTGGACAAAGCAAAGGGTTATGCTCCAGAGTTGCTATTCTGGGACGATGGCTCACAGCTGAGCGTCCTGACCGGTGCTGCGGTAGATCCGTACAATAAACGACTCATTGCAGGAGGGATGTTTTCCAAAGCATTCCTTGTCTGTGATATCAGCAACGACAAAACAGGAATCGCCTTTGCTTGAGTACTGGCTCTTCGGATTTCTAATGTGCGAGTTTGGGACATTCGATTGTTGATAAAATTTGTGAACCTCAGCCGGACATACCACGCGCCCACGAATAGTACCACTATAAATCTCCTGAGAGACTGGAGCGAAATCACTGAATAAAGTCTCTATCTTCTAGACTTTGAAGTTCTCTTTTTGTCATTGTGAAGGGCTGGCTGAGCAGGGCTTGGTCCAGTGATTTGCACTACAACCTGTATAGCTTTTGTCTTGCCAGGTACCAATCCCAAAGCATTCAAGTCTTGAGGCCTCAAGCCCACTTTCCTATCGGAGAGATATCACACAATCAGAAATCCGCTGGTGTATTGATTGTCAGCATTGCGATCACTGCATGTATGCAGGCCAATACGTACCCGTCGACGGGAATATCTTGTCCTGTCACGTAGCTAGCCATAGGAGAAGACAGAAAGACGATGACATCCGCAATCTGCAAGCGTTAGTTCTGGATGTCGCCCGTCTTCAAGACTGTCCTAGGGAGTAGCTTCTTCTTTCGAAGCTCCTGACTCACCTCTCGTGCTTCTCCCAAACGACCCATAGGACAAACATTGATATACTCGTCCATTCCTACTGCAGAGCCAGCACCTGGCATTCGCAGCATAGGGGTGTCTGTGTATCCTGGACAGACTGCGTTGACGCGAATGCCACTCTTTGCATAATTGGCGCCATCCTAGCGAACACAGTTCGTCAGTTGGAGTACTTGTAGGGATGATTGCCAACAGAGTTTGGACGACACTGGAATTGGGGGGTGCTCTCACACTTCTCGTTATCCCAAGCACGGCATGTTTAGCTGCGCAGTAGGACGTGGTATTCTTTCCGCATGTATGACCGTAGATAGACGAGATGTTGACAATGGAGCCTTTTGCGCCTCTGAGATCAAGGTAAATATGTCAGCCCAAGTGCTCGATGCGTCTTGCGAATCTCAACATAGCATAGAAAGCGATGGAGAGGAACGGGAGAGCACCTCTGATTAGGCTGCTGGGACTCCATCTGCTTCAACTGTTCACGTTGGCACATCCAAACACCGAACAAGTTGATGTCGACTCCGAACTTGAACTCAGCATACGTCGACTGCGAACTAGCGATCATGTGCCCTGGCGTGCCAGCATTGTTGACGGCATAGTCAATACGCCCGAAGCGCTTGACTGCTGCTTCGTGAGCGGAGATGATGGACTGCTCATTTGTCACGTCCATCTTTATCGTTTCAATCTCGATCTTAGGGTACTTCGCCAGGATTTCTTCCTTGCTCTGCTGCAGCCCGGCTTCGTTGATGTCGGTTAACACAAGACCTTTGGCCCCATAGTGTGCGAACTGTTTGCCGGTGGCTCTGCCGATTCCTGAAACCGAACACCCCATTTTAGTTTCCATGGTGCGGTGGGTGCCAATTACGGCTTCGAGGGCGTCCTCTTACCAGAGCCAGCACCCGTTATGAAAGCGATGCCGCCATCGAGCAGTGATGCCATGACTTTGTTCTTCAGGGAGCAAGCTTCGAGACGACTGGAACTTAAGCCTGTGTCCGAGGCCTCTGATTCACACTGAGTTGTACGTGGGCTCCTCTGTCCGGAGACCCTTGATTGACATTAAATAGTCTCGCATGTAGCTCCTCGAAGTTATATGCGGGGAATGGTCTTGGTGTGGTGGGGATTGTAAAAGGCATGTTATGCGGCGACGATGGAGAAGCGGCTGTTACATGATTCGCATGTTGTTGCCGAGGCCGACAGGCTGCCCAGCCGTTCGAATATGTTCACAAAGTGGATTTACATTTTCAAGCTGGACAGAAAATCGAGCACCATCAAGAAAGGTATTATGGCGGTATTCTCAACTTGAAAGCCCAAAATGTCATTGACGCAGCCGGATGCTTCAATTTCTCCCGTTAGTGCCAATTGAATGGTTCATAGAGTCATCTATTGTTCCTGTTTTCGAAATTTTGCGCACGCGCTAGAATCATTCCAGAGCAAAGCCGGAATATCTTGACTTTGCACTCTCCCAGATCCTCCTCCTGTACTCAGGCAATCCTGCCATGTAGTTTAGTGCCTCCTTCGGCTTGCCTGGGATGTTTCCTCCAAAATACCAGCTATCTGCTTCAATTAATAGACTCTTCCCAGTAACGTCATTCACGTGCTCCCGCCATTCGATTTCAGCTTCTCTTGTTGGCTCAATTGCCCTCAACTTCTCGTTTCGGAGAAATTTCAAACATTCAATTATCCAAGCACCCTGGGTCTCAGTGCACGCCGGGCCTGTGGCGAAGGCTGTAGGCGCCTGAGGTCCATAGACAAAGAAAAAGTTGGGGAAGCTGTGGGTGGTCATTCCAAGGTGTGTGTAGACCCCTTTACCCCATTTCTCGCGGATAGATCCTTCCTTGCCGCGGATGTCTATTTTGGTCATAGATCCCGTGATGGCGTCAAAGCCAGTTGCAAAGATAACAACGTCAAACTTGTGCTCAGCTCCATCCTTCGTAATTATACCTTCAGCGGTAAACTCAGAGATGGGATTTCCAGCTTTGCTGGCATCAATCAGCGTGACATTGTCGCGGTTAAAGCATTCGAAATATCCTTGTTCAAGACTGACACGTTTAGCCCCGAACGGGTGAGGCGGTACCTCTGGTGCAAGTATCTTGGCAGCTTCTGGGTTTGTGATCCTGGCCAGTACCTTCTTCCTCCAGAATCGATAGGCGGCAGCATTAACTTCCCGGTCTTCGAAAACATCCAGATAATTTCCCAGCCAGAATTGCAGGCCGCCACGGTTAAAGAGCCGTTCCCACAACTCATTTCGCTCTTCCTCGCTAGCGTCTCTGCCATTTGACGGCTCAAAGTCGTAGAGGAAGCCAGCATAAGTTGTGTTGATTTTCTGCACAGTGGTTGGGAAGTTCTCCTTGAACCGCTGGTTGTCCGTCTCCTTGACTTCACCCTGCCCCATGGGAAGGGCCATATTTGGTGTTCGCTGAAAGACCGTGAGATGGGACGCAACCTTGCTGATTGCTTGGACAAGCTGCACTCCGCTGGCGCCGGTTCCAATGACAGCAACGCGCTTCCCTTTGACATCGAGACTACCATCCATCGGCCATCTTGCTGAATGAGTCTTGGCTCCTCGGAAAGCTTCGATGTTCTTGTATGGCGGGATATATGGCTTGGCAGCAAAGCCTGTCCCCATGATAATATGCTGTGCACGAAAGATCTCTCCCGAACCAGCAATTTCCACAAGCCAAGACTTCTTGGGCGAGTCCCAGTCCAAGGATGTGACTTGCGAATTGAAGGAGACATCGCGATCCAGGTCCCATAAACGACTGACATGGTGGAAATACTGCTGGATCTCATCTCGTCCAGGGTAGCGCTGAGTCCAGTTCCAATCGTCCGCTGATGTCTTCTCGGTGAACTGATAAACTGGGACTTCGGTATCAACTCTCGCGCCTGGATAGCAGTTCCAGTACCAAGTCCCTCCATAGTCAGAGCCCGCTTCGAATACGTGGACCGAGAATCCTTCTTTCCTCAGATGGTAAAGGTGCCACATTCCACTGAAGCCGGCACCCACGACAACAACATCGTATGACTTGGTAGGATTGATGGATCCCATTTTGCTGAGACAACAGGAACTGAAGAGGTCGAGACGACCAAACGGCAAGACAATGAACGGGAAAGTCGAAAGAGATGCCCTGATTCAACCACGACGAGCATGCTCACTTTCTTTAAACTCCCCTGAGAGCAGTTTCGCCATCCGCTCGAGGCACAAAGGTCATGAGAGCTACGAGCACCATACGAGAGATCACCAGATACACATCATACGATTGGTTGGAATTCCCCACAGCTCTCTGCCAAATAGGGGACGTCAGCCTTGCGCTAGTGGGGTTTATCAAATTATGATGGGGGTTGCGGATGGGGGTTTTCGGCACGGTGTGGAGCGGGGAAGACAACGCATGAGGATGGCGAGTTGGAGTATCTAATGGTGGTGATACTAACGTTTGATGGTTCTTACAGGCTCCTCTGACTAGGCAAATTACCTCTGCAGGGCTATATCAAACCTGCAAGGTACGGCCATTGCTGGCTAGATCGAACGGAGAAAAGATAAAAGAATGTTCCACAAAACCGTAGCTAACCCACAGATACGGCTAGAGAGTTGAACGTGGATTTGACATGTTGATCAACCTCTCATAGCCCTGCCTCATTTCTCTCGGCATGCCACCCTCAGCAGGCTTTCCCAATTGCCCGTCGATTTGCGTGACAAAGACGTGCGTCGAGCCTCCCACTGCTTTGACATCTTCATCGCCTCGTCTGAAAACCCCCACTTCGTACATGACGCTGGATTTGCCCAGCTTGACAATCCGCAGTCCACACTCGACCATATCCGGGTAGCTGACAGACCCGAAATAGTCAAAGTAGGTGTTGGCAATGATTGCGGCTTGCTGGTGTTTGTTCACGGTATATCCGCATTCTTTGATCATGTATTCGTTGATGATACTGTCCGCCAGCACACCGTAGTTGGGATTGTTCATGTGGCCAAAAATGTCATTGTCGTTCCTGATACCGGTGAGCTGCGACCCTGATGATGCCAGATCATGCAGAACACTTACCAGCGCAGTCGATAATCTAGGTGGTAGCCGTAGTCGCTACGTTTCCGCAGCCGCTTCGAGCTCAGGTCTAGTCCCAGTGCTGCCATGGTTCTTATTCTCAAGCACTACGCAAGGTGGTCAGAGTATCTCCAGCTGCCATTGAGTGTTTCGATCAATATAACATTCGGGAGAGATCTCCACAGGAACCCTTTTCCCTGACTAACATGCTCATTGGTCTGGATGTTGCAGAATCGATCCACAAGGCTTCGAGTGAGCATGAGCCTCTACGAGCACTATCTTGGATCGTTCATTGTAGGCTGTGGTGGGGATTAATTATCTTCCATGGGTAAGAAACATCAAGCAAGTCGGTATCCACTTATCGAACGACTATGTCGCAGGCACGACGGAGACAACAATACTCCCGCTCTTTCTCACTTGAAACAGAGTACCAATTGCCGGTGGCACAGCATTCGGCGCACTGCCCGATCCGTTTGTTCATACACAGCGGGGTTTCACAATGGAGATTCGAGGTCTAGAATCCACTCATACATTGCAGTATACGATTATTGCACGCCAAGTGTGGCGTCAGGTAGGGAGAGGCGTGTATGCAAACCGCTTGAAAGGACTTGTACATGGGCTCTGACAGTATCACTCTTTCATTCCAGGCTTCACCGCCAAGGCTCTGGATACTTATTGGCATCTAGAGACTCCGTTCCTTGTGAGCAAAGCCATCATCCAACGTCGTGAGAGAAACCCTCGAAATGGCGCCCGAATTGGTCTACCTACCTCCTCCAGGTCTCGAGACCAACTTTGATGTCTTCCGCAAGAGAATAAATTCCGAACTCGGCCTGTCTATGCAGGATTATCATGACCTCCATCAATTTTCTGTCGGAAGACCAAATGACTTCTGGATGGCATTGTGGAGATTTATGGGAATCAAAGCATCCGTACATCCTACCAAAGCCGTCGACGAATCACTCAGTATTGATCAGTTCCCGCCTTTCTTCGAGGATGCGCGGCTCAATTATGCCGAAAATCTCCTCTGCAGGTCGGATGAAGGTGTTGCAATACGATATCTTTGTGAAGAGAGCCTAGAGACACCTCGAGATGTTACGTGGAAGGCGCTGAATGAGAAGGTCAGAACAACATCAGACGCCATGCGATCATCAAAAGTCTCAACTGGAGATGTTGTCTGCATCATCGGTGGAAGTTCACCGGAGTCTCTTGCAATCTGGCTGGCTACAGCATCAGTCGGAGCAATAGTTTCTGGATTCGCTACGGACGCGGGAGAAAGAGTGTTGCTCGATAGAATGGGCCAGGTGTGCCCGAAGATCATTTTTGCAGAGTCATCCTACCAATACAACGGCAAAAGACACGTCATTTCCGACAGAATCACGAAAGTCTTCTCGATGATTGACAAAGCGCCAGATGCAGAGGTCATCTGCATCTCCGAAACCGTGCCTTCCGGATGGGTACCCATAGAAGATTTTCGACGGCGTGGAACTGGGAGACCACTTCGCTTCGAGCAAGTACCTTTTGGTCACCCACTTTTGATTGCGTTCTCTTCAGGCACCACTGGCACTCCGAAAGGCATAGTCCATTCTCATGGGGGCCTAGTCGTCAACGGAAAGAAAGAGAGTCTCCTTCACAAGAACTTCGGTCCAGACGATGTACACTACCACTATGCAGGCATTGGCTGGGTGTTGTGGAACATCATGATATCGGCAATGTTTTGCGGCACGAGTGTCGTTCTCTATGACGGATCTCCGTTCTACCCAACCCCGGAGAGACAACTGGCAGCAGTGCTAGGCGCTGGCGTGACAGCCTGGGGCGCTGGCCCGCGATACTTTTCAGAACTCCAAAAGGCCGGTGTCGACCCCAAACCTTACGCCAAAAATCTCAAGTGCATCTTGTCTGCCGGTGCAATCCTGACAGAATCTCAGTCAAAGTGGCTTATGGAAGCATTTGGCCCTGTATGCCAAATGTCATTTTCCGGCGGCACTGAGCTTTGCGGCAACTTCCTGGCTGGCCATATCGGTATGCCAGGGTACGCAGGTGAGATGACGGTCAAAGAACTCGGAATAGACATCGACATTTTTACGCCAGACGGCAAGCCTGCGAAGCCTGGTGAGAGTGGAGAACTGGTGTGCAGAAAGCCATTTCCCAACATGCCCGTAAAGTTTTGGAACGACCCTGGGAAGAAAAGATATACCGACTCATACTTTTCAACCTTCCCGGGAGTCTGGAGGCATGGAGACTATATCAGGATGAATCCCGAGACCAAGGGGTGGGTGATCCTCGGTCGCAGCGATGGGGTGTTGAATCCGTCAGGCGTGCGATTTGGCAGTGGAGAGATATATTCCATCATCGATCAGAAGTTCCGCGACAGAGTGGTTGATTCGATATGCGTTGGCCAGCAAAGGGCTTGGGACGAAAGTGAACGTGTGTTCTTGTTTCTGAAAGCAGCAAAAGGATCGAATACAGTCTTACTGGAGAAAGAAATTCGAGGTCAAATTGCCAGAGATCTTAGTCGCCGCCACGTTCCTCAATTTATGTTCTGGGTGCAGGAGATACCCTACAATGCCAACAACAAGAAGTTGGAGATACCCTTGAAGAAGGTTCTTTCGGAAGGAAGCGCAGGAATTATGAAGTTGACGTGCCCGGCAGAAGAGAAAGCTGTGCTGATGCAGTATCTACCGTTCTACGAAGTCGAGAAATTGCTGGTCAAGGATATAGCGACCCCAATGAGCGCCAGACTGTAGAGCATTGTATATTTCGTCAATCACTAGACACTTAGGCAGGTACATACTTGGTCGTCAACGTGAAAATTTCCGAGAATGTGAATGAAAGACCTAACTTCGGTTCTACATAGAAGGTCCTGTTAAGGCTGAGCGCATGCTACACGACGAGTCTTCCCTTCTCAGGCATCATTCTACCTCTTCACCTGAGGAGTCATATCTTGATCTTGGCCATTCTGAATGGAATTAATCTAACTTGCTCCATAGGACAGCTTCTTTTTCTGGGCGGGGAAAACTTCGGTCGACACGCACATCTCATTAGCGGTGGCCTAAGAAGTGTAACCCCCGCTCACAACGGCAGAGAACTCCGAGCATCTGTGGTTACGATCTTCCATTAACTTATCGGCATCTTGCTGTCATCCTCGACAAGAAGCAAGTCGGACTTCACTGGAACTACTGCTACGACGGCCGCGATGTGTGTCCCCGATGCATTTGAATCGCCGCCTCCACAATGCGACGGCTGCGACGTAACCTTTCCAGAAGCTCATATTATGCTTGCAACAATCAACCGCCCACGTCAGCTTAATTCAATTCCATACGCACTTCATTGGCTGATGGACGCCCTTTTCAAGTGGTTCGACAACGAGCCGTCGCTCCGTGTTGCCATTGTTACGGGTGTTGGAAACCGTGCCTTTTGTGTCGGCTCGGATCTGATCGAGATGCAGCGGGTCAAAAAGTCTGGCGACGAATCGTGGAAGGCTGAGCCATACAAATACACACATCCAGCTTCTGGGTTTGCAGGGCTCAGCAGAAGGGAAGGGAAGAAGCCAGTTGTGGCCGCGGTCAACGGTTATGCATTAGGTGGAGGGTGGGAAATTGCCTTGAACTGGTGCGTCTGCCAACAGTCTACGGCAAGGATGTTGGGAAGAATGGAGAAAGCTAACGCATGAATAGTGATGTGGTTATTGCCGTTCGAAGTGCGCAGTTTGGTCTTCCTGAAGCCAAGGTCGGACTGTACGCGTACGGTGGCGGTCTTCCTCGTCTGATGCGGACCGCGGGACTTCACGTCGCCAGCGAGATCGCCCTCAGTGGACGGTCCATTACCGCAGAAGAAGCACTGCGGCATAATCTTGTCAACCGGATTGCGAAGAAACCAGAGACGCTGATCGAAGAGGCGATCAGTATCGCCCGAGAAATCGCTGCAATATCGCCCGACGCGATGATCATCACCAGGGCAGCTCTGAGAGAAGCATGGGAGACGCCCAGCGTTGAAAGGGCTTTCCAAAACACCCACGAGAGGTTCTACGAGAAAATGATGGCAGGGGAAAACTCGAGCGAGGGACTGGCCGCGTTCAAGGAAAAGCGGCCGCCGAGGTGGAAAGCTTCCAAACTGTAATAGACTAGCAAATTTAGACGCGCTGGAATGCTACAATGTGCATCGAGACGACACTTGACTGTCATTGAAAAGTCCTTCTTTGCTTAGCGTGAACATCCTCGGTCCCGCGTAAGGCATGGGGGTCTTTTGACACAGAACCCTTTTCTCGCGAAACTATAACCTTCAACGGTGGTATCACTGGCCCAACTATCCTCGGCGGCGTTGTCTGCTACTAGAAGGCCGGCACTAGCCTTGCACGATCCAGATGGTCTAGCCAGCTCGATATTACTCCATGCAGGATACCGAATGCGTGGCTTGACGGGGGAGCGTACGCCAAGATCATCTCGAACAATCCACACTCCCGTCCGGTGACAAGGGACCATCACATGCGGGCGTACTTTACAAATATTCAAGCAGCGGGCAAGGGGAGTATAGCTGGAAGTGTGTTTTCTCACAACTTTTGTCAGGAAGGGATTTTCTACTGTGGCGACAGATTCCATGCCACCTCGCTCCACAGATCTGGTGAAAACCCCCGCAAACGCGCTATCTAGAGTGTGGAGTCCACCAACAGTATGCGAAGACAGTCGTGGCTAGCCTTTACCATAAAGACATGTCGTCGAACATGTCCATCCGTTAGCCACGCACACAGTCGCCAGCAGGAGTGTCAGGTTATCTCGCAAGGCCAGAAAAACAAAATGTCGTTTTCAGTGCGCGGAAAGAATGCTGTCGTGACGGGTGCAAGTTCAGGTATGCGAGTGTTCCAGCAAGACCTCCTGTGTTGAGCTCCGTCTAGTCACTAACGGCACTGACGAGCGTGATAGGCATCAATTTGGCCTTTGCAAAGCTGCTCGCCAGTAACGGGGCAAATGTCGTTGTCGCCGATGTCCAGGAGACGCCCGCTTTCAAGGAGTTCCAGCAAGGGACCAAAGCGACCAAGGTCCTCTTTCAAAAGACTGACGTGTCAAACTGGAAGGACTTGGAGAGACTATTTGCTTTCGCAAAGTCCGAGCTCGGGCCCATTGACGTGCTATGTAACGGGGCAGGCATCTTTGAACCGGTGCGTTCTTGTCTATCGTTCCCAAGGGCCAAGATTCAGAGAGAGAGACACAACATTCTAATGCTTTGTTGGCGCACAGGACTGGTCGGGCTTTTGGAAGGACACAGAGACCGAAAGTTACAAGTCGTTCGATATTAACGTACAAGGTCTTGTGAAGGGAACAAGAATGGGTATTCGGGACCAGATTACCAGATCCAAAGGCAGGAAATCCAACGAGACCGTTGGGGTCATTATCAACATCTCCTCGTTGGCCGCTCAATACGCCCTCTTCAACCAGCCACTATATTCCACTTCAAAGGCTGCCGTTTCCGCATTCACCCGCTCCCTAGGACCTTTACATCAAGAGTTTGGGATCAAAGTCGTCGCGGTCGCCCCGGGCATGGTCATGACACCGCTGTGGAGCGAGAATCCGGAGAAAATGAAGGCCATTTCGGACGAAGATGTCTTTGCCACCCCAGAAGAGCTAGCTGAGACTATGCTCGAGCTCGTGGAGAGTGCCGAGTATGAAGGAGGTACGGTCTTGGAGAGGATAAAGTATAAAACTAGGAGGGTCCTCGTCGACAGCCCGCTACCATCGGGGCCCGGCTCTACCATGAGTAAAATGGATCTGATCTATGACGATACCATTGCATTGTTGGAGGCCGAGCGGAAAGCAGGTGCTGCAAAATGAGGGAGCTGTTAGAGAGGAAGAGCGGTATCAGAAATTGGCCGCGGTGTAACGCCGGAGACCAGGCTTTTCTCACTTGCCGAAGGCACACTGTCTTATATTTCTGATAAATGGGTACAAGTATGCCCTTGCAAGCCGGCTCGGTAGCCGTCTCCTAGACATGTCGTTCGTATATATATTCTTTACGCTCGGGTTCTCCCGTGAAGGTACAGGGTAACTCCGATTCCCAGGCGACTTTCCTCCAACATGGTTCTCCATGTGAATGACTGAAGGAAAATAGCATCTTCAGAGTCTCCGGGCCGAGCAGTCATGCCTCGTAGTCACATGATAAGACAGCCGGTGCATAAAGGTGTGCGCTGTTGTCCTGTATTATTGTGGCTGAAATGTGTTGGTTTCGTGGCGTTGGGCAGCCTCCTGTTCCTCGCTTTGTAAGAGGCGGACGAAGATTTCCGAGACATTTGACGCCATTTGCCAGACTTTGAGTCGTCGAGTCATATCCACGCTCAGCTGGAGCACTCGACTTGGTGCTTCGGGGTCCTGAACGTCACCCACACCTTCCAGGAACGTCTTGCCCCCGTTCTTTATCCAGTCCTTGACCGCCTGGCTGGAACGTTGAGAACTGCAAAAGGATGGCTCATCCAGCTGAATTGAGGGACCCACGCGCATTGATGGCTGGTGGGGGCAAAAGTATTTGCAGCTGGCCCAAAGGGTGATCCCCGCCAGGAACACCGAGAGTGGTTCGAGAGGTGAGTTGAAAGGGTGCCGGCGCTGGAGGTAACATACTTGCGAAGCATGCCACATCATTTCCCTGATCATTTCGGGATCTTCGGCGAATGCGGCGATTGCTGCTGTTTCGTCCACGCCTGTAGCTTTGTTGGCGGTGCTTGAGGCGAACGCTGTGTTGTGGGTAATCCTTGACATGTCGAAACCGGCAGCCCGCTTGCGTGCGACGTGAGTGACCAGATCCACAATCTTTCCCGCGCCAAATATGTGGCTGTAGTGCCCAGCGACACCGATGCGAAGAGCATGGCGGAGGGTGTAGCGACGCGGATGATCAGCCCAGCTGAATTCATACACAGACATGATGGCCTTGGAAAGCTGAGACCGAACAGCGCGATTGAGTTCGAGCCCGTTGTTGTCTTGCCAGAGGACATGGTACAATTTCGAATCCATCTGTTCTTGACAAGCATGTAGCCGCTGTCCGAGGCATCGGATCAACAACCGTTTTCCGATGTTGTCAAGCGGACTGATAATTGATGGATCAGGTTTCTCTAGAAAATCACTGATCGTCTGCATGGTCGGAGGGCCTCGGGGAGCGGTCTGAAATGGACAAGCAGCCCAAGAAAACGCAGTTGGCGCGTCCCAGTGTAACTGTTCGCAAGGGAACTCGGGCGGTAATTCCTCAAGCTTCGTGCACGGATTTTGTTTTGAAAAGGCGGAATAAAGACAGTCGAACTCCTGCAGTTTCAATTTTGGTCAGCTGGTTGTTGCGGAGAGCACGTCCGCCAGAGTTGTCCTAGAAAATGGCCATAACATTAAGTGGATTACTATTGGACAGACTCACAAATAGAAACCACCCCAATCGCTTGATTTGCTCTTTGCTCACCCATTCGAGCCAGGTTTGAAATGTATCCTTTTCAGACGAAGCTGCATCGTTGCGCGACGCATAAAGTCCTGCGCACGTCATTTGCCGCGATATGCTGATGAGGCGTGAGCGAGATGCGTCAGTCATCTCGAAGAGGCGTCGCGAGCCCGAGCCCATTGCATGGAGGTGCTGCAACAAGAGTGATACTCCGTAAGACGGAGACCGCAGGAATCGTGGATCATGCTCGCCCTGAATCAACCTAGGTTAGTCACCTCACACAGAGTTCAGGGAGGTTGGAGCTGACCATCCAAGTAGACGTCCGCCTACAGAGCTCGGCAAGCGTGTCGGCAAACTCAATCGACCGATCAAGACCAGAGTAACATGCCCCAATCTGGTGATGTTTATCAGCCTTGAAAAGATAAAGAGACCGCAGTGCAACACTTACGCAGGCTATTGTTAGCACCAGAATCGTGGGTGCATCTGATATCTTGAATGTTGGCCTATGAATTATAGGCCAGAGCTAACAGAGATGTATTAGCAAGGGCAATCAGAGATATGGCAGGCTTTGTTTTCGACTCACATCATGAAAATGGAGGAAGTATAAATCTGTGAAGTGGTGAAGAATATCTGGACCTGGGAGCGATCGCAACAAGTCGACGTCCTCCTGCCAGGGGACTCGTACCAGTGGCAGACTAAGAAGCTGGATGATGCTTGAAAGCTTTTTATCGTCCAGTTTGCCAAAGGTGCCCAGGAGCTGGAAGTTCTTCCGAGGAGAACTGGTGCCGCTAGCGCTGTGGAACCTTTGAGCTCTTCTGAGATCCTCTGGATTCAGAACTGGAAAAGAGATCCTTCCTTCTTCTCCCTCAGCTTGATATTCGTACGGCCAAGTGTTTGTGTCTCTCTCCACCGAGACAGTCTCTGGAGACTCTTCTAGAGGAGAGCTTGCACTTGGATCGTGGGATGCAGACGGAGTTGGCAATGCCGATGTGTTTATATTCGGAAAAGTTGTCATTGAATCTCCTTTGTCGAGCGACAAATCAGCTTCAGTAGCAGCCCCGTTGACATTACCATTCATCGCTTTGGCATTGTCCGGTGTCGTCTGCTGGATCCTCGTGGCTCTACTTGGATCCTCCAGACCTTGCATCGAAATATCGGCAATGTTCAGTTCTGGCGGCATGCTATAAGTGTTCGCCAAAGTTTCAGAGTTCATCCAACTGAGAAGCGAGAAGCTGCTGTCGAAATCTACCTCGCATTAGTCCAGCTCTAGGGAGAAGACGGAAACGTCGTTCATCGGCTGGAATTCTCACCGCTAAAAGGGTAGAAACCATTATCAAACAAAGGTTGGACTCCCGGAAACGAAATCGAAAGATCCGAGTCCTGGTGGAAAGTATTGGAGAAATTCAACCGACTATTGTTGCGGTCCGAGACTGGAGCTATGCCGACAGCATTTTGTAGTTCGGATGATGTTGCATTCAAAAGCATTTCCCATTGTGTATCAAGAGTATCACTGGAAAGTTGGGAAGGGAGCTCAGGAGCGGGCTCTGGAATGATTTGACTGCGCTCGGATGCAGCTCTCTCTTGCGCAAAGTTGTCGTTGGAGTCGCCGCTAGGCTGAGCCCCAGGATCGGCAGAATCGGCCGATCCAGCAGAGCTTTACAGAGTCAGCTGTCTGGAGATCCAGAAGGTGCGCGATAGGTACGCTTTGTTCGGTGCTTGCTTTGAGCTCTTCCTAGGTCGCCCTTTCGGTCGTGGCTCGCAATGAATCCCATGCAAAACACGGTAGTGCCGTACAAGCACATCCCTTGGTATGTCAGACTCAGCGTAAAACAACCACCGCAGCTTCGACTGACCTCCTAGAGAATCTTCTTCCACAAGCTGTGCATGCTGAATCGAAGGCACCGCGCTCTGAATGCGCTGTTAGACGGTGCCGCTCCAGGTGATCTTGGCGGGATAGGACCTGGCCGCAGTCTTCACAGGTATGAGACTTGCTCTTGGAGCTCCCTGCGCCAGCGGGCATCTTGACACAGGATTAGGGTAATGTCACTTTTGGTCTTTGGGGGATTTCGAGCCTTGTCCACTATTTTGGTTTTATTGCGCAAAGGAGTTGTGAATGTAGGAGAGGCTGGCGGGGGTTTTTAAAGAGAAGTCGGCGGGGTTTTCGTCGTCTGGGCGGCTTCTCCGGATTTCCTCTCCTAAGCGTGATCCCCGCATTTCTTCATGGCTAGGGTCGGCTGGTGCTTTGGTAAGTTTGGCTAAGATGTTCGCTGGGGTTGGGATTGGAAGAATGATGGGAGCGGGGACCCCAGCTTACGAATACTCCTACTCCTCGTACAAAAAGGTGCCCGGGTGGAGGTGTAGCCCTGCATAAGCGGTCTACCACAGCTGCTACGGCGCCTTATCACGACAACGCCACCAGTGACGCGCCCTCGTCGACTAGGATACTCGGTACTCGCCCTAGACGGCTGTAACTGTAAGGTGGCAAGGGACAACCTCCTGGCACTACCTACGAAATACATTTCTGGCAAGGCATGTGTGCCCATTGCATAACCCGCCCCCACTGGAGGTACGTTCGCCCCTGGTGACTCCTTGTCCTTCAGCCTTGTCCGTCTTACTGACTGTGTAGATCGAAATTTTATGGCTGCCACAGGATTCTAAATGTGATGTTTTCACCTCGAGCCTGTAGAGCCCCTTAAAGGGTTCGTTGCAAAAAGAGTATAGAGAAAGATTGGCTTAAGCAAAGCCAGTCCTACACCCACGACAGACAGATCTTAATTTGGCCACGACCCTGTGAGAGTCTTGCTGTCACCTGCGTCCAGCTGGATAGTGGCGTGGCCTGATCCATCCTCTAATCTCTTCGGATCAATTCGAGCGACACACTGGACCTTGCGCTTTCCAGTGAAGCGGGCTGAGGTCAGTTTCCCCTTCTTCCACTCAATGTCCACCACTATTCCACCTCTGGCACACAGTCCGGTCACACTTCCGGCGTCCTGCCACTCGTGCGGCAAGCAAGGAAGGAGGTCCACGTAGCCTTCTTCGTGGCTCTGGATCAACATCTCCGCAATTCCTGCCGCAATGCCAAAGTTTCCGTCGATCTGGAACGGCGGGTGATCTCCGAAGAGGTTGGGGAGAGTGGAATGTTGCAGGAACTTCTGGATGATTGCCTGTGCTGGCTCTGGCTCTCTCAAGCGAGCATAAAGTGCGAGGATCCATGCGGCGCTCCAGCCAGTGTGTCCACCTCCGCCGGCCAGCCGCCGTTGCAAGGTGACTCTGATGGCATTTTTATGCTCGTCCGACAGGAGACTCCGCCCAGGAAACAGACCGAAGGCGTGCGAGATATGCCGATGGCCCGGCTCGACCTCTTCCACATCCTCCATCCACTCGAGAAGTTGTCCATGTTTCCCAATCTTGGGCTGAGGGAGCTTGGACAGGACTTGGAGGTATCTTTCCGCTGGTTGCCCGAGGATCCTGCTCGCTTCGGCACACCCGGTGAAAAGCTCGTACAGGATCTGAGCATCCCACGTGGCACCTACACAGACTGCACCAATCTCCCGAGTGCCTGGGATGATGTAGGAGTTTTCGGCAGAGACCGTGGGCGATACCACGAGCACACCGTTTCTCTCGATGAGAAAATCTTCGAAGAACAACGCCGCCTCCTGGAGCAGGGGATAGGCCCATTTCAAAAACTCCTGGTCGTGAGTGTACAGGTAGTGCTCCCAGAGATGGGTACAGAACCAAGCTCCCCCGAGCACCCAGTATGTGGCCGGCACATATCGGTCCTGAGGGGCACAGTCACCCCATATGTCTGTGTTGTGATGCGCAACAAATCCCCTGCAACCATACATGTCCTGCGCTACTTGCTTGCCTCGTTCAGCCATGCGTTTAATGTGGTCGAAGAGCACCAGATGGCACTCTGACAGATTGGCAACCTCGGCTAGCCAGTAGTTCATCTGAATGTTGATGTTTATTGTATACTTGGAGCCCCAGATTGGCTGGTGGTTATAGTTCCATATCCCTTGGAGGTTCGCAGGTAGGCCGGATAGTGAAGAGGAAATGAGTAGATACCGGCCAAAGGAAAACATCAATGCCGCCAGGTCGTTGTCAACATCGCCACCTTTCACTCGAGCTAGTCTCTGGTCCGTGGGGATTGCGCGTAGCCTGGGATTGTCGTCTCCGATATTAAGAGAGACTCTTGAATAGAGTGATGAGTAGCGCTGCACGTGGCGGTCTCGTAATTCTTGCCACGAATATTTTGCTGCGGATTCAAGTCGGTCAATCACAGCTTGCCCAGCATCCTTGTTTCTAAATGTCGTCTCTCCCGCGATGAGGACCAGGATCGAGTCTCCTGTGACATCGAGCTCCTCACCGAGAAGACACCGTCCTTTCCCGCCTTCGATCACGACTTTGACTCCCATCGCTGCCCAAACGGCTGTCGGGCCTCCTAGATTGGCTTTTAGTAAGAGGCCATCTGGAATATTCTCAAGACTGTCGAATAAACAATTCCGCTCCAGCATTGGATTGTCATTGCTGCCCCGATTGACTCTCACTTGAAATTTGAGAGAATCTGCACGGTTGGAGGTAATGCGTACAGCGACGACTTCGTCCGCTGTACTTGCAAAGTATTGACGTAGATACTCGACTCCCTCAAATTTGTATTTCACACTTGCAATGGCGGTTGTGAGATCGAGACGACGGGTATAGTTCTCGGCTGCAGGTCTCACTGAACGCTTGGTCTGGTCCGGAATTCCACTGAAATCCTTCTTGTCGTCGCTGGGAGTGCCATGCCCAAAAGTCAGAAAGACATCGCCCAGCGGCGAGTAATGGCGGAGACTAGCAGGTAAGGCTGTAAAGGTTCTCTTGAGTAGTTCTTGGGCTTCCTGCACTTGGTTGAGATCGAGGAGCCTGCGGACTTCAGGTAGGCTGGCTTTTGCCAAAGGGTTTACCCGATTCTGCGGGCCACCGTACCAGACAGAATCTTCATTCATCCACAGTCTGTCCTTATCCAACCCGCCTTGAATCATCGCCCCTAATCGGCCAGAGCCGATTGGAAGTGCCTCTGTCCATACCTTTGCCGGTTGCTCGTACCACAGCACGCGATTATGCTCAGGGGAAGCCATAGCTCAGGATATCAATTGTTTCTGTCTCTGTCTCTGACCCTGTTGGAGATCTTTGTACATCAAGATACCTCATTTCTTGGCTGGAGGAGTTTCTGCCTTTCGGACTGGGGAATATAATGAGTTTTTGACAAAAGCCAACTACTGCATTGCTTCTCCTCTTCCTTCACCAGCCGTACCAGTGACGGCCATAATCCCGTAGGAGATCAAATCTCAAGCGGAGGAAATCTGCATCAAGGCCGAAACCGGGGTCAACGAAGCTGTTGCGAATGACCATGTTCACAGTGATGTAAGTCTAGGAGTATGGCCGGTTGGGGAGCGTGTTCTTCCGCTTAACTTTTTGATTCGTGAGAAATCTCCAAGCCAGCACTCGGCTAATTACCAAGCATCATTCATGCCGTGTTGGCCATTCCGAGGGGCAGGATTTTCGATTGCGGAGCATGCAGATCAGGTCTTTTCAACCGAGGTCGAAAAGATGCATTTCCGCCCGCCACTTTTGCGGAAACATAGAGATATCACATACTTGGTAGTGTAGAGGATAGAATCCCCAAATCCTGCTGGTGCCGCCGGCAATTTGCTACCTCCACACAAAACATTATTCGAGTGAAACCCAGGATATATATACCCGTCGGATATATCGACTGCGACTATGTCGTCCTCCTGTTCCCAGCTCACAGTTTTTGCAACAGCGGCAAATTCTCCAATATTTGGCTTTGCCAAAGGATTGCAATTTAGTCACAAAGGAGAACAAAATAGCCAGATACCCCTTTTCTCGGCAAATTTGTCTGTGCTATTGATGATGTGATGCTTTGGGCAAACTGGCAATTGATTCCGGTCTTGATGAGTATTTCTTAGCGAGATGAGACCTCTACTTTGACCCGTCACGAGCACTCCGTTGGGCGGGGCCTGGTGGATGGAAAGTCAAGAATCTAGACGGGCCTTTTGCTTTGCTGCAGCTGATCTGGCTTGCGAGTGTCATTTGGCACGAGGCTCTAAGTCGATACCCTAAGGTCACGCATCTGGATTCAATGAACGTTGGCCCGAGAGCAAAATCTAGCAGCCACAGCTATCTGTCAAGCAAACTTTGGAGCAGTGGCCTGGGTTTTGGGACTGGACTGGAAGAGGCATAGGCCACATCAGCAGTCGCACCACAATATAATTCAGCTCTACAGAAATTCTCTGTTACGGGAAAGATCATTTGCCCTGTCAACTCTCCACCTTTTCCCCAAGGTTAATCCAGCTCAACCACATGAAAAGGCCTCCATCAGTATATACATAGTGGTAACTACTTCAGATTGACCTGAATTGGTGGCCAAGGCTTAGCCTTACTCCACCAAATCGTTCTTCAGAGTGTCTTCGTCAATTTGATAGTTCTTGAACTCCCTTGTCTTGAGCCGATGTTCGAACATGTAGTCGATTTCCTCGACCGTCCTGTGCTTCGTCTCTGGTAGCCTGAAGAAACACCACAGGAAGCTAATGATAGAGAGTGAGCCCCACACGAAATTGCTCTTCCCAGCGAGATTCGCCTCTCCGGGGTTGATGAGGTATGGGCTTGCTGTACTGGTGACGATACCGCAGCAAGCGTCAACGGCAATGGCAATGCCCACAGTCTTAGCCCGCAGTCTCGCCGAAGGCACTTCAGTTAGAATGGTGTATGTCAGTGGTCCGATAGTCAGTTGTAGGGCAATGGTGGAAAGCATGGTAATAGCAACCTGTGCTCCGGAAACGGCGGGTCTATTGTGATAGTTGGGCGCGCAGGCGAGGATGGCGACCAACCATTCGAAGATGACGATGAGCCCCATACCAATGACGAATACATTCCGACGCCCAAAGTATCTAAGCAAGAACGCGGAAAGAACAGCGCAGACGACGCCTAGGGCGCTGTTACCGATAGAGATGTCGAATGCTTGTTGGGTTGTGACATTGAGCTGCTCGAAGAAGTAGGTGGTATTCGTGGCAAATCCAGCAAAGTCCTGACAGAAGAAAATCATGATGACGATCTCTGTGCGTCGAAGACTAGCACCTTTGAAGCACTGCCAAATGCTAGAGTCCTTCTCGACATGTTTCTCGTATAAGATCGTCTTTTGCATCATGGCCAGGGTTCTTTGCGTGTTGATCTTTGGAGAGTCGCTACTCAAGCGTCTCAGTGCCTTTTCAGCCTCTTCCATCCGCCCCTTGCGCACCAGCCACCATGGCGACTCGGGAGTGAAGAATAGAGACGGTAGGATAATAGCTGGCCATATCCACTGTAGGGCGAACGGTATTCTGTATCCCCAGTCGGTAGTCCAGGTATCGAAGCTTTCAGTGATACCACTCAGGATCAGGTTCCCTACGGCGTAGGCCAGGTTGATGTAGCCGGCGAGGTAGGGTCTGAGCGTTGTCGGGAGCAGTTCGGAGGAATATGTGGGGATCAAAACCTGGTAGAAACCCCAGATGACTCCAGAAAGGTATTCAGAGGCAGTTAGGACCTGGATAGAGGGTGCGAAGAACTGCATAAAGGTGAAGCCCGCTGTCCCGATCAGGGAGAAGATCAGGGTCCAGCGCCGACCAATATATTCCATCGGATATGCCACTGTGAAAGCTCCAATGACTTGTCCAACCAAGCTGGCATTGCCCAGGGCAGCTTGCCATGGGGCTGAGATTTGCTTGCCACTGCCTGGGACGTCGTGACCAAATTTGTCGCGAAAGGCAGGCAAGGCGAAGAAACTGTTGATGATGACAATGTCGTACACGCGCATGATGATGGTAAGAGTGATGATACTAGTGTACACGACTCCTTTCCAGTAGATCTTCAGAGCCTCGCTGACGCTCAGCTTATGCTCCAAGTCAGTGGCTTCGGCGGCGATGTCGATCAGCGACTGATCAACCTTAGCGACCAACTGCGCGTTCTTGTCCTCGACGGCGATGACTCGCTCATGTCCGTCCTGTGTTGTGACCTTCTCAACGTCCTCGACATTGTGAACATTCTTCTTGCTCTCCTCCATATTCACAGTGACTGGGGCACGCTGCCGGCAAATTCGAATAGCTTGCAATGTATCTGAAGATTAATGGAGGGGCTGATCTTTGACTCCCCAGTGTGACAGACCTTTTTATATGCGGGATCCATCTGGAAGGGTCTTTGGGGTTCGGTTCCATTTCCCGGTGTCCTCGTTGCTCAACCGGGACTTTTACATTGGGTAATTACCAGTGCTGATACACGTTCGCTGTGTGGCGGGGCCCCGCACTTTGGCCTGAGCAGCATGCAGCGGGCGATTTCCGGAGTGGTTCTTAAGAAAGTTCATGCCAAAAGCACAACTAAGCAAAACAGAGGTCATATGGATTAGCTTTGCTCTATCAGGAGCTCGGCACAATACTGTACTAAGGCTGCGCAAAGGAGCGTCGGGTCTTTTCGCATTAGAAATTTGACGAGTAGCGACATATGCCAAACTCTGTACCTAGATAGCCATGACTAGGTGTTTTGAGAGATCAGAAATGTAAAATTTTACCCCATATCTTGGTAAGGCACGTGGCGCGTGGAGTAAGTACGTCGGGAGAAGGGTGGTAGGTAATTGCCCGTAATGGCCGAGGGCTGTTCACCCCAGCCGACGGGGAAGTTCTCAGAAATGGGGACACGGAGTAGACGCCGATCTCAAAATATCCGACGGCTAAAAACCTTGTGAAGATAATCTGTTTCCTGGCATCTTCCCCATATTCCTTCTTCAACGATTCTATCAACCGGTTCCCTCTTCGCGTGGGCTAGTCTTTCACATGTTTCACGCGTGCAATGCACAAGGATCCCGATTTCGGGCAAAATATGTTGGCATGTTCAGGTTGTTCCCATCAAGCCAACCAGACAGCGTGCTAAAGAGATCTCGAAGAGGATCACAAGTACAGCCTGCAAAGGTAGCGGTCTGATGTAGCTTCTCGAAATCTACAAGGTACTTTCTTTCCAGTATCTCGACATCTCAACCTCTCAACAGGACAAAGCAGAGAGGACTATGCCCCCCATGGAGGCCTCTCAGCCCACACCGGATGATATACTGAAAAGACTTTCGCCGTTGGTCATGGGAGGAGCTGGTTTCAGTTACCAACTCCATCCTCAACCTGAGTCTCTCCCAGTCCGCCGGACTATCAAACGAGCATTCGATCTCGGTCTGCGAGCGATCGATACGTCGCCCTACTATGAGCCCTCCGAACAATTAATCGGTGCAGCCTTGCGGCATCCCGAGATCACATCCTCATACAAAAGATGCGACTACGTTCTGATGACAAAGGTTGGAAGAATACGCGAGGACTACTTCGACTATTCACCTGATTGGATTCGAAAGTCTGTGGCACGGTCGCTGCAACGGTTCGGCACAAGTTACCTGGACGTGGTATTCTGCCACGATGTTGAGTTTGTCGGCGTCGAAGAGGCTCTTCAAGCAGTGGAAACACTCTACGAACTATCGAACTCAGGTGTTATCCGCTGCGTGGGGATTTCAGGCGCCAGCATCGATATCCTTCAGGCTGTTGCGTCAAGGGCGTTTGCAAATTCCGGTCGTGCCGTTGATGTTGTTCAGATCTGGGGCCAACTGACGCTACAGAACACCCGCCTTGAGCAAGGGGGCCTAGATGCATTTCGAATAGCGGGTGTCAAAGCTGTCTGCAACTCTAGTCCGCTGGGGATCGGACTGCTCAGAAGCGGCGGAGTGCCAGTCGGCGCCTTAGGTAACTGGCATCCTGCGCCCCTCGGGCTGCGAGCTGTGTGCCAGGAGGCGGCAGATTGGGTCGAGGCCGAGGGCGATCATTTGGCTTCTGTTGCCTTGCGGTTTTCAATCTCAAGAGCTCAAAGGGCGTGCCGCCCTGGCTTCAACGTCACTACTATCACCGGAATAATTTCTGAATCCGACCTGGAAGACAATGTACGAACGGCCAAACAAATCCTCCAAAAGCCTAACACCATGTGTTCAAATGCAGCAAGAGAATCCTTCGATGATTTGCTCTTTCAGTATGGTCATCTTGATGAGGAAGCAGTTCGACGAGATAGACCTCTTTATGAGGGAGTGAGAAAGATCCTGGGTCCCTGGCTTGACTATGACTTTTTTGGGTCGCCGAAGCCGAGAACGCAGATGCGAGCCCAGAAGGATGATATGGTAATTTCCTCGAGCATAGAACTCCCAAGCAGTGTTACGCCTGCCAACTGTTGGCCCAGCTCCACAATGGTAGCTGTCCGGCGATAGACGTAGAGGCTCAACCATAGGTCTAAGTGGCCACCCACCACGGGATACACAACAAAACAGAATTCCAGACTACCAATAAAGGGGTCAGAAGCATCAATAGACTATATTGAGATCGGAAGCCTTTGTGGGTACCAGCAAGAACTCATTGTACCTCTCCTTGGCTTTGGGAGGGCCTGCGTCTGGGAAAGCAAGAGGAAGACTCTCCGTCGAGACTTCAATGCCTGCTCTCAAGACATCTAGTCCTCCTATTGCGGCCCTTGAATGAAAGTTGCTCCTCAAGCACTGTGATTCTGCATAATTCGCACGGAGGATAAAGCCCATTGAGGTTGAACTTTGCTACTCCAACTGCTTCCCGCTTTAGTCAATGTGCCGCCGGCGGCAGAGATTAACGCGACCTCCAAATTCCCCAGCACTCAAGGATGTTTCTCCCCACAATCATCTGTAATTTCCCGAGACGTCACCGGGAAATCGGCTCAGCCCCCGCAGATTTCTGTGGATCTTCAGCTCCAATCAGTTAAACGCCCAGTCAGTCGACCGCTACTACGCCGGATGTCCTACTATTCGGCTGAAGGTCAGGGATTTTAACCGACGGATTAAGGCACCGAAGCCTGTATTATGCCGCGTGAGTGACCTTCTCATTCTTTCCAGCACTTGCCCAGGTGGCTCGAACCGTAAGGGCAGGTGGAGATGGCACAACAAGCCGAAGCCCAACTCTTACAATCAGATTCTCGTCTTCGAATAAGGACCAAGCGCGCATGCGACAAATGTAGCAGCTCCAAGGTCCGTTGCGATGGTGAATGCCCTTGGTGAGCACTGCCTCGAATGAACCATGGAGATGTTCAGGACGCTTACGTTGTTTTAGCCGGCGATGTGAAGGTGAACCTCCTCGTGCTTCCAAAAATTATGGGGAATCAACTATCTAGTGTGACCAGTGCTGAGATCGGCTCTTTGAACGAACAGAATACGGGTATTCCTGTCATTATGATCGTGGCCTGAGAAGACGGGGTCGCAGGCCGAAAAGTCAGAACGCGGTAGAGCCGACGTTGGAGGACAGGACACAACTGTCTCCTCTTGGCCCAGTGTCCTCTGAGGCGGTTGTTGACGCCATTCCCTGTCTTCGTCAGACAGAACAAGTGTTAACAAGGACCGAGCTCGAAGTCTCGGAATTGCGTCTTCTTGCAGGGGAAGCAACCAGCGATGACCAATTCAACGAGGTCGTTCAACGACACGGAGCTTCAACCACGCCAAGTTTGGATCACAACATCTCTGCCTTTGACTTCTCCCGCCACCCAACTGACCATGCAGGACAAGATCTCTCTGAGCCGTCAACCACGGATAACTCTCAAAATCGTCCTAACAGGCCGAGACTGGAGTCGTTCAGCACTGCGCAGTTGACCAATGGCTTACCAGTAGAGGTGCAACCTGGACGACATGCGCAAGCAGAATCGTCAACCTCTCGGCCGTACAAGTGCCTAGAGTCCATTAGGCCTTTGCTCAACAACTTGATCAGCCCTGAGGATGCTTGTGACTTACTCGAGTTCTACTTTGCTCAGCCGGGAAGCTCTCTTTTCAGATCTGCTTCGCCTTATGTGTTGACCCACGTGCTGAGGAAGGAATCCCTACTCCATCCAACTAAGCCCCGAGAGACTACTCCAGCACTTTTGACCACAATGCTATGGGTGAGCGCTCAAACGGCAGATATTCCACTCCTCTTGCTACCAGGAGAAAGATCCAGGGTTTGCGAGGCGCTCCGCAAAATATCTACCTCTCTGCTTCATGATAGGGATCGCGATCATTGGCAAAGAAGCCCCGGTGAGTGTTCAAACATGTGGAAAAGAGCGGACCGGAAAGTGACTCAAGAGAACAGGAGGGCGTCTCGTACAGCATAGCTCTTTTTGCTACAGCACAGCGATCGGGCACCCGAAGTACGCCGAAGAGCGACCAACGGATCCGCCGCCCTCTTCCATCGATGACGTTCTAACATTCATCTTGATGTGTATCGTCATCTCAGGAGGCGATTTCAAAACTGATTGCTACCTATGGTGGTGCAAAGCGGTCAGACTGGCGCAGGCTCTGGGACTGAACCGACTAGACGCCAGCGAGGGCAGGTATGGCTCGGGGTGTCCGACATCATCACATACTTGCCAGGGGAACAAGATTGGGAGTCAGTGCTATGCTGCCCTAGAAGCTCAAGAAGAACGACGCCGTGTGTTCTGGCTTCTATTCTGTCTGGATCGACATCTGGCGTTGGCTTTCAATGGTACACCAAACATCTCAGATGACGAATGCGACGTGTACATTCCGTTACCCGACGACGTATGGGAGAATTTCGAAAACGTCCCAAGCGACCTGATCACCGAACGATCCCACGGACCACCTGTGCTGGTGACGGGAACGAGCTTTTTCGAATATTTCTTACCTCTAATGGCTATCATGGGAGACGTTATTCATATCCACCACCGTCGTTACCACCCGCGCTTCGGAGCTCTCGATGACCAGAATTCCATATCCATGGTAGAAGAACTATTTGCGAACTGTGCACAGAGCATCAGTGAACTCGAGAACCGATACGACACAGAAGAGCTGAACGGCGCAATTCCGGCAAGCGAGTTCCTCACGCCGAATTCGGGATTCCAAGAAAGTCCTCTCAACCACGCGGTGGGGACGTCGGCAGGACGCCGCCCCAAAAGCCGTGCACTGGCACAACTGGTCTCGTCGTACAGCACTTTCATCTTGCACGTACTCCACGTCCTGTTGTACGGCAAATGGGACGCCGTGTCTATGCTGGAGAACGAGGACGGATGGATCACATCTGTGCCTTTTATGAAATGCGCCTCGCATGCCATTGCAGCTTCGGAAGCCGTTTCTCAAATCCTCAAATGCGATCCGGAACTCACTTTCATGCCGTACCTATTCGGGATCTACCTACTTCATGGAAGCTTCATTTTGTTGCTTTTCGCCGACCGTATGCCCCAGATTGGGGCGAACGAGTCTGTTGAAAAGGCCTGTGAGACGATTATCAGGGCCCATGAAGTCTGCGTAGTTACCTTGAGCACCGAGTTCCAGGTAAGCACGTGGTTTAGGCTATTGACCATCAGAATATTGAGTAACAGGCCGGTTCAACTGACGGTTTGACAGAAAAGGTTCCGCAAAGTGCTACGTTCCACATTGTATAGTGTCCGAAGTGCCAGGACTACAAATGCGGAAGAGAGCCGTGTACGGCGTAGGGTGTTGTCGTTGTATCGATGGACCAAGGGTTCGAGAGGACTGGGGCTCTGACCACGAAGCATACAAAATTGATTTATTCCGCAACTGGTGGACCCCTGCCCTCGTCATGATCATAATCTCAGACTGATCAGGATGTTCGCGGGCTGCACCGGCCTGGGCAAGCCGCGATAGTTCCCGTGGAGCTGGTCGCTGTCGTTTTACTTGTTATCTAGAGTGGAGTTTACCTAGCATTGAAGATAACCAGCGTCCCTGTCAGAAGCCGTCAGGGAAATCGCTAACCCAGGCTCGCCGGGGCTGGAGGATTCGTAAGTCGTTTCAATCAAGAAGCGGCCCCTCAAATTCGGCTGTGCAACTGCAACTAGCCAAGGTCTAGCAGCATCCTTGCCGGCGCCCCGAGCGCTTAGGCTACTATCTAAGAGCCCCCACGACTAGTAATCAAATCGAGACACCCGCTGCGCCATCGGCAATTGCAACCCACATACTCCGTAGACAACCTGTATCTGCCACTGTCTCTGCCACTGTCTGAGTCCATTACCTTGACCTACCACCATACCGCCATACAGCATCATACGACGATAACTTAATGTCAGTCAGCAACGCGAATGGCATCCCACCTCGGCCACCCGGCCCGTATTATCCTATATTTTTGTGGGCGGTTCGAAAGGCTTGTTGATACATGCGAGCACGCCAAGTATCATGGTACCATAAAAGACCCTCCAAGCAGCACTCATTTAGGATGACTTCTTGCTTAGGAGATGGCCACTGCTTCCCAGACCGGTGCGAGACCTATGATGACTATGCTGGTTGCTGCAACTACAGTCTAGAGCATTGAATATGGCCCCTTGTCGCACAAACTATCAGTGTCTCGGACAGGGGAGGCACTACGCAGATGAAACCAGCCACAAACGCCACAAGGTCGCATCTTCACTACTTCCTGCCGTAGCAACCGCCGGCAGGCATCCGCGCGGAACGTGTCTTCTCGTGGATAGCAATGATCTATATGAAGCCCTTCATTCAACACTCCGCTACTCTCTTGCCCTGACACGTTCTCAAGCTCAGTGACCTACTATCATGGCAATCGACATCAGCAAAAGTGCCATCCATTTGTTCCAGTCGCAGGACCGCTTAGAACTCCTCAATGATATCGATAAGTTCCGCCAACATGGCCTCGCCAACCTACCACAGATCGTCGTGTGCGGCGACACAAGCAGTGGCAAATCGTCTGTGCTGGAAGCATTGTCTGGGATTCCATTCCCGGTTGACAGCACCATGTGTACAAGATTTGCGACGGAGATCGCCCTACGATATTCCTCAGATGAGACAATAACGGGGCTAGCATTTATTACCCCTGGACCGCGATCATCTGAAGACCATCGAGCTTGTCTTCGATCCTTCCAGAAGACAGTCATAGCTGGTCTCGATGCGATTCCAGAAATCTTACTAGAAGCCCAGAAAGTGATGGGAGTTGGTGAGGCCGGAGGCATCAGTCGGGATGTGCTGCATTTGAGACTCAGCGGTCGACAGCTACCAAATCTCACATTAGTGGATCTTCCAGGCCTTATTCATTCTGCCACGAACTCAGATGACATCGACAACGTCCAAGATCTTGTCAAGTGCTATTTCAGGCAGAAAGAGAGCTTGATTATGGCTATCGTGTCCGCCGAAAATCCCATCGAGAACCAAGGAATTCTGACTTTATCCCGCCAGTTCGATCCGAAAGGCGAGCGTACGATTGGGGTCATCACCAAGCCAGACATCCTCCGACGTCCAGACAAAACCAGACTTACACCCACAGTACTAGAGCTTGCACGAAACCAACATGCTGCATTCAAATTCAAACGCCAGTGGCAAATCATGAGGTGTCTCACCGATGACGAACGGCAGAAAGGGGCGGACAGAGATCGAATTGAAACAGACTTATTCTTGCAGGATCCATGGGACGGCTTCGACAAAAAGAGGCTCGGGACGAAATCACTGAGAGCCGTCTTATGCCAATACCTGGAGGAACATATCCTGCACGTCTTGCCGGAGCTTGTCAAGTCTTTAGAGGAGAAAATTGCTTCTGCGAAGTTGTCTCTCCAGGAGCTGGGGCCTCATCGAGCAACTCAAGACGAACGTAGGCAATATCTAATCCGAATCAGCAGGCGGTATGCGCAGATCGTCCGAGATGCCTTGAACGGTGACTACTCCGACTCCTTTTTCGACAAGCTTGACGCCGGAAAAAGACTGCGAGCGAAAACGATGGCGCTTACCGACGACTTTGAACACGCAATGCGCATACGGGGCCACACATTTGAAATTAGAGGACCTTTATCTCATCGCGACGAACCTCACCGCATCACAATCCCGGATGCCCTGGTCAAAGTTGGGAAGCTCTTAGAGGGCTACCGGGGTCCGGAATTACCGCTGCTCTTCAACCCACGCTTGGTCGGGGAGTTATTCAAGGAGCAGTCCCAAAAATGGCTCAAGCTCACTGCCGAGTATACTGATGCCATCTGCCATGCCGTCGAAGTCTTTCTACGGAAGGTCATCGACTCGATCTGCCCTACCACGGCACGAGTTGCGGAGTTGATTCTCCGCGAGGTTTTCCAAGATGCAATTCACGACCACCAAGACAAGCTGAATAACAAAGTTCTGGAATTGTTCACACCGCATACAAGTGCATTCTTATATTCGACAAAGAGTCGACTAGAGGAAACCTTACGCGCTGTTCAGCGTGACGACTATGTATGGACAGTTGAAAACGAGGCTGCGAGTGGTGGCTCGGCCTCTTCTGGCGGTGGTCTTGGAACTGCCAGCTCAGATAGAGATCCACGCTTGACAGCACTTCAGCTCTCAAGGGCATACTACAATGTTGCTCTTGAGACGTTCGTTCAGAACGTGGTCGTGCTCGGGGTTGAATCCTGCTTACTCTCAAAACTCGAGGAAATGTTCTCCCCCGAAACCGTGGCACAAATGAACGAGGACAAACTGCAGCTGCTTGGGGGTGAGACCCCAGAGATGATTACTGAACGTACAGACCTCACGGCACGCCTACAGACGCTCGAGACCGCTCTGAAGAACTGTCGCAGGCATGCAAGCAGAGAATTTGGACTTGACCTTGACAGAGCCAGAGCAAAATCTCCAATATTAGTCTCAGAATCACTGCGAAGTGGTTCTATTAACGACGAGAAGACCGTCCCATCGTTGCCCAAACCCGATAGTGTCAACACAATCCCGGTCACAGGAAACGCAACACCAGGGACATTGTCCCGGACACAGCAGGAGAAATTACCAACGTTCAACTTCGCCGCTACCCCAAAACCCGTACCGCAGCTGAATCAGCAGGTCGGCAGCATCAAGTCGGGGATGCCAGCTGATGACGACAAGAAGAGTTCGCCCGCTCCGGTGAGCCCCGTGCCTCAGCTGAAGGTTTCACAACCGGCAGCATTCAAGACACCGTCCGATACCGTCACAGCTGACACATCGCATTCGTCCAAGCCTCTCTTCGGTGGCTTCGGTGGCCTAACCGCAACCCAAACAAGCAAGCCGGTTGCCAGGTCTCCGAGCACAGGGTCAAATGTGGCTCCTCCAAGTGGTATATTTGGTTCGACATCGGCTTTTGTTCCCGGGCCACCCAAGTCTCCCCAAACAGTACTATTGCCCGGCTCTAGTACTGATGGATCTCCGTTTGGTGCCCCTGTGAAGCAATCGCCGAATTCGAATAATCTGTTCAGTTTCGGCACAGCAGCGTCTACAGGAAAGCCGCCGAGCTCCGGAATAGGTGCTTCCAGCTCTGGTAAGTTAGTCATCAAGATATCATATTATCGCCCAGACTCTAAGTGCTCAGACAGACTCCCACTAGGCTCAATCACCTTTGATAAAACGACAATCGAGCTTCTAATACCCCCACCAGGGTGGCCGTCGGGCTTTGGCTGGGGCCAAGCATCAAGCCTTCGAAATCGCCTTGATCACGGTCCAGACGATGGTATCCATCGGGGCTCCAATTGGACAGAAGTTCTCAGATGTCTTGTTAAATACCATTCCACATACAACAGGGGCGTGTCGTTCGAGGTAAGTGATCTGCAAATGAGCTTCTTTTCCTCGGCTTCTGCCCTGTCTAACCGTCGCATCATCACAGGAGCTCCGTCTTCAAGACTACGGAGTAATCTTCGGTGACGAAATCCGGAGATTCATGGCCAGCAGATTCCCTGACATGAAGCGTGTTTCATATGCCAACTATCTAGAAGGAGTGAGAAGGGAAATCTTGTACGGATAAACAATCAAATGGCCAGACTGAACCAGGAACTAGTATTCGGTTGACGTGGGGCTGGTATATACATGTATACCTAGGTAGGTTCGAGTGTCTTCCTGACGCCACTTCTGTATAATCATGACCGCCAACTTCCTGATCGACCTTACCACTTGCTCTGTAGTGGTCTCAGACACGATATCTGGCGAGCTGGTTCCTGGATCCACATACCGCGCGGCATATGGGCCTCCGCTTTCTTCGACGGCCTAGCGGCACAGGCGGAGCTTGAAGCCTCCGATCAACTAGCGTCAGAAATCACCTTTCTCCATCAGTATTACAAACTGCATACTTGCCGCCTGCCACCTCGTAGACCCCATCTTGGCACAGGAGCCTGTCCCTCCTGGCTGCCTCGTAAGAGTGACAATAATGAGAAGTGACAGCGGTTGTTGGACATGTCGCCTTCGACGCAAGAAGTGCGGCGAGGAGCATCCTGTTTGCGATGCCTGTGCTGCGCTGAACATCAAATGCTGCTACAGCCAGGATAAGCCAGAATGGATGGATGGCGGCGCCAGACAACAGGAGGTCGCCCAAAGACTCAAGCGCCAGATCAGAGAGCAGGGCCACCGCCGCAATGGGAAGCGCCAGATCCAAGGTTCCAGAAATCGCGGCTCACCAGCTGCATTGCCTGTTGACAAATCGGGGGTAACTTCCTCAGAACCAAGCGATTATCTGGCAACACCAGTATCCGACATACCAACCGGCGATGGCATGTCTTACACAGAAAGCAGCGAGGCCATGGCCCAGACCGCTGGCCCACTCGGTCCATATCCTCGGGGCAATACGAATGGCATGCTTGACGGCACAGAAGCGCGCGAGGGCGGAACCTCCGGCTGGCCTGATGCTTGTCTGTTCATGTTCTACCTCGAAAATCTCCTTCCATTCTTGTTCCCCTTCTACCGGCCGTCCCTCGCCGAAGGTGGCCGATCATGGATACTGGACATCATGATGACCAGCCCCGTCGTACGGCAGACGGCGCTGTGCCAGAGCTCGTACTTCTTCTCGCTGGCGTTGGGTGTAGGAGGCTGCCCCGTTGCGTTTCAGAAGCTGCTCAGGCAGACCAGAGACGCCTTCGAGACGCTGAGACAGTCGCTGCAGGCCCTGGGCGAGCGGAGCGGCGGCACCGAGCAATATCTCTGTGAGGTGGTAAGGACCCTCGCCGGCGTCCTGCAATTGCAGCGCTTCGAGATGTCCGTGTCGAACTTCGAGAACTCCCAGGCCCACCGCAGCGCTGCCATTGCGCTCTTCCGCCGTGTTCTGGACAGTGCCGGCGCAGAATGGTCTCGGACAAGCTTCGACACAGTCATGAGCCGCCTCGGTACTTCGTCGTGGAAACTGCCTCCGCAATGCATCCAGGTCCCCAGCGCCGAGCAGGCAGCCTTTCGCTTCTCGTCTGGGCTGGTAATACTGGACGACATCATCGCCAGCACGGTGCTCCAGGAGAAGCCGATCCTGTACGCGTACCACGACAGCCTTCTGAATGGCACCACCGACCAGTCGGGACCTCCAATAAGTCTCGAGGCTATTTACGGATGCCAGAATTGGGTTTTGCTCCAGATCAGCGAAACCGCCGCGCTAGATGCATGGAAAAAAGAGTGCAAGAGAGCCGGCGACCTCGATATGATGGAGCTCGTCCGCCGCGCCGCACCTATTAAGGATACCCTGGCTGTCAAACTTACACGCCTTGAAGCCAATCTAGGTAGCGTCTCGGAACGAACGCACAGCAACATGGTCCTGGATAACCTCTTTGCACCATACTACCAGCGCGAATCTCCAGAACAAGTGGCCAGTCATACCGTCCTTGTCACCCGCGTCTGGGCCCACGCCGCGCTTCTCTATCTATTCGTTGTGGTTTCCGGATGGCAGCCCTCTAGCAGCGACGTGCGCTGCCATGTCTCTCAAGTGATCGACCTACTGACGCATCAACTACCTGCCCCAGCATTGCTGCGCACCATGGTCTGGCCATTCTGCTTGGCGGGATGCCTCGCAGAGCCGCCGCAGGAGGCTTGTCTGCGTGGGATGGTCGAGGTGCTGCAGCCGCCCAGCGTCTTCGGGACGGTCTACGAGGCGCTCGCGATCATGGAGAATGTGTGGCGTTCTCGGGACAGCGGAGACGTCTCGATACGGGATCTGGCTGCTTGCTTGAGAAGCCAGGGCGACTTGGTGTTACTTGTTTAGATTGACCATCGCGCGTGTCAGCTTCAATCACTCCCGAGTCAGTTGGCTTGTCCATGGCTGCAACTATGACCTAGGACTGCTCTGCTATGTATTTGAACGCTCGGTCTTTGTGTTCGTTGTCTGTATCGAGTACTCCTGATATATTCAGGTATAAAATTTCTCAAGAGCATTAAAAAAGTGCAATCAATCAATCAACTCGGAGCCATGATCTCATTGTGGTGTCCCCAATGGCGCCCCCGAGGTCCCGCTCACGGCATGGCAAGTTGAGCTCAGAGCTTGAATCCAACATAGCCCTTGTCCTTCACGAATGTAGCATGCCACGGCACATTCCCCTCTTGCGCAGCCAGCTGCGCGTAAAAGTCTGCATGTGCGTCGGCGTCGACAGCACCTCCCTTCAAGGCACCATCCTCGTAGCGCTCGTCGGTGTAGAAGAATCTATAGATGATGAGAAAAGCCGAGCGCGTCAGCAAGTGATTTTTTAAACGAGTAGAGAGATAAAAACCCAGACAACAGTAATGTTTGGGAAGGAGTATAGAGAGTAGAGAGATGAAAACCCAGCATCGACCGTTTTCCTTTCAGTCGCTGCAGGTGGAGGCCACAACAAACTCAAACTCACCGGAACCCCTTGGCTGAATAGAGCGTGTCGGCAAGGCCGATCCAGTACGCCGCCGCGGACTTGCCCATGCCGGGCGTCATCATCGTCGGCCACGGGAGGACGCGCACGTTCATGATGTTGCCCGTGTAGATGAACGTCTTCTTTGTCTCGGCGGGTAATGTGGTCCACCCGTCGACAGCTTGCTGCGCGGCGACGTACGCGCTGAGTGTGTTGACGTTCATGTCCGACACCACGGTCTCTAGGGGTGTTGAGAAGACGGACCCCTCGACCGGAGGCGGCGTGTACGTGGACGCATTGTACACAATCACCGCCGGCGCCGCGTGGAACTCGTCCTTGACTGAGCGGAAGAGTGCTGGGATCGAGTCCGGCGAGGTGAAGTCGGCTTTGAGCGAGAGAAACCCGTCGCTGGTCTTGCTGTTGCTGCCACCCCGAGACGCGACGGCGACGTGGTAGCCGTTGCTGGCGAGTTTTCGGGCCACGGCGGCGCCGACTCGGGGGCCATAGCCGAGAATGAATGCGACAGAGGTAGAAGTCATATTGAGGACTGTTTTAAGGAGGAGGAAAAGGGGAAATGCAGTCGGATAGTGTAAGGGGGATTTGATGCCGAAGGGAATAGAGAAAAATACCGACCATCTTGTGCCCGGGTGATCGAACACGATTATATTTCCAGCAACTCTTTCGCATTTACGACCTGTGTGAGACATTGATTTCTCAGCATGACGTCGCGGGACGCTTCTGCTCCCCTGCACAGATCAAAAGTGAAATTGAAGGAAAGATCCAGATGGGCAGAAGAAAGGAGCACAATGTCAGTCTCCGGACTCGGTACAGATGTCAAAGCAAGACCCACATGCCGCGCGATATGCAAAGCGGATCCATATTCAAGCCGCGCGCAATGCCGCCTCCGCCGTTGTGCTAGACCAATCACTGATTGTCTCGCAGGAAATGTTCTACTTGGAAAGGATACAATTAGTCATGGGGATACTACGAAAGAAATCTGATTCGGGTGAAGCATATGGGTTTCATACCTCTAAGCCCTGCGAGGAGAGATTCCGTGGTAGCCTTCACTTGTTTGCTTCGCTTCTGGCGTTGTGCCCTGAATATGAATTGCGGCAGTATAAGTGCTGGAGTACCCTCAAGTCATTTACAATAGTGTTTGTTGCGAATCGGACAGTATCTCTGCTGCCGTCGGAAACCAAGCTCTACACCCGATCCGCACAACATGATTTCCCCGAGCATGAGCTCTTCGATGGTAGTAAACCAGGTTACAACGCCAGAGCAAGAGACGCCATCTCAAACGACAATGTTCAGCGAAGGTACCAAGTTCTGAGAATTATTATGCCCCCAGGCTTGTCTTGAGCTGACGCACGAGGTCGCCCAAGTAGATATTGAGGGCAAAGAGCTTCCCGAGAATGGAACTGCCGTCTACCCCGCCGACACACTCTCGATACCGCGACAGATATTCCTCGTCGGGACATTGTGCACGGCCATGTTCACCAATCAGGTCGGAATGGGAAACACCCTCACCACAGTGGGTGTCATTGGAGACTCGTTCGGCATCGCTAACCAGGGCCAACTCTCCTGGTTGATCGCTGGATACAGCTTAACCGTCGGTACATTCATCCTCGTCGGCGGCCGGCTGGGTGACGAGTTTGGCAACAAGAAGCTGTTTGTCATCGGCATGAGCTGGTACGCGCTGTGGTGCCTCGTCGCGGGCCTGTCGGCCTTCTCCTCCCACGTCCTGTTCGTCTTCGCACGTGTCTTCCAAGGGATGGGTCCTGCGTTGACCCTGCCCAACGCACTTGCCATCCTGGGCCAATCGTACTCTCCGGGTCCGCGCCAAAATATGGCTTTCGCGTGGTTTGGCGCCTCAGCACCTTTCGGAGCCATCGCAGGATTTCTCTTCGGAGGCCTGTTCGCCCTCGCCTGGTGGCCGTGGATCTATTGGAGCCAGGCCATTGCTCTGGCTGCTGTTGCCGTCTTTGCGGCCTGGATAATCCCTCCCCTGCCCGTCCAGCCGGAACAGAACCAAGATTTTCTCGAGCAACTCGACTCACTAGATATTCCTGGAATGGTCACCGGTGTCACAGCTTTGGTCTTGTTCAACTTTGCGTGGAACCAGGCTGTAGTTGTCGGGTGGCAGGAGCCCTACATCAGCGTCTGTCTAATCCTGGGTCTCCTTTTCGCAGCGGGCTTCTTCTGGGTCGAGATCTATCATGCCAGGTCTCCGATCCTGCCTCTCGCAGTTTTCAATTCGGACATTGCTTTTGTTTTTGCATGCACGGCGACGGGCTGGGCTTGCTTTGGCATATGGGTCAGTTCCATCTCATCCAAGGCCACTTGTAAAACAAGCTCAAGTTAATCCTTCCACAGGTCTTCTATATCGGACAAGTCGCCCTCAACATAGGTGGCAACACGCCTCTTCAGATGGCGGCTTGGTTCATACCTGTTATCCCGTCCGGGTTGGTGTCAGCCCTCGCGGTGGGTAGGTTCCTCGGGAAGGTGCCTGCTTCGTGGATCATGATCGTCGGGCAGGTCGCCTATGTCGTGGGATCCATCCTTGCTGCAGCTCGGCCTGTGCACTCAGTTTACTGGGCCTACTACTTTTTCAGCGTCCTCATCATCACCGTGGGCATGGACACCTCCTTCCCGTCAGCCACGATCATCTTTTCCAACGCCGTCCCGCGACGGTACCAGGGCATGGGCGCCAGCATAGTGATGACCGTGGTGAATTACAGCATATCGCTCGGTCTCGGCTTCGCCGGCACTATTGAGACCAATATCAACAATGGCGGATCGAGCAGGCCCGACATGCTGCTCGGCTACCGTGGCGCTCTGTGGTTTGCGGTTGGACTGGCCGGACTCGGCTTGGTTTTGAGTCTCTGGTTCGTCGTCAATGAGCACCTCAAAGGCAAAGCTAAAGCATGAGTTTCGGGGTTAGGGAGCTTGAAATTGCATGGATATACATGGCAGAGACATCTCTAGTTGAAGGATGGCCCTGAATGTGGGAATTTTACACGCTACTAGGGTCCTCTGGGGATCCAGGTGCTTAACCTGGTGTCCAGATGGAGATGAAACCGATGGGTGCGCAGGGGGAGGCTGGATCGTTGACCAAAGTATGACTACGATTGACACTTTATCGGAGCGATTGATGAACTGCGCACTTTACATTACAGGATTATTAAGTCAAATTGTGCTTAGAGACCTAGAATTGGATAATACTGCCTAGATGCTCATAAGCCTGTCTAACAGACATTGAATAATCAGGACTTAGATCTTCACCACCTATCATGAAGCTTGTTATCCCAGCCAGACCAAATATTTTATCCCTTGGATCAGTAGACGAGCGATGTCGCATATCATACGCGATGTCAAGAATATCAGGGGCATGACGATTTGTGCTTCCCCACGATTTATCGAGTTGTTGCCCGATTTGCAGATCCAGAAGCTCCAGCAGAGGTCGGAAATCGATTTTCTCAAGGCCAGCTTCCTCCAATCGGGAGATAGTTGCGCATACTTGATCATTCGTGCAAATCGGCGAACAAGGATGCAATCCTTTGAAGCCCAGGAGAAAGAGTACGGACCGCAAACGATGGTCGCGATTCGAGAAAGGGCTGCTTCCTGCACAACCCAGACTCGCCGGAACCAGTCCCTGGTCATTATATCCCCAAGTCCTCGGTACACCAGTTGCGGAGGTCCAGTCATCCACGGCGGGCTTTTAGACGGCCCTTGACTTGACGCAAAGTATCTGAGTATTTCGATCCCGGCCACGCTATCATGGGTTGCCTCACCTAGCTAGATCACGACATTGCTCGCTTTTTCGTAGAATAAAGGCATCAGCTGAACTTGGCTGTTCTTTTCCAAAATGTCGGCTTAGTTGATGCAAATCGAGTCAATCCATATAACTCTCGGCGCATCTGCTAGACGTAGATAGCGCAGGGCATTTGTAAGTGACGGTGTGACGCTGACTATCGTATCCTGGACTGATATTGTCTCCCGCTCAGTCATGCTGCCCCATACATAAGACAACGCCTCGTATTTTGTATTGTCGCAGACTTTGGCCGTCACTAATCGGCCTTGGATAACATCGGACATTTTTCCAGGTGAAAGGACAAACAGTCGAATATCGTGACCCTCCAAAGGGGAATACAGCATACGACTCTCTCGCTGCTCTCTCAAGCTGGGAGATGTAGTTTCGTCCGCCGAGAGACGAATCCAGAAGCCGAAAGACAGTTTATGCCATTTTGCAATCGGAAATATCCAATTCAGCCCGCAAGACGGTAAGCAGACCGTGAAGCATTTTTGGTACAGTTTACAATATTTTGTTAAATTCATTTTTCAAGATGCAGATTAGGAGCGAACTGTTTTAAGACGGTGGAGAACCACAGGCGCTACAGGGCTAAATACATAAAGTGATAAGGCTCCAGGCAACATCGTGTCTCCGAGTAGAACGACGCAGCCTCCTAGAAGTGGCGAGATCGCAAAGCCACATAGCCACAGTTAGGCACAGCCACAGGCTTCTTCATCGTGTTTCCCCAGTCGTGGAACAATCTATTATGTATCCGGGTGCACTTTGTTGACTCCTATATGGTGTCTCTATAAGTCCTGATCCCCAAACAAATTCACTAAATAACGTAAAACGGCTCTGGTCCTTCTGTCAATGGAGCGGATTGTGTTTTCTCCCCTCTTCCCTCCGCCGGTTCCCCCGAGGCTGCTTCTGCAGAGTCCGTTGACGGAGAGGAGTTTTGATTCCCTTCTTCCTCGCTTGCTGCTTTCTTCTTCCGGCGCCAAAAGAAGATTTTGTGACTTCCCTGCTGCAATCTTCTTGTAGCCGCAGCTTCTCTGTCGATTCTCTTATTCTCCGCGATCTGCTCTAGATTCTCGACGTGGTGCCTCGCACGCCTGAGGTTCCTTTGAATCTCTTCCTCCGAAGCGATTTTGTACCGCAGCCGCAGGATCACCGCAGCAAGAAGCACAATGCCGATCTGGACAATGAACTGCCACTGGCCAACGGCTTCGATTTGCTCATTTGGTTCGCCGTCGGAATGGATATACGTTTCGATCCATATAATGAAAGCAATAATGATCACAGGTCCAATGACCATGACTCCGAGAAGCACACATAGTGCTATGAGGTCGGTCACGAATCGAGTGACGGGATGCTTGTGTACTCTCGTGACCTTTGCTGCGTGGCGAAATCTGATGCTTCGTATTGAAGCGAAATAGGACATTGGGTGCCGCAGAAAATCGCTCGTTTTCGAACAACCGGCCTTGATGTCAGCCATAAAGGCACTGTAGATCTCCTTGCGCCGGAACCAGAGCTGGAATGGGCGATATATGGGCACTCTCGAGGTGCACAAATTCAGTCGCCCGACAACTGAGAGGAATAGCTGTGCAGCGGTAAAGAGGGCAATAGCCGAATAAACGAGGGGTTGGAATTCGTCGCCTTCCCAGGCATTCCAAGTATGCAGACTATCGCCAGGCCCATCGGCACCGATAACTGTCGCCCTTAGCCGTGTCGACTCCCGCAGAATCTGTGAGGTATTGAAGCATGGGTAGAAGCAATTTGTCGAAAGGTTTAACCACCGTTCGTTGTCAATGATCGATGGACCAAACAGACCCCAGACGGTTGCATTCCAAGAGCCGGCCCAGAATTGATCGTCCCAACCACTATTTTGTACAGTGTCGCCGTCTTCAATTCCAGAGTAGCAGAATCGATATTGAGGTTTCGCAACATTCAAAGTCGGCCAAAGGATGAGGACTGATATTGAGCCCGCGAGCATCATGATATTCCAGATGAAGATCAGCAGATGGAGAATCCGACTTGTTCGAGCAGTGCTTGACCAAAATTGCAGTGGTAAGCCCACGAGATATGCGGTGACCACGATGGAAGTAACTGCGTCGATATCCAGCTCCAGGTAGTCCGGCTGGACCGGAACAGAGGTTACGTTTGATGCGAGTGCTTGCAAGCCATTCGAAACACCTGTCAAGTTCTCTGGACTCAGATAGGCTACCGTGACGTTCTGCGCTGGAGGTGCACCAAGCTGAGCGGAAAGGAGGATAAAAGCTTCGATTGATGCGGTGGCGGCATATGCGACTGCCGCTCCGAAGATGATGTGAGCGACCCAACCGTGGCTGATGGTGATGAAGGTCAAGGCCAGGAGGGCATAGTAAAGATACCGTGGGGTCGGCGAGTATATGTCGCTGATAGGATAATAGCAGGTGACTTGTTGCGCGATCAGAGGCTGATCAAACGAGATGTTGGTTATCGCCATTCCTGCGGCTGGTCAAATATGCTCCAAGGTCCACGGCACGTATGGAGCCTTCTCGCTCCCCCCAAAAGCCTTCTGTCCGGCCGATGCACCAAAACTTGTAGTGGAGCACAGATCAGAAATCAAGACCATCACCACAGGTTCGAGAGAGTGTCGTCGTGAAAAGAAGCGTATGAAGCTCATCATTTAACTTTTCTCTCGCCGCATGTCCGAAAGGTCCAGTTGGTTCCCAGGTGCAACGCATTATTGACCGAAACTCAGGTTAGAGTTTCCATTTTCAGCTCTTCGTATCGGGAAGTTTTGCGAGCTGAACGCCAGCAAAACTTCGCAGTCAGAGACCGGCAAGCGGGCCATGAACGCAATCAAGAGTATGTTGAGGTTCGGTCTAATTGATAGTGATGATTGAAGGCCATAAAATCATCAGGGTTCTGCTAGAAGCACGAGCGGTGATACGTACAGCGCCCAAGGCTGACGTTTCTGAGCTTCGACTTTTTGACCTTTTCTGCTTGCGAGACGGCAAGTTCCGGCCAAAATCCCTTCCATTGCACACCAGATGATGCTGCTCAAGACTTCTGATGCGCATGGAATTCGAAAGGTCAAAGAGGTTAGTTAAACTGCGCCACTTAGCAAGCCTTTTTCAGCTTTGCGAACGAGAATAATTGTGGTAGAGGCGATGACAGCAACGGCAGCACCGCCCCCCGAGAAATCCTTGTTTTGTGGCACTCATTTCACCCGTTCTCATTCTTGCGGCTCGTGGATAAACAACATAATTGTTGGGCCAATTCCTTGCTGACTTGCGAGGAGGCAGTCGGCAGATCGTAATGACTGGAGATGAGGTTGCAAAACGTCGGACCACATCGCGTACCACTTTGGAGGGCTCTTAGGTCATCCTCAACCACCCTCAAATCCAGGAAGTACAACTAAGCCTTCTAGCTGGCCCCATCTGCAACTCGCCTTTCGCTGTCAAACCCTGTTGCTTGGGCTTGAATCTGTCGAAACGCTTCCGTCGGAGACTGTGCGGGGATGCGCCGGAGATAAGTCAGTCTGATCGTCGCAAACGTTTGGGAAATTTGGTTGCAGAGGCGAACGAGCACGGCAAAGAACGGCTTAACTCCGCGAGTGAGGGGCGGAAGTGGCTTTCAATGGATGCTCTGACTTGATGGTGTCATATATAAAAGCCCCCCTTTGCTTCGTTTCGTCAGATTTCCCTCTTGCTGAGAAGACAAGTTCACCAACTCAAAGCGACTCACTGAGATCCAAGTCTGTAACCAGCAGTTCAAAAGCAAGATGGCACCGACTCTCCCAACCCGTCAATTGGGCAAGGATGGACCCCAGGTCACCGCTCTGGGCTTCGGTCTGATGGGGTTGTCCATCTTCTACGGGAAGAAGCTGCCGGATGACCAGAGGCTGAAGTTCTTGGACCACGTCTTCGAGTCGGGCGAGGCTTTCTGGGACTCTTCGGATGTGTATGGAGATAGCGAGGACTTGCTCGGCCAGTAGGTTGACCATTCTGAAGATGACGAACATGACAGGTCCTAATCGCTCTGCAGGTGGTTCAAGAAGACAGGTAACAGAAGCAAGATCTTCTTGTGCACCAAATTTGCCAATATCCGCCAGCCCGATGGAACGTCAAAGATCAGCAATGATCCGACCCATATTCGCGAGGCATGCGCCAAATCTCACAAGCGGCTCGGTCTCGAGCCCGGCGACGCTATTGATCTGTACTATTGCCACCGTATCGACCGCAACCAGCCCATCGAGATCACAGTGCAGACAATGGCTGAGTTGAAGAAGGAAGGAAAAATCCGATACCTCGGATTGAGCGAGTGCTCTGCTGAAACGCTCAGACGAGCATGCAAGGTGCATCACATTGCAGCTGTCCAAGTCGAGTATTCGCCATTTGCGATGGAAATCGAGCAGAACGACCTCTTGAAAACCTGTCGCGAATTGGGAGTCGCTGTCGTGGCTTACTCGCCTTTCAGCCGAGGGTTCTTGACCGGCACGATCAAGTCGCACGACGATTTCGAGCCAGACGACCGACGCCGCGTCATGCCCCGGTACTCGAAGGAGAACTTCCACAAGAACATGGACCTCGTGAACTCCATTGCCAGCATCGCTGAGAAGAAAAACGTAACACCTGGTCAACTGACGCTGGCCTGGCTAATGGCTCAAGGTGACGATATCATCCCCATTCCTGGCACCACCAAAGCGAAAAACTTTGACGAGAATATGGCTAGTTTGCAGATCAAGTTGACAGCGGAAGAGGAGAAGGAGATCAGACAAAAGGTCGAGGCGGCGGAGATCACGGGGGACCGGTATCCTCCAGGCATGATGCAGCATCTCTACGTGGACACTGTTCCTTACCAGGGTTGAGAATGTGTCTAGACAAGATGGACTGTGTGTTGGAGGTTTGTGAGAGGGTTATTGTATCTGAATGCCTCACTGTCAGACTCTGTCAACTTCACACAGGCTTTTCGCCTCAGGGATCCAGTCCTAGTGATGGAAAGACCGAGAGCACATATATCCAATGCCATACTGTGAGAACAATAGTTGGAGGCAACAGTTGTAGTTGGAGGTGAGATACGATAGATGAGGCCGTCTCGCGCACCAAAGAACCTGGAAGGGACGAAGAAAATCTTTTCGTCTGACACTTTCATTTTCGCCTTTGTCTCTTCTTCCCGCCCGCAGTGAGACTCACCCCGCGATCTTCGCAATAGGCAAGCAGACAGGAAACCAGCTGCAATTCTCTATGTTGACTCGACCCAACACGCTCCTCGCAGGAACAAAGCTCTATCTGCCCTGAGCCTCTTTCGTTATAATCGAATCCTACCTACTTGGTCGAAAGTGTCCGGTGCTTCCAGGCAGAACAGAACCACTCAACAGCTTGCCCAATGGCGAGCGAAGCCCAATTCGATGCCGCCTTGTGAGTTCTGAAACCTCTCTCATTGTTCCCAGCCAGGCCACGCGAGGACGGGATGAGGTGGACTTCTTCCTGCTAACTAACTCCTGCTTTTTTCCTTCTCTTCCAGAGACCTCCTCCGTCGCCTCTCCCCGCTCAAGGTGTCAGATAACCTGACATCCATAACAACGCTCGTTCCCGACCTCACCGAAGACCTCCTCTCCTCCGTCGACCAACCGCTGACCTCGGCGCGCTGCAAAAAGACAGGCCGGGACTACCTGTTATGTGACTACAATCGTGACGGCGACTCATACCGAAGTCCCTGGAGCAACGAATTCGAACCCCCGCTAGATGATGCCACATACCCGAGCGACCGGGTACGGAAAATGGAAGTCGAGGCGAACACGGCGTTCGATGTGTACAGGCAGATGTACTACGAGGGTGGGACCGGGTCGGTGTACCTGTGGGATTTGGACGACGGGTTCGCAGGGGTAGTTCTCTTGAAAAAAGCCGTGGGTCAGGAGGCTGGGTGGGATAGTATCCACGTGTTCGAAGTTGACGAGAGAAGGGGCAGTGGAAGGACATGCCATTACAAGCTGACCAGCACCGTGATCTTGCATCTGGGCCGGGATAGTGAGGGGCTGGGGTCACTGAATCTGGCTGGGAGCATGACCAGGCAAGTTGAGGCCGACTTGGCGGTGGAGAACGTCGGCGGACAGGGCAAAGATGGAGGCCACGTATGCAATGCGGGCAGACTAATCGAGGACATGGAGGGCAAGATGAGAAACATGCTTCAGGAAGTATATTTCGGCAAAGCAAAGGACGTGGTAGGCGACCTGAGAAGCGTCGCTCCGTTGACGGGCGTCAATCGGGAAAGACAGGCTCAGAGAGATGTCATCTCCAGTATGGGAGGAAAGTGAATCAAGCAGCGGCAGAGCTGGTGAGAGAGAGGCCTTTAGCGACCCGATCACCCCAGACTCGTTGTGTTCGGGAAAAGGAAAGAACTTGAAGATGCCATGCTACAGGTGTGACTCCTGCCTCTTTATGCAAACCGGGTGGTTTAACTCAGAAGACCACGTAAGTCGATAACTCCTGATCCGTGGAGAAGCGAAAACAAAGTGGTTCTGGCACTACCGATGGAGATCTCGTTGCTCTCCACCCGCCCAGTCAAATCCCTCAACCCCAAGAACTGCTCAAGCTGGAAAAGCCACAAGCGTAGGCGAGTATAACAGGAAGGCATAATGCGCCCCTTCCGAGTGGACGTTTGTCCCTTTTCTTTGATCTTTCGCCTGAGACCGTCCATGTCTCATTCCTGAGCACGGCAATCTCTTATTGCCTCTCAGTGCTTCATTTTCCCATTTCGAGGTTGGAGTTACTCCAGCAGGTAAAACATCAGCAAACTCTGTTCTTTCCAAAAAGGATGCCCATTTCCTCATTTGCTTGTCTTCCAGCCAAGAGCTGCTCACAGTGCGACACGCACCGAGACCTGAGCGCAAAGGTTGCGCTGACTCCCTGCTGTGGACTGAATGATGGGTATGGAGACATTATGCGTCCACGCTCCTGTTTCGATGGCTCATCGTCCCATTGTAGAGGCGAACACAACCTACAGAACTTGGAGCATGCTTGGGAACAACTTCCTAAGGAGTATGGTGGTAGTTCAGGTGTGGGAATGTGATCCGTCGCAACCGTGTTGGCTCGGGCGTGGGTATATGATCACTCGCACCGGCATAGCCTTGCTTGATGCTCAGCTGCATCGGATCTAGGTCCACTGGTGCGACAGAGGGAAGACTTGGTAGGGTGTCCGAGACCTTTACAAGGAGCAAAGGGTAGTACCTTGAGGTACCACCCCGGAGTTGCGAAATGAGTGTAAGGAGTTTGTTCAGATATTCGAAGGGCGTCTCGTTGCTTGAGTTCGATATTTCTGAAGGCGTGAGTGGTACGCACGAGACCACGTCCGTGAGCGTACAGGCTATGTCGAACAGCTTTTCGATCAATCCTACACCGTGAACCTCCATCGCATCTAGGGAAATGGTTGAGATATCCTGGATCAAGTCCGTGGTGACTTTGATGGGGTATTTGAATGTCAAAAAGGAGTCCTCGGACGACGAAGAAAGACAGCCATTGGTGATGGAAAGCTGCCAGATCATGATGCGTAACCAATGTAACGTGACCCGAACATCGGCCATTTGGCTTTCTGTCGTCTTTAGTCCTGGCGGTATCGCGGCTGTGACTTGTCGCTGGAGTTGAGAAAGCCAGGTGTCGGAGCACTCGCTCTTCACTTTGTTCCAAAGGGCCATGAACTCGTCATCTATGCAGCGGAACAGGGCAATCAAACAGAGGAAGCCAGACATCGATGCTTCCTCGTGCGGCTCGTTGGTCAATGGTAGTCCTATGGTTGGATGCAGACTCAGCGGGCGGTGACGCTCCATTGCATATGCTCTTTCAGTGACCAGAAGCAGCCAATACATTCGTCGCTTATACATATTTTCAACAGGGTCGCCGACGAGATACGAGGACTCTTCGTGCATGCCCATCAGTTGAGCCAAAGTGACGGCTTCACGCAAATGAAACCAGCATACATTCTGTTTCTCCAGGGTGAAGTAGCAGCTGAACAAGAAGAATGAGGTCTGGAGGGCGCTCAAAGTAGGAAACTCGACATAATCGATAGACTTTCGAACTCGGAGGACATCATTGAGAAGCATACTGGCATAGCCGTAGCGGTTTTCCGGAGGCTCACCTTCATAATGGCTCCCTGGAGCAACAGCCAAATTCATGCCAGGTTGAACCATGACAAAGGCACATAAGGATCCAGCGAGGCAGTACACTTCTGCGTCGGCCGTGGTTCGGGAGCCGATTGTGTCCATTAGCTGATGCCGGCTGAGGATCGAAGTGGTCGTAGACATATTGGAGAAGTAAAAGTCGACACAGTTTTCGATGGTCTGCTGGCTGAGAAGGGCGGCATTGGGCGACCGTGTAGGCGGAGTTTGTGGTGACGGGCTACCCAAGTCCAGGGAAGGCTTCAGGTCCTGACTCGGCGACTGGGTGGCATCAGAAGGAGAAGGATGAGGAAGATGTATCTGCTTCGTTTTTTGGGCATCGCGGATCTGCGAGAGGATTTTGGAGCGGTTCCCTTTTGGACCTTTCTTTTGGGGCACTGCGAGATAGGTGCATTCGAGATTGGTTTGGCCACAGGTGCGACATGGCTGGCCTCCAGAGCATCGAACTTTGCGCCGATGACACGCATCACATGCCTTCTTGATAGGAGGAGTAGCCATGCTCAGGATCGTTTGCTCGCCGACTTAGAGAGCCGGGGGTCCTGAAAGGGTCCGTTGGCTCGATCGTTGCGCATATGGCATGCTCTGTCATGCTGTACCTTGTTGATTTTCATGCCTGGAAGCTGGGAGGGGCTGAGTATTCGAAGCTGAGGTCGACCTCGTCGCTTGGTGGCGTTGTGGGCAACCCCGCAAACCTTGAGGCATGGGATGGGCACTGCAGGACAGGAAGTGTCGAGGGTTTGTTCTCCGGAGTTGCAGAAGTGGAAATACGGGGTAGAAGTTCGCCACTGCCGCTTTTGCAGCAAATACATGCCGCTTTTGAAATCGACGGCCCTCGCCCCCCTCCTGACATCAGTGCAGGTTAGAGACGCTAGCTACCTAGGTGCCTAGGTGGGTTAGTTAAACTTATAACTGCTGGGTTAGGCAAAGCTTTAACTAAGAGATGCCGATGAGCTAATAGCTTAGTTAAAGCATTTCCCCCAAAGGTGTCTAGTGAGCTTTCGGATCAAGGTCCCCCGTTTAATGCCCTTCGGGGCGCTTATGCGCTCTTCATCCTTACGGTAGCCATCACATGCCGTCGATGTTTTCCGGGGCGCCTCCGCCGCGCACAAACACGCATCGGTGGCTCCGCTGTGATGGTCTGTTATATTGATTCTCGTGTATACATTCCATGGCGTATTCGGGCGATCTGCTCTGGGTGAACCATGACGCCAAAAACCGCAAAGCGGAACCCAATCGGCATAAGGTCTTCTCGCACATTCAATCAGGTTACCACAAATGGCGGCGAGTCGAGGCCGCGCGGTCGATGAGGAAGTCCGTGGTGATTCCGCGACTTCAGTCAGCAGCAATCCGAAGGAGGCGGGATGCCAAAGACACGCAAAAGAAAGATGGCGAGGTCGAGTTCGACGTCCACAGAGACGAACAGGACGACGATAACCAGCGGACGCGCGTCAAGCCCGAGGAAGCGCTGGAGCAGCCCATCCAGAGCATCGTCGCGTTCCGGGGCAATTCTGATCCTTTCAACTCCACGCCTGTGCCCATCACCTCGCGCATCAACGAGATCATGACCTTTGAGCGACGCTGCGTCTTCCCCGTCATTCAAGGCCCCGAGCCTCATCTTCAGGCGCAGGCCAAAGGCAACATCCTTCCGTCGTGGTCGTCGTTCGCGTCGGACTCACTGTGCGATAACATGACCGCTCTCGCCTTCTTGTCAACCCCCTTGACCCTTATGGCCCAATCTTCTCCCGACTCTTCTATCCTTAAATTGTCACTGGTGCATCGGTATAGGAGTCTCCAAGCACTGCAGGCATACATCCGTGAACACGGCCAACCTCCTCTACATATCCTAATGCACAACCTCGTCGCCGAGATCTGGGCTCATAACTGCGATGATGCGCTGGCCCACCTTCGCATGGCCAAAATTATCATGGAGTCCCAGATGCGGGAGAATCCAGCGGGAATCGTCCCCTACAAATGGATCAGCGTGTTCCAGATGGACATTCACCGTGCCGCGTTGTCGTTGACACGGACTCTGCTGCCCATGGACGGATGGGGGACGGCCCCCTTCGAAGTGCCCTTACCTATCATGGATGTTTATCTGGACGCTTGTCTGAAGGGAGCACTTCGCGCACTGTTTATTGAACTGCAGCAGCTGGACGCCCTCTATGACTTCTTCATCAACGATCCTTCCGCGCGCCCTACCGTGTGGAATTTCATGCGGATGCGGACGTTGGTGCTTATTGGTAGAGCAATCAACCACGCCGTCGACGGACGCGACGTCTCCGCGAGCCTTGCATTGGCCTACGTCCTCAAGTTAGTTAGTGCACTGGAGAACATCCCCGTTGGGGCTACTTCAATTTACAACGCCGGGCCAAAAATGCTGGGCCGCGTGCGATCGTGTCTCGATGCGGAGAGCCTGTCTCCACGCTTGAGGCTCTGGATTCTATACGTCGGCGCCTTGAGCGGAGATGAATGGTTCACTCAGAGGTTCGACGAACAGACGGTGTTAATGGCTGTCCACACGTGGGAGGCGTGCAAGAATATTTTGTCCAGGTTCTATCTGCCTAAGGACGAACCTCAGGTTCACTTCCACGCGATCTTCGATGCCAGGCTAAGCAACAGGATTCTCGAGCTAACCACTGCTTTCCAAGACGTCAAGTTGCACGCGGGATAAGTTGTGGCAGGTGTTTTTCGTTCGTGCTGGAGGGATGCATGTATTTCTTATGGACCGCAAAAAACTGAAAGTCGACTCCAATTTGGCGATAGGTTAGAGGAATATGTTTGGGACAACGTTTATCGCTCACATTACGACTACGACTACGACTACGACTACGACTTTTCTAGCAAGCGTCATCTACAAAGCGGGAAAAGAAGTTAGCAGGATAGGCTGACGGGGAAAATGGGTAATCAATATAATGGGACGGTCACCATATGAGCAATTCCTCGGGACTTTCATCTATTGTGATATCCTTTTTCTTGTTGTGGAGTAAAATCTATCTCTGTACGTCCGATGCCTACATCGTCTTCAATCTGTTGGTTCTTTCGTTGTCAAAATTGCAAGGAACACCATCATCATTCTCATCTATGATATGGATACTACTCGCATTCCTAGCAAAGAAAAATCCAATTGCCGCGGTACCTCTTGTTCTTAGAAATTGAGCAAGGGATTGAGTAAGGACCAAGCCGGGATTATCAACGAGTTGACGCTCGGCAGTCCTCCTGTAAGACAAAGTTTGCCAAGCTTGATATCCAAAACGAACCCATAGCCACCTTGCAAGCATTGCAGATATGGTCATGGATCAGGAGATCTATTCGCCCGATTCGCTCGAGCATGGCCACTGTAGGGTTGTTCTTCTTACTAATGGCGCTCTCTACGACCGTCCACCACGCGGAGGCTGCCGGTATAGCGGGAAATAACGCTTAAAAACTCTGGAATACGACAAGCGATGATGTAGGCTGCGCTAGAATGCATGTTCTGGAGGGTGTTTCACTGTTATCAGGGCCCTGGGCGACGGTAGGATAGCTCGGGGACATACCGAGGACCAACGAGGTAAGCAGATTGACGTTGCAACTGGTTGAGATCTGGTAATGGATCTATCCGGGAGTATTAATCTTACAAATCAAGTGCAAGTACGCAGTTTGCGATATAATAAGTATCTTCACTAGTAGTTGATCAGCGATGTTGGTGTGTATGGGAGACTGATATCTTCTGTTTCTGCAAACCTGATGTTCAATCGTTGCCCGAAGCCTTACTTACGACTCGAACTTCAACCACCAATATAATCATGAGCAAACCTGTCATTCTCTATAGTTACAGTACGTCAGTTGGTAGGTGTATCAGAGTCAACAGTTGTTGCTAACCATCCCAGGGCGTGGCACAAACCCGTGGAAGGTCGCAATGGCATTGGAAGAGCTCATGGTACCATATGTCACCAAGTTCTTGGGTATGCAAAACAATCACAGGACCGCATACTAGGTAATCATTGACAAAACTGATACAGACAAGCCAGAGATGAAACAAGAGCCATTTGAAAAGATCAATCCGAACGGTCGAGCCCCGGCTATTGTAGATCCCAACACCGGAATCACAATCTGGGAATCAGTCGCAATCATCGAATATCTTGTTGAAACGTACGACAGAGACCACATCTTTACCTATACTACTTCGCCAGAGAAGTGGGAATTGAAGCAGTGGCTCTATTATCAAGTAAGGTTGAACTATAACCAGGGATAAGCTAAGGAAAAGCTAATGTTGTCTTGCAGATGTCCGGTCAGGGCCCATACTTCGGCCAAGCCTCATGGTTCATATTATACCACGAAGAGAAGCTCCAGAGCGCCATAGACAGATACCTTCGAGAAATCAGGCGCGTAGTTGGAGTTCTGGATAGGTATCTACAGGACAGGGAGTATCTCGTTGGAGACAAGTTGTAAGCCTTTCCAGTCGCCAGACCGTGATATGTCGAGCCACACTCTAACCGGGGCATTCAAAGTACCATCGCCGATCTCTCGTTCATCACCTGGAACATGTTGGTTCCATGGCTTTTCAGCAGGGGTGCAAGCAAGCAGACTCTCGACATTGAGAAGGAATTCCCTGCTTACAATGCTTGGCAGCAGAGGATGATGGCTCGCCCTGCGGTGATCAAGGTTGTCAACGACAGAAAAGCTGCCATGGCTGAGGCTGGTATGGTTCCAAACTGATTTTCCAGGCCTTTGTTGTGTATGTGGCATGCTTGTTCTGTGACTGTTTCAGCATATTGTTGCCTCGGACTCAATATTTCACCCTTTTTCTCGCTTCCACGTGTCTCTTCAAGAGTGCTCCCGCGCTTCGACAGCAAATGCATCCTGCGGAGGGTTGGTAGCATACTCAACGGTAGACCTCCCTGTCCACTTTACTTCGCAGCTCACGGGCAGGTGTATATCAGGGACAGCTTTCGCTCCTCTTTCCTTTGGGCCAAAAAACGGGACAACGTGCCGACTAGTGGCCGACGACTAGGTATTGTAGTACACAAGGATAGCCTGGATAAGTCTTAAGCCTTCCGGGAGCATATAACCATCCTTAGCGTGCGTTTTCTGCCCTTGCTGTACCCTTCCGAGATTTGCTCCTGAAACAGGATTCACAGATATATAGCGATAGCAGGTGACCGGGTTAGGGCCCGCGATGTTAATGCTTACTATCACGAAAGTCTGCACTGGCAGGCCGGAGGAAGGGGTAGAGGAGAGTACAACAAAGATTACAACATTGAAAGAGTCTAACTAGAAATAGTCCTTCAGAAGCGCCAACCGCTCGCGTGATGACAAGTCCGAATGATGATACCATCGAATCTCTGGAAAACCAACCTAAAGGCGTCCCAATAGTGGTGCTTTCCCCTGATCATCAAGTTGATAATCTGCTACCAGTTTGTCGCCGACCATCAAACCAATAAGGTATGCGGTCGCCTGGCTGTGGCCACTGCATTGGCTGTTAGTCATTGACCTAGGAGGCAATGGGACAGAAGCTTACTTTGTCAGCCAGGGCAGGACACTCAGATCACCTACTCGCAGGTTTGAAACTCCCAAGACTCGAAAGCTGGGATCCACGCAGGCCTTCGGGTCGCCGTTCCTTCCCATGCTCACAGTGCACGACATGTGCCAGGTGCTTGTGCATTGCTCACGCCAGAAGTCGAGAACGTCTTCCTCCGATTCACTCTTGGGTGCCCGTAAGGGCCGCACGGTATCCCTCGCGTACGCTGATGAGCGAACAACTCTCGCGACCTCTCGATACGCCTCGACAGCAACTCTTCTGTCATACGGATGAGAGAAGAGCTTGGGATCAAACGCGAGGGGCACACTGGGATCGGATGATTGAAGCGTGACGCTGCCTCGACACTGCGAGTTCATCAACAGCATGTAGATAACGCTCGTTGCTGGCGTATTTTCGGGGTCTTCAAAGTAGCCAGAGTACGGAGCACCTATGGTGATCTCAAAGGTCGGTACCGTTGGCCGCAAGAGATGTTGTCTGGTCTCGTAGGGTAGCTCCTTGTACTCTTTGCTGTCAAATACCTTGTCCGACTTCAAGAACCCAATGCCCATGCAGGTAGTGAGATGGGCCAAGGGACCCGTCCGACTCTCTTCCCACTCTTTCCGTGCAGCCTGTTGGGCGGCCTTGTCTCTGTAATACTGCGGTCGTGTGCTTGTGCTCTCAGCTCGCTGCCAGGCGCAACTTATATGGTAATGATCTTGAAGATTCTGCCCAATGGACGGATTGTCGACCACAACTGGGATTCCATATCGTCGTAATTGATCCGCCGGCCCTATTCCAGAGTGCATGAGAACCCGCGGAGTGTCCAGCGAGCCCGCCGAGAGAAGGATTTCTTTGGAAGCAAAGAATTTTCGTCCATCCACAGCTTCCACTCCAACAGCTCGACAACCCTTAAAGATAACCCGCGCGACCTGAGTCTGTGTGACAACGTAGAGGTTTCTTGGACCCCCTGCGAGGAAGTCTGAAGAATTGGTCCGTTCACCCTTGTAGGCCGTGTTTGGACATACTGCAAGCCCGATGGGATTTCCGCTGTTTGTGTCCTTGTTTGGCCGGATGCCCGCCTCAAACAACTGATCCATCTCCTTTGTTAGACTAGGCTCCCACACGCTGGGAAATCCGATTTTCAGTGCACCATAATGACCATGATCGTCAGGATGTGGTGAAAGATATTTGTCCACCCCCGTGGGAATATCTGGTCTGAACGCCTTGTATGACTCAAGTCGCTTGTACCGCTGCTGAGCATTCTCCCACTTCCACTCATCGTCATCAACAAGTCGAGCAATCTCATCATGATCGTCTTTAGGAGCAACGGTGTAGCATCCGAAGTTGATGACACTGCTTCCGCCAAGACCCTTTCCACGACTGTAGTCGATTCGGCGATGATTCAGGTGCTCTTGCGGTTCAGTCAAGTAATCCCAATTGCCGCCCGGGATGGTGTTCTTATGTTGCCAGCGGTCGGCATCAACTCGATAGTGATTATCACTATTCGGTCCCCCAGCCTCGATAAGAAGCACTGTCGGCCGCGCTGCAGACCCAGCCAGCCGTGCTGCAGCCACGCAGCCAGAAGTGCCACCGCCAGCCACGATGAAATCAACTCGTTGACCTGAAGCCATGAAAAATTAAGTAGAGCTCTCAAGATAGTGAAGATGAGAGCAGTCTTCATGAAAGCCTTGAATCCCATCAAAGTTCAATTAATAGAGATGGACATGAGGCGAGAGAATCAACTCACCAAGCCCGGCGCTCCGGATCTGCCTTGGAAAATTGGTGTAAATACGACATGGTAATAATCATCTGACAGCTTCTCAGGCTCAGATCCGCCCTTTGGACTATGCTAAGCAGCCTTTCGGCTCCAACGAATTACCATGATTTGTGTGGTCGGAGAGTAATACCTTACCCTCAGGTTGAATGGGCTTTTGCCGAGCCTTGCGAAGGAAATCGGGATCTTCCCGTCGGAGCAAGTGATGCAGTGTGTCCACACTTATCGGAAGCGTAGACAACAAAGTCTGAAGAATCATTAATCTCTAGACGCAGCAATCTCCATGAGGCTCTGGTAAGCCCATACTATTCTCTACTGGCAGGCTTGCTCATCCGTGGTCTTGTTGTGTATGGGAGGCGGAATGGTAATATATTGAGGAATTTGGGAGGTAATACATCGTCTTGCAGAACCGTTTCCGCGTCATTCTATTGGGCTCACATTCTTCAAAGGTTGTACTTGTTACTTTAGCCTGCCTAGTGCCCTTTTCCAACGGCTACCAATCGAATTTACCAGCAATTCACCGTGTAAGACGCTTAACGCCGAGTTGCGTATACCAGGCCTGGCCCCGCTCATTGATTTCCAAGCGCTGCGTCTCCGAACTGGAAGTCGACCTTATAAGCTGCCTTTCACAGGCCTCCCTGTTCTTTGTTACCACGGTAGACAACAGGAGTGACGCGAAGCAAATATCTTACATCACCAGGGGTTGAGCATCTTATTTCTTCACGACCTGCTGTCACATCTGACGGGCAAAATGGTGTTTGCCAACTCCGCCAATTTCAGGGTCTTCGGGGAATTCTACAATATCATAGATGGCAAAATCACCTCGACACCCAGTACCACGCATAACATCAATCCCGCTACGGGTGAGGCAAACCCACCGGTGCCGTTGTCAAGACCGAAAGATGTTGAAGATGCCGTGAACGCCGGCAAACGGGCATTCAAGCTTTGGGCCAAGGTCCCCTTTGCGCAGCGAAGGATGGCCGCCCTTGCCTTTGCAGACGCTATTGAGGGTCATCAAGAACAATTTGCAAAATTGCTGACACAGGAGCAGGGGAAGTCGGTATGTTGAAGGCGTCTTCTTCCACTGATGGCTATGCTGATTTGGTTAGATCCCGTTTGCTCAAGGCGAAGTTCTTGCGACAACAGGATGGATTCGAGTGCTTGCCGATATCGAGTTAAAAGACGAGATCATCGAAGAAACCGACGAAAAGCTGACGATCACGCGATATACGCCACTAGGCGTTGCCGTCGGTATCGTCCCTTGGAACTTCCCGATACATATCTCCTGTGCGAAGATTATACCTGCTGTTCTGACTGGGAACCCAATCATTATCAAACCTTCACCATTCACCCCGTATTGCAATCTGAAGCTCGCCGAACTGGCTCAACAGTTTTTCCCTGCAGGCGTTGTGCAAGCGTTGAGTGGTGACGACAATCTCGGACCATGGCTCGTCGCACATCCAGGCATTCCCAAGATCAGCTTCACCGGCTCTACTGTAACCGGAAAGAAGGTTTTAGCGAGTTCCAGTAATGAGATCAAGCGAGTTACGCTGGAACTGTACAAGGTTTTCCCTTCAGATTTGTGTGGATATCGTAATTGCTAACTTTCATCTTAGGGGGGGCCTCGATCCAGCTATTATCTGCCCCGATGTCAACATTCAGGCAATCTTGCCACAGGTATGGAATACGGCCCTTTGCTCGCGCTCTCTTGGAACCAATCTTCAACTGAAAAATCTCTTCTAATATGTACTAGGTGGCTCTTGCTGCGTTCATCAACTCTGGACAACTGTGCATGGCCATTAAGCGGGTTTACGTCCACGAAGACATCTACGATGAGTTTCTCCATGCTCTTGTTGAACACACCAAGCAACTTAAAGTCGGCAAAGGCACGGATGAGGATGTTTTCTTCGGACCGGTGCAAAACAAGGTCCAGTATGAAAAGGTGAAGACCTTCTTTGATGATTTTGCGCGAGAAAAAGCAAGTCTTGCAATGGGCGGGCACAATAGCACAGCCAAAGGCTATTTCATCAATCCTACTATTGTTGACAGACCCTCTGACACGTCAAGAGTTGCCAATGAAGAGGTTTTTGGTAAGTGAGCACAGTTACTGAGAGCCATGATATCTAACCCATGAACAGGTCCTGTTCTGCCACTGATGACGTGGAAGACGGAGGATGAAGTTATTTTCAGGGCTAATAATACAGAAATGGGCCTGGGAGCTTCTGTATGGTCTGCGGATGTTGAACGGGCTAACAGAATCGCTGAGCAGCTCGAAGCTGGCAGTGTTTGGGTCAACAACCACTTCGAGCCTAATCCCAAAGCCGCCCTTGCAGCGTTTAAGCAAAGTGGGCTTGGCTCCGGAGCCGGCCTGAGTGGAATGCGCGAGTTCTGCAATCCTCAGACCCTGTATCTCAGAAAAGTCAAGCAAGGGAGCAAGCTGTAATCTATGGGTTCGCAGGTAGAGAATGATATCAACTTCTTGCCAGAACCTCCGTCCTTGCGGCTGAGACCGACGCCCAGGACTTGCAGCCGCTTCTGGCCTCAAGTGGGCACATCCGGCACTACGGATGAATTTGTGTCATGCAAACATGGACAAGCAGCTGTGGTTACTGAATTCGAATTGTGCGTGTCAAACGCAACCCTTGCCAACACTCAGCGTAGAGCGTGTGACGAGTCAAATTACGGTAGCTTTCACTTCGGCATAATGCCGAAGTCTGGCACTCTGTAGACTTTGTTAGGGTTCAGGATGTCAGCAGAACACGATCATTTCCCGCCTCCCAAAGTCGGGGCCTAGACAGCTTAACTCAGGTAGGTAAGCACTCCACACGATTACTCCGTACTCCGTACCCCAGGTTATGCTTAGCTTTAATTGGTTATGAGGTGGAGTTGTCTGCCCAGTGGTCGCAGTTTGAACTTAACTTCACGCAATGTAAAGAGACCAGGATTTGACGGCTTTCATACTGTCGGCTCCTACACCTTGCCCTATGAAATTCTCCTCGGAATAGCAAGCAATCACTCAATCATCAAGAGCACGAATTGTAATGACAAAGTGTAGGGATGTGCCATCTAGTACCAGGATGTCTTTGGTCTTACAGATACACCTGGCTTGAGCGTTGATGCCGCTCGCAGGCCGGAGTACGCATGGGTTCTGTCGTGCAAAAATCCAAATTCATGTTCTGGACCCCGTCGGAATAGATCGCAATCCCTGTAATTGTCGTCCTCGGGAACGCCTGGTTGGCGTCCATGCTACATCCCGCGGGAAATATGTTCTTCATGTAGCTCTACCCAATGGGCCTCGCTTTAATCTCAAGCAGGGGGGTTTCTCGTTAGCGGTATCGCCCGAACGGCCCAAAGTCTAGGCATAATGCTTTGCTATAAGTAAGTACGCCTGCCACTCGGCTTTGTGCACTAGAGACCTTCTGCTTTGATTCCTCCAGCGAGACCAAGTCTTTTGTTACAGTTTAAAGAAGTTCGCACCAGAGGATTCTATACCAGTCTAATATGGCTACCCAACTACACTCAGATCTCGAGGATGTTGTCAGACACAGCTCTACGAACAAGCAGGAGCGTGTGTCGGAGCAAATGGATGAGAAGGAAGTGGGCGCGGAGCATATCCAAGACATCCAACAAAACTATTCTTATGACGATGAAGACGAGGAGCCAGAACTCCATGCTACAACTTGGATTGCCCTTGGCAGCATGTGTCTCCTGATCCTTGCTGTCCTCTTTGCTCTACAAGGCCCGCCCACTGTGGTGAGTGGGTCCTAGCACCCGCCGGTGGCGTGGATAAGAACGTTATCTAACGCCATACAGCTCACCTGGATTGGCGAGGACCTGCACAATTCAAAGGCCACGGCATGGATCCCAACCCCGCTGTCGCTCCTACAAGCTGTGATATCCCCTCTTATATCTTCTGTTGCAGATAAATTCCAGATCCGGAAGCCTCTCCTCATGGGCTGCGTCATTCTTCCATTCATTGGATCAGCTATTGCTCCCGGATCTAGCAACATATACCGAGTCATCGTTGCGCAGATTTTCATTGGATTTGGCCTGGCCTTGGTTCCGCTCTCATACTGCATCTCCAGCGAGATCGTGCCGAGAAGATGGAGACCTAGTATGTGACCCCTTGCTACGGAATCCGATCATCGCCCACGATCTAACGCAGATATCAGTATCGCAAGCGATCATCAACTTCGCAGCTGCCATCGGCGCTTGTCTTGCCCCCATCACTATCGGAGGGCTTACCAAGCATAACCCGCATACAGGGTGGCGCAACTTCTATGTGCGATTTTCACACTCCCTCTTGTGTTCTCCACAGCTGATTCAATCACTCTCAGTGGGTCCAGTGTGCGCTCTGGGGCGCCACAGCAGTAGGTATCTTCATCGGCTATAAGCCGCCAAAGCGACACACTCGTTACGACCACTTGTCCTTCTTCCAGAAGCTGATGGCTGTGGATATTATTGGACTTTCCCTCTACATCGCCGGATTGACGTTGTTTATGACAGGCGCCAATCTAGGTGGTGGCATTGCAAGCTGGACCGATGCTCGCACCCTAGTCCCACTTGTCACTGGTTGTGTCCTCCTGGTTTCGTTCATTCTCTACGAGTGGCTAGGCACGAAGGAGGGAATTCTCAACCACGAACTATTCCGTGGAGGCAAGGCGCGTGGCCGAACGTTTGCGATTTGCGTCCTTTTCCTCTTTGTCGAAGGTGCCTTATTCTTTCCATTTTTGATCTTCTATCCTCTTCAGTAAGTACTTGGCAGATCTTTCGAGGCCAGTCATATCAGATTGATACAGTTCACTAACGTCCCCAGGACTTCTGCCCTCTTTGAGAGTGATCCTCTCCTTCTGGCTGCCCGTGAACAGTCGTTCTGGGCTGGTACTGGGGTTAGCACACTCCTCTGGGGTTATGCAAGCACCAAACTTAAACGACTTCGAGAACCTATCTTTATTGGCTTCGTCATCTTCCTTGCTGGTATGGTGGGCATCACCACCATTCAACCCAACGATTCAGTCAGCTCTGTCGCCTTCTCCACGTTGGCCGGTATCGGCTGGGGATCGCCCCTGATCTTGGTTATCGCGGCGGTGCAGCTTGCGACACCGCATCACATTTTCATAACGGCAACAGCCGTCACCGCTGCATCTCGCGCTCTTGCTGGCACCATCTTTACCGCTGTCCTCACGGCGGTCCTGAATAACAATCTGGCAAGCAAGCTTGGTCCTTATATTACAAAAGCGGCTCTGAGCCAAGGGTTACCCAAAAGCTCAATCGCTGCTTTCATTGCGGCCGTCGAAGCAAGAAACGCCACCACATTGGCGGCTGTGCCTGGCGCTACGGAAGCTATCATCAGTACCGGTCTTTACGCGCAGAAGAAAGCCTACGCAGAGTCACTCAGGACAGTCTTCATCATCACGCTACCATTCGGCTTACTGGCCTGCATAGCGTGCCTCTTCATGAGCGACCTGCGAAAGGAAATGAATTATATTGTGGATGCGCCACTGGAGCACCTGACTGCCAAGCATCATCACAACGGCAACGAGAGTCAAAGTAAGGAAGCATGATAGAACACATGGGAGGATGTCCTAGGGAGAGTGTTAGAGACAGCTGATCACTGTTCGACTATGTAGCAGCTTATATCTGGTCCTAGGATCCATGATGGAACAGCCGGAAACTAGCGCACATGCATGGTCTATCCTGGTTACACTTGGCTTAGTTGGCTTAGGAAAGCCCTATCAGGAAGAGGCTTTGGTTGGCGGATCGGTGGCACCGATAATCCATCATCAAAAACCATCGGGCTTCTACCGAGCATGTCACGGGCATGTGATCTACGGAGGATGGCCTCGGACTTAGGAGATATCTAGCACTATAAGAACGGAGGGGTTATCTAGTTCAACGAAGACCATGCCCTCTAATTCGCATCTTGAGTATGGTTAGCAAGAGTAGCGGCGCAGTATCCTCTGAAGCAGAGATGCAGAACTTCAGTCTCACCTCGACATACAAGCTAAAGACAGGCTATGAAATCCCAGTCTTGGGATTTGGAGTGAATAGACCCCTGTGGCAAACATTATCGCAGTATTTGAATTAACGGCTTCCCTGTCGCAGACCGCCGGCGATGTGTCCGAAAACTACCAGATGGACCCCACGGAAGGCCAAGTCGCCGTTCTCGAAGCCCTCAAAGGGGGCTACAGACACATCGACTCTGCCCAGATGTACGGAAGCGAGAAGTGCGCTGGTACGGCCATCCGCCAAAGCTCCATCGGCCGCGAGCACCTTTTTTTTACGTCCAAGGTTCAGTCTGGTGGTGGATATGATGCCACAAAGGCCGCTATAGACTCAGGCCTCAAGGAATCAAACCTTGGATATTTCGACCTATATATAATTCATGCTCCGTACGGCGGGCCTGAGACGAGAAAAGGTGCGTGGCGAGCCATGGTCGAAGCTAAACGCGACGGAAAGATCCGATCTTTGGGCGTATCTAACTACGGCCTCCACCACTTGCAAGAACTTGAAGATTATATCAGCGAGCTCGAAAAGCAGCTTGGTCAGGGCAACGGCGGAGAAATCAGCGTCGGCCAGTGGGAGCTTCACCCATGGCTGGATCGAAAAGAAATCGTGAATTGGTGTCGCACACGCAACATCATAGTGGAAGCGTACTGTCCGCTGATTCGAGGACGAAGATTTGATGAGCCAGCCCTCAAGCCGCTGGTCGAGAAGTTTGGCAAGACAGCCGCACAAATACTACTCCGCTGGAGCTTGCAAAAGGTCTGTTCTATGTAATATACCGTCGCCAGCATTGAGGTTTACCACTGCCAGACACTGACTTAGGCACTAGGGCTTTGTTCCGCTGCCTAAAAGTGTGACACCGTCGAGGATCGCTTCCAATGCCGATATTTTTGACTTCTTTCTGACGGAAGAGGAAATGGCCAGTCTCGAGACCGGCGACTATGCGCCTTGCACTTGGGATCCTACGGTGAGCACCCTGAGCGAATGAGCTGGGAGAACATCGCTACACACATGTCGTTACTTCCCAGAGCATGTAGGGCATTTGTGGTGTCTAGCTTCATTGCGTGGGTCTCTCGTTTATTGATAGGAGAGGCAAACCATTCAACTATTCAAGACTCACTCACACAAATTTCGATATCTAATCGGGCTTGGGACGCATGGGACAATCTGTGTTTTAGTGTCGCAGAAGTACGCAGAGCCGTCCTCAAGTAATATCAGAAGTTCTCTTATATAGACACTGCCTTTAATTCTGACCAAGGTGTGCCTGTTGTCATGCAACTTTCAATCTGGAGCATTTGTGTCGTAGAAGTGACATAGAGTCCACTTGCGAAATACTCTAGCCTGTATGAGTCTGCTGATGTCCGAATCTGCCGCCATGCATACATCGGACTCTACCCGATCATAAAAACCGGGACTCGACCGCTATAAGAGTCTAAGTGCGAAGATATTCAAATGTCGGCACCTACGGACGTAACGCCGCGGTTCGTGTTGAGCGGCGGAGGCGTTTTGCTTTATCGAGTCCTAGACTCCTCAAGCTATGATCGAGGTCTGTGACAAAGCCGATCCGGGTACGTATTATGCTCATCTAAGGTCAAAAATCAACCAATGGCTCTTTCTTAATCTCGGGCTCTTTCCGTTGGGGACACCTCATGTGTGCGATACTTTTGGCATCAAGCCGTCCTTGCAGATACCGGAGCGTGCCGAAAACTCTGGAGTCGAACCAAGGGCGCCGCGTTGCTCAATCTCAGGATCCAATACTATTTGGCAAATTCGAGCTGTCCTGTTTTCTCTTAAAATATTTCCAGCCTGGCGAAATCTCAGCCAGCCTTGTATGTGCTCAGTCTTGTCCTTCCTCACGATGCCCAAGGCAGTTTCTATATCCCAAACTCCCGGCAAGCCAGGCCAGGTATACTACCCACTTCGACTTGACGAGGTGAATAGGCCAAATCCAAGGGCGAATGAGCTCGTCATCAAACTACACGCGTAGGTCTTGTCTCTCGCTTTCACATGAGCAAATTGAGCCTGTAACTCTCTGTCACACTATGTGCTGCTCTTGACCGCTGACACGGGAGCTTTAGTGCCGCCCTTAACCACCGCGACCTCTTTATCCGGCAGCATCTATATCCAGCCATCGCCTTTGGCACACCGCTGCTCGCTGACGGCTGTGGCAGAGTGGTTGCTGTTGGCTCCGCTGCCGATCCCTCTTGGCTTAACAAACGCGTCGTGCTTAACCCCGGGACGGGCTGGAAGGACTCTCCAGATGGGCCGGAAGCTCAAGATGGGTACAGGTTAATGGGCGGAACCAGGAGCAATGGAGTCGGCACGTTGCAGGAGTTTTGTGTGATTGATCAGGATGAGGTTGAAGAGGCACCGCCACATCTTACAGAGGTGGAATGTGCTGCGATACCATTGGCAGGTCTTACGGCATGGCGAGCAGTGATGGTCAAGTGCGGGGCACGAAATCTGGGGCCTGGGAAGTAAGAAGTGCACCCGTTAAGGCGAAGACGAACGCCGCTGATCGAAATACAGGAATCTGCTGATCACAGGCATTGGTGGAGGTGTTGCGTTAATGGCATTGATGTTCGTCGCGGCCACCGGTGCCAATGCGTGGGTGACAAGCGGTAACCGGGCCAAGATAGATAAGGCCATAGATCTGGGAGCGAAAGGTGGCGTGAATTACAAGGACAAGGGATGGGAGAAAAGAATGCTGGACATGTTGCCAAAGGAAGCCAAGAGGTTCGATGCAATTGTTGATGGTGCTGGAGGAAGTATCATTGAGGTGGCGCCAAAATTGCTCAAGGTGTGCCAATGCTGAGACTTCCCGCGGTACCAGAAGGCTGATTCTTATGACTTTAGGATGGAGGCATTGTATCCGTATATGGCATGACAACGGGCCCGAAAATGCCGTTCACAATGCAGGCGGTGCTGAAGAACATTGAAGTCAAGGGCTCCACGGCGGGCAATCGCAAGGAATTTACGGATATGATAAATTTCGTCAAGGAGAAGCGATCAAAGCCAGTTGTGAGTCGAGTGGTTAGGGGGATTCAGGATTTGGAGGGGATCAATAGTCTGTTTGAGGACATGAAGCAAGGGAAGCAGCTGGGAAAACTGGTGGTCGAGATCGAGGGGGAAAGGGAAAAAGGAAGTAAGCTGTAACAGGGAAAGCTGGTTAGAAAGGATCGTGTGACGCAAGACTAGATGTTATTAAGTTGGACACCAATTTACAAGGCAACTTGAATATACCCAACGAAGAGTTATTAGTGCTGGATAAAGTGGTGTATGACTGGTTCAAAAGCCCGAAAGGGATAGGAGTTAGCGAAGACTACAGTGCCGATTGACCACTCTTGCCCTCGTCAGATCTCTTTTGATAGCGCAGACTGCCGGATAGGAAAGAATAAAGTAGAGTCTGACCTCGAATGTATCGCAGCGGGCTTGGAGTGAGAGCTTCGATCACAAGTGAAACAACAGATCGCGAGTCCGGGTATGTAGCCAATAGACTCTCTCGTGGACCGTATACGGTATCAAGCCGAGATGCATCTTGTATTCGGAGTTTCGCCGTGCAAGTAAGGTGATTTCCGTCTCCATCTCTCGTATCAGCTAATGACTAAAGCCGTGTGTATAGGAACCATTGAACCACAGACGGTGAGTCTAGCTTGCTCCCGTCTTCGAATATCGCGGAAGAGAGGTTCCAGGCGATTCTTTGGACTCCTCCCAATTCAATGATGCGCGACATTGCACTAGATGCTAAGACACACCAGTACGAGAAGCCGAAGTGATATCCAGCTGAGCTCTTCCGTTGATAGTGGATTTCTCTTGCCGCATTAGATCGTTGCGTTAATAGTCTGGATATCGAGCTCTTCAGCGCGAGGATTTATGTAGGATCTTGTAGCAATGTTGATACACTGCTCTCTCTATCACAAACTGCGTTTCCTCGTCCACAATGTCTAAGTCCGAGAACCACCAAACTCGTCTGGCGATCATTCATGGGCCTCATCTTCCAGCACTGCAGCATCTTACGTGGGGCGAGCTCCTCCGGCGACACTGTCAAAGACACTCCAGCGATATTGCCCTAATATCTGCCCATGAGGACCAAGTTCACACTTACGGCGAGCTCAACCATCGCAGTGATATCTTAGGCGCTGCACTTCTAGATGCGGGAATCCAAAAGGGTGACCGAGTGGCTGTGCTCTTGGACAATCGCTCGGTTTATGTCGACGTAAGTGCTATGCTGCGTCCGTGGATACTTCAAAACTGAGCCATGGCTACTAGATATTCTTTGCCTGTGCTAAAATCGGAGCCATTATTACCCTGCTCAACTTCGCTTATACGCCGACGGAGTTGAGACATGCTCTGACTCTGACCAAAGCAAAGGTTCTCATCGCAGCAACCAAAACGGAGAGATACGACTATACCAAAGTGCTCCACAGCCTGGAACGCAGCTTAGATTTCCTGGAAATGCTCGTCCATTTATCCGATGTCCCGGCCCTTGACAGCCAAGCTCACTTCTCACCTAGATCTTGCAGCTACACCAAGTTCCTCCAGCGAGGGTCGAAATCTCCAAGGGCTTTAGAAGACAGCGGTGTGGCCATATCGGATTCGGACATCATCAATATCCAATTCACGAGTGGTAGTACAGGCATGCCAAAAGCAGCGGCGCTAACGCATAGTGGACTTCTCAACAGCGCCATCTATATTGGCCAGAACCTGGGTGTTACCTGTCGTGACCGAATCATCATCCCAGTGCCTCTCTTTCATGCCTTTGGCTTCATTATGGGTAAGAAATTATGGTCGTGCTCCTTGCGAAGGCTGACCCGGTGCAGGCCTTTGCACGTGTTTCGCAGCCGGTGCCACGGCGGTGCTCCCTTCCGCCTACTTCGATGCTGGGAAGGCCTTGAGCGCAATTGAGAAATACCACGGCACGGGTCTGTATGGGGTCACGACTATGTGGATCGATATGTTGTCGCATCCGAAGTTCACGTCGACCAAGCGTCAATCGTTGAGGTAAGTCAGGATCGTCCAAGCCGGCAACTGAGACTGGGAACAAACCAAGCCAACAGAATCTAGGTTCGGCCTGATTTCCGGCTCTGCCCTGCCTGAGGGCCTCCTCGTGCGTGTTGGAACCAAATTTCCCATTCCGCATCTGAACACGAACTGGGGCATGACCGAACTCTCCTCGATAGTGACTATGACCAAAACTTCAGATCCCATGGAAAAGAAATTGAAGACAGCGGGACGCCTACTTCCGAACTTCAGCGCCAAGATTGTGGAGCCAGACACAGGCAAATGTCTTCCCTGGGGACAACGAGGCGAAATCGTCATCAGCGGCTACGGCCGCATGCACTCCTACTTCGGTGACAAGGAAAAGACCGCACAGGTCTTGAAACACCATCGCGAAGATTTGCTTCCCGGACAAGCCGGACGAGACGTCAATGGCGAGCTACGAGTATGGATGCATACTGGGGACGAAGGGTACTTCGACCCCGATGGTTATTTCATTATCACTGGGAGGATTAAAGACCTTATCATTCGTGGCGGAGAGAACATCTCACCCGTCGAGGTTGAAGAGCGTCTCTACATACACCCCGCCATCAGACAAGCAGCCGTTTTTGGCATCCCGAGTCAACGTTATGGTGAGGAGGTTGCTGCGGTGCTCGAGTTAGAGGAAGGGTATGAGAGGCCGTCGGACAATGATATTCGCTCATGGGTCCGAGAAACTCTGGCTCGTTTCAAAGCTCCCGTCAAAATTTGGTGGTTGGGAGACAAGACAAGAGGCATACCGGCCCAGTGGCCCAAGACGTCTAATGGAAAATTGAAAAAGAAAGACATCAAGACTTTGGGAGCACAGTTGATGAAGCGAGAAGAGTGGCCACTTCGCTCGTCCTTGTAGAGGGAGATACAAGCAGTGCTGGGAATGTGGGTCATGTCGACTGGATAGCACCTGGACTTCTACGGCTACCAAATACCTAACTATCAACCCTCCATATCTCTGAATGATGTAGATCAGCCACTCCATGTGGTTGCTACGCCCGTCCGAAACCTAGCTTTTTCGTCTGATGTCTTCCAGCGAGAAGGAGAGCTCACTATATGCAAACAAGGCTGTAGTCAAAACGACAAGCGGAGCGAGGCAGCTTCCAAAGTAGGTGACCATGAAGAGGGTCTAACGGACGACGTTTATGGAAAATTTAGGAGAGCTAGTAAGCCGCAAGATAGAGCTCCAGTGACAGAGAGGTATCTTGGTGCAGCTCAATGTGACGAAAATGAAGTTGAGGATAGCAGTTCTACTGTCGACTCTATACCTGCCACAAGATCGCGTGTGGATGCATTGGCGACTCAATAGAGCAGAAGGCTAGATTCTAGACCAATCAGTCCATAGGGAACATGCCAATAGGAAAATCATTCTCTGCCTGTTTGAGCTGACCTCACCACACTCATGTCTTGGTGCTCCAGCAGAGAATAACTGCGGGCAAATAAAATGTGTACATATCTTCCTCGCAGAAGTTTCGGAGCGACTTCAATTTGCGAAGTAGTGGAATGCCACGGCAATACTATGAGAAAATATCTGTGTTCGAGAGAATACACATTGCGTCTTACTATCTCTACGTAGCTTTGTGCGTCTATTCATAGTAGACCTTATTGACCAGAGTACCAATCTTCTCGACATAGATTCTTATATCATCGCCGTGATTTAGCACAACCAGAGGCTGTCGGAACAGACCGATGCCGGGGCCTGTCCCTGTCTGAATGACAGTGCCCCTTTCCAATGTCGTTCCTTGGGAGAGCCAAGCGATGAGCTTTGGAACGCTGAAAATCATCTCTCTGCAACAGTCGGGATTTTGATCAGCTCCTCTCCAAATAAAGGACCCACAGTGTTACAAACTTACCGAGTGTTTGTGTCCTGGACGGTCGTGCCGTTATAGATGGCTTTGATGTCAAGGATGTGCGGGTCAGGTATCGCAGCCGGTGAAACCAGTACTGGACCAATTGGAGCAGCGCCATCAAGGCCTTTGTTGTAAAATGCAAGTAAGCTTTCTGAAACTCGTACGAAGGAGGGAAATTCTCACCTTTGGCAAAAGACCATTGGGATGTGTTGTGCTGCTGCGTTCGAGCACTAACATCGTTACTAGCGGTGTAACCGAGCACGTACTCTAATGCCTTTTCTTCAGGGATATCTCGTCCGGTTTTCGAAAGAATGACCGCCAGTTCCGCTTCGTAGTCCTCAGTGCCGTCCTGTGCAATCTTGGGAACATTGATTGCTGCCGGGTACGGACCTCCTAGAGAGGTGCGGGGCTTAACAAATAGGATGGGAACTTCGGGAATGGGCTGGTTTGCTTCTTTCGCGTGATCTCGATAGTTGAGTCCGATGCAGCGAATGATTGGGACCTCTTCCATCGAAATGGGTGATAACAGCTACAACACAACATGTTTAGTGTCTCTCCAGACTTGGCAAAGTTGACATCAGTGAGAGATTACCTTTGAGATATGGAAAGTCTTGTTGGTTACGATACCATCAAAGACAGATCCCGTTACTAGCTTTACGTCAACCTTCTCCCCGTTAAACACGGAAAGTCCAACATCAGGCCATTTCGTAGCGTCGACTTGACCAAGGTGTGTTTGTCCATCCTCTTCCGCAACAAATCTAACCAAGTGCGTCCAGGTGGGAGCCATTCTGAAATAAAGAGGATTATTTGTCTCTTGAATGTGATCTTTTCGGCTCTGCGTATGGCCTGGAGCGCCCTGAAGATGGGTGAAACGCAGTTTAAATTGGATATTGCGGCAGTCTGGACGGCTTATCACCGACCAGACCGTTTCGCCCAAGTGCTTTCCACATTGCCTGGATTTCCCAGAAATTATTATTCAGCATATCTTTTCGCCACAGACACAAACCGACTCCCCAGCCTTCTTAAGACCGAAGACCAAGGGGGTCAGTCGGTATGTTACCGAGAAAGGGTGTCCGATAGGACCAGCGCTGCCACGTGACCAAACTCTGGATTTACATGGGTTTACCACCGACTAAAAGGGCAAGGGCTCTCAAGCCCCCTTTTAGTCGTATGCAGAACGTTCGCGATACTGGTCCCAGATTCGTGAAAGGCATGTTGATTTCTGTCTGGTGAAGTTGGTTTGTTGTCTGCGCCCACGTCGGAAGATAGCGTGCCTCAGAAGTTGAGCCATCAGTATATGAGCCAAAAAGAGATAAAATCGAGAAGTTCGGTTCGATTCTGGCTTCTGTGTTGAGTTGTACCAGGCTTTCGATTGTGGATGTCGCAGGCAGCAATTTGACTGTTATGAGAGCTGCCATTGCCGTGCAGTACAGGGCAGAGGAGCTTGATCAGTCTGAGAGCCTGAGATATAGAGCGAATTGAGTGGTCGTCTTGAGACAAATATTTTTCCAATGCCACAATTCCAGTTCGCAGACGGTCTGTTCTTTGGCCACATTCAGCAATATAATATTGCTTCAAGTCTCAATCGTCCTAGAGCGATCGTATATCTACCGCCCAGCTCCTGTAAAGCTATGTGTTGCCTACCTTGTAGAGTCCATCAACATCATCTCGAAACTGATTATGCTTCTTCGTCTCTTACGTTCGCCTTCCGTCAATCCTCAAGGGGGCTTTTGGACAAGGTCAGTGCCGAAAGTTTCGAATGTTGTAAGCCCAGTGATCCTGGATCCTGGGGTTCGACGTCGCGGATCCTCGTGCTTTGGAGTTCCGGCAGCTTCGAGACGCGTTGAACCAAGGGTGGGGGGGAACAGATTGATTCTTTTCACTGCAGCCTCGTTAGTCCATGCTTGCGTACTAAGAGACTGAACAACCAACCACTGCCATCTCAACCTTGTCGGTAGCAATTAACCTGATGGTCACAAGCAGCACCTAGGGCGGAACACGCAAGGGCGCAGGCCATCCATGCTTCTGTCTCAGATGCGAGTTCAGAAGACGTATAACACGAGGACTGCAAAAACAAAGCCAGAGCGAACGTCGGAAAGTCGAGCAGCTCGATGCGCAAGCGTGGAAGGGTTTTCAATGTATTTTTCAGAACTAGCAACTGCCTCCAGATTGAGTTGCGTCCCAATCTCACTTCAGCCCGGCGGGAAATTTGCGCTGGGCCACTTTGGATGGTAGGGGTCAAATTTTTGAGGGTATGGAATCGTCTTTCCTAATTCTGCTCCTAGCTGTTACAGATCCTGGAGTTCCCGGAATGTGTACTCTTCCGTAGGATTTATTTGGTAAGGTCCTTTCCAGGGGTTCTCACGGACTGGGGAGATTGAGCTCGGACGCACGGTTGGCGAGTGAGGAAGAGCCCATGACTTCATATTCCACCTTGCATTTGAGAGCAATATCGAGGAGATTGACCCCGGGCTCTGCGTCAGGATTTCAGCGGTTTCTGCTTGAGCAACAAGATGATATTCTGAGAGTCATCTCTGGTCCAGCTCTGGGCATTTGTTAGAAGTTCCAGTTATGGCTCAGGCTGGTGTGCACAGCCCAGGGCCCAGTTGCAAGCTGTGTTGGTTATATATGGACTTTGAGGCCAGCTCAGTTCCCTACCCAAGCGGTGTCCGTCCAGCGAATTTCACATCGCCTACCCAGGAGTAAGAAGGATTGGGAAGCCGTTCTAGACTTCACAAAATTCCACGGCAAATATTTGCTCCATCAAGATTGAAACTGAAGTCACAGCATTAGAATAGGGTACCGCGTACCCTTAGGTATCACTGGGCTTGAGCAGCAGCGTGGGTCCACTGGTATAATGTTGGCTACGCCAGCCACGCCCATCAAAGAGACAGATATATTCAAAAAAGCTCTTCATATTTCAACATCCAGGGGCCTGGTACTTCTCGCCTAGCTTCCATACTATTATTACTATCGCTGTGCGCACCCAAGTGGGCACACAGTTGCGTGCATTAGTAATTACCCCGCACCGCTAGTAGGTATTGTACCAATGGGGATTAGTGGAGTTTCCACGCCTCCGACTGTTCGACTTCGACGATTCTGCCTTCTTTGCTTTGCTCGTCAAACTGTCCGCCGGCATCCTTTGCCAGCCATGGCCAGACCACGGGATGATGTAAACGAGAATGAAGCAACAGGCGCGGCCTCCGGGCGAGAAAAGCATCGCAAAACAAGAAAATACGGATTTGCGTGTGCGAATTGCCGACGACGAAAAGTGAGGTGTGATGGCGCTTTACCGAGCTGCCGTCGATGTCGGACGAGTGGACTGAATTGCTGCTTTGACAAGTGAGCCAGCTACAGGAGCTGGAGTTACACAAGGACTAATAGCAGTGCTGCAGGAGCCTGTCGATAGCACATTCAGTCGCGTTACAAACAAGGCTCGACGCTTACGAGTCTCTCATGGATCGCCTAGAATGTGCCAACGACGTCGAACGACTGCGGATACTGGAGCAACACTTTCACCAAGACATAAACAGAAAGCGGAAAGAACCGGCAATCCCAGAGGGGCCATTATCGGACAGTCCACCATCAGACGTACCATCAGATGAGGAGATGATCGCCAATGAGACATCTGTGGACATCGACGGGCGGATATGTTTTTTTGGCAGTACAAGCCTCTATCATTACAAGCCAGATCAGTCGACAGTGTCTCGTACAAATCCACCAGGGGAGCTATCCAACACATTATTTTCACAGCCACAAGACGCTACGCCAACGTCACGATTATTGGACAGCCCAGCTGACTTCCTCAACCCTGTTGAGCAACCTGACATTAAATCGTACTTGAATACCAATGTCAGCTCTGAGATATGTAACGAGCTGTTGGATACTTATTGGTGTTGGCCACACAACATCCACTTTGTGCTTTGCAGGAAGATTTTCATGCGTACGCGTCAAATTCCATGCCTCTTCGTCCCCGCTATCTGACTGTTACTTGCAGGGGATCTCATTACGGCTGGACCTTACGTGACTCCTTTCCTCGTGCATGCAGTCCTTGCGCAAGCAGCTCGTTACTCTGACCGAACAGATGCCTCGGATCTGGGGAATTACTTTGCTGAACAGGCAGTAAACCTCATGGCAGCAGAGATACAGAAAGACAGTTCGATTCCCACCATCCAGGCACTGCTCATTCTGTCAGGGCATGAAAGCATCATCGGCCGCGCATCTCAAGCTTGGCTATTTTCGGGGATGGCATTTCGGATGATGCGAGACATGGGTATACACATCCATGAGCGGAGGTTGAGCCTTGTAGGCCAATTCTCACAGGTGGAGCTGGCCATGCGGCGACAGATTATGTGGAGCTGCTACACCTGTGACAAGGCTTTGAGTTTGTTACTTGGCAGAGCGCCGACGATTCACGACACGGCGCCCTTTCCTACTCCTGAAACCATGCTTGATGGGGAGGAGACCGAGGAAGAGGAATGGAAACCGAGATTCGCAACAACATCAATGCTGGAAATTGGGGTTTCACAGAAGGCCAAGACCAACAGTCGATTTGCAGCTTACTGTCGACTCTGCGTGGTGAGCAAAGAGCTCGGCTTGGTGACAGACCAATATAATAGACCCACTAACACGGCTTCCAGATAATCGATCGCATCCTCACTACACTGTATTATCGTCAAAAGGCCTATGTCGATCCTCAACAGCTTCAAAGCTTCCTCGAGAGTTCCATCGAAAAGCTCGAGGAATTTGCGCTCAGTCTCTCACCTGATCTGTTCATTCGGGAAGACTGTCGGTCAATTGCCTGCCCCCCTCTGCACATCCTCATCCTAAAGTAAGTCTCATCTGCTTCTTAGTTTTGTATGTGGATCTTTTCCATTCTGACAGGAGCACTAGCTTACTATACCACGCAACTTTGATCCTCCTCTGTCGTCCATACCGATCACAACTGCCACGAGCGCGTGAAATGGCAACCTCTGCCGCCGAGATGATCGACCGCCTTATCATGCTGCACATCCGGAGATTCGGGTTTCGCATCGTCACCTATTTGGAATCATACACCATGTTCGTTGCCTCGACGATCAACGTGCTCGACCTGAAGGACGGCATCGACAAGGACGGCGCAAGGGCGCGACTTGCGCTCAATATTGAGGTTTTGCGGAGTGCAACCGGCACCCCCAGCAGCACGCGGTGCGTCACCAGCTCGCCAAGCATCGCGCGCTGCATCGAGATCATCGAGACACTGCTCCGAGAAAACGAAAAGCCCGTCGAGGCAGACAGGCTCCAGCACGGAAGACGTCCTGGCTCGCCACCGTCTGGCCTGCAAGATGCAGATGCCGGTGCCTTCCGCGGCCACCAACAACCGAATGGAAATCCGCTGGCAGCAATGGCTCGGCAGCCACTGAGTTTTGACAGCCACGTCCCACACCCTTTGGAGGTATGTATGCATCAATCTTCCCCCCCTACCTTCTGTGTTGCTATTTCTCTAACCCGTTCTTTCCTTCCCTTGGCAAAGTTTTCCATCCAAGACGCATGCGGTAGGGGAGAAGGCCAGCCTTTCTCCGATTTCGATCCGCCATACTTTGACAGTTGGCCGTCCTTGTTCGACAACGAGTCGGCCGCTTTTCACAGCGAGCAGTCTTTCTTCGACACCTTGAGCGCCCTCCCACCAACCGTGCCTGGACGAGTTTGCAGCATGGACGTGAGAGTCGAGAGGCCGTCTAGTCATGATGTAGTAGATTGACTGTGCAGTCAATACGGCTGCGCCCATCTTAATTCCACCATCCTCATCTGACGGTGAAATACGAGTTGGCTATGGTGCGGGGGCTGTGGTTGGTTGCTGTCGTGCCAGTGTCACCGACTATTCAGAGGGATTAAACAGCTTTCCCAATAATCTGAGCCACGGGCGAATGAACAAGTCCATCACAAGAACTAAACAGATTGTGGTTCTAGTACTCATGTACGTATACTGTCGTCCTATGGAGCAAGGTGTTCACAATACACCGAGCGTAAAATACCGTCTATGCTTCTGCTGAACGCCTTGAGTTTAATGATCCCATACAGATGGCCCCTATACAGATGGCCCCTATACAGATGGCCTTCTCTCTACACATAGTGATACACGGAAGTGACCAACCCGCAATGGATAGACAGACGATGACGCTGGAGGGAGCCCTTGTCTTGTCTTCTACTCCATGCTCGAAAACATCTGGGCTTCTTGCAGAAAGCGCCGGCTCCAACAAATGTTGTAGTTTCCCCCTGTTGCGGGCCCAAGCGCGGGAGAAGAGTGGAAAACAAGAAACTTTGCAACGCAGCTCAAAATTCTGATTCAACCGAACCTGCTTATTTTGAATCTGCAAACTCGAGCTTGGAAGGATCAATGCCCGAGTCGATCTTAAAGCTGTCACCCATCGATCCAAGCATGCTAGCTACGTCGGATCTAGCTATAGTAACTCATCTATGTTGGACATCAAACCCGCCACGAAGTCGTCGGAGAAGAAGTCCACCGGATCGGGCAATGAGTCGCCCAAAGGGAATTGTGTTGTGTCTCGAAGACCTGGTCCGGAATCCTCCGACAAGCTGGAGCCAGGGGTCAAGGCTATGCCCCTGATTGATATGTTTTCATGATTTTCACTCGTGGAGTGACTGATGGCAACCGATCCCGGCCGTTGAGCTTGAGGGCTTTCGTGCAGGTCTTCCTGAGCTTTCTCAAACAAACGATAGGCGGCTGCCGCGCCCCAGTAGTTGTCGCGCAGCTCTGAGAGGACCATCATGCAGAGTTGAAATTTGTGGCTGCTCAAAGTCTTCAAGATCGGCGTGGTGGGCAGAGTCATTTCGACGAGATGGATTTGAATAGCGGGAAATAGCGCTGCAAGTCTACCTGTGAGAGTAAGCCAAAACTTTTGAAGAAAAGACGGCGGAACAAGCTCTGGGAGGCGTACGAGAGAGGTTTCAGCCACTTTACCTGGTCTAGGTCGACAAGTCTCTCGAGGGTCACGTTGATTTGGGCTGCAGCAGCTTTGACTTTGGTCCTAGAAAGCGCCTGAAGCGCCTGAGCGTTGGGTTGGCGAGACCGGTAAGACTCTTGCTGTATATAAGGCCTGTAGAGTGCAATTATTGAAGCCCTGTAGACACAGTATCAGTATTGCAGAGGCGGTCGAGATCGGACGCTCACTCTCGGAACATTTTAAGGTCGTATGCGTGGAAGGCGACGATATCGTCGGTAACGCCACCAACAGTACCACTCGTATCCCACCGGATGATCTCGCTCTCATATTTTTTGACAACCGGTAGACAGGGCAAAGTTCCTTGCAGATTGTAAAAGGTCTGGACTATGTCCCCTAACGTCTTACTCAACCTCACAAAAGTTACCCATAGCGTCGCAAGCGCCTTTTGGTCAGGGGAGAAGTATTTCTCGGTCAGTGGGGTGGGAAGGTCGTGGATCTCCTTGTATACGTCCTCGGCTTCTGGAAACGGTGTATCACAGAAATCAAGGTGGATTCTCATCGGCCATCCATGGCTTAAAGACAGCCAGCGGTCGCACACAAAGCAGCTCCACCAAATTCGCCGAAATAGGCGGATCTGATCTCGCTGGAAACGGATGTCTGGGGTCCTCGCATCGAGGTCACGGTGTAGACCCATAGTCTGGCACAAAGTGATGGCAGTGCCTGTCCATTGCCAGGCATGCCATGCCGTGGCACGATCCTGAGTATCAGTGTAGAAGAAAGCCAGAAGTAGCGCCGATTGGACAACTTTCACTTTGTCTTTCTCGAGGTTGCTGTCGAAAATATACTGCAGATGAATAGTTCTCAGCAGTCATATGCCTGCAGAGCAAGGGTTCGCGGTTATACCTTGGCCCGTCTGTACAATGTCGACTTCATATCCTTTCGTGATGCATAGCCTGCTCTTTTGACTGTTTGGGCGTCGACAAACTTTTGGGAAGTCAGCTCATTAAACAGGGAGATCAGCTTGATTGCCTACACTTGCGACTGCGAAAAACATGCTCCATAGGAGCAGTAAGGTACAACTTTTGTGCCTATGGCCGTTGAAGTCTTCGAAGAACTGATTCGTATTGACAACAGGGATGAAGGGGTGAACGAGCTGGAAATATCGCGAGACCAGCTCTTGGCAGATGCTTTCTGTGGGAAGCGACAAGCAGCCCTTTTTCCTGAGAAATTCGAGATCTTCTGGATCTTGGATTTCCTCAGGAACAGGGCTAACGACTTGGTTGCGTGATAATGCTTCCTGACCATTGCAGGAGAGATCTAACAGGAGACCGTTTATGGCTTGCTGATCGCCAGCGACTGTCAATGCTTTGGCTGCAGCAGGGGACCGCGAACTCACCTACATAGAGGAGGCCTCGACTATCACACCGCTTCAGCTCGGTGCTCTCAGTCTCTAGGGATGTGTCCCGTGGAGATTCTGGGTCCGTTTCTGCCGAAATGCATGGCACAGTCACGCCTGGATATGTAGGAGATGACTCCGTATCCGTAGAAGAAACAGTTGCAGGTGCTGCAGCGGCGAGCAGTGAAAGTCCATTCTCCGCACTCGATTGCTCATTCCTATGATAGACAGCTTTCTTCCTCCTTACTCTGTGACGAATGAAATAGTTAGTCATGGATGACCTTGTGGGATGAGCATGTGCAGATCTGACCCAACTTTCTTGCGTGGCAATACAGTGCAAATCGCCCCATCATATTGACAGTTGGCACAGGGCGGTCCAGACGTAACAAAACTGCACCGCACTTTTCGCAGACGACAATTCTGGCACGCCACGCTGGATCTCGGTTGCGGAGTCCGCATTCTTCACCCTTGTGATATCGACGCCAACAGTCTGTCAGTGATTCTGCTAGAGGGAGCAAAGATTGATTGTGCATGCGAATGCTGCGGGTGAAGTCTTCACGTAGCATATTAGTCTTCAGAAGTTCGAGAGCCTAGCTCTGCGGTGCTACTACAAGGCTCGCTACGACAATCAATTACAAACTCGGTAAGATGCCGTAGCTGGGGACTTTTGACTGAGGCTAGCAAGTGGCTTGTCCTTCCCCAATGCTATGACCGCCGCACCTCTCTCGCTGTCTTTGGAGCGAAGCCAGCCTTCCGCTGGACTTGCATGAGGGTAGGTGGCACATTCCTGGAGTAGTGACCGTGCAGGAGGCGTCACGCATCATAAACCCACATACTGGAGCATGATATCAATAAAGAGAAAACTGTCGAGTCTCTCTCTCATTGCATCCTTTCTCACTTATATTTCTCTTCCTAGATGATGCGCAAGCTGCAAGACCTCAACATCAGCAATGGCTCTCAATATGTTAGCACCTTTGTTTATGTTCCCGCTCATATTCCAGGCTTTGATGAGGTTCGTGGGAGTCTAATACAAACACGGATTTAGGAATCTAGCCGAGAGTTTGGCCAAGCAATCTGGAAACCAGTTAGCAGGAGGCTACTGCGTCGGGGAACGTGAGATGTCCTAAGCTGAAATACCCAAACTCGAAGATGGAGGGCACAGAGCAATGACTTCGTGTTCCTTATCGTCCGAGAGACCGAGAGACCTTGCCTGAACGGGAGGGGGACTCTGCGCTCGGTTGATATCTTTGAAGTCTAGTCTTTATTAAGAGTCCCTAGCCTCGATGGCGTTTCGAGCCTGTGGTTTCCACTGAGCTCACCAACCGTCAGTCGGTAAGACGCCTCGCTTCCGAGGACGACGTCTGCCAAGGTCCAAGCGTACGGTCTCACTCATGGAATCAATTACTCCGAACACCACATCGGCCGCTGGCTATATGAATGTCATCTCATACCTTCGGTGTCAGGCTCGGCCAGACCAAGACGCGACGAGTAGGCGCGGCAATACCACCGAGTCTCTGGGAATTTTAGTGTCAGTCTCGTACATGGCACAATATAGAGCGCTTTCGGCTGAAGACCAGAGCTGATTGGTTGCTGAAGTCCTGTCTGATATGTCTTCCAGGTTCCGTCGGTAACATGCCGCTGTCCCTGCAAAACGGGGGTATGTGGTCAAGCAAATAAAGGGGAGAACCAGATCATCGACGTTCAGGATGAAACAACCATAGTTTCTTTTTGTCCTCCCTCCCTGGCCTCTTACCAAAGCTTCGAACCCATCATCCCACGAAGACATCACATTCTTGCAACCCGAAGATGACTCTCACCAGCGTTGATTACGGCACCGGCCTGATGGCCAACTGGGCCAACATCGACCCCAGCTACCTGGTGAAATACCAGCAATGGCTCAACTGCGAGCACATGCCCGAGCGGGTGTCGATCCCGGGGTTTCTCCAAGGCCGGCGCTACCGGCTCATGGACAACACGCTGCATTTCCTGGCCTTTTACGAGACCGAGACGACCAGCGTGCTGGGCTCGGCCGCGTACCTGCAGCGACTCAACTCCCCGACACCGTGGACGCTCGAGGCGCTCGGCGCCTTCCAGGGCAACCCTGTGCGCAACATCTACACCCGGATCGCCGACGCCGGCAGGCCAGGCCTGTTCACGGCACCCTATGTCATCTCGGTGCGCTTCAATCTGCCCGAGGGCCGCGAGGCCGTCTACGTTGCGCGGTGGGTGAAAGAAACGGCCCAACATGATAGGGTGGACCGGGTCAGGCTCTACAAACAGGACTCTGCTATCGGCAACATCCAAACCTCTGAACGAAAAATCTACGGCGCCGGACCCGGGGAACAGCTCTATCTCCTCCTTATCGAGTGTTCAAAACCACCTGGAAGCTTGGGCGAGCTGTTCCAGGCTTGGGATGCGCCGCTTGGCCCAGAGGCTCAGCGCAACAATGAATTGATCGGTGCGTATTGGTTAGAAATGGCCCACGCGGCGTGGAACAAGTAGCACCGAGCGGCAGAGGACATTTTATTTCTCGCAGAGCAGCATCTCCTCCGTCTAGTTTTGGAAGTTACAATAAAGTCTTCAGATCCTGCGCTCAACATTTGTCCAATGGTCCGAAGTGGACTTTTCTTCCTCAAAAGTCTTGTTGCAGATAGATGCACGATGCGAAGAGAGCTCGAAATTGTAGCTTTGCTTTGAGGCCACTAGCAAAGACGATGGTGAAATACCTTTGTACGGAATTGAGATTACCCCCAGCTCATATAGGCCAATGTAACTACCTGATTTCGTTTTTCTCTTTTCCCATCGGAATCAAAGCCAGCCTCAGGACCGACCAATTCGGGCTCAATTTTGTTCCGGTCTTCTTGGCTTGGAACATAAATCCCAATCAAAACAAGCAGAAAACCCGCCTTTTATCTCTCACACGCGACACTCCTGCCCCATTCCGCTAGCTGCTCCAATTGCCTCCAGGATCTTCGACTGTACCCATCAAGTTCTGTTTTGCGACGCAGGCGCTTTCTCAATGTCTTGGTTGGCGGTGCGTGGCGCGGCGTGGAGGACGTTTTCGATCGTGTTCTCTCCAACGACATGTTTCAGATCGTCATCGCGGGCAACATCCAGATGCGCCGCGCGCTTTTCCGGGCCGATCAACAGGAAAAAGACGTCGAAGACGATGGCGCAGGCGGTGAAGATACAGATGACTTTGCCGTAATCGTAACGCGGGACGCCATTCGACGTGTTGGGAAGCGGGAAGCGCTCGCCGAGGGTGGCTTCAATGGTCGAGCTTGCGCTCGACACCAGGCTCCCGAGTTGGTAGGTCGTGCCCACGACGAAGGTGCGGACGGACCCCGGCGACAGCTCGCTCAGATAGATGGGGACAATGCCGAAGATGCCGAGGATAAAGAATTGGCCGAAGAAGGCTGGGGCGATGATGGCCGTGCCGTTGGTAAAGGTGTACGGGTACAACAAAGCGCCGCCGATGATCGACCCGACGATCATGCTGAGGCGCCGGCCGAATATCTGCGAGGCGTATCCGAAGACAATAAAGCCCGCAATGGCGCCCAGGCTGGCGACAACCTGGGTGACCGTCACCGCGTCGGCGGAGAACTCTTTTTGAGCTTTCAGCATCGTCGGGTAGAGATCCTGGTTCCCGTGGGTTTGGAACTCCAGACCCCCAAGCAGGAAGACCAGGTAGACTAGCAGCAGCCAGTGGCGCCGGAGTCCGATCTGGGTCTCCCGAAGGAAAGTCTTGGTGGCGCTGTCGGAGGACTCACGAATGGCTCGGCGGTTGAGGAAAGCCTGCGTCTCCGGCAGGTAGAGGCGAAAGATGATGAACAAGATCGGAGGACAGGCGCTGAACCAGTACAGTGGGCGCCAGCCATGCGAAGTCGTGTCAACCAGCCCTCGTGCGAATACCGTGACGAGGATGAAGCCGAATGTGTAACCTGCCTGGAGAAGTCCAGAAACGACACCGCGCGCTTCAGAGGGGCAGTCTTCCAAGGAGGTGACGACGGCGTTTCCGTATATGCCCCCCATAGCCACCCCGAAGAGAGCACGGCAGGCGAGGAACTGGCGGTAGTTCTGGCAGAAGCCGGTGCCCAGTTGAATGATGACAAAAAGGACGTTGTTGACGATGAACAGCCACTTGCGCCCATATCTATCGGCGGCAAGCCCAAAGCCAATCGAACCCACAGACCGGAGCATGAGCGTAATGGTCAGCCCCCACGTGATGTCGGCCACGCTTTTATCAAAGGCAATGGCCAGCTCAGTGGTGGTCATACCGACCGTGAAGAAATCCAAGGCTGCCCAAGACCAGCTGCATTCGGCGCACTGCGAGACAGTCAATGATGTGAGCATAAATGACTCCACATGAGATCTTGGAGACGCACCGCAAAGAAAAGCCAGTCCCGACGTGTAAGCAAACCAAGGACTTTGAAAGGGTTTGGCGGGATTGTCATTGGCGGCTTGAGGGTCGACAGGCGAGTTGCAATGTAGCGGCGGGGGGCTCATGTCGAGATCAGACTCGTATTGAGAATGAGCCGCATCTTCAATGTGGCTGGTTATGCGCTGCTCAGCGCAATCAACAGACTTGGCCATGGTCAGAAAGATCTCACAGATGAACGAAGAGCAAACACTGGACAACACGGCGTTGAGTTGAGAAGAGCACGGCTGAGATCGCGAGTTGATGCTTAGCAGATGCTTGATCTCAAGTACTAATGTTCGTCAACTTCTCCCACAGATACACTACCTGCATCTTCTCGTTTGTAGACTGACTCTGTATTAACGGCCAAAGACCGAGGGCCATCTATCCACAATCACGAGTACTCACAGTGCAATGTACGCTAAGTCTCCCCGTTTGTGTTCTGGTGGGACGGTAGGGCGAACGCACGCGGGAAGCCTGGGGCAGAGCGAGAGTCTGGGGCGGACATGGGCATCCATTGACAGGCAATCCGGTTGGCGAGGTCCTCGGCTAGGGAGGTGTCCCTGCATAGAATGTTCATGGAAGTTATTCTCGGTATTGGCCCGCGTGCTTAGCGTCTTTTCTTCCCCTTTGAGTCGGTGACATACCGACGGTTGTGCGACGTCCTGCGGGGCCCCGCAAATATCGCTCGACATCAAGTTCGTACAAGTCTCTTGATGTTCGAACATGTACAGAAGCAGCCATGCTGTCGAGTATAAGGCGTTGAGGTTTTCGTGCCGGTGGGATTGTCAACTCTGGCCAGAATATTATCGATCTCGTTCAAGTAGCTGCAACACCAGTCTTTGTCCACATACAAGCAGAACAAAACAGACCCGAGAGAGGAATCCGCAGAGATGGCCCAGCAAACACAACCCAAGCCAAACAAAGGCGAGTTCCTCGAGTTCCAGAGTCTTCCTGACATCATCAAGACGGAAGAGGAATGTGAAGAATTGCTCTCCCGCCCGCCGGCATGGCTCCCGGCGCTTCTCGAAGGTGTGGAAGGAGACATCATGTTCCTCGGGGTCGGCGGCAAGGTTGGTCCCACGATTGCCCGCATGGCCAAGCGTGCGGTGCCGTCCAGGCGAATCATCGGGGTGGCCCGGTTCTCGGAGAAAGGGCTCAAGGAACGGCTTGAGAGCTGGGGAATTGAGACCATCACGGCCGATCTGTTGGACCCGGCCTCGATTGCCAGCCTCCCGAATTGCCCCAACATTGTGTACATGGCAGGCAAGAAATTCGGCACCGGCGACGACGCGAGCTTCACTTGGGCCATGAACACGCACGTCCCCGCGCTGGTCGCCGAGCGGTTCAAGGGCTCGCGCCTGGTGGGCTTCTCGTCCATCTGCGTCTACCCTTTCGTCTCGGTCTACGGCGGCGGGTGGGACGAGCAGGGACACGCCGGCGGCGACGAGGAGACGGCCGAGTCCGGACCCGTCGGCGAATACCCGTCGAGCTGTGTCGGGCGCGAGCGGATATTCACCTATTTCTCCAAGAAATACGGCACCCCGGGCCGGCAGATGCGGCTCAACTACGCCATCGACATGCGCTACGGCGCGCTGTACGACATTGCAACCATGGTTCGGAGGGGAGCTCCCGTGCCCATCAAGACGGCTTATGTCTCTGTCATCTGGCAGGGGGATAGCAATGCACAGATCCTCGGGGCGCTGGCACATACGACCTCGCCGACTAGCGCCTTGAACATTGGCGGTCCCGAATACACCAGCGTCCGCATGCTGGCGCACGAGTTCGGGCGCCGGTTCGGCATCGAGCCAAAGTTCGAGGGTGAAGAGTCCCCGTACGGCTACCACAACCACAGTCTCGCGGCGCAGCGCCTGTATGGATACCCGGTCGTGCCACTGGCTCGGATGATCGACTGGGTTGCCAGCTGGGTTCAGCGGGATATGCCTTCGTCGAACAAGCCAACCCATTTCGATGAGCGCGCTGGAAATTACTAAACCCGTGTGGATAAGGGCCGTGTTACACGATATAGCCCAATGCCCTTGTCGCTAAGGCTGATAAATAAAATACTATACGAAATGGGTTTTCTATCACGGAGTAACAGAATTTCTATGTCGGGCTGTGCTGTTTCAACAATATGTCTGTCTGTAGCCCAGGCGGATTCTACTCAAGCCTCCAGTATGAGCACATTGAAAGCTTAGATACCTCCGTCTGCGAGAACGGAATAGACTCCTTCTGCTATCCGCAAGGTACGAGGTACATCAGAGGGGACCATGTTAATTTCCGCTCCATATGTCATGATAGGGGCTAACAGTGAGCATTTCAATCCGATAGAATTCTATTGCGGGGGGTTTCAGGTGGTCTGACGGTTAGCCAATTAGACCGTATGCCCCAAGTGGCGAGAGGTGGCTCCAACAGATTTCTTTCAAGTAGCTGGGTTACACCATAGTCAAAGTGCTCGACCAGCCGTGGGCTGAATAAGGCTCCTCGCCCTCTCGAACTTATCAGACACTGTCCACCCTATGGACAATGATTGCGGTGGCTCCGCCTCCGCCATTACAAAGAGCAGCCAGGCCATAGTCACCAATGCGCAGTTGATGCAGTAATGTGGTCAGGATCCTTGCACCTGAGCTTCCCAGGGCGTGTCCGAGGGCAATTGCGCCTCCCAGAACGTTGAGCTTTGCGTCTTGTAGACCGAGGATCTGATGTGGAACTGGTCTTAGCATCATCCGCAGGAGCCGTGGGTTGTGGATTGTGTAGACGGGGCTTACCTGCTCATTTGCCTTCACGACGGCAGCAAACGCCTCGTTGATCTCCCAGATTGCGATGTCACTTACTTGCAATTGGGCCCTTTCCAGTGCCAGCAAGATCGCCTTCGCGGGGGCCACTGGATACTCGACTGGGTCGAGCGCAGCGTCCGCAGAGCTGACGATTCTTGCGAGGACCCGACTCCCTCGGCCAAACATTTGTGCTATCGCCTTGCTTCCAAGCACCACCGCACTTGCACCGTCGCTCATGAGAGAGGAGTTGGCAGCTGTTACTGATCCACCGGGGACGAAAGCAGACTTTAGGGTCGGCACTTTGTCTTTCTTCAGGTTGTTATAACCTTCATCCTCTGTGACGACCATGTTGCCTCCCTTATTGCTTACCGTCACAGGAGCAATCTCGTCTTCGAACTTGCCGGCCTTCCATGCTGCCTGGGCCCTTTCAAAGCTCCGTATTGCATACGCATCCTGGTCTTCCCTACTGATACCATATTTCTCAGCAGCCTTTTCGGCACACACACCCATATGGATTTGGTTGTATTTGTCTAGTAAGCCGTCCTCAACGAGGCCATCCTGTATCTTTACGTCTCCATATTTGGGCATCTGCGACGCCCTGGGATGGTAGTAAGGAACGCTGGACATGCTCTCCATACCGCCAGCGACTTGAGCTTCAGCCAGCCCTAGCTGAATGCTCTGTGCCGCCAGAACCACGGCCTTGAGCCCGGAGGAGCAGACCTTGTTCACCGTGATGGATTCTGTACTGGAGCTAAGGCCTGCCAACAGGGTGGCTTGTCGCGCTGGTGCCTGGCCAACTCCCGCTTGAAGAACATTGCCGAAATATACACCGGTGATCTTGTGAGGGGGCACGTTGGACTTGCTAACTGCCGCCCTGATGGCGACGGCACCTAGATTGGGAGCAGAGACCGTGGAAAGAGCTCCCATAAACTACGAAGAAACTTAGTTTCGTGAGCACAACGACAGTGGAAAGACAACTTCACACTCACCTTTCCCGTTGGCGTCCGCGCGGCGCTCAATATGTAGACGTCTTGTATCTCCTTGTCTCTGGGGCTTTGGTCACTGAGCTGACCGTGGATCTGGGCGAGTCGCTCGGAGCTCGACGCAGGAGAAGCAGAAGAGCCCCCCATGATACGGTAAAGGAAAGGTACTTGGTGGGAGCGATTCAAGAGGTGACTCAAAAGGCGGCCGTTATCCTAGGGGTCTACAACTCTTCCAACCGCAGAAAACCTGACAACGTGAGCAAGTGATATCGGAAATCAAGAAACCGGATGTACTTGATCACAAAGGCTCAGTATACTCACCTGATCCGGTAACCTCAGCCACAAAGCAGGCCAACGAGCCATGACGAGCAATGGGCCCGATTCGGCCTCTACCGAATGCATCGGGATCCCTCCGGCGGTAATTACAGCTTACGTTACCTGCGGCACCAGAAGGACTACCCATTGCGACTTGGACACGCCGAGGGGGCGGATCTCGGATGGAACTAGCATATTTCAGAGCCCGTCACTAAGTGAAGTCCACGGAATAGAATATGCGGTGGACCATCCGGGAAGTTGGAAATGCCGAGGAGGTCTTCTGGCCAAGGAAATGAAGATGAGCCACGCGAGAGAGAAGCGCGAGACGGGACACATGGAGCAGGAGCGGTAATGATGAGACGATTCAAGCACGTTCGAGTTCATGGCATGTTCGCGAACGAAGGGTTTGCCGAACGCAATAGTCTCATGGACGATAGATCCACCAGATGATATTCTAGACGACTTAATTAGCTCAAGGGCCCTACACGTCTCAACATTCCTCGGCAGATACTACCGGACAGGTAGTCTAGACCCTGAACGCTAGAGGTTAGAAGGGCGCCATCTGGGCTCCTTCTTCTGAGCAAACGCATCCAACCCAATCTGGGCATTCTCGCCTTTGTATAGAGCCCGGGCGAACCGGTCCTGCGCCACTCGATTCGCCTGTTCGACGCTGACTTGCTGCCAGGCCTCTCGGATAGCGAACCTCGACACAATGATAGCATCGGGGGAAAAGCTTGCCACGCGCTCAGCCAGCTCGACGGCTTCTTGCACGAGTGAATGTTGGGTCTGTGAAATCTTGTTGACGAGGTTCAATCGGAGAGCTTCTTCTGCTGACAGTTTTCGACCCGTCAAGGCGATTTCCGAGGCGACCTGAAGTCCACATAGGCGCATGAGCCGTGGCAGCCCCCCAGCGTTCGCAGCAAGTCCACGAGCAGCTTCTGGTAACCCGAATACTGCTGTCGGAGACGCGACTACCATGTCACTAAAACATGCCAATTAGCGAATCGCTGATCACATTGGCGCCCATACTGGCGTCCTGATGCTTTACCAGTTCAAGACAATCTCGAAGCCGCCCCCGAGTGCATAACCATTCACTGCTGCAATAATTGGTTTCTTGCGATGTGTTGCGAGGCTGATTCCAGCAAATCCACCAGGCGGGTACCTCTGCACTGCCTTGTGTGGTGCTCCTGGCCCGCCTTGGTCCGGCATGTTGAGTTTGCCTTGCTCTATCAGGTCGGCGCCGGCGCAGAAGGATTTTGTGCCTGCACCTGTGATGATGGCGACGCGAAGGGAGGGTTCCTGATCGTACCAGTCGAAGATGGACTCGGCCTGCCAGTGGGCGGTGGTGTCGACGGAATTCATAGCCCGTTCGCGATTGATGGTGACCAGGAGGACGAAAGGGGCGGGATAGGATATGATGAATGAGGGGGAGGGCGGAGGACTAGTCGTGGTGGCGTTCGCCATGATGATTCTCGGACACGACTTTGAGAGGTCAATAGAGCACAGATCCGACGAAATTCGTAGGAAGAGTAAAGACAGAAACAACTCTTTGATATGAAAGACGGTTCTCCGCCCTGTGTCGGATTCTTCCCGACGGGAGCCCAATCTCCCAGAACCAACCTTCCAATCATGGCGGCTCACATGGTCGTTAATCCATAACGTGAGTCTCATGTGGGTTTGTATGTAGCTGTTTATGTTGGGAAAATGCAAATACCTGGACTTCGGCCGATTATTTCAACCCATGGTTCAATATAGTCTGCAGCCGGGGCTTTACTTAAAACACGAGGTATTGTCTTTTGCCACACCGTGTGTTGGAATTCGGGTCATGGATACGAAGTGTTTCGACGCAGAAGGTGAAAAGTGGTAGCTTCCACTTTCGAGCAGATGAAAGACCACTACAATACCAAGTATTGTATGTGGTCGTGTTATTAGATAGAGACAATAGAATAGACAAAGACTAAAAGGGTTAGGGCAGCTTTGGGAGTGGATCTCTCGAGACGCAGAGTGTCAGCCAAAGGGCAAGTAAAGCGGCAATCCTCTGGGTACTGAAAGGAGCACGGAAGATGGTAGGCATCCAGCCGTGCTAGGTTTCACTATGCCTCGCGAGAAATGCAGAGACTATAGAAGCCATTGTCTGCTCCTGACGAGTAGAAATTGAAGTCTTCCAAATTTTCTTCGTCGGGATCACTAAGAGTAACCTAGGGTACAAAGGATGGTTGATCCAGCCTTCATCAACACCGCTAGAAAATGCAACCCAGCCAGTGCGTAGATGATCCTCGTCAGAAAGCCAGGAAAGTATTTGTTTGAGTGGGATATTCTCCTTCTCAGCAGGCATTCTGATATTTGAAACACCGTGTGAAAAGAAGAGGCTTTTGATCGAGTCGAGTTGGGTATGTCAGTGTATGGTTGAAGGTCCATGGGGTCTTTCGTTCGTGTTTGAATTTCTGTTGTCGAACACAGCATCATTTTCTCCATCAATGGTGCGCACCACCATTCTTGCATTTGACCAAAATGTTGCTCAGCAGTTTTCATAGTGTTGTCCTCCTTGCCGACGGCGTCTCGGCTTCAAAAGGTGAGTAGAAATCACCCAAGCCAACCTCTGCTTCCTCATCGTACAGCAGTGTGTAATCCCGAGCCCCACTCCTCATTCACATCGTCAGAGAAGTCTACACCTACCTCTCCACGGTCTTATTGAGCAGCAATTCAAGCGCCATCACCCCAGATACCCACGACGCCCATTGCAAACCCAACTCCGGCAATCCAACTTCGGACCTTCTGCACTTTGCGCTCCCGGATCATCTCCGTCTCGACCTTCTCGCCGTTCACTTGGTGTTCGTCACTGCTGTCCGATTCCACTTCGATATATCCGCTCTCATCGCTCGCCGAAGGACTTGCAACCCGCGAGGCCTTCACCTGTCCACTCTGTCCGCGGCGACTTGATCGGCTACCGATACCCCAGGACGGGAACCGTGAGAAGCCATTAAACCAGTACTCGACACCTTGTCCCCCAATGAAGCTTACAAGCGCAGTCCAAAGGAGGTATGGGTGGCGGCCTCGCGGGCTTGCGAGGGTGTATGCAGTGATCAGAGATAGAGAGGAGATCGACGCGAGAGTGAGGATCTGCCGCGTGGATTGGGTCTGGATTGTGGCAAGGGTGCGGGCTGCCAGAGATGCGGAGGGGAGAAGGGCGAGGGAGGGTAGAGTTATGGATTGGAGAGTGTAGGACGTTCCCTGTCACCAAGCTGTCAGTCGAGGTTGCCTAGGCAGAGAAGCATGAGAGCTGGACCAACGCACCGTCAACAGACCAAGGGATATGGTCCCCACGAACTTGGTGATGCTTATCGGGCAGGGCATCGCTGCGGCTCTGTTGCTGTAAGATGGTTGTATTCAGGATCGGAGAGTCGAAGGTGGCAAGCTACTTGGAGCAGTCGAAGATCTCCGGCGGGTGCGTCAATGGCGGGGTCAGACCACCGGTAATCTGTCTTCCGAGCTGAATAGTTTGGGTATTCGACTACGAGGAACAGTTGGAGAGAAGAGACGCAGAAGGAACAGCGGGTGGAAATGGACTTGAAGCAAGGAACAATCTGGAATGATGGAAAGGTGGACAGACCAAACGACGTTGTCGCGAAGCTGCGGTGCCTGCGTCGGCCGCCCGCCACTTGGACGGCCACCCAAACCCTCGAGAACCGCCTTACGTAATGCCGGCTATGAAGTTCAAGTCCAACGTCAAGCTCTCCCTCCCATCTATTACATCCTACTCCTGCTTGACCTTTCCTGTTTTCCCTTTCAGTAGCTTCCAATGGGTAATATCTACCTAGGTATTTGAGTTTGTCCATCCCCCTATTGTGGCAGTCATAGCAATAAGCTCTACGATGATCATATGGGAGAAAGGGTCATCCGTCCAAGAATTGCAGAACGTTGGACCTTGAATGCGTCAGTTTGACTTGGAGTTAGTTGGCGGCGCTGTGAACATTGAAGCAGCCTCAAAATCCCAGTCTGAGCCAAACTGCGACTTTATATGAGTCCATCCCAGCAAAAAGGCCCGTCATGAACCTTCTCATAACGAGGCTCCAGGAGACAACAATACAATGTACCAGCCCAGTGTTTTCCACGTCGTCCCCATTTCCCCCACGAGGCGGAAAAAGGCCTCTTCCCAAAGACGATGCTCATGACCACCTCTTGAAGTGTCGGCAGCCGGCATCCCGGAGCTCTATATTATACACCACCGTCTCTCGGTCTCGGGCCATCATTTACAGCTTCGATCCCGCCTTTTTCCTCATGCCGCCCACCCCGGTGACCTCTGCTCCGCTCAAAATGAAGTCTGGATAGTTAAAGTCTCCTCCAGGTGATCCGGCAGAGGTGTGCCACGCGCCACCGTCAACAACCAATGTGTCTCCCGTGACATAGTTCGCCGCGTCGCTGAACAGATAGACCGTCGCGTCTGCAATTTCCTTGATCGTGCCCCATCGTCCCAACGGGATTCTTTTCCCGGCCGTTTGTCCCGTCGGATCATCCCCCCTCTTGTGCTTTTGGGACAGTCGGTCCATTCCCTCGGTGCCTGCGATTGGACCGGGGGCAATGATGTTACTGGTGATGCCGAGGGGACCGTATTCTATCGCCACGTTTGCGGACAGGGCATCGACACCGGCTTTGGCAACAGCGACATGGGTCTGCATGGGAAGACCCGTGTAGTGGATGGTGGCGGACACGTAGATGATCCGGCCGCCCGGTCCTGAAGATTCGGCCTTTGGTAGGGAGGACGACGAATTGTGTTTTTTGGCCGACGCGACGAGGTGCGGGAGGCAGAGTTTGGTGATGTTATAGGAGCCCAGAATGTCAATGTCCATGACGGTTTTGAAGGCGTTGGTGGAGAGTTGGGAGAGCGGAGCCAGGAAGTTGCCCGCTGCGCCAGCACTTTTTTTTCGGCACGCACCAATTGTCAGCAACACCATTCGATCGAGATAGCTCCGCAGGCATGTAGAAGCGGGGAATTCTGGAGTGATTGCAAGGCCCCCTTACATTAGAAAATCAATGCCCCCCAACACCTTGACGCACTCATCCACGGCCTTCTCCAAGCTCTTGACATCTCGGACGTCGATCCCGCCGATTCCCAAGACTTTACTTCCCGCGCGTGCCGTCTCCAGATCTTTGGCCACGGAGACTGTCTTCTCCGCGTTGCGCCCGACGATGCAGGCGTTGGCGCCCAGGTGGACGAGCGCACGCACCTGCGCGGAACAGATCGATCCGTTCCCGCCGGTGCAGAAGACGACTTTGTCACGGAAGAGGTCGGGCTGCCATACGGAGGAGAGGTATGCCTGCTTTGGGAGCGGCATCTTGGGTTATGTGTGCGGAGGGGAGACAGGGGAAGAAGTCGATTCCTGCTCTGGGCGGTTATCTAGGGCGTGAAAGGACGGGAGAGGGCGGATCGTAGTCTTGTTGGGATTGACGTGCAAATCGGGCGGTGTACACGGCACTTAATCTGACAACGAAAGATCAGGAGTGAAGTTGAGGGCTGGGTTGCGTGTGAGGACGTGCTTTTGTAGTCTATGCCCTCGTATACCGGGGACAATAATGTACACTCAACGGCCGAAGTATGTGGTTCATTGGCAAACAACGGCCGTAAACGGACCCCGAATTCATAGCTGCGGGATTCCACTAGGGCGGAACCGACGAGGCTCGGCGCGGGGAGCTTGGGAGTACCGAGGCTGCAAGGCTGGGCCCGTGATTACTATTCTAGTATCGATTGAGCACACAAGGCTGACATTGGTTTAGAAGTAATAATACTGTCGGTCAGTCGCTGCTCCTGGCCAAACGATTGATGTGGCCCATCTCAATGACCTGTGGTCTGCTGAGATGCATGTCCATCGTGGCATCGGTTAGCCCACCCTAGCAGATCTCAGTCCTCAAGTTCCCAATAGTCTAGGTTTACCTGCTGCAACACGTCTCGCAGCTCCTCATTCAGACCTAGCCATCTCCCAGTCGAACGTGCCGGATGACTGTCGCTGCCCGCTTCGTGCAAATTGCAGTCGCTAAGTCTGGCGCCGCGCCTCCCAGCAAGTCCCTAACTGTTTTGCCAATTGTCCAGTGCGGCTGCGTCTGCAACAACCCACTGCGGCTGAGGTATTGGAGTCTGTGGTGTGCCTGTGGCTGGTCCTGCGCCGCCCGATCCTGTCATGCCAGGATTGACGTGATTGGTTTCGCCGTTAGCCATGCCATAGGCTTCGTTGAGGACGCCCGCGGCCTCTTCGCCATAGACAACATCTTCCGACCCATCGGCCATACGCAACGCTGCCAGGCCCCATCCAATGGCATCCAGTTCTCGTTGAAAGAAGTCACGTTCGTCATCATCAATGTCGTCAAGTCGAACTTCATTTTCCTCAACATCGCCCTCCACCTTTGGCTCCGAGCCTTTCTTCCCTTTCCTTGTGACGTCGGGATACCTCCTTTTCTGCCACCAGAAGGTCAGCCCTCGGAGCGCCCATTCGAGCGGCACTGCTTCGTCGACCTCCCCTTCCACGTTTGCGTCATGCATTCCTGCCAACCAGTCATCTCTAAGTTCTGGCCTGCAGTGCAAGTAAATTGCTGTGATGACACGCATGTTGCTTTGCCGCCATTTTCGACCACAATAGGGAACTTGTGATTTGAATAGCTTGAGCACATATAGGCGGAGGGTTGGGTCCGGAACACGTAGAACCCGGCGCAGGATTTGTGAAGACTTGAACTGAACAAGGAATAAGATGCGGTGAGACTTCCCGCGTGTCAGCTTCTGCAGGACTCGAAGCAGATGGATGGAGGTTTGGAATTGCCGGAACGAATAGGTGGTGATCGGGCTTGTTGGAAGAGGACCAAGCGGGTTGCCAAGCTCATCGACTGAGGGACGGGCGTTGGCATCGGGATTTTGTTGCGGCTGTTGTGATGGATTGTTCTGGTCGATAGTGGGTTGGACCTCGGATCGCGTTGTCGGGGACCTTCTGTGCCGCGAAATAGGTGGCGGAATGGCCTCGTCCCCATCCCCATCCGATGCTTCTGATCGTTCGTCCGGGCTTGTGGGGGACAAGGGTGGATGGTCTGAGTGAATATGGCAATAGTGCCACACGCTCAGATCATCTCGGTCGTACCTGAAAGCCACGAGGTCCTCCAGATTCTGATGCGCAAAGTATTTTAGAGTGAGCTGCACGTAGTTAGAGTCCAGGAGGAGCTGGTTCATGTACTCGAACTTCAGGATGTGAGAGACCTTGAACCACTTCAACAAAAGGAACAAGGCGCCAGAGACTGCTTGTTGACTGATCTCTCGGGAGCGGACATTATCCAAGTCTTCCAGGGTCATTTCGTTCGGACGAGGCGGCGGTGGCGGCATGGGCAACGTCTGGTTCTGGACCATGTTAGAGTTCGACTTGGTGCGATTCAGACCCCCAGTTTGCGTTGGTTCTTGGGTGCCACCATTGCGAACAGCAATATCTTGTACATTGGTAAGCATCACTTTCATCATCACAATGACCAAAGATTGCAGATCCGGCAGAGCATGGTGGAAGAAATCGTCCACTGCAAACATACGAGAACGCAAGTCAGGATCCTCAAGGCTCTCGAGCTCCCTCTCTTCCTCGCTTCTTTCGTCGTCATCTTCTTTCGCTTCATCCTTGATGTCTCCTTTCCACCCCCTTTCATACTTCATGAACAAATCTCGCTCTCTCCAAAGCTGGCGCATTGCTCGTGTCATCCTCATACGACTGGCGAACAGCTCTCCCGCTTCGATAATAGAGAGAGGAACATCGCTGCCTTCCCACTTCTTCCCCACCATCATGTCCTGAACTCTCGTCGAACCTTTTCCACCAATACTGTCACTGGTACTATCTAGTGGTGGGTAGAGGAACGGGAAGTTCTGGTTGGTCTGATAGTTCTGTTTCTTACCAGCCTTTCCACCAGGACCAATTGGTGATGGGGGCGGTGAAGGGGCCGGAGTAGCGATGTGGACGGGTTGGTGAAGAATCGAGCCCCGAGTTGCCGCGCCACTCACACTACCCCCTATAGACCCAGGAATGTCACTCCGAGACTGGTTTGACAATGGAGGCAGCATAGTCTTCTGCTCAATTTCCAAGGGTATTATGGGTGGCGGGGGGTTATACGCCGGGTATTTGGAGGTGATCTCCTGTCGAAAAAGGTGATAATCCAACGGAGATGCCGTAAGAACAGGGTGGGAGGCTTCTGCAGAGAATGGATCCACGCGCGGTTGCAATACGCTTTTGACTTTTTCCAGATGGCCCGAGACGTTCCCAAACAACAGTAGGATCGACTTCCAGAACAATTGCAATGCATGCATAAGGGGTATATTGTAAAGTTCATCCCATCGTAAACGTGAAATCATGCCGACAAGAAAGACTAGTAGGTTGGGTTGTAAGGCCGAGAGCGAACGTCGTAAGGCCTGGCCAGCGGCAGTCTCAATTCGAACCCTTGAGGACTCGATCAAAATATAGAAGCAAGAAAGGCATAAACTGAGCTCCCGGTACTCGTTTTCGCCAAAGGCTCCCTCTGTTATCTCTTCACCGTCGGCGACTTGTGGAGAATGGCTCAGGTCTGGTGCCTTTGACGCATGAATTAGGCAACCATAAAGATGAGGAATAACCGAGCACTGCTCCATTAAATCCGCTCCGTTGTGCATCCACTGAACCTGAATGACATGGCATCGATCATCTTCGGAATGTGGGAGATCTTCTTCGTCAGTGACGGCCTCTTTCGGCTCAAGTCCGGATGTGGTGCTCCAAGTACCCATCAAGACATAGTAGATGCAGCACAGAGCCTCGTCGCGCAGACTGTAATCTTCATCGTCCAGACCACTGACCAGGCCCGAGATGAATTTCCGTCGTTGATCTTGGCTAACACCGGTCCATTTTGAGTCGTCGGAAATGGACTCCGATTCACAAAAGATCTTCCACCTCTGTTCGAATGCCTCAAGAGAAGCTAGCAGATACTGCCGATCCTGTTCGAGTTCGGTGTAATGAAACCACTGGTCAATTTCGCGCTCAAAGTCCTCGGCATCCTGGTATTGAAAAGCGTAGGGAGTCTGTTCGACTTTGGGAAATTGTCCCACTAGTTGCCTCAATTGTGGAAGGCTCAGAGAATCTGTGGGATCTGTAGGTGCCGGGGGAGCTGGTGGTGGCTGTGAGGGAGGCGGAGGAGGAGCCGTCGTCGTGGAACCCTCGCGTCGTAGAATTGGGCGTTTAGGCTTCGCGTCTACTTCATCAACACTTATGTTATCCATGACCGCCGGCGCCGCCGGAAATGCACATTAAAATGCAGTTGGAAAGCTATACGAACAAAATACGCAAGGGCAAGATGGAATAGCGTCTCAAGAGGAACGGTTCGCTGGAGGTCGCGATCCGAGAAGATGCCAAGGCTTCGACTGGGTTAGCGTCTCGGCCTGAATGGGCGTCAAGTTGTTGCCGCCCTGACCAGACCACCCAAACTGCGTGACACAGAGCGAGCCGGTTTTAAAGCAGCATCGCAATTGAGGAACTGTCCCTCGCCTCGCCAACCTCATGCAGTGCTTATATCGACCTTTTTTACCTAGGTATGCATACGTGAGTACCAGCGCACTACCCTTGAAGTTTCCTCCTGGCTAGGGGGTTCCGGTATTGCTGCCCACCGAACGTTGCGTGCGGTGATCCTAGGTACCTAGGAACTATTGCATGATTGTTGAGACTGTTACATTTTTGGCCTTTTTCCAACCTACAAGATGATAGAGCAAGCTCCGTGCAACCGCAGGATTTCCATGCCGCTATACCTTTGGCCTCCCATCCTTCCACATAGACACGCACCGCACACAATCCAGCCGCTCCATTCCAGCACCATATTCCGGTGCGCCAAGTTCTTGCCCAGATAATGCCAAAGTCCCCCAATGCCAATCAACGGTGTATTGCCTTGCCCACTTTGGAGTCCATGCTTTCTGCCATTTCGCTGCTATTTGACACAAAGTTGAATGCCCTCAAGGGTATCTCCTTACCAATCCGGCTCACTTGGCCACGCTTGCCTCGACGCTCGCAGCCCGAGTGAGTCCACTTCGTAACTCTCGGAGATAACGCAGTCACACTCATCTTTGCGCCCCTCACTTGGCCTGTTCCGGCAGGTATGCACCCCCAGCAAGGACGAGATTCATGTTGGTGAACTTGACGCTGTAGACGGGGCTCTGCTTGGTGAGGAACGCGCTGATCTGGTCGCTGGTCACAACCGCGTCCTTACCACGTCTCTTGCCACCACTCTGGATCCCAGCGACGCCGCCCACACCACTGACGCCCGTGCCGCCCACGCTGGCACCCACGCCCGCCGCGCCCATCGACGTGCCCGACGTGAGGTTGAGATTCGACGTCGGAGCACTGGTGCCACCGCCGGCGGATTTGGGAGCTCCATCCTGCATCACACCACCTCCGGCCTGCGCAGCTGCTGCGCCATCACCAGCTTTATTGGTGGTCGCCCCTCCACCGATAGTACTGGTGGTGGTTGCTGCAGCTTCCTTTGCCGGTCCCGTAACGTCCCATGCCCGCACAGTGCAGTCTGCGCCGCCACTCACTAGAACCGTTGATTCAGCTGACCAACTGAGACTCCAGATCCCACCTTTGCCGTGGCCCCGCATTTTCTTAAGCAATCTTCCAGGCCCTAGATCCCAGAGCAGTATGACTCCGGTGTCGTCGGCTGATGCGAGGATCTTACCATTCCGAGAACAGGATAGTGCCGTGATAGACGACGTGTGGCCGGTGAACATCCTCACGGCATTCCCGTTATTCAAGCTCCACATTCTGACCGTCTTATCTGAGCTCGCCGTAAACACATAGCTCGAATTGGGATGCCAGGCTACCACGTCGACGTCGTCATCGTGGCCCGCCAAAAGACGCACTTGGCGAATGCGGTCGGTCAACCAAATTCTTGCTGTCTTGTCATGGCCGCAGGATGCGAAATAATGGCCAAAGGGTCCCCAGACAACTGACCAGACCGGCCCAACGTGGCCTTTGTAGACGACGATGCACTGAAAGACGTCGAGGTTCCAAAGGCGGATCGTGCTGTCCGCGGAGCACGAGAGTAGCCATTTGGAATCGGTGTCTGGAGAATCTGTGGTAGGCTTGTCGGTTGAGGGAGCAAAGGCGACGCTATACACAGGTCCAGCGTGGCCGATGAGGCGTTGGGAGTTTTGTTGTTGGCCATTCGGTGCTGGGGGACCAAGCGCGGACCCATCCATCGTCCAGACGCGTATGTACGACTCTGCGAAGCCCGCAGCAACCAGTCTCTGATCACCACTAAAGTCCATGCAACAGATCGAGTCGTGAGTATTGTGAAACGTGTACATTACCACGCTCAGTCCTGGCCCGATGCCACCAGTCCGAGTCTCGATCCTGAGCCGGTCGCGGTTTTCGCGAATCTTTTGTACCTCCATGGCCACGTCTCGCGCAGTAGATACTGGAAATGGAATCTCGGTTCGGTTGGGCCCCTCGTCTTCGTCTTCTTGCTTAATGTTGACCAACTCATGAGTTTGAACCAGTGTAGGCTGGCCTGGATGAGGGGGTATCTTCTGATCGAGCTCCTCGAGTTCGGCGCGAACGTCTCCTTCGGCGTCTTTTTCCATGGGCAATTTGCCAAGTTTGAGCGTCGCCAGATTGTTTCCGACATTCGGGTCTGTGGAAGAGACGGCGTTCCCGGGTTTGTGGCCTGGAATACCTTCGTCCTCGGCGGGCATATCTTGGCCGTCGATCCCTCGTTGGATCACAGACGCGAAACTGAAGCGATCGTCCGCCGCGCGCTCGACTTGTCGTAGGTCCAGGTTGTTTTCTACAATTGTCATGAAGAGCTTGTAGCCGGCTTGCGGGAGAGTCTCGAGAAATTGCATGAAGTAGACGTATGCAGGGTTGCTGAGGGATAAACGGTATTTGTTGTCGCGGTAAATCTTTGCAATCTTGTCTTCGCCATGTTCTGGTAGCGTGATGTGCTCAAGCCCTCGGAGATCGTATTCATGCTCCTTCTTGAAATCCTCGTGGAACTTCTGAAACAGCCGATTGGCTTCCTTCGGGTAGAATTGTTTGACTAGGTCAAGGTATGAGTAGACGAAGATAGGCCAGAGTAGGCGCTTGACTTCTGGTTTGTAGATATCCAGAGCGTCATCAGTCCATGCTTGTAATCGCACAAACATCTCATAATAGCGAGGAGGCCCAGAAGGCGTTGGCTTCAGCTCTGCATCTTTGGGGATTTCTTGATTTGCCGACTCTGCCCTAAGAGTGGCTTCGGTTCTGTGGTAGCCCTTCTTGGCTAAGTAGTCGATCACCTATACAAAGCCGTTAGCCATTGTTACCTGACCTCTTTATGAACTTGTGGACATGCATGAAAGGAATAAGCAGAATAATCCAGGCCCTCATCCTGCGCCTCAAGACGCTTCGACTCCTCATCTCTCTCGATATCCTCGACATAAGCGTAGGGGTAGTACGGGCTTACAGCTCCCGGTAGAGGCGCTGTAGTTTCAACATCTTCCCCCGGTAGCTTAGCCTTCTTGCACGATCTTCTGCGTCGTGGACGAGTCTGATCCATGCTAGGGGTAGATGAAGAGGTGGTTGAAAGTAAATATGCCGAGTGTCGATGAGGCTGGTGGCACAGACGGTAGAATATCCTTTGATGGGATGTTTGTGCACAGAGATTCTAGGAAGTGCGCGACACGCGACGTGGAGGGCAGTGCCACAACACCCTTCGCTTTCACGCTCTCCATGTGACCGTACATTCGCTTCACGTTTTCTTTGTTGTGAATTGCCATATTCGCCAAGCAATCCGAGTATCCAGATATGTCGACTGAAAATGGTGATCGCCCTCACCTCCTTCAAGAACAGGACAAGGAAAATGCTGACGGGGAGATCTGAGAAAAGGGATTGCTCACAATTTGGTTGAGATTCTGCTGCGACATGCCTCCACCAGAGGCACCTGTTGCGCTGGCGGTGGATGCTGGAGGCCCAGAGCCGGATGCACTGGCAACGCCATTGACCAGAGGAGCAGCGGTGGGAGTGACCAAGGGACCATTTGGTCCTGTGCTTGCGCTCCGTGGCGCTGGGCTGGGCGCCGACATCGTTATTTTGCACTCATGCAAAGGCGAGATTTCTCACGTACGACCGAGAGAGTCAGTCTGAGTAGGTTTAGATGAGGGTGACTGACAAGGGGAATGTGAAGTGCGATGCAAGAGGTGATATGAGAGTCTAGACAGTGATGCGGCCGTGATGCTGGTGAACGTTCGTGATTCTGGTATTGACGCCGAGACGCTTAGCCAGACTGAGATATCTCGGCTAACCTTCCGCTGAAGTGAATATGCATGCCCTGTCACAAAAGACTTCATTGTTGACAAGGACGTCTTTGAGATTCATCCCCGACCTCACCGTCATCACGCAGACCAATTGCGGCTTGGACAATGCACAGGCTACCGACACGTCACCCCAACTACCAGCGTCTCGACCGCAGAAATGGAGGTTGATCGGCCTGACGAGGGCAAAACCACCGCCTTTACGCCCGCCACCCGAATTGCAGAGTTGAACGAAATCGACCGATCTATTTCCACCCTTCTCTCCGCAGCCTCTGACGCCGTTGGCATTTTATCGAACTCGCCCACTACCGAAATACAAGAGGCGGCTTTACGTTCGTCGTCCAGCGCACGGGCAGCCTTTGCAACGGCCGCCGAGTCCTACTTTTCTACCCTCTCCTCGATCGAAGTCCGACTCCGACGCCAAGTTTACGCGTTAGAAGAGGCAGATCTCATACGGCCTGGAGATGACAGAGATGCAAGAAAAGGTCGCGCCATGGGGGGAGACAATAATTTGACCAGAGTGGGCGGCGGTCCTCTTGACCCTAGCTGGCTCAATGCCCGAGCAAGTGAGAGCGTTGAGGCGGGAATGAAGCAAGAACTTCTGGCTCAGGCGAAAGAGTTTGTGGAGAACGCAGAAAAGGAAGCGCAAAATGCTGATCAGGACCCGATCGTCAAGGAGGAAGCCAGCGGCTGAAGAGCCGGAAAACTAGACGTGGTTTTGATGGCACGGCCGATTTCGAGCTACGGTTGATTCTTCTCCTCCTGTACTCGCACATGCAGGGCGTCCGAGAGAGTCATTTGACTAAGCTTTTGACTTTGACAGCCCCTTGACACATACTGTGGTCGTGGGTGACACTCTCGGCACGATCAACATAAAGGATAGATACTGCAGTGCCTTTATTACTGAGACGGAGGCGGTGGTTTGGCTGCGAGCCGGGACACCGAGTCGAATTGAGGAGTCAAGTGTCGCTCCACCCATTTTCCAGTCAAACGTTCGACTAAATCATTTTGGCATCCAGAGCCTTGCTCGCACCCTATGATCAAAGAATCCGCACCATTGCGTCGCCGTCATTGAGGCCCGAGACCTTTGGCCACTCGCCGAGGGAGTAGACGTCCTCTATTCGAGGCTCTCATCGAGGCCGACTTGGGCGGAATATATGGCCCTAGAAAATGAAAACGGGACAACAGGTCTCGCTAGCGAAGCGTATCCAGCATCTTCGCGAAGATGTACTGAAGCAAGAACAATTATGTTCCAGTATGTACGCTTGTTTGCAGAGACAGAAGAACCAGATCTCGATGCGGGCGTTTAGCATCAACGAGGCCTGAGGCCCAGGCTGGATAGAACTCTACGAAGCATCCGCAGCATTTTCAGGAACCTGTGCATCTGACAGGAATATCTTTATCTCCTACTCTGGCTAATAATTCGCAATGGTTGGCTTGTTATTCTATCTATTTTTACTTATTAAGGCATGGAACGAGGTCTCCTCCCTGACAGCCCAACCCGCCGCAGATCCGTCCGTCATTTTTGTGAGACTACCGAATACTTGCTGCGTCTCCCAATGCTAATAGATAAAATCGCTCGTGTCAAGGCTGAGGAAGCCGCCCGATAGGCGGATGAAATGATGTCCGGGGAAGGGGAAGAGAAGAGGGAACTAGAAATGCTATTTTCTCATAACCCGTCACATGGTTCTTTGGGACTGGGTTGTTTTTTCTTTCCTGCCCGTCGCCTTTGTCTTTGCCCTGCCCTGTACGCCCTGTCCGGGGCTAGATATACCAAAGAGCGACCAAGATATTAGAGAGATGCCGATCGAAACCCCGATGCTACCTAGATACCCAACAATCAGATCTGAACATGGATTTTCACAACCATCCTGCCTGCCTGCCTGCCTGCCTGCCTGATATGATGTGTTCTGGTATAGATTCCCCCATTAAATGGCCATAGATTTCCCCAAAGATGGGCCACTTCAAAAAATCGCCACGGGCCTCATCGCCTGTAAAGCCAGGCAAACGGGAGCGCGGCCTGGCTCCGCAGCGCGACGAGATAATAAAGCGCGCCAAAGGCGGCGCCGCCGAGATGCGCGGCGTGGCCGACAATCGAGGTCCGGTCGTCGAGTCTCGCCGAGTCGAAAAGCGTGTACACCACCATGAGCGACCAGACGGGCACCGGAACGCCACCAAGTCCCAAACCCACCTTGGCCTTTGGGGTGGCCAACGACACGGCGGCGCCCAGACCCATGACCACGCCGGACAAGCCCAGCGCCCTGATTTCCCGTCCGCGGTAGTAGCCCGACTTTTCCCCGCGCTGCCGCTGTCTCTGGGACGTCTGGTAGAGAAACGCCAGATTGCCCGAGACGGCGGAGCCCAGCATCAGCATCCCGTAGCGCAGGGGCGCGATTCCGCACCGGAGCAACATCCTCGAAAACGTGGTGAAGGCGAACAAATTGCCGACGATGTGGTAGAGCTGGATGTGGCTGAAGGCCGGGGTGACTAGCGTCCACCATCTCCGCAGCTTCACGTCGTCGAGCTTGACGGTAAAGTGTTTGACCAAGGTGTTGAGCGTTCTCCTCTGCGTGGGGCTCGGCGGTTGCTTGCTGGGCTGCAGAATCCCCATGCTCCAATGCCACGCCGTCCAGATGCCGAGGCAGGTTACAAGACCTTTAAAAAAAGCGAGTCATGGAAATTAGAACGGTTCTTGGAAACAATTTTTTTCGATCTGAGCAAAGAGAGCTGATATCTCTCTCTCTCATGGGCCTCGCTAAAGCGCCGGGCACTTACAAGAATACATCATCACCTTGCTTCCCTGAAATCCTCGAAAAGGAAGCTCCGGCGGCCATGGACCCCTTCCATTTGTTGTTATGGTTCTGCGCACCCTCTCCAGGTTCGAGAGCGAGGCCGACGGCCAGCCGAAATCATTCAAGCCCATTGCCGAGGGGGGTTTTGAACTTGATACTCGGCTAGTTCTCAAAGTACCGGGACTGAATGCTCGGTCCAGGAGATGACCTGCGGCTCCAGAGCAAGGGAGTGAGGTCAGAGTTGAAGTTGGAAGTGGGACGCGAGCTGTCAAGGAGGCGCTCGGGACTTCTTCCTGATCGGGGATGCATCTCAGCCTTGCGCAGCCTTGCCATAAAGCGGCCCCGAATCCCCTCCGGTATGCTGCCACTGGGTGCCACCTACAGAATACTCGCTCGGTACTGCTGCAAGCGTCCACAGAGTTAGGGAGTGACACGTTAGACACTTAATGCGAATACGAACGGTTCTGCATTGCAGCTGGACACCTCCAGAGACAAGAACGAAATTGATATTGGCGCGATCCAACTACATATGTAAGATAAAGCTGTTCCCTTTGGTATGCGAAAGAACCCCAGTCAAGCCTACGCACTCAAGACCCTAAAGACCTATACTATTATCCCACCATGCCAGCTTTCCCCCGTCTTACAGGTTCCCATCATCAGGATAATCTCTCTCTCTCGCGCGCCTGAGGCTCCTTTCAGCATCGCTTCTTCGACCCGCTTCCACCGCGTCCACCTCCAGCCGGCTCCTATCATTCCTGCGACTCTACCGCTCGTGTCTCAATAAGCTACCTCTGCTCGCCACGCTGTTATGATGCGAATTCGCAAACAACCCAGGCGCGGGGCTTCCCTGCCGACTTCTCGTACCTCTGCCACTGTGTCCGTCCAGCCCTGGGCTGCCTGGCGGTTGCACACTGGACCCACGAGTCTGAATGCCGCGGTTTCGCCTCAAGTGGCGATTCTCCTCTTCCAGCTTTCGCAGAAGCGTGTCGCGCGACTTGCGTTCGAGTTCCATTTCGGCTATCTTGGCGAGATGTTGCTTGATGCTGTTCTGGTAGTTGGTCTCCTTCAGACGCCGCTTCTCGGTGCCAGCTTGCTGGCTCAGTTTTGCAACATCTCCTTCCAAGTCCGTTACCTGGTTTGCAAATTCTGCAGCTTTGTTCGATGCCTCCTGGTATTGAGTCCGGGTAAATTCAAAATCTTTGCGGGTGTTCTCGAGAGACCTTTCTAGCGCGGTATTCTTCGCAAGGAGGGTGCGAGCTTCTTCTCTCGCAGCCTCCACAGCAGCCGCGTCGCCACCTCCAGCCTTGATCTCTGCGCGTGCAGCAGCAAGTTCTTTCTGCAGCTCGGCATTCTTCTGCTTAAGAGCGAGATTGTCCTCTGCAAATTTTTCGTTTCTTGTTTTATTACTTTCAATGGTTTTCAAGATGTTCTTGTTTTGACGTTCCAGTTCGTGACATTTCGTCATTCGTTTCTCGTAACGGCGTTGCAGACCAGCATGGTCTTGTTTCCACTGCGCCAGCTGTTCGTGTGCATTCTCTCTATCCTGCTCTGCATTTTGTCGCCCCACCCTTTCCATTCCCAGCTCTGCCTCCAGCTTCTTGATCTGATCCTGAAGTTGTGCAACTTGGTAGGTCGTATCAATTTTGTTGCTCGCCTCGGCCGAATCTCGAAGAGGCGTGAGACGTTGTCGCTTTTGCAGCGCGGGGAGGAAACCGTCGACATCCAGCAAGCGCTTCTTGCCCGATGGAGTGCCGGAACGTGACAGGGGGGTCCTAGATCGAGCCAAAGCCTCCCTTGGCGTCTCAGCCCTGGTGGTCACCCCGCTGCGTTTCGCGGGCGTCTCCGCATACTCTGTCAACTGGAGCTCGGGCATTAGACTCAGGCTCCAGTTTTTATCAAAGTCTGGTGAGATAGCGGCCTGCAGAACTATACTGGCAAGCTTCGCAAGCTTCCGCTCAGGGCTCTTTCTAATGCCCCGCTGGAGGTCGGAAACATCCATGGGTCTGCCCTCTGGTTGATCTGTCGGACGTGGTAAATAGGTCGGCTTTCCCCCCAGATTTGGCCAAGCTTGATAAGTAGCTCGAACCAGCGCTTTCAGCTTCACAGTCGATGGCATGCTCCTTGGTAGACAGCGTTCGACGTGTTCGGACGAGTTTGCAACCAGTAGATGAAGTACAGGCAGGAGTGAAGGACGCTTTTCAGAAAAATGCGAGCGGATTCGTGCAACCTGAGGATCTTGAGAGTCGAAAGAAGAATCAAAGGCAATCATCAAGATAGGCCTGCTGTAGATGGCTACTTGATGCGTCGACCCGGTGCTCAGCAGTTCAACCTGGAAATCAGTAATAATCCGATCTGGGGTTGCTGACTTCGAACGAGCCATTCGGTCCTGGCGCTTCACTGCGACGTGCTTCATCTTAAGGTAACCCTCAAGCAGATCTTGTATTGGTCCTTCTCGAGCCATGATAATTATCGAGCACCCGATGTTCTTGAACAGTTCAACAAGATGTCCAAGAAAGGAGAATTTCGAGCCGGCATAGTTTGCATAAGCCGCATGTTCCTGCGATTCGTCAGGATACTGAGTAGGTATTCCAGGTAAGCCGAGATCCATGTGCGTGACAGTGTCGTGTAGACGCTGGACCAGTTCATTCATTTCGTTTCTTTCTTGGGTCCGAGCAGGAGACCCGTTTGAAGAACCCACGGATTCGTGTCTACTAAGAAACTTCTTGATGGACTTTTCCTTGTCTTTGATAATGTCCGAGTAGATTGACTGTATCTTGCCCTCGCAGGGAAGCGCCAACGCGTATTCTGCCGGGCCAAGAATAGGAAGGCTAGGGGGAACGAGTCCAGCCACTTGAGGCACATCCCGTTCGTTTTCGACAGATTGCTGACTCGAGCTTGCCTTGGAATCCGACGAGAACTGCTCCCCGTTGGATGTTTGTTCTTCTTCCTCTATGGAGTTTTGAATTGGCAGCGCACTAACATCAAAAAACGACATTTCGGCCGCTCCGCTAGGAACACTTCCCGGCTCAAGGGGTTGCATTCCCGGTAGGCCAACAATCGGGTCGACCGAGGGGTCCATTAGGTAAGAAAAGGAACTTAAGTCAAATCTTGATCTTGCAGCAAGAAGTGCTGCTGCCACAAAGGTAGGTCTATACGTGGGGTTGAAGAAACGCCGGGATTTCTCTGTGGATGGACTGCGTTCTTGCGGCAGAAAACCGGGCGAGTGAAACTCCGAGCTTCCTGGAACCAGAGTCGAAGATGAACCGGCAAAATTGACACTTGATTCTTCGGCGAAGGCGTTATCAGCAGCAGGCGGCTCAGAGGACGCTCGGTATTGTCTCCGTCGCGATGGAGATGCAGCACTAGTTGGTGCGTGCGGCTCTTCGGTCTGTCTAGCAGGAAGTCTTCGAGGCCGCGTTGAGTCGAGCGCTGGCCCACGCTGACGCTCTTGTTGCAAACCCTCCAACGGGGGAGTGGGGGTAATTAAGGAATAACTAGGTCTGCGGGAAGAGTGCTGCGATATAGGTGCGTGGAATTCGGTTGCTTGGTTGCTGTGCGATCGACTGGGGCTTCTGGTTGATTCTCGTTCTGGCTCTGAAATTGGATCTGGCGGAGTTGAGAACTCGGATTCCGGCCTTGAGCTTGTCTCTAGCTCTCCTTCCTGCTCTAATGCTATGACAGATTCTGGATCAGTTTCCGACCCTAAATCTGGAGGAGATGCTCGCTCTGATTCGGACCCAGAATCTGGTACTGGTGTTGGCTTTGGGTCTGGCTCCGACCCTAAATCTGGAGGAGATTCTCGCTCTGATTCAGACCCAGACTCTGGTCCTGGTGTTGGCTTTGGGTCTAGCTCCAAGTCTGTTTCCGATATTGACACAGGCCCGGGTTCGAACTCGAACTCACGCTCTTCTAGCTGTGGTTCCGGCGTTGATCCTGGCGGAGGTGATGGCTCCAAAGATCTATCAGAGCTAGCCTCTGAACAGTGCCCTCTTTGCGCTAATGTAATAGTGTCGACGGCGACTTTGCTTTGATCGCTTCTTGACGAAGGGGAAATAGAAGCCTCTGTGTTCGAAAGACTCCGAGTGACAATTCTTGCTTGTCCCCACTGGGACTGTGGTTCGCTTGACGAGTCCGCAAGCGAACAAGGCGCACTTGTTTGTCTTGGTGTCCGATTCTCGAGCTGTTTCCCGGCCGGACTAGTTGTCTGTCGCGGCGAGCGTCTGACTTCGTTGTTGCTTCCCACGATCGTTTCACTCTCGGCGTGCTCTCGACTCTCTGAGCCCTCCCTACTCTCTGCGATCTCCCTGCTCCTTGCGTTCTTTCCTGCCCAGTAGGCTTCGACCAGATCGGTTGTGACTCCGTCTCCCGATACCTGTTGCGTCCGGTTAGCAGGCCGCTACAAAACATGGTGCATATCACCTACCCAGGTTGGTTTATAGACCTCGCCAGTCTCGGGATGATCGACCCACTTCACGAGGTACCGCAAAGTATTTCTGGGGCCGCGGCGGTGGTTCACCACTTCGTCGACGGGCCAACTGTCCTTGCCTGCTTCTATGAATCTCTCGAAAGTGGCCGCCAGGTGTTCCCGCTCGTCGGGTTGAGGGTATCGCGTGCTGAATTGGGATTTCCGGCGTTTGCGAGAAGTCGATTTTCCTGTGATGGACTTGCGGACACGCTTCTTCATTATACTCGGTGGAGGTGGGAGCTTGCGCGGGAGGAATTCATAGTCAGGTCAATCACCATAGTGAGTTTGAGAGGGTAGGAAAATGGATGCGCATAGGATATAGTTGCATACAGATTGTTATGTAGTGTTTGGGAAATGGAACCAATGCTGCTCGCCGCGCTGGCGGCTGCGGTGGCGGCTGGCGGTGGGTGTCAAGTTGTGGGCAACTTAGCCGAGCGATATTCAAACTCTGTGTACGAGGTACTCGGCGATCGGTATATCAATTGTATCCAAAAGTCTATCAGCTGAGGAAGAGGGAGAAGAAGGGATGTGGTTTCTTCTTAAAGTAGAAGGTGCTGTCCATCGAAGGTCATGGGACTGAGACCCTGGCAGCCATCAAGTCCGAGTGTCTCTCCTCATCAAATGTCCGTCTGTATCTCCTCATCAAAGGTCTGTCTGTCTCTCCTCATCAAAGGTCTATATATCTATCTCTCCTCATGAACAATGAGCCCGTTGAAACATCTCCAAGTCTTTGTCCTCCGCCTGTTCTCGCCATTTGGCAAAGTCAAAGCCCAGCTCCTCTACTGTCCTCACCTCGATGCGAGCCTCTCCCCTCTCGACGTATGCGGCTTTGATGTCCGGGAATCTAGACCTCATCCAGACTTGTCTCTGGTCCCATGTCGTCCCCAGCTTCCCTACACCGCCATTCTCCAGGCCCGCCTTCTTGGTCGCCTGCAGTGCCCACGCATAGAGCTCATTGATCTGCGCCGCATCTTCGGGAAATTTCTTCACGTGAAAGTATTTGCCGTCTCCTTTCTGCTTGACCGTCTCCTGCTCCCAGTCTCGCATTTCTGCCGTTGAAGGCAAGGCAAGTCGACCACTCCACACCCGAGCCACCACAGCGGCCTGATTCTGGGACAGCGGGAAAGGAATCACCTTCAGATTGATCACTGGAAACGCCAGTGTTGGATGGTCGATGCTAAACAAATGCTGATATGTGCCTCTTGCTCGGAAGCCGTCCGTGACCAGCGGCGGCAATACGCTGGAGAGAAACGGGTATGAGTAGAAGTATCCGGTTGCAAACACAATCGCATCGATGTCCTTCTCAATCCGGCCACTCTTGAATCTCACTGCTCTGGACACCCCGTGCTCAGGTGACAGAAACTCGACGATTTCATCAACGTCTTCCCTATATCCTCCGCCTGGCAGGATCCCGAAAGCCGAAACTGATCTCGACGAAAGCAAAACGGGCTTCCGACAGGTCTTTCCGATTTGTGCGGCAATATCCAAGCCCGAAGCAGAGTTCCCAATCACAACGACCTTTTTACCCCTGAAATCTTCTGGTCTTCGATAAGCTTTGGAGTGGATGATAGCTCCCGGATATGCTGCATTCCACTCCGCAATCCCTTTGATCGCTGGGACATATGGTACGGTATAGTGCCCATTGGCCACCACCACTGCGTCATACACATTTCTGGTCACCTCTTTCGTGAGAAGGTCCTGCGCCGTCAGATCCCATCTTTCACGCCCAGTGTCGTCTCCTTTAACGGACCGCACATCTTTTACGGCTGTATTAAATCGGATCAACCCTCTAATTTCATCCGCATAGTCTTCCAAATACCTCAGCACAGCCTGGTGGCTAGGGAACAAGGGCTCTTCTTCCGGAAAAGGCTTATCAGCAAATGCCATGAGTTGTTTGGGGATGTTCGTTTCGAGATAGTCGTAGAGTGGCGATTCGAATTCCAAAGAGTTCGAGGGCACTGCCGAGTCACCCGTGGCATTGTCCCCATTTTCAGCGTGGTATTTTGGCTGGCCATATCGCGGGTCATTTTGCGGGATTGGAATCCGTCTCGATCGCTCCGGCAGAGACAAATTCCAGATGCCCCCGACGCGACCGCGCTGCTCGTAAATGTCAATTGTCGCAAACGCCTTTTCGGCAAGCAGATATTTCGCACACGAGACGCCCACAGGACCTGCTCCTATGATGGCGATTCGTGACACGGGAGGCCACGCCGGTCCAGTATCGCCCATTGCGTTGCGAAACGCGAACCTGTCTGTAATTATCTTTCTAGGGTGAGGATGTCAACAAAAATCGAGAAGAAAGATGATCCACCAAAAATTTAATATGTATTCGATCGGGTCTAAGCGGGCCGGTCTATCTCCGATACCCTTCTATAAGTAGATTATATATCACGCCATCGACAATGATATTTGATACACATCATCAGCCCGTGGGTGAGACAATGACTGCAATTCCACAACCGGCAGTCCCTGGGGGTCACTGCGGCGAAAGACAATCGGACTTCTCCACCGACTGGCCCCAATTGATCGTAATTACGCTACATGCCACAGCCTCGTCCGCAAACGCTTGATAAAATGTCCAGGTATTGAAACCACGAAAAGGGCAGGGGTAAGTGGATGGGGGCGCGAGGCGGGATGCGGGATGCGGGAATCCGAATACGAAACAAGCTTAAGGTTCCAGGTTGTTTCCACGTCCCCTTGACACACCCTCCGGCGAAAACATACGCCAAGTGAAAGAAAATCAACTGGAGACAGACCGCATTTCCCAGTTCTCGATTTAATTTATCGACATCCACAAGGTGCATCCACCAATCTCGAGAGCGAGCCAGAATGGCCCCTCGAGCGACGCGAAGGGCCACCGCCTCTGCTGCTCGCACGCGCTCATCGGCTGCAGAGGACGAAGGCGCGAAAAGCAAACCAGAGGTGCAAGAAGCAAATCCACATATCGAGCATGGTGAAGATGTCGACGATGGATCTTCCAAGAAGAAACCAGCGACTACAGAAGCCAAGGACAGACCTCAACCCACCACCCCCGCTCTGCTTCCGCCTAGTCTCAATCTGAGCTCCTCCACGTCCATCAAATTCACCGCGTTCACAGTCTCTAGTGGCAAATCAAGCAAAAAGGAAACTGCATGTCTGCGGAGTCACCGGGCGCCTCACTCCACGTCGCTTATCTTCACCCACGGCGCTGGAGGCGATTTGTCAGCTGCCGCCATGGTGAATTTCTCGCAAGGCTTCGCGGCGACGGGGTTGGGAGTGGTCATGTTTCAGGGTAACATGAACGTCCAGGCGAGGGCGGGTTTGTTCGGGCTCGTTAAGGAGTATGAGAGGGAGAATGGATCGCTCGCTGGGACCGATGACGACACGGGAACGAAGAGGAAGATGACCGAAGCTCGAGAAAATTCAGTGGCCTACGGCGGTAGAAGCATGGGCGCGCGCGCCGCCGTCATCGCATCACACATAGACCCCTCGGTGAAAGCACTTGTGCTCGCCTCGTACCCGCTCATCAGCCCAGCGGGAGACATACGGGACAAAATCCTCCTCGACATCTCGGCAGACGTGGACGTGCTTTTCATCTCCGGCGACAATGACAGCATGTGCCCGCTCGCGCGGTTACAGACTGTCCGCGACAAGATGAGGGCGCGGACGTGGAGAGTCGTCGTCAAGGGCGCGGACCACGGCATGAACATTCGCGGGGGCAAGAAGCTCAAGGACGGCACGGAGAGGTTGGGTAAAGAGTGTGGCCGCGTGGCGGCGAGATGGTTACGCGAGAGGGATGAAGATAAGCGCGAGATGACGATAAGCTGGGACGGCGAGAAGGGGAGACTGATTGGCGGCGGTGTCTGGATTGGTGAGGGGACAGGAACGACGACGCAAGGAAACGCACGGAAGGGTGCAAAGAAGGAGGAGGGTGATCATCCCGTGGATGAAGAAGGAGGGGATGATGAGGCTGAGCAGGTCGGCACAAAGAGGAGGAGGACGAAGAAATGACAGTCCGGCTGATGATGGGGGATTTTGGAGAAAGCAATTGGCGTGAAATACTGCTCATACGCTATGAACACGAACCAGCATTCAGAGTTTGGTATAACAGCTCACCAGAAGGCGGAAGTCACGCATGCTTCTGCAACGAATACTTATCCGCTTCGCAGGGTTGATAATGGGTTGCCTTATAATATGGCACTTTGGGATGTACTCTCCTCAAAGCCTGCATTGTGACGGGGAGACAATTAGGTATCTATCAACGAGATGTCTCCACTGTTCACTGCCTCTAAGAAGGTGTGCCGGGATTGGCGGGCCATCTAACTTTTATCCTCGTACTTGTAGTCGAGAGAAAGCGGCTAAGAAAGGTCCAGGAGGGTTTGGCACGAGAGAAGCATCACCGGTGGGAAGAACCGGGCCGGCGCCAATCCGTGACAAGCAATCTCCGCCCCGCCCCTGCCACGGCTGCCGTCTTCTGAAGGAAGCGCCTGGTGCAGTAGATGATATTACCAACTGACGGATTTCGCCACATATGTTATGATATTCCATTGTCCCCTAGATCGCTTTCTCGTCGCAAGCGCTGGGCTCCTCTGAGCTTTCACCCCAACGTACGGGCAAGTGAATAACTTGAACAACAGCATTGACACCTCTCTTCACCGTAGAGCGCAACAAGAGCCTGAAACCCCACGCGCCTTTTTCGCGATACCATGGGCAAGAGAGCCTCATCAACCACGTCGTCGACGGACTGGACACAGTTGCGTTTCGATACGACGCCTCTCGATCTGCGCACATTCCTCCAGGCGCATCGCGAGTCGCGTGTGCAGAGCCTTATCGCAGATGTCAGTGCGTTTGCCGTCATAGCGGTGGAGTACTGGGAGCCAGACTGTTACCAAGACCTGTTGAGATCAGCTCCCTGGTTGGGGGGCTTCATGGTTGAAAATGGGGATCTTAATCCAGCCTGCCGCGCTCTAGCCGTCATGCCAAACTTGTGCACTCGGCTCCTGCTTCGGCTGGACGTAACATTGGCGAACTGTCTGATCACCCACAGGCTTTCAAGAATTTGCTCGGAGAAAACAGTCCTTGCCCACACATTGATATTGACATTGAACCTTCCGACCTGGTGGAGCCACTCATGGCTGTGATGCGCTATACTCGCTCTTCCGCACTCGGTCCTCTATGGCGTGAGATGCTGCACGACTACTCTGGATTCGTATGCAAGACCTCGACTTACCAGATATTCTCTACAAAGGTCGCAGAATTCTGCCTTGAGGCTGGATGCCCTGCTGTTACGCGCAGCCCTTCAGAAGACATCTACTCACTCAGAAACCATTTGTTTTCCACCGACTTGGCAGCTCGGGAAGCCGAGTTGCGCAAGGAGATCGAGGAGCTACGAAGCGCGAACCGCTCACAGCAGCGAATAATCACGAATCTGGCCTTTCGCCATCTCCTGGAGATGCTGCCCCCCCGGGATGCGAAACCAGGGCCGAGTGCGACGGCGGCGTGGAATGCTTTCTTCCAACACGCGTTGAAGGAGGCTCAGATGCAGCTCGACCGAGGCGAGAAGGGCCACCCACTGATTCCCGTATGAAAAAGTACCCGAAATTGAAGCAGATCGAAAACGTGGGCACCAACCTCTACAGCACTCTCAGCACCAACATCCACCACTTTTCGGGGCAGTACAAGGTCCTCGATGATCAATGGAATGCGCTTGAGGTCGATATATTGAGGGCGATGGCGCCTCTGGCTGAAAACGAGACGGAAGCAGGGATCGACTGGAAGACGGAAAGATTTCGCTACGGAGGCGGTACTTCGCATGAATAGGCAATAAATGCTTTTAGATGTGAGGCTGTAAGGGCACCCTCTCGAGATCAAGTCGCTGAATGCAAGGAACCCCGGTCCAAGTCATGGTGCACAGAGCAATTCGGAGGGCTTTCATTGCGTCAAGTGGACTGGTGCTCCCACGCACATGTCCCGCCGACCCAGCACCCGTCCTCTTCCAGCAGCACGTTGATCTGCGAAGGGTAGCCCATCGCTCGTCCCTGATAAACCACCGCCTCCTGCCCAACGCCGAGCACTCCATTTGCCGCAAGAGCATAGGACAACGCCGCTGCCGCGATCCCCGTGGCCGCGTCCTCGGGATATCCCGAAGCCTTGGGGAACTGCCGGGCCTCGACCTGGACAAGCTGGCCGCCGCTGGCACTGTTGGTGCTCCCTGGCTGCACGATCGCATAGGGATACAAGCCCGTAGACCCCAACTTTTCGCAAAGATCCCTGACGCGCGAAAAATCAGGCCGCAGACTGTTCAGCACGTCTGCACTGCGCAGCGCAACCGTCGTCTTCACGCGGCTCGTGCAAGCGTTCCGGACCGGGCGCGGCGTCGTCTGCTGCAGCTGTGCCTCGGTGATGCCCAGCACGGAGAGAACTTCCGCGACCAGTTCCCCGTCCACGACGTCCTCGACCGTGCCTTTGGGCTGCGACACAAACACCTTGACCTTCTGCGCGGCGAGCCCGTCCCCTCGCTCCACTCGGCGCACGGTGCGCACGGGCCCGGACTTGGTTGTGAACCTGAGCTCCGGCTTCTGCGAGACGCCCAGCTCGTGCATGGCCCAGGCTGTGCCCACGGTTGCGTGGCCGCACATCTCCATCTCGTGCTCCGGCACAAAGAACCTTAGCTGGAAATCCACGTCCGAACCATCCTCTGGTGACGGCGGGGGTGGTGGCAGCACGAACGCGCTTTCCCGCTCGTGCTTCCGCGCGAGGCCGCGCATGTCCTCGTCCGTCAGACCTTCGGCACGGAGAACAATGGGCGCGAGGTTCCCGCCTCCGGTATCCGACGTGAAAACGTTGACAAGGTGGATTGCATCGTCTCGGCTTGTGTCGGGCATGGTTCGAACCGGGTGTGAGAGGGGTTGGGTAAACGTGCAGGAGACAGGACGTAAGGATGCGTTGGAAGGGCAAATCGCCTCTTTTTTTTTTTACGAAGGTATTATCTGACTTTGAAACATCAAATCAGTCTTTGCGCATGGGCAATTCAAATCTAGCTCGAACACACGCTTATAACATCTGTCGACGATTATGTACTCGGTCCCACACATTTCGACGCCACGTTACCTTTATTGTTTCTTCTCGCAACCTCATATCCCCGATTAAATCGCCCCATCATCCGCCCTGTGATTGCTGTGGAGTTCCCCAGACCTGCATGCAATTGGCCCGCGCCTATTCAAAACTTGCGCCAGGACTCTGCGCGCGCTCGACAGGATCCTTCTCTGCTACTATATTAAGGCCTAATGAGCCCGCCCGGTCCAACGGAGAGAAGTTCCGTCTGTTTTGCTGAAAAGGCAAAGTGGTCCTAATCCTGCCTTATGGTACAAAGGGTGGAAGAGACATAAGGAACATTCCGTGCGTTTTCTTTTTTGGCGGAATTTCGGAATACAAAACAAAGGACGACGCTGGCTCGCCAGCCGTCGACCTCTAGTCAGCATGGTCTGGCATTGCGTGCATCGGGATAGTTGTATACCGGGTACATATATATTATGACCCCAGGGGAAAGGAAATCCCAAGCATCCCGCAAACTTATCCCCCGCATTCCACATTTTCTTTTTCCCCCTCCTTTTTTGCGACGCGGTGAGCAGCAGGACATGGATAGTCTTCATTTTTTGGGGGGCCGTCGGAACATTACGAGAGTCCCTTTGTTCTGTCATCTTTTGTTGATCTATACTCATTGATTTCGAGCTGTGAGGACGGTAGCAGTTCCGCAACTAGTCGCAGCTCGAATTGCAGCGCAATACTTGCTGTCAGCGTCTTACCCGCGGTACTTTGTCTGACCGACATAGCCTTGGAGATAGAGGCATTGACGCCCTCCTCTTTCATCGATGTCTTGTGTCCGTGTTGGCGAGGGAGGCAACTCGGAAGTCTCCGCGAATGGTAAGGGAGTCGCCTCGTGGTGCGAATTCACCGTAGAAGACTTGATATACTCAGGCCGGTCGAGGAGGCTGTTCTCGTTCCATTTAAGCGTGAAAACTTCTATACCAATCTCACCTAACCGTAAGGAAGACAGAAGAAAAGGGACGGGGCCCTAAGTTGAGCAAGAACTGTCGTTTTCCAATAGAAGCTACATCATCATCATCTTCTTCTCTCCTTTTGACAAGTTCGAAAGAAAAAGATCCTCGACAGCATGACACCCAGCAACGGGACAGATCCCCTCCCCCCATTCCCCGACTCGATCCCCACGATCCCGATTGCCAAAATCTCGCACCATCTCCTCCTCGCCCAGGACAAGGAGGAGATCTCCAAGACACTAAAGGCATGCCAAACGGACGGGTTCTTCTACCTTGACCTGACGACCACCGAGTCCGGCAGACATCTCATCGAGATGAGTGCAGAGTGTTTGGCGCTGGCGAAACGGGCCTTCGCGCTGCCGCAGGAAGAAAAGACGGCGTTCGCGAACGAAAAGGGCACGTCGATCTTTGGGTACAAACCCATGGGGTCGGTCAAGAAAACGGATCTCAGTGCCGTACCGGACTCGACTGAGTTTTTCAATGTAGGTTTGTTTATTATTTTTTTGTTTCGTGTCTTCTAAGAGAAAGTCGGAAGCCCTGGTGGAGTTGTATCATCATTTATTGGAACGGGGTCCCCTTTGTCGACTGACACTGACTTGTGCCGTCGTCTTGTAGATCGCAAAGGACCACATCCACGGCATCACCGAGCCACGGTCCTATCCGAGGCAGATAATAGAGGGCAACCCGATTCTGGCGGATTTCACGACGAGCGCGCATGCCTGTGGCATGGTGGTTCTCCAGACGCTTGCCAATGCGTTAGGGGTGGACTCCGACCTGTTCACTTCCATTTGCAACTTCAAGCACCCGTCAGGCGACCACGTGCGTCTGACCAGGACCGTTCCAGTCCCAGCGGATGACAGCCGGAGGCGCATAGGGCTCTCGTCCCACACAGACTTCGGCGCTGTGACGATCCTGTTCAACTGGCTGGGCGGGCTGCAGATTCAGAGCAGGGCGAAAGAGACCGAGGGCGATTGGCTGTATGTCAAGCCCCTGGCCGGCCACGCCATTATCAATCTGGGCGACTGCATGGTCAAGTTCACCAATGGGGCCGTCAAGTCGGCCAAGCATCGCGTGGTTCCATCACCCGGACAGCAAGCCGCCGTGGATCGGTACAGTATTGTATACTTTGTCCGGCCGTGTGACGACGTGCTTATGACGCCGCTGAGGGGCTTCGAGGCGGACGAGGTCGTCAAGGTGGCTGGTAAATTTGGCGACGACAGGCTTTACACGGCTGGGGAGTGGAACCATGCGAGATTGACGCAGATGGGGGCGTAGATATAGTGTCAAACTTACCGGAACGAGAATTGAGAACGTTACGAGCACTGGAGAAGTATTATTCTGACAATATCAAAGACTCCAAAGGCTCTCTCTGGACATGATGATTCCGATGGTCCTGAGATGCTTTGGACTGAATGGATATGCTTATGTGTAACCCATTCTTTTCATTTGACAGCATTGCCTCCAGGTACCAACAGGGCCAGACATGGAGCAGCGTTGACTTGGTTAGTCGCGGAGTGCGTAGCACGTACCGAGTGTCAAACGTAGGTGATAGCTTGGGTGTGTAGCTGCGATGGGCATAGGACCATGCTGAGCTTGTCCAGTACGTCCGTGATAAAAGAGGGACTCATATCGACCTGACAGTGATTTCTCTGTCATCACTTTAACCCATCCGGAGTGGACGCCCAGTCGTCGAAGCAGAGGATACTAATTTGATGAGCGTCAGTGACAGTGACTAGCGAGCTAGATACCTCCCGCTCGAATGTGAGACTATCAAAAACCTTGACGGACGGAAGAAATGGAGAGATCGAGATCGACCCGGGATTTGTCCGCCACGAACGGGCGACGACACTCCACGAGGCTTTCATTCTACCGGCGGTTCCCCAAAGGGAAAGGGGGTTCCCCGCACAAGTTGTTTTGCCGTATCTAGCATTGATACAAAGATATGTACTTCCCCCTCACTCAAAAGGTATTTTCTGCTTCTCGATCAGTTATTCTCGCCACCGATCAACCCCTCGTGAGATACATAGCTTTGAAAGTCCAACCCTCTACAGCGAAAATGCGTCTCAACTACGTCTCCGACCCTTCCTCCCTGGCGGACCCGAAGGAGAGGGAGATAGCGGAGCGGATAAAGGCCAGACGGCCCGGGAATCAGCTGTTGGATCTGGACCGGGCCTTGTTGATTGCGCCGCACATGGCGGATGGATGGTCAGTCAATTTTTGAGTTTCCGTCATGGCGAGAAGAAAAAAGGAGCATGAGAGGAGTGTTAGGCGATGTTGGCTCTGGCCGGAATACTAGGGAACATGAAAAGAGCAAAAGGAGAAAAGGGGGGAAATCAGCCCTGTCTAACCCTCATTCTCTCCCAGGAACTCCTTCCTCGGCACCGTCCGCAGCGAAAAGACAAACTCGCTTCCACCTAGCATCCGCCAAGTCGCCATCGCGCGCACGGTGGCCCTGAACCGGGGCTGGTTCGCCTGGCGCGCGCACCACGACCTCCTCCTCGCCTCCAGCGACACCAAGATCTCGACACCCGCAATCGACTACCTCCTATCTGCCGAGCCCAAATCGGCCCACGCCACCCCGCCCAGTGGAAGCGGGTTCACCGACAAACACATGGCGGTGATTGCCTACGTGGACTACATGACCAAGGATCTCATGGTGCCGGATGCCGTGTTTGAGAGGCTTCGCAGCCAGGGGTTTAGCGAGAGAGAGATTGTCGAGATCACCATGTGTAGCTGTGCGTATAATTGCACGACGAGGTTTTTGTGGGCGCTGAATGTCGGCGAGGGCATCGAGTATGGGCACATGGCGCCCTTACCGGCCGATCCGGCGCGGAGGGGGACTCTATAAGCGGGCGAGCGATGTCGTTTTCGCTGGTCAGGGGAGATTGGGGAATTTCAGCTATAGAGTGACAAGCTACAGCGTCCGGGGTGGTCGAGGGCGGCAGGCGCCAGTAGATACCTGAAGGCAGATGTTATTTCAGACAGCTTTGCCCCGAAATTTCTGGCAACGATGTTGGACTGCAAGCGTGGACAAAAAGAAAGGAGGCGAAAGAAAGTCAGTCTCATGAAGATGGGAGCGATTGAGCTTGAAATTGATGTTGATCGCTGGAACTAGCTACCTAGTAGAGACCCAGGGGTCAAGCTTCGAGATCGTTGCTCAGCACATCGGATACCCCATAGCTACATATGTAAGCACCTGAGCCGTGTTTGGTTGCACCGAGACGATACTAGTAGTTGTAGTACTCTGACACTGCAGTACTGGGAGCCACGTCTGGTGGCTTTGGGTGTAGCCCTGGAGGACTCAGCTCACTCCCGGGATTGGAGGTTCGCCGGAAGGCTTTGGGGGCGGATTTGGTTTCGGTTTTCCTCCTGTCCAGTTGTGAGTAATCTGACGGCATAGTAGAAGAACAGCCTTTGAAGCTTACCGGAAGACAACGTTTTGATATCGGGTGATGAAGTTGGTTGGGGAAAAAAACTTGAACTGTTGACTTTGAATATGTTTAAAATCGATAGTGTGTTGTTTCGGATGATGAGGGTTATGGTATGGAGAAGAGCAAAAGACCGAGAAGTAGCAGAGATCTGGAAATATTTATAACCCTGGAGGAAGGGGTACAATCGGTCGTCGTTGCCCATCACTTCAAGTGAAGTCGAAATCGACCATACTACCGAGCACTAGTACTGGTACATGACTGCGCAAATGTAGTACTGACTGACATCGAATTCGAATTGGTGATAAGGTATCGAGGATCTGTCCTCCCACAGCGTGATAGCACGAGCGGAGCATTGTGACATCGTGGCCGGTATGCTCAACCAAATGTCAACGTGAGGGTATCAAGGCCAACAGAACGAGGGGGAAGAACTGTGGACGCAAGTGACAGAGATTCAAAGGTCTGATATTGACAAAAGTGACGGCGGTCGGCGTGCATTGGTGTCAACAGCATCCGACACTCATGCAACCACAGCTCTGGGACACAGGCTCACCTTGACACCTTTACGTTGACAGAACTTCTCGAGCTGGACTGCATGGCTCCTTTCAATTGAATCGCTGCGAAGGTCTATGACTTGTTCTCGGAATGAGGGTCGAGAGATGAGAAGAAGGAAAGAACTGCCACTCGGCTGACCACGATATACTCCATAGCGCTCAACCCCATTTATCTAGCCAGATTGAGATTCAGTGCCCCATCTGGACTATGTCTGGCAAGGTCGCCATATGGACGAATAGAGTACACTTGCAAGAATATTCGGCATCGTCGAATCATGCGGTCGATGCGAGTATATGGCGACGACAGTATGAGTTCATAACTAGGATAAGAAGAAGTTACCAAATTATCCCGAAAACCTTTACATGTCAACACTCGGATAACCACGGGAAAGGGTGAAGACACATCCTTTCACCAACCACAACAGAAGAACAGGTTATAACTACCTAGGTAGACTATGTGTAGGTTCATGATGAGCAGCTGCACTGGATCGCCCTCTGGAACCTAGGCACATCACCACAGTACTTCTTCTCAATCTCCTCGTTCCAGCTCCACTCGTCCTCGAACGGAGCCAGTGTCATCTCCATAACTCCCTTGAGGATATCTCTTTCGTTCTTGTTCTGCACTCGGTCGATTATGTCATCCAGCAACCACCCTCTGGGCACAAAATTGGGATTGACGCTCTTCATAAGCTTCTCTCGCTGCTCATCCGCTGCCGAAGCCGTGGTCTCGTCCGAGATGTCCCAATCCTCAACCACCCGCTCACGCCACGACTCGAGCCACTTGCCCACCTTTTCGCGGCCAGAAGCGTTCGATTCGTTGAGACCGGTGACACCTTCCCGGTGGAAGAATCTCTCGGCTGTGGCTTCGCGCTTTTCTTTTGTGCTGACATCATCCACTTTCACCGAGGAGAGGCGGCGGAAGAAGTGGTTGAAGTCGAGCTCCAGCGCTTCCATCGTGTCGAGCAGTTCCGAGAACAGCTTCTCAAAGTCACTCTCCTTTTGAGTCTTCAAGCCCAGTCGCAGTGTCATCAGGCGGCGATACTCGCTCAGGAAGACAGCCTTGTATTCGTCAGAGATCTGGTCGATGATGGTCTCGGCGCGCTTGATCAGGACAGGTGCAAAGTCTTCATGCACCCCCTTTTCCACGAATTCTTCGTCATCAACCTTATCCCCAGCACCAATCAATTCGCCCAGGGATTCGCCCAGACGAACCAGGTTCCACCAGAAAATGCTCGGTTGAGCACGGTAACTGTATCTTAGCATATGGTCGTCATGGTTAGGTGTATACGCCGGATCAAAATTGTCCATAAACGCAAACGGACCATAATCAACTGATAGACCATAGATGGACGTGTTGTCGGTGTTGAGCACTCCATTCATGAACCCGTACGCCTGCATCATGCCCACGAGCTTGGCGTTTCTTCGAACAATTTCACGATAGACCCTGGTAAAGCGATTCTCTTCGGCGCCTTCTTTGCCTTGGATTTCGTCTTTGGAGACCCCTCTTGCCGGATCGAGATGGGCGTCTGGAGTGTCGGCTGGCAGAGCTGCCGGTAGCTTCTCCCACCCGCCAAAGACATCTTCAGCAACGTAGGTTGCCACCTTGCGGATCAAATCCCGGTCGCCTCTTGATCGCAAGAGGTCAAATGTGCCTAGTCTCAGCCATGATTGAGCAAAACGACAGACAATCGCGCCAGGTTCGAGGCGTTCTCGGACGACCTCGGACTTGGGGCATAGTGTCAGCGACAGAGCCCTAGTGGTGGGTATCCCAATGGAGTTGAGATATTCGGACACAATAAACTCTCTGATACTCGATCTCAAAACAGCCTTGCCGTCGGCAAAGCGTGAGTAGGGTGTCTTGCCTGCGCCCTTCAGTTGTAGCTCATAACGGACTTGGGTCTTTGGGTTGGTCGTCTCAAACAGCGAGATTGCCCGCCCATCACCCAGTTGACCAGCCCACGAGCCGAACTGAAAGCCGCCGTAGCACTGCGCCCAAGGATATACTCCACCCTTCTCTTCGTCCCAGTAAATTTTGTTGCCGGCGACAACCTCTTTAAATTCTTCGGATGACGCTTCACTTTCGGCGAGGCCAATGTCGCGCAGTGCGGCTTTGCTGACTGCCAGCAGTTCAGGTTCTTCGGTTGGCTCAGGTCTAACAAACGTGTACAGAGCCCCTCGAACCATGCGGGGGCCCAGTTTCTGTCGAGGGGCTTTGTGAGAGTCGATCGGCGTCGGAAATTGCGGGTCGGGAGGGAGTTTCGAGGTGAAAGTGTTTGATTTCGGTATATCTGCTATCGTTGCTGTAGCATCGGAATGGCCGTTGGACTGCGAGCCATTGATACGGCCATTGCCATTTGTATGGCCGTTCGAAACGTGCGAGGACATCTGGGCGAGTCTCATCCGCGAAACAGGAGCGGGGTTCTGATATGTTTGAGGCACTTTTGCAGGAGACAGACGAGAGATGCGTCTGAAAAGCATACAGAAGGCAAGGAGAAAGACGGTGAGGGCGAATATATTGAAGAGAACTTGGGGCGAGCGATCATTTGAAATATTCGTCTCTTCCCGCATCGTCATCTTGACGGCAAATTGAGCCATTGACAAATAATGCGCAGGGAGATTTTCTGATGTCATCCTTGGAGAAGTGTATTTCGGCGGAGCATAAGACGCCAAGTGCAATCCGGCGGATCATTTGGATCTTATTCCAATCAGGCTGAAAAGCTACTCCATCCCTCGAGGCGTGTACATCCTGTGTCGTCCCTACAGGTATATACTCCGTGCTTCGAGTCCAAACACTATGTTACCGTGGGAAACGCCATATACCAGTGAATCCAATAGTCCGTTGATTTGACGACCTTCCTAACTCCCAAAGCCATCAATACCCCTTACATGATCAATCATTCGTCTCTCGTCCCAAATGCGTCCCAAATGCGTCCCAAATGCGTCCCAAAAAATATTTCATCGTCACTCGTCATCCGCATCTCCCTTCGCAGCGTCGCTGTCATCATCAGCCTTGGCCTTGGCCTTGGATTTCCTCCTCCGATTCTTCTTCCCCCGTCCACCATTCACGGTGGCGACGGTTGACGTCTTGTCTTCAATGGCTTCAGGGTCAGGCGATGTTGGAGGAGACGAGAATGCTCCCATCTCTTCCTCCATCTTCTCCTTCTGAGCCCTGAGACTTGAAATCGCGTCTTCCTTGGACTTTAATTCAGCTTGAAGTGTTTCGAGCTCCTGAGCAGTTTGTCGCGACCGTTGCTTGAATTCTTCCTCCTGCGCCTCGAGATGCTTGGCGGCTTCTTCCTTCAACGTCTCCGACGATGTTTTCAGCGTTTCAATCTCTTCTTGCAAAGACGTAAGCGTAGACTCCGTGTCCTTTAGCCGCTCCTCGACTTCCTCCTTGCTGGTGGTCAATGCTTGTATAGCCTTCTCTTTGGCATCCAAATCTTCCGACCGCTTCCGAAGATCAATCACTTGAGCTTTGAGGGATTCGAGCTCGGTTTCGAGCTCTTTCAAGCGAGCATTCGAGTCATCCTCAGCCTTCTTGGCAGCTTCCAGGTTGGCCTCTGTCTCCTGGACCCGGGCTTCGAGTTCTGAGTTGGAGGTCAGAACAGCGCCTAATTCAGCCTCTTTCGATTCAAGCTCTTTCGACGACTGCTCAGCAATGTTGAGCTTCTCCTGCCTGGTTGAACCAAGTTCTGCCTGGATTTCCGTCAATTTATCTTTCACTGCTTGAAGCTCCTGCTCAGTGCGGGCCTTGTCGTCCTCGGCCTGTTTCAATTTACCCTCCAACTCGGCTTTGGCCGCTTCGGTTTCTGTGACCCGGTTCTCAGCTGCAGCTACGGCGCTTTCCGTATCTCCTAACTTTGACTCGAGAGATGCTTTAGCTTCTTCGGCGGCCTCGATTTCCTTCTTGATTTCTTCAAGCGCATCTTTGGCGCGTTGCTGTTCGCCTACAGCTGCGGCAAGCTTGACTTCAAGCTCTTGTCTTTCCTTGGCCGACTCCTCTCCAGCAGCGCTTTGGCTCACCTGCGCATCGGCCATTTTCTGCTCAAAATCACTGGTTAAGGCATCAGCGTCAGCCTGGGCTTTTGAGAGCGCTTCTTGAGTAGCTTTAAGGGCAACCTCTGCCTCAGCGAGCTTCTCGTCCATTTCGATCTTGGATTGGTCTGCATCTGCACGAACCTTTTCTAGCGATTCCTGAGCTTCTTGTTTGGAAGTCTCGGACGCGGCCAATTTTGTTTCGAGTTCCGCCACAGACGCTGCCGCCTCTTCCTTTGCCTTTTCAGAGGCTTGCTTGGTGGAGGCAAGTTCCTGTTGAAGTCCGTCTACGTTTGACGAATGCTCCTCTTGTAGTTTTCCCACCTCATCCTCGGCAGCCGCTTTGGCACTTTCGGCGTTCTCGAGCTTCTTCGCCAGCTCGATGTTGGTCTCTTGGATTGATTGCATCTGCGCTTCAAGAGCAGCGGCTTTCTCTTGGACAGTGTTATGTTCGACCTCGAGTTCATCAAGCTTTTTGACTTTCTCAACTAGCTCTTCGTTGCTCTCTTGAAGCGACTTCAGCTGCTCTTCCAAGGTAGCGACCTTTTCCTCTGCGGCGTGCTGAGCGGCCTCTGTTTCTTCAAGGTTCTGGCATTTCGTTGCCAACTCATCGTGAGAGTCCTGAAGTGTCTTCAACTGCTCTTCCAAGGCCGTAACTTTCTCTTCTGCAGCTTGTCGGCTGGCCTCCACTTCTTTGAGTTCGTCGCATTTGTTTGCCAGTTCTTCGTTGGACTCTTGGAGCGACTTCATCTCGGTTTCAATGGCGGTGCATTTCTCTTCGGCAGACTGTTGGCTGGCTTGTGCCTCTTCGAGCTCGGTAGAAAGCTTGGACTTCTCCGCTTCTAGACTCTCGAGTTTTTCCTCGAGCGCTTTCTTAGCAGCATCAGCAGTATCGAGCTCCTTGGTGAGTTGCTCGTTCTCTTCTCTCGTTGTTGCATGTGTCGAAATTTCTGATGCAAGGCTTTCTTTCAACGTCTCCATCTCGGCAAGGACAGATTTATGCATCTCTTCCACCTCGGCAGCACGCGCTTCTGCTTCCTTCTGCCTCTCTTCGGCCTCTGTCGCAGCATTCTTATGATGCTCCAAGTCTTGCAGCATGCTTGCGTGCTTCTCTTCAGCCTCCGCAGCGCGTGCTCCTGCGTCGGTCGCGGCAGCCTTATGTTGTTCAATCTCCTGGAGTGCGGAGGCATGCTTCTCTTCTGCTTCACGAACGCGACCCTCGGCGTCTTTCAATTTCTCTTCTGCCTCGGCTGCGGCCGTCTTGAGACCTTCCAATTCCTGCAGTACAGAGTTATGTTTCTGTTCCGCATCGATAGCACGCGATTCAGACTCAGCTGCGGCAGCCTTATGTTGTTCAAGCTCCTCGAGTGCCGAGGTGTGCTTTTCTTCTGCTTGGGCAGCACGTGCTTCTGCCTCGGTCACGACAGTTTTATGCTGTTCGAGCTCCGCGACAATGGCTGCATGTTTTTCTTCAGCCTCTGTGATTCGCGCTTCAGCTTCTTTCTGCTTTTCTTCTGCCTCCGTCACAACGGTCCTGTGCTGTTCCAGGTCCTTGAGCGCGGAGGCGTGTTTCTCTTCGGCCTCGAGGGCACGCGCCTCCGTTTCTTTGTGTCTTCCTTCGGCCTCCGTCACAGCAGCAACATGGCGGTCAATTTCCGTGAGAAGACTGGCAGAGCGTTCTTTTTCATTCTCATGATCCTCTTTGAGCTGGGCGTAACCTTCGAGCTCTGCCGTAAGTTGAGCGATCTGTGACTCGGCCGCACTCAAGGTATCTCTGGTTCCTTCAATCTCACGTTGCAGCTCCGCGAGCTTGGCTTGCGTGCTCTCCAACTCTTGCTTGGAAGACTCGTGGTCCGCTTTTAGCTGTTCATGGTCCTCAAGTCCAGCGGTCAAATTTTCAATCTTCGACTCGGCTTCTTCGAGATCTGTTTTGCAACTCTGGAGGACTTCCAGCTCCGCTGAAAGTTCTGCAACCTTAGCTTGAACGTCCTCAAGATTTTGCTTCGAAGATTCATGATCCGCTTTGAGCTGTTCATGATCTCCGAGCTCAGCAGAAAGTTGGCCAATCTTCGACTCGGCTTCTTCCAAAACTTTCTTGCAAGCGGCGAAGGCCTCAAGCTCCGTTGTCAGATCTGCAACCTTAGCGTTGGTGCTTTCGAGCTCTTGTGTCTGAGCCTCATGCTCCGCTTTCAGCTGGGCGTATTCTTCTAGTTCGGCGGAGAGCTGAGCTAGCTGTGCACCCGCACTTTCGCGTGCTACCTGCAACGTAGATATCTCTGCTGTCAAATCCACAACCTGGGCCCGAGACCCTTCGAGGTCTTGTTTGCAAGATTCGAATGCTTCAAGGTCGATCAGGAGCTGGGCAACCTTTTCTTCAAGGGCGGCCTTCGATGTCCGATGATCTTGAATGTCGTTCGTGAGGTCAGCAATTTGGTTTCGAGCCCCGGTGAGCTCGTCTAAGGCCATCTGATGTGCTGATTGTTCCGCTTCCCTGTCCCGGGACGTGGTTTCGAGAGCGTCTTTTGTGGTCGAGAGCTCTGCGGCGTGTGCTTCAAGTTGGGCCTCCAAAGAGGCACGAGCCGAAGCTAGAGATGCATTTGCATCCTCGATTGCTTGTGAAGAGGTGTTCTGAAGGTCCTCGTACCGTTTGGTGTGATCTTCAATATTCAGCTCGGCATTTTGTAACCCTGAATGGGCAGCGTCCAACTCCTCTGTGAGTGAAGCAATCTGGGATTCAAGCTCGGCTCTGAGGGTTGTATTTGCCTTCTCTGTCTCTTCTAGCGCTGTGGTTGAGGCTAGTTGGACATTTTTGAGAGACTCGGTCGTCTCAATAATGGCCGTCTTTGCGGCTTCGAGGTCGGTGGTCAGCGAGGCAAGTTCAACGCGAAGTGCTGTAACCTCATTTTCGTGGGCTGCCTTCATCCGCTCATTTGCTGCGCGGGAGTCCAAGAGCTCTTGCGACAGGATGGCGACTCTTGACCTGTATTTGTGGTGTACGCTGTCCAAGGCCATTTGGTGCTCACGGTTGCACTCTTCCTTGACCAGATCCCGTTCAGCTTTTTGAGCATCTCTGATCTGCTGCACGACCACAGCCACCATTGTCTCCTCCAATGAAGCCTTCAGCCGCCGTAAAGCAGCCTCTTTCTCCTTGTAACGTCTCTCCATTTTCTGCGTAGTTTTCTCCAGCGTTGACAGCTCGTGGTCCTGAGACATGACCATCTCCCTGGCCTCCTCGAGATTTTGGCGACATTGTTGCAGTTCACTCTGCAGGACTTCAATATCCGACGGCGGAGGTTGAGCTGAGTCAGGTACAACTGGAGACCCTCGGTCGGATTCTGATGGTGGTTCTTCTGGGTGAAAGAAGCGGTTGTATACCCTTCGCAAGCTCGAGGACCGTTTGGTGCCTGTTGGAGGTCGGACTCGTGTCTGGGATAGCCGTCTTAAACGCTTCTCGGATGCCATTGTGTCGAGAGTGCTGGAAAGAGTTGTGCTGCAGTGTCACTAAGTACTGTGCGGTGGAGAAGGATTTCGACGAAGAGGCGGTGACGCTGGGACTGTTTCACGTTTGCGTCTGCGTCTGCATGTGCGGGAACCTTTTAAGCGAAGATGGAGATGAGAGAATTCTCCAGAGGTGAGGGCCGGTGAGGTACTTGAACATGAACGCAGTCTTCCCATTCTGGCAGACCTGTGATTAGGTAGCGTGACTGTCTTCTGGTTTGTAGCAATTGGGAATGACTCGGCCACTGTGGGTTCATCGGGCAGCAAAAGGTACAAACGAAGAAGCGGTAGAATGAAGCTAGGACACGTCGCGGAGAATTAACGGCTCGCTTAATGGCCCTGCATTGCTGATAGGGCGCATTGCTGGAGGGCTGTGGGCTATCGCAGGTTTCTTGTTGGGCCAGCAAATGTTTGTCTCCCTACCTAATGTTTGGCGACGTGACAAAGACAACGGGGCTGCTGGGTAGCTACACTGATGAGGAAGAATTGATTCGTAAGAGACAGCTGACGGGGAAAGATCGCAACAGTTCAAGATGCTCGCCTTGATGCCCATGGTCAGGCATGTGAGGTAAAGGTCTGGATGATCGGAGACGACCGCACGTACTGGTACCTGGCGATCCTCACATAAGGGTCGCAGGGAGGGCGAATTCCAGGGGTCCAGAGGTCCAGAACAGTTAGCTGGGCGGCAGCTGCCGCTGTGGTGGGGGTACCTGGGGGTTCCTGGAGGGGATGCTTAGGTACCTACCTACCTACCTAGGTAGGTACCTCTGGCTGATGGTGTGGCGTGCGCTAAGCGGAAAGGCGCGGGCCGGGGGGTGCCGGTGCATGATGCTGCGTGAACTCCAGTTAAAGTTGAACAGCTACCCACCTAAGTGATGCCCTTTCAGGTGCCCCCCTCCGATGCCGCCACCACGGCCGCCGTAGCCACCAGAACGACACTAGAAATAGAAGAGTCAGGCCAGTCATCTTCTTCACAACGTACCTCTTACTCGGTGACTGTCAGGCATGATCTCTCTCGGCTCGTCATTGCTGCTCTCCTTCGCCAGGGCTTCATCATGTGCCTGAATGTTGAGTCGGCCAGAGCTGCTTCACTCGACTTCAAACAGAGCAAATCAACATCTCCCGAATCCACATCGGGACTCCAGATTGGATGCACAATTTCCAAGCTGTGCTTCTGCCCAAACCATTTGATCCGTCTTGTTCGTTGTGAGTCACTCCCAAACACGCTGGTATTCGTCGTGGTCGCTTTCTACCGGCTCTCCCAGCACTCATCCATCAAGATGGAGAGAGTGCTTCGCTGCGTCATCTCTGTTTGCAAATGTCCATCCATGTCATCGAGATGAGTTCCGAGTGCAGCTCAGCTGGCCAACCACGCATTGAGCAGAACTAAAAGAAACAGGATCACTGATTGCCGCCCTTTGAACTTCGTAGTCCTCACCGGGCTAGACCTCCTTCCAAACAGTTGTTAACGCCGGACTGTCAATTGCCCGGAAACCAGTAGATGCCTCGTACAGCAAAGCTGCTTGTGTGTACTAAACAGGTTACTACCAATCTAGAACTTACCTTGAATATCATTGACCTCTTGTCCTGCTGAAAGGTAGAACAGGTGTCGTCAGCAAGATGTTGGTTGTGATTAAGCAGGACATTTGCGAGATCTGCTGAAGCTCGGCGGAACAGCTCTCAGAAATCGAATCTCAAGGGTTTGAGGCCTTTCTCGTGAGGATTGCAGAGCTTAGCTTTTGTCATTCAATCGAAGACCCTTCATGACCGTGACATCAAGGCTAAATATCGGATACAGGAAGACTGGAAATTCCCCAGTCAGGTTGCTTACTAGCCAAGGCGGCTGATTTCCACGGTCGACAGTCGACTCTCCCACGTATCTGCCTTTCCCTCCAAGGTCGTTATCGCCAGGCTTTGTTTCTCATCTTGGCCACAATGATAGCCCACTGTTTCCGTCCTGCAGGTTCCAAATCCCGGCTCCACCATGTGGATGTAGATGGCAGCCTACACGGAACCATGCGGTTTTCGATCCGTGTCCCAGATAATGCCGCTGGTCATGTGTCCGGACGTCCAACCCGGAAATGAGACACAGCATGCTCGTCAGAGAGATCATACTGTGGTTGATGAGGAAGTTATTGCCAGCTGATGCTTGACTGAGCGACTACAGAAGGCTGAGTGGTGAACCTATATCAATATCGTCAAGACTACATCCGCGAAAATTGCCTGGTCAGAACAAATCCAAGAGGAACCTGTACAAAGCACTAACATCGTCTTGATATAATGTCGCCTAACGGAACCATCAATGGGGCGACCGAGCCCAAACACGGCAAGATGACCTCGCAGAACGAGTATATGCCAGCCTTGCCCGCCAAGCATCTCAATACTCCTGTCGAAGTCACTCCATCGCCTGAGGAAATGGCGGCTGGACAATTCAATGACGCCAACATCAAGCTTTTTCTTTCTGGAATGCACCGAGATGGTGTGGTCATCCTCAAAGATATCATCAACCCAGATCACCTCGATGTCATCAACGAGTTCATGGTCGAGGACACCAAGAAAGAGCTCAGCAAGGAGAACCTGTACAAGAACTTTGGTGCGGAGAACATCCAACAAGGCCCTCCACTGACGCCATCAAAATACTTTTTCAACGATGTCTATCTAAACAAGCTCCTTTTCCATGCCGTGAATCTTTACCTGGGACCAAACGCGACATGGAATATGGTCAGCGGCAACAACGCCTTACCTCACGGTGTCAAGCGGCAACCTGTCCATTCTGACGCCATGTGCAATCATCCACCGGCGCCTTTCTATGTGGTTGCCAACGTCTACACCTGTGACGCCAGCGCAGCCAATGGCTCCACGGAGATTTGGCTTGGGACACATCATTTCAACACCGAGGCCCAGACACCGCCCGGTCCAAAGGGGGAAACTCACATCACAGACGAGTACGTGGCTGAGAGACAAAAGACGCTGCCAGGCATTCAGCCCACGGTGAAGAAAGGTTCGATCCTGTTCCGAGACATGAGACTATGGCATGCTGGAGTGTGCAACACATCCGACGACATGCGGTTCATGATTGCTTTGGGGTTCTCTGCCAGCTGGTGGCACGGCACTGCAAAGTTCAGAGTGCCTGCAGGAACAGGCGTGTTTGAACGCATCATACATGGTACTAAGGGCCAGGGTATCACACCTTTGATGATTGAGCTGCCGCCTGAAGAGTACGAGAGACTGCGGGACGCGCATGATTTCAGTGATGTCGAAAAGATGACGTACGAGGGTGAAATATTCTAGCGGTCTGATAACGGGGAGGATGTCTCGTACAGGGACGCACTTTTAACCTCTTTGTGGACAGATAGACTCCCGAAAGTCGAGGCCTGCGGAAGGAATCTTACAATAGAATACAATTCGAGCTGCAAGTGGGCTTTCAACAACTTCAGACGTGCATTGACCCTTTCTCCATGCCTTTACAAGGTGATGATCCCATGATGCCGCTAACTACGAGGCTGACCGAAAGCCTTGTGGTTGTCACCAATCGGGAGCCGCAACATTCTCCCGCATCACGTGCACGGAACTTCGACATCGCCTTCCGGACGCCGAATGACCATTTTCCATCTTCGTCTTTCCAACTATCTTCTCCGTACTTTACTCACCGCACCAACGCTGGTAAACCATGTTGCCCACTGGTTAGACTCAGAATAGCAATGATTGTCCGGGTCTCGTTGTACCTGCTGATAGCTAGACAGGATGTCTTCCGCTATCAAGCTCAAGAAGGGCAAGGACAACGGCACCTGTGATTTCAGGCGTATTCCTGATGAACGTCGGTACACGCAAGAGCAACAGTATCCATCGCAAAGCACGAGCTCCAAGCTGTAGCGGTCAGCCAGTACAAAAGATTCATCTCCGCCCATCGCTAATCGAGGGGAGGATTGCAAAGTAAGTCTATTCAAAAACAACAGAATGCGTACTGCCGTGATATCCCTCATAGCTCTCCTGGCAAGCGGTGTCTGGGCCCTTCCCGCTGCTTCGCCAGTTCGAGGGCAGAATGCGAACTGTTTTCCTTTCGGAAGTGCATCGTTCAACGGTTCGCTCCAAGCACCCAACGTGACGAGAACGGAATGGTGGTGCCCTCAATCCATGACATATGGCTTCCTCGGCTTCTCGTATCCCATGGAAGGAGAGTGCTACGATGACAGCTTCGACCGCATCAATGCCGACCTGCAACGCCAGAAGCGTGACTTTGGTGCCAGCTTGATCAGAGTTTACCTGCCATATTGCTACACCACTTATATCTGGGAGAATCTTATCAAAGCAGCTGTCGCCAATGACATGGGAGTTGTTGCCCAGGTTGCGTGGCCTCTGAACGGTGATCCAGTAGGTTTGAAGCTCTCACATACGGTCTTCTGTCTGCTAAGCCTAATTCACAGCTTGAATACTGGCAGAAGATTGCTGCCTCCATCATTGAGATCCTCTCAAACAGCACTTACAAAGACGTTGCACCCTATGTGTTTCACAGCATTGAATTTGGGACGGAACCAATTGGCGACATGGACGATGGCGACAACTTCATCAACGACCTCATCAACTTCAAGGCAGCGGTAAAGCCCTACGGCATTCCAGTCGGCATCAGCGAAGACTGGGACCGTCCCGGGATCATGTGTAGTAACTACACCGCAGGTCAAGCACCGGGTCTCGGCCCTACAGGGAAGCAGATACTTCCACAAAGCGACTTTGTCCACGCTCATATTATGCCATACTATCATGGATATAACATATCTGGGTCGTGGCAGTATATCAGTGACCAGGTGCACTGGTACAAGAACTACACGCCTGTTCCTCTTGTGATCTCTGAGGTGAGAATCCAAATTGACTCACCCTTTGGCGTTGATCCCGAGCTGACCCTTGGCCTTGATTCAGACACAATGGGCTTGGGAGCTCAACGTTCTGCATCAGGGAAGCAAAGACATTGGGACTCCGCAGTACACGACGTTCTGGAAGACGTACGACGCGAATTGCCAATTCTTCAAGAAGAACAACGTAGGCTGGTTTTTGCACGCATGGAAATGGGAAGGGACCTTCAATATGGTCACTCCGAATAACTCGTATGCGATACCGGATTGGAAACCGCAGAAGTGCTAGGAACGCCCCTGCAATAGGATTCCAACGCGTCGAGAGAGTAGAAGCAGAGTTGAAGAGGCTGAAGGTAGTAATACCCAGTTAGCATGTAGTTAGTCATAGCCAATCAAACCCCCTCGATTCCGCTTCTAGAGCACGGAGCATGCCAGTCCAGATCTGGACCTTCGCATATACTAACAAGTAGTTTCTGTCTAGAACCTTGAACAAATTGATTGTCCCACCGTATCCACTCCTTGAGTACCCCCAAGCGAATACCACCCTGACTTATCTCCATCTCTATTATATGTAACGAAACGGCAAAACGTCCAGTCCCATCCGTGTACCCACCGCCCCTTTTGCCGGGATCGACCACGGAGAACGCCACGGAGAAGCACGCCCTATGTGCCCGTCGCACGTCGCACGTCGCACGTCGCGCAAACCAGGCAGGTTTCAATTTTCTGAATTTGCAGTCGAGTCAAGCATTGCGCTTGAGTTGCCTGGCCTGACCGTGTATGCAAGGCTCCATCCGGCGCCCATGTTCGGCCAGCGCGAGGTCCGTATGGGGCTGCTTTGCAGGTAGGTACGTCCACCGCACACGCGGTCATGCATATAGATTCTTCGTGCGAGAGTGTGGTCCCTCCAGAGGGTGCAGCAGGCCGTATTACATAGATACATATTGTTTCGAGTCCTTAACGGGACCGGCATCTCAAACTGCGTCATCCGCGCTCAAGAAGGAGTACGAAGTACTTGGACTGTAATTCTCGACGCCCGACATCCTGCATAGGTGACCTGCAACAAGCGACAGCAATCCTATCTACCAAGTAGGGATCTACCGGTCAACACCGACATTAACACCGACAACAACAACGACGACGACGACGAGAAGGACAAAGCACGAAACCCCAGAGCTATGGGCTCCATCTCCGTCACGCCTGAACCCACCATCATCGACAATACCACCGCCAACGCCAATCCAGTACCCATATTCCACGTCGTCCACTTCCGCTTCTACACGCACATCCCGCCGTCCACGCGCGCCGACATCTCGCACCAGTTCCTATCACTGCAGTCGCGCTGCCTGTCGCCGCGCACGCGCAAGCCCTACATCCGCTCCTTCACGGGCGGCCGCGACGTCAGCGTCGAGGACTTGCACAAGGGCTTCCACGCCGTCTTTGTCCTCGAGTTCGCTGACCAGAAAGACCGTGACTGGTACGTCCGCGAAGACCCGGTGCATCACGCGTTCGGGGTCGATGTGTTGACGGGCGTGGTGGAGGAGGTCATGGTGGTGGATTTTCAGAGAGGGCAGTTTTGAAATCTTGAGGAAGGCAGATTTCAACAAACGGGTTAGTGCGATGGAAGAGGGATGGAGGGGACAAAGAGGCAGGAAGGTGTGGGTTTGAATTTGCGATTTGATTATAAATTTTTTGTGTTGGGATCGAGTTAGTCCGCTACGGAAGACGCTTGAAAGACTGCTGCGTCCGTGGTGAGGAGGAACAGAGAGCGGCCGGGAGAAGAAAAACTCGAGGGCTGGGCGGAGAGTATCAGGGAGGCGGAGGTGTGATCAGATGGGTAAATGAATGGATGGGAAATATAGTGTGTAACTTGATGCACTTGCTCGTGTTGTATAGACTATAGAACGAGTGCTTACCCGTAACACTACGGTCCTATTCGCATTACATATGGCCAGGACGCATCTTTCTCGACATGCCCCCGCTATCCAGCTCCTCAATTCGATAGGCATTCTTGCGACACTAGGACACCAGCATGCCCTTGGCCAGAGCGCTTAAACATCCGCCTCTCGCGCCTCCGAGATCTCAAAGTCCTTGAATTTCCTCGCAGGAACACCCGCCTCGAACATATAGTCCAGTTCCTCGTACGTGCGACCCTTCGTCTCGGGCAGGCGGAAGTAACACCAGATCGTGGCAATGGTGCTGAGGCCGCCAAAGAAGAACCCGGTCTTGCCCCTCCAGTTGCCCGAGGACGCATTGAGCATGTACGGCACCACCACTGTCATGACGATCTGTGCGATGGAGCCACTGCTCGTGGCCAGAGCGACTGTCTGCGACCGCAGACGCGTTGCGCCGATCTCGGCAAAGATGACAAAGTTGATGGGTCCGACCGTGCCCTGGAACAGGAAGGTCAGGATGTCGAGCAAGGCGGCTTGTGCCCAAGCCAGACCTTTGTGTTCGGTGTAATGCGGAACACAGTCCAGGATGCCGATGATGAAGAGAGACACGGCCATCATCGCCACGCCAAACATGTAGATTGTCCGTCTGCCGAAGTAGGACATAAAGACCCAGGAGCAGCAAGTGGCGACGAAACCGATAGCAGTGTTGCCGACACCCATGTCGAAAGAAGCACTGGTGGGCAGGCCAGCCAAGGTAAAGAAGTAGACCGCGTATCCTATCAGGGAAATGCCGGTGATGACTTGGAAGATCTGGACCATGATGGCGACCTCTGTGCGAGCACGGCTTGACGCACGGAAGCATTCAATGAAGGTTGTGTCCTTTTCCACCTCGATTTCGTGCATTGTAGTCGCCTCAATGTTTGCAAGCGTAGCTTTAATGTCGACCTTGGGCGACTCTCTCGCAAGTCGGCGCAACGCCTTTTCGGCCTCGTCGATGCGGCCTTTGCGCACGAGCCACCAAGGACTCTCCGGAGCGAAGAAGAGTCCAAGAGCAAGAATCGGGATCCATAGCCATTGAATTGCGAAAGGTACGCGGTATGCCCACTGGTCAAGTCTTTCAGAGAAGCCCTTGCCAACTCCCGAAGCAATGAATTGTCCAATAACGTAAGCGAGGTTCATGCCAGCGTTCAGGATACCGCGAAGTGCCAAGGGACACACCTCGGACGCATATGTCGGTGCTAGAACGACGTAGGTGCCATAGAGAATGCCCGCAAGAAACTCTCCAGCTGCCAGGGTGTGGATGTTGTTTGCAAACATCTGGAGAAAGATGAAGGCGGTACTGAAAAAGAGAGACCCCCAGAAGACTTTCTTTCGGCCCCATCTTTCCATCGGCCACGAAGCGGTAAAAGCTCCAAGGAACTGACCTACGGGCGTTCCCATGCCGAGGACATTCTGCCATTTGGCGGAAACCTCGTAGCCGATGTCGCCTCCATAGTTTGTGCCGTATTTCTGGACAAATGCTGGCAGGGCGTAGAAGGTATAAATTAAACCTGAATCATAGCCGACCATGACCTGTCCCTCTTTGTCAGAACGGTTTCCTTTTGCTCGTCTGTGCTGTCGAAAACGGGCACACGGATATGGGAGGCGCGGTACTTACCAGGGACGAGGCAAATATCGACGCCCAGAAAACCGCCATGGGGTAAAGTTTGACAGCTTCGATGACTCCCAATGAGTGCTCATTGTGGGTGGCGATCTTGGACCGCTCCAATAGTTCGGCATGGTGATCCTCCTTGACATCGGTGATTTCACCTTTGGAGTCGACTTTGCTTGAAGACATGATGGAGCTGGATATCAGACACGCTGCTGATGGAAGTGCACCCTGAAAGTCTGCATTCGCTCGAACAAGGAGCTGAACCGGTATTCCACCTCAATTAAAGGTGGGAATGGCCGCAGTCTTGTCTTCAGGCAAAGGGACGGTCAAACCGCCTATCTTTTGATATTAGCTCGAAACATCGAGATAACAGCTCGCCACCAGGGTAACGGTAGCAGTTCACTTATCTGATGCTGTTTGATAGTATAGAAGTGGGAAGAGTGCTACGGCATCTTAGAGGCAATGTCTTTGCCATCTTCAGACCCGCCTGATAAGGACACGGATCCACGGCATGCCACCGGAATGCGACCTCCGTGTCCTCAACGGAAGCTATCGTTGGATCCTTTCCCCGGATTTTGCGGCTCGTGACCACGCGGAGATCCTCGAGAGGTAGTTAGTTATCGGCTTAATTGGATAGGCACCCACATAGGTAAATGGAAAGTGGACCATATGTGAGGGGTCGTCTGCCTTCCAAGAGAATCTCGAGACAGGGCATTTTGGCTGAAGAGCCGAAGCAGCAACCCACGGAGCATTGTTGGGTAAATTCCTTATGTGCTTCGGTGAGTGACCGGAGATCACCAGCAGGAGTTCTTGCTATTTGATCAGGGCAGTTATTACCCTGGACGAGCACGACGAGTTAATTACTGCCGAGGACGAGGTGCCCAGTGCGGGGATCCCCTTATTGATAAGCCAGATAAGGATAAGCGGCATCCGCCTTCCTCTTTCCGGTTCGCCCATGAATCACATGATAGCGCTAATCCTAATCAGTCTCTCTATCAGTCGGCTGCAAGAAACATCCACTATTTTCCCACTTCCACCTCCAACAGTCAAGATAAATTGTTTACTCGTGCTAGAGTGGCTCGTCACACCAGATAGTACGTCTATGCTTTCGCGAGTCTGGTGCCACTTACAGCGATCCCAATGTAGCAGAATCCGCGAAAGAGATTGAGTTTGCGTTCGCAATTGCAGCCATGTTCCTGGGGCACGCCATCGTTGGAGCCTGTCTTCGTTGTCAATCCAGGATATTCTTATGAGTCGACCCGTCATGACTCCAACCAGCCAAACTCCCACTCAACACGAGTTCGCGCTCATCGAGCCGCGCACACCTCCTAGGACTCTTGCGCACCAGTCTGGAGCCAGAGATGCTCGAATCAAAACGGCGTGTGCGGAATGCAAGCGACGGAAAACCAAGTGCGACGGCACACACCCATGCTATTCTTGTCGATGGTATAAGCAGCCTGAGAGATGTATCTACACCTTCTCTCGACCTGCGCTTGTTCTCAGTCGAAAGTAAGTTCGCAAATGATGCAGTTGTCACGCACAGCCCACACCATGAGTAACCAAGAGTAGGAATTTCGAGTCCGTCCGCCAACGCTTGGAGGCCACGACCGACATTTTAGCAAAGCTGTTTCCTTCTCCGTCCATCGACGCTCTCAGTGGTCTATCTCGCGAAGAACTACTCCACCGAATAGCCGTTTCGCTTGAGACGACGACATTCCAGGAGACACCCAATCGAGGCAGCCTTGCCATAAATAGCCTGATACCTGTCGAGGCTAGTTCGGAAGACGACCATGGAGACCTAATAGACCAAGATGACACAACTACCAGTGCAGGTCTAGAACCACAGCAACAGGACGATGCTCCCTCCGAAGCAGGTGACGACGTGAATGCCCTCTCGGCAACATCCGTTCAGCCATCGTCCTACGTTGGCCCATCTTCGACAATGCAAATGTTCCGCACGATACTCAGAATCGCTCCTGAGTCGGTGGGCCAGCAACAGCCTACCCAAAGCCCGGCAACCAGTCAACGAAGCGCGTCTTATCGTTCTCCCGAGTCCAGTCATAAGAATCTGCCATCCCTGCAAATGACTGAGAGACTTGGAGCTTTGATCGATGCCTATTTTCGTTGGATCGACCCCGCCACTCCTATTCTTGACCAGGCTGAGTTTAGAAAGACCGCCTCTGCTGGGACTCGGAATGACCCTCCATGGCTTTGTCTTTTCAACATTGTGCTGGCATTGGGCTCCATTGGTAGCACGAGAACCGACTCTAGAGAACACCTCAACTATTATCATGCTGCAAAATCCCATTTGGACATAGAAGGGCTCGGAAACAAGAGTCTCGAAACACTGCAGGCTCTAATTCTCATGGCTGGCTGGTATAATCATTACCGCAATCGACCGAATCTGGCATCTGCACTTCTTGGAGCAGCGTTTCGCATGGCGTATGCCTTAGGGCTTCACAAAGAGCAGCCCAACAGCAATCAATCCGTGGAGCATCAACAACTGAGGCGGAAGATCTGGTGGAACCTCGTCGTCTTGGATGCGGCTGAGGCTGTAACCTTGGGTCGTACACTGGATACCAAAATATTTGACAGCGAGGTCAAATATCCCCAACAGACCGGGCCAGATGTAAGTACTTGGCTCTTAACCCAAAGATACCCCTCACGAAGTGGGCTACCAATCAACCTTGCTAATTTATCGTATCATCAGCAGATGAATGATGGCGTGGAAGGCCCTTCTCCTTCCTCCGCGTTGGTCATTACTATCGGGTTCTCGCGTATCATGACAGAGATCCAAAGCCGGTTGATGACATCAAGCACAGTGCCCTTTGCCGAATTACTCAGCCTCGACGCACACCTTGTCGATTGGTATGAAGCCTTACCGTCCTACTTTCACAAACTGGCGTCACTGGGCAGCTCTGCTTTTTCAGATTCGACCGATTCAAGACGTTTTGTGCAACCATTTTTGACTATCAGGTGGCGGTATCTCAATCTCAGGATGCTGTTATATCGACCAAGTCTCATGGAGGCCGTCCTCCACAGAATCCCGTTTGGCGGGCTTACATCTGATCAGCGATTGTGCGTACGAAAATGTCTAACCCTGTCCGGAGAGACCATTGATTCGGTGAGATCAAGGTCTTCAGAGCTGCCGAATCAATACATTGCGTGGCCGTCGACGTGGTATTTGTTGCAAATCTGTATGGTTCCACTTCTCAGTTTGTACGTGTTTCGCGAGGATGTCAACGACCAAGATTCACAGGCCGACCCTGCTCACCATTTAGGGTTCAGACATCCAGGCAGCGTCAAGGACCAAGTCCGGCAAATTCGAGATGAATGTCACAGGCAAGTTCAAACAACGCTGCGTTTGGTCCAGGAAATGGAACCGTGGGCTGTGGCATCGGGCAAGATGCACGACTTGATCACGCATCTGTACGAAGCAAGAGACCAACACTTGCGCGTCTGGAACAACAACGACGAGAGTCCTATGATCGTGCTGGGATCTCCAGAAAATTCATCAATGCAATCATCGGACGCGGCGAATGCAAGGGCGCTACAAGCTGATCGTGCAAACATGAACCTTAGCGCAAATCCAAGAGCTGTCAATCCTTTGCAGGCCGAAAGTTTGGTAATTCCGTCAAGTGGTCTAAATCCACCCATCAGCATGACCCAGTACAGCATTGGAGTACACAATAACAATGCTTCTATCAACCAATCTGAGCAATTTACCAGAGACTTTTCCATATACAACAGCTTCGCATGGCCGAATGCGACATTGGAAAGCCTTTTCGACTTGCCCGATGACTTTCAGTACATGAACCAAGGGATGTTTGGCTTGGGATGATGTACTCGATATCTTCTCTGCGAAAAATGTAATCAGGACGATGTTCTGGATACGTTGCTTGTTCTGGATGCTACACACATGGCGATCTGCCAAAGATCACTATCCACCTTCAGGGGCGGGGCATGTCAGGGAGAGCCTCCGAATGAGCGTTGATCCCTCAGGTTACGACAAAAGTCATTATCCGAGGAGAAATGCCCGACCTCTCCCATGGTGCATATCTTCCGTGCCTGGGCTCCTTCACTTCTCGAGTGAACAGGAAGTCGAATGGGCACGGCCCCAGTTTAAGCCCCAGCAGCGTTTGTACGACTTCCCTTGGCCGGAGGAAGCCTTGCCCTCTCATTTGGGCTTTCCGTCTGTCAGAGGGCGGCGATAGCTGCATCAGGACTTTTTTAAGACGACAAAAATGGTAAGATCGTTTTCTGTTCGTGGCTTGAACTTTACTGATATGTGAAGACTCGGTCCTCTGGGAATTTCCTACGGGGTTCATTGTCATTGTACAGCCTGATCAGGATTGACGCGGACCACTTTCCGCGATCGTAGAATCCACCTCATTCGAATTAGTGGGACATAAAGTTATACAATTGTGGTGGCGGAATCTCAAGGACCGTGGAGGACCCATGTCAAGCAAGACCTGGTCCCTTTTCATTGCATCTCGGGGCGTGTCTCTGTATGCAGCCTCATTGAGCCGAGGAAGATCCAGGCCTGTCGTACCTCTTGAAGGACACTCACCTGGTTCTCGGAGTTGGCAGCGTCATGGATACTTGCGATTACTATGCCCCATTAACGCGGAGAGTGGAAGACAGCAAGCATAATGTTAGACTTGTCTGTTTGACCTGAGGAAATATTAGCATGAATAGAAGCCATAAGTGTCGAGACAGATCTTTGTAATAGCACCCCGAATATCAAGATTTCTACTTGTTGGGAGTAGTGGTTGGTAGTCAATCCACTGGACTCCACTATCGCTGGAATCCCCAATTGTCGGGTCGTTTGCCGACATACCCGGGCTATCCCCAGAACTGTCTTCACATAACCACATCCAACGCACGAGTATGCGGTAGATCGTCTACTCTCGATGCTAAGCGAATGATACATGGCAAATAAATGTTAGCTTTCCAGCAAAGCCATCACTGAACAAGAATCTGAGGCGAAGGTACCAATTCAAGCAGCTCGTTTACTCTTACGCTCCCCCAAAGTGCTCGGACGTCCGTTGACACTGTAAAAGCAGTAAAAAAGGAGGGACGACGGACCCGACCAGGCCATTAGAGCGAACAACATGGGAGACGCGGCGAGCTCCTCGAGCGGGAACACTCTGGTGCTAGAAGGACGGCCCGAGTCCGAGTTCGCGCCCATTCTCCAGACGCGGAAACAGGCCCGTCTGATATGTCTGGAAGAGCACGCCGTATCCCCCTTTCCAACACCGGCAATCTCATCCACCTTTGGCACATTCAAGCCGTCATACGTGGCCGGTCTCAAAGATCGACTGGGCGACATCGCGCTGCGGGTCAAGATCATGGACGCCAACAAGATCGGCGCGCAAATCATCTCCATGAACCAACCCACGGCGCAGGCGTTCGTGAACCTGGACGAGCAGCGCGAGTGGTGCCGGCAGTCGAACCAGTTCGTGTACGAGAGCTACTGCCAGCGATACCCGAGCCGGTTCTTCGCGTTTGCGACCCTGCCGACGCAGAGCGGCGAGGCGGCCGCGACGGAGCTGGAGCGCTGTGTCACCGAGTACGGCTTCGTCGGGGCCATGATCAACGGGTTCACAAACACCGCGGATCCCACCAGGGGACTGTACCTCGACCACCCGCAGTTCGACAAGCTCTGGGAGGTCTCGGAGCGGTTGCAGAAGCCCATCTTCATCCACCCGCGCGTGCCGCTGGCGAGTAACATCAAGGTGCTGGAAGATATGCCCATCTTCCACGGCGCGCCGTATGGCTTTGCAAGGGAGACGGTCGAGCATGTCCTGAGACTGATGTACAGTGGCGTGTTTGATCGGTTTCCCAGGTTGAAGATCTGTCTGGGCCATATGGGCGAGGGGCTATCGTGGATCCTGCCGAGGACGGATACCACGTTCCGTCTTTATACCGCTGGTAAGTTGCTGTCGTGTGCGAAGCGCTTCTCGATCCATAGCTCGGAAAGCGCCCTGTTGCACAAAGCTTCCACCTCCCTCCCGTACAGCTGCTTTTTTCTCCCGGCTCAAAATGTTAATTGATTGGTCTTTCACAGAGGCACAAGGCCCCAAGAGGAAGCGCTTCCAGGATTACTTCCAGCAGAACATCCTGCCCAACACCAGCGGCATGCCCCGAACGGCGGCCCTGATGAACCTAATGGCCGAGTCGAGGGTCGAGAACATCATGTTTGCCGTGGACTATCCCTACGAGTCGATCGCCGAGATGAGAGCTTGGTTCGAGACGGTGCCCATATCGGATGAGAACTGGAGGGATATCGGGTATCGCAATGCCATCAGACTATTCGGGCTGCCTCTTGATTATGACTAGTGCTCAAAATGGGGATAGATAAAAAGAACCTTTCTCTGTCAATCGCGCGTAAGTCTACCCGATGCCATCACCACGAGGTGTATGTTGCGGCGTTCCTTTAGGACTCCGCATGGGTCGACCAAAAGACACGGGGAAAGACTAGATCCTTAGGAACGCTGGCCACTTCCAATCTGATACTCTCTGGATGATCTAGTCAAGTTTCAGCGCCAGAGGCCTTCGTGCCTACAAACGCTTACAACTGTAAACCTGGCATCTCTTTATAGTGGCGTCTTGAACACCAAAGACTCGAGGCTTCGGTTTCGTGGTAACTCCACACAACTTTTCGATTTTGACGTAGCGGTTGTACGCGTATATATGTGTACACCGCGAGTTTTCCATTTTGGTGCCACTTGTGAAAGACGTCCCCGTCCATCCACCTCTGGGTATCAATTGTTGAACAGTGCTAGTTAGACCCTTCACCCTGTGATCTAATCTTGATCATCACCCCGAACCCAATCCAAACGTATGCATCGAGCACACTCTCGTCGTATCGTCTTTTAATCATCTGGCCCGTTGTTGAAAACGGATCAAACCAAAACTCTACTCACTTCTTTTTCATGTTCCAACCCCATATCTTCTCAACGGGAATCATGCCAGCCCTCCCTTCCGCCCAGCCGCTTGAGGAAACCGGAGGAGGGAGTGATCATTGTGAGGGACGGAAAACAGACACATCTGCCTTATTCATCTCTCTCCATTTTCACCACCAGACTTTTATTGCCCGCAGCTCCTGGGGCCACAACAGTCTCCATGTTCCATTATAACTCCACCCATTACTCGGCGGTATTGGGACCCCAGACGGTCTTGGCGATGTCGACCTCAAGGCGGAGCTTGGCCCACTGCTGGTCCTCGGACAACTCGTTGCCTTCCATGGTGCTGCTGAAGCCGCATTGGTGGCTGAGGCAGAGCTGATCGAGGCCCTTGGGACAGTACTTTGTGGCTTCCCGCAAGCGCTGGACCATGGCGTCCTTGTCGTCGAGGTCGCCCTTTTTGCTGGTCATGACACCCAAGACGACGACCTTGTGGGGCGGTAGGTGGCGCAGGGGGCTGAAGTCGCCGGACCGGGCGTCGTCGTACTCGAGAAAGTAGACATCAACATTCAAATCCTTGAAGAGCACCTCGGCCACTGGCTCGTAGCCGCCCTGGGCGAACCACTGGCTGCGGTGGTTGCCGCGGCACAGGTGGATGCCGATGGTCATGTCCGAGGGCCGCTTCTCGATCGCCCGGTTGATGAGCGTGGCGTACTGGGACGCGAGCTGCTTGGCGTCGGCGCCGTGCCGGGTCTCGGCCTCGGACCGCATCTTGGGGTCGCACAGGTACGCGAGGTTCGTGTCGTCGAGCTGCACGAACCGGCAGCCCGCCTCGTACAGGTCCTGCAGTTCCTCCTGGTACACGCGGGCGAGGTCGTCGAAGAAGGCGTCCATGGACGGGTACGCGTCGAGGTCGATCGTCTCGCGCCCGCCCCGGAAGTGCACCATGGTCGGACTGGGGATGGCCACTTTGGACGAGACCTTGCCAAAGGCGCCCTCCCCGCCGGCCTCGGCGATCTGGCGCTCCAGAAACTTGAAGTCGTCCACCTGGATGGGCTTGCTGTGGCCGAGCTTGCCCGTCACGACCAGCTTCGGCGGCGCAAACCCGCCCTTGGACGTGTTGGTCGACATCATGTTCCCGCGTACCTCGATGCCGTCCAGATGCTGCAGGAAGTCCAGGTGGAAGAATGCACGCCGGAACTCGCCATCGGTGACGGCGCGAAGACCCGCATTCAGCTGCTTCCGCACGACGTCGGCGATGTACTTGTCCTCGAGCTGCCGCAGGTCTGTCTTGGACAGTGCTCCTGCAGCCACCTTCTCACGAGCCTCGAGGATTTCCTTCGGCCGAAGCAGGGATCCGACCTGATCGGCGCGATAAACTCCGGTTGGAAGCGGCATGGTAAAGTCTGGTGTTCTTTCTGACGGGGGTCTTTTCTGTATACAGGTCTAATTCAGGGAGGTGAAGAGACTACAAACATCATGCGGTTTTAATAGCTATGTACAATCTAATCAACCTCTCTCCCAAGGTGAAAAAATCACACTTTCTGCAACTGCCGGGGGATCCACCGAGGTTCTGATCGTTCAACGTCATCGGGCTATCGATTGGTCGATACTGAGGTAAGGCTGTACTGGTTGTGGGGAAGACGAGGCTGACCAATCAGCTGCGCTTTTGAGCAGGAGTGTTAGGAGAACTGACTGTTTCGGTCTTTCATCTCGAGATTAGCAGAGAAAGATGTCAAGACGCAGGGCTATAACTCTATCGTCGACGTGGCCGCGCGAGGACATCAAAAGGCACAATATGCGGGCCGAAACGAAGAGTTCAGGAAAAACAAAGGTAGAGGCGATAACAAACATGACATACTGTCCCATGAAGGACACAGATTCTCGATTATGAGTCTGCCTTCAACAACATACCCTCGTGAAGTAATTGCGATCTGCCATGCCTCGTATTGAGTATGAAGTCAGCCTTGCCTTTCCCATCACCAGGCTGACCTCCTAGCCGTTGGGGACTCGTATCAACATATCTAATAGGAGAAATCGCGCGTCTCTTGCAGACCCAACCAGAGCTGCACTGAGTTCTATTGGAGACTCTGCATTATAGCGAAATGTGCCTTGAAAGTACGCCACGAGGGGCATGCCGTTGAGTGTTAGGCTGTGATTGGCGCTTGAGGGACTTCGTCGTACAACTATGAGTACGGACGTCGACCGTGGACCCTAGGGCCATGATGCAGCGGAGGAATTGTCGTTCCAGCATGTTGACCGAATAATGCATTAGGGTTGGAAAATAGGTTGACCTCCCAGGGATACTCGTAGCTTATTGCGAAGCGAAAAGTTGTGGCTGTTTGTTATTCTGCGAATGCTACCACGCACCTGCGGCAAGCTCCGGCCCTGGGTGACATGGTGAGGCCGGCCAGTACCTCGTAGACATCTTTCATCACCTAGTGCAATTTCGGCAGCAAGCACGCGCTAGATGGAGGTAGAGAGAACTGGATCCAAGTGCGGCAATTGGTGATATGGTGACTCTGATAACAATTCCAATGACAAACAGAATCAGCCAAGACTAGGCATTCCAACATGGATATCCTCGTTCGAGGTCGCGCTCGCAATTGCTGGCGGCGCTTGCTGTGCTCAATCCATTCGAGTCTTCCGGGAAAAAGACAGAGTGGTGTGATCGTCCATCACATCGAGTGTGAAAGACCGTCAGGCCAGGCAAGGAAAATGGGATATGTTTCGTCTCCAGTCTTGGAGAATCGAGGCCAGACCCTGCATTACTCAATCGTAACGACGATACCGAGCATCAGATGTCGCGTAAAGTATTCCCATACACATGGCCTCGGCCATCAGAACATAGGTTCTCCATGCGCTTTTACGACGACATGCGACCGTCTCGCCATTGGCATCTCTCGACAAGGAGAGAAGTCCCCGTCACATAATGTCTGACAAACTTGTCATTACATTCGGCGCGCTTGGCCATATTTCCCAAAACGTCTCCATTCTGCGAGCATCCATCTCGTTCATTTTGGGGAAAAGGTCGAGCAAGAAGCGGGATGCAGATTACCACGACTCAAGGTGCAGGTCCGAATCGCAGTGCTCAGGGGTTTCGGCGTTCACCGTCACGCTTGCGTCGCCAAACATGCTCGTAGATGGAAAGAAGCCATGAGCATGGCATTTACTCAGACCAGCTGCTGGTCAGCGGTCTGTTTGCAAGCTCCTGAGTGTCGCCTGCACCAGGAGGACTCCGTGAAGACCCGGCTTGGGTCAGATCAATTCATGATTCCCTCGGTAAATATGAGGCTGGAGAGATCTGCGTCATCTCTATGTCCGTATCGGATCGTGGATGGAACACGGGAAGGTGAGACTCAACCCTGGCTCTAACGTTTGATTGGACATGGTTCTCCAGGTGTGTTATGCACCTGGTGATCCTCACGTCTGTTACAATCGTTATTAGCAAAATGCTTGAAGATAATTCATGAAATGGCCGCAAAGGCTCCGGGATGGCAGCTAACCTGCGTTTAGTACAGGCTAGGCGGCATCGATATCTTCCATCAGCGCCTTCGTGGTTCGTAGTGAAGCCTCAGTTTAAAGCTGTGTTCTGGTGACGTTCCCATTATCCGTGCAAAAACAGTCCAAAGGCTTGAGTGAGATCTGGATGCTCCTCTCCAAGCATTCGTATCGGCGTCATGGAGAAAGTATCACGCCATTGGACTCTTCCGTCGTTTGCAAATCGGCCAAGGTCTCCATGTAAACGGCCGTAGGGGCCGATGCTGTAGGGCGTTCTGGCAAGGTGTATTCCCTCGTCGGCATCAATTCGTAGAGCGTCAACATTGGTTGCATCGCTCCAATCCAATCGTCGTATGAGTACGTGACCGCAAAATGTACCCTAGTGCACAGGCCATGGCTGAGCAAGTAATATGGGGTGTCAAAGGTGGCGGTGTGGAAGATTAGCACAACATAGTAGAGGAGACCAATCTCCTTGTCCCACAGGTTGTCCAAATCGGTCTTCTGGAGCGCATCTCGGATGTCTTGAAGTATCGAGGTACCTCTCGCCACAGAACGCCAATGTCTGTTGCTCTCAACTGATCGAATCAACAGGACAGAGACCAATCTGCAGGCCTCGTAAACGTGGTCGGAGGTAGAAGGTAAGTCGGGGACCTTGGAAGATGGCATGGCCAAGATACGCTGAGCCAAAGACATTGATATCATGGCGTCAGTGGTAAGTTGCTGTTGTGATGAGCGAGTTTTTCGCCGAAGCCAGATTTTGACCACTGATTGCATCATCTGAAGGAGGAGTCGTAGATGACCACTTCTCGTCAACGGGAACGGATCTTCGCTGGGGTCTATTCGCCCATCATAAAAGGGTGAATATAGCTCAGGGTCAGCGTGATTTCTGGTATGCCATGTGTCTTCAAAAATGCGCTCATATTCCTGTAAAGCAGTGCTGGGATTGACTGTAGGAGCGAGCCCAGGCACAGGTATGTGACATCTCCTCGAGAATCTGTGCTGATAGTAAGCCTTGGTGGGTTAGCCCACAAGGTCGCTGAAATGCTCACGCAATCATCATGATGATTCTCAGCACATCCTTGCAGAACCTTGAATCCTCAAACATGTGCAGTTTTTCTGCCTCTCTAATGAGAATTGCGTAAGCGCTCCGGTGGATAATGTATTCCTCTGGTCCTGCTGGTTCTCCACGCACCTATCAAGTCAGCGACAGTCTTAGTCCATCGCCTTCCTCGTCGGCTCTTTCACTGCGCACTTAACCTTGACTATGGCGGGAGAGAGTCCGAAATCTCACTTACTAGAGCACATGTAGCAAGAGAAGAAATGGCGGAGATACAGTCCATGATTGCGACTGGAGAGGACAGGTGGATACGGGTGCGAATGCGCTGCATGGCTTCCAACTTCAATGCAGTGGTCGTAGATGACGCAGCCCTCGAGCTCAGACCGTCGAGATGAACCGAACACAGTAGTAGCATCGAAGTGAAGAAAGTACTGTTTTTGGTCCCTTCAGGCCATACGTTCTGTTGCATCCCCTTCTGATTATATAGGGCGAAAACTAGATATGATATTAGCAGGGGGTAAGTCACATATCTCTGCGACAATGACCCGTAGAACGGGCATCGCAGAGGGAGCGCTAGGAAGGCCAAGGGTTCACCATTATGTTTGACCTCATCCAGTATACCCGGTATGTGTGCTTCTATGGCAAGCTGTGGGAGAGAGTGAAAAGCATCGAAACGGGAACCAAAATATATATTGCCAACGCGATTGCGGCGGCGTCGTGGTAGAATCTGGGACCTCAGGCTTAGATAAGCTGCACTCCTTGCGATCTGCTGTTAACCGCGCCAGCAGGCAGTGGTCACAGGCACTGGAGCCTCCAAAGCCTCCTGCACGGGAAAAAAGGACGTACCTGGCCTGTTTGCCGTCTCGTCCTATGCAGTTCTCGCGTAGTATGGGCTCTTATTTGGCTGATGCCGGCCTTGTCGAGAGCACCATCTGCTCCCATCAACACGAACTCAAACCCCGAATCAACTACTGGCTTCTTGGTTGCAGCATCCCATTTGCTGACTTGTCGATGCTGATCGCTGGCGGTGCTTTTGCAAACGCCAGATGGGGAAAGGGTGGAATGTACGTGCCGCTCCATTTTCGACTCGCGACAATATTCCCTATGCCCGGCTATTATTCCTTGTGACTTTAAAGAGGGTTTGCTGCCGACACAACCTGCTGGGATCAAAGCGAGATGTGTCCAAAATTATGTCCGTGACCAAGTGACCCCGTCTCTGAGAAAGGGTGGCAGACAATCAAGCCATTCGTGAGACAGAGGCAACTGCGGAACAGGTCTTGCAGGAACCTCGGGATGCTGGCGCGGTGCTCGAAACCGCCGTCCTCCAACCCAACGGTGCCGGTCATTCAGCTGATGACTAACGTTCAGAAGGTCAACACGTTATCCGGCGGTCAGAAATGTGGCCAATGGATGCCTGCCGGTCAAGTAAAGCTCCAGCGAGGACCTTTTACCGCATCGGGAACCCTCGATGAAAAGCAGATTTCACGAGGGAACTCTCGATCCACGGACCCCCGCATCCATGGGCATGCTCACGCTCACAAATTGTCATACTTGAACCCTCTCTCTGCAGCTTCCTGGATAGTAGACATTCAACGACACACCTTGCGGAGTCTTGAGTCAAGTTCATAACTCGACAGCATCCGCGGCATATATGTGTGTATATATGTGGGAGTTTAGTTTCCTCAAGTTCAAGTAGAAGAACCAAAACTAGGAGATGAGCTACACTCCAGTCTCCAGGGACCTAGACTGAACCGATAACATCAGCTCCTGGAACGTCTTGAGGAGTCGCTCATGCTCGCGACGGAGACTCTTGTACAGTTGTTCGAAATGGTCTTTTCTTCTGCTCACTCCCTCCAGTTCTTCCTTCAAAGAGCGCAACTTCGCTTGCGCTTCTTCTAAAGCTTGCTGTTGGCGAACCCGGAAGGCTCTTTGAGCTGCTCGGTTTTGTGCCTTCCGTCTCTGTGAGATGAAATGTCAGTGGATTTGATTTTCAGCTCAATCATCAAATGCCCACACTGACCTCATTCCGGGAAGCAATGGTGCCAATGGGCTCGAAGGGCCTATTCATACACTCTGGGCTGCTCGGTATGCCATTGCAATGACCGGATACATCCAGTACCATTGAAAAGGTGCCATTATTTAGATCGGCTTGATTCATACAAGGTAAGCTGGTTGAGTAACCCGCTATGTCCAGGTTTGGAGATCCTCCCAAACGCATGCCAGTATCATGAGCAGGCTGAAAGATTTCCGTGGCTGGGCTACTGCTGCTGGTGATCATGGCAATAGGCGACATCCCGCTCTGGAAGGAGCACACAGATATTGGGGGGCTCGTCGCAAGGAGGCCATAAAATTCGGGACACGTGCCACATTGGCAGGGCCCAAAGCTGCTGTCCGATAGCAGCACAGATTGGCTTCTGTGTTGTGGTGAGGACGACGTCGGTGTTCTCTCAGAAGGAAAGTCCTCTGCGCAGGCCATTTGAGAAGCCATGCACATTAATGAATCCACTGGATCGTCAGGTCGTCTGGTGTGCCTTAGTTCGGTCTGCCCGTGGAGAAATGTCGACTTCCCCGAGGAATCAGCGTTCAAGAGAGCAGATGAACTTTGATATCTGATTCCGTTTCAAGCCAGAATAGTATCAACGAGCCCTGGAGTTGGCGCAACACAGGGAGTACTCGGCACTGTAGAGAAGATCGGGAGATTGTTGTCGTACACCCGATTTAGGCACAATGATCAACAAGTGTGTATTGGCAATCGATGAAGCAATCTGAACAGGAAGGAGCCTCAAGCATAAATGTATTGCATCTCGCGAGCAGCAGGGAAGGTGAGCATTTTCCGACGGTAACTTCTTCCCATGTTACTGCCATGCGCTGCCAGTTTACCCGGCACAAAGGCGACGATTAGTGCTTGTCAGGTGGGAAGCATCAAGCGACTAGATAGACGGACTCATGTAGATCAGGCCACTAGGTCGCCAAGTCCAGGCACTCCTCAGCCACCGACTACCCTAAGGGCGCGTAGTCTGCGGCTGCCAGTGGGAGAAATCCTATACACCAGTCAGTCGCGCACTTTGCAATATCACCATATGTTACGGATTCAGCACCTGATTCGTGCAGGTCACGGTGGCCGCCATGGAGAAGAAAGACAGCCTCGAAGCAGTTGACGATATTCCACCCGTTGCCTAGATGCATGTCCCACCAAGGACGCAACCAGACGACAAGGAAACAGTGCCTAAATGTGCCGCTCGGGTGCTGCTTCTTTTAGGAGATGTAACATTACCTATTGGGGCAAATCCGCGGCACTGTACCGAGTACATTTTGAGAGCCGATTTAAGGCGCGTATGAGCTTTCCATCAGTATACCCCCTGCATAGGCTTGGTCGGGGCTCCCCCAGCATAGAAGTTACAATATACCCATATCTGGTGAAGGCTAAGACCTGTTCCCGCAGCCTTTCAGACCCGCAATCGCCTCTAGAAAATCTAGATCTGAGTGTCAGTAACGGTCTCGGTAGATTCTGCTCTCGACGTTCTTGCCTCGAAACTACCCTCTTTGGAACTCGGCCTTAGCCTGAAATGGTTTCTGTAAGATAATCAGTTTGGTTGGATAATCAACCTCAAGAGGTGTTGTTGGTCAAGTAAACATCAGGCACGGGATGCTCGACAGCCACAAATTTCCTTGGATGTCCGAGCTCATAATTTTTTCGAGCCTTGGCAGGACTTGGACTCGGTATTGGCAAACTTCTCTCTTTCCTTGGGCCTAACCGAAGCTCTGTCGGTTAGTTTTGAGGGCGAGACATGCCCATTGCCAGGGTTGGGATTTCGCAAGTTTGTTCGTCATGCCACCACCATGAACGGCGCACTTTTGAGCGAGTTTGGGGTCAGAGCTTCGTACCTGCACCTCCGACAAGTTGGCTACGGTGGCGGACACCAGAAAGCCCAGAGAGCGACAGCGAAACGAGGGTCGTCCTCCGCTTAGTCAATCGACCGTGGTGGTAATGTAAGCAAAATCCGCAAGGCTGGCGAGCAGGGGAGACAGTTACGAAGTTCCGTGTCGAGGCCAATCACAAGCCGTAACGTCTTTCCACGACATATTTAACCGATCGACTTGTACAGAAACGCCGTTGTTATTGGCTCACGGTTTTGGATTTCCGGTGCTCCAGTTCGCAACGGTTTCGGCAGGTGGTGGTACCGTCCGGACCCAGAAAGTTCCAAACAAGAGATGGAACCGCACAGCGAGGCTGGCGCAAACTTCACGTGCGATTCTTCTGGAAAGCTGCAGCCACGAGCTGTTCACTGCAATGATATATGTCCCTCTCGCCCCGTGGAGGTGGCTGCCCTCCAGAAGTGAATCCGGGTTCGGGTCAAAGATACCGGATTTATTGGTAGCGTGGTATGGAACCGATCGCTCCCTTGCACGATGGGATGGTTGTGACAAGGGTCAAAGATGCAGACTAACAGCTCTGCAATATGTCGAATACGCGTAGGTGCATCCAAGTCGACGGTAGGAGACGTGGATTTCTCGGGTACAACCAGGCGGGAATTAGACACTGCAACCGTACCATTGACAGCTATATCATTGTGTAAAGGCTGGAAGTGTTTTCAGGATGCATTACTGATGGTCCCCAACACAGTCCCATCCAGCGTGCCGAGAATGAAACCTGGATCGTGCGGACTTACGACTATATCGAACTCAATTAGGCAAAAGGCATCCTGGTTCACATATCTGGTGGAAATCTGGTGGGCACACTGCCTCTTTGGGCTGGTCCTCGGGGTAACCTCCGCCAGCATCACATCCAGATAGGCAGGGACAGGCGAAGCGCAAGGGACTGCGCGCGGGCCAGAGTTCCCAACACATCAACCACAGTGACTTGAAGGAAGTGCATGTGTCAGTCCGGCCACTATTGTTCTGGCCACGGAGGCGTGGTCGACTCTGCAATTCTGTGGCAAGTGTTGGAGGGCGGCTCTTGACTGCTTTGTCCGTGATTGTGAAATGGGTTCCGCTCATGTGAAGATCTCTCTGGTCCTTGGGATGTTCTCAACAAGCACATCGGCGGATTTAAACCATCAGCCATCCACTCGCAAATCCTGGATACAGCGTGATGCGAGCAAAGAGTGATTTCCCACTTGATAACTGTTGTGCAGACAGATTTTCGATGGCTGCCGGTCTCAGCCTATGAATACCGCGACATTGACATGGAAGACTTTAGCTCTTCCAGGCGCTGGCATGTCTGCAGCTAAACTTCGGCGATCCAAACGTCGTATTTGAGGCCGTATTACAAAACACGCATACCCCCTTACATAAACTAGCACTGCAGAGGACATGTGGTTGTCATCAAACCGTTGGCGAATCGCTTCAATGGTGCGCCCGTGGAATCACTTGTGGCACAAGACAACGTGTGAACGAAAGGACGGCACTGATGGATGTGTGGATCCCTCGAGCTTGGAGGCTACCCAAGAACGGCTGCCTATTCCATCGACGGGGCGTGCTCCTGCAACAGAGGGATGTGGAGTTGTACGGGTCAACTCTGCCGAAATCCGTTGCAAAGCGCTGCTGCGAAGATCTGGCCTCTCTCCTGATGATGGCGTGTTATAAATTGGTGGACACTTCCTATTCCGAGTTGATTGGCTAGCATGATTGGCCGGTCTGGCGCATAGCCACGATGCAAGCAAAATCGTTGGCAATTGACCCGCGAGAAGCGTCATGAGGAATGGTACAATACCTGTGTATCCTGCCCAGATCCCACGTCGACTGGTGGGCCGAGATCTGAGGCGATAACGTTCATAGAACGACCGGTGGTGTCTGGAAGCTCATTTAGCCATATAGAACCTCACAGACGCCGCCGATAGGCACATCCATAACCGCATCCGTCCCTTCGTTCCAGACGAGCTTCCAGTTCGGGTGTGTCGGGTAGGCTTCTTGTGTCTCATAATCGGCCCGGGTCCGAGTTGAATGCGTAGTTGTTGGAATGAAAGGATACATTGGAGGATTGTTGTATGAATTGGCCGTCGGCCGGTCGTTGCGGAGAGAGAACTTTGCGGAATGAGCAGATGCAGTAGACTGGTAGTCCCAGGCTCGAATTTCTGATGGCGGGGGAAGCTCGATACTTGCTCGAGAGGGTTTTCGCTTTCCTTTGTCCTTTGATCGATGGGATGCTTCGACTCCAGCTCTGGAGGACTTTCTCCCTTTCCCGCTCTTGGTTCTCGCAGTCTCCATGTCCCGCTCAAGCCTGACTCGCTCTTCTAGCTCCTTTACCAGTCTTTTACTTCCCCCCTTCCTAATTCGTCCCGACCCATCAAGTATAGCCACGTTTGCAGCGTCATCAACCATGCATTCCAGACTTGTCAGCGGAAGAGTAAGATATTCGACGTTGTAGCTCAAGAGAGCAACATAGATGAAAATAAGAAGCATGACAATCCAGGCAGGTATGGCGAGAGACCACCATCTGTTCGGGTAGTAAGTAATCCCTAGAGCGTGAAGGAAAGGAGATGGAAGATATGACCATAGGATGTAGATCAGAAAGGCGAGTGTTGAAGCCAAGTACAACACAAAGCCGTAGTATTCGTACGTAGGGACTTTGGGTGATGTCGGCGGGACCGGGTGTGCGCGTCGAGCGGAATGTGCGACAGCTGCTTCAGTGTCGTTGGGGGTTTCCGCGTCGGAGCTGTCGGGTGTGGTAGGCCGAGTTGAAGCAGTTGAGCGATTCAGCAAAGATGGAGGCCGGAGTAGAGAAGTTAGGCTGGGAGACGGTGGCAGGGGAGTCGGGGGTCGATTGTAGAATGGAGGATAGAGCGGAGGAGGGGGCGGAGGAGGGAGAGCTGTGGTTGACTGCGACGTGTGCAGACCCTCTCTCGGATGCTGTGCTGGAAAATGCACTGATGTCTGTGAGAGCGTGGGTCGAGCTGGCAACGACCGCACACGAGACAACGAGTCCGGTCTTTCTGAGGCCGGCGGCCGATGCTCCCCTGGATCTGCAGCACCATCTTGATCTTGTTGTTCTTCGTCGTCGTAATTCTCGTTCTCCTTAGCGACGATTTCCCCGTCGGCCTCAACTTCGTCTCCTTCATCATCGGATGCCGAAGACTCCTGACGAGAGTAGTGCGACTCGAAATCATCGTCGTCTAAAGTCACACCCGCCATGTCAAGGTCGACACCTTCCTGTTCGAGTCCGCTCTCCTCCAATGGTGAAGCTCTTCCGGACGGAGGAAGCGCATGAATGTACCCATCTTCGCTTATTTCCTGAGCTTCGGCACCCAGTTCAAACGCGGTTGCGGCTCGAGATCTTTGAGGGCTTGGTGTCGGCGTGGAGATGTCGCGGTCCGGGACAATCATGCGAGGACCTGTAGGAGTACGTTGATCACTGGGGATCAATGCGGTTGGGGAGGGCAGGTTTTCTAGGTAGGGCCGCAGCGTGGGTGGAAGCGCGTCCGATTTCGAGTAGGGCCGTGGGCCTAGAGCAGGCGAACCCCCTCTGCTCTGAGGCGGCATCTCTAGGGTCTCTAGAAGCCGAGTGTGTGAGGGCCACTTGCGAAACTTCACGCGTATGAGAGACAAGGAGAAAGTGGCAGTACGTCAACGAGGCTGTAGATCACGTGATAGATCTGGACGAGGCTGAACATCGCGAATATCAACGCATACCACGTGGATGGGTAAAAACAAGGCAGCCCTGACTCAAGAGTTCCAGAAAACATGATATTTTCGTCCTTGCGTCAAATGACGTGACCTTTAGAGCCTCGAAATGCCTTTACTAGTACTATACTTTTGTACAATATCGCTGATAAGATCCAATTCGTAACATCATCAAAGAGTACAGTCGCTCTCGTTCCTGGAAATGTTTAATGCCAGACCTCTTTCTCAACGACAGGTCGGTCCAATCATCTTTGCGCGAATCCCTCGACGCTCCGCAAGCCCAACCCTATGTGACCCCCACTGCTCGTTGCCCTGGTCGAAGTGAAGGAGCCTGCACTACTTTTCCCCGTCCGAGGAGAAGGCAGAGGCGGAGTGGGGAATTGAGACAAATCAAACGGCTGTGGTTTCTTCGGGGTCATCAGACCGGGGTTCATCGGTACTGGGACATCGTGTTTAGTGGTAATCTTACCCAATCCTTTGATGGCTTGTCCAATACTCTCACTTCGTCTCCGGAGGGCGGAGAAGGATTTCTTTCTCTGCATGGCTGGTCTATTGGCCAATGGATCTGAAGCTTCTTCATCTGCTGGGGGAGTCGGGAGAGACGGTAATGCCGTCATGTTGGAGCTGATGGGTCCCACCATTGAAGCCGAAGCATTTTGGGATGTAAGGGGTCGCGTGATCGAGGAAAGGTTGTTTGAACTTGTAGACGCGGCCGGGTTTTTCATCACAGAATAAGCGTCTGCAGCAAGTGTACTTGCAGTGGACGGTCTGCTCACATGACTTGAAGGCCGAGACGATGATCGTGTGTGTGGTAGGGGCGTCGTCGCAGTAGTGGGCGTCTTGATGAAGCTCTTGATGCTGCTCATACGTGCGTGGCTTAGTGCCGTCGACAATCGCGGCATGCTGGATTTCCTATCGGCTTTGGACCTGGACGGCTCCTTCGTAGACAAGGGCAGCGATTCTTGACTCGCGTTGGCGATGAGCTCAAAAGCATTCTCAGGTAAGCTTGGGACCTCGAATCGCGTAGCTTCTGCAGCAGGGAATCCAGAATGCACACTGCTCATCGACTGACGCTTAGATGGTCGCTCCGGCGTTTGCGGCACAGTAAGCGACAGAGGACTCTGCATGGAGGCCGTCCGTCGTTTGCCTCGGTGGCTGAGGCTGACGATAGATATTAGTGAAGGTCGAGATTTTGGTTGCTGGTAGGATATTGGTGTGGCAGTTTCGATGGGTGAGAAGGTGTCTTCATTTTCAGATTCAGGGCTGAGGACCTCGGACAGCGGAGAGTCGAGGACTGCGGAGTAGCGGTCGTATCTGAAGTCGGACCAGGAAGCCAGAGAAGCCTGGAGGAGAGGTTTCGGAGAAGGTGGCACGACAACCCGAACCTTGTCTACCTCCATCTGTTGAAGGACCTCTTCCTCGTCCGGTATCTGTATTTTGAGACCCGCCATCTGATCCGGCCCCGGCGAGGTTTGTTTGCCAAAGGTAGCTCTGTTCTGGGCCATTTCATCTGGTGTCAGAATACTCCTCTCCGAAGGCGTCTCTACAGACGAATCTCGATCAAAGCGCTCAGCGTCCATGTCGATCTCGTCTGCAGAGTTCTCCTCGTCAGGCCCATCCGTGGGCTCCGATACATGCTCCGCCATATGATCATACATCAAAATCCTCCTCTTGTGTTCTGCGAGCTTCTCTCGGTCTAGCGCCTGTTGCTGTTGTCGTTCTTGGAACTTTTTCCTTCGAGCAGAAGCGGAGCTCAGCTTTCGAGTCTTGAGGATCTGATCCATGGTGGTGGAAGTGGTGAGGCTGGCAGAGGGCGTGGGGAGGTCGGATGATGGCGGCAACGAACTGTTGCGCAAAGTCATGCGTGGAACAACGGGCAGCAAAATCTGGAGAAGTTTAACGAGGTTCCTGAGAAGGCCTGGCTGCTAGAGGCAGCTGTCACCTGGAACTCTAAAAGTAGCAGGATCCGTTTGATGGCATTGAGGCTGCGCCAGGGTTTTCAAATGGAACAGGGCCAACCCAGCGACACAGATCGGGCCATGACACAGGACAGCGCCAGACTTTCAAGCCTTGCCAGCTTTGATGGTTCAAGCGAGCAAAAAATACAAGGTGCACGCCACGAAGGACCACTCAGGCTAAAAATGAGAGTGGTCGACCAGGATTTTGACGAGAAAACCAAAAAGCCCGACCCAATAAAGAGACTTGGATGATACCTGATTGAGTATGAGAGGCAACTCTATCTCGCAGACGAGAGAGCCGGAGAAAAAGGAAAAGCGACGATCAGGTCCTCCAAGCGAGAGTGAGATTGCAGGAAGCCTGGAGGTGAGCCCCCAGACGAGCACGAGCCAGACTGAGGAAGGGAATCTGCCCTTGGAGCTTTTGATGAAAAGTGTCAGAGGTTGCTGCACGTTCGAGGGGAAGTGGAGTAGACGGGAACTCTGGTGGAGGACCGACGTTTCATCGCCGGTACACTCTGCAACGAATATGTGGGCTCATGGGCTGGCCTAGCGTCAGCAACGCTCGGAAAACTGCCGAATTGGCATAGGTCGAGAGCCTTTGCAGCTGGTATGTATCGATGTTTTCTTTTTCTTAGTGAGCATTTCCGCTTGAATCGTAGCAACAACATCCAGATGGGATATATTGGTTGTTCTGGCGTCTTCATACCGACCGTCCAATTGAGAATGTGGAGAGTGGATGGCGGCATCAGCCCAGTGATCGGCCCCTTCGGCTAGCAAGCAGAAAAAACGTCAAACTTGAAATCGAGATGGACTTATTCCTTGTACGTACACCGCCCGCGCCATTCCGGGGAAAGCGCCAGGTACCGGGGACCAGACACAAGACGCCCGACCTCGGTTGCAATGGGAGCAGTGGCCGAACAAGTCGAAGGGACCTCAAGCTAAATTAGAGCAGTGAACAGATCCATAAAGGTGATAGCGAAGTGTGACGAGGCTTGAGCGGTATCCAACCAACGGCGGTTAAGGGCGCCAAAGGACTGATCCCCCAGCGGCGGGCTTGATCCACTCCGCGCATTGTCGTAAAAGCCACGGCCCAAGGCACGGGTTTCGTGCAGAAAACGGACGGGAGGAGAAAACTGTGGGATCCATGCTCAAACACGTGCCCTCCCTCTCTTGTCTCGACCACGTCTGACGACTGTCAATGACAGTGTCTGTTGTCGTGGTTGGCTACAGTCTCAAACGCCACTTTGCCGGGGTCCAGCCCCTTGCGTACGTCTTGCAAGGCGAGGCGTAGCCAATGCTCGGGCTTTGGGGGAAGATAGCAAATCTGAATCTGTCTCTTCTAGGCTCAGGCGTGAACAGGTGACCGGCGGTGTGCAGGATGCGTTGCCATTCAAGTAAGTGCCCGAATTCGAAAAGGTGTCCAGGTATGCAGGAGGTAAGAGAGAGAAGCTACCTATGGGGGGAGATGTACTTCCTAGGTTAAAAAAAGGGCTGTCATTTGAAACATCAAGCTGGTGGCGCCCGTGAGTCCCACAAGTCGTTGGAGTGGCGACCACGTCATTTGAAGTGTCAGACCAGTTTACCCCTTTTCCGCGCCCCGAACGATACACCCACGGAGTATAGCACCAGCTTAAAATCATTCCCGCTTCGACTACTGCGTACGAGCTGCAGTAAATTAGATGCAAGTCCCCGTGCTTGTCATACGGACTACTTGGTGCTAATTGGGGATAGGCAATCACTATTCCGCCTGCTGATCTTGCTCCTTCAGTCTCGCTTGTTGAGACTGGGGGCATTCACTACTCCGTACCCCATATATTGATATCCTCGTCTCTCCTTGAAGTCCCGGTGTCACATGAGGTCCGAAAATCAGTTGTGCGGTAACACGGAAGAAGAGGATGGTTTGGAAGCTCCGTATAAAGTGGCACATGCCGCCTATGTCTGCTTCAGGGTATCTATGAAAGCTCCAACTCCTCCTTACTAGCTTGAACATACCCTTTTCTTGCTTACAGCTCGCCGAAAGGAGGGATACCTGGAGACTTTGACATCTCGCACTCCCCATAGGCCCTTGTCCACCGTTGTCGTTTGGTGACAAGCGTGCAGATCCTGCGGAGCACCGACTACTGAATCCTTAAAGGCGGGTTGCATTCCACTCTGCCATCCATCCTTTGGCCGCTTCTACGATTTGCCTTTGTGCGTTGGCGACCGGAGCCGGTGGCAGGCTTGGTGTTGTCTCATTTGGAAACTTCAAGATGCAGAAAGTCAGCGTCATGCCAGCAATGGGGAGAAACTAATCCGATAAGTCCGTCGGCCTTGCTTCTAGAAAGACTCACCAAACCGTTTTCGTCCCAGTGATGCACTGCTCCTTGAATCAAGATGACGGGCTCGCTTGGCGTACTCGTTTGGTTCAGGACATCGGGTTTAGCCAACGTCGCCAACGCGGTAGCGGGGCGCCAGGGGTCGGCCTGACCTCCTATGGTCGCCAGTCTCGGATAGGAGATGTTGTAGCCGCCGTATTTATTTACAGCGTTGACGTTCGGCGGAGTGGTAATGTTGAATGCATACCGGCAAACTTGCGTCAGATACTCGATAGTCAGCAGACGGGATACGAGAGGAAGTCGGTCATTCGGAACATTGGCTCCGTCTTGAATATAGCCCCATTCTTTACAGTACTGATATGCCCATGACAGTGCAACATAGTTGGTGATGTTCTTGTCGGCATACATTGGCGCTGACGCATTGTGAGTGCCGTAGCACTCATCGAGCGTGCCATCGCACGACCCAGCGTAACTGTTGTTAGTCCATGCCAGCCAATTGAGCATCGGATTCAGCAGTTGTGCGCTTTCATTTCCCCATCCACCCGCCGTGATAAGCGCGGTAGCGTTGGACTTCATGCTCGAATAGCTGGGCCAAAGAAGAGTGTCGGAGCTGATATTTCCGCAATAGTAGCTGAACTCTGGACTGTTGACGGCCGGGTCCCAGTTTCTCGACTGCCACCAGCCAATTCCGTTTGATGCTAGGCTTGCCACATCATCATTGTGCGTGAGGCCCTGCAAACCGAACCCCTCCTTGAGTTGTGCGACGGTTTTTGCGTCATTCTTCTTGAGAATGTTATCCATAATGTTGATCAGCTTTGTTTGTGCTGCGATACACGCCGGTGGACCGTACTGGCGAACCGGTTCATAGTAATCCCAGTAGTCATAGATGGCTTCTACGACTCCAGACGATGAAATTGCGCCCCAGTAAATTTCAGGGTATAACTTGCGCAAGAATGCGACGACACCCCCAGAGTAGGAACCGCCGTAAGCAAGATAGGGTGTGCCAGGAGCCGTCAAGTTGAGATGCTCCAGCCCCGGAAAGACGATATGTGATGCAAAGTATGCTTGATCGGCAACGGCCTGGTCTGTGGATAAGAACCGCAGGTTCTCGGTCGAAAGGTTGGCTGTAGGGAAGCTCTTTCCATAATACCTATGTTCCAACACCACGCCGATGCCGTTGAGAGCCGATGCTAACTGGTAGACAATTCCTTTCTGGAGGTACGGCAGGCGCGTGCTAGCGTCTGCCTCTCCGCTCTGCAGCACTATCACAGGGCCGCCGGGCTTGTAGTACGTGGCGTCAAAATAGTAGCGAAGATTGAAGGTCTTGTTTGAATGTGGCTCGTATCGGGACTCGTTGTGGAAGTGATCCACTGGCATAGAAATGTAATGAGCAGGGTACAGCTCTGTTGGGTCAACATCCTGTCGTACGGTCAACCTGTGAGGTGCAGGCGGTAGATTCCTGTGTGATGTCAGTCAATACTTCGATGATAGTTAGCCAACTTACGTGGCTTGCACCAGCCCAGAGAGGACAGCTGCTAGGACAGCATATAAGTTTCTCATTTTGCAAAAATCAAGGCCGCGATGGAGGAACAAAAGAGAGAAGGACAGAAAGAGGAAAACAAAGGAAACCGGGCTACAGGGAGTTCTTGTTCCCACGCCCAGGTCTCCTGTGCGACCAACCTGGTTTTTGCCTCTGAACGCAACAGTTGCAGCATCCGGGAACTCATCTAACCCCGCATGTGGAAGTAATGGCACCTTAAACGTCAACACTCAGAAGTCATTATCGGGAAGCTCCAGAAGCTTGTTGGCCATGATATATAGCACTGCAACGTTGACTGGGAAGAAGGGCAACAACCTACGACCCAAGGGGAAGGTGGACAAGTGATCTCTGAAGCATGCATGCGGAACAGCCAATATCAGCGCAGACGCAAGTGGAACGAAGGAAGGACGCAGATCGTAGATATACGCCCACCATACGGAAGCCCGCGCGAGTTGGAGAACGCGCCCCAGCCGATAGTGATGAGTGATTGGAGATAAGGATAACAAGCACCTCGGCAGTGTAACAAGCACGTCAGATCTCCCGGCGGCCCCGCGCACATGTGCCGCATCAGTGCTGGAAGTCGAGCCAATGTGCGCTGCATGCGGCCACCCATGTTGAGGCTGCAGGAGAGGAATACGAGCGAGGCTGACGCTCCAAAGGATATGGAATTCCAGAGCGGTATATAGACGGAGAGACGCAGAGTGAAGGTGGAAGACAAACTCAGACGGCTGTGGATGGTGTTTGGAGCTGGAGGGTTGGCCGGCGAAGGTGGCCTAGAAGCTTTTGGACACAGGGGGAATTCCGCCGCCACAGATACCCTCGTAGAAGGATGGCGGTCGCATTACAGCTTAGCACTGGCGCATCGAGGAGGCAAGAAAGCGAGCTGGAACAAGCCGTAGGTGGCCACTTCGCGGGTTCTTGTAATCAGAATCCTACATACCTCCTGCTGCTTTAAGCGTAAGCTCAAGGTTCATGCCAAGCTTTTTTAGGTCTAGCAGTTCAAGATCCCGTGACTGGAAATGACGTCGATGACCCAAAACGGCAAAAATCTCTCCTTCCTAACTCGGAGTCCCGAAGCCAAGACGCTCGACGCTATTCCCATTTTGGAACTGAAGTTCTATCAAAAAGGCCATGAGATTCACCGACTCCCACTTCTGTCAGATTCCCTTGTTCCTGATCTCTGAAGATGAGAGGCCTTGATCTTCTTACTGCCCATTCGCCAGCAGAACCCGTCCCCCATCGACACAGAGGCATCTCCCGTCCACATAAGCCTAATAGTTGGCATATTATTAGCACATCTCCCCCTTTTAGTCCCAAGCACCCTTTAACTTACCCCTGCTTGGCTGCTCAAATATAGCACCGCTCCTGCAATGTCCTCCATTTTGCCTATCCTTGCTGCTGGCATTGCCTTGAAGAGCTCTGCAAACTGATTCTCGCCTTCTTCAACCGGGTTCATTCTGCTGGGAACAACTGTGACCAAGTTCAGCTATTTCCAAACCGCATCCGCGTATCGGGTTAACCTACAGCCTGGATTGATAGCATTGACTCTGACGTACCCTGGACCCTCGGTGTAATCAGCTCCGTTGCCGGCTCTGGACCTGCGGACGTGACGGCGGGGAACACTCACATCTGGCGAATTTGCTCGCAAGCAGCGCAACCAAATGATCAATGGCCGCTTTGCTGGCAGCATAGCTGGTCAAATCGACATTTGTGCAGTTATGCATGCTAGCACAACTGCTGGTGATGATCATCACCCCTCGACCCTCATCTCGACCCTTACGGCCATTCCCAAGGTCGAGGTTGCTAGCTGCCACCAGCAACTTCAGCAGTGCAACCGACAAGAAGTAGTGAGCTGTGACATTGACACGGAAAGTATCGTCCCAGTCCGAATGTCGTGAAGACCACAGAGACTCTTGTAGCTCATCCAAAGACGCCGTCTTGACGTTGCACATCTTTGGCGGGTCTCTCCTGATTCCGGCGTTTGAACAGAGAATGTCCAGGTGAGTTTCATGCTTTTCGAGTTCTCTTGCAACAGCTGCAATCCCTTCTTTTGAAGACAGATCGCTCGCAAATCTGTCAATTCGTCAGCCAATCATCCAATTGCATTGCCGGGAGGCATGGCGAGACGTCTACCCAACGGCCTGTCCCCCAGACGGCGTTCCAATTTTATTCAGCTCGGCAACGACCGCTTCAATGTCGTCCGTCGGCAAGGCAGTGACATATACCTTTGCACCATTCGAAACCAGACCCTATTTCACATCGTCAATCCGAATTCTGATTGCGACCGCGAGATGGATTCCGCTCACCTTTGCAATCATCAACCCAAGGCCCGAGCATCCCCCGGAAACCAGGGCCACTCGACCCTTGACACCAAACAGATCAGCCACAGAAAGTGAGGACATTCTCGACCGGTGATCAGACACATTGAGATTGGCGAAAGGCCCGTTGATGGTCTAAAATGCAGGACACCAAGCCTCCACTGCGGCTCTTGCCGCTAGAAACCGCCGCCCGTTGTTCTCCGTCCTTTCGTCCATATGCTCGCGCAAGTCCGCAAGCTCGCCCGTCCATACTTGATCGACGTTTTCTTTCACAGTGGAGAGTTTCCGAGGTTATAAAATTCGCCTCTTCTTTGAGTCCTTTCCCTTCTGCTTCTGGACGTATACGTCGAGCCTTGGAAGGTTGGGATATCGAGATTGATCCAAGGGACCATGACAGCAATGGCGCCTTCAGTGGCTGGGCTCTTTCAAGCTATCAATCATGACTACGCAATCTGGACCATCGCAGGCCTTTTGATTCTCCTTGGGCTCTATAAGGTCGGTGTCACGATTGATCTCCTCTTTCCCAAGCTGACATCAGTAGTGGTCAACTGCAACCGACATCCCAAAGATCAAGGGCATTCCAGAGATTCCTGGTGCTCTCCCAATCCTTGGACATCTCCAGCAGCTGGGGCCCGACCATGCCACGGTTTGCGAAGGGTGGTGGCGGAAATATCGACAATCCGTCTTTCAAATCCGTCTGGGAAACACAAGAGCGGTTGTTGTAAATTCTTTCGAAGACGCCCGGCAGATGCTCGTTGGCAATCAAACCGCTGTTATCGACAGACCAACATTGTACACGTTCCATGGCGTGATCTCCACCACTCAAGGATTCACAATTGGGTCCAGCCCGTGGGACGCATCCTGTAAGAACAAGCGAAAAGCTGCGGGACAGGCTCTCGGCCGCCCTGCGATGAGGGGCTATTTCGACATGTTCGACCTGGAGTCCTATTGCATTGTGCGTGACCTCTTCCGCGACAGCAAGAATGGTGAAGTTGAGATAGGCGTGCGACCCTACATTCAACGATATGCCTTGAATACCACCCTGACCCTCTGTTATGGCATCCGAATGGACAATGTCTACGACGACATGCTGAGAGAAATCTTGCACGTGGGATCGGCAATCTCACTCCTGCGTTCGGCCTCGGAAAACTATCAAGACTACGTGCCAATTATGCGTTACTTCCCCAACAACGAAAAGATTCGTCGGTCAAAGGAGCTTCGTGATCGTCGTGACCGCTACCTGAATTTCCTCCTCAACAAGGTCCGAGACATGATTAAGAAAGGCACCGACAAGCCTTGTATCAGCGCCGCTATCTTGAAGGACGAAGAGACCAAGCTGACCGGCGTCGAAGTCTCGTCGATTTGCCTCTCGCTTGTTTCGGGCGGCTTCGAAACAATCCCGGGCACCCTGACTTCATGCATTGGCTCTCTTGCCACCAAGGAAGGTCAGATCTTCCAAGAGCGCGCCTATGAGGATATCATGCGATACTATGCGGATCCGGCGGCTGTTTGGTCAAACAGCTTTCAGGAGGAGAAGGTTCCGTATGTGAATGCTATCATCAAGGAAGCCGCTCGGTACTACACCGTCAGCGCCATGTCCTTGCCCCGCAAGACGGTGACCGAAGTTGACTGGAATGGGGCCAAAATCCCAGCCAAGACGATGATCCTCATCAACGCCCAAGCGGCGAACCACGATGTTGACCATTTTGGTCCGGATGCTGCGGTATTCAACCCAGAGAGATGGCTGAACGACGAGTACGTGACGCGGCCGTCGTCCACGGCGCCTGAAGAAAAGCCCAGCCAGGGCATCCAGCATTTCTCCTTTGGCGCGGGGTCCCGAGCCTGCTCTGGCCAATTCATAGCCAGCCGCCTCTTGTACACTGCGCTGGTAAGGCTGCTGGTGTGCTACAAGATCGTGGCCAGCGAGACAGAGCCTCCGAACACGGATTACGTTGACTACAACCAGTTCAAGTCGGCGCTCGTGGCCATTCCCAGAGATTTCAAGGTCAAGCTCATTCCCAGGTACGATGAAAGCGTGATCCAAGACGTCATGGCTGCGGCGGCCGAACGAACAAAGGATTACTACAGTGAGGAGAGCTGAAAACCACACTGGCCAAGTCCTCTTCCCTTTTTCTCTGCCCCTGCCCTTGGAGCGAGCGAACCGCGCTCGGAACAGCTTTTAAGATCTCGTGCAAAACAGCATCATGATGTTACGATTTTGAACTTTTGATGAGTTTGGAATCCAATTGGCTAAACTGGATGGGAAGCTTCTTGTCATGGAAAATTAGGGCTAATCAGAATGCCTTTGGAAATTGATGTTGTTGATACAGAACCTTGCATTTGGTGTCATCAAGCATCATTTGGGATCTTGTCGAGATTGCACCGCCCAGAAGCGTGCGGTTTGAAACCAGGTACATAAAGCGATCAAGATTATATGAACCTTTTCTTCAGTCTGCCTCTGCGAACCTTTGTAACATACACTGCCTCTCCATTTTGACTTCTCTCATCGTCTACGACCAGAGCCGCCACAATTTTGGACTTCCACAATTGGCAATTCGTTGAACAGCGGATCTACCATTGCGATTTTCCTCCTAAAGTACCCATTGCTCTCACGCTCCTTCTCGACCACGAGAGTCACGAAGAAGAGAAGGCCAGAGGATAACAGGCTGATTTGAACGGTCCAGAAGGACGAAGACGGTTTTGATTTTCGATCCATTCTCAACCTCCACTTCTCGGTCTGGTCTCGGTCTTCGTCCTTGGTGGTGACCAGGTTGTCTCTGTGAGAACTATTTTTGGGGACTTCGCATGTACATGCATTCTTCGTCACAATAGACGGACGAGTACCTGGACTCGCCTTTCACTACGGACATCTGCGTCGTTCTGGATCAACCCGTTGAGTTCGCTGATGCGGAGAACAACGTCGCTTATCGTTCCAGTTCAACCTTGTGGTTGGGCATGAGACTTCTACGTCGGAGAGGGGATTGTCGAGATCATGAATATTTACTTACTAGTCGAGAGCGAAAGATTATCAAAAAGGCAATATCGATGAATATCATTTTGAGTTTCTTTATTGATTCTCCTACTCTTCTACAATTTGGAATTTTAGACCGACTTTTGTTCTTTGAGTGGGAGGAGGAGATCTCGAATCTGCCTTCCCTAGGCTGAGAGGCTGAGGAGTGACACGATATAGACTATAATTAGACGACACGCGCTCTGGGAAGAGAAGAATACCGGCGAGCTTCTCGTGCACTCGCTGCCCCGGTCTAGACCGCGAGCTAAGGAGACGGGGGGAGGCGTCATCATCGTCGCTGAGAGACTGAGCCTAGGGCCTGCGGACTTGAGCTTGAGCTAAGACTCTGACCGAATCTTGAGAGGGAAGCGACTGCGGGTCAACGCACACCACTGTTCCATGCGCGCCCATGTCCATCGGTTCACTCAAGTGTATGAGGTAATTTGACGGGCGCACCTGTGCGAAGAAATCACGAAAACATCTCAGACCGTGCGAGTGGTTTCGGCGACTTACTACACTCTTTCAGGGTAGGCAGGCTCTAGATCTCGCGAGGAGACAGAGAAGAACGGGGGAAAAAGGAAAACGAAAGGGAAAAGAGTCTGACCCCGCGACACCAGATCAGTTCCAATACAGATCACAATGACATCCTCAACAGCGCGCCCTGAAATGGCAGAAGCAGACATGGACGTCGACGTGCTCATCGTCGGCGGCGGGCCCGTGGGTCTCAACCTGGCATACCAGCTCCGGCGGTTCTCGTCGGCGCCGATCAACCCGGACCCTTCCGGCTCACCGATCTCAGTGCACGTCGTCGAGATGCATCCCAAGCCCGTGCAAGAAAACTTTGGACGCGCCGTGACCTTCTGGCCGCGCTCGATGGAGATCCTCGCCCAGATGGGTCTCGCCGACCAAATCACGCAGCAGTGCGTAGCGGTGCGGTCGAGCGCCGCGTACGACAAGACGGGCACCGAGGTGTTTGGTCGCGGGTGGAGTTTCGTCGAAGGGCTAGAGGACACGCGGTTCACGTTCGCGAGCGTCCTTCGCCAGAAGTTTGTCGAGGATATTTTCCGCGCTGAGCTGGACAGGTTGGGCGCCAAAGTGAGCGAAAATTGCAAATTTGTGGATCTGACTGTGGATGAAGCGGTCAAGGTTGGTGGGAAGGGGAGGGTCAAAGCTAGGATCTTGGATCGCAGTGGCGGGGACGGACACGAGAGGGAGTATACTGTCAAGTGTCGGTACCTCATTGGCTGTGATGGGTCCAGGACGCTGGTGCGCGGCGCCGCAGGGATCGAATCTGACGGAGACCGCACCGAGGATAAGTGGGTGAGAATTGACGGGGTTCTCAAATCCACGACGATGCCGAAACCCAGGTCCTATGGCGCAATCGAGAGTCCGCTGTACGGCAATGTCCTCTGGATTCCGCTCGACCACGGGGCCACGAGGATTGGATTCGCGCTGAACGACGAGCGGAGGAAACTGTACAAGGAGCTCAATCAGGAGGTGTTTGTGCAAGAGGCCAAATTGTCTGTCAAGCCCTTCGACATTGAATACGAGAGGGTGGATTGGGCGAGTGTGTACAGTGTCGGGCAGCGGGTCGCGAGAAATTTCTGGGCCAAGGAGTCGGTCTTTATCGCTGGTGATGCGGCCCACAGCCACAGCTCGGGAGCCGGCCAGGGGATGAATGCTGGTATGCACGATGCAGTGAACCTCGGCTGGAAACTGGCGCTGGTGTTGACAGGCGTGCTGAAGAGGGAGGTCCTGGAGACTTATGAGCTGGAGAGAAGACCGAATGCACGGAAACTCATCAAGTATGACGAAGATATCAGTGTTCTCGTCTCTGGGAGGCTGCCGAAGGACTGGCCGGGTGATAAAACCGAGGATCCGAATGTCGTTTTGGGAAGGATATTGCAGGAAGCCAAGGGATTCAATACTGGCTTGACCATCGGCTTTGAACCGAATATCGCTGTTTCCAGGAATGACAGTGGAGAGGACGCTGAGCTGGTGGCCAAGCGAACAATCATCCCAGCACCGGCCATATCAGGCTACCGAGCACCAGATGTTAAGGTATTGACGCCCGCATTGTGGGAACCTGTCTGGCTGCATACTCTGATGGCGAACTTGGCGAGGTTTTATGTGGTCGTCTTCATGGGCAGGTCGCCGGAGGCAAAGACTTCGTTCAGCAAGATGAAGGAAGACGTGCAGAAGAACCAACACCTGAGACTTGATAGGGTCCCGGGAACTGCACCGGCAGCAGCAACGAATGGAGCCCACATCAATGGATCCTCAGGATCCCAGCAGCCTCGAAAATGGCCTGTGGACTTTCTTACCATCTTACCTGAGAAGTTCGGTAATGCCTGGTTCGAGCTGGGGACGGATCCATTGGGCAGAGTGTATTATGACGGCGATGGAGGCCATGCATACCAGAGATATGGTGTTGAAGTTGACGCGGGAGCCGTCTTCGTAGTGAGACCTGACGGCTGGATTGGAGCCAGGTTCGGACTTGGATCGGACAGCATTGTGGATGAGGTGGATGCGTATCTGGGTGGACTGCTTTACCGATAGATACCAGATAGACGGAGGCACATATAGATCGTGACGACCCGTAGCAGCCACGAAGGATGTCGAGTTGGCGTGAGGGGCTACGGAGGAGTAAGCCACATAAGGCGTAGGATACCGAGGAGCATATAGCCTCGGCCTTGCCCGCTGCGGAGAAGCTGGAGAGGGTCACGTGTTACGCTAAACCTCTTTTGGAGCGATACGGAGATGCGCGAAGTTGCTTATCAGACGCGCAGCTGGACGCAGCTTCGTCTTCCCCAGAAGGCCAGTTCAATAATGGGGCTTAATCCATTCGCCGGCACCAGCACCGACCAGTCCGTGAGACGATTGGACTTGCTCGATCAACGAGCGAGTTAAAGTGCCGGCCATCATGCATCCAGATCCCCAGACTTGCTGGCCCTGCTGCCACGTTCTTGCAGGTCTATCATGGATGGTTTCGACCTTCTCGTCATCAATGGGCTTGTGGTGACTGCCTCTGACACCGCCAACTACGACATCGCCATCAAGGATGGCAAGATTGCGCTCTTGGCCCCGCCGGGCTTGCTGGGCCCGAGTAGTGCGAAGAGGGTGATTGACGCCGAAGGTGGCTATGTGATGGTATGTATCTGGTCATGTTCCTGCTGTGCGGCTCTTGAATGCTGAACGTCTCTGGTTGTAGCCCGGCGGTATCGATTGCCATGTCCACCTCGAAGAACCTGCGCTGTTTGGCGGCAAGGGGAGGAGTTCGGACAACTTTGAGACGGGCACTAGGAGCAGTATCTGTGGAGGGACCACGACGATAGTGTATGTCGACGCCTCCAGCGGCTTGTGGCATACCATCTACGCGAAACACGGGCGAACACTGACTACCACCTTTGCAGGGCATTTGCTCCTCAGGCCAAGACCATACCCTCGCTCCTGCAAGTCCTTGAAGATACGCAGGCTCGAGCGAAGGACAACTGCTACACCGATTACTCGTTCCACATGCTCGTCGGCCACCCAGGTGAACAGGCCCTGTCCGAATTCCCGCGCCTTCGCGAACTCGGCATCTCCTCGCTCAAGATATACATGACCTATGCGGCCCTGCAGCTGCGAGACGACCAGATCCTTGATGTGCTGTTGGCGTCGAGAAAAGAAGGGATCACAACCATGATTCATGCAGAGAACGGAGATGTGTTGACCTGGATGACCAAGAAGTTGGAGGAGCGGAAGCTGTATGCTCCCAAGTACCATGCCACGTCTAGACCACAGATCGTCGAGACGGAGGCAACGAACCGTGCCATTGCGCTGGCTGAGTTGATGGATGCCCCTATGTGAGTCGATATTGTTGGCTTCTCCTCGCGTCGCCCATTGTCGGGATCTGAGCTCACCAGCATGTCTATCCAGCCTCGTCGTCCATGTCTCATCCCCCAGCGCCGCAGCCCACCTCCGCAACGCGCAGACACGTGGACTGCCTGTGTACGCCGAGACATGTCCACAATATCTTTTCCTGACCCGCGCAGACCTGGATAAGCCGGACTTTGAAGGCGCAAAATGTGTCTGTTCCCCTCCACCTCGCGAGTCTGCCCACGACCACGACGCTATCTGGATAGGTCTGGCCAACGGAACATTCACGGTGCTCTCCTCAGACCACTGCCCTTTCATGTACGAAGACTATGAGAAGGGCAAGAAATCCATCATCAGCGAGGAATACCCGGAGGGACGATTCAGTGGCATTCCGAACGGATGTCCCGGGATTGAGACCCGTCTCGCACTGACACTGAGCGCGAACAGACTCCCGCTACAGAAGTTTGTGGAGGTGACCAGCACAAACGCTGCTCGTCTGTACGGATTATATCCACAAAAGGGAACGATTTTGCCAGGTGTCAGCGACGCCGATCTCACAATCTGGTACCCACCGGGCAAGTTGGGGACGTTCAAACTGACGAATTCCATGCTACATCACAACGTCGACTACACTCCTTTTGAGGGGATGGAACTCAATCAATGGCCCAGGTATACCATCCTTAGGGGCGAGGTGGTGTGGGACAGAGATGGTGGTGGGCTGCTGGGCAAGAAAGGGTACGGTAAGTTCATTCCTCGGGGGAAGAGCACGCTCCCGGGGCCCCGAAAGGCTGGTGAATGGGACGTGAGCGCTTTCTAGAGGCGCAACACTAAAAGATGAATGGGAAGAAATTTGCCCCAGATGAAGTTCACTATCCGTTGTGCTATATGTTTTACATTGTCCCTTTCACATCTCATCAATCACACCCGTCTTGCTTCCCTACATCTTCTCCGCCATCTCGCTGGCCACTTTGTCCCCCTCGACTTCCGAGTACGTGGGTGGCGCCGCATCAGCGGGGAGAGACGCATCAATACCCGAGACAGCATCGTCATCCACCCTGCTACCCGTGTCTTCGGGATTCTCCAAACCAAACTTTGTCCCCTTCGAAGAAACAGAGTAAAGGCCTGCCTCTTTCTCGCGATCAGCGCCGGTGTCTCCCACTGCCAGCTCTTCCTGGCCTGCACCGCCCAGACCCGCATTCATCGATCGCTTGAGCGCGCGGTGGCCCGCATAGCCTCGATAAATAACCATCGCGGTGCACGAGAGCCCGCCGGTCGCGATGGCCAAGGGGATCCTGATCGCCGGATGCAGCGTGGGTTCGCCTCGGCTCTTCTGGCACTGATAGCACTGGCACGGACGAGGGGATTGGCGGTGGCAGCGTGAATTGCACGCCCGGCGGTTGGGCTGCTGGCATCGGCTACCATTCTGGTGATGACCGTGGTGGTGACGGCGTGCACAGGTGCCACTGCAGCCCGTCGCGACGGCGCTTGGGTTGACTTGATCGATGGGACCTGTGACCGGGGCTTGGTCCTTCTCGTCGTAGGATGCGTCCATGTTCAAGTTGGCCGTTCTGTAAGCCTGATGGTATCGGTGGTTTCTTCTGGAATGGCACATTTTGGGAGAGAATTGGTAGGTCCTTGTAAAGGCCTTTCTGTAATCTTCGCAAGGGACTGGGATCTTAAGGGAGGATTTATGGAAATGCCTTGCCTGTTGGACAAGCTTGGTTTCAGCGCAGAAAGCAATGTCGGATGGACTGGTGGTCTCGATATCGTTGAGGATGCGATCTTATATAGACATGTTTCCATACTCTCCCACAAAGGCACCAGCGACCCTTGACCTACCCTACCCGCTACATAGCAAACATGAATCCCCCCTCGTCAACGACGTATTTACGTACGGATGAATACGACGCCGACGTCTACCCAAATACGAGACTGAGTTTGACAAGCACTCCAAGAAACCCGTCGCCTATGGGGTCAACATCTCTGACAGCAATTGGTCTGCATCAATGCATACACTTACGTGCGGAATCGATGGCGAAAGGGAAATGGGCAAAACTGTAACTGTTCCCCAGCGAACCTCGCAGCTTGGCTGCTGGTTCTGTGCAAAGGGCGGGTTTTTAATGATGGCTGCCTGCTGCAAAACTTCTGACACCAACGGGAGGGAATCGTATTGTAGGGGTGGAATAATAGGGCATGTGGACGGCCAGAATATCCGATCGGTGGATGAAGGGAGGTTGCTGGGAGATGCGAAGTCTGGGGTGATGGTGGGTTGTGGTGGTTCACGGCCGAAAGCCTCGCGATTGAGTCCCTTTTCGGCTTAAGGCGCGAGAAGGAGGCACCCAGGGGGGTTTGTTAAAGGGGAGTCTGCAAATCCTTTTGAAGACAAGCTTCTTCAACCCATTACTTTTTCTACCGTGACGTTTGCCCTCATACCTGGAACTACCTCGAATATCTTGACTTCCTACATCATCACCTTGCAAAAGCAAAAAGACCGTCTACATCGCCAGATCAGGCTTTGCCTTCGACCATGGGGAACCGCAGCTCCAGGCCTCCTTGGTGTGTATACACGCCCTTGAGATCGCCGACACTGCGTCGGAGAATCCACTCCTCGCTGGTCAACTCCATCTCCTCCTTCTGCGTTTGAGGTTGCTTGTCGATAATCCCGCCCTTGAGGCGGCGCAGGACGACGGCGTCTTCGGGACGGGAGAAAAACACCAGACTGTGGCGATCGATCTTGTCCTGGGGCGGCGACGCCGGGACGACGCGGTGGACGTTGGACCGCAACAGTCCCGCCGTGAACTTGACCAGGGCATCCCCCAAGTTAACCACGGCGGAGCCGGGCACGGGACGCACATAGACCCAATCGCTTGTGTCGGGAAGGCGGATCTGCAGGCCACCCATCCAGTTGAACAGGATGGTCAGGGAGCCAAAGTCGGTGTGCTCGCCCAGCCTGGCTTTCTGCTCGTCGAATTTGCCCGGGGCAGACTTGTTGAACCGCACATGGTCGCCCGACCGCTCTTCGATGCGGTGCAGGTTTGCCAGAGTGCCGATTGGGAGTTCAAGATTCTTCTCCAGGTGCGTGAACATGAGGTCGATGGCGGCGCGGCAGTTGCGGGCGTAATCCCCCAGAAGGGTCCAGTGCTGCTTGATCAGGTCCGGGCAGGGCAACGGCGTGCAGTTGCCGATGAGGTCGTCTTTGCGCATCTAGATGGAGTTGAACAAAACCAAGTCAGCAAAAAGAGGTCACCTCGCATATATATATATATGCATATATTGTATAAAAGGCGGGTGGTTATTGACATTATAATTCTCATTCCGCTGGATCGTCCCATCCTCCGCCTCGCGCGTGCCCAGGATCCGATACCCAAAGAACGGGTCGAGCTTCTCTCTCAAAAACCGCTCCTTCTCCTCGTTTGGTAAGGCGTGGAACTGCTTCTGCACGGCGTGGAGCTCTTCGGCCTGCTGCACAATCTTCTCCCCCAAGGCTGACCCTTCCATGCTCAGGTAGAAGAAGCCGAGATCCTTGGACGCCTGGAAGAAGGTACGCGACTCGTCCTCATCGAAGGCCTCGAGTTTTGTGAGAGAGATGGACACGAGCGGTGCGGTTCGCAGCCCTTCGGCGAAGGGCGGGTATTGGTCGTGCGATGTTTTCAGGACCATGGCTGGGGCCAGTGAATTGGTTGGTGTTAGAATATGATGAATTAGTTGGAGGAAGGTAGGTAAAGATGTATCAAGCACTGCTGGTAATGGTGAGTGAGTGAGTGATTATGACATGATGCCTATATATTTTTGGTTTTCCCCCTCATCCTCCCATCCCGCGTCCCGTATACAACAAGTCACTTCCTGTTTTCCCCCAAATTCTCCCACGATCTACGATTCAGTCGCACGGTCACAACTCCAAACGTGCTTGTCTCCGACCCACCCCGCTTGACTCGTCACTCTCGGCTCACCGGCTTTACATGTCCGCCCACGCCCTACGTACACGCGGTGCTGCCAATGACAAGAAACGAGTTGGAAGCAAACGGCGATGGACACCGTCGGCCACTCTCCGATCAACTCTGTGACTCAAAACTGCCAGCCTCAATATCTCCATCATTTCCCTTTCCCAGAAGCGAGAGTCTTGCTGGTTTAGCCTCAAGCACCGATTAAGCGTTTTTGGGGCGGTGTATCGCGACTCTTCTCCCTTCTCTCGAGACTAATGTCATTTTCTAGGTGGTGCTCATCTTGGATACATTGCTCTTCTATGCTCGTTCCAGGCGCACAGTAGGGAATCAACTTGAGGGACCTGATATGGAGCCGCTTCCATACCAAAAAAAGAGCTTTGAGCGGTCTTGTTGGCCATCTACTCGAAATCATTGCTGGCTTAAATGCTCGGTCTACGGACTAGCTGAATATTTACTTCTTCTGCCACAGACCTAACCGGTAGATAAGTCACTCAGCTCCAGAGATCATGGTATCCTTGTTGTTTGCGTTATGTTGGAAATTTTCAATCGTGCCTTGGGAACCACCTGTTTGCTCTGAAAAGCAGCGAGGTACACAGACAGGGAAACTAAATCCGGGTCAAGGCTCTATACGGGACTGTTGCACACTCGTCGCTGTAGACGGAGTCCTTGCCATGAGGGAATTTAATCATCTCAACGCCCCCACTGTCCTCCTGACCTTGGTTATTCAACTATTTAGCCTGAGATGCGGCATACAGCGAGCCTTGCAAAGCCTAACAAACTCTCTTTCTCTATCTCTCTGGACATGTACGGCTCCCGTCGCGACGGACGGCGTAGCCACGGACGCCGCTGTGACTAGTAGTCACCAGTCACCAGTCAACTGAAACACCGGTCAAAGCAGCCGGGTAAAGACATTTGTCTTTTTCGCAATTGCCTATATATCCCAGCCTATAGGGAAATTTTGGTCGGTTGTCTTCTGCCTTCTCGTATGGAGCTTTCCAAGTATCCAGCCGTGAGAGCCAGTATCGACAAGCATGCCTCCTCCGACCGGCTACTCGGCACGAGGCTGCGGAGACTCCCCAGCAATGCGGGGGAAGGAAACAAGTAGCCTCGCTAGCCAACTAACAACAGACCACGCTCCTGTCCATCACTTCGCTCTCACTCCAGGGGAAGCCAATGAAGCCGCTACGCTCCTAGGTCTCTATGTAGGTTCTGCGTCTTCAGCGTGACCAGTTCTCCAGGCCCTGCTTAAGCCCCCAACGCGCACGGGGTGAGAGATTGGCAAAAGCTTTGCATGCTTGATTCGTCCAGCCGACACCCATGCCCCAAACAAAGCTTAGTGAGCATTCCCATCCTGAGATAACTAGCCAAAGTCAAAAACGCATGTATACCACGAGCAACCCATCTACTGGATATATCTCTTAACGAAACGAGTGATCGTCCCAGCCCAGCGAAGGAGTCTTTACCGAGGGGTTTCTCTCCGTCTTTTGACGAGAGAAAAATCATGCCATCCACAGTACCTGGTGATCGATACACGGACCTTTACACCGTTTCTCGCCGTCCTCAGTCTTCTCCCCCACGGGGAAAAGGTGAACAACGGGGACAGAATGGGGAATTTTGGGGAGGTGGAGGGTCGCGAACCAGCAGTTCGGTACAGAGTGATGGTGTTTTGAGCAATTGGATTCCTCTCGGCTTGCATGACTATGGTTGATATCGAGCTAACTATACCTCATGTCCACATTGTCCAGGGTCCTGACTCAGGAAATTTATCCAGAAAGATGTTGGAGATATAGCGTTGGCGACGGATCCTGCTTTCTACATAAGCTGGCAGGTTTGTCTGCTTGTCGCGAGCTGTCTCGTCTCGTTCAGTCCTTGCTTTTCCCCCTTCACCAGCTCGGTGTTTCTATCTCTCTGCCTTCTCGTGCCATTCACCCCAGTCACAATGGACTCTGCGGTACACACCACCCTCACGGTGTCGGAGGTGCTCGCACTAGAAGATAAGAAAGGCCTCGGCTTGACGCCGGCGCTGATCAGACTCTACCTCGTGCTGGCCCCAGCCACTCTGGTTGTCTGCGCCACAAACGGCTTTGATGGCTCTGTCCTCAACGCTCTCCAAGGCATCGACGAGTGGAAGAACCAGTTCGGGAACCCCAAAGGTGCATTGCTCGGGATCACGAGCGCAGCATACGCCCTTGGTGCCATAGGATCGACACCGTTCTCCGCCATTGTATCTGACCGCTTCGGTCGGCGATGGTCCATCTTCATTGGCAGCCTCATCATGATGCTTGGTGTCGTCCTGCAGTGTGTCAGCAAGAGTATCGGGTTGTTCATCGGCGGCCGCGTCGTCATCGGGTTCGGCATCAGTCTTGCCCTGGCTGCAGCGCCGATTCTCCTCGCAGAGTTGGCCCACCCGCGACACCGCGTTTTCTTCTCCGCCATGTACAATTGCAGCTTCGCCCTCGGCTCCGTACTCGCAGCATGGGTCGGCTACGGCAGCGTCCACATCAACAGCTCTTGGGCCTGGCGCCTTCCCACGCTCTTCCAGGCGTGTCCGGCACTTATACAGACGAGCGCGATCTGGTTCCTGGACGAGTCGCCTCGTTGGCTGTGCTACAAGGACCGCGGCGACGAGGCCTTTGCAATCCTGGTCAAGCACCATGGTGGAGGCGATCCGAATCACCCACTGCCAATCGCCGAGTACCACGAGATGTGGGAAGCCTTGCAGCAAGAGAAGCAGACCAAGCACAGGGGACTTCGCTTGTTCCTGCAGACGCCGCAGAACCGGAAGCGGCTCATGATCCTGATATCCCTCGCCGTCTTCGGACAGTGGAGCGGCACCGGACTTATCTCCTACTATCTTCCCAAGATCCTGGAAAGTATTGGCATTACCGGGCAGCAGGAACAGACGCGACTCAACGGCATCGTCACCACCGTCAGCTACGTCACCTCCTTTTTCGCCGTCATTTTCGCCACAAAGGTGCCCCGTCGGGTCCTGTTCGTCGGCGGCGGAACCTTCATGTGGCTGTCGCTCGTTGGCTTCGCGACCTCGGTGGCCGTCTATAATCAGCACAAATCGCCAAGTGCAGGCCGCAGCTCTCTGGGCTTCATCTTCATCTTCAATACGGGCTACAATTTCTGCCTCATCCCGACCCTTTACCTGTATTCGACCGAGATTCTGCCCTACCGTCTGCGCGCAATGGGCCTCAGTATCTCCGTCTTCAGCACCAAGGCGTCTCTTTTCTTCAACCAGTTCGTCAACCCGATCGGGCTGGCCTCGATTGGCTGGAAGTACTACTTTGTCTATGTGGGGTGGGTGGCTGTCGAAGTCCTGATCATGTTCCTCTTCTACCCCGAGACAAAGGGCCATTCACTCGAGACCATGCCAGAAGTCTTTGGAGAGCACGTCTTGGACAAGAAGGACGTGACGAATGATGATGATGATGTCCAAGTTGTCGAGTTGGGTGGCAGCCCCAAGGGAGTGGATCGAACCAAGGGCTATGCTGAGCACGTCCAGGATGTCGGTGTCTAGGTCGGACGAGCTTTGGCACGGGCGGGATTTGAGAAAGTCCGGGACTTAGACCACCCGTGGAGGGAGGGATTCGGCTGCCGATGTCCTCAGTTGCAGCGATCAATCAGCAAATGCTCAAGTCGGAAATCGGGGGAGGGAGATTTGAGGACGCAAGGTCAGCCAAGTGATTCTGTGGTTGTGCCGGAGGAGCTGGACACTTTAGGCCACGGCCAGTTTGACGTCGAAGCTGATACATGTCATATTCTCCCTCGTATTTCACACTTTCCTGGAAATTCATGAACGTGAATTTGATTTCCAACGTATTCCTACTACCACTATTCCACGAAATGCCACACGTTCATCCATATTTCGCAGTCAGGGACTCTGCAAAATGCAGTATTCGGGGCTGAAATCCATTTCCACTACGCAGATTTCGAACTCGACCAGATCCAGGCCAAATGAGGCTGTGCAAGCCGAGACCTTAGCGAGGGTCTGGACAACACCAAACTGAGCATGACACTAAAGATATGTCTGTCGATGCCCCAACCGTGGGGTTATTGCCTGCAGATTTTGGGGGAATGAGCCAGGACTATGGGCAGGGGCGATAACAAGGTCAGAACGAGAGATGGAGCAAGGATTTTAGCCCCCATGATGAGACTTTCTGTTGCGATCGGGGACTGTCAACGAGACCAGGGCGAGGCTGTCAAAAGCACTAGATTTTCCCCATACAACGCGGTCGACTGGTATGTCGCCCCCAAAGCATGAAAAGGTCGCTGAAATGACGCGGCCAATTCGGAATGATGCGACTCTGCTTCTCCCCGCAACATCCAAACCTCACCAGCTCCGACTCGATCAGACTTCTCGAGCTTCTTTGCTCCTCTGGTTGACCTCTTTGATAGCGGCAACTGCTCCCAGAGCCTCTGTGACCAGGTGGATGACATGATGCCGCCTGTCGCCCAAGAGCTCTTTCCCCAAGCTGTACGCCCCTACAGCCTCCTCCAGGAGCCGCCTGGTGTGTCCTGGCGACTCCGAGTACTCGTGGCGATGTTCATGATCTGAGTACCGGCGGGGCCGGGGCTCATGGCGGCGGTGGTGATGTTCTTCATCTTCACTGCTGTCGTACTCGTCCTCTTCGCGTTTCCGTTTCTGCTTCTGGAGAAGCTGGAATGCTCCAACCGCGACGGCGGCCCCGACTGCAGCCTTCATATAGTGGTCGCTGGCATCCTTGTAGTCATCTGAGATTGCTTTACCGAGTTCGTTGGCAGCATAAACACCAGAGGCGGCCATGGCGGCCACCTCGGCGTTTGTCTTCAAGGAGTGGAGCCCGTTGTTGTTTGGTTCCGGCATTTCTAGGGTTTTTCTTGGTTCGGTTGCGAATATGATGTTATTAGGGAGAATAGGGCTTCCACCACGGCACGAAAGCAGGAAAACCCACAAGCTCTTATACCTGTGGGGTCTGAGGTGTTGAAAGTTTCCGGTCCGTCGACCATCAGGTGCTCTGGGACCAGCCCGCTGGTTCGCCCCGTCCCACGGGGAAAGGCTGATCTTGGTCTTTATGATTGTCAGGTTGTTCCTTCGTATTGGACCGCTTGGCAAACTGACAATGGTGAGTTGCTGCTGGGCTGTTCGGGGGTGTCTTTACCAAGCAAGAGTATGAAACCAGGCCGGACGAACAAATGCGGCCGGATTTTGTCGAGTGATGCCACCTTTAGCACCCCAAGGAGTGTGGAAGTCGAGTCAACCGATCCGTATCACGAAAGAATTCGTATGTTTACGTTCTGAGAAAGCATTCGAGACAAGGTTGATCAACTTCGTTGGTCAAGACCACACCGGTCGACAGTCATACTATTGTTGCATCAATAAAACGAGGCGCAAACAGTGTCACACAAGTCAATTTCGACCATCTCTAAAGACAATACTTTTCTTGTGAAGTCTGGACTGCCCCAGGAGAGCTGCCCGACAGCAACGTCACCATTCTGCTCATGATTTTCCATTATCGGAAAGACGCTCTCTTTTTTGGTATCTCGTTAATGAGCTGGAGAATATCTCCAGACTCGCTGCCCTGGTAGGCAGATCCCCAGAATAAACTAGCTCACGCGATCATCAACCGGATGGGTATCTTTGAGGCTCTTTTTCGCTCACACCACTCCACGAGGTCCAATAACGAATGCTCTGGAACTGTCATCATTCCAAATCGTCTTACCATGAAATTTAGACAGGAAATCGTTGCACAACGCAAAGTGGAGTGACCCGTAAGTCCATGCCACGTGACCGTGTGAGTACAATACACTTCTCTGCCATCTGCCTCGCCTCGCCTCGCCTCGCTTCGCCGTCGCATACTCATGTGACGGTGTACAGGAGACTAGAAATGCTGGAAGATTATACATAAGCGATATGTAAGAACACTCCAAAAAGAAGCCAAGGAAGACGAATGTGCCTAGTTACCACCAAACCACTCTATACAAAAGCACAGGCACGCAAAATGTCCCCGTTGAACCTCAACACAGTCCTGAAACCACCGCATGTTACATTCGACTCGCACGGGCCATATCACCGCTCGTCTGTACGCTCCGTGCTGGACTTCCTGGGCTCGGGGGAGCTAGATTCGGTTTTTGACCAGAAACACCACCGCCGCCGACACAGCCAGGGGCAATCGGTGTATGAGGAGGACGTCATCTTCCCGAACTTCACCGTCAGGGAGACCGCCGAGGCGTACTTCTTGGAAGGCGATTTCCCGGGCATCCGCAATCCGAACGACATCAGGATCGAGAGGCTGGGCTCCCACGGCCTGCATATCGAGGCACAGGCGCCGGAACTAGACCTGTACCACGAATGGGGCGACATCTTCGGGGTCCGGCCTAGGAGGGAGGTGCGATTTGAAAGCGGTGCCGAGCAAGGAACGACGACGGAAGGTTCTCCCAACCGGGAGCATGAACACGGACACAAACACGACCACGCCGAAGCCAACGAAGGCGAAAAACCGCACGGCGACAAGGAGGGCAAAGGCGCCGCGAGACCCAACAAGGCGCGTCGGAGGGAATCCTCCTCCCATGCCGAGGACGACGAGCCCACGACGACAACGACGCTGCTCTCGGAACGGCACGCGGGCCGGCTCCTGCGGTCCTTCACCTTCCCGCAGACAGTAGACCTGGACGGGATGAAGGCGCGGCTCAAGGACGGAGTGCTGCGGATCGCGCTGCCCAAGGCGTCGGTCCATGAGAGGCGGTCGAGCTATAAGATTGAATACGGTGGGTGAGGTGCTGTACATACTGGCTTCATAGCTACGTACCGAAGTGCTTGACAGAAAGGAGCTGGATTTGGGAATGGGGAAGTCTTCTTACTTTTCTTGATCCAGCAGATCCGGTCCATCCTGCCACTTCTCCAACATCACCAATGACCTTCACTAGCTTCGCGTTGCTATGCAAATGCCACATCCCTTCTCACCACTGGGCTTACCAGGAAACCCGCGCTACGGCGAGAGTGAGACATAACGTGTGTATTGTTTTTTAGGAACCTATTTACCCATCCTGACTTGGACCTCCGCCAAAGCATCTTCCTCCCTCTACGGGCCTCCTCACACAGAAAAACGAGCTCCAATACAGCCATTGCACTAACGTATCCCAGACCTAACTGCGAGCCTGTTCAAGCAAATACTTCGCCTGCCGCCCATACTCGGCCACAGCGAGCAACGCAATGGCCGGACCAACACTGATCCTCGCGACACCCATATCCGCCAGCTCCGAGACCGTCAACCCACCAGTCCACTTCAGGGAGACATTCAAGCGGCCGTCAAAGGCCTCGACCAGCCTCGCAACCTCTGCACGGCTGACACCGCGCTTCCCCCCCCCCCCCCCCAGACAAACACCGTCGTGGCCCCGGCGGCCAAATACCGTTGGCCTCGCTCAATCACCTCGTCGATCCCGCCGCCGCCGTGCACCAGCGCGTCACATCTCGCGTTGACCACAAAGTCCCGCAACCCCTGCGCCATGCCGACCGCGACGGCAGCCTTCACACGCTCCGCCGCCTCGTCCGCCGAATAGAACCGGTCGTTGCTCCTGTCGTAGTCTTCGAGGTTGACGCCCACGGCCCCGGCGTCGACGATGGCCCGACGCACCGCCTCCTCGAGCCTGTCGCCGTACCCGTCCTGCAGGTCCACGGTGAGGGGCTTGTGGTGCTCCGCGGCCACCTTGCCGATCAGTCTCGCGGCAGCGAGGTTCTGGTCCAGTGTCAGATTGTCGTCGCTCGTGCCAGCAGCGAGGGCCACAGCGTACGATGCAGTCGCGACGGCGTGGCAGGTGGGCAGCGGCGCCACGGCTTGGGCTGAGAGGACGTCATATACGTTGGCGAGCACGAGTGGGTGGCCGGGGCGGTGGAGGGCGCGGAAGGTCTGGGCCCGTTCAGCGAGGGTCTTGGAGGCCATTTTTGCTTTCTTTCTCTTTCCTTTCCCCCTTTTCTTTGCTGGTGAAATGAACAAGATGTCTCCGATACGAGTAGATATGTTTTTTTCTTTTCTCCCTCTCTCTTTTTGATTCCAGAACCCTCCGCCTGTCTGACTATCTTGATATCTGATCCGTCTACCTCTTTATGTGTCAGTCAGTCCTTGTGTTGAATACGCACATAGCAAGCCCCGGTTGACAATATGGAGTATTTATCCTTTGTAAGAAACAGCCTCGCACTCTTTCGATAGAGTACGATTACAAACCCCAATTTGGCTGATGTTATTCAACATATTTTCCAAGAGACAGTCATTCGCATGAAGACCGATTACAAACTCCAATTAGTCAACAGTATAGAATATCTGGATTCTATTGCCTAGTTACCAACGAGAAAAAGCATGCGGCTTGGGTACTAGATACGCTTCACTGAATCAGCACTACTACCATGCCAGCAATATGCCAAGCGTATACCAGTCGGGGTTTGCCAGCAAGCGTACTCTAAAAGCAGCAGAGAACCTGGTAAAGAGTGTAGGACCCGAAGTGCCTGAAGCCTTAAAGTGAAACGAGACAACTCTTGGTCTCGCGCCCTTTGCCGATTCACACAAACCTCGTTTCCGCATTCGGCAGGATCTTGAACTCTCAGAAGGACGTAGGACCGTAGGTTGGCGAAATCCACCGTAATCCATACGAGGCCCTCCCTAGCCTAGATTGTATTATGGCGTATGAGATACTTTAGTAATGCTATGGCTAGTGAGGCTCCACCTCCGCCTTTGTCTCCACCAGGTAGTGCACTCACAGTAAGCCATTCACCCATCACCTTTGCGTTTGCGGCCGATGCAACCAGCATAAGCCAGGCAGGCGAACGAATTCAATTCAGCGCGGGCTGATTCATGTAGCACTGCCGCATGTACGTGTCGTGCGGGCGTGCAGGCGTACAACGACCGCTGCTTAGTAGAACTCTGGTTGAGCTGTCGGGCTACGGAGCCTGGAGGGTTTCCCGTGGAGGCTGTTCGTGGAACTCGTTCCGCAATCCTCGGCCATTTTGCAAGACGCGACTGAGAATCAGCCCCTGAATCGAGTGTTGGGTGATCGTGCGAAGGAAAATGACTCTTGGTGGGAGAGGAGCTCCACAGAGCAGCGAGACAGATTCTCACCAAGCTGGGTGCTGAAATTTCATCGAGTAACATCATGAAGAGGAAGCAAAAGAGCTTGAAGTCCATGTCTCGGACTGCTTCCGGGATATTTGGCGAGAATTGGCCAAAGACGTCGTTTCTGACGCGCTGTCATTCTTGCTTGCTAGGCGAGAAGTCCAATGTCCGTCTGCAGCTTCGGTGTTTCCCTTGCCTTTAGCTCGCTGCTTTCCTCCAGCAGACACCTATCGGGACAGGACAGCTCGTTGAAGCCGTCAACTTCTTCATTTCCGCTATTAGCGTCCTTGTGAGACGTGGAATCATCTTCATCATCGTTGCTTCTCAGGTCTGATCCATCTTCACTGTCTCCCCAGCCTCGTTCATCGATCCGCGACTGATCTAGATCTTCAGTACTTTGCAGACCATCCTCCGTGTCATTACCGGGCCAGCCTCCTGGCGCGGGATAGATGCGCCGCTGAAAGTAGTAGTTGGCCTCAATGCGAAAATAACGAGGATCGTGTACCTCGCCGGCGTGAGCGTTGTCCTGAAATGACAAGCGCCGTACCAATCGTGGTCCAGGAAATGTTCGGGAAACTCTGCTGTTGTTTGTGGCCAGACACGGCACACAATGAAGTCCGCTGCTCCACGTTGGCATTCTGCGGCGAAGTAGCTGCGAATATCCACCTTTGCCCTTCCCAGTATTTCCAACCACAATTTCAAGCCGCTGGTCACAATTTGGGCTGCGAGCTGAGGCTGCCACACGTGGTATCTGAACAAATGATACTCAAGACTCATATGAGCAGCGTGCATGAGCGGTGTGGGTTTGCGCAGAGTTCCTGCGAACCCGATCGCACCTGCGTGTACCAGTTGATCCAGCATTGGCACAAGGAAACTCAGATATTCATCATCAACATAGGGTAGACGAGAAAGGAGATAGTGTAAGAGAGTCCAGTTCCATGAATCGTAAATCTTCGCCAAGTTTGATGGATCACTGACTCGCCAGAAAATTGTGGAGATCCTGCGAACGTTGAAGTTCCTGACGAGACACTGCATCAAGGCCATAGACACATAGAAATGATCCAATTCCCAGCCTACAAGATTGACTCTCTCAGGCGCTGTCAGCCAAACAAAGTCTTCGGGCGTACCATAGAACAGAGTACCGGGCATCAGACTGGTGGCATCATCCATGGAATTCGGGTGGCGAGAGGGCGGTGACCAGCCGGAGTCAATGCAGCTTCTTCCATGCTCGACGAGGACACGGGCAGTATTTGAGCTCACCGTGATTGGGGGGTCGTACCAAAAGTCGAAATTCGAGAGTGCCTCCCAATGGGCTTGCCATGGATCTACATGCATCGAGAGAGCAGACACCGAAGTTTGTGAAATCCCAAGTCCGCTCAGCGCAAAATGCAGAGCAGTTCTAGGGGAAGAATTAGCCCAATCAAGCGAACCAGAAGGGGTCATACAATTGAACAGTGGTGTTTCCGTAGGCCTTAAGCATAGTCGCGGCCACATCAGCGCCTGCATCAAGAAGAACACGGCATACATCGGCATGCCTGTAGTACGCGGCGACCTGTAAATAAAATGCTAGTTAGTAGATGCGAGATGTTAAATGTGCCTCTATATTCAGTTCGGCGTTACAAAATACTTCCGAAATGAATTTATACTTGACGCACCATTAGTGGAGTCACACCCTCATAAGTAATGTCTGATGCTGAAGATTTTCCATCAGCAATAGATCTCCCAACGCCGATCGCGCCTCCTGCAGCACAAAGGTGAAATATCTCTGCATCAGGTGGAACAAGGCGATCGATTTGTAGCGTCAACTGGATCCTTGGGGGACGACTGTCGAGCATGAAAGCCACTGCGTTATTAAAGATCCAAGACGTGAGTGAAATAGACCATTGAAGACCGTTCTGGGGCGCACTGTCGTCGGCCTCAGCTCGTTGCGGAGAGTGCTTGCTTCTGACGTATACGTTTGCGATCCCGATATTGTACTTCGCAAACCAGGAGCTTGACCTGGTAAGTCTTGAGTTGTTAGCACGCGGCCCAAGAATGGCCGATTTCGCGGGGAGCTCGGTAGTTTCTGAGGGGTGTTTTTCTACCGGCTCTTTGAATATGATGCTGCTGTCGGGAAGGCAGGGTTTCGAACGTGAGTCCGTCAAAATAGCAAGGACGAGGGTCGACTTGGCCCTCTCGAGTTCAGTCTGGAGCCGCACAAATCGCTTCCGTTTGAAAGCCGCCTCGACCTTGGCCCAATTTATCAGTCGCCTCGAGCTTGAAGCCTGTATCTGGGTTTCGAGTTCATGTGCAATGTCGCGCAGAACCTTGAGGACTTTCAAGCACTGGCCCGAGGCTTGCTTCTGCACAAGAGTCGGGCCCAGACCAGAATTGTTGGCCGATCCAGAGACATTGAGATACTCTGTGAGAACGGTACGTAAGAGGTCGACTTCGTCAAGAATCTCGCGGACTTCCACAGGAGCGTCGCGTATGTCAGCACGCAGTTCGTGAAGCTTCTGAGCAACCTCAAACAGCTGCAGCGCAAGGCTAGCGAGGCCGGCACCACTGGCTACCACGCCTAGAACAGCCTCAGCCATGTATCTGGAGATGACAGAGTGACTGACTCTGCGAAGAATGAAGAAAAGTAGTGAGGAAAATTGGCCGCTTGGAAGGCCCCAGAGGAACGGTGCTCAGCAGATTCCGGAAAGCATGCGAGGCATCATCGATGCCCTGCTTTTGGACCAGTGATGGAATGAGCCAAAGTAATCCTCACGCAAAAGGGACAGATTTCAAGTGAAAAGGCGGAGGGTAAAGGCAGGATCATGAGGAAAATCACGTTTATTCGAGAAGGTGGTCGTCGAGGGCAGTGTTGGGCCGCCCACTGAGGCTGGTGAGGCTGAGCCTGCAGGGGCCGACAGGTTACCCCGGAGCTTGACGCCATGCAGATTCGGGCCAGGCCATCGTCCATACTGAGCGCCTTTCCTATTAAGAATCAGCCTGATAGGCGCACGGGGCGCTTCGTGTCTACAGGGGAAATGGGCACAAGGATGCATTACGCGACCCCTGAGCCTGCTTGGAGATCGTGTGGCCTTGTGGGATTCGTGAGACGAGGCTGGTATTATGATCACTCAACTTTCCACAAAATAGTCTGGACACCAGCGTGCAATCACCATAGGAACAGATACACTTGGCCATTGTGCACGATTGTCCGTCATATTGGGGTCATGTCGGCTAATACCAATTTAAGAGGCCTTCCCCCAACGCCGTGCTTCTGTTGCAGTTGGACTGGTAGATTCGAGAGCCATGCCTAATGGCCCCTCGAATGAACCTGGTCAGCAGTCTCTTCGTCAATAACTTCGAAATTGGCATCTCGACCGTGGGCCTCGTGCTCGTGTTCCAGCCTCTCCCTCTTGTGCTTCTCCACCTTCTTGATGGCTGTCTGGGTCAAGGCCTGCCTCTGCATCCTCAAAGCCACGTCCTTCTTGCGAGTCCTCCGGTCACCGATAGCGATCAAAATCCCCGCCGTGATATTGCACGTGATGGAGCACGAAAGGATTGTCGCCGTTAGGGCTTGCGGGCGATGGTGGTAGCTGATTGACCAAGTACACGTACCGAGCGCGATTTGGAACAGTGAATGGCAGTCCAGCAACACAACGATGGCCACTAGCAAGCGTAACGGGAACGCATAATGGGTGGCTGTCTCGTGGGCCTTGTAGAAGGAATGCGATTTGGAGAATTTTGCTTGGTGGTGCATGAGCTTTTGCTGCTGCTTGGGCGTCAAAACCGAGAACTCGGAGTCCTCCGGAACCCCAGATTCGGGGTCAGCTTCCTTTTCCGTCTGAGGAGGGAGGTCGTTGTGGTCGCGCAGTTTCGGCAGGCCCTTCTCTCGTCGTACCCTCCACGTATAGTGGTGATAGTGGGCGATAAAGCACATATGATATGTGTCAACGGCTCGGAATGGTGCCAGCCCATCACCGACAACCGCAAAAAGGGCGACAAGCACATTGTCAATGACATTGACGTCGTATTCTTGTCGGTCTCCAACATAAATCCAACCTAAAGGAACACCGTCAGCGATCAATGACACGTTCAGAGTACACATTTGCGCCTACCGATCAAGAAAAGAACCCAAGCCAAACCAAACAAAGTAATTAGAGTTGCATACAAAAACACGCAAAATCCAAGTGCTGTTGTCAGGGTCAGCGAGCGTACATGAAGCCTGGGAGATTATGCGACTCACGTTTCCGAATATACTTTCCAAAGGCAATCATTCTCTGCTTAAATTTTGACCGCTTTGAATGCAGCATGTGCCTGACATGGTCGTCCAGAGCCTCCTTGTCTTCGTCACTCCATCCTTCGAGGGAGACGCCATGTGGTAACACGGCAAAGTGAGAGTCCGTAACGACCGATGAAATGCTGTGGGTGCGCTCAATCTGAGGTTTGCGCTGCCATGACCAGGTCCTTTGCATCGTGGCGGGAGCACCCACCTCCTCTTCTTCCGGGGCCGCCACGGGTGGCTCTTCCAAGGGTGCCGCCTCGGTGGTAACTGGAGTCATGCCTGCCTCTTTTTCTTCAATTGTCTCGGGCCTCCGGGTCTGCGTCGCCCGACGACTCAGCGTGTAGGTTGGTCTTCGGTTTAACCATCTCCCCAGGTCGGGCACGAACAGCGAATTTTGGACATTGTTAAGCGTAGTCAATGTCGAGACTTCGGGATCTAGATTTCCATCAGTAATCGTCCAATGCTATCCAGAATGTCCATATTACACACCAAGCACATCGAGCAAGTCGACCACTTCTGATTCATACTCAGGGCCTTGTCGTTCTCTCGAGGTCTCGCTCATTCTGCTGATGATGGAACGCGCAGCATTGCTGATACTTCGTCTCCTGCTCACGCCGCCCGTTACGTTCTCGTTCATGATGTCGCGATCCACGGCGCCATCCGCTGGCTCCGGTGCCGATGGGGCTTCGGCGAGGGTTGGCAGGAGTGACTGGCGCGTGTTTTGCCTCGTTATTGTGTTTGAGCCGGGAATGCCCAGGTTGGCACGTTGTGGTGCAGAACTGCTGCGTCCTCTACCCGACCCAGCCCGGTTGGGAGGTTGACTTGATGAGGTCTCTCCATCTTGTGCTGCCGCTCGCAGGTTTGATGAGGGCAGTCTCCTGATTCCGACAGGCCGGTACCGGTTGAGCTGATTGATCTGATTGATCTGAGGAACATTATCATAGGTGGTTCTCGTTACGGCCGCATTCGTAGGGGCCGCGTTGGTTATGACGGTATTGTCCGGCGTGGACGCAACAATGGTGGGAGCTTGGTTCGGGGCTTGGGTGGAGGTTACGGTATAGGGTCTCCCACGATGAGGAATGTGGACGGTCGTGGTCGTGGTCGTGGTGCTGGTCGTGGTGGTATTGTTGTTGGCAGAACTTGGGCCTGCCGGCGAGTCGGGGATAGAAGGGAAAGGTTCTGTATTGGAGTTGCTGACCGAGCTGATACGGCGCGAACCAGGCTTTGACGAAGACATTGTTCGAAGACCTGCAGGGAAGTCTTTGTGTCTTCAAGGACGTCGCATCAACGACACGGGCAAGATGAGGACCGGCGACGAGGGATGGAGGTGCAGTACGGACAGATGCAGATAGCGGCGATGCAGAGGGAGTTTGGCGGCTGAGCGACCTGAGTGAGCCGAGTTGAAGTTTGAGTTTGCAAGCCGACGATCCCTCAGTGAGACGGCAACCCGCAGTCAGCCCGCCACTGTCAACCCCCGCTGAGAAATTGATGGCAATAGAATAATACAGAGGATAAAGCACGAGGCACAACCCGATCACCGACACCAGCTCGACCAGAGAAGCGGATGCAACAAGGTGCGGACGAGGTTGCAACTAGGTCGAGAGGAAAGCTGGTGAGGCGCTGGTTTCTTGGGTCTTTTCCTCTTTCCGTGCTTCCCTGGCGTTGGCCGGACGCCTGTCCCAGGATCGATCTGGGGGCCCTCCCAGTGGGTGCGAGTAGGTAGTAGCTAGGTAGGTAGTTGATCCCAGGTGATCCCAGCGGTGCACCGCGCCTAATAGGTATACCCGGAGAGGGTTGGAAAATCTCCCTTTGGGCCCCCCTAGCAGCCTGGGCACTGCGCGGAGGTTTGAGCAATTAACTCAACTCGGCTCTAGCTCAAGAAGCCCGGCGGCCTAAAGTGATTAAACAGGGCTTTCCCTCCAATAAGCCGCAAGCCTAAGGATCATTTAGCGAACTCTAGGCCCGCTAGTCCCATGTACAATGACAAGACACCGACATCCAACTGACGTCGTTGTGTGCGCTGAGTCAGGCTAGTGACCATGACAAACACCCCGAGACACCAGACCAGAAGGCGAAAACACCCAAGAATCCAACAATGTGATCAAAGTTGCTCTCAATTGAAACTCTCTCCTCCCCCAAAACCAACCCACACGTTGTCCCTTTCCGGCCGTTGCATGCCAGGGAACCTCTTATTCCGGACATCCGGGCTGCCTGTCGTTGCTGTCTGCCAACCAGTCAGTCAGACACGTCCACGCAGTTCCGACGATATCCTGCGGAACAATCATGATGTACACATGCTGTTTGTTTTTTCCCAGTTTTCTTTCTTCACGCTCTTCCGGATTCCTCCATTCCGGATCTTATTACATATGTATTTCGTCAGTTGACCGTGACCTCGTTGTGTTCGGCTTTTACAGACCTCCGCTGTTGGTCAAAAATAAGGGGAGTGGCTATTGGGTCTTTTGAGTGCGAGGATGACTCAAGACCAAGAACAGCCAAGGATCACTCAGTTCGATGCCTTGTGACAAAAGGAATACCGCACAAAGTATTATAGGCTCGCTGGGGGCCGAGTGCATGTTCCTTTTCTGGCCCTGTCCATGCCTCGATGCCTCAACCAAATGTTCTCCTAGGTGGATGCCCGTCCCGGCCTCACTGTTATAACTTTTTCCTCATAACTGACTACAGCTTTGAGTCTTCTCTGAACCCGTGCGCAAAAGTCGGGGGATCTTGGTCCACTTCCTCCTGCAGCCACTTGACCATGCGTCTCGCGGCCCTCCGAGGCCCCAGTCCATCCGCATAACCCATAAAGGGCTGCATGTGTTTATACCCCATCATCTCCACGATCCGGGGCGGGATTCCGTCCAGCTTTCTCGGATCCACGGCCAGAATTTGATTCTCGATGGGCCGAATGTAAGGCTGGCAGTACTGCACTGTGGCGCTCTGGCGAGGCTTGTCCGACACGTTGGCTCCACCACCGTGCCACAAGGTACTGATGAAATAGACCACTCCGCCTTCGGGGCAGAGCGCCGGAATGGTCTCTTCGGGCGTGCCTCGTCGTGAACTGCCCCATTTGTGCGACCCGGGGATGATTCGTGTGGCACCTGAACACAAAACAGACGCGAAGTCGTCGGTCAACAGTTCTTGATTCCTTTGGGAAGCAGAAACTCACCATTCTCAGCCGTGTACTCGTCAAAGGCTACCATGATTGCGGCTCCAAACGGCAACCTTGGCCGGGGAAATTGGATGTACCCGTCATCGTGATGCAGCGCCTGAGCCTTTTCGCCGGGATTGATCGAGATGGTATGGAATGCCGACAGCAGATACCTGTTTTACCGTTTGCCGCGCTCAATCAGATCAGATCAGACCAGGTCAAATTGAAAGAGATCTCTTTAATCACCCCTGCGAATCAATAGGGAGGAATACATACCCCTGATCAAGAAAAAAATCATTCAACGCCAAAACACGCGGAAGGATGACAAACTTGTCAAACACTCTGGCCTTGTTGAGCAGCGAGTAGATGCGATTCGTCTTGAGGCCCTCGAAGGCGTTGCGCCCGACCAGCGGCGACGAAGGCGACGAGTCCGACGAGTCCAAGTCCTTGCTGAGCAAGCGCGTGATCTCGTCGCGCGCCTCTCGCGCCTCCTCCTTGCTAAAACAGTCCGGGATGATCACGTAGCCGTGCTCGAGGACGTGCTCGATGTCGGCGCGCACGGCCGGGTCGGAGGGGAGGGGTCGGCGGGTGAGCGCTTGGGAGTAGATGTTGAAGGAGGCGCTCTCGTCGTGGACGTGGTCTGTTGGTGTCGGTGAGGGTTGCGCCATGATGGGTTTGGATCCGTCCTGGGGGCCCAGGTAAGGTAATGAGCGGAGCAGGGGGAGTGATGCCGGGCCACTGCACTGACTCGAACAATAGTCCGTGACAGTTGTGTTACAATATATACTTCCTCGGCCACACCGAACGATGGTAACTTGCGAAAAAAGGATAAAACGAATTCGCAAAGAAAGGGAAAAGAAAACAAATCCTCTTAGAATGATCTCGTAAGAAATGCTTCGGAGAAAAGTGTATACCAGTCTTTTTATGGACCTCAACCGCCCTGAACTGCCAGGTGCCTCGAATGAAACTCCAGACTCGCTCCGCCCTAGAACCATTCCCCCGCATCCTAAAACCTCTACGAGAGGTCAGAGTGCGTCAGCACAGATTGCCGGGCAGGGTGGAGTAAGGGTAGCTGGAGGATGCGGTGCCTCGGTATCTCTCAGTGCAAAGACGACGACTGTATCAAGACCTCACTCAACCTGTTTTGATCTCCACGCCCCCCTAGGACAGCCCAGCCTTGCTTACACTTGACTGACGAGTCGTCCAATTCTCAATGACAGAACCCTCTTCGATGGTCATTGTGGCTGTCAGGAGGTATGTAGATCGGGATATTGCTCTTTTCTATGTAGAGGCTGGGCTACTAGTATGCCACAGATGAGATTTTGTTTCCCTCAATGACACGGAGCCAGACTCATCGAGTCTATCTTCACGTTACAATTATGTGGTAGAGTAGATGCTGCCTTGCCTCTAAATGTACATCGCTGGTCGTGCTGCAATGCAACATAGGTACGTAGGTACCTACGCTAGGTAGATATCTATCAACTTGCCCTTTCGCGACCATTCGATCTTCCCCTTCCCCCTTGTCCTGTCAAATGCCCTTCTCCTCTCCTGTCAACACAGCTTGTCTCCCCGACATATCACGCTCTGCGGCATTGGAGGAGGCGAGGATTGCGGGTATGTGACGAGCTCTTGACTATATTTGGTAAGGGATAAATTTCTAAACAATACCTAAGTCCTCACCTTTTCGCCGGACTGCCGGGTTTTCAATTCTTACCAAAACTCCGTCCGCTTAGCAGCTCAATTTCACCCAAACCTTCGCCAAAAGGGGGCCGCGCAAAGATAATGATATGTACTAAGCGCTAGCCTACGATCTAACATGTGCTCAAGCGTCTTACTATGATCTGCTCAACTTCGAGTGCCTGTTTAGTTGCTGGACGTGTCCGGCTTGCAATATCATTCCAGAAGAAACCAAATGTTCAAGGTCTGTGGAGTTGGCTGGGGGTTGCATATGCCGTTGAACTCGGCCGACTGGAGTGCAGTCGTCCGGGAACATCGAAAAGCCCAGGCAAGCGAGCCTCCTGGCGCCGACATCTCCAGGATAGAATAGTCATTCCGTCGTAATAGGCAATAAAAATAGGGCTGATTCAATCTGTCATGACTCATGTCATCTTCTGATGTCTGCTGTGACAACATTTCATTCTGTGCTCAAGCTCTTGAGCGTCTCCTGGATGCCTTGTTTCAAGGCGCGGTACTGAATGCGTTGCAAGACGAGGGGTGGATTTCGTAGGAGTTGCGCCGCGCGGGAAAACACTCTGTGGCCGTACAGCAGAAGCACAACTGCTGTCATCAGCCAAATAAGATAGACGATCATCGTCGCCATGTATAGACGTAATCTGACCACGACAGGAATGACCACGCCGTCTCGCATTCCATGGTACCTGGCGACAATGAAATTTCTGATCGGTCGTCTGTTCTTTCGCTCAAGGTGCTGTTGCAAACCATCGGTCATGTGCCAAGCAACCCGCCTATTGATCTTCTCCCAGGTGACGTCGCAAGTATATTTTCGTGCTGCAACTGCCATATTCGCACGAAGATTGTTGTCCATGGAGAGACGCTTGATGAGAGTAATGTACTGCTCCAGGTCGTGGGGAGGAACCAGATAACCGGTCTCCTGGTCTTGGACAATGTCTGAAGGTCCTCCTTCGTCACGGGCAATCACTGGAAGACCACTTGCCATTGCTTCCAGAACAACCAGTCCGAATGTCTCTGTGATCGAGCAGTGTAGGAAAATATCACCCGTAGCATATGCACGAGCGAGGTCGACACCGGTGCGAAAGCCGGTGAATATAACATGCTCTGCCACGGGGTCGAAGAGGCGATGGACTTGATCCTCCACTTCAGAGCTCATGTTGCCACCAACGATGAGCAACTTGAATGGAAAGCCTTCTTGGGCGAGCCGCATGGCGACCTGGGCCAGGAATTCGAAACCCTTTTCGGGTGCCAGCCGACAGACGCAGACAAGGATGATTTCTCCGTTAGGTGCCAGTTCCTTGCGGTAAGCCTCATCTCGCTGAGAAGGGTCAAACAAACTCGTGTCGACGCCTCGGCCCAGTCGGACCATTTTGTTGCTCGGAGCGCCTGCTTTCTCAAGGTAACGGCGCACGCCGGAGGAAGGATAGAAGATGGTATGGACAGTTCGATGATTGAACAGAAATCCTTGGACGACGCCTAGCAGCCATACGGAGAAACGGGCAACAGGACCAGGGAAAAGAATTTCACTGTAAGCCGACAGATCGGTCTGGAAGTTGAGGAGGACGACTGGTGGGTCTTGTAGCTGGCGGATCTGGAACAGCATCTGAAAGCCGGTAGAAGCAGGACTCGCCAGATAGACAATGTCAGGCTTGAAGGTGTGCCTGTAGACATCGTCGAGTTGAAAGGGGTATACGACGGTCAAGTCAGGATTGTAGGGCAGTTCATAGCCTGGCAGGCGGAATTCCGTGAGGTTTGCACCACTGGTTGGCTTGAGTCGCGACTGTCTGGAGTGAGGAGCAACAATGGCCAGTTGCACACCGTTCTTGCGGAGGTACTCGATCAGCATGAGAGTGGTTCGACTGACACCATTGACAGGACCCAGGGATTCGGTGGCGAGGAGGACTCGCTTGCCCTTGAGGTAGGAGGGAAAGACATCGCGCTTGTCGAGCGTAGCAGGACCAGTGGCGGTACCTGCTTGCGTTGTCGTTGTCGTTGTCATGTCATTGCTGCTGCTGGTGGTAGTGCTGCTGGCCGTGGTGGGAGCAGGCAGCTTTTCTGTCTCTTCCATCATGGTCTCTTCCATTATGGCGGTCAACAAAGGAGAAAAGTTGTTCCGAATGGCGCGGCGCAGTTGCCCCTCTCCTTATCCTTATCGCTACTGCTTATCCTGCACCGCACAACCCACAATCTGCGACTTTCAGGCTGGTGGAAATTTGCTGGAGCTTTCCTTCGTTGGGGGTTAAACGAGGGGAGAGAATGAGTGACACGGAATTACTAGGTAGTAGTCAGTTTGCATTTGCAGTCAAACAGCGACTCCCGAGGCCTTTGACCTTCTGTCACTTCCGGGCGGTTCGTTTCCACACTTTTTCTCCTCGTCGCTCTGTTTGTCCCGACGAGGGTTTCTTATGATTTCATGCCTGGTGCCCGCTGCCCACTGCCGGTGAGATGTCATGCCTGCATGCTTCCGAGATGGATCTCTTTATGGACTTGATCCCCGGATCCTCGTGCGCCTGTCGGGTCATGAGCAACCCACCACTGCCTACCACTGCCCACCAGACAAAACTTAGGCTGATGGTGGCGACGGCGTCCCAAGGCCATGATTTTGCAAACGGACGCGTAGAAGAGGCTGACGGCTCCCACGTGGGTGCATGCGCTGAACAGCAGGCGTCCCGAGCGTGTCAACAGTGTCCAGCCTCTCTGAACCACTCAGCGGCGTGGAATCCATGCGCGTGCTCCGGTGCGTTTGATACAGTCGCCCTTTTTGTTGATTCCCTCGCGCACCCCAAATGACACCAGCTCAAAACACCCCCAAACGCACCCGCTCATCTGCCCGCTCATGACCCTCGCACTGCCCATCCATGGCCCATGACCATGTGAGGCGTGGTAGATGGTTGGGAAGCTTCACACATTTGCCCATCTGCCCCGTTTTTCGTCTTCCACCCTGGTGAAAAGTCGGAATCTTGTAATTGCTGGCGGCGCCGCCGCTGTCTGCTCTTCAAAGCCCCAGGCCTCTCTTATCTGCACACTGGTTCAATTTCGTCGGTGCTGGTCACCGCCGTGCCCTGCAAGCCGTGCTCGTTTTTAGATTAATATGGCCTGATTCCGTCAAATCTCACTTCTCGTGGTCACCGTTCTCCTCCTCCGTTTCATGCACGCTTGAGTCGACTCCTCGTTGTCGCCATGGACTTCGCTGTTCCCTCGCTTGTCGGCACCTCCGACGGCAGCTCCTGTAACGACTCCACGGGTCTTTTGACCCCCGACAGCAGTCCTTTGTTCCGCCCCTCATACCCCAAAGACTCGTTCGAGACGCGCCTCGCTCATGCCTTTGAAGAGCCCAAAAGGCGCAGAATAGATCCCCCGTCAACCCGCGCCGAAAGCCCTTTCATCCCCTCGTTTGCCGACCTATTCGCGCCCGTTCCCAGTGATGTGAGGAAGATCTGCGTGATTGGCGCAGGTTATGTCGGTACGGACACAACCCCAACTTCTACCGCAGATACGTGAATTATAGAGGTGAACTAATACGAATCACGCGTTTGCAGGCGGTCCTACGGCGGCAGTTATTGCGCTGCACAACCCCAAGGTCGGCGTCGAGGTTCTGGACAGAGACCAGCGACGGATCGAACGCTGGAACTCCGCTCACCTACCCATCCACGAGCCGGGTTTGAACAAGATTGTGCGATTGACAAGAGACGGTGCAATTATCAAGGAGCCGAGCGACCGCGATTCTGCCTCTCAAGGACGCAATGGCGAGTCTGACTACGTCTCCAGACGCGGCCCGAACCTCTTCTTCACGTGTGACACTCAAGTCAGCATCTCCACCGCGGACATGGTTTTCCTGGCAGTCAACACCCCGACGAAGACGACGGGAATCGGTGCAGGGAGAGCCACCAACATGAATGCTCTGGATGGAGCTGTCAAGGATGTGGCCATGTATGCGAAACCCGGCACTATTATTGTCGAGAAGAGCACTGTCCCCTGTGGAACCGCTCAGCGCATCAGGAACACGGTAGGTGACCCGTTTCGCGTGGCATGCAAAGTGGGTTTCTGACCGAGATCTACCAGCTCGATACATTACGACCAGGCGAGCCGTTTGAGGTGCTATCAAATCCGGAATTTTTGTCTGAAGGGACAGCGATCAAAAATCTTATGAAACCGGATCGAGTTATTATTGGGTCTTCCGGCACTCCTTCCGGCAAGCTTGCAGCGGATGCCCTCGCCAGTCTGTATGCTGCATGGATTCCCTCGTCCCAGATTCTGCAGATCAACGCGTGGTCATCAGAGCTTTCCAAGCTGGTGGCCAATGCGATGCTCGCACAGCGGATTAGCAGCATCAACTCAATCAGTGCCATTTGTGAAGCCACGGGCGCAAACGTTGAGGAAGTCGCAAAATCGATCGGCCTGGACACCCGGATAGGGCCACAATTCTTGAAAGCCGGTCTTGGTTTCGGGGGTTCTTGCTTCAGAAAAGACATTGCCAGTCTCACGTACCTCGCAGAATCTCTAGGCTTGGAAGAAGTGGCCCATTACTGGAGTCAGGTCAATTCGATCAACGTCATGCAACGCAACCGATTCGCGAGAAAAGTGCTTAAAAGGTTCAACGAAAAACTGTTTGGCAAGAAGATCACTTTGATGGGGTTTGCCTTTAAAAAGAACACCAGCGACGCACGCGAGTCTCCTGCTGTGGACGTGATCAGGACTCTGTTGGAGGAACAACCTGCGGAAATTGCCATTTTTGATCCCTACTGTGACGAAGACGACATGCTTCGGGAGATTAACGCGACTGTCAGCAATCCACCTGGAATCGCGAGCGGAAGCTCCTCCGTGAAGATCTACACCGATCCATATGAGGCTTGTATGGAATCGAACGCCATCCTGATCATAACAGACTGCGACCAGTTCAAAACTGCGCCTCAAAGAGCGCACGGCAGCAATGCCTCCGAAACGAGCTCACCCGCCAAGCGACCTGCCCACGGGTCGGATTCACCGAAACAGGAGGAAGATGATTTTCTGGGCGCAAACTTTGCAAACTACAGACTCGCTCCTCAACCGGATTGTGTGGACAACTGCCCCGACTGCAGGTCCAAGGCCAGAGGCCCGATTTCCACCGATCCCGTCGAATGGGCTCGCATCGTCTACAGCATGAGAGAGCCGAAATGGGTCTTTGACGGCCGAGGAATTGTCGATGCGGACGAAATTGAGAAGCTCGGAGGTGTGCGCGTCGATGGCATTGGGAGATGGCGCCCTGAAGACGGACAGAAGCGCTGCTGGTGAGAAAGGGGCCTGTCGAGCCTCGATTGACATGAGTCCAACTGTTTTCGAAATGGTCTTTGAGATACCAGGACCCGTCGCTTTTGCTTACACCGGTCTGGAGTCAACTGTTGGCCAGCAGGGAAACCCACCCTGCGACAGGGCCTGCATTATCTGGCGTTTTAAAGCCGCAAATCCTAGAGCCCGGGAAGACGTTCAACCTCTTTAACCCCATGCCTCAACCCTTTTTCCAACAAACCCCCTCCCCCCACCCTTGTTTTCCACGTCCACATACCACGAGTATATAGAACCCAATTTAAACTCTCTCTCAGAGAAAATCCGCAGTCAGACAGAATAGACACGATTACCCTAGAACAATGAAATGGAATGCCCCAACACGCACACACGCGCACACACACACACACGCGCACACACACACACACGTTTTCCCGAGCGAAAACCTCACCTGCGCACGCCCAGCGAAGCCAGGGAAGCCCCCATCGAACCCCTCTTGGACTGGGTTTCGAAAGGGGAAAGGGGGAAAGGGTGGCCGAAAAGTCGGACGATCCTCTATTGAAATGCGCCCAGAGGGGGGGGGGGGGGGGGGGGGGGGGGGCATGACCATGAGCAAGCCCTGTTCCAAGGCAGATGCCTCTGGAGGGAGGGTGGTGTGATTCATGCAGATTCCAGAGCAAAGAAACCGTACGGTATGCGGCGAAATCTCACGCTTCGATCTCAGAGCAGTGCTTGAAGAACAGATAAGAGTTCTCTGTTCTACCTAGGCAAGAAAGGGGAGGAGATTGGGTTTTTTCCCCCTTCGAAACCACGACGCCAGAGACGGTAACCAGCCGAAAGATTGAGTGTGACCAAAGGACATATTATATCATGTCACGTCAAGTCAAGCCCCCAACAAAACCCATAAAAACCGACCGGTGAACCAAACAAAACAGGACCATGACACCATTGCCTCCACGGCCTGGGGGAGCAGGAAAGAACAAGACAAGGCAATAAGCCTCCGCCGCCCACCGTGGTCAGTTGTGTGCCCACATCCCCCTAAGGCCGCCCTTTCAGGAATATTGAGAGCATAACGACAGAATCCGTCGTGATCACCATGATAATTGGCACTCATATAGAAGTGTTTACTCCTCACACCTCAAAATCCTATGCAACATCTCGATTTAGCTGCGAGGATAGTGTCTCTCTCTGGGTGTGTGTGTGTGTGTGTGTGTGTGTGTGTGTGTGTGTGTGTGTGTGTGTGTGTGTGTGTGTGTGTATTCTCCGTCACCGTCACGGAGGGCTGGTTAAATAGGTGACTAGATATCGGTAATAGTGAGACTGGCTGAGCACCTCTTTGACCAATTCCACTGTTGCCCAACTAAAATCCAAAAGGGCCCGAGTACTGTAGTATTGCGATGGTGGTGCTGTTTGAGGAGGCCTTCTTGGCGCTCCCCTCCGGGTAACAATAGACTCTGGACTCTGTACTGTCTCAAAACTGTCAGGAAGCTTTCATAATGCCACAACAAAACAGATGTGAGTGGCGCACATCACACGTGTTGGAAGACACCGTGCTTTGCTTTCCCCGGTAGTGGAGGGATGGAAGCAATATTCCCAACGAATCAATCAAGCAGCTGTGTTCGGCTCCAAGAGTAAAGACCGAGATTGATGCATTCCTCCACTTATCACATATTTCCCCAGAGGCTCTTAACTGGGCTTTGGTGAGAAACTCAATACAGTGTTCGGACTTGACGTAGTAGTCGCAGCTGATGCAGAGCTGGATGTGGAAGGCGATGATACCAGGGGTCGAACCGGGCACAGACCCATAGCTTGGGACATTTCCAGTATCGTCTTCGGCGCGCCGGCAATGTGCTGGCGAATGTGTGCCTTTATTGCTTCGGAATTCATGTCAAAATCTTGGAAATCCAGCGGGTTCTGAAATGACTGAAGGAATTGCTCTACGGGTTCCCCGTCGCCTTTCGCACCATCGTCAGGCTTGGCATTGATGTCGCGTGTCTTCCGTTGCTCCCACCTCTTCATGGCAGGTTGCCAGATGCTTTTCCAATGGGTGCCAAGTTCTTTGGTATAGTAGAAAGTGCGTAGGATCTTTTCCAGGCGAGCCCATTGACGCGCCTGTGGGTAAAGATCTAGAACATGTTCCATGACCAAGTTGGAGTTGGGCATGGGGACAACACGGAGAGCAAGGGCTCCCGCAACGGCCATACTGCACCAAACCAACGAGTTTTGTTCCTGAAGTGAGGCGGGTTTGGTGTGGGTGGGTAGCGCGTTGATGAAGTTGCGGAGGATGGGATCATAGAAGAGGTTTACCGCTGCAAGACCCCGGAGTTGAAAGACATAGGCTAGCAAGCCCATAGTGAGATTGTATTCAACTGGCTCGGTGGAAGTCAACGACATTCGCTGAAGAGAAGAGAGGATGGTCTGGATCATTGTTTGCTTCCATTCTTCGTCGTACTGGGACGAATCAGGGAGGGGTAATTCTGAAGGTGGTGTCCACGTCCGGTCAAGGAGGTTCTCGTAGCTGACAGTCTCAGTCGCGAGGAGAGTGGTCGCTGCCGAAATGGAGGCGAGGAGCTTGATCATCTGTATTGAGATTCTAGATGCGACGCAGAGCTCCGAGACGCCCGAGGGAAGGCGAGAGAGGATGATGCACAGGTCCGGTGGAAACGGAGGTTCGGGGTAAGCGAGTGGCTGATCGAGGTTTAGTTCTTGAAACGTCTCCCTGAGGTAACCGACCGAGTCGCGAGGCAGTTTTGGTGGTTGACCTGTCACGAAGGAGCCCAGGGCCTTGTATGCGATAAGACCATGTTTTATGAATTTCAGCCAGCCGGAATCTGAGTTCTGGTCGACTTTGTCATCAGAGAGCGGCCCTCGAAGCTCAAGCATTTTCTCCAGGCCGTTGCAATGCATGACCACGCCTCGCTGATTGCCAGAGAGGTACTCGAGTGTCATGAGCATCGTCACGGTCAGCAAGGATGCATCGTCCGTGGCCTCGCTGGACTTGAGCCTTTCGTTGAGACCCGCTATGGCGCTGCCACGGTGGTGAACAAAGGCGTAATCTTCCCATATGGGTTTCCCAAGTGAAATGAGAATAGATGCTCGACAGACTGATATGATAGACTCAAAAAGAATGGTATGCTTCAGCGCGAAAGGCAGTAAGAGCGACAGATGAGGATTGACCGGGCCAGGGACGACGGACCTCTCGGTGTTGAAACCTTTGCAGATGGTGATATAGTAGTCCAAGGTGTCTTGAACAGCGTCAGTGGACTTGATGGGCAGGACTAGAAATGGATCCTCGCGAGTCCCATTCAGCGGAAGAGGCTCCAGTGGAGAGACATAGACCAGAGCCTGCGCATTTGGATTTTGTCTTCCGTCGCTAGGCTTTGATTTCCGTTGGATAGTGTCGTCCTGATCTTCATCCCGTGCTGCGTCCGGAGGCTGCCACTGTACAAACTGATCCGGTGCTGAGTTGGGAGACTTCTTGCTGGGATCATACTTTTTCCATCGGATCTTTTTGTAGCCTTGATACCGGCCGCCTGAGATGCGAGATTTATTCGTCGCGGAGGGAAAGCTGGCCTGCACCGGTGGTCGACTATTTGTGGACATCGCTTTCAAGCAGGGAGATAGCGGCAAGAGTAGACTCCTGTTGCATTGGCATTGCTGGTGAAGGATCAAGCGATAAGTACTGAGTAATGTGAAAAAGGGCGGATAAGCGGGGCTTTTGAAGCGAGTCATCGCCGCTCGGCAAGCACCAGGGGCCTTTCTACGATTGGTCAAATTTATGCCAAGACAGCCAAGACATTTCCGACTCGGCGGACGCCGGCACCCACGGCGTTCAGCTGTTTATTGACTGAAACTCTACTCCCCAGCATCGAGCGGGCGCAAAAGACAATTGGCACCTGGAGCGACGGGGCATCCGAGGAGATTGTAGATGCAGCCTTCTATATGAAGCTCGAGGCCAATGCTGGAAGTTCTCTACCTCTAGATGACAGATCATCCGGCTAGTGAAAGCGTAACTTGATCCGGGCATTTTATGTCTGATGAGCCTGATGCTTGTAAACATTCCTTCAAATGGCTCGGCGGTCAACTATCGCAGAGTCTCCTTGCTGAGGCCTTTTTATCCGAGGTTCTCGACAAAAATATACTATCAAGTCAGAGGTCAGCTGGTTGAAGGCGTGTACAAGAGCACAGTGGACAGAAGGAAAGGGCTTTCCGATAGAACAACTGGTACTTACCTCTGCGTACCATGTTTTGGTATTCAGACTCTCATTTATGAGCTGTTAAATGGAGTGACATACGAGATGGAGAGAAAGCACTTCTGGCTATTCACCTGCAATCCCACCGCACCGTGGCCATCTTGCACAATCCGTGGGCCGTCGAAGTGGAGGAAATGACTTCGATTATCCAAGTATGATGGCTGTAGCGAATATTCGGGCCAAAGCAGAATACTTTGAAAAAGGTGGCTGGAGCAATGGGCCAGGGAGGGTGGCGGCCGAGCAATATAGATCCTGCAAAAGATGACAAGTATACAGGGACAATAAGCTCCAGAGTTAGGCACCAGTACTTCGCGAAGTTACTGACTCAAGCTCCCGCAGGTAAATTGGTTTGTTCTCTCAATGCCCTTGTGTGTGAATCCAACGCGGCCTATGCTGGATTTCGCCGTAGTTGTTGGGAACTCAAAGACTCAGATGGTTTGCTCATTCGACACCCCCTGACCGTGTTGTTGGTCTTGACTTGCGGACAGTTGCACAGATGCACCTGTATCATCCACGGCTCGGTCTGTGGTGGTTGCTTCGACGATGGCCTTCGCGGCAGAAGTCTGACGATATGTGAAATTTCCGGGCAGGTTTTGCGTCGCCAGAACCGAAGGAGGGACGCCCTCTGTGTCTGCTTCGAAAGAGGATCGAGGGAAGGACCATTGCTTGAGCAACGGGTACCGCTGAGGGAGAATTTTGGACTGGATCTCATTCAAAAATGAAGATCCCTTAGTCGAGAAATTGAAATCTGGCATGGTTCGCCATACGTGTGTAGAGCCAATCGGACCCACAACCTCAATCTGGCAGCGGTCGCGATTGTCCGTCAGTGAGCGAAGGAAGTATTTGACGTCTCTCCGGGGGTGTGATTCTGTAGGTTGTTCGAGGAACTGCTCATCAGAGCCTCGCTTCCTTTTCCTGCCCGTTCGCTTGGGAACCGTCACTTTAAGCAGCAGATTGTTGGTCGGCTTGTTGTAAGAAAGCACTGCGCGGGTGCTTGGGTCATCAGGCTGAAACTTGAGACCTAGCGGCTTATCCGATCCAGGCTCAAGACTCTGCACGAGCTCCGCAGGCCCTCCGAGCATACCAATGGCCTTCTCCACATTCTGAACGATGCATGGGTGTTCGATAGATAGGACAGGGATATCTGGGACCTGGAACGACGGCGCAACCTGTCCACCGCTTGGGAGACCTGGCATTCTGGATGCTGGGACGAGCAGCTTGATAGGTGAGGTGATTGATGGACGATAAGTAGCTTGTACTTAGTCAGGCCCGACTCCGACTGTCATCTCGCACAACCTTATTCGTCCAGCGGACAGGCCTCTCACCTTGTTTGACGCGGGGAAGGACAACTTGGGTGATTAAGTCCAGGGAGGGACTGCCGTCCTGATGCTAGATTGATCTCAAGCCTCGGGTGATAAGATCCTGGTGACTTGGAGGGAGGTGATCTCTTGGATCCCGTGACGGAGGTGATAAAACAGGTTCTTCTATTCTTTAGCGAAGAGGATTAATATGCGACTATTCCCACTTAGCAGACACCTCAGGGTACCAGCAAGGCCAGGTAGCTAGCAATCCACTCCAGGCAACTCTACCGAACACACTCCCAAGTGCCCCGGCCCCTTGGAGGTGGCTAAGCCCAGCGGCCCAGGCCAATAGGTCCCCTTCAAGTTGACGCCCACTGGCATCACTGGGTCAGGTTGGCCTTACCAAATTGCACCCTCGACCCGGCCGCGTACTGACACCGAAACAACTGCACCGTCCCCGCCAACCTGCGACTGCGACTACACTTTGACTTGTAATTTGGCCTTGAGCTGCGCACGACTACTCGACAATTCGTCATCTTGACTGCTCTTCAATGGATGCCCTTCTCAATGCACTTAGATCATTAAGCCACCTTCGAATCCGACGCTTTTGATCATAGAACGATTCTTTCAATCCTTCTCCACCGCGCTCTTCTCAGGTCCTTGCCGTCTCTCGACCGAACCCTCCTCAGCTACCCTCTATCACTCTCCACACCGGCCAACCGTGCTGTCGTTCCTCCTCTGTGCCAGGGCTGCTCCTAAGAATGAGCGATTGGTAGAAGAGAAGGAACTTGCCGGTATTGCTGCATCCTGTTGAATTAATCTGGCCTTCCCTGAGACCCCTACCCGTCGCCTCCTACCGAGGAGCAGATCTGGTGGTTGTCACTCGGATGCAACGCACATAACAGCCTCGTGGCTTCCTGGAATCGAGAAGGCGTCGCATCAATTACCACAATCGTCCTCATTGTCACTGGTGCGTGGAAGCGTTGCGATATTGAAGACGGGCCAAAATGAAAGGTTTCAGACAGAGAGTGGTAAGTCTCCGACCCGTGTCTTGTGCCCTTCCATTCCAACGCTCCCACTCACTGATATTCTAGCATGAGCAGTTGTCGAGGGCAAAGGACGGCAACAAGTCTTCCAAGAAGAAAGACGCGAGTAATTCAGGCACCGCGTCTCCGCTGTCCTCATCCACTACGCTCGCTGGTGGTGATTCGAGATCTCCCAATAGCTCCAACACCGCAACCCCGACCTCCTCATCGACGAATCTGAACGAACTACGAAACAAGGGCGGAAATCATGAGGGCGCCAACGCCAATCACGGAACCACTCAACATCATACTGGCGCTGCTGCAGGATCGGGCTCGCTGGCTTCTCATTACATGTCGCAAGGCTCCGCTCATGGATCAGGCGGACCTGGAACAGCCACAGCTCGTCATCACATTGCTCCAAGCGTGATCATAAGCCCAAGTGCTCCTCACATTCCGGGACCTGGCGCGACTGAAACAATGCCTGGCGACCTTGCACCTCCCAAGGCCGGCCAGAAATCCCTCCTTTTCGATCGACTGCAATCTACCCCGAAGGATGTGCCCGAGGGTGTCCGAACGCCCAAGAGACAGCACTCGTCGAGATTTGATGTATCAGACCAAAGAGCTCGTGATCTGGAGAAATTGCCGGGCTTCCACGAAGTCCCTCCCAATCGAAGACAAGAGTTATTCATGCAAAAGATCGATCAATGCAATATTATCTTCGACTTCAATGACCAGACCGCCGACATGAAATCAAAAGAAATCAAGAGACTTGCCCTCCACGAACTTCTGGATTATGTTGCCAATAACCGATCGGTGATAACCGAGCCGATGTATCCGAAAGTTGTCGAAATGTTTAGCAAGAACCTTTTCCGCCCCGTTCCCCCTCCTGTCAATCCGCAGGGTGAAGCATTTGATCCCGAAGAAGATGAACCAGTCCTTGAAGTGGCTTGGCCTCACATCCAAGTGGTCTACGAGTTCTTTTTACGTTTCATCGAAAGCCAAGACTTCAACACAAACATTGCCAAAGCTTACATTGACCATCATTTCGTCCTCCAGTTGCTGGAGCTGTTCGACTCAGAAGACCCTAGAGAAAGAGATTTCCTCAAGACCACACTTCACCGCATCTACGGCAAATTCCTGAATCTTCGGTCCTACATTCGAAGGTCGATCAACAATGTCTTTTTCCAGTTTACGTACGAGACGGAGAGGTTCAACGGCATAGCCGAACTTCTCGAGATTCTTGGTTCGATCATCAACGGCTTTGCTCTTCCGCTGAAAGAAGAGCATAAACTCTTCTTGACCAGGGTTCTTATTCCCCTGCACAAAGTCAAGAGTTTGAGCATGTATCATCCCCAATTGGCATATTGTATCGTGCAATTCTTGGAGAAAGACGCGGCGTTGACGGAAGAAGTAGGTCATCACCCATATGTCGCGCTTAGTATGCTGATGGTGTTGCAGGTGGTGCTTGGTCTCCTCCGCTATTGGCCGAAAGTCAACAGCACTAAAGAAGTCATGTTCCTGAACGAAGTCGAGGATATTTTCGAGGTTATGGATCCGCAAGAATTTGCTAAAGTCCAAGAGCCTCTCTTCAACCAACTGGCCAAATCTGTAGCGAGTCCTCATTTCCAAGTGGCCGAGCGTGCATTGTACTTCTGGAATAACGAATACTTCTGCAACCTCGTCAGTGACAACGTCGAAACCATCCTTCCGATCATGTTTGCTCCGTTGTACGAAAATTCCAAAGGACACTGGAACCGGTACGTATGGTTGCTTTTGATTGCAACCTCCTGCTGATCAGTTGCCAGCACAATACACGGCATGGTTTACAACGCAATGAAACTTTTCATGGAGATCAACCCTCAGCTTTTCGACGAGTGTTCGCACGATTACAACGAAATGCAGAGCACTGCCGCTCAACGGGAAAAAGCACGCGAAGCGAAGTGGGCGAAGCTCACTGAGCAGGCCGATCGCATGAAGGCCGCCGGAGCGGCAAAACCACCGACGACCCCTAGTATCCAGGAAGTGCCAGAGACGGATGCTGCGCAGGACAACCAAGAGAGACTAGATGCTCTCAAACTGCATGATGAGTCGTCGTCAAGCAAACCATCATCGGTAAGCCGTATTCGCTCTGCACTGCGCATTTCAGCAATGCCCTCTTCATCGCTTTGTCATTTCCATCTTTGCTAAGACATTCTCTCATCATTATAGTGACGTTGATGGCTATTTCTGACATGGCTTTGGAACCTCCAGAGGCGGCGCGCAGATTCGCATGGTCAGACGAGATCTCGCCGGTCGAACAGCAGCTTGGATGGCAAATCGAGAAGACATCGCACCCATTCTGGAGGATCCCTTGAATTTCACCGGACAGTACAAATGCCTCATGTTCAACGCCACGGAGGCGGTATGTCGCAGCATTGACCCGAGCAAATATTGGGCTGTCGGTGGTGGCAGCGAGCTATGACTAAGTGAACCAAGGTTCCTTGTGAATCGTCAGCAAGCGGCCGGCCTTGATTCAAGTTTTGGTTTACTTCGAGCTGAGGCTCAGCTTGCGAAGGTTTCAGATACCCGGTCAACACCGTAAATTTTGCATTGGGTTTTGGCGATGACCTGTGGGTGATAGAGTACTATGAGGCCTAATGGACATGTTCAGCCTCTGAAATGAAGATACGAGGAATGCGGGCGGACAAAGCGCCTATGGTGGAAAGAGGGAGGGCGAGCAAGACACTGTCCGAATCGTAAAGAAATGCCTTCACTTCACTTCCCACCTGGCAGGCCTCTGGCGGTTCGTCATGAGGCACCGGCGAGGCCACGCCAAGCTCCGCATTGAGGACTCACAGGCTCCATCACGAGACCGAGTATGATTGGCTTCCGCCCATCTCCACTATCTTATCCGGGACTAGCATCATCACGTGCGCTGCACGCTCGAGGCAAGCATCGTTCCCCCCTCGCATTCACTTTTCTACCTCGCGCCTTGATTCTCCGCAGTCTCCATACAAATTTGGTCGGAGGAGGCACTCCACGGTCAATAAGGCATCTTGCCTACACCCATTTCTTCTCTTTACATTCTTGTTTGGTATTGTTGCAGGGAGCGTACTTAATTTCGTCTTCACCTCTTCATCTAGTGACCAGTTAGTTTCGTTGCAGACCTGCCGTTGCGACTGTTTTACTCCTGCGCTCCGAGTCAAATTCGTGGACCTGCAAATGGGCCTTCGCAGAATTGAACCCTGATGTGGGCGCTCGAGCATTGCGATACACCCTCCCTTCGCGCCTAGCCAACCTTCCCGCTTCCGGGCGTAGTTGGGAGGTGGACTAGGAACGACGACGCCATGGATGCATCACAGAAGATTGATGTCTATGCCGCGAGGCTCAGTGACCCAAAGATTGGCAAGTCGCGCAGGCAGCTTCCTCGGTATATGAACTGACTGTGGTATCGCTGTAGATGTGCGGACAAAATCGAACGTGGCCACGGAACTCCGCGACTCGGTTGAATCTCTATGCACCCCCTCTAGCGTTTATACCAAATTCTTGACCAAGTTATGGCCTGTCTTCAAGAAGATTCTGGAGGGGAAACCAGACTTTCACCCGACCTCTTTCGAACATATCCTGCGGAACCAGATTCTCGAGATTCTGCACAGACTGCCACATCAGCTGCGTGAGGTCGAACCCTTTGCGCTGGACATGGTAGAAACGCTGATGGAGCTTGTGAGGGTAGAAAATGAAGATAATGCTGTGCTATGTCTGAAGACGATAATGGATCTCGAGCGACATCAACCAAATGCCACTGCTTCAAAGGTCCAACCTTTCCTTGACCTCATTCAAGAGATGTTCGAGTTAATGGAACAGGTGGTCCGCGACACCTTCGACTCACCTGTGCCCCATCACCAAGCACCATCTTCGACGTCCAACCCCCAAAGCCAGACCTTCCAGTCCCCGCGCCCGGGCTCCCCCGCGACGACCGTGTCGGATCCGGGGATGGAAAAGAAGGAACACGTGCCCCTGGCAAAGGGTATGCAATCCTTCAAGGTTCTGTCGGAATGTCCCATCATTGTCGTTTCGATATTCCAAGCGCATCGGAGCTCAGTTGCTGCCAACGTCAAGAAATTTGTGCCTTCCATCAAGGGCATTCTCCTGCTACAGGCCAAAGCACAAGAAAAGGCACACGCCGAGGCGGCGGCGAACAAGACCATATTCACTGGTGTCAGCAAAGAAATCAAAAACCGAGCCGCCTTCGGCGACTTCATCACCGCTCAGGTCAAGACCATGAGTTTCCTGGCGTACCTTCTCCGGGTGTACGCAAATCAGCTGACCGACTTCTTGCCAACTCTGCCGGGTGTGGTCGTGAGGTTATTAAAAGACTGTCCAAGAGAGAAGTCGGGCGCTCGCAAAGAACTGCTGGTTGCGATACGGCACATCATCAATTTCAACTATCGCAAAATCTTTCTGAACAAAATCGACGAATTGTTGAACGAGCAGGTCCTCATTGGTGAAGGCCTGACCGTCTATGAGAGTATGCGTCCATTGGCATACAGTATGCTCGCAGATCTCATACATCATGTGCGGGACTCCTTAGACCGCAATCAGATACGCCGGACAATCGAAGTGTACACCAAGAATCTTCACGACAATTTTCCTGGTACAAGTTTTCAGACAATGAGTGCAAAATTGCTGCTCAACATGGCCGAAAGCATCACCAAGCTGGAAAATAAGGAAGACGCCAGATACTTCTTGATCATGATTCTCGATGCAATCGGCGACAAATTTGCCGCAATGAATTATCAGTATGAGAACGCTGTGAAGCTGAGCCGCCAATACGGAGACAAGTCAAAGGAGCATCTGGTGGAGACGTACATGGATGACAAAGACGAGGTTCCGGACTGGGACGAAGTGGACATTTTCAATGCCACTCCTATCAAGACGTCAAATCCGCGGGAGCGAGGCGCTGACCCTGTCAACGACAACAAATTCCTCTTCAAGAACCTCGTCAATGGGCTCAAGAATATGTTCTACCAACTGAAAACATGCAATCCTCCGGGACTTAATGTAGACCAAGCCAGCATTCCAATCAACTGGAACGAAGTCTCCTTTGGGTACAACGCTGAAGAGACACGTGTGGTCACCAAACTTTTCCACGAAGGCGCACGGGTTTTCCGCTACTACAGTGCAGAAGCGCCAGTACCAGATACACAATATTCCTCTCCGGTAGACTTCATGGCAAGTCACTCCATGGCACAAATGACCAAAGAAGAAAAGGAATTGTTGGAGAGCTTTGGGACGGTATTTCATTGCATCGATCCAGCCACGTTCCATGAAGTCTTCCAAGCTGAGATTCCTTACCTCCACGAGTTGATGTCTGAACATACAGCCTTGCTACACCTGCCTCAATTCTTCCTTGCCAGCGAAGCCACGTCACCCGCATTTGCAGGAATGGTCCTGCAATACCTCATGAACAAGTTACCCGAGGTTGGATCGTCAGACATTGTCCTGTCTTCGATATTGTTGAGGATGTTCAAACTGTCATTCATGGCGGTCACGCTTTTCTCCGCACACAATGAGCAGGTTCTTCTCCCGCATATCACGAAGATCATCACACAATGCGTGCAGCTGTCGGTTACGGCGGAGAAACCTATCCATTACTTCATTCTTCTTCGATCCCTGTTTCGAAGTATTGGCGGAGGGCGGTTCGAACTTCTTTACAAGGAAATCCTTCCGCTGCTCGAAATGCTGCTGGAAACCTTCAACCATCTTCTCCAAGGGGCTAGAGATCCTCATGACCGGGACTTATACGTTGAGTTGACGTTAACCGTGCCGGCGAGACTCAGCCACTTGTTACCGCATCTCAATCATTTGATGCGGCCTTTGGTTGTGGCTCTTCGAGCAGGCCCCGATCTTGTTGGGCAAGGGCTCAGAACGCTCGAGCTCTGCGTTGACAATCTCACGGCGGATTACCTAGATCCAATTATGGCTCCAATCATGGATGATCTGATGACTGCCTTGTTTGAGCACCTGAAGCCTCAGCCATACCAGCATTTCCACTCTCATACGACAATGCGTATTCTCGGTAAACTTGGTGGCCGCAACAGGAAATTCTTGAACCATCCGCATCGCCTGTCCTATCGGCGCTACACCGACGACGAGCCTAGCTTTGACATTCGACTTGTTGAGACCAGCCGGGATCGACCATTTCCGTTGGATACTGGCGTCGACCTAGCCATTAGAAAACTCACTGAGACGGCCAAGAACACGAATTCGAAGGCCCTGGATCTATATTACAAGCAGCAGTCGTTCAACTATATTAGCAGTCAAGTGAAATTGCTCATCGGCCAGGATCATCTTCCTGACGATCTCGCAACTCTCCTCCGACTTCAGGCGAATGATCTCCTTGCCCGGCGCTTTACGACATACGCTGACATGCTGACCGAGAACGACTTCGGTAAATCGGTGCAAAAACGCCGGGAGCAAGAAGAGAACTTGAAGAAACTCCTCAAGGCGTGCTTCACTGCAACCACCATCCCAGATTTGAAACCACAAGCCGAAGCTTTTATTCAGAGCATATCCCGCCATTTTACCATCGTGGAACTCGGCCAGGCTCTATGTGATGCCGGCAGAAGAACCAAGGAATTCGACGTTAATCTCGGCGAAGGTGCAGTCCACCTCAGCACTCGCATCCTAGCCGATGTTATCTGTGATTGCCTGGCCTCGGACAATATCGTCATCCGTGAGGCTGCCGAAGAGTCAATGCTTGCCGTGGTAGATACGGCTCGCATTATCTTTGGTAGTGAGGAAAAGGCAGCTAAACTTCCTTTCTTCAGCCATATGACTCAGACATTCTGCCACAGATGCCGTGAGGTGGAGTGGTTCACCAAGGCTGGCGCTACTTTGGGAATACAAATCCTGGTCAAGAGGCTCAATCTAGGCAACCCTTTCCTCAACAGCAAGCAACTTGAGATAATCAAAGCTTTGCTCTTCGTGATCAAGGACACACCTCAAGAAGTTCCGGCAAGCACTCGCATTACTGCTCAAGAGACACTGGAATTCATTCTCCGGAAATGCTGCGCTGGCCAGACCCGGGAGATGCTCACAAACGAGAGAAGCACAATTCATGCCCTTTCTGTGACCTTCAGTCTCGAACTGTCTCACATGAATACGCACGCACGTGAGACGGCGCAACACGCCTTTTCGGTCATGGCGGAGGTTGTTGGAGTGGAGGTATACGAGCTGATCGCCCCAGTCAAGGAAAGGTTTCTCCCACCAATCTTCAACAAGCCACTTCGAGCCCTTCCCTTCCTTTCGCAAACCGGCTTCATTGATGCAATTACATATTGCTTGGGTTTGGGTCACGATCTCGTCCCGTTGAATGATCAGCTCAACCGACTTATGATGGAGTCATTAGCGCTTGCCGACGCAGATTCTGAGATCCTCCATCCAAAACCGGACGAATACAACAACGCCCAGTTGATTGTCAACCTACGTGTTTCGTGTCTAAAGCTTCTCTCTATCGCCATGAGCTTGCCAGAGTTTGCGACCGGACCACAGAATTCTAGCCGAGCCCGAATTATTACCGTCTTCTTCAAGCTGCTTTACTCGAAATCCCCCGAAATCATCGAGGCTGCCAATGCTGGTTTGAAGGAAGTATTGGTCCAGACATCGAAGCTGCCCAAAGATCTTCTCCAGAATGGACTGAGGCCTATTTTGATGAATCTACAAGACTCGAAGCGACTCACTGTTGCAGGATTGGAAGGGCTTGCGAGGTTACTGACCCTCTTGACCAATTACTTCAAAGTCGAAATTGGTGCTCGGCTGCTAGAGCATATGAGAGTCATCGCTGACGAGCAGCTGCTGCAAAAAGTCTCCTTTGGGCTGATTGAACAGAATCCACAGATGAAGATTGTCACGGCGATTTTCAATATTTTTCACCTCCTCCCTCCCGCGGCTACCAGCTTCATGGGGGATCTAGTGAATAACGTCTTGGATCTGGAAGGAAAATTACGGCGCACAGTTGCCAGCCCGTTCCGTCAACCACTCATACTATATCTTGACAAATATCCAAAGGAGACATGGTCGTTCTTCCAATCGCGCCTACAAGAGGAGAAGTACGGGCGCTTTTTCGCGCAAATCCTCGGCTCGGACTCTAGCCCAGCTATTCGTGATGCTGTCATGAACGATACAGAAGCATTTATCAAGGCTGCGTTCGACGTCGAGGGGACACAAGAGCGCCACACTGCGGCAATCAATGGAATTTACGTAGTACACTCAATCTGCAGCTTCGAATCCGCCAAAGACTGGCTACGCGATCAGGAACAGCTCAGACTGAGGGTTCTGAGCGCTGCCCAAGAAATCGAGGATGAACTCCGCAAAGATCATCTACAACCTTCACAGCGCCTGCGTGCTGAGCAATCTGGAGATCAAGTGATGGATATCCTGACACAATACCTGACATCGTCGCCGGACGATCTCAACTTCATGATCGAGCTCTTTTCTTCGTCTGCGCAAGGGGCACTAAAGACCCCCTTAAAGCTGATGAAGTACATTTTTAATTCCATCATTACTGATGAATCTGCAAGCCGCCGGTACAATATCATCGAGCGGTGTCTCGACGTTTACTCTCGGAAGGCTGAATCTCACAAGGTGAAGACGTTCCTGTTCCACAATGTGGTCAATCCCATCATGGCAAGAGATGTGCAAAACACCCGGAGAGAGGATAGCAAGGCCGCTCCATTAGCGGACAGCAAGCTGTTCAACCTGTTTTTGGAGCGTCTATGGAAACCTGCGACTCCTGATGGCACCGACGACTCATCTCAGCCAGGTGTGGACCATACACGAATGGAAGCCTTGCAGCTTTCTGCTTTCATTCTGAAATATCACAAAGATGCTGTTTCAGAGGATCGAAAAGACATTATCAAATATTCCTGGGGGCATATCAAACTGGAGGACGTCATCAACAAGTACGCAGCTTATGTCCTGATATCCTACTTCATACGGTCCTACGACACACCTCCGAAGATCGTCGTGCAGATATACAATCAGCTATTGAAAGCTCATCAAAATGAAGGCAAAGCTTTGGTTACCCAAGCTCTGGAAGTGCTGGCTCCGGTACTGCCTGCGAGAATAGGTGCCAGTGCTAATACACCAGGAGATAAAAGAATTCCTTCTTGGGCTCGATTGCCGCGCAAAATCTTGAACGAAGAGACAGGAAACCTCCAGCAGGTTCAGAGCATCTTCAACTGCATTGTGCGCCAACCTGACCTCTTCTACGAGTCGAGGGAGCTCTTCATCCCGACGATGATACAAATGCTTCACAAACTTGCTCCTCCGCCAAACCCTTCCAACGAGAACAAGAAGCTTGCATTGAACCTGATTTCGCTGATTCAGCAATGGGAAAGTCGACGCGTCTCTGCGGTATTATCTCCTCAGTCTGGAGCTGACTTGACTCCTTCACGTAAGAGAGATGCGGCTGGAGAACAGAAGCCGGCTCCACCAACAGCCAAGGAGAAGGGCGAATACGTGATTCCGCTTGAGCTTCGTACGCTTGTTGTCAAGTATATGATGAACTTCATCACTTCTTTGCCTGAACGCTTCCCCGTACCGGCTGCAGAGCTCAAGGCCAAGACTATGCCGAAGGCTCAGCAGCAGGCTCTGTCAAACGATATGTGCAAAAAGGCTGTAGAGCTGCTCCGCGAGCTTCTAGCACCCAATCTGTGGGCAGATGTTGATGTCGGTCTGTACGAAAAGCAGCTCGAACCAATATTGGCCGGCGAAAAAGCTGCGGACAAGGTTGAGGAGAAACACCTGACGTACATGGTCAACGCCCTGCAGGTCATGCGAATTCTGTTGAGCACGAAGTCAAATGAGTGGATTATTGACCACATGGAGAAGATCCAAAAACTGTTGGAGAAGCCACTCAAGATGGAAGAACCGGAAATTCAGGACTGTCTGCACTTAGTAACTGACGACGAAAAATCGCTTCCGTTGGTTCGACGAGTTCTCGAGGCCATTCCAGCGCAAAAGGCGGATGATGCCGACGCAATGGATATGGACGGCCCACCTACAGACTTTCCCACTCGGTATTCCAAGATCATGGTCGGTGAAGCCTTGTCTAATGGCAACTACATCTCCGGTATCAATAACCTATGGACTCTTTCATTGGTCCGACCGGCTGATGTGGACGACCATATCAATGGGGCGATGAAAGCGTTGCAGCAGAAGCTGGCCAAAGAACACATCAACGCATATGTGATCCCGCCTGGGCCACCTCCCCAAGGTTGGCGTCTGGGTGAACCATTGATGGATCCTTACGAATTTGCACTCGGCGTTGATCTCATCAAGAAAACTATTGATATCCTGTCCTCGCGCATGGGAGAACTCAATGAGCAGCGACGACCGTTCCTCAGTGTTCTGGCATCACTCGTTGAGAAATCCTTCAACGTTGAAATGTGCAGCAAAGTGTTGGACATGGTAGAGAAATGGGTGTTTAACTCTACCGAGCCATATCCGACTCTCAAGGAGAAGACAGCGGTGCTCCACAAGATGCTCATCTTTGAAAAGTGGCCCAACCAAAATCTCCTGGAGCGCTTCCTTGAACTCGTGATCAAGATCTACGAGGACCCAACGGTAACGCGAACGGAGCTGACGGTGAGATTGGAGCACGCTTTCTTGATTGGAACTCGTGCCAAGGACGTGGAGATGCGAAATCGCTTCATGAACATATTCAACCGTGCCTTGTCCAAAACTGCCAGCTATCGTCTCAATTACGTGTTGACGCTGCAGAATTGGGACACACTGGCCGACTCATTCTGGTTGAAGCAAGCCTCACATCTCATCATGGGCTCCGTCGAAATGTCAATGCCTGCTCGCCTTCATCCGGAAGATGTTCGTGTTTGTCCCGTCTCTCAGCTGTACAGCCACAGCCTTGTCAATCCCGACCAACGAAAAGATGATGCAATCGTCGAAGATAGCCTTGACGCCCTGGTCGTCGCGCAACGTCGCTTCAACCAAGAAATCCATGAGGTCAAAGTTCGGGACCTGCTTGATCCACTTACTCAATTACAGCATATTGATGACAATGTTGCATACGATGTCTGGGTCAAACTGTTCCCTCTCTGCTGGTCTGCCCTGAACAGGGACGAGCGTCTCGACCTCGAGAAAGGAATGGTCACCCTCCTCACCCGAGAATATCACCAGAGACAACTGAACCTCCGCCCTAACGTGGTGCAAGCTTTGCTTGAGGGAGCGGTTCGAGCCAAGCCACGGTTCAAGGTGCCTCCTCATGTCATGAAGTTTCTGAGCAGAACCTATGATGCGTGGTACACTGCGCTTATCTCCCTAGAAGAATCCACCATTGATCCATTGATTGACACTCCATCGGTTCGTGAAAGCAATCTTGATGCTCTGGTGGAAGTCTATGCCGGGCTTCAAGAGGATGACCTCTTCTATGGAGCATGGAGAAGACGGTGCAAGTTTATGGAAACGAACGCCGCTCTCTCATACGAGCAGCATGGGATCTGGGATAAAGCCCAACAGCTCTGGGAGTCAGCACAAGTCAAAGCAAGAACTGGCGTTGTCCCGTTCTCGCAAGGAGAATATTACTTATGGGAAGATCACTGGATGATTTGCGCTCAGAAACTCCAACAGTGGGATATCCTGGGCGAATTCGCGAAGCACGAGAACTTTAATGATCTTCTTCTCGAATCAGCCTGGAGGAATTATGAAGCTTGGTCTGGCGAAGAAAATCGCAACCAGCTGGATGCGATGATCAAGTCCGTCTCTGACGCCCCGACACCAAGGCGAACCTTCTTCCAAGCGTTCATGGCACTACTACGATACAATTCCAAGCAGATGTCGCGTGCGGAATTCCAGCATGTCTGCGACGAAGCCATTCAGCTCTCCATCCGCAAATGGCATCAACTTCCCAAGCGCATAACCTATGCTCATATCCCCATTCTGCAGAACTTCCAGCAGTTGGTCGAGCTCCATGATGCCAGCGTTATCTGCGACAGTCTCATGGGCACCAACGAGCGCAATCTTGACAGCAAATCACAGGAAGTCAAGCTCCTCCTGCAAGCTTGGAGAGACCGGCTCCCAAACATCTGGGACGACATCAACGCGTGGCAAGACCTCGTCACCTGGCGTCAGCATGTTTTCCAACTCGTGAATTCCACGTACTTGCCCCTGCTTCCTCAAGGCGGTAACAACGTTGGCAACAATTCATACGCCTTCCGAGGCTATCACGAAACGGCCTGGATTATCAACAAGTTTGCTCACGTTGCTCGCAAACACCAGATGCCTGAAGTATGTATCAACCAACTTGGCAAAATCTACACGTTGCCCAACATTGAGATACAAGAAGCTTTTCTTAAATTGAGGGAGCAAGCAAAGTGTCATTACCAGAACAAAGCCGAGCTGAATAACGGTCTTGACGTAATCAACAACACTAATCTCAATTACTTTGGCGCACAGCAGAAGGCTGAGTTCTATACACTCAAAGGCATGTTTTTGGCCAAACTTCAACATGCGGAAGAAGCGAACGAAGCATTTGGCGTAGCTCTTTACTACGATCTGCGACTTCCGAAAGCATGGGCAGAATGGGGCCAGTATTCCGATCGCAAGTTCAAGGAGAATCCGTCCAATATCGAGGCTGCCAGTAACGCCGTTAGCTGCTACCTCGAGGCGGCAGGGTTGTACAAAAGTGCCAAGTCAAGGAAGATGCTCAGTCGAGTATTGTGGCTACTTAGTCTTGATGATGAAGAGGGTCACATTGCAAAGGCGTTCGAAGACTTCAAAGGCGAGACGCCAGTGTGGTACTGGACTACGTTTGTACCGCAACTACTCGGCAGTCTCGAGCATAAGGAGGCACGGCTTGCCAAATCAGTGCTGGTGAAAATTGCCAAAGGGTTCCCACAGGCCCTGTTCTATCATCTGCGTGCAACAAGAGAAGATTTCTTGGGCAAGAAAAAACAATACGAGGCCCAAAAGGCCAAGCAGCAGAAGAATCAGGAAGACAAGAAGGAACCCAGCTCGCGGCCAGGCACGGCCAACGGCGAAGCTCAGACCAATGGATCCTCGTCCCCCAAACCTAAGCAGGAGCCTGGCACCGACACCGCGGAGACGAACGGTACTGAAGCTGGCAAGAGACCTGAAGAGCCCAAGCGGCCGTGGGACTACACCGATGAGATCATGGCTGGCTTGAAGACTGCTTTTCCACTACTTGCGCTTTCAATGGAAACGATGACCGATCAACTGTCGAAGCATTTCAAATGTCCGCCAGACGAGGACGCGCATAGATTGATCGTCGCACTGTTAAATGACGGGTTACACTATATCAGCCGGGCGCCCATGACTTATGCCGAAGGCGCCAAATTGCCTCCTCAGACGGAAGCCAACGTCGCCCGCTTCGTACAGTCTGTTCTTCCAGCCCACATCCGCAAGTCGTTCGAGGCCGACTTCGTCCAAACCAAGCCGACAATGTATGAATACATCCACAAATTAAGGAAGTGGCGTGACAAGTTCGAGCAGAAACTCGATCATAGGCAGCAGTGGGCTCCGCTGGAATCCTACAGTCATCACCTAAGCGAGTTCAAGTTCCTCAAGTTTGACGACTCGGTGGAAATCCCCGGACAGTATCAACAACACAAAGACAAGAACACCGACTTTGTCCGCATAGAGCGCTTTATGCCGACGGTCGAACTTGTGAGCGGAAACAGCATCTGCCACCGCCGCCTAACGATTCGTGGTCATGACGGTTCTCTGCATCCCTTTGCTGTCCAGCATCCAACTGGTGGCAAAGTCCGTCGTGAGGAACGCATTGTACAACTGTTCAGGATCTTCAACCAGACACTGGCAAAGCGGAAGGAGTCTCGGCGCAGAAATCTGTACTTCCACCTGCCCATCTTTGTGCCGATAGCACCGCACATTCGCCTTGTACAAGACGACGCCTCGTATGTAACTCTCCAATCTGTGTATGAAGACCATGTACGCAAACTTCCTCCCAACACCATGTCTCGGGACGAACCTATCCTCTTTGTCCTCGAGAAATCACGCACCATCGCCGAACAGCAGAAGACGAATCCCAGAACACCTGAACAGGTTGCCATTATGAAAACTGAAATCTTCACCACCATTCAAGAGAGGTGGGTTCCGAACACGATCGCCTTGAAGTATTTCCAAGCCACCTATCCCTCCTTCGAAGACTTCTGGCTCTTCCGGCGACAGTTCAGTTACCAGTTTGCAGCCACCACCTTCATGACATACATAATGCACATGTCGGCGCGGTATCCGATGAAATTCTCCATTGCTCGAGCGACTGGGGACATTTGGGCATCCGACCTATTACCCAACCTCAACTCGAGTCGAGCATTGTTCTACAATCCCGAACAGGTGCCCTTCCGGTTGACTCCAAATCTACAAACGCTCATGGGACCTCTGGGTGTCGAGGGGATCTTCACAGCAAGCCTGATGGCAATCGCACGGTGCCTTGCCGAGGGCGACAACGGCTACGAAATGGAACAGCAACTTGCCATCTTTGTCAGGGATGAGATGTACAATTGGGCCGCTGGACGGCCTCAATCTAGTAGCGGAAGTGGTGGTGGTGGTCAGGGAGGAGGTGATCAGAAAATGGAAGGATCACATCTGAGAGAGCTAGTGGCCATGAATGTCGAGTTCATCACGCGCCGCGCCCTCACATTGGCTAAGACGCAGGGCAGTGTTGGTGTTCCTTCTGCTTCCTCTTCTTCGGGAGCACAAGGCACCGCCGCCAGTACCAATGGCAGCGCTGCCTCTGGAGGAGAGGGGAGTGCAAGCGGCGCCGCGGCAGCTGCAGCAGCAGCGAACGCCATCCCCACGGGAGTCACTGGCGTCCTCCCCGCGTGTCAGAATGTGGTGGACTTGGTTAGCAAGGCGACCGATCCGACGAGACTCAGTGGCATGGATGGATTGTGGATGCCTTGGCTCTAAATGTCCAAGGGATGAATGGCAATGGAAGGGGGGTCCTCATCTGATCAAGCATGGGGTTTTGGATTGGGTTTCTGTGAGTTGCCGGCGCAGGACGTTTCAGGCTGGGCATTGTGGTTCAGTTCTCGGGGTGCATCTCAATGATGGGTTTGACGAGGCAAGGCGGCGTTGTCGGTCTGTCGGAATCAGTTGGTTTCTCACTCAAAGCATGGCGCTTTCAACGAGGCACGAGATGTCGAGGGCAAACAGGGACCCCAAGCGGTATGGTCTGGTAAATGGGTGGCTTCCTTTTTTTCTGCTTGATCATTAACGCGTCAAGCCTGTCTGTATATGTATATTCCTTTTATTTCGTAGCAAAAGCCACAACAGAGAGTACTTCAGACTCGACCGTCTCTTGGTCACTATCCATAATATTTGTCGGGGCAATGGCAGACTAACTGCTACTCGTAATCACGCCGTCTTGATGATCATGTTTTGGACTGAGAGCCGCCTTATTCCAACCCAATAATCCCTTCAAGCAATAAAGGTATCGCAGCGGGCATAAATGTCGCCAACCCTTGTTGGCCCTTTCCTAATCTTCATATCCGGGGCTCGGTAGATATCAATGTCATTCGCAGCACCTGTCGTCTGAGCCGTCCTCAAACCCTGTACAGGCGAATGGAAAAAATCGTCTGCCAATTGGATCATGATCTCGTTGTTGAAAACCAGGGATTCGATCAAAGGGCAATGCGACAATGGCCTAGGATTTCCTCGGCAGCCCTTGTTGTTCGAGCCCAGTAACCTATTCTCTGTCGCCAATTGATGAGTTCCAATCCGGGTGCGAAGACAGCACAGCAGAACTGTTTATATAGAGGTGAAAGATTAGAGCTCGGGTTGCCATTATTGCTTCTCGGCCACGTCCAAAGATCGCCACCCGTTATCCTGCCAACTGAAGCCATGTCATCGTACATGTCCCATTGCGGCATTCAAAATATCATTTGCATGTCCGTCCATTCGTTGCTCAATTTTCTGTTCGTTACTCATTGGGCCTGTTGATGTGGCTGATGCTACAGCCTCCTTACCTCTCCGCCTCGACCTCGTGCCAATTTGTGATACAGGTTCTGACGCGTCTTGCTGTGCCGTGGTCTCGACGTCGTCGAGATCTTGACTCTCTTCCAGAGCCCAGAATTTCAACGCACGACTCAGTAACGTCCCAGCGACACCACCGCCGCCGGCATCGCCACCTAGGATTCGGACAGCCTCATGAAGAGCCATTACCGCTTCTTTGGTGCGCCCGACCATGCTGAGAAGGACCAAGCCGCGACTGGTTTGGATGCTTCCAATGAGATTACGCTCGTCGTAGCCACTAGCTGCTCCGCTAGGACTGAGGCCTGTACTGACGTCGGCGAGGCTAAGATGAGCAAAGGCCGTCATTCCCCGTCCTGGCTCGTAGGCTGAGGCAGGAGCTGCTCCTCCAGTGGCGGTTCTCAAGCACTCATCAAATTCCGCGAGCGCCTCTTCAAATCTCCCCATCCGTCTCAATGAATGTGCTAGATTTGCCCTTGTAGCAACCCATGCAGTCATGTTGCATCCCAAGTCGGAGGCCAGTTGGAGGGATTTGAGAAAGAGCTTTGCAGCGGCTGGCAGATTGGACTGGTGGTACAATATGACCCCAATCTCGTTAAGCACCAGGGGATCGCCACCCAGAGTAGCAGTATTGTTGAATATGGTGTTGGCCAAATCATCCTCCGAGCCCGACTTGGGGGTACCACTGCTCATTTGGAATGCGGCGAGGCAGTATTCCCAGGCGAGCCGCATGTTGTTTAGAGCCAGGTGCTGCATACCTAGGAACAGCTGGGGCAAGTGGCTCCCCTGGAATAACCTTGCTGCCGTCGAGTAGGCTGCAATGGCCTGATCGTGCTCACCCTCGGCCGCAAATGTATGGGCAAATCCAATCCATGCTGCGGCTGAGTGGGGATCCATGAGCGAGGCTTTGGAAAAGAATCGGCGGGCTTCAGGAATGCGGTACGTTGATAGATAGTACGTGCCAATGGCCAGATAAGTGTACGATTCGTGAGGAGCATGAGCTGCCAGGGTGTGGGAAAGATGGAACAGAGTGTTGTGAGAGCCTGTCTCGTACAAGAGAGCGAGATGTAAGGGATAGAGGCGTGGACTATGACCAAGCGAAGCATTGGTGTTGCTTGACGAGGCGTCAACCGAGCCGTCAGGGCTATTTTGCGAGTTGAGGATGCTCGTCGTGATTTTGAGGGCGTCGTGAAAACGACATTGGGTATAGAGGGTCTCTGCTCGAGTCAAGAGCAGGTCTGGATTGGAGGCCAGGTTGTAATGGGTTGACAGGGTTTCGGTAGCGTTGGCGAGGGTTTCGGGAGCCGAGTATTTGGACAAGCGGGTTGTGTACAAGAGCTTTGTGAAGTGAGCTGCCTCCTGTGCCATGGATTGGTCTTCAATGCGTATTGAGTCGAAATCCAACTCTTCGAGAAAGGCCAACTCCTCGGCAGGCGTCATGAGGGAATTCTTCATGAGCTGGTCAAAGGCTTCGAAGCACTGTACGTCTATTCGAACAGCATCTTTGTAGCAGTCTCGTGCCCGGTCAAAGGCATTGCGTTTCGCAAAGCACAGGCCGCGCAGATAGCACATGCCCGCTTGGAATTTCAGTTCTTTTTCTGATTCTCTGTCCCGTTCTCTTTCTTCGCTGAATTCGATCCTATCTCTCTGGGCTTTGACTCCTCTTTGCGTGATATTTCTCTGGGAGTGGCCATTGGTATGTGCCAGCTTTCTTCTGGCATTGTGGGAGGTGGTGATCAAGTGCGTGGGGTTTTCCTCGCCGAGGATGGCAAGTGCTTGGTCGTATCTGCCTTGCTTGACGTAGCAATGGGCAGCCAGGTATCGACAGGAGAGACTCCGATTGATCAGGTCCTTTCGAAGAAGCAGAGCCAGGGCACGGGTAAAGTTGTTGTGGCCAAAATGGACTTGAGCCAGCCAGAAGGCGTCGGCATCATTGTCTGGGTCGATTAGTCCTGGTCTCTGATTGAGTGACTGTACTCACATACTGGTCAGGGCAAGAACCTTGTCTCCAATATAGATGGCTGCATCGTGCTGGCCCTTGTTGAGGGAGTCTTGCCGCCACGTTCGGAGATATTTGTCCATTGTTGTGGTAGTGAGTCGCCGTGAAGGATGTGTGGCAATGCATCAGTAGCAATGCTGGCAAAAGGCTGGAGAGGCGAGGAGTGAAGAGATGAGAGGCAAAGATTCACGTAGCAAGAGCAAGTGCTTGGGAACGTTCTTTCCAAAAGCCCATCTCACCGTGGCCTTACACTCTCACTGCACCTCTTGAGGCATAACAGTCAACTTCGAAGGGCGAGTGCGAAACGTGGGGATAGAGAGACGCGCCGAACAAGTCCCACTCCGATTGGCTGTTGTTATTGTATGGCCAGGACTTTTGCCTGCGCCGGTGACTGCATCTGATTTAATTTATATTATTCTTCTATTCTTCCACCCGCTTTCCCCGTCCAGATCTCCTGCGTCTTGTTCAGCCCGTTGCCAACATGTCTGAACGAAAGGTCCTCACCAAGTACTACCCTCCCGAGTTTGATCCCTCCAAGATCGCCCGCACTCCCAAACACCTGCGACCGACCGGACCCAAGACCATCCCCGTCCGCCTCATGGCTCCTTTCAGCATGAAATGCACATCCTGTGGCGAGTACATCTATAAAGGTCGCAAATTCAACGCGCGGAAGGAGACAACCGATGAGAAATACTTGACCATCTCCATCTACCGCTTTTACATCCGCTGCACCAGATGTTCTTCTGAGATCACTTTCAAGACCGACCCCAAGAACATGGACTACACCGCCGAGCGAGGCGCAAAACGAAACTTTGAGTCATGGCGAAACCCCGAGAATCCAGAGCTGAAAGAGACCGACGAGGAGCGCTTGGACAGACTGGAAAGAGAGGAAGCTGAGGAGGAGGAAAATGCCGAACGCAACGCCATGGAGGAGCTGGAACAGAAGATGGAGGAGAGCAAGCGGGAAATGCAAGTCGCAGACGCCCTCGACGAGATCATGCAGCGGAATGCCCGAATCGAGCGTGGCGAGAAGGGTGGCAAGGAGGACGAGGCTCTCACTCAAGTAAGAGATCTCCAAAGAGAGGAGAGAGAACGACAAGAACAGGAGGACGCCGAAGCTGCCCGCAAGGCCTTCGAGGCTGCCAACGTCGAAAGGGCGAGGCTCGAAGAGCAAGAACGTGTGACCAGAAAAGGTAGTGATCCTGTGCACGATGAGCCAGATGAACCGCCTCGGCTTTCTCAGCCGCCTCCGTCATTCGAGAGAGTCAAAAAGATAAAGAAACCTCTGGTGCCCGGATTGGTACGCAAGACCGAGCCTACGACAATACTCAAGCAACAGCCCGCTCCAGTTCCCGCAAAGCCGCCCACTCTCGGCTTAGGCGACTACGACTCTGACGACGATTGACGTGGACCAGACCAGGCTTCCTGCAGTGCTTGGAAGTCGATCTTTACATGTCGTCCTCCAGCATGCGCTGATGCCGGGATGGAATTTGATGCGGAGCACACCATCGACTTCCAGTTGTAACACCTTCTGCATCTGCCACGTCACACTACCCGTTTCTCGACAATGACTGGCCTGTCTTCCTTCGCTACAGCTTAGCCTTATCGGTCTGCATTCCCTATTGGACGCGACCCCAATCCTTTGCGACGCCAAAGATGGAGGCGTTCGAGAACGTGTTCACGCTGGGCTGTAAAGGAGGAGTAAATGGCCCATGCGGCAAGAAATCAGGCTCAAATTCTGTCGTATCTCCAGGCCTTCCTGTTCATCATCTATGGGATCCACGGGAGATGCAACAGCTATGGCAGAGAATGATGTCTGGTTGAGTAGGCATGCCTATCCTTTGTCGAGTGTGAGTAAGCTGAAACGTCCCAGTTACCGGGTGCTCCTCTGGGCTGGGCAAAGCTCTTGCGGAGTACTCCTACAAGGCGGGCTCTGTCGTTGTGGCTACGGCTCGGAAGCCCGAGACGCTCTCATACCTTCCTGACAGCCCGAACGTCCTCAAACTTGGTCTGGATGTTACTTCGAAAGATCAAGTTGCTGAGGTGATCCAGGCGGCAGTCGACAAGTTTGGCGGCATAGATGTCGTGGTCAACAATGCAGGGTACGGCGTGACTGGTGACACTGAAGTCCTCCCCGATGCCGATGCACGCGCACAGCTCGAGACCAATTTCTGGGGTGCCGTCAATGTCACTAAGGCGGCTCTCCCTATCCTGCGAGAAGTCAACCCACCGGGCAAGGGCGGCCTGATCATGCAGATCTCGTCTGTTGGTGGCAGAGTTTGTTTCGCTGGTGGAGCTTACTACCATGCCAGCAAATTCGCCCTGGAAGGATTCACAGATTCCCTTGCGAAAGAGATGCATCCGGACTGGAACATCAAGTTCACCATTATCGAGCTTGGTGCAGTGGCAACCAATTTTCCGCAGAACATGGTGCTGCCCCCGCGCCATCCAGCCTATGAGGACCCTGCTTGTGGATATAATGCGCTCAGGGCCTACCTTACCAGTGCAGCGAACGCTGTGCAGTGGAATGATGCAGCAGTCAGTGCTCAAGTCTTGCATGAGCTTGCATCCAGAAGGAATGACACCACTCCGCCTTTGAGACTCGCCCTGGGCGCCGATTCTTGGGCCGCTGTCAAGGCCGAACTGGAAGGCATCATGAGAGAGCATGAAAGCTGGAGGACTGTCGCAGAGAGCACTTCCCATGCCGAGAATGCACGAGCAACCGAGTTTTTGCTCAAGCACGGTGCGCTAGTTACCTGATGAGATGTTGAGCAGCCTTGGTTTGGGGACGTTAGAATCATGTCTTATACACGAGGACCACAAATTGTCAGCTGATGCGTCGAGTTGCGTTCCTCCCAAGCCTTTACTCACTGTATTGCAGCGCTCCGGACAGCGAAGGGTCGGCTCCGGTGGCCTATTCTGCGTCCTCCACACAATGTCCACGTCCCCCAAGCGCCGAGAATATAGAATTGGCACGCCAGCGGCTTGTGAAACCCGCCGCTCCCAGGAGTTGGGCAGTATTCTGAGTCCATCCAGCTGCCCTTGTCCCTCCCAAAAGACGGTGTGCTATTCTTGATCTGGGGGCGCTTCGTAGCTTGGGCGGCTCCAAATACATCCGGAATGCGCACATATGATTGGCCCATCGTCAGCCTCCTTCCCACCTCCAAGCGACACACGAGAATAGACTGCATTTGGTCTTTTAGCGCCCAGATGGGTCAATGACAATGAAGAATGGCGAGCTTGAGGCGCTACCCAAGAGATGCAGATCTGATTTTCTGCAGCCACCGACGCCACCAAGAGCCAATAGTTACAGCCAACGCAGAGATTGAAGAAGCCATGAATAGCATCATTAGATGAGCTGCGTTATGGAGCAGCGACTCAACGATTCACCGCCCAATCCCTACACGCCCGGCAGCAGCATTCAAAACACAGGTGGGAAACAAAGATATAAGGAGTGGTTCTGAGCCTCCAGGATTGTGGCCCGGTCAGAGTTCAATCCGAAACAATTTTGCCTGTATTCGAAATTAAACAATTGATTACACTTCGACACCCACGCGATACCAACCACAATGGCTAGCAGTCAGGCGAGCACTCCGTCGTCCATCACTACTCCGTATCTGCCGATCAAGGACATCAAGAGCCCCGAGCATATCCACCCTTTTGCCTCGGTATACTATCGACAACACACGTTAGTCCCGAACCGCATCACCGTCGAAGAGAGTCAACTTTGCGACGAAGGCTGGAGCAGACATGCATTCAGCATGGGCATGCCCTTTAGCGACATTTACCGACCTCATGCCGAGGCCCGGAAATTCGCCCAGAAGATGCAGAAGAGGCCTAGGATGAGCAACAAACAACTGACAGACTCGCTGCTTCCTCTAATCCAAACGGCGATGAAGCCGTCGTCGAAGAAACTACACGTCGAGACCGAGGCGACTTTCCATCCCGACGCCGTGCCCAAGGGAAGTCCCGCCGGGCGCATGTCGAACAGTCAAACAGCTCCATCGTGGAGCATGCCGCTCCCAATCCCCAAGCCGAACATCACAGTCGGTTTCAGCTCCAAGAACTTCACCACACACGAACTCGAGTTGCAGGACGGCATCATCTCGGACGCCCAAGGTGAACCGTGCAATCTGGCCAAGATCTCCCAACCTATCCGCGGAAGCAACACAATGTGCTGGCCATTTTTCAACGTCGAAATCCAACACGACTCACTAATGGCCGCGCAGAACGCCGCCGCGGGTTCCGGGTCGACGTGCAACAACGCGCTCGCGCTCCTCGCCGAAGCCGCAGACAACCCCCTAATCCAGAGCCGGGGGAGAAACCTGTTTTGGCAATCCAGACGGGCTGTCTATTCGTTTTCCCTCTCAATCCACAACGACTCCTCCTCAAGTGAAGAAGGCACTGGCAAAATGGCGACACTGAACCTGCACAGCTCCGAGGGCGGCATGTCCCATGCCATGGCTGCGATCCGGACTTACGATCTCTGCAACGAGCGAGACGTCGAACACCTGCTGACGCGACTGTGCAGCATATTCGTGTGGGCCGAGAACTGTCAACTCCAGCAGATCTTCACTCTGCTAGCAACCCTCGATGCGCTGGTCCAGCTTGAATCAGGACGAGAGTATTTGTCGGACAGTTTCCCTCACGAGTCAATGGATACATATACAGCCCCGGCGACTTCCCCAGGCAGTGGCAGTCTGAGCCCTGCGAGGAGGAAGCTGGGGACGATCAAAAGTGTGCTGGCAGACCTCAGTCCGAAGTGGTTACGCGCGCAGGCATAGGCGCTTGCTCGAAGCGTGTATATGTATTCATTTTGACATCGCAACAATAAGCGATGCGCACACAAAAAGCTAGTATATAATGAGGAAATGACGATAATGATAATCAGTTCAAAAAAGAGACTCAACTTTCTTCTCCTGGTTGACTGAGGCACCTACAGCATGACAGCTGTATTGCGAAATAAACTCGCTGTCCGGTGTACGAGTAAGTTGTTTGCTCACTACTCGTATGACACATTTTCGGCACCACGGCCTGAGACAGCAATCCGGCCATTCAGGGGGCATTGACAGGACTCACAGTGTCAACTTTCTTGCCGCTGTTCAATTATTGGCTCTCTTACCGCTATGGCTGAGGAGGAGCCCGTGCCTTGGAATTAGTTTTACCTATTATCGTCGAAGAGTGAATTATCCTCGGGGTAACCTTGATCCGTTACCGGCACCTGCTCTTCCCTGCGCACGAGGCTGAGCGCCTGCAGTCAAGCAAAATGTGGAAAGCCGTGCTGAGATATGCGGCCATCAGACTGACAACTTTCAGGGACTCGCAGCCTCGTCTACTCTCTTTCAGACCATGCTTCTTCGACGGATTGAACAACCAGACGTCGTTGCCGGGATCGAACATGAGATGATGAAAACTTGAAACATATCTCCAATGTCTTGCGCACATGCAGCATTCGGTCGAAGTTCGTCCGTTGCAGCTTAGAAGCTCAGGGATGCGGTGTACAAATACTGGCCATCCTCCCATCGTCTCCCGTCCTTTTCTTCGTTCGTTGTGTTTGCTGTCTTGCACTCTACACAACCTTTTGGCAGATCTGAAGTACTGATAAATACATCACTTGTCTACTCCTATAGCTGCCTCGAGTCTGTTCTCGCTTCTTTCCTGTCCCACGAAACGCGATGGCTTCGGCAGCTCCCTCTCTAGCGCCCGCCGCAGCAGGTCCTGAGCATCAACATGCCAAGATCAAGTTCTTCACGAACCATGGCTGTGGCTGGTCCCATCGTGTTCATATTGTCCTGAAGGAACTCGGACTGGCGTATGAGGAAGTCATTATCAACATGGATGAACCGAGGCCGGACTGGTTCCTGAAGTTGAACCCAGTGAGTTTGTCTCCATCTAGTTCTGACCAAGGGTCTTTCGCTACAAGTCACTACGTATTCCTCTGCGTCTGTGGCGTTGTTCTTTATACGATGGGTGCTCATTCCATTTCTTTTTTGTCCAGCTTGCAATAGTTCTCTGTGGTCGGGGCCTCTGCACCTGATCGAAAAGTGTCTTCAAGTCTTTTTTGGGCCATGATTCTGCTGAGCTTTCCTCTTCCCGCGCCTGGTGCTAAGGATGGCTAGCCTACACTCCATTGCTCTATGATTCTACACTTGGGGTCAATAACGTATGTGACAAATCCCGGATGCTAATTGACTGTTCGCAGCGTGGCCTTGTCCCCGTCCTGCAGTATACACCTTACCAATCCTCTCACGACTCGCCTACCGATACACTCACGCTTACCGAATCCGCCCAAATCGTCTCCTTCTTTACAGATATCTATCCTTCTCACCTTCAACCCACGATGGCAGCCTTGCCTTCGAGCCCCTCAACCCAATCTGCCCTCGCCAGCAGAGTCGAAGCAGCATACAAGCGCTACAGAATGTCCTTCTTTGTCGACACCTACTTCACCAAAATCAACCCCCTCATGTTTAAACTCGTGGGTGCAGATAATGGAGAGCCACAGGATCGGATTGTGGAAGAGATTTGGCGACTTCTGGAAAGAGAGATCGAGCCATTGCTTTCCGGTGTGAGCGAGGATGGGAAGGGTCCTTATTTTGGAGGAAGTGAAAGATTGACCGTCGTCGAGGTGTGTGTCCCCGTACCTCGCCTGGAGTTGTCGTGTTCTAACGTGCACAACTTACATGTTCAGGCCATGACAATTCCTTTTGTCCTCCGTCTGGTTGACTTCTCCAACGACATCATATTTCCTGCTCGTCTGGCGACGCACATCCTGGACATGGACCCCGCAACGAGCAAACTGCCTCAATTCGCAAAATGGGCAAAAATGTGCATGCAGCACCCTAGCGTCACAGATACATGGGACAAGGAATATATGGTCCCCAGAATTGTGGAGCGGCTGCCGGCTGCGAAGAGGAAGTATGCGCCATCGAGGGACTGATAGGATGGGATGATGGATCGTGTGATGTGGGTGATGAAATACATACCTAGGTAGTAAGCCCTGCGTAGACTGGGATCCACTTGCCCCTCGGCTGCCCCTCTCTTGATGGCTTTCGCCCTATATAACGACGATATCAATGACACCTATCACCATTTTTCTCTGTCTTTACTTCCTTCGCCACATTGTAATCTTTCCGGCTCCTTGACATTTGCTCGCCTGCTTCGCAATCGACAGACAGATCTATTATCCTTTCCGTAGTATTCACCCTTTTGTTGTTGATTGGGATTCCACGCTGACACTCCCAGGTCAAATATCCAATCCTTCCAAGTAAATCTCACTTGAGAAAGATGGAGGTTGGCATGCTATCGTCTCGCTCGGTCAAGAGCCATAATGGTCAAGGTACAAAATTAATCACAGACATGAGGATGTCTGCGCATGAACCGGTGTTCGCGACTGTTCCTGCCAGCAAGATACTTCTGCCATCCAACCACTTCCAATAGGATTTTGGAGATGGCAGTTCCACTTGCTGGAGTCTGGGACAGTCGCGTTCTGAGATCATACGGTTTAACTTGATCTGGATAATACCAGCGAAAGGATTATGCGATCTCTTCTCTTTCCCTTAAAATCTGTCCAGAGCTTTCGCCTAACACGATGCAGGACTGGCACAATGTCTCCACCAATTGCCACCTTCAACGAGTTTGATGGCTACGCTGCCACCAAAGAGATGAAGCAGGGCGCCCTCGGAGCCACAAAGGTGGCCTTGACGGCCTCTGGCGAACAAAACAGTCTGCTTGAACAATTCGGCGACAAATGGGATGGCTTCAAATTTGCTCCCATCCGCGAGTCCCAGGTCTCTCGGGCCATGACCAGGCGCTACTTCGCTGATCTTGACCGCTATGCGGAGTCGGACGTGGTCATTGTCGGGGCGGGTTCCTGTGGGCTCTCCACCGCCTATACCCTCGCAAAAGCGAGACCAGATCTCAAGATTGCCATCATTGAGGCCTCGGTCAGCCCTGGCGGCGGTTGCTGGCTGGGTGGTCAGCTCTTTTCGGCCATGGTCCTGCGCAAGCCAGCCGAAGCCTTTTTGAACGACATCGGCGTGCCTTATGAGGACCAAGGCAACTATGTGGTTGTCAAGCACGCTGCACTCTTCATGTCTACACTGATGAGCAAGGTTTTGGCCATGCCAAATGTCAAGCTGTTCAACGCCACCTGCGTCGAGGACTTGGTCACCCGGCCATCGGCTGATGGCGGTGTCAGAGTGGTTGGCGTGGTCACCAACTGGACTTTGGTCACCCTGCACCATGACAACCATAGCTGCATGGATCCCAAGTGAGTTTCAGATGACCTCTCAAGGACTAACTCGCTGCTGATACTGAATTCAGCACAATCAATGCTCCACTGGTCATCAGCACCACTGGCCACGATGGACCCTTCGGCGCCTTCTGTGCCAAACGCCTGGTCAGCATGAACGCCATTGAGAAGCTGGGCGGCATGCGTGCACTCGACATGAACAGTGCCGAAGACGCCATTGTCAAAGGCACGCGTGAGGTGGCGCCAGGCTTGATCATGGGAGGCATGGAGTTGAGTGAACTGGACGGAGCAAACCGCATGGGACCTACATTTGGAGCCATGGTCTTGAGTGGCGTCAAGGCTGCAGAGGAAGCTCTGAAGGTCTTTGAGACGAGAAAGACCGAGTGTGCCGAGTAGGGAAGCACAAAGGCCCGGAGAATCACCAAGAGGCCTAGCAATAAGAAGCCTCCTGTCACTCGTTTAAGATAATCCAGAATGGCAACGATCATGTTATATTTTTATATTTTATAGCCATTGGCACTGGCTGGCTTAATGTGTCGATATCCATTGTAAGGGCAACTCCCGGAAGGGATGGCATCCGGCTGTTGACCGACAGCCGATGGTCGTCGCGCCTTTTGTCAGCAGCTCGACTATCGTACGATAGGCCGTACAGGCTCCAAAGGGATGAATTTGCCGTAAATACATCACACTTTCCACTTTCGTCAAATTCTTTATCTCTGATATTTGCCATGCTGAAAAACACGGCAATCTGAGCTCGAGGAGGAGCTTTGCAGGGAAAACTCCAATGACGGGCGACAATGTCGAACCCGAGAGGACGCCTCTCTTATCCTCGTCCTCCAACGCTCCCACAACCACCGACACTTTAGAGCGTGGCACAGAAGAGCCAGGGAATTCCTTGCCCATCTCCCCAAGCCCAGACCAAGAACCCGGCCTCTCTTCTCTACGCGGCTTCCTCATCTGCATCTCGGTCTGGCTCCTCATCTTCATCCTGACCAACAATGTCTCGCTCATCACCACCATCCAATCGCCCATCGCCACGGATCTCCGTGTCTCCAGCGAAGTCAGTTGGTTCACGTCGGCCTACCTGATCGCCATCACGAGCATCACCCCGGTCGCGGGCCGACTGTGCACCATCTTCACCCCTCGGGTCTATCTGCTTGCCTCGATCATCGTCCAATCCTGTGGCCTGTTCGTCACCTCGCGGGCGAAGTCGCTGGGCGTGTTTCTCGCGGGTCGGGCTGTAACAGGCATTGGAAGCGCATCAGTGACACCTGTGGCTTTCATCCTGGTCACGGAGCTGACGAGCCCGCGACGGAGAGGCCTCTTCTTTGGGTGCATCAACACGGGCTACACGACGGGCGTGGCCTGTGGGGCCATCATTGCCGGCGCCCTGGAACCGCTGGTCGGCTGGCGCGCCGTCTTTTGGCTCCAGATCCCCTTCGCCCTGTGCGCCGTGACGGTGGCATTCTTCGCCATCCCGAAACCCAAACCCAAACCCAACGCCAATACAGACGACTCCCTGGCCAAGAAACTCTCGCAAATCGACTACTTGGGCGTGCTCACCATCATTGCCGCCGTCGTGCTGCTCCTCTACAGCCTGTCGTCTCCGCAAATCAAAATCACCCCGATCGTCCTCTCGCTTGCGTCCTTCATTCTCTTTCTGTTCGTCGAGGCCACATGGGCAAGCCAGCCCATCGTGCCCGTCTCGGTGCTGAGATCCCGGGGTAATATCCTGACGGGCATCGCGACCATCGGCATCATGTCGGCGCGCTGGGGTGTCCTGTTCTACACGCCGACCTACGTCCTCACGCTACGGGGCTGGCCACAGACCAGGGCCGGACTGACACTCATCCCGACGAACCTGGGCTTCGGCTTGGGGGGTTTGTTGGCCGGGTGGCTGCACATCCGACGCACGGGGTCCTTCTATTTCGCGACCATCGTCACGTTTGTGCTTTTCTCGCTGTCCATGTTTACCGTGTCGTGGATCTCGACCCCAACGTCCAACATCTACCTGTACATGGCCGTGCTATTCGTCAACGGTTTCATCGTCGGGTCTCTCCTAAACTACTCGCTCGCCCACGTCCTGCACCTCACGCTACCCGCCACACACATCATCGTGATTCCCCTGAACGCCATGTTCCGCAGTCTTTCCGGGTCGTTCGGCTCGTCCGTGACGGGCGGTCTGTTCCTCCGCAGCCTCAAGCAGGCGCTGACGCAGGGCTTCGAGAAGCGCGGGGTCACGGAGGGCAAGGCGGCGCTGATCAGGCAGTTGGTCGGCACCCCGATCCTGGTCCAGAGGTTGACTGGCGTGGACAGGGAGGTGGCTTTGGAGGGCTACGAGCAGGCACTCAGGACCATATACATGGCTGGCGGCGCCTTGGCTATTGGCATGTTGCTGGTCCAGGCGGGCACCGGGTGGACTGCCCCGGAAGTCGTCAAGGACGAGGAGGGTGCTCGCAGCAACGACGAGGGCAGAGAGGGCCACCACGACCGCCTGTCGCCTGTTGTTTCGAGGGAGCCCGTAGCCACTTAAAAGTAGGTAGCATAGGGGCCACCAGGGCTGTTCTCTGCGAGCGTGCATGTTGTAACAGCGTCGTTTGTGACTACAACTTTTCCAATCATGATAATAGACTTGCGGACCACACGTTGGTGAACGAGACATCAGAATTCGTGTCTTTTGTGCATTGATTTGATTCAAAGGGACAAGATTGCCTCTCTCAAATTTTGTTACCAGATTTTAACCTGCTCATTGTATGTAGTGTCTCCTTGTCTATTACCTGGGCAATCCGCTGCCTCGAGGCTGCTGATCATCCTTCAAATCCATGGGGTGCGGATCGGCCGTTCCCACCACCCTGTGTCCAGAAAGCCCCTTGTGCTCGCCCATTGTCCGGGGATCGTGTCCGCCTTTTCCACTCTGGTGTCCGAGGGCCGCTCCGCCGCTGAGGGTGCGGTCGTTCATCTCGTCCATGCCTTCCGGGAGAGGGGCGGCTTTCTTGGGGCCAGAGAGCTCGGCCTCGGATGTGGACTAGCCGGTTTGTCATGTGTCAGTTAAGTTTCAGGCATCGTGTTTTCAATGATCGGGGAATGGGGACTCTGGGTTGTTTTGGCTGTAGTGTTTTGGGGGTGTGTCTGCGTTCTTCCTACCTTTGAGCCTCCATGGACAATGTCGTGTTCGGCCTCGATGGCGTTGTCGGAATGAGGCTTTCCGTCGTCGTATTCTGCTCCTCGAGGCATGCTGAGATCTCTTGAGATGTTAAAGACTTGGAAAAGGATGGTAGGGTAACTGTTCTTCAAGTATGGTCTTGTTCGCAGTGAGTTCGATGCCAAGTACACAAAACCTGTGAACGCAAGATCTCGTGCCCTTTGCCGGGTCTATATCTCATACGGCCTCAGCATCATCCATTTCTTTCGAGAGCCATTGGACACGGAGAGTTGAGCCGAAAGGCCTTTCAACGTCACTGGTGAAGTCACACCTGCAAGGCACACGACGCAGACTGGTCGATCATCTCACCCTGACTAGAAAGAATCTGAAAGATTTACCCTCAACCACAGCAAAGTGTGGGAGAATCCAGAGCCTCCTAGATACATGTCTTGTGCCTCACACTCTCCCTTCCGTAGTAGGTCGTTGTTGGGAGGATAATGAGTTGGAGAACAGGAATCCTTACCTACGGGGCATTGAAGAACGGAAGAAAAGTCGACCGGGGAATTCCGGATACATCAGAGCATTCGCTGCCCCTCAGCGGAAAACCGGCGGGAAACTCCCCCACCGATGCATTTATTTCCCCGAAGCACAGAAGTAACAATGCGGGATTGAGGCTCGTCTTTTTGTTTATCGGGCCTTTTGCCAGAATTTAGCCCGAATCCATAGGCGTCTGCGGGCAGGAGCCACAAAGGGTGGCATCCCTCGTCCTTCCCTTTGCACACACAAGTATTTTGTTTAGAATTCATCCTGCGCAACCTGACACGTGGCTTTCGTGCAATGTTGAGACACAATGAATAAGACCTCAGGCCGCTGTTTCATCTCCTGTTCTTCTTGCCTTGATTTGGTGATTTGACGCATTTGACACTTCCGCAGTTTCCTCAATATGCCATGCCCGCAGTGAGAACAAACGCAACGTCTACCATCAGTAAGGTGTACAGGAAACGAAACACAGTTCCCCCCTTACCTGATAACTCAACGCCAGATCCTACGTACCTCGTCCGCAGAACAGCGCGTACCCTAGAGCATCCTCGCACGTCCCTTCTCCCAGAGTCAATCATGTCCGAAACCACTTCGTCCCCCGAGTCCTCGCGCCTGCTGCGCGTCACGCTCGAAGGCGCAGTCATGAGCGCCGTCTCCAACACCCTCGCCCAAGTGCTACGAGCGTACCGCGGCGGCGGCGGCGGGGCTTTCATCGACCCGGTCGCGCTTGTGCACTTCATCATCATCGCCGTCATCACTACGCCGCCGAATTACAAATGGCAGTTGGCGCTCGAGAAGAATTTCCCGACCACTCGCACAAGCAACGACAAGGTGGTAGACGCGAGGGGGAAGAGGGAGGACAGTGGTGGCGGTGATGCGCAAGCAGTGAGCAAGAAGGAGACTCTTTCCGTCACCAATACGGTCGCAAAATTTGTTCTTGATCAGACGATTGGGGCGTCGTTGAACACGATCTGGTTCATCATCATGATCAACTTGTTGCGGGGCGAGAGTCTGAGCTATATAATAACAACCATTCAAAAGGTGAGTGTGGGATCTTCCTCCAGAGGATTGCATTGGCTGACTCTTGTTCTCAGGACTTTTTCCCCATGCTCATCGCAGGCTACAAGTTCTGGCCCATCGTCACCCTCCTCAATTTAGTGATCGTGCCCGTGGAACACAGGATGTTTGTTGGAGGGTTGGCAGGTTTGGCGTGGGGTGTTTATGTTAGTCTCATGAACATCTGAGCCATCACCTGGGAAGTGTCATTCATGGAACGATGCACACGAGGCACGATCACGGACGAGCTTATGATTAACGAGGGTACCTGGTACTGCCTAGAGATAGACTGATACGATTGAGACTTCACTTTGGCCAGCGACTAGCACACAGCTGTTGATTTACTGGGAGGCATTTTCACAATAGCCTTTTGGTGATGGGGGTCGTCAAGCGCTGATAACATAGATCAATACTTTTTCTGCGGTCATGGCCACCATCGTCATGTTGTCAACTACCTGCAGTTCCCGTGACACTACTATATATCGCGGCACCCCATGGCATGGCACGGTAATGGACTCGGAGGAAAGTTATAGATCGACACAGCTGGCCGGATGGGACAGCCAGGGCTGTTGTCTTTCAGCCACGCAGCACGGCGGCGCATGGACACTCTTGTGGCCCGAGCCCCGGATGAGCTCCGACCTAGACACGCAGAGATGATCATGTATAGCCGGCCTACCTAGGTAGATAGATACCTTGAGAGGGTGGGTATTATTACTCTCATGGCACCGAATACTGCACGATATGAGTCTGGGATTTACAAATCAAAGGCCGGAAGTCCCGTGTTCCGCTATTTCTGCACTTTGTTCATACTCGTCGTCGGCTTTTTTTTTACTGTCACAGACGTCGCCTGATCCTTATACCCAGCGAGCCAGCTATTGGTTTGCGCTTGTGATTGGCCGAGAAAGAGAAGAGAAAGGAAAGGGCAAGGACCGAGTCGAGATGCCTCGGAATAAGGCTGTCAGCAAGCGAAGCCTTATTGCGTGTGGGGAAGACCGAGGTTCCTGGGCAGCTACAAACTAGTTTCCTCGAGAGGAGTCCTTCCTCCAGTATTACCTCGTGGCTGATTTTGGATTGACTTCTATTTCTATCAGCCATTCAGTGGTTCATATATAAAAACAAAGCCGGTCGTCTTCCAGTGCAGAAGCTTTGGAGGTTTTTGTCACAAGGACAGTCAACACCGAGAAAAGATCTTTGGGATATCAAGAAAATCACAGTTGGACAACCATCAAGAAGAGGCGACGGAAAAAAGGAAGAACAAGTCAAAGTCCAACCCATCGTAGACCAAAAGAAAAAAAAACCTGTCAAGAACAAAAAAATGGGGTATCCAACAACATCCCAGACCGAAATCCCACCGCCTCCGCCCAACGAGTCAGTCCTCCTCAGCTACCCGACGCCCAACATCCTGCTGGTGACCATCAACCGCGCGCGGCAGATGAACTCGATCCCCTTCCCCGTGCACTGGCACCTGCACCGCGTCTTTGAGTGGTTCGACCGCGAGCCGACGCTGCGCGTCGCCATCATCACGGGCGCGGGTCCCAGGGCCTTTTGCGCCGGCCAGGACCTGATCGAGCTGGGCAAGCGCGATCCCAAGGAACTCGAGGAGAAGCCGTACCTGGCCATGCACCCGAGTACGGGGTTTGCGGGCATCAGTCGGAGGTTGGGCAAGAAGCCTATCATTGCTGCTGTCAATGGGTTTGCGTTGGGCGGCGGGTTCGAGATTGTTTTGAACTGGTGAGCCAACCCACTCCACCCTTCTTTCCCTTTCTTTTTTGGGGGCCGCAAGGTGTCTTTTCCCGTTATCTGGCTTCCCCCTCCCTGAACAGTGACACAAGAACACTAACATGCCCCAAGCGACATGACGGTCGCCTCGCCGAGCGCGACATTCGGCCTCCCCGAGTCTCTGCGCGGCATCTACGCCGGCGCAGGCGGCCTGCCCCGGCTGGTGCGCAACGCCGGCTTACCGATCGCGTCCGAGGTGTCGATGACGGGCCGCACGCTCACCGCCGCCGAAGCCCTCAAATACAACGTCGTCAACCGCGTGTCGGCGACGCCCGAGTCGTGCGTCCCGGAGGCCGTCCAGCTCGCCCAAAAGGTCGCCGACATCTCGCCCGACGCCATCATTGTCACCCGCGCCGCCCTGCGCGAGACTTGGGAGAACGGCTCCGTCGAGCGTGGCTACCAGCTCATCGACGAGCGGATGAAGAGGGGTCTCATGGGGGGCGAAAACGCCGCCGAGGGTCTCGCCGCGTTCAGGGAGAAGAGGAAGCCCGTGTGGAAGGCGTCGAAGTTGTAGATATGCGAGGAAAGGCGCTGTGGGAAGGCGTGCGTCAAAGTTGCAGGTAGAGAGAGAGAGAGAAAGAGAGAGAGGACGGACGGCGAGCAAGTACAACAAGAGTTACCACTCCAGAAGAGGTCTGTGGAGGGAGAGAAAAGAGGAATGACCAGTGAGGACCATGTTGCAGTCAGTCAGTGAATGTATCAGCACGGGGATGTGCCGTACAACAAGTTTAGCTCATTATTCTGCCACTGCCTCTATTCGTATCCAAAGGGAATGCTCTCCATGGCTCCACTTCTCTGCACACACTTGGCCGCCGCCTCATTCGCGCGAGTGACGGCCTCGCGAATGTTGAGATCCCCCAGATCCTTGCCCTTGTCCTTGACCTGCGCGAGATGCCGCGCCACCGCCGTCGCAAAGTATCCCACAAACGCATCACCCGCGCCTGTGGTGTCGACGACCCGCTCCACTTTGACGGCCGGGACCAGCGCTCGCTCCAAAAAGCCGTCGGGCGTCGCAAAGGAATAGTAGACCCCCTGGGAGCCCAGCGTGACCACCACAATGAGAATTCCCGCCCGGTCGTGGAGGTAGGACGTCAAGCGGTCGAGCTCCGACTCTCTCATGGGCTCGTCGTCGGCGTGCGGGGACACGGGAATCGTCTTCAGCTCCTCCACCGACGCAAACAGCTGTCGGCACTCGGTCTCGTTGACCACCAGGACGGCCAGGCCCTTGAGAGCCGCGAGGGGCACCCCCGCGGGGAACATGGGCGCTGGGTTGAAAATGACACATGTCTTGTAAGATCCGGTCGTCGAGTTGAACGCCTTGAGCAGTCCCAGCACCGTCGACCGCGGTATTTCCCCCTGCATGACCACCACGTCCGGCACGCCGTTGTTGTTGTTGTTCGTCGCCTGCGCCAGGACTTTGTCCAAGTCATCGACCCGCGCGTTGGCCCCGGGGACGACGAGGATCCTGTTTTCGCCATTGGCGCCCTCGTCGACGATGATGGTCGCCGTGCCCGTCTGGACGCCTTCCATCTCCTCGACCCCGGCCGTGCTCACGCCGCTTTTCTCCAGCGTGGGTTTCAGGAGCGAGGCGTAGTACGGGTCGTCGGCACCCACGGCGCCGATCATCTCGACCACGACGTCCTGAGAGGACGGTGAGGTGAATGCTGCTTTCCCGCACGCGACGGCTTGATTGGATCCTTTCCCGCCGGGATGCACTGTCATCGACGTCGCGGACAGAGTCTCCCCAGGCCCGGGAACGCGTGGAGTGCGGGTGACGAAGTCGATGTTCAGCGAGCCGATGACCCGTATCACCGGTCGGTGCGACATGTCTGGGTAGGTAGGTGGCTCTTGTGCTGTAGTTTCTTTGACAACAGTAACGCACGTGGCTCGGTCTCAAAACGTGGCTAGGCAACAATGACGATTTGCTTTGAAGCTCAGCGACAGTGGGCTGCAGGAAATTTTTGTACCTGAGGAAGCGGCCGGTGTATGAATCAAAGCAACCAGACTCCTCTATCACAAATTTGGCTCATGGCATGAAGTCTTTAGCCGGTGAAGGACTCGAGGACAAGGAGAAAAGAAAAGAAAGAGTGCGATGATCGACTTGTTAATTTCCACCCTTGCCTTCTGGCACTTGGCTTCTCAAGTTCACCAAGTTTTTTCAAGTTTATTGGAAAACCTCAGCGTGCTCTTAACCAGTGTCCTCCCCCACAGCGTTGTGCTCAGGCTTGAGCCTCGCAAAGCTACCTATGAACGGGGATCTGCTATGGTGAAAGAATTTCGAGAAGCAACGTGGGGGTGTAACGACGTATGTCACAGGGAAATAAACCACAGACTCGCAGTCTGACAAGTTGTTTTTCCTGCGCGGATGTCCTGTAGCTTGGGCAAGTGAAGACTATGCTTATCCTTTATATCTCCTTACTGGAAGACTTGATATCGGAAGGCTGCTCCATGTTGGAAACTTGACCCTTAGACTGCCCAAGCTCTCACTTCCAAGCCGTGGCGGCGAGGACTTCAAGTTCTTCATCGCGCGATTCTCCATATTGAGCCGGTCAGACTGGCTTCTTTTTGCTGTTTTCCTGTCTCAATCTCGTCCAATCGGCGTGATATTTGAATCGTCTCTTTCGATTGGCGGAAGCACGGCTGGACGGGAAAAGATCGGCGACGGTGCGTGAGAAACTTAGCAGTGATGCCGGTCACTTTTCTGGGGTGTTCATGTCGCTTCTCTGACCGTGGAACGTTCCACTCCTCTCCACACCATGACTGGATTGCAATGGGAATGGGCAGCGGCATGATAGCAATATACAGCATGGTCTGAAGAGCAAGAGCGTCAACGCACGTTCAAATCCTCGAGTGGCTCAAACCGCGACACATACAGAGTCATGATGTCAACACTTGGGTCAACGCCTCTGGGCGCCTGGTGATGTGCTGCACGTCAAATAAAAATACCACGTCCAAGTTTTTCACTTTCCCTTCAGCAGGTGCTGTCTAAGAATCTGGGTACTCTTGTTTGTGGAAATGATCTCACCATACAGTCAATGTGCTGCAAATGCCAGGCATCGGGTTTCCATCTCGGAGGCTCCTGTCACCGAAAAGTACAAGGCGCATATACCACCAGATGGGTGTCTGCTAGAGAACTCGGGCGTGGTTCGTGCCACGTACGCCCCTACCTCTGATGCACCACATGGCACGATAAAGGACGGTTGGGCAGAGAAACACCAGCATCAGACGGTAAGTCGCCTACGTTCGGGCAACTCAGATGTTTTGCTGACAAGTCGATTTCCATAGGTCCTGGAGCAACACTGTTCCTTCTTCGATCCTGATGGCGATGGAATCATATGGCCTGCTGACACCTACCGTACCTGTCGTTCGTTCGCATGGTCAATTCCCACCTCTCTCTTCTTTACCGGCTTCCTCCACGCCGTGCAATCGTACAACACAGTTCCCGGCTGGCTGCCTGATCCCTTCTTTAGGCTGTGGGTGAAAAATGCATACATGAACAAACACGGCAGTGGGACAGGGACTTTTGATTCCGAGGGTCGTTATAGGCCACAGCCATTGGAAGACTTCTTTGCCAAATTCGACAGAGACGGAAAGGGTGGACTGACCAAGGGGGAACTGTGGCACGGACTGAGGAGATCGAGGCTGGCGTTCGACTTCTTTGGTCAAGTTTCTGCCATGTTTGAATGGGGATTTGCATGGGTCTTAATCTGGCCTGAGGATGGCATCCTGAGAAAGGAAGATGTAAGAAGACTGTTGGATGGAAGTCTGTATCATGAAAAGGTGGCGGCGTCGGAGCGCCACGAAAGAAGTCAGAAAACCTGTCTTAAATCGCCATCAGCCGGACCTCTGCAGAACATGTCGTTGAAGATAGAGTGATAATGCCTTCGACAAGCAGGGATATATAAGAATCCTGCTGCAGGTCCAAATGTCATCTTCAGGTCTAAACAGTGACCTATCCCGACCCGTCTCAGCCATTCTATAGATCATAACTTGTTCTCGTGTGAGACGGGCCGACCATCTGCGAGATTTGGGAGCGCTCTGACTCGCCGAGGAGTTACTGGGCAAGAGCGGCCTTGAAGGCACGCACCTACCGCATATTCATAGGCAGGGGACATTGTCAATCTGATGGGTAAGGGGATTGCACCGTTCAAAGTTGCATAGGATACACAGGTGGCAGGACATATGACTGGCATAGTCCAGACCTTGCGAGCGATAGCTGAACCTTGTACTTGAGGATGACTGGAGAAACTGAGCAGAAACCCGTTCTCAGCCGGAAAGTCACACTCATAGTACCAAAATTGCTGCTTGCTGGCCCCGTTGTACGAGCATTTCCTTGCATGGTCAGGTTCTTGTGCTCACTGCTCATGCAGGGGATGTATCAAATTGAGTCCACGTGGTTAGAATTGAAACAAGGCTCACCATGACACCTCTCAATTGACCGACTAACACGTTGACTTGGCGAATCTGGGGTCTAAGAGGCGACCCGTAGAAAATGCACCCATAGGCGCTTGCAGAATAGTCAAAGGGTGTTTGCACAGATCCCCCATGCCACTGGTGTCAGAGGGGAATGACAGCCCAATCTCCCGTGGCTGGCCACTGTCAACCGGCTGGGCACACAATTTTGTCTGTAGATTGGTTCCGGTCGCAAGTAAACCGGTGCATCTGCAAGTATGCGTACAACAAGCACAGGATTAAAGGGTTCAGGAGTGCAGAACTGGCCATATAGGCATGCGGTGTCACTGGTCTGTATATGCTGTGGCCAGTGCCTACATCCGTCCTTCAACGACACGTCTTCGCGAGGTTTGGTGTTCTGATCAGCCCTCGACAGCTCGAGTCTTTGTTTGAGCCACGATCGTGCTGGCTACTTTTCGCTTGAGATAAAAGTAGAAGGGGACGACTGTTCACCAACCAAGATTTCGAACTAGATCCTCAACTACCTTGTCAGTAACTCACATTTTGGGTGTTTTTGAACTGAGTGCACGGCTTCTGTTGATTCATGCCTCAGGACTACGAAAACATTTGGAGTGGGCTAGATCGAGACGTCAAGCTGGCCTGAGGCGTTGGAAGTGAAACCTCAAGGGGCATCTAGATTCGATCGTCCACAACAGAGGCACCATTTCATGGGGCGCAACTTGGAAGGAAATGATGTGGACCGGATCTAGGCCATATATCGCGATCCAAGGCTATTCGAGAGTGCAAAGGGTGTAGGCGCAACGCAGGGAGAGTGGGACAGCATATCGTTGTCGGCATCTGGACGTCGAGTTGCGAATTAACGTCGACGCCCTGATGCAGTGGTGTACTCCGCATACCTAAGCAAGTATTTGGTTCGGCGCCCTGAATCAGATTGATTTCCGGTATTGAGATGACAGAAGAGCAAGTTGGCCATATGTTACCGAAGTAAGGGCGTAGAATATCCCGGCAAAGGAAAGACAGGAATAAAGTTGTAAACTCGCAATTCGAGCGCAACAGACGTTGATTCTGCTCGTCCGATGTTAGCTCTTCCATTTCTTCTGGGGTGCGCCAGTTGGCGGTAAGATGCCGTGGAAAACTCCTCTAATGGGGATCATGGTGGCAACTTCACAGGCCGACGAAAAGGGAGAGGATGGACACGACATGGTCGGCGATAGCATTTGAACCTGGAAGGGACACGTCAGCTCCATTTCTTTGTCGGTACGATCGGCAGGCTCAATTGATGCGCCAGGATGGTCACGGTTGCGATCACGGCGAGGCTGAAGTGAGCGGAATAACACCCTTTTCGAGCTTGATGCTTCATGAACCGGCCCCGTGAATGATAATTTGTGGGCAAATAACAAAACAGGTGGCGAGAGAGTTCGAACATGTCCGTACAGTGACCCCAGCTTGGCCTTGCATGATGATGGTCCATCTTTTCAGCAAGGGGATGAAACAAACCAGGTCCTTAGTAGTACGCTGATATATTAGCAAGGTTCAGTCGGAGAATAAAGTGGCTTGCAGCTTCTGAGTGGGTGTCTCGGGGCATCACTGGGTCCCACTGGGCACCCAAGGGCGCGTGGAGCCTAGCCGCTTATCAAATTGCGCCCGGAGATCGGACTGCTAGGCGGCCAGCGATTGGCTTAGGCTGCCGAATTTCACATCCTAGACTGACAGGGCTGCCCTGTGACCTCGCTGCTACCTTTCTCACCTTTCTTTTTGCGGCTCGCTGAATCTTCTTTGAGGGGCTTTGTTTCAACCCTCCTCGCTCCAATTCGGCACCGATACTCGTATATCTCACTTGCAGGCGCGCGGTGGCGGGGACGGCGAACGGACGGGGTCTGCGTGGTCGCAGGTAGTAGTCGCAGATGGGAGCACGAGAGACACCATCCAGAGGCCCTGGCTGAAATTCCAACTCGCCGTGTTCTGGTCGACCAGGACTCGGTACTCGGTAGTCGACATGTAAACATCATCACCCACCGTATATCCTCGAGCAACATCATTCCCTGCTCAGGAGGAGGAGACACGAGGCCCAGATGAAATTCCAAACAGGGACTCAGTTTGTAACCGTCGTCTTCTGTGTCTTCCCGTTTCTTCAAAAAGCCCACTCTCCTCCTGTTCCTTCGCTCAAGCCAGACTGTGCTCACCCTCATCTCTTTTCCCACCACGCTCTTTCTCTCTTGCTCTTTCTCTCTTTGTGACTCTTGGGGCCAGTGGTCGAGGACTGGACTACCATCTGCCACCCTGGTCGACTTGGGCGTTTCAGTCTCAGATTGCCCTTCAGATCGTCATTGCGACAAATCTCCCGCCCAACTTCCCAGGCGTTCTAGCTCCCCGCACTCGGCAGCACCCCAACTCTGTCGGGCCTAGCCTTGGCTACGATTTAGGCCCTGTTTGGTTAAGCTCCAGGTACCGACGCGGAGCCTAACGTTCCTTGCCACTGGCATCGGAGGCTCACGAGGCTAAGGTCCATCCTTGTCCACGAGGCCCTTGTCGCTGAGGACTCGCAATTGGAGCAGGACCATCGTGGAGTTAATCCTTTTCTTTGTGCTCTTCTTTCTCCGACTGGTGGCTTGTCACAAAGAGGGTCAAGCGTACGAAGATTCCCAGTACGGAGCACAGAATAGAGGGACAAAACCCGCTTTCATCAAATCCTTCACTAAATATAACGCCCCTTGCGGCATCGTCTTTATACCACTCTTTTCACCTCGACAACTTCGACTCCTCGACTTCGCCTTCCCTTCAACTCACCTCCAGTCCTTCTTTCGGCCACTCGCCACCTTGCCTTCCTCACCAGTCCCTTGGAGCCCTCTCCATTCACTCGAGGTGCATTCACTTGGACAGTCACTCTTTTTTCGACCCCATTTAGCCACATTCCCCCGCTTGTCGCTCAAGAAGCACAAGCAGAAGCACAGTCAGAGACCGTGCTGTTAGGACTAGATTGTCCCTGCCCTATCAATCCAGCTCTTTGACCAGAGTCCCCCCAAACACACTGCCTCACCTGGTGTGGAGAACATCAACAAACCACATTGCTCACCCAGCCAACAGCAGACCGTCACTACACAACAACTTCTGCTTCGTCGGTCTGACACTCTGTGCGTTTGAGATTTGCGGTTTCGTACCCATTGATACACCTCGAGTTCAGTTGTCCATCAGCACACCGAGGTCCCATCAACCGTTTTTTCGTCGTTCAATATGAAGACTGTCGCATCCTTTGCCATTGCCGCCTTGTGCGCCGCGATGGCCGCTGCCTCTCCTCTCGAAAAGCGCGACTATGTGACCGAAATCGATTTGTACACTGTGACCGTTACAGTGACTGGTTGGCCACCGGCTGATACACCTGCACCGTCTGCTGTCGAAACAACTCCCTCTGGCAGCGACTGGAATAGTTGGAGCAGTTGGGGCGCATGGCACAGCGGAAGCAGTGGGGAATGGAGCAGCGAGTCGCCTTCTCCTACCTCTGCTGCTCCTGCCGATACACCGGCGCCTTCTCCAGAATCTCCACCTCCATCTGCGGCTCCAACCTCCGAGTCCTGGTCAAGCTCGACGCCAGAAGCCTCACCAACCTCTACTGAAGCAGCGCCTTCGCCCGCCTCCACCACTGTCTCTTCGGACTATCAGCAAGGAATTCTTGATTCGCACAACATCCATCGGGCCAACGCATCTGTGCCAGATTTGACCTGGAGTGATGACATGGCCTCCATTGCCGCTCAGATCGCCGCCAGCTGTGTATATGCTCATGACACTTCCACTGGTGGCGGTGGCTATGGCCAGAACATCGGTGCAGGTGCCCCTCCCTCAGGCATCCCTGCCATGATCACCGATGAGATGTATAATGGAGAAATCAACTTCTACCCGGCATATGGCGTGGAGCCAGACATGACCAACTTCGAGAAATGGGGTCACTACTCCCAGATCGTCTGGAAGTCCACCACCTCTGTCGGTTGCGCAACTCAGTATTGTCCCAATGGCTTGGCCAATACCGGTAGCGACGTCAGCCCTTATTTCACCGTCTGCAACTATAGCCCACCAGGTAAGCGCATATTGTCGTCTTCTCTTGCTTGGATTGCAGAATATTTGCTGACTCTTAACAGGCAACTTTGGTGGCGAGTACGCTGCGAACGTCTTGCAACCCGGCGACATGCCCACTGTCACGCTATAAAAGGCGATTAGCTTCTGCATGATCTCACGACTCATTAGATGACCCTCGAGCCCCAGGAATCAAACGATACGTTGTGCTCAAGTCTTGGGGAAATGCATGTGCGCAGCACTGAGCGGGGGTTTGCGAGCAGCATGGGATTATTTTCTTTTCTTTCTTTTCCCCTTTTCATTCTACGAGCCTGTTGCTTCAACCATCTGAACACACTCGTTTTCGGGTTGAAATCAGATGAGCTGAACTTCATGGCCTTTCTGGATCTTGATTCTTGGACACCGGGAGTGTAGCTTGGAGGACATTTGAGGATGAGAAGTACCTGAAAAGGCGAAGGCCCCTGAGGAACGAGGAAGCTCGAGTCTGTAGAATAGAGACCCGAACAGAAAAGTGTGTATCAACAGCGTCTCCGAAACGTGGAATGGTGTGTCCCTGTGGTTCTCCAGTCTCCTTTGGATGGGTGGCGAGCTTGTCTCGGCCTTCTCCCGGCATCGTCTTCCGGTTGTGTCTGGATCGCGATCGCCGTTAGCAGCATCATCCCTTTCACCCATGCTGTGGGTGGCACGGGTGGCTCTCTTCCCCAGGTTTGGCTTGCGGAGAAACGGAAGTGCAGCCCAACCAGCTTCCGTCAGACAAGCCCCATCCCCCCTCAGGGCTCCCTTCCCTATGTTATTCTCATGATCCTGTGTTGTCGTTTTCGACGCCCCTCCGATCATCCGTCAGTCATTCCTTTCAAGCTGGCGAGAAGGGCGAATTATCGTGGCATTGGGACGAGAACACCGCTTCCTTTCCAGCTGTTCTAGAAGCTCCGGAATCGAAAGTCTTTAAAGGGATTCAAAGCCCAGTCGCGTTCAGCGGGGGGATTGGGATGGTTTCGAAGATCTTCAATACGTCACAAGCTTCAGGTCAAGTGGTGCTGGTATCCGTCGACCGCCAAACCAGCTCCACGACCACAGAGTGTTATTACGAACAACTCTTCTGTACATTTATTCCGCTAAACAATCGTCGCACACGGACATAGAGTTCTCAGGTCGCATTCGAACGCGCCTTGAGTTGTCGCTCGTCTCGTCGCCCACCGCCCACCTCGGTTGACTCGAATTAGCACGGCCCTCACAGAATTGCGCTCGCAGACCACTCGGCGCCCCTCATACCACCCAATTTGACTCAACCCGCGGGCGGATTTTAATCAATTTAGCCTCCTTGACGAGTCAGACTGCGCTCTGCCATTTCTACACCTCTGTACGTCCATTTCTCTTTCCTTTCCTCCGGCCGCACCCACTGCGAAATACACTCACAATCTTGGCCACACCTGTTCCCGTCCCCATGCACAGGCTCACCCGCCTTGCGATATGTTCCGGTCGCGAATGGGTCGTGTGGACTATATCGTCATACGACCACCACTCCTGCCGCATCCCCTTCACATGCACAGATCGGCTCTGTAAGAGGTTGCTTTGAGAGAGGATGTCCTCGGGCAATGTGCAGAGGCCATGAAAACCCCTCTTGACATGTCTGACCCTGTGCCAGATGGCAATTTATGCAATTCGCGCGACCTCTTCCCAAGCCGGACTTCTTCTTTCTCTCTTGTTTCTCTTCCCGGACCCTGCGTGCTTCTTCATCAGACTTTCGGCCTTACCTCCCTTTCCTCGATCGTGGAAATCACGTTCCCCATGCCATCTTACTATTTGCATGATTGCCACTACTTCTATCGCACCGCACTTCGCCTTCTGAGCATTGCCACAGTGTTGGCTGCGCTGTACGCATGATTCAGATATTGACCATGTCTTCCACAGGGACAGGAACGAGATACTTTGCCCACCCTAAATCCCTTGACGAGACGTTGAACAGTTCCCCTCGCGAGAACGGCGACCTCGCCAACATGTCAAAAAGTCAAGAGGAGCAGTCGTTCGAGGCGGCCAAGGAGACCACGGCATCCTATACCAAGAAGGAGCAGGAGCCTGTCTCTTTGAAAAAAGAAGTTTCGAAGCCGGGGATCACTTTCGCCGCTCAGGACAAGCTACCGAAGCTACCCATCCCTGAGTTGGATTCGTCTATGAAGAAATATCTCGATGCCTTGGCTCCGCTGCAGTCCCCGCAGGAGCACAACGACACAAAGGCTGCCGTTCGCGACTTTTTGGAGAATGAAGGTAAGGATCTGCAGGAGCGATTGAAGAAGTATGCCACGGGCCGAACTAGTTACATTGAACAATTCTGGTACGACTCGTACTTGAACTATGACAATCCCGTCGTTTTAAACCTCAACCCGTTCTTTCTGCTCGAGGACGATCCCACTCCGGCGCGGAATAACCAAGTCACCAGGGCTGCGTCCCTGGTGATTTCTGCTCTCTGCTTTGTCAGGGCGGTGCGAAAGGAAGAACTGCCGCCCGACACCTTGAGAGGAACGCCGTTGTGCATGTACCAATACTCGCGACTCTTTGGGACTGCACGAGTGCCCACGGAGAATGGATGCATTATCGGTCAGGATTCCGACTCCAAGCATGTTGTTGTTATGTGCCGCGGTCAATTTTATTGGTTTGACGTTCTCGACGACAACAACGACGTGATCATGACTGAAAAGGACCTTGCCATCAACCTGCAGGTTATTGTGGACGATGCCGAGCAGACCCCGATCCAGGAGGCTGCCAAAGGCGCCATCGGAGTGCTCAGTACCGAGAATCGAAAGGTCTGGTCACACTTGCGAGATCTGTTAACAAGGGACGAAGGTTCCAATAACGCGGAATGTCTAAGCATTGTCGACTCTGCCCTGTTTATGATTTGCCTGGACTATACCGAGCCGACCAATGTCTCTCAGCTTGCCGGCAACATGCTCTGTGGCACTAGTGTAGTGGAGCGTGGTGTCCAAGTCGGGACCTGCACCAACAGATGGTATGACAAGCTCCAGATTATTGTCTGCAAAAACGGCAGTGCCGGCATCAACTTCGAGCACACTGGCGTGGACGGGCATACTGTCCTCCGCTTCGCGAGTGACGTCTATACCGACACCATTCTGAGGTTTGCAAAGTCCATCAATGGTCAAGCGCCAACGCTGTGGACAAGTCAGAGCCCGGACCCGTCGAAGCGAGACCCCGATAGCTTTGGTGATGTGAGCACCACTCCGCACAAGCTCGAGTGGGACATGATCCCCGAGCTGCAGATCGCCTTGCGCTTCGCGGAGACACGACTGGCGGATCTGATCAACCAAAATGAGTTTCAGACGCTAGATTTCGCTGGTTACGGGAAGAATTTCATCACATCCATGGGCTTCTCGCCTGATGCTTTTGTTCAAATGGCTTTCCAAGCTGCATATTATGGTCTGTATGGCCGTGTCGAGAACACGTACGAACCTGCCATGACCAAGATGTTCTTCCATGGTCGGACCGAGGCCATTCGGACGGTGACGCCTGAATGCGTCGAGTTCGTCAAAACATTTTGGGCAGACAACGCTGCGCAGAAGAAGGTCGATGCGCTTCGAGCGGCGACACAGAAACATACCGCCATCACTAAAGAATCAAGCAAAGCACAGGGCTCAGACCGTCATCTGTACGCTCTCTACTGTGTTTGGCAACGCAAGGTGAATGATGAGTCGGCCGAAATTGGCAGCACTGCTGGATTCAGCTCGAATGGCTATTCTAGTCCCACCGATGTGAGCGACTTCGGCAGCCCGAAACGTCTCGAGGAGTCGTCTTCACCTATCGGCCGTTCTCGGACTGGAACCGAGTCCAGCCGGTCACCGGCGCCAGCTCTACAGCAGATGCCAGCCCTGTTCAGTGATGCCGGGTGGGACAAGATCAACAACACCATCATCAGTACCTCCAACTGCGGCAATCCATCACTGCGCCACTTCGGCTTCGGGCCAACCTCCGGAGATGGTTTTGGTATCGGGTACATCATCAAGGACGACACTATTTCAATTTGTGCCAGTAGCAAGCACCGGCAGACCCAGCGTTTCGTAGACAGTCTAGAGTCGTACTTGAACGAAATCCGCCGCCTCTTGAGGGCTACCAAAACGAAAGACGCTGCGGCCTCCAAAATCACCCGAGCCCGAGAGGCAGAAGAAAAGGCGGGCAAGGACGGCCGCCTCAAGTCTCGCGGCCGGATTATCAAGACTGAAGCTTCCAAAGTCGATGGCTTCCAGACTCCTACGAGCTTGGACACGGCAGAGGTGGAGGATGATGGTTTGGGTGGATGTAAGTTCCCCTTGACATGCGTTCGATTGCAGACACGTTACTAACCTGTGCTTCCTTCTCCCTCCTTCTAGATGGCTTCTTCGACGCTGGCATGCTGTTACAAGCACTCAAAAAGGACCAACCCAAACCCTCAGAACAAATTGCGCAAAGGAGGAAAGCTGTGGGCAAGAAGCTTGCTTTGAGCGAGTACTAGTACGAGTCCAAGCCGGAATTGGAGGATGGCAATGTGCTGGTTGGATGGCAATTTGGACAAATGGGAATCTGTGGTCGGGGAGATGATTAACCAGGCAGAAGACTGACACGAGCGAAGTTTTGTGTGTGCGTTTGCGGGGGAATGGCTCGCATACGCGCATTCGCAGGTCCAGGCCGGCCCGGGGTGTTGTGCCTGGATCGACCAAGCGAACCAATGGGTTGCAGGAGGCTTGAGAAGAGGCGCATGTGTGGTGCAGGATGATGACACCAGCCACGGCCCAAAGTTCGAGGGCACGCAATGGGTGATGCAGAAGCTTTGAGATACCAGCGTAGTATATTCCGTACATGTAGCCAACAGTTCAGCAACATTGGGTTGTTTTCAGAGGCATTTGTATCCACTGGCGCAGTACTGCTTCCTACGATGTAGTATTCAGGCTGGTACTTCAAGTGGCCTGATAGCGCCGATGCACCGACGGCACCCAGACGGCACTTCCGCATGCCAAGAAGATAGTTCCTTCACCACGCTAAGCCGGATTGGGCACGACCCAGGACTGCTCGATTCAACGTCGGGACTCCCATCGCAGCCCGGTCCTGCGCCTTCAGAACAATCAACAGCGCGCCCCCATTCACCATAGACATCACCCTGTGTTCCGGTCAAAGCTCGTAGTTAGAGTCCGCGACGGGTCTCGTTGCATCTCTCTTCATGTGCTTGGACACGCCCTGACCGAACCCTCGTCCCCTCGCCACTCCCAAGATCCCGATCTCAGCCTTTTCCGCCCTCCCTCGTTCCCGACCATGGCAGCAGTCACCATGCCCACGACCGCCACCCTCCCTGTTCCTCATGGGCTTGGTGCCGCTGCCTTGGACAATCAGGAATCCACCTCCCAGTCTCTTCCCCTCCCGAGTCAAGTCCATACCCCTCCTACGACAGACGAGGGGAGTCATAAGGATGATGACGCAGCTTCGAGTTCCTCCCTGTCCGAACTGGACGATGACATTGAAGATGAGGAGAACAGGATGAGATTCGAAGAGGCTGCCCGTGCCGGCGCAGAAGCCGAACAGTTTTCCGAGGTCAAGCCGGACAGATATGAGAACGGGGTCCCCATCTTCACTCCAGTATGTGTTTTACGGCCCGATAACATGGCCCGATACGAGGTGGAAGCAAAGAAAGCCAGGCTGACAAACATGCACTCCAGACAATGGCCCAGTTCAAGGACTTCCAAAGATATGTCAAGGGCGTGGACCCTTACGGCATGCAGTCAGGTATCGTCCTCATCGATCCTCCCGAAGAATGGTATGTCGTTCCTATTCCAACACATGTCGTCGCCCGATGGTCATGGCCCTCTTCGCGAATCATAAGGCTGATTATAGTACAGGAAGCGTGCTCGGAAAGCCCTGGACGATATCGTCAAGACCATCAGGATTAAAAATCCCATCACCCAGGAATTCCACGGTGCCCAAGGGATCTATACACAGAGAAATATGGAAAAAATGCGGTCTTACAATCTTCCGCAATGGAAATCTCTCTGTGAGCAGACCGAGAACCAGCCCCCCGCCAAGCGTGGTGAGAAGCGCCTCAACGCCGACAAGCTACTTGGACGAGGCATCGCTCGTAGCAGAAAGACTGAAGTATCGGCCACACCCGAGCCGTCCAAAAGGGCCTCCAGTCGAGCCAAATCCATTCCCATTAAAGAAGAGCCATCTGATCACGATTCCACCCTTCTTGCCCCTCCCACCCCGACCAGTCCAGAGGTGAAGCCAGCCGCCCTGGACAATGAGGAGGCCGATGATGAGGCGGTTTCCTCGACTGCTGACCCAACGCCGACCAAGGCCAAGAGGGGGAGGGGCAGACCACCTGGTACCGGCAGACCACGAGGAAGACCGCCCAAAAATGCCAACAAGAAGGAAACTTCAAGTGCTGGCAAAGGGGCAGAGACCACCGTTGCCGCTCGGCGACTGCGGAATGCCCGTGAGGCCAATGATGAAATTGATGAGGAGGCTTTCCAGGATTTTGACTATCGTGTATATGACAACGATCAGTGGACGCCCGAACGCTGCGATGAACTCGAAGAGAAATACTGGAAAAGTCTCAACTTCAGTAACCCCATGTATGCTGCCGACATGCCGGGCTCCCTGTTTGATGATGATACCAAGGAGTGGAATGTGGCAAAACTACCAAACTTGCTGGACCTTCTCGGTAATTCTATTCCTGGTGTCAACACCGCCTACCTGTATCTTGGGATGTGGCGAGCCACTTTTGCCTGGCATTTGGAAGATGTGGATCTCTACAGCATCAACTACATCCACTTCGGTGCCCCGAAACAATGGTACAGCATATCTCAAAAAGACGCACCCAAATTTGAAGCGGCTATGAAGTCTATCTGGTCGTCAGATGCCAAGGACTGCGATCAATTCTTGCGCCACAAGACTTATCTCGTCTCGCCCGCAATACTGAAATCCAAGTTCGGGGTCAATGTCAACAAAGTCGTCCATCGAGAAGGCCAGTTTATAATCACCTTCCCTATCGGGTATCATTCCGGCTACAATCTGGGTTATAATTGCGCAGAGTCGGTCAATTTCGCCATTGACAACTGGTTGCAATATGGAAAGACGGCGCGAAAGTGCCAGTGCGAAGCCGACAGCGTCTTCATCGATGTGGACTGGTTCATCCGAAGGATGAATGGCGAGCCTACACCCGAGTTCGAAGAAGTCGAGGTCACCGACGATGAAGATGAGGACGAACCAACAGACCTTCCGACACCTCCAAGCAGCGACAGAGGAAGGATCAAGGTCCCGCAGAAGAGAAAACGAGCTTTGAAGGAGCTTGGACCAAACAAAAAGGCCAAGAAAATAATCAAAATCAGAAAGGTCAGCAAGAACCAACCTTGCTGCCTGTGCCCGAACGATTTCTCCTGGGAGGAGCTTCTGCCGACAACGCAAGGTCAACGTGCTCATAGAACCTGTGCTATGTACACGCCAGAAACCTATATTGCCAGCAAAGACGGCAAGGAGATGGTCTACAATGTTGAGAACATCAGCAAAGATCGTCTGGAACTCAAATGCCACGAATGTCGGCAGAGGAAAGGTTCGTGCTTCCAATGCTCATCGGCGAAATGCACCAAGTCGTACCACGCTACTTGTGCCATGCACGCTGGTGTTCAAGTCGACAAGGGCGAAATCGCTGTTTGGCACGAAGGAGTGGAGTACCGGGACATTGGTTTCGACTGGAGATGTCGTCTGCATCGTACGGTCAAACGCACGAGACTCACGAGTGAACTTTCCCTCTGCAATCATGCAAACAGCTGCTGGCAGAACGCTGAGTTTCCACAATTTCTTTTCAGCCTTAAGGAAGGAGCACTCATTCAATTTCAAGCCACCAATTTCGACGATATTGAGGCTGGCCTGGTAATTTCTGGCTACGATGAAGGCCAAGACTCAGTTCTTGTCAAGATTCTACCAGACTTGAAACAGGTTAAGGAAGTAGATCCAACCTCGATCCTGTTTGTCGACTCTGCAACCTCATACTTACAGAAGCCAAGCGCAAACGCGCTCGACCTGCCGGAAGAGCTTCAAGGCAAGACTGCTTCTCTCCCCGAATCCACTGAGAAGAAGCCAAGTCCAGGTGACGTGTTTACTGAGGAGCCAAGGACCGAATGGGCAGAGTTTGTCTGTTCTCTAGCTCCCGTTAACAAAGCGCAGAAGCCCGTGGATCTCGCAAAGGAAAAACAGCTGTGGTTATATCTTGGGGAGAAGTCTTCAGAAGGAAAAGCATTCTATACAGCTGACCCTGCAAACCCCGTTCATGATCCTGCATCGAACTTCCTCGACCTTGTTATGCCTCCCAAAAAGACAATGGCGCCACCACCTCAACCAAAGCGTCAAGCGCTCTCTGCCTCCCATCCACTAGCCAACTTTGCTGCCAAGAATGCTGCGATGCAGAGCATCAGGCAGACTGTCGATAAGCAGCAACTGCAGGGATCAGTTCTTCCAGGAACGTTCAGCGGAACAACGCAAGATCTCACGATGGGAAGTGGCCAAGCTAGGCCAATCAAAGCCAGTCAGATTAAGCCGTCGCAATACAAGGACATCGTGACTGGTCAAGAAGCTCGCCTGAATGAGCAGGCGCGGATATTTCAGCGACAGCAAGTCAAGGCTCGGCAACTTGACGCTACGGAAAGCTCCACCAGCGCCGTTCGTCATGCTAGTATAGGAATTGACCATGATGCTGTTCAGCGGCAGAGGCACTTCCAACAACAAGCATCTCAACATGCTAAGCATATGAAAGAGTGGTCGAACGATCCATCACTGCCACCGCTCAAGCAATACGAGTCCTTTCCAAGCTTCTCTACCCTCGATACCACTGGTCGCTACGGTCCTACAATGATGAATTCAAACATCAGGTCACAACAATACGAATACAGTAACGACTGGATGAACCCTAGCACCACAAGTCGGAGCCCAGGTTTTGGACACACCCAAAATTCGGGTCTCAATTCCATGCTTTCATCTCAATATGGTCAACCTCAGTCCCCAGTGACTTCTCCCTTCCCTCCATACGTCCAGCAGTCTCACCTTCAGTACTCGTATCACGCCAATTCGAATCAAAGTCCTCCAGGATCTTCAGCTTCAAGCACTCCTTATCAACAGTCCCGCATCGAAACGATCCGCGCGGCTGCAAGTCAACCACCTCCACCTCCACCCACAGCTGAAGTCGAACGTCAACGAAGGATTTCTAACCCGGCTTACCCTTTCAAAAGCCCCGATCAAATCAAGGCCCAAAAAGAAGCAGAGAAGCATTCTCCACCTGGTAGCAGACCGAGCAGCTCATACATGATTCCCAGTCCCGGTCTGCAGCAGCATGACGCCTCTTCCTTCATGCCGCATACAGGTTCATCCCATCCAAGCCCCGCCATGCAACCACTTGACCCGCAGAATCCGCCTCAATTCATCAACCCAAATGCCACGCAGATCAGTCCAACCGGGTCCAGTGCTGGACATCGCTCTGCAAGGGGAAGTTTCTCCGGACTAGGTTTGGGATCAAGCGTCCCTCTCCCTCTAAGTCACATGGGATTGAAAAGGAGCTCTTCGATGGACATGATGGATCTAGATATGATTCACGACATGGCGCCCTTCCCCGCTGCGAGTATTAATCCGCTGCAAATCAGCAATTATATTCCCAAGCGCTCTATTTACGATCCATTGAACACGACTGTCCATGGTGGCATGATGCAACAAAAGCCTCAAGCCCCGCTTCCCAAACCCATTCTTCCGCATGCCTCGGCAATCCAGCTTCCTCCCCAGCCTCCTATGACCGATCCCTCTGCTGTACTCGCCCAATCTCTTGAGAAACGTCCACTTGGACCTACCGGCTTGCTGATCAACGATCGTCCCATCCCCAAGCAGCTGAGTGATTGGTTTACAAGAGGTGGTTTCTGGGCGAGGGTGGCAGGGTACTACATCCAAAAACACAATGGCATGGCTAGTGTTTATAGAAGCCCGTTCATTGCGGTTAAGGATAAGGTTGGGCTGGACAGTTGGGAAGGAGGATTAGCGGAGAGGTACTACGACAATCTGGAACCGGCAGAAAGGCAAAGCATTGATGCCGTGAGAGACGGTAAGGCACATCCATAAATGTGGGGAAGTCATCAAGGGCACTCAGATACAGGCTGGGCGATTGGAGTGAAACGAGTAGATGGGGCATACGGGGTCAAGCGAATTCGCACTTTGTGTCCCTCAATGGAGCTCCAGTGGATATGAGGGAAGCGGATGTGAACGATGGGATGGAAATAGGGATGAGGGATCGCGAGAGGCTGTGATGCCGCCATTCCACGCATATCTTGACTTTGGGCTTGAACGAAGCCTTGCGTTCATTTTATCCAATCTCTTGGTCGGACAGCTCCGACCCCAATAACAATTAACTATGAAATCCCGAAAGAAATGGAGAAGGAGAGTTGCCTTTTTCCCCATTCGATCGTTGTTCTTCCTCTTCCTCTTCCTCTTCCTCTTCCTCTTCCTCTTCCTCTTCCTCTTCCTCTTCCTCTACCTCTAGGAAACTTCCGTGTATCCAAGGCCCCTTGAAGCTGCCCCGAAAATGACCTTTTGACTCAGAAATGTCGATCCATTTTGTCCACCTACCTACCTACCTATCTATCTACCAGGTAGGTATGGAGTGTGTCGCGCCGGCCCAGCCACCCACCCGCCCACCCTATTCCTATCGTGTCGCATTGCGCATTCCCCCTGTTCTGCGAGCATGCAGGTGGTTATTTAACGAACGTCAGGGTCTCCTGCTTGCGGTTTGCCGTCTTTGTTCCCCTTCCTCTCATCCATTGCCGCGAGGAAAAGCTAATGCAAGTACATAAGAAAATGAAAAATGGCCAAAGACCCAACACTAGCAGGATCAACGTATTATTCTTGCCTATCAGTATAGAATGCTGCCGAAAATAAAGGGGTCCCAAAAGGGGGGGAAAAAAGGGAAAGCATGACAAGGCGTTTATTGAACGATGGAATCCGTCACCTGCTCCCTGAGAGTACATATTGCAACCACGCTTCACTGCTTCGTGCATCTTGTGCCCTCTATCCGAGATCTACAACTCTAGGATACCCTTGGCTGGTCTCATCCCGGCCCAAACCTTCAACCATGACGAGGGCCTTGTGGATGCATTGTCTCTTCCTGTCCTGGGGCGGTCCCCAGGTCTGCCACAACGTCGGGCACAGACAAAGGGCCACCCTGTTTCCCCGTGTCAGTTTCCGCCCATCCGATATTTTATCTGCCGGAGTCATCGATTCGTGGTTGAAGCTCGCGCCAATCTTGGGGTACTCCATCTGGTATTTTTCGTTTTCAGCTCTTCGCATCATGAAGGCCAGCTCCAGGCTCTTCAGGAAAGATTGCTCGAATTGGTGCAAAGCTTCCATCTGATAGTGCTGCCTGTGTTCCGAGAGTCCTCCGTCACTCGCTTCCTGAGATTCTGTGGTTGAGTGTTTCCATGGTTCCACCTGCTGAGGCGGAGCCGGAGGAGCGCAGATACTCTTGAAAACGTCAAACAGATCCTGTGCAAACTGACGAGCAAGTCCCGGAATCATGGGTTTGATGACGAGATCCAGATAAGTCAACTTTTCTTCCCGCTTTATTGATTCCGTAAATAGAGGTAAATCTGACTCCAGTTATTAGTTCGTGGGGTCTAGCTTCCTCACCTGTAGTGGACTTACATTGTTCGCAAAACCTAAGGACATTACCATTTATTATCGGCTTTGGAATCGGACTCGGAAGGTCGTAACGCCACAAGCAGTCTTGATCCACGAACACCCAAACCTTGAAGTGTCTTGAGATTAGCGACATCGAACAAGCCTCCTTTTTACAATGACATAGGGACTCACAAAGATCGCCATCCCAGCGAATGCGCGAAGAACAATCTGAGTGTTCATGAACGGGTCGGCAAGAAGAACGTTCAAGGTTGTCTCTACAAAACCTCGGTCCCACATGCCGCATAGCATCTCGCCTAGTCTGAGTGAAGCGCGGGTGAAGTTGGACCATGTCAAATGAGCAATGGGAAACCCTTGACAAAAGGCTTCGACGCCACGTTCCGTATCAAGTACAGGCTCACCGAGGTGGTAATGGGCGACCTCCTTGATAGTGTAGTCGTCGTCGTAAAGCCTGCATTTCCCAGAGTGCTCCCAGGCCTTGGTCAGTGCGTGATCGAAAGAGTCGTACTTGGGAATTTTTGCGCTATATAGGATACTCCTGGTAACATCAGATTCATAGGGCTCTGGAGGGAGAGGGGTGTCTTCTTTTCTGAACTGCCTGAAGACAGACTGTGATGAATTTCCTCGCGAGTGTGAGATGGGATCATCAGCGGCTGGGGCAGGCACATCGTTGGTGGCTGGTGATGGGGAGTCCGGCGATGGCTGCTCTGCGCCCTGTGGTGTACCTGAACTTCTGCTTCGCAGGGTCGAAGCCCTTGATGACGGAGAGGCACTTTGTTGGTGGTGGGTTTTGGCAGCAAACTGTGGTCGATGTCGAGGCCATTCGCTGACGAGCTTCTCAGCACTGACGCCGGCCATCTTCCCTAGTCCTTGTAGCTTGGTCTTGACTTGCTTCTCGCTCAACCGCGACTCCCCCTTCTTCAGACTCTTTAGGAGTTGCTGTTCGAGGGTTCTCATCAACTGAGCGAAGGGGGTGGAGCCTTTTCTGGCACTCTCGTCGAGCACATTGTATAACTCTCTTGTCTCTGCTGCCGACCACTGGCGCCGCTTTCTGGCCATTATGTCTGTTGTGACAATAGGTATTGCAAACCAATTAGGTTTCAAAGATGCTTTTTTGTGGGTGGCAAGTACCGAAAAGCTGGAGCAAAGTATGATTGAAGAAGGAGGGATGATCTTAGACTAAGAGAAGGAGCAAGAGGAAATTCCAAGGTTGGAAGGAGCCAGAGATATGTGAAGGAGCCAAAGAATTTTGATTTGGAATGCAGGCCTGCAAATTGGCCTGTTGTCGGTTGATCTTGGAATGCGGGCGGTGAGTGTTCAAGGCCTGTCCTTTGTTTGCTACGACACCGGTATCTGGTTACCCCTTTTTATGGCACCGTTGACCTCAGGGACAAAGCCCAGGCCGGACAGATGAGACTGTCATCAGCTCGCGAACAAAAGGAGATCGATGGTGCCGGTGGGCATCATCAGGCTTGCGCAGTGGTTGCCGTGTTCCATAATGTCCGACATGAGGCGGTCACAAAGGCACTGTCTCGCCTCCACCAGTCCTGTTGTTGCAGTGGTCCTTATCGTCGTCCAGAGAGGCAGAGATGGTTCACTGCCTTCAGTCCATCATGCTGGGACTTTTAAATATCCACGTCTTCTACAAGTCCGAACTTTGTTCAAGTCAACTTCTCGATCATTACCAGTCTTCCTCAAAAGCCTATTGCACAAACTAGTGCCACCAACGTCTTTCTGCAGGTTTTAGCCAAATCAATCACTTCGCAGTCCACCAAGGCTCGGCATCTCAAACCATCTGTGGACCACCATGGTTACACAAATTGTAACAAAACCAGCCAAGGAATCAAATGGGGATGGCTCTACGGACTTTAAACGAAAGCGAAGCGTCACAGACACAGGGACTGAGTCTAACAAGAAACCGAGAGGCCCTGAGAGACGGAAGCCCCAGAGGGACGACACCAATGCTCACCAAGGTTCTCTACCTCAGATGTCAGTTGCCTCGTCCAAGTCCACGGCCCTGAAAAAGACTGCCTCCCATGTTCTCGTGTCCCTCGATCCCGGTACAGAGTTCTGCAAGGCGGCTATCTACGTTTCCAAAGAGAATGCATCTCTGGCGGAAATCGAAACGAGAACACTGGAGAGAGTGATATTTGCCGACGGCAGTACCATTGTCCGATCCCAAGTTGCGTTCCAGAACACGATAGACAGACGTACTGGCCAGTCAATCCGCACACCACTTTTTGGATGCGAGGTGGATAAGGCCCTCGAGAGGGATGAAATTGAGGCTCGCGAAGTCATACGCCATTTCAAACCCATGATATACAAGGGTTTCATGGCAAAACAGAGGAAGTCGATAGACGAGGTATCGGAGTTGCAAGGACGAATGGAGAAATTGCATGTGGTGATGGAACAAAACTTGACTGCTGTTAGCGAATCCAGCACCAACAAGCGGCTAGACAAAAATCCAAAAAATCGAAAAGACTTGCAGAAACCCATGGTCCACCTCGAGGTGTTTGCCCAGCTTCTACGGTGGCTTCTTCAGTGCGCCATCAATTTCGCAATCGCAAAGCACGCCGAACTCCAGTGGCTCAGTCTCGAGCAGTCTTCAGACCTGGATGAGCTGCTTGAAAAAACTCCAAACATTCACATTGCTATCGCCGTTCCCGCCGACTGCTCATTTGTTCACAAGCAACACATTCTCGCAGCTGCCAAGAGTGCTGGTATTCGACACCCCTGGCCGTACTTGGTGTCCGAGCCTGCAGCAGCGCTGGAATACTATTTGGCAACTCTAAGAGAAAAAGATCGGTCGCCAAAGAGCTCATACATGCTCGTCGACATAGGTGGAGGTTCCGCCGACTTACAGACTTGGTCAATAAGAAGCGTGTCTCCATTGAAAGTTGCCGAAATGCTTCCAGCTGTGACAGAATGGGTCGGTGGGTTCGAAGTCAACGGAGATGCTGTGGCATTTTTGATGCAAGGGATCGAAGATGTCGACAAATTGGTGTCCGATACTCAAGCCACACGCATCCAGTACGCGAAATACCGGGTCGCGAAATTGAAAGACAGAATAGGGGCTCCTGGTCCAGAAACAGTCAGGAAGGTCAGGAGACGAGGATTAACAAGAAGAATGTTAGAAGAAGAGATCGCAGAAAGTTTCGAACACCAAAAGAGGCGCCCTCCGAATGCATCCCACCGCCTCTTGAAAGTCAGCGGTGTTCCATTCCTCAACGGGACCCCATTTTGCGGTGGATTCGGCATTCAGATGACGCACGAAACCATGAAGACGGTTTACAAACGGAGCCTGGATACCATCATTTCGACCATAATCCGTGCTCTAAACAGACTTGAAGCTGCCAAAGATTCCCAAAAATTCGTCGGAAAACAGGGCCTGCCCGTGAGCGAAATTCTTGTTTGTGGTGGCGCCAGCTCCAACCATTACATTCAGCGTGAAATCCGCAAAGCTGTGACCGGCACCTTCCCAGTCGTTGTCAACTTTTTGTTACCTCCGAAAACCACAAAAAACTTTCACCTCGTGGCCTTAGGTGGCCTGTTGCTGCTTGCGAATCGAGTCACCACCAACAAAGAATGATTCAACGAGAGCTCAGAGTACTTCACTTGGACCTTTCAAGAGAACAACGATTTTCGATATGACGATTGTCAAATTTGGCAATGAGGAGGTGGCCAGGTTCTTCACATGGGATGCGCAAGCGGTCGACTCGACGGAGAAAGATCTCGCTCCGAGGGCAGAGTCATTTGCGTCTCGACCAAGTCGGTTGCAGCCCGTGGGTGGAAGCGAGATTGGTCTCTGGAGAATGTGAGTGTGCTGGCAAAAGCCTGATGCTTCCAGAATCGTAGGTGGCATCAGACTATCAGGCGCTGAGGGACCCATTCTGAGTCATTTCCACTTCATTGTGTTCTCTCCAGAATAATAGGCACTGCTGCCACCAAGAAGGACGATACGCGGTCAATGACTAATGGATGGAGACGGAGAATTGAACAGGATGATGTGATTGTGGCTGGACTGGGACATGTTTTGGACGTTGATAAGAGTAATGGCTCAAGGAGAGTTTTGTCAATTCGGCAAGCGATCTGTGAGGCTGCGGTATTTTGGCGACATGTTTTTGGATCAAAGGCACGGTTGCGAAAGAGCAGCATCGGGATAGAATTACGGATGTCACACTGTCCAGGAACACCTCTGTTGTTACAAGAAAATGGAAACCCCATCCATTCACTCGTACTACCGACAGAGCTATGGGCGGAGATCTCGTGTTTGGTCTATGAAAGCTTTTGGGGGACGGGGTTCTCGGTTCTTGTTGGGAGTCAGTATTTTGCGACCGTCTCTTTACGGGTGATGGGAGCGAAACGCGTCGAAGCGGCACGCAATTGGCAAGATGTTCATCGCGTGGAGTGACTGACTACCGGCAACAGAGTGAGTACAGTGTGAAGCTTATAGGGTACTAAGTACTGGGTAGTGATGAGGGAAATGCGATCAGAGACACAGGTTTGACTGCCGAGTACATACGCATCTCGCCATCCTCTTTGTCCGTCTGCTTGCTTCAAAAAATCCGTACAGCCAAAGTCCAGTAGCTCGCACTATTCAAGTCAGTTCCGTTGCTCTAGCACTGATCAAAATAGAGAAGTCATCATCGAGGCTCGTTCTGTTCGCTAGTGCGCAGTCCCCCCTTCGGATTACACTCCTGGCGAGAGGCTCTGGTGGCAGCCACTCTTTGACCTCTGCATTGAATCACGGATGCAAAACGATTGGAAACACCGACACCGGACATTTTCAAGAGTACGGTCGACAAAAAGCCCAGAGTGCCCAGCTCGTAGTGTCCTGTTGCGCCTGCGCCTGCGCCTTGTTTCCCGCTTTATCATGGGCGTGGAGCTTGGCCATGGCCTCAATGCGACAACGGATCGAGGCCATGTTTGCTGGGTTTTGCGCTTGGGCGGCTTTGGCGAGCGCCTGCTGGTAGTAGTGGGCACTTTTGGCGCGGTCAGCGTCCCGTCGGGCGCCGTACATGTAGCCCATGTCGGAAAAGGTCTGCTGGAGGAAGCGAGCCTTGAAATCGTCATCGTAGCCGCTTTCCTGGCACAGTCGCAGGGTCTCGAGGAGGACAGGCTCGGCGGCCGCGACGTCGTCGTTCTGGAGATACTGGCGGGCAATCATCTGCAGGGCGGCGATGTGTACTCCGAGGGGCACACTGGGGTCCTGGGCCAGCCGGCGGGCGATGCGCAGCGCGTCGTCGAATTCTTTTCGTTGGTAATTGAGCGAGCAGATCTCGTCCTGGATCCAGGCCCACTCATCGACGTCCAGGCCGCTGGCCGGACCGAACTTGTCGGACGACAGGCGCAGAATGGAAGCTATCCGGCCGGCGTTGGCGTCGATCTCGCCCTGCGTCCACAGCTTCAGCAGCGGTTTCAAGACATGCCCCTCGGAAAGGGTGCGAAAAGCAAGCGCTTGGAGGAAATGCACTATCTGGGCCCGCACATCCGGGAACCGGTCCCAAAGTGGATACGAGTACAGCCGAAGAAGGCGCAGGAATATCCAATAGGGAGATGTCTGGAAGCAGTGGGACGCGAGGCTGCAGGCCAGATTGATTTCTCTGAATGCCCCGACCGTATCGCCCGTCAAGAGCAAGGGGATTGCGTCGTAGAAACATTTGTTGAACAACAGCGACACGCTATCACCACCACTTTGGTAGTCGAGACTTGCGACTTCGTGGTCGTTTTGTTGTTCTTGTTGCTGCTGCTGCCGCCTCCGCCGGCGGTTTGCGAGGCCAAGTGGACTCCAGAACGACACGTTCCAATCCAGATAAGACTTGGTCAAGAGCAAGATGCGCTCGTCAATGTCTACGGTCGACCGAAAGGCGTTGGGGTGTAGATCCAGGTGAATCTTCTCGCCTATCGGCGGCACTCCGGTTGTTTTTCGCTGGGTTCGCTTTCGTCCCTGCCCCTGGGGTCTGCTGAATCGTCTGATGCGATCCCATTTGATAGGCTTCCCATGCAGCTGGACCGGAGGAGGCGGAGGTACCACCCCGTGTGTTGTTGTGGATGTAGATTGCGTGATCAAATGCACGACGGCCTCTTTCTCGGTCGACTTGTAGTTCTTGAACGCCCCCCACGTCGCTATCCGTCTCTTAAAGGCCTTTTCGCTGTACCGCGCTCGATGAAAACCATGTTAGCAGCAGCAGGAGGCCCGAAAAGAAGTTGACAGTTTCCAAAGGGGTAAGGGAAGGAAACCCACGTTGCGTGAAAGTCGTATTGGTCGGCCAGAATCTGCTTGATCTCGGAGAGCTTCTTTTCTTGATGCACGTATAGCTCAATGAATATCCCTTTGATGGAAGACCATTCGTCTTGGGAAGGTCCTTCCACCACCGTCACTCCGGAGGTAGTAGGCTCGTAGTCTGTCATCTGGGGGGCCTTCGGATCAGCAGGATGCATGCACTGGGTAACATGCCCAGACTAGTACACCCTTTCGATTCATAATATCCCTCGCTCCAGGCCTCAACAGTAGAAAGATCGTGATCTCCTGCAAGAAGGACTTCGACTTTGGTGTGAAAGAAAAGGAAGCGAACTCTGTCACGGCAGGCGCAGGCGCTGGCTTGGCACTTGGCGCAGTAAGTACCTAGTAGGTGGTATTCGTCAGGCTCTCAGCAGAACTTAGATACGCAGCTACAACCAATTCGCTTTTGACGAAGCTTTCGCTTGCCAAACTCGTAAGCAACGACGCAGTTCCAGCTGGGTGCCGGGCATGGGGTTAATGCAAGCTTATTGGCGCCGCTTTAGTCACAGACTAGTCCTAGTGCGGCAAAACAAAAGTCTCCTGCATATGTGGAGCTCGCAGCCTTGCAGGCTTCCATCCCAAAACCCTTTACTTCGCACGTCTACCATACCTGAACCTTACCCGCCAGAGGAGATTACAAAACATGTTACACCCGAGTCCATGATGGCTTTCACACATCAGACTTTCTGAGCACACTCTGCAAGATTTGCAGTGAGTCGCACAAATTCTTTTCACCCTCCTCGTCCACCCATGGCAAAGAACCAATTAGCAATTCTCTGGTCGATCCATCAGTGAATATGGTACACCCTGTTCCTCAAAGACATCCAAGCACGCTTTGATGCGGTCTGTACTCGTGAGTCCCAGGGTCTGTGCTTGTATCGTGAATTCCTCCCTAAACCAATGGTCGCCTGACATCGTGCCCACAAACAAAACCCACAGGCGTACACTTGGTGCGTCATTGGAGATCACGGTGAGCAACTCTTGAAGCCTTGAAAGAATCTCCTTTCCAGCATTGTAAACCGTGATTTTGAAAAGCGGTATCCGCTCCATGTTGGCCTCTAGACGAAGCCGGTATAACGCTGCCAGAGCCACGCATTGCTCAACATCATCAGGGCTCGTACGGTACTGTTCCAGAAGGGTCCTCATGATGTGCAGGAATTTGATGGTGGCCGCCTGTCGGACAGCTTCCGATACCTCGGACGTCTTCAGTACATGTAAAGCCACAAGAGCCTTTTTCATATCAACCAGTGGTTGCAGTTGAGGCCACTGAATGCTGGTGTCCGCGTCACTCTGAGGCCATAGAAAAGCTGTATATTCCGCCTCAAGGATATCCCATGTGTTGCCGTCCACCGTAAAAAGCGGGCTGCCCAGCGTCAAGGTGGCACGTTGGATATCCGAGTGGAGAACGCATATGAGATCGTCGGTATCCAATCCAGAATGGCTGTTGATAACCTCTAGCAGCCGGAGGTGGACTGCCACAGCTTCTAGGTTGTAGCACCAGGTCTCGGCAAATAGAAGAGACATGACGGCCTTGGGAAGACGAGCAAGGGGTGTTTGAGAGAGGTTCAAGCGGAGTTGCTGCATCGCCTTGTCTTTCAATTTTAGTACAACATTGAATGCTTCTGGATGAGGGTCGCATCGCGCCTTAACAGCTGCAATGCGAGCCAAGAACCCGTAGGCAGCCAGTTCATCTTGGAGAAACGTCGCAGAGGGATGCAAAGAAATTATCGATTTTGCAAGAGCCGGAGAGAGGTGTCTTTGGTCAAATTGGAGCAGCTCGTTGACCTGATAGGTGTGGGGGATGGGAAGGGTGTCAAAGGGGTCGCAGGAACCAGCGAAATGGGTGTCGATCTGAGAACGCGGCTGCCCTTGCTCTTGAAATGTATGGTACACATTTAAAGCCGAGGCCCGCAGTTTCCGTGTCCGCTGAAGTCGCTCCCATTTTCGGTGCGCAGCCACATGCCGAAACACCTGGCTCTTCTGTGATGATAGACTATCGCGATCGGCTTGGCTGTCGTGGTGTATCCACGAGTGAAATGTGGTGGTCGTGGCCATTTTCTCTTGTCCGTGTCTGCCAGTGTCTTGAAAGATTGGATGCTGTAGCAGAGAAGACCGTCGTTCGTTATATGAATATACCATTCAGACTTCCAGATCACGGCTCGGCTTCGAGCCGTGTTATCTAATCGTACCGCCGCCGCCTTACAACTATCTCTCAGGCGATGTTACTTGAGTTTTCTTAGTCATGGTCCAGTAGGAGATTGTGGAGGCTTTCACAGTGCTACAAAACACCCACCGAACCACAATATGGGATTCTTGAAGCACAGATAGTTCGGCCGAAGAGGGAAGGCACCCGTCATAGATCTCGAATCATCTGCTTGGTAAATCCGAGGCGAAGGAATTGATTTGCACTCAGCATGTGGATGGCATGAGCCTTGCCATCGTAATTTCTCTTGCTGGCCTTAAAGCAAAGGGGATTGAGGCCGAATCATCATTGACATGCTTGCTAGCCGCAGGTTTCACGAGTAGTGCCGTTTATGTTTTTTGAGGTCTTTTCTGTGGAACCTTCCATTGGTGAGGAAGCAACTTTGATGCATCGCTGTGGGCCAAAAATCCGTAACAAGCCCCAAAAACGCCATCCTCCAACAATATTTCCACCTCTAGTACTACGGTCCCCAATCAACGTGGGAGATATGTCACAATGCTTGAATGATCCGGGCTCTGGAAGCTCACTGGCAGTTAGTTGGACAACAGGTGTACTGACTACTAGTGCCCCGCCCACATCCGCGAGCAGGAAGTGTGTTGCCAATGCTTGCCCATTGGTGGATTCCTCCGGACACTCGTGTATGCACTTTGAAGACAATGCAAGGCCTTCTGGAAAAATACGAATGCGGTCGGTACCAGTACCGAGGCTTGAGATTTATCTTCCACCGACATGATCGAACAGCACGCCGACCTGTCATCCGCTAGAACAGCATCACTGACGCTGTTTTCGGCTAGCACAGTCAATTCCGCCAATATTAAAGGATGTTTCCCTGACTTTAACCGGTTTTGGACAAAGTTTTGTTTCTTCTGATTGGCTCCATTCAAGCAAATCGCATTTCGAGGAGCGCCCCCGACAGATTCAAACAGTACTTACCATGCAAAAGCAATACTGTTTCGTTAGGCCTTATCAACAGAAGAGGACGCCTTCGGCGAAGCCGATAGAATCTCTATAGTACTGTCATCCCACTGAAGCAAGAAATCTAAAGACGCTCTGTGGACCGCCGTTTTCGCGTTCTGTAGTAGGAGAGAGAGGACGAGCGAGAAACCCTTGCCATTGTTATTTGATAATGAGAGGTCTATACGTCTTCATGAATTATAGCCCGAATTTACTACTCTCCGCAGAGCCAAGCGAGGAGCCGTCTGTGGATTTCTAGAATAGTATTTTCTAGCACAGCAAACAATAGCATTTCAGGATACAAAGTGCGAGACACCATAGATTTACACTGTCCTTCTATAAATAACGAGTTCTACGCGCAAAGAACAGAGGCATCTGCTTCCGGCTTCCTCACCAGAGTGATCTGTCAGAGGCAGTCCATCATAGCCCTATGTTTCTGTCGCTGAACCGATCGCTTCATGCTTGCTTCCAGCACTTGTTGTAAATCTGGACAGCAGCATGACTGAGGCCATCAAAGGAGTTACACCAATAGGAATTTGAGGAGCTAAATAGATGTCTGGAATAACCAAAGTACTCGAGCTAAGCACTCTTAAAGCTGACGAATAAAACACCGTATATTGGAGAGATCCTGGACAACGGAGCACTGGGAGGTGGTGGAAGGAGTATTTTGAGCCTTTATGATAGTTATCGAAAGCCACGAAATAGCTGGATCCTCTTCAATATATCCTATATCTCTGTGAGTCTCGCACAGTCGTTATATTGGCATCGCTAGAAGTCAGGACCAAGGTGTAAACATAGCTAGAGCTGTAGGCAACCTCCCTGGGCGGGTTCCCAATACCATTAGGTTATTAAAACAGACCCGAGCAGGAGTTCTGGGAACTATCGAGCAAACAATCTGTAATATCTGCGAGTTATATTGTTTTAAAGAGCTACAAAACAGGAGACTACCTCTAGAGCCTCGCCAAGTCTGGTGATTGAACCATCAAGCCGATCCGACATTACTCGGGAAGAGAAGTCTCTCTTATATGGTTGTTAATAGACGCGAACATCGATTTTAGAGGCACCGTAGTGCAATACCAAGAGATACATACCACCACCGACCGGGCTCAAGGATGTTGTCGCCGTAGTGGGATTACAAGGGGTGTGACAGAACGTCCAGTGAGTGGTACCCGGGTATGTGACTGAGCGATCGACCTCACCCACGAATGGCGTACAATCAAACTCTTGACTGAAACGATACGAGGTCTGCAGATGACATGGCAACTCGTATACAGGGGCTTCTGCGCCTAGACCGCCCCCTGCGGCTTGGAACTAGAGAGGACGTCCTATAAAAGGGGCAACTGCACCCCCTCTCGCATCTTGAATACCTACAGGCTACCTCCAGCTTTTTCAATGGTGTCCCAGCTGCTTCTCTTGCACACATGTTCTTGGACCTTATGCTAAGTTTCTTGGAGAGACAAAATGTCGTTGGACAATGGGTAAAGACTGAACAGAGCGAAAGACCCTGGTGAGGTGCAGGAACAATACATGGAGTGGAAAAAAGTGGACGACAGTGGACGAGAGAGCTTCCAGATGGTTCGGTATAGTCTGTCTCCAGCTTGCGGTTCATGAAGCTCTGGACAGGTAACATCTCTTTCGGTTGCAACGATGGCGTGAGCTATCGTAAGATACATCGTTCAAGTATAGCCTGGATACCTCTACACAACTCTTGACCACCACTGACATTCCCTCTCGATAGACTACACAGTATTCTGCGCACCGTCAACAGCTCTATTCCTTCCCATGTCTTCTCCACAAGCTGGCTCTACTTTGCCAGACGATACTCCCGCAGATCCGTCGATCCCTCCGCTGCCTCTCAAATCCGGCGCGTGCGCAGTGCCTCACTCGAAGCTCACAAACTCCTCCACCACCACAGCTCGGGTGCGTTCCCTCCAAAGAAACCTCTCCTCGTCCTCCACGACCATTTTCCCATTCTCGCCCTGGCCCACTGCCATCAACCACCTCATCTTTGCCGCTTCGTCGGCGAACCCGATCTCGGTCATCACGTCGAAGTCAACGTTGCCGGGATCCACTTCCACTTTCGATCGATCTGAACCATTACCATGGGATTCAGACGGCACAGCGGACACCGGTGCACCTTTAGCATCGACGCTTGCCCTCACAAACACGAACGCCGGATCGTCGCGATGTGTGTATCGTCTCTTATACACCAGGGGCTGGTTCTCTGGGCCGGCGAGACGGTTGATCATGGGAATGTGCTTCGTCTCATAGTACGTTATGAACTCTTGGGTGGACAGGTGGGGGAGTTTAACCAGGAATGCGAAGGTTGTATGCATGGTCGCGTCTCTTTGACTTTGCGTGTTGAAGGCGCTTTGTTGAAAGGCAAATGTGTTTGGGAAAAAATCTACCTCGAATATCTTGGGAAAAGAGCTACAATGCGACAGTTGGGACCAGACTCAGGCTGCGAATTCTTCACACTCGTCAGAAAGGTCTGCACATCGTGGAGAAAGAGATCCATCTGGACCAACTCGCTGCGTGGATATTCGTTCATATGCTTCTTTGCCCTTGTGGCTAGCGGCGCGAAAAGGACACATCTCTGCAACCTTCTACACCGTCTTTTTTTTAGCCACCAAGAGAAAGCCGTCACAAGTGCTAAAGGATCCTATTCGAACCTAATCGGCTCTGGTCTCCGAGATCAGGCGAGTGTCCATCTTGGCTTTTCAGATGCTGTGGTAGTTGAAAACATGCCGCAGAACAAAAGTCCCAAGGCGCGAGACGCACTGGGAGGGAACACGTGAGCCTGATAATACAGGTCTGCAAGACGCGGAAGACGATGGGAGCGGGCCTGTAGGTTTATGATGGAGGCTTTTCAAAGGGCCAACAGTACCTGTCCATCGATGTACTGTGTGGTATGTGGATGATTTGGGATGAAACAACGATGCATGTGGGTAAGGTCAGGCAAGTAAAACCCCGGGGTTAGTGGGTAGTAAGGTAAGACTCCGTAGGTCTGAAGCCCCTCACGACAGCGACATATAATCATCAACAGCGGCGAAGACAAACAGGGCGATAATGCGGAATCAACTACGATGACAGCAGGCCATTTCGCTATAAAAGAAACCACAGGAACATCAAGAATTTGAACTGGAATTTTGGATTGAAAGCTAATTCTAAGCCATGTCTCTTCTTAAACTCTCTCCCTCTGGAGACGACGACTTGTTGAGAATAATCCCATAAGCCTCATTGATCAATCCATCATAGGATGATGCCGAAAATAAACTCTATGCCCATGCAAGAGGTATCATGTCCACGTTCCACTGAAAACGCCAACGCCGGTATGATTGACACAAGAATTGAACCCGCTCATGCTCATGTGCTTTTGGTCATTAAGAAGCCATTTAGTCAACCTCCTCGACAGTTGGGCCATCATCGCCGTGGCCAGCACCGCCAGCGCCAGGGAATCCGCCAGGGCCGCCAGGCATACCACCACCGGGCATTCCACCGGGCATACCACCTTCACCACCAGCGCCGTAGAACTTCATCATGATGGGATTGGCAACGCCCTCAAGCTCCTTCTGTTGAGATTCGTACTCTTCCTTGGTGGCGGTTTGGTTCTCATCGAGCCAGGAGATGATCTTGTCGATTTCGGACTTGAGTTTCTCCTTGTCAGATGCGTCGAGTTTCTCATCGACCTTGGAGTCGGCCAGGGTGTTCTTGAGAGAGTAGGCGTACGACTCAAGGCCGTTCTTGGCGCTGATGCGAGAAGCCTCAGCCTCGTCTTCGGCCTTGTACTTTTCGGCCTCAGCAAGCATGCGTTCGATCTCTTCCTTGGAAAGACGGCCCTTGTCGTTGGTGATGACAATCTTGTTGGACTTGCCAGTGCCCTTCTCCACGGCAGAGACGTTCATGATTCCATTGGCATCAAGATCGAAAGTGACCTCAATCTGAGGAACACCACGAGGAGCAGGAGGAATGCCGGAAAGCTCGAACTTGCCGAGCAGGTTGTTGTCCTTAGTGCGAGCACGCTCACCCTCATAGACTTGAATCAACACACCAGGCTGGTTGTCGGAGAAGGTGGAGAAGGTCTCGGACTTCTTGGTGGGGATGGTGGTGTTGCGCTTGATAAGAGGAGTCATGACACCACCAGCGGTCTCGATACCGAGAGACAGTGGCGCGACATCCAAGAGCAAGATTTCGTTGGTCGACTTGGATGAGGTATCACCAGACAAGATGGCGGCTTGGACTGCGGCACCATAGGCAACAGCCTCATCGGGGTTAATTGATTTGTTGGGTTCCTTGCCGTTGAAGAAGTCGGAGACAAGCTTCTGGATTCTGGGGATACGGGTGGATCCACCAACCAAGACGATCTCGTGGACAGACGACTTGTCGATCTTGGCATCACGCAGGACACGCTCCACAGGCTCCATGGTAGATCGGAAGAGATCTTGGCAAAGCTCTTCGAATCGGGCACGGGTGATGGAGGTGTAGAAGTCGATTCCTTCGTACAGAGAGTCAATCTCAATCGAGGTTTGTGCGGACGAGGACAGGGTGCGCTTGGCACGTTCGCAAGCGGTTCGAAGACGACGCAAAGCCCGAGCGTTGGAGCTTAAATCTTTTTTATGCTTGCGTTTGAACTCATTCACGAAGTGGTTGACAAGACGGTTGTCGAAGTCCTCACCACCCAGGTGAGTGTCACCAGCAGTGGACTTGACCTCGAAGATACCCTCTTCAATGGTGAGGAGAGAAACATCGAAAGTACCACCACCAAGGTCGAAAATGAGGACATTGCGCTCGCCCTCAGCCTTCTTGTCGAGACCATAAGCAATGGCGGCAGCGGTGGGTTCGTTGATGATACGGAGGACGTTGAGGCCGGCGATCAAACCAGCATCCTTGGTGGCTTGGCGCTGAGAATCGTTGAAGTATGCAGGGACGGTGATGACAGCGTTGTTGACTGTGCCACCGAGGTATGACTCCGCAGTCTCTCTCATCTTGGTCAAGACCATTGAGGAGATCTCTTCGGGTGTGAACTGCTTCTCTTCTCCTTTGAACTCCACTTGGATGACTGGCTTGCCACCCTTGTCGATGACCTTGAATGGGAAGTGTTTCATGTCGGCTTGGACTTCAGGGTCGCTGAATTTCCGGCCAATCAGTCGTTTGGCGTCAAAGACGGTGTTGTGGGGGTTCATGGCGACTTGGTTCTTTGCGGCATCACCAATCAGACGCTCTGTGTCGGTGAAAGCAACGAACGAGGGAGTGGTTCGGTTGCCCTGGTCATTGGCGATAATCTCAATGCGGTCGTCTCGGAAGACACCCACGCATGAGTAGGTCGTACCTAGATCGATACCAATGGCTGGTGCCATGATGACTGGAGGATTAGAGGAAAATGAGATGGGATTTGCAAGGAATTAAGGTGTATGATGAAGAGTCTTGTGAAGAAGACTTTTCGGTCCAAATAGAGGATTTGTTTTGAATGTCTGAGCTGATGGTGAGAAAGAGGAAAGGCAGAGCCTGATCACAGAGATTTATGGGAATTTGTTGTTGTCAAAATTTCGCCAAGGCGAGGGCGGGCGCAGGTGGTAGAAGCATGAAGAAGAGCGTGGAACTACGGTGACTGTTCTAGCTGCAGGACTGGTTCCCACTGGAAGCTGCCGGCCTTTTCCAGCTGCTCCATGCGGCGCCCGGAAGTGGGCTGTGAAGCTGCCTGAAGCATCGGTGCGATTCACTCTAGACGCCTTGCTTCTGCATCTTGCGCCATGGGGAGCTTTGGTTTAGGTGAAGCTGTAGCCTTAGCTCGATCTCTTTTTTTTTTGGTGAGGGATGGAAGCTGTCCCGCAGTGAATGCCTGGTTACGTCATAGCCGCCGCACCAACCACAGCCTTTTTCGGTCAGATTCCATGAGACGAGGCTGAGGTGGGTTTCGAGTCGTGATTGGAGGGGCAACGGCAAGCAAGGGAAAACAACAGAAAACAGTCGCCTGATACCCTGCATCCTCGATACCCGTCAGGAATTATTTCACGATGCTTCTATCTACTGCTAACCAGCGTCAGCATGATGAAACAGCTGCGTTCAAACAACATCATCCAACTCTTTCTCCCTCTTCTGACGTGAATCATCGTCACTATGCCACTCACCCAGCCACTTACTTGCCATCCAAAGGGCTCCACTGTACTCGGTAATGGTTCAATATCCCCACCAATGCATGCGACATTTCCTCCCCGCCGAAAATTCATACAGAGCATCCAAAAGAGTGTGCTAGAAGCTGAAGGTAGTGCGGAGGCTCGCCGCCTAGGAACTGTTCTTCCGTCCCACCCATAGCCCTATGTGTTCCCATTCGTTCTTCCATTGCCTGCGTCTCTCCCTCATTACCCATCGTGGTAGCGACCAAGGACAGAAATTGAGGGCATGGTTAAAAGATCAGCAATATTCTCTCGCGAAATCATGCAACAATGTTGTCAATCCCTCTTGGAAATTACTTCACCCTATCCTCACCACAAGGCGAGTCCCGGCCTTGGCTGACACTCCCCCAACCCGCGACCATCCGTCAGCCAGCGAATCCTCAATGCATGCTGGACATGCTGATACTATACCAATGAATGTAGCTGGCTGTTGCCTGATTGACCGTGGTCTGCCTACACGCAGTCATATAGTTCGGTTTATGCGGTTATCATGGCAGCTATCGCAGTTGTTGTTGCCATGACTTGCTTGGTGGCCGTTTGTTCCCACTAGTAGTTGCAATAATTCCATATGAAGATCCTCGAGAGATCAGAGTTATGTTTGAATAAACAGTGCCATGTTGAAATTTTCATCGAATTTTCATCAGTGTTCAACTCATCCGTTGAGCTTGAAAGCTCTATGGCCTCACTATCAGCATCCCATCTGCATGGCCGGAAGAATCATTCCTGGAGCGCCATACAGTTCCGGCCAATCCTAAAACCTTTGTAATGGCACTTGTGTGTCGACCGCGAAATCAGAGGACAGGGAGCCCCATACCTAGTAGCTACCTACCTACTCGCTAGATACACATGTTGATGCGGATAATGGGTCCGAGTGTCACTCCTTAGCGAGCCTTTCACGTGGGGTTGAAATCCCAAAGAGGTTAGCTGGATTCTGCTGCTTGGCGCGCCGTCGCGAAGCGCGCAACTCTCCAAACTCGAAGGTCTGCCCGCCAACAACTACCGCACTTTGCGCACTCGCCATCAACTGCACTTACGGTCTGAACACTGTTCCTCAGCACTTTGAAACCTTGGAATATCCTCCGCCCATATCCTCTGCATTACAAAATGTCCGCAAACGGCGAGACCGTCCCCAAAGACGTGAGCGAGGTGACCGACACTGGCAAAGGCAAGGGCAAAGCGGTGGAGCAACCTGAGTTGATGGAGGAAGACGATGTCGATGATGAGGAAGAAGAGGAAGAAGAAGAGATTGAGGTCCGTCCACATCACCCAGACGTCACCTTCTGGATCACTCTGACATGATGTTTTCTGTAGCAACTCGAAGCCGAAGCCGACGAAGAAGGTACAAATCTACCCCGTTGAGAACAAACTTTAACACGACCACCCTTGTGATGGCAATCGCGCATCAATTTGCTGTCACTTTTCTCCCCAACTATTCCTTGTTCACGGCATTCTGGAAAGGCTCTCCAAACTGACTTTGACATTCAGATGATGAGATGGAAGCAATTGAGCTGGACAACATTGTCGAAACCCGAACTCGTCGCAAGCAGATCGATTGGGCCGAAGCCGAGCAGAAGTCAAAGGACGCCGGCGACGACTTGGATGACGACGATGACGACGATGACGAAGACTTCGAGGAACCCGAAGACGATGATGAGGAGATGAAGGGTTGAGGTCGCTGGGGCGTTGTTACGCATCTTCTGAAGAGCATTGGGATATCACCGGTTCATGGCTGCGTCGGCGGCCAATGCGAGGGTCTTGCTTCAGCTCTCCAGGATAGAATCACCCGAATATGTGATTCGAATTGCGATGCTAAAGGGTCCCTTGGGCGCATATCCACAATTGACCCGCGGACCCTCGTCAGCGGACTCACGTTTACCTAGTTCCATCCATCGGCCAATTTGACATGGCATTGAAAGCATTTCTTCGGCAGGCAAAAAGAGATACAGGCGCTTGGGGGTGAAGAATCAATCTGCCACACGGCAGGCCCTGGAAAAGCGATCAGCATGGGGTCTTGCCCCTCATGGCAAGTGATAGACTTGTTGGGTGGTTGATTTGCTGCCAGCAGACGGCTTCAGAGGATCTGCAATTCCTCTCCAAGCAATTCCTTGTAAGGAAGAGCGAAGAAATTCAAAAAGCAACAAAAAAGTGCTTCTTCCATCCAGACAAAGCTTGGATCGATCTTTTTCCCGCGTTGCATTATCCCTCAGAGGACAAGATATATCTCTCTCATCTGTTCCGGACCCCTGTACTCGGCACGGTATATACAATCCTTTGTCCGAAAATGCCACCACCAACGACATGGGTTCGTATTCGCCTTTACAACCACAACCGCACCTCCCGCCTGTAGCCCCGATACCCGGCTCGTAGCCCATGCTGTTCTCCACCCCTTTCTATGGATCTATGGATCCATTCTCTTAATCAATCCCCGTCCAACCCACCCAGGCATTTTAAGACGACCTTCCCCAACTTCCCCCTTCCCATTCCCCGATGAAAAGGTATTTCGGGCCGCGTCCTCGGTGGCTTCAGTCCTCTCAACACGGCCCCGTTTCTCAATCGAATCTCTCTTTTTGATATATGGGGGAGAGAGAGCGGTTGACGAACATTGCGAGGAAACTTTAGAATGATAGTTGCAGGAAAAGGGGAGGGGAGAACACAACGGACCAAGGACCGAGAGGTCCCGACTACCTACCTAGTTACTATTCAGGTACTTAGAGAGGTTGATTTCTTCCTGAAATATCGATTCGGGTTCTGGGGTTACGAGTATTACTCGGCACTTGTAGTAGGCTCTTCTTCAGTCCAGGGAGATACCCTGTCGTAAACCTCCGATCAGTCGACGGGTCCACGTCCGATTTTCAATCATCGACAGCACCAAGCTGCGACGGCGACTCAACCGTAGCCAGGACCACAAGCACTCGGCTGTCCATGTCATGTCGCCTTTCTTCCAGCGATTCTTTCTCTGTTGTTCGATCCTTATTTCTCTCATGCATTTCATGCTCGTCATACCGCCTTTTGGGTGGTTCCATTTCCTTTCCCCTTTTCATTTCACTCATTCCGCCGACTCAACAAAGCGTAGTCTCGATAGACCGCTTGTCTCGTTCATGGTCATGACTTTTGCCGCGACCTTTGCCCTCTCCTGCGCACTGGCCCTGCCCCTGAGCGCCATCACTGGATCTTTCGAGGTCCCTTTCGGCCTTGGGCTCCCAGCCCTCATAGGGCTTCCCGTCCTCTTCTTCATCCTCATAGGAAGATTCATTCTGTCCACCGCGACAGGAGTGCCCATCCTCTGCTGCCTGCTCGGACTTCCTGACCTGTTCCTCGATGGGGTGGGAGACCTCCCCCTGTTAGGAGTGGCAGACCTGTCCCTGATCGGAGGACGAGACATGTCCCTGATTGGAGTGCTCGTTCGACCCCTGCCGGTAATCCCCGTCCCGTTCACTGATGAAGGGCCAGGCGTGTTGCCAATTGGAGTTTCTGACCAAGCTCCGGCTGGAGCGTCTGGCTGATTCTCGATTGGGGTTGCCGCTCTGCTTTCTCTTGAGGGCTCGAGGTCCCGCGATACCGCCTTGCCCTTTTCGCTGGGGACCACGGGATCTCTTACGACCTCCTTGCCCTTTCTGCTGGGGATCACAGGGTCTCTCACAACCTCCTTGCCCTTTCTGCTGGGGAGCACAGGGTCCCTCACAACCTCCTTGCCCTTTCTGCTGGGGACCACGGGGTCCCTCACAACCTCCTTGCCCTTTGGACTAGAGGGCCCGGGGTCGCTCACTTCCGCATTGCCTTTTCGATCTGCCTCGGCTCTCTCTGCTTCCATCTGCCTCTGCCTCTGCCTCCAAGCCCCTATGGCTGCTATTTTCACGAGCAGCGTCTCTTCTCTCTTCTTTCTCTTCTTGGCAGGTAGTTCTTCTTCCAGCTCCTGTTCCAATTTCTCTTGCAATTTGTCCGCCATTTCTCGTTCCAGTGCTTCTTGCGTTTCTTTTGCCAGTTCTTCCAGTTCTTCCGCCAGCTCTTCTGCCAGTTCTTCTAGTTCTCCTTCCCTCAGATATTCCAGTTCTTCTTCCGATTCTTCTTCCGATCCTTGTTGCCACTCTTCGTCCGATTCCTCTTCCGATTCCTCTCGAAGTTCTTCAACCGATCCTACCTCCAACTCCTCTTCCGAGCCGACTTCCCATTCTTCTTCGGAGTCTTCTTCCGATTCTTCTGCCCATGGCCCTTCCCATTCTTCCCAAGGCATCAGCCAACGCTTCAAAACGCAGTCCCTGCATTGCCAGTACTTTAGCGCCTGATCCGTGTCTGGGGTCACATCTGGAAGAGGACCGTCAAAGTATGCACGCAAGGGTAAGTTCTCTCTGATGTAAGCCAAAATCATGGCTAAGGCACATTTCTTATGATATTTGACCCCGGGCCACTCGCAGTCTTTAAGGACGCAGTAAGTCGTGTCCCTGTGCAAACGCTCAATCGGCAGTAGGCAAGCACCGCACCTAAATTCCCTTGAAATTTGGGGTTGAGGTGCTTTATTTTCTTCGTCTAGCTCTGCTTGCGCCAGTGGTGGACTGTCCGCGTGCATTGGAGTTTCCGACTGTGGATGGCCTGTGCCAGTGCTCTGGGTGTCGTGCTCTGCGTTTCTGGCGGTACCCTTCTTTGAGGTAGCGTGGACCGGGGTACTCGTCCCAACCGATTCATGCTGCTCAGATACAGGTGTCGTGCTGGGCGCACAATCAGGGACCACTTCGCATATCTCCATTGCTTCCGCCGATGTCTCGTGTGGCGGATCTTGGAAAATTAGCTCATTAACGTCCGCAACCACATTATCATCAATAACATGCTTTTCTTTTAACCTGCCCAAAAAGTCAAAGAAGACTTGCCACAGCTCATAGTCCCCGTTCTTTAACCATGTTCTCTCCTTTCTGACAAATCTAATAAGAGAATTCGAAACATATCGAGAATGCTCAAGATATTCTTCCATACGGTGTCGGTCCCAGCGTTTGGTGAGCTCGCGCTTGTGCTTGCTCCAACCCTGTTCGTCGGCCAAAGCATCAAGCCTTTCCATATGCGCTGTGATTTGCCAGCTGTTATCCACTTCGTCGTCTGAATCACTCCCTGGGTCTTCACTGGGAGAGACTTGTCGATGTGTAATGGAGGTCCAGACATTTTCGGGTTCATCGTACATTGTCTGAAGGGGCACAGCTTTGGCCTTTTTGCGATTAGGGATTCGGAAGTCAGGGACTTGCGACGCCAACGGATAGCGTGGAGCCGATTTGGCTGGCGCAAAAAGCTCGAAAGGCTTGTTACCGCCAAAAAGAGGTTGTAGAGGGGGTTCTTCGCCTGTCAAGCTGTGATCGCCGTCTAATGAAAAGGCCTCATCGTCCTCCTTTTTCCCGACACTCGCGACGGTATCGACTTTTATTTCGACTTGAGTCAACTTCTTTGTTTTCTGGTCTCGGCGCTGCGCTGATGGTGAGAAGACATATTCCGCATGGATGGACTTGAAATGGGACAGGAGTTCCTGCAATCTGTGCGTCTCCCACGCTGCGCATATTGGGCAGCCGTACCCCCGAACCACGGTATTGCGGAACTCTTGAGTGGCATTTGCGTGCCCTGAAATCGTCCCAGATAAGTCATAGCGCACTTCCAGACCGTCCGGTGGCTCCTGGGGAAGAGTGTGCTGTTCTTTTTTCCTCCTAGCAGGCAAATAGATCTTCTTCTGTTTTGGAGGCACGTGAAACGAGTCAAGATCCAAGCCTTTGCCCCGCTTGCTGGTAGGTTGGGAGTCGACATCAGGTAGCTCCCAATATGATGTCACCTGGAGACCGTATTTGGTCGCGTAGGTACGACCTTCATGCACGTAAAACACGCTGAGCGCGACGTTTGGGTCAAGGGCTCGGGGAAGATGGGTATATCTTGCGACAAGGGCCCCTTGCACTTCTTCAAGGCCCATCTTCCTCATCTCCGGGGTGTAGTGATTCCCATCGCTCCTCCCCATAATTGGTATAGGAGGCCACACGCAGTCAGCGGTGCAGGGTATGATCTTGAGTTCAAGGAAATAACTGTGGGTAATTCCGGGAACCGATCTTCCATTTTCGTCAAGGATGGAAACCTCGAGATCTGTCCTTCTGACAAGGAAAGGATCCTCTAGTTCCAGAGAGACATAGTACCCTTGCGCGCCATCTTCTGTGCGGCTTACACGACAACGTGATGATTTGGTGACAAGTGGTAGTGTCGTGGACCCATCGCGGTTGTCCCATATTGTCAGATGACACAGGCATTCAACGTAGCTGCGTTTCTGACGTTTGGCAAGCCTCTCGGTGTCGGTGAGAGCATTGGTTCTGTAGTTCAGTTTCCTTCTGATGCTATTTAGATTGAGCGTCAGGTTGGCACCAGGGTAGTCGTGGGCTTTGTCTAGAATGCCTCTAACGCTTCGGCGCATAGTGCGCTCGCCCTTCGCTGCGTTTTTGCCTGATGGGTGACTTCTCGACGACATATTGAACGTTATTAGTTCGGATTGACTCGAGGTGATGAAAGGGGTTTCCGCAGTTTCCGCTCCGTCCACTACAACACCCTTCACCTCCCAGTCTGGCTCGGTCGCGCTCGAGATCGCGCCACCTGTGGCCTTGTCGATGTTTTGCGTATTTGCAGACACGTTGGGACTCGGTTTCAGAGCCGCCGGTTTCTCCTCGCCCCACGCCGCGTGCTGCTTTAATGCAAGCGAGATATTCCTCTGTAAGAAGGATTTCTGACGTGTGCTTTGCCAATAGAGCTCAAATGTGGAATCTCCGGTCACCTCTCCGGACAATTGCGTTCCTAACCCTGAGTACCTGAAGCGATAAGGAGAAGTTTTCACATGCATGTTGGTCAGCCGAAATTGACGTGTTGCTCGACGCGGTGTCCGACGTCCATTTCAGCACAGAAGGACAACCGCAATTGAAGAGCCGGAGGCCAACTTGACCATAGATCAAATACAGGTCAACAATACAGCCAAGAGATGTGGAGCTGGTCCATTTTCGGCTTGCAAAGCACTTTGACATCAAGTAAAAATTGGGCTATGAGCCGGCCTGATTTTGTGTCTGTCACGACGTAGCGCAGTATGCACACGTAGAGCGCCGTTCAGCTCAGTGTGTGCCTACGTACACTTTTGAAGCGAAATTGTAGATGTTATGTGTGAATCTGGCGGCAGAGGGAATCTGGGCGTCTGTCCAAGTCCCAAGGGCCATCAGGGCGGAAAGGGGCATGGGGTGGCAGCACTGAGAGATTCGTGACATGTCATTTGAACAGGATACTAGCCTGACGTACCCCTGACCACGGAGAGACTTCTACCTGGCCACTGACATGACTTCCAGTGGTTGGTGGCGCTGTCTGACGGCATATCTGCCGCCGTCTGACACGTGTGTCAAGCTTTCCGCTCAAAGGCCAAGCGCATCTCAAGTTCTCCACCTGGCATCTTTCAAGTAATTATTATCGTCCATATACCTACCTAGGTACTGGGTATGTTCGACAGAACGCAATTCGTGAACTTTCTCCTCTGCCACTTTCTCGTCGTTAAGCGATTTGTATGGGTATATCTGCCATGCAACATCTCGCCTCTCACCATTCGTAAACCTTCCTGTGGCCTAATCTCTACCTGCTCCATATCTGAACCACCTTAGCTCTCCGCTAACATAGCCTCGACCGCTATATTGCTTGAATACACTTTGATATCGGGACTTTGAGGTAAGCGTACTTCGTGAATCAACTCGAAAAGCACGGAACCAACAATTTCCTTGGTTCGGAAAGCGACTTATGCAATTGCCCGTCCACAACGAAGCAGAACATCCCTGTTTATCCGGGACCTGGAAGAGATGTTGATGGAACCAATGACGACAAAAACGGGCAGGAAAATCTTCCATTAAGCCATTGTCCAAGAAAATTGCTTCCAGAGTTCATCTCTTTATTTGTCGAAAAATATTGTGACGACAACAAAACTTAAGAATAGGCTGTAAGAATAGCTAGTTGCGGATATAAGGAACGGAAGGTGAAAGAAGGGCAATGTGGGTGTAGATGCCTAGGTAGGTATCCTTGCATGCCAGCAGTAACAATGCGTGGACACACGATTCTCACAGAAGCCTTCGAACAGAAACCTTCGAACAGAAGCCGTGTATGATGTCGGTTCCGAACAGATAACACATTGTGTTTGGATAGCCCCAATTGGAGAAGGCAAGAATGTTAAAGAATTTTGACGTGCACGGTTGAAGCGCCCATTCAACTCGGGTCTACTTTTGAAAGTCAATCAACATTCATCCTATTGCCATTCTGAGTCTCCGTCCCAATCTGCTGTGCTCCATTTCTCTCGCTCTGAATTTCACTCCCGTTCGGAGCCGGGAGCTCTGTCTCCCCCATCAGGCTCGTCTGTATCTTTGCACTCTGGCATCCAGGACAGTTATGCACAACCTCGTGCGCGAATAAATCACAGTCAATACAGAAATGCCTCCTGCAGACAGGACACTCATATCTGCCGGTACTGGTCGTTGGAGGGTGGACTGCTGTCGATGACTGATGTGGCTTTGGAACCGGAGGGAAAGGCTTCAAACAAGCGAAGCAGGCAGTACTGCGGTAAGCCTTTGACCAGGGGACTTCAAGCCAGTTGACAAGAGGGAATAGATGGTGATAACTCCTCGCCAAATGAGTACTTAGGATGAGCGTCAGCCCGCACACAGGGCATTCGCTGGGCAGACTGCAGACTTTGGCACTGCATCGTGAACACAGATACCCGTCTCTTCTGGGCGTCGTGTGACAAGCACATAATGAGGGATGATCCTCCACAGTTCGCGAAGGGAAACCCATCATTAAGAGCGAGGGGGCAGTTTTGTTGGCACTGTCATGGGTAATCGGCGGAGTCGTCACAGCCATGTACAACTCGCGAAAGTGTTGTTCATGTAATACGACTCCGTAGGGCGACAAATCGCCGTCATTTGTCCTAGAGACAAGTTCAGCGCAAATGGCGACTTGCGCTGCAAGGCCAATGACCGTAGCACGAATCTTATCATGGACAAGACTGCTGATCGTGTTGTGGATGTCGCCTGGATCTGAAGTGTGTAAGGCGCCGAATACCAACAGTATCTCACGGGTCCCATGGCTGGGCGAGTGGAACAACCCTGCTCTTGCCATCTCAAGCGCATTTTCTAGCGAAGGACTGCCTTTGGGCTCTTCCTTACGATATTTCTGGATCGCAGACAAGTGATTGTTTGGGTTGCCAGACATATCACTGATCCTGACAGCGACACCGTCGCGCATGCCTATTATCCCAAGCTGAGAAATCGGGTTCTGCTCGAAAAATTCGCGGATGAAGGATTCGGTATAGGAGAGTGTGAGCAGGTAACGGGTTGGACGAAGGTCTTTCTCGTTCATGGAGAGGGACATGTCGAGGATGAGGATCAGATGGCGGATGATACCGCGCTGGAGAGGCGTGGTATCTTTGAGGAGTCTGCAGGAAAGCCATGGTGAGATAGGTCAAATGAGGTGCCCTTTGTATCCGTTGGAGACTGTTCTCTAGTCTCTCGCTGGTGGCTCCCATTGCTGGATCGATTGACCTACCTTTTCCTCTTTCCCGCCTCAAGGAGACCCTCAACGGCGCCTGTGATACTTCCATCGGCGCCTTCAACGAGCAAGTCCCAGGTTCTGGTTACCTCAAAATTCGATTCACGAGCATTTGCTCTTCGAGCCGCCGCACGGCCGCGAGTGGAGGCTCTGGGCAAGTCGTCATCTGATCCATCGGCGACATATTCGTCCCCTGATGCCGGCATCACATGGATGGGGAAGACGCGCAAAGGGAGGTAGGAAACGATCTAGTTTGGATACACGGTGTCGCGTGCAGGACGAGGCTTGATGTGGTAAGGCTGAAAATCATTTGGAGCTGCAGTTGGAGATGATGCCATGAAGCCCCGCCAATGCAACAGTCAGTCACCAGCTCGCCAGGTACCTACAGAATAAGTCGACTCAATTGGTAGACATCCCACCTTCGTAGTGCTTATACTGGCCAGTCGTTGGGATACTTTGAAGTGACTGCAGATCTATTTGCTGCCTTAGTGAAGGAGGGCTTTGATGCTCGAAGTCAGATTTTATTCTTGTTTCACTTCCACGCTCAAGGCTGGACCTGTTATCGCGGGCACGAAACGAACCATCTGCACCTTCTCGCTGCGTACTAGATTCAGACAACCTGCATTCTCTAGATCCCTCGATCTAAAACCCTTCCAAGTTCGGTTTTGCTCAGCAGAGGCAAGAAGAACCATGGCAGCCCCCACCGACCGAGATATCCTGCCGGATACAATAAAACCGCTCAATTATGACTTGTCCCTCTACAATCTTGAGTTTGGTGGAAACTGGAGCTACGATGGGACAGTCAAGGTCGACTCAAAAGTCAAACAAGAAACGCAAGAGTTGGTCATAAATGTCAAAGAGCTAGAGATCAAAAAAGCAGAAGTCCTGAGCAAAGATGGCGGCGCTACAATCACGTCAATGGCCGACGTATCATACGACAAGAAGAGTGAGCGAGCAACGATCAAGTTCTCCGGGACAATACCATCTGGTGACGCTGTGTTCGCCATCCATTTCAAGGGAATCATGAACAGTGCAATGGAGGGCTTTTACCGATCCAAATACAAGCCTGCTGTCACCCCAGCCTCGGGGACCCCGACAGATGGAGAGCACCACTACATGTTCAGCACTCAATTTGAAGCTTGTGCTGCTAGAAGGGCATTCCCTTGCTTTGATGAACCAAACTTGAAAGCATCTTTCGAGTTCGAGGTTGAAATCCCAGAGGATCTAGTTGCGCTCAGTAACATGCCCGAGAAATCCACAAGCAAGGGGAGCAAGGATGGTCTGAAAAAGGTAGCATTCGAAAAGACGCCGGCCATGAGCACATATCTCGCAGCATGGGCCATTGGTGATTTCGAGTACGTCGAAGGTTTTACCGAACGCAAGTACAACGGCAAGCCCTTGCCCGTCAGAGTCTATACTACCCGTGGGCTTAAAGAGCAAGGTCGTTTTGCCATGGAACACGCCCACAAGATCCTTGACTATTTCTCTGACGTTTTCGGCATCGAGTATCCTCTGCCCAAGTCAGATCTGCTAGCAGTCCATGAATTCGCAATGGGCGCGATGGAGAATTGGGGCTTGGTGACTTATCGAACCACGGCTGTTCTGTACGACGAAGAGAAGTCTGATGCCCGTTTCAAGAATAGAGTTGCATATGTTGTTGCTCACGAGTTGGCACATCAGTGGTTTGGCAACCTTGTCACAATGGACTGGTGGAATGAGTTGTGGCTGAATGAAGGCTTCGCTACCTGGGTCGGTTGGCTAGCAATCGACCATCTCCACCCGGAGTGGAAAGTCTGGAGTCAGTTTGTGGTGCGTAAGATGTCCAGAGGTATTGTACCCATTGTTGCCCTTGTTGACGAGATGACTCCAGGCTGAAGCTGTCCAAACAGCTCTCGAACTCGACTCATTACGCGCTTCTCACCCGATTGAAGTCCCCGTCCGCAATGCTCTCGAGGTCGATCAGATCTTTGACCATATTTCGTATCTCAAGGGCAGTTCTGTTATCAGAATGTTAAGCAACTACCTGGGCCAAGAGATCTTTTTGAAAGGTGTGGGTGATTATCTCAAGATCCATGCTTATGGAAACGCCAAAACCAATGATCTCTGGGCAGCCCTTAGCGCAGCCTCTGGGCAAGATGTTCAAGCGTTTATGGATCCTTGGATCCGTAAGATTGGTTTCCCGGTGGTCACAGTAGCAGAAGAACCTGGCCAAATATCTATACGCCAATCAAGGTTTCTGACCACCGGAGATGTCAAGGCTGAGGAAGACGAAACCATGTGGTGGATTCCTGTTGGCCTGAAAACCGGTACCCCTGTCAAAATTGTCCACAGTGCTTTGACACAGAAGCAGGACACCGTTCGAGATGTGGACGATGCATTTTACAAAATCAATGCTGATCAGAGCGGCTTTTATCGCACGAATTACCCACCGCAGAGGCTTATGAAGCTCGGGGAAGCTCACGAACATCTTTCGATCGAAGACAAGATTGGTCTGATGGGCGATGCAACTGCGTTGGCAATTTCAGGAAATGGTACAACGGCTGCTCTCTTGTCTCTCCTAGAAGGCTTCAAGGATGAAAAGAGCTTCTTGGTGTGGCAACAGATCGCCAGCTCACTATCGAAAGTGCGGCAAGTATTTGCATCGGACAAGGAAATTTCAGCGGCGCTGAAGAATTTCACCCTCAAACTGGTCTCTCCAGCTGCAGAGGCAATAGGCTGGAACTACCCTGAAGGTGAAGACTGGCTCACTGGTCAATCAAGAAAACTCCTACTCAGCACCGCTGCTGGTGCCGGCCACCAAGGAATCATCTCTGAAGGGCAGAAGAAATTCGCAGCCTGGAAATCCGGCGATGAAAAAGCCATTCATCAAAACCTTCGAGGCGTGATATTCAACTTGGCAGTCGCGAATGGCGGCCAAGCAGAGTACGACGCCATCAAACAGGAGTTCATCAAAACTACCAGCGTTGATGGTAAAGAAATTTGCATTCAAGCACTTGGCCGCTCAAAGAACCCGGATCACGCATGGGATTTGCTAGACTTTGTCACCTCGGAAGAAGTCCCTCCACAGGATGCACACGGAGGTATTATCGCCGTTTCCAATAACAACACGACGCGGAATGTGGCTTGGGAGTATACGAAGCAAAAATGGACCCGAGTCTACAAACGACTGGGAGTGACCACTGTGATTATTGACAGATGGATCAAGTCAGGTCTGCCCAAGTACTCGGATCTCAAAGTGAGGGATGATATCGAACAATTCTTCAAGGATAAGGAGACCGGGCAATTCAGCAGGAGTCTGGTCATCGTGCATGATACGATTACAGGGAATGCCCGATACAAAGATCGCGATGAGGCGGAGTTGTTGGAGTGGTTGAAGGTACACGGGTATGCCTCGTAGAGCCACGGTGCATTCAACAGCTAAGAGCGAAGGCGAAGCATGGCGAAGGAGTGGATTGTTGCCTTGATCAGGCTTGAGTATCAGGGGAGACAGTGCGTATACGTAGTGGCACGATGAATAGATTAGGCACTGCGCACCTCGGACTCCTCGGCGAGCTGGGTAAACCTCTTATTTGGAGTGACCAGTGAGTTTATGGCCCACGAGACCAAGTCTCGTGGGTGTGAACATGTGTGCGGTAGGCACCTGTACTGCGATTTGCAGCGGCGCCTGATGAGAATAGTTGAATGCCAGCTGATGAGAGAGTCACGCAGTCACCGGCAAACGCAGGCTTTCTTGTTTGTGGCTTGGCACGTGATCTGCCCCGACCTTGTCATCGTCAGCCACTCCGGAACGTTTCTCTCTGACAGGCTTCAGCCGCCCAATTACAAGGACCTGCAGACGTGACAAAGGAGCCTGAGCCTGCGCCTAACTGCCTAACTGCCTACTACGTTGCCACTCTTTCATCTCCAAGTAGCGGATCTCAAAGTCCAAGTTGGCCGCAAACGCCAGACACCAGATTCGTTTTCACATCAATTCACCCTTTAACTTGGACTCAACCCTCTACTCGACTTCACCGACACAGGCTATCTTCAATTACTCGTTCAAACCAGGTCCAACCGTTCCAGTCTCTCCTCAACCTCCTGAGAAGCCCCCGATCCCTCGAGCATCATGAATCCAGAGTGGTAAGTCATCTCAACTGCCAGCAATCGATCATCCTTTCCACTACAATGTAATGGAGTATGGGCTTTCGCTAACTGTCTGTAGAGTCAAATCTTTGAAACCCCGTCCTCCGAAGCCATCTGCCTCCTCTGTCATGGATATTAATATTGTCCCACAGATACGATTACCTCTTCAAGCTCTTGCTTATTGGAGACTCTGGTGTCGGAAAGTCATGCCTGCTCTTGCGATTCGCCGATGACACGTACACCGAATCCTACATCTCTACCATCGGTGTCGATTTCGTACGTTGTCGCCGTTCCCGGACTGCTGTCCAGAGATTCTGGGTTGGGAGCAGTGGGAGGCTGACGCAGGTCTAGAAAATCCGAACCATCGAACTCGATGGAAAGACTGTCAAGCTCCAGATTGTAGGGCAAAATTCCACTCAATCCCTTCACTATGTTATCTGACATCCGAACAGTGGGATACTGCCGGTCAAGAACGATTCCGAACCATTACCTCCTCCTATTACCGAGGCGCTCACGGTATCTGTGTGGTCTACGATGTGACAGATATGGACTCGTTCAACAACGTCAAGCAATGGCTACAAGAAATCGACCGCTATGCTACTGAAGGAGTCAACAAGCTACTCGTCGGCAACAAGAGCGATATGTCGGATAAGAAGGTGGTCGAGTACACCATGGCAAAGGTCAGTGTCGCCTGCCCGGATGAGCAGGCAAGGATGCAGCAATACTCATTGTGCAATAGGAATTTGCCGATAGCTTGGGAATCCCTTTCCTCGAGACCTCCGCAAAGAATGCATCCAACGTTGAACAAGCGTTTTTGACCATGGCCCGGCAGATCAAGGAGCGCATGGGAACCACCACCGTCAACAACAAGCCCACGGTTCAAGTTGGACAAGGCCAAGGTGTGCAGTCAGGTGCTGCTGGTGGTTGCTGCTAAATTCGCCACAACCGCCCCGTCAACGACATACGGTACAAGGGAACCGCGCAAGAGAGAGTCGATCGTGGATGCAGGAAAGGTATTGGCCCACGCTTGAGCAACAGGCAGTCAAAGCGCAAACGGAGAGATTCCTGTTTCCCAACGTACAGAATTTTGTGCTCACATGGATTTTTGGAAGGCGTTGGGGCGCAAGATCGGCGAAAGATTCAATCCAATGTCTAGACTTTCTGCTTCAGACAGCCATCCACGTTTGCACACGAGCGAGGAACCTCCTTTTTGTTGTTGGAAGGGTTTTGAGGGGAACCTGTCTCCGGCTTTGGCAGGCTAATGATGAAATGTTTGTCAGCGGAGCTGGATGTGGACGTCGATGGGACTTGCTCCGAGAAGGAAACGGCGTTTGTTGTCTACAAGAACGCCCTTCCTGATCTAGTCAGAGCTCCATCGAATTCACGTGTTGAACTATTGGATTTCTCATGCTTTCTGTTTGCTTCATTGTCCTGCATGGCTTAACCTGTTTGATGACTTCCCCACAAATCTCCTATGTTTGCACCATGTGTGTTCGAATTTGCACTCGGCTGTCTGATTGCTGACATACTTGATAGTGTATGTCAAGCCACGGAGCGGGCTCCACACTCCCTTGAATGTGGCCGGAGTGAGAAGCCCCAGTCGCCACACCGTGGCTTTATACGCCTCCCCGAAAGCCACGGTTCATGGGTGCCTCTGTGATTCTGGCTTCCCATCCGATAAGCATCAGACCTCCGACATCCAGGGTCAGCAGAATCGTAGAAGACAATGGACCAGAGCAGAAGGAATGTAGACAGGCCATGGGGAAGGTTCCGGGGGACATGTGAAGCCATCTCCCAGAAGACTTTTGGGGGGCATAGGCGAAAAGGGCTGCTATCGGCTTTCAGACACGTCTCAGCATGGCTGGTGCTCGCGGGGATGGGCATGTGAGGCTGTCTTCCAGGAGATTTTGCGGGCGGCATAGGCGAAATCGCCTGCTATCAGCCTTCACACAAGTCTCAGCATGGCTGATGCTCGCTGGCATGTGCTCGCTGGCCATGATGGGTGCCATGAAGCTTTAAAAGGGTCGTCCTTCCGATCAACCAACCTCACTTTCTATCCAACAACAGACACCAATGCGACAACTGCTTTCTCTTGTCCTGGGACCACGATCACAAACTCCACCCTCACAGCGACCATGGCATACACCACCGTCAGTCCGATACCCACCAGCTTCACCGATGGAGGACTACCCTGCATGTCCCTTTCCTGCCCTGGTTCTTCAAGCATGTATCCTGATATATCAGGCTGCACGGTGATCGTAAGCACGGTTGAGTGTCCGGTCGCAACCTCGACAACAGTCGCGCCAGGAACAGCACCGAGTTCGTTTTCATTTCCTCAAACAAACGACACGAGATGGACGCGTGGACCGCTTCCCGGGCAAGTCAGTCGTTCGCGGCACCTTTCTAACGACTCCTCAGTCACTTCAAATCCAACTTCCGTCACCCTCTGGCCCACGGTCAGCTGCGCTGCGATCAATACGACATCCTTGCCTATATTATTCTCTCCGACCGTCCCTTGTCGCGTGACGGTAGAACCGGGAGTGACAATATATGAATCACCGACGTCAAGCGCAGATGCTGTTCAAACATCGAGCTCAGACAACACCACCACATCTGTAAGTAGCTCCTTTTTTTTCTCTCCTCGTTGAACATCTCCTCTTTGAGTGCCTACTGCAAGAATACGTTAGGGGCAAATTTATACTCCTTCTGCGCCCACAAAACAACCTTTGAGACGATTTTCGAGAGAGAAGAGAAGGCTAGACATTATCGAGACAGAGACAATCTCGAACAGAACCACCTGGGACACCAAGCGCAGGCATCCAAAGTCTGGAATTCGGTGTGGCCGCCCACAATTCCCATTGCTGACCAGCTCCATACTAGTCTGCAAGCTCTGTGTCGACCCCGGCTACTGGCCAAGTTGAACCGTACACGTTCTCATCATTCTCGTCCTTCAACTTCACCGGAACAATCACGTTCTTGTCTTCCAACTTAACAGGGACAGTTACAATTTTGTCTCCACCGTCTGCATCTTCAGCCTCCCAGCCGTCAACCATGACTACGAGCATCAACACCAGGACGAGCGGCAGCACCAGAACCAGCAGCAGTGTTACTTGGACTTCGACTGCGTGCGTTGCTTTTGGAATCCCTGACCCTGTCGCATGTCCGGGTGGCGTACTGGACCCTTCTGAGACTGGCGGAGCGGCAAGCACTACAACTTCCACTCCCTCTACCTCAATAGCCACGAGTGTCGTCAATCCGATTGAGCCTGCTACTTCGCCTTCAGTATCCTCTTCGTCTCCTCCGACTACGTCAAGCACAACAGTTACAACATTGTCTGCTTCATCGATTGCTGTCTCGCCAGCCCTGACTTCAGCTCCCTCTTCGACTCCTTCTTCACCTACGAATACAACGACACCAGAGCCATCGGTCAGTCATCCCCACGAAAGGGGTCAGGCGCACAGACACGCCATGATTGCTGTGCCACTCACTGTCGGCACCCTCATTATCTTTCTATTGGCAATCTTGCTTTGGCGACGCTGTCACCCCTCATCATTCCACAAAATCCTCGATTCGATCCCGGGCCTTGGCTTCTTTGCCCGATGGCGCAAGACACGAGAAAAGAATAAACAGACTCGCGCCATGCGCTTGGGGATCTTGACTGGAGATGGTCGTGCAGTTGATGGATTAGGGTCACCCGCAAGCGATACATATGCTCGACATCTGAGGAAGTTTCAGGAGGATACTGTGCGTGGCGGCACGCCACAAAGGAGCAGAGAGAGCTGGGAGGAAAGGTGGTACGCTATGGGCACATGACTTGTACATATGATCCTAATAGGTTTCGACTTTATAGGGGGTCTTCCTGGGTGACAACAGAGGGTCTTTTTCTAGTTACATCAGAGGCACTCCTCTCATACAGTGTGTCTTCTTTGTCTTTGTTGGCAGCGGTAGGTGCTTGCTCTTCAACTGTACAAACGACCACTATCTAGAATGGCGCCCACCTGGCGCGCGACAATGATGTTTGTAGAGAATGAAGACGGCTACCGACAGGTGCACAGTGTCATATACTCAGCGTTTGCAAGCGCATTGATGTAGTGTTTGCACCTGGCACCTGCCTCACCTTCATTCCTTGGATCAATAAAACGCTGTGTATTGTTTCACTACGACATTCTCCTGCCTCCTATTTATCTGTGTCAGCTACCACGGCCTCCAGAGAGACACCAAACTCCTCCTCACCAGTTTCTACCGAAAATGGACACACCCTCAATGGCTCCATCAGCGTCATATTGGGCCCGACTGCCTCTTGAGATCAAAGCGAATATCATGGGGCAACTTTCACGAGCAGACCTGAAGTCTTGCCGTCTACTGGACAAGTGTACAAGCATGGCAGCCACTCGTGCTCTCTTCCAAACTCTCTGTCTTTCACCAAGTATGAACAGCGTCGCCCGCTTGTCCAATGTCGCAGAGCGGCCCGACCTCGCCAGTCAAGTGCGTACACTACGCATCCACCGGCACTATCTGAAGGCTGTGTCCTTCGACGAATACATCAGAAGCGACCATTTGGCAGAGAGTCTCCAGCAGCTACCTCCTCTCGACGCGGCTTCCCATGCTCTTGAACTTTCGCGGGCATTCAAGGACGAGCTAGACGCCCAGCTGCGTTTCAAAACCGAAGGTCCTCCATTGCTCTCCCAGGCACTGAAGAAATTCCCGCGGCTACAATGCTTCGTGCACTGCGGCACAACCACTCAGACCGTGGAGGGAGATTATCTCCTCGACAAAGACTCCGACTTGGTGAGAAGGACAGGTGTAAGAATTCTGGACGGCGAAAAACACTATCTGCTTATGAACTCAACCTTGCAGAAGTGTCGGGGTCTGAAACCTGCATCCGTTGACTGGTCATCCTTCTACTGGTGGGAGTTCCATACCTGCATGGGAATTCCTCACGCAAAGGCGCTTCTCGAGAGAGTCACCCACTTTAAGCTGACATTCGAAGTCAAGAGTTTCGCTCGGGAACCATGCCCTCTGAAGCCGACCAGCGGTCATTGGAGGCAAAACCTAACCAATGCCCTGGCGCGACTGGTAGAATACCTGTCTGCGGTCGGACACCTGTGGCTCGGGTTCGACGAAATGGATGTAGGATATCCTTTGGTAGACGGGCCCCAGTATATTCGCAGCCATGCAGTGAGAAGGATGACGAGCTTGCTGCTCAATGCTCCAAATCCCGCGGCTCCTTTGCCCAGGTTAACTAGTCTCACACTGGAAAATACTGCGGTCCGGTTGGGAGAATTATGCGGTTTCATTGTACGACACTCAGGGCAGCTTAGGTCACTTACCATCGTCAACATGCGCCTGCACGAAGCTGGCATGGCCATTCGAGGAGTTTTGGCTACAGTGATGAAGTTGATCTCGTTCCTCCACACAGAGACTCAGCTGGACCAGTTTGTTTTACAAGGCACGTTTCAGGGTCTACACGCCCAATTGTTGTGCTGCCCGCAAGGGAAGGGCAGCATCTTACATGACCTTCAGGAATATGTCTGTCACCGCGGCGAGTTCCCCTTCTGCAGTATCGAAACGTCCTGGGAGTGTGCGACGCCGGTGGCAGACAACGTAACCATTCCTGATCCACGCAATTGCAGGGCCAATATCACCATTGGGAGCGATGCCTCGTGGTATTTCGAGGCATCAGACGCCCTGGACCACCAATGAGGTCCTTGACGGTCAGACGTGAGATGAGACGTGAGATAAAATGCAGGACGATGAATGATCTGCTGGGAGGGAACAAGGCTGGTCATGGGTCATGCAGGTTGAGCGAGTGCCAGATGTGTTATTGGGAAACTCCGACAGTGAATACATACCCATGTATCTACTAATAGGAGAGTTCGGGACAAGCCGCATAACATGAACCTACAGCGATACTTGAATTCGCACACGCACCCGCAGCCGCCTCACTGTGTTCAAGAAGCCATGCGTCTTCAAAATAGATAAGCGTTTTCTCCATGGAGGGCCAAGGCATTTTCTTTTATTCCGCCGACCACCGGGCTGGCTCAACTAGATCGCCGGTCTGAGATCATCACCCTTAGCCCTGAATGTGAAAAGAAAACCATACCTTGAGATCAAGTTGATAATCTGCCCGAAGCTTTCTGTAGTTTTACAAAAGTCCCCAAATTTCCCCGCCAAAACTGCTCTCGAACATGGCCCAATACCTTATGCCTTGTATCTGGCCTGTCCTGGCCTGCCCTACATTGCGATGCGCCCCATTCGTCTTGCATCTCAGTCCTCGAAGCCTTGTCCGAGAATAACTCGATCATCCAAACAACCCATCATACTCGCCCGGCCTCTTGCTGCGACTCATAAAGACGTCGAGGTCTTTCTCATAGACCTCCGCCTCGTCGCCCTGGCTGCCGTTCAGGAACGAGTGCCATTTGACTTCGCCGCCTTCGACCATGATTGGCGTGGCGTAGGGCGCCCGATCGGGGCCCAGGTAGTCCCATAACCGGCCCTGAGAGACACGAACGAGTCAGTGACGAAAGGAGAGGGGAGGGGAACACGACAGGTTGTAATTTTCCCGGATTTCAATGGGTCGGTGATTTTAGGGAAAAAGCTGGAGCGGGAGCGCAGGAAGAATTAAAAACAAAACACCTCTCCAGGTCAAAAGGAGATGGCGCAGGAAAGACGAAAACAGAGAGTGAGTGAGACCGAAACAAAAAACGACCGACACCACGAGACCCCGTGTAGGGCGTTCGTTCGTTCCGTTCGTGCTTTCCATTCCTCCCTTCGTTTCGTAAAACTTTAAACGTACCAATTGCCCCCACAGCCTCGCGTTAACCTCCTTACTCAACAGCATGGTCTCCGGGTCAAAGTACGGCAAGGTGGGCAGGTTGTGCGTTTTCTTGGCCTGCATGCTCAGATTCGTCCACTGCGTCTCGCACCACAGCTTTCGGCGGTAGTCGTTGCGGTTCGCTTCCTCCTGGGATCCGCCCGACCTGTTGTTGCTGGGCCGCGACGCCGAGGCGATGATGTCCCCCGCAGACTTCCTCGCCGTGGTGGTGGTGGTTGACATGGTTGGTCCTCGAGGTCGGGGGCTGGCTGGGGCTTCGGGTTCGGGTTCTTCGCGCTGTTGGTTTTTTTTTCCACGGAGTTCCAGGAGCGGCTGTCCTTGGGGGAGATTCTGTACCAGGCTATTTTACGATTGACTTGGCAAGAAGAAAGGTTTGCTGGATTGGAGGAGGAGGAAGAGATATTCGTACATATGGGATTCGAGGGAAGTGATATAAAAGGTGGTCACGGGATGGTCGGGAGGCTCGGGTAATTCTGCGCTATTTTTCCGATATGCCGCACACGATTCTTGCACACCTACATTCGTTGACAGGAGTTGGCGGAAATGAAACACTCGGTTCTCGACGATACTTGATTCTCTCAGCTATCAGTGTTCTGCAGCTAAAGTAACAGGATGTGATGGTATGGGAACCAGCCAAAGCTGGCACTAAAGTACACAAAGTACAGGAGGAAACCTACCCGCCATTGTCCCTTGAACAACCCTCGCTATCACATCGCTGACACAAGCTTCATCACATCATTGCATTTCATGTTTGACCCTTTCATCAGCTATCAGAACCAGCTCGCAAATCACTCCTCTCTTTCGGATTTGTCCTATGTAGAAGCTCCTAGTTCATCACAAGCACATCGCTTTCACTTTCGTTTCATCTTCATGCATCTCGTAGCTGCGCCTGGCAGTCATCTTTCTTTGAAGGATAGTTTCCAAGACATGGTTGCAGGTTGTCTGGATACCCAAATAAGAGCCGCCTGGGCAGAAGGGTTATATTCACCTATAACCATCCGTTACAGCCGATCTCTTCCATTTCTGCGGCCATGATTGTGCGCATGGCGTTTGTGTTTGTTGTTTGTCGGACTGGCACCATCTGTCAAGGTAACAGTCACGAATTCTTCAATCAGGATCAGATTCACCATAACACCGTTGCTCATGTAGCTGGTTGTGGTTGTGAACTGGCTGTTGGATGTGCTTGGCGTTGCCAACGGGGTGACAGCGGGCGAAGACATCGACATGATAGCCGTAGATCCAGGAGTTTGTCCTCCTGGAGCTGACATGATGGTGTTTGCGACAGATGGTGAAGAAGTGCTGGTCGGTGCTGGAGCCCCAGGTATTGGTCCAATCGTAGCAGGCGCAGGTCCGGCCTGAACTTGCACATTGCCGGGTAGTTGTTGGACGAAGTTGATCTGCTCGGATTGAAGAACCTCAGGCACTTCCATCTGGCATTGTGTACCAACATCCGGATTTTGGACTTTGAAGATTGGACAGTCTTCCTGGTTGCCCGCAGCACCGATCGGAAGATTGCAGACAGGGTCGTTGATGGCACTTTGTAATACCCCTTCTTCCCAGGCGCACAGGAAATCTCCATGATAGCCGTACCCAGTAGGGTCACCATTGGCAAATGTAAACTCCCCGTCAGTGCCGTTGAAAAGATTGGTTTGATAGATTGTCTCGTAGAACAAGGTGGGTATTTTTACTGGATATCCCTCTGGACATATCCCATTTTGGATTTGGTCTGGGTACGCGACATGAGTTGTGTGATTTGCGCTATCCAAATCCACTCCATTCCAACAAGAGGGAAACATAACCTCTGCGCGAATTCCGTCGGCGCAGGTGGCATCGAGGAAAGTCTTGTTACGGAGATAGTGGTATTCTCGGGCACCTTCCGGTGGAAGATTATAATTGAGACAGTTGAAGCCGAGAGCTTTCTCCATCAGCGCTTGTTGGGTTGTGTCACTGCCATTCCAGAGGGACGACGGCGGATCTGGAACTGGACCATAAAAGGCGCGCTTCAAAGAGTTTCCAGCGATCATGCGGAAGTTCTGAGGGAATGCGACCACAGGTGTTGTATCGACCGGAGATGGCTCAGTGAAATAATACCTATGGGCTGTTAGCGCGTCAAACAGGCTTTGAGGAGAACCGTTTCTTACACAGTCAATCCGCCTTCAGTGGGGACCATTTCGAATGTGCCGTTTGCATGTTGGAAGTACATGAGTGGACTCCAGTAAACGGAATGGTCTTGGAGAATGGAGCAGCTGGTACAGTTGGAAGCCAACAGGTCGTCGAGGGTAGGATCAAGCCCCATATCTGTAGCAACGCGTCAGTACATTTCTTGGGTGATTCACGGCACTCTCAACTCACTGGAAGCACCAAACATAACGTGAAGGTGTTGGGAAGGACTACCAGGGGCCATGATCGGGTCGACACGACCATTTCCCAATGTGCCATGGCAGAGATGACGGAAGAAGGCGTGAGTCGGGGAGACCAGGAGGAAGAGCAGCGCGAGGAGAATCATGCGTGGCGCAAGGCCGACGGCTGGCGCTTTGAGCTTCACTCTAGTGGTCGCCATGGCGATGACGGTAAGGGTCGGTAGGATAGGCGGTAGGATGGGCGTGAGAGAACGGTAGGAGGTCGCGGTAAGTCTTTGATTGAATTGGTTGAAGAACGTGAGGTCGGCTGGAAGGATGGAAGGTAGAGGAGTAATGAACGAGTCGCGTAAGGAAGGGAAAATAACGATGGACTGATGGATAATAAGGAGCGTGGGATGCCGGTAGACAAACGGCAAAGTGAGATTGTTGAGATGAAAGAATGGACGCGAAAGGCGAAACTGAGGTGGATGATAGAGAGTCGAACGTCGCAGTTAGCGATCATTTGTAGTCGAGAAGAAGGCGCACCCGCTGACTTACCACTGTGACTTGCTGGGTGAGGCATACGCTTTGCTTGTTGGTTCTTCGCAGCTGACCTTGGCTTCACCTCACTTCACTGTCGACCCTCCCGCACTCGACTGAGAGACGCTTCCTGCCGATTCCTTCTATCACTCTTGGCGACCGCTGCTAAACCGACCTGCGGTGCCAACGTCGATTCTGCCACCCGCACTCCCCTCCTCGATCGTCTGGGTCAGCTGGCAAGCCCGCTCCTAGTGACACTTGATCTCCCGTCGTCGACTTGGTCAGCCGCTTCTCATCCTTACAAACAGGCCATCATCACAGACGATACAAGGTTGTAAAGAGCCAGGAACGACTGTCAGTGGCAATCAACTGTTCTCGGGCTTGAAGGAGAGAGAGAGATTGCTTCAGTCAGCCAGCTGCGATGCCTGTTCAAAGGTACGTGTCTCAATAGCTCTCTGAAAGCACAAGCCGTCAGTATTTCAAGGAGAGGACATGGATATGCAAGACGCACACCCACACAACAGGAGGCAATGCGCAATAAATCCACAAAGACAACAAAACTGCAATGAACACAATAAGACCATGGTCGACAAAGACCGCTTCACCAATCTCCTCTGCTCATCTTACAGATGTGGTCATTCGTTTGCACCTGTCTCCATTTGGTCCATCCCAGTCGCTTAGGAGGCCCAATCTGAAGGTCTGCAGCTGTGGCAGAACCATGGCTCAGTGCCCAGCTGAAATCCCAATTCCTGCTGGCTGCCTTCCTTCTCCTGCATGAGCGGCAATGCAAAGGTAATGCAAGAGAAGGTCCAGCCGATCATGCTTCATCTACTGTTCATCTCTTTGTTGTTGCACGTGTGGCATGGCATTTCTTTGTCATCGTTGCTGCACGCTGCCGGATGCTAATCTCCGCCGAGGTGCCCTACCCTGGTTGGAGATGGAAAATGCAACTTCGATTGGGAGGAGCAGGATCAACCCATCTCCAGCGTCAATCAAGATGCTCCCTTGACATGCCACGGCTAGCCGGAATGTACGCGTGTGAACAAAATGAGACCATCCCTTGCGTCACCCTTCAGTAACGTTCAAGTGTGAGCTCTTGTTATCAACTACTCTCCAGAGCCCCGAGTGGTAGGCCGATCGACTGCACAAACGACTGCGTGCGGAAGTTCCGCCATTGATACGGCATTTGCATGAGAGGTGGTGGAGTGGGAAAGAAGGAGAAACAAACGTAGTGGCAAAAAGATTCCCTAAGAAGATGACGATGTTTATGGCCGGCGAACGGCGCTAAATTGGGTGAAGATGGTGCGTTCAGTTAGGACGAGATAGGGGTTGTCGGCGGAGCCCAGAAGCTGGTACTGCTGGTTTTCTGCCAGGGTTGTTCTCTTCGAGAATCCTGTGTCCTACAAACAAACCGAAGAATAAGGAAAATCCAGGATCGGGACCGCAGCACACAACACGCACTAAAACGTCGACGGATCTCTGGGATGATCCAATCGAAGGACTTCCGCAAAGTCTGCACTTGGCGTACCGACAATCCTCGCTGTTAGCCGCTTATAGGCGAGCTGCCTAAAGCTTTCCCCTGTGAGGGTCAACCAGGGGTTTGGAGTGCTTAGCGCATGCCTTACGGGCTCTGGACATCCAAAAGAATTTTTTAGGGCACAGAAAACCGGGGATGCTGTAAAATTTGTAAGAGGTGATGGTTAAAGAGACAGAATCCGTGAAATATGGATATGACGGCCATGACCACAGCCGGTAAGTCTAGTGGCCATCACCTCTGCGGGCTTGTCTAACCATTTATAGAGAGGGATGGTGAAATGGCCCTGACGCGAAGTATGTGATGCAGATTTTGATTCTCCCTCCAGGGCTGATTTGTCTCTAGTGATGAGCAATATGTCTTCGTGTCATGTTCCCGAGGCTCGGGTTCTGATCATCATGACCGGAGGCACTATCTCCATGCAAAGATCTCCCAACGGTCTTATTCCAGCCCGAAACTTCCTGGAAAGGTGCATGGCACCCCGGCCGGAATTCAACGATGGAGAGACCCATGATCCCATCTCCGTGAGGTTTCACGACGGGCCCGAAGGACTGGGCGACTTCCAGAGTCTGCGGACGCCAACAAGCGTGTACGGGAAACGTGTCAGGGAAGTTAGCCATCTCCAAAATCCCAGAGCCTCGTTGCAGAACGCATCGAAATTCTCCTTGATGACAAGAGGAAGACAAAGTTATCGCTAATACTCTCACAGATATGCCGTATTGGAGTTCGAACCCCTTCTTGACTCGTCATCCATAGACAGCAAGGGATGGGAGGAGATTGCGCAAGCGATATTTCGCAACTACAAGTTGTTCGATGGCTTTGTCATTCTTCACGGCACCGATAGTCTTGCATACACCTGTTCAGCTCTCAGTTTCATGTTGCAGAACTTGGGCAAGCCTGTCATACTTACTGGTAAGTTGGGTTACAAGCGATCTTGCTGTGAGACGGAAATTGTGCTCTAGGACCACCGTCTGACACGGCTCTCTTGAGGTGTTAGCGGTGGTGGTCTCTACAGCCTGCGGACAAGTCAGCGTTGGCATAGATCAATGTTTTGAGAACACAGCATTAGGAAAAAAACATGTGCGGACGAAGCTGACCTTTTTTTGTTCTGAAGGATCCCAGGTGCCCTTCTCCGAGCGCAAAAATGATGCCCTCGAGAACCTTCTCGACTCTCTCGACATTGCCGGGCACTTCATGATTCCCGAGGTTTGTCTCTGCTTCAACTCGACCCTGTTTCGGGGCAACCGAACCACAAAGGTATCAGCAAGCGCGTTTGATGCGTTTGCATCTCCGAACTTTCCTCCATTGGCCAAAATCACTGCCGTAGGTACCCACGTTGAATGGAACTCGGTCAGAAGGTCGACTTCCCTCGAAGCTTTCAGCATTCAATCAGACCTTGAGATACACCATGTGGCCTGTTTGCGCATTTTCCCAGGCATCAAACCAAAAATGGTAGAAGCTGTTCTGCGAACCGAGGGTCTTCGTGGTCTTGTCCTGGAGACGTTTGGTGCGGGCAATGCACCCAGTGGACACGACAACAAACTGACACAAGTCATCTCTGACGCTGTTCAACGTGGCATCGTGATTGTGAACGTCACTCAATGTCTGACTGGCAGTGTCAACCCGCTTTATGCACCTGGAATGGTCCTTGGCCGGGCTGGCGTTGTTGCAGGAGGAGATATGACAAGTGAAGCAGCATTGACCAAACTGTCTTACCTTCTAGCCCTTCCTGGAGCATCGCCTGAATCGGTGGCCAAAGACATGGCAACGTCAATTCGTGGTGAACTTTCGGAGCAAGCGGGTACAATTTTCAAACACCCTACGGGCGAATTATCATCCCCCGTCACTCAGCTTACAGCCATTGCATATGCGATTGCCAGTGGAGATATTGAGAAGGTAAAGGACCTGCTTCGAAACGACAATCAACTGATCAACCGGGCCGACTACTCCGGAAACACGCCCGTTCACCTTGCGGCAACTGGGCCTAACGTTGCAATTCTTAGACATCTTCTATCGCTGGGTGCTTCGTAAGTTGAGAACAAGTCATCGCCGGCTGATATAGTCCACACCGATACAGGCTAACAACCCTTTTCCAGAGTACACATCCGCAACCACACCGGATCAGGCAGGACACCTCTTTTCCTGGCCGCCAATGCTGGTTTATTGCCGCACGTAATGCTTTTGAGAAAGGCAGGCGGACATCTCCACGCCGAAGAATTGGAGACGGCCAGACTCCACGCGAGCCAACGACCAGAGGTCTGGAAACAGGCGGGCCTGGAAGTATCCTAGAGGACCTGGAGACGGCGAGTTTCAAAGGGGCATACAAGGGCCATCCTCAGGCCCTAGCGCAACTTTGCCAGCCGCCAGCCGTTTTGGCACATGGCTTCTAAAAGAACCCCCGTGTCGGTGTGCATGGTTGGTCGCCTATTGGATGCTACCGGGTGCTAAGGTCACCAAGCCCGAAGTTCCCTCTGGGTAGCATTGCCAGATCAACGGGAAAATACTGCTGGCATTCATGCCTCGTGGCAGTACGAGACGCTACTCCTTGCATTCGCTAAACGGGAGATGGCCAGCCATGAGCACACCAAGCAACCCAATTGTGTGATTTCGAGGGCTCACGACATTGCTTGATGGGCTTGCGAAAGTCCAACTTGATGGGGCCGCGGAGGTGCCCGGGGTCGAGATTGACAAGTCTAAACCTTGGTCACCCCTCAACGGCGGCTTATGTTGTCCTCAAAGCTGGAACGGGATTGGGACACTTGGAACCAAACAGTCATACCTACCACACCCACCGACTGCCTGCTTCATCCGAATGACATGGTCACTAAGTGTACATCGGATGAGGGCGCCACTGACGGAAACCTCGACCACTATTATCGAACCAGACGATCCGGAACCCAGCGAGCCAGGTTGTGACAGTGGCACACCAGGTGGCCCTTGACCATGTTGGTTGCCACATTCTCCCCGCCTTTTCCAAAACCTGGCTGCGCCCCCCGCATTTCATTTGCCAGATGTGCCTGACCATATGGCGGAAGTCGGCTCTTAAGTCCTCGTCACCTCATGCGGCGTCTTTGTGCTACCCCCCAACAAATTGGATCTATTTCAACGGGAAATGATGGATTCGGGTTGTTATTCCTGAAGGGCGGGCACTCAGGTCCGTCCTAATGTCGTGCTCAGCATGGACCCAGCACCCCGCTGTACATTTCACTCTGGTTACGTAAAGGATAAGCTGCATCAGGTTTGGCGGTGATAGACCTTTTCACACAGGTCGCAGAATTTGCGCACCAAAGGGTCCTCGAATAATGGGACCGAATTGACGCACGAAGTTCCTGTGACTCTCCTGCCCATTATGGCAGAATGGCTTTTTCGGGTTGTTCTCTAATCGTATGATACCGAAAACCATTCTGAAAAGTTGGGGGGGTCCATTCTTACCTTTTCTATTCTATCAAAAACGCTGTTGGCAACGCAGATTCTTCCCGATGCACGCTTACTCCTTGGAACGGTTATAATCCTTTTCACACTCGCGTCGGCCTTACGAAGTCCATCGTCCCAAACAAACTTCCAGTCCCAGGCGTTGACTGTCCGACTTCGGGAGGCATATATTTGCCACATGCCCGATAGAAACAAGACCATAGCCATTGTCAACGGTACTGGTCGTCAGGCTGCGTCGGTCATTCGTGCAGTCGCAGCTGTCGGCTATGCTGTCCGGGCGCAGGTTCATTCGATAGAAGGCCTGGTGGCTGAGGAGCTCGCCGATTTACCAAATGTCAGCTTGTTCGAGGGACCCTTGCTAAACAACCAAGTCCTCATCGACACAATATTCGACACGGCTCAGATTGCCTTTATAAACACCAATCCTCTGGGCGGAGATGAGATAAAAATCGGTAAGGCACTGGCCAATGCGGCGAAAAAGCGCAACATACAGCATTTCATTTACAGCAGCATGCCCGATCATTCCATTCACAATCCACGCTGGCCAGCACTTCCACTTTGGGCCTGCAAGTTCACAGTTGAAAACTACGTTCGGCAGCTTGGCCTCCCCTCCACCTTTGTTTATGCCGGGATCTACAACAACAATTTTACCAGCCTACCATATCCATTGTTCTGCATGGATTTCAAGGACGATGGAACTCTTGAATGGCGAGCACCTTTTCATCCAGATACGAAATTACCTTGGTTAGATGCGGAGCACGATGTTGGGCCAGCTGTTTTGCAAATTTTCAAGGATGGACCTGGTAAATGGCATGGGCACAGGTACGTGACGACTCTCATTTTCCAGCCACCCATCTAGCCTGGGTAACATGGCTTGTTCGCGCCGCCCCGAATAGTCCAGATCGTGTAGATGGTTTTCTCCCGGAAATTATCTCCGGCGTTACATGGCCTGGCTGATCATAACCATTTTGGTTGGAAGAGGCCAAGCTGATGAGCAAAATGAGGAAACAATAATCTGGGCCTGACAGTTGAATTCTTAGGATCGCCCTTGCATTCGAAATGCTCACCCCGATACAAGTTTGTCAGGCGTTTGAAAAGGCGCTAGAACGACCCTGCAAATATGTCTTCAGCAAACGGATCGAGGTGAAGGTACCCATCCCAAATGGATATAGAGAGCAACTTGCCGGTATCGAAATACTCTTTGGGGAATACAATGCGCCGTATTTTCCTGGACCAGACTTTGAGTGCGACACAAGACGCAAAGGTAGCAATGAAACGATCACAGGAAGAAGCAGCAGCGAAGCATCTCGCAAAACCAAACCTGGCAAACTGACGGACGAAGCTCGATCCCTTTGGCCGCCGTATAGATCCATCTACGAGTATGCAAAGGAGGCCTTTGTCGTTGAGGAAGAGGCAAATGGGAAAACCTGGATGATCGATAAAAGCGTCAGCACTTGAGACACCGGAATTTGTCGCTCAGTTCGAACGATTCTTATGACTTTGACGACCTGTGGAAATAGTTTTCTGTGATTAAGAACAGGCATAGCATGGGATGCATATTTTTCAGGTTATGGTGATAAAAGTCCAGGACAGTGTTGCATTGGATGCGAAACAGGAGGAGACGGAGGCTCAGGTCGTTTCGATAAACCTCTCAAGCCTTTTTGGGGGCCATTATAATCATTTTCAAAAGCAGATTTAGGAGCAGAAATATGAGAATGCTTGTCACAAAGACAAGGGCTTCAAGGAAACTTAAGGGACATTCTTGTCCTTCCATCTTCTCCCAGCATAGAGCACATGTTTAGAAGCAGATCGCCCAGAACAGCCACAACCACATTTCATATCGCAGGATCGATTAGGTCTCTTATCCTTGCCTTCTGCTTTTCCTATTGAGCAAGGTGCAAGGTTATCACTACTGTGTTCGTTCATGTGCCCTAAAGTATTACTCTGTGCATGGGCTTGATGCCGATCACTGTCAAGGTCCAGAAATAACAGCAATTCTAACACGGGCACCCAGAGAGGAAGCTGGTTGCATAGACGCCGTTGTATAAACAAGTCCACTGAGGACCCTCGGCTGCTACCCATTCGTTTGAGAATCATGCTCTCTAGCCGTGTCCTCCCGCCGGCATCAACCTCACCAAGTGCTTGTGGAATCCTTGGTTTCCACGTGGTGAGCAAGGACCGGTCCAAGGACTAGGACAAATTCATCCTCAGTGGAGAGAATCTGCTGCAGGGGAATAAGCAGCCGGCATGGTCCTTAGGTACAAGGGTTAGGAAAGAATTAGACAGGATACACACACTGACTAAGGCACTTAGCCTTCCTTTTCCCAAACGGTTGAACCCAACCATGATGCAAGGTCCGTTGAGTGAGTCTCCATGCCTCTTGTCCGTCCTTCTCAGCAACCCAGCTTTTTCTTCTTCGGCTGTTCTTTCGACTTTCTAGATTGATAGATTAGTTTACGGAGTGGTCCGTTGCGCTTACCGCGTTTGATAGACTTTTCATTTCCTGCCCCTCCGCTTGCCGTCTCCAGCCTGAAGTTGCGCGGGCGCCCTTTACCACTAGTGACTATATCTGATAGCGAAGAGTCATCCTGAGCCAGAAAGTGGGATATCTTAGTGGCCGTCACGCATATCTCCTTTAGTTCTCCCGATCACTCATAGAAGACGGTGCTTCACTGGATCGTCCGACGTTGAGATATTACGAGGTAGATTTTTTCGCTTCGCTTGCTCTGGCACAATATGTCGGACAAAGACGCCGCCACGCCACGACTGTTTCTAATCCGTCACGGTAAGACAATCTGTCTCCCCTTTTCCTTTCTTTGAGATGGAGCCTCCACCCAGTCGCGCAAATGTACTGTCGCCCTTTTCTCAAGAAAAATATCCTGGGCCACTCCTCTTCCTCAGCTGCTGTCATTTCCAAGCTTACGCATGCTGCCTCTATAGGCGAAACCGAATGGTCTCGTAATGGTCGATTCACGGGTATTACTGACCTTCCCCTTCTCCCCGAAGGTGAAGAGAAAGTCCGCCAAACGGCCTCCGTGGTATTCGGTCCCGGACGCTTAATAGACCCCAGCAAAATCGCCTACATCGCCTGCAGCCCGAGACAACGTGCGTTACGGACCCTTGGACTCCTCATGGACCAGATCCAAGAACCAAGCGCACACGCTTCGCTTGCAGAGAAGATCCACAAAACCGAAGACATCGCAGAATGGGGCTACGGCGACTACGAAGGCCTCCTGGTGCACCAGATCCAAGAACTCCGCAAATCTCGAGGCTTGGACAAGGACCGGTCCTGGGACATCTGGCGGGACGGCTGCGAGGGACCTGGAGGCGACACGCCGGCCCAAGTCACGGAGCGACTCGACCGGCTGATCTCGCAGATAACGTCGATCCACAGGCAAGGATTGCAGGATGGGGATCGGAAATGCGATGCGGTGGTGGTCGCGCACGGCCACATCCTACGAGCTTTTGTGAAAAGGTGGCTGGGCCTGGAGATGGCCACAAAGGTGGAAATGATGCTGGAGCCTGGGGGCGTCTGCGGGTTGAGTTATGCTCACGGAGATGTCGAATGCCGGGCGGTGCTTGTGGGCATGAGTTTCCCGGGCTCTGCATGAGCCGAATTCTGCCTCTTGCAGGTCATTGCCTATCTATGCTGTGGTTTCTTTTGCCCCTTCCGCCTTTGGGTTACCTTGCTTGCTAACCTTGTGGAGGCAACAATACTGCTTCCCAGAGCGGTAGCAGGATCACTCCCTCGTCAGGCCAAGGGAGCTTAGATTCTCCTCTGATGTTACGGGATCCCTCGTTTGTGATAGACTCTTCCCACGATTAGAAATAGACGAAATAGACGAAATAGACTCTCCTGCCACCTCGGCCGTTACTATGAGATCTGGGCAGAAACACCCCTCTACCTCCACTCGCTCGCAACATATTATTTTATGCAACATCGCAGGAGTTTTATGGCTCGCGTATAGGTGGCGTATAGAAGGAGCCTTGACGTCATCCGCGATAAGAGGATTTGGATTATTGTATCAGATCAAAACATATCAGAAGAGCTTATCGCAGCTTGTCTAGAAGGGACCCAGAGCTTCTCGCAGTTCGCCTATTTCACGCGTCCCTCCACCGCAAGAACAGCGTGAACAGGGTTCTTCCCTCCCGAGGTCCCTCATACTGCAGGCGTGGCGTACTCGTATCAATCGACAGCCACCATTCGCTTATCCGTCCAGCTCTTTCTTGCCGAACCCTAATCTCAACCTCCCTTCATCTAATCATCGTTGAAGAGAGGGACTTCCTCACTCAGCCTCGTTAATCAGTCAGTAAGTACCTCGAACAGAAACAACTCCTACCAGAGGAAGCTGTCGCATCCGGCGTATTGTGTTCCGGATTTGCCATTCCATCCTTATCACGTACAGAGCGGGAGACACTACGCTTAGAAGGCACCCAGCAGAACTTCTAATCCAAGGTTAGCCTGTTGCATAGATAACGGCGTGGGATTCAGAAAACAGCCGGTCAACAATCCTGCCCCGAGCTAACTTGGATCTGCAGTGCGACCAGGGCTCCTTTGACCCGGTCACAGCATTCCCATCTAACCTGCGAGGTGCGTCTTGCAGAGATAACAAAAACATTCCCGATCCCCCAGAAAACCCGTGCTACCCAGCACTACCATGGCCAATTGCTTGTGCGGGTTGTGCTTTGTTGCCACCACCCCAAGCTTTCTGAAAAGCAAGGTACCGACTGGGGGATGGAGCTATCCACCTTGAAGCTGCTGCTGCGTACCTATCGTCGTCATTGTTTGTCTCCAATCCGCTCGCCTCCGGTCGATGGGATTCGATCATGCGTCGAATGCTGTCGCTTTCCAGGTCTGCTAGGGTCACCGAAGAGAGCAGTTACTACCGATGGGGCAGGGAGAGCTTGGAGCTCCAAGCTCCAAGCGTGGGCTGCTCAAAAAGTAGGTACCGTCCCCCTCTGTCCTGCGGTGGGTTTCTGCATTCACTTTTTCTCCTTGCTCGCGTGCTCAAGCACAGAAAAAGCTGTCCTGTATCTTTTGTGCAAGGAAGTCGTGGGCAGACGAGCTTCTCTCCTCAGAATTTCAAGTCACAGCATGCGTTCCATTGGTTTCCTCAAGCTGCTTGCTGCAGTAGCAGCAGCAGCAGCAGTCTTGATCCCCACATCCGCAGCAACACCCGTCGAAGTTCGCAGCGCCGATGTCGTCAAACGAGCCACTACCCCAATCTCTCCCAAAGTCGTCATCATCAGCATGTTTGCCCCCGAAGCCTCGGTGTGGTACGGGATCAAGGAATTCGACCTTCTCGCCCATAACATCACCGTGTCGGGCCTCTCCCCCTTGTTCCCAGAGGTCCACTGCACGGCCAAGGGCGACGTCTGCCAGGTTGTGACGGGCGAATCCGAGATCAACGCGGCCTCGACCATCAGCGCGTTTGTGCACTCTCCCAAATTCAACCTGACAAAGTCGTACTTTATGGTCGCGGGGATCGCGGGCGTCAACCCGAAAGTGGCGACGCTGGCGAGCGTGACGTTTGCCAAATACGCCGTCCAGGTGGCGCTACAGTACGAGTTTGACATACGAGATTTGCCCGGCAACTTTACGACCGGGTATATTCCGTTTGGGGCTTACGCGCCGAGTGATTATCCCGAAACGTAAGTTTTGGTTTTTTATTCCCCCTGTTGAGCGTAGCAGAAAGAGTATATATGAACATTCAATGAAAAAACGCTCCCTGGAAAACCACTGTGACCATTCATGAGAGATTCTGTGGGAGGAAAAAAAGGGAGAAAGAGTCTGTGTGTATATATATGTGTGTAAGACCCATCGACTAATATCTATATGACCCGATATAGGATCTACGGCACCGAAGTCTTCGAAGTCAACGAAGCCCTGCGCGACGTGGCCATCAGCTTTGCCTCAGGAGCCAAGTTGAACGACAGCACCGCCTCGCAGTCCTACCGGGCCAAATACGCGTCCGAAAGCATCTACGCCGCCGCGGCCAAGGGCCCCTCCGTCGTGGGATGCGACGTCGCGACCTCCGACGTCTACTACAGTGGCACGCACTTGTCGGAAGCATTCGAAAACACCACCCGCATATGGACAAACGGGAGCGGGGTATACTGCACGACGGCGCAGGAAGACAACGCGTCATTGGAAGCCATAATGCGCGCCGCCCTGTCCAACCTGACGGACTTTTCGCGGGTCATCGTCATGCGCACGGCCAGCGACTTCGATCGCCCTCCCCCGGGCGTCTCGCAGATCCAGAACCTCCTGTACATCAACCAAGGCGGGTTTCCGCCCGCGATCCAAAACATCTACGTCGCCGGCGTGAGAGTCGTCGAGGGCATTCTGGACGGCTGGAACAGCACCTTTGCAAAGGGCATCAAGCCCACGAATTATATCGGGGACATGTTTGCGAGTCTGGGCGGCACGCCGGACTTTGGTTTGCCGGCGGACTTTATTACAAAGAGGTCCCTCAAGGGGGATGAGTTTCAGGGCAATCTGAGGATGAGGAGGGCGGCCGAGAGCGCGAGGCGTCGACTTGCTGCTGCAAGGTCGGGGGGGATGATGCCTTGATCATATAATGGGACTGCGTGCCGCTGCGCATGGCCTGCATATAGGAGAGACACAGCTTTGTCCAGCTGTCAGAAAAAAAACAGAATATATAGCACATACGACGCCATCAACGGCAACTATTATTACGCTGTCATGAGGCCACTCCAAGTATATCCACTCGTAGCTTCAACACCAAAATTCTTGACAAAGGATTCTGTGATTAAGAAAACCTTCCTCCTTTGGTCTATGCAAACCATCTATCGGATTTCCATTTCCATTCCAATCCAAACATGGCCAACCGATAGCTGTGCAATATCATGGCTATGCCATCCACAGAACCTTCATCGCGCACCCTTTCTGTCTTGTTTGGTCACTTCTTACCCTTCCCCTTCCCCCCTCCTTTTGCCTTGCCCCCCGTCTCCTTCTCATCTCCATGTCCATGCTCCTTCGCAAACCCCCCCTTCACCAGACTCTCCCTCGCGACCTGATTGATCAGCCGAAACCTGTCCGGGCCGAGTTTGACCCCGCCATACCACCTCGTCACCACCACCATGCAGTTCCACACGTCCATGAGCTGCATTAAATGCAGCAATCGGCCTCCAGCGGCAGTCTCGCCGTCATCGTCCGAGTCTTGGACCGTGATCACCGCACCGGTGGCCGCATTGGGTGATTGAATGCGCCAGGCACTGATGTTGTGTGTGGCACTGGCGACCTTCTTGTTAGACGCTAGCAAATGCGACAGCGAGGCCTGCGCTTCGTTCAGGGAGTGCACGGGACAGGCTCGGGCGACGAAAGTGGATCGGCTGACGGTCAGGGGATCGGAGAGCGTCCATTTTGGAGGAGGGGTATCTGAGGAGGAGGCTATGGTGGCGTTAGAGGGGACATTGTCCATCGTGGAGGAGGGTTCGTAGTCATGCGCAAATGGGAGGGCGTGGCCACCGTGGTGCGTGTGCGAGGATAAGGCAGACCTATTCGGGTTCGTAGTGCTTTGCTCGAGACCAGCTTGAGTCGTCGCAGCTTCACCGTGTTCGCCCTCATGTTGCTGCCTCTGGGAGAGCAGTAGTGGACCGGCTTCCTCGGCCAAATCGAACAGACACACCTGCCCCTCAGTCCACACCCTTGCGAGCACGTCGCGCAGGATGTGGACGGCGACCTCGCCCTCCCCTCTCCGCCCACTATCCCCCGTCGACTGTGTTTTTAATATCTCTGGAGGGGCATCAGGATATTCCGCAGGAAAGGAGATGAGCAAGGAGATTTCAGAGCCTGGGATGCGGAGGACCCCGATGGTAGAAGACCCGGTGGGTGCAGGTGATTGGAGGACAACAGTATCCGAGCCGTAAATGGAGTTCAAGGCTTCGACCTCGTCGGCAAGAGCGACATTAGTGGTCGCGATGCCATTGTCGGTGTGACTGCCATCTCCCGAAGGCATGAGTTGGAGGAAAGAAGGGACAGGAACATGGACGAGCAGCGATGGAGGAGGATCTCCGGAAATCGATTCGGAAAAGTTGCCTGTCCGCCTCTAATACTAAAGCGTCGGAGAGACAGTGGCGCCAGATCGAAGCCTTATTCAGCCTCGTCTGGCTGCCAGAAGCCATGGGACGCGCAGTCATCGTAAAGCAGTCCAAACGAATGAGCAATGCTCGTGTCCGCTGGCCTAAGAGACCCATTTGCAGAACTCAAGCCCGTTCTCCGCACTCACTCTTTCAAGCAACAAGATTGATCTCCTTATTGACATCGCCAGTGCTATCCTTTCCCCGTCCCATCTTTGACTTCTGCCGCCTTTCCTTGAATTCCGCTCTTAAGGCGCCGGTGGGGTAGTTTATGGGAGACTCTCCACCCTTAAAGATCAAAATGTCATAGACACTTGCACCCACAAACGCCCCAGTGATCGTAGCGATCCAAGGGCCCCAGATCCACCAGCAATCACGTTCGGTGAACACATGGCCGCCGGAACCGGCCATCCAGGTTATCAGACGTGGCCCAAAGTCCCGCGCAGGGTTGAGAACTGGACCTGTGTTGTATGAGAAGGCGATTGAGATGGTCATGGCCAGTAAGGCAATGATGAACGCATGCATGCCCGCTCCCGGTGGTGCGTTGTCGTCGTCCCCTAATGCAAGGACCGAGCCGGCTAGGATTGCGCTGGCAACGAGCTCGCTGAAAAAGGCTGCGACATTGCTCAATCCAGCACGGGGTAGTGTGTAGAATGCAGGGCCAATACGAGCAACATTTGAAGCCGTGTAGTCGTTGATGGCTTCACTGTAGAGGCCAAACACGAGTGCGGCCGCGGTGAAGCAGCCAAGAAGTTGGGCGGCAACAAATTGCCAGCAGTCCCTCCATGGAAAGCCTCGAAAGACGGCCAGGACGATCGAGATAGTGGGATTCAAATGAGCACCGGAGACGCCGCCTGCAATGTATATTCCCATCATCACGCCGAAACCCCATGCCATGTACGCCATAAGGAGACTTGCATAGTCGTTGCCTGCCGTCATGTGAACAATAGATCCTGAGAGACCGAGCGTCATGAAGACCATGGTGCCGAGAAATTCTGCGAACGGCTTCCGCAATCTATGCCGCATGCGCCCCCAGGCATTGTAGAATTGTGGTCGATCAGGGTCAACCAGTTGCGAGGATCGTTCTCGCAACGTGTCTGTTGAGGGATGATATTCTTCCCAGTCAATGTTCGGTGGATACTGCCGCAAGCCACTTTCGTACTCGGCCGTATCTGCCAGTTGTTGCAGTCGTCGCCGTGCTGATTCGATGGCGGACTCACTCCTTACCGCCCGTTCCAGTTCGTGTCCAACCACCAGATCGTGTGTCCGATCTGTGGAAGATTCGTGAGCCGTCGAGCCGCTCGGAGACGTGTAGGGGTGGGTATCGGTTTCTTGATTTTCTTTTCTCCTTCTCTGCTCCTCTGTGGAAGATGAGCGGGCCTTGTCGTGTGCACTGATATTCTCAGCAACCAGCTCGCGCTCTTTCCGCTTTGTTTCTGCGCTGAGAATACCAGGCTGTTGAACTGTATTGTGCGGGACGATTGGATCGCTAAGATATGACGAGACATTGGCAGTGGTTGCTCGGCGAAGGAGATCTTGGGCGTGGGTAGATGTTCGTGTATCAGCGCTTCTCCGGGCCGGATGGTCATGCTCCGGCTCTCTATGTCTGAGGGGACTGGCGTCCATCCGGTGCGCAGGTTGTATCTCGGCTGACGATTGTTGATGCGCCGGTTCACGAGCATGCCGCCGGGTTCTCGTAGGCTCATCCATAGAGTCTCCCGCTGTCCTCGTGGTTGCAGACCGCATACCCCGGCGCATGACCCGGGGCAAAGGTGCAGCCAACCCCCATATCGGCTCGTTGGATGGCTGTCCATACTCGGGGCGGGATTCCTGATATTCTTGACTGACAAAGCTCCGCTGCTCTCTGGAAGGCTGACTAACTCTGGGACCTGCGAGAGAGAAAGGAGCAGATTCGCGGGTAGGTGCAGTTCTTATCCTTCTCGCATCACTTGTAAATGGGTGGGTGCTGCCTCGGAGTGAGGGGAGATCTCGCGACATAGATAGTGTTGGATGATGTTGAAGGATACATGGACAAAAGAGGAGTCACGAGCACCAAAGCTATAGACTACTAAGAGAGGTGAAGATGAAGGTTAATCCAGAAGAGACCAAATAAGAAATATCGACTCACGGTCAATGTCAGAGATCAGCGGCGAGGGACACACGTGGAGCAGTTGGTCAGGAACGGACAGGATGAAGCACCCACCTTCCTTCCAATGACGCTGGCGATGGGGGGGGACCAAGTTCAAACGACGGTGAAAAAGACGCAGTAACGATCATCAAGGCATCGATCATCGACCAGCGCCGCGCCTCTGGGTAAGCGAAAGTGTGGAGAGACACTGAGACTTTTCCCTTGTCGGTCGGTAGAGGCGAAGGAGTGATGGAGAGAAGCCAGTGGAGAAGCGAGGAACGTCATTGCAAACGAGGATCAGGGATCGGCGGCGAACCATAGCCGTCCAACGAGACAACGCCATGGATCGATTGAGGGGTTGGTGTTATGGCACAGTGAATGAATATATTGAATACGGAGTCAGAAACAGAGTAGCCAGGTCAGAGGGATGGAATTATGAAAGTGAAAGAGAGCAGAGTGATGGAGTTATGATGGTCAAGGGGAGAGCACACCGGAAAAAGGGAAATGACTTGGATAAAGTGCGCCCATCATATCCATCGAGCATGTCCCTCCTACACCCCTCGACACCCAGCAGCCTCCAGTTCCCTCAGACACACATATACACTGATGACACACCTGCATGCAGACACCTCCCACTTGGAGCACCGTGCCATATATTAGATTATATATATCTGCAATATCCCGAGGTTGTCTCCGCCATCGGGAAATCAGGTGCAAGGCATCCCAGAATTTCCCGATCATCAACCCCTCGCTGACGTTTTCCGATGGCGCTGAAGGTCTTGAACACTACCTAGGTCTGTCTCTTCTCACTCCTTCCAGTGTCATTGGCCACCAATGCTATACCAAGGCCGTCGTGAGGCGGACTTCAACGAGAAGCGTATTCGCATAGTCATCGTCAATGGAAAGCCTGACTTTTGCGTGGAAGAGCGGGGGTGATGGCAGACAGCAGAGGACCGATGGCTGTACATATGTAAGTGATGGCTTCGACGGAGACTGAGGGAAGGTCGGTAGGTGGTTTTGATTCCTTTCAATTGCTCTCAATCTTGCCTCGAGATCCCCAGCGTGCATACCGGAGTATACCAGCAATGACTGGCAAGTACCACATCAAGAACGGTACTGTCCTCTCCATGGACCCGTCTTTGGGCAACATCCAGAACTGCGATGTTCTCATCGACAACCATATCATCACCCACGTCGGCCCCAACCTCACTCCGACAGCCTCAGAGCAATACACCGTCATTGACGCCACCAACGCCATAGTCTCCCCAGGCTTCATCGACACCCACCGACACACCTGGCAGACCCAATTGCGCACAATCTGCTGTGACCACGTTCTAGGTGACTACTTCCTCCATATCCGCAACGTCTATGGCTCCTGCTACACCGACCGAGATGCCTACCTGGGAAACTACTGCGGCGCTCTGGAAAGCATCGACAATGGAATCACCTTTCTAATTGATCACTCGCACATCATGAACTCTCCAGACCATGCCAATGCTGCCGTACAAGGACTGAGGGACGCGAAGATCCGCGCGGTGTTCTGTTATGGATTATATGTCAATCCCACCTGGCCGGGTTCGTGCATGGACCCTGATCGAGAGGTGAAAACGCCGGAATGGAGATTTGAAGACGCGAAGCGCGTGAGGGAGACGTTGTTGAAGTCGAATGGCCCGACCGACTTGGTTCGGTTTGGGTTCGCGCCGGCGGAAATCGAACTGGCCATCGAAGATGCCGTCAAGGAAGTCGAATATGGTCGATCTCTGGGCTCGGCGATCATCACCGGCCACGTATCGATGGGCAAATACGATCGCGGACTGCACTTGGTCCGGCACTTTGAAGAGCGCAGCCTCCTTGCTCCGGACCTGTTGTTCAGCCATTGTGCCAGTCTACACGACGACGAGCTCGAGGCCGTGAGTAAGCGGGGTGTTTCCCTCTCCAGCACGCCGGACACAGAACTGCAAATGGGCATGGGCCACCCCATCGCCTTCAAGGCAAAAGGCCACGGATGTACCGCCAGCATTGGCATCGACGTGGTCTCGAACAACCCGGCCGACATGTTCCAACAGATGCGCTTGCTGCTCCAAGCGCAACGACACCTCGAACATTACGCCGCAGAAGGCCCACCGTGGAGCATCTCTAAAAAGTGCGCTGAGGTTCTGGAGATGGCCACCATGGGCGGCGCAAAGGCCGTTGGCTTGGGAGAAGTCATTGGGGGCATCACGCTGGGCAAGCGCGCGGATCTGATCATCACGCGATGCGACTCGACCAGGATGACACCCGTCCACGACCCCGTGGCCGCGCTCGTCCTGTACGCCAACGCATCGGATATCGACACGGTATTCATCGACGGCGAAATGGTCAAACATGAGGGAAAACTGGTCGGCGTCGACTGGCCCGCGGTCCGCACTGAGCTGAGGCAGTCGGCCGAAAACATTATGGAGAGATCCAAGAAGGCCCCCTTTGAACAGATCAAGGAAGAAGTCATTAAGACTATGACGGCCTTTGCTGGCGCTGCTTAAGGACCTCGACCTCTAGGTAAGGAAGGGATGCGTTGCCATAAGATTACCTAGGTAGGTACTTAAGTACGCTCACAGTCGGTGCAGAGAAGGAGAAATTTGGCAAGGGACATGTATCTATGCAGTTCCGAGTCCAATAGGGATTGATCATGATTGTAAGGCCTTGTATTGACGGGTTTTGCTTAAATCAATAATCTAGGACGGCCGGTCATTTTTTTGTGGTTTAGGAGCTTGACCCGACCACATTGGTTTCACCTGAATATTCTATCTCCAGAAAAGAATATGGGTAATTGATTGCATCATCCAAGTACCATGTCTTTAATGTCGTGGCAACAACGTGAGACAACGATCTGAGACACGCCCTGGGCCCACACGGCCATCGTCATTTTCAGATGTTCCCACAGCCTGCCAACTCCTTCACCTTGTGGTTCTGCACTGCCATCCACCAAACCCTTGTGTGTCAGGATGCACAGTCGCCGCCGCCTATCTTACCTCACCAAATCCAACCCAGACTAAAGAAGATAGCTAGCCAGCGGTGTTACACCAACGCCTCGCATATACTGCGCCACTGCAGGCTCACTCAGTAGGGTCGGAAGGCCACAAGTCCAAAAAGTCGAGACTTGGGGCACCTGTTTCAAAGAGCGAAAAGTCCAGCGCCTGGCCGTTTGGGAAGAGATCGAGCATCTCGGGATCGTGGAAGGGGCGGAAAAAGTCCAGTGATGGCATCATCTCGGGCAGGTCTTGTCGCATGGGCGCTTGCGGTGGCGCAGGTGGTGCGTACGGCAATGGCGACGGCGACGGCAACGACATCGCCGTTGACGACAATCCTCCAGGTCTCCGTTGTGGCGCTTGGTCAAGACCTCTCCAATTGAGCGGTGCGGCTGCTAGAGTAGGCAAACGCGAACAAGGCGCTGATGAGCCCTCTACCACGAGGTCTCTCTCTCGCACATCAAATGCTGCCCGTGCTGTGACAGACTCGCTATCGCTCTCCTCCTCAGACCCAAGCATCGCGATCTCTTCGCCCTGCCTGGGTAGGACATTGCCATTTATCCACAGTATGCGGTTGTGGCCGAGGATGGACTCTCTGGCATGGACGGCGTTGGTGCGGAAGCTCGTAAGCTTCTTCGGGTCAATGAACTTGGGTTCGTTTTCGAGAATTATGGGGTGCTTTGCATGAATCTGGTAAATGTAGCGCACATGGCTCTCCTGACGAATGATACGTGTTAGTCAGAGTCAACTGCATCACTTTTCCAGGATAATTGACCACCCATACCAACAAGGCTGCGAACTTCCAATACTTTGCCAAGGTACGTATCATCTTGACGTTAGCCCGGACGTTCTTGTACGCTCTCTGTCTCACAGTCGTATTGGTAGACCACATGAAAGGAATCTGTATAGCAGCGCCGCAATATGCTGCGTAAGCGACGAAACTTGGTATTGCTTTGAGCCGAGGGAAACTCGAGAGGACTGCATCAACAAGGTCCGAAGCGGCGCAGGCGTTTTCATAAGCCACCTGGGCCGACATCTGTCTTGCCACAGACCATGTCTCCTCTGCCGCACTCCAGCAGAAGAGAGGCACTAGAGAGGCATGGAGGGCACACAGACATTGATGATAGACAATGTGGAGGAGCAAGATGTTCGGAAGAGCCTCGTCGGGTACCTCTGGAACCGTTTCAACAGTCAATCGAAGCGAGTTTGGAAGCTTGGTTCGCCATTTCGATATCCGGTCATCGAGGACGTAGATTGCCTGAAGTCTCTCGCTAGTGCTGGACTCTGCAGATTTGACAAGAGCATTAACCTCGCTCCTTGAGTGCAATGTCAGCACAGGCAGGCGCTCGCATGCAGGGCAGATATTGAGCATGTTCTCACCAAAACGTCAAGGCTTTGATTAGTTCGCCGTAGATGCCACCATTGCTGTCCCCAGACTTTAAACACAATTTGGGATTGGTTGCAATGCCAGCATTGAAATCCTCCTCTGTCCATGGCAACGTGAGTTTCAGGGTGTTTTCAGCAGATGCCCACCCGACAGACGTTTCGATAGCATGGCAATGCATGAGATAACAAGCCCAAAACCGACGGCGACGTATTTCCGACTCCCACAGATCTTCTCTGCCTGGTCTATCCGTTGCGAGCCCGAGGAGATGCGCAATTTGTGCAGCATTGCCTGCCATCTGGTCAGTCGAGGTAAGTGATGGCCCAACGCAAGCTTGTTGCTGAACCTTTGTGAATGAAAGATCTGCGCCATGAGCCCTGACTGTACCAGAAAAGCGCAAGGTTCATGAACGTGACGATGTGCTCGTCAGTTGGGTTCTCCACTTCTTGAAACGCAAGTTTGCCTGCTTGATCTGCCCATTCCGTCTTGAAATCGTGGTTACAAAGAACTGATCGGCCGTCAGGGTCTCGATGAAAGCTAGAGCACAAAGGTCAGAAGTGCTCGCCAGTGCACGGAAAGTGTGCGCATATCTCACTTCAAAGCCCAAGCGCACACACTAAGGACGAGATGATGACGAGCAGTACCGGATGCTATTGCTTCAATAAACAGTCTCTTATGCAGTAAAAGCGAGGCATTGTACACGTTGGCGTAATAGACGTCGACGAGGCTCATGATGAGAGTCATGGGAATGCCGACATAGACACTTTGGGCCGGAAGACCTGGTCCCGCTACAGGTCTATACCATGATTGCATCGGTGCTTTTGTTCCATTGTGAATAGTGGCGTCGGAAATTCTTCCTGTCTTAGGGCTGGACGAGGACGTCGATGAGCACGGCTTATCTGTGCACGGCTTATCTGTGCACACTGAGTGAGGAGTCGCTTTCGAGCTCCGTCGACCATCGTTCGCCTTGTATAGACAAAGATGATTCAACCTCGAGCATCGTCTGCAACTCGGCTTTTCTCCCGAGCAGCGAACCTATGAGCATACATTAGCTCAAAAGAACATGGCGCCATGGTTTTGCACTCTGATACCTTTTGGTTCTTGCACCGGCTGCAGGCCTTCCTTGGTCGACCTGCTCCAGCCAGCATGAGTGCGTCGTCTGGAGATGGATCTCTTCTGTTGAATCTCCGACCAAGACCAGAATCGCGCAGCACCAGTACTAGCGTCTTCACATAAAGGACTAGAGGACGATTATGTGAATCCTGGGAACGCCTTCATCGGGAAATGGAGTATGAGGAGAGTGAGGAGATTGGGTGCTCGGAAAATCACTTGACCTGCGCCTGCGTCTTTGACTTTCGCCTTCCTCGGCTGGATGAGTAAGATCCCGTAAGATCCAACAGTCTTCAGGCTGCTCTCCCCAGTCTGAGGGCACGAAGCGTAGAATGGTTGTCTGGGCAAAAATGTGTCACAAATGCCGAAACAGATATGGCTCTACACAAACCGAGCGTGACATTGATGGAAATGCCTTAGATTGAATTTGGCCGGGACTGCCACCACGGCTCAATCATCATTGCCGCTTCTTGGGATGTCTTTGCCTCCTTCTCCAAGTTCCTCGTGAAGTCTTTCTCCGCCCACAAGCACTGGCTGACAGTCCTGCAAGACAAACAGCATTCTCGTCCAGTCTGTCTTGCTGGGGTTCCTCCACGCGTGATTTGTACCCCGCTGCACTGCAACGTCTCCACGCTTCAAGAGAGTCACGCTGCCATCGTCCAATTCCATCTCGATGGTGCCTTCCAAAACAACTCCATAGTCTAGGCTTTGTGTGCGATGCATTAGAGGACTGCCTCCCGGACCAAAATCAACAATACGACAGACTGTCCCGCCTTTCTTGACGAGCCCGAGCTGACGACTGGACATGGTCGCCGTGTGGTCTTTAATATCGGCATCGTCGTTCAGCGAGACCGGGAATGATGAAGTGGTGTACACCACGTTGAATCCAACGGCCCTCTCGGGGAACCAATCCCATTGGTTCTGAGATGAAGAGTGGATTGTAGCTTTACCAGAGGAGTTGTGGGTTGTTATATGGATGGTTGGATCCGGAAGAGCAGAGGGAAGTGGTTCTGTAGAGGCCATTGTGGCGGTTGAACCTGAGTCCGTTGGCTTGAGTGCAGGGCTTGGAGTGAAAGAGAAAATGATTTCAACGAAGGTCAGCAAATGTTTGATATTCCAAAGCCACGCCCTGGCTTTACATAGTAAACCATGATCGCGTTTGTCCCAACCCTCGGTTTTAAGTGTTACACCGATTCCTCGTGATCATTTGATGTGATTCGTGGACAAAGGTAGGCACGCTGCACCCGAGGAGTTTACTCCTGAGGAGTTGCTGCATGCTCGGGAAATGTGCGTTATTGTTCTACACGGCATACGAGAAGCGTCGGCAAATTGTAGGATTGGCGGACAGGCCTTACTCATGCAAATTCGCCTGTCACGAGAAAGGATCGTCCAATTCAGTCATGGTTTGCAAGACGATATAATATCATCTGTGCCTCACTTGCCCCATCATCAAGCGACGTCGTTCACGCTTCATCGTCTGTTGTAGCGGAAATTGTTGTTTCACTGTGTGCGGAAATCCTTCAGAGCAAAGCTCCTTTCTCTCTCGGCTATCCATAAGGTGACAGTCGACCCGGGAAGAGGCTGTGCTGCCCTTGGCCCCCAGGTGGTTCCCAAGCATATTCTCAATTGAGTTGCAAGCAGGAGAGAATGGGCCATCATGGAAATGAAAGTGAGAACCAATTTGGCATGTGGAGAAAATGATTTGCGTTCATGGTCCGTGGGCACGGTCGAGCTCGGAGAATCGTTGCTGTCGTCCTCGCCATCTCATATACGGTAGGTACCTGGGTATGTAAGCTGTTTCACGCTTGTCTCGTCTGAGAAAATTGGAGTTGATGACGACCAGTTAGGGTCCGCTGGAGGCTCGAGGTCTTAAACAATCGAATCATATCATGATTGAAGCCGGAGAAGAAGAAAAAAAATTCCAGAAATCCCGGGGTGGTTACCTATTTCAGGGGAGTACTTCCGACCATACTCTGATTAGGTGGTTCTAGTGGACACCATCACCACAAGGGGGACTGTCATGCTGGATATTGGTAATAATTATGAGAAGAGAACTCCTGGACACCTGCTTCCGTCTGCAGGAGAAAAAGGAGACAGAAGGGAGAGAAGAAGAAAGTCGAGCCGTGCCGCAAATTCTCCTCTGTTGGTCATCCGGAACTCGCATGATCATTATTCCGCATCCGTCATTCGGGCTCTCACGTGGCTTGGAACCATCCTGGTGCCTGGCTCACTCTGACCTTTTACTCCATTCTAACAAGTCCAACACACGAGCCAGCAGGAAGCTTTCCTCTCCAGAGCAGTCAAGAATGACCAAAACAGTCTTCGCAGAGGATCAAGCTTTTTACCGCCCCATAGTAATCATAGGATATAGCAGCAAACCTTTGGCAGGTAACATTAGGCGGAATCATGTGTTTCCATGTGGTTGGGATGGAAATGGTTGACGTGATCTCGGTGGGTAGCCGAGTCGAACATGACAATGATGACAGCGTGAGGGAGGATAATATGACCAGCTATTTTGTTAAGGACGACGTGGGTGGCACACTTTCCCTAGGCCAGTTAGCTATCCAGATAGGACCTGAAGAAGAGATTTGACCGGAAGCCGTACTCATACCCTAAGCCCTACCACTTTCCCGTTGGCAGTGGTCTGTAACGAAGGGGAAGCGTGGGAGTGTCATATACCTACTTGGGTACAGTGTAGTGCACTGCCACAATAATAGCAACACACACAAGGGGATGGATGGATGGAACTTGTCCGGCCCGGTCAGACGCAGCAATGACAAAGGGCAAGTGACCAACAGATCCTGGCGCAAATCAGAATACGCCGGTAGATGGACAGCTTGGGAAGTTGCATGATATCCATGGTAGGAATAATGATGGGGATGGTATGGTCAATTACCGGGCTGCGGTACGTACCCAGGTACCTAGTACGTAGTACGTACATGGAGAGGGCGTGGAGGGATGCATAACAGGGGCGGGGAGGGATTCGGCGTGCATTATTCAATCCTTTAGCTCGATCATGTCCGGCCCAGGTCCCATCACCCATGTTTTGGCCACCCGCGTAGACGCACGATGGCGGCAATCCTAGGGTTGATCAGCGTTGATCTCTGACGCAAAGGGTTGAGACTTGGGAGGCAAAGAACCTGGAAGTAACTAAACAAAGCTGAACCAAAAGGTACTTTTGTAGTGCTACGTATCGTTCTATCGCCGCCGCCACCATCACTGCACCCACCACCACTACCACCACCTGCGAGGACGTACCGAGGAGAGCAGCAAGCGAGCAAGGTACCACGAAAAATTACACGAGGAAATGAATGGCAATGGTTGAGCCATGGGCAGCATTAAGCTAATAATAATCTTCTACCTCCCGAGTCATTCCATACCTAGGTAGCCACCAACCAATTGCTGAGGGCGACCTTAACTGGAGGCTCCGTATTGGATGCTCGACTCTAGCACTCACTGACGAGCTACTCACCTGCACTCACCAGAGTCACCACCCTCTCACTTACGAGTAGTCGGTCGACACACACACACCGTATGTAATTGTGTTCTGACCTTCTCACCCACTTTCCCACGCTCTCTCCCCCGCGTCTCTCGATTCTTTCTCTCGCTCTGGCTCTCGCTCTGGCCTTCTCACTCATACACACACAACTCACTCGCCCATACACCCACACGCTATCTCACTTTCCCTTTCCAGGCAACCCAACTTTAATTCGAGCCTTTGCTTTTGAGGAGAGGGAATCTCCACCTTGCCACGACTTTGCTCCAGAAATCTTTGGTTCTTGATCCGAGCAGCCGTTACAGATCCCATTGGTCCTCTGATCCCCGATCCTCTGTTACTCCTATCCCTCCTGACTCCCCACACCTTCGGCCTTGACCCTCAGAAAGAAAAGAGGGACAAATTGGGAAGTCGACTTGGCTGTGAGGTCTACGACTCGACACCCACGAGGCCCCCACTATCTTTGAGTAGCTGGGATCGTTCAGGTAACCCCAGTTGGACCAGTCCCCGACTCATTGAACTGAAGGGCTAGACGCTGACCCTTGATCCAGGCAGACCAGACCCTTTCGATTAAGCCTACCGCCCGTTAGCACTACCTACCACGCCTATTTATCCTTGAAGTTCTTCGAGAACATCCATGCAAGCCAAGAGGCCCCTCCACTGCCCACCCTCCCACCGCTGCAGTCCACCAAATTCACTAAGCTAGTCCCGATTCCCAAACGGCCAAGCAGTTTAAAAAGGACAAAAGAACGGACAAACAGCCTCGGGCGGAGAGCCAAACCCCCTGTGAACTTTCAGGCACTCGTCAAGGCAGCTGGCACGTTTTAAACTTTTTTAACTACTCACTCGTCACTTTCTTCGACTTCCTGCCCTTGTGGGTTGGTGGATGGCACTCAACCTCGCCTCTCTGCCGACCTCCAATTCTTGCGCTTCGACTTCATTCCTGGCCATTATTCCGGATTTCAGCCTCACCTCCAGTTCCAATACTTCGCTCGCATTAAAGCAAAACGCGCATCTGACGCCTCCTGGAAATCTATCGAGTGATTCTCTATCCATCAGCTTTCATACGCATCGTAAATTTTGGCCAACGACCGATTTTCGCCCGCACAGCCACTCTTCGACCACCGTCAACCGGAGACATCCCTATCATCCCAAAATGCCTTTTCCGTCAAATCACTTGATATAATGCCCTGATTATCATCACAAATTGCCCTTGGTCGTTAAAACCCACTTTCCGCCATGGCTTCTGCCGACGGCTCGCCTGTCGATCGCAAAAGCAAGATCTCGAAGCGTTCTTCCAACTCATACACCTCAGAAGAGTGGCGGAGGCATCGACCTTTAATAACCCAGTTATACTTTGAGGAAGGTCGGACTCTCAAGGATGTGGCTGAATACTTGAAAAGAGAGTATGATTTTGCGCCCACGTATGTATCCTCTGTCTATTGTTCCACTTACTTCTCTTATCCCTATAGTCTCTTCTTGCCTTTCAGCGCTGATATCTTATGATCAAAAGTGAGCGAATGTATAAAAGTCGACTCCATACCTGGGGTCTGGACAAGAAAAAGAAGGAGCATGAGATGCTCGATCTGGTTCGCCAAGGCTTGCAGCAGAAGGGCGATGACAAGGACAAAGTCTTCTTGGTGAGGGGAAGGCAAGTTACCCTCGCCGACGCCTTGCACTACTTCAACCGCAAAGGTATCAAAGACCCCTCGAGCCTTCTGGAGCCTCAGAGATCAGTATCCGGCGACATTTCTTCTCCAGAGGATGCCGACGTCAAAACACCTCTGTCATCCAATGATGACATGCTCAACGCCACTCAAGATGCATCCGATCTCGAAATGACCCGAAGTCCCATGGAAATGAGCGAGCCAGAAAAGCCCACCCTGGCCTTGAGATTGAGGACTTCCGATGTTGCCGCCGAGCGTCTAGCGATGTTACAGCAAGCCTTGAATATACCCGAACTCCCGCCGATGCCACCCTTCCGCACGCTCTCTGTCGAATCATCAGTCGCGCAAGTCACAGCTTCGGCTGAAGACCAACGGTATCAGGATGTCATCTTTCAAAATATGCAAAACCACTACATGAATTTGTTTACGACGCGGAATTTGTCCATCCGCAATACTACCGGCACGTGGACTGCTACTTCGGACGATGCCCTGGCCGATAGGTTTTACTATTCCATGTACCATGGCTATTCATTTCTCTGGAACGGCCAGCGGGATCGGGCATTTGACAATTTCTACAAAGCCTTTGCGCTCATCGAAGGTCTGTTGAAGGATGATCACGTTGGCTTCATGATTTACATCTTTGACCTGATCATCCGACATGATGGAACTGGATATGAAGAACCGTTACTAATGCTTTTACAACACTTGGCCGACATGGCTAAAACCGTTTTCGAGTCCGAAGATCACCCCATCTATGTTATTGCCATGCACATGCACGATGCCACGGCTTCGCGAGCTTGGTTAGCCGAGTCCACTTTGCGTCGATTGCTTGATTTCTTCCAAGATAGCATAGGATATTTCCACCCCGAAACGATCGCCTTACTGCAGACCTTCGCAAGTGGTCTCCTAAATCGAGAACATTTCGCTGAAGCCGCCGTCAGATTCCAGCAATTGGTTGATGCTTTTGAAACCACTGTGAACAAACGATGCTATGAGGTCTGCTATGCTTTGCGGTCCACTTCTGAAGCCTTTTTCCACATGGAAGACTACATGCGAGCACTTCAAGCCATCAAGGCGTCCCTGGAGCGGTCACAGACGTTGCCACGCACTGAGGAACGTGAGATCTATGTCCGATGTCTGCGAGGACTGGCCGAGATCTCGAATAAGCTGGGTCGAAAGGACGAAGCCAATGAAACCATGCAATATGTGGTGGATATCTGCCGTGACGCATTCGGACCTGAACATCCATTCACGAATCGTGCTAGGATGCATCTCAAAACGATTTTAAAAGGCGACGCATCAAGTGTCTCTGCGATCCCACCAGTCGTTTACAGATTAGGGCGAGGTGGGAGTGCCGCCAAATATATCTGGATTTCTCGGTCAAGTCCTACTCGACTGCAGGCTTAAAAGCGACCAAGGGGCTTAAGCACTCAAGAGAAAACCGAAAACGAAAACAAAGCAAGAGGCACGACTGTTACGAAGTTTCATGACCGGGGTTTATTGGGAATGTTTTCTCGTCCACCTTTCACAGCTTTTACATACCCTTTTATCGTTGCATGGTTTTTGGGGAGAGAGCGAGTCCCCGGTTGGGCCTATTAGGCATTGGAGTGTTCACAGCACACGAGTACATGTCTCAACAAGGAAAGATTGGCTATGGCCTCTTATTTCGCTGGATGCTTTGACAGTCTCAAGGCTGTATGTTTCTTTGTGGGTGGCTGGCGGAGCATCTGCGCGACCGTTGAAAGTTTGATTGCTTGGTGGGTGCGATGGGTCAACCCGTGAATTTCGGAGTGCTTGGGGGGTGGACATGCGATCTCATGTCGATTGCGTACAACATCCAGGAGGGGTGTTCATCGAAAAGATCGGCATGAGAGGATGGAGTGACTACCTAGGTACTCGTCCTCCTTGCAGACCTGTGAAGCGCAGAGACACCAGGCGTACAATATAAAGGGGGCCACCTATCTTGGTCGACACTGGGACAGATGGCAACGGCACTTTGGTGAGACATCGGACTGCAAGTGGCCAGGGATGGTGGAGGGCCGCAGGCTTTGTCCCAAGCCCGGGCCTAAAGCGAAGAGATTTGGGGGCTGATTACAACATTGTGCGCCTTGTGGTGGGGCTGCTCGCACGACTCGCAGGAGGACTTTAGGCGACCCGAATTTAGCAGCAGGTGCAGCAGGTGCAGCAGTCTGGCCTCTCGTGCCTCTTCTTCTCAGAAGGATTAGTGGCCGTGGGAAACTTCCGGGGGCAGCCTCCACTGCTTCAGTGCCTCGTGCCTGGCTCTAGACCCTTGTCCCTGGAGTCTTGACCCCCAGGTTATTGCCCGTAGCACAAGACCTACCTTGGGTAGGTACCTAGTAGGTATTCTTCTTGTTGCCGGCAAATGCCCTTCTGCGGTTAGATGCACAACTGTCCTGGTGTCTTTTTCCGGCTCTATCTTGTCCGTTCGTGCACGTCGACCTCCATGCCGTAATAACAAAAGGCTAAAGCGGACGAAATGATGACAGCAGACTCGAGATTCAGGGGGCTTTATATTTCCTGTACGGACTCCCGCGTAGCCTACGCCAGCCGTTGGCGGCCCTCCACATTTGGGTGGTCTCTCCCACTAGTTTGGGAACCATTGAGCCCCCTCTTCAGCCCACCAGTCACACTAATTTATCGTACAACGACGAGGAAACCAGCTCGGACTCGGCTCCGGATTTGTTTGCGCCGGGTTGTTTATTGATCGTTTCGCACTCACCGCGATTTTTCTGCAGACTCAAGAACGATATATTACAAGCGCAGTCTGCCTTGGTCAACAGAAGATACGCTTTGAACCACTCCTAACCCGATTTCATATCCCATTTGCCCGTCATGGCGTCCGCATCGGAAAAGTACTACATTAAAGATGCAATCACGAAACCAGCCATCCACCACGAGTCATTTCAGAAACTATGGGAGACCAAATGGAAGGGACCTGTACGTGGAAATCGCAAGAGAACGGTGACTGACAATGGCTCACAAATTGCTTGACAGTGTGCAATGGGTGTCTATCCATTCATGTTCGGCAGCATCAAGGACTTTGAGCCGATTGCGGAGGAGATCATCAAGGTGCCCCTTTACAACTCCTTCTCTCCGATTACCTCCGCTGAGTCCCTCTGCAGAGAGGCTTGAAAGAGCCGTACGACTGGGATGAGTACGCCCAGATATATTTCCCCAAGGCCGAAGAACTCAGCAAGATTGCCGAAGAGGCGGAGAAGGCGGGTGAGATAGAGAAGGCCTCAGAGTATTATCTGCGGAGCTCTGCTGTCTACCGTGTCTCGCGCTTCCCTACACCCCGGGGGGAGAAGCAAAAATATGCCTGGACGATCGGGAAAGAGATGTTCTACAAGGGCACAGCGTTAGTGATGTCTCCAATTGCGCAGTTTCGTGCCGACGACTGACTGAGGATGGTAACAGTCTGTTGGAGCATCCTATCAAAGAGGTCCGGATCCCTCACAAGCATGCCATCCAAGGGGAGGGTGATGTCGTTCCGGTCAACTTTCTCGTCCCTCCGAATGCTTCCCCTCAGTCTCCCGCTCCGTGCGTCCTCATCATCACCGGGCTTGACGGCTATCGAACCGAACTGGCAGTGTGGCAGGAGGGCTTCCTTCAGAAAGGGGTGGCTACGATCGTCGCCGAGATCCCAGGCACTGGCGACTCACCGGCCCTTCGTCAGGATCCCACAAGCCCTGACCGTCAATGGTCCAGCGTGCTGGACTGGATTGACACGCAAAAGGAAATCGACAGCAAGAAGATCATTGCCTGGGGCTTCTCGACTGGTGGCTACTACTCGCTTAGACTAGCCCACACCCACCATGACCGACTCTTCGCCAGCATCAGCTTGGGCGGCGGATGCCATCACGTAAGTTCATTTTCCGTCTATTCCCTGCAAGGCGCAGTCAAGTCTTTTGTGAGGTTGACTTGGATCTCAGATGTTTGACCGGGAGTGGCTCGAAAATGTGAACAAACTGGAATACCCTTTCGATCTCGCCACTACTTTGACGTACAAATTCGGCTACCCCGACCTGGAATCCTTCATCCAAGACGCTGGAAAATTCTCGTTATTGAATGACGGCACCCTGGAAAAACCGTGTACCAAGGTATTGCTGGTAAATGGAAACGACGACGAAATCTTTCCGATTGATGACCTGTTTGTGGCTCTTGAACATGGCGGACCGAAGCTGGCAAGAATGGTCAAGGGCAAAAAGCACATGGGAGTAAGTGTCCAACAAACATGTCACACCCCCATCAAAGGAGTCCCCGTCCGATCATCGTATGTGCTTTGACTGCTGAAGCTAACCTTTTAAATAGGAACCGGACAGTTTCTTCATAATCTTGAAGTGGATCTATGGAGTACTTGGCATCCAAGGCAACATAATGGACCAGATGAAGCTGTTGCCCTCGCGCACCAAGTATTAGCTAAAGGCATGTGGAACCATGGCGCCATCAGTCCGTCTTCTTGTATTTACTTTCTGGCGTGGAGTGTATTACAGCTCAAAGTGGTAGAGTTTAGATGGGTCGAGAAAGGCAAAGGACAGCACCATGCGGACGGGAATCGGTAGAGCTATGGAGTACAGGGAAAAGCAGTGCGGTAGCATCCCAGATTTACAGTACTGTTTGTCGATGAACACCTGCTCTTTCAAATCCGTGTCTATCTGCTCTGTACCGAATATTATTACCTCGTACCTTTTGGCAGTCGGCTACGTCTCTGAAGCTAGAGGCAAAGCCGACCTGGGCCATGTGCGGCGCGATTGCTCGATTTGTACTGGCCCTTAAGGATGCCTATCTCTTATCTGCCTACCTAGCTCGCTAGGTACCTAGGTAGGTAACAGCCCATGCACCCGGTAACGGGCACTGGTGGTAACAAGCAATGCCTATCAGTGAGCTAGTGGGCTCATGCATTGGCGGCGATCCTCGGGCGGAACAGCCTAAGTGGTAATACACGCGACTTCCTGGCTTTTTCGTTCGCGCAGCTCGTTGATCCTCAAGGAAAATAGCCTGTTTCTTTCCGTTGATCCCCTCCTTCTATAACTTCGTGATATAGCCCATATTCTTGCGTGGTCGCAGATGCTTCCAACCTGGTTGCGTGTGCAGTCTTTAAAGTTCTGGGCTGATACAAGTTGGTCCTTGTCCTTGGTGTTTGCATTGAGACCTTTGTTATTCGCCTGCACGCCCGAATCTGTGCTCGATTCCCCACCAGCTTCTCAAAATTATGCTCTCACATCGGCTCACCTGAGCTCACCACCCACGCAGTCGCAATCCGGATTGTTCCGCGGGATGAACTTGTTCATTCCCATTTCTTGATGACTGTTGTCGCTCGGTTCCTGAGACTGGCCATATAAAACTTCCCAACGGACGGCGAAGCCGCATCGCGAATCCTGTTCCAAGCACTGGCTCTCCTCTGCTCACACCATGGTCCCTGTAACAAAGGCCTTTCGGCGGGCGAGCACTGCCAATTTCTTCGACAGTGGGAGCTCAAGTGGCGAGTCCTCCAGAAGACCCTCAGCGGCAGACATATACACTTCTCGACGCCCGAGCCTTGCGGCCCTGTCCCTACGGCTCTCGTCATGGTCGAAAAAGTCACATTCGTCAAAGAGATGCGAGGCGGACGCCGGCTCTTCGTGAGTACTTTTGCATGGGGAAACCGCAGATTGAGACGGTTGTGATGCTTATATGTAATCTGACAGGGAAAGGTTATGGGATGCTGTGCTATCCTTGCCGGACGAGATCACAGCTCAAATCCTCTGCCATCTGTCTGTGTCCGACTTTCTTAGCCTTCGTTCGACGTCTCGCTCTGTCCACCTCTACTTGCAGTCTCACGCTGGTCCAGTCTCGCGGTCTCTGCTTCTTCAAAATGCATATGATCGGACGACGGACTATGAGGGCAACATCAACGATGAGAAGGCGAAATTCCTCTACAACTACCTCCACACATTGTACCCTCCGCCACAACCCTGCGATTCCTTCGATTATTTACTCCAGATGCTGAAAAGACAAGCACAAGTTGAAAGAATGGTCCAGGTCCTCATCAACTGGATCCAAATGAAAGTATACGTTATCCCGAAGTTCAAACGATGTGACAATTTCAACCCGTACAAGTTCAAGCTGATGAGGCGGCTCCATCTGCCAACGTGGACCATATATCATTTTCTAGAATGCTACCGGACAATGCTTGTCACAGAGCATCCTTATCATCCAAGACCCCAGTCGGCTTCTTCTGAACAAGACAACTCCAGCATACCCTGCCGTTCCTGTGGCCAATATGTCAGAGATCTCCTGCGCACATACCCGGGGACCGCAATCATCCCTGCCTATCACTTCTTCGAACTCTGTCGCCAACACCTCCGCGCTTTGAGCCGAGCTCCCTCGGCAGGGATAATCCGATCTCGTAAGCCGCCCAGTGAAGCGGACCTCGTACAACTTGTTGTTTTTGGCGGCATTCCTGAGCTGAGTAAATTGAGTCTGCTCAAAGGCTCGTCAAATCAGCGAATCGAAGTGATTGGGACCTTTGTGGATAAAATCTCGAGCGCAGCGATACAGCAGAGGATAGGACGAAAAGCCTCCCCCTCTTCGCAATCCCAAGTGTCTTTACCGAGCACTGCTTTACGGGCCTCGTTCGACGACCTCGTTGCCCCTCTTCAGCCACCCTTTTCTCTCATCCATCATCATACCATATCAGCCATACCAGAGCTCGAAAATTTCATCATTGACTCGGATGAGTGGGTCACTCGGATGTATGAGCTCGTCAGACCGGGTGACCAAATCGTCAGTGCGTGGGGATTCATCACGAACATTCTGGCAGGAAAGAGCGACGATGTCGAAGATTCTGGGGCTGAAACCGGGGCGGAAAGTGATCTCGACTTTCTGGCGCCTGTTAAAGACTTGAATACCTGAATCAAGAGACAGGGAATATTGGGGTGGTGAGTCACCGCTTCATCTAACACAGAAAGAATCGTATAGCATGTTCTGGGATTTGGCTCGCCTCCCGACATCAGTGTAGCACCATCAAGCTCATGATTTGAGTGCAATTACCCTACAATCCATCATCCAGACATCCGTCCCGGTGAAGTCAGACCGCTTCATCTGGCCTCGATGTCGGACTCGGCAACCATTTGCCAAGAGGTCACCAAGGACAATTGGCCAACGCAATTGCGAGAATCCCTTAAGGGCGGAGAGACGAGGATTGGCTCCGACGTGATGACGAAGGTCCCAGCGTCTGAAATTCAGGTTCGAAGAAGCCAGTAGCTATATGAGCAGGAGTGTGATCAAAGGATGTAGCACGGGGGTTTGTCTTCAGTGGTCAACGAAGATCACGGTGGTAGCCGAAGGTATACCAGTACGCTTGCCAAATCACGGATGCAGGTGATGGCTAGCCTTGTAGACGTGGATTTATTATTCAGCTGAAAGGTACCTGGGCTGTATCAAATGCAGCCAGCTAGGTAGTTAGATACACACTCATCTGACCTATCTGACCAACCCAGGTAGGTAGATATCCATGCTTTCGCCAGAAGTTGATGTTCCATCCAATACCTAGGTAGTGTAATGCAAATCGCTCTCTTTCCATAGTAACAGTATTTCGAGGTTCCCCAGAACGCATCTTTCCTGTTTCTCGTTCTCGTCTCGTCTGGCCCTCGTCCGCGCAATCCCCTTCATTCATTCTCATTTCGGCGACACATAGTAAGGTACGTTATAATGCACGGTAATATTAGATCCAAATATGCTCCCCTCCAACAACCCAAGCACAATTTAGAGGCCCCTGAAAGAGGATCATCACAACCAGTTCTGACCTCTCGTTCTCCTGCCCTCCTTCTCCCCCCTGTACATGCCTTTCTTCGAGGTGGGGATGCCCATACCGATCAGACTGTCCATCATCATGACACCGGCCTCGACACTGTCAATGACATTGACGGTCCTGCGGCCGTCCTCGTCCCTGACCGCGTCCTTGGCCGCGCGGACCATGTCCACCATCCCCGCGCAGCCCAGTAAGATTGTGTCGGCGCCCTTCATGACCAGCGCGCGAGCGCAGTGGGCCACGCGTTTCGCGACCTCCTCGCGGGGCCGGGATTCGAGCTCGAGCACGCCGAGGTGGGTGGCCTCGCTGCCGACGTAGAAATGCGAGAGTCCGTAGGCGGCGATGTCGTCGTCCTGCTTGATCCTGGAGCGCTGTGCCGTGGCGACGATGCCGAAGCGGCCGCCGAGCATGCGCGCCACGTAGACGCTGGCTTCCATGATGCCGATGATGGGGACGTCGTACGACTCGCGCAGAGCGTCGATGAGCGGGTGCTTGCTGAAGCAGGCGACGATCATGCCGTCGTAGTTTTGCACCGTCTCCCCGTTGGAGGCGGCGTGTTTGGCCAGGTCTCGTAGCACGGCTTCCGTGGACATGATTGCATCTGTCGTGGACTCAATGGCTGTGGGGGCCGGGTACGGGGCGGTGTAGCCTGTCACCTCAACGCCCTGGGGAATGACAGGTCGCAGGGATTGGAGCATGGCATCGGTCATGGAGCGCGTCGAGTTGGGGTTGATCAGCAGGATTTGATGCGGGCGGTTGCGTGGCGGCGAGGTGATGGGTGGTGAGAAGGGGGATTTGGCACTGGTGGGGCGGGTGCTGGGACCACTCCCTCCGCTCCCCGTGGGCATTGACGGCATGGGCCCTCCCATTGAGCCGGGGCCACCAGAAGCGGCGGAGCGGGAAACTGGGCGGGACGAGGAGCCGGCATGGCCGCTGTGCTGGGCGAAGAGTGGTTGGACGGATTGCTGGGGAGGTGAGTTTGGCATGGGCGGCGCGATGGCGATTGGATAATTCTGACCGAGGGTGCTGCTTCGAGAGCGCGAGCCCGGTGGCCCATCGGCGAAAGGGTTGGCGGAAGAGGTAGATTGCTCATTGGTGGGCGACTGGGGAGGGAAGTAGTGGCTGGGAAAACGAGCACTGGTGTAGCTGGTCATGTTGGCCGACGACGATGAGGACGCTGCCTGTGGTTGTTGGGGCAGCGGCGGCGATTGAAGAGGCGGCGACTGAGCACCAAAATTGCCAGATCCGGGGGCTGATGAGACGCGCTGATAAGAGGACATGGCGGGATCTGTCTCAAGCTGCTCGTAGCTGGAGAGAAGAGCCTGTTGTGGTTGAGGAGAGCCAGATCTCGATCCGCCAGGCCGCAAGGAGAGGGGATGGTCGTCTTGCTGAGGTTGAAGGATGGTGGGAGGTGATTGGGTTTGTTGTCCTTGTAAATCGGCCATGGTTTATCGTCCTTTTTTTTTTGTGTGTGTGTGTATTTCCCCTTCCTTGGTATGCGGCCAAATGAGCCAGACGCGAGTGTCGGAGTTGCTAAGCGAGTTTGACCTTGTGCTGGCGAATATTGTGGTGCTGTGGTGGCCGACGTTGGCGCCCCCCTCGCCTCGTGGGTTTGGGCTGCTCGGGCTGGGAGCTTTTTGGCTTTGGCTGTGGACCAGGAGCAAGCCTGTTTTACCTGTTTTATCCTCCGACAACGCCAATTGGAGACCAGTCGATGCCAATAATGACGTGCTCGACGCCCACGGCTTCCAGGGGCAACCCAGTTGATGTCAATGTCGAGATGGACTCGGACAAGTTTAGGGGACACGGGGACACGACGAGAAGAAGAGGAGATGAAAACAATAGAGAAGCCCCATAAAAGAGGTTCAACTTAGCTTTTCTCGTTTAATTTCCATCTCGAGCAGCAGCTGAGGCGGAGCTGACCCGCGCAGGTAATTGCGATGCGGGATAGGGGAAGATGCTGCTCAGAGGCTCAGACAGCCTCAGGCCGGCAATCTCAAAGGGGGCAGCAAAAGAGGGCTAGAGCCGTTGGTGCCGTCGGACATTCCCAGGCTATATTTGGGTGTCGCTTATCAGGCCGGGATCTGAGGAGCACGGCAGACGATATCGCCAAGTGCGTGGTAGACTACTAGCCCAAGCCATGGTTGTCGACGGTCCAGGGCCTAGGGGACGGCGGTGAGCGGGGGTGCAGGTGTATAGGGGTATGAGGTGGGAGGCCACGAGGGGCAGGATTTACCTAGGTACTCACTCGTACAAGGACTCGGTACCTAGATAATTAACAGTGGAAGGGCCACTCGGGCTGGTGAGGCTCCAGGAGCTGTACCGTAGCCTACCTAGGTACTCTACCGAGCACCTGGGCAAGTACTCTTAGGTACCACCGTCACTAAAGGCCACCCCTGAGACTTCACAACCCTCTGGCACATTTCAGAGGCGGCAGTATTTATACGAGCAGAGACACTCATCCTCCTGGATCCCTGCCTCACTGCCTGCAGCCCGCCATATATATCCCGAATCACAACAGATCCGGTTCAACCACGCCCGTCTGTTCCACAATCCGCCCGTAATGCTCGGTTCTGCGGTGCCTCTCAAAGGCAAACACCTTCTCCTTGCCGCGGCGGCACATGCCCAGGTCGATTTCGGCCACAATGAGCTCGTCCTCCTCTGTCTGTGCCTCCACCACCACCTCGCCGTCGCAGTCGACAATGCAGCTGCCCCCAATTAATGGGTACTTGCCGTCCTCCACTCCGCATTTGGCCACGTTGATGCTGAAGCAGGCGTTGGCGTAGCTGTTGTACGTGATGCACAGCTTGTTGTGGAACAGGGCCTCTGCCTTTGCCTTTTCCGGGGTCGAGGTCTTCTCGTTGGTCCCAATCAGTTCCGGCGCCCACGCCGTCGTGTTATATCCACATAACACTAGCTCCGCGCCTTGCAAGCCATACGGCCTCCACGCCTCTGGCCAACGTCGGTCGTTGCAGATGAGCATGCCGATGATGGCGTCGCCTTTGCCCAGACTATCGGCCTCGTTGGCCTTTGCGCCCGATTTCGAGCTCAGCGCACCAGAAATCAACCCTGGCGCCCGGAATGCCTCGAAGCCCAGATTTCCCGGGAGGAAGTATCTCTTCTCCAGCTGGTTCGTCGCGTCTTTCCGCTCGTAAGGCTCGAACGTGCCCGGTAAGTGGACTTTTCGGTACTTGGAAATCACTTTGTCTGCCGCGCCAGAATAGTAGACGGCGGTGTTGTAATGAACATGTTCGCCTTCGCTCGACTCGGCGGCGTGTTCGGCATACCCTAGATACATGTCCATCTTATACTCTCGAGCCCGGTCAAAGAGAGGCTTCAGGTTCGGCAGCTTGGTCGCGTCCCCATCCACCTCCTGCTCGAAGTATTGTTCCAGCTCATCCCCCTCCAGGATATGGCGAGGGAAGAATGTCACTGGGGCGATCTCAGGATACACAATCAACTGGGCATGCTTCTGGTGCGCGTCGTCCATCAGTTTGAGCATTCGCTCGATCCCCTCGGATCGTGGAGTGTCAACATTGATTGGGCCCAGCTGGGCACCAGCGACAATGACCTTGCGGCTCGACTCTGCAGTGTGCCCAGCGCTGGGGGCCTGGATTGAACCCATGTCGGTGGACTGTCCAGTACTTCACTTGCTTGGGGTTTGTCTCGAATACACACCAAAGAGATCAAAAGGAGATTCGCGTCCGAGAGAACCTAGTCCTCTGTCTGTTCCACGTCTAATCGGCAGCCTTGGGTCACTGCTGCTGTCAGCCACCGGTTCTGAAGTGATCTATTTTCTTTGTTTCTGACTTTTTACCTTATACTCTCATTGCAAATCGGTACCGTTATCAAAGAACCCCATCCGGTTGCCGTGTACGCTGTTGTCCGTCTCGCACAGGGCTCCATGAAAGGACATCCACGCTCTGTGGTTACCCACCAGTTACAAGTCACCACAGCACGCCGCGGCCATCAGCGCGATTTCAATGGATGGGTCAGGCAGGGCTCCAGACACTCATTGTAAAGGGTCACGGCCGCCATGATGAAAAGGTTTGGAAAATGTACGAGATGACTCAAAACAAAAACACAAAAAGTTTTACAACTAATATTATCGTCTCTCCTTCCTCTGTGCCTTTTAATACATGTTGACTCCGTAATTCGGCTGTAGATATAGATTTCATTCATATCTTTTGCTTGACAAGAGGAGCGGTTTGACACCTCCCCTCATGGCCTTATCCAGCGTTGGTGGTGCACTGGTGTCGGCGATTCACGCGCATCCATTATTGACCATCTTGCTGCTGCCGCTGACCGCGCTCGTCCTGTGCGTGCTGTACCGGATCTCTCCTCTGCATCCGCTATCCCATGTGCCCGGTCCCTTGTTGCCTCGGATCTCGTCGCTATGGCTGACGTACCACGCGTGGATCGGCGACGAAGCGAGCATCGTCGAGTCCCTGCACCAGAGATACGGCGCGATCGTGCGCAATGGACCCAACAGCGTCGACATCTCTGACGGGGCCGCGCTGGCCGCGATATACACGGAAAGGGGCGGTTTCGTCAAGCCCGCGTTTTACCAAAACTTTGCCCTGCCGGACTCGACGCAGATGCACAACTCGATCTTCTCCGAAGTCGACCCTGCGGTGCGCGCCCCCCGCGCAAAGGCCGTCGCCGTCCTGTTCTCGACATCGAGCCTGAGGCAGAGCCAGGACGTCATCTACAAGTGCGTGGATCGGTTTGTGGCGCGCTTGGCCGAGGGCAAGGAACAGAGCGAGCATGGAGGCAGCGGCGCGCTGAATGTGCTGAACTTGACGCGAGGTCTCGCTGTCGACGCCGTGTCGTCGTATCTCCTCGGCACCACCTACGGGGCACTTGACGAGAAATCTCACGGGCAGCAGCACGAGAAACGCCGCGAGCTGGCCGAGCCCATCAGCGCCGCTGGCATGGTCGATTGCTTTGTCGCGGTCGGCCGGTTCTGGTACCTGCCTTCCTGGGCGTTCAAGATCGTGGAGGGGTTAGACGCCTGGTGGAACGCCGACGAGGAGGTGTCGCAGAGTCTGGCACGGGTGGACGAATTTGTGGCGAGGGTGGTCCGCGATGCCGAAACAGCGATAGCAGCTTCGCAGTCTACTGACAAGCCGACTGCTACCTCAAGCCATCCGTTGACGTCGTACCCAGCCCGGCTGCTTCAGGCCGGGTTCACACCCTCGGAGACACGCGCGCAGTGCAAGGACCTCATCTTCGCGGGCACGGACAGCACGGGGATGAACCTGGCCACAATCTTGTTTCTCCTCGCGCGCCACCCGGAGTGCTACGAGAAATTGCGCGCCGAGGTCCTTTCTCACAAACCGGGCTTCGACGACCTCCAGACCCTGCCTTACCTGCGCGGCGTCGTCAAGGAGGGCCTACGCCTCTCCATGGCCAACCCGTCGCGCCTGCCCCGCGTCGTCCCCCAGGGAGGCTGGACTTTCAGTGACCAACATTTCCCCGCGGGCACCGAGGTCAGTTGCACGCCCTATTCGCTGCACCTGAACCCCCGCGTGTTTCCCGACCCTCAGGCCTTCCGTCCCGAGCGCTGGCTCGAGCCCTCCGACGAAATGGTCCGCGACGCCATCCCCTTCGGCCTGGGCAGTCGGCAATGTATCGCGCGCAACCTGGCGACCGTGGAGTTGTTCTGCGCCGTCGCGCGCGTCGCTGAGGTGGATATCCTGCGCGGGGCCAGGACGCTGACTTCCAACATTGAGATCCTCGAGTGGTTCAACAGCAAGGTCGTCGGGGAGAGGATTGACTTGGTCTGGGCGCCATAGAGGTTTCAAGGTTTGGGGGAAGGGCGGAGGGCGAAAAAGCACATGAATGAAAAGGGGATCATGTCAAAGAATTAATTACTTCTTCTCATTTTGGGTCAGCAATGATTTGATACCACTGTGTTGGAGAGCACTGATTGATCCATGATTGGGATTATCACGGCATGCGGATAGAGGTTGCCTTCGAGGCTCTGCTTCTGACGCCTCTGTAGCGTCTGTGAACCCTTTCATCCCTCTGCATGCACAACCTACCCATCTCACCTACTGGCAAGCAAGCATACCACCGCTCAAGTTCTTCAAAGATTCTTGCTCCCTTGCCATAGGTCCGTGACATGCCGCTCTTCGTTTTCTAGATCATCTTTGACTTCGGAGTGATGAAAGCCGAGACATCAATGAGGCACAATCTGACACAGAGTGCTCAAGAACGACAACGCGGCCGGCATCTTAGAGACGGCTAGTGTTTAGTAATAAGTGCTCGTAGGGATCTCGCTGTAATTAATATCTAAGAGCAGATGAAATACCACGAATACCCCTCGATCCGTAGATGGAAATAGCATTGACGTCATTCTCAGTACAGATCATCAAGCGGAATTTCCATGCATCTGAAGGCTTTGACAAGTACTCAATTCAACACTGGGGCTAACAGCCGCGTCTTTCTCTGCCTTATACACAACACACACTCTCCTGCCGGCGACTGTGGATTTCGGCTAAACTCGTACCAACATTTGGAGCCGCCCGGCCATGCACCAAGAACCAAGGCAATTCCGCGCCCAAAGCTGCCACTGACTCCCTTCCTCCACGCAAGCTCGATATACATTGTGCATAAGAGCCTGTTTGAACAAGAGAAGAACTAAAAACCCTACTGGATGTCGCAGAGCAAGGAATGCAGCCAGCCCGATTGCACTAAGCACGCAATTCCAATATCCAATCCAACTCATTCCCAATCCAACAACGGGCACGCGATTGAGGGGTTTTGTACCTCCGTCTGCCACAAAAGGGAGAGCAAGGGCCCCACGAGAAGTAGCGTCATGTTCAGATCCGGCCATGGAGGCTCAGGAACCGACTGGGGCAATGCCTTCGATTTGACAAATTTCGCCAATAACTAATCAGCCCCTCTGCAGCCACGTTCGAACAACAGGCCGATAAGCTTAGCAGCTCCCAACTGACTAAGCTTGTGCATGAACCTGAGCGAGTTAGGAATACGACGCACCCAATGCTCGTCCAATGGCTGCAACATCGCTGAGCTGAGAGTGGTAATGGTCTTGTCCTCACTGGCTCGCTCCACCATGCCTGCTGACTGATGGCTGCTGGGTATTTGACATTCCGGCCTCTTGTTTGGCTTCTCATGGGATCGAAAGCACTCCAGGTGTGGTATATAAGCATGGAAGAACCATTCAAAGCGAAATGAAGAAAAATACCGAGAAGGAGAAGCTGTCTTCCTTCGGGACCATATCTCCTCTTGCCTCTGCGATATATCACATTCCCAATCGTCTTCAACATGCCTCTCTCTACCAACGACAAGACTAATGAGACCGCTTCCAACCTGGTCAAGACATTACAAGGAGCATTCCACACACCACCAGGCTTCAGACCAGGTATGTTTTTATTCCCTATATCACATGTGGGACCAATACTTTGGAATCTCAGACTGACTCAACTCGATCAGCCCACGCCCGAGGGATTCTCCTCAATGGCACATTCACACCCACCTCGGAAGCAGGCGCTCTAAGTTCGGCGCATCACTTCAATGCCAGCTCGACACCTATCATCGTACGATTCTCAAACTCGACTGGCATCCCACAAATCCCCGACAACGCAGGCGATGCGAACCCACGAGGTATCGCCGTTCGGTTCGTCCTGCCCGAGAAGAACGGACGGCGCCAACACACCGATGTCATCGCGCACTCGACGCCTTTCTTCCCCGTCCGCACGGGCGAAGATTTCCTCGAACTTCTGGGAGCGATCGGCGCGTCTTCAGCACCGGACGCCCCCAAACCGTCGCCGATTGAAGTCTATCTGGGTAAGACGCCCTCGGCGGCGGCATTCGTCAACGCGCCGAAACCCACCCCAGCGAGCTTCGCCACGGAGAAGTATTTCGGACTCAATGCTTTCAAGCTCGTCGCGTCGGACGGCAAGGGCACGTTTGTGCGATACCGCATCACGCCGGACGCAGGCGAGTCGCACTTGACGGACGAGGAAGCCAAGGCCAAGGACCCGGCGTTCCTGCACAACGAGATCCAGACCCGTATCATCGACGGCGGCGCGTCCTTCACCTTGTGGGCCCAGGTCGCCGAGGAAGGGGACCCGACCAACGACATCACGATCCACTGGCCCGAGTCGCGCAAGCTGGTCAAGCTGGGCACCATCAAGCTCGAGGCCATGGCCGACGACAACGACGAGAAGCAGCGCACCATCATCTTCGACCCCGTGCCACGCGTCGACGGCGTCGAGGCGAGCGACGACCCAATCATCGACATGCGAGCCAGCATCTATCTCATCTCCGGCCGCGAGAGGAGAGCCGCCGGGCCTCACCACTAATCAATAGGGAGCATAAGTGAACGTGGGGGCATGCGAAGTCAATAAAGCAGCAGCAGGATCAGGCTGTGCTGTGCCGTGACATGATGTGTTGAGGTGGGATGGACCGGGGTCGATACTGTACTGGCCCATGTTTCTGCGCTCGAATGTAGCGCCATAATTGAAATCTCTTGTTCTTCCTGCTATCCATACCTTGCGCAGTTTGTCCCTACCTACCTATCCATCTACCTACATATGCAAATGGGATACGAAATCATACAAGGATACTTTTCGCAACCCTCTTGAAGTTGCCTCTTGCTTTCGTGGTCGTCGTAGGTTGTGCTAGTTGTTTTCTTTGATCGGAGGAGAGCGTGGGCGTTTCAAGCTACCTCCTTACTGGCGAGGAAGGGGACGGGCGTCGAAGTACATGTGGGTGCACTGCTGCAAAAAAGGAGAGGGGTCGGAAACTCGATCTGTTCGACAGTAATTCCATCCCCTGAATATCTTGCACGATGACCGTGTTTTTCATTTCCGGAGGTTTTCCCATTTGCCTGTCCAACCCCTTTCAAGGATGCTTGATAAGATGCTCACTTGGCGAATGTGTTCACGGGCAATCGATAGACGTCGATGGTCCAGTACGGCCTCCTCGTCCCTTCCCATGCCTTACTGCCGTGGAGGCCGGCGGGGACGGCGATGTCTTCCCACGCGGTGTCGAATCCAGCTTGGCGGAGATCGATTTCTGCAACCTATATTTGGGTTTTCCCCAACCCCGGTCAGCTTCTTTTCTCTCTTGTTTTTTCCCCCCCAAAATCTCAATCCCTTTCTCTGAATATATATATATATATATAGGGGGAGAAAAAAAACACATACCTTGGTGTAGACGTCGTAGCAAATCTGCCGATCCGCGCCGAGTCCGTTGTACCACCCGAATCTACCCTGGGGACTTAGAAGTTGGACGACATATTCGGAGAAAAACTCGCGCAGAGCGGCGTAGTCTTCGGCAAAGGTGTCGTAGTAAATCGCGTCGAGCTGCAGGGTACCCTTCTCGACCAAGCCGGGGAGGACATCCTGCCACCTGCCTTCGTGGATGGTGACGTTGGGCCTCTCGTACCACCCCTGGTCGCGCAGCCGCTGGAGAACCTGCGGATGCGCCTCGACGATGTGGTGTTCTCGTGGATGGTGCGTTTGGATCGCCGTGTCGACGATGCCCATGCCGTGGCCGACGTTCATGACCTTGAGGTCTGGAGCGGGGATCAGGGAGGAGGCGTGGCGCTGCATGATCTGCGTCTCCCAGTCCATCATCACGGCGTTGTCGGATTCGTCGAGCAAGATCCCGGGCTTGTACCGGAGTTGGCTTTTCAGGTACGCGCGGTTGTCGAGCGAGACGTCGTCGAGGACTTTCTTCTCTTCGACGGCTTGGTCCTCGACCGCTTGGGTTGCCCCGTTGGAGAGTTTCTGTCTCTTGGACGCAGGCGCTCCGTCGTTGCTGCCATCGTCGTCTTCGTGTTCATCCTCATCCTCATCTTCATCACCCTCGGCCTCGTCCTCGTCCTCGTCCAGCCCCAGGCTGGCCATCTTAGAAAACAGAAGCTCAGCCCTCACACCCGCGTCCACCATCATATCGTAGATCCTCCTCTGGCCCAGCCGTAGCGCAATGCACCCGGGCGTCTCATCCTGGCTGTTCAGATCGTTCCAAATGGCCCCGTTCTCGAGCAACAACTCCACCGTCCTGACCGCCGCGTCGTCGTCGCCCGCAGTCTCTTTCCCACCCTCACCCACACCCTCGGCGTTGACGTCTCCACACGCCGCGACTGCAGCGTGCAGTGGCGACGATGCCACCGGCGCCGTGGCATCCTGCACATTCGCCGACCCTCCTTTGAGAAGGACCTCCAGAGCGGCTACGTCGTGGCGCGCCGCGGCGGAGATGATGCGCCGAGCGAGGAGGACGTCGCTTTCTGAGACTTCCTCGGCGGTCATTTTTTTCTTCTTTCCCTTTTCTTTTGTTTACTTTGAGGGTCTTTGATCTCGAGGATATGGCAAAGGGCGATGTGTGACACCAGAGAGGAATGGGGGAAATTTTTGTGAATTTTTTCTAATGAAGTAGGTTAGGCGACTTGTTAGTTTGTTGCTAAACGGGCATCTACCAACCAGAAGTTCGCATAGTGTGACCATCTTCAGGAGCTCATGCCCTAGATGATGGTGGATACTTCTACTAAATTAGTCGATCCTCCAATGGCATCTTAACACCCTCCGATATAAATGGTAAACCCTCCCTCGATACAGCCTTGCGGGAGGCTGCGGATGATTATGGCTTGACGGCTTGTTACACTTTCCGAGAGTCACTCTGTGGCTCTTCACGCACACTGATATTGCTCGTCCGCTAGACTTCCGGCCGAACATCACGGCCTGGTTCCGTCAACATCAACTCTTTTGACACTGTTTCGTCTACATGCAGATCGTCCAGATAGTGATGATGACTGAGAACTTGAAACAACCCGCTGCGCAAATGGTCCGGTACCCAAGGCCAAGCAGGTTCGCAAGGGAGGCCTCGTCCAGTCGCGCCACCCTGCCAGATCAGCCTCTTCAAAGGCTAAGTATGTCTTAGGCCTGAGCGGTCTATGCTGTATGCTCAGAAGCTGCTCTCGCAATGTCAAGCACCCTTTTGAGTTTGAACCCGGCCCTGTGGAATCCTTCCCTTGTACTGCGGAATCCACTCATTCTCGAATTTACCTCTGGGCTGCCTGAGACTGTTCTCGACCCGCTTGACAAATCTGCCCAGGCTCTTCTCGCCGACCACGCCACCCTCGTTTCTGGCCCAGACCACCTCGCCTCGCAGAATCGTGTATCTCGGCCAATTCCCAAACCGCACGCCCTCGAATGGCGTGTAGTCGCACGTGTGATGCAGCATCTCGTTTTTCAGGTCAAACGGCTGGAAGGACGAGCCCGGTTTGCTATCGTTGTACCAAATGGTGATGTCGGCGTCGTATCCGGCAGCCAAGGTGCCCTTGGTGCTCAGGCCGTAGAGTCGCGCAGGGTTGGTGGATGTGACTTCGACGTACTTTTGAATACTGATCCGGCCGTCTTGCACGCCCTTGAAGATAAGCGGGCAGCGCGTCTCCACGCCAGGAAGACCATTGGGGATGTCCGTGAACCTAGAAACTCCATCCTTGAGCCCCATTTGCTTCCCCCGCGGGTGTTGGAACGAGAACGGGCAATGGTCCGAGGAGACTGTCGTGAAAGTCCCGTTGGCGATCCCCTCCCACAACGCGTTGAGATCGTCGTCGCTGTCCCGCAACGGCGGACTGCACACGTATTTCGCGCCTTCAAAGTCTTCGCCTCGAAGACGGTCCTTGAGTAAGTACAAATACTGCGGACACGTCTCCGCGTGGATCGGCAAGAGCTTGGTCTGCGCCTCGCGGATGTGTCGCGCGGCGATCGCGGAAGAAATGTGCACCAGGAGGATGGGTGTGTCCATTAGCCGGGCGAGCGAGATGGCACGGTACGTCGCTTCGTCTTCGGCGACTTTGGGCCGCGAGACGGCGTGGTAGTACGGATCGCCCTTCTTCTGTTCGTAGAGCTGCTCGATGATCATCTCAATCATATCCGCGTTCTCAGCATGCATCATGGTCGTCATCCCCAAAGCTCGAGTGGCCAGCATGATGTCGAGAATTTGACGGTCCCGGAGCTTCAGGGGGTCATAAGTCATGTACAGCTTGACAGAAGTGATGCCCTGTTCCACGAGAGTTGGAAGCTCCTCCTCGACAATGGATTTGGTCGGGTTTGTGAGAATCATGTGGAAACTATAGTCGCAGTAGGAGAGCCCTTCTGCCTATTTTTGGAGCCCAGATTAGAAAGCAGTACAAAAAGGGAGAGGAGGCTTCAAACTCACCTTCTTGTGATACGCTTCCACTACAGGCAGAACACTTTCATCAGTCTTCTTCTGGAACGCGAACGCCACCACAGTAGTGGTACCACCAGCAACAGCGCTCCTCGTCCCGTTTTCGAAGTTGTCGCCTAAGGCGCCATTGATGTGCTGGTCTAGGTGGACATGGGTATCGACACCCCCAGGCGTCACGTATGCCCCATCGGCGTCGATGACTCGCCTGGCCGAGAAGAGTCCCTGAAGAGCGCCAATGCATACAATCTTTCCATTCTTCACGGCGATATCAGATGCCGGCGGATAGATCAAGTCACTCGAAGAGACCTGTCAGTCATTGTGAGTACCGATTTGTTCTTCCAGACGCTTTCATGACCTACGATGACACCATTCGTGACCAAGAGGTCGCATTCCAGGGCAGTGGGCGCGTAGCTACCCATTGGTATGATGTGTTGAGGCCGAATACTGGCTGGTTTGTCTCTTTATGATGCTGTAGCTGGTGACTCGAAATTCGACGACTTCTGGTAACGCAAAGCACCTAGACTGGTGTCCCAGCCGATGATACTGACGACCGGAAAGTCCACATTGTCTTTCGCACGACCCATTGTACGACTTTTCGCCGTTGGGCTTGGGCGTCAGCCTTCGGAAATGCCGATAAAGCCTGTTAGATGCATCTGGACATCAACGTGCAATTCCACTTCCGAAACTATATGGTTGGCTTCTGGCAAACTTGACGTTGATTGGCCAATATCAAGGTTCATATCTGATCCGGGAGGGTACTGGGGCGTTGATCGGACATACTCCGCCCGCAATGCGCGTTCCTCCGAGATCTATCTTCCAGTGTTAGAAAGAACAACTGACTTGCTCTTCACTGATAATGTGGTGTAATTGGATAGTCACACCTATCGCGGACATGACCATCCGGCTTCAACGTGGAACCTCTGTTCACACGTGGGACTCCCTATGCCAGACCAGCATGATAGTGCCCCTTTCAGGAAGGTGAGGGATACAATTGCCCAGCCTTGCTAAGTGCCGAGCTGCGCATTTGTATCAAAGTCTAAGGCCTGGACGTGTGACACATTAGTTCTGGAAATCCTCAAAGTCCAGACTCGCGCCGGTACGTAAGACCTGCAGCATCAGTCGGCACTTATCAACGTCGTTTGATAAGGTCCACTAGCAGTCGCCCGTCCAGGCCGTGTCTTTGCCGATCGAAAGAGATAAGTTGCCCGCAGCCATCTCCGTAGGATCCTTCGTGTAGACCCTATATGAGGGACAGGACCCAATAAATGGGAGGAACCTGACCTCGGTCTTGGGGAAAAGACTGGTTCACCACATAGTTCCGCGACAAGACTCTTGTTCACATACCAGCCATGGGGTTCAAACATTTTTGGGACGAGTATGTGGTGCTCAAACCACATCCTGGCTCGTTCGGAGCAGATGATCCTGACGCTATCAAATACACCAACGAAGACATGGACCCGATCAAACGGAAAGACCGTACCTATGCCTGGTACCAGATGGGGTTGTTTTGGATAGCCGAAGGCTTCAACGCGGCGCAATTGGAAGTGTCAAGCTCAGCCTTCTCTCTCGGACTGAATCCGGGGCTCTGTGTGGTGGCCTGCTTGGTCGGGAACATCATTGTCTCCATCCCCTGTGCTGCATCTGGGTACTTAGGTAGTAAGCTTGGTACGAACTTTCCTGGTACGGTCAGAGCGTCATTCGGCATGCTAGGGTCCAAATGGGCCATGATCGTGAGAGGGGTGCCGTGTATCATCTACTACGGCATCCAAGTCAGTCTTGCTGGTCAGGCCGTTCAAGCTTGCACCACTGCCATTTGGCCGTCTTTTGCTCACTGGGAAGTGAATGCAATTCCAGCTTCGGCCAATGTGACAGCGCAGCAGATTCTTTGCTTCTCGATCTTCTGGCTGATATCGCTACCGTTCTTATACCTCCCGATCAAGACGCTGCGATACCTGTTCGTCGTCAAGAGTATCCTGGTACCTCTGTTTTGGACTGCCATGTTTACCTGGTCAGTCACTGCAGCACGTGGTTGGCCTGAAGTTTGGAGGGCACCAAGTAAACCTCTTGACGGATGGACCGTGGGTTACCTGTTCGGTATATGCGTCAACGCAGCGATTTCCGGTAACGCGACCTTCGCTGTCAACATCATGGACATCTCGCGGCACTCAAAGAACGACACAGCGGCATGGGCCACCCAGCTAGTCGCTTTGCCTGTGCTGGTGACCTTGACCGAATTTCTTGGTTGCACTATGGCGGTGGCCTCGTCTGTCGTTTACGGCGAAGTACAATGGAACCCTCTGACGGTGATCAACAACTTCGAAAACCGACCGGGAAAGTTCTTTGCGGGCGCCTGCTTCATCTTCTTCAACATCATGACCAATGTCACAGGTAACTCGGTACCTCTGGCCAACGACCTGACAGGTTTATTCCCCAAGTACATCAACATTCGCCGCGGACAATTCATCTGTGCGGTCATATCGTTCGCCATCTGCCCATGGGAGATCCAAGCAAAGGCCACCACCTTTTTGGCGTTCTTGGGCGCATATACACTGTTCCTCGGGGCAACAACAGGAGTAATCATGGTGGATTACTTCTGGGTCCGCCGCGGATACGGTATCAACATTTCGCATCTGTTCAAACCACACGGCATCTATTGGTATAAATATGGCTGCAATTGGCGTGCATTCGTCGCTTGGTTTGTGGCCATCGCTCCGCTCTTCCCGGGAATGCTGTACTCGATGGGCGTACCGATTCACAATCGAGGCATTCTCAATATGTACTCGTGGAATTATGTCCTCGTGGTTGTCTTCTCTGGGTTGGTGTATTTTACCTGCACAAGCCTGTTTCCTGTCCCAGTTAGACCAGCCGACGGAGAGGAGGACTACGGAAAGCTGTATCTCCTCGACGGATTGGAGCCAGCAAGTGGGAGCAGAACACCCACCGAATATACCGAAAGCCGAGACATTGAAAAGAATGAGAAGATCGTGGCCGAGACGCATGTGACGCCAGCCGCCATTCAAACAGTGGTATGAGATGTTGTAGGTAGACGCCGACGAGAAATTCTGAATGTGTTTGGCTCGTCAATGATTGGCTTTGTTTGCTTGTCACTTGCTGATAACTTCTTTCAATCATGACTTGTCTTTTCTTTCCTGTTCGCACAAGGATGATATCCAACCAAGTAAAGCCATAGTTGCGATAAGAGTGTTCACAGTTTTTCTGCATTTTCCAAATGTAGATGTCTTGTCACACGGAAATGAGGAGCAATGGGATGCTGCTGTTCCATACGGACGATGAAGGTTCACAGGTCCGATGTGTCCCTCCTCCCCATCTAAATCATCGCATATGGCTTGGCTAGTTCGAGATTCTCGCAAGGTGATTGACAAGATTACACGGCCTCAAAACATTTGCATCTCGCTCAAACTTATATGCCGAGTACTCGACATAGGTTTAGGAACTTGGCACGGTTAGATCCACTTAGACGAGACGTATTCACCAGTCCTGCTTGCAATAATTTAACAGGTCTAAGAAACCAAAAACATACCGAGAGAGTCTTATCCCGTTTTCTCTTGGCGGTCTCGCCAGGTGTGCTAGTATCAAGGGGTGTCATGAACACAAGGAATGTTATCATATTAGGAGGCATAATCTACCTCATGCGCCTCATCGTTGCGGCGATCACTCCAAAGGCCTGGCGCCCGTCAAGCGGTACCAAACTTGGTCAATTGAGGAGATCCTTCGCTTGGCGGACCACTGAACTTTGTCTGAACAAAGACTTTCTGAAGCCCCTTCTCACGCGCATCATAGCGCTTGTACACTTCCTCCAATTCTTCCAACAACACACGATGGCTGACCATCTGAAGGACGTCCAGGCTGCCGTCCTGTATCTTTTTGAGGAGATCCTCCCAGTACTTGTGCACAGGAGCTTGGCCATTACCAATTAACCGGATACCGCGTTCCATGAGAGACCCGATGTTGAAGTGATTCGTGTAGCCAACATAGACACCCGTGATACCGCAGCGGCCGAAGCTCTTGACGCTCATGATCATCTCATTAACGATTTCCGAAGTATCGGTTTCAGCACCAAGGAGCAACTCAAAGTAATGAGCCCAGCCCTTCGCATACTCGCCTGCCACACATTCAATGGCGACATCGGGGCCTCCGTGTTCCATCTTTTTCAGGGTTGAAACGATGTTTTCGCCCTTTGGAAGATCTGTGAAGTTGATTGTCTCGACCTTGGGCAGTTTGGACTTCACAAAGTCAAGGCGCCATGATGCTTGACCGCCGTCAATGATGATCACGCGCTTGGCGCCGTTCATGAACGACATGGCTGCGGCCATCTGGCCGATGGGACCTGCGCCCCAGATGGCCACCACGTCGCCTTCTTTGACTCCCGTGTCGACAACGGCATTCCACGATGTACTCAGCACATCCGACAGGTAGAGACCTTTTTCATCAGGTACATCATCTGGGAGTTTCAGGAGGTTGGTATCGCCATACGCAACACGAACATATTCTGCTTGGCCACCAGCATAACCACCGGTGAAGTGCGAGTAGCCCAGGAAGCCCGCCGTGCGACCTCCATACATGATATTCTCGATTTTGTTGTCATTTGTCCTCTCACATTGGCTGCTTAGTTTCTGCTTGCAGTACATACAGCTTCCGCATGCGATTTGAAAGCTGCATACCACGCGATCGCCCGGCTTAACCTTGCTGATTTTAGGGCCAACACTGTCGACAACACCGCAGAACTCGTGACCTAGGATATCCCCCTTCTGAAGCTCAATCACCACACCGTGATAGAGATGAAGATCTGAGCCGCAGACTGTTGACCCAGTGACTTTGACGACGACGTCCGTGTCTTCAATCTTGGCAGGTTTGAAAGTCTCGACGACTTTGACGCTTTGCTTTCCGTTCCACACAAGCGCTTTCATCTTCTCGCCAGATGGGTCCGCATACTTTTCTGCATCTTTCGACGGGTTGGAGAGGTTCTGTTCGGTAGTGGCGTCGCCTGTGTGGCCGATCATCTTTTCGACTGCGGCTGCAGCTTGAGAGAGAGCCATGGTGAGGATATGGCAAAATGTCTGTGCTGGGCTAATTCTGTCAAAGGCTTGTGAGTGTGGTAGGATGCAATGAGAGGCCTAGAGAAGCGAAGTTGGCTTGGTTATATGCTTTCATTCATCACAAGACGAACTTGGGAATATGTTCACGATGATGTTTTCATCATGACATCACGTACTTGAGACGCGCAGGAAACCCCATCCCGGCAGTGGCCTGTCGCCTCAGTTGTCTATGAGGCAATCGTTTGTCGGCCAACATTTCCGCCGCAAGGGAACTCCAATGCATGTGGTGATAGTTGGGGTTGTGAGGCTTTGCTCGAGAGGTATCCTTCTCGCCCTGTACCTTTACCTTGTCCAACCCGCCATTCCGAAAGTCAGTCCTCTCGTAGCATCCACTGCCGCACCTAGTGCCCTCTCATGGAAAGTCAACTTGTATGTTTCCGCCCAGGGAGGAGCGGCGCCGTTAGGCCTGATGAGTTTGGGCGCAACATTGGGGATGCGCTGTTGCGTTTGCGTGAAGGGTCTCTTGTGTGCGGTGCTGTTTGTTTACTAGTACGAGGTAGACAGAGTGACATTACCCAGGTGCCTAGATACCTACCCTAACTAGCCTCGCTAGGTAGTTAGGGCGACTGCGGCAGTCGCTTTCCCGACCGCACGTGACAACTGCCCAGAGCGGCTTTGCAGGGCTTGGAGGGGCAGACGGTGGAGGGTGGTGCAGGTGGTGCAGGTACCAGGCTCGGCGTAACTTGAACCCTGCGAACCCGCGTCTTCAGGGTTTCAGGGAGGCCACCGGGCGGATGGTCAGTGGCTTGGGCTGATGCGGCTGCGGCTGCGGCTGCGGGTGAGTGGCAGGCCTACGTAGACATCAACACCGAAATCAACAACTGCGACCAAACACCCACCCAGTGGCATCTACTCTCATTCGGACACGACAGCCTCATCGTGGGGAAACTATTCTCTCGTTCTATTCACAGCCATCAGTCATTTATTCCGCATACATCCCATCTCAATAGAATTCCTGTTAGACTTGCCAACTCAAGTACAGCCCTTTTCCTCCCACCCTCCACGAACGTCTGACCGTCTCACCTCTCGTCTGCCTACCCAAGGTATCGGTTTCCTCGAGTTGAGACTCTTCCTGCAGTGGATCCTCCCCAACTCGACGCTAGAGGCGGTGCCAGTCTGAGCCTCAGTTGGTGGAAGTTCCAGAATGTCACCGCCTGGGTGACAGCGGAAACCTACCCCCAACGGCGATCACCACTTCCTCCATCGACGCGTTCAAACTTAGGAGAATGTACCATCAGCAATAAATTGCAGCACAGAACATGGAGGAAGGAACGGATGCTGCTTCGATAAAACCCGTCTCCTCTCTGAGATCTCACTTCGAGGGTCTCAAGGTCACTCAGCCGCAGCCTGACAACCGTGGCAGCATACCTGCATCTCCGCAAGCATTGAAGCCAATCGACAGGCCCAGCACTCTGCCACCTCAAAGAGCCTCTTTTGATCTATCGCGGCCGACGTCGCCATGGGCGGGTGCTGGAGGCGGGTATACCAACAATGCAGGACCACAAACTCCCATCAAGGGCACCGAATCACCCCCCAAACCTGGCCACAGGCGGCCCATGTCCATGCTCTTACAATCCTCTCCGCAGCTAACTCCCTCGGTCAAGATAGACTCGCCGCGATCACCGCCGCGCACATTCTTTGAGCGGAGTCCTTCCAGATCTCCCGAGCGGGTGGAAAAGACTCTGTTTGGTAAAGTGCGCGAACCCATATCCCAACACTCAAGTCGCTCTTCAACCCCGGCACCCAGAGCGCCCAGTGCAGATCGTTCTTACATCGCGAAGACCTTGGATAAAACACATTCTGCGACCGAAAGACAAGAGGAGAAGCCAAAAGCTGGACCTCCCCCGGTCAATCGAGCGGACAAGCCTAAGATTCCTGCAAAGCCACCCGTGATATCCATGCCCGGTGGTAATGTGTTGAATCCAGAGGCTCGAAGACCTTCATTCGAAGCACGAATATCACCGTTCAGCACTCCTCCAAGCAGTGACGAAAACTCTCCAACACGGAGTCCTGACATATTGCCCGCTTCATCCTCGACGAAGCCCTCCGCGCCTGCGGCTGCACCAGTGCCGACCAGGGCGACTCCCTCTCAAGCCCCTGCTTCCGAGGCGAATTCTGCGCGACCAAAGGATGCGCGAATGTTTGGATTCTCAAGCCCACCGTCCGGGCCCGAAAGAAAGGACCCTAGGACTTTGGGATTTGCAGCACCTGAGCCGCGGCCACCCAGCCGCGGATCGAACCTACCATCAAGAGCTAATACTGTCTCCGAAAAGCCTACCAGAGATCCTCGTGAGCTGGGCTTGTCAAATGGCAAACCAACACAGCGCCACGTTTCGGAGACCATTCGACACACCCCTCCACCCCAGGTCGCTCCTGCACAGCCTCCCCGGCCGACTAACATACGTGATGCTCGTCTGCTTGGCTTCTCTGCTGCCCAGCCGTCGTCGGTTGAAAAGATAGCGGAGGAACCACATCCTAATCTTCCTCCCCGAAAAAACATTGAACCTCCTCCGCGTCCGTCTAATGAATCCAAGAACCCGACACGGTCTGTGCAACCACCGAGCCATGTGGCGACCCCGGACCGTTCCAAGAAGCCTCCATCTGCTCAGCAAATCTCACGGGCACCCACCTTACCTATGGAGCAACATTTCCCTCCGCCACCGAAACGTGCAAGCGTCGATGAGCGAGTTCTTCACCAGCCGACACCTGCACACAGGGCGCAGACGTTTGCCGGTGATGTCTCAAGGCGGCCTTTGGCGACTATGAATACTGAAGACTCTGATGATGCAGAAGAGCTGGTTGAGGAGCCTACAACCTCTCGTTCCGAGTATCCGGACGCTACGCATACAAATCGTCGGCCTCCGTCCAGTAAAGGCAGTCTTTGGGAGATCAGCACGAAGTCGGACTCACGACTTGCTGAAGTCTGCGGTCAATATTTGTGTACGGCCGGCTATGTGACTCGGGTGTTTAACATGTCCTCGGGAGAGCAGGTCATGAGCATAAACCACGGCGAAACCGTCAAGGTGACTGCTGTGGCTTTCAAACCCGCTGTAGATCTCGCCAATGAGGGCACCAGACTCTGGCTGGGCTTCAACACTGGCGAGTTGATGGAGGTCGATGTTGCAACGCATACAGTGGTAACGACCAATTCGTCACATAATCGTCGAGAAATTGTGCGCATACTCCGGAACAAAAGAGACTTATGGACCATCGATGATGAAGGGAAACTCTTTGTGTGGAAGGCTGATGAAACAGGCGTGCCCAACCTGAAATATAGCCATATCTCTCACAAGCTTCCAAAGGGACATACATTTTCTGTGGCAATTAACGGCAAACTTTGGTATGCTTCAGGCAAGGAACTGCGAATATACAAACCAGGCAACGAAAGCTCATTTACTCCTTTGACACCACCGTTGTCCCAACACGGAAATGGGGACGTGACGTGTGGGACTTACTCTAATGATGACAAAGGAAGAGCATACTTCGGCCACATTGACGGGCGCGTGTCCATTTACTCGACCAAGGACTATTCCACTATTGCAAACATCAAAGCTAGCGACTACAAGATCAACAGCCTGGCCTTTGTTGCAGGCAAATTATGGGCTGCGTTCAAAACCGGAATGGTCTATGTCTATGACACTTCCAGTTCGCCCTGGAAGACCCAGAAGGATTGGAAAGCACACGAGGGACCGGTCACCCAATTGCTCTTCGATCCGAGTAGTGTTTGGACTCTTCAACAATTGCAAGTTGTGACGATCGGACATGACAACTTCGTCAGGCTCTGGGATGCCGCCCTTGAAGATGATTGGATCGAAATGGAGATGCAGCGTCGCAGTGCCGAATATTGCAAGTTTCGGGACGTCCGAGCCGCCGTAGTCACTTGGAATGTGGGAGCATCTACGCCTGCTGAGTTGCGGGAAGACTTTGTCATTGAAGCAATCCACGCGTACGACCCACCCGAAATTCTAGTCTTTGGATTTCAGGAAGTTGTTGATTTGGAGGATCGAACTGTGACGGCGAAGAGCATTTTTGGATTCGGCAAGAAGAAAGATACCGTCAAGACCGAACAACACCAAAGTCGTGTCTATCGAGAGTGGCGAGATTATCTCAGCAAAGTCATCAGTCGGTCCACCAGTGGTCAATATGAGTACTCCGAACTCCATACCTCCAGCTTGATCGGGCTATTCCAATGCGTTTTTGTTCGGCAAAAGGAGCGCCAAAAAATCCGAAACCTACAAGCTGCAAGTGTGAAACTCGGATTGAAGGGCCATTATGGAAACAAAGGAGCGCTCGTTACGCGGTTCATATTGGATGATAGCTCCGTATGCTTCATCAACTGCCACTTGGCAGCTGGCCAGACACATACCTCACATCGAAACAATGATGTTGCGGCCATCCTCGAAGCCGAAGTCCTGGATTTCGAACGCGACCCTGAAGTACGCAGTTCGATTTATATCGGAGGAGGCGATGGTACTCAAATCCTCGACCACGAAATATGCATCCTGAACGGTGACTTGAATTACCGCATTGATACCATCCCACGAGACTCGGTCATCAACATGATCAAACGCAATGAACTGGACACACTCCTGAAAAAAGATCAGATTATGCTTTCGCGGCGCCGTGTATCAGGATTCCGTCTCGCACAGTTCATCGAGTTACCCATCACATTCGCTCCCACATATAAATATGACGTGGGAACAGATGATTACGACACGTCCGAGAAGAAGCGCGCTCCAGCCTGGTGCGACCGGTTACTCTACCGTGGTCCAGGACGGGTAGAGCAGCTGGAGTACCGCCGCCATGAGGTGCGAACGAGCGATCATCGGCCTGTCAGTGGGGTGTTCAAACTCACGGTGAAGACTATCGATGCCCAGAGGCGGGCCAAAGTCAAGGAAGATTGCTTTGAGAAATTCACAGAGGTCCGCAGGCGGATAGCAGAGAAGGCGAGTGTTGACTATTTGGTCACGGTGCTGGGTGTCGCTGAGCAGGAAGCTAAGCGGCTCATAACAGCGAGATGAGTGATGAATGATGCCGGTATTCGACATGACAAGCCGTATAGTGACGGTGCAGGAGTAATGGGGAACCTGTTCAGCTAGCGGAATCGGCCAAGAACAGAATCATCTAGGCTTGTCGTATCTCTTAGCGTTCTGCGCAAAATGGGGCTGATGTTGCGATATGTGAAACTTGTATAACGGAAGTACAAGCCCTGCGCTATATGGCGTATTGGAAAAGCCATCATGTACTAGTAGCTGCGGGATGAAGACCCATGACATTTAGAAGTGGTGATTCGACATACAGTAAACTATCATGGATTTCCTGTAGCCTAGATCTCTTCCCAGATAATACGCACCACTAGCACTTGGTGTTTCAATCTCGGCGAATGTTGCTCGGTTCGTTGGCGAGTGACTTGGCGAGTGACTGACTGACTGCGCCTCATTCCCAAGCATCATCCCCCCCATCACCCGCCAACCAAACTGCGCCCCTCGTTCAGACTCCCTCACCTGCGTCTTCCGTTTGTCGCCTACTTCGTACTCATATCAACAACTCATTCAAATATTCCACCTCACCTTCTATCTTCTTCATCCTCACCTTCTGTAGTCCTGTCCCTTCTACCCTCGGTCCCGCCTCTCACAGATGTCGGACTACGCACCGCCTTCTGGGCCACCTCCACCGCGGCTCCCGGAAGGCTGGAAGGCTGTCTGGAATGATCAATACAAAGAATGGTACGGGAGTTCGCGACAACCTTAACTAATCAACTGCTCGTTTCATTGCTTATCCATATCCCCCCGTGCTGAAGCTCACTGACATTGCTCCGTTGGTCCCCAGGTTCTACGTCAACCTCCATACCAAACAATCGACATGGGAGAAGCCTACTGCGCCGGCCGTTGGCGGTGATGATGCCCCGCCTGGAGGCCCTCCCCCGTCTTACTCCCCTGGTCGGAACGCTCCTCAAGTGTCCGACACAAAGCGCCCGCTAGAGTCGAACAATCCATACAATACGAGCAGTACAGCCAGAGGATCCCACGAGACAGATGAAGAGATGGCTCGACGCCTCCAAAGAGAAGAAAACACCCGCGGCGCGGCCGAGTCATACTATAACCCCAGCAGCAGCCCCGGTCCCAATCCTCCTGGCATCCAAGGCGGCTACCCCGGTGCTCCCACGTCCCCTTCGAATCCTGGTCCTCAGCTGCCTCCACGACCGGACAGCGCCGGCAAATCCAGGGGTCTCTTTGGAAAGTTGCTCGGAAAGTCGAGTGGCAGCTCCTCGCCATATCCACAGCAAGCACGTCCCGGTGCCGGTTACCCTCCCCAGCCAGCAGGCTATAACCAAGGCTACCCAGGGTCCCCGGCTCCAGGTTATGGTGGTCCTCTTCCTGGCCCTGGATACGGCGGCTATGGACCACCGCAAGGTTATGGCGGATACGGGTCTCCTGGCCCAGGCTACGGTCCTGGTCCGGGGTATGGCGGCTACGGTGGATATCAACAAGCTCCGCCTAAAAAGTCTGGACTCGGTGCAGGAGGCGCCGCCGCACTAGGTCTCGGTGGTGGTCTCCTTGGTGGTGCGCTGCTTGCTGATGCCTTCAATGATGGGGAGCAAGGCGCCTATCAGCAAGGTTACGACAATGGAGCAGACAACGGCGACGGCGGTGGCGATGGCGGTGATGGTGGTGATGGCGGTGGAGACTTCTAAAAGATCTTTGGCCGTGGTTGTGCAAATAGCGAGCGTGATGATGACGACCATGAGTGACGCCTTGTGCTCAGCGGCGAGTGCAGCAAGGCCTAGGGAATCCATAGGTGAAAGAATGAGTTTACGAGGCATGCGATCCATGGAAGCAGCTCAAACGTGAAGATGTCCAATGCATTTCGAAGCTGTTGACTAGAGCGACTGACGACGCCATGCGCTGAGGCGTGGCAAAGGCGAATGAATGACTTAGACAACAGACCACAATGAACACAATCAATGCGTGGAGCTGGGATTTTTCAGAAGTCGCCAGGGCATTCGACACTACCTACCTAGATAGTTACCCTTGCGGCACGAGAAGATCGATGTTGAGTAGATACCTACCTACCTAGGTAGGTAGGTACAGCCTCATGGGGATGGCGAACAGCCCTGGTGGCTCAAGGCGAGCCTCGAGGTAAATTGACGCCGAGCTCACCGCGACGCTCGCCGCGACGCTCAGCCCGCCCGGCGCTTTCAGTCTCCCCCACATGACAGATTCTCTTGGCCACTTGGAAATATTCACGTCGTACCTGCTGATGCCGTTTTAAGTCCGACTTTTCTTCCCGTTAGAACCTAAGCATTCAACATAAAAGACATCAATGGAGGAGAATAAGGGATCTCGAGCAAAGATCTCTAAAGAAAGAAGATCTGCCAACGGCAAAGGCCCAGGTCAAACCGTGTGAGCTGCTCCTGCACCAGTTGATGACTCGGTCTGGCGAGCCTTGTTCGCGACCCTTTGCCATTGATCAACTCTTCTACCTTCCTCACTCGCGAATGGTGTCTTCATGCCTCGTTCGATATGTATCGCGTCGAGTCGCGACGATAATTCTTGGCCTTGGAGCAGTTGTTGCGTCAACCACCCTTGCTGCATATAAGATGCAACCTTCACACGAATATCAATCACCCTTTCGCTGTGCAGAACTCATCTCAGTCACGAGATATGCGTACCTCAAAGCCAAATCTTCTCGAGCTCTGCAGCACATAACGCATCTGCATCACACTGTGGTTGTCATCCATCGAAGGTTGAGACTCATCTGGAACCATTTCCTGTCGAAAGCCATACCAGCTCTCTTTGAGGTCTCCGAGACGGGAAACACATATCCCTACTTCAAAGACATCTTGCTTGGAGGCATATTACGACCTTGTCAAGTGACACAGGCATTGAACGATCACTCTGACCAGCCCGCCGGCCTCCTCAAGAGAACGAACCGGACAGCCGTACACAGAATCCATTCTTGAAACCATAAGACCGTGTTCCTAAGTTGCTTCTTGTCGTGGTCCGGACACTCTAGATGGTCAATTCTAACTCCCCAGCCAACATGCAATGCGACCCTTATGAGCCAGGCCCCAACAGAGCAAATCAGACCCAGCTACACACCAGACGAAGTCACGGCATAAAACTTCTTCCAGGGACGTCGGCTATGCCAGGAGCAGCACAGATGCAGAGCATCCTTCGCGGCTTGTTTCGGGCCTAACTGACTCGCCATCTGGTTCTGGTGGTTCCATCACATCGAACCCTTCACCGACCACCAAGAGCTGCGAGTGCAAGTGTTCAATGAAGAAATCCTTCCTCATTCAGGTAGCAAAACGGAGCCCCTCAGCCAACCTCCTGGAAGAGAAATTGGCCCAAGTTTCCTTCCTAGGAATGGGCTTTCTCAACCGACGGGAATCTTCAACTGGAGGTTTCGCAAAAGGTCAAGACTTTCCAAATTTCCAGAAGCCCGAGAAATCCTCCTGGTCCCCGAGGTCAGGGCACCATTTTCCCAGCAAAGGAACTCCAGGCGGTGCTACTCCGGTGCTTCACGGTGCTTCGAACGGGGGGACGCCCGGATTCTAGCTGCTATTGGCACGCGAAGCGTTGATGAGGCTGACTCAGACGTTTGGCGACTCTGCGCGGGATTTGTGGAGCTCGCGGCTCTTCCCTCCCTACTTACGAGTAGTCGTCCCGTCCGCCTTCTTTGGTCCAGCCTCGAATCATTTTCCCTTCAGCTAACCATTTTGGAAGTTGGACATCAAACCCGTCCTCGTCCGAAAGGGGACGGTTATGTGTGCAGACGGGTGCCTTGGTTTTCCCTTCGCACCAGACGACAAGCTGGGCAGCGGGCGACTGAAGACAGTTTACGCACCGGTTGTACAGATGAATCCAGGCATTCAAAAGAGAACAGATTGTGATAAGAATCCCCAATGAGAGCACCCTGTGCATAAACCCTCCTGGGTGAAGCCTCACTGAGTCAGCCTGGTGACAAGGAAAACCTGGGGAAGCGCTTTTGGGATCGCGCTTAGTCATGGGTAAGTTCAGTCCTCGTCTTCCTTCTTTTCTTCCCCCGTCCCGTTTCATATCAGGGGGCGTACCTCTTTGGAACCGTTGCGGCGCAATACGAATGATCAAGATGGGGGGCTACTTCAGCCTTGTCGATTTCATTGGAAGCTCGGCTCCGGGGCGCCAATGATATGAGTACTTGTTGCAGTGTTATTAACGTTTCTTGAACGGGCTGAAAGAAAGGAACTAGCTTGTCTCAGGAGATTTGCCTATCGATCGACGAAACTTCTCTTGGTTTTCCCTCCTCTCTCTTTCCCCAAGCAAGCGAGCAACCGAGCGCAGTGGACATCGCACATGATATCGAAGATGTATGGCCCAGCGACGAATCTCCCTGCTCTCATCTACCCTACCCTGCCTTGCCCTTCTCTGTTCCCGCTTGTCTCTTTCCTAAGCGAGCAAGAAGGGCGCGCAGCCAAGCGAACACGGCAGACCGTGGCGCATGACATCAAAGATGGACTGCACATCTCTTGTCTCTTGTCTCTCGTAAGTGGTCGGCTCGTCACCCACTAGTCATGATAGTATGGATAGTAATCTACTGGAATGCGACATCTAGATATGGAAACAGGGGGCCGGGATAGAATTTTGTAGATTGCTCATCAGCGGTGGAAAAAAACGGTGTACTTGGTAGGAGTAAGGAAGTACCTAGCTTGGTAATCTGCTACAGCGTATTTATCACGGTGTCACCCATGCTTCTCTGTATACGCAGACTCCATCGAGACATTTAACTTGTAGGTTTTTTTTCTTTCTTTCTCCGGCTCTTCTGTCCGGGGGGCTTTCTATTCGATAAGCGTGTGTGCATGTATCTGCGAGTGTATGTGTCTCGCTGGTCTCTCTATCAGACCCTGGTTTCGATACCTTGATGCACCCTGATACGAAGTGTTACCGAAACAACATTCCCGGTGGGCCCTGGGGCAAGGCCACCCACCCCTGTGTATAGGTACTAATGCCAAGAGGGCAGATCGACACCTAGGTACCTCGTAGACATGCTTGACAAGAGGAAACCTCTAATCTTTTGTTGGTGTTCTAAGACTTCGCATCATCGTCACGCATCATTTCTCCCCCTTGGTACCTATGCAGCTAGTACAAGGGCATAGTCCCCTCGGTGGTCTGCAGGGCCTTCTCCATAATCTCAAGGCCCAGGTCGAGCTGCTCTCTCGTGATGACAATGGGTGGCGCGATCCTGAACACGCCCCCGAAACTCGAGTGGCTGCTCAAGTTGGCCCAAAGGCCCAGCTCGTACATCTTGCGCGAGATATTGCGGGCCAGCTCGATCGCAGGGGATTTTGTGACCCGGTCGCCCACGATCTCGACGCCGGCCATGAGTCCGCGGCCGCGCACGTCGCCGATGCAGCCGTAGCGACTCTTAAGACGCTGCAGGCCGGCGTGGAGGTGGAGGCCCATGGCGCGCGAGTTGGCGACGAGGTTGTCGCGCAGGACGATCTCGAGGACCTTGTCCCCCACGGCCGCGGGGAGCGGATCGTTCACGTGCGTCGTGTAGAAGCAGTAGTCGCGCTCGGCGCACACGCGCTCGATCTCGGAGCTCATGACTACGGCACTCAGGGGCAAGCCGTTACCCAGCGTCTTGCTGAGCGTCAGTATGTCCGGGACGACGCCTTCGTGGTCGATGGCGAACAAATCCCCGCAGCGGCCGACGCCCGTCTGAGCTTCGTCCACAATGAGCAGCATGCCTCGCTTTTCGCAGTGGCTCTTGAGCGCCTTCAGGTACCCCTGCGGCAGCACGTGCATGCCCGCCGACGACTGGATGCATTCGACGATGCACGCCGCCAGGGAGCCACAAGAGGCCCGGTCGATCAGGTCCCAGCCGTAGTTGAGTTCGGTTTCCCAGTCGTAGGAGCCGTCCGGGTTGCGGAAAATGGAGCGGTAGGCGTTGGGTGGAGGAAGCATATGCATCCCTGGCATCAGGGGTCCCTGGCCCTTGCGCCCGAAGTGGTATTGAGTGCCCAGTGCTTGAGCGGTGACGCCATGCCAGCTCGCTCCCAGACCGACAATTTCAAACTTGCCTGTATAGACTTTGGCCATCTTGATGGCGGCCTCGTTGGATTCGCCCCCTGTGGAGAGGAAGAAAGCCTTGCCTAGCCCCCTTGGGAGAACCGACGTGAGCCGTTGAGCTAGGTTGATTACTGGGGGCGACAGCATGCCGGAGAATAAATGATCCAAATTCGCGGCGTGGTCGTGGATCGTGGAGACAATCTCGGGGTGGCCGTGCCCTACGAGGCAGGACATTTGGCCCGATGTCCAGTCCATAACTCGATGGCCATTGGCAGTGTAGACGTATAGTCCTTTGCTGCCGGTGATAATGTCCTTCTCGAATTTGGTGCCATAGTTGGCCAAGCAGGCCTTTGCCGTCTCCTGGAGTTCGTCTTCCTTAACATCGGTGTAGATGTTGGTCTGATCTCCCGATTTGGCAAGTACAGGGCTGCTGGAGGGTGACTGGACACCATCGTCAATCATTGGAGCCATGGTTTCGTATCGAGTTCGTTCTGCGGGCGCACCTGATCCCTCAGCGGCCGAAAGCACTGACAAAGACTGCAGGAAATGGGGCTGGCCAAATTTCCGTTGGAGATTATGGGACTCGTAGTCATACACGCCTCTCTCGACTGGGAAATTTCAACAGGTAACAAGGGAACTGATATACACGAGACATCTGGCTCTCCCGTCGGGAAACTCGCCTTGTTTGTGGTGCGACCCTGGAGTCGACTTTACCCGGAGGGGGAGAGTAGGACGGGAAATGTGAAAGGTGACTGGATGCAGCCCACCTCTCCATCGTGAAACTCTGCCCCTCATTTGAGCAATCGTATAGACTCTGCGGAGCTGAAGAAGACGGTGTGAACAAGTCTGATAAGTGTTTTCGTCGGTAAGAGGTCGTCCGGAACAAGGATCACGGGCGTAGTACGGGCGACACGGGCGATTTCATAGGGACAGAGTAGCATTGACCACTGACGAGCAAAGAAGGGACCACATTCGGGTGGCGATCTGCGATCACAAGGTGCCACTTGCCAAGAGAGGAGGGGGATGGCTCGTAGCCTGAAGCAGTTTTCCGCATGACGAGATAGCCTTGTTGAGGAGCGAATGTTGGATTGAGGAGGAGGAGAGTAGGGCCCATCACTCCTTGCTTAGATAGATATATGACGGTGCGCACCGCCACTAGCCATCGCAGAGAGCGAGAGAGACGTTTCCTCTGGCCCCAAGAGCAGAGGAACCACCCAGAGGACCAGTAGCTTGGGGTGCTTCGTTTCTCTCAGGTCAGCACCATGGCCCAGATTGAGTCTAGCAGCTGTAGCAGCTCCTCCACCAGCAGCTGCGAAGGAAAAGGAGGAGGATCCCACAAGCGCAAGGCCGAGTCACGTGGGGAAGTCGCCAACAAGGGCGCCGCACGTGACCGGCCCGCTTCGTCCCTCGCTGCTTCGCCTCGACCTCCATCTTCCACAACAGCAACGCTGACGCCGGCCGAGTCCAGCTCCCCTTCTCCCACCACGAGCCCCCTGGCCCCCGGCATTCTGTCGACATCAAGTCTGCTCCTGGCTGAGGCTCTTCCCCGGGACAACTCCAACTACCCGTCCTTCACCATGAAGACCGCCCGTCCCTATCGCTCCCACAAATATCCAGCCTGTGCTCGCTGCCACAAACGGCGGTCTCGATGCACCATCGAAATTCCGGGTCAGGCATGCTTACTGTGCCGTATGCACGGTGTACCTTGCTCTTCCGCCACGGCCAAGAAGGATGATCATGTTACTCCCAAAGTTGGCTTCGTCCATCGGTCCTTGCTTGCCGACGATAGGTCTATGGAAGGCTTTTCTCACATTGTCGGCCCGGTCATCGCACGCGACACCCAAGTTCTCGACCAGTATCTACCCCAGACCAATGGTACTCCCGGTCATGTTCCTATCCAACCGAGCCTCGGGAGACGAGAATCGCAGAAGGCAATTTATCATGTCCCTATCCCGCCCAGGAGACCCAGCCCGACGGACTGCAACTGTACCAGGAACATGCCGGGCGAATTGCTTGAGCAAGTCGACCCCTTCCTAGATAAACTGTTGGCCAACTATTATGAACATTTTCATCCCTGCTATCCGGTCACCGACGAAGAATGTGTCATGTCGCGACTAAAGGACAGAAGTACGCTGCCTCACACATTCTTCGTCAACATCATAGCCTACTCACTCTTCTATTGGGATACGTCGCCTGCATTGGCGGGTTATGCCAGACCTGATCAGGACTTCGCTTGGCAGACGGCAGTTGCGGCAAACACCGCCGACATGCAAAAGGGCGATTTGACTACCATCATCTCAACGTGTATCGACATCTCTGGCCGGCCCTCACGTTGCTTGGTGAAAAACGTTGCCGACGTTGCGCGGGCGGTCGCCCTATCCCATGCGATCGGACTGAATCACGATTGTAGCGAGTGGAAAATTGGTGACACGGAGAAGAAACTTCGATGGAAGGCCTGGTGGGGAGTGGTGATACAGGATCGATGGTTCAATTTTGCTCAAGGAACGCCTCCCTATATTTCGAAGGGCCATTATGATGTCCCACTCCCGACGGTGGAGCTGCTCACTCAGGGTAGGGGCGGATCTGTGAAACACGTTCGTGCAGCCGAAGTTTACATCCATCTCTGTCGACTGACGGAAATCGTCGGAGATGTACTCCCGCTCATCTACCACATACGCTCTGGAAACGACAGCCTTGCTGCCGAGCAAACCTCGAGATCAGAAATTGAACTTAACCGGTGGATGGAAAGCCGTCCGAGCTGGCTGAACCTGAACGATTTTAACAATCGGCCTCCAGTGCCAGGTCTGGTCAACCTGCAGCTTTCGTATCTCTCGGTACGCATGCTCCTCCGACGCATAGCCTGGCACGAGATCAGCCAACGAGAGAGCGATCCTGCCTCGTCGTGGCTACTCGGCTGCCAGGCAGCTGCAGAGGATATCGTCCGATTCGTGAGTTCGTTGCACAAGCAGGACTTGATGGGCTTCTGGCTACCCTACAATGCTCATCACTTCACGTCTGCGGTAACTCTGCTTCTCCGTTGTGCGCTTCAGACAAGCTACTCGAATGTCCGAACTCAGTGCATGGGAAGTGCCCGGACACTCGTGGACGGTCTGAGGAAATTCCACGACGAGCATCAATGGGATCTGGCAGAGACGGCACTGTCGCAGAGTGAGACTGTGCTAAAGCGTATCGAGGACTCGTTACCCAAAGCGCCAATTGTGGGAACTCCCAGTTTGCCCGCTGTGTCGATGCGCGCCGAACCGAACGACACGCGTGGCTACGCCGATGAGAATATGCTTGGTGATCCACTGCCGGACGATGCCTTTATCACGCAACAAGGCCAAGGCTCGATTGAGGAGTTGTTCCCCGAGATCTTCTCGGATTTCACAGACACTGCCTTGTTCGCTAGCTCGACCCACAATGAGTACACTGATTGAGATATGTTACTCTGGATATTGATTCATTGATGCAGTCAAGATATGTGCGGGGAATTCTGGATAAATTGCGCCCGCAGGGAAGTTTCGCCCCTCCTGTCCTCAGCCGACCTTTGAATTTGCGAGGGGAGTGTTTGCGACAGTTACTCCAGCCGACTGCCAATAAGCTCACATGGGTGCCGAAAGGTCTATGCAAGCACTGCTGCCACAAGAAACCAGCGCAGCGAATGCCGGGTGGCACTTCAAGACAGCAACAGGCAGTAATCAGGGAGTATAGCGTTGTCAGGAGATACCCTCATGGGCTCTGAATGGACAACGTAGGGAACGATCCTGTGCTCAAACGTCCAGGGCGGGGCGGTTGTCTACCATGCCATCGAGGTGATGATTGTGCGAGCCTCCATACCTTTTCGCACGCTGAACGCGCCGAAGACGGTGGCGACGACGAGAACCAAGGTGTTGTCTTGGTGGAACATGAATTAACGTCAGTATCATTGTTTATATTGAAGTCGACAACCAATGGCATTTCCCGGGCTGTAAACGGCCTTGATGAGTACGGTCCTTGCAGAGGGAGTGGCGTTCCAGCGGTCAAGGCAGCTGGAGAGAACACGACAGAGCCAGAGTGGTACGGCATGGCCTGGCAATGTAAGACATGATAGCATAGCATATGTTAGCACAGAAGGGCATGGGACGGGGTACAGGCTAGCATATATAGTACCAAACAAGACACTCAGGGTCAAGGAGAAGCATGTCAGAGTGTCGCGGTCAACGCCCGTCGCCCGTCGCCCGTCGTTCGTCGTTCGTCGTTCGTCGTTCGTCGTTCGGTCGCGTCCCGCCTTCCTTCCCCAATAGAACAGATCAACCTTCTCAGCCAACCCGGACTGGCACGCTTCTTGAAGCCCCCAAACCTGGCTTACTCTGCGCGCAGACCGTATACGCGCAAAAGCACTAATCCCACAAAGCCACTGGAACCAAGGGACTCCCTACCCCGCACCCAACATATTACCGCCCGTGGCGCAACCGACCTCGCCGAGTACTACTACTCGTCGTCGGCGCTCGGGCGCACATCCCCCTCCGTCGCCGAAGTACCAGCTGGGACATCTCAGGTGCTTGTTCCCATCGGACTCCATAACTTCGTAGTTTGTCTATCTCTCTCCCAGGGGTAACCTAGATATCAAAACCATCAAACCATTGCAGTCGCGCAAAACCGCAGATTCTTACTCCCAGAATCGCGCGCCCCGGTTGCTTTCCACTAGGGGTTGGTTGCCATGGCCCGTGAGGAGCACAAGGATCTTTCTCTCGTACAGTGGCGCGCGTGTCTGGATAGGGTAATTGCTGTATCCGGAAACCCGTTCTTTCTTCTTCTAAGTACATTACGGAGGGGATATGCAGGACAAGCATGCATTGCGTGGCACAGGGCTAGTTAACGTACCCTGACTACCTAAGAGTAATTAAGAGTACCTACCTGCGAGTGCCTGTTGGAGGAATAATACACCCGCTCGATCACACAGAGTATACTACCGGGGGCAAACCTTCTAAATTTCACTGTCGCGATTATCATTGCTGCAAGAATACCTCCTCGTTCCTTGTTTTCGTAGACAACCATCCGGCGTGGGCGAAGGTAGGAGGAACCTTGGTGCGGCAATAATATTACCCTCCCAAAGCAGTCTGGGAGTCTAGGGGCAAGACGTCGTAGAGGAAGGTATGCATTGGCAGGACTCGCGCAGAAGAAATCATCAATTCTCCCAATATATCACATGGTTGGCCTTTTCTTCGATATTCAATAAGCCATTGTTTGGTGGATGTGATTCATTCTCAAACAACCTTTGCCTGCCCGGCCTGATGATCACATTTGAACGGGTGATTCTGGCTCACGACTTGGGCTTGTAGTTCCTCTTATCTGGATCCACGTCATCGTCGCTGACACCGTGTCCATAGGCGACCCTCTCTAGCTCATCAAACAGCCTCATAACCGTAGGGTTCAAAAACGGCAGAATACTCGAGCAAATCATCCCCGCAATGCCAGTCGTGGGATCGATCCAGTAGTACAAATTCCCGAGGCCGGCCCATGCGCCAGACCCGGCTTTGCGACCATAGGGTAAATCGTCGTGGTTCATGAGCAGCCCGGCCGACCAGCCTCGTTTCTCGGGTGGGATCGAAGGCAACAAGGATCCCTCAAGGGAGGCTTGTGGAATACTCGCACGAACTTCACCGACGTCGGACTTGTCGACTTCTGGACCAAGGAGGTCCTTGAAAAGAAAGTTTTTGACGGTCTCAGGTTTGAGGACCGAGTTGCCCGTGGTGAGTGAGGTGCCGTTGTTGAGTATCGCCGCCAGTAATTTTGCGTAGTCGTTCATGGTCGAGTAGAGGAAGCCTCCACCGCCCCAGGTTACAGGGGATTCGTTATGCTTTGCGTCCGGAACTCCTACAAGCCCTGCTCCATCGGGCACATCGAAGTGGACTAGATAGATGTTCTTCTTTCCCGGCGGAAGCTTAGCACCTGTGTCGTTCATGCCTAAGGGCTTCAAGACGTGTTCAGCAAGATAATCGGGCAGGGCTTGGCCGGTGACTTCCTGGACAACGAAACCTAGCCAGTCAATGCCGATGCCATAGACATATTTAGTACCTGGGTCGACCACCAGAGGCGTTTCATAATCCTCCCAGTCGCCGATCGAGTGGTACTGCATGGGAGCGCGACCTGTGCTCACGCGCCATGCAAGTGTTGCGTGATCAAAGAAATCGTACGTAAAGCCAGCTGTGTGGGTCATAAGATGCAGAATGGTCGGTTTTGACGCCGGGGAGCGCAACACGGGCTCGGGTTTGCCATCTGCATCTGTCTTGACGCAGTCGAGCACCTGAATCTTCGAGATTCGAGGAACATATTTCTCCACCGGGTCCGAGAGGGAGATCTTGCCTTGTTCGACCAGTTGCAGCGCAGCAATCACGGTGATAAGTTTGGTGCATGAAAAGATTGCCATCGTGGTGTCCGCGTCGAATGGGGCGGCATCGGGGTCCTGGAGATGAGTGGTTCCCAAGGTCTCTTTGAGCAGAAAGTTGCCCTTGGAGTCGATGATGAAACATCCGACCCCTGGTACCTTCTTGTCCTTGACAGCCTCTTCCAACAGTGGTGTTATTTGGGCCTCCATGGCTTGGCTTGGGCTGTTGCCAGTGCCTTCGGTCTGCCGGGAGAAAGAGGTGAGATTGTAAAGCGAGTCAACAGAAGAGCTACTCCAGCTCACCATATATCTAGGACCTAGGCTCCACGCGAAAGGGAATCGGGAGTGACTGGGGTATCGCCGAATCGGATAAGGACCCAAGGAATAATGAGGAGAAGCGGGGGGTACCTAGGTACTCAAGGAACGAGATGTGTGCCAAGGTAACAACAACTGGTTCGCGGCACGCCTTGACACTTTATCTCTCGGCCTTGCGCCACAAGCCCGTGGCCATCTCGTGTGTCCAAAACCGAACGAGCAGAGTCTGACATCCAGCAGTGGTGGTCGCGCTAAGCATGGTGATGGTGCAACAAGGTACAAGGCCTTGCGGTCCGGTATTCACTGGGGGCCTCAAGAAGGATTGGCTCGTGCTCGTAGAGACTTCCTGGTTAGGAAATACATTCTACCCCGTCGACGGTGGGCCTTAAACGGATTGAATACGTTGAGCGGACAGGCTTATGTGGTCGTCAATCGGGCACGAGATGCGTGTTCAAGACTGAAGATACAAGTCATAGAATCTGCAGGACATAAGCCGTCCCATCTAGAGCTTGATAGTGGGTTTCGTCTCCTTTGCTGAATCGGGCTTATGATTTGCTGGTCGTGAATTGGTTTTACCATCCTTCGCAAGCTGTCGCATCCTGTGCTAGCATTGTCACTGCAATGGGATCGGTCGTCAGCAGGTTTGCACGTGACGCATTGACTTGGGTGATTCGCAACCATCGGTCGTAATTGCTGCTCCCAAGGGGGATATTACTGTATAAAGCCTGCATCCCTGCATTCGCTATCCAATTCATGCAGGTCGGTCGCAAGTCGGTTCAATCGCAGGATCGGCTTGGCGGGGTCGCCCTGGGGCCGGCGGAGAGAGCCAAAGGAAGGCCTATGACAGGAAAAATTTCCCCAGAACTCGTATTCCGCTGCTGACCGTACGAGAAAAATACGAAATGAACCCTGCACTTCGACGCTGTCGCACTCTTGAAGAAGGTCCACTCACGTCATCTTCTCATGCCTGGAGTTTTCGGTCCTTGCGAGTCTTTAGGGAACCTCGACGTAGGGTCGCCTGCGAGAGGGTATAGGGCGTATTTTCAACGATCCGGATTGTATACATATTTGAGGGCGGCAGAAGTCCTAGGTGATTTTGAGAGTCATGTCAATTCTCAGATACAGAAATTCCACCATGCCATTTCGACAAAAATTCGAACCCTGAGACGGCTAAGACAGGATTGTCTATCGCTTTCTTTCGCGGATGCTCTCCGGGCTTCGGTCGGTGCCCGTACTTTTCCCACTCCCTGCCAGATAGCCCGCAAGGTCAAAGTTCTCTGTGGCAGAACCCCCGCCTCCGCCCTGCATCGCGCGCGTGAGACCGCCCATTGGGCTCTTTTTCTGCATCTCCTCGTACTCGGCGCGCATTTCAGGGTCCATATTCTCCAACAGCTTGGGCATCCCAAACGTAAAAGCGAGGGCCACAACCGCTATGAGGATCATGGGATTCTTCAGCAGGCTCATGGGGTTGAAACCCTGGCGCTGTTCATAAAAGTTCTTCCTCGACAGGACCTTGGCGGACATGTCCAATTGCCCAGTAGGTGCGGCCACGAGTGCTACTCCTCGGTCATCCCATCGTGTTCCACGGTATGTTTCCCAAGCTCCTGCGATGACGGTACCGGCTGGGTCGGAGGAGGGGGAGATATCGATCCTGTAGGGTGCGAAGACGTAATCGTGACTGTATATGTCGAGGAGATGTGATCCGGTGGTGGATATTTCTGGGAACTCAAAGTAATTGCCCTTGCGCAGGACAGCCTTGATGGGTTGTCCAGAGCCTGAAGTTAAGACAGCATGCGTCGAAGCTGGCAGGACGTTGGGATTGGGAAGAATGTTCGAAGGCATAACCGAGACTCGGAGCGAGGCGGCCAGAACATGGCCCAGAGAGTAGGAGAGAGCGAGCAGCGATAGAATGAGGACAGCCATGGTTCTGCAGTCTGGTAGCAAAGCTCGGAGACTGTCAAACAAAATGACCTGGCGAACACAACAGAAATGAAGCCCAAAGTTGTTGAGCAGAAGCACCTGTGGAAACAGAAGGCGCAACACGCCGCTTCAAATGGTACGGTCGTGAGTTTAAAGCGGCAACCATATAAACTTCCAATACCGAGTCACTCCTGGGGCCGTCGCGATAACAACACCTCAGCATATCGACTCATTGATGTCAGGCAAAAGCGAGACACAATGTGGAGAATTGACCCCAACTTATTGCTCTTTCGTTCCAGGATTGGGCTCTGGCGGCGTGTCTTCTCGAGCAGCAGCTGCTTGAAACCTACACAGCAGCTCCCGCCAGCACAGAGATCATCACCAGGCAGTCAATTAGTAGCTCTGTTGTTATTGCTTGTGCTTCTTAGCTAACATACATATCTTCATCATCATGGATCTCAACTCTTGATATCTGGTATCTTTCTCTCGCGGACGCTTTTAGACAACAAAAAGACACCGGCCACCCTCATTACAGCTCGGACTCCCGAAATCGATATCGTGCATTCGGCCAAAGTTCGTACGATGCCACAGACAGGCTTCGCAGTCCCCTCCGTGACCAAAGAGTTCCCACTCTCTACGCTCTCTCTAGACAGACCCCATATACGAGATCTCAACGTCGGTCTGTTTCATGATGTCGTCTCTGCGCTTGGGTCTGTATATGTCCGCTTCTGTCTTAGCTATATCGTCCAGCATGACAACTTCATCGCTGTTTGATTCGCTTATGGGATATGTTCTGGACCCACCACCGGTGATGACGGTCGAGGAGAATCCCTTGGTGGGCGAGGCAGGATTCGGAAACGATGGGGCTCCCCCGTTGACAGATGATTTTTGATAGCTGCCGGAAAGTGGGACCGCTCCCGACCTCGATCGGTAACTGGATGTTGGACGATTGTAGGAGGAGCCGTGGAACATTCGCGGAAAGAATCTCGTAATCGTTGCCTTCAGAGGTGGGATGCAGGTGCAAATAATGGACGTGTTCACCTCGACGCCGAGCCAGAGGTTATTTTGAGCCTGATAGTCTGGACAAAAGGATTAGCTCCGCAGCTCAACTTCACGGCTCTTCTGCAGGAGAGCGCATGTCCACTCAGTGTATGGAGTCAGGGCACACGCAGTTGCTTACAGGTGCTGTCCTTTTGTGTTGCTGCTGGGCCAAGTGTGGCGATACGAACCACGCAAGTCGCAATAATGCTAGAGATGTGTCAGAGTACGTTGCGAACGACAGAACCCAACGAAATAGTTCCTTACAAGAACCCCAGACTGAATAGGAGGGCCAATCCGAATTTCTGGGCCTTGGGTAGTCTAAGAGATCGGATCTGAGCAATTGGTAGCGCTATGATCATCACGTCTGTTGCGATGTTGATTGAGGAGCTGGAGTACCAGATCCCAGGAGTCCAGATACATTTGCCGGGTAAGGCTGGGGTCCATGCCTTTTGGATAGGATGACATGCGAAAATTGTTGGAAGTATGGTCCCGATGGCTGTGCCAGCACATATGAACATGACAACATAAGCGGCGATTCGGAAACCGTGAGAAGAGAAGATTCGTAGATAGAGGAAAAGCATCGACAATTTTGCAAAGAGAGCGGCAGCCTTATATAGCACTTGGCAGGCGAGAAAGTACTGTTTGAGCAGTTAGTGTATGTCTGCTCCGTTCTGGAATCGTTCTCCAGAGCAACGAGTCTGAGGCAACTCACTTTCCAAGCTTGCAAAATATGTTCCTGGCTGACTGTGGCTTGGTGAAGTCCGAACCCATTCTTTGTCTCTGTGTCACTCGTCCGTCAGCTTCAGCATCTCACATGGACAATGGATCAGAGTGTCGAACGTACCTCCGTAGAATAGCCCGGTCATGGTAATTGAAATAAACTATTCCGATGGTTAGAGATGGAGAATGACCCGGTGGACCAGAAGACTTCTAAGTACTGACGAGGGCCATTAGGACACACCAGTCGTCCAAACCAAGCATATGATTGACTACAATGCGTGTCCAGAACCGTGCGATGACCAGTACTGCTGCAACCACCACCAGTGCGATGTTGACTGTCACCACAGTGTCACCCCGGGGGTTAGGGGCATGCTGATCAACAGCATCTCTTGTGAGTATCATTGTTTCCAGCGACAAGTTTTCGAGTGCTGGGAACTCGAGAAGCATGTGGCCCTGCGAAGTGCTGGTGGGAGGATCAGATTCATAGGGGCGGAGGGATGGTACAGTCACCGGCATATATAATGCTCAAATACGAGCTGTCCGGAGACTTGAAAGTCCATGGCCAGGTTTCCAAGCCTCGCTTTGATGTGCCCTGTTCTGGCTCGGGCCAGACCAAGTAGCGAAACCCCGGCTCCATTCACATACCCCTGATCTGTTGCCACTAACAGTCGTCCTAATGACGTGGACGAGAAAACACTTGAATAGCCTGAGGTGGACTGACTCGACTCATTGAGGCGAGGCTGGGAGCATGGGTTGGGCTGGCTTTAGTCCTGTCGCTAGGAGCTTTCCAGAAGCTCCGCCAGGCACATGGTCCATGAAAGGCCAAATGTGTTTGGTGATTTGAGCTTCGTGTGTCAGACAAGGATGCCGTTGGCTGAGCTTTCTCAATCAAAGATGAGGTGCTGCAAGGGGAGAAGCAGACCTGTGACTAAAGAATGGCTAGGACTGCATGGTCGCAGGACCGATCTTCTGCTAGCTTCTCTGATGATGCCCGCTTTCGGCAACGAGAAACGGCAGACCCATAATGCTGTATGAGGAAGTTGAGTGATGACGCAGGCTGCCAGTGCTTCTTCCCCCGAGGGTGCGAGTATGTTAAGTCGTCTTCGGCTGGAGGCATTAGTTCTCGCTTTCCGTGAACACTAGCAGCTCGAAGCGCAGAGAAGGTGCCGGCTCTTGGTGGGATAGCCCTTGACCGTGTTTCATATGTATCTGCATCTTTACATAACTGTGTCACGGTAAGGTAGGTTGCAACTGCAAGGGTTCGCAGCCTGATCGACCCAAGACATAGGCGTTGAGGAGTATGCTGATTCCTTATGCTGAGGGAATGGGCAATCCGTCCTTTGACTAGCATCTGTTTCCGGCCCCAGGTCTGTCACCAGCTTCGGGACCTGCCATGGAGAGTTGGAAGGGCCGGGTCTTTTCCCACTGAGTGGGTGTAAGCCGACTGCATTGGCGGAGGTTTTGAGAAAGGTGGATAATCTCGCAAGAACTTTGTGAATACGAGGTTCCTAGTGATAGAAGGGGCATCTAATGTCGGGGCGAGTTTCCCGGCACGGGTCGCAAGTCGGCGCAATCGAATGATTGGGAGGTATAGCAGTCAAACTTCGTGCTAATACAAGTGGCTGAGGATAAGGAGCATTTAGTATCGGGGAGTCGTGGGACAAGGCGTTTTACAAGTGTCGCCAGACACCATATGAAGCGCCTGGATGCTTTAGTCAATTGTGCCAATCACGAATCAAGGCAGATGCCTTCTTTTCGCGTGCATTGAGTCTCTTTATCGCCATCCACCGGGATTGCGGGGGTAGGCTTTGTATTTCCCGAGGATGTTTCCTACCTTCACCAGCCGCTCTGTAGCTCCCACACCGTTCGTTTCTACGTGCAGACGATTCGACTTGTACAAAGTATCGCATAGCCTCTGGTTTCTTGTGGGTAGGCAGAAAAGCGGGATTCGAACTGCTCTCAGTATACTGCGTACCTGTACGAGTCATTCAGCCCTCCACTCTCCGTTCCACGAAAGACTACTCAGAGCCCCAGGGACCACGGAAGTCGGAGGGAACCCTAATTCTACTGCACTAAACCACTGCTGTCCAGTTTGATCTTCTTAGGCCCCGGGGGAGGCGGAGGGCGGTTGAACAAGTGTCGACTGGGGGCGACTTTGGCTTGTCTGCCGGGCCAGAACACCCAACACCTAAGGCGGGCAGGAACCTCATTTGGCCTCGCTAACGACGCATTGCCACGCTGCAGTCAATGGGCAGACAGACAGCTAGTTAGTTGTCTACAAGGGATACCATGCAAAAGTTGTCTCGCCCCGAGTGTTCAGCCGAGCATGGGCTTGCATAGTTCTCCTTTTCTGCTTCCCTGCGGTACCGCTGCTGCCGTTGGCGCCTTGCATGATGGCCCATCAAAATTATGTTGACGATCGCTCTGGCACATAACGACCAATTCCCGGATATGTCGTCGACGATAGGGCGAATCGAAAAAAGCCTCGAAGACAAATCTTCAGATTCTGAAACTGCTGCTCAGGCTACGTTTCTGGGCGCACAAAAGTGCCGAGCAGAGGTGGTGAGTACCTCGGTAAAATCATCCTGGATAGAAGCACAGTGACTTGATAGCATGTATCTGGCAATAGCCTTCTAATGGAGTGTTAGACCAAGATGTTAATTGAAGATGATAGAGAATGAGAAAAGGTCTTTGGGAGAACGAGAAGCTCTGTAAGAGAGGGGTCGAGTTTGGTGCTTCCGATACCGGCATTTCACCGACAACTTTCCAATGTGAATATCATTATCAACAAACGTATGCGTCGCATACCAGACACTGACCAAACACTGTGCTCTTTCCCTATTGAGCAATGGAAACAATCACTCACATCTATGACCCGAAGCGGCCCCTCCTCCTTCTAGAATACAGAATCACCAGCAACAAGACCTCTCTCCAAGCAACATCCTCACCTCCCAACGTTCTTCTGTTCGTGGGCGGACTCTACGACAACTTTCGGAGCCCACGCTACGTCGACGACTTGGCTGCGCTGTTCCCGCGCGATGTTGCAGGCCAGGCATGGCGCGTGATGCACGTCCAGCTTTCGACTAACGGGAGGAGCTGGGGATTATTTGATCTAGATCGTGATGTAAGTCGTGCGAGCTACCACCATCTTATTGTGGTGTAATTATCTCTACAGAAGAGAGGATGAACCTATAAGTCAATTTGTCCAAAGGCTGGAAAATTCGGGGCCCCCTCAACTGGGGCACATTGTCATGACTGGAGATCGTTGATTTTGACACATCAATGTAGGTCAAGGAAATCGCCGCCGCAATCACATATATCAGAGACACCATAACCCAGTCTCCTTCGACGCCCGTGGTTTTGATGGGCCATTCTACCGGCTGTCAGGACCTGATGCACTATCTTATTTCTCCCGTGTCGACATCCTCTGCGCGCCCCAATATCTCAGGCGCAATCTTACAGGCGCCCGTCTCGGACCGCGAAGCAATTTTGCATTCTGCGTCTGAGTCGTCGGCTGCAAAAGCAAGCTACGAAGCATGTCTGCAAGTCGCTTACTCGACGCCCCGGGAGAAACACAAGACCACAATTATACCCCTGGATGTCATCACGCCTCTCTTTGGCCCTGTTCCGGTGACCGTTTTCCGCTTCCTCAGCTTAGCGTCACCGGATTCGCCAGAGAAGCCAGCAATGGACGACTACTACTCCAGTGACCTGTCCGATCAGCGGCTTCGAGAGACGTTTGGTCTGATTGGGGCCGTTCCGCATCTCCTGCAGCCATCATCAGGCCATGGAGGGACGAAAAGCCTCTTGATTCTCCAGGGCGCTAACGACCAGAGTATCCCCCCGACGGTAGATAAACCCCACCTGCTCTCACGCTGGAAGTCGGCGTTGGAATCCACTGGCGAGGCAGCACTGTCCCGCCATTCCCTCATCATTCCCCATGCGAAGCACGACATCTCGGGCGAGTCAAAAGAGGCGCGCAGAGCACGTCTCGTGGTCATGCGCGGCGCCGTGCTGAAGTACCTTGAAGATGTGGTCGGTGGCATTGATGCGCCTTCGAGGGTCGATGACAGCAACGGAACGAGCCCGTGGGCGATCCTGGAGAAGGATCTGAAGGACATTGAAAGTGGAAATGACGTTGGGAAGAGCGCGGATACCTCTAAATTATGAATTAGGGATGGACAGTTCACGATGATGAGCCCATCGTTGGACGATTGACCGTTTCCATAAGGTACGATGTTGGAAACGGTCATATCCATACATCCAAGACGATGAATATAGAATTAAAAAAAACCTCAGCCTCGCAGCCTCGTAGGGGTTGGCTGCTACTGTCAGAAAAAAAGAGGACCCGCTGAGCTCACGCATGGGATGCCTGATTCGAACTACCGAGCGAGGAAGGAACCGGGGGGCTTCGAAAATGATAAGCAGGGAAAGAATCCTCGAACGTCAACCTCAACGTTTGTCTTTCTCAGTTTGAAAATTTGTTTTCTATTTGTGCAGTTATCGAGATCATTTTTCTATATCCATTTCTATATTTCCCTTGTTTCCTATCCTAACCTCTATAGTTTCTTGTCTATAGGGATTCTCGGTGAGCACTTGGATTCCTTGCCCTCTCAGCAACCTGCCAATGAAAGAGCCAGCCCGACGCTTGCTCAGTGTACGAAAGAAAATGCAGAACATCAATCAAGGCGAGGCTGGATTCGTTCCGACAATGCAGACTTGGAATAAATCTTCCCACCAACGCCATCGCTAGAGAAAATGGCATGACACGACATTCAGATCGAGGAGACGACATCAATCAACCAATGAGGAGGATGATCCATCAATGAAACCAAAAACATTCCTTCTCGTCCATCACAAAAAGGTCAAAAGTCAACCGCCCAATACTAAGTCTGGCTTTCGGCCTTCTTCTCCTCCATTCTCTCGGCCTCGGTAGCCTCGGCGGCTTGTTCGCCATCCTCTTCCACCTCGACCTCCCTGTTTTGCGTTCTGATCTGCTGCAACGCTTCGTGTGCCTGGGCGGCATACTTGCACTTCATCCGAATACTCTCACCGTACCTGTAGAAGACGAAGGGAAACGGGGCGCAGGCGAGCGCCAAGAAAGCGGGGATCGAACTGGCCCAGTGAATGCCCAAATTGTGGTACATTTGCACAGTGAAGAGGGGGAAGACGGCGCCGAACAGCGAGCGCAGGACCGAGTTGGCCGCCAGCACCGACGCGGCGTAGATGACGTACGCGTCGATGAGGTAGTTCATGCACGCGAGGAAGACGTTGACTAAGCCGAACCCGAAGGGCGCCGAGGCCATGATACACACGATCCAATGAATCGAAGGATAGTTTGTCCACGCGAACCAGAACATGCCGATCGGGATGGCGACGGCTCCCACGGCCGCAGGAGGGAGGCGCGCTTCGGCGGGCGCCTCGCCGCCGTGCTCGGCTTCGACGCGCGCGTATCGCTTGTTATCATAAATGGCATAGAGTACGCCCGTGATCATCCCGACCGCGACGCCGGAGAACGCGAGACCACCGATACCCTGCGACCAGCCTCGCTCCTCTTCAAAGACGATCGGGAAAGCACCGAAAAGCATGTACAGCGTGCCGTACAGAATAGCCATGTAGATGGAAATGATGAGGACGATTGGTTCGAGGAACAGCAACACCCATGGCCTCGACAGGGCTTTGGAGAAGGCGGCCTGGGGTGTAACTTTGCCTTGACGTCTCTCGATGGCAGAGACGTAGAGCTTACCCGTCCGCTTGGTCAGTGCCCTGGCGCGGCGAGAAAGGATGACGGGGGCATAGGTTTCCGGGATGACGAGGGCGCCGAAGATCCAGAGGCAGCCCGTGAAAATGGCCATCACGCCCTCGACCCAACGCCATCCGACCGTCTCAGAGATAAAGCCTCCGACAATTGGGCCGATGGTAGGACCTAGGAAGGGAGCAGCGGCGAAGATGCTCATTCCTAGGCCTCGTTGATTGGCGGGAAACATGTCCGCAATGACGCCACCGGCGTTGGTGAGCGGCGATGCGCCAAAGGTGCCAGCAAAGAATCGCATCACGATCAAACCTGCGACGGAATTCGCGCCTGCTGCGCCCGCGTTGAATGCGGTAAGAACTGCATATGTGCCGAAGAAGAGGACTTGACGGCCATACAGCTCCGACAATGGGGCCCACAGAAGCGGCCCGATAGCGAAGCCCAGGACGAAAAGAGACACCCCGAGCGTCGCGACCTCTTGACTGCACCCAAAGGCTTCGATGATCTGTTCGATACTGCCGGTGTAGCCCGTGGAGACGAAGGCAACGGCCAGAGTGGCAATGGCGACCGCCACGGTGAGAGCCCACTTCTTCCAGTCCGGCCACAGCATGGGATTGCGAGGGTCGTCAGGGATGAATTCGACGATATACGGGTCTTCCTCTGTTCCCGAGCCCTTGTATCGATGGTTCAAGACATCTTCCGTGATAAGGGTCTGGCTGGCCACGAGGCGCCAGTGGGGCACTTTTCTGCGCGAAGGGCCAGATTTCTGACTCTCGGCATCGTTTGTGAGGGTCGAGGTAGACGAGTTGGTCGGTGAGGTCGACATGGTGAGTGCTGGACAGCTGCTTCAGCCTGACGTGGGAAAAGAAAGGTGCCCGTGTTTGGCTTTGGAGACAGCGAATTTCACGAGACTGGCACGGGCGAGAGGGCTGGTCTTAAAGCAAGAATCAAAGATTCATTACGATATGCATCGACGCACCACAGCGTTATGCCGAGACGCCATATCTCCGCCCATAGGCGGCAGATCGAGGGTTGCCAGGGACCATCACCCACCTGGGATCACGGATTGTTCCTTTCGATCTGTTTCGGCCAGAACCTTCTGCTCGTCCGTTCGTCGGATGGCGAGTGCGAGCCACCCTCGACAGTTTCAGTCTTGCTTTTGTCAGACAGGGCAGTATTTGGGTATCGCCCAGGTGGTCTGCCGCAGTTGAAAGACCTCGGAAGCGTCTCGCCATCTTGTCACGAAGAATCTGGCTCACGGGGCTTGGGAAAGAGATTGCCGTGATAACCGCGCCGGGCAGGGCATGATCCCCAGACAATTGGTCCAAGGGGGCGTTAGCCTTGCGCCGGTGTCTCTAGTGCAACAGCCGATTGACAATTCTTGCATCATAACCATGCATAAAAGAGGCATAGATGGCTTGTGCGTGGCACACAAGCTCACAAGCTTCCTCTGGCGGGGTTTATTGTCCCACTGCATCGTGGTGTGCCGCTCACCTTTTGGTGCGATCGTTACCCAGCCCAAATTGGGGTCATCCGTACTCGTAGGTTTATTAAAGTCCAAGCCTAATCGCCGGCTGGCTGACCGTGGCATGCCTTTCCTTTCTGTAGTAATAATAAATATAGGTAACTACCAGGTATGCTGGGTGTATGCGTCATACTCCTCGTCAACTAGTAACACAAGGAGACACTGGCCCTGGCGTAGGGCGCGGTCTTAAGCTCGGTCGTAACTGTCATCCTGCTATCTCCCACAAAGCACCTCCCGTCTCCTGTGCTCCATACCTAGGTATACGGCACCCAGGCTGCGCTTGCAGGAGCCCCATCTCAAAGGTGGATTGCGCAGCGCGCAAAGAGATTGTTTATATAATCTATGGTAAGACCCCCTAGTGGGTGCCCCGCGTGGATTGAATCCTTCCTCCATTGCCGAAATTTCCGGGCCTTCTGCACAGTCTGCGAATGCGAATGTATAAGGTACCCCGAGGCCAGAATAAACACAAAAAAGTTCAATGTCACTTTCACACCAGAGAGAAAACGTATGTCGAGATGCAGCATAATTTAGACCAGGCACAAACAGTCCCGCCATGACACGGACCTGCAGGTGGTCCATGTGATGAAATGCAGAAAGACGGAAAGGCTGAGGGCAAGACTGGGTTTCGTGTCATGTCCACTCGTCCTATTCCTGGCAAAAGACTTCTCAAACTACCTAGGTAATATATCGATGGATTTGGGTATAGAACAACATCCCCGCACGGCGGCAGAAGCCATACGATGCTCCCGGTGGGAAATAGTGACGACGGCACTCTTACCTCAGTCTTTTCAAGAGTCATGTCGTCATGACCCGGCGGTGTTCTTCATCCCCGGCCAGAGGCCCTCGAGACTGACTGCCTACCCCGGTAAGTGTTCTGTGTGACGACGTCGCTTTTGGTCAACGCAAGTAGCGTACCTAGTAGCTTCTATCTCGCATCTAGCAGAGCGACCATGGCAGAGAGTACGCATGAGCTCCATACCAAGTACGAGCCCCATCCAGATCCCCAGCAGCTCACGGGCCACGACGGCCATGCTGTTGACTACGAACCTCACCCTGAACAGTCGTTGAAAATATCACCAGAGCATGAGGCCATTGTTCAGTCAATCACAAACCTCTACTCTGGCAGTGCCAGCGAGAAAGACATGTCGGTGTATGCAGAGAAGGCCATATACGACGACCCGCTATCATACTGCGACACGCGATACAAAATTGCCGGTCAGTGGTACGGGCTCCCCAAGATCTTCAGCAAGCTGGAAACCAAGAGGGTCGAAGTGGTCAAGGACACGCCAACGGGCATTGTCTTCAAACTAAGACAGGAGTACACTCCCAAGGTGGCCAACACTCCCAAGGAAGTCGACTCGCTGGTCTCGTTGTCCCTCGACGAGGCCGGCAAGGTGCGCTATCACAAGGACATGTGGAATTCCAAGGACTACAGTCATTCCGGCATCGGCAAGCTGATCAAGAATCTGAATGGTGATCACCTTCCAAAGATCACTCAGCCACCAGATTCGTTGTAGTAAGCCTCTTTTTTGACAGGTTCTGTCTCCGGGGCTGCGGGACGGTTTCAACCGGTTTAATTCCTGGGCTATAAATCCTTTACGAGGTACCCGGTACTCGGTACAAGAAGCATCGATCAAGGAAGAAAGATATGCACTAGGATGAGTAAGGGTGCGCGAAGTAAAGCTCGTGCAGTGACTGCCCGTGCCAATCGGAATGCAGGCGGAGGTTTTGGGACAATTGGAAACGGCTGGAATAGGGCATAGACGAGGTATTCCCACGTGGTGGAAGAAGGACCCCGAGGGCATTTCGACGAAGTGGCGACGTGAATGAATGATGGTTGAGGCTGCAACGGTGTGGTTGATGAATGGTGGTGGTGGTGGTGGTGGTGGTGGGTGTTGACGCGTGTGGAAGCCCTTTCTAGGCCAACATACTCGGTAAAGAAGCAGCGTCATCCAGGAACTCCATACTACGAGTCCAGTAAGGTTGTTAGCGAGTTAGGTACGGAGGATTAATTGCCATTACCGAAAAGCGAGAAAAGTGTGTCAGCTTCGAATAATTGGGCCAAGGGAAAAACAAGCAATGTTAAGCAAAGCACCAAATACTATGTACCGTTGACCAACTGCTCGCAGTTAGCTTCCAAGGTTGGGCTGGCGGGGTCCCGGCTCTCAGGCTCAGGCTGTGGATGGCGCCCTCGAGGTCCTCCACCTTGGGCCTCGCAGAAAGATTCTTCTGCTGCGCAACTTGGCGTCATGCCTCCACTGCACCTCATATTTGTTCCCTTGTGCCTCGTCCTTCTGCTCTTTCACCAGCGCAGATCCCCATCTTGAAGATCTCACCCTTCTTCCTCTTCTGCAAAATGTGGTTTCCTCTGCTTGACCAACGAAAAGCATCTCCTCCCAACGCTGTCGCTGTCATGCCCATCTCCACTCCCGCTCCCCTGCTCCTGCCCTGATGATAAAATGGAATGACCTGGCCTGACGTACGATCTTGAATACCGATCAGAATAGAGTCCTCAAGAAACAGCTTGACGGTCTCGAGCCAGTCTCGATCCCCTGCTTTCACTCGACTCCACAACCATGGACCTGATATCACACTTGTCCCGGAATTTCTGGGACTTCTGCAAGAGGAATATTATTCCGGATGTCTTCATCAAGAGGAGGTTCAACTTCATCACCATACATTATTGTTACATGATTGGAATGACAATTCTGGGCTCGGTCATCATATATGGCATTGGTGGTATAGCATACATCGACGCCTTGTTCTTTGCCTCGGGAGCCTGTACCCAGAGCGGTCTGAACACCATCGACGTGAACAACCTCAAAGTCGGCCAGCAATTCATGCTCTTCTTCCTCGCCATGCTTTGCAATCCCATTGTCGTCAACTCGGCCGTCGTCTTCGCCCGACTGTATTGGTTCGAAAAACGGTTCGAGGCCGTCGTCAAGACCTCAACTGCCATGCGACGAACAAGATCCAGGCAACGCACCACTACAATTGGAAGGGATGACCCGGAACCAGGTCTGCCGGGCGTCGCAGGGAAAGCAATCCGGATCTTGCGAAACACCGGGCGCAGCCAAGGCCCTGCAGACGCAGAGAAGCTCGGCAACGGCAACGGGAAGGCAGCGGATTCGTCTGACACGTCTCAGGAAGAGCAAGAGGAATTGAGGCGTCCCGTACCTGATCATCGTCCACTGTTCCAGACAGTTCAGTCCAATGATGATTTGCGTGTGCCTCCCCAGATGAGTCCAGAGCAACACATCCGCTTTCTCGAGAATCAACGAAATCCCAGTGACACGACTACTCTGCGAATCCCCAGCCCTCGCGAATTCGAGCTGGGCGGTCGGCCTCAACATGTTAGTTCCAGCTTTGACCAGAATGTCTTGCGTCCAGTCGCGAGTGAACCCGACCTCTCCAACACTAATGAAGGAGAAATCGACGTGGTAGCTGAGGATGACCCTGCTCCTCCTGCACACATCACCATCAACGAACCAACACACTTGCGAGACCGCCAGGACCGGACCAATACCTTTCCCCGGCTCAACACAAGACAATCTACAGAACCTCCACATACCTACGATTCCCCTGAGCCTAGCTCTCACCTCCGCCGGAGGGGTTCACTACATCGCGTGAACACGCCACGTGCACAGGACCTTGCCCCATACCTGAGTTGGCAACCGACCATCGGGAGGAACTCATTTTTCCTTGGTCTGACCGAGGAGCAGCGAGAAGAGCTGGGCGGGATAGAATATCGGGCACTCAAGGCCTTGGCACTGATCCTCGTCCTGTACTTCTTCTCGTTTCACGTCCTCGGTATCATCTGTCTAACCCCGTGGATCTTGCACACGAGTTATGGAAAGTATGTGACAGAACAGTCGCAGGGAAGAGTCTGGTGGGGACTCTTTACGAGTGCTTCTGCCTTCAACGATCTCGGCTTCACCCTTACCAACAATTCCATGATCTCATTCCAGCTGGCCGTGTTTCCCCTGCTGTTGATGACCTTTCTGATAGTCATTGGGAACACTGGATTTCCATGCATGTTGAGGCTTGTTATATGGGCCACTTCGAAGTGTGTCCGAACAGGCACTCCGTTGTGGGAGGAGCTCCAATTTCTTCTGGATCATCCACGTCGCTGCTTCACCCTCCTGTTTCCTCGAGAAGCGACTTGGTGGCTGTTTGCTATCCTCGTTATCCTCAACGGACTGGATCTAATCTTCTTCATCATTCTCGATCTCAATGATCCCACCGTCACGTCCTTACCTGGGGGGCTACGGTTTCTTGATGGTCTATTTCAAGCCGCGTCGACTCGAACGGCGGGATTTTCCGTGGTCAACCTCGCCGACCTCCACCCTGCCATTCAGGTCAGTTATCTGATCATGATGTACATATCCGTCTTTCCAATTGCCATTTCCATGCGACGAACCAATGTGTACGAGGAGAAGAGTCTGGGTATCTATGGAACTCCAGCCGAGGAGGACGAAGACGAGGGCGAGCCAAGCTATATCGGCGCGCATTTGCGGAGGCAGCTTTCCTTTGATTTGTGGTACATCTTTCTGGGCATGTTCATCATTGCCATTGTCGAAGGCGGACGACTGCAGAATCCCAACGACAACGCATTTTCCCTGTTTGCTGTCCTCTTCGAAATTGTCTCCGCTTATGGCACTGTCGGTCTTTCCCTAGGCTACCCGACCATCAACGCTTCCTTTTCAGCAGAGTTCCACAAACTATCAAAGTTGGTGATAATCGCCATGCAGATCCGTGGAAGACACCGTGGACTCCCCTACGAGCTTGACCGCGCCATCCTTTTACCTTCCGAGAGTCTGCAAGCGAAAGAAGCCAAGGAGGCTGAAAGAGTCATGTCTCGGGTACAGCGTCGGAGGTCGTCCATAGGAGCGTACTCGACGACGTCGGCTGTCGACGGGAACATGGAAGGACGCCAGTTCCGCCCTGAGACGGGGCTGTCTTCTGGGTTGCGAGATATCGACGAGAATTCAGAGTTCCCCCGTCCTCGCGCCAATACGAACCGATCGCACCACAGAACGGGGAGCTCAACAGACCATCAGCTACATAGTGACCGACACAGTGAACCGCACAGTGCACGGCGCGGTCTGGGGGTGGGAATGTTCAAGCTAGCACACGGCGTTGAGGCCATCAAGGAGGAAAAGTCCCGGGAGTAGATGACAAAGAGCGTCTACCCCGGACACTTGACAATACATATTGTATTCATACTGACACGACGATTCTGACAACATCGATGCATTTGAGCGAAGGCGAAGAAAGGAGTCCTGTTTTGTTATGGGCCTTGCCATTGTGGGCTATCTCGCATTGAGATTGACATACACTTACAGCAACGTGCAACAACATATCATTGAGTTCAGATTTAGCGAGCATGCTTATTTCGAAAAGTACCAAAGAATTACTCTGTACAGTTTCGGGGAAGAAACATGAAGAGACTATTTTGTGCTCGTTCATCCCCTCATCGACCACTTACGGGTGAAGTCACAGCCAAGTTTGCGACACAGGTGGTTAGCTAGGATGAGTGACTCGACAACAAGACTTTGGGAGAGTGTCCCGCCGGAAAAGGATCGTCAGGGTGAGCGCCTTCCAGATTGTGCCAAGGCAGGCCAAGACAAAGGAGGTGTATTGTCCCGCCGCTCCAAGTCCAACTTTCCGGGCGGAGGGGCCTTGGTGCTGAGCCCGATTGGCTGTACGCTCCTCTGCCAAGGAGACGACGTCTCACAGATAACCCCCTTTTGAGGTTGGCATTGCTATCCGGAAACAACAGCGGATGGGCGGGCAGTCCTCCCCTCTTGGATTGAAGAGGTGGTCGCCCGTCATGGCTGTGTGACACTTTGTTGTTTCTACAGACCTTGGCTCGTTCCAACTTCTTGCACTCCCGTGCTCTCACCTCTTTCCTTTCGTTTGTGTTGATTCCAGACTTCCATTCTTTTCCCTTCTACTCCAATCCCGCCATGGATTAACGGCCCATTGCCTCTGCTCTATCTTTTCCTTAGTATACGACGTGGCACTTGGGACCTCCCGCTTCCCGCCGCCCCCGCAGATTGGGCGCATCCCTCTGTTCGCTCTCTTCACTCGAGATTCCTTTTTTGTCCATTTGCTCCTGCTTCTGGGGTATCCTCCTCGGATTTGGATGAGGACTGTGGGCGGTTACGTTTCAACATTGTTCCAAGTCAATCTTTCATCTGACCTTCGACCGCGGCGCATAATGAAGTCGCGAATAGGTCCCTCTCTGGTAGCGCTGGGCGGTTTACTTTCCCTGGCCAATGCAATCACTCTCGATATGAACAGCTTTGATTCGATCAAGTCTGTTACCTCTACTCTAGCATACGACATGATGACATACTATTCAGGCAATCAGTCCGGGCAAGTGCCAGGTCTGCTACCCGGCCCGTGTGACTCAACGGCTTGTTATTATTGGTGGGAAGCAGGCGCGATGTTTGGATCTCTGATCAATTACTGGCAGTATACCGGGGACGACAGCTACAACTCCGTCGTGACGCAAGCTTTACAGTTTCAGGTTGGACCGGAAGAGAATTTCAATCCTCCGAACCAGAGCAAGAACATGGGTGTGGACGATCAAGCATTTTGGGCATTTACGGCCATGGACGCTGCTGAGGCTAATTTGCCGGACGTTGGTGGTGACGCTCCTTCTTGGCTGGCTCTGGCTCAGGCCGTGTTCAATTTTCAATCGACCCTTTGGGATTCTGCCACTTGCAATGGAGGAATGAGATGGCAAGTCTATTCTTTCAATGCGGGCTACAATCTGAAAAACACCATCTCCAATGGCGGCAACTTTCAATTGGCAGCGCGTCTGGCTCGATACACTGGGAACCAGACGTATGCAGACTGGGCGATCCAGATGTGGGATTGGATGGAAGCTAGCCCGCTGTTTCAATATCAGGATGACGTTCTCTACATCTGGGACAATACGGATGCAAACAACAACTGCACCGACGTGGCTCACTATGCCTGGACCTACAACTACGGCACGATGCTGATGGGGGCTGCTGCTATGTACAATTTCACCAATGGGGCCGAGCCATGGGGAACGCGGGTCAACCAGATCTTGCAGGGGGCATTCAATCTGTTTTTCCCCCAGGAATACGGCGGCAACATCATGACTGAGTTCCAATGTGAACCGACTATGGTGTGCAACAACGACCAAAGCAGTTTCAAGGCTTACCTGTCTCGGTGGATGGCCGTTACAGCCTTGATCGTGCCCAGCACATATGACTTGATCATGCCCAAACTGCAGGCGAGCGCTGCAGCCGCGGCACAGCAATGTAGTGGAGGGAATAATGGGCGAATGTGTGGGCGGCGGTGGTATTCAAGCTTTGACGGCTCCATGGGCGTGGGACAACAGGTACGTCCTTTTTCTACACAAGGGAAATAATATTGCCCTCAACTTTGCTGACTTGGAGCCAGATGCAAGCACTTGCGGTCATCGGAGCATCAACTATACATCCAGACATTGCGCCCAAAACGGTGGCTACTGGAGGCACGTCGGAAAGTGACCCTGGTGCTGGGACTGGTGTCGATGCCTCTCCGGTAGAGCATTCACCCATCACCATGGGAGATCGAGTTGGTGCTGGTGTCCTGACGGTATTGTGTGCCGGTATTATTGTGGGGGGAGCGATTTGGATTATGGTGTAAATTCTTTATACGGATAGGGGGGGCATCTTTGGATTTCTTTTGTTGAGGCAGCATCTAAGCAGGTCATTGGCGTCGGTAGAGGGGTTTTGCGTATTCAATTTGGAACCATGCAGTCTCTTGAGAGGATTGACACACGGTGTACGAGGTAGCGAATACCAAGTCTCTCGTACCACTAGCTCAGTCGTCACCTGGTCTACTACTTGGCTGCTCGAGGCTGGCTGGCGGTGGCTAATGAGGCTGAGTAGCGTCCTCCGTCCGCTTGCTGGATTCCGCTCAGCAGAGTCAGCAGCGTGACGTGTGGGGAAAACCCACTCCAGGCCAGCTACCAGCTAATTACCGATTCACCGTTTTCGGCGAGTCAACAATCTTCCGTCGTTGGCCCTCCCTAAACATTCTTCAACTTCTGCGCACGGTGAATGACCACGATGACGTGGAATGGCTGTCGTGACCGGAACTGATCTCGTTGGGAAATTCATACTCTCGATTTACGGGACAGCGATAGATCTTCCTTTCCTACGCACTTCGCCACATGTTCTGCTGCACATCCTCGACTCATCGAACTGCCAAGCACGACTTTCATTGCACCATCAACCTGGCCAACGGCAATGGAGATCGTGTCCAGTGCAGTGTCCTCTCAACATCTACCTCCTAACGATCCATTAGAACCGGCTGACCATGACTCGGACGCCCAAACGAATCCGACACCTGCGCCAACAACGATTGCCACGGTCCCAAGGAGGCACACAAAAGGACTCTCTCTAAATTTCCCCATCCTAGTACCTACCAGTGTGTCATACACGCAGTCTCCGACACTTGCGTCCGGAGTACAGAGCCCGATCGAATCCGCCAAATCATCCCCTCCTATCCGCGGCGTTCCTTTCAGAGGCCCCGACCCTGCGACCGAAGCGCAGGAGAAAGCCAAGACAAGAGGAAGCGCCGAGTTCTTGACACTTCTAGCGGCCCAGGAGAGGAAGGTTCTCGAGTTGAAAGAGGAACTGCAGCGGGCAGAAGCGGATTTGTTGGTGCTGAAGAAGCAATGGGCAGCCTACGAAGCGAACAAGAAGAGGGACGAAGTGCGACAAGTGAAGAAGCTGCAGCCTGTGGCCCTGGGCGATGTCATGGGCGGCGAAGGTGTCGTTGCGGAGGACGACCTTGATGAAGAACGAAAGCGGAAACGAGCACTGGTGGAGAGGGGCTACACGTCTCAACCGGCTGCGGCGAGTAACGCAGGATCTAATGGTTTGGTTAGGAAGGGGTCAAAGCGAGTATTTGAAGGAGGTCGACATACGAGAACCTTGAGTCTGTTGAGTCCGACCTCTTCAAAAGGCGCGCCCAAACCGGCCGACGAGACACAAAGCACGCAGGAAGACACAGTGAACGCCGACGGCGAAGACATGAACAGACCTTCTTTCTCGAGGATGCCGACCCTTGACGGGTTGATATCCGGCGATGCCTTGCCCCTTGGATTCGGGAAGACGTACAAAGATCTAGCAGCACATCGGAGATCTCTGCCACCGGTCGCTGCAGATATATTGGTTAAACAGGGAAAACAAGTATACGATGGAGTAAGGGAGGGTCTGTGGACCTTCTTCGAGGATATTCGGCAAGCTACTGTTGGAGAAGAAGGTATCAACGGGACCGCAGCTCAGCAGCGCCCAGCAAGGCCTGCTCACAGAAAGGCCGCGAGAAAGGCTTCCGACAGACAAGGCAAACTCAGCTCAAAGGATAGCACTGAAATACCCGATCCACGTCCCATGGAACCGTCGTTCTGGAAAGAATTTGGGCTTGATACACCACAAAAGAACTCAACCCGACCCAAGGCCGCGGAGAAACTCAATGGACATGTTCAGCAGAAGAGCAGCACCGACTCTTCCAACACGCCCAGTCTGTTACCAGATCTGAATGACCACGATGAAATCGAAGATGGCTGGGACGCCTGGGACTCCCCCGTCAGCACCCGAGGACCTCTAATCGCTGGGATGGAGGAAGTCCGACCAAAGCCAGAGGATGGAGAAGCCGGCCTTCCTTGGCCGGAGCTTGACAGGATCACTCCAAGTAAGCTCACCCGGACTGTGAGCGATCTTATGAAGGAGTGGGAATCAAGTCAGGAAGACCCAACTAAGACAAGCGGGCTGGCAAATGGGCAGATGCACATACTTGACAGTCCGCATATGTGATATGGAGATTACGAATTCGACATGCGACGAACACAGCGTTGGATTTAATTCCCGGTCTGGGGATTGTGTATATTGTCTCTGTACGCCATCAATGCCACGTGATTGACGGTATCACTGTTCATCAGATTGATGCTGTATTATTGTGTCAACTAGTGATGGGCATCTGCATATATTCCGAGAGCCTGGACGATGTGGAGCGACTTGGACATCGTTTTTGAATTTTCCGCTCGATAGCAACGACCTTGAACTTTGTATGCTTGTGGAACTACGCAAATTAACACCTCATCTCCATATATGGTCGGGGGGATTCACGTGAGGATGAAGATCGAGGCAATATGTAGCACATCGCCCTAGCAACACCAATGGACCAAATAATTCTGGAAGACCTGCTGACCCTGTCCTGTTGTCCTGTCTTGTCCTGTTCCGTCACTTTCTCGGCCCGCTGGAGCCCGCGGGCTTGGATCCATCTTCAGTCCCTTCCAAGCCAGGATTGTAATTGTTTCGGGACCAGCTCGGCACGACGGCGTGGGCGAGGAACTGCTGGTCCAGCTGGGCGGACCTACCTAGAGAACCATCATCAAGCGGGTGTGATGGATACTCAGGTACCTAGGAAGACATGATGGACACCGGCAGAGTCACGGGCCCCTGCATTAGCGTGGAACCTTCGGTGCATTAGTGTCTCTAACAGTGTCTCTTCCAGTGTCTCTTCCAGGCGCCACTGCTTTGCCCAGTGGGTGCCAGGTGCCCCTCCGGCCCCTCGTTGCTATGGCAGCGCAACGTCAACATCAAGCCCTGCTACTCGCACCTTGAATTCTACGGCCAACGTTCTTCTCTGCACACTACCGGGCACTATTACCATGTATCCTGTATCGTTTTATGGCTGAAGTTTTCGGAATTACCTAGGCATGCGGCTTGATACAGAAAGCCATCCGCGATACCCCTTTTCCTGATCCATGGTCGTACATGATATATCCTCGGCGCCATCAGCCCCTGCAACCACCACCTCGCTTTTACCATTACCCTCTCATTCATTCTCTGTACCACTACCGTCATCCATTCTGTCTTGCATTTCTGCCCCCGGCGCAACTTTTATCGCATTGTACATTTCTTGCCTTGACAGCATAGTCCAATTAGTGCGCAACTCCCAACTGTCCATGACTCCCAGGCGCAGCCAATGAAAAGCCTTTGGTCAACAGAGGAACATTCACAGCATTCGCGGCATTGTTGAAACAGAAGATTCAAACATTTCACACCACCGAGGGTCACATCCGGCCCCAATTAGCGGTTCGCGGCCATGGCCATGATTTCCCCCTTCTCGGAAGCGCCTCACCAGGCCACTGCGGCGCCGCAGAGCTACTTCGAGATCCAAGAAGATTCCGCGCACGGCGATACCCTTGCGGACAAATATCAGATGCTGGAAGAACTAGGTAGCGGCTCGTTCGGTGTTGTCTACAAGGCTATAGAGAAAGGGACGGGTGAAATCGTCGCCATCAAACATGTATGCAAGACCGTCCGAATGCAGTCAAGTCTATTCAGCTAACGTTCGAAATAAACAGGTGGATCTCGAATCTTCTGAGGAAGACCTTTCCGATATCCTGTCCGAACTCTCCGTCCTCTCATCATGCTCAAGTCCGCACGTCACCAAATATCGCCTGGCGTTTCTGCGGCGACAGACTTTGTGGATTGTCATGGAATACCTCGGAGGCGGATCATGCGCAGACCTCCTCAAGCCGCCTCCCCATCGTCTGTCAGAAAGTCACATCGCCATCATATGTCGAGAGCTGCTCCTCGGCTTGGCGTACTTACACGGTGAGGGAAAATTACACCGAGATATCAAGGCCGCAAATATTCTGCTCGGTATGGATGGTCGGGTGAAGCTGGCCGACTTCGGCGTCGCTGCGCAGCTGGTTGGGTTGAAGAGCATGAGGAACACTTTTGTCGGGACTCCTTTTTGGATGGCACCCGAGGTCATCCAGCAGGAAGGTCATGACGCCAAAGCGGACGTCTGGAGTTTGGGCATCACGGCAATGGAATTGGCAAACGGCGAACCTCCGCATGCCAATGTTCACCCCATGAAAGTCCTATTTCTGATACCGAAACAGCCTGCGCCGCGGCTAGAAGGGCCCAATTGGTCCAAAGACTTCAAAGACTTTGTTGCTTGCTGTCTAACCAAAGATGTCGACAAGAGGAAAAGTGCAAGGGAATTGCTCAGCCATCGGTTCATCCGGTCCGCTGGGAAGATTGAAGGTCTCCAGGAGCTGATCGTGCGAAAGCAGGACTGGGAAGCTAGCAAAGGGGGAGACAGAAATTTGAAGTACTACGCCGAAACCCTCAAAAACCTGTCGCAGGGCCGGAATGACGATGACTGGGTGTTTGAGACCGTCAAAGCTGTGCCCACTATGGATTTCAAGGACTTTCACACCCAGAGGAAGAGGAAGGCTGGGAGAACACCAGTCGACGTCCTGGGTGATGGCTCCGAGCAAAGCGCCGCACATATGATGGAGGGGTTGACTCTTGACCGTCGACCAGAACCTCAACAGAGTCCAACCAAGCTGACGATGCGGAAGATCTCAGAGTCAACACAGCAACAGTACCACAAAGACCGAAGGGACTCTACTGATTCGTTAGCAGGCAAGAGGACAAACAGGAAGAGGCTGTCCAGCACCCAAGTACGGCAGCCACTGGGAGTGAACATGTCGTTTGGCAACAGCCCAAGCACAGTCCGACAATTTAGACGCGTATCACCAAATGCGAACACGAGCCCGAACACGGAGAATGAGGATCCGAACTCTAGCGTCATCCGGACTCCGTCAAAAGCCAAACCTGACCTGTCCTCTCTGGTGGATATTGAGGCTTCATTGCTGTCAAAGCCTGATAAAGCATCAAGATTCTCCTCGACCGCCACGACCATCGCGATAGAGACGAAGGAGGCGAATCTTGGCCGTAAACTCTACTCGAACGCAATTGGTATTTCGTGTCAAGACGTTCTCAATGACACCGCCGACGAAGTCAAACGCGAGGCTGTTGCGCGGCTAGCCGAGGCCTTCTCCGACTTGGAAAGCGTGGATCCAGATGGCCTGTATCACATTATGCAGTCAATCATCTCCAAGATGAAGCAGGACGAGACGTTGAAGCATATGCTGCCCCAGCAACCTTTGACGATGTCGCCATCCAAGGAGATGCTGCAGTCCCCTCAGAAGCTCAATGACCCACACATGTCGACGGCATCACCGCAGCCCATTGGCCCCAACGAGAGCAGACAGGTTACTCCTAGCACACCGACGGGGAAAGGAGCCGTGGGTGCCAAACTGGTCCTTGCGCAGAACAATCCACACCTCAAGAGTCATCGACGGAGGCAAAGTGCACAAGCTGCCATTGTCAAGTCCCGTGACACGAGTCAAGTCTTTGCAAGTCCGCTAAGAAACACAAGTGTTGAAGAGAAACAAAAAGCAAGTCTGTTGGAGGCTGAAAATCAAACGGAGAAGGAGATGATGAGCGGGTTAGTAGGTGGGTTGGAACACACGAGACAACTTGCAGATGCACTATTCGAGAGATGGTGCGAGGGGTTGAGGGTCAGATGGCCAGCTGTTTAACAGGAGGGGCCAAGACCGGGAACAGGTGTTTGAGTAGCTCTGACCACTGATGGAGAGGATGAATGGCCACTTGACTCTTCATCTTGGACATTGGTCTGAACGCTTCCGCAAGAAAGGCGGATGTGAGAATTCGATGATGCAATAGGTTCGGGATTGCCAATTTGCATAGCGACACGGAAATCGGAGTTTGGTTTTGGGTTTGGACGGCTGTTGTGCTAACAATCTGCTTTTACTTCTCACATGTTCATTCGATTGGAACAAAAGGCCGAAACCTCAGGGCATCACCAAAAAGACAAGACTAGATATCTTGCACAAAAGGGGCACAGAAAAGAGAAAGACAAAAGTTACGACCCTATCGCTGTTTCCACTACTTTACTTTACATTACGGCCGATACCACGAACTGAGAAGCGGGGGGGAAGAAGGGGAGCGTCTTCTGGCTGGGTGGGTATGCGCAAGCAAGTTTCAAAGAGGTAGTTTGCACCCAGTCAGTGGACTCTTTCTTTTCCCCGGAGGAGAATGAACGATTCGGAGTCGAACTCGGAGAGAGGACGGAGGTCGCTAAGTAAGGGAGGGCATGTTCGGGCCTTACACTAGTACAAAGCCGAGTCGGGGGACCACAGGTGTGTATGTATGTACTCTACCCTTCTTGGACGAATGGGATTGAAGTACGAGACGGAACGGGTGAAGATGGGGAGGAAAAGAGAGAAGCACAAGGCGGGAGACCATTTACCTGTGTAGATTAGAATACGCCAGAAGGGCCTTTAAGAAGGTTCAGTCGCGAGACCAACCACCTGCAGACGGCGGTGACTTATGCTCTTCCTGAATCTGCGTCTGGATGCGTCTGTGTCTGCGTCTGCATCTGCGTGTGCTTCTGTGGCTGTTCCCTTTCGTGTCTTCAAAAACAACGTGTTGTAGTGTATATCCTGTTAGATACATAGGTACATACGTACCTCGTGAATAGATCATATGCTAAGCAGAGTCGATGAATGACTCAGCCGCCGCTCACTCAGTTCACTCACTGCGTCAGATCATTACAGGATAGAATGGATATATTGCTCGGTACTGGTACAGATTACATTCTTGTCTTCTCAACAAGGGACAACATCTCTGGGACAGACTGCACGAAATGCGTAGATATCCATTCTCCTCTGAACAAGCCCAGTCCTCCTGTATTTTACGCCACCAAGCAAAACATAAAAAGCACCCGGAGGGCAACACAACAACTAAGGAGCTTCACTCACTCAAGGCTGTGTGATGACTGTTGTTGGCGGTCCTAGTAGGTAGCCTGTTGTAAACCATTCCCCCCCTCCCTCTTCCTTTCTTTTTTTTTCCATAGCCTTACGCCCACCATGGTAGGGAACGCCCTCGGCCCAATCTCGACGCGGCGCTTGATGGCAGTATGATCCTCGCCCGACTGGACGCGGCGCTTAAGCTCCTCCGGGTTAAAGTTAGTGCCGACCGGGTTCTCGCGAAAGGCCTACGAGGTTAGGAAGCGATACTACTCGCCCGGATCGTCGAAGTTATCTATCTATAACTCGAGCTTATTTCCGTCCGGGTCGGCGTAATATATACTCGTCGTCGCGCCGTGATTGACGTACTATACGGGCTCGGTCCCTAATACGCGCCGCTACTCCTATACCGTAACGAGATCCGCGAGGTTACGGAACGTAAACGCGATATACTCGAGCACTAATCCTAATCCGCTATTATTGGAGAGGTTATTGAACTTGATGATGCCGATCCGGTGGTGCTCGTCGTCGTACCGTAACAAGTACGCCCGCTCGTTCTCGAACTCGATCCCGGCCCTAAGGAAGCGCTTATAGAAGTCGACTATCTCGTCGAACCGCGCCGTGCGGAGGACCACGTACGCCAGTTTCCACGGGCTGAGTACGTCGTACTGTTTCTTGGTCGTCGTAGACATTTATAGGTTGTGGCTATTTATATGATCTTGCTCAGGTCTTGACTCTTCTTCCTTTATTGGGTGGGCAGCAACTTCAGAGGATCTTTACTCTCTCTGGTCAAGAATAGAATATCGTGAAAGATGGCAGGCTAGGAGGCTTAAAGCCAGAGCAGGGCAATTTTTCTTTCTTTCTCTTTTTTCTTCTTGAATTTATAAAAGTCCCAAAGCTCAACTGATTTCCTCCCTTTTTTTTTTTTTTTTTGAGGTCTGAGACTCCACTCCCCGCCCCCACCACATATTGTTAAACGAGGATTCGTAACTAGAGGAATTACACCCACCCACCTTGTCTATGGTTGCATGCATGCATGCAAGACGGCACTGAATCGAAAAACTCGATGAGAACCTGTCTTCGTTCTCAGCTGGTGTCGGTCTCGAACTCTTTTGGGTCGCAGACCCACGTCGACGGAAGTTTCTTCAAATATTCGGTGCCGAAATTTCAACTCCGGCGAGGCTGAATGCGGGCCAGTCACAGGCGGTGCCGAGAAGCATATCACTCGTACATTTATATTGATACGAGGTTACATATTCAACCCTATCGGTCCGGATTACATAGTTACCCGACAAACGGAAGCGGGGGACTATACGCCATATGCGGAGGAATTGGGGTGGGGTTGGGGGGCCGGGGGGGTGGAGAGAGCAGAGAGATTGATGCTGACGACCAATTCTCATATTTCTGTACCGAATCAAGAATTCAAGAAGTAGAAACGTTGCCGAACCTCATCAAGTTTCCGGTCTGGCTTGATTGAATATCCTCATGCCGATACATCCGGCGCTCTCTCCCCTCTCTTCACCCCGGTCTCGAGTGATATGGCCATCCAATTCCATGCCACATTCCATGACTACCGGTTCCAGGAGGTACCGGTAGAGTGTAGACCCCCACAGAGGCCGTTATCACCTCCCCCCCCTTCTTCTTTTTTCAGGCTCCGATATGGATAAATGGCACCCACAGATTGAATTTTTGCTGCCCATTTATCCTGTTTTTCCATAAACTTGTGGTTGCATGATGCATTGCATGTGCCACAGCGTCGTCATCGCTGAAGCCCTGGCGCATCTTCTGGTTGAGCAAGTCATAAAATCTCGGGGCAATCTTGACTGCAACCCTGTCGTTTGCCTCCCACAGGGTCCCAATGACGTGGGGGAATCCAACCAAGCTGAAGGCACTTGCCACGGCGATGGATTCGTCGACGATGGTGCTCGACTTGTTTTGCGCCGTCGAGCATGCCGAGAGGTAGGCGATCTGCACCTGGTCGAGGGATAGCTGGCCCAGTTCTTGGATCGTCAGCCGTCCATCATCCAGCTCCAGCCCGCTTTGCGAGGGGCTGTCGGCCTCTGAAATCCCGTGGCAGATAAAGTGCGCGATAGTGGCCGACTTCAACTTCTCCAGCACCTCCTCGCGAGATGGGTTGGTTAGGACCGAACTCTTCACCTGGTTCACCCCCAAGCTCCTAGTCACCCCTCTAATCTCGGGTTTGACTTTCAACGGCCCGAGACCCTTCGTCTCGGGCATGCTCACGACGAGCAGCTCGGTGCCCGGGTCCTTCAGCGGCCTCGGCCTTTTTTTCCTGAGGTATGCCAGCGCTTTGAAGGTTGGGATATAGCTGGAGACCGCATGGCCCATGGTACTCTCTCTAGAAGTGTCCCAATGCTTCCCAGCGGCGTGGAGCGGCAGGAGACCCAAGAGGCCGCTTGTGACCCACCAAATGCGTGGAAGCCTCTCCGGAGGAGTCTCGCTGATAAGGCCCAGGTGTTGAAGCACCGGCTTGACCGCGAAGTCCCATAGCCATTCCAACGTGTCCGATATGCGTTTATCGACATCATCTTCCTCGATCGAATCTACTTCATCTTCCTCCGTTGAATCTACATCATCTTCCTCTGTCGAATCTCCTTGATTGGGAGACTTTCCTCGGACCAATAAATTGACGTGACCTTGGAGGTCCTTCTGCGTGATGTCGTGTAGTGGAATGACTTCCACTCGGTGCCTACTAACGAGGAACGCATTTGTAAGGTCCCCAAGTGTGCTGAAACACACGATGGGGCCGTCGCGAGCAAGCTCGGTGAAGTCGGTGGCCAAGCTCGTACTCGGGAATCTTTGAAATCCCGGCATGTCGCGGATCTTACGCTCGAGCAACTTGAGATCCTCCACCTGCTGATTCCGGCGCGCTATGGCAGCGGCCATTGAGGCCTTGGAGCTGCCGTTGCTGATCGGTACCAGTGGACAAGATATCCTGTAGCACAGCTCCATATACTGATCATACAGCTCGCCATTCTCCATCTTCAGATCTGATACCTCGATGGTCAAACTGGCGATGATGCCGCGGCCAGACTCCAACGCCTGCAGAGCCCTCCACGGTGACCCGTGCTTGTTAGAAAAGCATATACAGGTGGCCGCGAGAGGGCCCAACCCAGACAACTTACTGATGACATACTCCATATCCTCCCATGCCAACGTCCGTGGGTTGAGCCTTGGCCAGAGACTGATGGCCAGCTCGTATGCGTCTGCAGCCTCATCCCAGTCCCTGTTTCTAAGTCTCAAGTCGCCGAGTTTCTTGCAGGCACGCATCCTGGTGAAGGGATGTCCATTCTCAAGATGTGCCGCTTGACGATAGTAGAGCTCCGCCTTATTCATGCCCTTGAAGGGTGTTTCTTCCACCTGGACAATGGTGCGTGTCTGGTTGATCCTGCGTATATCTATCGGCCCTGATCTTCCCGCCTGAGGCTCACGTTGGAGACGATTGAATTCTTCTCGCACTTCCCACGGCACTCGAGTCTCTCTGCTAAACTCTATAGCCATCGCGTCACCCAGACATTCGATGGCTTCAGCCTGGCCTGGATGCCCAGATTCAAGGCGTTTCGCGGCGTTTGTGGCAAAGGTCACCATCATGCCCTCGTCACGCAGGCGGCCAGATTTCTGAGCCCGAAGAGCGTATAACTGGGTCACGCTGCTAATATATCTCCCCATCTGCGGGTGGTTTCGATCAAGAAGAAATTGTGCTTTGTGGGCAGCCTCGGCCGTCTCTAGGGCCAGGGTCAGGCATTCCATATTCCCATCACACTTGTATTGAACGAGGTAACCATTTGCCTGGTTGTCGAGCACTCTTGGCAGCATCGCGTCGCGCTTCGGAATGCGGGAAGCTGCGCGTTCCATGGCTGATATGCCGCTTTGTAGGTCGTTGGAATCCTTGGACCTCTCGAACTTCCTAACACGCATGTTTCCCATCTCGGCGATGTAAAGCAGGCGATCAGGATTACTGGCACTCAAGATCTCGAGCGCATGTTCCGTCTCCTTGATAGCGTGCTCCAGATCGCTCAGGCTCCCCGTTCGGTTCGCACACATCTCCAACTGAACCGAGAGATTCCGCCTGAGTCGCGCTACGGCATCATCATCGCCTGATTCCAGTCCCTCGGCAATCTCGACTGCTTCAGCAGCATACTTGACTGCGCTGCGGGCATCCATCGGATTTCCAGCCCTCTCGAATTGATGGCCATATAGGTTTGCGAGGCACGTGAGCCGGACTGGTTTCGCAGGTTCCGAGCTGGGTGTCTGGCGCACCACACGTTCAGCCAGGGAGATGCCGGATCGTAAGTCGGCCCGGTCTCCATTCAGCCGATAGCGCTTCTCATAGCACATGGCCAGCTTGCTTTCCCGCCGAAGCAGCTGAGCCCCTTGATTGGGGGGCGTCAGCGAGATTGCCTCGCCAATTGCGCGAACGAGGTCTCCAGAATGGAAGAAGAAGGCCGTTTTCGCATCTGGCCAGTGTAGGGTCTGATACATGAGGCAGTCGGCCAAGATCTCTCGCTTGTCTGCCGACTCCGGGTACGCCTTGACGTCCTGCCGAGCATCCCAGACGTTTGAGTGATCGATGAAGCGCAGAGACACCTGAGACATTCCAAAGCTGGGCTGATGCTTCCCCCACTCGTAGAATGGCAGGGGCTCAATCTGCCTCTGCCTGCCATCCTTGTTCACGGGGACGGACGTGCTGGTCCCGCGAGCCTTCTTGAACGGATTCCACATTGTATTCGGTCGATTATCAGCGCATTTGGTTTGGGAGAGGGGAGGAATCGATCACACATGAATTCAAGGCTTTCAATTGATTTTATGCTTCCTTTCTCGCCGCGGGCCGATCCGTGCCACGATTCGTGGGGGAGAAACTCAATGAAGTGGGGAGTGATGGAGTTGGGTTGATTCCTCTTGATGATGATGATGATGATGCTGGGATAGATCCGGGCTGGCTTGGTGGAACAAAACACAACAAAGTGACCTGCCTTGTACTTGTTATTCGTATCAGGTGGTTCTACTCTTACTCATTGAACTGGCTTGTAAAACCCCGTATGTCCGAGTCTACTGTACCTACTTGTACTAAATCTATTTGAGCGGGCCGCCGTGCATACTGAACTTATCTAGCTGGCACCATCTGAGGGTTGTGCCATTCCTTCTCTCGCATGCCGGTGTCAAGCATGGTCTACTAGGCAGCCAAGGTGGATGAAGTGATTGGACTCGCCGTGTGGAGTCTCGCTTGTTAGTGCTGAGTGGCTTCCGCCTTTTAATCGGAACTGGAATCTCGACGACGAATCCGACTATGTACGAGGTACGAGGTACAGACCGCCCGCTTCCTTTTCACTGATATATCTTATTCGTCGTCTCCAACCATGTCGAAAGTGTCGGGTCCATCCTCTTCTCCTTCCTCATCCTCCAGGTCAACCTCCACACCTTTACTCGCTTTGACTTGCGCGCCTCTGTTGTCCGCCGTGAGAGCCCAGCAGTTGTCTTGCTCGAGCCTTGCCGACGCCGCTCTGTTTTTCAGCTTGAAGATGCTGAACTTGACCTTGCGGTAGCAAAAGGCGTAGACGCGCTCGCCCTGGAGATACGAGGCCACAGCCGCAGTACGTGTAGCCTGATGCTTCACAGAGCCACCAACCTCGAGGTCCAGCATGCCGGGGATGAGCAAGGTCGCTCCATGGGATGCAATGTCTCCCACCGGGACCTCGCTTTCCACCCCGTACGAAGAGCTCTTGTGTACCCCGTCAAGTGTGGCCGCGTCCAAAACCGTGTAGTAGCCGACCACGAAGTAGACCCGCTGCACACCGTCCTCGAGTTCGTCCTGCATCCAATCTCTCACCGAGTCGCACTTGATGAGGTCTTTGAACACCTGCTTGGGACTGATGAGCGTATATTTCCGCACCTCGCACGGCCCGAGCCAGTTCGTGTTGGACGTAGATCTGCCAAGCGAGGTGGAAAGAAGCTTCGTGACGTTGGTCTTGAAGGCGTCGTCCCTGGATTCTTCGAGAAGCTTGCCCAGGTTCGCTTGCTGTTGAACCCGGAAATCTTTTCTTTCGGTCAGCGCAGGGTAATCGTCGCCGACCTTGTGCCACGGAGTTGGGAAGCCATCTTGGTCTGGCTGCTTCAAGTTCGGGATAAAGGATGCAAGCTGGAATGCCTCGCGAAGGGGTGCAACACCGGGAACAAAGTACTTGCTCATCATGTGCTGGACTGTGATTGCGTTCCGTCAATGGTGTTGAAACTTCCCCCGGACCTCTTTCAATTCGATGAATTTGTTGTCAATCCTAAGCACCGCGCATGCTGGTGTGCCCGAGGCAACCCTTCTCTTAAATTGGCCCCGGATATCAAGTACGAGTAGGTCCGTCGCACCCAGCAAGCAGTCTTGTCGTAGCTATCAAAGCCAGGGGAGGTTTTGCTGCCCAATGTATTACATAGCCAATTACCAGCTGGGGGAACCGAACTATTTCGTACCAGTGTTGGGGACCCGGGGGCTGTGCTGGCCAAAGACATTGCATACGAGCTAGTCAACGTATTGGCTAGGTGACCATCCAAAAAAAATGAGGCTTGACAGCATGTCAACTTTGACTGCTCCATTGGCCACGGGCTCCAACGTACCTCGAATATGAGTAAACCAACCAGCTCTTTCACTTCTAGATTCCGCTTTATGCCGATCTGCAGGTCGACTCAAAGAAGGCTGGCGAAGACAGGCTATATGCAACTAACACGGCCAGCTCCACAACGCGAAGGGGGCAGTGCTGGGTAATGAAAGGACCTCGTCGCGCTCGTACAGCACACCCTGCCCCGCGTCTGAGGAATCTTCTTATTCCTGGCACTATCTCGGCTTCTGATTGTTCTCTTTTCCTTTGCCGCTCCTGAACTTTCGTCGCTCGTTCCAAAGTTCCTCGCATTCCTTAACCCCAGGACAATCTCACACCAAGTCGCCCTGGGGGCTTAGCTGTCTGATCTGCTGTAAAGACATCATGGGCAACAGCGAGTCAAAAGCGACGAGGCTGAATGCCCAAGGCTGGCACGGTGCCCAGGAATTTCTCAGAGATGGAAGCCTTAAGAAACTCCAATTAGCTGTTCGCCTTCTCACCCAGGCCGTCAAGGTAGCGGGGCCAGACCACCCACACTTGATGGACTTTTATAGAGATCAAGGATACTGGGGCGGGTTCTTGTATGAGCGAACGGGCGACGAAGAAGCCTTCAACATGTCGGTCGATGCCTACGCTGGGGCTCTTTCAGAGGCCGGGCTGCAAGGCAACAAAAGGTACAAAAGCCGGCCAGACTTGCTGATGACGTTGGGAGACGTCTTCATGAAGCGATATCAAATGGAGAAGACAGACGCAGACCTTCAGAGGGCGGAAGAGCTCTATGACGAAGCAATCTCTCTTGCGACCTTTGGCGATGACAACCATACGACTTGTGTGGTCTCACTCGGCAGCTGTCTCCTCGCCAAATTCGAAAAGACAAAGGATCCAGACGTCCTCAGCAAAGCCATCCAATGCTGTCAAGACGGCATTGAAGAGTTTGAATATAGTCAATCGCTAGTCTGGACATACTCTGTCCTCAGTGACTGCTACTTGGCCAAGTACAAGGCCACCAAGTCACCCGAGGATCTCGAGGAGGCATTTCAGGCTGCCCAAAAAGCGCTGGACAAGATTCCCTACCACTCCGACGGACTCAATGCACTGACCAAATGCCTCCTCGCCAAGTTTGAACAGACCCAATCGCTTCGCGACATCGAGGAAGCAATTGCCAAGGCAACAACAGCCGCCGACAATTCACAGCTTTGTCGACCCCAGTGGGAAGAGAGCCTCAAGAATGTGGGCGATTGTTTGGATGCAAAGTACGCCAAAACCAAAAAGCAAAAGGATCTCAACGACTGCATCGATTTCCACGAAGAAATGGTCAAAATCTTGTGTCTGGCAGATCCCGCCCGAGCACACTCTTTCCACATGCTCTGTGGCCTCCGTTTCGAAAGGTACCAGAGGGGAAAGGCCGGCCAGGTCCTCTTGCAAGCCATTTCGGAGGGCGAGCAAGGTGCCTCGGTGGTGTGGCCCGGCTGGAAGAATCCGGAGCGAGCATTGTTGCTTGACTTGCTGGCTTCGTGCTACGGAGCAAAGCTTGCGAGGAAAGATCTCGCGGGCAAGTCTTTGGCCAAGGATCTCGAGAGAGCCATATCTTGCTGCGGCGAGGCTCTGAAGATCATGGGCACGGATGATCCGCGGAGGGAGAAGACGGCGAACAAGCTCAAGACCTTGAAAGTGGAGGGATTCTATGAAGAGCCGCCAGAGCAAATTACTAGCTAGCTATAGCCAAAATCGTACTCAGGAACAAGACTGGTGTGTGTGAATGATGAGAAGAAAATAATGGTAATAGAGAATGAAGCGGAGGGGATCGATATGTCGGTGTCGATTTACATCTTTTTTCCTTGTCATAATGCTATAGTACCTATCGACGACTGAGCCACAGTATAGGTTGTGGTCTCTGTGCTCGGGGCTAATGGCCCGGGCTCCTCGTCTTCGGAGTCGCTGCCGCAACTCTTGGATTCTGTCTGAGGAACCATATTATCCCAACCCTTCTCTTAAGCATAGATGCCGTGCGCCATCGTCAGTACTCGGATGACGATCTGCGTTCCGGATTCCCCTAGCTGCTCAAGATAGTGTTATATGGATTTGGACAGCAGCTCGAAGGGTTGGACCGCAACGACAGAATCACCCACGAGACGAAATGGATGGAAATGCTGGCGGCAAAGGACGATGCGGGTATCATACCTTCTCCAAAAGCCGTTATTGCTTCCTTTTCAGAATCAGATTGCGTACTCGCCTCCAAGCAGGCCGGCCCACTCCTATTCAATGCGCTAATTGACCGGAACATGGCTGGGCGGCGATTATTCCTCCTGGACACTGGAGAGATTGGCATCGGCAGTGATGAGGTACAGCCGGGCGATACGCTATGCATGCTCGCGGACGGCGGGAGGACGCCGTTCGTGCTCAGACAGGCTTCTCTACCCGAGTATTCGGGCGGCACTTTTACATTGGTGGGCGAAGCGTACGTGCGTGGAATCATGTACGGCGAGGCCATTCGTCGCATGGAGAAGAATGGCGGATCTTGGGAAGAAGCTCGCATAGTATGAAGAGACAAGCGTGGTTGCTTTGCGTATAACATTTGTCTACTGAGATGTCCCGTTGGGCAGCATCGTCCCTGTCCTATATCAATCCGAAGTTACTCAGCCGCGTTCCAAATACTGCCGATCCATTCCGCCCAAGTCGGCCATCGAACAAGAACCAGGACCGCACTCAGCGCAATCAATCAACCAGAGTTGAGCACCCGCCATTCTCAGGGCACCCTGATTTTGATCGTGAGCAAGCCCGAGAAACTGTGAATCAGCTTTGTTCATGATTGAGCGCAGTAGAGTCATGTGGATAGTGTGGTTATCTATAATGCGACATTGCTATTTAAGTAGAGTTCGGGTTAGAACAGAGTATGCCCTTGTACTGGAAATCGTAGCCGAAGGAAGGAGGCCAAAAATGCTGTCCTTCCAAAAAGAGACAGCGAATCGGTCCGGATCAGAGTCAGTGTCCGAGGGGAGAAGAGACAAGGCGAGGGCAAACACGTGCCCGAGCGACGGGTGGTCGACAACGGGCGGGACATTCCTGTGAAATATATGCTTCGACATTCTTCGATAACGACTAATTGCTCAGGTCCAGATATGTATCTTCAGAGGGAAGCCTTACTTGTTCATACCTATGCAATAAGAAGTTCCCGCGCCATCAGCAGCGCTAGGTCAACCATGATATGTTCCTGCAAACGACAAAGGAAATCGCAAGCCTCCAATCCAATCACGCATCCCTCTCGGCCAACCACTTTCGCCAGCGCGGAGCTCTCCTCCGTCGCCATCTCTTCCCGTAAATATAGGTGGGCACAGCCGCGACCATCGAGGCCAAGACGCACAAGCCGAAGAAAAGGAATGTATACCCGTATCCTGCCGCGATGATGAAAGGCTGGACCGAGTAGGAAATGGCAAAGTTGATGCAGGATGAACAGATGGCCAACACCACGACGAGTTCTCCGGCTATCTGTAGTCCTGGGTTAGCTGGGGGGAAAAAAAACATCATAGGAAAGAAGTATGACCACTCGGCGGGAGACTCACCCCTGGGAAACATTCCATGGCGTACGCCGTCGCAATCGAACAGGCAGAGACTTGGTGAGCGATCATGCAGCCCACTCCAAAGGCGACGGTCATCCAGTGCAGTCCGAACTCGGCTCCCCAACCATATAGTTGATACCCAACGGCGGCGTAGACGAAGGATAAACAGAGGGTCCACAATCTCATTTCGGGCTCCTTCACGCCCGAATTGCGTCGTGCGAAGAAAATCACAACGTGGTCGCCGAGAACGCCCGTGGCCCAGCCGACAAAGTTACCGACCAGGGCGGCAAAGAAGATCAAGCCCGTCGAAGTCGTCGACCAGTTGTAAGGTGGATCCGTCATGATCTCGGAGATGGTATTGAAACTGACGATGCCGGCGGTGCATCCAAAGGCAAAGATAATACCCGCAATGACCACATTGGGAAAGGTGAACAGCACGAAAGGTCTCCGGAAGTATTGCCAGTACGTGGTCCGATCTTGCGGGTAGTAGACCCAGAGCTTCAGCTTCTCCAAGTAGGTTCGCTTGGGGAACTGTGCCTCCAATGCCGTGTCCTGTTCGATCTCGCTTGGGCTTTGGCTCTGGGTCAAGGTATCACCAGGAGCCTTGCTGTCGGAGGCCTGTGTGAATACCACGGACTGGGTGACGGGGGCAACGCCAACGACCTTGCCGAACAAGAAACGAGGGAACATGGTTTCCTCAAAAGTCAGGAGTAGGAGGATGAGAACGCTGGCATCGATGATGGCGACAATGTACTGGGACCATCGCCAACCCGGACCATCCGCAATGCTACCACCGCTGATGAGCCCGAGAATGCTGCCCAATTGCTGGCCAAAGAGGTACACCGACAACATCCGCCCTCGCTGGTGGACAAAGAACATGTCAAAGACACTCAACTGGATGACGGCTTGGTAGGCAGAGGTGCCGACTCCGTTGACCACCATAGCCAACATCCACGATGCCGTTCCATTGAATTTCCCAAGCCAGACACCAGCAACCATACAGATGGCCGTAGTAGCCAGGAAGACCGGCCGTCGACCGACTTTCATAGCCAAGGGTATCCAAAATATATTCACAAACCCCAACAGGAGATAATTGAGAGCACTTCCACCATTCATGTTGGTGAGACTGACCCCAGTGTCCTCAGAGACTGTCGTCCAAGCAGCTCCGAGGGTGTTTTCGCCAAAAGAGAACGCGCATGCATACAATGCGAGGAGGAAAAGTTGGTAATACTTCTTCCAGCGATCCCAGCGCAAGGGGTCGCCACCAGCGCCAGTTGGCTGAGGTATAAGGACGATGTCGCTAGTTGCACCTGCGTGTGCTGCTTCTAGTGTATGATGCACTACCAACCATAGTTAGCTTCCTGAGCAATCAATATCACATTCATGAGGATTATATTCTAACCATCAACAAGTTGTTCCGTGCCGGGCACATCAAGTTCGTAGACGTTGTCCGCCATGGTTCTAAGAAACTGTCGTAGATCTGAATTGCACTCCGGCCAGGCGAGAGAGTGAGATACGAGGTTGGCGAAGCTGCAACCACGCCAGGCGGCACTTTATACGGCTGTAGGAGCATTTGCCGTCGTTTTGATCCCCCACGATATTGTTATTGCTATCTCCGCGCTCGGCCATTGGTACTTGGGTGTGCGGAGACCTTTATCAAACGAAAGGTCCAAGCGGACAAATGGGAGGAGGCCAATGCATGAACAAAGGCGGATACCCACAAGAGACCGGCCTTGACTAACGGTGGAGTTGTTCTCTGTCGCTTCATTTGATGCGCTTGTACCTTCTAGCACTTCTGTGGGGCTGGACTCGTCCCTGCACCCGTCCCCAAGGCGATCCGGAGAAGAGCGATATCGATATGGCCACTTTTTGGCAACCAGCCGTTGTGCGACCGGATCGATGTGCCGGCCTATGAAGGTGGATTCTTCTTGAAGGAATATTGCATTCGACCAGGGAGTCGCTCTCTGGTATCAGATCGCTCACGCCAGAGACATATTTCCACAGAAAGGCGCGACAAACTGCTCCCAGTCACTCTGCGGGGAAGCAGTAGCGCTAGCTGGACCTTCCGACAGCTCTCGCGCTTGCCAAACTTTTTCAATGACGGCGCGGATCCTGACAGTGTTGACCATTGAACCATTCAGCTTTTCCAGAGCGAAGAGGATGAAAGGTCGTGCATATCTTGGAGCGTTGCCGGCCTCCCAGCATAGTTCAAGATCATGGTCGGGATGCAATTCGACGGCTGCAATGAAGAGCGGCCAGCTTATGCCAGAGACCAATCGAGACTCCAGCGAAATACTGATAAGGCGCAGGATTTTGGACACTTGTTGCGAAACCCACGGTGTTGAAGGGTTGGCTCCGTTCAAGGCGCACTGCAAATAGACCTCGGCCGCGAGCCGTTTCAGCTCCCCAGATTGACTTAGGATGTCATCACTGTTATCACAGAGCGTTTGGTTCAGCGTGCCCAGTTGTGCCTCCAGAGCAGCTGACGTTGCCTGGAACTCGGCGGTCTCACGAATTATTGGGCCTTGTCGCCCTAACTCAGTGATTCTGCTCAAAATGGAGACCAATTGAGGAGAGCACCCGAGCCATGGTTCGCAGTCAGTTTGGTCATTTGCCCAGAAGTCGCTCCCAAAAACAGGATCCTCACCACAGGCAGTCCGACCCATGATGTCCTGAAAGGCAAAGAAGCGTTCACAGAATGCAGCCAGAGCACCAGCATCCGTGGTTTCCCCACTGGCTGGCTGATGCCATCTGCGAATGCGGATCAAGTCGCGTGCCCCTTTCAAATGCACCACCCATCGACTGTCACATTCGTTCACAATCTCAAACATACAAAGCAGAAGCATAACAACCAATGTTTCTGGGACCATCACGATCATCGTGGAGTCGCAATGTCGTAACTTGGCCCGAAGGGCTTGGAGAGCCCGGTGGCTGAGTTTTAATGCTATTGCCTTGTAGTGTGAATCCGTTCGGGATCGATGACAGGCGGCCAATGCCAACATAGAGTCCATAGTCAGAGACGAGGTGCTAATGGCAAAAGGAAGGAGTAGCGTTGCGAAAGGAGAGACGGATGTCATGCTCGAGACAGTCATCGGGCATATTCTTTCGACGTAGTATGAAAGTAGAGTAGACTGTTCTGGAGTTTCCCATGGCGGTAAGACACTTAGGGGCGACGCGAGTTGGGGCTTTGCGGAGTGTACCAGGCTCTGTGTTGTTGGCCAGGGGCTAAGGAAGCATCCAGCAGTAGCGTCGGTTTCTGAGGATGTCGAAATTGCAACTCGATTGGGGTTGCCGCCTTCTGTTCCAGGCTCAAACTGGTCCAGCTCGTGCAAAGTATCCACTGTGGTGTTCACAAAACTATAGGGATGTATGTCTGGGATAGGACACCACCATAAAGCTGCGCTCTCGTGAGTGGACCAGTCGGACTTCGGGGAAGGCGAGGCTGCCTTGTATGGGTCCTTGGACCAGACACCGGCTCTGCCAAACTTGAGGCCCTTGGAGATATAGTCTGTTTCCCACTTAAGAGCAGTTGTGGTATCGCAGGTCAATCCTTTGATTGAGCATTGGTGACAGACTGGCTTTTCTTCTCCACACTTTAGCTTTCTTGCCCGACACGTCCGGCATCCCGTCCGTGTGCGCCGCTTGACGAGCACATTGGTGGACTTCCGCGGCCGGGGCATTGGGACAGCCACATGTCAGGAACCAGAAGTTCGTGCTTCTGAGCGCGGTGACACGGAGAAACAGTTTAAAGTAGGATGGCGGAGGCTCCCAAGTAGCTGGTGGTTACGAGATAAAGAGATGGAGTAATGGTCGGGTAATGATAATGGGTGATGATGGAGACGGTGGTGATACGGTGGTGATAGCGTTGTTAGCGGGGCAGCTACGCGGAGACACACACTGGTCGTGGTTCCCTCGCCTGGACCTTCTTCCTGGTAGTGCATCTCCGTTCGCCACACTGTCACCGACCGATCATGTCGAAGACCATCCCGAGAGGATAGGCATGATCCAGTTCAAGATGGAGCAACAGACTGTCCACCCGCCTCGAGAGAGTCCATAATAAATGTTTGTGATGGCTACTTAATGATTTCGTTCGTCGCTCCTCGGATGTTGTTCACGCCTCGAATCTGAACGTTTTCTCCAGTGAGTAGGACGTCGCCAGCAGCATGGCATCATCACCGCTTAGTACCGAGTCCAAAGTCCTTATCGTGGGAGCGGGGACTTGGGGCTGCAGTACCGCGCTTCATCTGGGTCGTCGAGGCTATAAACATGTGACAGTCCTCGATCCCTATCCGGTTCCTTCACCCATTTCCGCTGGTACCGACCTGAACAAGATCCTGGAGTTGGGCTCTTTTGCTGGAGACGACGCTGACGAGCGGTACGTGTCTAACAAGTTGCTGGAAGCAGCCACTGAAGGATGGCGCCACGATCCCGTGTTTAAACCACATTTCCACGAGACTGGCTGTATCCTGGCGGCGACATCGGAAGACGCTCGTAAGCACATGAACACGCGGGATGGGCCCAGTGAAGCAGCTGGGTGGATTCCACTGAGGACCAAGGAAGACTTCCAAGCAACCATGCCCAAAGGTGTTTTGACTGGAGATTTCCCTGGTTGGCAAGGATGGTGGATGCAGAAAGGAGCAGGGTGGGTTCACGCCCGTAAGAGTATGGAGAGTGCTGCCAGAGAAGCCATACGGCTGGGAGTCAAATTCATCACCGGCGAACAGGCAGGCCGTGTGTCGAGTTTGATCTATGGTTCTTCTGACATCAAGGGTGCCATCACCGCTGATGGTACTCATCATTACGCAGACAGGACCATACTCTGCGCAGGCGCCAGCGCCGCGGCGCTGTTCGACATGAAAGACCAACTTCGACCCACGGCCTGGACACTGGCCCATATTAAGATGACTCCAGAGGAAGCCAAACTGTACAAAGACCTTCCCGTGCTGTTCAACATCGAGCGTGGCTTCTTCATGGAGCCCGACGAGGATAATCATGAGCTGAAAATGTGTGATGAACACCCTGGGTATTGCAACTGGATCCCCGACACTTCTGCCCAAGATGCTCGCCAGATCAGCTCCCCCTTTGCAAAACACCAGATTCCCCTCGAGAGCGAAGCACGCTGCCGAGAATTCTTGCGTGAGACCATGCCTCACCTTGCAGACCGACCTTTCTCTTTTGCACGGATATGTTGGTGTGCAGACACTCCCAACCGGGCATTCCTAATCTCTAAGCACCCACAGTACGCCTCCTTGGTGCTGGGTGTGGGTGGCTCCGGACATGGATTTTGCCATATCCCAGCAATCGGAGGCTTCATTGCCGATGCCATGGAAGACAGACTCGACGACAAGTTGAAGCAGAGCTTTCGATGGAGGCCAGAGACGGCCAAGGGCAGGGATTGGAAAGATCTGCAGGGTAGATTCGGCCCGAAAGGAGGCAATCGGGTGATGGACTTTCAAGACATCAAGCAATGGACAAACATTGGCGAAAAGCAACAGCAACAGAATGCTCAGGTTCATTAAGTTTGCTATTTGAGAGGATCGTCTCCTTCGAGGATGATTGTCCATCTTGTCCAATACACCTGAGGCTGCCTGCCCTGACAGCTTATCGAACACGATGAGGAGAGGTCCGTGCTGCTGTGCGTTGGGCGAACCCTACTCTTTGCCACCAGCTTGAGATACAAGAAAGATAGACCTCAGGTAAGGATGGTGTCCGGCTATCTACCATCATACCGAGAATCTCGGCTTCGCCTTCTCCGCGTGCTTGAGGTCTTGGGCACGACTCGGCGCGTCTAGCTCTGAGCCGCTACTGTAATATTGCGATAGTTCTACCATCCAACAGCACATCAAGTGGTGATTCAGCACATTGCCAAGCAAGACGAACAGCCACAGTGCAAGAGCCCCGCAGCCAAGTGGATGATAAGCTCGTCAAGCTGATTGCTTGCCACGCCCAACCATGGGCTGTTTGCTATATTGGGAATGGTCGCGCTTCCCCAGGTTGCGGAGGAGGGGCAAGAAACCAATCAGAGGCGTCAACCCCAGTCGATGACCATGAATCTCCTCCCTTTGACGGGGCCTAGAACTTGGCCAAGCTGCGACGCTGTGGACTGACTATCCCGGAAACGCTCAGGGCTACGACGTTCCTCAATTGGATTTTCGGACTAGCTGCACCCAAAGCTCGCTAGAAGGTGGGATCACCAGGGTGATTCTGCTGATAGATAAAGCCAATCCCCGGACTCCGTCCCAGTGACACTTCGGTCTTCAATCCTTCCTGTTCCTCGTTCTTCTTCGCCTGGGACCATAGCAGCAAGCCATCCATCTTGAAATTACAACCATGGCGGATGATAAGATTCCTCATCCCAACGAGGCTGAAGGCAGAGGCTCCTCAACTCCATCGGAGAAGGAGACTGGCGCCCACATCGAACAAGTCAGAACTTTTGAAAGGGTCGAGGGCCATCCTGGCTACTATGAGAAAGATGGCTTGCGAACCTACGGCGACGATCAGGATCATGATCACGAGCCTCCAGTAAGTTTGCGATTCTTTGCAGAGAGACATGTTGATGTCGGCGACAGTGGACAACGAGAAGGGTGATGAGCCTTGTCGCCATGGCTTTCCTCTGGACCGGTTCTCAGATCCCAGCCTATCTACTTGGCGGCATCGCGCCTCTGATCTACTCTGAGATTGGAGGCTATGATAGATGGGTCTGGTTCGTGCTGGCTTATCTTCTCTCTTCCGCAGCTGTCTGCCCCTTTGTGGGCTCCTTGTCCGACCTGATCGGGCGGCGATATGTTGCGCTCTTAGGCTCGGGGCTACTTATTGTCGCCATGATCGTTGCCGGCACTGCACACACAATGAACCAATTCATCGGTCCGACTCTCTCACTTAAAACCAAATGGCACATTGCTAACATTGACTAGCCGGAATGGGTATATCTGGCGTTGGAGCCGGTATCTGCGAACTTACTTGTCTGGCTGGTACCTCTGAACTGGCGCCAACGCGCAAGCGAGGCCTTTATGTTGCGGTCTTGGTCTTGACGATCATACCATTCTGCCCCTCGGCCCTCTATGCCTGGCTCATTGCCGGCTACTCGACTTGGAGGTGGTGTGCTTTTATCGCCGGCGTTTGGGCTCTGATCGGAGCCGTCGGCGTCCTAGTATTCTACTTCCCTCCGCCACGACCAAATTCTCGCGGGTTGACCAAACGACAAATTATCAGTGAGATCGATTTCTTCGGCGGTTTCCTCAGCATTACGGGCATGATAATCTTCCTCGCTGGCCTCCAGTGGGGAGGCTATCAGTATACATGGAAGTCCGCTCACGTTTTGGTCCCACTTATCCTTGGGTTTCTCTTGCTGTTCGTCGCATTCCCAATCTGGGAGATCAAATTCGCAAAGTATCCGATGTTCCCATCTCGGATGAAGAAAGATGCAAGGGTGCTTTCTTTGACGCTGGTGATTACTGCGATATCAGGCGCAAACTTTTTCTCAATCTTGATGTTTTGGCCCACACAGGCTTTCAACGTCTATGGTCACGACCCAGTCGGTATGGCAGTCCCCTGAATGATCTCCATTGTACAAGGCCCCTTAGCTGACTGCCCCACAGGTGTCGGAGTTAGAACTCTCCCTATCGGCTTCTCGATCCTTGGTGGCTGTTGCATTGTCTTGGTTCTCCTGTCAGTGTTCCGAGGACACATCCGTGAACTGCTTTTGGGCGCGTCCATCATGATGACGGCGGGCTGTGGCGCACTTGCAACTGCCAACCTCCACAATATCCATGCGGTCTACGGTATCCTCGTTGTCGCAGGCCTTGGCATTGGAGGAATTGTCGTCCCTGCCTCCATCATCACAACCATTATTTGCCCGGACGACATTATCGCCACGGTTACGGCCCTTACGCTATCGATTCGGGTGATTGGCGGCTGTATCGGCTACACTACCTACTACAACGTCTTTGTCAACAAATTTAAGGTCAAGATCGTCCACTACGTCGGAGGCGTCATGGTTGGTGAGCTTGGAATCACGAATGAAACCTACATTGTGGACGCCATCACAGTCACCGGATTGTCGCTTGTGGACCAACTCAAGCTGATTCCAGGCATCGCTGGCAACGAGACTGCATACGAGATGGTCCTGACCGCCGGGCAGATCGCCTACTCGGAAAGCTACCGCTGGGTGTATCTGGTCTCGATCGCCTTTGGTGGAGTCGCCATCATCTGCTCTGCACTCCTGGGCAATATTGAGAAATATATGGATGATCATGTAGCTGTTGTTATCTAGTAGTGCTAGAGGTTGTGATTAGGGGTGGTGGTGGTGGAGGAGGAGGAGGAGGAGCATGAGACCTTTGTTAGTAACGAAACACTTCCAAGGAAGGAAAATAGTGGCAAGGGCATCGTGGATGCATCCCTTGGGTCAAAGTAGCTCGCCAGTCCTGTGTCTGTTTCTCATGAACAATATTAAATGTTTCCTTGTGGTCCCGGATTTTTTCTCACCGATGTTCATTGCTCTTGTTGAGCATGTTGTCCTTAGCTGGAGATCTGTCAGAGGGTGCTCACTCGACGGGAAGCGATGGAGATCTGACCATTAGGCACCGCCAAATGCTCGCTTTGAACAGCCTACCTAGGTAGCTTGGTGATAATTTCCGGTGTATTTGTTCTCATAAAAGAAGCTCTAGTCAGATATGATTTTAGATCTATAATGTGCTTGATACAGGGAAAACTTGAAGAGTCGGGGTTCATAACAATTTCAATTGCGATTTTGTTGATTTAAAGTGAATTCCGGGAAGATCGTTCTGGAATTTTTGGGTGACAAGTACATCTCTACAGGTGCATATCATACGGCGAGCAAAGTTGACTTTTTACCAAGACCAACCGACCCCCTTACAAGCGTTACGAAGGATTCAAGCGTGATCATGCGGACTTTGCCTGCTCCCGGTTCCAGCCGTCCTTTCTCAGATAATAGCTCAGATCCATATCCTTTGCATCTCTTTCGGTGGTTCCATCCCAAAGAACCGGAAACGATTGGGCGAGCAATACTTGATATCGAAATCTTCGCCACGCTGAACACTCATCATCTCCTTGAAATGCATGGGGGATCCGGCCCACATGGCGGTGACCGGCCCATCAATCTTGTTGTTCTTGTACCACGAGCGGCAATGACTGGTGTAAACGGTGCGTTTGAGAAATTCCTGCGTGTAGACGTTGAAATCATCAATGGCCTCTTGCTTTGGATCGACGCTGTGGATTTGTTCCTGGGCCATTTTGCGCACCCAGTTGACCGCGTACATGCCTGCCCACTCCATTTGGTGCCTCAAACTGCCATTACCGACCGCTGTAGTAAAATCGTGAGCATGAGAGCTTGACGCTGAGAAGCAGCCAGGGAAGTTCCAAAAACTTACGGGAATTGCTGGAACTTCCGTCGTGTGTTCTGTTTCATGGACGTTGAACGAGATCCATCTTTTCCTATCTACTGCAAGGATAATGGGAAAAATTGCGGCAGCAAAGTAAAGGTATGCATTCCCTCTGACGCTCTTTCTCTCTGCTTATACCCTCCTTCTTCTGTGGGCCATTGAGAACTCCAGAATGCACTTCGAAACGGCATACCGCGTGATCGATACTGTATGTATCTTTCAAATGTGGGATATGAAGGACCGCAACCCGATCAAGGGATAATAACCACGTGCTTTTGGATGGTACATCCTCCGCATTCCAGCTCTGCAGCTTTCATCCCTTGCGGCAAAGCTCTTTAATCTCCCACATTCCAGCCATGGGCGTCGATGCCCTTGTCCAAACAGCACCCGCGCAACTCGCCTTCTCCACCAATGTTTCGGGCTGCTGCGAGGTGGATGAGGAATACACAGTGAAACGCGAAAGATGTGGCCCATATGGCTAATCATTGTGATTGCGGTGGTGGGCGCGGCAATACTCACCTGTACCGGGATCTTGCTTGCAATTACTCTGGAGCGACGCCGACATCGCCAGATCTTGAGAGCCCATGGATTGACTCGGGGTCTCAGCAAATATCACCGCCCGAAGCTCAGCGCCTGCGAACAGAACTACTCTCACGTTACACATCCGACTACGCCCTTAAGGCGAAGCGTGCAGCTCCCTTTCGGTATCATATCTATTGGGGCTGATAGCGCTGGGGAGGACGAAGAGAAGCAGCTCACCACCGCGGCTGATTCCGTCGAGGACTATATCGAAGTGCTGCGACCCAGGAGCAAAAGGGGCATACTGCGACCTTTCTCTGGGCATCCGCTCTATATTCCAAAGACGCGCCGACAGGGAAAGCTAAGGAAGGCTGTACCTTTGGACCGGATCCACAAATCCCCTCTTTCCGCAATCACGGAGTTCAGTGATCCTTCGACAGGTGTATCACCAGTCACGCCTGAATTTCCAGCGGAGCCCACCACGATTGCCACAGATGAAAAGGCGAAGTCGCAACCAGAAAACCATCCTTCCACTCAATGGCCCTTGAGTAATATAAGCACGAGATGCTCTGATATCTTACCTACCGAAATCACGTCGATAGCAGCCCGGGAAAGTGTCCTCATGAGGAAGGGGGTTTCAAAACACAGGCAAGCCACAGGTCCGCCGTCGGCAACAGTTCCTCGCTCAGTCAGCGCAGGGAGCATGGCTTCCTTGGCACCTGATGAGCCCTTACCCCCCTTGCCGACAATTCAGGCTCCAAGACATCTCAAGACAAGAGCCTCGACGACCAGTTTGGACACAGTTGGCAGCTCGGTCTTGGGGGTGTTCATGAGTTCGCTTGCGAACAATGGTACCGAGCCCAGCGCTTCTAAACCTGAACTGAACCTACAACCTGCTACCCTAGGACTGGGACGTGACCGCGAATTCTCGGCTCCGAGGCTACAAGCGCCCCCAGTCAAACAAAAAATACATGGTCTTTGTGTCGGCCAGCCGAGCATTCGATCTCTTCATCCGACCGTCGATGTGGACGAGCTAAGCCCGAGTAGTACCACTAACGTCTCACACGCTCCGCCATTCCCGACGATCATCGTTCCAGATGAATCGTTCAAAGTGATCGATGCGAGTGGCTGGGACCTACCGCCACTCAAAGTCGGTAAAACAAGACTTCCGTCGAGTCGACCAAATCGACATTCGATGATCGAACACTCGAGAATCGCCGACTACCGAGCCGTCAGTGACTCAGCTACAAGCATACTTGGCACAGATGGAGATGTATTTTCTGTCCCGGAGGCTCCTAAGAGGCCCAATTCGGTGGCCACTGGGAATCCTTTGAGATGGGACCGACAAGGTAGCTTTGCAACAAAGCGGCATTCTCTATCCTCTTTGGACGGACCGAGGAGAGGACACAGACGGCAGAACTGCGTTCGGATAACTAACCTGCCTTGTCTGGATCTGAGGGCAAACGGCGCCATGCGGCTGCCAGAGCTCAAAGAAGAACAGCAACAGTTAGCTTACGCCAGTACATTCGAGGCCGATGAGTCGGTCCACGGGTTTGAGATTAAGCAACCACGACCGACATTCAAAATGGGGCAATCAGAGACGTCCACCAAATCATCGACAACGCCAATACCTTCTCCTTTTCGAAATCCACCGATCCTAACGCCTACACCACGTCCTGCGCGGAAACAGTACATACAACGCCCCGATAGTGCGGTTTCAGGCACACCCAGACCAGATTCCGAGGTCTTCGATTTCAGCCATATAGCCACGCAAGTGCCGAAGCGTTGCAATATATCACCCTGCCAGTGGCCACTCTCGCCATGCTCGAGACCCAATGTTCTTCTGAGGGAGACGCCGCCTTCATCGCAGGCGTCGGCGCGAATTCCTTTTGAATCGCCCACCTTGCCTTCTCCTGCGCTAAACTCGGCGTCCCTTTATCCTCGCAAGTCGCTCGTCAAGGGCCCACGCGGCCCTCGGAATTCCAGTCATAGCAGCAACGCGCCTTCTGCGAGTCCACTGCAAAACAAAATTGGGCCCAGCTACCGGGTCACAAAGGCCCGTGACTCTAGCGGTCCGGGAGACTTCGCTGTTCGGAAATCAGTCATGATACTGCGAGGCATGGACTCTGAGAGATCTCTGCTTGAACATCGGAGGACCAAGACTTCCAATCCTACCGTAGCCGAATATGAAAGTCCCGACATCATCGCGATGCCGTCTCCGCTGATGAACAAACGTGTTATGGGTCTCCGCAGCACAAGCTGTACACCATCCGCGACGAGCACGCCCCGCTCTGCGCCATTAGACAGGCAGCGAGCCAGTCGCGGCTCGAGTCCGTTGGCTCGGTCGGGCTCGAATTCGAATAGGCAACCCCAAAGCAGAGCGACAGCAGCACGGATGTCTTTGAACAGCGACCACCTCGAGCTTCCACCACCAGTCATGTGCGTGTCGCCGTCCGTCATGTCTGTTGGCGACGGCTCCATCTGGGAAGACGTCAGTGTGCGTGGTGACAGCCCCGAGCCTGAAATCCACGTGGCTCCACTGGCCTTGCGGCCCAGGACGGACCACAACCAGCAACAACGGTATCCATTGACATCGACATCACAAGCTCGGGGAGGTGGCGAGGATCTGTTCAATACACAAGGAAACGGGCAGTTCCTCGGCCCACATGCACCTTTTGTGGGAGCTGACACTGAAAACGCCTCGCGTCTGGTGCAACAACTCGAACGGGCTGTGAGCGGGGAACAGTGGAACCAGAAGGATATCGTCCATCCCAGCGATGACCCATACGTGAATGTGGCTCCAATGCGGTACGATGCACGGGGTCAACGAGACTTGGATATCTTCCAACAACTTCCGAATCACAACAGGAAGGAAATCGGGCTGGGCTTGCGGCTCGGTAACTCCACGATGCGGAGTACATAACTGGATAGCGACGATCCCTACCCACACACTTGGAGGATCGCTTGCAAAGGCCGACCATTCGTATGAATCCATGCCGAACAACGGTTGTGGGGGTGCTTGTGCTTGTGATTGCGGCTCTGGTTATGACCGACGGGGCATGGATCTCCTAGATGCTTGTTTCTCTACAAACTATAGTTCCTTCTGTTCTGTTTGAATGGTTTCCGTTCTTTTATTCGATGTTGAACAGGATAGTTGGTTCGCCCCACCACCGTTCTGCATCTGCTTCCCTCCACTTCTTCTTCTTCTTATTCTACACATTGACGATACCCCAGGTCGGCAGACGGGAAGAAGAGTCGTGGATCATGCTGTTTGTTGTGTTTGATTACTTTTCGGGAGGACAAAAGGAAGGGAGCGAAAGAGGTCAGATAATGCTACTCACTACTGCCACTTCGTTCTGCTGCTGTGCCTGTACTGTATCCATAATGTCGATGATGGACTATTACTTGTCCTCCATTCCCCATTCATCTCACACCGCGTCTGTTGTTTCCTTTTTCTTTCTCTTCCCCAAACAACAAAGCCTCTTTATCGATCCGTTGCAGCAACGGTCCTCGCTCGCTGCTCAGCTCTGACTCTGACTCTGACTCCCCCGGACCAAGGTCTTGAGATGGTCCTCCTCCTCCTTCTTCTCCAACAGCGCCTTGAACGCCTTTGTCGACCGCGTCGTCCAGCGGCACGGTTCCCAAGATTATCTTGGTCGCAAAGTGTACTGTCCCGGAGCCCACACCTGAAGCAGCTTATGGATGCTCCCTGTGCGGCGGCTTTCGAGATACAAAACATGTAAAGCACCCTGCAGACATCCACTGGTTGCTCTAACCTTTGAGCTAGTTGTTTGTCCAGTGGCCATTGCAATCTGTTTCCTGTGAGATCAGCAAGCTTGTCTTTGTGAAGCAAACAAGGAAGCCGTCAGGGAGACTGATGTGGGCTTGACAAGATGGATATAAGGCATCTCTCCACTGCATCCAACGGCCAGCAAGATGACTAGTCACTATATCGATATATACGGTTGGTGTCAATTCTATGCCCCGAGAAAGGACAAAGGAAGACGAAAGGGTCTCAGATCTTGTACCCTAGGGAAAAGGAGAGAAGGTCACGTGGAATCGCGTCACTAGCGCGAGTCTTGTGAAGGGCAGAAGTCGCGTTGTCGCGTCCCTAACATCCTCCCTGCGCACAAGCTCATACCCAACGTCCACTTCCATCAGCTCTTCTGCATCTATCTGCGGCGGGGGGTGGGGGGGCAAGGCCCAATGCCCTTCAAATTCAAATACCTCGTTGAACTTCTTGAAGACCTTGATACAGCCCGCAAACAAGCACAGTCTTCCTCAACACGGCCCTGCACGCCAGTGCATGAACTCATCATCCACTGGTTCCGTGGTCATGATTCCGAAATCATCCGACATGGACCCTCTGCTGTGGCATTCCTCTCTTGCTTGCTGTTGGACCGAGTTCCACACCTTGTTTACGGCTTGCGGGAGAAATCGTTAGCCGATGTATTGTGCAAGGCACTGTTCATCGAGAACACAACCCGTGGCCGCCAGTTACATGGATGGAAAGCGACTGGCCTCGACTTTGCAACCTGCCTCGAGAAACATGTCATGGCCCTTGCCGAGAATGATCCACCGGCTCCCCATAGAGAGGTAACACTGGAAGAGATTGATGTTGTTTTACGGCAGCTTGCTGCAAATTCCAGGTTTGCTTCCCCCGAAATGAAAAGACACAGAGATGGAGTCAAGCCTGAGGTCCTGCTACGGTCCATTCTATCGCGGCTGTGCAGCAAAGAGGCCAAATGGTTTGTGCGGATGATCCAGAAATCCTACGATCCCGTCCAGATTCCAGAACACCTGGTCCTAGGATGCTTTCACTTCTTGCTGCCTGATGTTCTCCCTTTTCAGAACTCTCTCGAGGAAGCGATCAAATTCCTAGAGAAGCCTGAATTGAACTCCATTCCTCACCACCCACCAAGCCTTTTGCAACGTCAATATCGACGAGAATGCGCCCTGCACCTAACACCCAAGCTTGGAGTCATGATCAAGCGGCAGGAGTATGCAAGGGCACGAAGTATTAGGCACTGCTGTCAGATGGCGAACACAAGGACTATGAGTGTTGAGCGGAAGTATGACGGTTGGTACTGCCAGGTCCATATTGACAAGTCAAAAGGCAAAGATTGTATACAGCTCTTCTCCAAAAGTGGTAAAGACTCAACAAAACCCTGGGTCCGGCTTCATGGAGCTCTCGAGGCCGGTCTACGCCTTAGTGAAGCAGACTGTGCTATCACTCAGAACTGTATAGTTGAAGGCGAAATGCTGGTCTGGAGCCGTTCGCGGAAAGCCATTTTACCTTTCGAAAAGATCCGGAAATATATCAAATACGGTGGCAGAGCCATAGGCGCAGCTGCCGATTCCCCACGATCGTCAGACGAACAATTGATGGTCATTTTCTATGACTGTCTGTGGCACGACAACCACAACTTGGTCATTGAGCCTCACCATAGACGAAGGCAACGATTGGAGCAGATTGTCAGTGTCACTGAAGGTGTCGCTCAGCTTGGTGACCGTCGGGAGATCAGATTCGGCTCGATAAGTGCGAAGGAGGAACTGCAAAAGTTCTTCGGCTATGCGATTGAACAAAGGTGGGAAGGATTGGTGCTGAAGGGTCGCCGCGATTCCTATCTCTCACCCAGTTGGAACACCAATGCGATCAAGCTGAAAAAGGACTATATCAAGGGACTTGGCGACGCGGCCGATCTCTGCATCGTCGGCGGCCGCAGAGATGCGGTCGAAGCAGAAAAGTATGGTGGGTCGATCAATTGGACGATGTTCTATGTCGCTTGCCTCACGAATAAGGAAGCCGTGCAAACATTCGGAATCAGGCCAGAATTTCTGATCCTGGACATCCTTAGTCGTCAGACCATGTCGGAAGACACATTCCGGGAGCTGAATCAACGTGGCTTGGGGTTCTGCTTGCCCGTTACTGAATTGACGGAGCAGATGAATGTCAAAATCGACCAGCCGAATATCCGACGTCAACCTCCCACTGCCTATTTCACAAAGCCATTGGTTGTTGAAGTCACTGGAGCAGCATTTACCAAACCCTCAGATGTTGCCTATTACACTCTGCGCTTTCCTCGTGATGTCAAGTTGCACTTTGGTCGCCCTCTGACGGAGACTCATAGCTTCGAGGAGCTACAGGAGATGGCAAAGGACAGCCTCACCCCTGCACATCCCGAAGAGCAGGAGGAAGTCGATTGGATCATGCGTTTGACCGAGGCTGACGGAAAGCGAAACCAGTGTGTCGACCTCCATGCCGGAGGCACGCCGAGTCCTTCGCGCGGGTCAGTTGCCAGCATCAGCATGTGTGAGTCGTCCCTTTTGGCTGGTAGCCGCGTAGACCCGACGGGTACTCTTATATGCCCGCCACAACCGCCTCCAAGCAATGGTGCTGTTTTTGTTACGCACAGTGACACACTGAGCCAGAAGGATGTTAGCACTTGTCGATTATCTCCAATTCTACCATCGGCGAGTCGTGTTGAGCTCGCCAATGAGTCCGTGACACTGCCAATGACAGCACAACATGCCTTTGGTCCTGAATTGGGCATGAAGCGTAAATATGAGGGTTCCAACTTGCAAACAGCGGCCAACAAACGACCAAGGAAGGATGCCACAAGGAGACTCCTTGTTCCCTGGGAATCCTCCCTTCGAACCCAGACTCCTTCTGTTCATCCTCATAAGCCTCCAGCTATATTTCAATCCCCAACCAAAAGAATGGACCAGCGATCTTCAGCTTCTGTCGAACGACAACCTCTTGGTGAACTGAAGAACGTCCGTGTCAAACATGGGTTAGGAAAGCATACTACCACTCTAGCTGAGTCTGTTGATCACGGCGAGATCGAACCTGAAACGACTGTCGGGAAGTCTCTGGAAACCAGGAGTTCCGCAACTCATCCACAGAGCCGATCCCGGGCCAGTTCAGCTTGCAGCTTGGACGATATCATCCTGACCGTTCTGTCGTCTTCCGCGCTGTCGCTGCAGGAGATCAAGTCGGTGAATTGGGTGACAATGGTCTTTGTTCAGCTTGTCGATAAGGCGAACTCGACGGTAGTTCGTAACCCCACATACGAAACCGCAAAGGCAGTGCTGAAAGAGTACAAGAGGCGCCGCAATGCCGAACGAGAATGGCTGATCGAACGCTGTGACGGAGACCCAAACCAACCGCAACCTCAGCCGCAGCAGCAGCCGCCGTCGCAGCGAAGGATGATTCTATTCTATGACGAAAAGATCCGATCCTTTTTCTCGAACTCTTTGTCAAATATCCTCAAAGGAGCAGGCGACATATTGCTGAAGCAGCAAGTCAGGAAATATTTCGCGGGAGCCCTGCTTATAAATGTTCGCGAGGATAGAGAGGGAGTCGTTTCCAGGGCTATTTGGAGTTGGCGCGAGTCTGTTCGACTTTTGGATGAGCTGCAGTCGTGACCGGGAAGGGACGTCTCGAAATGGAGTGCCAAATGTAGTTTCTGGCCTCTAGTACAAGTAAGTCAAAGGCCCTTTCAGCTTCGCCCACCATATGGATCGCCGAGCAAGACCCCCGGTGTCAGCGTATCGCTTGGGACCGCACTCGATCGAGAGATTCATCTCCAAGACCAAGAAGCTGCAGCAGCTGCAGCAGCAGTTGGTCCTATTGAAATCAATCAGCAGGGATTCGAGTTCTGTGCACTCGCTGATCGGGGAATGATACACCTGGTATTGGTCTCCCAGTCTTGGACACGGCAACTGATAAAGCCGACCCAGGCAGCGAGCAAGGTGAATAGACGCGAGAAGGGCATCCTGGGATAGTTCATAAAAGGATATATTACATTGATCGGTTTCCACAACCTGTTCAGAAAGTATATTTGAATGAGTCGAGTGTGCTGTGTTGTACTGTGCTGCTCGATATACAATTTGACCTCAGAACACATTGCCGCAGTCATATAAAACAGGTGGCTTGTATCCGTGATGAACTTACCTGAATGCGTTTTGTCTTGCCTGTGCCCGCTCACTTTAAACCCGGAGCCTTGCCACTCCTGCAAATATGGATGGATTGCTTGCTGGAGCATATTTCCCACAAGCATTTCAATTGTTCCAGAACGAATCCCACAAGTCTGAGAACCAACCACCACCGCCCCCGCCTTCCCCACCCCCAGATCCTCCTCCCTGAGGTGCGTCTTTGAAAGGGTCGAAGTCGTCTTGTGAGCCCCAGACATCTTCTTCGCCTTGCTGTGGCTCACCGAAGCCGCTTTGTGGAGATTGAGGATCGTAGGGCTGCTGGCCAAAAGGCTGCTGTTCTGGAGGCGGTGATGGCTGCTGCTGAGGAGACATTTCGTCACTACCCGCGGACCCCTCGGACCTTCGTCCCATTCCCCTTTGCATTGCTTCGTAACCTGCCATGGTTCCTGCACCTGCCATAGCGCCCTCGCCCACCCCCGCTGCTCCTCCTGCCGCTGACCCAACTGCTCGACCGGCTCCTCCGACAACGGCACCGCCAGCCTCGGCAGCACCAGCGGCTCCAGCGGCTCCGGCCTCTCCGGCTGCTCCAGCTCCTGCTGCCCCGCCAGCTGCCTCCCCGGCACCGCCTCCGAACCAGAGCGGGAAGAATCCATGTCCTCCACTATGGCGAGAGAAGTAGTCATAGTCGATTGTCACGGCGGTGGCGAGCATCACGGCTCTCTGGTCAAGGGTCATCCCGTAGTTGCCTTCTCTCCCTCCCAATGCCTCCGCATAGCCACGGTCACCCTGCTTGGCATCTGCTGGACCTTCCATTCCGGCTGCGTCCATCCGCAGGACATAGCTTCCAGTATCTGTGAAGATTTCTCGCCCGAAACCCCGGAATTCACGATTGACCGATCCGATCTTCTGGTTGTTTTGATCAAGGAGCGAGAAGTCCCAAGATAAGAAGGGCTCATTAACTGCGGCAAACTGAGTGAAGTCTGTGGCCGAACCGGACCTGTTGTTTTCTGCGATCTGATTCTGCTGCAGATTCGACAGGCCCTCGCCCCGCCTCGTTGAGATCGCATGGGGCCCAGGCTCATTCAAGGCGAGGTCGTGGGAAAGGAACAGATCATATTTGCGGCGTAGTGGCGCCCACTGTGAATGCGTCTCACCAATTATGCGCATTGACTCCAGTGGGAGAGGAGATATTTGGGGTTGATCCATCGGATCGGTACTGCTTTGTGGGACAAGCGATGTGGAAGAGGATCTTTGAGCCTCGTAAGGGCCATCCCAGGGGTCATAGGCCCGAATGCGAGTGTTGATCCATGAAAACGGGCGGTGGAACCTCAACACCTCCCTCGACTGACGATTGAAGACGTGGGTGGTGAACGCGCGATGGGTGTTGAAGAATTGCCTCCTCATGGTGTACCCTATGCCACCTTCATGCTCTGCCATGTACCCGATGTGGTTCCCCTGTGGATCAAGTATAACATATCGATTGGCCTGCTCGAAGCCGATCATCACGTTCATCATTTCCAGTTGCCGTTGAACAACTATGCCTGACTGAGACAGGATGTCGGTAGCCGGATGATCGGACTTGAGGATAGCATTGGCATCTTCCGGTATGTGTACGGGGGCAAGGAGGGAGTTATCTTGAGGGTTTGTGTTGGCTAGGAGATCCTCCATCGACGGGGGCTTGGGCGGAGGATTCCCTTGCGAGGATGTCGAGCCATCTTGGTCTTTCTTTGGACTGGGGGTTGAGGAAGATTGCCGTCGGCATTGGCTGAAACCTCTAGAGGCAATTAGAATCGGTGGTCTTGGCCTCAGCGCAGCGCACGCAGACTGCCTGAGGAGAGAGGTAGTCTTCGGCATGAAGGCTCACTTCCAGGACGGTGTCGCAAATGAGATGCTGTGCCTCCGCTCATAGAAGTCAGGGCATGGGACGCGATGACATGCTTGCAATGGACCAGGTCAAGGGAAGCACGCTTTCCCACGAGCCGTATTTACAAAGAGATCATCACCAAGACACTGAAATGTAGGACCAACGTCAAATAAGTAGTGCTTCAGGCATAATTAAATTTGGCCACGACGATGTTGCTGTGGGCGCAGTTTGGAGAAATGTCAGTGACCTCACCCGGTCTCGCATTGCCTCGCATTGCCTCACACTATTTTGGCTGCGCAGCTTGAGCCCGGAAACAGGTCCCCGCGGGCGAAATAGTTGTTCCAGGGCCGTGTGTTTCGGCTCGGCAAGTTGTTCCGTCGAGGATGTCATTCACCTCAACTGTTCAACTGTTCAACTGCAGGTGTTCAACTGTTCAACTGCAGGTGTTCAACTGTGGAACTGCAGGTGTTCAACTGTTCAACGGTGATCGTAACCTGAATCCGCCAGCAGTTCTGTTGACCCTGATTGCAATTACTCGCTGTCTTCTCTGTTCTCCTCCAAGGTCCCCTAAGCTGTTTGCAACTCTCGACTTCTCACCTCATTATCTGTGACGCAAAGTTTATAGGTAACCTCATTCCACAGCTCCATCGCAGGCTTGTCTACCACAGGATCCCACCAAAGAAATTTGGAAACATGCCTTTTGAACTCTGCCCAAGTTCTTGAGCTAAACCTCGCGTCCGATCTGACTCTTCTCAATCTGGCCCTCAGACGATCTTGGAACCACCGTCGGTGCTCGGTGAAAGTGGCTGCAATTCCACCCATGACCAGCACCCACAGAACCATATCCGAGATCGGATCTTTGAAGTTTTCTGTTCCTATCTGTATCTCTTCGAAATCTTCCAAAATCTGTCTCAGCTCTCGAGCTAAACGTGGCTTTATCTTGGTGCAGCTCGGCATCGGAAATAGAACCATATCGCTATAAACCTATAAGGAATTTGAGGTCAGTGGCTGCAGCATCAAGGTTCCCCGTGCAATGGCCCGGACGAGGAACAATACTAGTCCGAAAGGCTTTCATTTTCAATACAGTAACGGAAAGATTGGGCGAGAAAGGTACCTGCTCGAACATGTACTCACCAATGATCCCAGACGACAGCAGTTATGCATGAGCTGCTCCAAACCAACCCCGTCTTTTGAGTCGAGTTCCAGAAACGATCGCTGCGCCTCATTTGCAGCGAGCATGACATCTACGAAGCGTGGTTGATCGTTCTCGTGGCGATAATAGTGGTCCAACGCCACCGTAGCTTCCACGCCCTTTGCTACCGCCTTGCGAACGCTGATGGCCAGAGAATCCCCAATGCTGCGAATCCCGCTTCCAAGTGTCTCGGCGAGCAACTTGGCTTTAGCGTCAGGAACGTGTCTGCCGCTGCCCACGATAGAATGATATGGCCGGATCCGAGGGTACAAGAGTCTGTCGCCGGTCCGCGATGCGTGGTGTAGATCGGCTCTTTGTCGAGGGTGAGTGAACATTCTGTTTCTGGTAATCATTACTACTCACAGGAGAAGCCAATCCGGCAAGGCCAAGTGTTTAAGAGCAAAGATCCCTCCTCGATCTTTGACCAATTGTTGCAGTGCCGTGGCATAACTTGGCATTAGCGTGAGTCTGCCATAGAGATGCATATATTGAGAGGTCGCCAGCGGCGATTGAGGGTGACATTCTGGCATCGACGATTCAACATCTGCATTGACACCTAATATCAGAACACTCATCATGAGGTCCTCCGAGGCTGGCCCTTCGAGATTCTCAATCCTCTGCTTCAACAGCCTGATGGCCTTGGAGTAGTGAGATAACCGGGCCAGTGCAAGAGCCTCAGACACCTTGGGGACATTCTGGAGAGCTAGATTTAGGCCGCAGGCGAGTGCAACCTGCACGTGGAAAAGTAATTCATCGTCAAGGCCATGATGTCTCCATTCTCGTTTTGCAACAGCCAGATTCTCGCCTCGTACCGCACACAGCATTTCCGGCCATATCCTGTCGAAAGCTTTGCCTGTCAGCATAGAGCTTTGAGGTATGTTTGCAAATTTGTATTAATAACAATTGCAACGGCGAAACTCCTCTCACCACCGTTATAGATCCCGGAACACTTACCATATTGAACAACCTTTTCTACATTCTCGGGTAGTCTACGTTCAGGATAAGAGTCGAACGGATCTCTGCTCGTTTGCGACAGCAGCAACTGGAGAGACAATTTATCTTTCGGAGGACGTCTAGCGCTCTTAGATAGAGGATGTGAATGCCGGCGGTAAGTCGGAGCCTTTTGGATCTGCTCCACGACAATATGCTGCTGCTGCTGCTGCTGCTTCAAGTACTCGGGCTCCGGAGGTTCCGCAACTTTGGGAGCCGTCAACATTGCCGACTCATCTTCGGAATGCTTGATGGAGCTGCCCCGAACGTGCTCTCGGGCTTTTTTCTTCAGCCAAGCGATCTTAGCTGCGTGAGATCTGGCATCCGCATCCTGCAATTGGGCGAGCCGTCGGTCCACCGACGATTGAGGTTTGGGATTTTGGAATACAACATGATACATCCCTGCACTGTGGCACTTGGAACGGTGAATTTTTGCCAGGTGTATAGGCGCGCAGGCAGGCTATCATAGCTACCTCATATTGACGGAGGGGGGGATCTGACAAGAGCCATTGCGGATCAAAAGGAGACACTAACTCTTTTATCTGCCAACTCTTGTCCTTTCTGAAGTCCAGTTGGTCGGTCTTCTTCAAATTGGGTAGTAGTCACACCATCCCGAGCCCGTGTAAACACTTGAGAGGGCTCCGTTACACGTACGGCCTCCGTTCCCCGTCGCCGATTCGTCCAGCACACCTCGCGCTCGCCAGTTCAGCGACTGCCTCTCAGGTCGAGTATGACAAAGCACTGACTGATACTCGATACAGATGAGTCAATCGCAGACGACTGCCGCAAGGTGGACAACAACGATATAATATTGCACAGATTCATCATTAAACTTCGAACCCCCACCAAACCTCGTCATCCAGGGGCTAGTGAGGCAAGATCGCCTTTACCCCAACTCGCAACAAGTCTTAAGTCGACGCCGTCGCCGCGAGGTCTCTGGAACTCGAATCGAATACCATACTGCAAGCCTAGTAAAAGCCACGCAGATCGCCGCTTTGCTCACCCTTGGCTCAACTTCCGCTCACTGAGCGCCCCAAGGTCTGCCGGAGGACTTGGTCCCCATTCTCAACACCAAATTTTGTCAACTTTAGACGATGGGACCCGTTTAGGATGCCAGGGGATCTCAACCAGGAACCCTTTCTAATGCGCTACCTTTCGCGACTATAAACCGATAGACGACGTCTTTAATATTTCGGCGCTACACGAAAGGGAAGCCTATGAGCTTTTCTACTAAGAACCTAGTATATGTAACTATCCTTTCTATAAAGGTACTGTAACCGCGGTCAAGAAGGTAAACCAGTATAGTACGCGACTAGACGATTTAGGTCGTCGTGCAAACTATATAAAGCTACCCACGATCCATAACTTTCGAGCTAAAGGGCTTTATCTCATCGGTAGGTCCCCCTTCCCCGGGCTACGATCATGAGGCTGTATTAGCGTTGGGCTGCGTACCATGTGCAAGAGAGTCGCCTGGGACTCTCGGTAAAAGCGGAGCGCCGCCGGGTTGAAAGACCCTCGTCCCCTTCGCCAAAAGTGGGGAATAAAAAGTCCTTTTCAATGTCGCCGACCAACTCTCCGCCTCGAGGCCTTGATCACCAAAAGACTTGACAATCGATGGTTTACGAGTTTCTTTTCCATGAGCTGGTAGATGGATCCCTGACCGTATGCCAACTTGGTTGGTTCTCGATGGTTTACGAGCTGCTCTACAGTATACACACACGGGAAGAAACAGACAAAACATTTGGATCAGGGGAGCAAGCGATCGACGAGAGAATCTATATCATATCCTAGAACACTATCGCCCAATTTTTGTCCTCGACTTCACCTGCTACTCAATTCCACAAAACTATGAAACCGATGACAGAGGGTCGCCCTCCGCGTTGCCGTCGAGTTTCCCTGTCTTACTGGATCTAGCCCGGCGTGGTCTTTCCGACAGGGCTTTGTTCTCTCAGCTTTTGCAAGTGGCGGAGGGAAAAGCGCCCACTTAGCCTCGAGTCAGTCATCTGCATGGCAAATGCCATGAGTAGAGTGCTTGAAGTCCCAGATGAGTTACTATGCCTCTAGTCTGATCTCCTCTGTAAATCCCACGCAAAGGTAGGTCGGTGAGCTTTGTCTCGTTTTCACCGTCAGAGACCTTCTCCGCCTTTGGCAAAATCATCAGGTCAAGCCTTTGGGGACCCTAAAACGCCTTGTCAGTCTTTTTATGACCTCCACTTTTGCCGGGAAGGGGAGTATTGAATAAGCAGGGGTAGGTAAGAGGGAGGCACCATCCTTCCGAGGCAGTGCCAGATGGGCACATCAATGAGCCACCTCGCCCCCTTCCCCCTGGTAGCTCGATTACTTGTCTAGGTTGGACGAAAATATATATGCTGTTGAGATTTGGACTTTGCATTAACACCAAGATCTATTCTGGAAATATATTGGGAAGACCGGTTCACTATATGAGCTTTCTCCCTTTCAGGCTGCAAAAGTTCTATTGTGATCACTGTTAACTCCTTTGCGCACCATGAGAGCTCCATATTCCCGTGAACGACACGTGGCCGAACTGGCCGTCTTGAGGGCATCGATTCTGACGAAGCGGGTCCAATCGACCGTGAGTGAAATCTCCAAGGACGACAACTCGCCAGTGACCGTAGCCGACTTTGCCGCTCAGGCTCTTATCATCTCTGCGCTCCGGGATGCCTTTCCCGACGACGGCTTTCTCGGAGAGGAGGATGCAGCTGCGCTGAGACGGGACGGGGCACTGGCCGAACAAGTCTACGGATTGGTATCGTCGGCACCGGAGGTGGCGGAGTATTCGAATTTCGAAGCGCCGAACACATTGGCCAAACCAATATCCGTGGAGGACATGTTGAACTGCATTGATCTTGGCGGCCGTGGGACTGGGGGCGACAAGGGCCGCTTCTGGATCATGGACCCCGTTGACGGGACGGCGGCGTTTGTCAAGGGTCAACAGTACGGCGTGGCGTTGGCTCTGATCGAGGACGGCCGAGAAGTCGTCGGGGTGCTGGGGTGTCCCAACGTCGGCGCCAACACGACCCGAATATCCGAAGACGACGTCGACCGCGACGGCCTGGGCGTCATGCTGACGGCAGTGCGAGGCCGAGGCTCGACCATCCGCACCATGAGTCTGCGCGGACTCGGAGCCGCTCTGGCCTTGAGCCATCTGGAGTCGTCGCCAAACCCGGAGGACCTGCACATCGTCGATTGTGTCGCGAGTACGGACTCCCGCCACGACGTGGTCGCCAAACTCGCCCATGACTTCCAGACCACACTCCCCGTTATCGACCTCTGGTCGTTGCATATCCGCTACGCCGCCTTGGTCGTGGGTGGCGCTGATGTACACTTTTGTATCCCAACCACCCCAAACCCCTCGAGAATGCACATCTGGGACCACGCCGGCTCGCAGTTGATCTTTACCGAGCTGGGCGGAAAGGTGACGGACCTAGACGGCAAGCTGGTGGATTTCGGCGCCGGCAGAGATCTCAATCGCAACAGAGGGCTGGTCGTGGCAAGGGAGGGAATTCATGAGACTCTCCTGGCGGCCGTGAACAAGATATTGCTCGAGGCATAGAGCAGAGAATGATAACGTCCAAAGCTTCGTTTCGCACAAATAAGCCCTCGTGCTGTGTTAATGTCGAGAAAATCATAACTCACAGTTGTGATTGAGTGACATCGATCGACTGGTTGAAGCTCATGTCCATTGTCAAGGGGCTAGAAGAAGGCCTTACACGGAGGCAAGATTCAACGAAGGGGCCGTTGAAGACGAAAAAGACGTATGAGCAGCGGGTAGGTTAGGATGATTCTTTTTCTATCCAAGGTAGCGCATTTCCAAGTAGACTTAGACGAGAACATCCGACAAGTATGTACATGATCTATGTGGCCGTGACGGGAGATTGAATAGTTTTGTTCAAACTACTTGTCCTCATGATCCTACCTCTGTGCCCATGCGGCAATCTCTGACGGGTGGACCTGTGTCTTTGCAAACTTCCTCGCCGGCACCTTGTGTTCAAACAGGTAATCGAGCTCGGCAAACGTCTTGTCCTTGGTCTCGGGCAGGGCGAGGTACGAGTAGACCAGGGCCAACAGGCCGAAACCGCCCCAGAAGAAGCCAGTCTTGGCACCCCAGTTCCACGCGGAAGGGTTGATCTGGTAGGTGGTCAGGACGTTGGCGGCGATGTTGAAGACAGCGTAGATCAGACGACCGACGGCGACCGATTTGCTCCGAAGGAGCATGGACGGGACCTCGGAGCCGAGGGCGAAGACGATGGGTTCGATGCAGACGTAGGCGACGAAGCCGTTGATGACTAGAAGCGACGCGATTCCCCAGGAGAGGGAAGACTGGTGTGCGGGGATGGCCAGACCGCCAATGATGAAGTAGATGACGTTGAGGGTGGCCATGCCCCAGATAAAGAGGGTCCGGCGACCGACATGAGGCATCAAGAACCACTATATTGCCGCGGAATTAGTTAAAAGATCACGGAGCCAAGGCGGTGGTGGTGGGAGAACACTTGCCGTCACCACGGTGCCGACAAAACTGAGCACATAGGTAATGATGGACAGGTTGAATGACCAGTCCGAAGCCAGCCCCGCCTGCTCGAAGAAATACGTCGCGTACGCACGTAACGTCGACCCAGCGGCGATTTGCATGCAGTACAAAGCAACGACGATGCTCGTCCGGCGGAAGTCGGTCCCCTTGAAGCAGGCCGCGTAACTCCGGCTTGCGTTCAATTCGCGTTCATGCTCCGTCGTTACCAACATCAGAGCCACAGTCTTGTCGATGTTGACGACTCCGGCCTTGTCAGACGTCAGTCGCCGGAGAGATTTCTTTGCATCTTCCAGGCGTCGTTGTCGAACCAGCCACCAAGGCGATTCGGGAGCGAAAAAGACAGCGATAAAGACGGGGATTGGCCAGAACCACCTGCCAATCAGTAACACGAATGGGTCTCAGGGATATAGGATGCTCACTGAACGGCAAATGGAATACGGTACGCCCAAGAACCACGTACCCCGAGAACGCTGCGGCCAACCACTGCGGCTAGGATTTGACCAAGGACCTGGAGTTGTTAGACTGTCGAATACGAAACCAAAGGCATCAAATCTACTCACCCACATCTGACTGGCCCAGGAGGTCAACATCGGCCGAACAGATGTCGGGGCAACCTCGGCCGCGTAGACAATGGTGGTGGTTTGGAATAGACCCATAGGGATGCCTAGGAGAGAGCCATTGGTGAGAATGGAAATGGGAGTTGACGCCTAGGGTTGGCTCACCTAGCAAAATTTGGCCAATTTCCAAGACCACCAGACTCGGGGCAAAGAATTGGATCAAAATAAGAAAGGGTGTCAGGACCAGCGCAATCATCAAAGTCTTGCGGAATCCCAATCTCTCGCTCAAAAGCCCGGCCAGGAACAAGCCTGCCAACTGTCCGATGTTGGAACCATTGTTCAGCCCGGATTGCCATGGGGCGGAGATTTGACGACTGCCATCTGGCTGTGGGTCTCCGTACGCGGTTCGAAAGGCCGGCACGGCGAACAGCAGACCGACGACGTGAAGGTCGTACCCATCCATGATCGAGGCGGCGCAGATGGCCATGCTCCAGGCTATGGCTTTGGGGTAGAGCTGGACCGATCGGAAGAATCCCAGCTCGTGGTCCTCCTTGATCGCCTCTTCGGTGTCGGCCACGAGGTCTGAGTGGGAGATTTTCTGATCCAGGGTCACGATGTTTTTGGATTCCATGGTGAAGGTACTTTTATCAGAGAAGCCTGGCATGGAGTTGGCCATCCCGAATATATCTTGCTCAGTGAAAAAGAATTCTCGGTGTCAATGCATTGAGATCCAGAATGGGTGCTGTATCCAGCAATTCAGATCATCTATATAGTCGTTCATGTTCTTGCCGTTGTCTGTTAGATGCTCATGTTGTTGGACACGGCGTGTCGTGGCTTTGCTCGACAATTGGCCAACTTGACAACGCTGGAGGAATCAGTAGACGATATCAGACGTTCATGGGAGCAAGACTCCACTACAAGCGAAGTTGCCCCATCGTGAGCGAGTTGCTTCGAATCCCCGCTTTTGCCGAACAACTCAAATTGTACTCCGTAAAGATGATGGTGTCTGACAATGGTACCTAGATAGATATAGGTGCAGGTGGGTCGTGACTGGCATGGCCTAACAACGTCCTATGTACCTAGGTACCTAAGTACCTCGTAGGAGAAGGCCGAGGCGACAGCCGGGGCTGGTGGACGAGATGACCGGCAAATAATAATAACAATAATGGCTGGCTCAATCGACCTCGGCGCCTGCCAGATTGAAGTTGGTGGTGTTCATAGTGTTCATACTGCAGTAGCTCGGCTCCTAACTTCCTGCCTAATGCTACGAGACTGAAACTTCTTGGGTCAAGCATCTGAGCATCCTTTATACTGTACGTGGGGTAAATCCATCTTTCATCTGAGAAGCCCATGTGCGCTTCTGGGACTTCTGGGACTTCAGCAAGATGCCCCTCTGATCTTGATGCCCGGCTCCTTGCAGCATGTCACCAGTGGACCAAGTACAATGCCAATCCCCAGCACAGCCACCACAACCACCGCTCGCGGCGGTGACCCTCGACTCGACCGTCGCCGACGGGACTGGAAGCTCCGATCCGCCACAACCTCAAGAACAGCCTCCTGCTGTTCCTCTCGCAAATACCCCTAAGCTCAGCCACCAAGGTCGCGTTCGTACGGGGTGCCTTGTCTGCCGGGCCAGAAAAATCAAATGTGACGAGCAGCGACCGAACTGCCACAAGTGCGTCAAATCGAAGCGGAGATGCGTCTACAAGCGAGGACCGCCCGCGGTGCCGCTTGACTCAGCATCGACAAGGAATGAACCTCTACGACGCCCGGAAAATTCAGGACAAGAATCTCCTGCTACCGCTGCCGCCGTCACCCTCCCACCGCCCCCTCATGGAACCTATCTGACTTCCGAGCAACTCTTTTCTCCCGACGACACCTCCCATACGGGTGAATCAGAACTTTTTGACCCGACCCGACCGACGGCGGAAATAGAAGCAGCACGCGGACGAGGAGGAGATTCGACGTCGTATGTGGACACGTCGCCATGCAACCACCAAGCCGACGGTATCCGTCAAGGGCCAGACCTCAGCAACGCCGAGTCCCCTTCCGCTCGATTCTACAACACTTCGCTGGACATTTACCTCGTCACAACTCTGGACTGGATGGGCGCCTCGGCGCTGCCCAACCGACCCTTCACCTACTTTATCGAAGAAGTAGACTGTCCTTTCATCTCGCCCTTTGACAACCTCAATTGGAAATGGATAAAATTTCATCTCGCCCAACTAGCCATCCAGGAGACGTCGATAGCTGCAGCTATCCTCGTCTTTCAAAGCTTGTACAGGGTCATGGTCAACGGATTGCCTATGTCCAACGCCACTGCCGAGTATCGCACTGCCATGACAAATTTGGAACTCATGGTGGGAGACGATGGACTCAATTTTGAAACTATTCTCGTCGTCGCCTTTCTTCTGTGCTTGTGCCAAGTGACTATACCAAACGAAGACGGCCCCTATTTTCACGCATTCGGGCCCAAATTCGAAACTCGTTTGGAGACTTGGTTGGAGAGCCTGCAAGCGTCGCCCGTCGCCTTGCGAATTTGCACCTGGTTACAACTGCTACATGTCGCCACGAAACGTGTCGGAAATTGCGGATTACTGCCCGAGACCATGTTCGACCTCCTGAGCAACAATATCAGCACAGTCCCAAGTCTGTCGACCACGGGCTGCTATACCGATTCGGCAGACGCCATGTACGACGTCCTCAGCGCTCCACTATATAAGTTTTACTTCCAGATACAAAGGATATCTAACGAAAGTCAAGGTCTCAGCCACTATCGTCGATCACGAATCACTCCGGCAGATCAAGCAGAAGCTGCCGGAATTGCCGTCCGACTGCGGCGAGAGTTGTCAACTTTGTGGAACACCCGACCGGGTCCATTGCGATTTCAACCTGGCCGACTTCGACAAGATTTACGCGAACCCATCGCAGAACCTCTCCTAGCCCTCACCGGACTCTGCATTGCGGCATATTCTATCGAAAACGTCGCGCTGAGGCGAATTCTTGGAGACCCACCGTTCCCATCGCCCGAGTCTGCCCCTAGTCTGCGCCAAATTCGGGACGTGATTGACGGTGACTGGAATGTTTCGAGCGAGGGAGCCTTAAACCCAGGATACGTTCGTCCGCTGTTTCTGTACGCCATTGAAAATATACAACGCGAGGAAACACAATGGGCAGTGACCCGCCTAAGGCAGGTCAAGAGTCCCCTGAGTAGGAGTGACTTTGTGGCGTCTCTGGCAGAGGCTCTTGGTGAGGCGCAGCGGACGGAACAGAGGCGAGTGACGACCAAATACTTTTGTTATCGATCGTTTAATGTTCCTGTACCCTTGATCTAGCAAGACAGTATCGACGTTTTTTTCACACTGACTCTTGGGCCTTGTTCTTTATCATGAGCATCTCCTCGACATCATTGCTGACAATCTGGTCTATGAGGCCCTGACGGATCCAATCGACCACCTCCGACTGGACATCCCTCCCGTAAGCTTTGAGATTGTCGAGCGACTCGATGGGTAGGACGGCCAGGAAGACGGCAAACCCGGCGTCGCGGAGCTGACGAGCCTCGCCACTGGGAAAATGCTGGAGTTCGATGTTGAAGGCGTCCAGGTTGGCCTGACGGGCGACAGCAGCGGAATCGATCAGGCGAGAATGGCAGAGGCCGACTGTGGGGATTTCGGGAATGACTTTCTTGACGTTTCGGAGCTGAACAAAGTCGAATGACGAAAATTGTAGTAGGTCGGCGCACTTGAGCTCGTCGACGAGCGTCCTCAATTTGGGGAACAGTTCATCGTCCCGGCCATACACTTTCAGCTCGAGTTGGTAGATGATACCCAATTCGCGGGCGAGGACCAGCGCGTCTCTCAGCAGAGGTACCCTCTCCCCGGCGAAGGCCTCGCTGAACCACGACCCCGCGTCGAGTCGCGAGATATCCTCGTACGTCAAGTGTCGCACCAGGCCCCGGCCGTCGGTCGTGCGGTCGACCGTCTCGTCGTGGATGAGGATGAGCTGGCCGTCGGCGGTCAGGCCGAGGTCCGTCTCGCAGGTCACGCCGGCGCCGCCGATTTCGCGCGCCTGGCGGAAAGCCGCCAGCGTGTTTTCGGGGGCGCCTGCGCTGTGTCCTCGGTGCCCGGCCACCCGCACCGTCTGCGGCGTCATTCTCAGCGGATTTGCCATTTCTAGCTCTGCGGCATTGATCCGGGGACAAACAATCAAACGTGCGCGCTTGGGAGGGTTTGATGTTGTTGTGCTAAAGTGCCATTCCCATCAACGCCGGGACTGTCAACCCATTTTATTTGCTCGTGGCGTGGTTGAGAGGCAATCAGACTTCAAAAGACAAATGTACCGAGTGCTTCTACATTACTTTTCCCTGCGCGTTCGCCTGAAGCTATCTCGGTAAAAGTGGACACCCGCTTCACTTTGAGATTCCATCTCGGCAAAGGTGGAGTGGACGTATAGCCGAGCGCGAGAACCAACCGGATCGTCCGACATTCTCACGTGGAAAAATGTTGGTGAGCTGACTTCTACGAGGCTTCTCGTGATAGAGATGTGGCGGATCTATTTTACGATGAATGAGGACAGGCTTTGTACGTTGATTTGACCCTGATACTAACCCCGACCAATCTGCGAGATGTCCAAGCCCCGTTGCAGACTCAGAGAACTCACCGTTTTATAGCCATATTCTGAAGAGGGGTTGATTGGGAAAGAAAGGTACTTCTCTTCGTTGAGTTTTCTGTCTTCGAGGGTGAAACTATACCGGCAGTTTCCTGCGGCCCTTGTTTCCCTGGAGTTCATATCCAAACCACTCAATATCGAGTGGTGGAACACTACGCGGCGACGTCACAATATTGACCTAGACCAACACGTCTTCTCCCTTGCCGAAGCATGCGCTTGCATTACCTTAGTAGAAACCGGGTCGGTCGGATTGGAACCTGCATCACTTGAGAAAATGTTTGCATTAGCTCGAGATAATTCACTCTTTGTCCCCAAGACATTGCTCCAAGAGCCGTGGACGACGGGAGATGCCAGCGCAATTGAGCATCTTAGCGGAAACGTGGGCAAACCTGGACTGACACTGTTGATCCCGCCACCCGACCCCAACATGAAGAAAACTTGATATGAAAGGCCACATGGTACTGCCCCACGCACATTTTGACGGCAACGTGCAGGGATGCGTTCTCAAACACGACCCTGCATTTGTCATTCACCAGCTACGAGCAGCCTGTGTCTAGCCAGACGTATCGTGAAAAAGGCGTTCGAGCCTATTTTCGGGAATCTCTGGTGTCTGTCCTTGATCGCGGCCAATGGATTGCGGATCTCGACATCCAAGCAGCGCCCAAGAGTGCACTCTTCATCCGCCTGCCGTTGTGCAAACACGACCCAAATCACTGGCTCGAGAACGCCAACTTCAACGAAAAGGAAACTCCAGCCAAATCCGACAGCCATTGACTACTACAATGAACTGCTCGACCAGCCCAGCATCGATGGCATCGTACGGGCGCAAGAAAATTGGATCGGGAGACTAGCTGCTACAACCATAAGCATTCAGAGGAAGAAGCGCACTCTCGTGCTTCCCGCGAGTTTTGCTGGCAGGTATTTATACGGCGTTGGCTGATGTCAACAAGCCGCCTGATCCGAGATACATGACTGACTGATAGCGATCCCTCCGCCGGCGAAATCCCAGACACCTCGTCCAGCAGAGAAGGTAAGAAACGGAAGTGAGCAACTGCAGTTCAAGCAGTCCAGAAGTCTGCAAAGGTAAAGGCAAGTCGACATGGCGCTGTTCTTGCTGCCTGATTATTGCACTCTGCGTCACTTTAATTTGGGGTTAAAAGTTCAAAGAAGAGCAAAGGTAAAATGCCTGGAGGCGGGAAATCACCTTGTCTTCAAATTAAGGTCTCCTGGGCGAAGCTTGACTGGCAGCCACCTGGACTTGCTAGGTAGCTAGGTAGGTAGAGAAAGCCACTGCACGGTCAAGGCAGGTCAAAGTAGGGAAAGCCACAATTAGCTCGTCCTTTCCTCACCATGATCCCACACTTACAGTAGAGAGCTTCTATAGATCCAGATGCAGCAGTCGTTTAGTGGCCAAGAACATGGTCATTATTCCCCTAAGGATACGATTTCCAAACAAGTATCTGTACTTAACGTATCGGGCAGATCGACGTGGGCATAGAATGGTGCTCTCCGTCAAGGTTCAAAGTTCTCGCCCCAATCGCCACAGCCATAGCCACAGCCACAGCCACAGCCACAGCCACAGCGACAAAATCAATACTACACTCCTCGCTTTTCTCTACTTGATATGCACAAACTGGAAGCGAGTCTAATAAAGATATTTTGAGGTGAAAGGGCAGATATCACGGCCACAATCCCACACTCACACCTCGTCGGCCAAAGTGCAGGCGGCGGCGCGACCCCCGAAGCGGCTCGTCGGCCAACTCAGTGACCTGTGTGCATAGGTAGAAGAGTGCCTAGTGCCGGCAGGGCCAGCCGAATTACAAGGGGCCAGATTGGACCATCGGTGTGTGGCTCATGGAGGGTTCAGGGGGTGCTCAGGGAGCTAGCCTCAACCCGGCGTGGGCTCATTCTCGATGATCAAACTGCGTTGTGGCAATTGGGTCTTTCGTTCTCGTGCAATTCAGGTATATACCTGGGTACCTTGTCACAGAACATCAAAGCGTCCCCGGCTAGGAGTATCGTCAACGTCAATTGGCTTGATAGTCAGTGAAAGTTCGGGCTAGAAACAAGGCCCCCAAGTGAAAAGAAGCAGGGACCTGGCCAAGCCTCAATTTCGCCCTGACTGGATCCTGGAAACAATACCAGAAACTAGGCGCCGTTGCACACATCGGCCCCCAAGCAATATGGGGCAACTGACGTTTCAGAAAGCCGAAAGGGCGCCTGCGCCTGGATTCATCGGTGCCGTCCTCTGCATCGGTCTTTCGTTGTTGTCGTTGTCGTTCTTCCTGCTGCCATCGAGGTGGGCGTCGACATTATGCTGGGCGCAATCGTTGCGCTCGGCCTCGCCGCCGCTCATGCATCGCAAGCGCAACTCATCCGCGACACTATTACAGAGTGGTTCTGGCTTTCTTGTATGGACTTGCGTCTCTCCGCGACAGACTGCTGTGTTTGTTACTAATTTTCTTAGCGATTGCCGACACTAACTACTTGTATATCACGGGAGGCGAGTTTTATGAGCCGGCCGACGACGTGGTGACGATGTACTACCGTAAGAGATGGAGGCCCGCCCCCGCAATCCTTGAGGGTCTTGCGCTGACCTCATCCAGAGGGCAATACACTTGTGGTCGACCTCACCCAGTCCTGGACGAACCAGACAATCAGTGCTGCTAGTTCAACAGCAGACCCGGATGGAATGATCTACGTCCGACAACCGATGCTTTTCTATGACCACACGCGGAACAAGATCAGTCGGTATGGTGGATGGCCGTATGAGGAAGCAGACTTCCCATCTTTGCTGTGGTCCTTCACTGCAGGAACGTCCGATGTTACCTGGAAGAATGAGACGGCACCTTCCACCGACGGCCTTGCGACGTCTTCACCAGGCCCGTTCGCTTCGGCAAATACCTTTACCAACTCTACTTATTACAACTTCGGTGGCGATGTGGTCAGCTCGCTCCCCGACATGACCGTTCTGTCTGGTCTTGTCACGCGCGACTTCGTGGCCCAGTCGTGGACCAATTCCACGGCCATTCTCCCAAACCAGAGCAGATATCGGACGCAGGCTCGCATGGTACACACGGCGGACTTTGGGGGCCAAGGGTTTCTGGTGATTGTTGGCGGAGAGGCTCCTCCAACGGCAGCTTCCGTCTACGAGGGTGGGGATTACATGGTTGACATGTCAACCATCACTCTGTATAATATTGAAACGGGAAGTTGGTACACACAAACGGCAACAGGTGACATTCCACCTCCAAGGTCCGAGTTCTGCGCGGTTGGGGCATCAGCCCGGGGTGGGAATCGGTTTGAAATGTAAGAAACCGGATCCTGCAAGAGACAAAGCATCCGGGTGTCTGCCTTACTCACGATACTCTTTTTCAGGTTCGTTTACGGTGGCTCAACAAACTCCACATTTGATCTGGATCATTCTTCCGACGAGGGCTATCTCAATGTCTACGCGCTCTCCCTCCCGGCTTTTCGATGGTTCAAGTCAAATTCTACCACGCCTGTCCGTCGAGCTTGCCATGCCTGCTCTGTCATCGGCAACAGACAGATGGTGTCGATCGGGGGCCGGTTGCCGAGCTCCTTACAAGCACTGGGCTCAGAACAAGATCCCTGGGCGAGCGGTCTGGGGGTCTTTGACATGACTGACTTTGAATGGGTGGATCACTACGACGCAGCTGCAGCTGCCTACGAATCACCCGATGTGGTCAAGCAGTATTACTCTGACAGTTACCAGGAGCCGAGTTGGAGTGATCCGACATTGGCCACCGTCTTCGGTACGTCCTTATCTTTTTCGCCCTAGGGGGGTGTTGTTAAAAAGGAACCCTTTCTAATAGTCATGCTACAGCGTTCACGCCACCTGCAAACTCTTCTTCGTCCAATAATTCTAACCCCTCAGGCACTTCTGGAAGTCAGTCGTCCCCTTCACCCTCATCTTCATCATTCACAACAACCAAGAAAAGCAATGTCGGCGCCATAGTTGGCGGTGTTGTCGGAGGCATCGCACTCCTTGCGGTAATCCTCGGGCTGTGGTACTGGTTCGCAGTGCGACGAAGACGGCATCCCCCGGCTGAGCTCGCTGCCGAGACTGTGGACCATAAACCACCGCTCGAGGCTGCATCGGCACCAATGTTTGAAGTGGACGACACCTCCCGGACCGAGGTAGAGGGACTGTCGCCAAAGCCAGTGATCCTCGCCGAGTTGCCTGTAAACGAGGAACCACAGAGAAAGGCCGGTCCTGGTGTGCCGAGAAGATGACACTATATCAATACGTGACGATTGATCATTTTGGAGCGACCCGGCGCCGGCGTTTCGGATGAACAAGGGGATTTGTATATAAAATGTATACACTGGTAGAGTTGAGCACATTTTGGAGTTGCATCATGACCAAATTGGGCTTCAATTCGTCCTGTGAATTTCACGATGCATTTTGTTTACTTTGACATTTCATCTTCTCGGTGGAAAGTGTGGGTTTCACTTCGTCCTTTTCTGCACGGCCGCGTGTCTCAGTCGCGTTCCGCGTTTGTGGTGAGTTATTGCAGAGGTTTCGGGCCGTTTTCTCCAAACAAGATCGACAGGGGACCCAACCCTTCCTGCCCTTTCCGCCGTTTTCTCCTTGTCCCGAGCATACCCGGGGGAAAGTAACGAAAACAAGCTGAACTGGAGAGATAAGCTGAACAAGTTTGTTGTTCTACAGAAAATCCCTGAAGAATCAGGCTGTAGACCCCCCTTTTTCTCTCTCTGAGCTCCATTCGACTCCTACATGGCCACCGAACGGTACAAAACCAGAGATAATGCTCGCCTGTGAATGACAATAACTAGAAATCTTGCATAATCGCTTCTCTCCTCACCTTGCTTCTTGCGGGACACTCACAAAAGGGAACATGGCACCGCTGTGCCAGCTTCGGCCTCGATCTCTCAGTAAATAACCCGGGCGGGGAAGGTGATGAATTTCCTCGTTGGAAAGAAGCATGGCAGTCCGTTGCAACTATACCGGGGTGCCGTCTCCCATGTCAAGCCGGGTTGAATGCCCACAGTCCCAATGATGATAAGGTGGCGAAGCTCGGCTCGGCCAGTCCATAAGACGAGGACCTAGGCCCGGATTCAACGGGGGTTTTTCAAGCGAAGAAAAGCAATTGTCGCGAAATTCGAGCGAGGGTTGTTGGAGTCAGAGCACAGATCGTTACATGTCGGTATTAAACCACTGGGGCCAGTACTTCGGGTCAAGTTACACCGTACAAAAAAACAACAAAAAAAACCAAACAGCACCGCCCTTCCCCAGACCAGCCGCGCCGAGTCGCCGCGTTTGTCATCAACGGTCGAAATTCTCCAGCATTAAGAGCACATAACTGCCAAACAGAGCAACAAGATCTCACCCAAAACGCAGCAAGACCAGACGGTGTAGAAAATACCATGACGTTTTTGTTGCTTCAGTTTTCGGCGAAATCTGCAACGCTTTTGGCCAAATCTGACCCTCGGCCGAGGGGCTTCTGTACCTATATACCTCGTACACCCAAGTGGATCCCGGGTGAGCCTCAACGTCCGGGGGCAACTCAGCTTCCGGCTCGCCTTCCATGGGCGGGGATAGAGTCTTTTTGTATATTACTGCCTAGGTTACTCGGAAGGACCTGTCCGACTTGTCTGTTGCCCTCCGTCAGCTGTCTGAGTCACCTCCATCCCATTTTGAATTCCTGACATAAAGTGGAACTCCGTAAATGCAGGGGCTGTGGTATGTAATCGCCATATCAGGTGGATACTAAATATCTGTAAGCCTTATCCCATTTGGGAATTGTAGGTTGCCGATGACTTTTATGGGCCACCCCCGGCCCCTTAGGGTCACAGCGCCAGTTGTCGGCGATGTGAGACTTGTGCCGGATCGTATTGACTATTGACTCGGGTTTAATATAACACACTTTATGGTAGAGATGGGTGAATGCGGTTGGGGGATGATTTTGATGCGCTAGTTATTACAGTGACATGTAGGTACTTTGCTTAGCTTAGCTTGTGAAACAGGTTGATCTATTACGACGCAAACTGTCTGCATGAAGCCTGGTCTGCCGACAACCCTAAAATTTCGCCTTCTCCAACTTCACATAGCACATTCTCGGATGCCGAGCCAACTTGTTCGAGCCCGCCCAGGTGCTGACCTCGGCCGGGGTCGCCTGCAATTCGAAGTTCCAGATCATCAGGACCAGGATGATGCGCATCTGGAGATATGCTAACCTCCGACCGTAGCACGCCCGAGGACCTAGTCCGAACGCGAGATGGGGTCCGGCCTGGGCGTCAAAGACCTCTTTACCGCCTTCTGGATCCTGTACGAGCCAGCGCTCGGGCCGGAATGTCTGCATATCTTCTTCATCCGGTGTCCATTGTCCGACTTGGGTCTTGGCGGCCAAGCTGGATGGGCTTCGCTTCGAATCGTCTACAGGCAGAGGAGGGTACAGGTACCCTGGGCCGTTCTGCATGAGAAATACGTCGGTGCCCTTGGGGATGTTGTAGCCTAGCAGTGTGGTGTCCACGGTGGTTGTACGAATGGATCCGTTGAAGATCTGTGCTGTCCGAGACATCTCCTCAATGGTAGCGTCGAGGTATGGAATCTGAACCTTAATGATTTCTTCCAAAGTCGGGTTACGTTGTTCTGCTGTCGCTGTCGCGTAGGCGGCTCGAAGGCGAGAGCGGAGTGTGGTTTGGGCGGATTGAGCAATGGCCAAGTATTTGCACGTCCACATAAGTGTCGTACTCGTCGTGTCGTGACCGCCAATGATGAATCCAAAGAGCTAGCAGACATATTAGTGTATTACATTCCTCAAATCCCGCGCATGGCAGCCAAGTAGAGTCTTGGAGCGGCAGTAGCTCACCTCGTCATAAATCGCGCGGGAATGATACTCTGGTTGTCGATCCTCTTTCTTTGCCGCAGCCGTCTCCCGTTGTAAGATGTCATCAAGAGCCGATCTCTTGACTTGATTCCCAGAAGATTGCTTCCTGAGTGACTCGACCACCATATCGGAGAAGAGCTTCTCCTTGTAGGCTCTGGCTTTCCGCATGTAGGGGAATTGGCGTATGACCCAGTGGGCGAAGCGAGGGAAAGGAGCTTTGACGGAGACTTCTAGAGACTCTGTGAGCGTTGCAATGGCTTCGAAATCCGCCGGACGATGGAACGCAGGGAAAGATATTGGGTCAGTGAGGGACTGAGGAGGGTCAAGACTTTTGGCTGCCGAGAGCTGCTGCAACTGCGCGGACGTGTTGCTATCCTTGATTTGCAGTCCAAATGTTGTCGCGAAGATGACATCAAGCGCCACGTTGTAGATATCCTGACCTGCCTCAAAGGCATGCCCCTGTGCCACTTGAGCCTTGAAGTCCCAAAGCTTTATGAAAGTCTCGGTGCTGCCGTATATCTGAGGGCCAGCAACCTCGTGGAGAAAGGCAGGAGTCATGAGATCTTTCAAGAGATTCCGGTGGAGTTTGAATCGCTCCTCGGTGGATTGAAAATTGATGTGCATCTCTGGCACCAGCCCGGTGAAGACATCGGCTGTAAAAGCAGATCGGTCGAATTCTTTTGTCCGTCGGAGGAGGATGTCATAGCTTTCGCGGTGATCCGATAAGATGACCCAAGGCCGGCCGAAGGGTCTTGCAAAGACTTGGACAATAGGCGATTGGTGTTTCATGATTTGGTCTGCAACCCACGGCCAGACCTCCTCGGTTTTGGCGATGTAGCTCATCATCTCAGGTATGTCGCCAAAGAGGGACCGGGTCGCTGACTTATTGTATGGGATGCCAGGGATGGGCTTGGGAAGGAGCCTGCGGTACCCAGTGTATAGAAAGATGATGCAGACAACAATGAGTATCAAGTAGGGGGCAATAACTGGACCTTTTTCGATGACAAGAGGAGCTGATAGTTCCGCCATGGCTAGGGAATGTGTTCGGCACGTCTCGAAATCGTGTTTTTTTCCGCAGGAAAGGGGTCGTGAATGAAGTATTGTTTCGACTGCTCTGTCTCACCCAGTCGAGCAGGAAAGAACCAACCTTATGTACCCCCTATACCCTCCTCGCCTTCGGGGACAGACATGCTCTCACTCAGCCTAGCCCACGGATCATCTACTCGACATATCCCAAGAGAGTAGCATTCGCCATTTTCGGCCGTCACAGCTGACAAAAGCTCTTTTCGTATACCCACATGTCGCATAAGACGCTGGTACTGCCTGTGCGCAGCATAGTGACAAGTCCGTCTGACATGTTTAGAGAGCCTGATGGTGGATGCCGGCATTTATACGTAGCATCTCATGGACCAAGGATATCGTCTTCCCCATCGGTAACGTAACGTTCGACGTCTAGGCTGCCGCAACCGAGTATGAGATGCCCATATGCTGACACGATAATTGGAATGCGGAGGTTTCAGGTCCGAGAACAGTAAAAGCTTTCCCTGAGGTGGTCAATAGCCGTACCCAGTGTAAGGCGAGCAACGACACGGCCACCCCGATTAGGTTCGCCATCGCTGACATATTATACAGGAGTCGGCCGTGAAGTGGATCGGCTTGCCTGGCTTGTCTTAAAGCAAGTACTGGGTTAAAGAGGGCCGACGGTGTTGATAATTACCCCGACATCTGCCCGCGTCTCACTCTGGCTGTCTGTCTATTACCAGTCTCATCAATTCGTGATCAGTGTCGTTATCAGTTGGGAAGGACAAAAATCGCCGCACCTCCCGTGGATGCCAAGTTGGTTTCATTCCGACCTGGCGGTTGCTTTATCCATCGAGGAGTGTTGCCGGTGGAGGGCCGAGCCCATTGGATCTTCACGGAGTGGCGTCTCGCTAAAGATGCGAACCTCATGGCACCCTGAAGCTCTAAGCCTGGATAGGTAGGTCGTGATTGATTTTCCCGGGGTTGTGCCCAGTCAAGGTGTCATGGAACTGCGGCGCCAGCTGCGGCGCCAACGGCATCTGCAAGTGAAGCCACCAAGCTGCGTTCTCAGACAAACCACTTTCTCTCCAGGCAACACTGTTTCTGCTGGTCGACACCACTTGCTCAAGGAGGGTGTGCGCTTGGTCTTGCAACATGTCTTTCCTCTGGACACGGTACATGTCGCCCTTGAGTCGCCAGCTTCTCTTCGTGTGAATATTCATTATTGCTTCACCCCGCCTCGAACCAGAGTTTGTCAATGGAAGTGACAGGCACGGAATCATACCTAGCCTGAGGCCCTTGGAAAGCGAGCACCGTCAAGACCGCATATACTCCATCGCACTCCTTCAGATCGCACTATGGCTCTCTTTGTGCGCCAGGTCGCCACCTTGACTCTCAAGAATCTCCTGGCTGCTTTTGTCCGGCGCTGGTTCTCAACCACCATTCGAGCGTTTCTCTTGCCTTGCATCTTCGTCGGATTTCTGTGTGTTGATCCCACCTCTGTTTCATGGCGACAGCTTCTGACATCTTCAGATCTTACGCGCGCTTTCTGTTCATTCCTCCCAGTGTCTATGGCATCGGTGACCCTACCCCAATTCGAAGTTTGTCTGAGGCACTTGACCTGGTCTCCGGCGGCAGAGATAAACTTGTCTTCGTCAACAATGGCTTCTCGGATGGTCCAATTCAATTAGTCATTGACAAGGTGGTGAATGATACTGGGTCATTTGGTGGTCGAATCGAGATATTGTCCCAAGAGCAGGAGCTTTTGACGGTGTGCCGGAACTCAATCAGGGGAACTTCATCATGCATAGCGGGTGCCGTCTTTTTCTCCTCGCCCTCTGAAGGAGAGGCTGCTCACTGGAATTACACCATACGGGCAGACGGCGGACTCCAGTCTAAGATCGTGACCGACTCCTCCAAGAACGACAACGAGATCTACTTACTTCCCCTCCAGCACGCCATCGACCGTGCCATCTCTGAAGTTGAAGCCGGAACCAATGGAGCCACAGTCCTGCCCAACGCAGCAGATGAATATCCCTATACCTCTCTGACGAAACAGGAGCGCTTAAACCGGATCCGGACCCGATATATGGGAGGTATCATCGACATCTTAGCTGTCGCTTTCTTCATCGGGGTGGTAGGTGTTACCTATCAGCTTACCGGTGTCATCGCCTCAGAGAGAGAAAATGGCATGGCTCAACTTCTTGACTGCATGATGCCGAATCTGAAGCGATGGCAACCACAAATGGCACGGATTATCGCGAACCACCTGGCATTCGACATACTTTACGGACCTGGCTGGATCATCATGGCCATTATTCTCTGCGCAGGCGTCTTCAGCAAAACCTCCGCCGCAATCGTCATCATCTTCAATATTCTAGCCGGGCTTTCAATGTCATCCTTCTCGATCCTGGGAGGTGCATTCTTTAAAAAAGCTCAACTTAGTGGAATCACCTCTGTCATCGTAAGTCTTTTACTCGCTATCATCGCGCAGGTCGCCAGCAAAGCCGGAACAGCATCTGTTGCCATACTATCTCTTCTATTTCCACCTATGAATTACGTATATTTTACGATTTTTATGGCTCGCTGGGAGAGGCAGGATCTCGGAACGAATCTGGTGAAACGAGCGCCGGAGAACACATCTGCTTTGCCCGGTATCGCTCTTTGGATCTTTTTGATAATCCAGATTCTTGTTTTTCCTATACTTGGTGCTTATGTAGAACGCACACTGTATGGCACAGCCTCGCAGAGTCGGAGAACCACGTATTCGGATGACAATACGTCCATCTCATTATCTGGATTTACCAAGGAATATCCACCTTCATGGCTTGCACGAGTTCGTGCACTATTTACGAGGAAACGACTCACGACTGTACTCGCCGTTGACAATCTAACCTTGGATGCAACAAGAGGGCAAATTGTAGTGCTGCTTGGTGCCAATGGTAGTGGCAAATCCACCACTTTGGACGCAATTGCTGGCCTCAACTCTATCACCTCGGGAGAGATCACCGTCAATTTCCCCGAGGCGCACACAGGGCTAGGATTCTGTCCTCAGAAAAATGTGCTGTGGGATGATCTCACTGTGGAAGAGCACGTTCGCATTTTCAACAGGATTAAGAGCCGAAAGCCATCCTCGAAAGAAGAAAGCCTACAACTCTTGGCTTCGTGCGATATCGACCGAAAGTCCGGTGCTCGGTCAAAAACATTGTCTGGGGGCCAGAAGCGCAAGTTGCAACTGGCAATGATGTTTACCGGCGGCTCGCGAGTATGTTGCGTGGATGAGGTGTCCTCGGGTCTCGATCCACTGTCCCGGCGAAAGATTTGGGATATTTTGCTTGCTGAGCGTGGGTCCAGGTCAATCGTTCTCACGACGCATTTCCTGGACGAGGCCGAGCTACTTGCCGACCATATCGCGATACTGTCGAAGGGTATTCTAAAGGCTTCCGGGACCTCGGTGGAGCTCAAACATAAACTCGGCTCAGGTTACCGAGTCCACGTCTACCACACCCACGGATCTCAGCACCTTCCGACTTACAAGGATGTCAGTCACATTCGACGAGATGATCAAACGATTTATGCCTTGACGGACTCAGGAAAAGCCGCAGACTTTCTCCGCCGGATTGAAAGTGAGGGCGTCGTAGAGTATCAGGTTAATGGTCCTACAATCGAAGACGTCTTTCTGAAGGTTGCTGAGGAGGTCAAACTGGTACAGCAACCAGGTGAAAAGACGGGCACCAACCACATCCTGCAGGAGGTTGGTAGTCACAGCAGCACTGAGATCGACCCCGACAACGCGGTCAAGGCAATGATTAGAGACGAATCATCAGGAGAACCTCCTCAGCTTCTGGATGGACGCAGGATCAGCATGCCCAAACAAGCTCTGGTCCTCTTCTCAAAGCGATGGGTTGTACTTCGCCGGAACACTCTTCCCTATCTTGCGGCACTACTGATTCCAATCATTGCAGCCGGCCTTGTCACCCTCTTCCTCAACAACTTTCAAAAGACTACCTGCAGCCCTGCATCGTTAGCTCTGGTGTCCGATATCGAGTCTTTATCATCGCAGGTCAATTATGATCTTGTGGCAGGACCACGAGATCGGCTCGGTCAGAATGCTATTCAGCTCTTTGCTTCCACCCTAGCAGGCAGCACGGGAGTCGCGGGAATTGCGGCCAACACTACAAAGTTGCTAGATTCGATCCACCTTGTCGATACCCTCGATGAGTTCAACAATTACATCGACACTAGATTCGCCAATGTGACCCCTGGTGGCTTTTTCCTAGGGGACAGCACTTCACCACCGACCTTTGCCTGGCAGGGGGATGGAAATATTGCGTTTTCGGTCATCATACAAAATGCCATGGACACCTTGTTGACCAACAGTTCCATTTCAACCCAATACCAAGCCTTTGACGTGCCGTGGGGTGCAGATGTCGGGAAAGCGTTGCAACTGATCACGTATTTTGGGCTCGCCATGGCCGTCTACCCGTCATTCTTCGCTCTGTATCCAACAATTGAGCGGCTGCGCAACGTTCGAGGTCTCCACTACAGCAACGGCGTCAGGTCAGCACCTTTGTGGTTTGCGTACACTACTTTCGACTTCGTCATTGTCGTGCTCACAAGCTCGATTACCATTATCATCTTCCGGGCTGTCACCGATGTCTGGTATCATATTGAATACCTCTTTGTGGTGTTTTTTTTGTATGGGTTGACGTCGACACTGTTATCATATGTCATATCCCTCTTCTCGCGGTCGCAACTCGCAGCCTTTGCATTTGCAAGTGGTGGTCAGGCCGTGATGTTCCTGCTTTACTTCATTGCTTACATGTCCGTTCTCACCTATTCACCGATCGACAAGATAGACCGGAACGTCAACATCTGTCACTTCACAATTGCGATCATCTCTCCCGTTGCAAACCTAACCCGCGCGTTGTTTGTTACTCTCAATGTATTTTCGATCACATGCCGAAATCGAGAATTTGCTTCTTATGCTGGGTCTATGACCACGTTTGGCGGTCCCATCTTGTATTTGATCCTGCAGTCATTTTTGCTATTTGGGCTACTTCTGTGGTGGGATTCGGGTCCATTGTTTCGACATTTTCGCAAGAAGCAACAAGAAGAGGAGGTGGAAGAGAGAGATACCGTGGAGGCAGAAGTCTCCAACGAACTCACGAGGGTGTCATCATCGCAGGACGGTCTTCGGGTTCTGAACCTGAGTAAGCGATTCGGCAAAACGCTCGCCGTCAACAATGTCACGTTTGGAGTGCCTCGAAGCGAGGTCTTCGCCCTTCTTGGGCCAAATGGCGCTGGAAAGTCGACGACAATATCTCTGATTCGAGGTGACATTCAGCCCAGCCGTCGAGGAGGCGACATTTTAGTCGACAATATCTCCGTGATCCGACATCGGGCCCAGGCGCGCTCTCGCCTTGGAGTCTGTCCTCAATTTGATGCGATGGATACCATGACTGTGTCTGAGCATCTGTATTTCTACGCCAGAGTCCGTGGTGTCAGTGATCCTCGCCATAACGTGGATGCCGTGATGCGTGCTGTTGGCTTGGAGCAGTATGCTGAGAGGATGGCGGCCAAATTGTCCGGTGGCAACAAGCGCAAGTTGTCTCTTGGTATTGCACTTATGGGCAACCCGAGCGTCCTCCTCCTGGACGAGCCCTCATCGGGCATGGATGCGGCGAGCAAGCGCGTCATGTGGAGGACGTTGGAATCGGTGGTGCCTGGTCGATCTCTGGTGCTCACAACACATTCGATGGAAGAAGCAGACGCACTCGCGACAAGAGCTGGTATCATGGCAGGCAAGATGTTGGCGCTTGGTACAACCGACTACCTTCGCAGAAAGCACGGAGACGCGTATTATGTGCACCTCGTACATGGCAGAGCCCCACACGCATCGGATGATGACATGTTGCGCATCCGAGACTGGATTATGTGCAGTTTTCCCGACGCGAATATCGAGAGCAAAGTATACGCAGGCCAAATACGCTTCTCTGTGCCAACCAAAGGGTTGTACGCAAGCAAAGATGGCGAAATTAGCGCGGAGTCTGGCATTGCGTCGCTGTTTACCGCCCTCGAGAAGAACAAGTCAGAGCTGCAGATTGAGTACTACAGCGTCAGTCGTGCAACCTTGGACCAAGTCTTCCTCAATATCGTGGGCAAGCACAACGTCGAAGAAGAGGGCGGCGAGACCACTTCCACAGCAAAGACCGGTTTCATCAAGGAGCTGTCACGAGTGAGCACTCGTTTAGTGCACAAATGAAAAGGGTGGAGTTCTCGGTCGAGTCGGTCGAGAAGGCACGGCGCGTATATATAATCAATAAGGTCAAGCCAAACAGACAGACAGGGTCCTGAGCTCTGGCACACTGACCCGCATGAGATGCGTGCCTTTTAAGATATCGTCTCCTTACGCCACGCTGGGAAGCCGTACGCACGTAAAAGTGGCCACTATCCGGAATACTCGAATCCGCCCAGAGGGTAGAAAGTCAGGTAACTGATTTGTAAGGATTCCTCTGACTCGAAGCTCGTTTCCAGGAGGGTCCAGCTCGCAGCAGATCAGGCAGATGGGACTGGGGTTCCGCACCAAACTTCGGCCCAACAAACGGTTTTATCCTGGAGCGGTTCGAGTCCCGCGGGTAGATATTGCGTATCTGGCTCCGCAACGGATTTTCGCGATGCTTTCGTTCAATCAAAGAGTCAGCAGCTCGCATTCAGTGAGTCAACCCAGCAGAGACTCGCCTATCCCCGGAATCTGACCGCTCGGCGCTGAGCGTACCCAGGAGTTATGCTCAAGGACTGCGTATAGACGTAGCCTCACTGCCTGCGTCGATTGAGACACTCTGGTGACGGCGTTCTTCCTGAACGATCTCAGCTGTTTCAGGCAACTCAGGACACCCCACCCCCCTCTGGGGCTCTGCGAGATACCCGACATGGGTTCTCAAAACAGCGGAGGCTGGAGTCTTTGTTGACTGGTCGTATTACCCGGATACCGCTCTGCCGGTTATGCACCCGGGGGCACTATGCGCCCCGTCGCAAGGCCCAAGTGGAGGCTAGCGGGCGGTGGTCCAGAAGTCCGCCTTTTTTCGAGATCAAATTTATTTTTCCTTTTTCGTTGACCTTCTTTCAGGCTGTCTATCATGTTTGCGACTTGTCTCTGCCGGTCGTGTCTTAGGACGCTGTAGAGTTTTCTTTCTTTCTTGACATTGTATAGATCCGGGCGAGGCAAGCTTTGCCCAACGCACCCCCCGTTTCATGTGGGGGAAGGATCGATTATAGCCGAACAAGAGACTTTGGGATTTACCCGAGGATTTCGCAAAGGCTTAAGGTCGCAAAACTATGGTTGACACCCTTTCCAAAGAGCTGGGCCTGAACCGCCCGGCACAACAACACGGTGCTAGCACGAATCAGCATCTCCAAGAAGAAGCCCATCAGTATGACGAAAAGCAAGATGATACGATGCGAGATAGAGAAGATTTCACCCGGGAAAAGCACTATGAACGACCTCGGATATCAACCGACTCTTACGGCCTGCAACGCACAACCTCTGGTGTCAATGTCGAACAAGCGGAGAAGGACTTCGCGGAGCTGAGCAAAGAATTGAGCGCAATCAGCCGCCGAATTTCACGAACGCACTCGAAGGCCTCCAACGTTAGGGCGAGGGATGTGGAGAAGGCTATCAGCTCGTCTGATGAGAATTCCGAAGATACCTTTGACTTGGAAACCACGTTACGCGGTGCGAGGGAGGCAGATAATGCTGCAGGCATCAAACCCAAGTATATCGGTGAGTTTGGCACTGAGGTATTCCTCTATCTTTTGCTAAGCCGTGGTAACAGGTGTGATCTGGGACAACCTCACCGTCCGTGGTATTGGTGGTGTCAAAAACTTTGTCAAAGTCTTCCCTGACGCTTTCATCGACTTCTTCAACGTGCCGGGGACGATTATGAGCATTCTCGGGTGGGGCAAGAAGGGTCGCGAATTCAACATCTTGCATGGGTTCCGTGGGGTTGCAAAACCGGGCGAAATGGTGCTTGTTTTGGGTCGACCTGGTAGCGGCTGTACGACATTCCTCAAAGTGCTTGCCAATCAACGATATGGCTATACAGGCATAGATGGAGACGTCCTTTACGGCCCCTTTGACGCTGCGACTTTCGAGAAGCTTTACCGCGGCGAGGCCGTCTATAACCAGGAGGATGATGTACATCATCCCACCCTGACTGTTGGCCAGACGCTCGGTTTTGCACTCGACACGAAAACGCCTGGCAAACGTCCCCAGGGGCTTAGCAAAGCCGAGTTCAAGGACAGAGTTATCCGATTGTTACTCAAAATGTTCAATATCGAGCACACCATCAACACAATCGTGGGCAACCCTTTTATGCGCGGCGTTTCTGGCGGGGAAAGAAAGAGAGTCTCTATCGCTGAAATGATGGTGACTCGAGCCACTGTCTGTTGCTGGGATAATAGCACCCGTGGTCTCGATGCGTCGACTGCCCTCGACTACGCCAAATCACTTCGAATCATGACCAATATCTATAAAACTACCACCTTCGTTTCGCTGTACCAAGCATCTGAGAACATCTACAGCCAGTTCGACAAAGTCATGGTGATCGACCAAGGTAGACAAGTCTTCTTCGGTCCTGCGAAGGAAGCGAGGGCCTATTTTGAAGGGCTGGGCTTCCTGGAAAAGCCACGCCAAACAACACCCGACTACCTGACTGGATGTACCGACGAGTTCGAACGAGAATACAAGCCGGGAAGGTCTCCTGAAAATGCGCCTTCGACACCGGACTCCTTTGTGGACGCATTCAATAAATCCACCTTTGCCGAAAAGCTCGAGCATGAGATGGCGGGCTATCGAGAATCCATCCAGCAGGAGAAGCAGATCTATGACGATTTCGTGGCGGCACATCGCGAAGCTAAGCGGAAACATACACCCAAAAACTCGGTATACTCGGTTCCATTCCACTTGCAAATCTGGGCTTTGATGCAACGACAGTTCCTGATCAAATGGCAAGACAAATTTTCGCTTACGGTCTCCTGGATTACGTCTATTACGATCGCGATTGTCGTCGGTACAGTCTGGCTGAATCAACCCAAAACTTCTGAGGGAGCGTTTACTCGCGGTGGTGTCCTCTTCATTGCGTTACTTTTCAACGCATTCCAGGCATTTTCAGAACTCGCATCTACTATGCTCGGGCGGCCGATTGTGAACAAGCATCGAGCGTATACTTTCCACCGGCCCAGCGCTTTATGGCTTGCACAAATCATTGTCGACCTGGCATTTGCCTCCGTTCAGATATTCGTCTTCAGCGTCATCGTGTACTTCATGACAGGATTGGTCCGAACCCCCGGCGCATTCTTTACGTTTGTGCTCATCATTATCACGGGCTATCTTTCGATGACTTTGTTCTTCCGCACGATTGGTTGTCTATGTCCGGATTTCGACTATGCTATCAAGTTTGCAGCGGTCATAATCACCTTATTCGTCATCACTTCTGGCTATATCATTCAGTACCAAAGCCAGCAAGTGTGGTTAAGGTGGATCTTTTACGTCAATGCGCTCGGTCTTGGTTTCGCTGCTATGATGATGAATGAATTCAAGAGACTGACAATGCGCTGTACCGACGAGTCGCTAATACCGTCCGGTCCTGGATACAATAATATTGACCACCAAGTCTGCACACTCCCTGGTTCTCAAGCAGGATCGATCGAGGTATCAGGGACAGCATATGTTAAAAAGGGCTTTTCTTACGACCCATCGGATCTCTGGCGTAACTTTGGCATTATCATCGTGTTGATCGCGCTCTTCCTGTTCACCAACGTCATGCTAGGAGAAATGATCAAGTACGGAGCCGGTGGCCGTACGGTTACTTACTTCGCAAAAGAAAACAAAGAAAGGAAGATCTTGAATGAGAAACTGCAAGAACGGAAACGAAGGCGACAAACCAAACAAGATGCCGAGGACAGCTCAGAGCTCAATATCACCTCCAAGGCTGTGCTGACGTGGGAGAATCTTACCTACGATGTCCCTACTCCCGCTGGACAACTGCGGCTGCTGAAGGATGTCTTCGGATACGTACGTCCCGGGCAGTTGACTGCTTTGATGGGTGCTAGTGGAGCCGGCAAGACCACTCTACTCGACGTTCTCGCTTCTCGAAAGAATATTGGTGTGATTGGCGGAGATATCTTGGTTGACGGTCAAAAGCCAGGCATTGGATTTCAGAGAGGAACCTCCTACGCAGAACAACTCGACGTCCACGAATCTACTCAGACGGTCCGAGAAGCTCTGCGATTCAGCGCCGACCTTCGCCAACCGTACGAAGTGCCCCAAGAACAAAAGTACGCCTATGTTGAAGAAGTTCTTTGCCTACTCGAACTCGAAAACCTTGCGGACGCCATCATTGGCAGCCCTGAAAGCGGTCTTTCGGTTGAAGAGCGCAAAAGAGTGACCATTGGCGTCGAACTTGCTGCAAAGCCCCAGTTGTTGCTCTTCCTTGACGAACCCACTTCGGGTCTCGATTCACAGTCTGCATTTAACATTGTCCGCTTCCTCCGCAAGCTCTCTGCCGCCGGACAAGCAATTCTCTGCACAATTCACCAGCCGAACAGCGCCTTGTTTGAGAACTTCGACCGGCTTCTGCTGCTACAAAAGGGTGGAGAGACCGTCTACTTCGGAGACATCGGCAAAGACGCACACGCGCTTCTGGGTTACTTCCACAAATATGGCGCAGACTGTCCTCCTGATGCCAATCCGGCAGAATGGATGCTGGATGCTATTGGAGCAGGCATTGCACCTCGCATTGGTGAGAAGGACTGGGGCGATATTTGGCGCGAAAGTGAGGAACTCGCGACTGTCAAGACCGAGATCATCGACATGAAAGCACGACGTCAACGCGAAGTCGCCGGCGAATCGAAGTTGGATGAAAAAGAATACGCTTCTCCGCTGTGGCATCAAATCAAGGTCGTTTCTAACCGAACACACCTGGCATTCTGGCGCTCACCGAACTATGGGTTTACGAGGCTGTTCAACCACGTGGCTATCGCGCTGCTCTCGGGGTTGGCATTCTTGCAGCTCGACGACAGTCGGTCAAGCTTACAGTACAGAGTCTTCGTCATCTTTCAAGTCACCATCATCCCAGCCCTGATATTGGCGCAGGTGGAACCCATGTACGACTTTTCCCGGCTCATCTTCTACCGAGAATCTGCAGCGAAAGCGTACAGCCAATTTCCATTTGCCTTTGCCATGGTCTGCGCCGAGATGCCCTACAGCCTTTTATGTACGGTTGGCTTCTTCATCCCGATATACTACCTGCCCGGGTTCAATAACGACAGTTCGCGAGCGGGCTATCAATTCTTCATGGTGCTGATCACTGAGTTGTTCTCGGTGACCATGGGCCAGATGATTGCCGCGATCACGCCGTCGAGCTTCATCTCCAGTTTGATCAACCCGTTTATCGTCATTACCTTTGCCTTGTTTTGCGGTGTCACCATCCCCAAGCCACAGATCCCCGGTTTTTGGCGTGCCTGGCTGTACCAACTTGACCCTTTCACCCGCTTGGTGTCCGGGATGGTCACCACGGAACTGCACGGCCTACCCGTGGTCTGCAAGTCGTCGGAACTCAACCCGTTCCCTTCACCTCCGGGCCAAGATTGCGGCGAGTACATGCGCAACTTCTTCCAACGCGGCGGGGCAGGCTACCTTGCCAGCAATGTAAGCGATATGTGTGAGTACTGCGCTTACAAGATTGGCGACCAATTCTACGAGCCGTTGGAGTTGAGCTTCAACCATCGCTGGCGGGATCTCGGGATCTTTGCGGCTTTCATTGCGAGTAACCTGATCCTGCTGTTCTTGGGTTCGAGGTACCTGAATTTCAATAGAAGATAGAAACGGCCATGTGGATATAAAATGGAGGGGCCACGGAAGTGCGGTAGAACAGGGTGAGGGTAAATCTGTGTGAATAAGCTTGTGACGGGATAGTACGTATGGGCCGGTATTGAGCGTCGATATCTAGGTCATGAGGATAGAAAAAAAAGAAACACTGAGCTGCTCTCTGGGTGTGGTATGGCCTTATCTTGGTGTTCCAGACGTGTGTCTACCTACCGCTACAAGCCTTTCTCTGTTTGCAACCTACCTGTTTTTCTCACTTCCCCCCCCATCGTTCGTGAAACCAAAAAGGGTCAAGTGCAACACCAGCCACGTGATCAGCATCGCACTCTCTGCATCTTCAGCTCCACCGCCACAAACCTGTTTTTCACTTCTTCCCTCGTCCAGGCATCCGCATCAGAAACTCCGCATCTCACACCTCCTCATCCTTGTCAGCGATTCGGGTCCTCACTCGCCCAGCGCATGTTGCTGCTGCTCCCGTCCACTCATGGCCGGTGCCTCAGCTCAAGGACCCGCCTGGCACGGGCCATTCTTTGGAATTGTGGCTTGAACCACTGACGTCGTTCATGTTGCATTTCGGGCGAGCTTGTCACCAAAGCGCAATGCAAAGGTTGATGCTTGAACCAGCCAGCCATCCGTCTTTTCTGTCCCAGGGTTCGGTCTGGGTGGCTTTCCCATCATGGCCTCTGCTTCAAGCCGTTAAAAGATACCTGTCGGCACCTCTCTTTTCCCTTCTGTCTGTCGCAACTTTGTTCTTCTCTTCCAATTACCTCGTTTTTCGTTGTCGCGTAGTACGCCTTAACCATCCCGGCAGTCGTCTCCTTCCCCCGCATTTTCAATTGCTGTCTTATTCCCTTGCCTAATTGAAGCCCGTCAAATGCCGACTGCAGTCATGGAGAACGGAATTGGCGAGCACAACGATCAAGGGGAGAAGCCTCTTCATGAGTGAGTACCCTGCAAGTAGGCGACAGGCCGCTGCAGTCGCCTGGCGCATCGGAGACTTTGAGATGGTCACTGACGCTTTCATAGGCTTCTTACCTCTTCCTTGGTAGACGTCTACGTCGGCCCGGACTCGACGCACTGGTCTCTCCACGAGGAACTCCTCTGCTATCACTCGCCGTTCTTCTCGTCCGTCTTCCGCGGAGAAGAGGGCAAGAATGAAGGGAAGAAGAAATCGCAGGAAGACAAGACCTACAACCTCACGGACGAGGACGCCTACCCATTTGAGCTTCTGGTAGGCTGGCTGTACTCCAAGTCTCTCCACACGCCAAAGACAGAGAAGGACATCGGCCCCCTGCTTGACCTGTATCTGCTCTCGGAGAAGTTGCAGATCAAGAAGCTCAGCGTCGACGTGGTCGAAGCCGTCCGAGAATTCTACCACAGCACCTCCACATACCCGGGCCTCCGTCGCGTGCAGTACATCTACGCCGAGACGGACGAAGACAACGAGATGCGCGAGATGATGGTCTCCTCGATCGCGCGCCAATTAACCACCAGCGACAAGATCCCCGCGCATTGGGCGACAGCGCTGAAGCGCAACGGGCAGCTGGCCGTCGACATTATCCGCGCGATCCAGCAATGGCACATTGAAGAACGCAGCATTCCCGACGTCCGCGAGGGGAGCCGCATCAGGGGCAGACTGCTCAATGGCAGCGTCTTCAGCGCGGTCGAGCGTGCCGCCAAGTCGCACGAAACCGACGATACACACGACACGAACCTGGGGGTCGAGAGTCTGAATAGTGGACCGAGTGATGCACCGAACGTCAAGAGCGACGCTGAAGAGTAAGTTTCGCCCGTTCGTGTACCACAAGTTCTTGCGGACAAGAAGGGCAGGCAGGGCCTGGAGGACTCCCCGCTAGCAAACAAGCAGCATGGATCCTCCACTCCTGAAAAGAGCCTTCCCCCCTTCTCTGCCCGGATGAAACATCGAAAGAAGAAATAAAGAAGAATCAATAAAAAAAAAAAAAGAATCCAAAACCAAAAAATCAAAAAAACTGTGAATCGCGCAAGAGAAAAGAGCGTAAGCTGAGCGAGAACCACGTAAACCAAAAGAAACCCTTTACCAAGTTCACCACTCAGGTGGCTGAATCCACCACCCCGACCACCGGAACCGCCAACAAGCCCGCCGGACAAACGACCTGAGGAACTCGGAGGAGGAGGAGGAGGAGGAGGAGGAGGAGGAAGTAAAGGGGAAGAAGAAACGGACAGGCACGGAGACGCGGAGCCTAAAGACGAAAGTGAACGACGAGACGAGGCCGCCGATGGAGGATGCCACCAAAACGACGAAGAAGAAGCCGAACCCGAAAATCCCATTCCCTTCCAATCACGCATTATTAACGACCAACAACCACCGGACGGGCAGGAAGCCCGGGCGCTAGAGCCTCGCAAGGAATCAACCCCAGAATCAGACCCCCAAACACGCATGGAAGCGTCTCCGCAAACAGCAAAAACAACAATCAGCAGCAGCAGCAGCAGCAAAAGGGATCGGGATCATCCCCTGTCCGCGTACAAGGCGTGGCGCTCCTTTTCGACGGGGACCCGGGCCGAGAGCATGTTTTTGGCGAGCGCCTGGGCCGTGTATTTTATGTATTTTGTCGGGTACTATGCCATTGGGAAAAACATTAGTTGAATATGTTTAATGAAAATTCAAAAGCACGGCGCTGGTGCACTTCCTAGTCATAATGGTCTTCTCTCAGTGTTTACAGGGGGTTACTGGTAGTAGGTCCCTCAATTGGCCGGCACTCAGAATACTCCCACGAGGCTGGGAAAGCAAAGAAGCAGCAGCAAGAATAGAAAGGTAAACTGTATTAATAGGGTAGACACCATGCTTCCACCGCACGGCGGCAAGCAGGCAGCCTTACGAACTTTGTTGTCTCGAAGCTAGGGAAGTATTCACCGACATCATGACAGCCACGACAAAGCCTAGTTGCCCTCACCCTTCGTGCAAACACATCCAAGCACTGCCCATGAATAACATGGATACATGCGCAAAGTCCAAGGTCTACTTCCGAGTCACTGCGTTCGGTCCCTGTCTTGCCACCCTGTCTTCTCTGCGCAATGGAAGCTCCCTCTGGCCACCAAAGCCTCCAGCGGTCGGATTCTCATAGCCGCGGAAAGTCCATCTCCTCATCTATCCCATGGCATGACTGATACAGCCGCATTCCAACCGTGGCTATTGTTGAGCATCATATCTGAGGCCGGTCACCATATCTCGGTAGATCAATCGGTTGCTTCGAAGAATATGCGAGGTCTCGGCGCGTAGAAGGGACAAGAGGTGATATGAACGAGAGACTGCACTCGATTCCATTAATTGAACCGCTTCCAGTCTCGTTGGTACCGTCCATCATGCATGGCATGTCGCTTTTGATATTAGTGGCTTGCGAACTTTTCCGCTGTGACTTTTGTATCTTCCTCCTCCTACCGACGAATGCTCGCTTTTATCTACAAAGAAGGCGCTGTAATGATTTCAAGAACGATCGCAAAAGATGACGAGTCTTCTCGTCATGGTCTAGAAGACATGATAAATCGTGGTCCATGGCCTGTTCAATTGACGAAGGAATAAGGCCGATTGGACATCATGCGCTTCAAGCATATTGGATTCCGAAATTTAATTGGAGATCCGTTGGTAGAAGAGGAGATAGGCAACTTTGTTGTCCTTGATGGCGTACTTGGGATTTGGCGTCTGTTTCCCGGATGAATCTTTTGGTGTGGAAGTTCCATTTACCACGGCGCTCATCGTCGATTTTGATCTCGAATGCCCGTTGACTTGGTTCCATGTTTTGTCGGAGGTATCATCCTCATCGGCTTCTTGATCAAATTGCTCGAATCGGTTGCCGCTCGCTTTGTGTTGCTCCAGGGCTGCTGCAAGGACCTTGGGATCTTCCTCAGCGCCACCCTCCGCAACTTCTTCGGCCCTGATGCGACGCAGTATTGTGTCGTCCATGCGGATCCATTCACGGCCATCTTGGCGGCGAATGTCAACAGTGTAGTGACCGCCGTTGGCGTTCTTGCCATGATGGTAGATGACACCTGTGAGGCGGTATTTGGGTAGGCCACCGTGAGCCGTGTATTTGTTCCGCACCTGCAGAGGGAATACCTCCTTGGGAATTTCGAGTTCCAGCGGGTAGCCAACTCGTTTCCAGATCTTCTCCGCACGTTTCGTGGTGTTATCATAATGGAACCGTTTGAGGTGGAGGATCAGGACTGGAGGTAGAGTCTCAATAAAGACTTGTTTTGTTGCAGTGGCTTTCACTCCTCTTGGGGTGTAAAAATCACCTTGCATACTCTCCGGTCTGGTAAGTCCTTTTAAGGCGTCAATGATGTTGTTGACCTGAGGAGAGCCGATGTCAAGCTGCAACGGTGAGTATGGCTCCAGAGTGATGGACAACTTGTTTCCGGAAACCTTCAGCTCGGACCGAAGTTTCCCACCAAAGATGTTGGTTACAGGAGATTCTGCGGCAATCATTCCTGAAGATCGGGTGACAGCAGGCTTTTGCTTGTGGCCCACTTCCGTCCAGCCATTCTCAGTATCAGCGTGCTCCGAGGCGTTGGAAACACTGCCAACAGGCGTCGTTCGGCCGGAACTCGAAGCCGTAGTAGATTTCATGGCGCGAGCACATTCTTCATGCAGCTCTTCCAGTAGAAATCCGAGGAATTCTTGAGCGTCCTGCTGATGGCCCCTCCTCATTTCTCGAAACCGAGGCAGATCCTTGATTGCGGCATAAACGTACTCGGGAATGAAAGAGTCGCCATAGTTCTCATAATCATCTGGCTTTAAGCGCAGGCGGAGCTGATCCACGGAATTTGCAGAGCAGATGATGGGGTATTCTCGTACAAACATTATGACTGCATCAATCAAGGGAGTGTCGCTCTTGAATGTGTGTGGAGCTCGGTCAGCCAATTTTGCTAGAAAATCGTAGAACGGCAAGCAGAAAACAAGGACTTGCAACACAGAGTTCATGTAGCACATGTTGCCTGTATTGACAAGCCCACGCGGTTTTAGGAAAGAGATTTTATGTGGTGCCTCAACGATCGCGTTCATGTCGTTAAGCACATCAGACAGGGTCTCACTCTTCCCGGTTCCAGATACGGTTGAGGCCGCCTTGGAAGGCAGGGCCGTGGACAGGCCACTCCGCACTTCATTTGACTTGAAAAGATTTGCCCAAGATTTTGGCGGAGCCGGCGGGGAAACAGTAGGAGCGGCAGCTTCAGAAATTGCCTTCGTTTCCGACGCCTCTGATGAAATGTTTTCCGGCTCCTTTATCTCTAGAGATGGTTGTGCTGATTCGGATGACTTTGATTGTGCTGAGACGATTGAATCACGGTGGCTTGAGCGCGTTGCGGAAGGGCTAGATGGCAGGACTGGGACGGCTGGCAGGACAGGACCAATGGGTCTAACTTTTGGTTGAGTCGGAGTTTGCTGAGATTTTGACAGGGGAGCAGGAACGGCAGAAGAAGGGGTCGTTGGTTGGGTAGAAGCGGCATCCGAGGGGGCATCCGATGGCAAGGGTGTTGATGCTTGTGTGACAGGCTGTTCGGCGGAGGTATCTGTGGGCTCATCCTCCTCTTGTGGCAGTGCTTTCAATTGCTCTTGTGCCGGCTCTTCTTCAGTGGCTGCGGGAGCACTTGGTTCTTGGGCGGTTGGTTCTACCACGGGATAGACCACCGGTTCCTTGGCGAGCCGGGAACGAGGAATCCGCCGTCTCTGTCGAGGAGCACGCGGGGGGAAGGCTTCGCCCTCGACAGACAACCAAGGGACTGGAGGGTAAAAGGGTTCTCTGGGAGTATCAGCAGACGGGGTTTGGACCCGTTGAGGTGCAGGAGAAATCGCCGGAGAGATGTTATCTTTTCTTGTATTCACCGTGCTTGAGGTGCTGAGCGGAGGAGAAGGCGGTGTTTGAACCGGGTTCGAGGCAATCGAAGGAGCGGTCGAGGTTGGAGGTGGCTGCATAGATGCTACTCCTTGAGGGAGTCGAGGCGTAGGTTGCACGTGCGGCTGGGAGGATACAACCAGAGGCCCGTGATGGGGAGGAGGAGCCGCAGGAGGATACTGAGGCGGCGGGACAGGGAGCTGAGCATAATATGGCGGTCTGCCATGCATAGGATGCATGTGGGGTTGTTGATATCCATACCAGTTCGGCGGATAGTGTTGAGGGTATTGGGGCATCATTGGGGCCATATGCTGTTGATAGTATGGTTGATATTGCGGATGAGGCCTCATGGGAGGCGGCATATTCGCGTAGGGGACATCATGACGCCTCTGAGGAGGCTGCATGGGCATGGGATGTTGCCCATAGGGATGGTGGTTTTGTTGCATGGTTTCGATAAAGTCGCGTTCACCACCTTCTGCGCCAGGACATGATGTCAAACGGTGGGACGAAGCGCGTCTCTTGTCTCTCCGATCTGTGGTCTCCTAAACCGACGATCTCTGCTGCTCCATGATTCAAAGAGGGCGCGGAGACGACAGGCAGTGGGAGTTGGCGGTGATGCTGCTGCTGGTGCTGCTGCGAGGGCTCCTGCGCCCAGGGGAAGAAGAAGGAAGGTGAGGGAAAGCGCGGTCGGTCAAAGTCGATCGAGGCGACTTCTCCCAAACAAACGAAGTGAGACGCCTGGCGCTGTCTGGCCGGCAGAAAGAGAACAAGGGTTAGAGGGGAGAGGATGAAGATTGCTTGTGAGGTGATCAAGCAACTTCTGGGAGACGAGGTCCAAGTTGGAATCTTTCTGAGATGCGCACTCACCCGCAGTTCAACTTTCGGCGGATTTCGCAGTCTGCCGGTGGGCGCTAACCGCGAAGTGCACGAACCACTGCCAGGCTGGCCCGGCTAATCGCCCCCTTCGGGTGTCCTTCTCCAATTCTCGAGGGGAATTAGGTAAGCCTGCTGGGTGCGTCGCCCACCCATCGCCCACCTATCGCCGGTTGAGTGGCCGGGAGTCACCAGCACCAGCCAGTAGTAGCACCCAGCGGTCCTTGTGGTGCCAGTCATTCTCGTGATGATGCCCCCCGCCGTGACTTACCATCGCCATAGTCTTCCTCCCTGCGCTGTCGTCGACTGTTTCAACCTCATTCAAACTACCTCCACCCCTTCACTGGGGGTGATTGTAGTCTGTGTCCATTACATCCATTTGTCACATCTGCTGACGTTTGTCGTCCTGCAATCCCTCATCTTCCTATTGTCGTCGAGGACTCTGGTCTGCTTCACTGCCGGCTTGAGGAGACACTTCACCACCAGCAGCGATGTCATCCAGCGCCACCTCCATTCAGCCCACAAGCAAACTCCCTCCGTCGTCGAATTCGTCCAGTTTCTCACTCGCTCCTCCCGATAACTCCTTCTCCAAGCGTTCCAACAGCTCAGGGAGTTCCGGCGCAGCTGTTGCAACGCGTCAGACTCCGCAGGCGCGCGGGAACCAATTGTTAAAGAAGCAGCACAAGCAACAGAGGAAACCGCGTCTCGTCGATGAGGATGTCCTGCATGAGACTCACGCCATGAAGTCTATCAACTCACGCAAGGGTCAGACCTCCATCACCCACCTGATGAACTTTTCCCTGCCTCCCCGCCCTCAGCACCACTATCAGCATCACTTCAATCATCGACATCAGAGACGCAATCCTACCTGGGGCCTTGGCTCCGGCTATCATGCTGTTGACAAAGCCCGCTATGTCCATGCGAACTATCGTTTCGTCGTCCGTCCTGACCGAGAATACCACGCTCAGACAGTCGACGCAGATGTCTACGTCAGTTGGGATGCCGTCTTGCAAGTGCTGGCTTCGGCCGAGACTCAAGATGCTAGTTGTCCAATCTGCCTGTCCGCTCCAGTCGCTCCACGCATGGCCAAATGCGGCCACATCTTCTGTCTACCATGCCTTATCCGCTATATGCATTCTACGGACGAATTGAATCCTGTTCCCGAAAAGCGGCCGAGGTGGAAAAAATGCCCAATCTGCGAGGATAGTATCTACATATCTGACGCAAGACCGGTCAGATGGATCCAGGGCAACGATGTCAGCATGCTGAGAGAAGGTGGTGACATCCTTCTGAGGCTGCTAAAGCGTGAGCCTGGTACCACACTGGCATTGCCCAGAGACACCGCCGAGAGCACCAATCGCTCTGAGGACATCCCCTGGGTCAATGTGGCTGGGATGATGGAGTACGCTCGTTTCATGAAAGGTGGTGAACAGTATATGGAAGCTCAGCATGACCAGGAGATTGCAGACCTCGACACTCAAGAAAAGGAGGATGAACTGATGTTTGGCGATGATAACACTTGGACCCGGAAAGCTGTCCTGGCTATCGAAGATGCCAAACAGAAGTTGTCCGGCTTGGGTAATCCTCCTGCGGCAGTGCCAACCTCTTCTACAAAGCAACCAGAAATCCCGGAGTCGTGGGATTCGGCCGAACACGACGCCTCTAACTTGACTTCAGCCGTCAAGTTAATGACTCTTGATCAAGGCGTCACAGCCACCAAACCTGCATCAGCACCCTCGAAACATGCCCAAGGGCCTCATCGACCATCGTCTCACCCGTTCTATTTCTACCATGCATTACCAAACTTCTTTCTTTCACCCTTAGACATTCGGATTCTGAAGGCTGCTTTTGGCGACTTTTCCGCGTTTCCTTCGACCATCCTTCCACGGGTAGAGCATATATCAACAGGGCATATCATAGATGACGACCTGCGCAAAAGGGCCAAGTACATGGCTCACTTACCATATGGCTGCGAGGTGACATTTCTGGAATGTGACTGGACAGATGTCATCAGCCCAGTCATTCTAGAGCAGTTTCAGGACGACATTACCAAGCGACGAAAGAGGAACCTGGAAAAGGAAGCAAGAGAAGAGAGAGATAGAATCCGGGCCGAAAAGGAAGAGGAAGATAAGAGATGGGCGGCCGCCCGACGGCCGCGGAGGCCAAGTTCTGTGCCCAAGAGTTTTACCGAGTCAGATTTCCAACCGTTGGTCGAATCAGCCGCTCAGACCAGCTCTTCGCCAGGCGAATCCGGTCTAGCGACCACACCGCCATGGGGCAACATTCGGGCTCAGTCTGCGTTTGCGACATTGGCCACGCCAGGTACTAGTCCTGACGCGCCTCGGACAGTCTGGGGTACAGCGGCAGTCGCACCAACCTCCCCGCCGTTGCTCTCAGCGCCTGAACCTGTCAGCGCACAAGTAGACGACGGCTGGTTGCAAGGATGGGAGCAAGATTTACTTGACGAGGGCGATGCAGTGGCTATGGTCGAGGCTTCTTTGAACAACGGTGGCTCACGCTCTGGCGGTGGAGGCCCTTCAACGAAGAAAGGAAAAAAGAAGAAAATCACACTTATGTCGACGGGCAATCGACGTGGGGCTTAGCAATAACTTGGGATCTGGTATAAACCGTGCCATGTGTTCAGAACTGAGATGTGTCAATGATATGAATGAAAGGAGATGGGAGTGCCAGGCATCCTGTGTGCTTGTAGATAGCGGCGTCCATTCTTGAGTCTAGCCAGAAAGCAAATTTGGGCTGTTGAGCGGAAACCAGGCTCAATGGATTTCGAAATGAGGAAACCATTTGTCTTCCTTGTATGGAGACGGGAAAGACAGACGAAGAAGGCATTCGGTCATGGGTGAGTGCAGGTGGTCGAGAAATACCCCGTATCCGTATTGCTTCAAAGTTTTCTCTTCAAGTGCTGTCTGTATTCCATCTGCAAGGAAAGTCAATGCACCAATTCCATTCTCTGGTGAAAAAGATTGTTTTCCCATCCCAGCGTTCTCAGTACATTTATGCCTTATCCATCGTTACATTCTTGGTTCTTGCACTTGCACTTTCTTTGATCCCATAGGCTGCTATGGGTCGTCTCTTCCCAAAGTCCGTCAGCATCTTCGATTCAATGCATTCATGTCCTATCCGTAGGGATCCCATTTTTCTTCCATAGGACCAGTCTAAAAATCTAGACATCAATTGCGTCCACAACAACGCCCTTGACCCACTCGTATCCCATGACGCGGGCGACCTCTTGGGCCGTCTCGTGGCTGACCAGGGCGCTCACGAGGTACAGGCTAGCGTCGATGCCGCTGATGGTGCCGCCGCTGGTGATGACACGCATGCCGCCCAGCTTCATGCTCTGGCGACGCACCAGGTTCTCGTGCTTCAGGTTGCTCTCCCGCCTGGCCAGTGACCCTTTGCGGGCGTTGCTGCCCTTACGGTTCTTCTTGAACACGTAGGGGTTTTCGTCGAGGTTCTCGCCCAGGTCGAAGCGGGCGTTGTTGACCACATAGCGCTCCTCCATGACGTCGGTGCGCTCGCCCATGTCCCTGGCGGCGGCGTCCTGGCACTCCTTTTCCAATTTGATGTAGAAGTCCGGGTGTGTGGTGCCCGCCAATCCTTGCAAAAGGCCCTGGCTCGCCAGGAAGAGCGCCGCCGTGTCCACGGCCAGCACGGTCCGTTCTCTACCTGGGTCGGCGGTCTGGGCGTCGGCGAAGGCCTTGATGATCTGTGTGGGCTCGGCCTTGTCCTTGAGGACTTGCATGCATTTTTCCTTGCCTCCTGGGACGACCAGGACGTCGAATTCCCGCAGGCGTTTGTGTGCTTCTTTGAATGAGACGTGCGCCGTCAATGTGACCCCCTGGGCGGTCAGGACGTGTTCCTGCGCGGCGGCGAAGGTGACGTCGAATGCTTTGCTTTCTGCACGGTGCTCGTGTGTCAGCTCGTGTGACCGCGCGGGGCTTGAGGGAAGGAAGGGGGAGAAAGTGTTCTACACACCTGGGTCAGTGGGATTGTATTGGGCATGGGTGAGAACTTCAAGCGGGCCGGCAAAGTCAAGGAGGTCCATGCCATCGTGCATGGTGAAGAGGACCTGGATGGGCTCGTTGGTCTCGTTGGTGTCCTGAATCGCACTCATCTTGCCGGCTGCTGGTGGGTATATGTTTGGGTGGGGAAGTAGAGAAGGAGAGATGTGCCTTGAGTAGATGAAGAGTGTTATAGAGGTTTGGTTGTGTTTGAGTGGTTGATAGGTCTTTCGTAGGGTCTTTGTGATGGTGTGCTGGCTGGGCTGCGGTGATTGATTGAAGGGAAGGGTGAAGGAAGGACAAAGAGAGTTCGACAGGTGGCCTTCAGGTGACCTTGCCAGAGCAGGTGGTGTGAGTGGCTCGGTGCTTCGTTTCTGCGGAGACCCCACGAATTCCCTCACCAGCCAAAAACGTGGGGTATTGAGAGGCACTAAATGAGGGGCACAAAGCCACCATTCATCACTCGTCACTCATCACCATCCCTCTTTGGCGCCTCCGTCTCTCCTGTCACCATCAATGGATGGCACTACGGGCCACAACAACCATGAAAGGGATGGGCAGATGCTCCAAATGAGCTCTCTGAGCCCTTCTTCAAAGGCAAGCCAACGAACAAGCTTACCTTCCTGCTACCTGGCTTGCCATGTCGAGCAGGGAATGAGCCCTTCCCTACTAGGTATTTGGCCTTTATGAATCTCACGCCGGTACGAGGTAATCTAATCTGGCCTTGGCAACACTCCTCCGCCTATTGATACTACCAGGCATGCGGTCCAGGCTACCAGCCCTCGAACTTGTGGACCTAACTGGCAGCGCAACTATCTAACTCCCGGCAGACGATGATCGAGACAAGAAAGGCTAGACTCATACATGTCTGGGAAAGACTGCTCCATTGGGGTGGCCCGTGGGGATTTCCCCGGCCGAGCCATACTCCGGGCCGTGGGTGAACCGCTCGGCCGGCTAACAAGAGAGATCTGCTGTAGCGTCACTCGGCGAACCTTTGTGTCAAAAGAAAATATGGAGGGCATATATGATAGGTGGTCTACGCAGATGGCTGGTTTGTGCGCTCTAACATTTGTTTGTGTTTTATCCTGCCAAATCACACTTGGACATTCTAGCAGCTATTGACTACACCGTCAGTCAACCGCTTTCCGACTCTATTCTAACTCCTCAAGCAAAACAACCAGAGGAATGGCGCCCACGCTTCACCCGGCCAAGGCTGCTCCTGCGCTAAGCATTCCTGGCGGTGCTTCTGCAAGAGTTTCAATCATTGATACTACCTCCTTCATCCAAGCCCCGGTCGGCCTTTTCATGCATCCACCGATGCCTGGACACGAACATCTCAAAGTCCCAGCGTTCAGCTTCTTGGTCGAGCAGCAAAAGTCCAGCCGGAAAATCCTGTTTGATCTGGGAATGCGAAAGGACTGGCAGAGTCACCCTCCCGCCGTCATGAAACTCATCTCAGGGCCTGGCTGGGCAATGGACGCCAAAAAGAACGTGGCCGAGATTTTGCAAGAAAATGGGACTGATGTCGCCGGCGGCTCGATCGAAGCGGTCATTTGGAGCCATTGGCATTTCGACCACACTGGCGACGTTTCGACCTTCCCTCACAGCACCAAGTTGATCGCAGGGCCGGGATTGAAGGATACTTTCTACCCGGCTTATCCTGACAACAGCGAATCGCCTCTTCTCGAGAGTGACTTTGCGGGTCGCGAGTGCGAAGAAATTGACTTTGCCAAGGGGCCGACACTGAAAATCGGTAATTACAGAGGTATCGACTATTTCGGAGACGGGTCCTTTTATATCCTTGATGCCCCTGGCCATGCTGTTGGGCACGTGGTTGGTCTCGCCCGTGTGACATCAGCTCGAGAGGGTGATCCTGAAGATACCTTCATCTTGATGGGAGCGGACACTGCCCACCATGGTGGAGAATTCAGACCAACTGAATACCTTCCTCTTCCCAAAGACATCTCGCCGTCTCCCTACGTTGCCAAATACTCTTCAGCCTGCCCCGGCCACATCTTTGAGTCGATCCATCCGCACAAGAAGGCAAACGAGCCTTTCTACCACCTTCACGATGAGATCCCACACAACAAACCAGACGCCGACCACTCATGTGAGCTCATGCAGGAGTTCGATGCTGTGGACAATGTTTTCGTCATCATCGCTCATGACGCGACTTTGCTGGATTCACGGGTCGGGATTGAGTGGTATCCACACGGGACCCTGAAGAACTGGAAGGCAAAGGACTGCGACAATAAGGCTCGCTGGTTGTTCTTGCAGGACTTTACACAGGCTTTGGAATGAAGATGATAGCTACCTTTCTGCAGTGTAGGCCACCACAGAATCTAGTTTGACTGCAATCAATGGAGCTGGACGATCATTGCAGCAGATGACTTCCGATAGATATCACGGAGTAGCACACACCGGTAGAGGCGCTGGCGCTACGAATAAACATAGTTGACCTGTTGTCGGGGTATCATCTGGAATCTACAGATGTTCAACTTGATGATCATTAGTCATTTTGTACAGCGGAAGGAGGAAAGTGGCAGGTGAAAGCTCTTTCATAACCTTTGCAGGTCAAAAGAAGGATGCTTTGAGCTTCCAGCAAATTGGCTTTTCCTATTTGATCCCATCCATGTCAATGGCTCTCAAGGCCTTCTGGAATCATGGCAACTCTGCCCTTAATCTTGCCATGGTGGAGATCCTCTAGCAAGGTAGGGAAATGCTTCAGACTTCCCTTAACAACCTGAGGGACGATGACCTTTCTTTTGATTAGGTCAAGACATGCTTCCACGTCCTGGATGGTGCCCGCATAGCTACCTAGGATGTTGAGCTCCCGTCGGACCACAATGGGAGATGTCAACGGCACTTCGGGGCTCAACAGGCCCACGAGAACTACAGTTCCTGAAAGACGAACTATATACGTTTACAGTGTGTCAACTCAATATAATAAATTTAAGGGTTTGCAGTCGGGGAAGAGTAAGACTTACCGCTTAGTATGCCGGCCTTAAATGTGTCGGGCACCACAACAAAGTCAATGACCTTGTCGATCGATATATTGTGGTCTTTGACCCATCCAGGAACATCAGTGGTGCCGGCAGGGACGATATCTTCCGGCTTGACGCCCAATTTCAAAGCCTCGTCCAGCACAGCCTGTCGTTGGTCGACAACCACAGCGCGGGCACCGATATGGAGAACAACTTGGAGAGCATTGAAGCCCAACCCGCCGAGTCCGAAGATCAAAACCGTCTCGTCCTTCTTGACCGCCGCTCGACCGACGACGGTGTGGTAGGCCGTCATGCACGCATCGGTGGCTACAGCGCCTGCAGCCGGATCGACCCCTTCAGGGACCTTGACTGCTGCGATCTCTCGCACCTTGGTGTAGGCGGCGTTAAAGCCATCATCGCCACCTCCGTAGCGCAGGCCTTGCATGCAGATCTGAGAAGCACCGTGAGAGCACTGGTGACAGGTCGATTTCCCACAGCCAGGAACACACATCATAGCCACGACATCGCCAACCTGGAACTTTTTGACGTCCGGCCCCAAAGCAACAATCTTGCCACAGCCCTCATGGCCCTGCCGAGAGGTCGTTAAGAGGATAAAAGCAAGAGCCACGATCAAAAAGCGAGGAGGGGCTATTTGACAGTCTCACTCACATAAGTGAATTTGCTCTTCTTGTTGAGGAACTCCGGTGGAAGAGCCTTCGCCTCCTTCATCGAGTAGTCGCTGTGACACACTAATCACGTTGACTTCAGCACTAGTTGATCAGATGAGAGAAGGTGTACACTTACATCCAGCGGCGAGAACCTGAACGAGGATCTCGTCCCCTTCTGGGGTGGGGACTGGGACTTCCACTCGAACCTATGTGCTTATGCTCAGCGTCGCACACGTCCCATCTTTTAAGTGGATCAAAAAGGTGGCAACTCTGCTCAACTCACCGGCGTGGTGCTCGGGAGATGCTTCTGCCAGGCCAGCATTGTCTTTGGTAAAGTCTCTGTGGCCATGATTTATGAGATCTGTTTTGAAAGATACACTCAAAGTCTAGGAATCGCGATATGTGGATCCTGAAAGAATGTGGTCTGTCTCGGACCAACTCAACTATCAATCATGCGATGCAACTGAGATGCTCTTCGAGACTGCCCGAGCATCAGAAATCATGATTAATAAGACTCCCATAACAACTCCAAAATATGGGGTTGGTATAACGAAAGCACCCTTGGTTTGCAATATCTGTTCGGCCCGTGGGCAAAGGGGCTCACACAGGGGCCAGAGTCGGGCCTACCTGCAGTGGACCAACTTCCGGAGCCTTTCACCCCCTCAATCTTGGGAGCTGATAAGTTTGAGCGGACGTCACGGGATGGTACGCTTCAATAGCCCCATAAGCCAGGTGGAGGCTCTCTGTTGGAACGTCAGTTCTACAACGTCTCCCCATATAGCCGCGGTTTCATGGCGACGGCATTTTGAGATTGCCGTCGGCACAGGGCTCCCGCCGACCAATGAATCGACCATACGAGGACTGAGCGAGTCAATCGCCTCTGTTCAAATACATCATGGGTATACCGTTGAGTATGAAGGGCGTTCCCATTGACAATACTGCAGACACAAAAGTTCCCCCAGTCGATCACAAAAGCCACACCTTCCACCTTCCGCCATGCCTGCCGAGATCAAGACAAGAGACACCAACGAGAAGCCTCCCACATCGGTATTCGTGACCAATGGACGGGCAGGCGCGGCCTCGATCAACGGCAACACGCAGCTGGCCACCTTCGCTGGAGGACAAGTCTATCTCGACCCGGTCCTGATGCGCAAGGACATCACGATGGTCCACGTCAACTTTCAGCCCTGCGCACGCACCCACTGGCACAAACACGAAGGAGGGCAGCTGCTCAAGGTCACTGCCGGCTTGGGATGGGTCTGTGATCAAGGCGAGAAGCCCCGAAGGATCGCGGTCGGCGATATTGTCTGGTGCCCTCCTGGCGGTATCCATTGGCATGGCGCAGACGACGGGAGCTTCATGTCTCACGAGGCCACCTCTTTCGGCGGGCTGGATTGGTACGATCCGGTCACGGATGAGGTGTATGCTGCAAAGAGTGATATCAAACAAGGCGGGTTGAGCGCCCAGTACCCGGGAAGTGGTAAAATCTCTTAGATTGAAAGAATTGCCGGAATATAGATGATAGATCTCAACTCAGCAAGTGACTTTTAAAGATTACATTTCGAGTTTTCGAACTGGTTGACCATTCTTTCGCAATGCTTCTCAAAAGCCGCTTGAACCCTTCAAATCGATTTCTGGTCTCAAGCATCTTTGGATCGACACCGGTCTCATTCGACTATGTATGGATGCAATCTACCATAGGCATCACAAGCGGCCGTATGAGTTTCTCGCTGGTTACCAGATCCTGCACCACACAACAGTACCTTGACTTATGAGAAAAGTCCTCGGGTAGGCCGGTGACAAGAGTATTTTAGTGCTGGTCTTCTTCAAGCAGTAGATGGAGGCACTGAGCATTATTGACATTTTAAGACGTGCCTTTCTTTTTTTGAGTTATCCTGACTGGGTAGTTGAGACTACCAAAAACTTGGAAACAACCGCCAGGATATCTTCATTTCGATTCGGAGAAAGCATCGACTTGGCCATTGATGTGTAGCCAAATGGACGAACAGTCAAGACTAGTCGTCCTAGGATCTTGATCCGCTCTCTCATACTCCTTGAGGGCCATTTCTCCCATGGTCGCGTTGATCCCGACTTCCCGCGCCGCTTTGATGGCAAGGGAAACGTCCTTGACGCACAAGCTAGGTCTGAACCCAGCGCGGAAACCATTGCTCGCGGCACTTTTCGCAACAACGCCCGGCACCGGTGGCGAGAAATTCAAGATCCACGAGTCGCCGCTGGATCCTTTGATGCATCGAAACAGGGTCTCCGGATTCATGCCGTGCCGTATCCCAAACGCCATGCCCTGCGCGGCGGCGGCAAGGTTGCAGAGACCCATGTAGTTGTTGGCAATCTTGCTCACGAGTCCTCCTCCGAGAAAGCCGCAGAAGTTGATCCGTTCAGCCGCGCCCATCCAACCGATCACGGTTTTGATGTGTTGGACGAGCGGATCGTTGTCTGTTGCCGCATTCGGGTATCCGATGAAGAATGACAGCGAACCAGCCTCGGCGCCGCCGACACCCCCGGAGACTGGTGTGTCGATATACCTCCCACGGCCAGCCTCCATGACTGCTTTCCCTACCTCTTGAGCCGTTGCAATACTGATAGTGCTGCACTCTAGGATTAACCGATCTTGATCGGCGCGAGCCGCAATGACCCCAGTCTCAGGATCGAGATAAACCGCTCGGCAATGCTGATCCATCGGCACCATTGAAAGGACGGTTTTGGAAGCTTCCGCAACCTCTTTCGACGACTTTGCAATCCTCACAGGGCCAAGATCCCCAAACTTGTGCACGAAATCTTGACATGACGCGTTGTTGACATCAAAAATGTGGAGTGTGGATGATCGGTCCATCTTGCTGCGAATATTTCCAGCCATGTGAAACCCCATGTTCCCGATGCCTAATCTCTCTGTTAGTTCTGTCGAGGCTTGAATGACGTCCGCACAGAGCGCCACACTTACCGATGAATCCAATATCTGCTGCCATTGTGCCAAGTATACAGATTTAAATCCAAGTATGTTGGTGCAAAAATAGAAGCCGTAGGCATGCCACGCGCTGATGCTAGGATTTCTATATCATTCATGGAAAACAGGTGTGTAATGCATCTCACAAGGAGTGAGTTGGAAGGCATTCAGGTCTGTTTGTGGGTAAGTTGCGTTATTCGGCCTCGTCGTTGGATCCGAATTCGGGCCACAAAGAGCCTCCAGCCTAGTATGACATAGTCTACCGAGTATTCTCCCATGAACGCCAACCGGCCCGACCGGCTCAAGGTTAGTTGTCACGTTTGGAGCCGGATGTTTGAGCTCGCGCGAGCAGAGACGCTAGTTTTCTCCTCGGCCTCCTATGGCAAAGCTGCAAGGTTTCCCATCACGGAAAATCAGGTGTACTTACGAATACGCCAGGATTGCAAGAGCGGTGGAATGTCTGACCCCCGTGATTTAAATGGCCGAAAAAGAAGGCCGGAACAGCTGAACCTGATGGATTTCACTTCCGAGAAAGCTCCCTCGAATAGAGAAAAATACAGTCCCTTGTCGCCTTGGCAGGCTTGAACAATAAACGAAATCCATAATTATCATCTAGATGGTGCTCGAAGAACTCTGTTTGAGACCCTATGCAGAATGAATAGTTTTTCAAACGCCGAAAGGAGGCCTGTGGCCCCTAAACGCTGAAATGACCGAGAATTGGAACTTCAGCGACATTAAGCTTGTTTACGAACCAAGTGACGAGCCCTTGCACTTCTCTTTCTCATGCTATATTTGCTTGCTTTCGTTCTGCATTTTATCCTTTTCTCCCTGATAGTTGCCGATAGACTATTAAGTGAATAAAGAGGCCACGAGAGAAGACCTAGCCCTGTTCACATTCAATCTTGGCGCTTAATAGGGTGGGGAAATGGGCTAATGTTCTATATAGTATGCTAAGTCATTGTCCGGGTTCAGTTCGTACTCTGTGAAGCCCGTGCCCATGAAAGACCAGCGGTTAGCGCTCCAGTATTCAATGTCAAAATCCTCTCCACGTATCTCGCCAATCAGTCTGCGAAACAACAAGGCACTTCCTGCAAATGCGGCAGTGACACGACCATCTGGCACATTCCGTTTAAACCAACTCGTGCAACTATCAGTCCAGATTAGCGTCTTGTGCACTTCGTCTCCATACTTGATAAGCTCATCGACCACTGCGCTTTTGGGGGTAATGGACTTGATGTTTTCAGTGGCAACTTTGCGCAACCACTTCAAGATATAGTCGGCGGTCCAGTTGATCGATTCGAGCAATGAGCCGTGTGCAATGACAGCGTTGGGGCCGAGGAAGATGAAATAGTTGGGCATGTCGCGCGCCGCCACCGAAAGGTACGACTCCGGGTCAATAGCCCACTCCTTGTTCAGATTGACGCCGTTTCGTCCAACCATGTTCCACGAGGGCGTTAGAGAAACGTCAAATCCTGTAGCGCAGGCGATCACGTCGACCTCGAACTCTCGACCATCGGCCGTGATGACGGAATTTTCGGTGGCCTGGACGACCCCGCTGGTCACCAGGTCGACGTTGGGCTTCATGAAAGATTCCAGATAGCCTTCTCCGGGAGTGATGCGACGACAGCCAAGACTCCACTCTGGGATCAGCTTCGCACACAGTTCAGGGTCGTGGTTGAGCTTTTCCGCCATTTGTTTCCGAGCCGCCTCTGTCACTGCCGCGTTTTCCGCCGAACCCTTGGAGAACTGTGACTTACATGTTAGCTATCGTGGTGGGAAGTAGATCTTACTGTTTCACTAACCAATTTGAAAGATGAGTTGATCCCATGAATGATTTTCCGACGATAGTTTCGGTGGAACTCCTTGTCGTCGCGGAATCGAGCCTTGTCCTCTTCCGTGAAGGGCGGGTTTTCGCTGTCATCCTCGCGGCCGAGCAACCTTGCTGGTGAGAGATGAGTGTAGACGTAGTTGGGACTCCTTTGAAAGGCATAAATGGTGGTCCCAGGAAGGCGAGCAAGCGCAGGCACCATTTGAACGCCTGACGATCCGTTTCCAATGACGGCGATCCTCTTGTTGGAATAGTCGTAGTTTTCGTCCCAAGCAGCAGAATGGCATTTGTGGCCCTTGAAGGCACTTAGGCCTTTAACATCCGGCCAACGCCACTTACTAGAAATATTAGAAACACCCCTGACATATGAAATCATCCATGATGAGTCTTACTTTAATACACCTTGACCTGATACCAGAAAGTCGGCGTATTCGACGAATGTCCGGCCGCCGTTTTCGACCGTCACCTGCCATTGTCCGAGATCTTCACGCCAGACAGTTTCTGTAACCTTGTGGTTAAGGTACACATCTCGATCAAGGTTCCACTTCTCGGTCGTTTGTTTCACATAGGCCTGGATGTCCTGTCCCGTTGCGTAGAAATGACTCCAGTCAGGTTTCGGATCAAAGGGAAAGGCCTATTAACACACAGTCAACCCCCCCATCGCGTCGAAAATCCAGAGAAGAGAGAGACGTACATATACATGAGCGGGCACGTCGCACTGTACACCAGGGTAGCGATTCACTAGCCAAGTACCGCCAATGTCACTCCTTGACTCGAAAATCTTGTGCGATATCAGTTGCTGGAACTCTGGATATTGGTGTTGTAGCTTGTGTGCGAAGATCAGGGCCGAGAATCCACACCCGACCGTGATGACCTTGAGCTTCCTGCGGGGGGTGAAGGCTATCCTGGGACATAGAGCTATGTTAGCCTTGCGCGAGGCTGACTCTGCACGGATAGAGTCCTCGCCCATCTCTGATATTGTGGGGGGAATGCCGAATCCCAGAATTGAAGTTTCTCTTGTCAATGATTTGCTGTCACATCTGCACAAGAAGATTGAGCCAATTTAAGTCCCAAAGTTATGTGCCTGAAAGCAGTAGTCCTAGGAATTGCCTTTTATTCAACTTTTCTTTCAGTGCCCCAAATTGGCCCTTCGTTTGCTTTCCCCCTCGATCAGGATCGGATGTACACATCACGCCGCATTTTGGAATCATGTTTCACACCACAATTAGCCAGACCGTGGAGATATGGCTTAGGGCTGCGAGCGCGTCGCCACTTGCTGGTGGCCGATGGGCAACCGGACGGGCCGCGGCGAACAGGTATCGTCACAGAAACTACCTAGGCATGATTGACGGTCCTCGGGGTCTTGACCGTGAAATTTCAGCAGCCGCATGAGAATGGCACTTCATGCCGTTGCATCGAAATTCACGCCCGAGGGGTTTAACAACACGAGATGTCAAGCTGCTCAGAGCATGTCCGGGGATCTGGCCCAAACAAAATGCAGTCCCCAGCGGAGAAGTGAATCTCACCTGCACGCGATCATTAACCTCTAGAAGATGCTCGCGCCAAGGAAACTTTATCCCTGCCTCTCTAATGTTTGGACGGCTTCGAGAGGAACCTGACCGGAACAATGTACGCAAATACAGCTCGGATAGGCCCCAAAGAGAAACGAAATGAACCTCAATATCTTTTTAATGCTATTTCAATGGGAAAGCTGCTACAGCCTTTCCTATTGGCGAGTTCACAACTGCCAGGCATGCAATTTTTCGATGTGGTCACGTTCCAAACAGCAGATTTGCCATTGGTCTTTACCACTGGGTGTTTGTCTTTTGTTTACTAGGGTCGATCTGAGAAGTGACATTAGCTCATGTGCCTCTGAAATATGGGACAACCTTACCTTGGAACGGTGAGTCGCTGCAGCAGCGAGTTTATTCATGTCGTTCAACAATGTCCCCTCCTTGTAGTCGTCGATGTCTATATCAAAAAACCCGTGGGGGGCCATGCTGCGCGGTACGATACCGAACGCACGACCTGAGACACCTTTAATGTATGACTGGGTGGCGTGGCCCCTTAAGGAAGGTATGCTTACCATTGACATTCGGGTCCGACACGATTCTCATGACACAGCGTCCCGCATCGTCGACATCGGCAAACTCGGTCCCCAAAGCATCGAGGAACTGCTTCGCTGTTTCGCTTGTAATGGATGTTCTCACAAACCTGCCAAACCAATCAGTCGCTAAAATCTACCATGAAGTGAGGCAAGAGCTCTGGACCATGGGGCTATATAGTTGGTGCGGGTGCCAAATTCAATTTCTGTCCACCTCAACGACTTCATGATACCTCGAAGGCCGTATTTGGAGGACGTGTACTGTGGCGCACCGGGAAAATCCATGTAGCCTGCGGTGCTTCCTGTGAAGATCAGATTCTGGTCTTGAACTGGACCGCTCGAGCTTTGTTTGCGGAAGTAGAACAAGGCGAGCTTGATTGTGTATAGAGCGCCAACGAGGTTGACGTCGAGGACATTCAGCTTTGGCTGTTCCGGCTCATCAAGGCTGACTGAGTGAGTGGGTTAGCGCGAACCTGTTGTGCAACAAGTTTGGACCCTTCCAGGCTGTTACTCTCACATACGGTCATTGAAGTGGACAGAGTCACCGCCGCTGATGCCTGCGTTGGCGATGACTATATCAATTCTGCCAGCCGGAGATGCCGACAATGTTGCTCTGAACACGGCCAGCTGGTCCGACCAGTGACTAACGTTGCACTTGAAGAACTTGATCCCACTGGACGAGATAAGTATTTCTACTGGTTGGAAAATAGGAGTTCATTCTCACAGCTCCTTCTCCAGAACTTTCCCCCGAGCTTCATCCATGTCTGCGACTGCAACGAATGCTCTGAACCTCGTCAGGTTTCACATCGCTAGCTCCTCATCGACGTTGCTACTTACCCAGCTCTGACGAGATGTCGGACATAAGATTCACCTATTCCGTTGGCGCCTGCGAGAAGTCCCGTTAATCTTGCTGATGCAGAAGCTGCTCGATCAGGTTATAATTCACCTCCAGTGACAATAGCGGTCTTGCCCTTGATGCGACTCTCATCGACAGGAGCGCCGGCATCGACAGGCCCTTTGTAAGTATATGACATGATGAATAGTTTTGATGCGCGGATATATTACGTATTGCAAGTCAATGCCTCAGAAAGGCCAGTCTCAAGTGTTATTATTATGTGGGGTCTGGGGAAATTTATAGACGCTGGGGTTTACAGCGTGGACTCTGGGCTTCCGCTGGGAGCTGCAGATTCCTCGGACCGGAAATCCAATTACACGGCCCAGGAGGGAGCAGAATGGCAAGGAGAAATGGAACATGGCAAATTCAACCTCGGGCGGGTAACTGGCTGCTCAACGGCTGCAATTTTAGATTGTCTTGTTCAGTTGTTCAGCTACCATGGAGAGAGCAGAGAAAACGGCACACATAAAGCTGGTCCGTCATCATCGTATGCTGGGGTGATTACTTGATTTTCCCACCAATGAAGGTGGCGCTACGTCTCTATGGAATGCCTTCTTTGACACAGACCCGCGGTGTAAGATGTAGCGACTGTACACATAGCCAAATGTCATGCTTTTTTGGGATACTCTCCTGATGCCTTTAATTCAGCAAACACTTCGCTTGCAATAATCATAGCATCTCGTCCAGCTGGAACACCACAATAGATCATTGCATGGCGGATAGCTTCACAGACTTTCTCCTCGGAAAATCCATTGTTCACGGCAGCACGGATATGAATGCGCAGCTCGGGACCCCTACCCAGGGCAATCAACATGGCGATATTCATCAGTGACCGCTCCTTCCATTCCAAGCCTGGCCTTGCATAGGCAGCGAAACATGTCTCCCAAATGTACTCCATGCTTGTTTTTGTGAAAATATCGTCCTTCTAATGCACGCCTGTGTTAGTCGTGAGACGTCCTCATGTTCTGGGAGAAAGTTGACTTGGTTGAAGGCTTTTTGGGGTGATATTCGCCTCCTAAGGTCACATACCATATTAGCGAGCACATTGTCAAGGAACTTTTCTCCCAGAAATTCACCGCTGAGCTTTTTGCCGAGAGCTGCTTGTTCTGAAAGTTCGCCAAAGTTTGGTGCCATGTTGAGTAGTTTGCGGGGAAGGCTGCAGACAGTGGGAGACGAATCTGTCCAAGGCTACTTTCCTGTTCAGCAGTTGCTGTACCCTGGGTGATACCTCGAAGGATTTATGTCCCAATAGTACCATGTAATTAGCTCCTTACAAAGCCAAGTGAGATTTTTCAAGGCTTGTCAATTTCGAAATGGGGCTCTTCCTTCACAACCTAAGGTCGATTTGCGAGGCTTGCTGTTACGTAGTTGTCTGGAGCCGGACCCATGAATTAGGCAATTCCGACGGGCCGGGGAATGGGTGAGAGAGCGCAGCTGTAACTCACCCGCGGCATTTCAGTTCTGTATGTCTCGGCGAAGTATAATGCAGTTCTGGAACATGACCAAAAGTTCAAGGATACCATTTGGGCGAGATTGGCGATTGACTTGGCCAGACGTGCTCCCGAGCCCAAGTTATAACTTATACCATCCTAGTGCGTCTACCCTTCAACAAAGATAGAGTGTGATTCCTCGCTCTAGACTGATCATCTAGTTCGTTTCTACACATTCAATCTATTGTAGATCTGAGCGGGCTCTTCTGTCGTATCAACAGTTCAAAACATCCCTATGTGGATGCTGCACGCAACAGTCTGCAACCCATTGAATTTAAGTGAGTTCGACAGAAGCATGTAGTATCGCTCCCGTTCATAGGATAGGTAGGATGCACAATCATCAGATCTGTCGACTCTTCCCAAAGTCACGGATTCATTCCTGTCCACGCCTATAGCTTTCTGCAAGCAGATGTCTATATACTAGCTTTGCTCGGAAAGAGGGTCAAGGAAGTTAATAGCAGCAGCTCAACTGCTCTCCTTAACCACTTGTACTTCTGTTGGTTGTGCTCTGAGCGATCGTCAATGGAAATGGACTGGGCCCTCTTAGAAACACCAATACGAGTTTACAAGCAGCTGGAGTGCACGACTTGGAGACAAGCACGTGGTTGGTGTTTTGAACTTATGCCTCAGTTGCATATCACAATCGACTTCGACCAACATTGTTAAGGCGGCGAGCGAGTCTGCTGCTGGCCTGGTTGCACAAAGACACGACCGACATTACGCCGCCGAGCTCCACACCCCGAACCCTCCAGCTTGCCACGACCTGGAGACCCCGCAATAGGATTGATGGCCTTAAATAACGAGACTCGCCCTACTGTCGCTTGTTCCGAACCCTGACCACAACCACGACTTGATCACACCGTCGCCCGATTGTACGTTCACAATGACGCCCGAAGCCGGAGACCCTCCAGTCCGAACCATCCACCCACCCGGCCAAAGACGGAACGGGATGCTCTGTCCTCCACGTGCACGAGCAGCATGCACTCTTTGCCGAGCACGTAAGATCAGGTGTGATGCGAAAGGCAGTCAACCGTGCACAAATTGCGTCTTCGAAGACGTCCAGTGCATTCTATTGCCGAGGCAGCGTCGCGCCAAAACCCAGAACAGTCACACCAGGCGTCAGACTGCTCTGCCTCCAGGAGGTTCCAGTAACGCTTTAGCCTTATCTGCTGTTCATGGTGCTGACATCGGACCAAATCATAAACAATCGCGGCAACACCCTCCGCCTGACAGCAGCACAGATCACACTCCTCCAAATTCTGATCCCGTTATGGTACAACAGACGTCCGTTAGTCTTGAAAACAAGTCTACTCAAGATAGCGAGGACGATATCGATTGGTATGAGGCTGCAGTGAACAGCGTTCCTCCACAATACTCTCCAAACTCGTCTGCATCTTCAACATTTGATCGGACGTGGCCTACCTCAGGACCATCATCAACTGATTCACCCGTAGCACCGTTTGTTAAGCTCGCCCCCTCTCATATGTCGAGAGCGGATGTGAATTATCTCCATGAGAAAGGAGCTTGTTCTCTTCCCGACGCAGAGCTTCGGGATGCTTTGATCGAGAGTTATATCGACTACATCCATCCATGTTATCCGTTCCTTGACCTGGAATTGTTGGACAAAGCTCTTTGTGGCAACTCAAATCAGCAGTTCAGTCTCCCTGTCCTTCAAGCCATAATGTTTGCGGCGTCATCATGGGTTGATATCAAGTTACTCAGGAGGCGAGGCTTCTTGACCAGGAAGGCTGCGCGGATGACCTTCTATCTGAGAACACGGGTGAGTGTCGCTCCGGTTTGTCAAACGAATTGCCAATTGACGCCCTCCGAGTTGTTGTATGATTTAGATTATGAGAAAGACCCCATGTGCAATATTCAAACCCTCATTCTCCTGTCCCTTTGGTTCGAAGGACCGCCCCAATACAAGGATGGCTGGCACTGGCTGGGCATCGCTCTCTCTCTTGCCAGATCAATTGGGTTGCACCAGGATATCAACAACCAATACCTGACGCCAAAAGCTCGTGCTCTTAGACGGCGCCTGTGGTGGAGTTGCACCATCAGAGACACTTGTGCCTCGATTGCAACGAACCGCGTTCCGCGTATCCGAGACTCCGACTTTCGAGTGGCGCCTCTGACTTTCGATGACTTCGAAATGAATATCCAATCAAGGCCTGACCACCACAATATGAGGGCAAAATCTCTCTATCTGCAGAGGCAACAGGTATCGATATGTATACACACAGCCAGCATCTGCAGAATTATCACCAGAGTGCTTCTCAATGCTTTTCACGAGACACCAACAGGGAATATCGACATTTTGTACTTTCATTCTATCCCTAAACAGCGGGGACCTCACATCGAACCGCGCGAGTTGAGAGGGATCGAAGACCAGTTTCGCCGATGGCTGGAGGGCGCGCCTTCGGAAGTCTTGCACGCCGGCCCGCTGCCTTCGCGATTGGACACGCATGAAAAGGCACTATTCGTGCACCGTGCACTACTCTCGATTCTGTATCACACGGGGTTCGTTCTGATACATCGACAGAGAACCCTTGCATCTGACGGACATGAACCCGACGAACGGAGTACTGCCACTCACGACGAAGGGACACCGCGTGCCATCATTCGAGAAGCTGCCATGCAGGTGAACAAAATCATCATGGACGCTTATGCTGCAGATGTCATGAAGGAAATGCCTCCCACTGTGATAAGCTGCCTCTTCCCAATCAGTCTCAGCCACCTTACCGACATGAGAAGTGAGGACCCCGTGGTGCGCTGTGAAGGACGCCAACGGCTGGAAGAATGCAGACAAGCCATTCGGGAACTTATGGACGGCCATATGGCTGCAGAATGGGCGATTAACTTCTTGAATCATGTTGAGTCTAGGCTTCACTCTGCACTGGATCCGACAAAAAGGGGGTCAGCTGTCGGCTGCGGAAAGGCCCCGTCGAACGGACCAGAAAAGAGGTCCCCGGCTGGATATGATCAGCGTCAGAGATGGGAGCAGCAGATTGGAGCCCAGAGCACCGGAGGTGACTCTGCAATTCACCTTTCGGCTGGCGAAAGGCCAAAGTCCACAGATCTGGGGTCTACAACCTTGGACGAGCAACTTACAACCGAGCACAATCCTTTCTTGTATACCCATACGCCGGCTGGGTTTTCGGACTTGATCTTCCCAGACACGTGGCTGGGCGGGCCAGATGCACAGAACAATGCATCTAGTGGGGCATGGGTTGATAGTGACATTATGTCCATGCCCTTCGCATGAATTGTTACCGAGGAACGGCCGTGGTTCCAATAAAGCAGTGTCTCTATACACTCTAATCTTCAACGCTAGCTTACGCGATCCTGGAACTAGCCACTAGAAGCTGGATTGCCTCCGTGCAAGCTATTTCTTGATTACACTCCACGTATCCCTATTTCATGAATGTGCTGCCTCCTTGGATGTGAGACGGATCTAACAAGCTTCGAGAACAGGCCGAGCTGCATTACCTCGTGTCCACTTTAAATTAATGCCAGACTAATTACTTGGTGCCTGTAGAACAAAGTGGATCTACCGAGTACATGTGTTGCCCGAATACCCGCCGGCCCGCCGGCTCAAGAGATGAGATGGACTTCGAGCTAACGTGCACAGGACACTTTCCATTCTCTGGTCTCAGATCAAGTCAGACGTGGAATTGACGTCCACCAACATTTTCGGACTCTGGGCTTGAAGGTCAACTGAGTGCCAAGCATTTACTGAGCCAATTGACGTTATTGTTGCGTCGCAGGATTGACTACCTAGGTACATTCGATATGGTGAGTAAATGTGATTCCCAGTTGACTAGACATGGGGACTTGTGATATGTTCGATGCACAAATCTCATCACTCTCCGTTCTCTGTTCAAGCCACCGATCGATTGTCCGTAATATGGTAAACTCTCCTCGGTTACTGTGCTAGAGTAGGAGTATGGCTAATTCGTTTATAGCCCTTACGCTGTTCACTTATAATAAGAAGAAACTTGTCTCCAAGACTGAAACCAATGTTATACCGAAGAAAATTTTTCAACAATTAGCCATACCTTTGGTCCCACAAACCCTCCAGCAACGCGACATGTCGAGGGTCAAAGAGAATAGGTGTTGGAAAACTCTCTAAGATGAGCTCAAGTGTCTCGCTGCCCCGCGGTCCGGGGCCCCAAGTCTGGAGATATGAGACCAGGTCTTTATGGAATCCATGGCTCCGGCTCACTTATTCCCTCGTGGAATCCCGTTGAACTCATACCATGGTCAAGGTTGCGACCGTCGGCAATACTGGTCCTACAACTTCCGGAAATGGCTGGATCGAGACCGCAATAGATGCCTCTGAGCTCTTCGTATCCTCATGCTTCCTTAAACCTTTCGCCCGAGAGACCCATGCTCTTAGCAGCCGAGCAAGTCCAGCAAAGTCCCCGCCCCCGATGTGGTATTAATAGTGAAGAAATTCTTTTTCCTGCATCTTCGACCGCGGATAGCATTACCATCAGTCTCCCCTGGAGTTCCCAACAAGACATCTTCTATTTCGGTTAGATTGATTTCCTTCTGCCACTCTAACCCGGGCACAATGGGGGTTCATCCTCATCAACGTCAGTTCAAGCCGATCAACGCATTTATTATCGTGGTCATGGCTCTTGGATCTGTGGCATATGGCTATTCAGCCAGCATCATAGCGACCACGCTGGCCCAACCCTCTTTCTACACATACTTCAATCTTGCGTCCCACTCCAATGAGAACGACATCATCGGATTGATGAATTCACTCTACCAAGCTGGCGGGTTTCTAGGGACTTTTACCGTCGCGTTCTCTGCGGATCGCTGGGGTCGACGCGCCGGGATCGCCATCCCGACAACCCTGGTGTTGGTCATGGGTGCCTTGCTTGCCGGAAGCGTCAACCTCGCCATGTTCATTGCCTGTCGGTTCTGGGCTGGCTGGGGCGCCTATATGCTAGTTTCTGCTGTTCCAGTCTGGATGAACGAGGTTGTCCCCGCGCACGGTCGCGGGGCTCTGGTTGCAGTCCATGGAGCATCCCTGCTTTTGGGATACTGTCTGGCCGCTTGGGTGGGCTTTGGTTTCTGGCATATTTCAGCTACCAACAACTTGCAATGGCGTGGGCCGACGCTCCTTCAGTGTCTTCCCGCGGCAATTCTCCTGCCCTGCCTGTATTGGTTGCCAGAAAGCCCTCGGTGGTTGGTCATCCAAGGTCGAGACGAGGAAGCGAGACGTATCCTCCATAAACTTCATGCACCCGACGAAGCCGATCACGAGCTTATCCAGATCAAGGCGCAAGCTGAGACCGAGGACCGCCTCGACAGCTCCTACTGGGCTCTGTTCACGAAGCCAAGTTATCGTAAACGAATGATCTTGGCGTTCACCACCACTGTCTCGATCCAGTTCTGCGGTCCAATCCTGATCAATAACTACGGCCCAACTATCTACAAAAGCCTAGGGTTTAGTGCCAGCAAGCAACTTCTGTATGAGTGCGGATGGCTGACCCTTGCCTTTGGTGGGGGCCTTATTTCACTTTATGTGGTGGACAGCATGCCCCGTCCAGTCCTCTTCGCAGGCGGTATCACTGGGGCTCAGGTGTGTCTGTGCATCGAAGCGGCGCTGGTCGCCACATACGCCACCTCTCCTGAATCCCTAGCCCACCCTAACGAGTCTGCCTTGAAAGCCGCGGTTGCAATGTTCTACGTAAGTTGGTTCATACCATTTCCGAAAGCCAGCCCAGAGCTTGCCCAGAGCCTTTGCGAGACGCCTGCGGTTTGTTCTGACACGCACATTTTCTGACATGACTTGCAGGTCTACATTGTCATCTTCGAATCAACATTGGATAGTGGCCAGTTTGTCTACCTTGGAGAGCTGTTCCCAACTCATCTTCGAGCCAAGGGCATCAGCTTCGGCATGGCCGGCGTCAATCTGATCAACATCGTCTGGCTCCAAGTAGCACCGACCGCCTTTTCAACCATTGGCTGGAAATTCTACCTTGTCCTCATCATCCCGGGTATGGCTTTCGCCGTGTTGATCTTCTTTTGGTTCCCCAATACGCGTGGGGTGCACCTTGAGGAAGTTGCGGAACTGTTTGGTGACGAAGTCAACCACTCCGTCGCACAAGTTGTTTATCATGAAAAAGAAGAATCTAAGGGAGAGGACGGCCATCTGAATGAGCGGGAGCCAAGTGTGCTGGGAGCACAGAAACTCTTCAGTCACCACGAAGAAGTGAATTCTGTGTGATTTGTCGACAATTCTTTCTCTGCAGAGGAGTAGCCAAAGTTTGTCTTAGAGATCCTTCGCAATGTGGAACTCAACCATGGCAATTCTCTTAGCGTAACAGATCGTGACAGTTGCAGCCTATATACAGCAAGCATGCAAATGCAACTTAGTCTCACCGTGTAACGTCTCCGAAAACCCGTGGCCTGGCGTTGTCGAGATCCCAGCTGAAGTAGATACCCATGCACTGGATGGTAGAAGCGGGTGGAAAAAGGATCCGCGTGGGACAAACCCTTGAGAACTCAGATGCATACCCGATCCTTCTGCGTTCATAGGCCGGTGAGCAAGCGATATTATAAAGGAAATGTGTCGCTACCCCCTAGCAGGGGAGAAGTCGGTCCAGAGTCATTGCTTTTATTTACCAACAGGCTATTCTCCGACCCGCCCTGGGCCTTTTTGGAAGAGCAATTTGAGCGAAATCAGGCAGAGTGTAGGTAGGCATGGATACGTAGCATTTCGTCAAGACATCCAGTAACTTCAAACCTTCGAAAGGAGCATTGCCCTCGCTGAGAACTGACGGGGGAAATCAGGGAGGTGCCACGTGTTGAACTAACAAGGTCTGATCCCTAATACAAGACATTGTGGATGGCTAAGCGGTTTTCATTGAGGGGTGTGCCTGGTCCGGGCCTTTGTCCGATTGCTACGATAAGAAGGTCAGTGCAAAAGAGCACAATGGGTGACCTAAAGAAGCAGGTCACGATAAACCTATTCTTCTTTAGTCGTGCCAATGGCGTGGATGCTGCTCGCATCTGATGCTTGAAGAGCGGACGTTCATTTCCCCCTTGCATGGAGGTGGCAAAACCCGGGGGAGGGTCTTGAAAGCGGAGAAGGGCCCACTTCCTTAGACCCCCCTGACGAAGCTGATGGCGTTACGCGAGTGCTCTCTCCGTATTCTAGGTATATTGCAATAACAGCGAGCAAAGCGCCTGACGTCTTGTATGCAGAAGTACTACGCTCCCCAAAGTAGGATCAATATCATCGGACATCGGCCACTGCATCTGGGGTTGTCGCCTGGAACGTCGAATATGAAAGCAGTCCGAGTGCGTATCCGATCGCCCGCGGCGTCTGCGTGTGGTCCAATTGATCACCTAGAACTCCACATCGTCCTCCATGCACAAGGCGAAGGCATTGCTCCTGTGAAGCAAGTACTTATCTGAATTGGAGACTGCTATATCCTGAGGACATATGCCTCAGACCCGTTGAGGCGAGCTCCGTGACTAGCTGCTAAACAGCTGGTGTATCAGGAGATCAGGACAGTCTCAATGACGGTACATTGCGGCAGTCCACGGCGTGGACACGGACACCCTTGAACACGACCAGATCTTGCTATTGGTGAGTCGGCTCTGAACACCAGCGCGATCGGGAAGCGGAAAGGGGAACAGGTTTCGGGAGAATTCTTTTCAGGCATTAATTGCCTCCTGTTGTCAATTTGGGCGGAGCGAATCATAGTGAATGGACTCAAAGTTCAACCAGCTGGAGGGCGTCTCGAAGCCCCGAATCAAGGATGATTGAACAATAGGATCCAGTCATGTTTTGCCGGGTACTCAATAACAGAATTACTTCTGGAAGTAGGTAAACCAGGTTGAAAGTACCGATATTTAGTAAAGAAAACAGACTCCGCACCAGCCACCCCACTAATTGAAGTAAATGGGTCCTGGACTGCACAGGGCAATTCCTCGTGGTCGCTCGGTCCAGAGAGGGGTCTGTCGGGCTCTCGATGGGTGTACTTTTCCGATCCGCAGAGAAAGACGCAGCATGTATTATTCCCGGTTGCCGCGAGCCATCGAGACAGCGGTTGGGTTCTCTACCGAGAAAATGTGGAAGACGCAGCTAAAAAGCACGTGGAGCTGGTACCTCGCAACGAGATACGCGGATCCGGTTGGTTCCACGTTCACATAATCATGCCGCAACAGAGATGAAACCCGATGCATCTTTGAGCGCTCGGTAGTCGAAACACCTTGCCATCCATGCGAGTACGAGTACCTCGTAATTATGATTGACTGATCTGGTTGTTGGCTAGTTTCTCATGTGTCGATCCTGTCAGCGACTGGTTGTGGACCCTAGACGCTTCGATCAAAACTAGCAGCACTGGAATGGTACGAATAAGAGTTGTTGTCGCTCCCGCACTTCATGGTTGACTCAATCGGACCCACGCTCTGTTCCCCGGACGAAACGCATTTCTTTGGATTATCGCTGTCGGCAGCTTCTCGAGGGATCGAGTCCTCAAAATTCTTTTATCGTGGGCCTGGAAATAATTGTTCGTATCAGTCCGTCACGCAATGCCAGGCTCACTGCAGAAGTTGAACACGATGATCCTGGCACAGTCTCACGCCAGAGATTAGAGTGCTCGGAGCCGGATTTCCTGCAAGGGCAGCGGTGGTTGAAGGGCCATGTCGTCGACTCGTCAGATCCATCGAAGCATGCTAGCGGCATAAGTCGGATTCCTATTGTGGTAACTACAATGGTGGATCTGATTAGTGGGAATTCACCGATCAGGCCAACTATGGCGTTTGCACAAAGTCGGCCAGTTTCTCACGATTGCTCGCCGAGGATTCTAGACTCCAGGGATACTGAGCTTCTTCAGTTACTGGCGTGCTACTGTGCTGGGAGACGTGTTCTGACTATTCTCCAGCTACTCGTACCTGACTCTATCATCCCTTCCGCAAATATAAGCAACCGCACGCGCGTCGAGTCTCCTTTTGATAATGCCTGGAGAAGCTGATGTGACCTTGGCGCTGATGAGTCTCGGAAAGCATTAGGAAGGTGACCCCAAGGCCGCGCACGGGGCGGACGTGTTATGGGCAACGGGATCCAAGCGACGAATATCGAGATCAATAGGCCGACACATCACTCTAATCGCAACAGCGGTAACGCTTTCTAAGTATCGTGTGACTTCTACTCCGAGTGGGCAAGAAGTGACTCATAAGCTAATGGGCTTGCCGTATGCGAGTTCTCGTTTATCTGCCTATCATTGCCGGGTTGATTCTCTCCTTTTGCGGCAAAGCGTAAGACACCATCGATCCCATTTCGGTCAAGCGACGACGCACCCTATCAGCTGCATTGGCGATTTCCTGTTTCCAAAGTACTCCGGACCTCGGCTTACTTGGATCGCTCAGATCTTATGCCGTTTTCAATCGGGAAGAGCGACAGGTTTGACCCGCAGGCTGTAAGGGATATTGTGGGAAATACCCGGTACCCGGTGCAAGCTCATCACTACCACGTGGATATTGGTACTTGTTGTTCTCAAGAAGTCGGGTGTCTAATCTTTCGGCGAAGTGTTTGGTGGCACAGCAGAGTCAACGGCGAAGGCTGCAGATTCCACGTCGCATTGGGGCTCATTTCTCACAGTGCGTCTTCGCTCACCGGGGTCTATGGATACGAAACCCAGACGTAAGACCCTGCCGCATGGGAACGTGAGATGGGAGACATCGCTCCCAAAAAGGGCAAGGAGAATCGCATTCCATCTCGACCACGAGCCCGCCATCATGCGCCTTCGGTGAGGCGGCCAAAGGTCTCGGTCACATTCATCAATTGCGACAACAAGTCATGGCGATCGACGGGACATCAGTCGCAAGTAGCCCTTTCCCACGCAGCTCTAGTGTCGCATAGCCGTCGGAAAACCCATGGCTTCGGACAAACGAACCCCCTTCCAACCAAGCACAACTCGACATGGGTACCGGACTCGACCTCAAAAACTGCAGATGAGGGGGATAATGATGACGAAGTTGCTCTCGCCAGCGCCGACAAGAAATGGAAAGTCTGGACACCGCAGAGCGTCCGCCAACGACACGAGAGACGCACACACAACAAGGGGGAACACAAGTCGGCCGATCTTTTCGAGACGGCATTTGTTGTCGCTTGCAGGGTGCTGGGTAGCAGCGACCCTTTCGATGTAGCAGCGCTCCCTCTATCGCCTCGAGATTCTCACCTAATCCAACTTGCACACTCGTTCGGTCTCTTCCTAGGCGGCTCGGCCACTCCAGACAAGCTCGTTGCGCGGGACATAGCGGACAGCTGGGTCTCGGATTTCCAGTTGTCCTTGTCTAATAAATCTTTGCTCCATGCCCTCATCGCCCTAGGGGCCTCGATTTGCGCCGGGGGCAGCAGCGAAAAAAACGACTTCTACCTTGCGTACGCCGCCAAGCACAAATTAGTCGCCATCTCCAGCCTCCGCGATATTTCGACGGAGCGGCTCCGGAGTTATCGTACCCTGATTCTGATCCGGCTGCTAGTGGCGTGCGAGTTCTACAATGAAGACATCGCGGCCGCGGATGTGCACCAGAAAGCGCTGCACCACCTCTTTGGCGACATGACGAAAGCCAGCGGTATCTCCCACTTATCCACGGGCGCAAGCGACATCTGGACGGCGGGGATTCGGGGCCATCGAACCCGGGCCAGAGAAGGAGATCATGATCCTGGTCCCTGGCGTCAATGTTTCTCCGCTGCTGCGTTCAGGCTGGTGAGAGAATACGCATCGGCCTCCGATTCTATTCTACTGGACTCCGACTCAATCGATAGCTCACTCCGCTTCAACGTCAAGATCTTAGCGATCGTCCAAAGAATCAGAGACATTACACTCATCAATGATGCTGCCAAACAGTCTCGTTGGAATGCAGAGAACCGTGACGTGGAGCATGAAATCAAGCAGTGGCTGCATTTCTACCGTGTCGAGACTTCGAAGCTTCTAAACAATGTAGCCGTGGATCACGCAGAGGTGTTGTCCACGACAAACCTGGCCTCGGGCTTTGCCGGATATCATGCGCTGAGCTGCGCCATGGCGCTTGCTCTACGGTGCCAGTGGCTGCTCATTAGCCAAATCAGTTCTGTCGCACCAATTCAGCTTCGGTACTGGGACATGAATGCGAATGCGACACAGGAAAGGCTTCTCAAGGCCATCCAAATCTGCGAGAAAGGCTCGATTAAACAAGAACAAGAGAACGTCTGGTTCTACGTCCTGTTCGTGCACGCCATCTTCTCGCAATACCTGATGCAAATCAATACGTTCGTGGCCGTGAAAGAGAAAGGGTCTCCCGCGGCGGCTACCTACGGCGACGCGCGCGGCGAGGCCCTCGAAAGACTCAAGCGGCAGAAGCTGCGCCGCGGACTCCGCGGAGTGTCGGAAACGAAGGAAATACTCGCTGGATTCTGGCCTCACAAGTGCTACACCGATGCCCGCTTCAGCGAGGTTTGGCAGGTCTTGAGCTAGAGGTGAGACCGGACGGGAGTGATCAGAGGCCAAAAGGGGCGACGCGGAAAGTTCTTATTTCCTGCGGAGCAACCTTTAGGAAGGGGGCAGCTGACCTTTTTCTCGTCAGCATCCGAGGAAATGAATAATCAGCAGATTTTCCAAGCACGATTCCCCGTTTTTTCAAAAAGCAGGGATTTTAAGAGTCCGCCTTTGTCCATGATGATTGCAATGATGATTGCAATCGCTGATAACAGCGCGGACTTACTTTTATGCTGCCACGTGGCGTGCTACCCTACGAGTATGCTGCACGACTTCCTCATTTGGTGGTCTACCCAAAGTCGTCTTTTTTCAGCTGTTGCTCTTGTGAGACTTCTCAATGTGAGGCCCACTTCTCTCTGTGACTCTTGCACCCCATGAGTCCAGTATAGATTGATGTCCCCAACGGAGATCACTGCTCAAGCGAGAGCCGACGGACGCGGGTTCGTGATTCGCTTGACAGGTCCACAACCATCTACAAGGCTACTGTCGAAAAGGGGGAGGCGAAGGAGAGGGGTTCGGCCGTGAGCTGTGAAGCGGTATTAATATTAACCGTCTCGCCGTCTATAACCGAGGTGGTGAACGAATGAACTAATTTCGAGGACGACCTTGGAATGAGAATCTCTGAGAAATGAGCGGGACATATTTATGGAGGTTTTTCGATCTTACGTCTATGGACCATATACCCCAACCGATGGCAAGAAACCCTCTGGTTGATGAAACTACCCAAGGAGTCTGGATAGTCTCTAGTATCTCCACACTATGATCGGGCTGTGCTAAGCTTTTTTTGGTTCATGGCAGCCCAACTCGCACATCAGAATGCTCGTTGAGTCCCCAGGCCTGGGAGCTGGAGTCGTGGACAGTGGCGCGTCTCATGTCGCGTCGGTACTTGCGCAGGAACGGCCCGCCCACGGCTCGGTGCATGGTGCACGTATTGTCCCAGATGACCAAGTCCCCCGGAGTCTGCCACTCGATCTCGACCGTGTACTTGGGCTGGGTGGCGTGCTTGTAGAGCCGATCGAACAGCGCCTGCGATTGCTCCGCCTCCAGCCCTTCCAGGTGATGGGCGTGAGAGGCAATGTACAGGTTCATCCGGCCGGAGCTCTCGTGCTTCTGGACCAGGTAATGCCGCCCCATCGGGTAGTCGAGAGGGTCCAGGTCCTTGAAGAATTCCGGCGCCGCGAGCTTGCGGGAGTGGTGCGTCGAGTGCGCGGCCACGTAGTTGTTGCGGTGCAGCGTCTCTTTCAGGTCTGCCGGCAGGTCGTCATACGCGGTCCTCGTGTCAGCGAAGGCTGTGTGTCCGCCCATTCCTGGCGGCGGCAGCTCGTGCGCTAGCAACAGCGAATATCCCGCCCGTCGGGGGTTGAAGCTGGAGTCGACGTGGAACAAATCATTGCCCTGCGTTGGTTCAGACGAGGTATGTCAGTTGTCCTGTCGGAATCGGGAGTGGCCAAGGAGAGAAATTCGGAGGGCCATTCCACGGATGCTTTTGTAGAGAGTCTTACCTTGTTCGCCTGGCCTCTTGCGCTTTCGGGATCGAGGATCGTGCCGTCCACCTCGACGTTGCTGACATCAAAGAGCTCGTCATATCGCAGTCTGTTCTTGCGACCGGCCGAGATGTACGGTTTGACGTCGTCGAGTTCTCCGAATCGACGGGCGAATGCCAAGTGCGTCTCGTCCGTCAGGTTGGTGCTGCGGAAGACCACGACCCCGTACTTAATGGACGAGTCCGTTAGCAATCTCAGAGCCGACAATCGTGCCTCTGTGGAATGGCGAACTCATGGTTTGCTTACTTTGGTTACGGCGCGAAGGATTTCATCGAAGGTCTCGTCCGACAGTGGCTGAGAGAAGTCTACACCGCTGATTTGTGCCGCAAAAGTTGGATGAAGCTTCTTCACCGTGATGTTGTGGAAGCCGGACTCGGGCTGTGCAATAACACCAGGCATGGTTGAGAAATGACGAAAGCGTACTGGGACAAGACGGTATGTCGTTTATTCTTGATCGAAGAAGCGAAAGATCGTTGAGTGGTAAGCCGGTGAGTGTATGTTGCAAATATCTTTTCTTATCATGTCCAGTTTACATTTATATTTCTGATATTCTCTCAAGACACAGGTATTCAGCCTCTATATTCGGGAGAAAGAGGAGTTGCGCCGGTAGAATGTCCCTCATTTGTCTCTTTCTCCATCTATAGCCGATGGAGTCCAGGGTCACCTCCTTGTGTGGAGAAGTACAGGATGAGATCTGGCCCGAGCAAATGCTGAAAACGGGAAACCAAAGAAGGGGATCAAATACTTACAGTCTCAACCCGATACGCCCGACCGAGATCCAGTCGTCTGTAGACGGAACCTTGAAGGGCACTTTGAAGTAAGTGTCCCGGGAATAGTCTTGATTTTCAGTAGGATTCTCCGTCAGCCGCCTGAGGAGTCGCCGTCGGCTATAGATGGCACACGGCGTTGGAAACCACTGGGGCGACTGAGACTCGGGAATTGACTTCTGCGACCTGGGTGAGATTCTGGAGCCCCGTGGAGAATTCGCCCCCATGATACCAGAGCGGTATAAGAACCTGGAGTCGGCATGAGATGTCTGGGGTCTCGAACCCTCCTAAGTGTTCCAGACACTCCTCGCAAAAGTACTCTCCCAGGCAATTATATTTGGCGAAGTCTTGGTGACTTCGTCTCGTACAAACCAAAGATGTGGTTCAGCTTCAAAAGCCGGCGCGTCTACCTTCTCGCGACTGTGGCATATATGGGATCATTCTTGTTCGGTTCGTCGAGGCGACCTCTGTACCTTGTGATATGAGCACTGAAGATTGGCAGGCTACGATGTCGGAGTCATGGGCAGCGTGCTGGCCTTCGACAGCTTCAAGGAAGACTTCGGCCTTCCCACGAACTCTTCAGGCTTCGCAAGCGCAAAGGCTGCAGAGATCAGTTCGAACGTCGTCTCTCTGCTGATCGCGGGGTGCTTCTTTGGAGCCCTTGCGGCTGCCTTTCTGAATGAGAAGTTCGGAAGGCGCTTCTCCCTCATGGGCTTTGCTGTTGTTTTTCTCCTCGGCGCAGCTCTGCAGACAGGCTCACCGCGCCAGCTGAGTTACATATATGCGGGTAGGGTGATTGCGGGACTCGGCGTTGGAAGCATGAGCTCTATCACTCCTGTCTTCGTGGCAGAGAACTCACCGGCCCGAGTCAGAGGGCGCATCACCGGCCTGTTCCAGGAGTTTTTGGTGCTCGGCACGACATTGTCATATTGGTTGGACTATGGAGTCGCCAAAAACATTCCAAAGTCTTCCAAACAGTGGCGAATTCCATTGGGAGTGCAGTTGATTCCTGGAGGGATCCTCCTGGTGGGAATGCTCTTCCTCAGAGAATCTCCACGATGGCTAGCCAAACAAGGCCGAGATCAGGAGGCAGTCGCTGCGCTTGCCCACATTCGATGCGACTCTCCTGATGACGTGGAGGTGATGAGCGAGTTTGCGGAGATCAAGGCATCCATTGCTGAGGAGGAAGAGTTGAGCGAAGGGGTGACATGGAAAGAATGCCTGCAACCGAACATGCGCAAGCGGTTCATGATCATCTTCTTCCTCATGCTCTGTCAGCAGTTCACTGGGACAAATTCCATCGGATATTTTGCGCCACAGATCTTCCAGACGGTGGGATTGTCCGGCACAGACTCTTCGCTGTTTGCCACAGGTGTGTACGGTGTTGTCAAAGTCTTCGCGACGGGACTATTTCTGTGGTGGATCACCGACAGGATCGGCAGAAAGTGGCCTCTCGTAGTTGGAGGAATTTGGATGTGAGCCGCTGTTCCTTTTGCAAGAGCAGACAACTCGCTGACTGGCAATTAGGGCGACCATGATGTTCATCCTCGGGGCGATACTGGCGACTCATCCGCCGAATCAAGCTCATGGCGTTTCACATGCGTCCATTGCCATGGTGGTGATGATCTACCTTTATGTGATAGGATATTCTTTATCCTGGGGACCAGGGTAAGCGCTTCCACCACTCAGTATCCCGCGCAAGCAGTCACTTACCCTGTTCATCAGTCCATGGATCTATGTGGGAGAAATATTTCCCACCCGTACTCGAGCTTATGGCGTTGCACTTGGTGGTGAGTTGAAGCAATTTTCGAGTCCTGAAAGACTGAGATCTGACTTTGATTAGCGGCAACGCAGTGGCTCTTCAATTTTGTCATTTCCAAGATTACGCCCGCTGCAATCCACAACCTTGGCTGGAAAACCTTCATCATGTACGGTGTCTTTTGCTTGGGTAATGCTGCATTTGCCTTCGTATTCATCAGGGAAACGAAGGGTCGTACCTTGGAAGAAATAAACGGAATATTTGGTGCAGTCGACCAGGTTCGGCGCCCTGACGACTTCGAGTGTATCGGCGTCGAGGACAAAGAAGGCACCGAGATGAACGAGTACAAATCCTTTGCAAATGTCCGAGCAAAAGGTGACTAGGCACCTGGGTAGTTTTGTCGTTGGTTATTGGGAGGAATTAGGCTTGCGTGGGAAAGCCTATAATCCCTGAATGTACCCCTGAACGCCAGAGTATTAGACCTGACAGAAAAAACCCTTCCGCCCTAACTAGGTAGTTCTCCTGCAACAGTTCTCACTACCCAGATGATAGACTCAAATGGCTGAATATGACTTGAAATGCCATAAAAGACGTCGCATGTTGACGACACTGCAACAGAGATCTCGACCTCCAACATACACAAAGTATTTTGCTGCGAGTCGTGTTTATCCTTCGAGCTTAGGTCTCTTCCAGCAGCAGCACGCCTTTCATTGGATCCTCGGAAAAGGCAGATTGGCAGCCTGCAGCTGGGAACAGCAATGGAAGGTTCGCCATCTATAGCCGAGAATTGACTCCAGCCGACTGTAGCCGACTAGTTGCTGCTCCTCTCCCTCGAGGTTTCCTTTTCCACAAACTCCCTAGTCCATGCAATAATAGCCACAAATATGATGAGAACTGTGGATTCTATTGCAGGTGCTCCTGGACGAACATGACTACCGGAACTGGAAAGCGCATCTATCGCGCATGTGAACGCTGTCGGGGAAGGAAGACGAGATGTGATCTGTATGGGCTCCGCCGTACATGGCTTCTATTATGCTGACACCGTCACAGCAATAGCGTGGGCGAGGTAGGCAAGCCACCGTGTCTCGAATGCTATCGTGTCGGCTATGATTGTACGCTTGCTGCCTCGCGGCGAGGGGGCGACTACAGCCTACACAGAACTCGTCGGACACGCACAGATCGACTGAAGAGCGCCTCCTACAACATTGTCGGCAGTCCTGCCCAGCAAGACGAAGAGACAACTGCAGCCCCGTCTGGCGCTAGGGAAACTGCCAGGCCCACCGCTTCTAGTAATCTAGAAGAAGAGCCGATCTATGCGGAATTGAGAAACCCGTCGGACGCACTCCAGATCCTCGCCCAAGCAAGATCTCACAGCTGTGAGGAGAATGATGAATACGAACAGCAATGTCCTAACCTTTCTTCACCTCTCGATGGTCTGAGGAGCAACGGCGCACACTCTCCCAATGCCAATGTGCAAGAGATTCGTCCAACTGTTGAACACCAAATGCAAAGGCAACCAAGGGCCGGAACCAGCATAGAGGTTTACAGACTTGTGGAAAGAGGAGTTTTGGGCCCTGGGGATATCAAAGAGCTTATCAACCTGTAAGACACCTAGACTCTCTCGCTTTGCCAGAGCTAATGCCACCTAGGTACGCTGAGAGTTACCATCCCTTTCTCCCGATCGCGCCCAAATATATGCTACAGCCGCTGAACATCAATGACGTGGCCACGAACGAGCCATTTCTCCTCACCGTCATCCTGACCATTGCGTCTAGATTCGATCCTGCGTGGGAGACAGTCCATCAGCACTGTTGGACTTACACGAAGGAGTTGCTTCTTGATATTCTGCTCGCGTTACCGCAGACTCATCATGTCAGTTCGGTCGAGGGTCTGTTACTGCTCGCGGACTGGCTGCCCGATATTCAGCTAGGCTATCCTTCCAGCCATCACTCGACAGGAGGGATCTTCACGGAAGACGGCACCGCCTGGTCTCTGGTGGGCCAAGCAGTAAGACACGCCTATCTGCTCCGCCTAGACAGGACGTCGTTTCGTGAAGACTTTGTTGGTCAAACAAAGGAGCAAATCGATCGCAAGCGTCTTGCTTGGATCTGTATGTTGTTATACACCAACCTCTAGAAAGAATCTCCATTGGATAACTGAAGAACAGATGTCTACCTGGCAGACCGTCAAATATCCGTGCGAATGGGCCAATCGTTTTGGTCTAGAGGCCCTTCGCTGTCCACGAGATTTACCGCAAACGACTTCCCGAGTCTCCTGCCTTCTTCCAACGACGAAGACTATGCCTCTATGCTTCAAGCCACTATCGAACTCACACAGCTCCTGCACAACTCGCACGATATCCTGTACTCTTCACGAGCACGAACTCTCGGAATGACCCTAACAGGCGACTACAGCCGCTATCTCGATGACCTGCTCAAGGCTCTGCTGATGTGGCATTCCACGTGGAACGAATCTCGTTTGAGCTCCAGGCTCCGTTGCACGCTGTCCCTCATGTATGAGTACTTGTGTCTCTACGTCAATGCATTCTCCTTCCAGGCCATCGTTACGAGAGCGTCTACTTTGGGTAGAGGCTCTACTGCAGAGCTACCACGCACGAAAAGTCGAAGACGCAACCTCTTTCCTCGCGGAGTCATGGCTTCACCGGACGGTCGCTACGTGTTTGAGGCTATCAGGGCCGCGAAGATGATGTTGAAAATCGTCGGTGAATGCGAACCTGCCAGCTGCCTGAGATATCTGCCTACACGATACTACTTGTCTGTCAACACCCTTTGCCTTGGCGTTCCCCCATCTTTCCTCTCGCACTGCATCAGTCAGATCCAACTAATCTTGTCGTAGGTATGGCATCTACTCTGGTGTCTTCCTTTACAAGGCGGAAATCTTTGGCGCACTGACGTCCAGCAACGAACAGCTTGAGGTGAAGGCCTTGGTGAGGAGGTTCATCCTAGCATTACGGACGGCAGCTTTAAGTGAACGCCATATCGCATGGCGGTACAGTGAGTCGATCAGGGGGCTATGGTTTCCCACTGCATCCAAGGTCAGGGCAGCCAATGCGATGAGCAGTAACAAGCTAGCACAAGAATACGACCAGGTCTCTCAGCGTGAATCCCCGTCACCACGAAATGCCACCTCAGAGGTCGCTATGGAACGTCCAGAGCCTGAGGAGCTTTGCCACTACCACAGTGACAAGGATTTCCGGGCCCCAACAGACCATGGCTCATCTCGAGAGCAGCAATCGAACACTCGCTCCTACCCTGATGACCTTTCCCGTGAGGCACCTCAGCCGGATCTTGACTCGATCCCTGTCCTCGACCCATCAAGGATGCTTTTGCAGGACAGTTTCTTCTCTCCGGTGTCCGCTCTTGGCTTTGCCGATCATAGCGACGCGTTTCTAGAGTCTGTCTTTGGGCCCAACGAGATGAATATTATTCCCCCTTTCACCGATAATTTGCCAATATGGTGACTGCAAAAGTTCTTCGATAACTTCCAAAGCAGCCTTCTACCATGATTGTTCTTCCTTGGGCACCTCAGGAAAGCAAAGTGACGTCAGCAACTTCACTCACTACTCACCTACCTCTCACCTGCACCTTCTTTTCCGACTGTCACCACAACCTTCGTCTTGCCAATTCTGTCATGATGCCTGAAAATTCCGACTGGCTTCCGTTGTATGTACTGCCGATCTGTATCACGTCTACATAACTCATACTTCCAGGGTCTATCTGAGCGGTGCCTTCTCAGACTTGACGATCACTTGCGCAACTGAAAGATTTCAGGTGCATAAAGTCGTTGTCTGCTCTCAATCATCATTCTTCAACACAGCATGCAGCAAGCCGTGGGCGGTATGTACTTGTACTCGTCTCTGATCGAATGGGACTGGTTCCTGAATCTAACTGAACGAGTAGGAGTCTGAACACCCCACGGTCGACCTGGCAGAAGACAACGTTGAGATTGTGAAAAGAATGATCGAATTCTGTTATCGAACCGACTATGCAGATTTCGAAGTTGAGAAATTCACACGACACGCCGAAGTCTACGCGATCGCGGTCAAGTACGACATTGCGAAGCTCCGTAAGAAGGCGATGGAAAGTTCTGGGAAGCAAACAACAAGTGCTGGGACCCTGAGGCCTTCTTGAAGTCCATCCCGGCCGTCTATTCCAACACTCCCGAACAAGCCCGCGGACTGCGTACTGTGGCTGGACGTTGTGCACGTATCCATTTCGATAATCTAGCCAAAGGCAACGGCATCGAGGGCCTCTGGCGCGAAACCTGTATATCCGTCCCATCATTTGCGTTTGACCTGCTCCAATCTTTCCAGAGCAGCCCTATATCGGGTCACTGCTCTGTGTGTGGACCTGCCCAGGCCCTGGAAGCTCTTCAGCCACGTTGCCTAAAATGCAGAATGGGGGTTGCATCCATGCAGGCACCGAGGTAGGCCACGATGCCGCACCGTGCCGAGGAATACACAGACGATGAACGGTGGGACAGGGCCATTCTAGAAGGGGTTCAAAATCATCGCCCGGATCGAGATGAACCTGTCTGAGCCTGATGTCCTTCTCCAATGACGACTATTGGTCATGCAGCCGAACTCTCTCCCGCTAGTCTGACCAGATGCCACACCCTTCTTACCTTCCGACTCCTCGCCCGCCATGGAGAATCTTCCGCGGTCGTTCAAGCACAGAATGACAGCGATCTGGGTGTGGCTGAAATCACGCAGATCTGTGTACCCATTGATGGAAAAGAGCAGGGGACTGGGGAGAAAGCTGCAAGGGATCTTTCTTCAGTGATATTAAAGGTTGGGTGAACAAGGGTATACATTGCACAGAGATGCACTGCAACACATGTGGAAAGGCTCATTGTTGCAACGGAATATCAACAACAGACTGTCCAGCGCTTACTAGCTCCACCCAGACATAGCCCGCTCTTCAGAATACCAGCGTCCTTTCCTCCAAGCGAACCGTTCCAAGACACGTCGAGTCCGCTCCCATGTTTCATGCCAAGTGTCCACTCCTAGAGATGCTTGGGGGTTCGCCTCATTGTCCCGGCTAATTGAATTTCTTGCAGCTCCGCCCTCAAGCACTCTATTACCCTCCTCCAAGATCGTATCCAAATGCGCATCGCCCCGTCCTCGTAATGCGCATTCGATGGCTGATCCGACAATTTGAGCTCGCTTGCGGCTCCACCAGCACTGTTGCTGAGGAAGGAGCAAGGAGACGGCGCGGTAGAAAAGATACAAGATGAGGAGCGCGTGTGGATGGTGATGTTGGATGAGGCGGATGAAGGTATCCGTCGAGCGTGTGGGAAAGGCAAAAATGTAGCGTGCGAGGTCCGACAGAGGCGGAAGATGGTATCTCCCAATTCCGTCGACTATATCAGAGTCTGCTTCCGGCTCCTCAATCAGGTCAGTCTCCATCAAGGCAACCGTATCAGCGATAGGCGACCGCTGTTGAAAGAGCCCCATGATAAGCACCAACCGCGAGGTTGCATCTAGGAAGCCGATCAATTCAAGGTCCTCCTCGGCATCTACATCCAGGGACTCTTGCCCTCCTAGGGTTTTGTCGTGATCTGTGCGGTTATCGAGAAAGAATCGTGTCACCGAGTCCAGGCACAAAGACCCTGGGCTAACAAGGACAGGCCGTCCCAATCTTGCACGGTGTCTGCAGTATGCTTCGGAAATGAGAATCTCCAAGTCCTGCGAGGGCTTAGAGTGTCGTATGGTAGCCTGTTCAAGCGACTCGCGCGGGCGATATCGAGCGGACGTCGCAAATATGCTTTCTCCCTTTTCGATGAAACATCTGGACTTCATGAAAAGCGTTCGTAGGCCTTGGGATAAGGAGAACAATGGATCCATGCTTAGATTTAGCGTGAAATCGGTCGGCGGCGCTGCTGAGACAACGTCTTGCGCCGAAGCCACGCCCTCATCTGTCGCCCACGCATAGTGGACCAAGAGTGTCGAGGTTGCTATGAAGGCATCGGCATTTGCGGCAGATATCGGCTGTGTCAGAGCCCGTCGGAACAGGCGCAATGTTTCGGAGAGGTGCAGCATCGAAGCTGATCGATATGACGGATCGCCTGGACTGAGATAACATAGGTGCTTGGCGGCAATAAGGAGCACAGCGTGCATTAGAAACTCATGCTGGGACAAAGGCTGGTCAGAGAGAGAGAGAGAGATCGCTTTCCTCGAAAGACAGACAGGGAGACGAAAACTTACCTGCAACGCCAACGCCATCACCTGGCCACGCCATATGGCCGTGTCAAAGACAAGGGTCTCAGCAGTGACGGTGTCGAAATGGTGCAGCAGTCTCATCTGCAGCATGTTGATCTGCGACCACGGTCTCTGTTGCAGACCAGGCCCACTGCGCGGTTCTTGTGGCTGCAGTATCGTTGTTCTCGAGGCCGGGAGGAGAGTCTCGAGGCTGCAATTTTCCTCCCTCCTTTGGCAATTGCTGCATCGCGGATGCCCTTCATCGCACTGTTGACAGACGAGATCCCGTCAGCTTACACATTGCCCAGGACCTCTTCAGGCTGCAGCACCGACCTTTACCCTGCGTCTCCTGCAGGCGGTGCAGCCCAGTCGCGATTTCGGATGACTGCGCCGCTTGCGCATTCGACCGGTCTCGGCTGCTTCTGCAGGCACAGCTCGGCCTGGGGTCGAGTTGAGAAAATGGGGGATTGCCGGCGACGACGCCATCATGCGCAACTCGATCATGCTCCACTGGAAGGAGAGGAGCCGGTCAACCTCGCCAGATGGCAAGTTGAGTGAGGAAAACTAAAGCACAGAAAGTGGTAAGCAAATCCTTCAAGTCAAACAAGTCCGATGGTTGAAGTCGGAATAAGAATCCTGGTTGCCTGGACTCTGGCGATCCAGGGCATGTGTTCGTTCTCGGACGAATCCGATGGGCTGGAATACGAGGCGGATCCCTGTCAGCGAGCTGCAATAACGATGGCCAAAGCGCCCTCGCGTATATACGAGTATCCTTGCGAGTGATTGGATTGGACAGTGTTCAAGCGAGAAGCGGATGTGGATCGACGGAGCCACAGCTAAAGATGTCTGCCCTCTCAATCTTCGCCTAGTACGAGGTAAAACGAACTGCATCGCCCGTTCACCACAACTATCCATTCTCACACTGCCGAAGGGCCCAGGAGAAATTTGCTTCACTTTACGAGTATGAACGATGCCTGCGCTTGCGACAGCGGACTATTGCCTCCACCACATCCCTTGTGAGACGTGCTGGGGACAACGAGTTGCTTGTCAAGCGACCCCCTGTGCAGCAATGGCCGCTCAAGATGGCATAAATTGGGTGGATTTCTGCGCTTCCTGAGTTAACTAATCCTCGTGCCCTTCGATCCTCACATAGTTCTTGAGGGCTGGTACTTCGACCTCCAGAGGCCATTACCAAAGCTGCTATCCTCCTTATTTGAGCCTGATGCTCAAAGGCATGGCTATGACCGAAAAGTCCGGGCATGGCATCGACATTCAAGACGACAACATGCAGGATAGCATTCTTACTTCTCAGCTGGAGATGCCCAACGTCAAGGTCACTTACAGGACGCTGTTTCGATATGCATCCAGAGAGGAGATCTCTATTCTGGTCCTGTCCGCTTGCTGCGCCGTTGTTTCAGGGGCTGTCCAACCGCTCATGACGGTAAGGAGACTGAGCAGCTCCGTTTCAGCTGTCGCTGGCTGATCGCGACAGAGGCTGACAAGACAATAGCTTGTGTTGGGGTCTTTGGCTGGGCAGTTCGCGGGCTTCTCAGCTGGATCAACAGCAACATCGGACTTCCATCATGAGCTTAGCAGACTTGCTCTGTATTTCGTTTACCTGGGTACGTGGTCTAGTAATCTGAATGCAGGCATCCTTAGTGACATTCCTATATGCTAGGCATCGGATCCTTGGTTTCCGTCTTCATCACGATCCAAGGCTTCTCCTATGCTGGAGAAGCAATTACACAGAGAACGCGGGAAGCGTATCTGAAAGCCATAATGCGACAAAACATTGCCTTCTTCGACAGTGTCGGGGCTGGAGAAGTGACCAGCCGCATTACCGGCGATATGACCATGATCCAGGTGATTACTCTCATCATGCCTCCCAGCTGTGAAGAGAATGCTGAGGAAAATATATCAGGACGGCATATCCCAGAAACTGGGCCTCACCGCAGCTGGAGTGACAACTTTCTTCGCAGCCCTTGCGGTCGGCTTCGTCAGGTCTTGGAAGTTGACGCTTGTCATGCTATCCGTGACCATCCTGATCATTCTCGTTATGGGCGGTGCCGGCAAGGGAATAAAACAGCATCAGCTGCAGGCAAACGATGCTTATGCTGTCGGGGCCACCGTCGCCGAAGAAGCCTTTACTTCCATTCGAAGCACCACTGCCTTTTGTGCACAGAATTGGCTGGCCCAGAGATTCAGCATGCATTTGGATAACGTCAGACGTTTTGACTTCAAGAGCAAAGCGTTTTTGGCTTCTATGATCGCCGCGATGATGGCCATCATGACCTTGCAGTACGGCCTCGCCTTTTGGGAAGGATCGCGTTTGCTACAGGATGGCAGCATTTCGGTTTCGAAGATCATCACCGTCATTTTCTCTTCCATGCTGGCTGGAGTGTCTATCGGACATGTGGCTCCGCATTTCGGTGCCTTTGCCGCAGCGACCGCTGCTGGCCAGAAGATATTTCAAGTCATCGACCGGAAGTCGCTTCTGGATCCGATGTCCAGGGCTGGCAAGAAACCCTCAACCGTGGAAGGCGAGATCGTCTTCAAAGACGTGCGACACGTTTACCCGTCACGCCCAGATAATGTCGTCCTCGATGATTTGAATTTTGTCATTCCGGCCGGCAAAACCACTGCTGTCGTGGGCAAATCGGGATCCGGCAAGTCCAGTCTGGTGAGCCTGATAGAGCGGTTCTATCAACCCGTTGGCGGGGAGCTGAGTCTCGATAATTTGCCCCTACAGGAGCTGAATCTGCATTGGCTTCGGACACAGATTGCCATGGTTGGTCAAGAGCCTGTTCTCTTCAACACCACGGTGTACGATAACATCCGTTTCGGACTGTTGGGGACCGAGCTTGAGGATGTAAGTCTTGCTGCAGCTTTGTGATCTTCGAAGTCGCTGACCGGGTTGGATTTGATCGTGAATAGGCACCCAAGGAAAAGGTTTCCGGCTTGATTGAAGAGGCTGCGAGAACAGCAAATGCGTATGAGTTCATCTCAAACTTGCCCCGTGGGTTCCAGGCTCGTGTTGGGGAACGTGGAATGCTCCTTTCCGGTGGTCAGAGACAACGAATTGCAATAGCACGGGCTGTTGTGTCGAATCCCAAGATTCTTCTTCTCGATGAAGCCACTGCCTCACTAGACCTGCACGCTGAGACTCTTGTGAGAGCTGCGCTCGACGCCGCATCAAAGAACCGAACTACTCTAGTAATTGCACATCGACTTTCGACCGTCCGACAAGCCGACAATATAATCGTCCTCAGCGCAGGAAAGCTTGTCGAGCAAGGTACTCATGAAGAGCTTATGCGCAGTAAGGGAGTCTATCACTCAATGGTCGCGGTCCAGCAAATCGAATATAGTCGGCCGTCCGATGGCGTCGAATTGCATGGCAGTGGTGTTGGCGGTCTTGAGAAGGTTGAAGAGTCGAACTCAATGTTGACTAACGCATCGACGCACGACACTTCTCCAAAGCTTAGTAACCAGAGACATTACAGTCTCTGGGCGCTCATCCAGTTCATATGGTCGCTTAACCAAGATGAGCACTCATGGATGGTACTTGGATTTCTTGTCTCGATGGGCACGGGAGCCGGGTACCCCATACTCGCTATCTTCTACGGGAATTCAATTGTCTCCCTGGTAAATCCCAGTGAGAGCACTGGTGCTCACGACATTGACTTCTGGTGTGGGATGCTTCTCATGCTGGGACTGGTCATTCTGGTCCTGTACATGGTCCAAGGCATGACTTTTGCTTGGGCATCGTCTCGGTTGGTCTGGCGTACCAGAGACTTGACCTTCCGTGCAATTCTCCGTCAAGACATGGCCTTCTTTGACATGAAGGAAAACACTTCCGGAGCTCTGGCATCCATACTTTCCACGGAAGCCACAATGATAGCCGGCATGAGCGGAGCAACGCTGGCGGCCCTGCTGAACTTTGTGGTGTCGATTATTGGAGCCATCGCCGTGTCCTGTTCGTTTGGCTGGAAACTGGCCCTTGTGTGCACCTCGACAATGCCGCTCCTTCTCGCTTGTGGCTTTCTCCGGACGTGGGTGATGGCTGACCTGGAGAAGCGAACTCGACGCCAGACCGAAGCAGCGGGGTTCGCCTGTGAGGCTGCATCCACCATCCGTACGGTAGCTTCACTGAGGATGGAAGAAAATGTCTGCTCTCGGTACAGCGCGATGTTGAGGCAGCAGACGAAGCAGGACTTTCGGTCATTGCTTCTGTCTTCCATGCTTTATGCTACCTCGCAATCCCTCATGTTGTTTGCCAGCGGCCTCGCCTTTTGGTATGGAGGAAGCTTGATCATGAAAGGCGAGTACACGGTGAAACAATTCTTCGTGTGCTTTGTGGCCGTCATCTGGGGATCTCAGGCCGCTGGAGCTATCTTCTCGTATGCCGGGGACATGAGCAACGCAAGGGCGGCAGCCGCTCGGGTAAAGACTCTCCTCGGTCGAACACCGACTATTGACTCGTGGTCAGTTACAGGCAAGGCTATCCCACATGGGCTCAAGGGCCACATTGAACTTCGCGACGTGTCTTTCTTCTACCCAACGCGCCCAAGTCGACTGGTCCTCAAGAACATCAGCATCACAGCCGAGCCAGGGCAGTTCATTGCGCTGGTGGGCGGAAGTGGCAGCGGCAAGAGCACTATCATATCCTTACTTGAGAGGTTCTACGATGTCGCGTCCGGAGGGATCTATGTGGACGGGAACGAGATTTCGACGTACCAGATCCAGGCTTATCGGGGCCAGCTGGCGCTGGTGAGTCAGGAGACGACATTGCACATGGGCACCGTCAGGGATAATATCCTCGCTGACAAGGAGGACGCCCCAGAGGAGGACCTTATCCAGGCGTGCAAGGACGCCAATATTTACGACTACATCGTAAGTTCAGCTCACAAACTAATTTTGCCAGGATGAGTAACCCGATAATTGACACCACGAAAATCCAGATCTCCTTGCCCGACGGATTCAACACCTCGGTCGGCCCTAAGGGCAGTCTGCTTTCCGGCGGCCAGCGGCAGCGTATTGCTATTGCAAAAGCCCTCCTGCGCAACCCTAGAATCCTGTACGTCAGGAGCTCCCTCTTCTTTATCCCGCGAAGGCGCTTTCTTGATATTCCAACGCCAGGCTAACTCATGACTGATGCCCTCAAGGCTCCTGGACGAATCCACCTCGGCGCTGGACTCGACTTCTGAGGCCGCTGTACAAGCAGCTCTCGACCGCGCCGCAACGGGTCGCACGACGATCGCTGTCGCCCACCGCCTCAGCACGATCCAGCACGCGGACGTCATCTACGTCCTTGAGCGAGGAAGCGTGGTTGAGCGTGGCAGTCACCCAGAGCTGATGCGTAAGAGGGGCCGGTATGCTGAATTGGTGCGGTTGCAGGAGATTGGTTCGGCATCATAGTCTACAATGTTGGTCCGCTGAGCCAGTCCTAGGCTTGAGCAAAGGAGGAACAGGAAGTGACATTCTCCTTGGAAAATGAGAGGGCGGAAAGGGGAACGGGACAATTTTGTGGGGTTTTTAGGTTCTCCAATCAAGGCTTTCCTTCTTAATCGGCAAAATGTATTCTCATTTATCTACTGCATACCTACCTGGAAGATAGTCATCACTCGTTATACATACACCAACATACAATCATTCATTCATGGCAGATTCTACCACTACTCATCCGGTGGGTGACAACCCATTCCTCAAACGGGCATACGCACTCTCCAGCACCGCTGAAGCGCGAGACCTCTACAACGAGTGGGCATTGGAATACGACAAGGATCTCGAGGCCGAGGAGTACGCCGCCCCGAAGCTCGCCGCGCAGGCCTTAATCGGTGCGCTCGACGGCCGTCTCGGGACACTGGAGATCCTGGACGCCGGCTGCGGAACAGGGCTGGTGGGCGTCGAGCTCGCGAGAATACTGGGCGCGGCCCCCCGACACGTTACGGGCCTGGACATCAGCCCGGGCATGCTCGAGGTCGCAGGCAAGACTGGCGTCTACGGCGCGCTGGAGCAGGCCGACCTGTCGCGTCCGATCGCGAAGTCAGACGAGTCCTTTGATGCGGTGCTCTGCGTGGGCACCTTGACGCGCGGACACGTGGGTCCCCAGGTGCTCGAGGAGTTTGTTCGCGTCGTGAAACCGGGGGGACTCATCGTCGCAACCGTCCTCGACGATATATGGGAGAGTGCGGGGTTCAGCGCCGAGGTCGAGCGCTTGCAGCGAACTGTCAACAGGATCGAGGTCGAGCGCTCAGAGGTGGTGGGATTGAGATCGTCGACAAATGTCGGAGGCAGGCTGCTGGTGCTGCGAAAAAGAATCACCCAGCAGGGGAGGTAAACGAAGCCCCTAGCGACACCTCTACTTGGCACTACCTTTAGGTGCTAATAGGTGGCGGCTAGCTGCCTCGCGCGGGCATACTTTTAGGCGCCCGTAGGCGTCCCGAATCTCCCCTAAAAAATTGATCGATGATGGTCAAAACCAGCCATCGGCTGGACTACACTTCTCGTTTCTCTGCCTTTTTCTGCCCTTAATCACTGAGTGTCTGCCGCCCTCCATCTTCGCTTCCAAACGTAGCTACATCCTCTTACTTCAATTCTGTCTTTCCTATTGTCCTAAGCACGGCTGTCAAGTCCGCTTCACAAGAATCCAAGGTCGACACACGTAACAGCTTGAGAGCACGAGGTGAGCTGCGCACACAGTTCTCAATGGCTTTCTGAACCGCCGCGATCAAGATCAAATCTATTCTCGATGTCAATAAACCTCCGTTCATCTGGAGCCAGACTCCGCGCGCGCTTTGAGACCCTGGTCGTATCGCAGTACGGCGTTCAACAATACCTGCGTTCCTAGAGCACTGTCAAACTCCAATTGTTGGCATGAAGTATATCCTAGAAAGATTGGGGCGCTGCGTAAGGAACAGGGCCACCCTGCTGGAGCCGTGGCTCTGTCGACTACATACGGCAATTTAGGGAGACGACTCTCAAATCTCCTATGAAGGCACATGAGAATAAAGTACATGCGTCTTTGGTGCTTGATAGCCGGCTTTAGATGGAAGGCGGGACGTGGATGCCGGAGAGGAGAGCACAGCGTTGAAAGAACGTGTAAGGCCCCCTGCTCCTCTGCGACAGGCGCTCTTGTAAAAACCACATCTATACGTGCGCGGACAAAATTTGCACAACGGAACGCGCCCTTTCGGGTGACGAGGTCACCAATCAACAGTGTCAGGACAAGACTGGGGATCTGAGACACAGCCCAGAAAAGGGAGACCCCCAGACGACACCCACACCAACACCTTTTCCATCACAGAGGGAGGCACAGAGGCGCCCGTTTCTAGAGAGACAGGAACAGGGCATTCCCAATAGCGACGATGGGCCTGCGTAAGCCGAAGACGAATTCCTGACCGACGACCCCACTTGGCAATGCCCAGATCAAACGACAGGAACCCTCTGCCATCTTAGCCACTCTTACCGACCATATCAAACACGGCTCCACGTGGCATTTTGGACCCATGGGTCAGAACTCCAAGCTGGCATTTTGTTCAATACCTGTGGACACTTGGATATAGGACCGAACCAATCATCGTATCCAATGCCCCGAAATTCCTGATACGGAAACTCTGGTAAAAATCTGATTGGCTGCAATCAGGACTCATACCACATCATGTAGAAGGGGGATTGGATATAAAATTTACAAGGGCCTTAGCTGCACCTCCTGTCCTATCTTTATCTTCCCATCAATCCTGCCACCGCCAGTCACTAACGTCAGTTCTATCAGTTAATCGCCCCCCCTTCCTTGTTCGTGCAGACCGGGGGTTTTTCATATCGTCGAACGCGCCTCCGCCAGAAAACACGAAATCCCTCTTCTGACCGTTGATGTGCCTCTGCGATCTTCGTCACCAGATCAAGATGGGACATTTGTCTCAACTGGCTGCTTCTTTCGGTGGTCCTCGGAGAGGCCTTTTGCGTCGAGACTTGAAGTTGGGGTCGCAAAACATCCAAATTGTAAGACCCTGACCGACTCTCGTTCTTGATCTCGACCGTTACAGTCGGGAGATTCTGTGGTGTCGTTCTGACTTGCAGGATCCGTTTGAGGGTGACAGCCGGCCAGCTCGAGAGTTCGTAGGAGAACGCGTCGGAGTTCAATCACGGCGCGACTATATCGCCAAGAACAAGAATAATAAACCTATTACAGCTAACTACGAAAATACCCGCTTCCTTCTTTCAAGCTTCCAAAAATACAATTGGTCCTTACCATTACCATCATCACAATCTGAGGCTGCTTCACCGCTATAACTCGAGTTCCAGATCAAGAACAGAGCCCGTCTCCTCGGTCCCACTATGACTTTTGTCGAACCAGCTCTCAAACGACCACCACGGTGAAGGTCAGGGTGTTGCAACCCGCACATGTAGCGGCCGTCCCAAGATGGGCGACAACGTCGTCAACAAGGCAGAGACAGAACGTTGTGTCAACTCCAGCAGTACACACAAGCTCATCATTAAGGGTGCCGCAAGTCGCAGCCAAATTACCCGCAGGCACCGGATTCAAGAGTTGAATACCTGACGGAGGGCTGACATCGGCGATGACGACACTGGCGATCTCAGCACTGAAGACATCGACCAGGTTGCAAGCGTCGTTGAACGTGAACAGGGTCCCGGCATCTTCGCCGACGTCGAAGAAGATATAGTCGATGTTGTCTGTGGTCATAGGCGCTACGGCTCCATAAAGGCCATTGAATTCTGAAAAGTCGCTGCCAGCTTCGAGTTTGAACGTCGGCTGTGCGCCTCCTGGGTTGCAGCCCGACGGAGTAGGTGCGGAAGTTGTCGTTGTACTTGTCGTCGTAGTGGTGGTGGTGGTGGTTGTTGTTGTGGTGGTAGGACTGGTTGTTGTTGTGGTGGTAGGACTGGTTGTTGTTGTGGTGGTAGGACTGGTTGTTGTTGTTGTTGTTGTTGTAGTTGTGCTAGGACTTGTCGTGGTTGTGGTTGTGGTACTGCTGGTGGTCGCACTTGTCGTCGAAGTGGTTGTAATAGAGCTTGACGTAGTGGTTGAGCTGGCTGTAGACGTTGTGATCGGGGATGTGACTTGCGACGATGTCGTACTGGAAGTGCCAACCCGCGAGCTTGTGGTGCTGACTCTGGTGGTGAATATACTGGAAGAATAAGAAGTCCATGTGCTGCTCTTCTGGGAAGGCTCCTCCCAATCGCCCCACTCTGTTCCAACTCCCCCGGGAGGACTCAGGACTGCAGTGGTTGAAACGGGAGCTGGGGATTGTTTGGACTCAGGCTCGTTGCCTGATCCCGGCCGCCACGGCAGTAGCGAACCTAACACATGCCCGACGTGCGAGAGGAGAATACAGGTGACCAAAATCACCAGGAAGTAGCTCGCATTTGTGCAACAGAATAAAAGAAAGGCTGCTTCTGCGAGGACTTTTGAAAAGGAGCGTAATAAGACCAAAGGAGTGTGCTACAGTAGAGGAGAGACAGTAAAACTCAACATGGCATCGACCAAGAGCATTCCATCACGAGATGTGGATTGGCCTTTATTATTGTCCAGATCTGAGACTTACCAGCTCACGAACACTCCCCTTCTTTCGTCACTCCATAGGGGAGCTTAATCAGGAAAGAGCCGTTGGAACCTTTCCAGGGCGGCGCCGTTTGGGAAAAGATAGTGGAGGGAGCTGATCACATTGGGCGTAGATCACTAGGTGCGTTTTGGTTCGGTGAGCCACTGGCGAGGTCCATGCGAAGTCCATGCGAGATCAAGCAATTTCCCAACACATAATTAGCAATGTTCGATAGCTCTATTGAGAGCCTCGTATCAAGGGAACCCCAACGGCCTCCTAAGAGCCGGAGAGACACCAAAGCAAACCCCAAAAAACCCCCTAAAGGCGAGCTTTACTGTCAGACCTGCAGACAGCGCCAAGAACAGGGACTCGTCTGGACAGTGAGGCCCGAGCAACTATTTGTGCCAAGACAAGCCTGGATCCCTGATCGACTCGGAGCCCGTTTTCGTGCATCTCTTGAATCTTACCTAGTATTATTATACAGATCAAGTCTGAGAGCTCAACTCAATCCATCGACACAGCTTAACCTCCCTCCACCCGGCTCTAGGAACAGCCTTCCTTATACACCTTCCTCTCACCTACGACTTCCCCTGTACGTGGACTGCTTTGCTCGACCCTGCACCCTCCGGGTCTCAGCTCCACGCGCAGCATTATCCATCCACGATGTCCTACTTCCGCATCACCTTGATTAGATCTGCCATCGGGCTCCCTGCGAAATCAGGCAATGTACTCAAGGCACTCGGCCTGCGCAAACGGATGGCGACCGTATTCCATCCGGTCACGCCTTCGGTTGCTGGCCAAATAATGAAAGTGAAAGAGCTGGTTGCGGTTTCGGAAGTCGATGAACCTCTGACAAAACAAGAGATACACCAGGAACGTGTGCCGGATCCAGGCTTCTATGTCGAGTCAAGAGCGCAGGATGTGAGCAAATAAGAGGTCTTAGTGAGAGATGGGAAGACATCTATGCAATGTCAGGTCCACCACTTCTACAGTCGACCGCACCAAGATGCCGTCGCGGTTTCCAACCATCTAAATGGTTCAGGGCAGATGGCTGCTCTTGTCAGCCACGAAGAAAAGAAGTCAGCTGTTACTTCGCTACGAGCCGCTGCAATGCGTCGAATTGATTTGCAGACCTCCCCCAGAAGATCGCCTTCTCTCCACGCGCCCTGTACCCGGCGGCGCCGATGTGTCAAGTCTGTGTCGAGCATTGCTGCAGCTTAGCTGAGCGCGCCAAAGAGATAAAACTACACAGGACAAAAATGAGGGGGCTGAATGAAAGGGGTATCCAGATTCTGGACGATTGACACTACATCTGGTGGTCAACTTCGAGCATGGGGAGGAGGATTGTGAAATTGTGGCTTCAGAGCTAAGCGAGCGAGGGAAGTAGTCGTCTGGTGGGCTACAGCGCCTTGAGCAGATGAAGTTTAGGACTTGTAAGGAAGGGGAACTTTGAAGATCTTCAATGGATTTGGATTGTCGCGAGCGTGGCCCTGTCAGTTGCGACACTGGACAGGTCACACCCTGGGAAATGGAGAAAGCCTGTTTGCCTTGCTTTGTTCAGGCCATCACCAGAGGATCCTCAGACATTCTGTTGACAATTGTTCGGATAGCTATTCATGTCAGTTATCTTGGTGCGTTTCGAGGTGTTTGGGATAGACTCATACAGGAATTCTCTGTCAAGTGCCAGTCTAGACATTCCACCAATCATAAAGCTCCGAGCTGCAGGTTTGCCGAACCGATTGAACGTGTCGTCATTCGTCGTTCGCTGCTTGTAGACCTTTTGACTTCCCAATTCTCCCAGGTACTCAATGGCACACCTTTGCTACGGACACTTGACCTGACTCCACGCTTCTCTCCATCCTGTCGCGAAGGCGTGAGTGCACGGGAAACTTTTCTCCGTCCACGGACACTCCTTGCTCCAAGACCCCGACTTTTTGAAGATCAGTTGCCCATCATGAGAGCAGCAGCAGCAAGCCGACATCTCCTCCTCCGCTCCACGCGACCAACAAGCGGCCTCCTTCTTCGCCGACCATGTCCCTCGTCACCTACACAGCAGCGTCTGGCCATTACCATTCCCACTTCGACTACTACTACTACTACCTCTTCTCTCTCCTCAATCTCTCGCCGCGCTCCTTTCTCCACCACCTTCCCCAAACCCAAGGGTCTGCAACCTCACAGCGACGACCCAAACCCGCCCAACACGGAACCATCGCATGGCCCTGGCAGCACGCCGACGGGAGCAGCGCAGATCTCGGATTCCGAGTACCACGAGATCGCCGACCAATATCTGAACACGCTGGTGTTGGCCATGGAAGAGCTCGCGGAGAGTAATTCGGAAGGTATAGAGGCGGAATTCTCGGTACGTTACCTATCCATTCCATCCTGCATCGTGTGGACTCTCATCACCTGGATTTTTCATACCTGAAATCCACACTCGACTTACGCCATTCACTCTACTCCACACACTTTGCGAGCTATATAACTAACACCCCCTCTCCATTTCCTACTCTTCTAGGCCGGCGTCCTCACAATCACCCACCCCAAACACGGCACGTATGTAATCAACAAACAACCGCCCAACAAACAGATCTGGCTGTCCTCGCCCGTCTCCGGCCCCAAACGTTACGACTGGGTCGTCCCGGGTGACTCGCAGCACGAAAAGGCCGACTCGACCGTCGACTTGGGCGACGACGGCCAGAGCGGCGGCAAGTGGATCTACCTGCGCGACGGGAGCAATCTGAGCGACCTAATCAAGAAGGAGTTGGGCGTCGAGTTGCGGCACGGAGGCGAAAGCGAGAGTGATGTGAACCAAGGCCGAGAGGGGCCTGCGAAGAGTGGAGCCAGCACGGAACCATAGGGTGGTTGCACGATGGGCTGGTGAGCGAACAAACAAGGAGAAAGAAAAGGGGGCCAGAAGGAGTGAGGGTGAGGTTGAAAGTGGATTGCCCACTTCATCCAGACCTGAAGGGAGGGTGAGTGAAATCGAGTATCTTAGCGCAGCTTCAATGAGAGCTCTTACCGTATCGGATGGTAGACGATGGATATTCTACACCCAGCAACGAGCGGAATAGCAAGATCCTGCTGGAAACAAGAGAGCTGTTGATGACAAACAACACGGGCAAATAAATGGCACTTTTTTAGCTGCTGGGGGGTCGATGATATGATGTCGATGATGTCCCCAACTCAATATAGGACGTCTCCGACCAGAAAATCAACATCTCCTTCTCGTCTCATTCAGGTTTCCTTCCACCACGCCCATTAATCACCTCTTATACCCTTTTCCCCGTCTTTCACTTCCTCTTCCGCGCACTGCCACCGCCGCCAGCCTTGGGCTGCGACGCGGGTGCGGCGGGCGCCGCCCTGGGAGCGGCAGGCTGCTGGGCATCGGCGGCAGCAGGGATGCCTCTGCCGCCGGCCATCCTCCGACTCATGATCTGGCGGGAGATGAAACTGATGCCCAGCATCATCAGCCACGACGGCATCGTGCCCAGGGCCCACATGAAGTAGCCAAATGGCTGGAGCAAGCCGGTCTTGGCCAGGAGCCCGTCGAAGGGGTGCATCAGGCCCGTGTACTCGTCGTATTCCAGGTACCGCGACTTGGAGGCGCGCGGCAGGCTGGTGATGTCCGAGACGGTGGTGGTCGTGACGTTGAGCGGGATGATGTACAGCGGTGTCTTTGCCTCTTGCTCGGACTGCTTGGGCAGCAGGAAGTGGTAGATGACGGGCACCCCCGACGCCCACGCCGTGCACACGACCTCATCCTTTTCACAGTCGACCATGCCGAGTTTCAATGGAGGCGAACCCGCGGGCTGGGGCAATGCGGCTAGTAAGGGGACCGATTCCTAGACATAGGGTCAGGACAAAATTAATTTCATGACAATCGCAACAAGCTTCTTGGAGGGGGTTTCGTGCACTCGACATACATTCCACACGGCATCCACAGGGCCACACTTGCCAAAGCACGTCTTATTGCCGCCCGTCAGGTAAATCATCCATTCCTCCTCGGTGTCCGGCTTCGGAGCGAGTTTGCGCTGCCAATTGCGGATGTTGATCTTCTCGACCTTGTACCCAGCGACTGTGGCCGCGCCCGCTTCGACCGGGTTGGGAGGCACAGGCACTGAAACCGAAGGCGCGGCGCTGGGGATATATGATTTGGCCTTGTCGAACCAGCCCGCGGCCTTTTCTTTCAGGGGAACCTGGTCTGCTGCGACCAGCAGAGGCAGGAGGAGGAGGGAAGTGAAATGCATGGTCAGGAGCGTGTAGTCGGCCGTCGGTCGAGATTGAGGGAGGCTTTGATGATGGCGAGCCTGAGATTCTCAACGATCGATGGCGAGAGGAGGGCACCAAAGGAAGAATGAGAATGATTGCGCAGAAAGAACTCAACAAGAGAATGGGAAAGGCAATCCCCCGACAAGAGGGAGGGAAACGCAGATCGCGGTCTGATGACGAAAACCTGATGAGGGAAGTAAAGTGTGTGCGAGAGAGAGGATGTCGGCAGGTGCTCGAGGAGTACGACTGCGCAGTGGCTAGTGGTTACCTAGGTAGCTAGGTGTGCCTCCCTAGTAGATAGTTAGGTACAGTCCCAAGGTACGTAGTACGCTATAAGGCCCTACCTAGGTACCTAGGTAGGAACAGTAGCTACCAGCAGTTAGCTTGACTCGTAGCCGATAGTTGCCCCTCAGAAATGGCTTGTCAGTGGCTGATAAGAGAGCTTTTTGGCAGCAAGCAAGTGATTTAGCCGAATTGGAGCCCCACGACCGAGGGCCACGAGGGCGCCATTCCCCACGTGCAGTTTACGAATAGTTGCCCCGGTGTTTCATTCGGGACACGGCTACTCGAGTACCTACGAGTACCTAATAGGCTTGTGAGACTTTGGAAAAGGGGGTGGGACAGTAACAACGGAGAACTGCCCCATGAGCATCCATGTACGAGGTGAGGTACATACGAGTATATAGACGCTCGGAATTCGCCTCCTGCAAGTTCCTGCTCATCCCTTAAGTACGGACGAGCTTGTGGCTCGAGTACTCTCAAGATGTACCCTGTAGTTGGGACTGCCTTGTCCACAACGTCCAGTTCAGTCTGCACTGGCACGCCTTTGAGAAACGACAAAAGTACATCCAGCCAGCGATATGTTGTGATACAGACCACTTCCTACATGTCCATACAGGTAGGGAAAAGACTACTTAGGTAGCCACAACGGGTCATGCCGCCTTCTGAGCCGCCGCCATCTGCTTCAGGAACTCATCCCAGTCTCCCACCTTGACCTCCCACTGCCAATTGGGTCGATCCTGCTGGGACAGATCGAACAGCGCCCGCGCGATGTTGTTGGCGTTGATGACAGGGTCGTCCTCTCGAACCAGCCCGCCGATGTTGACGCCCGCGACATGGACCCCCTTGGCTTCCATCATCTGCTTCAGGCTCAGCATCAGGTTATACTGCGCGGCCTTCTGCATGGAGAGCGACGCAAAGTCTGCCAGCGGACGATCCCACAGGCCGCTGTTGGTGAACAGGAACGACGGATGGGTCCCTGGCCGCTCGGCCGCCGCGGTCAGATGTGGCAACGCCCACGACGCTGCAACGAAAAGACCAAGATTCATGCTCTGTGCAGCCGCGGGAGAAAATTAGCCAACAACATCCCCAGAAAGTCTCAGAAAAAAAAAGGCCCGTCCGGGATCCGCGGGTATTGGCATGGAGTGTGCTTTTCGCTCACCTTGAAGTCCTCCAACACGAAATCTGGACTGCTGGCCCCGATCCTCGAGGGCGATACTCTTGCTGCGTTGAAATATACCACTTCCGGAGCCCCGAGCTCTGTAACGACTTTGCCAAGCACCAGTGCCAGGGCGTTGTGGTCTCCAACGTCGACGGGGAACGCCTTGACTTTGACACGGGGATTTGCTGCTTGCACTCTGGCAGCATCTTGAGCCAGACGCTCAACATTCCGAGAGAGCAATGCGACGTCGAACCCCATGGATGCAAACAGCGCCCCAGTCGAAGCCCCGATGCCGGGTCCGCTCCCCAAGATGACGATGACTTTGTTGTTCGACATGGCTTTCCTGAACGGTTTGTGCTGTGGCCGGTGACTTGCAAATTTCGTATTGTGAGAGCCACAAAGATGATTTGGTGAAAGCCTGGAAGCCCAAGGCAAATGAATGGTAAATAGATATATAGGTGAGGCTAAAGTTTATCCTGTACCTCTTAGCCGGAGTGGTGTGATTCCTCAAAAGATGGATATGGGAAGTGGAAACCTCATTTTCTTCCTGAAGGAGGAGCATGAAGGAGATCCCTTTTTAAGATCTTCTCAAACCCTGCTTAGCCCCAAGTCTGCTCCTTTCCGGGCGGCCCTACATAGTAAATATAATGCTAAATGCTAAACGGCGGAAACTGAAGGCTGCGTAACCAGGAAGACAAAATCAAAAGCATGGCTGACAAGCTCCTGATTCCCCAATCACTCGATGTGGCCTATCGAGGCGAGGACGACGTTCCACACTTGGTCCCTGGTGTCGTAGGTAGATATCTTTCAGCGCTCGGCAAACTGTTCATCAGGCGCGCCATTGCAACCATTCATCCTAGGTTCCGCCTGGAGCCTCTTTTCCAATCCTCGAAGGGCCAATGTCTGGTAACTCCGCGGGCGTGTGACGCGTTTGAAACTTGCTTTGCGTTCTCAGAGTGAACACTTGCAGGTGCTCCGTGTGGAGAAGGACAAGTCAACAACAAGGCTGGGGAAACCCGAAGCGGTCAAACTCCTAAGTGATATACCTAGGTAGGAAACAGTGCACTATTGCGTAAGAAGCCGTGGCTGACTAAGGGATGATATCCATATCTTATAAAAGAGCTCGAGCTTGATGATCCTTGGGTTGAAGTACCTCCGCGGACTATGTGATTTTGCGTACCAGGACAGGATGCGAGGATCGAGAAGTGCTGGAATTTGTCCATCTGACCGAGGCTTGAGAGAATTACTGGTTGACTGATTCCCAGCTTCTAGTTGCCTTCTACTTCATTTGCCGCATAATCTTATGGAAGTGTTCAGCAATCTTTTACGCAACTTCGGCGTGGCATAAAAGCCTTGCCAGGAGTTTGAGCAGGATGGGTGTCTAGGGTACCAAGGTCGTTTCCGTAGATTTCTCTCCCTGATACTACCTAGCTCGCTAGTAGGTCGAGGCTCGAAACCGAAATGCCAAGAAAAAGATCAAGCGAGTTAGGGCGGCATCACCTTCGTCCCATTCCGGGGTGAGGTTGGAGCAGCAAGCCCATTACCGAGTACTTTCACTCTTACCTGACACCCTGAAATCCAATCCGCCTGGCAGCACCCTAGGCGATCTTGCCAGATGTTTCCTGCTCTCCCGAGTCCATTGTAGCCCGAACATCTCACTGGGCTGTATCGGAACAGCCTGCACCAATGCATTTGGACTACAGATAGTCCCGGACACGCTCTGTGGTTCTACGAATCCTGACCCTCAAAGCCGGATGCTGCCGCAAACATGTCTAGCAGAGTCAGCGCAAACGGCTCGGTGGGCATGCCGCGGATCCAGGATGTCCTTCGCACGCCCGAAGACCTCGAAAAGATCACAAGTTTGAAGGCAGAAATCAATCGCAAGAAGGGGGACGTGGACGCCAGATTAAAAGAAGGACTACAAGACCATTTGGACAGTACGCAAAATGGCATGTCAACGCTATCCGAGGGGCAGAAACTTGTTGGACAGATTAAGGAGGAGATGAAGAGCATCTATGACCTCTGCGAGCAGGCCCAGGCCATCCGCAAGAACTTCCCTCAATTAGACTATCTTGCAAGAGTCCATCGGAACTTCGAAGCCACTCGAGCAATGCAGGCAGGTTTGGATGGCTTCGAAAGGGATTGCTCCTACGTCCAGAGACTTCTGGAGGATGACGAGAACGATCTGTACAAACAGCCCAACCTCCTGGAAGCCTACATGCGCTTGACACGACTGCGCGACTTTCGAGATGAGGCATTGGATCAGATCCGCCGAGCTAGAGACTCGAGTTTGGAACAGACACTGCTTGACTGGTTTCAACAATTGGACAACGTCGTTGAGCTTTTCGATGAGCATATTGGTTTCATTTGCATGAACCTCATCGACCTCGTTCAACGAGCTGATGATACCAGCATCGTCGTGAGGTTAGCCATCGTGCTTGCTTCGGAGGAGAAGAACGATGACCGAGTTAGAGCGCTCCAAGATGCCCAGAAAGACCACCAAGATCTAGTGAGCAAGTTTACGTCTTTCAACATTGGACCAAAGACGACGCGTGGATACAAGGAGAAATTCCTGCAGGCCATCGAAAATGTTGCACAAGGCAAATTTCAACAGACGCGAGAGGAGTTTCAAGAAGATCCTTCCAAACTCAAGAGTCAGACTAGATGGTTCTTTGAAGACCTTAACGCTGTCAAGCAAGGCATGCAGAATCTCTTTCCGAGAAAGTGGAAGATCTTCAACACATATGTGGATATCTACCACAAGCAGATGCACGACTTTCTCATGTCCTTTGTGGATGCCGAAGATCTCCGGCCCCCTCAGATGTTGGGTATTGTCCACTTCATTGATGATTATTACAAGAGAATGAACAAGTTGGGTCTCTCTCCGGCTCAACTGAAACCACATGTTCTTGATTCTCGTGAAGGCGACCTTATCCGCGACTACAGAAACATCATCACTAAAGCTCTCAATTCTTGGATCGATAGAATGTACGTGACCGACAGGAAGAACTTCATGTCCAAAGCGCCAGACGCCATCGAGCAGGATCCAGACGGACATTTCAGAACCAAAACACTTGGCGATATGTGGCGTATGCTGCATGAGCAAGCTGTTGCAGCGGGCGACTCCGAGCGTGAAGACGTTGTCGAAGGCGTTATGAGCGCCATGTTCGGTGCTCTGAAATCTCGGCAGCAGCAATGGGAGAGGCTGGTCGACGAAGAGGTGGAGCGATACAAGAATCCAACTACGGAGCAACTTGAAACCTTGCAGCAACTCCAAGACTGGCTTCTCGCTATTGCGAATGATCAGATTGCTTGTGTGGACGACGCGGCTGGAGATGTGGTGGATGATCCTACAGCCCAAAAGGGATACCTGACGCGATTCAGAGAGGATTTCGTCAAACTCGCAACTCCACCCTCCGCGAAATTCATGTCTACTAATGGAACCACGGAACTGGATGCCCTCCGAGATGGCTACGTAGACCTGGCCACTCACTGCATCAATCGGTTTGTTCAACTTATATTCAGAGTCGACTTCCGCACCATCTTGACAGAGCTATTCGTCCCAGGGAAGTGGTATGAGCAGTCTGCAATGCAGAGGATTACTACCACCTACGACGATTACATTGGAGACTACAGCGCCGTACTGCATCCCTCTTTAATCGACATTTTGATCGAAGAACTATCAGACGCCCTGCTGGTGAGCTATCTCACATCGATCCGCACCAATCGCGGTGTCAAGTTCAGGCGGGGTGAACCCTTCGCCGCTAGATTCCGGGACGATGTACTCGCTGCATTCTCCTTCTTCGAAAAATACCCTGACACCTTCAACGAAACAATCAAACCAAAGTGGAAAGCTGTGAACTATACCGTACAGCTGCTGGAAACTGACAAGAACGATGTTGTTCGGGTGTATGAGCAATTCAAGCGTGAGTTCTGGGATCTTCAGTTGAGCTGGGTGGAAGGGGTCTTGAAGACTCGCGACGATTGGGATCGTGGCATGATCACGGCAGTCAAGCGAGCAGCGGCAAGCACATATGCAGAACGCGGTATGGACACGGTCATGGGCAAGGTCAAGTGATTCACGCATGAGAAGGCATCCAAGCCGGTACCTTGACTCCCCAACCTGTGAGATTCCGCCACTCGCGGCCCCAATTCAAGCCCGTGCCTGAGCCTGGCCCTGGACCTAGAATTGATAGCCAATATCTAGGTCCGACAGCTCTGTTCGCCATTAGTTGTACATGGCTCACTTGGAGGAAGGCTCAAATCAGGTTATCATTCCACCGGAACGAGTTGGCATTTCAAATATGTGGACGAGATGTGCCACGAAAGAGACTGGGAATGCCGCGGCGAAGACCACAGACGCAAGAATGTTGACGATGCCGGACGCAAAGGTCGACGGCATCAACGAAGACTTGTGGCCGGATCTCCTTGTGGCAACCGCAGTCAATTTCGAACAAGCAGCTATTGAGTCGCTTAATCGAGAGGAGAGATGTTTGCTTTCGATATGGTAGCTATCCCCGGTATATCATACGTCGAGTTTCTCACTCGCTCTAAGCCCCTGACTGCCCACGTGCCCGACTTGTAGTTTTCTTTGAGTTTGTTGCAATATCTTCCCCCTCCTAGCCTCCCAGCGCAAGTCCAGAAGACTTGCTTGCTGCTTCATTGCCGGTGGTCAAAATGGCCCCAGCGTCTGTTCAATTATTCGCAGCGCATATACCTATGATATACAAATGAGAGAACAATTTGGGAACAGGCCGGTGACGTCTGTAACTTCTTCCCACCCGTGATCGCTTTGCGGATCTTGTGTTTTGCGCGGCACAAGTCCCAGTCAGGCACGTTCTATCGCGGAAATCTGGCATCACACCCCTAAAATAAAGGTAAAAGGATCGAGTAGTGCCCAGCGAACAAAGTAAGGCTTTATGAGACGGCAATCCGATAGACTTGGACTGCGTCTTATGGGGTTTGACATGCAACCTTCCTGAGATGCTCATGATATCCGTCTTTCAAGGCTGGCATTTCGTGCGGCGTCAATACTCACGAACACAGCTGCTTTGGCGCAGGTGAGGAAGGATTGGCACTGGATATAAAACCTAGATATTTTCGAGCATAGTTCAGCGATTTGTTAATCATCCGTTTTCCAACGTAATAATCCAGAGAAACACGACCAGCAAGTGCACGAAAAGCTGTGATGCGAGCCTTCATGGTGGAGCAAGGCTGTGCCAAGATCTCGACAGTGTGCCAAGATTTCATACCCGATTTGGACTAGTTCACAGCACAACCCGCCAATTTTCGCAGCGAGCCTTTTGGGCGAATTGAGAAACTTCCCTCGCAGACCG